TGGATGATTTGCTTGACAATACCACGGATGTAACCATGACGTTCAGCGTAATCCAAGGTTCTCAACTTGGCAGCACCCTTTCTCAATCTGGTGTGAGAGGTGAAGATAGAACCAGCACCCTTTCTTTGGTTTCTAATAACTCTACCTGAACTTGTTAGTATTCCACTTCTTGAGATGGGGCGAAAGCTGCCACCATGGTTCTTAGGCCTGCCGTGTGCTTGACATCACGGTGCGTTTCGTTGTTGGCCCGTCGTTCTGGTAGTACATACCCATTTTGTTATTTAGTTAAAGATACCTGGTTTGGTCTTTTACTGGAGTACAATTTTTCACTGCGAAACCAGAGTGGTTGTGGGAGTTTGACAAATTTTTCACCGCGGCCAGGATGCGTGCGGCGCCCGCAAAACTTGCCGCATCGGGAAACATGTATCACGTGTGTTGGAGTAAGTGAGCAAAAAGCAGTCACAGCTGGCCAGGCGCGGTGGGTGGGGAATCTGTCACGTGAGCCAAGGCTGGTTAAGTATGGGGACCGGGTCTACTACTCTGTTATCGGTAATATTATATATTGCTGGTATCTAACTAAAAAGAGGTTTCAATTAAGAATTCCTTTTAATCTACAAGCACAAGTGGCGGCAACTGCCTTCACAGGACAATTTCAAACATAAAGAGGGAGTTGAAGCGGTCAACAAGAACTAAAATCATGAATTGTAGAAACAGGAAATTTCCCGGGCCTAGGCGGACTCCTCGCTAGATTGGTCCTTGGCCTGTTCTTGTTCGTCCTTGGCTTCCTCCTCCTTTGGGACTCTAGCATCGATAGCAATGTCAACAATGATTTCTCTGCCGTTGATTTCCTTACCGTTGAACTCAGCAACGGCCTTCTTTTGCACTTCCTCGCTGGAGAACTTGACAAAGGCAATACCCTTGTTGAAGAAAGTCTTTGGACGGCCTTCAGCTTGTTGCTTCTTCAAGATGTAGTATGGCACTCTTCTGGAAGGAACGTGGATCCATTTTGGCTTCAATTCCTTGAAGAGGTTGTTCAAAGTCTTCACATCAACCTTGTAGTCCAAGTTGGTGACGAAGATGGTATCAACAGAAGGCTTGCCTTCTGGAACCTTTTCTTCGGTGGTCTTGGCTGTCTTGCGGGTAGCTTTCTTTGCGACGGCGGCTGCGGTAGCTGCTGCAGCAGCAGCTTCCTTTTCCTCCTTCTTATCAGCCTTGGCCTTGGCCTTGGAGGCAGCGAGAGCCTTCTTAGCCTTGAATGCTTCCACTCTTTCCTTCTTCTCGTCTTCAGTTGGAGGTGGAATTGCTTTCTTGATGAACACGTTTCTTCTATGGAACTTCTTGCCACTGAACTCTTCAATTGCCTTGTCAGCATCTTCCTTGGAAGCAAACTGGACAAAGGCAAATCCCAAGTGTCTCTTGAGGACCTTTTCCCCACGGGTGATCTCCTTGAATGGGATGTCCACTTCAGTTCTGCGGTTGTTAGTACGAGCACGCGGTTGATGCATCGCCGGATTATACGTACACGTTCAAGCTGGCGAACAACTCCTTCAAGTCTTCTTCAGTAGCCTTGTAGTCAACGTTTCCAAGGTAGACTCTCTCCTCAATAACTGGCTTGGTGGAAGCGGGGGTTGATTCGGCAGACATGGTATTTCAATTGCTAGTTCCTTCTTATTCTTCTGGTGTTCCTTCTCCCTCTTTCAAGACCTGGTCTTGTTTTTATTCAAATAGATTCGATGGGAAATGGCGACTTGAGGGTAGTGGCAAATGGCAACTGGCCCGTACTTATATGATTTTTCGACCACCAAATTAGTGCGAGGTCGCGCCTACAATCATTCATGCCACTGTCAAATCCGCAGCACCTACCCCCACAACAACAAATCGGGTGATTCGGTCTGGGAGAGAGAATGTTAGGTGTGGTGCTGGAAGAAGGGTGGGTATATTTGCAGTTAGGCAGGGTTCTCCGTGTCTCCTCTTCGCCCAATCGCATCGACTTGTCCCCGTACCTCTGTGTGGCTGGTGGTGGCATTTCTCGAATATTCTACCAGCACCGTCCTGAGGAGCACTTGGTATGTTCACGTGATGGATGCTGGCCATCTGGGCAAGCGAATATGACACATTCAACCTGGGAGCAATTGGCCCTGCAACGGACCACGCAACACGCAACTGCCTCTTCGGGAAGGGCCAATCCTTGCGGTCCTCCACGCTCATGGTACTCCGTCTGTGAGTCAGTTGCACGTGACCCTACCCATGGTATCAGTATCAGAAGAGATATTTCCAGTTTTTAGGCTAAATATCAAGATATCGACGGTTGACCGCTAACAAAAACTATTCATGGCCCCAGTACGGTGGGCCTAATGGGTGTTTCGAAAGTTATTTCTCGTAATTTAAGAATACTTCCTTCATAGAAAGCGTAAATGTTTGCAAACATCAAACATATACGAGCCCGCACGCGCCTAGACGAGAATCATAGGGCCATACATAGACCATTTCTACTGTAGAAGGCGAATGCGTAGCTGACGAAGGGAATCCGTATTATCAGAACTTGCAGTACGTTGATTCTTGACAAACATGCTGGATAGACACATGCTTGACCAACCTGAAATATCATGCTTCCATCCAGGCAGGCATACTTTTCAATTCGTCACTTAGATAACGAACCCCACATAGTCCCGCAAATTGATCCAGCAGCACCTAATGAATCGTAGCCAAGCCTGCGGCTATCGCTGAAAAGCAAGGTTTTGTAAAGTTTACCATGCTGCTGCTCCATTGTCAAGAGACTACCATATTGTCCGGTTATCGTAATACAACCGACAATTCTGAGCTTCTGAGTCCCTAGCTACTACTTCTACACTCTCCGTCTTGTTCGTTTGTATATTTATGCCTGAAACAGGTATGATTACATTTTATCAATCTTCAATCATGCTGGATTGCCATCATGGCAGGAAGTGGTTTACTTTAATTTGTTGAATAATCTTGGAGCAACACAGTCGTTGATACAGTGGTGCAAGTGGAAGAATTCCTCAACACAATCTTCCTTGTATGCCTTGTGTTCATAGTCTTCCTCTTCTTGTTCCTTGGTGACTCTTTCAACACATTCGTGGAAGTGGTGGTTGAATGGCTTACATGCTGGAGTGTCCTGACATTCTTCACGCAAAGTGTCTAATGGGTCAGCGACTTCTTCTTCATCTTCATCTTCATCATCCTCATCGTCTTCGTCTTCGTCATCGTCACCTTCTTCGGCATCTTCAGACTCTTCAGTTTCTTCGGATTCTTGGGATTCTTCGGATTCTTGTTCTTCAACTTGTTCTTCCTCAGCCTGTCTTGGTTAGTAATGATTCCTCGTACAAATTGTGGGTTGCTCTGGCTTTGCCAATACTTTGCCTTTGTTCAACTCCGCCTGGAGTCTATCAACAAATCTGCATCTCGAGCATTGCATTCAAAATCGACTTACTTCTTCAGCGTAAGCAGCTGGCAAAACGGTTTCTATTAAGTCCCTGAAAAATGACATATTGCTATTCTTTACTCGAACCAATCTCTGGTTTGTTCAATCAATATCCGATTCTTAGTTAATCTTTCGAATGATTTTTTTCATACAAGGTGCAAAACCGTACTATACAGATTACGTCTATGGGAAAAAACGGTACTTTCATTGGCTAGAACCATGGGGTTACCCGGCGGTCACGTGTGTTTAGGCACATGACAATTTGGGCACCTTCACGCTATAACACATCATGATAATGAGAGTATATTCAGGTTGAAACAAACCCTTTGGAAGTAAAGGGACATACAGTGTTCCTTAAGGTATCAGCTAAGTATATCTTCACATTTATTTTTTGGGACAGTTACTGACCTGGGCAAGTTAGCCAGATCAAGTGGTTTGCTCGTGTCCTCTTAAATAAAATCTAGGTCAAGATATTAACCTTGACTGAGTTATAACTACTACATTGCTCTATTGCACACATTATTATTTGTTTAATATGAATACTAAACTTAGTTGGTTGGGGCAACATCGAGGTTCTTAGCTCTCTTAGCCTTCTTTTCGACGGCCTTAGAACCCATGATACCACCACCCCAGTGTCTTCTGGAGTCTTCGTACTTTTCGATGAAGTTAGCGTTGATGGTAGAGACCAACTTGGCTAATTCGGCTTCGTCAGCAGAGTTGACTTCGGTCAAGGCAGCGACAGAGGAGGTCTTCTTGTGAACCAAAGTACCTAATCTGGCCTTACCCTTGATGATAGCGTATGGGACACCCATCTTCTTACACAAAGCTGGCAAGAAAACGACCAACTCAATTGGGTCAACGTCGTTGGCAATCAAAACCAACTTGGCCTTCTTGTTTTCGATCAAGGAGACAACGTGGTTCAAACCGTACTTGACGACAACTGGCTTTGGAGAAACATCCTTGGCAGTCTTACCTTCAGCGATGGCAGCGGCTTCCTTGGTCAATCTTTCCTTCTTTTCAGCAGAGGTTTCTGGTCTGTACTTGTTGAACAACTTGATGGCTTGAGCAGCGGTGTTCTTGTCCAAGGTGTTTTGGAATTGAGAAATAGCTGGAGGAACCTTCAATCTCAAAGACAAGATCTTCTTTTGTCTTTGCAATCTAACGTATTCTGGCCACTTGACGAATCTGGACAAGTTTCTCTTTGGTTGGATGGATTGACCAATACCGAAGTTCTTTGGGGTGGATTCGAACAATGGGTTCTTGGTGGAGGCGGCCTTTGGAGCCTTAGTAGCTAATGGAGCTGGAGCAACCTTCTTTCCTTTTGGAGCCATTTTGGTATAAGGTATTGTCTAGAGTAAAAGATTTGTACGAAAAACTTTTGTAAGGCTCACTATGGTGGACGGGTGCGACGTGAAAAAATATGTCGCGATGAGGCGACATTTTCGCCAAATGTCTCTACGAATGGTCGCGTGATTGGTGTGACTGCTTTTTTGCCGGTACTCGCGGCTATTCCATTTTGGGGGTTAGGTAGTTGTACAGCTACAGCCCCTTAAGAGTATCTACGATTGTGCTAGACTACAATAAGAATTGGGTTTTTAGGTTAAGTGGTAAACTTTGGCTAGAAGTCAAATTATAGCCAGCAGGGTGAAGTGTAAAAATACTAGCTAGAAGGATGTGTTAGACAGGTGTGTCATATAGTTACAAGAAGTAAATTATTAGCCATACGTGTGTATTACCACATTTCCCACTAGTGAATATTGCGACAAGTAAACTCTTACGAGAGGTATAATTAAACTGTAGCATTATTGCCACAAGTATTATGACCAGAAGTAAAACTACCAGAATTATGTAACCCAGAATTGTATGTATTAGCCAGAAGTGAAAGTAAAGTGTAGTATAAGTGTGCAGTGAGGGCTGGCCTCAGAATTGAATCTATGAACGATAGGACGTGGGAATATGCTGGTTCAGCGTCCACCGAGGATTGCACCATCCTTTGACGGTGAACTGGGTCTTGGTGACCCCCGAGCTGGGAGCCAAGCCATTGAGCATAACGGGGCCGTTTCTCTTGGTGCCCGCAGGAGTGAAGGTTGAGGTATTATTACCACTTCTGGAGCACCACGGCATGTAGTTTTTGCCCGAGGGGCGGATGACCGAGGAGACGTTGTGGGAGGAGTCGTCTCCGATGTAAATATACGTGGAGTAATCGATGCAATGCTGGGGGCTGTCGTCAGCGCGGGGTGGGAGAATGATGCTGTTCCACAACTTGTCGCGCGACATCGACGACACGCGGTAGATGTTGTGATGATAGTGGAAGTTTTTGAGCAGGGGATTGGATTCCACCATGGACGCGAGCTCGGTGTGGTCCTGGTTGGAGGCGTCGTAAGAAGTGTTGGGTAGGGTTCGCGTCACCGTTCTTGCGTGGAAATCGGCGGCGTACAACCGGAGAAACGCCGAGTTGATGCGCTGGTCCCTACTCTTGAAGCTTTTGCGGGTATAGAGGAGGTCCTGGGGCACGCATGGCTTAGCCTTGAAGGTGATGAGTTCCTGGGCCTCCGAATCGGGTGTAGGGCTAGGGGGGATGAGGTCGTCGGTCATGCGAGGCGACAAGGAGTAGGGAAGCCAGTTGGTGGAAAACGAGTGTTTCCATGTCTTGAAGCTGGACGAAAGGTTGGAAACAAACGTCTTCTTCAGGCGCTCCCGAAGGAGGTGGGCAAGGGCGTCTGACGACGGCGACGTCAGCACGGGAGGACTGGTGGGGTGGAATTCGTGGGCGGTGACGGGTGTGATGTGGATCGAGGTATGGGGAGGCGAGATGCAGAGGACGTGCGGCGGGCTGATGGTGCTGACGGAGGTGTTGGCGGTGGAGACGCTGGAAACACTGCCAGGCGCACGGAAGTCGTAGGAAGACGCTGACTTGGCCACGGAGGACGACGACACCGACGAGCACGAGCTGAACAGCTCGTCGCTGTCGTCGTCGGAGTAGAACGGGTCGGGGTGGCTGGTGATGCCGTCGTGGACTTCGCATTCGTAGAGTCCTGCTGGCACGTACTCGTCGCTGAGTGGATGGGGGTAGTACTGCTGGAGCCGCTGCAATGACTGCTGGGAAATGGAGGTGTACAGGGTTCGTTTGGCACGACGGGGGTGCTTGGGGGACCTGCTGGAGGGCGGCAGTGCCGGGAGCACCGGCACAGCGCTGGGAATGGCTATGGGTTCCAATGGGTGATTGTGGACTGCCATTTGGTGGATGTTGGTCAGAGGTGACTGGCGGCTCTCTATATAGGGCTAGCGCAAAACCCACCGAAAAAGCAAAAAGCAATGGGAGAGATAAGAGATCACAATAAATGCGGTGGAGGTCACCAGATGAGTGCGCGGAGTGCGATAAGCGGAAGGGATGGTGGGGGAGGGTGGTAGGAGCAAGTGGCGGGAGGCACAAGCTAGCTGGGACAGCATGAGGGGTGTTTTGGTACGTAGCTGGTGGTGGTGGCGTTTTGGGTCTTGCTGTGCTGACACTTGGAGCTCGCCGGTTGTTTGTCGGTGGTGGCGGCTCGTTCCCCGAGCCTGGGGCCTCGCGGCGCCCCCGGCTGCTTGATGCCGCCCCGGTGCAAGCGCGATGTCTTACCGCAGTGCCGTTCTCCCGATCGAGCCAAGATTTCCGAGCCATGGCAGCAACCGCTATAGCCCTGGTGGTTGTGGGGAGGTTTCGATTACCCCGTGTGGGGCGTGGCCTAGACGGCACTTGCTGGTGGCAGCAGCCATGACAGCCACGGCTAGCGCCATCTTTGTTCGTCTCCCACAGTTGCTCCATTGCCCTCCGCCATTGCTCGGCCATAGTGGTGTCACTTGCGGGTGTCACTTGCGGGTGCTACTTGCGCAGCAGCCAGTGCTCCAGTTGCCTTCTTGGGCCAATGTTGGGCCCGGGGACGTCAACATCTGGCTTCTGTCAACGGCCATGGAATGGGATCTGGCCGTTGTGCGAAACAATGTTGGGCCCTATGCAGTCAGAGGACTATTGTGGACGCCAAATTGGGATTATTCCACGCAGTTGGTGGAACTTGTAGTGGTTGAAGTGCCTAATTCAATTCATTTGGGTACTTGAATATCAGTTGGTGGTGTTGCCTTGGGATTGCGCACGCATAGATTGTCATGTCGTATAATAGTCAGAAGAAGATGTAGAATTACTCATGCAGTACCATCTTTATGGATTGCCAACCTATATACTATTAGCTGGAGGAGGTGTTAGTGTGATTAGTTCGTACAGCACCCGTCTCGAGTATGGAATTAGTCGTACCGATAGTTATACCATTTTTTGCTATGGATTTCACTCTATTACTTACACCTCTACACCAGATTGTGGAGAGTTCACTGGGGCCACTCCACGGCTCAAAAACCGTAAACTAAATCAGTTTGCCATAACGTTATTACAGATGTATAATGGCTTACTTCCACTTCTTCTACCATTAGATCCAGGCACCTCAGCTCCCGATTTATTCTCTGACACCCTATATCCAGTCACTTATATAACTGCGTAGGACATTAGAAGGTTGGAGGTTATACATTAGTAGGATCAAGCTGGGTTGCATACAGACGCTCTAGCAAGACTTAGCCCGGTGTAAAACGGCATTACACGGTTTGAAGAGCAGTCTATGTACGTGGCCTTGCAAGCAATACAGCAGTTTACATCAGCATTTTGCAGTCGAATCTCAACCGAATGAGGTCCCACCGAAGCCAAGACACTCTAACAAATAGTTATCTGCATGCCTTAATTTCTTTCCAGTCATTAAGGTGTTTCATGCATTGTTGGACTGTTATGAGTAGAGAAGAGAAACTAATATTAACCCTGTTATTACCAATAATATAGGATATTCTGTATATGGAAAGCGTCTTAACTGCATTATCCACTTCTCCATTGACGTGCCTATAAAGTAGTCGTATGCCAATGCTTACGCAAAGATCATGATCTGATATTAAGTATACGCTAGTTATTCTAGAATAAGATTAATATAATAAGTAGATAACCATATGAACCATATTAAGCACTAACAACTTTATATACCATGGCTTGAGTGATTTCCAACATCGTGAATGTGTTTCATTTTCTTGGGCCACTGTGAGTACAGGGATAACACTATCATCTAGTTAGATTACTTCTAATAGGTTGCCATGCCTTGTTTCCAGAGTGTAAAGGGGTTTCATGTTAGGTGTTTTGTAACTGTCTATAGTTACATGGACATGATGTCTAGGTTGCTTGGACTTCTCATATACTCAGTAAGTGGTGATGCCTCTGCCTTTTGGTTGGCCTTTTGGTTGGGCATTTGGCTATGCCTCTGGTTTCTTTGCGGTGATTCCCACTCAGCTGGTGCCTAGTCTATTTACCGGCTCTGCCAACTCGTAGTCAAACTCGTCTAGCTCGAGCTCGTCCTCTGGCCGGGCGCTGCGGTAGTAGTCCTCGTTAGAGTGCACCGGTGCATAGGTCCCGGTGCTGTGGGCCATCAGCTTAATGCGCTTCCAGGGCGATTTGATGGCGTAGAACTCTTTGAACACCCCATCGATATTCTCCAACTCGAGACCCTTGGTCTCAGGATAGAACATCAACACCACAAACACCGATACCAAGCACGAGCCTGCCGGGAACAAGTACATCTTCCAGCCGATTCTTTCCTGAAGAATGGGGGTCAACTGGCCCACTATGTAGTTGGCCAACCAGTTGGTGGCTGTCGACAATGACACCCCTTTGGACCGTACCGCAAGCGGATACACCTCTGGAGGGATCAAGAAGCCGATAGGGCCCCAGCTGTACCCGAAAGACGCGTTGTAGATGATCACCAAGAGGGCCACCATCAGAGGAGTGAACCCACGGTTGAGATACATCACCACTGCGATCAACGAGAGGCACGTCCACATCAGCAACGCCCCGGACACCAAGATGGGCTTGCGGCCCCAGCGGTCCACCAAGAACCACGGGGGGATGGTGCTGGCCAAGTACACGAGCGCGTTGATTCCCGTCATGAGCAAGGCGTTGGAATCATTGAACCCTGCCTGCTCAAACACCATGGGCGCGTAGTACGAGATGATGTTGATGCCGTTCAACTGGGCCAACCCGAGGGCTGAGCACGCTATCAACACCCGCGAGGTGTACTTAGTCAACATGAGTCTCCAGCTGCGCTCGCGCTTGGGGGTTGCCACCCGCTCGCTCAAAATGGAGTTTTTGATCATGAAGAACTCGCTGCGGGCCTTGTTGGGATCACGGTCGGAGTCGTAGAGCAACAGCAATACATGGAGGCCCTTCTGGTCTTCATCGACGTCAAGGAGCCACCGCGGTGACTCCACGATGAAAAAGCCCCCTACCAACAACACGAGCGCGATCACCACCTGGATGAACAACGGCAACCTCCACGACAACTGGGCGGCAAAGCCATGGGGCTTGGTTCTGGCGTCGCCGATGTTCTGGATGAAGTAGCAGAAGTAGTCCACCCACACACTGAGAGCATAACCGGTGATGTTGCCGCTGAACTCCACGCAAACCAATTTGCCTCTTTCCTCGCTGGGGGAAATCTCACACTGGTACGAGGGCACCATGGTGGAGAGGATGCCCACGCCAAAACCAGAGAGGACCCGCCCCACGCCAAAGATCCAGAGATTGCCAGCAAACGATTGCAAGGTCCCCCCGATAATGAAGATCAACGTGCCTAGCAAAATGGTGCGTTTGCGGCCAAACTTGTCCAGAAGCTGGGCCACGAGCAACGAGCTGACCATGGCACCGATCTCCAAGATGGAGATCACCAACCCGATCTGGGTGGCGGTGGGATGCTTGAAGTACGAGTTGAAAGTGACGAACGTGAGGATACCTGAGCACACGCCCTGTTCGTAGCCAAAGAGCGACACGAACAACGACACGAACACCGAGGTGAAGTACACCAACCGCGTGCCCTTGAACGAAAGACCAGCAGTATAGCGCTTGGAGTCAAAGTCCACATGGTCGTAGCGGTTGCCAAAGGCATCGGTGAAGTGTTGCAGGCTCGCGTCGTCATAGGAGTCGTCTGCGCGGTACTTAATGGGGTCGTCCTCACTCACCCGTTCGTGAAGGCTGATGGACGGTTTGGGGTTGCTGGAGAGCGAGCCGCTGGACGACGATGACTCGCCATGCAACTCGTCGTTCTGCAACAAGCTCTGGTCGATGGCGTCGACAGCGTCGTCCGTGAAGTGGCGGTTGGTGATGGGCTGTGCAACTGTTTGGGGCCGGTGGGTAGGAGCTGACGAGGGGGGGCCAGCACCCCCCTGTTTTGGGGCCAGGATGCCAGATAGGGTGGCGGCATCCATGGTGGGGGTGTGAAAGTTGTTGTATAGGGAGTTGGGTCGGAAATAGGAGGCCCAGAATGTAGTGTATTATTGGCAAGGAATTGTGTCTGGTACCTGAGTCGATTGCTGGGTGTGCATCATGCAGGTTTCCTGCTAGGTACTATGAGATCATGTGGGGCCAAACACGAACCGCGATAACCGTTCGGCGCGGATTTTCGACGGAATGCACAGTAGCTGGACCTGCCAGTTTTGGTGGTGGCCCGTGTATGATGTGTAGAAATTCATTCGACGTCTGATCACAGCTCATTAGCAGCCGTGGATCGTTCGCTGGCTGCAAATGTTTCCTGTCGCACGGTGGACATTCAGTCAAGACTCGCATTTGCATTGGAAAATATCTCAGACTACTATCAAGATAGGACATCCCTTTTTGGGAACTGCCCCATACTACACAACTTCGATTGTTCTGTATATTCCAAAGTGATCAAGTCTAAACTAAGGTGGCCTATAGGCTCACTTTCTCTTCAAGTAACTGTCGATGTAGAAGGCCCCAAACAACATGGTCAATGGTGTTAAGTAAGCCACATTGATCAAGATGGACAACGCCTGGTCAGGGTTGCTGATGCAACTGATAAGCTCCAGCTCGCCGCTGGTGCTGGTGTCGATGATCCACACAAACGCGTGCAAGATGGCAATCGAGCCCCCAATGACAAACTGGGTGATCTGTAAGGTGGTCAAAAGTCTCTTGAAAATGTTGGGCACGCGAATGTGTAAGCAGCTCAAAGAGAAGTAGAAGTACATCAAGGAGTGGATGAACGAGTTGAACACAACGAAGATCCAGATAGGAGGGGACTGGAACCGGATACCGGCCCACATGCACATCATGGCACCCGCGTGGTGGTAGCTCTGCAACAACGACGACTCGCGGCCCTTCAACAAGATGATGATGGTGTCGATGACCTCGTAGAACTTGGAAATGTAGAACCAGAAGCCAAACACCTCCAAGTTGTGAATACCGGTGTCATTGAGCAACCGCGAGAACACGCCCTGCTTGGAGTCGCAGATCAGCTGGAAGAACACCTCCACCTTTCTGTAGGTGAACTCCTGGTCCTGGAAGAACGAGGGCAAGATGCTGCCCTTGAAGAACTCCATGTTGGAGACGATGGAAGAGGTCATGCCCAAGAAGGTCCACGCCGAGTAGGCACAGAGGAAGATGTTGTGCACCAACACAAACACCCTGAACCAGGCGGTCTGCGAGATGGAGTATGGGGCAGCAGGCAACTTTTTAGGGTTGGCGGCCTTGGAGTCACCCTTGGCGCCTGCCTTGGCGTAGTACTTGTTCAACTGGCGCTTTCTGACGATGGGGTTGATGAAATGCACCGATGTGAAGTACACGATGGCGATGGTCATGGGGGTGGTCACCTTCATGGATGCCTCGTAGAGCTGGGTCAACAATTGGCACAGGAACGGGCTGGGGGCCACGGGTGTGTTCAAGTTGGGAAACTTCCACACCTCGGGACTTGGTAAGCCAAAGTGAATCAAAGCCATGCTATAGAATTGAGTTCTGGTTAATACTCCGGAGCCATCAGGCTCCGGATTATTCGGTTTATATATACAGGCGGTGCGCCAAATGGAGGAAGGGGATGCAAGTGTCGATGCGATGCACCTTGCCTAATCCAGAGGCGACGACTTAGCTGCAACGTTCTTGGCACGACGCCACCGCTTAGAGATCGGCCGTTTCAAGAGCGGATCAGCTGGCAGGCAGGAGGCATGCTGCCTCGACTGCTGGTGGCAGGCATCTGCGATGTTGGCCGCGAAAAATGTTGGCCGCGACACCAAACTGGAGAAACCTCGGCACGAGATATATCCCTAACGGTTAATGTTGGGCCAGGCGGTGCCAGGCGGGTGTGCGTGGGGAACTTTTGGGACCGGATGGATGGATATCAGCTCTGGTGGTGGTGGTGGTAGCCTGGTGGTAGCCTGGTGGTGATGGGGCCATCCCAACCCCAGATCAGCCGTCTAATAAGCCTCAGTGCCCCATATTGGGGCCATTACGGATATCGAGACCAGAAAATTTACGGTGCCGTACCGCCGTTAAGATGCACGTCTCGGCGAAGGTGGTATTCCCGGGCCAAAACCCCTTTTAGCTCCGCACTAGCATGGATTTCTCCCAGCTTCCATCTCGCGTGCATTGGAACATCTAGACAATACCTCTTTAGACCTCATCAAGACCTCATCACCAAAGGTAGATTTCAGTACTGGCTGTACGTGCACAGCACCACGGGTTGGAGGCGGGCCGTGTTAGGGCACCCTAGTGGGTGGATGCCCATATGCCTGGTTCCGCTCTGCTTGAGTCCAACATCTACTAGGTTAGCTTCCCAAAGTTTAACTCCTGTAATCTCCGTGGTAACTCGATGACATTTACGCTTACCTAATCGGGATCTCCTATACGCCTCTTCAATTGTAATCAGTGTGGGCTTAGTGACGTGAGCTCCCTACAGGAATCCCCATGTATAGCATTGTATTGCTCACCATGGAGTCCCAAGAATGAGAATGGTAGAAGCCATCGAGCGTACTCGTAGAATGTCACGAATCCATGGTGGCTAGCATTTTCGCTGGCGCATCCCCCAATACTCGTGTATGCTTATTGAATCATCCGCTAAATGATACGCTCATCGAATCATGCATGAAAATGACTATTATGCACCCTTGAATCATCCGCTACATGACTCAAACACCATTGAATCATCGATATGAATACCACCAGCATGTAGTGATATTAACAAGGTTTGCCCTTCATTACTTCCCGAAACATCCGTTCTACACTCAGTTACTTAATCGTTGATAACTATACAATCGAATCAGACCTTTTCGGCCAATTCTTCTAACAATTTGTAGTTTCTTTGTTCGATGGAACCGTTTCCAGGTAATCTGGATGAGCCCATCAAGTAGTTGTCCACTTCTCTGGCACACTGTCTACCTTCCTGGATACCCCACACAACTAATGACTGTCCTCTTCTACAGTCACCAGCGGCGAACAAGTTGTCGTCTTGACCAACCTTGTAGGCATTAGGATCGACAGTGGTGATGGTGCCTCTCTTGGTCTTGGAAACCTCCAAGTTGTCGGCGTCTGGACCAACGAAACCCATGGACAACAACACAACATCAGCAGGGAAGAACTCTTCACTGCCTGGGACTTCGGCCATTTGCCATGCCCCTGAGTCCGAGCGCTTCCACTCGACTCTCACGGTCTTGATACCCTTAACGTTACCTTCACCGTCATCCACGAATTCCTTGGACAAAATGGAGTATTCTCTTGGGTCCTTACCGTAGTGAGCAGCAACCTCAGTGTGACCGTAGTCCACACGGAACACTCTTGGCCATTGTGGCCATGGGTTGTCCTTTGGTCTGGCGGTAGGTGGGTTTGGCAACAATTCAAAGTTGGTGACGGACTTAGCACCGTGTCTGGTAGATGTACCCAAACAATCGTTACCGGTATCACCACCACCAATGACAACAACATTCTTACCTTCAAGGGTCTTTCTGATCTCCTCCAACTCGTTGTCCAACAAAGCCTTGGTGTTGGAGTGCAACAATTGCATGGCAAAGTTGATGTTGTTCAACTCTCTACCTGGGATTCTCAAATCTCTTGGAATGGTGGATCCCACAGCAAAAACAACAGCGTCAAAAGTACTCTTCAATTCTTCGACGGTGATGTCTTCACCAATGGTGGTAGAGCACACGAATTCGATGCCTTCGGCTGCCAACAAGTCGGTTCTTCTCTTGACAATACCCTTGTCCAATTTCATGTTTGGAATACCGTACATCAACAAACCACCTGGTCTGTCACTTCTTTCGTAGACAGTGACCTTGTGGCCAGCCTTGTTCAATTGGTCAGCAGCGGCCAAACCGGCTGGACCAGAACCAATGATGGCAACAGTCTTTCCGGTTCTGTGGGTTGGTGGAACTGGCTTGATCCAACCTTGCTCGAAACCGTGGTCAATGATGGCACATTCAACAGACTTGATGTTGACTGGATCGCTGTTAATACCCAAGACACAAGCACCATTACATGGAGCTGGACAAATTCTACCAGTGAATTCAGGGAAGTTGTTGGTCATCAACAATCTCTGCAAAGCATCGTACCATCTGTCTTGGAAAACCAACTCATTCCACTTAGGAATGACGTTGGAAATAGGACAACCGGTATCGGAAGTACAGAATGGAACACCACAGTCCATACATCTGGCAGTTTCGTGCTTCAATTCGTCCTTGGTTAATCTGGAAGTCATTTCATTCCAATCCTTGGTTCTTTCTTGGGCTGGTCTGTACTTTTCGTTACGACGCTTGTACTTCATGAAACCCTTGACCTTGTCTAACTTGACGACAGCCTTCTTTTCCAATTCAGTATCAAGAATAGTGTCTTCGACATCCAAAACCTTTGGTTCCTTGTGTCCGTCCTTAGCAGAAACGGCAGCACGATGAACGTGACCCTTCTTGATCTTGGCAGCTTCACCGTTGGTAACATCAGCCTCTGGGTCTTCCTTGAAGGATTTCAAGAAAGTGTTCAACTCATTCTTCTTGACTTCTTCGGCCTTCTTCTTTTCGGCTTCCAAAACCTTCTTGTAGTCGAATGGCAAAACCTTGACGAAACGTGGCAAGATTCTGTTGAAATCGTTCAAGATACGGTCAGCAACTTCAGAGTTGGTGTAATGACGGTGGTCTTCGATCAAACCTCTCAAGAAAGCAATTTCAGTTGGCTCAGTAACTTGAGATAATTCAACAGTTTGAGCGTTAACCTTGTCACCGAAGTCTTGAGCCATGTCCAAGACATAAGCAATACCACCACACATACCAGCAGCGAAGTTTCTACCAGTAGAACCCAAAACAACAACTCTACCACCAGACATGTACTCACAACCGTGATCACCAGTACCTTCAGTAACAATAGTGGCACCAGAGTTTCTGACGGCGAATCTTTCAGCTGCAATACCTCTGATGAAAGCAGTACCAGAAGTAGCACCGAAGAAAGCAGTGTTACCGGCGATGATTTGGTCTTCGGCATTGAACTTGGATTCCTTTGGTGGGTAGACAATGATTCTACCACCAGACAAACCCTTACCAATGTAATCGTTGGCATCACCTTCCAATTCCAAAGTAATACCAGTGGCTAAGAAGGCACCGAAAGATTGACCGGCAGAACCCTTCACGTTGACGTGAATGGTGTCATGTGGCAAACCCTTCTCACCGAAGGTCTTGGAAACTCTGTAGGACAAAGTGGTACCCAAGGTACGGTCAGTGTTGACAACGTCACAGTCAATGGTAACTGGCAAACCCTTGGCCAAAGTAAGTTCAGATTCGTCGATCAACTTGTTGTCAATTCTGACGTGCAATCTGTGGTCTTGCTTTCTGACACAGTGGGTAGCAACACCAGGTCTAATGGTATGAGCTGGGGTCAAAATTGGAGACAAGTCGATGTTGGCATTCTTGGTGTTTCTCAAGTCTTCTCTGACCTTCAACTTTTCGGTTCTTCCAACCATCTCGTTGATGGTTCTGAAACCTAATTGAGCCATGATGTTTCTCAACTCGTTGGCCAAGTAGTAGAAGAAGTTGATGACGTGCTCTGGAGTACCTTCGAACTTTCTTCTCAACTCTGGGTCCTGGGTAGCAATACCAACTGGACAGGTGTTCAAGTGACACTTTCTCATCATGATACAACCCATGGCAATCAATGGAGTAGTGGCGAAACCCCATTCTTCGGCACCCAACAAACAGGCAATGGCAATGTCACGACCGGTTCTAATTTGACCATCGGTTTGCAAAACAACTCTTCCTCTCAAGTCGTTAAGAACCAAGGTTTGGTGAGACTCAGCCAAACCCAATTCCCATGGCAAACCAGCGTATTTAATGGAAGTCAACTTGGCAGCACCGGTACCACCATCACCACCAGAAACCAAGATGTTCTCGGAACCTGCCTTGGCAACACCGGCAGCGACGATACCCACACCAACTTCAGAGACCAACTTAACGGAAGTTCTGGCTCTTGGGTTGGCACACTTCAAATCGTACAATAATTGCTTCAAATCTTCAATGGAGTAAATATCGTGATGAGGAGGTGGGGAAATCAAACCGACACCTGGAGTCGAGTGTCTGGTCTTACCAATTTGTTCGGAGACCTTGTGACCTGGCAATTCACCACCTTCACCTGGCTTGGCACCTTGAGCCATCTTAATTTGCAACTCATCGGCATCGGCCAAGTAGTAAGAAGTAACACCGAATCTACCAGAAGCAATTTGCTTGATGGCAGATCTCATGGTGTCACCGTTCTCGTTGACGGTAGATCTGGCGGAGTCTTCACCACCTTCACCGGTGTTGGACTTACCTCCCAATCTGTTCATGGCCACGGCCAAGGTGGAGTGGGCTTCCATGGAAATGGAACCGTAAGACATGGCACCAGTGAAGAAACGACGGACAATTTCGGTCCATGGTTCGACTTGGTCGATAGGAACGGAATTCGAGTTGTCGTAGTCAAAGTCCAACAATCCTCTCAAGGTACAGTGTTTGATGGCTTCATATTCCTTCTTGGAGTAAGCTTCGTAGGCTTTCTCGTTCTTGTTTCTAACCGCATCTTGCATGGAGGCGATAGCAGCAGGCTCGTTAATGTGAGCATCACCACCGTCTCTCCAGTGGTATTCACCGGTTTCTGGAAGGGCAACAGGCTTGATGGTTCCTCTGTTAGGGTAACCAGCTTCGTGCATGGAGAATGCATCTTGAGCAATGTACTCAAAAGTAATACCCTTGATTCTGGAGGCAGTACCGGCGAAACATCTGTCAATGACAGAGTTGTCCACACCAAGAGCTTCGAAAATCTGAGCACCCTTGTAAGAAGCCAAGGTAGAAATACCCATCTTGGACATAACCTTCAAGATACCAGCATCGATAGAAAGCTTGTAGTTGGCGATGATCTTGTCCTTGGACAAGGACTCGTCCTTCAACAAGCCTTCAGCCTTCATTCTAACCAAAGTTTCAATGGCCAAGTATGGGTTGATACCATCGGCACCGTAACCAACCAAACAACAAGCATGGTGGACTTCTCTGGCTTCAGCAGTTTCGATGATCAAAGCCACCTTGGAACGCTGCTTCTGTCTAACCAAGTGATGGTGCACAGCACCAACAGCGATCAATGCGGAGATTGGTAATCTGGTTGCAGAAGTAGACAAATCACTCAAGATGATAACTTGGTTGTCGTCAGCAATAGCCTTGGAAGCAGCCTGACAGATCCTGTCAATGGTGTTGATGTAACCTTGGATACCTTCAGCCTTATCAAAAGTGATATCGATGTTAGCAACAGACCATTTTGGATAAACCTTTTCAATGTTCTTGATAGCTAACAACTCGCTAGTGGACAACACAGGCGACTTCAACAACAATCTGTTACATTGGTCTGGCTTGATTTCCAACAAGTTACCTTGTGGACCAACGTAACATTCCAAAGACATGACGATTTCTTCTCTAATTGGATCAATTGGAGGGTTGGTGACTTGAGCGAACAATTGACGGAAGTAGTCGTAAAGCAACTTTGGTTGTTCGGAGATACAGGCAAGAGCATTGTCATTACCCATAGAACCCAAAGCTTCCTTACCTTCGGCCATTGGAGCAAGAACAAGGGAAACTTGTTCGTGGGAGTAACCGAACGCAACCAATCTTGGGTCGGTCTGAACGGTGATATCTTTGGAGATGGCCGAATCGTTCAAGTCGACATCTCTGGAGGTCAACTTTTCAACCAAATCGTTCATGGTAATCATGTTAGCCATGACCCAGGACTTGAAGTCGAATCTGGAGGCAACCGATTGTTTCAACTCACGGTCATCAACAATTCTACCTTCCTTGGTGTCGACCAACAACATTCTACCGGGTTGCAATCTTCCCTTTTGAATGACCTTTTCAGGCTCGATTTCAATCACACCGACTTCGGAGGCACAGATCATTCTATCGTCATCGGTGACGTAGTAACGACAAGGTCTTAAACCGTTACGGTCCAAGTTAGCACCACAGTATCTGTCATCGGCGAAAGTGAAAAGAGCAGGACCATCCCATGGCTCCATCAAACAGGCAGCCCATTCGTAGAAGGCCTTCTTCTTTGGGTCGATGTTAGCATCGTTTTGCCAAGCTTCAGGAATCAACATCATCACGGCTTCTGGAAGAGAAAGAACACCGTTGATAACTAACAATTCCAACACGTTATCGAAAGCAGCGGAATCGGAACCACCCTCTTCGATGATTGGGTAGAGCTTGTCCAAGTCGTCACCAAACAATTTGGAAGCCATCACACCTTCCTTGGCTCTCATCCAGTTCTTGTTACCTCTCAAGGTGTTGATTTCACCGTTGTGAGCGGCCCATCTCAAAGGCTGAGCTCTGTCCCAGGATGGGAAGGTGTTAGTGGAGAAACGGGAATGAACTAATGCAAAATGTGCCTGGTAGTCAGCGTTGACCAAATCGTGGTAGTATGCGTAGACTTGGTTGGGAGCCAATTGACCCTTGTAAACTATGGTTTTGTTGGAAAGAGAACAGATGTAGAACCAGTTGTGCAATCCAATGGTATGAGATGACTGTTTTCTAAGAATGAACAACTTCTTTTCGAAGTCCTTTTGGTATTTTTGGGCAAATTCGTCGTCGGAGAGCTGGGTAGACTCCAACTCGGCCAAGACAATGGCAGGCTGTAAGATGAGAGGTTCTCTGGAGAGAGAGGCAGGGCCCAAGATGGAAGAGTCATGTGGGACCTTTCTCCAGCCAAGCACTTTCAAACCGAGGGAAGAGGCTATGGATTCGAAAGTGGCCTTGGATTTCTCAAACACGGTGTCGTCCTTCTTGAAGAAGATGTTACCGGTACCGTACTGGCCCAAGGTGGGCAAGTCGACGTTGCAGTGGAACTTGAACTCGCGGCTCAAGAAGGTATGAGGAATGGATGACAATAATCCAGCACCATCACCATCCTTTGGGTTTAACTCACCACCTCTGTGGGTCATGTTGCACAAGAGGTTGCGGGCGTCCGACACGATTTTGTGGGAGGCTTCACCCTTCAAGTGACAGGTGAAACCGACACCACAGGCGTCCTTCTCAAGCTCTGGGTTGTACAACCCTTGAGCTACAGGCAATGCTGACGCCCAAGACTTGTTCTCTGGTGTCTCTTCATAATCGTATATATTGGTCGTGAATTCTTCTTGGGGAAGGTACGAAGTCATAGTAGACTGAATGTTAGTACAGATCACCACAATTAACCCGAGTGACGTTCAAAAACGGGCAGACGGTGCTATCTTAATATTCTGGGTCCTTGTGAAAAAACCGTGGGCGATACCGGACCCAGGGCCAATCACATGCCGCCATTTATTAATGGTGATCACCGCCGCATTACTAGATAGCGACACCGAGCTAGTGCGCGGTGGGAAAGTGCCGTTAATAGGCCCCCGGTGCGGAGATTTACCATGGTTCTCTCTCCTTAGCGCCGATCCCACCTGCCGCCGCTGTGCTCCCCGGAACATCCCCGTCGTAGCACTACCCGCAAAATGCCCCCCGGTCCCGGAGTTTGACTTATCGGAACTGGAGTCACCTGCCCTATACGTACTATTGAACCACCAGCACTGGACACTAGACAGAGCGGGGAGACGGCCGGGCGAGACAGTCGAGCTATATATCCTCCTGGCTGCCTTGGTGGCTCGTTTATTGGTGCCACCACGACATTCGAACCAGCCCTATGGTGAGGTGACATGTGTCTATCAGCCAATCACAGTCCGCACTTACTAAAACTGATAAGGATGTGATTTCCCCACCGTGATGACTCAGGGCCAAAATCCGGCCCGTATCTTGGGAGCGGCGGTCGTGGGCGGGCTAGCGTCCGCCCGGGCTTCTCCGAATTTGGAGTTTTTTTTCGCGGCGCACGGGGACCCGGATCACGCCCTGTATCATGTGGTACATCACGTTCTCGAACGTGATTAGTCACGCGGGTATCACCCATCTACTCTCACACCTTTTTCTACTCATCGCTAACTGTCTACTCCAACATGCTTAAACAGGTCGCTTTTCCCCCAGAGGTGTTGGCTAGAATAGCCCCCGACATCTCGCTCCAGAGGCATTTGTCCATTGGATTGAGACCAAACCTCCGTAACTTCACCGAATTCAAACCCCTCGAGATTGCCGATGGTACTGCCTTCAAGAACTCCAATCCAAACGTCGTCGGCTCCTCCGTCATCAAAAGCGGCTCTACAACAGTGATGAATGTCATCACCTTGGGCATAGTCGACAACTCGGTCCAAGTCGACGCCCAGGGCCCCTATAGCTCGGTGTACCCAGTCATTGAAATTCTCAGAGGAAGATCAGGAGAACCAACGGATGAAGACATGATTCTTGCACAGTCCATACATGAAACCATATTACACAGCAAGATCATACCCTCGGGCTCGCTTGAGATCAAAAACGTGGGTATCCAGGTCACCGAAGACGAAAAGTCCAGAATCATCTATCCTGATTTACATCCCGAGGAATATTCCCTTGTACGCAACCCATCGGCTGTGACCCATGCTGGCTCCAAGTCCTACTCTTTTGTTCTTCTTTCCAATATCAAGATCTTTTCAAAGTCGGTGAGTACCTCCTCCTTGTTTGACTTATGTCACCTTTCCACCATAAATGCATTGTCGTCCATTTCCTTGCCACGAGTCTACATTGGAGAATCGGATGCTCACACCGCGTCTGCCTCTATTGCCAGATCTAGAAGATCCAATAAGAGAAGCTTGATATCCACCCAGTCCGACTCTAACCTCACTATTGATACCAGCACTGAGTTACAGAGTCCCCTCAAACTCGAGCTGACAGACGCGATGGACGTTGATTCCAAGGGACAGTTCGACCACTCAGGCATCTCTTCGAACTTCGGTCTAGTTACCATTCCAGGGGATGATGAGAACCAAGCCAAAACAGTGTTATTGGCTGATTTGGAAGGTGAAGCAGAAGAGACCTCCATTTTCTCCAGGATTTCGGTAATAGCCAACAAATCCGACAGGTTGAAGAGAATCAGTTTGATAAACGGCGATGGTGGTATCAGTCTCGAGGCACTCAAGAAATCCATCGAGATTGCCAAATTGAGAGCAAGAGAATTTGAAGCCTAATGAGATCGGCGTCTGCTACAGTGTGTACCGTCCATTGAATTTCCTTTTTCACTCACTATACATGGTCAAATAGAATATAGCAACTTTACCGTTGCAATGTACATTATGTCTTAATATTTGTAGAGAGCCGAGTCGGCCTGGCACTGGACGAGGTCGCATCACTGCATGCGATGTCGCATAATTTTCCTAATTTTCCCATTCGATTTTTACTGAGGAGATTCTTGCAAGGCTGGCCACTTGCTGGACCTATCAGACATTCACATAGGTTTACCAAACCAAGGGGTCAGATTTTTAGTATAGAGTACTATTTTCTTGTCTTATTTCTTTAGACAGAGTAAACAATTTTTCCAATTTTCGCAACTATTTTAGATATTCAGCAAGGAGTATATTCTGTTCAACAATTCTCACCAGTTCAACTAGAGTTATATCTTCCATCCCTTATACTTCCTTGCTGATTGATAATCTGGTGCCAAAACACGAATACTGGGGTATCCACTGACTATTACTTCATTTAAGCCCCCTTTGGCCTAGCTTAATTATACACTCTTTTCACCCATCCCGATCCACACCTGTGCGGCACGTGATGACTGCGATCAGTGTTGAAACGATTAGCCTTCACTGGCACTTGACATCAGAGAGAACGAGCCTCCAGTAGCACCACCTCAACGTGACGCCAACCTACTATCTACGTGATCGTATCGTACCGCAATACTGGAAAGGGGATTTAGGCACTCAATCAGCACTTGAAACCAGAAAAGTGCAACACCTTATCAACTCTCCTACAAGACCAGACTTAAAGGGCGATATTGTCAATAGCACATCGATTCGATTAGATTCCATTGACCTAGAAAACTCCTTTCATCATGTCTCAAGAGCCTTCCGGAGAGAGTTCAAAGTCCACAACTCCCCCCTCATCGCCATCTTCACCCATCGAACCAGAAGCGTCTGATTCTGAGGTGTTGAAAGAAGTAACCATCAAGAGACTTTTGATCCAAGAACTTCTACAAAATGGCAATACTGGAAAGGAAGGTGATTTGTGGTACTTGATATCCGCCGACTATCTTGACAGATTCTTGAATTTGGAGGTGACTTCCTTTGAAGATTTGAAAACCCAACTAGGGCCATTTGATTGCTCTTCAATCGTGGACGTTCATGGCAATTTATATCCCGAAAATGACGAGCCAATAGGAACTTACAATGTGTCGCCAGAAATTTTCGAAAGCCTCAGCTCTTGGTTGGGTGTCAAAGGAAATCCAGTGACAAGATGCTTGATTATCAACGATGCAACAGCCACCAAAGAAGTAGAGAGATATCCTCCCGTGTTTTACATTCATCAATTGGTAAAAAAACCAAATTCAGCATCTTCTTCATATGGTAGTGGTCGTTATTCTACGCCTCCGACTCCTATTTCTGTTTCTCGCACCCGTACTTTCCAAGATTTGTTCGATTTAATCAGAGTTAATGTTTTAAAGGCAGCTAAGAATCCGAGTATTGAATTTAGAGTCTGGTTTATCGACTCCAAGAATATTTTGGATTACCAACAGAACATCTCCCTTGTCAATTTTATCTATGATATACCTAATAAGCGTTTGGTTCTTCCAAATTTGTTGAATCAGACTTTGAAAAGTCAAGGAATCGAATCCTCTAACTTTCATCTATTGGTGGAAAGTAGCGAGAGGAAAAATACATCTACACCAAGATCATTTCCTGTGGATAGTTTTCTTTCACTCGTTGACCTAACTCAATATGATTTAGAAGACATACTTTCTAAGGGTGGAAATTTGGGCCTAAACAATTTAGGTAACACATGTTATATGAACTCAGCATTACAATGTTTGGTACACATTCCAGAAATCAACTATTACTTCTTCTACAATATGTACAAGAAGGAGCTTAATTTCGATAATCCGTTGGGAAATAAAGGAGATGTTGCCAATTCGTTCGGATCGCTCTTGAAATTGATCTTCGAGTCTCCTAGCAAGTCAGCACCTGTGCGTGACAGAAATTCATCTGCATCGTCTTCCATAGCTCCACGGGAGTTTAAATCTACCATCGGCAGGTATTCTTCAATGTTCTCAGGATACTTGCAACAAGATTCACAAGAGTTTTTAAGCTGGTTATTAGATGCTCTTCACGAAGACTTGAATCGGATACATAAAAAACCATATTGTGAGAAACCTGAGCTCAAGGATGAAGAAATGAATGATCCAAATGCATTGGTCAGATTGGCAGAAACATGCTGGAACCAACATAAGTTAAGAAATGATTCTGTGATTGTTGATTTATTCACAGGTATGTATGAAAGCACATTGATTTGCCCCATATGCTCAAAAACCAGTATTACATTTGATCCTTTTAATGATTTGACATTGCCTTTACCAGTTAGCAAAATGTGGTATCATACGTTCACAATAATAGACTTATCGGATGATGCGAGTGGAGCTTTGACGAAGAGTGCTTTTAACGGGCAAAAAATTATGAAGTTGGAGGTCGAACTCAATAAAAGATCAAACTTTGACGATTTGTTGAAATATTTCTCAAAGTTCTTAGGGGTTGACTCAACAAATTTCTTTCTTTACGAAGTCCATCAAAACACGTTTTATACCGATTTTCAATTGGATTACACGAAAAATAAGTTTATGCCAATTGGTGATATAATTAGGGATTCCGATGACATTTTGGTTTATTATATACCTCATGACCCAGTTAATGATATTATAATCCCAGTATTGAACTCAGTTGAAGATCCAGACAAGTCATACAAGATCACTGAGTTGTTTGGCATTCCTTTGTTCATCAAGGTTAACAAGGACAATGAAGTTTCAAGTTTTGGTACCATAAGAAGAAAATTGGAAGAAAAGCTAACAATATTGACAAAACATAATCTTAAGGCTGAGTATGACAAAGTAAAATCAGAAATACCAAGCTATGAGGAGAAGAAATTCTACTCACCTGATGATTTTCCTTCAATTGTTTCGATCGCCAACCCTTCGATTGGAAACAATGAAGACAAAGATAACGAGGATGAGGGTTACAATTCTGATGTCTCTTTGGCAAGTCCATTCGTTAGTGCAAATCTTGGCTTTACTATCAAATCCAAAACTTATGACCAAACAGGCAAACCGAACGATGGGTACAGAAGAAGGTTCAACTTTGGATATGGTAGAAATTCTAAGGTCGACAGAACAATTAATGTTCCACTTTATAAGCCTAATTTGGGTGAGTTTAAACCAATGGTTGACGAACTCCCCGAACTCAAGAGAAAGTATTACTATTACAGTGATTGTGAGAAGAACTTAGATCAAGAAATGGAGGATTTGGCAGTTGAGGTTAATAAGAATCTCGCTGAAGCTTCCGTGAATGGCGAAGTTAAAGAAGATGCAATAGAATCTGAGTCCAATACCAACGAATCAGATAAAACAACAGATGGATTCGTAATAGTTGATAGGTCAACGGGGAACTATGGTATCTCGGGGTCTTCCGAGGGTGATTGTGGACCAGCTGGTTCACAAATCAGTCTGTCTGACGAGGACACAGAGAGTGAGCCTCATCTCGGTTTGTTGTATGAAGATGAATCAAACCCAGGATTGTCCTTACCTCCACCACCACCACCTACGTATTCTGATTCAATTAAACCTTCAAATGCTAACTCACCAATCGATTCACCATCTAGTGAGAATTCAAACTTGCCATTGCCTGATAACCATCCTACATTGGTGACCAAAAATACGATTTTACTTTGTAATTGGGACTATGCTGTTTACCAACAATTTTTTGAGGATGAAGCAGCTCAAGGATGGTCTGAACCTCCGACTATTCCAAACCCCGAGTTGGAACAAAATAAAGCTAAATTTGAGAAGCAAAGAAACTCCAAAGTTAGTTTGTATGACTGCTTGAAAGCTTTCAGTACTCCTGAAGTCTTGGGCGAACAAGATTTGTGGTATTGTCCGAGATGCAAGGATCATCGACAGGCTACAAAGAGCATTCAACTTTGGTCTACTGGAGATATCTTGACTATTCACTTGAAAAGATTCCATAGTGCACGAGCTTTTAGTGATAAGATTGATATCGTGGTAGACTTTCCTATCGAAGGATTGGACATGGGACCTTATATTGCAAACCCAAACTCAGATAATGAGATATATGACTTAATCGCTGTGGACAATCATTACGGTGGATTGGGAGGTGGCCATTATACTGCATGTGCTAAGAATTTTAAGGATAATAAATGGTACTATTTCAATGACAGTCGTGTTACACCAATGGATGATGCCAAAGAAGCAATTACGGGTGCTGCATATTTGTTGTTCTACAGGAAAAGAAACACAAACGAGACAGAAACATTAGGAGGAAAGAACTTAAACAGTATTCTCAATACTGGTCGTGAATTATATAAAAAGTCATTGAGCAATAGGAAGAACTTACTCGAGCAAGTTTATTCTCAAGTCCAAGGTTACGAGAAATATGGTTCAGTCATCGATGAAGAAGCTGAGCCCTCTAGCAGTGAAAGCGAACTACACGACCAACAAGAACAGGAGGGTGTTCAGGCTGAAACCGTGGAAGCTTCGGGAGAAGATAAGGTTGAGAGTAAGAAATCTCGCCCGTTTGATAACATTGATGGAGAAGAACTGAAGGCCCAATTTAATTTTGATGCAAGTGACGATCTCGATTATGCCCAAGAGGACTTGGATAACATCCGTAAACAAAGACTAATTTCCAAGGAAAACAACAATAGCAAATTGATCCAGATCAAAGGCAATGGCAGACAAGAGGTTTCGTCTTCCCCTGCTCCCGTCGACACATCTAGTGTAACAGATGAACTAGAGGATAAAGAATGAAGCATTGCCAGAGCACAGTCAGACGAGCGAACGCTGTGAAACTCGGATGAATGAGTGGCCATTATCGTGGCCAGAATCCGCTTTATGTATACTACAATCTACATACCTACCTTCTATGGTAATCAATACGAAGAACTTGTAGCACGGCAACTGAATGTCCATTGGGCCAATTGTGACTCTTAGGTGCCTATCAGTGTGGGTATAGTTTATCTTTCGCAGATTTTCACGTGACCAATTAACCCCATAATAGCCAGCTACTTTTGGATCACCAATCTAAAGGAGATCACCTCTAGTTTGGAGGACCCAATTGAATTAAATCATTGCAATGGCCGACGGGTCACACGATACAGAAAATATCCTACAAGGAACACCAGCAACTGTTCCTGGACTGACCCAGTCAAATGAACTATTCGAGGCGAAAGACCTCAATCCTGATACCAAGTCCGGCGTGCCTTCCGATCATGATGACTCTTCTTTCACTAAAGAGTACACAGACGATTCTGAAATTACAGATAAGCACCTAATAGAAGTCTTATGTGACGAAATTCTCATAAATTACCTGATCAATGAAGAGCTCCTCTCAAACTGGCGAGTTGACCTTTCGGATGATTATACGAGCCTAAATGCAATCATAGAAGAGGATGTAGTATTGACTATCGGAGAAATACCAATTGCATACGATAAAGTTGAGGCTTTCATCGATAGGGTTTTGAAATTGAGTGAGGAGACCTATCAGGACTTCAAAGTGATTATATTGGAGTTGTTAATTCATATCATGGACATGTCTTACATTATTAAGATTGAGTTGTTCAATCAAAAGCTACACCACTTCTTGATAGACAAGCTATTAGAACTACTTACTGATAGTGAACCTGATATATCCCGCCTTAATAAGCCTTCAACTATCAACCAAATTTTCCGGATGGTGTTAATCTTCCTTGAATTGGGATGTGAAGTCTACCATTTCCGAAAATTAATAACTTTCCTATTCAATTCAGAAAGATCTTCAAGAAACTCAAAAAAGGTCCATTCCTCAGCATCCAAATTTATCATCCTTGAACTTCTTCACCGTCTGTTTACCAGGTACCCATCCCATTTCAGATTCGCTCTATTTAATAAAATCACCAGCTTCCCGTTTGTCAATGAGAATTTAAAGAAGAAGTTCACAATTCAAACATGGTTCAAGATCAACAACTTAAGCCCTAGCAATGATGAACCAGTTTCCTTGTTTATTTTGACTAATTCCAACGCTTCCGATCTTGACCAAACTACCTTCAAAATCCAATTAATCAATTCTCAGAAAGTTTCAATCGAGATCAAGAACCATAAAACAAAATCCAGGACCCAATTTACATTCAATCAGATTCTCCAAATAGGAGCGAGAAGTAGTGAAACCGCAGATTCGAATAATCAAGGCTACATACACTTAGCATTAACATACGATACATCTTCAAATTTGAATTTGTTTCTTAATGGGGAGTACAGTGAATCTATCCCGTGTCCAGAAATTCACAAAGTATTCTCGACTTGGAACAAGCTATACATTGGAAATGAACCATCTGAGAGCACTAATTTTGGAAATGCACAAATTTCTGATGAGATACTTATAAAGAATTTGACCATATTGAATACAAACTTATCACATGAGTGGATCAACTTGTTATACAATTTGGGTTTAGGATACGATTGGGACTTTAAAGATTTTACTACCGAGAATTTGGTCAACCTATTGCACCATTTGAGCCCAAGAGGATTATTTAATGTTGCTACAAAGATTAACGAATTAAAGATACGCAAAAAGGATCCTACTAATTCTAATGACTCCATTGGGGCTAGCAATGTATCAAAAAGTTCGAGCGGGCATTTCACTCTTGGAAGATCAGGAGTCAATTCCTCCGAGTCAACAAACCTATTAGATAAGCAAAGAATAGCAGATTCTTTATCCAAATTGAAACAAGAAACTGTATTGTTTGATACAAATGAATTTTTCAATGGCCTAAATGAACAATACAAATCAGATAGGTCTTTTGGTGGGCGGGGATCCTCTCCAGCCGTTTCAGCATTTAAATATCACAACTCCATTTCAATTCATGGTGCTCTCTACGGAGTTGGTGGCACATCTCTTGTTTTGCGACTCATTGAGGCATCTTTAGAAATTCAAGACGGAAGAATCAGAGACTCTACTATTTACAAGTCATTTTCTTTGTTGTTTACTCTATTGAACAATAGCTGGCGCCTTGCGAAAGAGTTCGAAAATATCAATGGATACGGGTTGTTATCAATCTTGTTGACGAATTACAAGCAAAACTATAACCCGTCTTTGAAATTATCATTGCTAGATGGGAAAGAAGACATAATCAAGAAGGGTGAAGAATCTCCAAATAACTTATTAAGCTTAATTCTTAGCTTTGGTGGATATGACTTTCTTAATCCATATGAATCAATCATTATCAACTCGTTTCCCTATCGATTCTTACTCCTCAACTTTGACTTGTTCCACGAATCACCATCTTTTGAATACTTGCTTTACCATTTTCAAATCCTTATACATGGCTCAAGATACCAGAAGTTTAATAGAATCGAGCTTTCAAAGATGAAATTACTTAGAAAGTTGGTACAATTCTTGAAATCACCATCCTTATTGTTAACCCCCTTAAGCGCACCAGCGCTTGGTCAGTTAGCATCAACAATTACCAGCATAATTAAATCTGATACCTCAGTGGAAACCATCAAGTCAATTTCATTGTATGTCATTTACGCCATTTACAATCCAGATTGCTCTACCGATTTGGGGGTAAGACTTTTATACGTATTGACGGATATTTTATGCGATAATAATTCATCTATAAAAACATTGAAGAAGTTTTCGAGGTCTATTACAATTCATTGGATTTTATTGTTGCTTAATTGTACCAGTAAGAAGGTGGTAACATGTGGAATAAAGCTATTAAGCAAACTTTTGAAGATTTTAGGCCCACATATTATCAAACGATTTTTTGAGGTAAATCATGGATTAGATATCTTGACTCATTATTTACGGGTATGGTGGGAAGATGAAAAGATTTTATGCTTATTATACTTGTCAAGTTTTGGAAATGATAAGATCGACGATGTGAATCTAGATGAGGTAGATTTAATTTCCATTCAAAGTAATCATAATTCAACGCAGTTGGTGTTACCCGAGTTCTTGATCTTAATGAACAATATTGTTTTGAACTCATTGTATACTTTGAGTTTAAAGAGTGGAAGACTTTTGGGTAGTAATCCTTCATCGCCCCGGAAATCTGAGCAAGAGCAAGAGGATTTGACCTTGTCAATGAATGTACTCCATTTATTAAATAAGTACATTGACAGTATCAAAAAAGGATTTGAAGCTTCTGGCACATTACGTCAATTTTATTTGTCTAAAGAGTTCCTTGATGGGATCTTCGAGTTATTGGGGCATTTGAAGTTATCGACAACCTGGGGTCTTAAGTTGAACCGCAACTTTGTTGAGGTCACCCTGAAATTAATTAGGGTGCTTTCAGATTTGTTTATTGAAAATTTTATCAATGATACGTTCATGTCATCATTCGAGAATTTGAATGCTTCTACTAGGGTCTTAATTCTTGACTCCATATTTCCAAGGATATTCGAGCACATCAATCAATTCGTTAATGTGTCAAACTTTATATTCAATGAGAAAAGGTTCATTGATTCGACAGTTTCATTGAGTATCTATTACTTGCAAGAGCTTATTAAGAAGAATTATTTCTTATCACATGAAGATTTGGACATTTACATAACTTGTATTTGTTCATTGATGGAAGTTGCTGGAGAGCACTCTGGAATAAGAAAAATCAAGAGAGAATTGGGCGGTTTGATCATATTAAAATTCGTAAAACTTGATGAAGAAATCAAGAAAAACCTCAAAGATGTGGATGATCAAGAGCGAGCTTTTAGACTCGTTCAGAGTATTTCTGATGAATTGGCTCAGGAACTTTCTAGTGGTTCCAATAACAAGGAGCTTACTCCAGAAAGACCAAAGACTCCCGATGGAAGCACATTTAAGAAAACACCGGATTCATTCAACACTTCTTTGAAATTTTTACTTTACAGACAGGTAACCATTTTGCAAAAGGACGTAATGGATGACAGAAAGCTAAGTGAGCTTATAATTCTTATCCTCGGAATGTTTTTAAGATCACCTCATGATGTTCAACTTCAGGATATGGAACATGTGTTCAATTTTTTGCGAACCTGCTACCTTATGAGGCAGGATGATTTTCAACACGTTATCAAGTTCTTGGATTTAGGTGAGGACACTGGTTTAGTATTTGAGTTCTTCCAATTACTAGTCAGTAGAAATGATGAAGAGTCTTTTCAAAAGTTGACGAAGTATTCTCGCATACCACGGGAGTTGATCAAAAACTCAAACAAGCTAGTTGCAAGATTTCATGATCTCACATACTTGCATGTCAAGGACATGCTTGGAGTGACTCTTCATAATGGTGGTATGTTGGGCCAATTGAACAACATATACATCAAGAGCTTCGAGAAAGACTGTGAGCTGCTAAAATCATCGATCATCCAAGGCGAGTTGACCAAATTCAATAGGGCAATTCAAGATTTGCAGGAAAATGCCCAGTTTTTCATTTCTAATTACAACTTGTTAAAGAACGATGTATCCAGGTTACTACATGGTGGAATAAAGCACAAGAACTACATGCTAGATTATATCGAGAACCATGACAGAATGAGAAAAAGGCTTATTGTTGAGGATCAAATACCAGATTCAGAAAAGCTTTCCTACAATATTAATATTCCTATTAAGAAGTTTCATGAACTCGACGAGAATTTGTCGGGTTTGAATTACTATGATGAGGTAATTAGCTCCAATGGGATTGACACTCTTTCACTCTCATCCGCAGATGGTCTTGATGGGGATGTATCCTTGTTGGAAGACGAAGGGTTCGAGATAATTGATGGTACCTTGGGAAGCTCTTACGAAGACAAGAATAGAAAAGTTATTCGAAGTTTGTTTATGGGAGATCAAATTTCAGCGCTATGGAACATTAGCCAGATTAATGGATTAGTACCTGTGGAGAGCTTGATGATTTTGGGTACTAGCCACTTGTACTTGATCGAGAATTATTTCCATTGCAACGATGGAAATGTTATTGACGTTCAGGATGCCCCTGTCGAGTTGAGAGATCCTATTCTTCATCTGATCAATTCTCAATCCTCTAATATTTTGAAAAATGATGTTAGGAGTCATCGTAACAAAAGTTGGAGTTTAGGAAAGCTAAGCTCGATTTCAAAGCGTCAATTCTTACTAAGGGATATTGCTATCGAAATGTTCTTTAGTGATGGAGCTAGTATTTTGATCACTTGCTTATCCACTAAAGAAAGAGATGCCATTTATAACAAGTTATATCATTATGTTTCAGGAAAAGGGCTTGATTATGACTTGTCTCAGGTATTACAATCATCCAGTTCAATGTTGAACAATAACTCATTCTCGTTAACCAAATTGGCGTCTGCATTTTCCTCGCAATCCTCTTCAGTCTCTTCAGCATCTTCAACCTCATCGTTTGTACTTGCTACGAAGAAGTGGAAAATGGGAGAAATGTCTAACTTCTACTACTTGATGATAATCAATACATTAGCAGGAAGAACATTCAACGATTTGACTCAGTATCCAATATTTCCTTGGGTAATTGCTGATTATACTAGTGAAACATTGGACTTATCAAACCCTAAGATATTCAGAGATTTATCGAAACCAATGGGTGCACAAACACCAAATAGAGCAAATCAGTTTAAGGAAAGATTTGATGCGTTAGCGAGTTTGAATGATCATGAGGCACCCCCATTTCATTATGGTACTCATTATTCATCTGCAATGATAGTGACATCGTTCTTGATCCGGTTAAGGCCATTCGTCCAATCTTATTTGTTATTGCAAGGGGGAAAATTTGATCATGCTGATAGATTATTTAATTCTGTTCTAAAAGCTTGGAACTCTGCCTCGCGAGACAATACCACAGATGTGAGGGAACTCACCCCCGAGTTCTTTTATCTTCCAGAATTTTTGGTCAATACGAACAACTTTGAGTTTGGATTGACCCAAAATGGTGATGCTCCGAATAATGTTGAATTGCCCCCATGGGCTCACAATGATCCAAAGATATTCATTGCCAAAAACAGAGAAGCTCTAGAAAGCTCATACGTCTCAGCTAACTTACACCTTTGGATTGATTTGATTTTTGGATTCAAGCAGAATGGCCCAGAAGCTGAAAAGTCATTGAATGTTTTTCATCATCTTTCATACAATGGTGCAATCAATCTTGATAATGTGAACGATGATCTCGAAAGGAGGGCAATAATTGGGATGATCAATAACTTCGGGCAAACGCCCAAACAGTTATTTAATAATCCACACCCAATGAAGGAGGTTTTGAATTTGCCAAACTACTACTTGACAACACTCAGTGAGAGGTGTGTGACACCCAAGCTTCTTTTTGAATCTAAATTGAATTTACCAATTGAAAAGCTCGAGATTAGTGCAAAAATTGGTAGGAAATGGATTGGTAGACCTTCTTGCATCAGTTCTGAAGACGACCTATTAATAAGAAAGGCCAACAAATTCAAGTACGATAGCGGATCATTAATCATCAATCAAACAACGTTTTTGAATATTCACCTGTCAAACATCACTGCAATTGCCCCAATTGGGCACAAGACGTTTTTGACTGGCTCTGAAGATGGAATTATCAACGTGTGGAAATGTAACACCAGGCCCCACATATCGTTACAGTTTCAAAGTGTTTTGAGGGGGCATATATCACCAATCACTGCATTGAAGTTTAGTAAGAGTTTCAAGATTGGGGTTAGTGTGGACTTGGACAACCTCGTGTTTGTGTGGGATTTGACGAGATTTAAGTTCATTCGGAGATTGACCCCTCCAGAAGGGATTGTGAAGAGTGCAATCGCAAGCATCTCCAATGATACTGGGAACATTGGGATAGTATATCGGATGAAAGATCATAACCAGCTCCAAATATATACAGTTAACGGGGAATTGATCCTTGATACAGAATTTGGGGATCAAACCATAACCAGTTTCTGCTTTGGAAGCATCAATGATCCCATGGTGGATACGGGTAATAACCTGACTCTTAACAATCATGCATACTGGTCCAATGAAGTAATAGCCGTTGCCATGTCCAAAACAATTCAAGTTTTTGAGCTCACTCCGTTATTGGACAGTGACTGGAGGTTGATTTGCATCGACTCTCTTGACTACACAAACGTGCTTGGTGGTGGGATCAGTGTGATGCAATTGTTCAAGTACACTGAAGTCGACCCCGAGGATAAGTTGGTGAGAGGAATATTGAAGATAGTGATCGGTGACAGCACGGGTAAGGTATACTCTATTTAAGAGGTATTAGTATTGCAGATACAGCTCATAGTATGTAGTGGCTACTACTCAACAAAGAAGTTTCAAGGAAGTGTACCCTAGTACTACAGGAGCCTTTTCTTTTATAGGTTAATTTGGACGTCCCAATTAAGGTCCATGTAGAATTCTGTTCCGTGCATGATTCTTTTCATATGCATGTGCACATACATATTGACAGCATAAATTAAGATTCACACAGTTCACCTCCAACTCTTCCATTGGCAGGTATGGTACATGTGAAGGGATGCCACCTCCACAACCCCCAGTACGATGATCCTCTATCACCAGACCGTTGAGAGGTCCTCCCCAATGACTAATACCAAGAACTTTCCCCGGGTGGATTATCGGGATTTCGGTGGTCTACTGCCGATCAGTAACATGCCTAATCGGTTAAATGAATTAGTTAGCCGCATCCAGTGCACTATAAGAATTCCCAATTCGCAGACCCTGCAACATCCGAATAATGCGTTATGGCTATTACCACTGAGACCTACACTGAAATCGAGCTCGAGTCCTTGAAGGCCAAGCCCACAATCCACCCTGTTCAAGAGGGATCTTCTAGTCAACACCCAGTGGAGCCTGTCACCAGTGAGCCCCTTAGCAATGTTTCCTCGGTTCCTGCCCCAGGCCATCTGTTTCCTGAGGGAGGATGGAGGGCCTACAGTGTGGTGTTGGGATCGTTTTTGGGTCTTATTGTAAACTTCGGATCCATCAACTCCATAGGTGCCATCCAGACTTACATCTCTACCCATCAATTGGCAGGCATCAACAATTCTACTGTTTCATGGATTTTCTCCATATATTTGTTCATCTCATTTGCCCTGTGCATGTTTGTGGGGCCCTACTTTGATAGAAAAGGGCCCCTTGCTCCCTTGATATTGGGGACGCTTTTAGTGTTTGGAGGATATATGGCCGTTGGAAGTTCCCACACCGTGTGGCAGTTCATTCTTTCATTGTCGGTGTGTGTAGGGGTGGGAAACGCAATGTGCATCTCTCCTTTGGTAGGTGTGGTGGGCCACTGGTTTCTTGTCAAAAGAGGCCGTGCTACTGGCTTGGCTACATTAGGTGGCTCTGTTGGAGGGATCGTGATTCCTCTCTTGTTGAGTTCGTTATACCCCAAAACAGGATTTGTCACTGCACTTCGGGTTCTCGCTTGCTTTTGCTTGGGATTGATGATCTTCTCCATCGTGTTGGCAAAAGATCGGTTGCGGACCGACAGAGACCCAATTGTGGAGACTGAGGATCATATTTCCAAACGCAAGCAGGTCTTAGTCAATGCGAGGGACTTCTTCAATTTCAAAGCCTTGAGAGAACTCAAATACACTTTGTTGATCGCAGGTGTCTTTTTCACAGAGCTTTCCTTAATGTGTATGGTTACTTACTATGCTTCCTATGCCATTGCTAGAGGAATGCCGGAATCAAATGCTTATTTATTGTTGACCATATTCAATGCAACCGGAATATTGGGCAGAATATTACCTGGTTATCTTTCCGACTACCTTGGCCACTTCAATGTCAATATACTCATGCTTATAGGTTACAACTTGTCGATTTTCTTATTGTGGATACCATTTGGTGGAAACTTTGCCGTTCTTCATGCCAATGCTGCTATTGCTGGTTTCTTTAGCTCTTCAATCCTTAGTCTTGCACCTGTTTGTTTAGGAACTATCACCCCGGTGGAGAATTTTGGTCAGAGATATGGTCTACTTTACTTCTTTGCCAGCATAGGAAACTTGTTTGGGATGCCTGTCGGTGCAGCCATTATTGGCAAAGGAAGTGTTCACAATTATAACTTATTTGCATTATTCTGTGGGATGTTTGCCATTGCAGGGACTTTCAGCTGGTACGCCAGTCGCTACTGTATCGTTGGGTTGAAATTGAACGTGAAGGTCTAATTTACTTACCGTCTCTTTCTAGCATTGCTATCAGATTTACTGGAGCCAGTAGCTTTCGTTTCACTAGGCACCTGAGCGACTGGCTTTGCGACTGCTTGCCTTTTCTTTCCCGCAATCTCTGCTTGTGCTTCTTTCAATTCCTCTGCAATATCAGGGAAGAAGTATGAAATGAAGTATGGTGCAACGATAATGCAAATACTGACAGTGAACATGAAGGTGTAAAGTTTGCTCTTGAAAATGTATCCAAAAGGACTGTTTAAGATCATTTCTGCTACCGAGTTCAGCGATTTGTCATAGAATTGGCGGATTTCACTGAATTGAATTTGCAATGGTTCTTCAAATGAAATTGGAATTGAGATGTTGCTGGCCTCATTTGAATCCAATGGATCAACCTTAGCTTCAATGAAACCGTCGTCAACAGTGATTATGTATCTATCATTAGTAAATTTGAAGTCGTACGAATTGACTAAAAGCTCATAGACACCATTATGTAAGTTGTCGTAGCTGAAGGTATATTTCTCATCAACCAAGGTTTTTAAGACGGCAAAATTGTCCTTGGAACTGTTCAATGGAATCAAATCGACCTGTATTCTCCCTGGATAGTTGTCTCCATTGACAACCGTGACCTGTCTCTCTTTGTGTAGCTCGTCAATCTCAGTAGGGATATCTATCAAGTCTGCCTTAAAGCCTTGGGTGAGCACAGGCACTCCAAATTGGAAGATTCCAGCAATGATTAATCCTAACTTCATATCTGGTGGGCCTGTTGTCTGGTGTGCAACTATACCTGATATAAACTTGGAGGAATTACCCGGCCCCAGTGAGGATGGTCGTGTGGGTGCTAATTCCACGAGTATAAATGTTCAGAGTATCCACCGCCTTTCTGATTTGAATTTTCTTCCGTATTGTACAACGTGTGCGTATTATTGTAGGGCGACAACTTGAGATCTTCTCAACTCCCAGGGTTGCTGCTCTCTACAACACACACCAGAGTATACTACTCATGCTTCGGCGTGGGTAGTCACGGAATATACGGGTTCGGTGGTTAGAGACTTTCTTTTGGTGGGAGTAGGTTCTTGTTCTGCCTTAAAACGTAGGGCATGGACTCTCTCATTGCGGATCTGTTTTCGATGGCCACTGAACATTCTAGCGTCCAAACATTTATTTCTATTCTATTAAGCATTAGTGTCTAGCTAATGCACTTGAGCCCCATTTATCGTAACAGTACAACCCAACACTGATCAATACCAAACCAAGTAACTGTTGGTTGGTGATTTTGCCAAACCATTTATGTGCATCTTCTTTGACGGGAACCGTTCCTATGGCCAATATTATGCTTACGGCTATCAAGACAATTCTTTTCATCATCGAGGCAATTGAATAGGACAATGCTGGCATCAGCCCTAGCAAATGGAAGGCTAGAATGGTCTGTGCAAAATGTGACAACGAGTCCAAGATGATCAACACCATAACCTCCACTAGTTCGGCTGGGGTGAGATGGGTTTCTTCGTAGAGGATTCTCGGTAATTCATTTGTTAAGAAACCACCTACCGAGAACACGAATCCGATCACCGAACAGTAGAGAATAATTGTCAACTTGTCAGGCTTGGCGACCTTATCGAGATCTAGCTTGTTGATAAGGAATGCAAATGGGTTGTAGATCTTGTTATTTTGGTTGACTTGTTCGGAGTAATGGGATACTTGTGGGGATACCGTCTTTTCGTCAAGGTGCAAGTCGGAGGTGGAGTATGGAAGTTTGATCGAGTTTGTTCTCTTTTTTATTAACTTGTTGTTGCGGTACGGATGGGTGGAGGCATCCTCCGGCTTTGTATTCAAGACCAACGATGCAGGGTCTTGTGTAGCTGGTGCATCCCAGGTCATCAATTGCTTTCCGTATATGTTCTGACTGGCAAAGATGAAAGTGCTCAAGAAGCAGAAGACCAATCCCTTGATGGTATCATAATCCAAGCCACTACTGCCAGATATCACACTCATGGCTCCTTGTACCGAGTCTGCTGCTATGATGAGAATCACTCCTCCCACCAAAGGAGTTAAGCTAAGATATGTCACGGCCAGAAAGTGCACCTTGTAGACCACTCTGTACCCCGTGACGATGAGCAAAGGGGACAATGCCTTGATGCTCGAGACGGTAGCCAAGGGAATCAACGAGGTGGCGCTCAACGAGAAGAACTTCCCGCAGAACTGGAACAACCCGAGAGGCAATATCTTGACTAAGGTGGCAAGCTGGAACACCGGTTGCGACGAGTCAACGGGCACACTACCATTGGGAAAGTGGCTGGAGATCTGGGGAAACGTCCTGGTCAAGGAGATGAACAGGAATGCAAAAGCTGCGCTAATCAAGAACTGACATTGGCTCAAGAATAGGGGGTATGGGAACTTGATGAGAATGAGTTTGCTGAGTTGGGACGTGATGGAGGACACCAGGTACCATGCCAAGCATGTGACAAGTATCCTTGCCGATATAGGGGGGGCTAATTCCTGCACTCCCATAACATACGTTCTCAGAGATGGATTGGGCAGGTGGACAATTCGGAGTTGGATAGATCTGGTTTTGACAAGCACGATTATGTAATAACAGACCGGGCCGGCACGTCTAGCCAGGTGCGAGCCCACCAAGACGTGCCCGATCTGCACCGGGAAGTAGGATCAACCATGCTGCGATAGGCCACATGCACATTCTTAGCCCAACAGGCGGCATTTTCTGCACATGGCTATCAAAAAGGGGCGGACTTGACACCTAACAGTGCAAAAATATTCGTGATTGCGTAAGGCATTACTCGTACATATGCAAGATTATACTTTTACGAGCCACAGGATTGTACATCGCTATTAGCGACAAATCTTGCGTTGGGGGCCGCCTTGTGTCTCTCGCTACCATACTCTCTAGGTCCCCCACGTTTTTGTTCCCAATTAGTCAATTAAAAGGTGCAATACCTCTTCCTACAGATGGGTGCAAGCTTTCATCTCTATAATATTTGTCCTACATTACGTGCTCATGGCTGGCCCAAGCATGCATAACATGGCGAAAATGGGCCAACTCTTCTGGGGTGAATTTAATCAATCTCTGTGACCTCCGTTGTGCTTGTTTCACCCCAGAATACTTGTAGGTGTCTTCATTGGAGGATTTGGCAATGAAGATACAAGAAAGGTTGTTATCGTTCGTAGCATCTCTGAACGGATAGTCGGAGGGAATAATTGACCCCTCCAACTCGTCCAACTGTGCTTGTTGCAACAGCCCCGATGCCCATAATGCAGTGGGGCTTTCGACCTCTTGGTCCTCATCGCTGAAGTGGAACTGGGTTGACCCGCAAACCGATAATGATAGCTTATTCGTTGCAATCGTTCCAGGAATTGCAGAATAGTAATAATTGAATGATTTGGCCACGCTGGCAGGGGAAATACCTCCGCTTATTACATGGCCCAACCACAAGAGCTCCTTTGGTTGATGACTGTGGTTTTTCCCCCACAATTCAAGAGCTGCCCCAATGATCAGTCCCATAAAGTGCTCGGATCGGTTAATCACGAATAAGCCGTCGGAAACGACGCTTCTGAAATTACTTTCAAATATGCTTACTTCGTGCTGGGGCGAGTGGGTACCATTTTTGTGGGTTGTGCTAATCTTGTTCCAAATAGATGCAAGTTGCCGTGTACCAAAAATTGCTTTTTCTTCGCTGGTGGGCAACAAACTGGTGTAGAGCCCTTTGTAGGACCTGGCGAGGTAGCTGGGGACTTCTTTCTTGTCCTTGAAGAACAAGAGGCCTGTGTCGACATATCTTTGGGTATCAAAAAGCATGGCTGGGGCCACTAATGGAACTGAAGCTGGGTCCATGTAGATCATTTCCTCAAACGAGTTTATTATGGTGGCTACTGTTCTGATAGAGAGTGGCTGCTTTGTCACACTGGATGCATTGACAAACCATACCTGCTGGTTCAGGTTAGTGGCCGCTGCGTGTACTTCATCGTGAGGCACATCTACCGAGTGGACAATCTGGATGGGGAGTTCGTTGCCCAAGGCGTCCAAGACGTTGAGCAAGGCGATGATCAGCGCCAATTGGTCGTTGCGATCACATCCAATAACAATGCCCTTACCTTTCATCTGGGTGCGAAATGTCCGCCATATCAGTGCATGAGGGGGAACTTCCCGGAGCAGTGCGGAACCGTTTCGTGTGAAGTGGTGGGGGAGCTGGGGTTGAAGGAATGGGATTATCTTGGCCTCAAGCCCGGGTGGTAGGGGCAGCTGGTCGTTATCGAGGTAACAGTGGGCGAAGATTCTCAACGACGCCATGGCCGAGGGGAGTTCGTGGTGGGCGATGTCGATGGCAGGATCGCTGGCCACAAGATGGGCAAAGTACTGGGAGCACTTGTTGGAGCTGGAGGCTGTGGAGTGGAGTTTGGGAAGGAAGGTGGTGGGGTTGTGGGTACGGTGCCAGAGGTAAGGAAGGACGAGGAGCACGAGGACGACGGTGGTGAGGTTCGCCCACGCTCTCCTAGAGGAGGACCGGGGGGTGGTGGAAAGCTTGTCCATGGTTCAAAGCATCGGGTGGTGGGTGGAAGGCGTGGGGCTGGGAATTGTGCTGCTATATAGGCATAACAATTGGCGAGGCCGAATCAGATGAGCCGCAGAGCCTCCAAATTCATCTATAAGCTCCACATCTTGGAGAAGGATATTAATAGTCGCCAAGCCTACCCGTGCATTGGGGGCTGCAGGTTAATTTTGGCAGCCGGTGGTGCCACGTTTTCATGTGCCGGACCCGTGTGGTACGGCTGGTGCGTGCAGTGACATACGCCTGTGGTGTCGACCGTTAGTGCTTAGAGATTTACGGAGGGTGCGAAAGTGTCAACCATGTAGTGACAGTCTTGCCAGTAGAAGCTTGACAGTGGCGGAGCCTGGGTGGCACAATGGCGCCCACTCGCGGTGGCTATTAATACCCCTATCACGACAAAAATAGAACTGATCATCGTATATGGTGACAGGGCTTGGAGTCTCGCGATACAAGGGTCAACGCGCGCGCATGGAACATCCGTATTTGTATTAACGACGTACCGACCGGCCTGGGGGGGCGCATACCCGCCCCAGCCGGCACCGCCGTCTATATACTGCTAGTCATGCTCTCCTATCTCTTGCTTGGCCCGCGCCGTGTAGTTGTCGGACTTGGTGTAGGCGGGACTGGGGTTGGTCCAGCCGTTGACGTGGTCGAAGTCGGTGGTGGCCCAGTGGGCAAACGGATAGGTGGGCAACGTCTTCAACGGCTGGTCCGCGGAAATGAGCCCGTGGTCGATCTGCCGCTGCACGAGTCCGTCAAGGTACTCCACGATATGATCGCGGAACTTTGCGAAGTTCTTGTACTTGACGATATCCTCGGGACCCTCGTAGAGGATCTTGCGGAGCAACGAGGGCACCATGGGCTCGTCCTTCATCTCCTCGATCGAATAGAAGATGGGGTGGTTGGTGAAGATGATCGCCTTGGACTTGGGAAGCCTGCGCAACGTCTGGCGCTCCACCCGCACATTGAACTCGCGGGGGTCGGTCGACTTCAAGTCGGCCTCGCTGTTGGGGTTGTGCTGTGGCAACTGGTACACATTGTTGGTCTTCAACTTGTGGTCCCAGGTGACGTACCAACTGGCTCTTTCCACGGGGTCGCTGGCCTTCATGCGGTCGAACCACCTTTCCATCGATTTTTGCAATTTTTCCTTGTAATAGGGCACATCTGCATGGATCACATCCAAGTTCTTGCCGAGCTTCTCATCGATGCCAAACAGGCCTCCTGGAAACGGAACCGCAGCGGCCACAAGATAGTGCTTGCCGTCTTCAGGGTTCTTCTGAGCCACATAGAAGTCCTCCTTCGCCACCTTGGAAACGTAGAGTAACGGGTGCTCCTTGAGGGGGTAGGTCATGTCCAAGATCTCGTGGGTGATTTCGTTCTTGATGATGCGTCCGCTGCCAGGCTTGCTGTCGTAGGTGCCGTGCTTCAACACCGTGAACAACAAGGGATACCGCGCAACCATGTGGTCCATGACCATCTCCATCAACTCCAAGCACGCGTCCTCGCTCTCCGGCAACCAGTCGATGTTCTGCTTGCCGTACTTCATCCAGATCCGCTTTTTCTCCTCGATGTAGTGGATGTAGTACTTGTCCATGTCGAGCCAGTGGTTGATATCAAGCTTGAAAATCGACATCGTCTGGTGGTAAGGCCACCGGAAGGGCCTCCAGGGCCGGTCGTCATAGTTGTGCACTTGTTCGGGGGTGATCATCAACGGCTTGGGTGCTGGCACTTCGCCTTCTCCCGCACTGTATCTGGACCCGCGTCTGCTGCCTGCGGCTTCTGGGTCACTCTTGACGTCGGGGTGCGTCTTGACGTGGTGTAGTCTTTTCTTGAGAAACGCTGTGGTCTGCTTGTAGGACAAGAGAACGGCCACCGCGAGGGCAGCCACCAAGAGAACTTCAGGCTGCAATTTGACTGGCATACTCGTTGGTAGTTGCTGGTGCATTCCTGCTGCCACCACCCTCTTATACTTGGGACGGCCGCTTCGCATTATCACCTGTCATTCCTGTTGCCTCTTCCGTGCAATGGTTCCGTGAGGCTGGGTGCACTTCGCAGCAATTCTTATCGGGCGAGGATATCATGTCCCAATCGGGACATGCAATACTGCACCGAATAGTTGCACCTACCCATGGACCTGACATCCCTGATATCTCTCTATGGAAGAATGGATCACTTGTGACACCACTGGTATTATCATACCTATTGCAGAGCTGTTGTGACCCCTGGGTGGCGTTGTCGTAGCTACGGATGGATCATTTGAACACACCACTGGTGTTATCTACTCAATATATACAAGCTATTCGTAGTGCTGGATCTCATGGACGAGTTGTTCTAGGTAAGAGGGAGATTTTTCCACTTGGTCCAAAATGGGGTCGATCATTCCATCAAACCAGGCACCTAGCACATCGGGATCCGTCCACACTAACGAGCCAATGTATTGGTTGAACACCTGGTTGTGATAGCGCAAGCGGAAGAACTCATTTCGAGAATACTTCTTCTCAAGTTCCGAGCACCGGCCTTGCACCTTGCGGTCAACTTCCACATCGGGGCTTCTGAACGGATGGCCTAAATCGGATGCGTTCAGGATAATCATTTTGAATTTCTTATCCAGCAACCAAAATTGGAGCTGTTTGAGGTCTTCTACCCTGATGACCATCTTTTTGGATTCCGCTGCCAACCTCTTAGAGACAAGGTACTCGTAGTACATCGAACCCATCGAACCATACATGGTAATGACGTCAGGCAAACGGTTCTGGTTCTTTAGGTTACTGTGAATATCATTCAACACAGTTCTGGAATGGAAATAGTTTATCAAGAGTAGCTTGTGAAGATTGTTGGGCATAATTTGTGGCAAAGCCAACCCTGATCTTTCTAGAGCTTTGATGGTGCGTACATGTCTTTCGGAGTATTTGACATCGATCTTTATCTCCCCGATTGTCTTTGTATCAAACTGGTGGTACTTCAGTCTGAGATGAATCTCATTCAAGAGGTTCTCAAGCACCTTGGCCGTGGATTCCCCACTCAATTCATTCAATCCAATTAGCTTGTATAACTCTTCACCTGGATACATCGAGTCCAACAATTCTATGATCTCTTGATTACTCTGAAGAAATCCACTCAAGTTCAACTTCAAATTATATCTCATTATTGAGTACTTCATGAAACGAGAACCTGCAGCTTTCACTAGGTCATTATCATACTTAGGAGTATCTCCTTTGAACTGAAGGGGCTGAATTAGGTCCCGTTTGGAATTCATCAACTTCTTATGAATTCTGTCTTTATTCAACTCACTCAACGAGAACTTTCTGGAATTCAACTCTCTTTGGACATTGCCAAAAAATTCTTCAACCTCCTCATAATTTAAATTATCAAGAATAGTAACTAATCTTGTGACAACATCGGAGACCCATTCTACTTGTTCCTGTGGTGTTCTTAATGCAAAATTTTGGTTAAACTGGCAAGTTATAAGACCATTTGACTGTCTATGCTTTAGTAACTGTGATAATAATGGCAGATCAAATGGTTGATTCTTGAAATATCCCGAAGTTTCAACAAAATACTTCTTTAATTCACTAGATTGCAATAATTTCTCTAAATTTTCAGCGTAGAATTTTTCTGAATGTTGGAGGAGATGAAGTTTAATTAAAAAGCTAAATCTCGATGCACCAAATTTGTTGATCTTGGTTAGCATGTCCTTTATTGATGCATTGTTGGTCCAATTTGAGTCTGGTGCACTTTCAATTCCTCTTACAATAGTATTGTTGAGAGTGAGAAAAGATTGGGAAGTACTGTTCCCTTCATCTGCACGTAAAACAGGCAAAGGAACATCATATAAAAAGATCAACTTTTTAATCTTTTCCACCATAGATTGTGTTGGATGGAGGGGAAAATTGATGAAAAAACTGGCAATAAAATTCTCAAACTTGTTGATATCATTATGGGCCAAAATACTCAATAAAGTGGGGGTATCAATATCACTGTCATTTTTTGTGTTTATATCATCAAAAATGGTTTGGGCATAGTGTTTGAGAACGGAATCACTTTGGCCATCAAAAGTGGTAGCTCTTAAGAGCATAGTTAAGAATGCATCTGTTCCTAAAGTCTTCCACGATGATGGTACATTTTCTGGTACAGTAATTTTTGTTAATTCGAGGCTTGGAAACTCGTTAATGGACTTTAATGAGCACTTCTTCTGATGAAAAATACCCTCGAACCACGTGGATGGAAACTTGTCAGTCAATAGGATATAGCCCAAATACTGATACACTATCTTCTCATTGGTTTGATCAGCTTGTATCAATTTCTTCAAGTATTTCTGAGCGTTTCTTGGTTTGACCCACTTATACACCAAAGAGTTACGGGCAATAATATCAACCTTCTCTTGAAAATCCAGTTTGCTAATGCCATAGAGCTGCAAGTGAAAAGTGACCGCAGCTTTTCCATAAGAACATAATTGGTTTAGATAACCTTTTAGAATTTCCTGATCTTCTACCGATGGCAGGTACCCTAGTAACTGACAGAGTTTGGGCATTTTGTCCATATCCACTAGGAAAAGTGGATTGAAATCATGTTCAGTGTTAAGTTTTGGGAGTTCGTACTGATCATCACGTAAATTTACCAAGAACGATTCTTCAAGTTGGTGACCCACAGGAGCCAATTCATTGAAGTTACGAAGAAAGGACCGGTGAGATAAGGCAGTGATGTGGAAAGTTTCGAAGAACAGATCCACCTGACTGTCCTTGCCAATAATGGAAGACCCTAATGCGAGGTACTCATCTCTACTCAACTTGCTAGCAGTTGAAGGCTCATACAAAGCTTGTCGAGAATCCACATAGTGCTTAAAAGCACGTCCTAGCTTAACCAATTGTGATTCATTTAAAGATACTTCTGCTTCCCCGTACCGGATAAGATCAGAGGGAGCTTTGGGAACGATGACTTTAAGCTGGTTCCATAGAGACGAGATGGGTTGTTCTCGGCTTACGGTTGGGGGAAAGACTTGGTCAATGAGAGTTGTGACAGATTGAGAGTGTAGTAGTCTAGAACCTCTTCGTATATGTGACCGTAGAAACATGTGTTTACTGGTTCATGAAATGGGGTTTGAAAGATTAATCATGTGATGCGATAATTGTACTCAACCAACCTTACCCAATTTTCACTGGTTTCTTACGATGCCAGAAATTTCGGGGCCAAGACTACTGAAATCTACTGAAAGTTATACTTTATAAATGTACATTTTGGACTTTACTATGTAAAGAAATTGGAACCCAGAATTGAGGTGGTGATTATACCCCAAAATGAAGACATGACTTTTCAACCGATTCTTATATTATAGATTATATGAAGTAATAGCAAAATCACAATCTTCTACCTCTTCTACCACCCTTTCTTCTGGTGGAATCAGATGGAACTGGGGTAACATCTTCGATTCTACCGATTCTTAAACCAGATCTGGCCAAGGCTCTCAAAGCGGATTGACCACCTGGACCTGGGGTCTTGGTCTTGGTACCACCAGTAGCTCTCAATTTGATGTGGACGGCAGTAATACCAACTTCTTTACATTTTTGGGCAACATCTTGGGCAGCCAACATAGCGGCGTATGGGGAGGATTCATCTCTGTCAGCCTTGACCTTCATACCACCGGTGACTCTGGAGATGGTTTCCTTACCAGACAAATCAGTGACGTGAACGAAGGTATCGTTGAAAGAAGCAAAGATACGGGCAACACCAAAAACTTGGGAGCCATCTCTAATTGGACCTAATTGTTAGTATTGAATGCTATACGTAATGACAAGTAAAGTACATCCATTCCCATCAATTTCGCTGGGGTTCGTTTTTCATTCATCATTCTTGGTCGTTGAGTTGTTCTTCTGGATCGTGGTTGGTTGTGCTGAATATCCGCCAACCTCATGTATCTTGCTGAACCTCACTCCCACTGTTGTTTGATGCTATGGAGGCTGATCATCTTCACTATCATGGTAATCTGTTACATACCAGCAGACATTGTTGAATATGGTTTTCTAACTAGAATAAAAGACCAGAAGTATTAAATTTTCTACTTTTTTTTCCACTGTGCCTAGTCGAAAAATTTTCCCACTACAGCGTATGGTGGATGTCGCGGTGCGTGCGGCGCCTCAGGGTAAGTGGTGATGGGAGATGGTGAGCGCGGGGTTAGGAGCCTATCCGTCGAGGGTAAGTTGTGTGCAGGATAATCGTGTCACGCGACTTGAGGAATCTAGGGCTGTAGCCCTCGATGCTTGGGCCATAGACTGACATACTCAAGCTAGCCTTACTACGAGAGATGGGATATGTTACAGTTAACCGGTTACAGTAGTCTATCAAAATTCTTATATTACAGTCAACTATACGCTTAGTAGACGAAACCTAAGATCTTACCAGAAACGTGCTTTCTTCTAGCTTCTTCGTGGTCCATGATACCAGCGGAGGTGGTCAAGATGACGAAACCGAATTGTCTGGCTGGTAACAAGTTGTCAGTCCATCTTTCGATGTCAGCAATCTTGACGTTGAATCTTGGGGAGATAACACCACACTTGTTCAATCTACCGTTCAATTGAACAACAATCTTACCAGATCTGTGGTCATCGATGTATTCGAATTCACCAATGTAACCGTGCTTTTGCATGACGGTCAAGAACTTGATGATGACCTTGGAGGATGGTCTGATCAAGACTTGACGCTTACCGGTCTTTTCGGCGTTGTTAATAGCGTTTAAAGCATCAGCTAACACGGAGGTTCTGGTCATATTGGATGTTGATGTATGTAACAAGTAAATGAAAAATTACTCTTGAGTTTTTCTCGCTAGACAGTCTCGCGACATCGCGCGGAGGAAAAACAGTCACAGGCCTGCACCTGAGCGAGGATGGATGGTTTTACATGTTGGCCTTGTCAAACATGTATATTTTCCCAACCCTGGTGGTGCAACCAGTAAAATCATCCAACCTGCAACCCCTTCCCGCGAAAAATTTTTTGTGTGGTAGAGGTATCCAGAAAAACGAAGAACTGATTTTACATATTCTTTTTCAGCTAGTATAGATATCAAAGATGCCTGTATGTATAATACATCTACGGGAAAGACAGTGGAGATAGTGCCATAGGGCCACAGCAATATACCACGGCATAATCACCAAGGAAAAACCAACAAACCTCGAACCCGAACCATGAAGTCCATTCATCACTCGAACCCTACTAACTTATAGTCCCAAAAATCTTTCAGAACCAAGCAAAAGTTAGCTAAGGCTCAAAAGCAAAACAGACCATTGCCACAATGGATCAGATTGAGATCTGACAACACCATCAAGTACAACGCCAAGAGAAGACACTGGAGAAGAACTAAGTTGCACATCTAAGTGCTTGGTTGTATTCCCTTTATTATTACGAAGCTTCGTTTCCTCATGATGTCACCGAGCTAAAGCTCCTAATAGTATGGTTAATATAATGTATAGCATAGTGCAATAGATATTTGTTTGGAAACAACTCAATGTAGGGCCATGTCTAAGTCTAATAAATCATATATTAATGTAGATACGAACAACACACCTACAGTTATATCTAATGGTCATACATTAATGGGTCTTCTGCCTTCTATAATTAAACTTCCTCTTCAAAGACGGTTTCGATAGGCTTCTCCATTAATGATGCGTGGGAAAACACAGCAACACCACTGGATCCAATAAGCCACATCATTGTGGAGATAGGACTAGCCAAAAATCCCAAGGGAACACACACGATCATTAAACCGGTGTACAATTGGGAGGTGGTGAACTTACCAAATGGAAGGTTCAAGTCTTCGCCTCCGAGTTTACTGATACCGTAAACACCACCAATCAAGAAAATGGTGACAAACAACAACAAGAGATTGGTGATTAAGGCATAGACACTCAAAATGGCAATAATGGCAATGTAGTTAGCAGAGAAGTATCCCAAGTTGTAACCAACTCTGTTCTGGATTTCTCCGAAGTTGGCTGGTTTGGAAACTCTTCTGAAGTCAAAGAATTCTTGAGGAGGTCTGATCTTAGCAACTGAGCTTTGGATAGACCCGAGGTCCCCTCTGATTCTATCTATGCTTAATCTGTCAGAGAACAGGTTGATTTGCTGGACGTTAGTATGGAAAGATATGGCACTTGGAGGATGCTTTTCCCCGGTGTTTGACACTAATGATATAACAGATCCCTTCGATATTTCGGGTTACTTTCGATCCCTTGCAAGTACTTTGAAGTACTCTCGTGTTTAGGCTTTCGATGTAGATCGAGTGTCGAATGATAAACTTTCAATCATTTGGGCTGCGCCCAGTGTGGCAAAGTATAGTTCTGCTATACGTACTGGTAATGCTTGGTATAAAAACGACATCTTTAAGTGATATGGACCGTATTTGGAAGTGGTGATTCGATAACGATTTCGCGGGCTATATATACGTGTTTCTAATTTTTGGTGTGGTCAAGGCGTGTTTTGATCACACAGCGCATGAAGGCGTTGACTTTACATAAGCTATTACTTAATCAAAAACTTTTTAGTGCTCTATAAGGTTATACTAATCCTAAATCCTTCTGAACCATGCTTCTGCAAATAGGGTGGTACATGGTCTCATACTTACGGAAGAACTCGACTGCTCTGTCGTGGTCCATTTTGGCTAATGCAACGAAACCTGGTCTGACGTACTTCATTCTACCGACAGTTCCCAACCAGTTTCCTAAAATGTTGAAGTACTTTTCGCTTCCGCTAGCAACTTGTAAAGTGTACCATCTTTCACAAATCTCACCATTTTTGGATGCCTCGTAGTTGGAGTAGATTTTGTCCATGGCTTGCAAAGCATCTGTGTGATTCTTCCAATCGAAATCGGACTTCTTGTTGTATGCAATTAAGGTTTCAAGGAACACCACCGATTGATCAGTAGAGAAGTCCGAAACGTCAGTTTGGGAAAAGGAGTTAAAACCTTCCCCATTGGTGATCTGTTGGTACCATCTTGCAGCCAATGCATAACTTTGGTCAACTAAGGTGGTGTCATAATCAGGAATGACTGGGGGCATTCCAGAACCGTAGAGCCAAGCTTCCCAGTCAATTGCATCTAATTCAGCGTGTTTGTCGCTGAAGAAATCGTACAAGGTATCCACGAATTGGTAGGTGTCAAGAGATGTGTATCTGAACTTCTTGTAGTAGTGAGGAATGAATTTGTCAAATACTTCCTTACCACCGACTTGCAATTCAATGTGGTACAAGAAGTTGGAGCCCTTCTCGTAGGGAACCTTTGAAAACGTGTCATCTGGGTCAACACCACCCTTCAAATTTTGGACAAGTGAGGTCCAGACGGCGGCCTTGTCACCCATGGCCTTGATGTTGTTTTCCAAATCTGCTAAACCAATAATAGCGTGGAAAGCTCTCATGGATGCACCATAAGCTTCTGGGTCTGGTCTACCTGATTCACGGGCTTCGGCGATGGCAATACCTTCGACGATTCTTCTTTCAAGATACACACACCAGCCCTCGTTCAACCAGTAATGTTCCCAAGAAGCGTTTGTGACCAAGTTACCTGCCCAGGAGTGGGCCAATTCGTGGGCCATCACAGCAACTTGCGATCTGTCACCGCAGATCAAAGTTGGAGTCAAGGAGCACATGTTTGGGATTTCCATTCCACCGTATGGGAAACTGTTAGGCATGACCAAAGAATCGAATCTCTTCCACTCGTATTCAAACACCAACTTTTCACCGAGCTGGATAAAGTTCTCCATGTCCTTTTCGAATTCCCATTGGCAGGCCTTGATGTTGACCGGTTCACAGTAAACGTCGGATCTGGGGCCAATTGGGGCCTTGGTAAGGTCTCCCGATGCGATGGAGATCAAGTACGAAGGAATGGGGATGGGCTGCTCGAAGTAGTAGTCATTGCCCTCGATCTTGCCGGGAATACCGGACATCAACGTGAAGTGAGGCGAGGTGGCCTTGAACGAGTAGGGACTCTTTACTGCTGGGGTATCGAAACAGGGGTACAAACTTCTGGCGTGGCATGTTTGACATTGGCAGAACAAGTAAGGCGCCTTCTTGCTGTCTGTGACTTCCTTATCCAAGAACTGCAACGCGGTGCACTTGTCGGTGGTGGAGAAGCGGATCTTGACCTCCAAGGCGTCTCCCGCGTTTGCGTTCAACGCGATAGACAACTTGCTGCCCCATGGGTTGATTCTGGGGTGGAGGGTGAATTGGGCGTCTGCGCCATTCACAGTGGCCAGGTGGATGGTCAAGTACGAGGTGTCGAAGTCGGCCTCTGCCACGTCGGCAGTAGCCTTCAACTGGTACACCACCTCACCGTCAACCACCTTCTGGTCGAACAAGACCTGGAGGTGGAGCGACGCCTTGATCTGGGTGAAGTTCCAATAGTTGGATTGGGTGTTGGGATCTCTCTCTGGAGACTGGGCTGGACGACGGGACTTGATGACTTCCATGGTGGTGGTTACTCGCAAAAAAAACGATTGCCCTGGACTCGTTTTTATGCTTAGTGGGTGCGTTCAACCGCTTGTGCCGCAAGGGCCCGAGCCATGGACTGCCGTTGGAACCAATGCCGTTTGGTCGCAAGCCGCGAGCATCTAGAGGGCGCCGTTTTGTGCCTACGCCATCACCACCAGTGTGCTCCTAGCGGGAGAACCGCCACAGCAGCCTACGCTAGGCTGGGGCTTGGCACTACAAGGTAGCACGCCATCCCAGCTACGATAGTCCGACCGTTTTTACCTTGCTTGCGAGTGCCATTTGCCTCTCTTCATACGGCACCAGTGTTGCATTCAGATCGCGGAATCAGCGAGCGAGATCGGGACAGAACGGGACGCCAACAGGACACGGACCGGGACTCGACGGTGTTCCGACAACGGTGTTCCATCCGAAACACCGTGGTATGGCCAGCTTCACACATCCCTCCGAGCACACACTATACGCGTGTGTGCATGGTTGTTAGTTGGAAGGACTGGGCTGGACCGCTCCATCGACACCGATCGCCCAGGCACCACCAATTGGCCCCAACAATAGCACCCGGCTCGTAACCCCCGTTGGAGGGCCTGTGGCCCCGACCGAGGCATCCGATCCAGATCTACCCCAGCACGGTGGGCGCAGGGGACCCAGATGTTTCAAGTGAGTTTCAGCCTACTATGGCAAGTATGCGTGTGGTGCGAACCAGCTGGTTGAAACAGATCGCCCCTGGTCCATTCTCGCAGGGCCTCCGTATATATCCCAAGCATTCCCCGTGTGGTTACGGCCTGTTCAACACCCCAGAAACCACCCAGAAACCAGTCCTAACCATCGACACTTCCCTGGTGACCATTACAGCTTGGCAGAAAATCCCCCTAGCTCTCGCACCACCTCCCTCAGTACCCTCGCTGCTCCTCCCGCCATTTTTCCTCGCCTCGCTAAATCTCCCCCCACAGACTCCGTCCTAGTACCGACACCCTGGCGTGCGCGACCCACTATTGTAACACATTCTAAAAATATGATGATCCTAGCTCAACCAACACATACCCCTTCCACCACCGCCACCAATTCCCACCTCGTCCAGCCAGCACGCTTGTTGCCCCCCGTGCCCCCCAAGAATGAAATCAAGTCTCCATTGAACCAATTGGAAAGACAAGTCTCTATCGCACGTTCTCGTTCTCTCAGATCAGCTACTCAACCCCCCGCAACCCGTCCGGCTCGTTCCAATTCCACGCCTGCTATACCTGTTCAGCGTTCCGTCAGCACTGGTAGTCTTTCGCGGTACCCGTCGATTACCAGAAAGTCCTCGTTCACAGTCAGAAAGAAGTCCACTCCTGGCACCAGTCCAGAAGCTCCAGCTCCAGCTCCAGCTTCTCTTTCTCCAGTACCAGCACCGGCACCAGCACCAGCACCAGCTCCAGCTCCAGTCCCTCCTCGCTCAGATATCCCTCGTTATACACCTAATCCGACCATTCCCAAAATGACTGCTCCGCACAGCCCAATCAGAGATGACGCTGACAGCATCTACACCTTCGATTCCATCACTACAAGCGGCAGGTTGCTCGACCGCTTGGATATCAACAAGACCGATTTGTACGATCCTGACTTTGGATTAAGAAAACGGGATAGCATCGCGTCAATCCAAACCACAGGCCGGCTCTTGGACAGATTGGGCCTTGATGATGATTCGGATGATGACGTCTCCGTATATACCCCTCCACCAATTAGAGATCCAAGAGAAAGGCCAGTAACTAATCCACTTGCTAACCTTGGACGTCACCCAAGCAAGAAAGGATTGGCATCCTTTGGAAGTTATCAGCCTGATAACAACCAGGAAAGTGACAGACTGGATAACAAGGTAAACATTAAGAAAATACGGCGCAACATTATCTTCGAGAACGCTAACCCTTCTACTGATTCCATCATTGCAGATGTGGGCATGATTAAGAAGGTCGACAATCACGTCACATTCAAATCAGATCAACCATTGCCACCTTTGCCCAATCTCAAGAGATCTTTGACAGTAGCGAACGGCAATGCGAAGAACATATCCGCTTCTTCAATTCCCCAGACTGCAGGAATTAGTTACAATTCTGATGAGGACCACCCCATTTCTGCCCTGTCTAGGCCCATTGAAATCTCACGGACGCCTTCTGCTCCAATCATAAGAACTAGAAGCACGCTGAAACATGGGGAAATTGGTCCGAATGCAAGCTCATCAAGACGAGTCGTTTCAGAAGGAAATAACTCCCAGGGCGTATCCACTCATCCAGCAAATAACCCTATGAGTACTCTGCCAGTCTCGACATCGAATGATTTGGGGCCTGAAACGAGAATTAAATTGGCTAATCAATTGCGCGCTATGGGGAAACATAGAGAAGCGTCATATCAATTGCAGATTGCTGCTAACATACCCAACAATTATCCCAAAGCTATGTACCAATACGCGATAGCATTAAAAGCTGGACAGGGTGTTAAGCAAAATGATCGTCATTGTATCAAATGGCTTTGTAAATGCATATTGATCGATTTCCAATCTATTTCCCACCCTCAGCACTCTTTTTCGTCACTTCAAGTCATTAAGTTTGCTGAGAAATTGAACCAGTTCCAGCCAGAGGATTTGATCAAATTGATTTTAAAACAAATGGACCATACATTAAAGTCAAACCCTTTGAAGCATGGTACTGAACCAAACTTAGTGTATGAAGCTTTTACGAAGCTTTCAAAAACCCAAATCAACAAAATTGCTATCATCTCCAAGAATCAAACGGATGTTGTGTCAATGTCGTATCATGATCTAGGCAAAACATTGTTCAATGGATGGGGCTTGAATAGTAAGGATGAAGTGAACGGAATTAAACTTCTCTCCATGGCAGGATCCATGGGTAATGTCCATTCCATGATCGAGCTAGGTGAGATATGGAGCTCTAAATCCAAGTTCCATAAGAAGGATTTTTACAAAGCTGCAGCCTGGTTAAGATCCAGTGAGATTTTCGGATTTAAATCCATAGGAAACAGTTGGATATACAAAGAGAAGTATCTCCAAAAATAAGGTCAAGATTACACCCCAAATTAGCTCTGAACCTCCGCAAGTCATAACAAGATCAAGTCGCTTGATCTCATCTTTTACATACAGCGATCTTTTGCATAATTCGTCTTATTCTCAATTATAACACAGACGTAACTCATTACCTAAATATACATTGTAATTTCTACAAATAAATTAACGCATTTTTGTGACGGGATCTAACACTTAGTTAGTAGTGTACAGCCGGTTTGGTCGTATTACTGTCCACTTTGTAATACATATTTGATAGGCTCCTTCGGCCTGATGAACTTGTTGAAAATGTCTATGAATTCGTGAAGAATATTGTACAAGAAACATGTTATCTCGTTCATGTTTGAGTAGACACCAATAGGCAAATAGTACAATTGATTTGAAGGCTTGATGTTGTTGTGACAGTTGTCAAGAATATGGTCTTGCTGTGAACTCTCCATCTCGAGTGATTTCTTAAACCAGGTCACTGGGAACTTGATAGGAATTATTGCATTGACATAGTTGGGTTTTGAATTCATAAAATTTTCAATGATCAAGCTGTTGTTGTTAATCGTTAACTGTTGCAATTCTATAATTTTACCATTAAGTTCCCCTGCAGAGTTATTCTTGTTGATATACAGTTGAATTACTTTAGTGAGGATGGAATTAATTCTCTTCAATACAACAGCTTGTGTTTGAAAGAGAATGCAGACTAGGATCTTAAGGAATTCTAGTTGATTTTTGTCTTTCAAAATTCGAGCTAACTTGTCAATCTCATCAATTAATTGACTGATTTCTTTGACCAATAGCTTCCATGATCTCTCGCTCGGTAACACATCACTAACAATTTTCGAACGTTCATCGTAGTCATAAGATATCATCCTGAGAATTAAAGAGTCGACTTGTATAATTACCGATAATAAATCATGAGTCCCTTTATATGAATCTGCTCTCTGATTGGCTGCTTTGGCCAAACTGAGCCAGTGATTCTTTTTAGATTGCAATTGAATTTTTGTTTCCTCTCGCTGATTTGAAGTCCATTTATGATGCATGGGTGGAGTAGCCGGCAAAGATGAGGATATTGGAAGCTTTATTCTTTTCTCCAGAATATGCGATTGTTCTTTTGAGATAACATCTTTGTTTAATTGTTTGATTTGTTCTCTCCGTTTTTGTTGTTCATATGTCAAATCAGAAGACAGAGGTTTCAGATTAACTCTCAGTAATTCCTTTTCCTTATTTTGAAGTGCTTTCTCTGCTTCTGCCAACTTTCTCTCTTTCTCTCTCAATTCACGTTCAAGACTTTCGCGTTCTTTTTTGATTTTATCCATAGTGTCACGTTCTTTCGATTCAATTGCTCGTCTTTCTTTTTCCCTAGTCTCTTTATCATGAATTTGCTTTATCCTGTAAGCTTCTTCGCGTTCCCTCTCTCTGACTTCGTGTTCTTTCTCCTTTGTTGTCATTAATTCTGCAAATTCTCTTTCCCTTTCATCCTGCTGTTTTTGACGAAGAACTAGCTCTCTTTCTTTCGACTCTCTAATCTTCTTTAGATCTTTCTCGTACGATTGTTTGGCTTCAGCAGCCTTTTCACTTTGACGCTCTTTTTCTTTATCACGCTCTCTTTCCTTTTCACGTTCCTTCACTTTCTCACGTTCCTTCTCCCGTTCACGCTCTTTTTCCTTTTCGCGTTCTCTTTCCTTCTCAATTAAGAGGTCCTTCTTCCTTTGTTTCTCTCTCAGATCATTAGTCAGAATGCCTAAGCCAGCTAAAGCAGTGCTATGATCACTTTGGGTTGAAGTTTTTTGGTTCTTAACAGATGCTACACCTTTCAAGACGTCTTTGTTAATGAATGAAATCCTCAATAAAAACTTTGGTTTATTCGAGTCAAGTTTATTGATCCACTTCACTTTGGGGATTGATGCAGGTTTTGGTTTCTTGGCCTCTCTTTGCTCTTTCGATTGTGATTGGTTACTTTCAAAATAAGTAGGTAGGGTTGGAGATAATAATGAAAGGGGAATGTTATCGTCGTCCCCTGAATCACCATTGGTGTCCGTTGCGTGCGCTTTGTTTGTGCTTGTAGGTCTGCTGGGAATGGGACGACTCGTAGGCTTCAAAGAATTATTCTTGACAGAGAGTTCACTTTCTTCTTCTTCGCTCACCAAAGTAGACTTTTTGGAAGCATAATTGGGAGTTGGTGATTTTATTCCCCTATGGTTGTCTATGGGATTCACCTCATTCTTTCCATCTGGTAATGTGGGTGATAGTATTGGTGGCAAGTAGCCTTTGTCTTGGTAGGTTGATATTAAGTCGTCCAAATTCCATGAGAGATTTTTCAACTTGCTGTGGTTGTCTCCGTTTTGGTTGTTGATCCCGTTGGATGATTTCTCGAGATTCGAGGTATTCGGACTGCTCACATATGGGCTAGAAGATTTTGATTTCCTGACAGGTAACTTTGATTTCGACGACGAGATCCTTGCTGGTACATCCTGGCTAAAGATAGACGATCTCATCTTGAGTCCATTGGTTGCACTGGTGGATAGTTTTGGTGATGTATCAAAAGCTTGGGTTCTGGTGAATGGTACTCAGGTTCTAATTAGCTGTATGGTTTTAATAATGTCACCCGCCCTCTATCAGTACCTCCGTGTAAAAAGAACTCTCCGTTGTAGTATGCTCAGACTGGTTGCAGTTCCCGTACTATTGTTGGGAACTTAAGGAATGTACTTAGTGATCACGCGACGAATCACGTGTGCTCGTACATCCTTTAAAGTGTAGCTCATCAGAGATTAGGAGTATCACTAGAATACAGGCATGAACGGATTATATAATGAGGTAGCTCCAGCGAGTCTAGGAGGGGCAAAGCGTAAGAAAGAAAAAGGGGTTCAGTCTTCCGGAGGTCCAGCTGCCCAATCTAGTAAATCGAAGCACAATAAGAGATCTTCCAAAAATAAGAATCAATCTAAACCTCCAACGGGTTCTCAACAACAGGCAAGTCAAAACACAAATGCTCCTGGAGAATGGCCCCCAAGTTTGCACCAGTTTGTGGTTGAATGCTTCACAAGGTCAAACCAACGGCTCACCGAAGATCAAAAACCTCTTTTCAACAGACAACTACAATTATTGATAGAGAAAGCTGTGAGTTTGAACTACGTCTTTGAAAATAATTGGCTGATACAAAAGTTACCCATATTAGATGGCACAAAGGAACTTGAGTTAGAATGTGAAAGGAGGAAGGCTCTAGAAGCTGCTGGTCTAACCACCAGCAGACCTACGAACGCCCTTGCCAATGAAAAGAAGCAAGATACGCCCACACTTAACTATACAAACTTGAAGCGCTCTGGTGACTTTGACTCAGCGTCTAGAAAGAAACAAAGAAGCCAAAGATTTGAGTCTGCCATTCCTATCACCACGGATACAACGCCATACTCGAGCAATTCTACATCCCCGGTGTTCATTGGAACTTGTCAGAACCTTGAGAAAAACTACTTGAGATTGACCTCTGAGCCCATACCAGCGCTAGTAAGACCTCAAGAAGTTTTAATTAAAAGTGTCAGCTTCATCTTAAAAAAGTACAGAGAATCAAACTCCTATACTTACGTCATAAATCAATTTAAGTCAATCAGACAGGACTTAACAGTACAGCATATTAAAAATGACTTCACAATCTACGTTTACGAATTAAATGCCAAGGTCTCCTTGGAGAATAATGACTTGGGGGAATTCAATCAATGCCAATCACAACTTAAATATCTATACTACTTGAAAAGAAAGAATGAGCCATCACTACAATTGAAATTTTTCCGATGCGAGCTTGAGTTCTTGGTATATCGTACCATTTACATGATTATTACTAACAACCATAGCGAGATTTACAAGATCAAACTAAAGGTAGAACAGTCCTATAAATCGTTCCTGAAAGATCCTTCTGAAAAAGATTGGTTTCAGTTTCTTCTCAATTTATTCAAGCTAAATCAAGATCTCTTATTGGAGAATTACTATAGCTTCTTCAAATTATTCGAACAGTTCAGCAAATTACTGGAGCATAAACTAGGTTACCAATTGATTAAGAACTTTATTGTAACAAAGACGAGGGTGAAGGCATTGTGGTCTACTAGTAAAGCGTACAGAAAGATAAGTAATCTGGTAATAATCGAAAGACTTGCATTTGAAAACGACCTTGAATTCAAAGAATTTTTGGACAAATACAAGTTGGGTGATTTTAAGGGTGAAATCGATTTCGACTGTTTGGGTGCAAGGGGGGTATTGACGGGTATAATTAATACAGCTGGGTTCAAAAAAGTTGACATTAAAGGGCAAATATGATTCTAAGCACTGTTTGGTCCGAGATGGGGACCACGATACGTTAATAACTACAACAAGGAGAGCTTTGTCCCACCGATAGTACAGGGTGATGTGTTTTTTCCTGCTCTGTTCATTCGTATCATTTGATCTACTAACATATAGACATCTAATCCCATTTTCATGAGGCATAATCATACTTAGCTCCAAATCCTCAAATTTTGTAGCAATTAGTGCGACTAATCTGCGGATGGTCCAATGGCCATGATAGCAAAATTATGCTTATTTACTTCATCGGTATTATCGATGTAAAACTGGACTTTTTGGGCTATTTTAGGATCCTTGAGAATGTTACTTTCGGAATTCGACTCGCCAAGATCAATGGGACCGTTTCGTCTTCCATCTAGTTCGTACAAATGATTATCCTTGCCTTTAATGAAAGTTATGAAATGCAATTCGATAGGATCCTCCGCTCTTGGTGCTTCTGTTTGACCTCTTTGACCAAAATTATCACTCAATTTAATGGAGCTTTCCAACTGTTCGACTAAGGTTGCAATTTCTTCAACGCTTATGTTTGAAGCATTATCATCGATACCAGCCAAAAGCTGGTCCAACTTCAGGTTTTTAATAATGAAGTCGGAGGGCAAGTTACTCAAGATATGCAATAAAGCATACAACCCACACCCATTGCCGATAGTCTGCTTGAACCACTTGACCTTGTGCAAAAGCTCGTTGTGGTAGTCGCCAGCACGTTTGGCATCTTCTTGTTTTCTATAGTTCTCGTAACTCTTAGTCAATGGAAAAAGTAAGATGATTCCGTAGATTGGAGATGGGAGGAAAGCCATCAAGGCCTCATCTGTTAACGAGTACACATCGTGGAATTCGAGAATTGGCGACAATCCGACATTGTTTGCCAAGTCTGTGAAGATGGCTGGATTTGACTCCAAGGGAATGACTGATCTGGTGTCCACCATGTTGAAATTGCTGATTCCATCCTGGGGTGGCGTGGGGATAAGTCTACGCAGCCAATTACTCTGCCACGTGATATAAGTCACCTGTGGAATTTTTTCCCTATCCCTCCTCGCCATCCAATAAAATTACGCGCAGGTAGATTTAGTCAGCATCTTACAAAACAGATTGCAAACAACCCTTGAAAACTTAGCATTCACACCAACAGACCAAACTATGTCGCTTCTACGGCTGGTAGTAATCCTACCGTTCCTTTTAGCATACCACTTGGGAACCTGCTGCTTAGTGTTTTTCTTGCTGGAATCTTTAAGTCCAAGAGAACCCTCTACTATTATTTATCAGAAAACAGTGATATTGGCATTGATCCTACCAGCTATCACGTATGTGCTTCAATTCTGCCATGATATCTTCACATTAGGCACAGGGGCATGCCAAAATTTCAATAAGTTCTACTTCCCAATTACCCAAGAACTCTTAAAATTCGGAGTTCTTTATGTGGTTTCATCTATGCATCTTATAAATTTCAAGCAGTTGTCAATTTTCATTTTCATAACCAATTCGCTTGAACTAGTGCAGTTCTTCCAGTTGCTCTCCACCCTGCAATATGAATCCAAGTACAAGAAGTTTTTACAGCTCCACGATGTATGGGTCAACCAAGACTTGTATAAGAACAAATACTCGTTGGGCAACAAGAAGGAAGTTGAAGAATTGTTCAATAACATCATTGGATCCACGGAAATGGAGAAGCGGGAATCCGTCACATCATACAATTCAGATGAAACCCTCATCAATCAACATATATCTTTCAATCAATTGCCTTCTACCTTCAATTTGAACAACAAGGAATCATCTTCCACGGTACCCAAGACAGATAATACTGCTTCGATGCCAATTGATGTAACAATGGCTAAGAGTGATAGTCACTTAAGTAACTTCAGCACCAGGAGAGTGACGAACTATAAATCATGTTATGACTTCGTTGACAAGTTGTATTCCGTATCACCAAAGAACACCTACCATTTAAATACTGCAACGGCAATTGCGGCCTTCGATCAGTATTCCGGCGATCAACAACTCGAACAAGACGATTCGCTTGAATATGATCCATTGGCTGAAATTAGGTCCATTAACGAAAATATCGATGATCAGAATGTGTTAGGAACTGATTCGGACGGCAGTAACGGTGGAACTTCCAACTGGAATTCTCAAACATACCCAAAGATGAATTTTGCTGAAGGTGCTGGATTCGAATTTAGTCAGGACGGTAACACTGTTGAGAGTGACCGTCACTCCACAAAATCGAAGCAATCCACATTGCAAATGCTTGATCAACCATCTCGCTCCACTAAATGTGCTTGCTCTCCCAACAGATTTATCTCTTTCGTCAACTGGTTCTCATGGTTGTTACCCCCATTTTTGCCTATCCACTACTGCCAAAAGATCCATCCTAAACGCAAGGAAGCATTTCCACTTTTGAAACAGAAATTATCCACCTACCATATGGAGAGAGCTTTCTCTATTCTGGGTGTCAGCACATATGGCTCATTAGAAGAAGGAATTTCGTCATCAATCTCTGAAGGGGCCAATCCTTATGAAAGATTTAAGTATTTCGTTGGTTACTACTTTGATTATTCCATGGATACAAACAGTCAGTTGATTAGCATCGATCCAATGTTTGTTAGATTTGGAATACTTTCCAGGGAGTTATCCACATTTATCCTTATCTTGAACTCCGTGAATCAGCTTGCCTGGACTGCTATCTCATTTTTCACGCTAGCAAACTTTGTGATCAGTTTTTCCAATGAGGATCTTTTCACTTTCCAAGTTACTTCATTCCTCACATGCATTACTATTATTCTCGGATTATTCAAATTAAACTTTTTGAAATCTGAAAACTGTCCGAACTTTAAATTGATTATTCTCTTCGAAACGATAATCAATTTGTTCTTTTTAGTCCTCTATGGAGTAACTCTAGTTACTAAATAAGGACCACGCTGCATACTTCAATTCTGCACTAACAATTAATTACTCTTAATAACTTGCTGAATACTGTGTATTGGCTAATAAATAAGAAAAAAATAATAAATAATCTAAATTCCTAGTATATCTAGGCCCATCTAGTATAGTACAGTTTATCAAAGCCAGCCCGCATCTTTACTATCCTGCTAGCTAGCAGGCCTGCCAGATCCTCTAACTCATAAACTTCATATGGGAGCTCAAATAGTTCTCATCAATGTAAGAAAACCCCTTCACATGTAAAATATCTTTTCCAAAATTATTAAATTGAGGAGTGAAAGCCATCTCGGTAAACTCCTTATCAAAATTCTCTGCTAACACCGGGTCTGTAATCACTGGTAAAATGGGTGGTAATGTTTCGCTCTGCTCAATGTTTTCTAACTCTGACCAATCGACAAATCTGAAGAAACGGTGATTTTTCAACTTTTCAAAATCGTCATCGATGTTTATTCTCTTTTCAGGGTTAGCCTGCAACAATTTTCTCAATAAGTCTTTGGCATCCAAACTGAGATAAAATGGGAACTTCAAGAATTTCTTGCTCGACAAAATCTTCTCGGTGATTTTTTTATTGTTGTTACCTGTAAAAGGGGGAGATCCTGTTAACAAATCGAATGCAACACAGCCCAAAGACCACCAATCAACAGAATAATCATATGGTTCGCCTTTAATTACTTCAGGCGCCATGTATTGAGCAGTTCCAGTCATCGAATGGTTTTTATCGTCACTTGATACTTTCGATAAACCAAAATCAGTCAATACAAGATTTCCGTTTGAGTTAAGCATGCAGTTTTCTGGCTTCAAATCACGGTAGATGACCTTCAAGTTCTTATGAAGGTATCTCAATGCCAAGACCATCTGAGCAATGTAGTAACTTGCGTTCTTCTCGGTCATGAATCTCTCCTGGGCCAAGTGATGAAACAACTCTCCTCCGTCCAAGTATTCTAAGATGAGGTAGACTTTGTCGTGATCTTGAAATGCGTAGTATAACTTCACGATATTTGGGTGATTGACTTTTTCTAAGATGTTCTTCTCGTTCAAAGTCCTGCGGTAGTTCAACTGATGGACCTCGTTGGTGTTTTCATTGATAATCAAGGAGGCCTTCTTCAACTGTTTTTGGGCAAACAACTTGCCTGTAGAAACCTCTCTCACAAGCAATACCTTTCCATAAGAGCCCTGGCCCAAGACCTTAATGGGCTCGAAATCGGAGAGCTTGGGTTTGTAGTTGAGGTTGCCGTTGTTGACCACCAATGAGGACGAGACGTAGGAGTCCTGGATGTCGATCTCGTATGAGGATGCAATCGCTGAGTTTCTTCTGCCGGCTCTCTTCATGGGAATGGGCAAGTGCAACTCGGACACGGTATTTCGAGACTCTTCGACGTGGGGAGAATCTGGCCGGTCTATGAGTCTATAGTTGAGCTCTGGGTCGGGGTTGAACGACAACCCGCTCCTAAAGGTCTCGGACAACTCGCCCACGTCGTCATCCATGTTGAATATGTCTGCCATGGTGAAAGTGCTGCTATTAGGGTTGCTGTATTTCTATGGTGGATGTCTATGTGGGTGTCTCTGGTGGATGTCTATGATGACTATGTTAAAGGTTCGTGTCGTCTCTTCTGTTGATGTGGTGGTTCCGGATCTGTTCTATATCATCATCCCATCAGTGTTACAAGTACGGTAGCGTAATAAATTAAGGCCGCGTGCCCCAGCCAGAAAGTAGTGTGTGAAGTGTCTGAGAAAACGCGGCAATTGGCGCCTAACTGGTGGTTGCAGCCCTGGACCGGTTGCGAATCTACGGACAGGACGTAATTTATTCACAAGGGAGCAAAGCTCCAGTAACGGTGATTGAGTCGTGTTGGATTGTATATACACAAGAAGGGTAACGCTTACAGTGATGATAAGGCAACACCAGGCAGTTTGGTTTCTTATGTTGAGGTGAGGTTCTCAAGAAATAGCTCACAGGGACCACTAGACCCATTCAAGAGATCGCATTTGATGCCACTCCTGGTATCATTTGGCTGCTCTTACCAGTTGATGTTGAGGTGATACTCACAAGAAGGGTAAGCTTTTCAGAGGCGAAGATACTGATCTAGCACTTGTGCTATGGATATTGGTGATATTCCCAAGGATAAAGCTCCAGTGACGCTATATCACCGTGTTAATAGCTACCTGTCCTGTACGAAATTCTGGGAGCATAATCAGACCCGCCGATTATGGTGTGTATTGTGCCTTTATGTAGAGCTTGTCCTTCAACAAGATGTAGTCCAACAAGAGCGCGTCGTTGCTCAAGCACACCAACCCGCGCTCGGCGGTGGCCTCGTCCACCGACGGCTTCAACACCACCGGGTTCAAGCTGGGGTCCCGGAAGATGATGAGCAAGCGGACGTGGTTCAAGTTCAAGTCGTTCTTGGTGCTCAAGAGCTTGAACATCACCAAGTTGATAAGCTCGTTCACGTGGTTGAGTCTGTCTTTACGCATGCGGAGGGCAATGAACTCCACCTCTTCGTTGGCGTGGGGACCCTTCTGCTCCACGAAGATCTTGAGCTTGAGCTGGTGGTTGGTGGTGAGCCCAGGCACCAGTCGCGAGTGCACTGGCGTACTCAACCCCAACCCCAACACGGACGTCAGCACCGAGTGTACTGAGCCCTTGTCCAAGGTGCTGGAGTCAGTGGGCCTGGAGGCCATGCTATAGCGCGAGTTCCTGCGCTGGACACTGGCGAGAGTGGCGTTGTGCGACGGCTGGCGGGCCAACCGACGAGTGGGAGTCACTGGCTCGTGTTCGTCAGCCACAGGCTGCAATTTCTGGCTGGTGGGCGAGACAGCCGATTTTGGTGTCGTTGTGGGCGATCGCACATAGTCACTGCTGACAAAACTGGTGCCATGAACACTGTGTCTGTATGCGGACTTGGAGGGCTGGTTGCGCCTGATCACTGGCGGGTCCTGGAGGATCACTGGCGTTCGTGGTCCAGGCGCCTTTCTGGGTGATTGTACCTTCAACGGCGGGGTGGGGGACTCTGCCCCTTTGGACCGGATCGACTTGAGCGAGAAGCTCCGTCCTAGCAGCTTCTTCTCGGGAGAGAGAGCTGGCGACTTGGCGGATTCCCATCTGGCATCCTGGCGTGCCACTGGCGAGGAGGTGGCCGAAGTAGTCCTGGTGCCAGCCCGGGAGAACTTGCTGGAAAGCCGCCTGAAGAGGCCCTGTTTCTGCTTGGGAGAAGCCTGTGGAACAGGCTTCGCTGGGGGGGTGTCGACTGTTACGTGCTCGGAGGTGGACGACACGGGAGACGCTAGTGGCGAGCCGTTGTATGAAAACGTGTCGCTTCTGGGGGTATAGGCGTCCTCGAGCCTGACGAACTCGATGGCGGAATCAAGCGGGGGGGTGACATAGCAGCTGACGGGTCGCCGATGCTCAAGGGTATCCAGCTCCATGTTGATAGCAATGGCGAGATGAACGGAGTTGGTTGCTGGAGTTTCGCCAGACATCTACAGTCGGCCATCTCATTTCCTATCAGCTACCGTCATGCACCCAGTGCAGTAATCCGAAGATACCAGAGGCAGGCAAGGCATCCTACAAAAAGAAATTCACACTGTCCGAGCCCCCAGTACGCCAAGTCTATTGGCTGGAATCCATGGCCGACGATTGAGCCAAAGGTTATTTTGAAGCCAATTCCCAAACGGTCCGATTTTTTGGCAGGCCCTGCCCAAATAGGAAGGTTTTTGTTGACACCACAAATCACGGGAGCAAATCTAGCAATCACGTGTGTATCCCCTCCGATCCCGTACCCATCCGCCCCATGCCACCGCTACATCAGATGCATCTCCACGTTGGCCTCAACGCTGCATGGATTACCTGGCGCATGCTGTAGGCCGTAGTGCTTCACATGTGCCTGCTGCAGCAGGTCGTAAATTAGCTAGGCTAAATCATGTACACGGACTTATAACGACGCACCCTTGACAGACCAGTCTAGAACAATTTTAGTTGCCGCAGACAATAGCCTAGCCTTCCGCCATTCGTCCTACAAGCCCCCGACTTTGTTCTCGAAGTTCTCTATTCAAAGTATATACCAGATTGTGTTCGAATCATGAAACTGCCGTTTCGCTAGAAGTGAAAGAAATGAAATTGTAGTACGCGACCAGTTATGAAGGTCACCAGGTGAAATTGTTCACACTCGAGCCCGTGCTAAGCTCAAATTCACCTTTGTGTTGGACTTGAGATATTCCAATAACTCGTCATCGCTCAAGTCGTTACCCTCATTACCGGCTTTGTCAATCACCTGTAATTTGTAATGATTGGTTAAGTTGTAATCCTTGTAGATTTTGAATGATAATAACTTTTTCAAGTATGCAATTGAAATTAAGTTGGTTCTCTTGATTCTCAAAGCGACGATGTCGTCTTCTTTGTTGTTGAGAGAAATCTTAATCTTGATGTAGTCGTGGCCCCCGTTTGGGGTTCTTTCGTGGTTCCTCTCGTCACCACTTCTTGGGGATCTGCTATTGCGGTTGGTTGGGGAAATGTTAGCGTCAAACTCTGCATCCTCAATGATAGGAGTGGTTGGTGTGTTTGGTGTGCTCATAGTAAACTCCTCAACCTGACCAACCGGCAAAAGTGGGGCGGTAGATGTGGTTGGTGATTCTCCATTAAGCTTGTTTGAGAATATCGAGTCTTGTTCGCTTGTGGATGAGTTCGTAGAATAGTGATTTAACTTGTATGCTGCATTTGGTGACATTACTGCCGAAGTGCCTGTGCTTACCACAGTGGCCACAGAATCGTGTTTCTCGGGCAACATCGTTTCGATTGGTTTCCCGAGTTTGGAATCGGTTATAGAGCTTGCCTTGGTGTCCATGGAATTATCCTTGCACTGTGTTTGGTTGAAGCTATCGTCCTTGGTCGAATCTTCCTCGACTTCTTCGTCATCATCATAGACATCGATTATCGAGGTGTAGCTCATCAAAGTATTTGAACTAGTAGAGTTCACCAACTTCTTGGTCTCTGGTTGGTCAGCTTGGTTTATGTATGAGGAGTATTTGACATTTGAGTCGTTCTTGCGGTTCAAGAGAGATGTTGATGAATTAGACTTGGATAATGGAGGGGGTAATGGTGCAGTTGGAGAAAAGTAACGTGAACTGTTGAGAAGTTTACTGATTTCGACAGACTCTGGAAAGAGCTGGTTAGCAATCTCCTGATGTTTATGCAAGGTCAACCCATCAATTGTGGCCTCGCTGGTTGAGCCAGCACCAGCTTCGGCTTGCTTTCCAGTCGAATATGCCTTTTTCATCTCTTCATTCAACTCGTTTGCCGTCATTCTTACTCTTCTAGAAACATCCAAGAAATTAAACACTTCTTTGGACCTCTGCAATATGTCAACTTCGACAATCCTGTTCATATAGTGTTCCAAGTTCATTCTTCTTTCTTGTAAGTCATTATAGAACCCTCTATCTATGTTGGTGTTGGAATGTGTGGGTGATGATGACAGCCTCAAAGGCATGGGTAATTTAGGAAGGTCGATTTCCGGGTGGGTCTTATTGAGTAAAACATGGAGGTTGTAAAAATCCTCATATGTTTTGCCAATATACATCACATCCTTATTCGAAAACATAATTCTTATCTTGTACCAGTATCTTCTGGTGGCATTTTGAAGGACTTGGTCGAACACGATTGATGCAGGGATGTTTTCAAAGTCGAAAAGGTCCTCCAATTCTTCCTTGCGTTGAGCTTCCTGTTGCTCCTGCTGGGTGTCGAGGTCGGTGATGGTATCTCTGTATTCGTTTAACCATTTTAACGAGATTGGATTGAGACCGTCGTTGACTTGAATGTCCACATACGAGGCGGGAACTAACCCGACCTTGTCATATTTGTCCAATATTTGCACCTTCAACCAACCATTCCCGGGTCTCTCGATAAGTTTCATGTAGTTCTTTGGTTCAATGCTGAGTTCTTGCGAGTTCTCGGCAACGAACCTGTATTTCGCTACCAACACTATGACAGGGAAAGCATGGTTATTATTCCCATAATTGGCGGGTGTGGAAGGAGTTTGAGGCGAGGCGGTATATGATCTTGGGCTGGCACCATTGGGAGAACATAATGGAGCCGATATGGTAAGTTTTTTGAGGTTCTTTTTAGATGTGTGCTGTTTTGATCTGAAAAGACTAGCTGACATAGTGGACGTGGTTCACACAGTTCAGCTCTGAAGTATATCTAGGAAGAAACTAAGATGATAGTTTATGTTTAGTCAGGTACGTTGGACAGTGAAAAGGCTCGTAGGGAGATTAAGTACTTAAAGTTTGTAGCCGAACGTAACAGTCTGATGTCAGGAGCCAGGAGGAATTAGGGAATATTTTTAAGCGGAACAATAAACGATAACAATACGGCGACGGATTGGGGCAAAACATGTAACCCCGTTGAAAAGTGCTCAGAGTAGTGACTATTCTTGCGTTCGGCCCATAATCCGAGTTCCAATGCATGACATTGCTTCCGCAGACCGAGATGGTGCAAAGGCGTTATGCCTACGGGTGTCTGCATCTGAGATAATTTCAAAAACTGGTGAAATAACATATTTTTACTACTTACAAGCAGTGCATATGTCAAAAAATATTTCTCGTTCGCGCACACTATGTCCGAGATTTTCCAGGTGTTTCCTGGCTCAGTAACAACACGCAACAAGTCGGTCAATGCTCATAAATTACACTTTGTCGGAAGATTTGTTTGTAATCTTGCAATCGATTGTCATGCTAGGCTGTGTATCGCGAATACCTAACGAGTAGCAGCTCCCTTATTGTATGCGATGTATTGTGCCCTGTACACAAAAGCCCAAGTTCACGCGTCCGATCTAAAAACGACTGTACTTCGCTTGCACTTTTGAAAACCTGCGGCCCCCGCCCCCCCCAAACATACCCGAAAAAATTACTTGGACACGTATGGGGGTGTGGAAACTGACCGCAGTGGTTCCAACATGTTGTGAGTTGGAATCCTACGTCAGATTCCAAAAATTCTCCTAGTTGAAAGAAGGTGTGTTAAACTAAGGGCACATGTAGTCCTCGACAACTCGCTACAATCGTACCACCAACAATCGTGGTCCGCGTTGGACCCATGTCGTTCCTATGTCGCACCGCGCACATCTATGGTGAATGGGCATTTTATCACTTGTGCGCAATCAGCCCAATCGAGTAACTATCACTACGTATTGGGAATTCACCCTGTTTTGGGCTTGACAGGCCTTGATCTACGGTCCATGGCATGTTGATTTCCATACGGAACTTAGATAAACAATACAATAAACACTGTTATCTTCTGGTTTGGACCGGATTATTGTGAAAATTCACCTTGGCTGTATTCTGCAAATTATTGTAAAAATCTTGTAGATTTGGTAAAATGTACATGGCAGTCCATCGCATGGCTGAACATGTGGTTCCTGAAAGTTTCAATATAACTGCAATGAACTGCCTCGATGGTCATATTCCGTGCATGTTTCATCGAGTGGTTTAGGTGAATTTGGTTTCGCTAGCAGTCTTGGTTAATCAGGGTTCTCTACCCTTAGAACCCTTGACCTCGGCCAGAAATTCAGAAGATCCGTATTCAAAGTGGACATGTAAACATCTGGGGACTCCCTACAGCCAATATTTTTTAGTCAAAAATTTGTTTGCTGAGGTAACATTTGGCGATTTTTACGCACAACGTAGATCAAAACTAGAGCTCAGTACCTTAGCTATTGTCTAGTTGCAGTAAGCTTATCTTGCACGTGCAAAGTGGGGTTCACCAAGTTGATGGCTAGAACCTCGTTGCTGGGCAGTACTCTTGGATAACCAGGTTGAACTCTTGGCTACAATCCCTGACAAAAATACGAACAGCAAATCCTATAGTTATGATTCCATGGCTATTGTCCACATAATCCAGTTAGTTGCTGTATGGCTGGAATTATTTGAGGATGAATATTGCTTCTACGTCCTTATGGTCCTTCAGCGTTCTCTCGCTAACGCTCATAATTCTTTTCGTATTTTCGAGCTGCGATGGTTCGCTGTCCCGAAAAATAAGCTCAATTGGTGTAGGACCAGAAATAATAGAATGCGAGAATAACAAGTTGTTAGAAAAATTGAAATGCCCAGTATTTTCCTTGAGGTAGATATCCGCAGAACCGTTTATTATTATACACACTACTGATACATTGCTTGCCTTCAAGCCAAATTAGTAATATGGATTGGGCGAGGTCTGGCTCTCCCATCATGACAAGAAGCGACACTGGTTAATTCCACTGGCCAACGAGTCTTTAAAAGTAATAGTAATATAAGCAAGAAATGAAAGATCACATGTTAGCGCTAGGCTAACTTTAGATTAAATTTGTCATTATGTTTCAAGTACTCCGTCATGTTCAAGTTTACTTCATCGATGTTGCGGAAAATATCTGTATTGGGCAACTTGATGAACAACTTCGTGAAGTAGACCTTTTGCTTGACCAAATGCTTGAGATCACTGATAGATCTAATCAATGATCTCTTGAATCTGATAGCAACAATTTCATCGTTGAAGTTCGTAATCTTACACTTAACATGAATCTTTGCATTGGTAGGTGTTCTCGAAAGCCCAGGCGATGAGCTTGATGACATCGAGCTGATGGAGTTGTGGAAACTACTGTTGAAAGTTGTATTGGGGGTATTGGGACTTGAGTTATTGGAAGTAAATGAGGCCTGTGATCTTGTGGATACATTTCGCTGTATATTAGCAGAGCTTGTCACTTGTTGATAATGGTTAAAGATGTTCTTTTTCGATTTATTGCGTTTTGGAGGTTCACAGCTCTTGAATCCTGGAGAGTAGGAAATGGGTTCATTCTCATCTTCAACCACAGTTTCCATTTCCTTAGGTTCTTCGACTACCTTCACTTTTTCATAGTATGCTTTAATAACATTGACGGAGTCAGGTAAAATCTTGTCGTTGATCGCATCATTGTCCATATTGGCAGATTCTTTTTTAACCTTGAATCCTGGTAATCCCTTGTAAGATACACTGAGCCAATCGATGAGGACATCCGAGAGCTGGTAATTTCTGTTCAAAATCAACCTGTTGATATAAACATTAAGATCATTACACCTCTTTAATAGAAGCTGGATTTGGGATTCCTCAGCATTTTCGTCTTCGATATTACGACTTGGGATAGGCTCAGGAAGCTTGGGGAGCTTTAAGGTGTCGTTCAAGGGGGCCAGAGATTTGTTCAAGAGGTTCAACAAATTGACATGGAGGTTGTAGAAGTCCTGATAGTAACGACAGACGTAGCACTGGGTGCCGTCGGAGAGGACCACGTCCAAACGGTACCAGTAGCGTTGCTTGAAGAGCAAGAAGTTGGATATCGACACCGAGGTGGGGTATGCTCGGTTGTTGATGGTCAAGGGAGGACCACTGGATTGCTTCAACTGGAGGTGGAGGTAGGTCTGCTCGTTCAACAGACTGAGATGGCCCTTCTGGGCGTTGTTGGACTGTAACCATTCCATGGTGACCGGGTTTTTGGTGTCGTTGATAGCGATTTCCACGTAGCACGCAGGAATAAGACCTGGCGGGAGGACCTTGTCAATGTACTTGACCAAGAGCCAGCCGTTCCCAGGGCGATCCAAGAGCTTCAAGATGGCGCCCTTGGCCACCAGGAGCTCGTTGCGGCTCTCAGCCTTGAACGGGTACTTGGACACAAGGATGATGTTGGACCTCAAGTTGGAGGCTATCTGGTTCTTGGGACTTGGCTTCAGAATGGTAAGCGAGCGAAGGGGGCCAGCCAAGCCAAAGGGCGAGCCGGCTGCATTGGCGGTGCCTGGAGCAACAGGGGCTGTGATCGGTAAACTGATCAGGGCCTTTGTAGTCTTCATGGTGAAGGAGAAGAAGAGTCGTCAAAAAAAACAAACAAACAAAGGCAGAGTGAAATCAGTGCGGTGGGTAATGGTGAGGGTGAGGTGCGAAGCGAGAGAAGAAAACTAGAGATGGTAGTAGATCCAAGCCAGGAGGGATGGAGGGGGACAAGCGACGATAGGCGGAACTGAGCCGCCTGGCACGGGATGGAACCAGACCCTGCATCGACCGCGTATTGGCGGTGGTGGTGCCTGGAATAAGCCCTGGCAAATGTTACAAAGCAGGGTGTTGCCGTGCAAATTCTCCAACCAGACAGCGGAGTTATGGGGCGCGTAAGTTACATAAGCGGAGTTGATGGGAGAGTAACATTTGCACGCGGTCCAGGAAATGCATTATTCCGCATGTGGGGAAATCAGGGGACGGGGAATGGAATCATGGCACGATATTCTGAAGCCACTACAAGTGGTAGCATCTAGAGACGGTACCCCGGCCAGCAGGGGTGGGTAAATGCCCATGTATTGCTATTGGCAGCCACGGGCGTTGGTCGTTTCACTAGCAGAGGGGCCAAAATTCCTTACATTGTATAAGGTACTCAGCAGCCTTATAATAGCCTCAAACGTGAATCACAGGGTGAAGTTGGGGGTGAATTGGCACATTTAGTACCCAGTGCTTTTTTGTGGTCTTGCGCGTAAAAGGCTTCCGTAAGCCTCATCAGCAAGCTTTGCATATGAGGCGAAATGGCAAAAAACACCTGTTATTTCGTAGTGACGAACCGCTCATTTGGGCATGCTGACACTCGGTGTAACCAGGATTATTCTACATGAGTCCTAAGCTCAGATGCGCATAAAATCAGTGCCGATCCAAACGCCTTACAGTGTGTGCCCATCACGCGAACTAGAGTTAATATCAAGGAGGCCGAGGCCTCCCATTAGTCTAGATTATATAATGATGGTGATTGATCTCCTTCCAGCCATTTTTGCATTTACCAAACGGAGACGACATCGGTTCTGCTGGTAATCCGGAAGTAGGTATATGTATGAAGAAGAAAAGAGTAGTAGAAAAATCACGACTTTTGTAGCAGGAGATGCGATGGTGCGACTAGAAAATTTTCAGTTTACGAACACGTGACTATGTTAGGGCTTCAGACAGTGCCTCGGTGGCTGTGGTTGCATGCACGCCAATAGGGGGATAAGCGACGCTAGTGATACCGCATGCCGACAGGATAGCGCAAAACGCTGCCGTTGGATCCCAATTGGTGCCATTTGTAACCGAATACGGAAACCAACTACTTGGTTTAAGCTTTGAGGCTTCTCATAACAGCAGACGAGTATCGTGATGAGTTTGATTTTTCAGGGCTTATTTGCTAAGCGTACCTTCTTAAATCCACCATCTACCAAACCAAGTACCTCTCGGTCCACCATCGGTATGTCTACTTAATTGCCTCTGATAATATCTGTACTTCCATGTACTAAGAGGCGCACAACAATAAAAGGGGAGCAACCCGAGTTGGGACAAGATCAGACACTAGATCAAGTCTGGCAGCTGGCAGCGGGATAGCGGAGCATGAATGCCGGGATTATGGCGAGGTGCTAATGCACGTTTAATGATGGCGCCAATGTCGGCATACGTGGCCGAGTGCAACCCGCCATCATTGGCTCATGCTTGCCAACGGCCAGTTCATGCCAGTGTCGGTGAAGCTAACCCAAGGCGATAAGAATAGAAACCCGAACAATGCAAGGCGCCGAGGCGCTACCTGAAAACCTCTTATGATACAAAGTAGGGTCGTGTAGATCTGGAGGGTATATCCCACCATCTTTACTATTCTAGCTAATGAACATATCGGGTGCACTAAAATGAATAGACGAGCCCGGCTATACTTGATACTTCTGTCAGGGATGTTCGACCGAGGGTTTATTGTTGCCCGCACCCTAAAAGACAACCTCGGAATGATAATCCCATGCCAGGATTACCTGTTACAGTAAATGCATAAACTGGGTTTGTGGTGACCTCATTGCCTAGGGTTAATTTTCAGGGTGAAAATTATTATATGGTAATCTTTAAGGTACCAATCAGCCATGAGACTTTGGGCACAGCAACGCCTTGCAACGATGGGCTGCTAGCTGGAGGATTTGCATGTCAAGGATTGGTATCTCTTACAAGGACATTCATCTCCGAGGCCATGCATCAGGGATCCATGTATGCATAGGGTACTTGACTTATGCCATGTTGTCTACAATTAGGATGTATGTATTAATTCGCGTAAAGCAGGTCCATCTGTGCATAACCTATATATGGGCGGTCTGACGCGGAAGCGGGTCTTTCTCCCTACCAAGGTTTGCGGTGTGACCGGAATACACCCCGTATGTCACTAGCGTATGATTTCCAGGTGGCTCCCCTCAACTTGTGTCTGGTATGTACTTGTGACAGTTGTAAATGTTCACAATAATAGGAATGTGAACAATCGTAACGGCGTATCCTTTGGTTGTGGCTCATGCGTCGCATATAAATGCCAGTTTGCACCAAGTCTTAGCCTCTTATTCAAATGTCATAGACTTATAAGTCAAGTGATAATAGTCATGACATTAACCTTCATAACTCCTTGCTTTTCAAGCTCAGGTGCCAGTTGTCGCTAACTAACTCCCATGCACATTCTTCAAATCATTTTGCCCTCGGAGCTTATGATATTTTTTATTATTATATAAGATAATAGCCTGCGGACTGAGAGCAAAGCCATAGGCTAGATTAGGCTAACGGATCAAAGGAGTCAAGCACGAGTTCATATGCTAGTACAATGTAGAAAGCTGGTGGCCAAATTTTCAGGCACCCACTTAGTTGTACCAAGATTCCAATGGCATAAATCGTTCGATCATTGGTAGTGCCATACTATCTCTTTGCTGATGGCCCCATCATACTACGTGCAAATATGTGCGTACATATTGTTAAAATATTTTTTTGACCATGCAATGTTGCCCATTATCGGCATTATATTTAGCTTTTGTGATACTTCAATATTTAATTTTTTTGAGGCTCCAAGTTAATCTACTTTTTATTTTTCGTTTGTATGGGTGCTTTTCAGCATTTTCACTACTTTGTTCCTTTTTTATTTCTTAATTATGTCACTTAGTGTTACCTAATGGTGCTAGATATAATAAACTCCTCATTTTTTTTTTTTTTTATCTATTAAAATAAATCTCTCTGGCTGAAACCTTGACTTAGTAAATACAAAACCCATAGGTTTCCTCTCTTTTTTTCCATACCAAGGTTTGATAAGAACTGCTTAACTGTACTGTACTGATACAGATTTCAGGAATCACTTGGGTTTGTCACTTCAGTGTCTGTCTTTTCCAGTAGTTTGATATTCTTATCTGCTACAATTGACATTTTGGGCAAGTTTTCACCCATTCCGTGTTCCGTGAAGATACGTGTCGAACTTGAATTCCTAGTCTTCCGTACTTATCTACAATCATTTCAATTCAATTCAACTCAACTACTTGTGATTTACTATCCCAGTGTTTATCTCCCCACTTGAAAATTTCAGTTTTAGACCAGGCCAATTTTGCAAACTTGACACAATCAACATTGTCTAACTAATCAACTAACCATATACACTCATTTGCTTACAATACCACCAGGAACATCGTTAAAGATTTCTCGCTATCGTTTTGCTCGTTATCTTCAACATCCCTACCACACTCCTTATCTCACCAAGTTATTTCGTAATTGGGTGCAATTTTCATTTTTAATTCTTCATACTTGCATATAAATTCATCATGGTTAATTCAACTGTTAACTCACCAAACTCTACTTTTGAGACTGAAGACACTATCAAGGTGAACAGTTCTCTCATCTCATCATCCTCGACTTCAAATAATCATTATCATAATAGTATCTTAAATCATAGTTTTAATGATCAGTACTATCAATACGACACTAGTCTCGTGAATGCTCCATTCAACCCCTTACCACCACCACCAATTTCCATTAACCAACAATCTGTCCATTTGCAAAACCCTCAATTAAGCACCACCGCCAGTTCGAACACAAACACCAATTTCAATTCATCATTTTCTGGTTCTTCGGCTCATACACAGGAGTTTATTGCTACAAACCACCTTGCTGCAAATACCTCTGATTATTTCCATGCTAATGAATACAGCTTGCCCAATTCCTCCCATTATTCCATCTTCTCCAACCAACAAGCCATGAACTCTACTACTTCTTTACACAATGATTCACACAATCAAACCCAACAAATTTTCAAGTTAAATATGGATTCGACATCGGATATCTTAAATGACTATTCGATCTCGAACTCCCAAAATACGGATCTAATGTACAACTTGACTGAATTTGAGTTGGGAAACCCTTCGTTGGAATCGATTCCTGATTCGATGTTGAATCACAGCCACCACTATCCCTCTCTGGGATTGAGTCAGAGTCTCACCAACCACCACCTAGGGGCTCAAGCTTTCAATGAGGCGGAGTATAGCCACCCAGGCTATAGTTCTACAAATGATTTAAATCAATACCCTTATACGCCAACTATCAGCGATGCTTATACACCAACTTTGAGTGAAAGCTCAAGCTACACCCCTTCTTCAAGCCACAACACAATTTCCAATAATACCGAGTCTTCTACTACCGAAGAATTTTCAATCCGTGCTCCTGTGCCACTTCTGTTGAAGTCACTGGCATACTCTAGTTCCTCGCCAAACCTTGGATCTCATAAGATTACCAAGAAACCATCCATTGCACGTATGAATAGCAATTCTACCATCAGTAACAAAAAGAGCTTGGTGATCTCTACCCAAATTTCCAACTCATCAAATAACGTCCCTCTTGGTGAATCTTCTCCGCAAATGCTCGGAATCTCTCCATTGTGCAACAAATATAAAGGATTGGACATTTACCACCAACCTTCCCCAATATCGGCAAGATCGGTTTCGAATGCTTCCAACTGTTCCAGTGGTTCAACTACTTCCGTGAATACTCCAAGTAAGCCATTGATGCCTCCATTGAACATCTTCCGTCATAATTCCGATTCATCTTCGAGTTCCTCATTTTACGAGACCCCAAGAAGAAAAACCTACCCAAACTTTAATGATGTGCCCACACCAAAGAATAGGAAGCAAGCTTTGAGAAAGACATCAAAGAGTGCTCTCATAATTGACTGCGGTGATTCCAGCACCCCAGGTGCGGAGAACAAACCAAAAAAGTACACCCGTAGAAGACTTCTTCCAAGATCCAAAAACGGTTGTTGGATATGCCGTATCAAGCATTTGAAGTGTGATGAAAAAAGACCAGTTTGCACCAGTTGCGTTAAGTTTGGTATCGAATGTGATTACTCGGCAGAAAAACCGGCATACGTTACTGACAAGAACTTGAGAAAGGAAAAGCTTACGAGCATTACTTTAGTCCGTAAGCAAAAGCAAACTGGGGGTAAGAAATTCAAAATCGAAGACGATGATGAAGATGCAATCTCATCTGCAATTGAAGCAGGCCGTTAGCCGCGATTGGTCAAAATATTGAGTTCAAATTATTGAGACTGATTGTGGGCAGCCATAGTTTCACTTGGGTGCAAAATCGTATACTTCTTATTTTCGTTGCTGGAGTAATTTTGGAAATGATTAGATTTATCCACTCTATTCTCTACTACTGCTTTCTTTTCGTAGTCATGGTTTCGTGACTTTCGTTGTTTATTTATTTCTCCGACAGTATGTCATATTGTTCATCTTTTATATCAGTGAATCCATTTTAATGTGTCAGATAAGCGTATTCGAAGTTTTGAAATGTAGAGTGGTTGCTTGGGCATTATGTCCTTTTATACTATTGTTAAACGAGACCAACCTGACTACCGGCTCCACCAATTGCCCGATTCTGTTTCGTCCAGAAGAATGATGCAATGCTGCTTACCGAACATACCAAAAAATAAAAGTAGCGAACATTTTTAGATCCATCGTCTAACACGAAGGGATGCACAGGCCATGATGCCTGCAATAATCGCTCGCTTCGCCCGACTCCTACATATATTCCGCTTACCACTGCCCACATATCCAATCTGAAACTGCAGACCCTTGTTGGCCATCCCTTGCGGTTTCAGATGCTGTCGACTAGGATGGTTCGCGTTGCACTTTAACCGATCAAAAGTAGTCTTCGTGTACGCAGGAATTTTGACATCCCTTATGGCAAGCCTCGTCGCTGTTGAACTTCTCAACGCGATGTGGTCGTCTACTTAGCCGATGGTGGCTGTGAAATGGCGGGCATGCATTAGCTCGGGCTCGGGCTAGAGAGATTTTTGCGGAGACGATGGCTACAACAGTACATAATAGAGAACGATTTTGACGAGCACTGTGCCGCAGAGGCTCTCGCTTGACGGTACCTGACACCTAAAGATCCCTTCTGTGCGGTATCGTGTAACTTGCATAATTATTTATTAGTCTAAGTCTCGACTACCCTATGAAATACGCGGTTTTCGACTGTAGGCCCTAGACGGGACCATTTCCGGTTATTCCCATTCGCTGACTCGGAGTCTCTTTTTCAATATAGTTTCGTGTTCCGTTACTGAAACCATACTGGTATCTCCATCTTCCAAGTCGTAGTTGGCGAGTCCCAGGTTGTACTGGACCATGGAGATCGAGTCACCCTCGAATCCGATCCATGGCCCATGGAGGGGGTCTATCAAGTAGGGGTATGTGTAGTCGGTGAACTGCTCGCGTTCTTCGTCAATCGTGGATGCCCTCCTCTTGAGTCTCCCTGCTCTATAGTCGACGATAGATTGACTTCCAGGTAACAACACGGAAGACTCGTCTAAAAACAGGGTTTCCTCATCACTATTGTTGTAAGATCCATCCGTATTGTTGACTGCGCCATCGTCTTGTTCATTGGAGATCAGCAGTCTATCATCGTCAAATTCTTTGTCAAAGTTGAACGGATTCTGAATTGCTCTTAAGGCAATAAACGTGTTTAATGGTAAATAATATTTCTCAAAATTCCAGATAATGAATGCTGTAGCAAGAATTAATGGAGAACACAATGCTGCTAACAAGAGTGCTCCTTCCAATGCCAACGTACCACACATAAACAATTGAAATATTAATATACCCAATATTAATCTTCTGAATATCATTGGCCATACCTTACCTGTAGAATGAGGTGGATGAACAAAGTTATAGACCAACTGGTACTTGTACACGAAAAAACCCAAAACAAAGTAGACCAAACCACTGGTCACGATCTTAGTTGAAACAACAGAGTAGATCAAGATGATTATAAAAATCATAATATGTTGCGGCAAATGGATCCCGAAATCAAATATCTGTGGAGTGTAGTAATAGCTTCTATAGTCTCGAGGGGTCTTCAAAAATATGGCCTTGAGAAGGAAGAACTTGCCAAAGATGTTCAAAATTAAGAAATCACTGATTTGAAGTAATTTAACTGGGAACATTGCAAGACCTTGCAATAGAATCAAATCCACATAAAACAAGGACAATTTCTTCAATGATCTAGCTAATTGATAAGCAATTTTGGTGGTATCACTAATATATGAGATATAATCCCAGATTGTACCTGTGATCATGAAAACCAAAAACAAGTTAAAAAAGATAAAGAAAAAATTCTTCAGGAGGGTTGATAGCTCAATGTCACTATTCGAAAAGTATCCTTGATGTCTTGATAAATACTTGTAGAAGTATGGTAACAGGATATTCAATAAGGAGAATAACAATGGTGGTAAAATACCAGTGACAAATGTAGTTAACCATTTCGATTCACTAATAAACTCACCGAGGGCTGGGAAAAGCTTTTTTATAGTCTTCAAATCCAATAACGTAGTCAAGGGAGTAACCAAGAAAACGATAAAAGCATAACTTAGGATGATAGTAAAAGTAATTAAGTATGATTTAGTTAATTTTTGGTAATAGGATAATTTGAAGTTTTCCCATCTTATATCTTTTGGAGCTGGTGCCAAATTGACAATCAACTTATAGACACGAGGATCCAAAACAGTCTGAGCAGCCATTTGGGCGGACGCAACGGAGTCCATAGTAATAAAAGCACTAGATACTTGTTTAAATTCGGGATTGGCAGAAAGGTCAATTGTGGACAGCGTTGAATCAAATTTCTTCTGAATATCTCTAATCTTGAGGTTGACTTCGACGAGTTCTCTGGATAAATCAGCTATCTGCTTTTTGATTTTCCGATCTTTTGTAGAGTCTTCTGCCACATGATTGAGATCTGGCAAGACAGAGGGGGTCTTGTTTTGATTATAAATATCGATGTTCAAATTATAATGTGATGCATACTTATCTTCCAAGGTACTGATAAGCGACTTTCTTTTTGCGAATAATTTCTCCAAAGGAGTCCAATCATAAATCAACTTCACATCCATTACTTTTCCAATCCCCAATCCCTCAATGAAGTTTTTTAATACCAGAGGGTTGTTCATCCTTAAAAGTTTCTTGGGGATCCCATCCAACCGAATGGTTCTATCGGTAATCGAGTTTTGGGACGCCAAATACTTCTGTCTTGTCTTCAACACTTCTTTGGTGAATTGGAAGATGTAGTAGTAGACTATAGTTGAAAAGACATACGTGAAAATAGGATACACCCATAAGTATGTTGGAAAGTCATCGCTGAAGTCTGGGGGTGCCGGCTTTGGTGCCTCGTGGTATATGTAAAAGGATCGTATTATCGACAAAGCTATGTTGTCCTTATCATAATTTCCGGTATAGTGATATCTGATAGGGCTGAGAATGAAGATCGCCATCAAGGCCAAGCTCAAGAAGATCTTGATGCCCATCTTGAAAAATGCTAGAAACACGTAGGCATCCAACCCCGAGTATGTGAGGATCTCTTCGTCAGTGATGGAGTAGATCACCGACATCCACCCGAAATACTCCGCAGGCAATGGCTTGAGGACCTTTCTCGAGCCCTTTCGTAACGTTCTGACTGCATAGATATGGGGCCATCTGTATCGCAAGATGCAAAATAGGATAAGCGATGCTATGCCCGTCGCCAGACATATGATTAATTGAGCGGTGAAAACTCGCTGCTGCCCTCGAATGATAATGGCATCTGGAGGTGGATCATCCAATGCCGCTCCCCAAGTCATAATGATGTAGTGGCGAGAAGGAATGTAATGGAGAGTTGTTGCTCCTTTTGTTCCTCGTCATATCATTAAAACATACGCGGTTCTACAATAGTGGCTAAGGCCGGATGCCGGATTGAGAAGTCAGTGCATGCGCGAAATAGATGGATATGGAAGCGAATGGTGAAAGAGACAGTGGGCCTGGTGCTCCAACCAGAGTGTGGCAATGTAGAGTGTGGAGATTTAAGACTCATCCAGAACGCTAGAATATTCAGGTTGGTTATTAGATTTATTTGCTCAGGTTGTAACACTTGGGCTTTTGTAAGGTAAATAGATGGTTGCCATGGGAAATGAAGGAATAATACATTTGTTGGAATAATAGATTTAGTGCACTAATAGATTTGTTGTACTCCCGGGCGATCTCCGCCCAGCTTATGTCTATGATGGGTGCAAATCGTCACTTTCCTTGATTTTCAAGTGCCTCGCTCACTAATGAATGCTTGTAGATAAGAAAAACTACCACTGGTTTCTTCAATTAATTTTATTACAAAAACTCCAACCGAACTTACCAAAATGTTAGTGAATTCAAAAGAATACAGTTGATTGTTCGGACTAGAGACTGAAAGCTATCAGCCAAAGTCCGGTTCCCTTTCGGCTAAATATACTCCACAAATTCACTTTTCACATACCAGACGACACTTTCTAGGATACCAGCAGTAAAATGGGAATATTGAGCACTCCCTCTACAATAGCAATTATACTACCCGTAACATATGGATGCCATACTGGCGTACCCCGTCGTTTCCCCCATTCGTGATTATAGATATTCACGTGACTACCTTGTGTCAAACGGGGACAACGTCGAAAAAAACTGATACTTTCAGATTGATAAATTACACAAGAATCACCGGTTCCAAAGTGTACGGACCTTCACAAGAGCTCCCACCCGTTGAACCTTCCCTTCTCAAAGAACAGGAAAATGAGTGACATCTATGTGGTGGTGCATATCGCTACCACTTGTGATGAGTCTACCACCTACGTGACTAAAGACGCAACTGAGATGATCGAGTTGGCATGGAATGTGGTGGATGCCACCACCCTCAGTAGCATTCACCTGGACTCGTGCTTGGTCAGACCCGTCAACACTCCCATAACTCCGTACTGCCAACAGCTCCATCGGATTTCATGGGAACACGTCCGCAACGCCGGTTCTTTCAAAGATGCTATGACCAAGTTCGACAACTACATCCAGAAAAACTTGATCCAGGAGGAAAAGGAGTTTTCTTTAGTCACGTTTGATGTATCCAAATTGAGAGTACAATTACCCAGAGAAGCCAGAGATAAGTCCGTGGTATTACCTCCGTATCTACAACACCCTCGTGTATTTGACTTGCAGAACGAATATATCAAGTGGCAGAGAACTCATCCCGAGGCCTTATCATACACAGCATCATCGTTATCCAATATCATCACTGCATTAGAAGTTGAGGTTGAAAACTCCGATGACTTCGTCAAAGCCCCTAGTTCTTCCTCCTCCACTCCTCCACCTCAACTGAACAATTCATCTTCCGAGCCATCTAATATTGAACCAGGTGTGAACAGCGAACAACAAGAACAGCAAGAAACCAAGAGTAAGTCAACTGTCAACTTATACAGCAAGTTGTTAATCCAATTGGCCAAAAAATCGTTACCATCAGAAGAACATTCTTCGGTGCTTGTGAAGCCTTATGATTCTGCTCAAGACGTAAGGGTTTTTTTGGCTGAACGCTCAAAGATTCTTTATCTTTCAAATTTGCCAGCAGATACCACCCAATCTGAATTAGAATCATGGTTCACCCAATATGGAGGTAGGCCCATAGCATTCTGGACTTTGAAAAACTTGGAGGCCGATAAGAGCTCATCTAACAAGAAAAAGGGGATAGTGGGATTTGCCGTTTTTGCTACTCATGAAGAAGCAACAGAATCCTTGTCCATGAACGGAAGAGCCCTTAATGATAGAGCCATCGAAGTTCAAGCATCGTCTACGAGGGTCTTGGATAAGGCAAGTGATCTTTTGACCCCATTCCCACCTTCAAAGAATAGGCATAGACCCGGAGACTGGACGTGCCCATCATGTGGATTTTCGAACTTCCAAAGGAGAACTCATTGTTTCAGATGCTCTTTCCCAGCATCAAGTGCCGTGGCGATCCAAGAATCTATTTACTCAAATAATCATGTTGGTTCACGTCGCAACACAAACAATAATTCCGGCCCATCGAATGGGAACTCTTCAGCTTCAAGCCAGGCCCATGATAAGATTGCCATGAATGCCGCAGTGGTCAATGCTGCAGCAGTATTAAAATCGACTTCGTTCAACTCAAACAATTATCAAGAAAACCAAATGTATTCTCAGAACCTTGGATCACTTAATACTTCTAACTCTGGTCACCACTCCAACAGTGATCACAATAACTCAAATAATCACCACGGTAACAACAACCATAACAACAGGTCTCATTATGGTAACAACGTACCTTTCAGAGCTGGTGATTGGAAATGCGAGGTTTGTGTCTATCATAACTTTGCAAAGAACTTGTGTTGTTTGAAGTGTGGAGCAGCAAAGCCCGTGATGAATGTTAATTCTCATCAAAATAACAATATTCACTCAGTTAATTCCACTGCAGCTGCTATTGCTGCGGCTACTGCAAGTGGACAACCTCTTAATATGACAAATGGATTTATGGGATTGCAGCAACCACAACCACATCACTCGGGGTACAATCAATCACGCAATAACTCGGTTAGCTCGGGCACTGGTCATTATTCAAACAACAATAACTCCAACCAGAAAAATCACCAGTTCCACTACAACGGTTCCGGGTTGAGAGGCAGTGGTAACGGAACTCCTCAACCTATTTTGTCCCAGCAATTGATGATGCTTCAACAACAACAACAACAACAGCAGCAGCAGCAAAAACAGCAAGCTCAAGCCCAAAACCAAAACCAACCCCAATCTCATCAAATGCATAACCATCCTCAATTGCAACAACAATATGGAGGGCAAAAGTATTCTTCTGGGGCAAATAACTCCCCAGGGTTGTACCCAAGCTACCCCAACCAGTCGTTGAACCAGGCTTATTTCAACAAAAATGCATCAGGTTCATATCCTAATACTCTTGGTGGTGAGGACCAAAATGGGTCTTCCAAGGGGATGCAAGATGGCTCATCATTCAACCTCCTTTCCAACCAAATCAATTCATTGAGTTTGAACCATTGAGGTGACTCGATTGATTCATACCGAGTATATTCAGTATCAGCCAAGCATATTTATCTTTTCCCCATATGACTTTGTTTGATTTCAGTTGATTTTCTTCCTTTTTTTTTATCGTGCTTGCGTTATAGTAGCGTGTGCTTCACTTTTGGGTAGTCTTTCCATAGTATTTTAGAGAGTTCGAGTTGACTGTGGTCGGCTTAATTTTGATTTTCATTTATTTTGTTGGTGATTGTTTATCGGTTGCGTGGTAACTAAGTGGTAATACATGTATCTGTTTTGCTAGATGTAACGTAAAGTATGGCAGTGTATTCCGTTTCGGAGCTAACACACTGAACCAAGGGTCTACCTTGCACGTGTGATAAATCACATGATTACACGGTGCAATAACGACACGTAAAAACAAAAGTATCACCTCCACTACAACGACAATCATATCTACAATGGGTGACAAGTACTCAGTTATATTACCTACCTACAACGAAAGGAAGAACTTGCCAATTTTGGTGTACTTGTTGGCCAAAACCTTCAAGGCCGAAAAGCTCGACTGGGAAGTTATTATTGTTGACGATGCTTCTCCAGATGGTACCCAAGAAATTGCTAAAAAGTTAATAGACGTGTTTGGTGCTGAACACATTCAATTGAGACCTCGTGCCGGCAAGTTGGGATTGGGTACTGCTTACGTGCATGGATTGAACTTCGTCACTGGTAATTTCGTGATCATCATGGATGCTGATTTCTCTCACCATCCTGAAGCTATTCCTGAGCTCATTGCAAAGCAAAAGTCTGAAAACTTCGACATTGTTACTGGTACTAGATATGCCGGTGATGGTGGTGTCTTTGGCTGGGACTTGAAGAGAAAGATGGTCTCAAGAGGTGCCAACTTCTTGGCTGCCACCGTTTTGAGACCAAACGTGTCAGATTTGACCGGTTCCTTCAGATTGTACAAGAAAGACGTTTTGGCTAAGATCATTGATGTGACCAAGTCTAAGGGTTACGTCTTCCAAATGGAAATGATGGTCAGAGCTAGATCCTTGGGATTCACTGTTGGTGAAGTGCCAATTAACTTTGTTGACAGATTGTATGGTGAGTCCAAGTTAGGAGGTGATGAAATTGTGGGCTATTTGAAGGGTGTCTGGACTTTGTTTACCAGTGTTTAATTCAATTTAGTAGGGTGTTTAATCCGAAGACTAGCTGTCCTAAGATGAACTCCAATATATGTATTACGTAAGCGGTTTCTCAATTCAATCTAAACTCTACATTTGCTAAAGCCTCAGTAATCCTCGAGTAACCAATAACCATGGCGAAAGATACTTATTTGAAGAAGATTTTGGGTAACGACAGATACAGCCGAGTCCGCCAGACTAAAATTTTGATGGTCGGGGCCGGTGGTATCGGGTGTGAGCTTTTGAAAGATTTGGTTTTGACTGGATATGGAGAAATTCACATAGTCGATTTAGACACCATTACCTTGTCGAACTTAAACCGTCAGTTCTTATTCAGACACCATGACATCGATAAGTCAAAATCCTTGACCGTCGCCAAAGCGGTGGATTCCTTCAACTACTTCGACACCAAGTTGGTTCCTCATCATGGTAATATCATGGATGCCAAACAGTTTCCCATCACCTGGTGGAGCCAATTTAGTTACATATTCAACGCCTTAGACAACCTTGAGGCCAGGAGATACGTTAACAGAATGTGTCTTTACTTGAAGACTCCATTAATGGAAAGTGGAACCACTGGGTTTGATGGTCAAATCCAGCCAATTTACCCATACTACAGTGAATGCTTTGATTGTCAATCCAAGGTTACCCCTAAAACGTTTCCAGTTTGTACCATCAGATCCACGCCGTCCCAACCTGTGCATTGTATTACTTGGGCTAAAGAATTTTTATTCCATCAGTTGTTTGATGAGGTTGATTCATCTGCTGGTGGATTGAATGACGCCGCCAAAATAAAGAGTGAGACAGACGACAAGGATGAAATCGAAAACATGACAAAGGAGTTCAACGAGTTGGTGGACTTAAGAAAACTGATCTTCAATTCAGACGCAAGAACATTCTTTACCGAGTTAGTTAATAAGATTTTCAAGGTAGATGTCGAAAGATTACTCCTAATTGAAACGTTGTGGAAGTCCAGACAAAAGCCAGTTCCATTGATTATTACGCAGTATGAGCAAGACTTGATACGCATTTTGGACGATCAAACTGAATTGCAGAAAATATTTGGTGATGAAACAAAGGTTTGGTCTACTTTGGAAAACTTGGTCATTTTATTCAAGGCTAGCGAATCGCTTCAGCGGAGACTTCAAGGGGAGGAGTCATTCCTCTCTTTCGACAAGGATGATGAGGATACTCTCAACTTTGTAACAGCATCCGCAAACTTGAGATCTATCATTTTCAATATTGAGGTGAAGAGCAAATTTGACATCAAGCAGATTGCAGGAAATATTATTCCAGCAATTGCTACCACGAATGCAATAATATCAGGATTTTCCAGTTTGAGTGGTACCAATTACTTCAAGTATGATTTCGAAGAAACTCAAGATTTCTCTCGCATCTATCAAGAATCTTCATCTATCTTCATCAGTATCAAGCCCAACAAGTACATCACATCAGCCTCACTTGTCGGCCCTAATGAAAGGTGCCCAACCTCATCAATTGCTAGAGGTCTTCTTAAGCTTACGCCTGTGGAGGTAAAAGAACTTTCCTTGAAGTGGTTGGTGGACAAATTGATTGAACAGTACGACTATGCAGATGAAGCAGTTGCCTTGATTTTGGGCAAGTCCAGATTGATCTACGATGTCGATTTTGACGATAATTTAGAGAAGAGGCTTGGTGATCTCAGTGGATTTACCGACGGTGAGCTCTTGATGGTGCAAGATGACGATGGAGAGCTTGAGAGCATAGAATTATACATATCGATAGTGGAAGATCATGAAAGTGACTATTTGCCACAAATAAAATTGGGACCCAAGAAAGCAATTACGGAGGAGTCAAGCAACGGTAGCTCGGGGGCACCTGATGTTGCAACTGACACCATAGTTATTGATGAGGAGGACGAAGACTTGGTGGAAGTTACCGAACCAGTGGTGAAAAAGAGAAAGATTGAAGTGGAGGTATTATAGATCAAAAGTAAACCATATCTAATCGAACAGTAACATCAGCTTCGCTGCTCCAATGAGCAAACTATTCTTGTAAGTGTGTCTATGCTATTGTAGAAATACTGAGATCATACGGTGATTCTACGTCATGCCTGGGATTAATCAAGAGCCTAGCTTTAAATTGAGTATTTCCTCGCCAGGAAGGCCAAACCACCAGAAGGGGCAGTACTGTCCCTTCAGGCCAATGGATACATCCTTACCCTTTTAGGTGTGTAAGTTCATGAACACGACAATACCACACTGACACATTGTGCTGCACCCCAAGAGAGAAGTTCCAGGCAGCCGGAATTGATGGGTAGTTTTGCCCCATCATGGCTCCTCGGGCCCCTACCAACCAGACTTCTATAACACTGTGCTCTGGGGCAAATGTCCCGCCAACTACAAATCCACTCGTCTACTCTTGCTATTGTGTTGCGCGCGCTTACATAATCTTCCAAGTGCCACTGTGTCGGACAAACAATATATAAAGGAATGGTGATCTGACCATTCCTATTCATCCATTAATCTCGAAGATGTCGTGGCAAGCATACACAGACAACTTAGTTGCAACCGGTAAGATCGACAAGGCCGCCTTATACTCCCGTGCTGGAGACTCCTTATGGGCCCAATCGTCCAGCTTTGAATTGCAGTCGTCTGAGATCACCGGGATTGCTCAAGGTTTTGACGATGCTTCCAACTTACAAGCCCACGGTTTGCATGTCCAAGGTCAAAAGTACTTCTTGTTGAGAGCTGACGACAGATCTATCTACGGTAAGTTCGAAGCCGAAGGTGTCGTTGCTGTCAGAACCAAGCAAGCCATTTTGGTTGCCCACTACCCTGCCGGGGTTGTTGCTGGTGAAGCCACCACTGTTGTGGAGAAGGTGGCTGACTACTTGATCAGCGTTGGCTACTAAGTATACCCAGTATAGCTTTAATACATAATAACAGAAGGTAATTGATGGATGGTTTCGAGACTCCATACCATGCAATGCGAGTAGAATCTTCCAGAATTGGTTTACCCATGAATGTTCCAGTCAATTGGGTCAATTACAGGGTGCAGAAACCTATGAATACAGTCAAGTGTAGTGCGGTTCTAGTTTAAATCGCTGCCTGCTCGTTTGTCCACCACGAGTTACGGAATGTTCTCAATCAGCCAATTGTACATTTTCTTTATCTATGTAGATAGAGACTTTTAAAGCATGCTGAAGTGCTTGGCTAGGAGGATCCAGCGTTTAGACTTGGTAGAACTTGTCATCAACACCAGCCATTCTGATTGGAAGACGAACTGCGTTACCAACTGGGTGGATAAGAACAGAGTCAAGATCCCAGACACCAACTTGGGCATAAATATCAGTCTTCAAGAACTCAAGAACTTCTTCTCTGGAGTTGGCGACAACTTGCAAGGTGCTGCCAGCGAATTCGGTCTTGGCCTCATCTTTGAAGAGAGCACCACCCAACTTGACTATACCTGACTCGACATTGCCAACGATGTTCTTCACGTGAGTGGGTCTGTGCTCAAGTCTTGGAGCGTTTGGCTTGTCGAAAATTACAACGTTGTATTCTTGGGGCATTCTGGTGGTGGATGAAAAGAATCTGACCGGGGTTCTGAACGATTTAAGTACTTGTCTCATTGGCTTTCCAGATTTTGGAGATTAGTAATTGTAAATTGCCAGCTGCTTTTTAGGTGCAGTACGCAGTGCCCCTAAAGATTGTCGGTGTCACAATTCCACCATTATAACGGTTACTGTTAGAACTTATTGTGATTTATTAATATAAAATAAAACAGTATTACATGGTAATACGATGTATGATGAGTGAAATATGATATTTTCACATGGCTATACCAGCCCAACAAGATCCCCAAAGATCAATATGTAGCAGACTATACTTCGTGGCCGACTCGTCGGCCAATTTTCACCAGTGTCTTACTAGCATCGCACTTCCTGAATTCATGACAGTACAGGTATGGAGTCTTGAGTATAATAATGATGCAATGCAATCGAATTCCTTTCAAGAAAGTCCTCCGATATAATAAAGAACCAACCGGAATTAAGCACTGGAAGCAGTGTCAATTGGAGCGTAGATTCTAATTCTTTCCTTTCTGGGGCCCAATTGGTCGGTCTTGATACCACTACCAAATTGGTTTCCGTAAGGAGAGTGACTAGGAATTAAAACGTTAGGAATAGCGGAAGTGTCGGTGATTCTTCTGTATTGCTTTTGGCCTATTCCACCCTTGTCTCTAATGAGTTCCTTGATGAAGGATGTCTTGTATCTTTTCAAGTAGTTTTCATTTCTGGCATTTTCACGTTCACCGCTGCTTTGCTCGTTGTACAATGGGGTTGAAACTAACGGCTTGTCAGTCTTTTCGTGGTTCTTGTACACCAAAAGAGCACCAGCTGCTGCTGCAATACCGAACACTTTGGCGAGGTTAATCTCGATCGGTTTGCTCTCGGTCACTTTGTGGTGGGAATCATGGGAAGAGGAGGAGTTGAATCTTCTACCGGACTGGGTTATTGAACGAGCCACCGAGGTTCTGGCTCTAGCTAACATTCTTGATGAGGATGGAGATGGATTTGTTGGTTGGAGTATTCTCCCATTTGACCAAGGAAAAAACACCTGGTCGAGGTCGCACAAAGCCACCAGCCAATGAGACGGGCGGTGTTTTCGAGCAAAACACGTGACCACAACAACGTGACATATCACGAGTGCTGTAACTCTCTGCCTGGCATTGGGGCCTCGAGATACGATTACGGGGTTACGGGATGAGCAGAAAACATGTAGATTAACAATATGTACGCTGGAAAGTTGTGGATCGTGAATATATAAGGCATCCTGGGTATCTAAGCTGTAGAATCGTGGATATAAACTTGTGAAAATGATCGTATTAATTAGGATTGTTGGTGTTGAAATGAAGATGCAATATATGAATAAATGAGGGTATGCGTATTAAATGCTTCGGGGCATAATATGGTGGACAAGCGGAATTTGTGCTTTCGCCCCAAGATGTGTAGTACTTTTTGGTATGTTGCATGAGTGCATTAGATGCAGTGAGATAAAGGTAAAACAGGGAAATCTCACCTGGAAGGTTGAATCTCCATTACGGTAGCGATGGAGAATACACTGTATGAACCTAGTCCCTGAGTCGGTGAATATTTGGAAGAGGATCAAAACTGGATGATGCTATTGCGAGATCGCACATCTCAGCAAGTATCAACTAGACCCTGAACAATAATTACTTGCTAGTAAACTTCTGCATCCAGGAGTTTCTGGACTGATGATAGCTAAGACTCAGCATTGGATTGTTGGTCTGAACGATTCCCTTTGGCCCGTTTTGCGAGAACTTGGTGACAATGAACTCGGATGCTAATAAGAATGCAGGAGTGAGCATGAACAAACCGCTATTGGTGAAAGGCTTCATGACTGTGGATAGGAACTAAGGAAATTTAAACTGCCAGAGTATTAAATGAACCTTGTATGAAAATACAAATGACTAATAGTTTTGAAAAGAGGAGTAGAAATCACTATATAAGATTTGATACGGAGATGATCGGGTGAAAATTTAGTTTGCGGCGCAATGCAAGGCGGCGCGTGCATAATTGCGATTCACGTGACGGACTAGCGGATAACCCCACATTTACAGGTGATTCACTGATCTTCCATTAAAGTATTTAGAAAGTAGACAAACAAGTAGGGAGAAGGGAAAGAGGGCATCACATGTATAATTCATTATACAGTCATTCTAACCTGAAAAATCAAACAGTACAAAACTTTTGCTTGAGCTACTTTCAGAGATACAAAATTAGCTGTATAAGTCGTCATCTTCCTCGACATTACCGAAAGATGCACCGGTATTACCAGCATTGGCGCCTTCTTCAGCTGGCAAGGTTGCACCACCGGCACCGTCTTCGGAGAATCTGAAGTTGGTGAATTGGCCTCTGGATGCTTGCAATTGTTGGGCATAAGCTTCGTAACGACGTAATTCAGCTTCGGAAACAGAGCGCTTGGCAGTCTTCATAGCTTCTTCGAAGTGTGCCCTGGTGATAAATGGAACTGGGTCCTCTTCCTCTTCTTCTTCTGCGACTGGGGCCTTCATGTCAACATCTTCAGTCTTGACTTGCTCCTTCTCAGCCTTTGCCTTTTGGCTTCTAATAGTAGCTTCGATAGAATCCTTAATGGCAAACTTGGCAGATCTTTGGACAATGTATGACAAATCGGCACCAGAGAAACCGTGAGTAATCTTGGCAATTTCTAATAAATCTAATCCTGGCTCCAATGGAGTGTTTCTCAATTGGGCTTGTAAGATGGATAATCTGGCAGTTTCATCTGGCAATGGAACGTAAATTAATTGATCCAATCTACCTGGTCTTAACAAGGCTGGATCAATTTGATCAGGTCTATTAGTAGCACCGATAACGAAGACGTTCTTCTTGGCATTCATACCGTCCATTTCAGTCAACAATTGGTTAACAACACGATCGGAGGCACCACCGGCATCACCTTGAGAAGCACCTCTTGCCTTGGCAATGGAATCCAATTCATCCAAGAACACAACGGTTGGTGCAGCAGCTCTGGCTTTGTCGAAGATGTCACGAATGTTAGATTCGGATTCACCGTACCACATACTCAATAATTCTGGACCTTTAACGGAAATGAAGTTAGCAGAAACCTCAGTGGCAACAGCCTTAGCTAAAAGGGTCTTACCGGTACCTGGAGGACCAAAGAACAAAACACCCTTTGTAGGAGCCAAACCAAACTTTTGGTATTGTTCTGGATGCAAGACTGGGTACTCAACGGTTTCCTTCAATTCATTCTTGATGGTGTCCAAACCACCAATGTCATCCCAAGTGACATTGACGTTTTCAACAACGGTTTCACGCAATGCAGATGGGTTGGAGTTACCAAGCGCAAATTTGAAGTTTTCCATAGTGACACCTAAGGAGTTCAAGACTTCAGCATCAATGGTTTCTTCTTCCAAATCAATGAGGTCCATCTTTTCACGAATTTGTTGCATGGCAGCTTCGGAACATAAGGAGGCAATATCAGCACCAACGAAACCATGTGTTTCAGAAGCAATTGCTTCTAAGTCGACATCATCAGCCAACTTCATATTCTTGGTGTGGATTCTCAAAATCTCCAAACGGCCTTCAGCGTCTGGAACACCGATATCAACTTCTCTGTCGAATCTACCGAATCTTCTCAAAGCTGGGTCGATGGAGTTTGGTCTGTTAGTAGCAGCAATAACTACGACGTTAGATCTAGCCTTCATACCGTCCATCAAGGTCAATAATTGAGAAACAACTCTTCTTTCAACCTCACCATTGGTTTTGTCTCTCTTTGGAGCGATAGAATCAATCTCATCGATGAAGATAATGGATGGAGAGTTCTTTTCGGCTTCTTCGAAAGCCTTTCTTAAGTTGGATTCAGATTCACCAGCCATTTTAGACATGATTTCTGGACCATTGATCAAGAAGAAGAAAGCACCGGTTTCATTTGCAACGGCTCTTGCCATAACAGTCTTACCAGTACCTGGAGGACCATACATAAGGATACCCTTTGGAGGTTTGATACCAATAGACTTGAACAATTGTGGGTGTCTCAAAGGCAATTCAACCAATTCTCTAATTTGGGCCATTTGCTTCTTACATCCACCAATGTCGTCGTAACCAACATCGTTCAAGTTGTTCTCTTCATCTTCACGATTGATTGGTTCACCTTCACAGTGAATGATTGTGTCTTGAGCCACGATGGCAATTTCTTCTGGGTCGACTTCCACAACCTTGAATTCTACTTGTCTCATACCACCTCTAACAGTGAACAAGTCTCCCTTTCTAACGGGTCTGTATGCTTCCACAAAGTAGGGCTTTAAGTAGAGGTCGAATAAAGATCCGGTTATACCTTCGACAGTGTCAGCGATTGGCAAGACAGAGATTCTGTTAGCGTATTTGATGTCTGGGCATGGGTGGATGGAGATGATGTCTCCTAAACGGACTCTCAAGTTGTTACGAACACAACGGTTGACTCTGGCCACACCATCATCCATATCGTCATCAGCCAACACAATTAACACGGTATCCTTTCTCTTCTTACCTTTAACGAGAACAGTGTCACCACGGAACAATTGCAACAATTCCATGGTGTTGGACGACATGGTGATGACCGAATTGTCATCGTTGACAGCATCGTCCACCACCAATGCGTTGTCCTTCTTTTTGCGTCTCAAGATAGCGGTGGCGGTACGGTCTTCAACGGACTGGGCACCGGACGCATCCAAGTGAGTTTCTGGTTTCTTGTCTTCTGCCATAATGCTGTTCTAGACAATTATTATGATTTGATAAAAAGTATGATAATTGTTCAAACTAATGTCTGGCCACTGGGTGATTTCTCAGCGTTATCTAGCAAACGTTCACTTTTGAGTTTGCAACGACTTCCACCAACGAGTTGGAGGGGGGTTGAGGTTGGGAAAATGGGTTGAGATAACTGGCGTTTGAATCTAATACTGGGTATAAATTCAACTATACGAGGAAGCACGGTTCTTGACAAAGGCTGGGCTAATTGGGTGTATGTGGGAGGTGTGTCCTTATATAGGAGCTAAAAGGACCTGGGCCTGGGTGCAGGAACAGATTTCGGTGGCGAAATTTGGCACCTATCGACAATGTTCCACCAAGTTCCCTGGTCACGTGGACAGATCCACTGTTGGGGTTGGGCTACAGTCCGTGGGGTTGCTGGTATGGGGGCTACGTTGACTCGCTAGTAGCAGGCACCATGCTGGTGCCCGTACCAAAGTCCAAGGCCAGTTTCGAGACCATGATGACATTTTTGGGCTGTTCTTCCCCTGGTCAACCGGCCAGGCCAGCTGGCTTGGCCGACCCAGGACGGACCACAGTGATCTCTGAAGTACATCTGAGCCTTTTCTTTCCAGAGATTCCTCTTGACCTCCTGGATAGCCGTGCTAGAACTCTCCAGCCCCAGAATGGTTTCTGTCCTCTACGTTTAGCCATTCAAACCCCATTCGCAGTCTCACTATTTAAGCACCCCACTCATTCGCGGCCACAGTAAAATCGAATAACCACTACAGTCTTCAGTATAATGGCCTCCGCTGCATCTAACGCCTCGTGTATCTTTTGCAAGATCATCAAGGGAGAAATCCCATCGTTCAAGTTAATTGAGACTTCGTTGTCTTACTCCTTTTTGGACATCCAGCCCACTGCCGAAGCCCATGTGTTGGTGATCCCTAAGCACCACGGGGCCAAGCTCCATAACATCCCCGATGAATACTTGGCTGATATCTTGCCTGTGGTCAAGAAATTGACCAAGGTATTGAAGTTGGACACCAACAACACCCCAGATGGTGAAGGCTACAATGTGCTCCAGAACAATGGTAGAATCGCCCACCAGTTGGTTGACCACGTACACTTCCATCTTATTCCAAAGAGAAACGAGTCCACCGGCTTGGGTGTCGAGTGGCCAGCACAGGAAACCGACTTCGAGGCTTTGGGTAAATTGCACAAGCAATTGCAGGAAGAATTGTCCAAGTTGTAGTGCTGGACCGTCAACAGAATGAATTCAACGAATGTTTATGTTAACCCAACTAAATCAATGTCCATGCTATGTTTAATGTGAAAACATCCAGAATATATGCCGTGCTGACTGAAATGTAGAATGTTCATCATCGTCTATGATTACCACGTAGTTCCATATCCGGTCTAAGATGAACGTCTAACAACGTACAACGTATAAAGTACAACTTACAACGTATAACGTATAACGTACAACGTACAACGTACAACGTTCATTAATCTATAAATCATTAAAGGATACCCCCAATAAAGCCCCCGAAGTATCCTGCTATATAACTGGTGAACCACGTCAACGTGGTGGCGCCGAATGGAAAGTAACTCACGGTATAGTATGCAACTGCCAATATTTCAATCGCACTGGTAACAATTGTCAAAAGACTGCTCTTTAAGATCACCGCTGAATATAATGTAGCAAAGACTGACCCCACAAACACTCCCGTGAACACAATTCTGGTGGGAGAAATCAAGTGCAGAACATATGCTCTAGGTCCCTGGAGTATACCAAACGATACAAGGAACAATATGGATCCCATCGACCATATCAACCCGAACTTACGGGGACGTAATGCTAACACAGGAAACAAAAAGAAGCTTAGGAAGAAGCAAAAAATCGACCCTGCAAGACAAGCTATGAAACCAATCAACCGCTCGAACCTGGAAAGGGTGAACCATGATGGCTCCTGGACCGAATCAGTCGATGTGCTTGATGTTGGCAATGCCGAGTATAAATCATTGGCACTGGATTTGACATAATCTGTCCACTCCGATAGAATAGGTCGAGAGGTGGTGGAAGGTCCGGAAGATGCACGGTTGTTCCAACTTTGGAACAGTTGTCTGAAGAAGTTCTCTGAATCTGACATGCTAGTGTATTACTGATAAGGACGGTATTTGCCACTTAGGTTGAAGGCTGCACGGGCGATCGGCTCGTGTTGTGGTAGTAATATGTTTAAACCCGATGCTTGCACTGAACAATCGGATGGGGGATCAAGGCTAGTAACACCCTCTTTAGTATTATTCTTGGAGATTCCCTATAGCGTATTACCCCAGCCACCGGTGTAAGTTTACATCATCAGATCCGGGTAACCCCTCTCTCAAAAAAATCCCACCAACCAAAACTAATTACTAGGGGCTAGACTACATCCTCATAACAAAGACACTAACCAAAATTCGACAGAGAAGCTCGAGTCTTCCATACCCAAACACCCAAATTTGTCTTGAATAACGTGCTCCCCAAAGCGCAGCCATTTTCACCCACTAATTATCACACCACAACCACTCGTTAGTAGGACAGAGGTCTAGGCGTATCTTCAGAAATTGCCATTGTACCATTGCATCCTAGCAAAATTAATACGATAATACGCTCGACACCCACTAAATACTGTCTAAGAGTTGGAATTTCCTGACAATCATTGCCAATAACTCTCAATTAGGTGCTCGCAAGCAGAGTAAACTTACCATTGTACTTAAAGAACACCATTCAAATACAGTACACCACAATGGAGGAATTTTTAAAAGACAGCCCTTCGGATTATAACAACCAGTTTAATGGTAGCTCCAGTAATGCTACCCCCAACATAGGCAATAGCCAATACAGTGGGGCAGGAAGCAGTAACGGTAATTTTCCTGGGAGTGATTTTTCCCTCGAGGACATCGGAGTAGGTTATGACAACATCAACCAACAAGAATACTTAAGTCCTTCTTCCAAACAACAGCCCCTGAACCCGATAGGGAACTATGGGGAATACAATAACGGTTTCAATCAGGGCCAAGTGGATTTCACGAACCCTGTCAATACATTGAACGATCCTTTCTTAGAAGATTTAGAGAATTTGAACTTTCCTCAGAATATGGGATTGAATCCTCAGAATACCAATCCTCAATTCATAAATCCAACCACCACTTCGAATCTTGATGAAATAATTTCGCCCCAAAATAACGCATCGCTCGACAATGGCAATAATGCCTTCTTGAATCCTCGTTACTTCTCCCCTCCCAATCGGAATGTTAATTTCAACTCGTTGAACTCGATAGCTGAAGACAGCAACACTTTCAGTCCGAATTTGTCAAGACATGGAAGCATTAGTGTTCCGAATAACCAATACAGTAATAGTTTTAATACGGTTACTGGTCCTGACCTCAACACTGGGTCCTATCTTTCTCCTCAAGCAAACTCGCAGTATGTTTCACCCAACTATGATTCGTTTGATACTTTAAGATCACCATCCAATTCGTACTTGTCGTCCCCTCCCCAATTTCAACACTCAAGAGTCCCCTCTGGAAATATTAGTACAAGTATTCCGGCTTCTCACATCAAACAGGAGGCTAACTCCAACTTGCTATCACCACCAACTACGTCAAGTATGAGCACCTCGGTGCCTAGTGGTGGTAATTCCAGAGATTCTTTACCTACAAAACAATTGACGAAAGAAGAAAAGCTCAAAAGAAGGCGTGAGTTTCATAATGCGGTAGAAAGAAGAAGACGTGATTTGATTAAAGAAAGAATTAAAGAGTTGGGTTTAATCGTTCCTCCTTCTTTACTCAACCCACAACTCTGTGCGGTTCAAATGTTACAAAAGAACACAAGTTTGAACTCAAGTGGTATCAATGACTTGATAGCCAGTATTAAGGTTAAGGAAACCAAACCGAACAAAAGCACAATTCTTAACAAATCTGTTGACTATATTGAGCATTTGAAATATGTTTTAAGTCAACAAGAGAAATCTAAAGTTGATTTGACCAAGCAAATTATTGCTCTTCAGAAGACCTTAAACAAGGATCCAAATACAGCGCAAAGTGCTCCAAATGACTTAACAAATGTTGGTAATGAATTACAATCCCAAAACAGCCAACAATTTGGAGAACTTGATTCTGCCAACCTTAATAATGAAACTTACTTTAATCCTGATGACTTTTTCCTGGACATGATTGGGAACACGAACTCAAATCTGAACGGTTTAGGAAACAACAACGGCACAAGTGACTTTTTTTGAGCATCGCTCTAATTTCAGTTTGATACACCCTTTCATGGATTGCTTGCTAATGGTTTTGTTATAGATCCAAGCAGTATGGGAAACACATATTCTATTGATTAGAATTGAGTTCACATCTCGTACATGCTACTCATTAGAGCACCTCCCACTAATATTTTCCTTTCATGATGAAGACTTCCCCTACCTCTTATGACTTCCTATATAGAATTTTGTAGTTATCTATTGTATAAACTTGTTATAATATTTGAACTTGTGTTAGAAACGTTGTTGCGATAATTCAACCTTGCCAGACTGGTTTGGAAGAAAGAACAAAAAAATTCCTTGGAACTGACCACTCTTTCTCCTTAAGATATCCCTGGATCAGACTATACTTTGGAAAAACGGCAAATAGTAAACTATCTCGTCAACACTAAATTCAGTTGATTAGTTAAACTCTTTAGACTTAGGACTACAATTTGAAACATAATTTGTTTATTACCATTATTACTTTCTGTTCTTTCTCTTGAACTTGTCAACCATAGATTTCAACTCGGTTTTGCTGTCCACATTTTCATTACTTCTTTGTTTCTTATTTTGTCTTCCGTCAAACTTTTTCCTCTTCGACCGTTCGTTCAAAATCTTTTTCATAGTTTCAGTCTTCTTGAACTCTGTGTTTGTAGGATCGATGGCATAGTCATGGTTTTCGAAGATTTCCTTGAATCTAGGATCATTCAAATCAGCTTCAAAGTTGTCTTGAGTCAACTCGTTGTCGAAGTTCTTTCTCTTCTTTCCCTTCTTTCCCTTTTGCTTCTCCGATTTCAAAACATCTTTCATGTTGAAATGCTTTGCTTCTTGTTCATCATTATCTTCATTCATCATAAGTAATTCCAATTCCTCCTTGGCCTTGGCATCAACTTCTATAGGACCTCTCTTATTCTTAGACTTAGACTTGTCATCATCCTCCTTATCACCCTTTTGTTCTTTGAACTTTTCCAATCTACGCTTACGACGTTCCTTTTCTTTACGCTTGTAAGCATCAATTGTAGACTCGAGTTTTTCTTGTGGTTCTTCTTGTTTTGTAGAAGCTCCTGGTCCTTCTAAAGCTGGGTTGAAAGTAATTTCCATGTCAACGTCATCTTCATCTTCATCTTCGATTCTTGTTTCTGGTCTAGACTTGAATTTGTCTCCCAATAAAGTCTTGTATTTGTTTTTGTTATCGTCATCGTCTTCTTGTTCGTCTTCACTGTCCGATGCTAAGTATGCCTTGAAATCCATGTCATCGATTTCTTTTTGAGAGAACTGTCTGCTGGCAAATTGTAATCTTTCTTTAGGTGTTTCGTCCCAGGTAAGCTTGACTTTAGAATGTTGTAATGCATCAGTAACAAAAGTAGAATTTGGCTTGTACTTGGAGGAAATTTTTGTGCAGACATCAGTGGCTTCATCTTGGTCGAATTCCATTTCTTCAGGAACATATCTCAAATCGAAAATGTTGGCAGTAGATTCGAATTCAGTACCATCACAATTGTCATAAATTGCTTTGGCTGTTGAGACGGAGTCACATTTAACAACCGCATAGTAGTATCTCAATCTCTGTAACTGGTACCGACGCAAAGCCTTGGAGTCATAGTCTTCCTCCCCGTTGTCTTCTTCGTACAACTTTCTGGTAGCTTTTTCCAAGCCTTCGGCATTGGTGACATCGAGATCATCATCAGAGTCGGAATCAGATTCCACCTTCTTCGACTTCTTAGATTGGAACAACTCTCTTGGTGGCCCTTCGATCTCTTCTTTTTGCATTTGCTCTTTTCCAAACTCAGATGGGAATATAGTCACGGATTTGATGAACCCACTCGTGGGTACGAACGAGACAAAGGTAGCCATAAGGTCTACAGCTTTCACATTGTCCCAATCCATATTCACCACTGCAAAGGAGCTGGTTGGATCACCCTCCTCGGGCTTGACATCTTCCAATTCAACCTCTGATTCTTCTTCAAAATCAACCGAGTTGTCATCAGAATCCGAGTCTGAGTCTGAGTCTGAATCTGATTCGGATTCTGATGAAGACACGAGGCCTTCGCCTCTGGCCCTGTCCAATTCTGCAGTGGCAACCAAAGTACTTTCAGAGTCGCTTCCACTGTCGCTATCGCTTACTCCTTCAGCCTTCAACTTGTCTTTGATTTCCTTTTTTTCATCTTCATCCTCCTTGCTGTCTTCGTCATCATCTTCTGCTTCTTCTTCGTCATCTTCTTCTTCTTCTTGATCTGCCTCTACCTTTTCTTCATCTTCATCACCATCATCTTCTTCTTCGTCGTCGTTCTCTTCTTCAAAGTACTTGTCGAAATCATCGTCATCGTTCTTCAACTTACGTCCGTATCTGTCGATTTTGACCTTCTTTCCGCTACCACTAGTGTTTAACTTCTTCAACACATCTCTCGAGAAACGCTCATCGACTTTCGTTTTGAATTGCTTCAAGTTGGGTAACTTGAAACGGGGATCATTGTGGACGGACTTGAAACGTTCGTCTGAGGTCACTGGTGTCCTCTCTTGTGTGCTCTTACTTGAGCCCTTCTTTCCTTTGGCCATCTTTTACAGTCTACGATAGAACTCATCCATTGAAAAGTAACTAAAAATTTCCACGCCATCGCGCATCGGGCATGGTGCGCATCGCTGACATCGCTAGTCAGACTCGCACCAGACTTATACTGAACCCCCACTGGAGTTATGATTACCCACTAAGCCCACCATTTCGAGGAAGGCCCGCTCTTCTCCAAGGTTCTTCAAGTTCACGCTCTGTCTGGCTTCGGCCTGTTTTTCCTCCCATTCCCATTGCTTTCTTTGTTCCTCCAACTCTTTGGTGGATCCAATACCCCAGACTTCCAAGTCGGTGATCATGAAACGGTCCTCGAAATCTGTGGTACGAATCTGGTGCTGCGAGGAGCCCTTGAAATAGGTGGCTGAGTTGGTCTTTAGTCCCACAATGTGTCTGAAAACCGCAAACTCAAGGTTCATTTCCACTGTCAACGAGACATCTCCAGGTAGGTACTTTTTGACTCCTGCTTTGTTCAATGGTTGGCTATTGCCAAAACCCACGCCCAATCCGGTATTGTTGAAATATATCAGTTCCCCATTCAAAACCGGATTATGCACGCTCTTATGGACGTCTACTCTGGGCAGAAGCGACATTATCACCGTTTCTTCGTCACCAAAGTTCTTCTTGTTCGAATGTCTCCATGGTTGGTTCACCAACACTGCATACGTGATCTTGTCATTACTGGTTTGCCATTCCATGAGGTTGGAGTCCAGCAGCTTGAAAAAACGAGGGTACTCGGTATTAAATTGTTCGTACCGCTTATTCGTCGATATAGTCTTGTTTCGGAGCCTCTTTCCACTAACAATAAACAAGGTGGGTGCCTGCCACTTGAATATTTTCAGCTCCAATGACCTTATTGAAAACCCTGATTCAGAGCCTAGGTATAATTTGATTAAATTCTGATTGGATACTTCAATTTCCGATCCTAGACTTTTCACTATGTTGCGTATCAATGATATTGAGGGGTCATTTATTAACCTCGACTCTTTAAACTTGGGAAATCCGCCCTTTTTTTTGGGGGATGCTTCTTCGGGTTCCTCTTTGGGTGCTTCCTTGGGTAATTCCTTCTCGTCGATAGAGGAGAAGATCCCTCTTTTGAAAATAAATTCAAACGACTCTCTCAAAAAGTCGGGGAAGCAAGAAAAGCCTTCTTTGAATTCTTCATAGGTAAGTGTCAATGTTGCAAGGTTAGAAGTGGTGATATTTATATTGAAATACCTCAACATTGCGATCCCAGAAGCCTCAAATTCAGACCACCTTTCCAAGTTTTTCACCATGGCTTCCTTCATGACCAAGTGTGACTGTCTAGGAACGGAACTTAAAATTAAAAAGAACGTTATGAGGAGCAACAAGTCGTATGCTTTGAGACTGAGTTTGGTCAAGTCGGTGTCATCGAAATTATTGATTGTATTGAAGGTTTCCCACTTGATAATTCTGGCCAATATTTCTGGAGGCTCCTCACCAGTCAAGGGACGTGATACCTCTACAACCTGAGCATCATCTGCCACAGAATCTTCTGCACTGGGTTTGCTTTTAGTCTCTAGGGACGAGTCAGAATGTTCTACATCTGCCCACGCCAACGATATGAATATCAATTTCAAGTAGTCGTAGTTGTTTGAGAAGATCTTCTTGTATCTACCTGAATGGATCACGTTGGCCTTTATCAAGTCCTCTAGAGTGAGCTCTCCAGTATTGGACAACGCATCCAGGAGGAACGGGAGAGTGCCCAATACCTTGAAGGAGCCGTAGAGGAGTTTGACAGTCTTGTAGATGGGATGTTCATCTGGTAGTTCGGCGTGTGCGAGGCCTAGAAGCTGGGTAAGATCACCAGGCGTGAGTGCCGTTTGGTGCAAGGAGTCGATGTTCAACTTGGAGGTAATGGCCTTAACCTCCACCTCTCGAAGGAGCAACGAGCACCGTATCTTGTATAACTTGGTAAGCTGGTCCTTGGAGAAGTTCTCGAGAATGGCTCCATTCGGATGGGCCTCCACACTGTTGGATTGCCCCATTGCTGCAGTTTGCGTAGTTCCGGGTGATGTTGTGAGTAAGTTCGCTAGAGGGTTATAGCCATTGACTGGTTTGGAAGGTGCAACTGGCGAGATTTGGTGTGTGGCAACAATATGTGATACTAACAGTAGTTTGCGGGCTTGGCTGATGACTACGGAGTTTGTGCTGGCGTGCGAGTAGCCTACCACACAAGACACAATTAGCACAGCAAAGCTACAAATAATAAGTATGTGAATACGAGGGTCTAGATTCGTATACGAAGGCTAGCGACTCAATCTGAGCAATATTATTAAAGATCGAGCGTATGGTGATCCATCAATTTAATTATAAGAAAACCTCTTGATGATGGATATACTATATGAATCGAGAATCGGATATACATGACATGTAATGATGGACTGGTCTACCAGCGAACCAAATTATGAGGAGTCAACTGGGACTAGCTCAACAATATCTCCTTCAACTTGTTCTTGGATTCGATCTCCCACAGGAAGATGGTTTTCTGGATGCTTGCCCAGGTCCCGGTGGCCATGGCCAAATCTACCTCTTCGTCGTCCCTAGAGATGTTATCGTTGTATCTCTGGTCACTGGAGTGTTGCTTGAGCAAAGCCTTGGTGAACGACAACACTACCAAGTTGAAGTAGAACCGGATCACACTGATGAGCAAGGTGCCACTCAAGGTGATGAACAACTCTCTGGTTTGTGACGCCGACTGCTTAGCCAAGTCCGCGGAAGCTCCCCGCTTGATGCTAGCAACGGGAGGCTCCACGGCTCTGGTGCTCACCCCAGTGGACAAACCGTCATCCTCTCTGCTGAACCAGAAGTGGGTGAAGTAAAGGGTGTAGAAAACCCCCACCAAGGTGTCAATGGTGTAGACGATGGTGGCTATCGACAACTTACGCACATTCTTCGGCTTGTTATTCAAGTGGATCAACGCTTGTAGGTAGAACGGCAACGTCGCAATTGCGAGCGAGTTGAAGAGCCATTGCCAGAAGTTGATGGGATGGCCGGTGAAAAGAGATAAGATACCGTAAACACCTCCAGCCTTATTGATGATGGCTATTCCAAGCACAATTTCAACTCCGATGTAAAGAGGAATCACACCAAGAAATTTCTAGAGGTTAGTTCCACTCCCTTCCGAGCTAGTCCAGTCACATACTTGTGGCAACGCTAATGCCAATGTAGAACCAATGGCCATCCTTCTGCTATAGTAGTTATGAATAGTAAATTCTCAGATCAAATCTCATCAGAAAAAATTTGGCCCTCTAGCTGAGAGAAGAGCATTCACAAATGTCTTTAGAAGAGGTCACCGCCAAAGTCAACGAGATATACGTCGACAGTTCCGACAGCGAAAGCGAACTCTCTGATAACGAGAAGCCTCGTGTGCCTAAAACCATCACCGAGAAGGAAGATATAGTCACCAAATATGCTGACAAGATAAAGACCGACCCCATCAAAAAGGGTCCCAAGGTCACCAAGGACAGGGCCAACAGAGCCACGGTTGAACAGGTGTTAGATCCTAGAACTATGAGATTTTTGGCCAAAATCATCAACAAGGGCATACTTTCCAGAATCAATGGATGTATAAGTACAGGAAAAGAAGCAAATGTCTACCACGGAGACCACGAAGACCCCGAAATATCCGACCGGGAGTACGCAGTCAAGATCTACAAAACTTCTATTCTTGTCTTCAAAGACAGAGAAAGATATGTTGATGGAGAATTCAGATTCAGAAATACAAAGGGCCAAAGTAACCCAAGAAAGATGGTCAAAGTGTGGGCAGAAAAAGAGTTCAGAAATTTGAAGAGAATACATTTGAGTGGGATTCCATGTCCTGAGCCAATAGAGTTAAGGTCACATGTGTTGGTGATGGAATATTTAACTAAGGGTAAGGGCCAGCCATCTCCAAAGCTTAGAGATCATCCTTTCAAAGATGTGGATGAAATTGTGCATTACTACCACCAAATGCTCTTCTACATGAGACGTATGTACCAAGAGTGTCGTTTGGTACATGCTGATTTGAGTGAGTATAATTCTATTGTTCATTTTGACAAGCTTTACATTATTGATGTGTCACAATCGGTTGAGCCTGATCATCCTATGGCTTTGGACTTTTTGAGAATGGATATCAAGAATGTCAATGATTTCTTCTCTAGAAAGAAAATCAATGTTTATCCTGAAAGGTTGATCTTCAAGTACATCACAGAAGAAAACCATGTGTTGGGAGTGGAATCCAACAGTGACGAGGACTTGGGTAAGTACTTGGAAAACTTGCCGTTGAAGACCGAAAATGACGATGAGGTAGAAGATGAGATTTTCAGATCCCTTCATTTGGTGAGATCGTTGAATCACTTGGAGGAAAGAGATTTCGAGAAGTTTACTGAAGGAAAGGTGGATACATTGAAAGAGCTTGTTCCCGAAGGAGCCGAAGAGGTGGATCTCGAGGAGTCAGATGATGATGACGAAGACTCCACCAACGATTCCGAGTACGACTCTGATTCAGACGAAGATTCAGACGAAGATGACGAAGACGGCGAAGGCAAACCAAAGAAGGAGTGGAAGACCCGTGAGACCGTTCTCAGAGGCAAGAAGTACGAGGACAAGGACGAAAAGAAGGCCCGTAAGGAGGCTGCCAAGCTCGAGAAGCTGGAAAAGAGAAAGACCAAGATGAAGAAACATATCAAGAAAAAGATCATTAGCAAGAGGAAAAATAAATAGATAGACTAATAGAAAAGAAAGCTAGCTTTGTTATCGAATTTGAGTACTAACTTTCGTACAAAATCAAAGACCGAGAGCGCTTTAAGCTGAATACCAAGCGATAGTCTTGGTATTAAGACAAAATCGCTAGGCCCGTCAGTAGTAGTATAGCGCCAAAAATAAGGAAAGATGATAAATTTCAATTCGGGTAGTTCGCCCACTAGATCTGTGTACTCTCTTCATCATACTAATAGACATAAGGTTCACTGCCACAAGTATTTTACTAGTTTAACATAGAACAATTACTAGTATCCTACCCCTGCTATATCTGTACAATTCGTCGAGACTGCCGAACAGCAGCAAAAACAAAGGAGGTCAGCCACTGGTTTGAAATTGATAACTAGTGCTGTCAATCCCAGAAAGACCCTGCTCAGACAGTTTAGGTGCTAGAATCCTAACCTCTCACTACTATGGGCCCGAATTTCACGCACCCCACCTAGCCCTGCACTACCTCGCTGAAAAAATTGACACGCGTCGATAAGTGTTGCGATTCACCCTGTTGATCTTACACCACAAGATGTTGAACTCAGTCGTAGGCAAATGCCTCGTGTTGTTGTTTGCATTGGCCAACTTATCCAATGCCCTTCATTTCTACTTAACGACCGGTGAAACCCGTTGTTTTTTCGAAGACTTGCCAGACAACACCTTGCTTGTTGGCCGTATTGATGCATATGAACAGGACGGTAATGACTACAGGAAGAACCGTGATTTGAAGGTGAAAATCACTGTCGACGTAAGTATACCCCCATGAGTTGCCCCCGACACCACTAACATCTAGGAAACTTTCGATAACGACCACCGTGTTGTCTCGCAAAAGTCTAGTCCTACTGGAGAATTCACCTTCAACTCCCACGACTCCGGAGAGCACAGATTCTGTTTGACCCCAGAGTATGACGATGATACCACTGGAAAGACCCACCGTATCTTCTTTGATGTTGCCCTTGGCTCAGCTCACGACTACGCCGACTCCAAGTCCACCAAGAAGGTCGACGGATTGACTGCCAAAGTCATGTCCTTGAACAACAAATTGCAAGAGATCCACATAGAACAAGAATCCATGAGACAAAAGGAAGCCATCTTCAGAGATCAATCTGAAACTACCAACAGCAGAGTCGTCAAGTGGACCTTGGTGCAATTGGTTGTGTTGATTGGTACATGTTACTACCAATTGAGACACTTGAAGGGCTTTTTTGTCAAACAAAAGATTGTTTAATACCTCTGCACTATATATGTTTCGTGCCTTGCTGGCGAAAACACGTATCATTGCCGTTTGATCGGTGTAGCCTTTCACCCTCGTAGCGAGCATATAATCCCATTTCTCACTCATCGAAAATCTGAAGCTGCAAGATGGACCCTTCGAACGAACAACTCCTAGCCAGAATCAAGGAGCTCGAGCAAGAGAACGAACAGCTCAAAGCACAGGCTACCTTACAATCTAAATCCACGTCCTCCTTTCCTAAAATAGATGACAACTTCTCCCTCGATGAGTACAAGCGGTATGGAAGACAGATGATAGTGCCGGACTTTGGTTCCTTACCCTCCCAGATAAAACTCAAGAATTCGAGCATCTTGGTGGTCGGTGCCGGTGGGTTGGGATGCCCTGCGTTGCTCTATCTATCCGCTGCTGGTATCGGGAAGATTGGTATCATCGATGATGATCTCGTGGATACCAGTAATTTGCACAGACAAGTATTGCATACTACGGAAACTGTCGGAATTCACAAGTGTGAATCAGCAAGGAGGTATATCAACAAACTCAACCCTCATGTTGTTGTGGAAACATATCAGTTTCGCCTCCAAAATGACAATGCATTTGACATCGTCAGCAAATACGACTTGGTTCTCGACTGTACTGATACGCCAGCTACAAGATACTTGATCAACGATGTGTCAGTACTATGTGGTAAAACCATCGTCAGTGGATCGGGCCTAAAGACAGAAGGCCAGTTATCAATCCTCAACTTCAACAATAAAGGTCCTTGCTACAGATGTTTCTACCCTAAGCCCCCTTCACCTGAATCTGTCACATCTTGTTCCGATGGCGGTGTGATTGGACCTGTTATTGGTCTATTGGGTATCACCATGGCTGTTGAAACTATCAAAATTTTGACCGGTTATTACACTGATGAAACATTCAAGCCCTTTTTATCCATGTATTCTGCATACCCCCAGCAACAGCTCAGAGTCTTCAAAATGAGAAATAGAAAGCCCGACTGCGCTGTGTGTGGAAATCTGCCCCAAATTCTGAAGGAAACTATTCTTGAAAACCAAATAGATTATGCTGCATTCTGTGGAACAGTGAATTCTAATGTGTTGAACCCAGATGAAAGAATTGATGTCAAGAAATACAGCGAACTCTTAAACAAAAACAATAGCCAGGTACTATTGGATGTGAGACCCAAGGAACAATTTGGGATCACTAAACTAGCTAACTCGATTAATATCCAGTGGGATCCAATTTTCAAGAAGGCAGAGAGCATAGATGAATACTTGCCACAGAATTTTGACAAATCAAAGGACAGTGTTTACGTTGTTTGTCGTTATGGAAATGATTCCCAATTAGCCACAAGAAAAATGATAGATGAACTAGGATTTAAAAATGTGAAAGACTTAATCGGAGGGCTTAATAAATGGAGCGAAGTAGTTGACTCCACAGTACCGCAATACTAATCTGGTATAACTTGTTTATAGATATTTTACAATATAATACATTATTTTTGGTTCCTAAGGTCTCGAGTCCAATCCCACCAATAATCCTGGACCAAGTAGACTATCAAGCAAAGGCAGGATCAAGTCTTTCTAAGATCAATAGGCCACCAATAGTCCCTGCAGTATAAACTGAACTTCCAGTGACATTCTCATTCCATGCTAGGGTAGAGATGATAGTCTCCGGAGGAGTTACCTGTTGCTGTATAGAGCTCTCGCTTGGAACCTCTAGATAATCTGCTGATAACTTCAACTGATTGTTCTCAGAGCTAACATTCCATAAATTCAATGGAACAGTTGCTTTATTCGTCGTTTTTCCATTGAGTAAGAATTTCCTGGTGTAATTCATGATTACAATATCACCACCAGTAGTTCCGGTAATGTTAAGTGGATGGCCCAATATTTCAGACAGCTTTGTAACGGTGAAATAAAACTCATTCTTTAATAACGTGTTAACAGTATCATGGGGTCTTGTGTAGAAGTTGTAAGCAATTGCGTCAATAGAATTGGCTGTCACAAACATTTTTAAAGTTGGATTGATCGATGGTTTGTTTAAAGCTCTCAAGAGAGGTATAGCTCTTCCTTGGATGAAATTCTTATATGTATAGGTTAATGATGAGGATCCTGTAGTGTTAACGTATATCAAATAATCATCTTTCTCCACCTCAGCCACCATCAAGGCACTGATGGAGCTATCTCCAATCCTCATGATAGACGAAGGAATGCGAATGTCATCCTCTGCATCAATCGATTTATGATAAGGAAGAACATATTCTGCTAGACAGCCATCAATCAATCCCACAAGAAGTTTATCGTGTCCTAGAAAGTCAAAAGTGGTAATGTTTGTATAGTCAGTCGTCTTGAAATCTGAATTAGACCATCCCACGTATTCGCGAGAGGAATTGATAACTTCTGATGTTTCTGGATCATTGTGACTTACTTTGAATAAATGTAATTTGCCATCAGTAAAGGTTCCTACTAAAACCCCAATAGTAGATTCATTACCCAGAATATGAATTGGAAGCCAGTCCAAGTTAGAGGTTGCACCTATTCCTGTGGTAATATAAAGCTTTTCCAATTCAAGATTATTATCATTTAGATCATATCTCCATAACTGAATTGCTGATTTAATCTGATTTGACCCCCGATTCTTATGATAAACGCTTAGTTCGGGATGAATAATACTGTCGCTTACGCCAGAAGGATTGTAAATAACCGACACTGCTAGGTAATGATACAGGGCACTATCATCATCCAAAGGTCGCGGCAACCATTTCATAGACGTAATTTGACCCCCTGCATTCAAAACAACTGCATTTCTGGACACAATTCCATTCAATTGCACACTTTCTGCGATTTTCAACTGCTTTGTTGTCTCTGACAGTCCTTTTTGAATAGTCAAATCGAACTGCTCTCTGAATCCTGAGGTAAACTCCGATCTGTCTATGGATTTTAGCTCGGGATCTGAGATATTCAAGTCCTTGTCTTCGATTGTCTTAAAAACTCTCGAAGCCAATCCCCCATTGCGTACCTCTTCAGCGATTAGCTTCTCCTCTATGTAGAATAATGATTTCTGCCATTTCTCCCTATACTTTAAAATAAAATTGTAGTAGTCTTGATCATATCCATAAATGTGTACAAACCTAGCCTGGAATGTCAAATCTCTTAACAGCTTGTTATTAGACATTCTGATGACTAGGAAGTGGCCTTGTTAATCAACTATGATTCCTTGGTTGTCTAAGAGTTGTTTACAAGATCTTGAAGTCTCAATCCAAAACTGCAATGTGGAGTAGATAACCTGTAAATTTCGCTAGATGCTAGAACTCGCTTGTTCCAGAGCATGACATGTTTGATGATGATTACAGCTTGATATGCTGTCTGAAACCCCTACAGACAATGTACAAACCGATAAGGATAATGTTGTGGAATCTAATCCAATATCCAGCCCAGCTGTATCGGGAACCCCTTCACGGAGCAAGAAGAAAAGGATGATTATTGAAGATGACTTCTTCTCATTGAGCTCATTCTCTGATAAAAAGAGCAAGAAGAAACAAAAGGCTAAGAAACAAAAGTCAACAGATGGTGAGAGCACATTACCTCGATCAGAAGAGTTAGTGACAGACAAAACAGAAAATATTGTCAACTCGACGCAAGATGTAGTCGAGCCTAAGGAACAGATAGACAAACCCTCAATAAGTACACCACAGACCTCTGGTCCTGAGGTAGAATCTAGCAAATTGACAGACACTTTAGTTGTCAAAGACTCGACGCCTAGGCTCGAGAATCTCAAATTGCAGGAATCCCCTCAAAACCCAAACAATAATGTGAATCCTGATTTGAAAATAAGCGAAGAGGACGAGTTAGATATGTCCTTTATCAATAGTCTCGTTGATGACCAGGATGAGGATGCCTACAAGTTCTCTGAAGAGAACGAGAAGAAAAGAATGTACATCATTAAAGTATTCACCAAACTTGCGACTCCCAAAAACTATGATACTACCGCAAGCTCTGACTTTGGTGCAAAAGGAACTAAATTATTTGGAAAGATTTTGGAAGCAATTATTGAAAACTTCAGGTCACAATTTTCAAGAAGGTTAAAAGCTCCCGAATTAAAACAATATGACAGTTCTCTCAGCAGCTTGATATGGGTTGAAGGTAAAATGGAAATCAAGTCATTTTTTAAACCAAGTACCCTAAGAATAGAGCCGCCCCAACCTTTTGATATCCTAGCTGATGAAGTGGAATCTATGGCACCAACTTTTCTCACCTGCATTCTAATTCCAAAGGAGAATGTTACGAACTATTTGCAAATCTATCCTGAGTTCAAAGCAAACAGAACATATATCCCAATTACTGATATTCCTTTGGAAACTAAAGAAAATGATTTGGAAGACTTGTTGAGTGAAGAGGATAATGATGTTGTGGTCATAGATGAGGACTCACCAGCACCGGAACCAAGTAAAGAAACCGTATCTAAAGATGCTTTCTTTGTCATAGGCTTAAAGGGAAAGGATAATAAGAGGATAGAGGTAGAAGTATCACCTCAAACTCCACTTAGAAAGCTCTTGATCCATTTTTTGAAAGTCAAAGAGCTCGACCCCAGCTCTGTTGACTTTAACAAAGTTAAATTAATCTTTGATGATGAAGTTTTGGATTTGGATGATACAGTGGAAAACACAGAACTAGAAGAAGATTTCGAGGTTCAGGTTGTATTATAATAACGATGACTTAGCACACAGTAATTTTACCACATAATAGAAGTATGTAAGGATTCTTACCTCTTTGGCGAAAGAATCAAAGAAAGAATATGTAGCGCGTTTTCGTATTGCAACATTATATCGGAACACTTCTAGCTTTGCTAGGATATGGTAAATCAAAAGTTAGGTTTGAAAGAATGATTAATTCCTTATTGAACGAAAGCTTTTGCTAATATTACTCTCAAATCTAAACAATTGAATGCATGCGTAGGGAAAGGTAACCATAATTAAAAAAATGCGCAAACCCGGAATCGAACCGGGGGCCCAACGATGGCAACGTTGGATTTTACCACTAAACCATTTGCGCAATAGAAACTCCGCGACGGGGAATTGAACCCCGGTCTACCACGCGACAAGCGGTAATTCTAGCCACTAAACTATCACGGATTTTTCTTGGTATGTTTGTGCTTCTAGTTAACGAGTGATATTGTGATTATGTAAGATTTTAGTAACCAGTTCTTTAGGTTTTTGCCACTTACGGCTTTTCCTTCACTTTTAGATAAAGATTAATGCTTTCAAAACCTTTTCATGCTCTTATTTAGGTCCCTTATATGTTCAATACTGATCCTTTTGTTCAAATATGGCAAATGGGGGCAGCTCTCCGGTGATAGTGCTTCCCATTAAGCATTAAAACAATATTCGCCTCATAAACCTCCTACAAAAGAGTAGCTTTTAAAATACAATTAAATCTGATAAGGCCGGCTGTCATACTGCCATGAAGCCATCTTTTCGACGGAACCAAAAATTAAATTGCAATTTTTACAAGAAAATGGAAAAATTATATTGAGAGAAATTTTCATTGAACAAACACTCTTGATAAACCTTAGGTTCGAGCTACTGTTCTTACAAGTTTTTCAATTTCTTTACTTTGATCGTCTCACGTTAAATTATTATATATGAAGAATTATACTCTATTGAAGGAATGTAGTCTTGAATTTGTGTTTCGTCTTGGCCCATCCTGTCAAACTTGCCATGTATCTAATTTCTTCTAATTCTTCTTCACTTTCGTGATATCTATCGGTTTCGAAGTCCATGTCTTCAAACTTGACGAATTTATCCTTACCCTTTTTAACTATCCACCAGAAAACGAAACAAGCAGGGAAAACAGCCAATTCGATATAGTTCTGGAAGAAGGATGCAGTATCCCATGGAGAAAATGAAGTCCATCCTTGAACTAAGATAACAAATCCACCAAAAATGACAACGAACCATGGTCCGTATGGGTAAGTCCAGTTTTTGAACAAAAGTTCGTGAGTTTTGCCTTGATGTTCCAAACCTCTTCTGAAACGAATACTGGTAACTCCAATAACCCACCAACAGATTAAGTTCGAGAGACCAACAATACTTTGTAACCAAGCCCACAAAGTACCCGCACCGATGAAAGAAGATCCAAAACAAAGACCACCGCAGAACCAAGTGAAGATGACAGCCACGTATGGAATTTTAAAACGGTTAACTTTGGTGAAAATCTTGGGGAAGTATCCTTGAGTTCCCAAGTTATAAGCAAGTCTGGCACCAGCAAAGAGGGCATGGTTACCGGCAGAGATGACGGAAGTCATGATAACGGCATTCATGAAACTACCAGCACCCTTAGCACCAACCATTTGGAAAACAATAGTAAATGGAGAAGTAACAACATCACCACTGGACAACTTAGGGTAGTCGTATGGAACGTTCATGCCGATAAAAAATGCAGTGAAAATGTAGAAGATCAAAATTCTCCAAAACACATTCTTGATGGTTTGCTTGATGACAATGGTGGGCTTCTTGGTTTCAGCAGCAGTCAAGGTAATGGATTCAACACCACCATATGCGAAAGAAGCAGTGACGAAAACATTTGCAAAACCTCTGAAGCCGTGCACGAAAGGAGCATCTCCGTAACTCCACCATTTGAAACCAATGTATTCGTTAGTAGGGTTGACACCTGCATTGCAGATGATACTGATGATGAAAAAGATGATAATCGATACCACCTTCAAGATGGCCAACCAGTATTCGGCTTCACCGTAGAATCTGACGTCAATGACATTCAAGAACAATAAGAAGAACCAGAAAATCAACGACACAACGTAGAATGGAAAATCGGTCCAATATTTCATGACTAATTGGAGTGCAGTTAAGTCGGAGGCCACTGAACAAGCGTCGTTGAACCAGTAGTTGATCAAAATGGCAAAACCCAAAGACTCACTACCGAAACGACGGGCGTATGTGGTGAAGGAACCGGAGACTGGGTATTGAACAGCCATTTCACCCAAGGAAAGCATAGTGAAAAATACCACCACTCCGATGATCGAGTATCCGAGCAAAAGTGACAACGGACCACCACGGGAGAGGGCTCTTCCAGTACCCAAATATAACCCGGTACCGATAACACCAGCAATGGTGATCATGTTGATTTGACGGGCATTTAATGCTCTTTTAAGGTCTTCGACTTGGCCCACGGCGTTGGAAGAGACGTCGTCATCAGACCGCTCCAAGTCCGTAGCCAAGACTGCCTTGTCTTTCTCACCCTTCTCGTAGGAAGGTTTTGAAACTTCTGACATGTTGTTTAGCAGAGTCTATTAGCGAAGATGTAGTGGTTGCCAAAAGTCAGGCCCAGCAGACTATTTAAATTGAATTGAGCATCACTAACGCCGCACCTAATCCACAGTTTGCATTAATCAGCTGCAGACACAGGTTACCGGCGGCGAATGGACGCCGTGGGTTTTGGTGTCATGTCGCACGTCTAATCTGGAGGGAAGGCTGTGTGCTACAGGGGTCAGAGGTGTACAGGCCATCATGGAGGCATGTTTGGAGGGTAAGTCCGCTAACTATTGCCACTATAGACCAACAATGGCCCTGGCCCACCGGTTGCAGCTCTATTGGGAGGACGTGACACAGAAAGATTTGCAATCACACCTTCTCACGTGACAAGCACCAAACTCTGGTGCAGCGCAGTTTCAGTCCCCGAGCGAGGTAGTGGGCTTCGCTAGACGTAGTACTCTGCCTGTTTCCACACATTTTGGGGCGAACTTATGTTCTCCCGAGAACAGCGCCTCTTCGGTGCCGTAATCGCACCATACTGTGGGGTCCGCATCCAGATAAGATCTCGCGGATGTTCGCTGCTCTGTCGTAATGATGTGTCCGAATCGGATACATTATCCCGGCATATAGATGCAAGATTTTGCAACTGTTTCAAGGTTGTAACAGTCGATCGACCAAGCTATAAGGGCCAGCTGGTCCTCCTTGTAGTGTGACTCCATGTTGAGACTCTTGCTCTATACCTGTGCTGTGCTTGCAGCGACTGTTACCCAAGTCGAGGTGGTGATGGTATACGTTCAACAGAGACCGCACCCATCTCCTTCTGACACCTTCAAAGCAGATATATTGGACCTCCACAATAGGTATCGACTGGTACACCGTGCCCAGCATTTACATTGGAATGACACCGTTGAAGCGTATGCCGAAAGCTTCGCGTCAAGGTACCTGTGTTCTGGGGTTCTTGAGCACTCTGGGGGACCCTATGGTGAAAATCTAGCCATTGGCTATACTACCACCGGGGCAGTGGATGCATGGTATGAGGAGGGTGCTGGTTACGACTATGGCTCGGAGTCTACATATAACCACTTCACTGCAATGATATGGAACTCGTCTTCCTCCTTGGGGTGTGCTACCCACTATTGCAATTCTGTTTGGGGCACCTACATCGTGTGCTCGTACTATCCCGCAGGAAATGTGGTAGGATACTCTTCTGTAAACGTATTTCGACCTAACTAAAGATTTCAGAGTGGCTTCAGTATATCGTTCGTATTCTCCGTAGCTTGATTAATTGTCTCCTTTGATAAAGGATATCATATCTTGACATGATCACGCGAGATCGATTCGTCGACCTTAACGTAGTTCTCAAAAAACGACTGGAAGAGGTTAGTCAACTTGAGAACGTCATAGGTACCTCCGGTTTCTCTGATCGAGTGCATGGACAACTGTGGGTTACCCAAATCCAAGGTCTTGATACCCAACTTGGCAGAAATAAGAGGACCGATGGTAGATCCACAAGCAGCGTCGTTTCTCACCACAAACAATTGCAAGGGCACTTGTGCCTCATTGGCGATCTTCTTGATTAAGACAATTCCATGTGAATTGGTGGCGTATCTCTGGTTGGCGTTGATCTTGATCACTGGCCCCGCGTTCACATGTGGTCTATTCTTACCCTCGTAGGCCTCAGAATAGTTGGGGTGGATACCATGTGCCATATCTGACGACAACATGAATGAGTTTGCAACGGATTGGTGGAAATAATCTCCAGCCGAGCCTTCAAAGTTGACACTGGTAATTCTTTGAAAGATATCAGGTAAAAAGGTGGATTCAGCTCCTTGAGCAGAAACAGAACCGACCTCTTCATGATCGAACAAGGAGATCAACAGAATACCCTTTTGGTTTGATAAATCCTTGGAAGCCTCTGCTAAGGCAACTGTAGCAGTGAAACATGAGGTAGAGTTGTCCAATCTGGGGGAAAAAATGAACTCATCATTCAAACCTCCAATGGTTGATTTTTGATGATCAAAGAGTAATAATTCGAAGTCTTCAATTTCACCAGCTTCCACTCCAACTTCCTTAGCTATCAATTCAATTAATGACTTGTTGTGTCTCAGTATCACGTTCTGAACCGATTCAAATTGTTCGGGGGATAATTGTAATTCTGGATCATCGGCACAACTGTGTGGCTTCTTCTCTTCGTCTGAGTTCTTGTCCAAAGCGGTTTGGCCCGCAATAGGCACCATGTTAGTTTCTTTGTTAAATTCGAATTTATTGGCGGTGTCTCTTCTGAAGTGGATGGCCAAAGTGGGGATTCTTAATAAAGGCTTGTCGATCTTCACCAAATATGGAACTGTCTGACCATTCTTAGTAGCATAAACCCTACCTGCAATGGACAAATCACGGTCGAACCAGGAGTGGGCAATCAAGCCTCATTAACTCTCCACACCAACTTGAATAAAACCTTCTGAGGTTTTCTTAGAAATTGGCTTGATTCTCAAGCAAGGAGAGTCAGTATGAGCACCCACAGCAGCGATACCGTTACCGTTTTCATATTTCTCACCCACGGTGAATGCAATGAGCGAGGAGGCGTTTCTGGTGACATAGTACTTTCCTCCTCTTTTGAGGGCAGTGTTCCAGTTGGATCTTTCGGTCAATTCTTCGAACCCAGCCTTTGCGAGCTTCTCAATGGAGCTGTTGACAACATGGTATGGAGTAGGTGAATTGTTCAAGTAATCGACGAACGATTGTGCGTGGTCTAAAGCTTCGGTGCTCATTTTTGGTGAGATATATATAGATGGGGTAAGTCCATTTATATAACCCTCGGAGCCGCACATTGAACGTAGATCTAGGCGATACGTCATCACCCAATTAGCACAACCATCTTCTTGATCTAAATCAAACACAACCATCTATCGATATGCGTTTCTGGGTAGTTTGGCTTGCATTAGTGGCCTCGTGTATGGGCCTCAAAGCGTTGCCTGTTTTGGTGGCTTCCCATAAGGTTGTTCCTGGTCTCAAGAGTGAGATCTCCACCGATAACTCACACATTCACAATATCACATCGGTCACAAACATGGTCAAGAAGCTAATAACGCAATGTTCTGCTGACGAGTACATCATCATAAACCAACCTGGCTTGTCTTACACTGATTTGACTGAAAATAAGAAGGACGATTGGAGTTTGATCAGAAAGTACTTGATCCTAGCATCCACCATTATTGGCTTACCAAGAGTAGCAGAACCTTTGGATCTCGACTACATAGAGAGGTACATCATTAGAAATTGTGATGCTGAATTGATCAAGGTGGTTAACGATGACGAAAACGAGGTTCGACCATATTACGATGTTAGAGCCAGAGTAATCCGGATCGACTTGAGTCCTCTTCCCGAGGATGCAGAGGAAAGGTCAGCAACTATTAGGGAGCATGATGACTTGATTAGAAAGATTATCCGCAAACTTCCTTCTCCCCACTACAACATTATCATGACTAGCTCCACCCTTTCGTCGTTCCATCCTGTCCCAGCTTCTGCCATGAAAAAGTACCCAAAGGACTTTGAAATATTCAATGATATTGTCAATGACCCCAGCAGACTGGAGGAAATTGAGCGCAACAACAATTTCCACAAGGTCGAGCCGTATAATCACGTCAACAAACATACCAACGAAAGATACTTGAAGAATAAGAAGAAGGATGAAATCCACCTATTCGACAATGAACTATGGGTAAAGCATGAAAGATTGGTTACAACTATACTTGTCATGGTTGCCACATTATTCACTATGAAAACAATTAATGTGGTGAACGCATTGAAATCCAAGATAACTAAAAAGAAGGCCGCCAAAAGTAACGGCAAAGGAATTATAGCAAAAAAGCAGGATTAGGAATAGAACAATAAAAATGTACAAAAAATCTAAAAGACTTTTCAAAGTATTGAATGGAATTGAAACCATTCAAATTCAATTGAAATCTTTAAAAATGTATCACGAAATCATTAAGGCGTATGCATTTCCCTATACTCAGTGCGCTAAGCTATGTACTTCTTGAATATGTTAGAATCTTAGTTTGTATTAGATCTTATGAGTAACAGTATTCCGCGTGGTATCATTAGTGTCATCGGTGTAGTCATCTTCATCATGATTCACTTCAAAATCGTCCTCCTCCTCGTCATCGTCATCATCTCCGAAATATCTGTCATCCTGAGCCGCTTTGATATCATCCTCCAAATTGTCGTTATCTTCATCATCGCTGACCAAGACACTAGCGTCAAAATACAAGGATGGATCAAGGCCTGAAGTGTCTGCTGACTTTGATGCACCATCGAGCAAAAGCTCACTCATAATTTTACCTGTTCCTGGGGCATTATTAATACCCCAACATGAATGACCGGATGCTAAGAACAAACTTTCAACGTTTGTTTCACCAATAAGTGGCCCACTAGATGAAGGAACATCGAGTACTGGTAAGTAGCATGCCTGTTTTTTGAGAATATGTCCTCTCCTTAAATTTGGAGAAATTTTTCCAACCTGTTTAAATAACTCATCACATTTTGATTTGACTACTTCAACATCGTCTGTAGTCTCCGGCACATCCACTGCTGAATCTCCTTCCCCACAAACATAAACCTCATCTTGCCTTGCATAAATTTCTGGCGATATGTATGAATAGGATCCAGTTTTGAATTCGGTAAAAATTGCATATGGAGAGACCGGTTGGTCTTTGAATGGTGAAACAGTAATCGAATGAGCTCTTAATCCAGAGATAGGACAATCTGGTAAAATCTTGGATGTCCAAGGTCCAACACTTAGAACTATCTGGTTACCCTTTAACTTGACTGACTTATGCTTACTTGAAACGGATGACTTTACTGATGTAGGCTGATAAGCAACACCCGTGGCTCTTCCGGTCTCCATAGAGAAAACTATCTCGTTCACCTTACCGATAATTAGCTCGATGGCCCCATGGGCCTTTTCAACTGCTTTTTTCAATATGAATGTGGTAAACTTGTAAGGATGGACTTGAGCAGTAGTGTCAGTTCCACCCAAAGTAGAGCACTCGCTTATAAGAGATTCTGTTATCCAGTTGAGGGTTTCGGGAAGTTTGGCTTTCGTCTTGGTTGAATCTCGTGCTCTGCCCTTTGCACTAGCATTACTGTCGGCTCGGGATGCTCTGGAAGTTTTCTTTGGGGGCTTATCTGACAAAGAGCTTGAAGAGTCTGAATCATGCCTTTTTGATTGTTTGAAGGTTTCTGGTTGGACGTCATCCTCGTCGTTGTCTTCGTCTTCCTCTTCCAAGTCCTTCAAGTGGCTTATGTCACCTTCCAAGGAGACTGTGTTCAATCTTCTGTAGCCCCACTCTTCTTCACCGTTGTATTGGTCGGATAATTCTTGATGTAACTGGAATGATAAAGGCACAATTTCTTGAGGGAATGCCCAAAGAGCTAAGAGTCCTCCAGCTTTGCCTGAAGCTCCACCCGCCACTCTCTTACTTTCCACGATAGTTATATGATACTTTTCAGGGTCAAATTTGGGATGGTGGACCAAGTAGTAGGCGGTACAAACCCCAATAATGCCCGCCCCCACTATGATGATATGATGCTTGCCCTTGTGCCTTCCGGAGGACTCCGTTCTGAATTTAAGATAGTCTGTCATGATCAGAGAGTGCTATTTGGTCACACTAGCTTATATGACTGATATGACAACAGTTCAAATTCGTTCAACCGCTTGAAACAAGTCTTGCTATAAGGTGCAAGGAAATCGGATGATTATTTCAGATACAATTGTATGATATCTCAATCGAGCACAAACGTGACTGGTGCCGCACGTGAGACAGCGTTTTCGCTGGCTGACTAACCGTGAATACACCGTGTCTAACCGTAGAATAATCAGTTACAGCACGGAATAGGCACTTTTTAGATTCCCAGGGCTACTTCGTGGGTTGTACTTCCCCGTCAATAGTTTATTGTTTGTGCCAGATGGTTCGGAATTCCACTGGGGCGGTGGGTTCCTAACTAGCTCCAATGATTGATACTGAGGAATGTTTATCTATAATCCAGCTACTTATGTACTATTTTGTACCAGGCAGCCTCGCGATATTCGCTGCGGTGCCTTGCGTTAGTCTACTGGTCTTATCGTGAAAATCGGCTAGTATTTTTCTGTGGTGGTATGATTTGACGTTCCTCGGGTGACGCAAAAGAGGGGCACATGTGGGGACAAAACCAATTTTTAGCGGCACTGCCGACTGTAGTCGCAGAAAATTCGCGGTAGTGAAGCTGCAACCAATTGCCTAACTATGCAATGTGTCAGCTGACACAGTTGCCCCACCGCTGTCAGAACCTCCGGAGATCCATTGGCAGTGGACGAGTCGGGACTTCAACCCTGGGAACACCATCCCATTTGCACAAAAAACTCGTAGATTTTGGATGCCTTATTGACGTCAATTTTCAATGCCTGTCTCGCGTCTTTCTTCTTCAAAATACCGTTGTTCTTGACCGCTTCTTTCATCAACTGGTTCTTAATTGCTAAGTACGGCTTAGGCAAAATGCGGAGAGTGGCACATAACTGCTTCTCTTCATTCGACAACAAATCAAAATCAGCAGCATGCAGAATGTCGAGTGGTGCCCGAGCATTACCAATCTTGGGTTTGAACTCTGGTTGTGGCGAGGAGTACGCTTTCCGATGTCCGTTCATTCCCATCGATCCACCGCCTGCAGCCAATGCCCCTGAACTGAGCCCTGAACCCATTCCGGATGCGCCAGGTGTAGCTGAATTTGAGTGTCTTGCACCAAGTGGACCATGTCCCATTCTTTGGTAATGCGCGGCTCTAATCAACTTGTCTTTCTCGAACTTGTTACCGTCTTCGATGGTGGTGATACCATGACGACGCCAGTTTTGTAATTGTTGTATTCTCATTCTGCATCTCAACTCGTTAAGCATGTCATTGGAGAACGAATTGAAGTCTTCAGGAGAGAGAATCCTTATGAAGGCATTGATTTTTCGAAGAAGTTCTTTTTCTTCCTTGGATTTTCTTTTATCGATACTGATGTTCTTCCTATATTCCAACAAGTTGTTCAAAATGAGGACTCTTTTACGTTCTGCTCTGGTGGTCAACCTCGAATTATAAATATCCAAGATTGTCAACTTTAACTCAATATCAGCCATCAGATCGTCAGGATCGAAAATAAGGTCTTTCACTGGAATCTCTGCGTCATTTTCTGCCTCATAGTCGAATTCTAAACGGCCAGGCATATATCCTTGAATCTCGTGACATAAGGGGACAGATGCAACGGGTTTGGCCTTTGGGGGTGGTAAGGGCATGTTTCGCCTTTCCTCCAATCTGACCTTTCGTTGTTTCATGAATTCTAAGGGCGTTATGTTATCAAACGAATGATTATCCATATCTGGCAATGGATAGGTTGGTGAATTGAGGTAGACGTCAAAATAGTGTTTTGCCACCTCTTCTTTTGACCGGTTCCCTATGTGGTCCGCAATGTCTTGCCAATTACCCAATCCAAAGTTTTCACATCCTTGTATGAGTAATAGTTCTTCGTCTGCACCCCATTCCGCATCAAATATGGGGTAGGTGTTTTGCTCAATTACATGATAGTCGTGCCATGGTTTATGATCTCCAGTTGCTTGACCAGAAGTGAAACAAGGCACACATAGATCATAGTCCGCACATATAGCACACTGGATTCGTACTCTGTTTGTGCAATCACTGGAACACACGTCACAATGGAAATGTTTACCCTTACCAGTGTCCATTTTTTTGCAATCTGGAAAGTATGCTTATTCAGTCTTATGGGATGATCAATCTAAATTTCAGATCAATCAATCAATATTTGGATGTTTTATCAGTGTGTAGTTATGCCATATAGTAGTTTCGATTCTGAAAAGTAGTCTAGGATATCAGAGACTCTTAAACTTTCACCTATTCACCTTTTGCTGGTGTTATGGCTATACATTTGTCGGTGAGATTGATGTCGCATATCACGCGTTGGGAACCGACATTCCATGTCAAGTGACATTCAACGACAAGACAAATGTCACATGTCTCACATTTCAGGGTAGGGAAAAAGCAGTCACTCAAATCACCTGACTACTATACCTCAGTTCAGAAGTGATCCTGCATTTTGCGGTCGCACGTGAATAGACACATCGCATTAAGCTGTGCGGGTCACGTTACCACTGTCCAGTGCGAGTCTCACAAAATTTTCACCGAAAAGCACTAGGCCAAAAAAAAGTAGTGAAAAACCTTTGACTTTTCCTTTGTCATATCAATAATAACTATACAAAATGGTATGTAATTTGAAGAGATATGATGGTCCATACAAAGGTGGATGACTGTAAAGCATCAATAGCAATGATCAAGTGACTCAACATATCCCAGAGTATCAAATACAATACCTACAAATGAAGAGATGTCCTGATTCTGAGATTTTCACACACCTATCAAGGGGGACTTAAGTTACAGGGGTGAATCCAATCCCCCTCACCAACGCCAGAACACGAAGCACCATCCACCAGTAATAGGACCGTATCCACAAGACAAATACTAACTATCCAGGGTCGTGTTAGAACTAAGACTGTTAAGAGAGCCTCCAAGGTTTTGATTGAACGTTTCTACCCAAAGTTGACTTTGGACTTCGAAACCAACAAGAGATTGACTTCCGAAATCGCCGTCATCCAATCCAAGAGATTAAGAAATAAGATCGCTGGTTACACCACCCACTTGATGAAGCGTATTCAAAAGGGTCCAGTTAGAGGTATCTCATTCAAGTTGCAAGAAGAAGAAAGAGAAAGAAAAGATCAATACGTTCCAGAAGTCTCTGCTTTGGACTTGTCCCACACTAACGGTCAATTAGAAGTTGACGCTGAAACCGCTGACTTGGTTCAATCCTTGGGTTTCAAGATCCCAGTCCAAACCGTCTCCATCTCTTCCCAAAGAGGTCCAAGACGTTTCGCCAAGAGAAACTAAGTATATAGTTAATCTAACATTGTACTAATTGTATGTCGTAACATAATAACTGCTGTAGCTTTTCCCTAGATTTTTCCCTGGCTCATTGATTATGTCATCAGAACACCTCACCTTAAAACACGCGAACGTTAAATCAATTACCTCCACCAACAATGAAGCTTTCCGTTCTAGCTACCATAATTACCTTAGCTACCGCACAGTGGTACCCCTTGGGACGAGATGGTGAGATTCCTTTGGCAATAAGCCCTTATACAGTGGGTGAAGAAGTCTTAATTGACTGTATTGCCCGTAACATCGACAATGGTGAACACAAGTTCGATGATCAAGAGAGAATCATATATAGTTCCTTTCCCATCTGCAAAGAAACAGGGAAGCCATTGAGTTTCAAATACGGAATCAGTGAGGACAAGAACTGTACCATAGGATTTACTGATCAGTTGTACCATTTATTCCAATTATACATTCATGAAGATGTACCATTCAGTTGCAGATTACCTTTGAGTAAGGAACCTAACTCCATTGAAAAAGGTGGAGCATTCATTCCATTGACCTTCAACTTCAGAGGTGAAATCCACGATTCACACTTGGACGTTGATTCGTCACTCAATGTCTTGTTCTCCAAACCAACCTCCAAAAGGCCAGAGGAGAACACATTTATCAGTGCAGTTGCATTCTCATCTGGTACAAATGCTACAAGAATTGTGATCGGGGATTCCTTAACTCTTAATTTGGCTGTCAGATGGTACGACAACTTAGCTAACACCAATTCTTTGTCCAAGAATTATCAAGGCCTTTTACCATACGCTGATGGATTCTACAAACTACCAATAAATTTCGTTCCTATCAGTTATTCTTCATTCTATATCATCATTCTCCTAGTGGCTTTAACTGCAGGTTCATTGAGCTGGATTTTATCTAATTTCTACCCAAAGAAGTTGAAGGGATATAAACCAGTCGATGCAGAAACCGGGTTTAGCAAGCTTGATTAAATGTGTTTATTTATATTAAATAGTACGACACTTCTTGATAATTGCCTTTAACAACTTATCAACGTTTTCATCATCACCATTCAAGAATTGATTAGATAATTGATTCACATAAAGATTGGTCAATGTATCCTTTTCTTGTAAATCCTTCATCTTGGACTTGTAAGCAATGAATTTATTAACTGACAATTGTAATGACTCCGATAAGTTATCTGACTTAGTAGTCGTAGTTCTCACTGGTAAACTGATATCAATTAAATATGTCCTCAAGTCTTGAGGTTGTAAATTTTGCAAGTAGGCCAAAACGTGTGCGTACAAATAATCCCTGTTTAAGTCGGCAAACTTGTCAAATAAGTTCAAGAACTTCTCCACGATTTCAAAGGTCTTGTCACTAGCAAGAATGACCGTCGAACCTTTTGGAATGGTTTCAAGAATGGCTGGGATACATAAGTCAAAAACTGTCAATGCAACATCACCTCTCAAAGCAGGATTGGTTTCAGGGTTACCTAACATATTCAAATCAGCTTCTGGTAAGTGATTCAATTCTGCCTTCATCTCTTCATCATCTGGCAAATCGATCTTATCATTATTGATGTCTTCATCACCTTCTCCGACGGTAGACTTATCGATCGCTTTCTGAAGTTTGCTATTTTCGTGATCGAACTCTTCCTGTTGTTGCTTCTCGGTAATTAAACCTAAGACTTTTCTTCTCGCCAATAAACGTGAAATATAAGTTAATTCAAATTGAGCATATGATAACCACAATTCCAAAGACTCTGGGTTAAGTCTCAAACCCTTTTGGAATAAAACTCTTGCACCTTTGGCATTTGCATTATTTTCAAATTCATATTTGGCAGCAGATAACCAAGCATCAACATTTCTTGGTTGCAATTGTAACAAACGAGAATATACTTTGTAAATGACTTTGATAGCATCGCATGACTTGGCGAATCGCAAGTATTGTGCCCAAATTTCCAAATCTCCGGGGTATCTTCTTGTTGCTCTATCGAAAATGAACATAATTCTTCTGACACCCGCCCAATCACTCAAAGTAGCTTTCTTTTCAATCATTCCAGCCTTCAAATATCTAGCTCTTCTCTTACTTCTTAATTTATCAAGATTAATTTCAAATTCCGAGTATTTCAAGTAATCCCTTGGCTTGGATCCACGGCCTTGAATACGATGTTCAAAATCGGTTCTTCTTCTCATAATCATGGTTAGCTCATTCTTGTCGAACAATCCCTTGTTCTTCAAGTCCTCGAGCTCAGGAACTGATTGTTCCAAGAAGTATCTCACTTTTTCGGCCATCTAGTTATATCTATTTAGTGAGTTGAAGATTTCGCTATACTCATCTTGAGATGAGATAAATTTTCTGGACTGCACATAACCACACGATGGTCTTCGAGTATTGATCTACTCCCCAATAATACAGCAAAATCGGGTGAAAAAATTGAAGAGTCAGGAGTTCTAACAGAGTTAAAGAAGATCCGGAAGAGGATATAGTTAAAGAAGGACTTGGTCTAGTTTGTTTATTTGCAAACACTTTCAAAAACACCAAATTCAAAAAAAGGCAAAATGCTCCAGGAGGGGTTTGAACCCACGACCGTCGCGTTCCTCACACGACCGTGACTTTTGGTATAACCAAATTGTCGTAAAACGGCTATAAGCACGAAGCGCTAACCTCTGCGCCACTGGAGCACCTTGTGCGAAAATCAAAGAAAAGAATTAATATAAGGTATAAAACTTTTTAGATTTCAGGGCATGGTGACGCGATTTCAAACCAATTGTCTTTCCTCTTGTCCAGCCAAAGTTCCTAATGAAAATATTATCTAACATGAGTTGCTTCTACAAGGTGCCTTCTTTTGCGCACCAAGTTGCAAAAAATCATGAAAAAACAAAATTAAATTCAAAATTAATTGAATTATAACGGTTTGACCATAATGGTGTGTTATCCATTGCAATAGGTATATAGTCAGTAGATTATAATATACTTCCCATTAGCAAAAAAAAAAAAAAAGCCTCCTATGTACATAAGCACAACACCCCACTGTTTTCTACATCTAATCCAGTTACTTTTTTTAATTTGACGCGAAAATGTAGTCTGTAGCGAAAATTTTAGGTATCACGAAATAGCATTATCATTAAGGTAAATCAGACATTGTCGTTCTGAATTATGAGTCAATACTTTTATTGTAAGACAAGTATTTGGTAAATTTCTGACTTCACTTAATCTCAAAGAAGCATTCGAATCATAAAAACAAAGCTAGGAAAATTGCCATTTCGATCCCTAACTTAGTAACTACTTTAAAGAACAGAGGGGCTTCTAAACTTCTATATTCTACATATTCGTTTATGTTTTGTGAAATCGGTAGCGAATAAGAGCTTATTCTTCTTCATATCGTAATTATTATAATGTTGAAACTGAGAGCAACTGTACTTCAGTCAAAAGTAAAGTTGTTTATTTCAATTATTGCTTGAATTGACTACGTTATATTTGGTTATCAAGTCTTTTAAAAACGATTTTACTATGAATGACATCTTTCCGAGTCAGTTTTGAATTTGTCCAGGATGTTTGGAATTTCATTAAACTTCTCTCTGCAGAGTATCTATTTATGGCTTCAATTCTCGAGCGAACACTAGCTAGTCTTCCAACCACCATCAAACTGTCTTTCTTCTTGCCCAGGCACAGCTCCTAAGGAAAATTTGATCTAAAACGATTTACTTTTTAAAGGTGCCGTGCACCAAGTTGCAAAAAATTCAGCAAAAAACGAATCTAAAATCTATTAAATTAAAAAGGCTTGACTGTAATGGTGTATTATCCATTGCAATAGATATATAGCCAGTAGATCATAATATACTTCCCATCAGCAAAAAAAACTAATCTGGTAAAAGTCAATTGCTGTAGTGTTGTTCATGAGACCATGGTGTATAAAGTATAGTTAGAGTTATTCATATTTTGCTGATGTCCTATCTTAAATAAAATTTTACTTGTTCTTAAAAACGCCCTGTATTTCCTTATTCCATTTGAAAAATGCCAATGTTCGATTATTGCCATAGTATCATCAGAATGGTTTTACAAAGCTCTCGATACCGTTAGCTCAAGTCAATGGAGGCATGCTAGATCCATCCATATTTCAATAATTGAAATGCTGGACTAATGTTAAGCCTTCTTGCCAATCTCTAAAGAAACGATACAAGGACGAAGCATTGGATTCGCAAACATTGTATTATCTTTCATGATGATCTACCGAATTTTGCTAATGGTACTTTTTTAGAAAATTTGCCTAATGCGACAAATATAATACTTATTCAATTTTTTCGTTATTGTATTCATCATAATTTTATTTATGCTTTAAAGGAGGTTCTAGTGACAGGCTATAGATCTAGTAGAATCTCTGCCCAAGCCTCCCCAGAAATAATTTCCAATTGCAGCACCTACAGCCACCGCTATCATGATCCAGCCGTTGTATGTCATGAACACCAACATCAACAAAAGGGCGTATCCAACTTGGAACCCATACAATAACGAGTGCTTCAATTTGTATTGCCTTATGGCCACTGCACTGGAATTGACGGTTGCCCCAGTTAATGTATTGGAATGAGACTTTTCCCACAGCTCAATGGCGGATTTGATGAACTCGTAGCCCGCAGATATTATGACAAGGGCAATCAAGGAAAGGATGAAAGAGTTAAACGAGCGGATATGCCACCACTCGAAGATAACACATGTGTTTCTATAGTCCCACGTAAATAACATCTGTTTGTTAGTACGGATCCACCAAGTACATAGATGAACATACATTCATGGAACACCTGTCATGTGGCATGTCCGGCATGTCTGGCATGCCATGGCCCATATCCGAGTGATCCATTGGAGAAAGTGCTGGAGAGTAGTGATTCATGGAGAAAGGGCACCTTATAAGGGTTCAGGAGTGGAGCGAGCTAAATGTGCGATCAGTTTAGACATTTAATATGCTCAGGAACATGCGCAGATAAGAACAAAGCGTTGTACGTAGACGACCAAGCGCAATTGTAGTGGAGGGAGCACGAGAACACGACTGGCCACTAAGCCCCCAACTGAGACTACCCGCTACATGGTAAGAGGGAGTGTAAAGAAGTCGTTTGCTATACATGGTGAGTCCTACCTGCAGTACCCGGACCTGATATAACCCTCAATTCCAGAGTCGCAATTGATCACCACATCCACCGATGAAGATTCTTGACAAAGAAGAAAGGCAAGCTCACATCTCTCACATCACCACCGAAGGGTTCAAGGGGTTGGTGTATGGGTCCATTTTGTCAACCGGGTTGTTCGCCTATTTGAAGAAGAGACACGCTGGTTTCAACAGGTTCAGTACCAGTATCAAGACATGTATTATTGTCATGCCCACCATTTCGCTTGGGGCCTTTTTTGCGGACCAAGGCTCCTGGGAGTTCGATAAGCAGATGCACTCTTCGGCGTATACCCAAGGAAAGCTCTTGGAGGAGTACAGAGAGTGGAACAACTTGTCCATGAGTGACAAAATTTTTACAACCTTGAACCAATACAAGTATGAGGTGATTATCACCTCATGGGTCGGCTCTTTGTATGGGTCATGGGTGTATGTTAATCGTGACAAGATCATGACCACTTCCCAGAAGGCCGTGCAAGCAAGAATGTACGCACAAGCCATTACAATTGTGTTGTTGTTGGGAACAATTCTACTTGCTATGAAGGAGCAAGAAATTAACAAATCGAAGCCCGCTCCACTTCCAGCATGGAAGCAGGTATTGTTGGATAAAGAGGCTGAGGAGAAGAGATTATTGGAGAGCCACAAGGCCAGAGGTTCTAAGGCCGAATCGGAGGAGAACTCCAAATAATGAAATCCAGAACCGTTCTTGTAGATATTTACCTAGATATTTTGCACCCTTTAACTTAGACAATGCATTACAGTGACGTCAGTATAAGCTTACACAGTCTTGCCAGGTACTAAACCAGCTGGGCCGAAGTTTCGTCACGTGACTTGATACACCTGATCTCGATGTTTAAATTTTTTATTCTGATTTACCAATACTGCCAAAGCACCCATGCCTCCCAAGAATAAAAAGCAAAAGGAAGTCGTTCAGGATGAGCGTTTTCAAGCGGTCGTCTTGACCGACTCCTTTGAGACCAGATTCATGCCGTTGACGTCGTCCACTCCCAGATGTTTGTTACCATTGGCCAATGTCCCATTGATCGAATACACCCTCGAGTTTTTAGCCAAGGCTGGTGTGAACGAAGTGTACTTAATGTGTTCATCTCATGCTGATCAAATCCAACAATATGTTGAGAAATCCAAATGGGTTTCAAAAAACTCCCCATTTAAGATTACTACAATTATGTCTTTAGAATCAAGATCCGTCGGAGATGTGATGAGAGACATAGACAATAGGGGTCTTATCAGTGGTGACTTCTTGTTAGTATCTGGTGACGTTGTCACTAACATTGATTTCAACAAAGCCATGAATGTGCACAAATACAAAAAGCAGCAAGATAAAGATCACATTGTCACGATGGTATTGACCCAAGCATCTCCTTTGCATAAGACCAGATCACAAGTCGAACCAGGCACGTTTATATTGGATAAGAAGACTGACAGATGCTTGTACTACTCCAGAATTCCTTCCATTGATGGTAGAAAGACCAGTTTGAACATAGATCCGGAATTATTGGAAGACATAGAAGATGAGTTTGTCATACGTAATGACTTGATCGACTGTTGTGTGGATATTTGCTCTCCTCATGTTCCACAGATCTTTCAAGAGAATTTTGATTACCAAACCTTGAGAAGTGACTTCGTCAAGGGTGTGTTGACCTCTGATTTGTTGAAGAAAACCATCTATGCATACATCAGTGATAATAGTTCCGAATACGCAGCCAGAGTGGAAAGCTTTGCTACATATGATGCCATTTCTCAAGATATCTTGGCCAGATGGTGTTATCCATTGGTTCCTGATTCCAACTTACTCGAAAACAGCTCTTACACATACGAGTTCAATCATATCTACAAGGAAGACAAGGTCATCTTGGCTCAATCGTGTAAGATTGGGAGCCGTACTTCTATTGGTTCCAACACTTCTGTTGGTGATGGCTCCAGCATCCAGAAATCGGTAATTGGTAAGAACTGTCAGATTGGTAAGAATGTTACCATCAGCAACTCATACATCTGGGACAATGCTATTATTGGCGATAATACCGTTATAAACCATGCTATTGTTGCCTCAGGTGCTCAAATAGGCTCCAATGATGTATTAAGTCCTGGGGTAGTCGTTGGCTTCAATGTAAAGATTGGTAACAACAAGGTGCTAGCAAACAACACCAGGGTAGTCGAAAGTCCAATAGTGAAGGAGTTTGAATCCTTCGATGACTCGGCGGATGAAGATGACGACAGCGAAACCAATATTGAAAGTGCTGAGAAGCCAGATTCAAATGTGGTAGGAGAAGATGGTGTCGGATTTGTTTATACTTCTGATCTGGAAGAAGATTCTGACGATGACGATGGTACAAATCAATACAGCGGAATAATTTATCAACTTAAGTCCCTCAATGTTTCCGACGAATCCATTGCATCGGTTACAACTCAAAAAGTTAAGAAACAACAGAGAAAGAACCGTAGATCATCTGTTATTTCCACTGATTTCGAAGCATTTTCCGAAGAAGAAGAAGAGGATTTTGCCAAGGAGGCTTACGCAACCGTTGAAAGAGCTTTGAACAACAATCACGACTTGGACACGGCCCTTTTGGAATTGAACACTCTTCGTATGTCTATGAATGTTACCTATCACGAAGTGCGTTTGGCTACTACCGACGCATTGGTGAATAAGATCATCGATTTTATCACCACTGATACCTTGGATGCAAAAAATGCTGCTACCAAGATTTTTAACCATTGGGGTCCCATGTACAAAAGACAGGTTTTCAACGACGAAGAACAAGTTGATTTGCTTAATATCTTCCAGGACAAGGTGGCTACAGCAGACAAGTCGTTCAACCAGGTAATCCTTTTCTTGGCCGTGAGAATCTTATACGAGCTTGACATCTTGGAGGAAGAGAATATTCTCAAGTGGTGGAGTGATTCCGAGCGCGAGGATCCCGACTACGTCCATGTAAGGGGCTTAACACAACAGTTCATCACTTGGCTTGAGGATGCCGAGGAGGAATCCGAAGAGAGTGATGAAGAGTAACCACCACACCTCCTGACTTATAGAATCGTATGATTAATATAGTGCCGTTCCACAAATATACGATAAACGACGAAAACGACATAATTCTTTGGATGGCGCGACACCCGCGACATCTTGGGCGACACATAAAGTGAATGTGATTTCTTCCTGATTTACAACATATATTTCACTAGCAGGCCACCAGAGGTCACCCGATTTCTTAGCCAAACCAAGCATACTCGAGAAGATTAATACTCATTCCCGAGATCATGACCACTTCTTCAATATACGATGTGATAGTCGTGGGCGCAGGTGTGGTAGGGCCATCGATAGCCACCGCCTTGGCCCGTCAAGGCAGAAAAGTGTTGATCGTTGAACGTGACTGGAGCAAACCCGACCGTATCGTCGGAGAGTTGCTTCAGCCGGCTGGAATCAAGGCACTCAAAGAGCTTGGCATGGCCCAGGCCATCAATAATATCGAGGCCATCGAGGTTTTGGGATACTATATCAGTTTTCATAATCAAAATATCAAGTTGGATTATCCTTTGAAGGCAGATGCCAACACCACAAATGCAGTAAAGCCGGTTGCTGACTGCGTTCATGGAGACAACGACAAAATTGTCAGCGACTCCACCATCAACACTGACGCGTGGGATGAGGACGAAAGAGTTCGAGGAATAGCATTTCACCATGGTGAGTTCTTGGGAAATTTGAGAAGAATCGTCAGGGACGAGCCTAACGTTGACTGGATAGAGGGTACTGTTACCAAAATACTACGTGACGAGTTTGAGCCCAACAATGTCATCGGTGTCAAAGTCAAGCAAGATGACCAAGTACGCAGCTATCATGCCAAACTTACCATCAGTTGTGATGGGATTTACTCCAAGTTCAGGAAGGAGATCTCCCCCAAGAACGTGCCTGTGGTGGGCTCATACTTCGTGGGGCTCGAGTTGAAGAATGCCGAGTTGCCAGCAAAGAACAGGGGTAATGTGATCTTAGGAGATCATGCTCCGATTTTGATATATCAGATTTCACCAGAACACACCCGTATCCTCTGTGCATACCGCTCTACTAAGCCTCCATCGCAAAGTAACGGGGAGTTGATGGACTACATGACCAACGAGGTTTTGCCAGCATTGCCAAAGGAAACGCAGCCCTCGTTCAAGAACGCGTTGAAGGGCGGCAAGTTCAGAGTCATGCCCAATCAGTTTTTATCTGCGATGAAGCAGGGCCGTCGCGAGAACCAGGGGTTGATTTTACTTGGAGACTCGCTCAACATGCGTCATCCTCTCACTGGTGGAGGCATGACGGTGGGGTTGAACGACGCGGTTCTCTTGGCCAAACTCTTGCATCCCAAACAGGTGGCTGATTTGGACGACTACCACTCGATTTCCCGTCAAATGGGCCAGTTCCACCGCCGCAGAAAGAACTTGGACGCGGTGGTGAATACACTTTCCATTGCCTTGTACACCCTCTTTGCTGCCGACAAGACGTCGTTGAAGATTTTGCAATCGGGGTGCTTCAGGTACCTTTCGCTCGGCGGATCGTTCCTGAGCGGACCTATCGGGTTGCTTTCAGGTATGTTACCGTTCCCCATGCTCTTGTTCAACCACTTCTTCAGTGTGGCATTCTATGCCATCTACTGCAACTTTGGCGCCCGAGGCTTCGTGCTCTTCCCTTTGGCGCTCTACGAGGCCTTTGAAACGTTCTTCACGGCGGTTATCATCTTCACGCCCTACTTGTGGAACGAGCTAGTTTCGTAATGTAAATAGCCCTAATATTAATACCCTGACAGAATGACAGACGACGCTGCGGCTGGGCGGCACTTTTCGCAGCCACCACGGCCTTCGTGCCAGGCTGACGAAAACGACCATTTTCCCCTCCCACCAACGACGTCCCACCAAGGAGGCCCACCACCAGAACCAGACGCCTCGTTTGCACATTTACCGACGCACTCCCCCAGCCTCCCCGCAAAATGCCTTCAGTCCCCAGGCGGCCACCGCGAACTCCGCGCAGCTTACCGCTAAAATCCAAGAAAAAACATTCTGCGCCCGTATTGTATCCTCATGAGGCTGAGTCTGTTATGGCTGCACCATTTGGTTTCGAGCATGCTCAGCAATCTGATAAATTAATCTCACTTTTCTCTTAGTCCTCATTACTTTTACAAGGGTACGTATGCACAGCACCAGGAGCTGGCGCAATTGGCGGTGATCGTGGAAGCTGCTGCCAAGACTGGTGCCAGCAACTGCATCTACTTCGGGGAACCACCAGCTGCAGGGTCGCGATGCTGCAGTGGTGACAAGGAGATACGACCATAAGCCACCATCAGCCCATACTAACTTTAGAACCATGCCTAACTTTGAGAACGAACCCTTGCTTGGGGGCCAGCCTGGGCCCTTGAAGAGAGTGCAGAACGGAATCGTGCACACCGTGGTCAAGACGTTCCAGCTGTCGCCTGTTAACTACTTGTTGATCTTCGTGCCGCTTGGGATCATCGCTGGCGAGTTGGGATGGTCTTCCAACGCCATTTTCTGGTTGAATTTCCTTGCCATCGTGCCATTGGCCTCGCTCTTGGCCTTTGCAACTGAGGAGTTGGCCGAACATGTGGGTGAGACCGTGGGTGGCTTGTTGAATGCCACCTTTGGCAATGCGGTGGAGTTGATCGTCTCTATCATCGCCTTGAAGGACAACCAGGTCAGAATCGTCCAGGCCTCCATGTTGGGGTCCATCTTGTCCAACTTGTTGTTGGTGTTGGGATGTTGCTTTGTTGCCGGTGGGGTCACTCGTGTCCAACAAACCTTCAACCAAACCGTGGCTCAAACCATGTCGTCTTTGATGGCGTTGGCCACGGCTGGGTTGATGATTCCAGCTGCATTCCACGCTTCGTTGCCTGAGCCAAAGAAGGAGATCGGCTTCCCTGAACCCGGCAGTTCTGACGACTTGATCTTGAGTTTCTCCAGAGGTGTCTCTATCATCTTGTTGGTGATCTACATTTTGTACCTTGTTTTCCAATTGAAGACCCACAAGTCCCTCTTTGAAGAACAGGCCCAAGAGGCCGACGATGGCATCATTACTACTGCACTTCCTACCGACGATTCCGGCAAGGAAGTGGACCACTTGTCGGTCAATGCGTCCTTGGGGGTTTTGGTGGGTGCCACCATCTTGGTGTCGTTCTGTGCCGACTACTTGGTGGGCTCCATCGATAACATTGTCGAGAGTACCGGGTTGTCCAAGACGTTTATCGGTTTGATTGTTATTCCTATTGTCGGCAATGCTGCCGAGCACGTTACAGCCATCGTGGTGGCTATGAAGGACAAGATGGACTTGGCCATTGGGGTTGCGGTTGGGTCCTCGCTCCAGATCGCCATTTTTGTCACTCCATTCATGGTGTTGGTGGGATGGGCCATCGACGTGCCCATGTCGTTGTACTTCTCGACGTTTGAAACCGCCATTTTATTCGTGTCGATGTTCATCAGCAACTTGGTAATTCTTGACGGAGAGTCCAACTGGCTCGAGGGAGCCATGTTGTTGAGCACGTACTTGATCGTGGCGTTGGCGTTTTTCTACTATCCCGACGTGGCCAACTGAACGCGGTCCACACGGGTGTAGCGGACGCAGCCATCGGGTTTCCGGTCATAACGGTGGTGTTGCCGATGAAATGACAGCACAGCCTCGCAGCCAGGGTGCACGTTTTGGCGTCTGTACGTTTGGCAGCACTGTTCGTCGCATGACAGAACACCCCCAGCCATGGCCAGCCTAATTAGGATATCTATTATGCAAGCACTAATGTGACTTTAGTCAGAACCAACAGTAGTTGTAGCCGCCCAGCGCGCAGACGCGTCGCCACGCGCGCCTTGGTGCCAGTGCCAGCGATGCAAACACCGATTGTTCAACGCCCAAGTGTTGGTAAATAGACACCCAGACGGGGGCCCAGCAGTATGGGGGTAGAACCAGTGCATGTCGAACAATCGTAGTTATTGTCCAGCAACGCAGGCGAAGGCTCCATGCAGACGGTGGCAGTGCAGCCAAGCATGGGATTGTGCTGGCAGCATGTGGACCAGGTGCGGGACTGGCAATGGGGGATGGCTTGTGGTGCCACCGAGCAAACGCTCCTTCTAACACCCTGGCCGGCCACCCGGGCCCGCAGGACCCGAGCTCACACACGAGGAAACACCCATCCTTCAATACTATGAAACCTCTACTTAGGCCACCGTTGGGTGTGTTCGGCTGCACCCCACAAAGAGCCGTGGTGTTGGCCCACTAGACGATGCCAGGCGCGCCTGTTTGTTTTGCCAGTTGCCAGGGGAACCCGTCGCCACGCACGCTCAGCTCAGACGACGGTTTGGGTGCTCGGCACGGTGGTGGACCACGACGCGCGTTTCATTTAGCCATTTTGGGCCGCCATCACCATAACAATAGGTGCAAAAACTCGCGTAGTGTCTCATCCCTTGGGCAGGAGGCCGCCAAGGGGCGGCTACAAGCGTGAAAACGTAAACTCAAGGGGGAGCTACACGGTGTGGACGTGTCGGCGTTACTGCAGGTAATCAAACAGCCACTGCGCAGCAAGCGGTGTCTGACATGCTTGGACATGCGTCGGATTATCGTGAACAATGGCGGGTCTCCCACAAATAGAATCCGGCAAGTATATTAGGTGGATAGTTCCGGCGGGAAATTATATAAACCTCACCTTCACTCATCGGCTCCATTTCTGTTCACCCCCTCCTCCAACCATGTCCGACAGAGAAGCCTTGAAAATCTTCTCCAGACAGCCAGTGTCCTCGGAAATGATCGACTTCTTGGCTGCCACCATCAGCTCGATCATCCAGGTCAAAACCACCAAGCCCCAGTACAGCGTGGTGCCCTCAGGCTCCACCAACATGTTGGTCAGCCCCGTCAAGAAGAACACCTCTTTGGTGTCGTTCATCAAGACCTTGATCAAGTACTCCAACGTCCAGACCCCCACCTTGATGGCCACCGTCATCTACCTCAACAAGTTGAGAAACATCTTGCCTGCCAACGCCATCGGCATGGAGACCACCAGACACAGAATCTTCTTGGCCTCGTTGATTTTGAGCGCCAAGTCCTTGAACGACTCGTCGCCCTTGAACAAGCACTGGACCAAGTACACCGACGGCTTGTTGTCGCTCCAGGAGGTCAACATGGCCGAAAGAGAGCTCGTGGGCCTCTTGAAGTGGAACATCACCATCAAGGAGGAAGAACTCATCATTGCATTACAGCCTTTCTTGACCTCGATCAAACAGTCGTTGGCAAGAAAGATGGAGGACGAATCCAACCAGAAAATCTCCTACTACAGACTCTCCAACGCCTACAGCAACAGATCTCTTGCATCCCCGGTCTCGCCTGTCGGCAGCGCCAGCTTATACCCCCCATCGCCATACTCGACCCACAGTATGTCTCCTGCATCAAGATCGTCGTCTAGCATGTCTATATCGTCGTACAATTCGACGATGTCCAACTCATATTCTTCAAATTCGTTGAGGACGAACGCCACTTCTAATTACAGCTTGTCGGCCTTGGCCCAAGAGGAAGAAGAGTACTTGAACTCCACCCCTACTAAGTCGAAAAGAATGCCTTTGTCGGTAAAGTCATCCAATTCTTTAAACGTTTCACAAGGACAATTTCTCCGCAAACCAAATTACAAAGTGAACCATCACCAACATAATATCATTAACGCTGGGAGAAATGGACAATTGGACAGAGCTACATCTACTTCTTCCATTGTAAATTTAGCAAATTCTGGAAGGATATTAGCTTAATGGGCATAATCTAACTGGGGCATAAATTTATTCATTTTTCACTTCTCGTTAATCAGCATGTTTCTAATTAGCTTGTCCTAATTAGCACCAATCTTTACCAATACCAATGTAATATTTTCTAATTGTTTAATTCTACTTTATATGATCTTTATTTAGTCTTCGCTCGGCGATCCCCAAATAATAACATCCTAATCGATCAAATTAGACGATCAAGTGTAACTCAATTACTTAGACGATTCTTCCCAGGGGTAAGTGCATACAAACGGTTATGGCGAAAGTTGCAGGAAAAATAAACAACTCATGCTACAAAATTCTAATTTTGACGAAGTGGCATTACTATATAAAATCTATTACGTGTATCATATCAACTAATGTTGATGAGGATCTTCCTTTGGTGGCTCTGAAGCCACAGTGATCATGGTATCAATTCTCAAGATAGCAATACAAGCCTCCAACGCTGACTTCAAGGACTTAACCTTCGATATGGTTGGTTCCAAAACACCATGAATACTTTCGTTAACAATCTTACCTTCAATTAAATCTAACCCGTAGTATTTGTACTTCTTTCTCTTGGTGTCACTTGGCAATGCTGATTGAGAAGCAGCATGATATGTTCTTAGTTTGGAGACCAAGTCAGAGGAGTCTTTAGCTGCGTTCAGCGCTAAAGTCTTTGGAATGACTAATAAAGCATTGGCAAATTCAGCAATAGCCAATTGTTCTCTGGATCCAACAGTTGTTGCGAAGTTTTCCAAATATATGTTTAATGCAGTTTCCACTGCCCCTCCACCTGGAACAACATTTCCACTTTCCAAGGTTCTCTTGACTACCGACAAAGAGTCGTGTAATGATCTTTCCATTTCATCCAAGGAGTAATCGTTTGGACCTCTCAATATAATGGATGAAGATGAGTGTTGCTTGGTGCCCTTGACCAAAATACATTCGTCGTCACTGATTCTTGTTTGGACCACTTCTTCGGCACTACCGAGGTAGGAGGCCTCAAATGTCTCTTCTCCCTCCAAGTTGGACAAGTTACCAACCAAAGTGGCACCAGTAGCTCTTGCTATTCTTCTTAAATCTTCCTTCTTACAACGTCTGACGGCAATGGCACCAGCCTCAACGAATTCTTTCAAACACAAGTCATCGATACCCTTGGTTGTTAAAATAACATTTGCACCGGCGTTCAAAATCTTACGGATTCTTTCGATAATGATACCATATTCTCTTTTTCTAATTTCTTCCAATTGATCTGGATCGTCAATATTTATTTGAACACCCATGGCCATTCTAGCCTTTTGTAAATTGATATCAAGACATGCAATTTTGGCGTTTTTGATAGATTTGACCATAGCTTGAGATGCAACAGTGCAGTTTAAGGCATAACCGTCAACCAACATGGACTCAGTGGAGGACTTACCGTGGGCCTTAAGAACATTGACAGCCTTGACTGGGTATTTGACTTCACCCTTTCCGTTGGTGGTCTTGACCGCCAACATGGCATCAACAACCATTTTACTGAAAAACTCTGAATCGGATCCGATAATTTTGGAAGACATGGAAGTCTTTGCAATGTTGATCATAGTTTCCTTGCCGAGGCTGTCTACGGATTGTGACAAGACTTCATTAACGTAACGGATGGCTTCTCTCAAGGCTAAACGGTAACCAGTGATGATGGTGGTAGGATGTATTTTGTTTCTGACCAACTCGTTGGCTCTCTTCAATAACTCTGCTGCAATGATCACTACCGAGGTGGTACCATCTCCGACTTCACGGTCTTGTTGTTGTGCCAATTCGACCAAAATCTTTCCTGCTGGGTGCTGGACGTCCAAGAGGGACAAGATGGTGGCACCGTCATTGGTGACTGTGACATCTCCAATATCATCCACCAACATTTTGTCCAAACCAACAGGGCCTAAGGAGGACTTGACCACGTTGGCAACGGATTGGGCGGCCAACACATTTTGATTCCTGATATCGTCTCCACTGACCTTTTCTCCCCCAAGGAACAATGTGTCTGAACGTGCTGCTGAATACATTGTGATGGTTGGATAGTATAGTCTGGATCGTTCACTAGTCTCACTGACAAAAAATTTGCTGCTGGCAAAATTGAGCGCGAACACACGACTGGTTGGTGGCCAAGTGGTGGTGGAAGATTGTATCGATGACTAGCGCGCACTGGGGAGCGTAGTGAGGACACTGCGAGGAAATTAGCGAGAGGGTAACGACGCTCGCGCGACTGTCCCTACCAGACTATGACAGAACAGGAGGAGTATAGCTGGCACGAGCCGTATCAGGCTAGGGAAAACTATTGCAATAATAAGGACAGACACAGTACTCGTGTATCATACCATGAATACTCGGGGCTACGCTTGTTCATGGGTAACACCGGCTACGAACGAATGGTGTAGTTCCGCCAGACTACTTGTAGCGAGTGTCATAAGGGGCGGGGCGCTCACACGCGCAGAAACCTGGCCACCCATAATTCCTGCACCCAGACCATGGCACCACCACTAACAAAATCAAAACAACTCAATTGCAGGTATCCTACATCCTACAACATGATGAAGAATATAACACTCGGCCTTAGAACACTCTCGGTAAGCTCTACACGCTCCTTTAGCACCACAATGGCTCCTGCCATGCGTCCCAGCGCCCTCTTGGCTGCCAGTGCAGTTAAGAGCTCCAAAGCCCAACAATCAACAAAAGAGAAGAAACTCACCCTGAGGAAGAAGGAGACCTTGAAGGCCAAGCTCGCCAAGGAAAAGAATCAATTGAAGACCTTGGAAAAGAAGTTGAAGGACGAGACCAAGAAATTGGACAAGAAGAGACAGGTACGTGAGAAGGAAGTATTTGCCGCTGCTACCAAACCCTTCCGCAGATTGAGTGGCTACACCTTTTTCATGAAACAGGAAAGAGGAAACACTTTTGCCGATTCTGCTGCCAAATGGAAGGCATTGAGCGATTACGAAAAGAACGTGTTCTCTCAACAAGCTGAAGACTACAATGAAGAACAACTCCAAGTCTTCACCCCAAAACCAAAGAAACCTGCCAGTGGATACGCCTTATACTTGAAGGAAAACTACGTCAACGATGGCCGTTCAATCGGGGAAATCGGAAAGGAATTGGCTGCTAAATGGAACCAATTATCTCCCAACGAAAAGTCTAGATATGAAATCTCAAAATCCCTCAAGGACGATTACGCCAAAAAGTTGCTGAAGTGGGTGGAAGACAGACTTAAGCTCTACCATGCCTCTAAAGCATAATCTCTCTATTAATATTAAATAATCTATACTTATGTACCGTTCTTTATTTGCTTTCCTAATGACGTCAATACTCTTTCCAACTCACTAGGCACAACCGGTTTAGAAATAAAATCAACCATTCCACAGCTCAAAGATCTTTCTCTATCGTCTCCAGCAACATTGGCAGTCAATGCAACTATCTTGGGGATGTAGTCCTCTTTTCCCTTTGCAGTGAACGATTCGTTTAGCTCAATTGTGGCATTAATTCCGTCCTTTCGAGGCATCTGAATATCCATCAAAATCACATCGTAGAACTTTGATTCGGCCAATAGAGCCTCACATCTACTAATCACCTCGACACCATCCTTTGCATGATCAGCATGATATCCAAATTTTTTCAAATGTTGTAATGCAACTTTGGTATTCACAACATTGTCTTCTGCAAGAAGAATTCTCAACGGAAATCTTTCGGCCAATAGAGTATGGTTTGCAACCTTCAATGAAGTATCTGTTTTCCTCTCTCCGTTGATTGTGCTCTCTATGATGTTGATAAGTTTCAGTCTTTGGAATGGTGATAATAATACTGAATGATCCTCAATATCCTTCGGCAATGACTTACCAAACAGTGCAAGCACCACAATCTTACATTTGTCATGGATCACTGATTGGTACTTCTTGAAGTTATCGTAATGGCTCTCATGAATAAAAATGAAAGAGAATTCATCGATGTTTTGGCGAATTTCAGTCAAATTGTTGATCGTAGTTACCTCCAAGCCAAAGTACTCCAATGTCTCCTTTAATGACATCCTGCCATTTATATGATCATCAATTATCAACACCTGATTCGTGACACCAAGAGACTTCGCAATTTCCGTACCAAAGTAAATTTCAGGCTTCTCATGGAACTCAACTTGTGAATTTACTATGAAATAGAAGGTACTACCAACTCCTTCAGAACTGTGGAAACCCAAGTCTCCACCCATTATATCTGAAAGCTTTTTTGAAATAGCCAAACCCAAGCCTGATCCACCAAATTCTCTCCTAGAGGAACCATCTACTTGCGAGAATGCTCCGAACACTTTATTTCTGGATTCTTCTGGTATTCCTATACCAGAGTCCTTGACATAAATGCACAATTCCACTCTATCAGGACTAATTTCTCTTGCAGTTGCTTCAACAATGATCGACCCGGCTGAAGTGAATTTGATAGCATTTCCAACCAAGTTAATAATGATTTGTCTGAATCTTGTGACATCTCCAATGATGGATTTGATATTCTGCGATCTGTTCAAGAACACCAATTCCAAGTCATTAACTGCAGCCTGTTCACCTGATAATTGCATCGAGCTCTCAATACAGTCACACAAGGAGAATGGTGCATTATCCAATGTAAAAGAACCATGCTCTATTTTCGAAAATGCCAAGATTCCATCGATGATATTCAAGGTCACCATGGCCGAACTTCTGATGGTCTCCACATATTCTCTCTGAGTTTTTGTCAATTCTGTGTCTAATAAGAAAATTGAACAAGAAAGCAAGGAATTGAAAGGCGTTCTAATTTCATGAGACATGTTAGCCAAAAAACTTGCTTTCTCAGCAGTTGCATCTTCAGCAGCGCTTTTTGCAATTTCCATTTGGGAGTAGAGTTTAGCCTTGCTTAATGATACTGCAGCTTGGCTGCAAAGCAAATCAAGCAAATCCTTCTTTTTTGCATCGAAGAAAGGCATACCTTTCTTGATTAACGGCTTCTGATTCTCAAGGTATAAAGCTCCAAACACCCCTGATTGATTTTTCAAAGGGATACATATCATGGACGTGCAATTGTTACGTTGATAATAGTCATCCTTACCAAATCTGTTCGAGAACATCACATGGTCCTCATCCTTATTGACAATTTCTCCTGTGTGAAGCACATGCATCAAAAGCGAGAAGGGACAAATATCACCTCTTGAACTTAAAGGCTGATTATCTACGTTGTAGACTGTATTTGCCGACCCAATGGCCCGGATATGCGGCTCATCGTTATCTTCACGAATCACAGTCACCCCATAATCAACATCCATGAACATAATTGTACTCTCTAGCAACTTCAAGACAATCATCGTGTCAGTTGACGATTCCGAAATCAGTAAACATGACTTAACTGCTTTATTGAAGTCAGTGGAAGAATCCCCTTTTGAAAATATTTTGTGCTGCTTTTGAGTTTTATCTCTTCGGTTAGATTTTGGTGCAACAGCAGGTTGTACTTGAAATTTAGATTTCACGGTGGTTAAGGACTCACTCATCTCAGGAAAAGAATATGGTTTGATTCCTTGTAACAGCCTATCGGGAACTTTGAGGCCAGCCCAGTTGTAACCATCCTCCATGGAAGTACCGAACTTCTTCTGTATCATTGCCACCAATAGACGGTCATCAAGAATTTTAAAGACTTCCAATGCTGTCTTTGCGTAGTGAATGACTCTCTTGGTTCCATGACCTTTCTTCGATAGCCAATTGGCACAGAAATAACTGGCCATTCCAACATCGTACCAATTATTGTTGTTTCTACCAAGGTCAATTGCTTCATCAAAGGCGTCCAAGATAATTAAAGGGGAGATATTCTCATTATACTTGTCATGCAAAGCACGAAGTGTACGATACTTTGATTCATACGTACTTGGACAAAGTTCTGACCATAATTGAAACAGGGCTAACGATTCTTCCACGATTTTGTTTGCCCTCACTCTTTGCTCCTGATCAGTAAAATCACACTTAGTCAAACTAATAATGCAATGGTAAGAGTATCCAATATGCACCAATCCTAGTGGCAAATACTCCAGCAATTCATGTACCCCCGAAAGGATCATATCTCTAACTTCATTAAACCTATCACAAGTATTCAAATAGGCCATTTTAGAAACATGGAACAAAAAGGTGTTGTGCCTTGGATTACCATCCAGAGGATACTTGGCCTCAAATTCTTCCAAACTGATGTCACCATGTAATAATGAATATCCATAAAGATGACTTCCATTTGAAGTGCTGAAGTCGAGCTGATCGGATACCTTACTAGAAATAATACTATCAAATGGATAGCCACTCAATTGAAACAACAAATACTTCGAAGCTTCGGTAAGGAAATTCATAGAAGCAGAGTGTGATCTCACAAAAGGTCTTTTTGATCTTATGTAAATATCGTAATATTTCAACACCTGAGGAATCGGTTCAATGTAAACAGCGACAGTTAGGATGTAAAATTCGTATGTGTTCTTGATCAATTCAGACGACACATTTTCAGTGGATTTCACAATGTCTAAGGCAATTTTGCAGAACTCCAAGCCTTTCATGTAGTAGGCCTTGTCTTTCTTTGAGATAAACGAATTAGCGAAGTCTAATAAAGGAATTGAACAAAATGTAGAGACTCCGTACGATTTTATCAACGTAACCAATTGAGCAACCAAGTACTTTGCTAAATAGTTGAACTTCGTGGTATAGCAGGGAACAATTATGTCCGAGATTAGCTCATAAACCAAAAGTATGATCGGTGAAGTTGCTTTTTTAGAAGCTTTAAGCTCTCTAATTTCAGGAATTGAAATGGGGACTTTATCAATAATCTTGTGGTACAATTTTCGAGATTTCTCGTTGTCATAATATACATCGATGCCGATTTTCTGCAAACCTTTCACTGCAGTCTTGACACCCTCCTCGTAACTCCCAGACTGAATGTAGCATTTGACCTTTGCCAATAGAAATACTGTTTCATCAAAATCAAATTGGGATTGGACATCTTCAATATATTTGAGACATTCATCATATCGCTTCAACAATTGTTGAGACTGACAAATGGTAATTACGCTCTTCAACTTAGTCTTGGTATCATTCTTGTCAATGAATGTGTCAGCTGCTTCAAAATACTTCAACGCAGCCTTACTATTGTATGTTGAAGATGCATATCTACCTGCTTGAATTAAAACCTTTTTGTAAATCTCAATATCTTCTACTCTAGCAACACCGCAAGAGCTACTGAAATGGTTAGCCATTTTGAGGTAATTGGATATGCTGAATTCAGCTTGCTTTGAAATTCTCTTATAAGAACGTAACGCAGATAATCTATGGTATTCCTCGAGTTCATCGTTATCATTCATCTCATTGATAAATTGATAACGAATTGAGTCGTGATAAAACTTATACCGAGTTTGACCTGCTAATTCCCATATGCTGCTATCAGAGATATCAAATGGGAATGCATCCGAAGTAATTAGATGAAATGGAATCTTATGATAATAACTGGTTGGGATTATTACACCTGTTTCAACGCATAAGTGTAACAATTCGTAAACTTCCTTCAAGGATAAGTTAGACACGATCATTAACTGTGATAAATGGAAATAATAACCGTCACTGTTGACAGCCGCAAAATTCAAAATATCTCTTGCTTTATCAGTTAAAGCAGATTTGAGAAAATGATTCATGATATCTGTTCCGGTACGAAATTGGTGTTTTTCCAAGTCAATAACCCACTTGCTTCCGCTATTGATTCTGGACTCTCCAAATTGAATCTCTCCATTTAATAAGGAAGATGCAATCAAATATCGAGCTAGTAATACATTCCCTTTGCTAATTTCAAAAATTTTCGAAGCAACAAATTTAGTAGAATCATCAATTTGATTAATGGACAGTTGAAGAGATCCAAACATGGAAGACATACTAGTTTGTTCATTTCTTGCTAGAATCGAGCCGTCTCGAATGTAGGAAAACCCAGCATTAATATAATCGAGAAATCCATTCGATTCCAATCTCTTAAGCTCGAAAACATGATTGTGTACGCTCGACGCACCCAAAAATTTAAGTAACTCTTCTTTAGTGACAATATGATCCAGATTAGCCATATCTGCGAGTAAAGACTTTGAATTAATAGTCATGTCATCCAATTTATTGACAAAATAATCAATCCCATTTTTAGATTTCTCTTTCGATTCTTTAATTTGTTGATCATATTCTTTATGATTTTCACAAGCGTTATCCGTGTATGCTGCAACCATCTTGATGGAAATTTCATTCTCTAACTCATTTGATTGAAAATAGTCAAATATCTCTCCGAACATAGCCCATTCACTCAAAGAACACCATTGAATATCATCAAGGAACATAGTAAGGCCCTGAAAACCAATTAGACAGAAAAATGCTTTGATGATGTATCTAAATTTTAATTCTAAATTCACCAAATGATCCTGGCTGGTAGATTGGAATCTGGGATCGGATTCAACCAAGGTATCATAAGCAGGGCCTAAAAATACCTTTAACTCAGGGATAACCAGAAAGAGAACTCTCAAATCTACCTGAATCTTGGTAATAATTAAATCTCTCCATCTGTGAATAATTTCTTGAGAGGAAGACATAATTTGGTTGACAATAACCTTGATACCATGCAAAAAGCAAGTATAAATAGTTACACTAGTTTCACTAGAATCAAACTTCCAGTGAAAGTAGAAGTCATTTGTGGATATTGTGGATGATCTGATATCATTAATCAACGTGGTTTTACCAGATCCCATTTCTCCGGTAATGAAAAGCATGTTCACTCCTGTTGATAGATTTTCATATTTTTCAAAAATCTTTTTATACTGTTCATCTCTACCGTACACACCTCTTGGATACAGAAAAATAGGGGCAACCCCACACTTTTCTAGATTCCTGGTGGTTTCCTTCACCAAATAACCCTTTGTATCTTCTCTTTTTGTCCAGTATCTAACAACAGAATCACCCAAATTTGTCACAGTATCAATGTATTCATTCTTTGATTGAATTAAATCATTAATCAAACTGTGACAATCGCTATATCTATTATCTGGATCCTTTTCTAAAAGTTTCATTATGATGTCACTTAAATCATCTGTGATCCAGGCATGCGCAATTAGCGATGGGGCAACCGGTTTTTGCAAAATGTGTCTTCGAATGATCTTTGAGGGACTATCACTAAAAAACGGAGTGCAACCGACCAACAATTCATAAAGAACTATACCCACAGAGTAAAAGTCAGACCTGTAATCAACTCCTCTATTTGCTTCACCACACAATTCTGGAGATAAGTATGGTAACAATTCTGGAAGCTGAGTAAGATGTCGTTTTCTATAATCAAAAGTAGAATCTTCTGGCTGAATGGTAAAGCAGAAGTCCCATCCACTCAACTTGACATCGGTATTATCTGTTTCAGACTTCAAGATATTAATTGAAGTAATATTATTATGGACAACTCCAAACTCGTGAACGATAGCTAGAGTATCAAGGACCTTGATCATGTCCGAAAGAATTTCAATTACTTTCAATGGTGATTTAGGTGTTTGTTTGATTTTGTTTGCAATTTCATCGAACAACAGATTTCCCATATTTACGGAACCCCCGAATCCCGAGGATGTAACACCTCCAACACCTTGCCCAGAATAGCCATTCATACTGCCAAAAACGTTATTACTCATTGAAGAGGCCGAAGACATACTTGCAGCTGAATCTAAATTATTATTAAGATCATACACTTCTTCCTGCTCTTCAAATGCAAAATCCCGAAGTGATCTGTAATTATTATCAAGGTAAATTAGGGCCAAACGGCATTGCTCACGTTGGGACTCATCATCTTTGTGAGGTGAGCTATGTATGCTAGTGGAATCACCACTGTTGATACTATTGTTCCTTGATTTTCTACCATGAACGCCATTGAATATGTTCACTCCATGCTCATTAGAGAAAGCAGAATACTCATTATTGGGAGCTTGACTAGAGTCTGTAACATTTAGGGTTAGTACTTTAACCGGATATAAAATTCCGGGTAAATCTCTTGGTAGGGTGATTGGGTGATATATGTCTGGTCTTGAGTAATCCACTTTAGACTTTGGCCCGGATTCAAAGTATTTGTTAGAAATAGCCTCATTTCCGAATATTCTATGTCTATGGGGGACGTTCAATCCTGACAATATGTACCACTCATTTAAGAATCTTGATAATGGGACATTTTTCAATATGTTGGGAGAAAGACGAATGGCCACGTTCGTGCCTGGCGCCAAGATGACATCGTTATTGAAGATGGAACCGGTAGGGATGGAGCCCAGACTGGTGTTGACTCCATCGTTGGTTGTTACTGCGTGATAAACGATATCCGCCTTCTCAAAAGTCGAATTAAACTGCTTGAGCAAAGTATAGCCAGGGATTATGTCAGGATACAATGAGACGTAATCCTGATAAGCACCATCAACGTATCTAGGAGATAACGAGAAGTTTTCGGTTTCGTTGAGATAGTGGTCATTGTGGGTGACGTAGTTGATATTGTTAAGAAATGATTTATGGCCCAAGGTGGCATTGTTCAAAAACTGTTTCCTGTTGGCAATTCTGTCTCGGGTATCATCGGTTTCCGTGGACTCGAGGGTCCAAGACAGATCACTACGATTAATTCTGATTTCATTGAACGACGGTTGTGAGTATGAAGAGCTGCCATCATCAGAAGGTTCGTGATGAGCTTCGCATGGAGGCAAGTCTTTGGGACTTAGTAAGTCCGGTGAACTGATCTGATTGAGATCCACCACAGTTTCATTCTGGGAGGTCGTATCTAGTGGGGAGATGGTGGGGATGGAAACCGACAGCGTCAGTGACAGTTGGGGTGATGAGGCATTGGGGGTCACTATCGATCGATGGCGAGCATCGGGGTTGTGGGGAGTCTGAGACATCCTAAGCGAGTAGGTGGAGAAGCTGAGGGCTGGAGCTCACCGTAGTTGAGATATTCTAGCTCTAAACAGGTTTTGAAGTTAGAAATCTACCATGCAATCAATCTTGAGATTAAGAATGTGCTTTGTGCTTGTGAGTGTCTCAAACACTACAGGACTGTACGATTGCTCAGAACCGTTGCTGGATTGGCACCATAATTACCGAATGGTAGGTGCATATTAGGTGCAGTCTTGTAGCCAGAAGGAAAAAATGTGCGAATAAGGTTGTGAAGGACCCTTTACGAGGAATTCAATCAACGTGTATTAGACATAACCGATAAATAATAGAAGTAGACTAAGGTGAAAAGAATGCAGTCTTCAGGGAATGCTAATAGAGCTGTCAGGGCAGCTTCTGGACAGGTAGCCTAGCTAACTGATTCTCCTGTGTAGTGAAGTAGCCGTGGGCCAGCTCACAAAATGGTACATTTTTTGTTCTTTCTAACCACAGGAGGTTCTAAAGCAGCCACAATGGCTTCATCGAAGACGGTCTTCAATCCTCTTTGGGTCAAAGCGGAACACTCGACATATTTAACCGCACGTAACTCCTTTGCCAAGCGCTCACCCATCTCGTTGGTAATAGGAGATAACTTTTGTCTCTGTAATCTTTGCAAGATAACTTCATCATTTCTCAAATCGGTCTGAGTACCAACAATCAAGCACGGAACACCGGGGCAGTGATGGTGGACTTCGGGGAACCACTTTTCCTTGACGTTTTCAAAGGATGCAGGGGCGATCACCGAGAAACATACCAAGAACACATCTGTTGATGGGTATGATAAAGGTCTCAACCGATCATAATCTTCTTGTCCTGCAGTATCGAATAATCCCAAGGTGAAAGGCTCGTCGCCGATCATGACTGTCACTGCATAGTTGTCAAAGACTGTTGGAACGTAATCGGCAGGAAATTTACTGGTTGTGTACGAGATTAATAAACATGTCTTACCAACGGCACCATCACCCACAACGACACACTTTATGGTTTGCATTTTGGAGTCTTGTACTTGTGTTCAAGCTATTCAGCCTTGTTGTCAACGGTAAATCAATGATTCCGGTACCTCAATTAATCTGGGCTCGGTGGTCAATCTGTAAGCTGCTTGCCTGGTGGGGTCGATATCAAACTATCAACAGCTAGTACTATAAGGACGAGTCGGCTCGATGGGTTCTTTATCAACAATACGGGCGATGTGGTCTATTAATCCCCTGGATATCTGATCTGTTGTTGTTTGTCTCTTTTCCTTGACTGTTTTTTTTCTCAAGTCTCTACGACAAATTACACAAAGAGATAAGGAGTGCGGGAGACGGCTAGTGGGGAGTGTGTGGCGGGACTGAGCTGGGGCCTACCGGGACAATCAGGCAGCCATGGGGAAATGGGGCAAGTTGTGCCGCGGTAGACGGTACCAGATGGCGCCCTGCCCAGTTTCAAGGGTCCACACGCCGTGCCGTTCGGTTGGTGCCTAGCACTGGCGCTCGCCCTATCAGCTGGTGCGACAGCCAAGAAACTGGGGCGCTGCCTCGCTATCTATTAGTAAGTGTGCCGTGCTGTGGGACTGGCATTTTGTCGTGGTTCCGTTTCGAGGTGTAAAGGGGCACTAGGCCGGGCCATTGTGTGCCAGATTTCCCACTAAGTGTTTGCACAAATGGCACCAGCGTGCTCCAGCCAATGACTGATGGGATTGTAAGCGTCGTTGGACTAGATGCAACACTTCTTCATATCATTCTTTTGGTTGTAAGACTGGATCCTTGCATGATATACCCTTTAAATAGTAATTATCATGCATCTTATGCTTTCAAGCTGCTGATTAACATCCTTGTACTATAAACACCAATCAATTCTACTATCACTCATACTGCGATTGTAAACTTCCTTGTATTACAGTACCATTCGCTCCTACTGATCATCCAGATGCTTGCAAGCTCATATGGTTGTATACACGATAAATCCTACCTATCATTCATATTTGTGCTTGTAAGCATCCTTGTACTCTATATACACCAATAAATACTACTTCATATCATTCATATCGTTCATGTTCATATTCATGAACCCCCCGTCTCCTTGCATCACCTCCAAATTGGAGGTGATGTCGCTGGGAAGGTTGTCGGTATCGATGAGTTTGTTCGCCAAAAGCCCACTAGGGTCAAACTTGTGGATTTCCTCATCGATTTCGTTATCAACAATGGACAATCCTCCGCCTAAGAAATCCAACATCATGTGCATACCACCAGCTCCACCAGCATACTCTTCGACGTCCACGGGGAGCACTTGCGACACTCCCTCCAAGAACCACACTTTGTCCTTGAGTTCGGTTGTAAAAGATCTAAGCAACTTGTAGTAAGATCTCATGATTCTCATGGCCTTGACATCCCCAGTCATTAAAAGTGACAAGAATGATTTGTCAAGTAAGGCTGGGAATGCAAAGATTCTCAATATAAAGTCTGACTTGTACCTCTCCTTGTGGAGTTTGTTGAGATACGCCAAGGTTATCAAGTATGGCGAGTCGATTTCCACGGGGAACAAGTCGGCGATATCTGCATCATGACATTCCAAGTCTGTGAAGTATCTATTGGCCCCGGTAAGCTGGTCTTTGCTGAGATTGACTCTTTGGTTGATGATATCTCCCAAATCTCCCAAATCAACCGAGATAAACTTGTAGAAACGGGAAGCTTCAGTCAAGGGCCACACAGCCGTCAAAATAGTGGCTGCTCCCTTAACATGGAAAATCCACGCTGACGCTGGTAATGATTTGGGTGATGTAGAAGAAGGAAATGAAGCATTGGCCAATGAGTCCATAATAAGAATAAGCGCACTGGCAACCAAAGCATCCGTGTTGTCTGAGTTGATGTTCAAGACTGCTTCTCGTAATAAACGAAGTGCTTCACCACGGTGGCATGTCACACATTGATCAAGACCCTTCTCCGTTCTTGACAAATGAGTTGCACTGAAAGCCAATATTGAATGCATCAAAAACGGATAGTCAAATGCTAACATTGGAATGTCGTAGTTCCATATATTAGTATCCGAAATACCAGCTCCTGTGATTGTATTGGAAACCTGAGAAGTATAATGAAACATCAACCTAAGATCTAACATGTTTAAGTTCGACGACAGCATGGCAGCTGCCATTGGGTTCGTCATTGGGCTGGGGTTTCTGGGAATCAGTGTATTCACATTTGGAGATATATTAGGCAAAGTTCCACCCTCCTGTCCCATGTTATTAGTGGACATATCTGGGGGCTTTGGAAATTGTGACGATGGTCTTTGCGCAAATGGTTGACTGATATTAACTTTTGGAATATATTGTGGATCTGGTTTAGGAATTTCATGCTGACTCTGTGTTTGTTGCTCTTGTTGTGGTAGTTGAACGGGCGCAACATTTGGTGGTTTGACTTGTCCATTGATCATCTGTGCAATATTATTGGTGATTGAACTGTCAATTAAGGATCCCAAATTACTCAAGTCGATGGGAAGTTGAGCCAATGTTGCCAAATTGCTCAAACTAGCCAAGTTTCCAAGGCTACTCAAGTCAGTTCCGAGACCACTAAGGTTGTTGACAAGATAGCTGAGGTTTATGTTGTTCAAGTTTCCAGCATTCAAAATTCCCGGGTTACTTGGTGGAGCACCATTTTCAGCTAATTTGACTTCTTTGTCTGACAAATTTGGTGATACGTTTGGTGTAGCTTGTTGAGTAGCAGTTTCAGGATTACTTTCACTTGACGAAGTCGAAGAAGATGGGGACTTCACAGACTTCCGCTTTTTAGGTTTTGGTTGTTCTGTTTCAACGTCTTTCTTAAGCAGGTCCAGAGGCGGATTTTGATCACCTCCTTCTGTAAGATAGCCACAGTTCAAGTTCAAGTGCTTGCACTTGTTACATATAGGCTTGTTCTCGTCACACTTGACTCTCCTTTTTTTGCAATTGGAGCATCCACTCCTTGACTTCTGATGGTATTTTCTTTTCCCTGTTGATGATCTGCTCTTCTTGGCTTCTTCCTCACTTTGCACAGGCAGACGGGGTGTTTTGGGTAAATCTATTCTTTCGGACATTACTTTGGTTTGTTGAAAATCTAGTAGGCAGAACGTTAATGTTGAATTGAGTAACTGCCGGCTTCTAATGGCCCTCTAAAGGTGATAGATTATATGATTAAGGATTGTTATTGGCTCAAAAAAACTCTGCAGAGCAAATATGAAATACTTTAAGGCCTCACTAGTGTAGCGTCCAGAGTTTTGACCTTGTTTAATCGTGATATATGGTGTACTATAATAGTGGTTAGGATAGCATATATACCAGCTCGTCGTATAGCCCTCGTTTAATTTTTTATGAGGCTGAGGATTATTGAAGACGTGTCTGCGTGAATGATCTGACTTGCCTAAATTATGTAATGAGATGATCATCTACACCACACGTTAATTAATTGCTCTACCTTAGGGGATGAACCCTCAGCAACCAGATACTCCCCACAGGTCTACATTGGTAAAAGTGGTCACTGACAACTGAGAGGAGGAAAATGGGATGGTAAATAGATTTCGGAGTTACGCGGCTTAAATCAGCAAGCTGACCCCTAATTGCCAATCTGAAAACGAGCAGATTAGCCATTTTCACAAGCAGGGAACAACAATACAATCAAGGCGCATGTATCCCGGAGCTGGGTAATTGATAGAGGGAGAGAATGGTCCAGGAAAATTGCTTGTCACGTGCAACTCATCACGCGACTAGTAATCCTAACCAATATCAGCGATGGAATAATAATCATCTTCACTATCACAAAATGTCTACCAAACCATTATGGTACAGATGGGCTAGAGTCTACTTCACTGGCTCTTGTATTGTTGGTACAGGAGTGGTCTTATACAAGTACACCACCCCTACCGATGAGGAACTAATTGCTGCCTTCTCTCCTGAGATCAGGGCAGAATATGAACGCAACAGGGAATTAAGACAGAAAGAACAAGCCGAATTGATGAGAATAGCGAAAATAACTTCCCAGTCAAATGACCCAATATGGAAGACCGGACCTATTGGTTCCCCATTCGAGAAAGATCAGCGTAACTTGAATCAACAACTTATCGACTATGAGCAGACCCGTAGAGAAAGTGGAAACGACCAAAAGAGGATCGAAATTGCACAAGCAGAACAAGATTTGATAGAAGCTGAAAACTTGGCAAAGAAGAAGTCTAGCTGGTGGAGGATAGGTTGGTAATTGTTCATTTATTTGGAAGGTTTGGTGTGGTACAAGTTTACTTCTCGATAGACAAGAGGTTTGCTAATTAATCATGAATCATTAGTCCTATTCTGGCGGTGGCAGTCGCGAAGTTGAATTTCAGGCTCTACATTAACCAATACATCACATGCGTTCCATTCTCTACTTGTATATATTAAGTCCTGCCCCAGAAACTTTTATCTCTTGATATAGCCGATAAAAATGATGCACTTATGCTAGCAGCACTGTTTGCTCCGCCCGAGTTTTTCTGGCTGTTGGCGTCGTCCACGGCAGCAACGATTCTGGATATGTTGGTATCAATGACCATTCCACCTTGTACGATCTCTTCGAGCACCGTCTGAAGCACTTGCCATCCAAACACCAAGTCCAATTCACACACGTTACTGAAGCATTTGTCCAAGCATTCCACAAACACCTGGATCAAGTCCAAGATTCCAAGCTCGGATTCTTGGTCGTCCACAATGAAGACGAAGTATAAGGTAGCATAGTGTCTGTATATGACCTTGATGTCATCAAGGTCCTCGAGGAGCGATGGGGGTGTTATGAAGGAGCACTCTTCGGCTGTTCTGACTGATATTAACTGGTGGACTTGTTGAAGGAGAAGTCGCTGTGTGTTGATGTCCACTGGTGTGTAGAACTTCATGAGTCTGGGCAATCCATCGTTATTGACTATTGTTAGTATGTACATTGACTCCAACTAGAGATACTTACATATTAGTACTGAATGTATCATGGTGGTGGAGAAGTCTTGATAGTGATTATCAGATATTTCGCTAGTGCGCTAATGCACAGGTCCAGATCGCAAGATATGGTAGCGGCGATGAACCTGAATTCTCTACGCTGTGGCTAATCTTCGGAGGAAAAGTATGGCGTAGTGATGTATGCAATGGAACAGCTGATGTGTTTCTTTTACAGAGTTCAAGGTGAGGCTGCCTTTTGTTGAAATAAAGAAAATCCCCAGGGTATACTGGATTGTGACTCTAAATACAATTTCTGACGGCCGTTATGGACATAGCTTATAATCTCTAACAGAACCAGAATCACTCACTGATTGGATGTCTTTCTGGCCTATATTGCCAACAAAAATTTAGGTAAATTGATAAAATAGATGTAAGCTAGCTTGTGAGAAAGAGTTCTCTCCAAAGTGTGGAATCAGAGCATGGTTCTTCAAAGGAACCCAACGAAGCATGTTCATGTTGAATGAACACAGATTCACACTCGGGATCCTCACCTTAACTACACTGTTCTTTATTGTTCCATTCGCTGTACGGACTTTTGCCGTCCTAGCTCACTAATCAACTTTTTCTCTGGCCATTAATTCTCCATCACCAATATGACTCTCGAAAAGGCCAGAGAATTGGATACGAAGTATCCCACTTATAGGGACAAGTTTGCTGTCCCCACTCACAAGTCTTTGGGTATCAAGGAATCCAATGAGCTGCTGATCTACTTCTGTGGAAACTCACTTGGATTGATGCCCCATGCAACCAAGGTGGCGGTGAATAATGAACTTAATGCATGGGCTGAACGTGGTGTGGAATCCCACTTCAACCACCCCAATAAAGACGGGACTGATTGGGTTGATATCGACTTGCCTTTGCTCCCATTGGTTGCTCCTGTGGTCGGCGCCAAAGAGAATGAGGTTGCCGTCATGGGATCCTTGACCAGTAACTTAAATGCGTTACTCATACATTTCTACAAGCCAGCAGGAAAGAGAACCAAGATATTGTTCGAAAAGCAAGCATTTCCATCCGACTACTACGCATTTTTGAATTTGGTCAAATTCTATGGATATGACGAATCTCATTTGATCCAGTTGGAAGTCAAGCCAGGCAATACTTTCCTCCAAACAAGCGACATTCTTGAAGCCGTGGACAAACATGCAGACGAGTTGGCGTTGGTCTGCTTTCCAGGAATCCAGTATTATACTGGACAGTTGTTCAAAATCGAGGAAATCACTAACCATGTGAAAAGATTGGGAGACATTGTGGTGGGGTGGGATTTGGCACATGCTGTTGGTAACGTCCCTTTGCAACTACATGACTGGAATGTTGACTTCGCTGCCTGGTGTTCGTACAAATACTTGAATTCGGGCCCCGGGGCCATTGCAGGAATTTATGTCCATGAGAGATACACCAAAGATCTTTCAAAAAACAATTACACACCGAGATTAGCAGGGTGGTGGGGAAACAACAGCCAGGACAGATTCAAAATGTTGGAGCTGTTCGACCCCATAAATTCAGCGTTATCTTACAGGCAATCCAACCCTTCGGTAATTGATGTTGTTGCCGTTAGGGCATCGTTAGAGATGTTTAAAGAAGTTGGCGGAGTGGAAACTCTTCGCAAGAAGAGTCTTGAATTAACTCAATTTTTGCAAGATTTGTTAACTCAATCAATTCATTATTTACCGCAAGGAAGCACCGATTCCAGACTCGGGTTCAAAATACTCACTCCATTCAATCCTGAAGAAAGAGGAAGTCAGTTGTCCATCTTGTTCCAACCTCATTATGAAGGGAAAGACAATATCATGGAAAAAGTGAATAGCTACTTACACGAACACGGAATAATCTCTGATGAGAGAAGACCCGATGTCATCCGGTTGGCACCAGTTCCTTTATACAACACCTTTGAGGAGGAATACATTGTCGCTACTACGCTTAATGCAGCATTAGATAAGGTAGCCAGCAATGAAATATAACAACTTACGAACAATCATAATATACAACGTTTATTTTAATTCAAAACTTGTAGTTTTGATGACTTAAATAGTAGAGGCGATTCTGAAGTTTTCACCAGCGTAGACAGCCTTGTCACCTAATTCTTCTTCAATTCTCAAGATTTGGTTCAACTTGGCCAATCTTTCAGATCTGGCTGGAGCACCGGTCTTGATTTGACCAGATCTCAAACCGACAGACAAGTCAGCAATGGTGGTGTCTTCGGTTTCACCAGATCTGTGGGAGACCATAACACCCCAACCAGCAGCGTAAGAGTCGTTAGCAGCTTGGATGGATTCGGTCAAAGAACCGATTTGGTTAACCTTCAACAACAAGGCGTTGGCGGCCTTCTTTTCGATGGCGGTCTTGATTCTCAATGGGTTGGTAACAGTCAAGTCATCACCAACAATTTGGATCTTGGAACCAACTCTGGAGTAGAAGTGAACCCAAGCGTCCCAGTCATCTTCACCGAATGGATCTTCGATGGAAACAATTGGGTATTCGTTGATCAATTCTTCGTACAAGGAAGCCAATTGTTCACCAGTCAACCACTTGGAGGCGTCGGATTCTGGGTTCTTGAAGTCCAAGTCGTACTTGCCGTCCTTGAAGAATTCGGAGGAAGCAACATCCAAAGCGATACCAACTTGGCCGGTGTAACCAGCTTGAGCAATGGCATCGGTGATCAAGTCCAAAGCTTCTCTTGGGGTAGAGATAGCTGGAGCAACACCACCTTCGTCACCGACGTTACCGGCAGAAGCACCGTATTGCTTCTTAGCCAAGGACTTCAAGTTGTGGTAAACTTCGGAACCGATTCTCAAAGCTTCGGAGAAAGATGGGGCCTTGTGTGGGACAATCATGAATTCTTGGAAGGCCAAAGCACCACCGGCGTGGGAACCACCGTTCAAGACGTTTTGGAAAGGAACTGGCAAAACGAACTTGTCTTGCTTGGAACCGGAAAGATCGGCCAAGTGTTGGTACAATGGGACGTTCTTTTCGGCGGCACCGGCCTTGGCAGCAGCCAAGGAGACACCGAGGATGGCGTTGGCACCCAACTTGGACTTGTTTGGAGTACCGTCGAGGGAGTTCAAGAACTCGTCGACCTTGGCTTGGTTGGTGATGTCAAGGTCAGCCTTGATGAAAGCTGGGGCAATGATGTCGTTGACGTTGGAAATGGCCTTGGTAACACCCTTACCCAACCACTTGGACTTGTCACCATCTCTCAATTCCAAAGCTTCGTGGATACCGGTGGAGGCACCAGATGGAACAATGGCTCTGAACAAACCCTTTTCGGTGTGGATGTCGACTTCGACAGTTGGGTTACCACGGGAGTCGTAGACGGAACGAGCAAAGATTTTAGAGACAGCCATATTTATGTGTATGAATAATAATGGTTATTAGATCTACCACCTGGCTGGGAACTGGTCGCATTTATAGAAAAAAACTGTGGATAGTGGACCACTCACTCCCGTTTCACCGACACAAAACCGCGTTGGCAAGGCCAAGTTGTCCATTGACGGGACACAACTGTCCAACCATCACGAGATTCTACGGCAGGACGTGGCGTGACTAACGTGCTGGTTGGGGCTACTACGGCTGGGTGCTATTGGCGCTTTGGTGCTCCTCAATGGCTTGCTGGGGGTAGCCAATTCCTACAGGCAGACATCGATTGCGAAGGCGTGGATGGTAGTCAATTTGGCGCCAGGAATCAAGAGAGCAAATGGGATGAAAAATGGGGGAATTTATGGCGATTGACTTCCTTTTGGGCGAGAATATCCCCGGGGTGTACGGAAGCCTTGGCCCCTGAATCACAGTTGCTGAAGTTCGGGCTCGGACTTGGGGCAGGCCGGGAACTGGGCCGGGCTACCTCGGGTAGGAGGGCTCCGTGGCACCCACGTGAATTTGGTGGCCTGGGCTAGCGGCTGTGCGCGTGTCGCGACACCGGTGCGGGTTTCCGCGACATGGCACCTCTAAAATCAACCACCACAACTGCGACAACAATCCCCCACGATGAGCTCGAAGGACACCAGCGATGCCAAGGCGTCGGCAGCTTCGTCCCCCAAAGTGGCGCAGTCGGGCCAGTCTGCCGACGACAAGAAGTCCAGGTCCTCCAACGGCGGCCTGGCCGAGCTCCCCAGCATCGACAACTACACTAAGGTCAAGAACCAACTTACACAACAGATCTTGAAGAAACAAGAACTCTCGTCGAAGCTCACCCAGTTGGAAGACTCTATCTACGAGAAGGAGTCGGACTACTTCAACGAGAGCGCCTACGGTAACATCGTCAAGGGTTTCGAGAACTTCTCCAAAACAAGTGGTGGTGGCAGCTCCAACAAGAAACGGTTTCAGTACTCAGCAGAAGACCACATCTTCAGTCTCAGCTCGGTAAACTACATCAAAACATTTGTCAAGAGGCACGGGATCTCATTTGCTGGTATAAATGGCGATGCCTTAAGCTCGGAGATTCTGAATGGAGTCAACGCTAACAAAGATGATTTGGATGAGTACGAGGATTCGGTGGATCCAGGAAGCAACTCCGCCACCAAGGCTGCTGCCTATGAAAAGGAGAATTCCAGCAGTGCAAGCACCCCCACCAGGAAGAGAAAGATACGAGCTTTGGATGAATAATGTATATATGTAATATAGAGCTAGCAAGCTAGCACGGTCAACGACCCATGAAGTTGAAGGACAATTCACGTAGGGTGCAGTGAGCACATCGACATACACCCCTATTCTGACGGTAACATAGCAATTTGGGGCACTACACTAGACATATACGGGATCTATTATGACATTTATTTACAGGCTTGCCATTGCTACTGATCCTGGCACAATAACAACACTTCTCTCAGGAAGATACACTTCTCTCAGGAAGATACTCCTTCCCTTACCACTCTGGTCCTCAAATACAGACTCTAGAATTCTCGACTTTTTACTTTTTTGGGGCATAGTTGTACACCCATGGTTGATTTGGTGGAAAATCAGTGGGAATTCTCATTTCCAAAGGAAATCTCTTTTGTTCCTTGGCGTTGGCCAACTCAAATAACTCAGGACTCGTTTGTTTCAAATCTTCCATGGCATTTTTGATACTGTTGTACTGTTTTTCGAACTGCTCATCTCTCTTTTGAAAAAGTTTTCTCTTGTATACATTCCAGGCGTTGGTAATGGTTCTGTTCTTGATCAAGTCTTCGTTACATAAACTCAATAACTTTGGTTGTTTTCTGCTGGCAGACAATGCTGATAATTGGTTCACTATTCTTTGGGTGGATGGGGTCATAGCAGCCTTTTGCTTTCCACGAATGAATATCTTAGAGGTAGCTGCCACGGAAGCAACAGCCTTATCGGATCCCCATATAGTCTTGAACATCTTGGTTAGTTACACTATTTGAGCTCAAGAATGGTGAAAGTTTTTTTGAGATCCATGTCGCAATATGTAGTCACATGATTAGACACACGTGTCTCATATAAGCGCAACCAAACTGATGTCTGGGGTATCCAACAGTTACCAAACCTCAACCATGGGATACCCTAACGAAAAGTCACAGAAAAGCGATAAGGATTTACCACCTTCGTATAACGAGAGTGAAAGAATTCACGGACAAGGCCCTCCTCCCCAGCAGCAATCCCAAAGCTACCCACCTGAGAAGGAGTGGGAGCAATTCAGGAACCAAGGCCACCCTCCAAGTGGCTGGCAGAACCAGAACCCTCCTCCAAATGGCTGGCAGAACCAGAACCTTCCTCCAAATGGCTGGCAGAATCATAACCAGCCTCAAGGACAATGGCAGGGTCAATCAGGACCCTATGACCCTTTGCAAGACCCTAACGTTTATAAAGTCAAGCCTCAAAAAGTGAATATTACGTTGGCCCCACAAGAGCACTTAAACCCATCTTATGGGCAATACTTAGAGAGAGACAAGGAAAGAATTAAAAATGGAGATTATCCAAAACCTCCAGAGATGTTTAAGCACGGAGCACCATTGGAGCCGGGGCATAAGAACCCTAATCAAAGGGCGGGTGGAAGTAGCTTTCCTGGCAGAGGAGGCGCCACTTATAACAACGCAGCTAATAGATGATTCTGGTTTGGATTACACATAATTATTAAGTATGGGGCAAGCGCATGGGAATTAGATTTTAAGCAACTAGTCTATTTGAACTATTTAAACACTGTATCACCATTGTATGTCCAACCACCGAATTGCTGTTGAACACTTTCACTTAAAAAGTCATCAACAACAGAATCCTGAGGTTTCTCATTGGTAAAATCAGAGTCAAAGTTGGAGGTATCCAACAAGTTCTCGACGTTTGGTTTGAATGGAGGAAGATAACTCTTGTTAATCAACTTAACCCAATCAATATCTTTGAAGAATGGATGGCTCTTTATTTCGGTAGCATCATTCAATCTATGTTTAGGATCCTTTTGTAATAATTTTATCAACAAATCTTGGGCATCAGTAGACTCCAAGAATGATGGAAATCTAAGTGGATTCTGCAAAATCTTTCTGTACATAGTAGGTGTATCTTCATCGAAGAAAGGTGGCAACCCCGTTAACATTTCATACAACAATGTACCTAAGGTCCACCAATCAACACTTCTAGTATAACCCTGGTTTAAGATCAACTCAGGTGCCAAGTATTCGGGGGTTCCACAGAAAGTACTAGTTCTGTCATTGCTGCTCATATTCAATTTACATAAACCAAAATCACATAATGCAATATGACCTTGATAGTCAAGTAAAATGTTTTCAGGCTTTAAATCCCTGTAAATCACATTCAACTCATGTAAACTTTCCAATGCAGTCAACAATTCAGCAATATAAAACCTGGACCTATCCATTGAGAATTTTCCTTCTCTTTGTAAGTGCCAAAAGAGCTCCCCACCATTGATAAATGATAAAACCAAATACAATTTTTCTGGGCTTTGGAAAGAGAATTTCAATGGAACGATAAATGGATTGTTGATTCTTGCCAAAACTGTACGTTCTGCCAATGTGTGGGTCACTTCATTTCTTGAAACAATATGCTGTTTCCGCAAGGTTTTCAAAGCATAGATTTGTTTTGTATCCTTCTTTACCACTTGCATGACCTTACCAAAAGAACCTTTACCAATGACCTTCAAGAGATCAAAGTCATCAATAGAAAGGGGAGCTTTGCTGATTGGTTTGAATTCAATGGTCAACATTATTTCACCCAACTCCTTCGATACTAAGTCACTAGCATTGAGGTTATAGTTTGTAAACTTGAGATATTCATGATTCATCAATCTGATTGGCTTAACGTGGTACTTCAAACTCAATGGCAACTTGATGGTACCAATTAACAAATCCCCAATATTGTTGGGATTTGCATTTGGTGAGGTATTATTAGTGAACAAATGCTTCTTGGACAGTTTCTCTGACTCTGGGATCAACATGCTTGGTAACCGGATGAAAAGGTTTAAAATCAAAAAATTAGATCCGATATTTTGGTTTGTGTTGGACTTTTTGGTGACATCAAATGAAACAACTTGATTCCATGTCGATTGGTTAACTGTACCCTTTTGAGGCTCGATGACTAGCACATTGTTATCAAATTCGATGGTCAAATAGAGAAGTGATTTTACCAAATTCTCAGCATTAGGTATGGTAATGATCGATGGCAAGAGACTGGTGGCAAGCTTTCCGGGCAAAAGGTGGTCTGAGCTTCCACTTTGGTCATCGGTGCCTTTGCTTTCGTTTGATTCCAAAGCACCCAAGTTTTTGAGGAGATATTGTGTCGTCGACTCATTGTTTGAATTTACTGCCAATGCATGCAATATCTGTTTGTTATTGTCGATTTGGATAGGCAATTGGATCTTGTTCGAGTTGTAGATTTTGACGGTCAAGAGACCTGGATTGTGACTGGCCGTAGTGTTTGGTTGCTCGACCTCGTGGGCAGTTGAGGAATGCGGCTGCGAAACCAGCGTGGGATGATCCTTGTGTGATGATTGAGTAGTAGCTTGCTGGTTGTAATCCGATTTCTTGGGCGATGCAGATGCTGTAGACGATGACGAGGATGAGGCTTCTTCCGGGAGAGCGCCCTGTTGGCTCGCCCCGTTGATGGAAAGCTTCAGCATGGTATCGGATAAATTGTTGGTCGATATCGTCCTTTTGGAATCCACCGAATTCCTTGGAGACGACGACACTGTGGACAACTCGGGAGAGGTGGATTTGTCACCATTGGTGTTGGATGATCCAAACTTGAACTTGTTCTTGAATTTCAACATGCTACAATTCGGTTGTGACGGCTAGAAAACTGGCAAAGTCGCGGAGATCTGCTACTTCCTGGTGGTGCTGTGGAAGGAATGTATTGGCGTGTTTATCGAAACAGAATATCTCCACTTAAATTAGTCTATCGAGTGTATGGGGGGCTAACACGAGTGATATGCTCGGCTTAGAATTTGCCATGTGCACGCCGTCATAAATGATGCGGGTGCAAGCCAGACGGAATAGGGGACCATCGGAAATGGTATGACTGTATGCCGAGCTCCGGAATGTTCGCTGTCACTCAGGCTTCTGCGGACATGAAACCGAGGACCATTTGTGGGCGACAATCGTTCATGACCGTTGTGGGGACCGGGCACAGAGTCCAATCTGGATAGGGATATTCGTAAACTAAATAGGGGTGAGACATTCAGGTTGAAGTGGATTTGGGGAATTCCACTTCAATCGTGATGAAACGGTCGAGTATGCATGCCTCAATAATATTCGGTATGGAATGATACTTTGACTGATGCTCATGTAGATGTCAGGAGGCCCAGGAACGATCGCCCGATCTCCGCATACGCGGAGGGAGCATGCTTGGTCACGTGTTACGTAAGCGCACCGTTACCAGATTCGTTTGTTTATCCCACCACCTCAATCCATCCCCAACCATCATGAGTACGATCACCCGTGTATCTCCTGTCAGGAACGACAACAAGGAGAATGAGCAGGTGCTACTACTCACCAAGCAGGCCAAAGAACGTCCGGCAAAAAGAGGGCCTCCCTCCACGCCGTTGACGCCCTCATTGCAACAGCCCCACAGAGTCAGGAGGAAGTTGGCGGCCGCTGTGCAGAAGAAAACGTTGATTTCACTGGGCGACTCTTCCGATATGTTGGACTCCAAGTACCAGATGTGGTTGTTGCGCCAGGAGTTGGATCGAAGCAAGGAGTTGGTCCGGTTCTTGGAGTTGGAGCGTAAGTTCACCAATGAGTCCGAATCACATTGAGTTGGGCCGGAACGAGTTGGTTCATTTCTTGGAATCGGAGTATGAATCCCATCGTAATACTCCCCATATTCAAATATCTGCATTAAAAACACAAATGGTTCCATAACCCAAACGATGGGTCATCTGCGTTGAACAAATGGATCCATCATCACCAACCAAAGAATTTCATCTGCATTGAACAAATGGATCCATCATCCCCAGCAAAGAAGACAAATGGATGCTTCTTCACCATTGAAGTAATTTTGATCCATTTCTACATCAAATCATGTTCATTAGAGCCATATGAGAATGGCTTCCGATAAAACTGATTCTGGCATTATCAGCTCCAACTAGTGATTATTCGTCCTAACCTCACTGGATACCAAACTTGCATCTGTACTATATTAATATAATTCTAATTATCTACTTGTGGCTTCTTGTAGACTTGAAATATTGCTTCAATCTCTCATCATTTCCATCAAGAAACCTATTGTCATTGGGACCCTTGTTCTCCCAAGCGGAGTGTCTCTTTGCCATCTTCGCCTTCTCATCATCTCGAGTTCCTCTAAGGCTCAAGTCGTCGCTTAACCAGCGAGTCGCCAAAGGATATAATGATTCCGTAGGCTTCACACGTACCTGGGATCCCAACTGCACCTTTTCTTGGAGAGTCTGATCATAAATAATATCTTTTGTCTCATAGTTATCCACTATTGCTCCCTCGCTCAAATGAATGATTCTATCGTAGCATGACCTGTCAATTCCATCAAAAATATGAGTGGCATACACCACCGTACATCTTCTATCATTGCACTCTTCTTTGAGATAATTCAATAACTTTTGTCTGACTATAACATCTAAGTCAATGGTCACCTCATCAATAAGTAGAAGTCTCCATGGTCTCACCAACCCCATTGCTATCTGAACTCTTCTGCGTTCACCATCTGACAAGTTTAACATCGACCATTCGGGGTCGAAGTCTAGTATGTCGATTAAACGGTCTCTTCTTTCGGGATACACATCACCACCAATGGATGAAATCAATACCTTGACCGAAATATCACGCTTGACCATTGAATTAGTGGCCCATTCAGTTCCCAAGTATGTGATGTATTGGTTAATGTCAGAATTGTGTTGCTGGCTCCTCGTTCTGTTATCAGAAAAGGGGTCAAATCCTCCTAGCTTGATGCTTCCTGCTTTTATCAATGTCTTTCCTGCCAATATCTTCAATAACGTTGACTTTCCTGCTCCATTGGGTCCCACAAGTAAATTGAATGTGCCCCACTCCAAGGCGAGACTAACATTTTCCAATCCAAACTTGTTGGTTCCGGAAAAAGTGTAAGTGAAATTGGTAGCCTCGATGGCTAGGGAGTTGTCTTCAAGGTGGTCCGTCATTTTCGGAGCCTCTGCTAGTTTGGTATAGTACTGTAACTGGTGGTTTTGCAGTAAGTGCAATATTTATTGCTATAGAAAATACAAATTTTACAGGTTAACAATGCTTAACTAACATAGATCGCTGGTTTGACTTTAGGAGAAACTTTCCTTTGCATATCAATACCAGATTCTAGAAACTAGCTTAAAGATAACAGTAGTCAACCCATTACGTTCAAAGTGTTCAATAGTGTCGTGTTGTTAAAGTAACTTACTAATTCAACCAACTCAATACATCCAACAGAACCAGTTCGTTTTCAATGGATTGAAGTTCTTCCTTGACACCTTCGAAGTAATCAGCATCACTCTTCAAATATTTTCTGATATAAGACTTCAACAACCCCTTGTATTCGTAGTATAACCATTGGTTATTTATGTTCTTTTGTAAATCCAAGTCCTCTTCATCAAATTCTTTCTGAATTGTAATGGTTTCATTGTTTGGCACGTTCAAACTTTGAGAAATCAGGTTCAAATTTCTCACAATTGAGTTAACCACAATAAGGAACAATTTCTTAAACTGTTCTGGGTTTGAAGTGTGGAAGTTGTTCAAAATTCTATTGATAGACTCCATACACGAAACATTTTCAATAAGAAGATTGGTGGAGAGGGAAAGGGTCTTAGGAATTAAGAACTCTGGCTTCAATATTTCAAACTCAATTAAATATTCCAATACTAAGAAGACAACTTGAGGCTGGTGGGACCAGATTCTGAAAATAGCTTCGATTATCCAAACTTGTCTATTTTCCACTTGTTCTGGAGTCAACTCCAAAGATTCGAATTTGGCTTCATCGTCTCCGTAAGTAATTTCTGAGCCACTCAAGTACTTCAACTTATTAATATCACGCGATAACACACTCACGACGGAATAAATTGATCTCGAGCCAATGTAGGCATAAGTTTGGAAGAATAAGTTGATAATAAATCTTTCGGCATTGATGTTGGGAAGAGTCTGGACGCCAGTTAAGATTTCTTTGTATAAATCACTGAATTCGCTATTTGTCTTCCAGTGAGCGCTCACGAAGTCGTACACCTTACTGGAGATTTGATGCAATGGTAATTCAGGATTAGAGTAGTTGAAGAAGATTTCCTCTTGTGCACCCACAATTGATTTCTCGGCCAAAGCATTTTTCTTTTCGAAGTATAATTTTGCAAGCAATTCCTTTACTTGAGAATCGTCACCATACAATTCAGTATCGTAATCAATGATGTACTTCGATTCATTCTCGAACAAGGAGATGTTAAGATATTGATGAAACTCGTCTATGGTGACGACTTCTGATGTTTCCGGGTTCAAAGTCACAAAACTATCTTTGATCCTGTTCTTGTTCGACAATCTAATTTCCTTTGCAATCAAATTCTTAATAAAACTTCTCTTAGGATGGTATTTCAAGTTTTTGAACTTTTTAGAATCATTGACCCATTCATCCCATTTCCAACTAAATTCGAAATTCGAAATTTGAGTGGTCATCCAATCCAAAAACCTAATTTTCAACTCATAGTCCAATGTTTCCAAGTTGTTGTAAAAATATCTAATAGCTCTTCCAAAAACGGGCGCTATTGATTCTGGACTTTCACGACAACAAGCGATCAAAACAGTATAATAATAAATCTCATGATGTAAAGTTATTGGCAATTGGAAAATCATTGTCAAAATACTCTCAACTGCTATATCTTCAACCTTCCAAGTCGATAATGGAGGTTGGTTAACACCCGATTCATTGTCTGCATGAATTGACTTCAACTGGTCAATTGAAGATCCTGGGGGAGCAAACAAATTCTTGTTGAAATATAAATCTAAAATTGACAATTGAATAGAGGCTTCTGTTTTGTTGAAAGATAAGTTAGTCAAAATATCAAAAGATAAATCTTTGAAGAATAATCCAATGTAAGTGTCAATTTGTGGGACTGTTTCGTATTCAGTCGAATTATAGACTTGAAACAAAACTCTAGGATTTGAGTACCACAACTTGTCAATAGAACCAGTTGGTATGTAGGTCTTCAATTTTGAGATTTCTGGCAAAGAAAGCTGGGGTACTTGATGCTTGACCACTTCGTTAGAAACAGTATTGAACTTGAGCGCCTCATCAACTATGGGCTGAACCAACTCATTGAAGTTGAGGAACAACTTTGAAGAAGAATCTTCATTTAGGAAGGGATTCCAAGATTTATCTTCGCCCTGCAAGGCAATTATGACTGGGAGAATCAAGTCGATGATTTTTTTTGGTTCGTAGGGTAACTCATAATTATTGGATTTTGAATCAAATGGTTGCAATAATACATGAGAAATCTCCACGATCTTGAAATCCTTGGCCAACTCCACCAATTCATTCACTTTTGAAACCAACTCCTCCGATGAAGCTGGGCTGATGTTGCTGAACAAGTATGGAATGGAGATCAAGACGTTGTAGAATATTCCTTCGGCCAACCCGTTTCTGGTTTCAGGTGTTTCGTTCTGCAAATCGATGGCTAAAGTCAAAAATTGTCTGAACAAGTTGACGACTGAATGGTTTTCAATGATGGGGGATAAGGTGGCGAAGAGCTTCAAAATCGACTTGATGTTATTGAACACGCCAGCATCTTCTTCTGGAAGCTTGGATTGGGTATCGGCTTCTTTGTCGTCTCCGATCGAGTCCAACATCTTCTGGGCCTTGGCATGTAAGTACTCGATGACATACTTGGCCACAACAAAGTTCTTTGCGTTACAGATTAAAATCAAGTTGCTCACAGCATTAATCTTTTGGGGCTGTTCAATGACCACGGCATAGATGGTGCTGAGAATCGAGTTTCTCAACTTGTCAATCTTCTCGAACTCGGCCACGATGGGATTCGAGATGTAAGAAACATCGTCCACTTGGTTTACAATGTTTGGGTTCTCACCCAATCTTCTGATGTCCTTGCAAACATTATTGATCAATTCCTGGGCAGGGTCGATGTGCTGCCTCTTGGACTCATCGTCGTAAGGCTGTTGGGCAAACTGGTCCGCCTCGAACTCGTCTCTGCTTCTCTTTCCCGAATGCTCCATCTCACTCGTTCACTGGCTAGTTGCTTGTCAGTTTTTCACCGCGATATTTTCGCAGAGGCTGCGGTGACCTGAACAATTATGACGCATACAGTCTGGGAGATCAGACAAAACCTCCAGAACGATTTTAAGAATTACTATTACAACAATTATAACAATTAAACCATGAGTTTCAAGGAAGAACTTGTAAAGAGAAAGTTAACTATGGACGGTGCTTTGGGAACTGAGCTTGAGGAGTTGGTGCCTCGTGACTCACCCGTCCAACCCAAGTCATCGCGGTTGTGGTCAGGCATGGTGTTGTTGCATCAGCCAGAGTTAGTTACCCAGGTCCACCAGGCGTACGTGGAGGCCGGGGCTGAAGCGTTGATTACCGGTACCTACCAGATTTCTGAGGCCAGCTTGAAGAAGAACACTAGCTTGAGTGATCAGGAGATCATCGACTTGTGGAGTCTTTCGGTGGAGGTGGCATGTCAGGCTGCCGAGACGGCTGACCACAAGGTGTTTGTGCTTGGATCCATTGGGCCCTATGCCACCTGCCTTGCTGACGGCAGTGAGTACACTGGCAAGTATGGTGACATCAGCGTGGAGCAGTTGACGGCGTACCACAAGCCGTTGGCACTGTACCTCGCAGGCGACTCCAGGGTCGACGTGTTGGCATTTGAGACCATTCCCAACCTCATTGAGTGCCAGGCGATTTTGGAGTTGTTGGCTGCAAACAAGATTTCCAAGAGCTTCTACATCAGCTTCAACTTTTCCAGCACCGAACTGTTGATGGACGGCACGCCCATTGCCAAGATGGCTGAATACCTCACTGGGTTCCTCCACCAGCATCCCGAGGTGGCCTCGAACTTTGTGGGCATTGGTGTCAATTGCACCGAGTACCAGCTCGTGGAGTCCATTGTTGAGAACATCAACGCTGCCATCTCCATGCCGTTGATTCTCTACCCCAACTTGGGCTTCGACTACGACGAGGTTCTCGGCGAGTACCAGACCAAGAAGAATGTCGAGAAATGGGCTCGTCTGGTGGAAAAGTGGTGCTCGTTTGACAACGTCAGAGTCATTGGTGGGTGTTGTGGGACTGCGCCTGTGGACATCACCGCGGTCAAGAAGGTGTTGGATTCACTTCCACACCACTAGTCATTAGTCATTGCATTGTGTATAGCCTAGCCGAATGATAGTAGACTAAACTCGACGATTGTTGTCAAATTTATGCCAATCTGCCGCTCGGTGGTATCGGGCGGCGATTTTCATGTGCAGCTGTGGGCTCTTATCTCTGGTGGGAGTGCCAGGAGTCAAATCGCACTGACTGCCAGGGGACCGCACCACGAGCACAAGCTACTGGGGTGGCACTAGGCGACGTCCCAGCACTTTTCAGTACCAGGCTGCCAGGCCCGGTAGAGGACCCGCCAGGCGCTACCCCGGCTACTGACGGGAATCAAGAGTCACCCAACAGAGCCCGAACTGCCAGTAGAAGTCCCGGGCCCAGTCCCCGAGTCACACCGAGTCAGTTCATTTCTCGGCACTAGCCATCCGCACCAGAGTCAGCACGTGCAATCGCCATACCACCCCAGGGCACACCGTGAAACCAGGCGGCATCGCGGCACAAGCCTGGTCCGATTTGACTCGGCCATGGGGAACCCTCCAGGCAGGCCACCGTATATAAGTGTCCCGATTCCTGGGCTGTAGCATCCGAAATCGCTTAGGATCTTATACACCTTGAACCAGAATCTTCTGTTTAAAGGCCCTTTCTAGATACACTATCGACTATGTTCCAAAGAGGTAGAGCAGTGGTTAGATCCGCCCGTTTGCACAAGTTGGCGTTGTCGACGCCCAGAGTGGTGGCAATCAGAAGCATGGCTACTGAGGCTGGTTCCCCAGCTAAGGCCATCACCTCGTCTGACTACTACAAAAAGGTGTACAACCCCAGCACAGAAAAGGTCAGTTTCAGCAACTTGGACACCTTTGCCAGGAGACACATTGGGCCCACGCCTGAAAATGTCAAGACCATGTTGAGCACCTTGGGCTACTCGGATCTTGACGAGTTCTTGTCCAAGGCCATCCCAGAGCACATTCTCTTCAAGAGAAAGTTGAAGGTGCAGCCAGAGCAAGGGTTCACCGAATCGGAGATGTTGGACCACCTCCACGAAATTGCCAACAAGAACAAAATCGTCAAGTCCTACATCGGTAAGGGTTACGCAGGCACCAAGTTGCCTCCGGTGATCCAAAGAAACTTGTTGGAGAGCCCCGAATGGTACACCTCCTATACTCCATACCAGCCGGAAATCTCCCAGGGTAGATTGGAGTCCTTGTTGAACTACCAGACCATGGTTACATCTTTGACCGGATTGGACATGGCCAACGCCTCCTTATTGGACGAAGGTACAGCCGCTGGTGAGGCCATGTCCTTATCGTACCACAACTTGAAGGGTAAGAGATCGAAATACGTGGTGGACACCAACATCCACCCCCAAACCTTGAATGTGATCAAATCAAGAGCCTCCAATATCAACATCGAAATCGTTGAGTTGCCCCTCTCCACCAATGAGGGTGTCCTCCAATTGGAAGCTATTTCTAACGATGTCTGTGGTGCTATTGTTCAGTATCCAGGCACTGACGGTTCCGTTCACGACTACTCCAGAGTTGGAGAGATTCTTCACTCCAAAAAGGCTTTGTTCGCCATGGCCACCGATTTGTTGGCCTTGACTTTGCTCAAATCTCCTGCTGAATTCGGTGCCGACATTGCCCTTGGTACCTCTCAAAGATTCGGTGTTCCATTCGGTTACGGTGGTCCCCATGCTGCTTTTTTTGCAACCAGCTACAAGTACTCCAGAAAAATCCCAGGAAGAATCGTGGGTGTGTCAAAGGACAGATTGGGTAAGCAAGCCTTAAGATTGGCTTTGCAAACCAGAGAACAACACATCAAGCGTGAGAAGGCCACCTCTAATATCTGTACCTCTCAAGCATTGTTGGCTAACATTGCAGCCATGTACGCTGTCTACCACGGTCCAGAAGGATTGAAGAACATCGCTAAGAGAGTTTTTGGATTCACCACCATCTTGGCTTCCCAAATTGCTTCTCATCATGAAATAGTTAACACCAAGTGGTTTGACACTTTAACCGTCAAGTTGAACGGTGTCTCGGCCGATGAGATCTTGGCTGTTGCTTTGCACGAACACAACATCAATTTATTCAAAGTGGACGAATCTAAGGTCTCGATCACTTTGGATGAAACTGTCACTGAACAAGACTTGGACTCTTTGATTCAAATCTTCACCCACGGTAGATTGGACACCAGTCAAATCCAAGAATTACCAAACCTTCCACATGAGTTCTTAAGAACTGATCCAATCTTGACCAATGAAGTCTTCAACACTCATCACTCGGAAACTTCGATGTTAAGATACTTACATTTGCTTCAAAGCAAGGACTTGTCTTTGGCCAACTCCATGATTCCATTAGGTTCCTGTACCATGAAGTTGAACGCAACTGTTGAAATGCAAACCTTGTCTATCCCAGGATTCAATTCAATCCATCCATTCGCTCCAATTGACCAAGCTGAAGGATACAAGCAGTTGGTGGACGAATTCGAAAAGGACTTGAACGATATCACTGGTTTTGACGCAACTACCTCCATGCCAAACTCTGGTGCCCAAGGTGAATATACTGGTTTATCCTTGATCAGACAATACCACAAGTCCAGAGGTGACTACGAAAAGAGAAATATCTGTCTTATTCCAGTCAGTGCACACGGTACCAACCCAGCTTCTGCTGCTATGTGTGGCTTGAAGGTTGTGCCTGTCAAGTGCTTGGAGAATGGTTCCATTGATTTACAAGATTTAACTGAAAAGGCTGAAAAACACTCTGAAAATCTCTGTTCGATCATGATTACCTACCCATCTACTTATGGTTTGTTCGAACCAGGGGTCAAGACTGCCATCGAAACTGTGCACAAGAATGGAGGATTAGTTTACTTGGACGGTGCCAACATGAATGCTCAAGTCGGTTTGACTTCTCCAGGAGATTTGGGTGCGGACGTGTGTCACTTGAACATCCACAAGACGTTTGCGTTGAGTCACGGTGGAGGAGGTCCAGGACAAGCTCCAGTTTGTGTTAAAGAGCACTTGAAGCCATTCTTGCCATCGCATCACTTTGTCAAGACCCCACATTCCACTAAGGAATCCATCGAATCGGTGAACTCTGCACCTTACGGCTCTGCTTCTGTCATCCCTGTGTCTTATTCCTACATCAAGATGTTGGGAGCTCAAGCTTTGCCATATGTGTCCACCATTGCCATGTTGAATGCCAACTATATGTTGACCAGATTGAAGAACGACTACAAGATCATGTTTGTGGACTCCCACGCCTCCACCAACGAAGGGTTGAAGCACTGTGCCCACGAGTTCATCTTGGACTTGAGAGAGTTCAAGGCTGTTGGTGTTGAAGCTATCGATGTGGCCAAGAGACTCCAGGACTATGGATTCCATGCGCCTACCATGTCTTTCCCAGTCGCTGGTACTTTGATGATCGAGCCCACCGAGTCCGAAAACTTGGCCGAGTTAGACCGTTTCGTCGACGCCTTACTCTCCATCAGAAAGGAAATCGAGGCGTATGCCAACAACGAGCCATTGGGTATGGTGTTGAAAAATGCCCCCCACTCTTTGGAAGACGTGGTTTCTACTCCTCAACAAGACTGGGATGCTAGAAGCTACACCAGAGAGCAGGCCGCCTACCCATTGCCCTACTTGAAGACTGCCAAGTGCTGGCCTACCGTCGCTCGTTTGGACGATACCTACGGTGACATGAACTTGATGTGCACTTGTCCTTCTGTCGAAGAAGTTGTCGAAACTCAATCTTGAGTCGCATAAAATTTAATTCTTGTATAATAGAAAATAGATTATAGATTTGCATCCATATGTAAACGGTAGCATTGCGATTGTATCTGCAATGTCCCAATGACAATTCGCATCCTGACTGGGCCTGCTCATGCTGACTTCACTTACTTAATCCCTCTCCCCAACGCCGTGGCCGGCTCCGTTTCAGCTGCCAGTTGTTATCCGCCAACCTGGCCCAAACTGGGCGCGCACTACTACCACCGAAATCCACCACCAGTGAACCACTTGGCTGATCACATAGATCGTGACCTATTGCAACGAAGGGCATGCAAGCACATGAAGAAACATACAGGTTGATCAGTGAAACACATTTATAATTGACATATCCCACCCAAATCATTCCCACCCAACACAAGCCGCCAACATCAAGTATACATGGATTGGTACAACAAGAAGAAAATGGGCACTGGAGCCCCAGCGTATACCCCATCGCCCTATGGAAGCATGGGCACCAGCAGCGGAAGCTTATCCCCGTACGCCAATCAGCGAAGCCAGATCTACTCCCAAAGCAGTTCAAATGGAGCCTCCGGCTCGACTCCGGGGGTGGTGACGCCCGGAGGAGCACCTGGAGGGATAAATTATCACTCAGGCTTGCCATCAGCTGGAAGATCCACCAACTCTTCACCAAGCCAGAACAACCCCAGCACCGCTACCACCCTGGGTCCAATGGATAGAGACTCGTATTACTTTTCACAACTTCCATTATATTGTGCTGATTGGACGTACCTAGGCTTGGAAGATAAAGAGTGTGTGGCATTGAGCTCCTATAAAGAAGGTTTCAATAACAAGCTTCAGATTCTACACGGTTCAAAATATGGAAGCGATTACACAAGGGGCAATGGAAGTGATCCCAGAATTCTAGACGAAAATATCGACAGTGCCTCTCCTACTAGCTCGAGCCACGCTCAGTACCAAAAATATCAAGGGCTTCTGCCTAGGTACTATGACGATCCGATTGTTGAAGGCTTCGACTTTCACAATATCGCTGAGGCATCCGTGGAATACCCGATCACAAATCTCCAGTGGGACCCCTCTATGAAGAACACTGGTGAGAAAAGAGTAGCTGCATCCCTGGAGGTTCTTCGTTTGTATAAAGTTTCTATGAATTCTTATGAGCAAGGAGAATCGGAATTGTTACAAACACATATATTGGCCAATAATACCAGTGGGTCTTCTTCAACTTCGGGCAGTAGCAACAATGCTTCAGTCACCAAAGGCTCGGGCGGTGAAGATATCAACACATTCCCACCAGTTACTTCGTTTGACTGGAATAAAACTGACCCCAATATAATCATCACATCTTCAGTTGATACCACATGCACGGTGTGGGATTTGCATCGTTCACACACACTACTGAAGGTTGGCGACGATACCATTGACACCGCTACTGTTATGACTCAATTAATAGCACACGATTCCGAGGTTTTTGATGTCAAATTCATCCATAATTCCTCCAATATCTTCGCATCAGTGGGTAATGACGGTTCAATGAGAGTGTTCGACTTGAGGTCATTGGAGCACTCCACTATTATATATGAACCATCACTTCCGTTGGCAACCACTCCTTCTTCCATTGGACCAGGCGCATCTCTTGGAGCAAGTGCCATGAATGCCAAAGCTCTTTTGAAATTGAGTACTTCTAACATTGATCAGCATCATTTAGCTACGATCGGAATTAATTCGAATCAAGTCATCATTATAGATATGAGGATGCCTGGATTACCAGTGGCTACATTGGATGGGTCTTTGGGAGGGGTGAATCATGCCGCTATCAATATGATTAGATGGCATCCTAGTTCAAATTATGTTTTGACTGGAGGTGATGATTGTCAGGCATTGGTCTGGGATTGTAACAACGTTCAGCAATCAAAAACAAATGGTGATTCAGGAATTATTATTGATACACCTGTGTTGGCTTACGAGGAAGAATTAGAAGTGAATAACATTTGTTGGAGGCAGAATACAGGAGATTGGATGGGTGTAGTTAGTGGGAAAGGCTTCCAAGCAGTTCAACTTTAGTTCTAGTCTTTTAACGAACATTAATATATTATTACGTACAAAATAAGCAATAATTATAAACTATATATTACCAACAGGCTCTAATAGATACAATCAAGTAGCTTACTTCTTACCAGCCTTTTGGGCAGCCTTGGTGACCTTACCAGCCTTGTCGGACTTTTCAACAGACTTGATAACACCGACAGCGACAGTTTGTCTCATGTCTCTGACAGCGAATCTACCCAATGGTGGGTAGTCAGTGAAAGCTTCAACACACATTGGCTTGGATGGGACCATCTTGACGATAGCAGCATCACCAGACTTGATGAACTTAGGGTTGGCTTCCATGACCTTACCAGTTCTTCTGTCGATCTTTTCGATCAAGGTGTCGAACTTACAGGCAATGTGGGCGGTGTGACAGTCCAAAACTGGAGAGTAACCGGAGGAGATTTGACCTGGGTGGTTCAAGACAATAACTTGAGCGTTGAAAGATTCAGCACCCTTTGGTGGGTCTTGCTTGGAGTCACCACAGACGTTACCTCTTCTGATTTCCTTGACGGAAACGTTCTTGACGTTGAAACCAACGTTGTCACCTGGGACACCTTCAGCCAATTGTTCGTGGTGCATTTCGACGGACTTGACTTCAGTGGTAACACCAGCTGGGGCGAAGGTAACAACCATACCGGCCTTGATGACACCGGTTTCAACTCTACCGACTGGCACAGTACCAATACCACCGATCTTGTAGACATCTTGCAATGGCAATCTCAATGGCTTGTCGGTTGGTCTGGTTGGTGGTTCGATAGCGTCAATAGCTTCCAACAAGGTCTTACCAGAGGACTTACCAGCCTTGGTTTCCTTTTCCCAACCCTTGTACCATGGACAGTTGGTGGAGGCTTCAATCATGTTGTCACCGTTCCAACCAGAGATTGGGACGAATGGAACAGTCTTTGGGTTGTAACCGACCTTCTTGACGAAGTTAGAGGTTTCCTTGATGATTTCTTCGAATCTGTTCTTGTCCCACTTGACGGAGTCCATCTTGTTGACAGCAACAATCAATTGCTTAACACCCAAGGTGTAAGCCAACAAAGCGTGTTCTCTGGTTTGACCGTCCTTGGAGATACCAGCTTCGAATTCACCGGTACCACCAGCNATAATCAAGATAGCACAGTCAGCTTGGGAAGTACCAGTGATCATGTTCTTGATGAAATCTCTGTGACCTGGAGCATCGATAACGGTGACTTGGTACTTTGGAGTTTCGAACTTCCACAAAGCGATATCGATGGTGATACCTCTTTCTCTTTCAGCCTTAAGTTTGTCCAAAACCCAAGCGTACTTGAAAGAACCCTTACCCAATTCAGCGGCTTCCTTTTCGAACTTTTCGATAGTTCTCTTGTCAATACCACCACACTTGTAGATCAAGTGACCGGTGGTGGTAGACTTACCAGAGTCGACGTGACCAATGACGACGACGTTAACGTGATTCTTTTCCTTACCCATTTTAATTGATTAAGATTATATCTGAAGAAAAAAATTTCACTGAGCCAAATATGTGCCCTTTTATAATTTGCCCTCCCAAAAGGGGGGGTGAAAAAATTGATGGTTAAAATGCGATGAGTCATTCTCATATTTACGCGGATGATGCGGTTTACGCAGCGGTCAAAGTCTTAGATAACAGCCCCTACTATCTATATCACAGTAGCTTGGAGTGTGGTGCTGCCTCAATGGTACTGTTATGACTCACACACGATTCCATTCCTTACGTGACCATTTTAGTACAATTACAACTTACAACTTTAATGAGTTTCGAGACAGCAATCAAACACGTGTAACTACTGAGGGTCGCAAAACCGCAAGGCACAACACAACTGAGTGGCTGGTGCAGGTTAGTTGGGGTAGACACGTGACATATGTCTGAGGCTAGTACGGGGTACTCAAGCAAAAAGCAATGGAAGCAAAGAGATAATTCCACAAAAAGCAACAAAAGTGCTAGACAGTCCCAACAACTAACGGAAGGAATTGTCGACACCTCTACATCTGACGAAAGAGTATGATATATTTGGCTATGTATGTAACATAATCACTTGGAGAAAACGTTGTCACTCTTCTGGCTCGACACGTAGGACTTTCTGAAAATGTCTTCATTGGGGGCACCGCCGCCAGCGGTAGTGCTAGCAGAAGTGGATGCTGGGTTAGATGTAGAAGCAGCCGTATTCTGCGTAGCACCGGGGTTCATCAAGCTCTCGAAGCTGGATCTAGTTGCAGACGAAGTCGATCCTCTTCTCTGGTTTCTGGCAAAGCTTGGGTCGGTTTTCTTGCCCTTGGCGGATGCAAAAAGACCCAAAATATCCGTCAACGTCACCACTCCCACAAGCTTTCCTGGGCGACCGGCCTCAGTTGGAGTATAGTTTGAGGATGGCACGGCGCCCAAAGTAGCTTCCACGGTGGCAGGAGTCAGCGAACCGACTCCGTTGTTCACAGAGGAAGCTGAGGAGGTGGTGTTTGTAGAACTCATTGAGTTGGAATGGTTTCTGTTGCTGGATTCCACGACCCAAAGACGATGGCTTTGGGTGGCCACAAGCTTGGCAATGACCCTACCGAGAGAGCTCTGGTTGTTGACATGGAAGATTGGGAACTGGTCTTGTCCCTCCTCAATACCCTTTTGGCTGAGGTTATAACTTATAAAGTTCAAAACGGGTTTGAACAATAAGTGGGAGTTCTTAGATGTGGAAACATGCTTCACATCAACGATGGAAATGTTCCCGATAAGCGAACGAGTTCTGTCAATAACTGCAAGAGAACTGACACGTTCATGGGACATTTTTTGAAGAGCATCTATCAAGAGCTGGTCTTCATAAATACTTATTGGAGTGCTGGAACCAAGATCGAGTTCTTGCAATGTTGAATTGAGATGGCAATCAAGCGAAGGAAATCTTCTAGCATTTTCCCACAAGTACTTGATTAAACGACGCTGGGAAAGAATACCAGTGATCTTGTTGTCGGAATCGGTGATGGCAATACGATGCACACCATTCCCCAAGGTTTCGACGACCGGGAACAACGTGTCGGTCTCGCTGAACTTGATGAATGGGTTTTTAGGGTTAAGCTTGATGATGAACTCGACAGGGACCTCTTCTCCACGTTTGGCTCTGCTTATGGTTTGTGTCACCAATTCATGCTTCTTGGCATCATCGGTGCCGGTTCCCGGGGTGGTGTTGCTGCCCAAGGGAAGGTCGATTTCATGGATGGCCAAGTCATTGGTGGAAATCTTGTTCATGATCAACAACAAGTAAGTATTCAAGTCTGAGTAGTCGAAGGTCAAGCAGTCTTTGGCGCTCGATGAAAGCAACACGGGAATACTGGTGAGGTTGTGGGTGACCAAGGTCTCGAAGGCTTTTTGCACCGAATACGAAGCATTGATAGTGATCAATTTGTTGGACTCAGTCAAGTCCTTGAGAGGAATCTCCGACCAGTCCAACCCCGACGTGGAGGCGTGTTGGGCGGCGTTCATCACGGAAGACGAGCGAGAGCTGTTGGAGGTGTGTCTGGATAAACTGAATCCGTGGATATCGTCATGGTCAGGGGTTTGCACTGGCAATGGAGGAGGCGAGGAGAGTAGTTCCACTATCGAGGGCTTTCTCGATGGGTGTTGGCTGGAGCTCCCCGAAGAGAATGAAGGGTGGTGGTTGTGGTGAGGGTGGCCATGGTGGGCTGCGGTGGGCTTGGACAAGGGCGATGTGGGAGGTTGCCTGAATGGAGGGTTGGGCATGTTGGGGGTAATGTGCAATGGATGCAGGGCAAACTACCGGGCTAACAGGGATCGAGCGGGTCTATAGTAACAAGAATATCCAATTGGACGTGGGCCAAAACAAATATGCAATCAATTGAGCAGGAGGGCTAACGTGTGGGGGGTTCAAAGATTGTGGAGGATGAGTCAGTTGGGCCTGAAAAATCTTGGATTCGTAGAAAAAATGATATCCTCAGTTGTAGTTAACCAGTAAACCGTGGAGGTGAATATTGCCACTGTAAAAACGAATGACCCCACTTTGGTGGATCGCAGGTTGCGGGAGTGTGCACAGGTGGGCCTGGTGTGAGCCCTGCACAGGGCCCGGAGATTCGCTCCCGGGTCATGTGACGGGTCATGTGACCCTCCAGGTGACCTCGCTGGCCGGCATCTGAAGAATGTGTGCACGATCGAGAAGTGGTGCTGGTGGTTGCTGTGGACAAGAGTCCGTCCACACCGCCACATCTATCAGCGTCTCCCAGAATGGCCACATGCCCTCGGAGGCAAGGAAGGCCTTATCAGTGGCTTATCACCGCTTACCATCAGTGTGGTTGCCAGTGGTCCGCCTCTCTATCCCTTCCCCTAAGGATCGGCGCGCGCTCGCAACCGCATAAATTACTTGCCTAGGAAATGGCCTCGCTTCCCATTTACCACTTGGTCAACACACCCCGTGAGCAACTGTTGCCATCATGCCATGGATGCGCCGCTAGATGCATAGCCCGACTTCTAGATCTGCCCACACACAACGGTCGGGTGATGCTGGTAGAGATCCTCCACACCAATGCAAGGCGGTAGTAAATAGTTGGGCTAAATATTGTCTGGTAGGCGGGCTTCGAATTCCATCGTGCGCACCATCGGACTACGATGCACAGCACCGAGGAACAGTAATTGGACTGGAGCCGAGGAATGGCGCTAGCTTCAGGCCTTAGCCTGCAGCCTAGGCGCCAGTTCCCACCGCAAAAGCAAGGTCGCCTGTATACAACCCCCAACTTCACAGTGAATTCGACAGTTTGTGGCATATCGTAATGCCCCCTGCTCTGGGGCAGCCGCATACCAAAAAAGAAAATTGTTGGGCCCAAAAAGAAAAGCTGCACCAAAAAAAAAACCGTATATAAGAAATCAATGGCTGCACAACGAATTGGGTTCACAAACTAATTCACTACCATGGAGAGTTTGGAAGTGGCAGACGTCACCAAATTAAACGCTCTTGCAGCAGGTACCAATAAGAAGACCCCGCGGATTGTGGCGGCCGGCTTGGGTGGCAGATTGATGGGTACCAGAGACTTGGTCAAGATCACTGCTGAACAAGTCACCCAGGACTCGTTGGAGTCGATTGCTGAGAAAGACGCCCGTGAAAAGGAACACTTCACCAAGAACAAGCACATCTCCGAAAAGCCTTGGACCCTTTCCAATTTCCACCAGCACCTCAACTGGTTGAACATGATTTTGGTGGTGGGTTTCCCAGCCTTTGGAGTCTACTCCGCCATCACCTCTCCTCCTCAATGGAAGACGGCTGTTCTCGGGTTCACCCTCTACATCTTGTCCGGTTTGTCCATCACTGCCGGCTACCATCGTTTATACTCCCACAAGTCCTATTCCGCTGCCTTGCCAGTGAGATTGTTCTTTGCATTCTTCGGAGCTGGATCTATTGAAGGTTCCATCAAGTGGTGGTCCCACTCCCACAGAATCCACCATCGTTACACCGATACCCCCCGTGATCCATATGATGCTCGTAGGGGTTTCTGGTTCTCCCACATGGGTTGGATGTTGACCAAGGCTAACCCAAAGAACCGTGCCAGAGCCGACATTTCTGACTTGAGCAGCGACTGGGTTGTTTCCTTCCAACACCGTCACTACTTGGTTATCATGCTCTTGTCTGCATTTGTCTTGCCAACTCTTATTGCCGGTATTTTCTGGGGCGACTACTGGGGTGGTTTCATCTACGGAGGTATCTTGAAGACTTTTGTCATTCAACAGGCTACTTTCTGTGTCAACTCTCTTGCCCACTGGATCGGTCTTCAACCATTTGATGACCGTAGAACCCCAAGAGATCACTTCTTGACTGCATTCATTACTTTTGGTGAAGGTTACCACAACTTCCACCACGAGTTCCCATCTGACTACAGAAACGCCTTGAAGTGGTACCAATACGACCCAACCAAGGTTGTTATCTGGGCTTTGTGCAAGGTTGGTCTCGCATGGAACTTGCAGACTTTCAGCCAAAACGCCATTGAACAAGGCTTGGTTCAACAGCAGCAAAAGAAAATCGATAGAATGAGAAACAAGTTGAACTGGGGTGCCACTGTGGATAACTTGCCAGTTTGGGACAGAAGCGAGTTCAACGCCCGTGCCAAGGAAGAAGGTCTTATCATCATCTCTGGCATTGTGCATAACGTCAAGGCGTTCATCAAGGAACATCCTGGTGGACAAGCCCTCGTTAGAGCCTCCTTAGGAAAGGATGCTACCAAGGCGTTCAACGGTGCTGTGTACGCTCACTCCAATGCTGCTCACAACTTGTTAGCCAACATGCGTATTGCTGTTATCCGTGATGGTGACATCAACGGTAACACCTTTGCTCTCCAACAAGAGTTCTTAGATAAAGAGAAGCTCGCTTAGTGTATTTATAATAGGTCGGATAATGAAATTATAGGTTTTTACCAGACTGATGTAGAAAGGGTATTCATCGAGTAGCAAATTTTCCTGCTACCAGAAATACTTTAACAGGCATGCGAAGGCAGACATAGAAACGAAGGTATTAATCGAATCCCGACAGTATTCCTTTACCAGGCACGTAAAGATTTTACCAGACTAATGTAGAAACATCCATGGCTTCACTCCGAATTTGTGACTTGTGGTGCCATTACCCATGTGTGAATACACTTCACTATTTCTCCGTAGAATAAGAGGCAGGAAACCTTTCCCCTTCCGTGACTGGAAGGGAAGCTTCCGGACTGGATTAGGAAGATTACGGAAGAATCCGTAGGAACGCCCAATATCTCCCCTAAATCTCCCGTCTCATGTCCCTGACATGCCTTGCCACGTACAAAGTAGGGAAAATGACCGGTTCATTGCATGACTATCACACCACAAGCAAAACTCGCGATGGTGCCATGGAATATTAATGGGGTGACTTTTGGGTGGTACGATTTTCGCGACATTTGCAGGAACACAATTTTGCACCCAACCCCGGCCACTTCCGTGGGGAGTACGAGTATATAAGAGGGAAGGGAGTCAGCAGATCCAGTCCATTCTTCATTCGATTATCTCATAATCAACAAACAACCACTACTTTCCATTCAATGTCCGCTGCTCTTCCACGTACCACATACCCCAAATTGATTGCTAAAAGCGTTCCAGGATTGGCTATTTGGGCCACCGGGGTAGGCCTCTTCTTGGGATGGCCACATGTGTGGGCCAGTGTCTCCAACAAAAAGAATGGAGCTCCTAAGATTAACTTCAGTCAGTTATAGCTCTCTGCGAGATGCTAAGAAATCTGCATAATGTCATGAAAACTACGAAATTCTAATAAACGATAATAAGATCCGAACAACAGTAGCAATGTAGCCAGCAGTAACTACCCGAAGAGCATATCTTCGACGAGGTCTTCGTCCCTGCTGCCTCTGGATACGCAGACACTGTACCATCTTTCATTGGGCACAGAGCCCGAGTTGGGTGATGTGGGGTGGCATCACGTGCCACGCCCGCGATACTTAATCGTTAATCAGGAGTGACTGGCATGTCAGCGATGTCCAAACCATTCCAGGCCATAGGTGATGTGATCAACACATCGTCCAGACACAAGCAGCAGTCGTTCCAGGAGATCTACGGCGAGCCCGAGAACTTCTTGGAGATCGAAGTACGAAACCCCCAAACCCACGGCTACGGCAGTGGTCTCTATACGGACTACGAGATCGTGTGTCGAGTAAGTACCCACTCCAACCTGCCCCCGTTCCTACTAACGCCAGACAAACATCCCCGCATTCAAGAAACGGTCCAGTCGAGTTAGACGTCGGTACTCCGACTTTGTTGCCCTCCGTCGGATTCTCGAACACGAGACCACCAGAGTGATCATCCCGCCGTTGCCAGGCAAGATCCTCCTTAGCTCCAACCGTTTCAATGACGTCAACATCGAGCAGAGACGCCAGGGGCTCGAGAAGTTCATCTCGGTGGTCAGCGGCCATCCGTTGCTCCAGACAGGGTCCAAGACCTTGATTGATTTCATCCAGAGCGAGCATTGGGACGCTCGTGCCGCATACTACTAGGTCCAATACATGCATCATCTTTCGACGTGAACCCAGGCTGTAGCAGCTCGCTGGGCCCACAGTGGGCCGCCGGGCGGCCAAAATAAGTGGTGTGCTCTGGGCAAGTGATTTCCGTGGTACAAAGAGGTGTGAGGTAGGAGGTAGGAGGTGTGAGGTGTAATGGCGTAGATTCGTTGGGTGAATAACTGATAGCCTGCGCTTAACGCCTTGCTCGAAACTCCAGACGCACCCCAGCCTACCGAGACATGCCCACCGGGCGTAATCACACTCCCTACCCCTCGTAGATGCCTCTGAAGGCCTACGGAGGGGCTAAATGCCTCGTCTGCGGCAGTCGGAATTATGTTTGTAAACCCTGCCTAAACTCCATTGCTAAACTCCAGGCGCGAGCCCACGCCTTTTTTGTGTGTCTCCGAACCCGATCCTAAATCCGCAACCAGCTTGGTGGGGCCAAAGCGGCCCAAGGGGCCCAGGCTTGGTAACGCCCGATACGCTTGCCACGCTTGCGGTGCGGTGGACACGAGTGCTTGCAGGCAATTTGCGTTGCACAAATCCCCACACTTCGGAGATTTCGAGGAGGGGGGGTTTTTCACCCGTCAGGCCACTCGGTCAGGAGTTAAGTATTGCCAGGTGGTTCACTATATAAGGGGGCGATGCCCACCAGTTCTCTTCACCTCATCAAGCACTCAAGCATCCAATCTCCCAATCCTCTACAATGTCTATCCCACAAACCCAAAAAGCCGTTATCTTCGAAACCCACGGTGGTCCATTGCAATACACCGACATCCCAGTCCCAGTCCCAAAGCCAAACGAGTTGTTGATCAACGTCAAGTACTCCGGTGTCTGCCACACCGATTTACACGCCTGGAAGGGTGATTGGCCTTTGGACGTCAAGTTGCCTTTGGTCGGTGGCCACGAAGGTGCTGGTGTGGTGGTTGCAAAAGGTGAGAACGTCCAAGGCTGGGAAATCGGTGACTACGCCGGTGTCAAGTGGTTGAACGGCTCTTGTCTCAACTGTGAGTACTGCCAGAACACCAACGAGTCCAACTGTGCCGACGCCGACTTGTCTGGTTACACTCACGATGGTTCTTTCCAACAGTACGCCACTGCTGATGCCGTTCATGCTGCCAGAATCCCCAAGAACGTGGACTTGGCCGAAGCTGCTCCTATCTTGTGTGCTGGTATTACTGTCTACAAGGCATTGAAGACTGCTGAACTCTCTGCTGGCCAGTGGGTTGCTATTTCTGGTGCCGCTGGTGGTTTGGGTTCTCTTGCTATTCAGTACGCCAAGGCCATGGGCTACAGAGTGGTTGCCATCGATGGTGGTGCCGACAAGGGTGAATTCGTCAAGTCATTGGGTGCCGAAGCCTTTGTCGACTTCTTGGCCACCAAGGACATTGTTGCCGAAGTCAAGAAGGTCACCAATGGTGGTGCCCATGGTGTTGTCAACGTCTCTGTGTCCGAAAAGGCCATGGACCAATCCTGTGAATACGTTAGACCAACCGGTACCGTTGTTCTTGTTGGTTTGCCAGCTGGCTCCAAGGTTACCGTCCCAGTTTTCGACGCTGTCACCAGATCTATCAAGGTCAAGGGTTCCTACGTTGGTAACAGAGCCGACAGTGCTGAGGCCATCGACTTCTTTGCTAGAGGTTTGATCAAGTGTCCAATCAAGGTTGTTGGATTATCTGAATTGAGTAACATCTACGACTTGATGCAACAAGGAAAGATCTTGGGTAGATACGTCGTTGACACTTCCAAGTAATCCCATCAGCTGTGGGTATTTAAAAAAATGAAAAATAAATAATATGTATGTTATTTATATGAATATGAATAAAATTGTTGAAAAATTGAAGTAAAATTGGCCCAATCTAATCATTGAAAATTACAAACGTATACCTAACCAACCTTGAAAAATCATTGATCTCGCATGGCTTGGTGCAAGAACTGTTTCCAATCAAGTGTGTATCATGCCTACATTGAGCATACGAGTCACTTATAATTACATCAAGATTCTACAATTAGCTCGTTAGCACATGTCATTAACTATAAAAGTTCACGTGTCACTAATACACTTAAAAGGCTCTGTTCAAAGGAGACAAAACTGGCTTACCCTTGTAGAATTGGATAGTCTTGGCGGCTCTGTCGGCAATACCTTCTGGGGTGAATTCAAAGAACTTGTAAAGTTCTGGACCCTTACCGGAAGCACCGAATCTGTTCAAACCAAATTGTTCGTGAGAGTACTTGCTCCATCCGAAAGTGGACATGACTTCAACAGAGATGATTGGAACACCATCTGGCAAGACAGATAATCTGTAGCTTTGAGATTGGTTGTCAAAGGTGAAGAAGTCTGGAAGAGAAACGACACCAGCCTTGAAACCTTCTTCAGCCAACTTCTTGGAAGCATCAACAGCGATAGAGACTTCGGAACCAGAAGCAACAATAATGACATCTGGGTTGTCTTGCTTGACCAAGGTGTAACCACCCTTAGAAGCGTTTTCGATAGAAGAACCTTCCAATTGAGGCAAGTTTTGTCTGGTCAAAGCAATGATGTGTGGGGTGGAGGTAGAAGAGATAGCGCTCTTGTAAGCAGCAGAGGTCTCGTTACCATCGGCTGGTCTCCACACGGAGACGTTTGGAATAGCTCTGAAGTGGGCCAAAGTTTCAATAGGTTGATGGGTTGGACCGTCTTCACCTAAGCCAATAGAGTCGTGGGTAGCAACCCAGGTGACTGGGTGGTGAGATAAGGCAGACAATCTGACGGCACCAGCAGCGTAAGAAACGAAGTTCAAGAAAGTACCACCGTAGTTCTTGTAGTTGGCACCAAAGGCGGCAATACCGTTCATGATAGCACCCATACCGTGTTCTCTAACACCGTATCTGATGTATCTACCAGAGTAGTCACCCAAACCAGTGGAAGGTGGTTGGAAGTCAACAGCTGAGGTAGTTCTAGTTAAGTTAGAAGGAGTCAAATCGGCAGAACCACCAATAAGTTCTGGCACAGCATCGTAGACGCTTTGCAAAACGATTTCAGACAACTTTCTAGTGGCAACAGCCTTGTCTTGTGGAGTGTAAGTTGGTAAATTCTTTTCCCATCCTTCTGGCAATTTACCGTCTAAACGACGTTGCACTTCAGCACCCAATTCTGGGTACTTTTGCTTGTATTGGTCGAAGGTCTTCTTCCATTCTTCGTGACCTTCTTGGTTCTTCTTGACAATTTCAGAAAGGTAGTTCTTGACTTCGGCAGGAATGGCAAAGTTTTCTTCTGGGTTGAAGCCCCACTTTTCCTTCAATTGCTTGATGTCATCAGCCTTCAATGGAGAACCATGAACACCGTGGGTACCTTGAGCAAGAGAACCGAAACCGATGGTGGTGGTCAATCTGATCAAGGTTGGCTTGTCAGTAACCTTCTTGGCTTCTTCGATAGCATTGGCAATGCCTTCCAAATCGGTGTCACCGTGAGGAACTTCAAGCACGTGCCAGCCGTAAGCCTTATATCTTTCGACGACGTTTTCGGTGAAGGCGACTTCAGTGCTACCATCAATGGAGATTCTGTTGTCATCCCAGAAGGCAATCAAGTTACCCAATTGCAAGTGACCGGCGAGGGAGGAGGCTTCGGAGGCAACACCTTCCATCAAACAACCGTCACCCAAGAAGGAGTAGGTGTAGGAGTTGGAGATTTGGACGTCGGACTTGTTGTAGGTAGCAGCGAATTGGGTCTGGGCCAAAGCCAAACCGACAGCGTTGGAAATACCTTGACCCAATGGGCCGGTGGTGACTTCGACACCTGGAACATCGAGGGCTTCAGGGTGGCCAGGGGTCTTGGAGTTCAATTGTCTGAATTGCTTCAAGTCTTCGACTTCCAAGTCGTAGCCGTACAAGACCAACAACGAGTACAAGAGGGCACAGGCGTGACCGTTGGACAAGATGAAACGATCACGGTTGATCCACTTGGTGTCTCTTGGGTTGAACTTCATTTGCTTCCACACAGCGTGGGCAGCTGGGGCCAATCCGAGAGGGGCACCTGGGTGACCGGAGTTGGCAGCAGCCACGGCATCCACAGATAAAAGACGGATGGTGTTGATGGTTAATTGATCAAGATCTTGAGACATAGCGTTACTGTTCAATTGAAGAGCCAGAAATAGTGGTGGAGGTTATTGCCACTTTATATTGGGGTGGAGTTGCTGCGCGTGGGGGCTGGGAGAGTTCCGAGGGTATGAAAGTTTTTTCTACTATGGCTGGGCGGCCGGGCGGTGGCCGACAACGGGGTTGTGGCCTGCGGGTCGAATTCCGGTCCGAACCTGGCAGTCTAGGTGTTGGGTATTAATAATGATCACGTAAATCAAGCAACAACTATTAAACACCCACTAGTTGCACTATTTTGTAATGGTGCATTGACAGGTGGGCGACACGAACCCCGTTTGTGTCGTAGCAAATGCAGTTTCTGCAATAATGTCACCGTTCTCAGCTTTTGACACCGGGTCTGGAAATTGTTGGACGCATCGCCCGTTCCGATATTTATTGTGAGAATTGGTAATCTGATAAGAAGGTCTAGGAGTTGGCGAAGGTGGAAGCGAGACGACACGTGATTCCATTCCAACGGGCCAACGGCTAGAACGGATGAAACTGTACCATAGGTAATAAATTTCAGAGGTGGATAAACAGTAATAGGTATAGATGTCTCATAAGAAGGCTGGTACTAATGATACTACACTGCATCAAAATTATGCAACAGACACTATGGATCTACAACTTGGATTTCCCTTCATGATGCCGCTCCTAGTGTCTAAAACCTTTACCGCACTCTCAAGGGCTTTACTGATGTGTCATCACAAAACCTCTACTGCACTCTGGAAACGCACTCTGGAAGTTTCTAGTCAAGTAATATTTTACTGCACTCTGGAAGGTTTACCGCAATCCGGACGCCTCTATTTCACTCTGTAACCTTTACTGCATTCTAAAACCTCTACTGCACTCTGTAAACCTTCACCCATCGCGTAAACATTTCCTGGCAAGCCATAGTGTGTCACCGCAAGGCCTCTACTGCACCTTGCATCTACCGCAACTGTAAATCATTACTGTCCTTTACCTCTACCTTACATGTCATGGCCTAATATATATTCGTATTCACATAAATGAGCACCTACTCAGGGTCCTCGAACGGACTTCTTTCACCACTGCTGATGGAACGTGCAGGCGCTGGTCTGGCAGGGGCGCGTGGCTGGATAGCAGGCGGCTCATCGATCTCCACGTTGAGCATGATCGAGCCTGCCCCTGTGGCCACGCTTTCGTGCGAGCGAGGCTCGAGATGGAGGATTTCCAACGGTATTTCCTCTGGGTGGTGTTCTCCGTCGCGACCAATGTCCAACAAGATCTCCCTATCTTGGCGCACGCTGTCGGGCTGCTGGGCGGGCTTTCTTACACTGGTGGCACGGGTGATCTCGCCTATGTCGGAGTCCACGTCCGAGTCGTCAGTCTCGTCGTTTTCCTGGATGACAAAGCTGGTGTTGGTGAGAACCGCGTTCGTGGTGGGGTGGAAGTCGGAGGTGGTGCTGTGCACGCTGCTGGTGTAGGTGTACCCATCCAGACCCTTATCCTTGTGGTCATCTCCATCGTCCTCGTCATCTTCGTCGGTGATGTCATCGTCTTCGTCCTCTTCCTCTTCCTCGATCTTGTCCACATTCACCAAGCGCGGCTGGGCCTTGATGGCAGTCATGGTTCCCGGCTTTTTCTCGCCAGCAACCGCGCCTGCTGTAGACATGTAAGTGGTGTTTTGGCTGTGGTTGTTGGCTCTCATCACATCGCCAATAATCGACGCGTTTTCAATGGTGTCCAAGTCGGAGAAGATGGAGTTCGTCTCGTACGAGTAGATGGACCTGGTGTTGTTCTTGGTGGGCCTGACGGTAACTCCCGGAATGTACGCAATCGGTAAGATATTAGATGCGTTGGTCGTGGAGATGGAGGTGGCCACCGAGTTTCTATTAGTTCTATCGAGGTAAATCTCGTTGGGTATGCCGCTGCTGGCGTTGGCCTGGGCAACAATCATCTTCTGTCTCGCTCTTCTCTGAGCAGTCTCCTTGTTTCTTCCCTCGCCCTTGGCATACCTGGTCTTGGGTCTGGTGAACGACTCGTACGAAGACAATCTCCGTCTGTTGTATGCGTTGGTGGCGGTCTTTCTCTGGGATGGGGCCGAGTCGTTTCCGCGCGAGCCGCTGCCGCTGGTATCTGTGCCAGCGGTAGAGTGGATGTCTGTGTCTGTCTGTACTCCAAACTCGCTGGAGTCATCTCCTCGGCCTGCTTTCTCCATCATCACATCATCGTCCCCCAACAACACTGGGTGTTTCTTGCGATACACGTATTTATAGTAGAGGAAGCCTCCAATAAGGCCCAACACCACCAACGCTCCTATAACACCACCAACGATACCCCCAACTGGGGTGGATTTGCTGGATGAACCTTCTATACGTGTGCAGAAGGTGGTAGGACACGAATGACAGGTTTGAATCTGGGTTTGACACTGCTCGTTGGAGGCACATTTGGGACACGCGGGAAGGGCTGACGGACACTGGATACACCCTTGGCCGTCTGGAGCAGATGAAGACTCCTGCGGCCCGTCTCTGGCGAAGACTCTCACCCTCGAGTACTCGACAGTGGTAGGAATGGGCATGATATTGGTTGTTGTGCTCACGAGTTGTGGCGACGGCGGTGTCTCTTAGGTTGTAGGCAAGGTATGGCTTTCCTTAGCCGTGGGTATTGTAAAGGTAGGAAGAACTGGAGATCCAGGAAAAGTTTTTGAGTTCAGGTAGGCTGATGGTAGATGTGGGAAGTTAATAATTTATCCCTGGCAGGTATTACGTAACCGATCTGAAACAAATATGACGATCCCAGAACTACGAGCACAAAGGAAGATGTGGGCAGGCCAGACGACGCGGAGCAAAGTGTAGCGGCTAGTACGTAAGGGAGAACGGAACCGGAGATCAGTAGGTTGGGCTAGGCCCCTGGGCTGAGCAGTCACGTGGACGCCCCATCTCCCCTGCGGTATATGCAGTTCCCGAGGGAACCACAGGGGGCCTACAGTTGGCAGTTTGGGCACTGGGCCTACCAGCGCTGACGGACCTATGCTGGACAGAATCCGTTTGGATTGAACAGCTCGCTAGCTGAAACATTTGACAATAGCATTGTGATTCCCGAGCTTCCTGGGCCTGACTGGATCTGCTACATTTTCAGGTGAAACTACCCGTTGCGGTAGGAAAAACTACGCGGTGCGTGTGAAATAGACGTGTATTGGAGATGTAGCCCCAGCGCCGTACGTACCGCGCCAAAGCGTGGGTGGCTCTGACGAAGAACGAGAATAGTTTATTATTGGCTTTTACGTGCTCGTAAACTTTTGTAGGTTATATTGCTAAATTACATATGCTGTATGCCAGATCACAATGACTCCCTCAAGTCAGCGGAAAACTTGTAGTTTTCCCTTCTTCTGGTCAACCACGTCTTTTCGTAGTCAAAATACTTATAGTTTTCTTCTCTGTCGTCAACCTCGTTGGCATCCTGCTCTTCCTCGCGTTGAATTACAGACATGGATCTGTTCTTGCCGCCATTCTTGTTGTCCTTCAAGAACCACTGCTTGAACTCTTTGTGGAACACCCACCCTCTTCTCGTCAATTCCTTGACTGCGTTGTGCTTGGCAAAGCTGTCAGCACCATCGCTGTAGTAGAAACAGAAGAATAAGGTGTCGTTGTCGAACTTGCGCATGATATGAGATGAGTTTAACTCATACATTGGTTCCTGAGGATAGTCGATCGACGACGGATGAATATTCACAGGATTGTATTGTCTTGGCTTTTCGGCATCAAACGAGTCTGGACAATTCAATAGCGAGGTCTCCAACAACTGGCTTATGTTTTGGAATGGTAATGGATTTTGCAACCTTGACTGCGAAATCATCGACAATCTATTCACAGTGTCTGCGAATCCCCCAGCTTCTCCAAGTATGCTTGGCAGCTGTGATTGAGATCCGGATTCAGTGAAATTTTGGGCCACGCCCACTGGTGGGTTCACCTGTTGACTTTCTTCGGAACTCTCCTCTTCCTTCTTGTCCTTTTCGCTCAACTTCGCACCGGTGGCTTCAGGTGAGCTCGAAGATGTTATGTTATCCAATCCAGGTGGATTCTTGGGAGCCGATGAGGCAGCTTGTTGTGCAGCCTTAATGACATTGGAATATGAGGTAGCAGGGTTCAATGGTGGAGGGTTAGCTGCTGGGACAATTGCGGGCCTCACCTTTTTAGTTGGAGTTCCGTGTGTTGGGGTGGATGATTCCTTGACTGGAATTGCAATTGGTGGCTTTGATGTTACAGGCACTTGCTCTTTTGTTACATTCGAAGCTGCAACATTTCCATTTCCGTTAGTGCTTGCGGCAGAAGAGGGAGGTGTGCCGTTTGAAATGTTGGCAGCCAATAATTCAGGACCTTCCACAGCCATTCTAGCCAAAGAACCTTTCTCCAACTCGTCGTCACCGACCTCCAATTGATCATAAAAGTCATCATACTCCACATAATCTTCGTCTTGATTATTCTCTACGTAATAATCCAAATCGTCCTTAATATCATCAATCTTTTCAGGGTTCAAGGTTTCATTATCCAAATTTTCCAAGATTGTTTCAAGTCTGTCCAAATGTCCCTTGTTTCTTTCAATTTTGTATTTCACGTCGTCTATGCTTGATTGTGCTGTGTAGGATCCCTTGGTCTTCTTCAGTATGCTCAATTGACTTATTTCTGCATCCAAATCATTGTTTTGTTCAGTAAGCTGTTGGATTATATCGGAGATATAATCATAAGACTCCTGTGTCTTGGAATTGTCGGTAAATCGTCTTTTTGATTTTTGACTTTGCAACTCCAATCCTTCATTGGAGAATTGTTTGATTTTGGAGGACTTTTCAAGATCCTTAAACTGGTCCATGGCATGCTCGATCTTGGTACGGTTCTCCTGAAGCAAATTCTTATCCAACTTTATACTGCTATCTCCAAGCCAGGTTTTCAATTGATCTCTCAGTCTTTGTAACTTTTTGATTTCTTTCTTCAAATCACTCTCCAATTTTTCCTTTTGAGAGCTAATCTCGGTGGTCAACAACTTCTCGTGAATATCATCGAACACAGACAACCCTTCGGCGATCTTCTTGTTCGTCTTATCGAACTCCTGTTGGAGTTTTCGGGCACTCATGCTGAGGTTGCTAGTATGGCGGGGATGCTGGAATTAGTCGATTAGTTTGGTAAATTGATGGAAAATCTATATTCTTCTGCTGATCCAGAAGGTACCTAGAAATGATTCTGGGACTTGTTTGCTTTTTAATAATCAGATACTCCTGGTCACTGGTTGATAGTAGTTCGTTGGTCTCCTTAGAAAAAAAGAAGTGTTCGGGCTCAAATTTACTACGTGAAGGAGATTACGCGCTTTGACAGGAACAGTATAATCAGATACTAGTGACACATTGCGGGCTGACAAAGGGCAAAGAAGTCGAGGTGAGACTATGTGGCGGCTCTCTTGCTTATGCTCATTTAGATAGCCTGTTTTGCAAGTAATTTCCGGCGTTCTATTCCTATTTATTCTGCCTATAGGAACTCATATTCGAGTCAACTATGTAGAAATTGGCAAAATTGCTCTATTTTGGCTTATGGACAGTTGATACCACTAAGAGGACTCCAGTAGCTCCGGAGAAAAATAAGGGGGTAAAATAAGGATATGTAGAAATGGGCACATTACAATCACGATTCTGAAATGAGTCTGTTGACAAATAGCAATTCACCGAGGCAAACTAGACTTAATTCAAGTCCCCAACCTCCTGCTTCAAGAACTCCTCGCTGAAGTGGCTCAATTGTTGGAAGTTGACCTCAAACCCATCGTTACCTCCGTAATATGGGTCGGCAACCACCTTTGCAAACGCAGAATCCGTTCTCCACTTTCCGAACATCTCAACTACAGCCTTGCTTTCTCTTGGCTTGGAGTATAGCAAATCAGACTTGTTGGACTCATCCATTGCAATCACATAATCGAAGTCCTTGAAATCAGATGGCAGGATTTGTTGAGCAGCGTGGTTGACAGGAACTCCATGCTTACGGCAGGTTTTGGCAGACCTATGATCTGGCGATTGGCCAATGTGCCACCCACCAGTCCCGAAAGAGTCTATTCTTTTGAAGTAGGGAGAGTAACCAAGCTCGTTCACCTTGTGCTTGAAGATTGCTTCGGCCATAGGTGAACGGCAACTTTAGGTTAGTATGGTTCGTGTTGGTACTATCTTCACACATACATGTTACCCAAGCATACGAAGGCCACCGAGATCTGCTTGTCTTTAGAGTCAAATAAGGGTGCCATTTGGTATAAGTCTCACTGAGGGATTTGGATCCAGTTTGTGAGTGAAATCAATCAGTCGCACTACAACAGTTACTAAGAACATTATTAAGATTATACAAGGAGCAAAAGTCTATAGCACTTCATACTAGAGTCTTTAGAACAAACTGGCACATAAATTATTGGATGATGGACACAACAAAGTCCTTCCACTCATCAAAACCCACTGGTTCATACATGAAATCGTGGTCGGAACCTTCCACCTTAAGTTTCTTTTCGGAGAATAAATTGTCAATGTCGTCATTATCATCAACCATGTCTATGTCCCTCTTGATTCCGATCGAGGAATCCTTGGCTGATTGAGAAGCTTCATCCACAGCCATCTTGGTACAGTTTTCAATCACATCTGTAGACACCAACTCTCTAATGCTATCTACTTGTCTAAAAGCAGAAGTTATGGCCGCGGGTCTAATTTCACAAGTCCACTCACCGGAATTGGATGCTGGCGATAAAGGTGACTTAGCTGTCTTACCGTTGGTGATCAATGGTGATGTTGTAGTAGATTCAGTAACCGTGACCGCTTTATCCTTCATCTCGGCAAGTGAATCATCTAATTCTAACAAGTTTGCCAATGAAGCATAGAAAAACTTTTCAGGATCAGAGTTAGAAAGTTCTCTTCTTTTGGCCGCCTTCGAGTCCGCTTTACTATGCGTAAAAATGTCTGCATCAGTCGTTGGGATGGGTGCTGCAACAGAATTCTTAATAGTATAGTTTGGCGATTGACCAGTTGGTGTGTTTTTGTTACTCTGCGTTTGGCCAACTTGAGGGGTAGCAATACTGTTGGGAGTTTTGATTGCATTGGTCAAAGCACCAGGCGAAGCTGCAGTTCCAGCTGGAGTAGGGATGCTTCCGACATTAACCGGTCCCTTGTTGGAACCCTTGCGTCTAGCAGGTGGATTTGGAGTCTTCTTTGCTTGTGGTGCTGGGGGCTTAGGTTGCTTTTGTGCAGCATGTGGCCCACCAGCTGGTGACATTTGATTACCCATCAAAGGTGAAACGTTTGAGTTCGGAATCATAGGACTGCTATTGGCATTTCTTTGTTGGAAGTTATTGCCCTGGTTAGGAGGAGCAACCGATGGCCATGCATTATTTGGACCAAGATTCACTTGAGCTTGTTGATTGCCTGGCATTGGAATTTGACCTCCAGTTGGAGGTCCTGTGAGACCCCCTAAGAATTGGCCGTTGGTGCTTGGTGGCACGGGACCTTGGTTCTGTGCAACTGGCTTCGCTTGATTCTGAGGCTGGCCTTGATTACCTTGACCCTGTTGGTTCTGTAATTGCTGTCTTCTCAAACTAAATTGTTCCTTCACATAATCAAAATATTTCTGATATTGCGAACGTAACTTTTCCAACAAATCAGGACCAGCTAAGTAAATACCCCTTTGAAGATTTTCCATAATATTCTTGGTCATATATTTCATTTGAATCAACCTTTTAGTCCCTTCAGTAATCTTTGTGAGAATAAAAAAGTAGCTGATTATGTTGTCGACATTGGAATATTGTTGTGCAATCTTCACCATAGTCTCACGTACCTTAGTCTTCTCTTGGGCAGACAATAAAGATGTAACATCCTTCAATACCACATTATTCCTCGAAACTTCCTCAAGTAATTGCCTCAACCTCAACTTCATATCATCAGTCAACTGTGGTAAGATGGCCGCAATAGAGTTCCTGGCATTCAAGCGATTAGCCTGATCATTTTGCTGACCTTGTTGATTTTGTTGGTTTTGTGAGTTTTGAGGTTGTGTTTGCTGCAGCTGCTGTTGTTGTTGTTGCTGCAGCTGCTGTTGAGAATTCATGTTGGAATTACTTTGAGGAGGTATGACATTGGCAAAATTTGCGTTAGGATTCATTGCATTGGTATTATTCATTTGCATCTGATTCATAGGGCCGCCTCTTTGTGCCATCAAAGGAGAAGACAAAGTATTCATTTGTACCTGTGACTTCATTGCGGGAGTTTGGCCCATATTCATATTTCCCATCATTGGCAGCTGCTGCTGAACAGGATTTGGCATTTGTGATTGGGGGATTTGCTGATTTCCTGGAACTTGCAGAGATTGTGGAATCTGCTGGCCCATTTGATTTTGGGAGCCATTTGGTTGTGGCTGCAGGAGTCTTTTTTGATTCATAGCTTGATTATTCATCACAGGACTTCCACTGTTAGCTGTGGCAAGACCATTTTGCTGCTTCCACAATTGTGTCTTCTGATGGAGAATATATTTCCTAATAAAACTTTCCTTCTGGGTTTGATCCAATGTAGTTTGAATTCCTCTATTACCCTGAACTCTACTCAATAAAGTCATGGCATCAGCACTATACTTCATTATATCCTGCTGAGTAATTTGGAAATTTGGTGGTTTAGGTTGGCCTGCCTGGTTGCCGGACTGTTGGGGATGTGATTGCTGGGTCTGTGGTTGTGGAATCAGCTGGGGAACAGGAATCGTAGATTGCTGAGTCTGTTGTTGAGGTTGCATCATTTGCTGAGGATTTTGGCCTGCCATACTATTCCTTTGTTGCATTTGTCTTTGCAAAAACTGCTGCTTCTGTTGCGGGGTGAGGTTATTGATATTAAATCCCATATTGTTCATCACCGGGGTATTGTTATTTGAGTTGACCAGTTGATTAAGTGGAACATTGGGATTACCCTGCTGTTGCTGAGTTTGTTGCTGCTGCTGCTGTTGTGGTGGTTGTTGTTGCTGAGGTTGTTGCTGAGGAATTTGTGGGCCATTAGGGTTTTGTTGACCCATACGTTGTTGGTTTTGATTGAGCTTTTGTTGATGCTGTTGGCGAATGGCCAACTGCAAATGTGTGTTGTGAATTTCCTTGATTAATGGCATGGCAGAAGCAGGGATAATCTTCTTTTGATAACAATCAAAAACCTGAGTCCAAGTAGTTACTCCAGCAGGGATATTGGGTATTTTAGACAACAAAGCGGGGGGAATAGGCGCATTTCTGATCAGATTACTAATTTGTTGAATCTGTTGGTGTGTCGTCTGTAAGTTGGACAGGTTATCATCCATGGTCTGAGTAGGCTGGGAAACCGGCTGTGGTGCCTGCTGCTGCTGCTGCTGCTGTTGTGGTACCTGAGGTGGCTGCTGCTGCTGCTGCTGCTGCTGTTGCGGTTGTTGCTGGTTACCAGGGATGTAATTGTTTCTCATTTGCGCCTGGATTTGAGCAGCGGATTGTTGTCTTGCTTGTGCCTGTTGCTGAAGAAAGTTCATGTTCTGAGGCTTCATCTTCTGCTGATTCTGAGACATATTTGGACCAGCTTGGCCCTGAATAGAGCCTGCACGAGCGTTGACCATGTTCAGCTGTAATTGTTGTTGCGGGGGTTGGTGTTGTTGTTGCTGTTGCTGCTGTTGCTGAAGTGGTTGCGCCATTTGCTGGGATTGGCCCTGAGCCTGCTGAGGCATGGGTGCACCGTTTCTGTTGTTCATGTTTGTCCTCAACTGCTGGATCTTCTGCTTGATGAGCCTGAGGTACTCGTCTCTGCTTTGCGACTTCATGAAGGTGTATTTCTCGAATTCCTGGGCAATGGTGGCACCTCTCTGGGCGTCGTAGTTAGCACCCTGCATGTCACGAAGGGTGTTAGAAAGGATCTGGACCACCTTTTGCCGGTCAGAGACGGCGTACATGGAGTGCCAGGAATTCATCCCTTGGGGTTGATGCATATTATTCATGATGACAGAGGAGATGAACAGGCGAGGGCGAGTGGAAGAAGGGGATTGCTAGCAGGCAGGATGGTATGGTATATATGCTGGATAAGCAGAACAGAATAGCGAGTTGGACAATAAGGACGCACCCTGGATCGGTCGGTAGGAGGGGAGCGAGCACTTGGTAGTGAGGAGGCGGCTTCGAACGGATCACAGAGGGGGCCTGTGAGGATTCGAGCAGAGCGGAAGGTGTCTCGAGTAGACAAGTTCTAGGCGTAGATGGAAAATTGCCCACTTCCAAAGAACCACAGTGATAGACAAATGACGGCAGAAAAGTCAGGATCACTTGGAGCGAAAAAACAAAAGTACACAAAAATTGGATTAGCGACGGTGGGGGTAATTATTACGTGAGCCTGCAGAGGGGTCAGATGCGGAGGAGGAGAGAGGACGAGTGCTGGGGAGGAGGGCCTGGGGCCACGAGGGAAGGACAGCGACCGGGAGGGCTTGCGGAGGGCCCGCTGGCAGGCAGCGAGCGGCAGCGACGGAGGTCAGGAGCGTCACGTGACCTCTCGGGTGGTGGTGGTGGCTTACCCGTCAAGCCACCAAGCCCTGGGTGGTAACGGAGTTGTCTCGCTTGCCGTGTGGTACCCCGTGATCCGACGCCTCCCTGTTCGCACGCTAGTAGCTCTGCGCGCCGTACCAGCCAGCCGAGCTCCGCTATTGTCCTCCCTAAACTAGCATGCACTCTAATGTATATTTAGCAGATCATGAAACCACCAGGCGCGCGAGCCGCTCATCAGCCGTTCCTCGGCTGCGCAGCCAGGCGTTGCTTCGCCGCAAGTGTTCCCAAGATATGACCTCTGCACCAAAGAGGCGGGGACCCGAAGCCACCCTGCGAATTACGGCAGGTATCGTCTCGTGCGATGCACCTCGTGCTACTCTCGTGGAGCCCTAAACGAGCAGTTATTTGTGCAATTTCGCTAGTGGGTGCGAACTCGGCCTCCGGCATTTCGCCAAAGATAAGCCTACTAAATCTTACAACAATAGGTTATACGTTATACGTTTCCTAAAATACCCTTTGCCTAGACTTGGGACTAGAATAAGATGCATACAGCGTGAGTCTACCTGATATTGAATCGTATATAGCAATATTGGTTAGTCTACATACATAATTGTATTGTATATAGCCAAAATAGCTGCAGGCTTTGCGTTTACTTGCCTACATTGCTTGAAATGATGATGCTATTGTATTTAAAATCCACTCTTCGTAATATATTGTGTTGGCTCTCCCGATACTGCCATGGTATTGAAAACCGCCTTTCGCAAGACTTGAAACTGTCGAAATCATGGAAAAGACAGTTCTCTCCGCAATTTGCTATCCCTGGTCTATACAGTGGTGTAGGTTCTCTTTATTGCCCTCTTTTCCTCGTACTCCCTCTGTTCAGCCTCGTCAATGAACTCGGTTTCATGGGTAAGCTTCCATTGTTGCTTGACAAACTTGAGTCCCTGGGTGTTCACTCCCAACTGGTCCGCAGTCTTGGTCAACGACCCCCTCAACTGCTCCTTCACCTTCAACAACTGGTTCTTGATCTTGGGGTCCTTCTGACTCACCAACTCCCGGGCATTGGAACGCACAACAAAGAACAAGATCTTACAGATCAACGACATGTACACCACGTTGGCAGTGACGTTGTCACTGTTGGTCCAGATCTCGATGAATCTCAACAACTTGAGCGAGTACGAAAATGGCAACACTAACAACGCATCGTCCAACTGGGCAGCCCTAATCTTAGTAACCACGCTCAACACGTACTCCTGGCCTGACATCTTGAACGCCATCAAAATGGCATTGGGTGTAGGCTTGATGGGGGCATCGCTTGATTTCTTTTCTTGGTAGCTCTTCAAATGGTCTTCGTACACCTCGTTGGCCTCGACATCTTCAATCCCTATGTCCATGGCTTCCATCAACTTTTCTCCCGCCTTCAACGACTCGACGGTTTGCTTGGAGACCTTGGTGGCCTCGTCGTTATCTTCATCCTCGTTTTGATCATCCACAGTTTGGGCACGGGGATCATCCTCCAACGATTCAAGTAAGGTCTCTTCGTAAAGCTGATCCATTTCCTTTTCTCTCTCTTCTTCAAGGAATACTTGGTCATCACTGGCTCCCCAAATTCTGATGGAATGATCATGCGATGTAGATACCATAAATGACCCATCAGTGCTAACACACAAGCACCAGACTTCCGATTGATGTGCTGGTAACTTTTGAACGCACTCGAACTTGTCACCATCCCAGTATTTGATCAAACCATCCTTACCAGACGAGAAAAAGTTATGACTTTCGGGGATAAATCTGACATTCATGATGGAGTCTTGATGAGCAAAGATTGACTTGTGGCAATCACCAAAATCTAACCCCCAGATCTTAACGTTCTTATCCGCAGAAGAGGTGATTATCAACTTGCTGTCATCCGAGATATCGATAGACAAAACCGGTAACTTGTGTCCATATAAGGTAAGGAATAATTTTAATGAATCAAAGAAAACAACTTGAACATTGTTGTTTAATAAAGATACCGCCAAATATTTAGCATCTGGTGAAATCTTAACGCATAAGACATCTTCATTTAATTCCAATGTTTGGTTATGGACAAACGTCAACCTTGACACAGTGGTACGTGATCCAGGGATCAATTCTTGTTCAACCTTGAAATTCCAGAACTTGACAGACTTATCGTTACCACCAGTGACTAAAGTCTTTCCATCAGGAGTCAAATCCAATGACCAAATTGCTGATCCGCTATCTTCGTCCTTAGATGATCCAGAATCGTGAGCCTTTTCCACCCTATCAACCAAAGAAGAGGTGGCCAAATCATACAATTCTAAATCACCATTCTTGAACCCAACTACCACCAATGTTCCACCTGGCAAAAACTTACAACATAATGCGTAGCCACCTTCTAAGGTGAAAGTTCTGATGACATTTGTGGTCTTGATATTCCAGATTTTTAACTCGCCATTAGATGCAGTCGCCAATAACTTGTTGTCAGAGGAAAGATCCATAGCTCTGATATCAGTTCTGTGACCCAATAAGTCAATTGAATGTTGCTTGACAGAAGTAATTTCATTTGGTTGTGCTTTTTTGATCAGTTCAGGAACAGTAATGTTATGATATTCAATACTGTTATTAATCAAAGAAACCAATAAGTCTAATTTCTTTGAAGATGATTGAACCCAGGTACAAGATTTGATTTTGGAGGCAGTTCTTAACGTGGTGAATGGGGTAATCATCATGCTGATTTCCGAGTCGGTCAAGGATTGTAAGATCTCATCATCCTCATACCCCTTCTCTTTCAATCTTTTCGTTCTCTTTGCAATACCCTTTTTTATTTCTTCTTCACTTCTGACCCTGAAGATCTCAATAGTTCTATCAGCATTTTGTAAGTAGAATAGTTGGACTGTTCCCGATGAAGTCTTCAAATTTCTGAATTCAATCTCATTGCACCTGGACTTCGATTGCTTCTCGAATTGGCCTCTCTCCTGAATCTTTTGTTGATCAGGTTGGCTGAGATCCACCAGCCAAACTTTAACCTGGTCTCTATTACCATTGGTAATCACCAAGTCCTTGGAGCTATTTATCCCCATACCCCAGCAGTCATTAGAGTGGGCCAAATGGGTTTCCACACATTGTTGACTCTTTAATTCCCATAACTTGATAAGCCCGTCCTTGGATACACTCAAAATGTAGTCCTCCAAGTCATCAGTGATCTCAGAGGTTTCGTGTTCAGAAAGGAAAGTCAAACCTGTAATTTGTCCCTTATGTCCCTTGAGTTTGAACAAACCTTCTTCACCCACCAAATCCCACATGATAATACTGGAATCAGCAGAACCAGACACCAATCTGGTACCACTTCTATCAAATTTAAGTATACTGATGGCTGATTTGTGACCTTGGAAGTTGATAAGCACGGAACTTGATGTTATGTCCCAGACTTTGATGGATCCATCCGCATGGCCTGCAGCAACAAGGTTGGATTGCTCATGGTGTGCTAAATATGTGATTGGAGATGGAGCTTGGGACGTGGATGCATTCGAGGCTCCTGGAGTTAACCCATCTCTTATTCTGGAAACTATCTCTCCAGTCTTGATATCCCAAATGAGCATTTCCTCCAAACCTGAAGAGATGGCTCTTCCGGCGGATTTTGAATTTTGAGTCTTGCTTGGTGGAAGCCACACTATGTTGGACAGCGAGGCAATTACACCAAAGCATTTTTCCTGTTCGTAACGATCATATGACTTGACCATTTTGATGTAGTTGATGATATCGATTTTTTCAAGCTCATCTAGAAATTTCCGATGGGCAATAGCCGGTCACGTGTGGGTGCAAAAAGTTGCAACAGTGAAGAGCGAGCATAAGTTTGGTAGCGAGTAGTCAGACATCAAGCTACATACTAGGGAGAAATTTCATCACAGAGATAAGAGTTCGGATTTCAAGCCAGTCTCTTTGGATCTACTAAAAAAATCTTAAATAAGGCCACTCAACAATTGGACTACTAAAATATGGAAAAGTCTGAGTTGTTAAACATATAAGGAGACTATTAACGAATGCGACGCAAGCAAGTTCAAATTAAAACTTGTTATCTAATTGGAGTAGAAATGCATGTGGTATTAGGGCAATAGACTGTGTATAGTACAAGATGAATTACTGCTCCCGTGGAGAAACAGTGGCTGTAGTAGAATATATTTGTACTCTTCAGTTCACTAGATCCACCAGTCTATTAAAGGGCCAAAGCCCCAAACACAAGGAAGACAAGTGGGAAGGTGTAGACAGATAATCCAGTAACTGGTGCATTATTCTTCTTGGGCTTGTCACTGCTGGAAGAACTAGCCGAAGCAGTGGACGAAGATGATGATGAAGACGAAGAAGAAGTCCTGGTTGAAACGGCACTGGAAGAAGCTTCAGGCGCTTCTCTAGACCCGCCAATCCAACAATATTCTTGGAAACATTTCTGACACTCATCGGATTGCTTTTCTCCCAATCTTTCTTGTGCTCTTCTAATGATTGCACATCCAACACAGGTGGCCCAGTTGGTATCATCAGTTAAGTTAGCTCTACTGGCCACTTCAAAACCGTTTTGAATAAGCCCAAATTTGTCATCATCATCGTAAGACATCTTGAAAGTCGAGGTATTGGAATCATACGAATGTCTAGTGTTTGCAATGTAAACCACCAATGGAATATCAGTTTCATTAAGATCTGGATTGTCATGATACTGTAATAACCCAGTTAAGTTGGCAGCATCACATCCAAAAAACAAAGGCTTAGAAGCCAACTTATCATCCATGAACTCTTTTGAAGTAGGGGTGTACGGGAAAGGACTGCCACGACCTTGCGCAGAGAATTGTCTTTGATAGGTATGAGCAGGAGAAGAACCATTAGGCCAGTTGTCCTTGGTGTCACCCGAATTATCAAAACCAAATATCACATCGACACCTCTAGCCTGTTGAATTAAGGGATAAAATGGAACATTCTGTTGATCTTCGCCACCATCTACCAAGTAGAGGGTCTCGTTGCTGACGATGGCTGTACTTCCAGCATGCTCAATGTCCATGAATGGATTTGGATCATAAGCTGCGATATCAACCGATGCATAACTCAATCTTTGAAGAATCGAGTTAAGAATTGTTTTCAATGCACCGTTTAAATCGGTTGAACCTAATCTTAAAACTATCTGGTTGAAGATGGACGAAGAGGTTCCCATGATGAAGCCGGCATTATCAAAATTGACAACGCATGCATCCGTTGCGTTTGGATTTCCTTTGCTCAATTCTGTACCAATGTACTGGACATCACTGAAACTGTTCAATGAAGGATCCCAAGAGCCCAATTCGTAAGGGTTGATCTCCACGACGGTAGAGTTGACATTTATAATTTGGGTTCCAGGGGTCCTTCCATCAGCAATCACTATTGGGAATGGCATATCGTGGCTTTGAAAACTTGATAAGTTACGGATACTGGCCCAGGTTACGTTTTCACCACCACTTGAGTCATTGAAAAATTGGTAAGACAAAGCTCTTCCCCAGATATCAGTAACAGAAGTATTGAACCCCATATCTGACTTTGCCAGAATGGACCTTCTAATACCAGTATAGTATTCGATTGTTTTGACTAAGTTTAGACCGTTTGGGTTGAAAATGGAATCTTCCAAGTTCCACAAGTTCAGGTCTCTAGCAATGATATCCTTGACCGATAACCAGTCATTTAAAACCATCAGTCCGACTAACCAATTTCCTCCTGAAAGACCCACCAAGTATGTGGAAGCCTGGAGAAGTCCTCCCAATCCATGGTCGTTTGCATCGTCGAATCTGTCGTCAAGGGACAAGACCTGTCCGGCACCATTCAACATGGCACGGTAGCCACCTCCACTGAAAGCCAAACCAATGGTGATATTTTTGGTTTTGGAGTAATTTTCCACGAATGATTTGGCATCGAAGTCGGAAAGCTTGGCCCTATCCGTCAAGAAATCGATCAAGTTCTCGTTAGTTTGTTCGTGTCTTTTCTGGATGTATTCACGCTCTGGCTTGGAGATATTGGTGGCTTCCCTGATAATGGGCTCGGATGGACAGCTGGTGGTGTAGGGCTGATAGGCGTTTCTGGATCCTATGTTTAAGTTTCCGAAGCTATCAGCAGATGGGGAGGCGCTGGAGGAGTCGGAGCTGGAGCTGGAGCTGGAGCTGGCACTGGAACTGGCACTAGTGGAGCTGCTGCTGTCTTCCCAAGGCCACTGAAAGGCGCCTGCTTGTGCAAGCAAGAAGAGCACTAGCCAGAACTTCATGGATGTGCAAAGGGTATGAGTGGGGGATAGCAAGGGATCAAGGATGGAGTTGATGGGCGCTTATGTGCCTGGAAGTATATTTAAGGTCTCTACGAAGTCTGGGTGGTGTACTATTGTGGAGGTGATGGTTAGATTTCCTATTGTCTATTTGGAGAACTGTTAGCAACTCTTCGCGCAGCGAACCCGACTATTGCTGGCCTCTTATATTAATAAAAAATGCACCCCAGACAGCAGAAGCTTCTTGATTGCTTGCGAAGGACGGATACTACCGAGCAATCGCCGAAAGCCATGCTACCATGGTGAAGACTAGCAGTTAATTGGGCTTAATGGAGCAGTTTACGTCATACCCCACTGAGACTACCCCATCCTGGTTGGGACCCTCGCGAGGCCAGATGCCCGATTAGGAAGTTAATTAGTGAGGAAAACTTCCGAAATTGGCATGTGAACAATCAATGCTTTCCTGTCTTGACCTTGCAGGCCCAGTGTTGGTACATTCTAGTGCCTAGTGGGGCTACTGTAACTCATCAAAGGGATGGGCTGGGTTGGCGATGAGCAACCAAGCCGGTGCAGGTCTGTTTCTCCGAGGCATCGGAGAATCGAAGTACGTTTCTGTCTATTCTAAACTATCTATTATATCTAGGCTTGTTGGGCAACTCCGCCAAGCAAGCTCGCCTACTCTCTTCTCGTACCCTTGATGACAATTGGGATCATTCCTCCAGTACAAATGGTGAACTGTCTATGACCCAATGCCAAGATGAAGGCACGAATAACCCCGGCATGTGAAGTGGTCGAGACAAAGGTATTCTCGTGGGCCAAGACTCTGTCGACAACGGTGTCCTTGACATCGTCCTCGAACACCTCCTTGAGCAAATCCATCACTCTGAAACTTTGCTCGTGCAACTTCTCACGGTAATCGTCCTTGTACAACTGGTCTTCCTCTGGGTAGTCCTCAGGGATGACGAAGTCGGGAAATCTTTGCGCAATCACAGTACGGGTCGATCTCTTGTCGCAGAGGTTGCGACCAAGACGTTCTCTGATGGTCTCTCTCACCAAAGGTCTAGGTTCTTTGGGCTTGATGCCTGCCCACGTGTACACCAAAGTTTGGCTGGATCTTTGCATGGGGGAAACGTAGAACTTCGAGGGCAAGGGACACCCTTCAGCGATTTCCTGCTTCCAGGCTGCGTTGTTTTCTTTGGCCTGATTGATCCCAAGTTCAGTAAGTTCGGGATCTGGCCCGAAAACAATTTCGCCGTCTGTTTCCATGCTATGCCATTTACGGTCCCATTCTTCAACACCATACTTCAGGACACAGACGTTATGGTACCCCTGGCCATGACGGGCGAAAAAGACCAACTTGTAACTCTCGTTGGGTCCCGCAGCCTTGTTCAATTGGAACAATTCTTCCTTGATCTGGGCCCATGGCTTGGCTCTTCCAAAATGTTCCAATCCATGGTTGAAAGTACGGTCATCAGTTGCATCGTCCGACTGTCTGAAAAAACCTGGAACAACCTCATACGTCCAAGGGAAATTCAACCTGCCATTGCCATCCCTGGAGTCTTTGATGGCGGCGTACTTCTCACGGTATACTTGCTCTTCAGCAAGGTCTCCATGTGCATCGTCGTAGTCGTTCTCGGTTGGGATCAAAAGCGACATTATCTATACTATTATTGGTTGGTTATGGAGGACGGACGAATCTATTTAACTCCCGGAGCTGAACGACCTCGAGGTTGCATTTTTCGGTTGTGTTTTCGGACGACTGCAAAACGTGAGTCACTTAAGAAGGTCAAAGCGAGCTGAGTAACCCAACCATTATTCCAGGTCAGGTGACATCCATGGAGCAGCCCAGGTTTAAGAAATCTACAATAATTAAAATCAATACTTTAATATAAAACGACAAAATCAAACGTAACAAAGACAAGCTCCTATGGGAACGTCCCAATGGACAGTAGTATACATGACATTAAGGAAGGTGATGGGATTAGGTCTTTCTGGAAGGCCCCGATTTGAAGTCAGGCTTGAAATCAGGCTTCTTGGCCGATCCCTTCTTGATCTGGAATTTGGTGACAAGAGGAATGTGATCAGATGGGAAGTGTGCACTAGGAATACCAATCAAGTGGCTGGTATACTCTTCATCAACCTTACCTAACAAACCTTTAACCTGTAAGGTAGGAGTGGTGTACCATATATAATCAATAGCGTCAGTGAAACCTGGTGTGAAGTTGGTGAAGGGAAGCTCACCAATGGAGTCGTACGCAGACTTCATCTTGAATGGATGGCGGAATCCTTCGTCTGTAAACTTTCCGTAGTCTCTGCCCTCCAAATCTTCATGCTTCGACACTGCACCTGTAGAGAATAATTGATGCACAGCACTTCCAATCTGAGAATTGAAATCTCCACATACAATCAATGATGCGTTCTTCACTTCTTCAATGGAATTAGTGTGATGGTATTTCTTCAAGATCCCTTGCATTTCTTCCAATAAGATACCGACTTGCAATGCCTTCACATCATTATATGCGGGATCCCAGTGTAAATGAGTATTCGCCACAGCAATCTTTTCACCAGTACTAGTATGTTGTAAGAAAGTGATTAATGCAATGTTGTCCTTGTTCATAAATCTGTTGAACAAGTCCTTGGTCTTTTTGTACTTATCTGAGCCCATGCAAACACTATTGTATTCAAAGTTCTGCTTTTGAATCAATGTGAACTTATTCGTACGGTAGAATGTGGCACACCCATCAACTTTCTTCGAATCAATTTCGCTCATAGTCTTAGAACGAGTTTTACTGAAGAAAACTCCTTTGTAGCCCTGTTCTGCCAAAAGTGGAACCCAAAACTCACTGAATGTTTTGGTTTCAACTTCTTGCATACATAAAATATCACTTCCAAAGCCCAATATCTCTGCTTGCAAAGTATTTCTTCTGTATTCCCATTCCAAAGCCCAAGAAGGTGTAAACTTGTACATCTTGGGGGTAGCATAGTGTTGACATAAGGTATTGTAAGAAACCATAGTAAAAGTATCAGGTTCGTGGGTTTCATTGGTATAGGCCGCTTGGTTGGTAATTGGGTCAATAACCTCACCATCATCTTCTAATAGTAACCAGTCTCTTGGCTTTGGTTTACCCAAGGTTGTGGAATCTCTCAAATAGGAAATCAACTCCTTAGTGCCTTTTTCAGAAAGTAAGTTGGCTAATTTTATATCCATTGGATTTCCCTCAACACCCAAGAAGAGCAATTCAATCAAGTTACCAAATTCAAGTGGCAAAGTTTTGATATTGTTATCAAACAAATAAAGATATCTTAAATTGTAACACAAACCTAACTCCGCTGGTACTTCACTTATTCTATTATGAGATAAATCCAAGGTTCTCAAACTTCTCAACTTACTAATAACTGGGGGAATAACAGTCAACCTGTTGTTATTCAAGTACAACGATTCCAAAAAGTCGTACTGGAACAATTTGGGGGACATGTTCAGTAAACCTTGACCACATAAGTCCAATTGGCACCATAATTGTTTTCCCTGAGTCTTTTGTCTCATTCTTTGTTCTTCCTGAATATGATCTTCATCCAAGTCTTGTGCCAATTTTTTGTTATGTAATAATGCAGAAGTGGTGGTTGGCGTAGTTGCAGTTGCACTGTTAGCCTTCTTGGCCTTCTCTTGTTCTTCTAATGCCGCAATGATCGTTTTGGTCGCATCAATTAAGCTAACTGATTTGATTTCATTATACGGATTCTTGTTTTTTCTAGAGTTTGAGGCATACTGTCTGGCATAGTAATGAGGAATGTTCGCATTTCTCGATAATTGACATAATTGTTGTTGATGTTGCCAGTATACAGTGTTTGGGTTTTCCACATTAGTTGAATTTAACTTTTGAGCAGGAACCTGCTGTTGTTGGGCCTGTTGCTGGGCCTGTTGTTGCTGAGCTTGTACTGCTGCAGCCTGTTGATTGAAAAACTGCTGCTGAATGTGAGGTGGTTGACGTGGAAGTTGTTGCTGCAGTGGTGGATATTGCAGGGGCAATTGGCCCTGTTGCAGTTGAGGTTGAGGTTGCTGATATGGTTGCTGCAATTGCAGGCCTGAAGCCAGGTTTTGTTGCTGGTTCTGCTGAAATTGAGGGAAGAACTGCTGTTGCAATTGTGGTGGTTGTGCTCTCTGATAGTTGTTCTGGTACAAACCTTGGCTCAACGAATCACCATACGAATCACTCTGTTGGTTAAACTGGCCAGCAGCAAGAGACCCTGTAGGCTGCAGTTGAGAGCCTTGTTGCAATTGTTGCAACAAAATCTGTTGAGCTTGAAGGTTTGCCTGAGATTGTCCTTGAACTTGTGCCTGTTGATATTTGTTGTTAAGATTCATCTCTATACTTATTTGTTTGGTGTACCCAATCTTAATTTGACACACTCCAGGATATGCTTCATTCGAGATAAGTGCAGAAGTAATAGTGTTGTTCGAATCACGAATCTGGCTTTGCCTTCGCTATAAGGAATTCTAGTCTCAACGAAGAAGTTAGCGTCTGGCTCCTAATTTCGGGATGATGATTTTAAAATGGAGAGAAACCTCTTGGATATCTCCAATGTGATGTATTTCCTGTGTGATTGATGTAGCTTTCGACGTTGTCTGGTTGAATGATTTGTCCTGTTACAAGAGGAAGTTTTTTTTTGGCCAACAGTATTGGGTCCCGCACGAAAACCCTGATTGCTGCTAAAGATTGTTAGTACAACTAGGAAGTTCGGGAGCGCACTATGCATGTACCATAACTCCTCCATATTGGCAATTCCTTTTAGCCCTTGATCTCAAGGCAGTTTGTCCCTCTTTCGGAGAAATTCATTCAATTCAGTTAATTGTACTTGATTGGACAACCTTTTGGAAATCCACCAATAAACCATACAGAGCTTGGCTAAAACCAACAAGAAAGTAAGCCAAAATGGATATAGTTCAAAATGAAAATAAAGCTGCATAATCTATATCTTATCTATTTGGTTGGCAAAATAGATTTGTTTCACCTGTACAAAATTTCTACAAAAGTGTTGAATTTCCTAAAATGTAGGTGATTCAAAAAAAGTTCTTGCAAAGCGTACGGACAGTAATTTCGGCAGTGTATATTAAAGGAATTTACTAACAAACAACAATATTTAATGTCAAAAGTATAAATACAGTCCCTAATGCTGGAGCCAATAGAATGCCAGCATTACTTTTTGCAGCAGTATGATTTGAACCAGTGCTCGAAGTGGCTGTGGTTGTGGAGTGCGAAGAAACATCTGAGGCAGAAATGCTGGTGGCAATTGTTGCACTTCTAGAAATGGTCAAAGTTGTGTCAATATTGTAAGATGAAGAGTCAGAGCCAGCATGATTAACAAGCGCACCTGGAGTAACTTGTGGTTTTGGTCTTCCTAAGTCATCGGCTTGCGGAATTTGTTTATCCTCAACCGTATCAGCGAAAACTGTCTGCAACTGAGAGCAAAAAACAAGAAGTAAGTAAAAGGAGATGATAGAGAAGTTGAGCTTCATTTTTTTGATGAATAAGAGAACATGGCATAATTATGTCCTTTTATACGGAATTATACTCAAAATTCAAGACGCGGTTCCAGGAAACTGACAATCCCAAATCATTGACTCATTATGGATTATCAAAGATTGACCAATAAGAAACTACAATTGCTTCTAACCTTACAATTCGCGAAAAGTTTTGAGGCATAAACATACAAGGATTTGGTAGATGTTGCTCCTTGAATTGTATCACCATTAATTGATTCATTCTAAATTCTCATCCAAAGTTGTTTTATTGATTTACATAACTACAACCAATGAAGTAAAGTGTTCTTTCTGGTTGATATGAATGTTGAAAACGCATTCGACCCACTGAAATCCCTTGCTAAATTTGCAATTGCTGATTACGAGGAAACCAAAAATAAAGTTTCGTGTGAGCCAGACATTGATCGGAGCCTGTTCCAAATTGGGCGATGCTCACTTTTCTCGTTTCCTATTGGCCAGAAATTATTACCAAATATGGACGCGACCTCCCTTCACAGCTTCTTATTGGTTAAAAATTCAAAAGTTTTCCACACAAAATACTTTGCTTGAAATTGGGCACGATAGCGCAATCCGTGGTCCGAATGCTTGCTATGGATGTCCTGAATTTCATAATTACAATTATGACACAGTGACTCAGTAGGTTCGGTTCTCGGTCTTAACATTGACCGAGGTGAGTCAGATTCGTACATGCACTACGGCCGAGGGACAAGTCATCTTACTTTTTAAGTAGCTTTCAGATGTCTTCGTGCCAAGACCATGGCGATGCTTCAACGTTGACTTGTATGCACAGAATCATACACACCTCGCTAATTATTTTTCGCATCTCTGTTTTTAATCTTGTTACTGGCGTCTTGATCTCAAAAAACCCCTACTGTGGCATGGAAGTTTACCTAAGCCCCTTGCCTCCAAGTTGATTACAGTTCTCATTATTGGCCACGTCAGAAGTTAGCTTAAGCCCCTTGCCTCCAAGTTGATTACAGTTCTCAGTATTGGCCATGTCAGCTGTGCCACAATAGCCACGTTACCCCCACAGATGTATTGGGACATTGCGTTTCTGCCGTCTCCTTAATGTGAGATTTGGAGTTAATTTCATCCAATCTCATTGCTTGAAGTTTAGATGTATCCCAATTTGGAATGAGTCCGTACATTGCAGACCACCTCTATATTTTGCAATAAGAGGAGAAGAAACCTATGAACCATATCATTGACGCTAATCAAAGCCTCGCAATTGTAATCTCTTTGGGAAGTATTACCGTCTCTGACTCTTATCACCCAAATCCAGACGATAAGTGCAAGTGCACACAAAACCGACGCGAATGGCAAAATTCATGCGAAGGGTACTTAAACAGAAGCAGTTCCTTACGAATAGAACTTCACAACTACTACAATGGAAAAGTATAGCCTGACGCTACTTACTATACTACATCCCTTCTCTATTCTTCACGAGGTATCGCAACCAGGGGTTGAAGAGTTCAAGGTTTTCAACCGGCCAGGCAATTTTTCGGACCCTGACTGGACTGTTCCTTTATACTCTCCTACCGGCAATTCCTTGAACCCTTCCTTCGTGAATGCTGTGTTATTAGGACTTACTGGTATATTGGCAGCCTTTGCCCTCATACAGTTGATCCAATTGGTGTCTCTTAAGAGCCGCCAAACCACTAACAAATACACCCCGACCTCGCAGGTGTTTAAGATATTCTTGGTAGTGGTCCAAGCGTTCCTCTATGGAAGCTTGTACTTCTTGGAAGAGAACCTTGCTAATAGCTCCTTGTTGAGCGGTGCTGCTTTATGGAGTGCTCTCCTCTTGCCTATCCAGTTTTATGAACCTAAAGTGTCAGGAAATGCATCTGCTTCAGTGTTGATATCGGTGACACTCACCACTGTCATCTTCGTGGCTGCGGTTGTTCAGGACTATTTTTCCTCGATTAAAGTGTTTGCTGCCTCCAAGACAGGTGCTGTCCTTGAGCTATTGATCGTGGTAGATTCCGTGATTGTTTTAATTTTGGAAACAAGTTATTATCAGCCTGTTTTCGAGATTGATGAAGAGATTGACGGGATTCCAGTTAATATTTTCAGTGTTGTTACTTATACTTGGATTACACCTTTGATCAACCATATTTATGCCAATCAAAGGGCAGAGTTGGAAGACTTGCCAAATGTGGGCAAAGAATTATTTTGTGAGAATACTTTTGACAAATTGGAAGCAAATTGGGAAAAGAGTACCAGAGATGCATCAGTTGCTAAGAAGAAATTCAAACCAAGTAGATTCAACATTTGGGCCAAAAAATCAGAAGATATCAAACCTTCACTTTTGTTATCAATTGTTTACTCATTCAAAGGTTATGTTATTGCATCATTCATTTTTGAATTTTTTGATATTTTCTTCAGCTTTGTTCAACCATTCTTATTGAGAAGTCTCATCAAGCATTTTAATGAGTCTTTGTCTTTGGAGATCCCTCCACCAATTATCGAAGGATATACCATTGCATTAACAATGTTTTTACTCAGTTTGTCAAAAACAATGTTTGTCAATCAGATGTATCTCAATATGTTCAAGTTGGGTTACGTTGTTGAAAGTTCATTGACCACTCTTATTTACAAAAAAGCATTGAAGTTATCTCCTCACGCTCGGAAAGACAAGCCTACAGGTGAAATTATAAATCACACCACCGTTGATCTTAGCATGATCAAAATGTTCTGTCAAAGTTTCCAGGATTTCTTTGGTGCACCTATCAGACTTATCATTTGTTTGTTTTCCCTCTTCGGATTATTAGGAAATGCAACATGGGGTGGTTTATTGATCGGTGCGTTATTAATTCCTGTTGCAGTCTATGCAAATACGACCATTTACCCTGTATATATGGGCATGATGAAGCACAAGGATGAAAGAACAGGCTTGATAAACGAAATTTTAGTGTCTATCAAAAGCATCAAATTATACTCATGGGAAAAACCATTGATGAAAAAGTTAAATGCTATTAGAAACGATAAGGAGTTAGCATCGGCTAAGAAAATGGGAGTGTTGAATGCTGTCTTACAATTCTTGTGGAGTTGTATTCCATTTTTTGTAAGTGCTGCAACATATTCTACTTTTGTGTTCATTTACAAAACTCCATTGACTCCAGATATCGTCTTTCCAGCATTGGTTTATTTTGATTTATTAAGTGATACAGTATTGAGCATTCCTAGTTTAGTTTCCAGCTCAATTGAATCCTTTGCATCTGTTTCAAGATTAAGGGACTATCTTTTACTCGACGAATTGGACTTTGATATGAACGGTGCTTATGTGAAAACAGATGCCAGTGATGCGGAGAACTCAATTGAGATCCAGAATTCTACATTTGTTTGGTCTAAGCACGAGCAAAAACCAGAATATAAAGACGAAGAAGACGAAGTCGAAAATAATGCGAAAGATAGCAATATTGCCCTCTCTGATATTTCATTCAAGGCAAAGAAAGGCGAATTGACCTGTATTGTCGGGAAAGTTGGGAGTGGTAAGACTACATTGTTGAGATCCATTTTGGGTGAGATACCTCTTTTGACAGCAGAGTATTCTGATGACGTCGTCAATTCTGAGCAAGCTAAAATTACAGTCAACGGGACAATCGCATATTGTCCACAGTCCCCTTGGATCTTAAACGCAACAGTGAAGGAAAATATCTTGTTCGGGTTTAAGTACGACCGGGATTTTTACCATAAAACTATTGATGCATGTGAGTTAGTTTCTGACTTCAAATCTTTGCCAGATGGGGATCAAACTGTCGTGGGAGAGAAAGGTATTGCTTTGAGTGGTGGTCAAAAGGCTCGTATTGCATTGGCCAGAGCGGTTTATGCTAGAGCAGATATCTACTTGTTTGATGATATCTTGTCCGCAGTGGATTCACATGTTGGAAAGAATCTTATTAAAAAGGTCTTAGCTGACGATGGAATTATTGGCCCAAGAACAAAAATTTTGGCTACTAACTCTGTCAGAGTCTTACATCAAGCAAACCAGATATTTTTGTTGACCAAGGGGTCTATAACCGAAAGCGGAACCTACGACGAGGTTAACGAAAGAAAGTCTGACCTTGCTAATTTGATAGAAGAATTTTCTCGTGGAAAGGATGACGAAGAAGAAGAAGAAGAAGAACAAGACACCCCAATTGTTGAAGCTAATGCGAATGATTTGAATGATGAAATTCAGCAATTTCATGGCGAGGATGCCGCACCAAAGGTTGAGAACACCCTTCGTAGAGCTAGTGTTGTCTCATATAATCACAATTATGAGAATGAAGAAACTGAAACTGATGGAGCTGGCAGGAAAACTGGCCAACTGGAAGAGTTCAAAGCATCAGGAGGCCTCAAATGGTCGACCATTGTCGAGTACTGCAAGGCATGTAATTACAAATATGTCTTTGTCTATATTGTTATGACTTTTGGAGTTACTTTACTTGGGGTTGCTGAGAAGTATATTTTAACCTACTGGACCCAATGGAATTCGGATACGGGTGAAACTCAGAGACCAGCATTTTTCTTGAGTTTTTACATCTTATGCGGTATTACCAGTGGTGCTATGATCTTGTTTTCATCATTCGTGGTGTGGACATTCTGTATTGTTAAAGGTTCTGCTTATTTCCACGAACGTATGGCAAACTCTGTGCTTCGTGCACCAATGTCATATTTCGAAACAACTCCTATTGGTCGTATCTTGAACAGATTCACGGATGATATCAGTACAATTGATATGTCTTTACCATGGATGTTGATTATGCTTGTTTCCTCGGTCCTTCTGGGAATCATGGCAATCGGTATTATCATAATTAACTTGCCAATTATGTTTTTCCTTATTATTGGTCTAGTTGTGGTCTACAACTACTACAGGTCTCAGTTCATTCCATCCAGTAGAGAATTGAAGAGATTACTGAAAGTTTCTAAAAGTCCTCTTTTGGCAACAATCCAGGAGTCGATTAATGGTGTTGATACCATTAAGGCATTCGATCAAAAAGGAAGATTTACTCACAAAACAAAATCATTGGTTGACAGGAATATTTTGATTCAATATGTCAGTCAGTTGTGTAATAGATGGTTATCGATTAGATTACAATTTATTTCATCTTCAATCCTTTTCTTTGCATCCACGTTGGCAACGAGTTCCTTATTAACGTCAAATCCAATTCAACCCGGTTTGTTAGGCTTCATCATGTCTTTTGCTCTTGGAATATCTAATATCTTGACAATGATCGTTAGAATTTGGTCAGAAGTTGAAAGTCAGTCTGTTGCTCTTGAGAGAATCTTGGAATACTGTGCATTGACACCTGAAGCTCCAATGATTGTCGAAAACAACCGTCCAAACGAAAACTGGCCAACTGAAGGTGTTGTAACCTTTAAGAATTATGCAACCAAGTACAGAGAGAATTTAGATCCAGTGTTGAAGGGAATTAATGCCACTATTAAAGCAAAAGAGAAAGTTGGTATTGTGGGAAGAACCGGTGCTGGTAAATCATCATTAACTTTGGCTTTGTTCAGAATTATTGAAGCTACTGAAGGGTATATTGAGATTGATGGGGTAAATACCAGTAAAATTGGCCTTTACGATTTGAGATATCATCTCAATATCATTCCTCAGGAATCACACACCATCAAGGGAAGTGTAAGGGACAATTTGGATCCTTTCCAACAATATAGCGATGAAAGGATATGGAAAGTTTTGGAGCTTGCACACTTAAAAGAACATGTGAGCCAAATGAGCACTAAACCGACTGAACAAGAACTTAAGGAGAGTTCAAATCCAGATGACGAGTCGCCAAAAACTGGATTACAAGCCAGGTTAGATGAATCTGGTTCCAATTTATCCTCAGGACAAAGACAATTGATGAGTCTTGCAAGGGCGTTGTTGAATGACAACGCAAAGGTTTTGATTTTGGACGAAGCAACTTCTTCGGTTGATGTTGAAACGGATAAGGTGATTCAAGATACTATTAGAAGTGAGTTCAAGGACAAAACTATTTTAACTATCGCGCACAGATTGGAAACTATTTTGGACAGTGACAGGGTATTGGTTTTGGATAAAGGAGAGATTAGAGAGTTTGATGCACCTGATACTTTGTTAAAGGATAAGAACAGTATATTCTATTCTCTTTGTAAAGAGGGTGGATACTTGAAGAGCAATTAGCTTATATTTATTTCATTCGGTCTATGATATTTGAACTATAATAACCTACAAATTACATTCTATGATATGATCTTGAAAATGTAAGACTAGTATTAGTGTTAGTAATGCCGTTTTTGAAAACCCAGTAGTATCTGAGCTTTGCCGCGATCATTGAGTTCGGTAAAAATCCATGCTAATATATCACTCTAATTCCTTTAACAATAACGATAAGTCGGCTCTTTGTTTCTGTAGCTTTTCCAATCTCTTTTGGCCAATACCTACCCCCAACAACTTTTTATTAGCGGACTTGCAGAGACCCTTTGCACCCAACGTACATATGTCACAATTATTTGCTTTGGGTACACAAATGGCCTGGCCAAAGCCGACCAATAAGGGGTTTATATCGGACCAATATTCCTTGGGCAACCATTCCTCTAGCTGTGCTCTAGTTTGTTCTGGATTTTTGGCGTTTTTCGTCCACTTCCACATTTCTGCGAGTCGATGGAGGTGGACATCTACTCCTATACCTGAGTTTATATTCCAGGCATTTTGAAGTAACAAGTATCCCATTTTGGGGCCCACCCCCGGTAAGCTGACGATGTCTTCGATTGTATTGGGGATATCTCCGCCGTACTTTTCTTTTAATATGAGGCATGTGTTTCTGATGTAGCTGGCCTTACGGTTGTGAAATCCGACTTTGCAGATATAGGCATCTATTTCTTTCTCAGTGAGTGGTAGCACCGACTCGAGAGTCAAACCGTCGGGGTACCCCTTTGCAATCAACCCTTGATGTAACGCTTTCATGGCATCGAAGTTGACCTCATCTTTGGTCTGAGACGAGAGCATCAATGATATCAAGAGCTGGAACCTGAAGGTTTTGGGGCTCCGGAGCTTGACGCCCGGGTTGATTGTTTCTGGCATTCGTTCACATCCCTGAGAGTCGACGGGAGCCCAGAACTTGGCTCTCATTTTCACCACTTCATTGTAGACTTCGTGCCAGTGAGGTGGACCCTGCGATGGCTTTGCAAACGCAAAGACATTAGGCGGAAGACTGGGGGACCCACTCTGTTCCTGCTGACCCTCTTGCTTGAATCCATGACTCGGGTCGAAGAGCTGGCTCACTTCATGCTTCACTCCAGGTGCTGCCGCGGGATCGATGGTTGTATCGTGTTCGATCTCGACCTTCACTTTGGGTGCTGGATCTGCTGGCACCTGGTGAGAATCTAGCGCTTCGGTCTTGACCCGTACCTCATTTGTAACCTGCTTCACCTGCACTCCAAACGGCTCCAACTTGATGCGCTTGGCACTTCTGGTCCTCATCGTACCGAGATGGCATTTTCCCCACGCACAGGTATCTGATCAGTATACGAACAGCACCACAAAACCCCATGCCTAAACCCCGGTCCGGGGAGAGCTCCGAAGTTAGAGATCGGAGGGCAACGGCCCAACGTCATCGGCTAGAGGGATGCTGGATACGTGGTACACGCTCAACGACTGGCTGCTCCACTCACCAGGCACCTTCAGCTTGTAGGAACACTGCCTTCATCCATTTCGGGGAGTTCCGTTAGCCCTTGTAAATGGGTAGGCGCGCGCATGAGCCGCTTGTGATATTCTTATGACTCAACTGAATCATAGTGTCGGTGATTGGAGTGAGCCTCAGATTTGTAAATCTTTCACCTCGGGACACATATAAAGAATACCCAGTCGGTTTCTCCCATCTAAGCGAGGTACTCATGTCAGTCAAGGTTGCGGTCAAGAAAGAGCAGAAAACCCCTAGTAGCATGTCAGTCCAGGTGGAGGTCAAAAAGGAGCCCAACCATACCAAGACCATCAAGACCCCAGGCACCACTGTGGTACGAGTTGCCCAGGCGTGCGATCGATGCAGGGCCAAGAAGACCAAGTGTGATGGCCAGAACCCCTGCTCCAGCTGCTCAGCCATAGGAATCGAGTGCATAGTCTCCGATAAGCTCTCTCGGAGAGCATTCCCCAAAGGATACACCGAAACCTTGGAGGAGAGAGTCAGGCAGTTGGAGGCCGAAAATAAGAAGTTGACAGGGTTGTTGGACATCCGAGACGAACAGTTGGAGTTCTTGAACTCTGCCAGGAACGATGACAAGGAAATCGCCAACAACCGCTTGAATGAGGAAAATGTCAACCAGATAGACCACAGCCATATTCACGACGAACACTGTTCTTGTGGGGAGTCAAACCCCCAGGTGATGCACGAGAGACCTGTATCGATTGCAGGATCGGCTCACAACGGACATGGCAGGGCCATGTCGGTGGACTCAATAAACCTAAGTGACGATGAAAGCATATTGAGTAACGAAGATTTCACTTCCTCCTTGGTGCCAGTACAGTCAAGGGACTTCAATTTCGGCCGCCAGGCAAACCCAGCCCCTCACGCCTTTGCAGCAGCCACGGCTATAGCCCAGATGCAGAAGGGGAAGGATGAAGATGAGATCAGCAAACAACAGAAATTGACCTCTTTGGTAGCAATTTCTATTCCTAGAAGTACCGAGGAAACATTATTTATACCGACACTTATTGCCAGAATTTGCCAAGCCCATGGCTACAATTCCAAGCCAGCGGTATTGACCGCCCATGCTATAGCTTCATTGAAAGAAAACAACGAGTTGAAGACTACTCAGAACAAACAACTAATGGACATCATAATGAACAGAGACGACATGTCCCAGTTGAGCAGCTCAGAGGCGTTGGTCTTTATTAGAGACTTGATTGATTTTCCAACATCGAGAATGGATTTGGATCACTTAGTTACTGTTTATTTCCAAGATTGGGGACTGGCTTTGCCAATTTTAGACAAGAATGCTTTTTTGAAGAATTATATGAGGTGGACTAGCATCGTTGATAATTCAAGTCCAGTAATGGATGAAATCAACGAACCCCTTGAGAAGTTTGGGGCAATGATGGTCTTGGTATTGAGTTTGAGTATGTTATCAAACAAGTATAAGTATATGTCCGGCTCAAGCACCGGATCTGGGGATGTTTTCGATAAGTATCTCCATTATTTGGCACATTTTGATAAATTGATCCATGAGTTTATCAAACCAAATTGTATTATAACGAACAACTGCTCAATGCAATCTCTCAAGATCCTATCATTGTGTTTGCAATATTGTCTAGTTATTGGTGATATCAATACCTGCTACGAATTAAGAGGAAGAGTGATAACGATGGCTCATCAATTGAGATTACACAGATGTCCTTCTGCCGTCCTTGCTATCAGTGGAGGTGATGTTAAACTTCAAAAGAGTATGCAAAGTGAAAGAAGATTATTATTTTGGTGTGTCTATTGTTTAGATGTTTACTCTTCATTGAACCTAGGTGTTCCAAGGTTACTTAAAGATTTCGAGATAGAATGTGCTCTTCCATTTGCTGGCAAATATGATGACGATGATCAAGAAGGAGAAAGCATTTTGATTATTAACAACAAGAGATTATCAATTGTGGGTAAGGTGAAGAAATTTGCGTTGGCTATGATGCTTTACTGTAAAGTATTAGGTAATAATCTTGACTCTATCTTCTCCAGATACGAGAACTCTGATCCTCATAGGAAAGCATTGCATAGAGATGGACTTTTGGATAGTTGGAGAAGGGAGTTACCTTCCGAGTTGAAGTTTGATATTGATATTAACGGATTTTCATTGAAAGATGGTGATACATACTTGGATGGAGAATTCTGGAAAAAATATTCTAAAGAGCAATTAACATTGATATTTCTTTACTATCATGCCAAGATTTTGATATACTTACCGGTCATATCGAAGTACGGAAACCATCATAATGTCGGACTTTCACCCAAAGAGCAAATATTGAAGGCAGAGACAGATGCCGGAAGTATTGCGTCAAGTATCAGTATGATCCAGCAGTCATCTCTCCAAATTTTGGAAGTATTGAAGAGCCTTACGAAGTACAATTCTTCATACTTGTTACCAATTCCAGTTAATATTGCCCGAGAGCAGGCCAGATTCACATTGTTGGTGGCGAAAGGTAGTTTGGATTACATGAAGGGAGGTCCATTATATCAAACTCTGAAACAGCTTTTATTGGACACCATTGCTTCATTGAATCTCGAGACCAGCCATGAGATTCCAGGAAGTTTGACTAAAAACTCGGTAAAGCTTTTAGAGTTTGCTATATTGGGTATTTTGGGATTAAACTTGAAGGGTACGGCTATTAAGAAAAAGTCCCCTCCATTACCGCAGCAGCCAATCAATAAGCCAGCAGTGTTGAGAGATCCACTTGGACAGGAGAAATTCAAGCCCACCACGCCCTCCAAATTGGCAGTGGAAGTGGATTCTAGGTCCAATAGCTCGTTCGAGAACGATGATGGTTTGGAAAATATCTTGAATTTTGATCCTTTCGATTTGACAACCAACAGACAAAGGTTCATGAATGATTTTGCAGCTGATGGTTCGTTGGGTTTGGTACCGTTCTTGGGCTTATCCAATGACGTGCCGTTGGACTCGTATGCATCCGTGCTCGGGACCGACTTTGACCAATACATGTATACTGACACAAGTGTGGGGCACTCAGATGACATATTAAGGTGGACTTCATAGATAATACTCTCAACTGGGCCAGTTGCAGATTTCGGGAAAGTGCCGATTTCGGCTCCTGAAATGTGGGGTCAGTGCGAATACATAATTTTGACGTATAAAGAGCAGGGCAGATCCAGTGAGATCGTCACAAATTGTAAGCAGCTATCAATCAACAAGTATCAGATATGGCCTCATTCTCTAAGACAAACTTCAAGGCACTCAGCTATAACTCGTTCCGTCCACACTACCCTCCCAGTTTTTACAATATTCTTACTTCATATGTCACAAAGGATACTCCATCCAAGTTGCCCATTGAGTCTGCTATTGATTTAGGATGTGGTACTGGTGTTGCTACGTACCCCTTACTCAACTTTTCTAAAAGAGTGACGGGTCTCGACTTGTCACCTGTGATGATTGAGACCGCCAATTCATTGAAGTCCGAACGGTTAAACCAATTGGGCATCTCCGACGAAAATAGTATTTCGTTCAAGCAGGGTGCAGTGGAGGACTTCGTCAACAATGAACCCAGAGAAATTGAAGATGAGTCAGTTGACCTCATTACTGCTGCTCAATGTATCCATTGGTTTGAGGATTTCGATGCATTCTTCAGAAATGCCGCCAAGTTGTTGAAAAAGGGAGGAACTTTGGCGTACTTCTACTATGTGGACCCAGTGGTGGTTGGATACACAGGGAGTTCGAAGTTGGACAGAGATACGACATTGAAGAGGGCTAAGGAAATCTACTTCAAGTATGCCTATGATGATCCAGAGCTTCTTGGACCTCACTGGGAACAACCAGGTAGAAATATCATTAAGGACCAATATTCGGTGCCTAACTCCAAGGTTCCCGAGGACGTGTACGAAGACATCACCATCAATGATTTTGAACCTGACTTCAATGGCATTTCTAGGGCCACAGAGAAAGATCTCGATTTAAAGAAGGAGAACATTTCCTTACAAGGTTTTGCCGACTACGTTCTGACTTATAGCTCATACCACAACTACAAGGAAGCTAAGGGGGACAAAGGAGAAGTTCTTGAACAGTTCATCAAAGAATTGGAGTCCGAATTTGGCTGGGATAGAAACGAAACAAAGATTGACTTGGTGTGGACCACAGGTTATACTTTCCTCCGTAAAAAGTAGTTATGATACAGCTGTCAATTTAATTCTAATATCTTTAACATGCAATGTGAAGTTTTGACAGACAATATTATGATCAGCGTCCGATAACTGGGTTATTAGCTCCAATTTTGTGGAATGTAGTTCTTGTATTTTACATCGCATTGGCAACGTGGGCCACAGCAAAAGCTAGAGCTCAAACACCAATTTGAATACCCTAAATCGACTGGGAAACGTGGTGTATGTAATACACCAATTGCAGCTGATTTACATGTGTCAACTCCCAGTTTTCCTGGTCCTGACTGATTCTGGAAACTGCCACAAAAAATCTCGGTTTTCTTATCTTTTATCGTCTAATGTGCATCTATGTGGAAAAGTAGTGGGTTTACAATGCAATTCAAGGCGTTCACCAAGTGAAAAGGCCCACGAGGTACTATGCATTTATAGGTAGTTCACTTAGAGACAATTTTGGAGTAGCTACATACTTAAGGAATGGCTACTATAGATCTATAGATGAAGGACTTCTTTAGTTGGCAATTTTGGTGCTTACACGATTGGCCGGAGTTTTCACTCCGGCATCAAGGGCTCACTCCGGTGACAGCGGTATCGGAGTGCGACTACCTCAGGGTATTAAGCTTCAATAATAGAGTCGGGGACCCCGACTCAGTGGTGGAGTGGCACATTAAGGAGCACAAAGTAGAATCCACAGCTGTAACCAGCTTTTGAATCAGTCTAGAATTGACACTAAGTATCCGTCCTTCCATGACAGATTGTTGAAGTCCGCCAAGGCTTAGCAAGATGCCGCTATCGCGAAGAGTAGTGTCAGGTTCGACGAAGCCACGTGATGCACCAGGTTTGGCTGAAAAATTAGTCACCACAAGTAGGAAAAATACCCCAACTTCTTTTCTCTTTACACAACCAACCATGAGTCAAACTCCTATCCCAGCTGAATACGACGACACCAGAATCTTGGGTTACGACCCTTTGGTTCCTCCTGCCTTGTTGCAACACGAAATCAGAGCTAGCTCCAAATCCTTGGAAACCGTTATCAGAGGTAGAATCGAACTGGCCAAGATCCTCAACGGTGAAGACGACCGTTGTTTAGTGATTGTCGGACCATGTTCCATCCACGACCCTGAACAAGCCATCGAATACGCCCACCGTTTGAAGAAGTTGTCCTTGGAGCTCGAGGACGACTTAGTTATCGTCATGCGTGCTTACCTCGAAAAGCCACGTACTACCGTCGGCTGGAAGGGTTTGATTAACGACCCTGATGTGGATAACTCTTTCGATATCAACAGAGGTTTGAAGATCTCCCGTCAATTATACTCTGACTTGACCGGTGTCACTGGCTTGCCTATTGGTTCCGAAATGTTGGACACCATCTCTCCTCAATACTTCGGTGATTTCTTATCTTTCGGTGCTATTGGTGCTAGAACTACCGAGTCTCAATTGCACAGAGAATTAGCTTCTGGTTTATCTTTCCCAATCGGTTTCAAGAACGGTACTGACGGTGGTTTAACCGTTGCTTTGGATGCTGTCCAAGCTTCTTCCAAGGGTCACCACTTCATGGGTGTCACCAAGAATGGTATGGCTGCTATTACTACTACCAAGGGTAACGACAACTGTTTCATTATCTTGAGAGGTGGTAAGAAGATAACCAACTACGATGCTGAAGCTGTCAAGGCTGCCAAGGAGGCCATTGCCAAATCTTCTGCCCCAAGCACCAAGTTGATGGTTGACTGTTCCCACGATAACTCTCAAAAGGACTACAGAAACCAACCAAAGGTCTTGGAATCCGTCGCAGAGCAAATTGCTGCTGGTGAAGACACTATTATTGGTGTCATGATCGAATCTAACATCAACGAAGGTAAGCAAAGTATGCCAGCTGCTGGTGAAACCAAGAAGTCCTTGAAATACGGTGTTTCTATCACCGATGGATGTGTTTCTTGGGAAACCACGGTTGACATGTTGCAAAAATTAAGTAAGGCTGTCAAGTCTAGAAGATCCTTGAAGGCTTAGATAGTATTTGTGATTTCTCATTATGTATTCATTAAAAGTTATAGAGTAAGTCTCCGATAGTGAGCTGGCCCGGCCAGTGAATAATGTCAGTATATAGTAATGGAACTACTCAATCAATCCTCAACCTTACATATCACACAGTGAATATATATCTCTATTCCGGATGATCGAAGCCGTGTATTCATAACTTTTCTCGACACCCATCTTTGCAAGATAATTGTGAACCAAACAACAAAAGCGAGGGTGATTTCAACGGAGTTTGCAACGCTGACTACGAGTATAGCTATTAAAAAATTCTGCTAGATAGACACGAGAATAGCTGAGTGTGCTAAAGCTGTAAGCAATCTAACTGCCTTGGCCGCCGACCCTGGTACCTCAACCAGGTCTAAGGATGGAAGGATGTCCGTAAGATTAAGTACTTTAATGGTGTTCCCAATCTCAACTGTCTGGTATTTTAGTCTCCCGATTTGCTCGAGTGGCCCATATAGGGTGTAGGGCAAGTGATTGGTGGTGTAGTCCATTGGGTAGTCGCCCAGAAACTGACAGCTCATCTTATTGTTTTTTGGCTCGCCTACCTGTTGGACACGGGTAAACACATACGTGAAGAATAGGAAGGTAATACAGTATGGTAGTAAAGTTATTACCAATGCAGCTAACATCGTGCGGGTCCTGAGCCAGTATGCCTCTCAGCAGTTGGCTTCGTACTCTACAACCTCCTTATTAGGATGTGTAGCAATGAGTGTCAGTTAAGATCTGACTACTGAGATTGGAGGCAATTAACACCACCCCATGCCGGCGTAGCAATTAGCCGAATATCGCCCATATACCAGTCTTCCTAGCTGAAAAGTTACGGAGACAAGAATGCAAGCTATATTCACTAGTTACATTACCAACACATGAAACCTGCTGGCGCTTGGACCAAACTCTACTTATCATATATTCTCTAACTTTGTCATTGGCCAACAATCTAGAGACGTCTTTTCTAATTGCACAGTAAGTATTCTCTTCCAGAAATCACTTGCCCTGTATCCATGGTGCCCCTTCTAACTTTAGCATTATTTTGTCATCCTCCTCTTGTGTCCTATTCCTGATAGCCCTAAGAAATGGTGCTAGCAACGGGTTGCTAATTTCATACCCGTGAGATCTGCTAAAGGGGTTTCTGGAGAGTTTCTTTTCAATGAGTGGTGACTTAGTTCCAAATTTATCCGCTTTAAAGTGTTCAACGGCATGCTTAAATTCACTAGCTTCAAGATCCTCGAAATATTTCTGTCTTTGATCTCTTACCAGATCCGGGTTGGGCAGGTTCCCAATGTATTCAACATTTGAGCTGGGCCACTTTAATGCTTGCATATGATAATCTAGGAAACGTATTCTCTTAAATTCAAACCCAATTATTGTTATTGAATCTGGATACTTCCCAAATATTTCGTAATATCTGCATATCAGGAAGATAACATTCTCGAAGGAATCACGGGCGAATTCCTCTGTCGTTATGCGATTATTCAACTCAATGGACTCCTCCTTTAGCAAAGCTTGTGCAAGCAAGTAATATGATAATGACTCAGATACAGGGCCCAGTTCACGTTTCGTTTGTCCACCAGATATGACTAAATATGCATCAGGATCACTTCTCAAATAATCCAAGCTCCGTGTTATATGTTCCTTAAATGACAAGTGATCATTGCCTTCAACTTGGAAACTAGCCAATGACCATTCCTGTCTTGAATCGCCAAGAGTGGGACCCGGCTTCCATATCGAATGACAAGGCAAGATAACTAGTTTGGTCATTTTCGAGCACCAACATTTTCAAATGGTAGGTGCAAATGCTCGGATATGTTGGGGTCATTAAATGCAGGATCAGATTATGCAGGAAGCGGATACTAGGCATGCAATGTCACTAGATGCAAATAATGGTAGCAGCCCAATAACGCCTTCCAATGGCAATAAGCGGCGATAACAACCATGACATGAAAGATCTGATGAGACGCACCAAAAATGTCCCATCTTCCTGCAGAAGGATTATTCAACAAACTCTGCTCGTCCTCTTCAGTGTGTGAGAATCTCTCGGGAATTCTGGCAGCATAAAGCACAGCACCAAAAATATAGAAGAAACCCTCAAGGGCTAACCAGGTAACATTTGCCCTCTCTGCAGCAGGCTCGAACCCATACAACTTCGTTGCGGCTATGACTGGAAAAATTCCCGATAAGCCGAACAAGATAAACATCAAAGATCTGTACGGACGATACAAGGGGGTAGCGAACTTGGGGTGGAGAGTAAGTACAGTGCAGGCAGTCCCAAAGGTTAAGAACAAAAGCACGAACAATCCTCTGTAGAATGGCTGATCATAAAACGCAAACAAGATGATGGAAATCAAGGAACAGGTTATCAAAATTACGATTCCAAAGTAGTCTAATTGGTTTCCAATACGGCTAACCTTGTGTGAGTGTGATTTGATACAGTGGAAAGTGGACGACATGAAAAGACAGAGGGTACAGGCCACTCCAAATTGTACGAAATTCAATTTTTCCCACACTCCAAGGTAGTTGTCATAGATGGGTAAACGGTGGTTGATGTACCAGATGACAGCGGCCAAAAGGAACGACGATGGGATCAAATGGCTGTAAATGTTAACCGTTTCGTTGTGAAGGTAAAGCAAGGATTCAAGGCATTTGCGTAGAGATGAAGTTTCACGTACATACCCCGACTTGATATAGTGGTTGTCTTTCTGCCAGTCATCAAGTTCATGGTAGAAATGGAGCCTGAATGGAAGCGTAGATGTAGCCGAGGCTTCTGGATTTGGTTCTTGAGCCAGGTCCACATAAGTAGAGCGAGAGTTGCGGTTCCTCATAGAAGACATTGTGAATGTTGGGAAAAGAAGTGATGCAAAGTCAGAATTTCACAGCCAGTTTTAAACTGTTGTACTCCTCTGATTACGTAATATCCGTGCATATTTACTGTATTGAACTTGCATTCTTCTATTCTGTATAAATTGTGGATAGAGCCTTCTAAATGGTTAGAATAGAAAACTCTACGAAATATCTGGAATACCAATGACACATCTCGATCGATATAGCAACTCACTTGAAAGAAGGAACAATTCCCTCGCAGATGTTCGAGTAATCCACCATCTTCTTGCCTATGTCAACGGACTCGGGGGTTCTTTTCCTCATCTTGTCTATCTTCTTATTGAATAGTTCCCCAGTGTAGAAAATCTTCCACTGTGAGTCCGGATTACTCAAAGAGCCGCAGCATCTCTCAAAGTACCACTTATTGACTGGATTATTTTTACGAGATCTCCAGATTAATTCATAAGGGTGTGATTGTAAGACTATTTTGAAAATAATGTCCGCCAAACTAGGTAGGCCTTGATTCTTTTTGGCTATAACGAACTTGTCCAAGTAAGCAACCTTTATCTTTTCACTTTGATCTTTCGAGTGCGGGTCGTCAATGGTCTCCCAGGTGATAATGGCGGCGCCATCGTAATCGCCCAAAATGATCAAGGTGGCCAAGTTATTCTCCACTCGCTTGAAGTAATTTTCAGCGTCCAACTCTTTTCCAAACGAGTCATTGATAAGAGCAATGAGTTTGTCCATATCAATTAGGCCATCATCGCTTAAGCTCTTGAAGTTCAATTTTCTATGATAGTTGTTCTGATCAAAGATTTGAACGTCTATTCCTTTCTTTAAAATGGAAGTGGATAATCTGGGAGTATTGTTGTTGGTAGAAGGTAATGAAGATGAGATAATTGGCCTGTCGGTAAGAACATTATAAATTATTGGATTTAATTGATCATTATTGATGGACATTATGTATGGAGTCGTTATAATACCTGTTGTATCATCATTACCTGACTTGGTGGAGATCATGTGCAAAATTTCATTCATCACATTGAGATTTTTCAAATGCAAATCCCTCTTAGAGGGCTCAATATATCCAATGAAAAGTTCTGAGATGATATCAGAATATTCTTGCGATAAGTTAATGTAGACATGACTTGTTTGATTTCTTTCAACGGATGGGATTCCCCCAATGGGATCGATAAGAATAATCTTTTCAATACTCAAAAGGCCCTTAGTATTCATAAGCGACTCACTAAGTGTTTTTAGCAAATCGTCATCACCAGTTGTAAATTCTTGATAAGTTGAAATGGAATTATAAATGACCGGATGGATGATGGGGATAATGTCCTGGTAAAGTGGCAACAATAACATTTCTAGATTGTCTATCACAAGCTCGTTGGACTGATTAACAGAGTATAGCGACCTTAGATGAGTGATCTTAAAATCTCCTCCACCATTGGTACCTTCTAGTCCATCCATATCAGCGTAGGCTTTATTGATCTGCTGATTAACTTTTGACTCGCTTAACTTAAACGAACTGATCGAAGTGTTTTCGTAATCTAAAAGGATTATTGGTGAGATTCCCAAATGAATCAATCTTTTAAAAGTCTCAAAGATGCCCTTCCATTCGAATTTTGAGATGGTTTGAAACTTGATCTTAAAGATTGCAATTCTCAAAGGAATCTTGGATACCTTGATATCTTCTTCAGGATACAGTTCTTCATCATTGTATATGTTCGAGAAGGGGTTTTGTCTGTTGAGGAATCGATTTACGAATAGCTCTCTTTGCGATTCTTTGTTGAGCAAGGGATTGTAATAACGATTCTTTTGGGTGAAGTCAAACTGATTCTGGTATTTGTTAAGGTAGTTCTTAGCTTCACGCTTAGTGGTCGTTGATTTCAATATGGATAGGATTAGATTCCTCTTCGAATCAGTCACGAGATTGTGTGTTTTGATGTTGGAGATGAACTCCTGGTTCAAACTTCTAAGTTTGCTCATGAACAGAGAATGTAGCGAACTCTAAGCCCCCCGTGTTAATAGATCCAGTGAGATTGACTTTAAACCTTGTAGTGGTGTTTAATTGTCCTTATGCATTCGCAATGGGAATGAAAGTCATATTCTCATTGAGTCAATAAATTTGAGAGACTGCACACAAGCCACAATTAGTTGGGCAAGATCTTAGCATTGGATAGTGTACAATTTAAGTCCAAGTAGTCCACACAGCCTTGGAAATTAGCAAAATCAGGGACATGAAGTGGAACATTATTAATACTCATCATCGGATACGTTATCAGCATCTCCAGAATCTTTCTTCGCAATAGTATCGTGTAAAAGCCGTAATTTGTTCATGACAGTGAGCACAAATGGCCTCAATTCGTTGATTTCCAACAACGAGAGACCATTCAATTGAATGTTGGATTCGTTCAATTCTCGTAAACCCTTTCTCGACTTAACTAGTCTAATTTCACGAAGATCTTGTAAGATTGACCTCAATTGATGTGTGGGATCAGCAAGATCATCAGAAGCCTTTGCCAACAAGATTTTAGAGACCTCCAACCAGTTGGGTGGTAGGTCGCTGAACCGCAATGGTTTACGTATTTCTTCGTCGTACTTTTCCTTGAGGTAGGTGAGGTTGAGCCATGAAGGCGGCACTATGCTGCACTTATCCTGGGATTTAAGAACGACTGCTATCCATAAAGGAATCTCCTCTCTTCTCATTGCACGAAGGGCCGGGACTTTAGTCTAGAGGTCAGTATGGAACGTTTGAATCGTCATTCGACATATCTTGTTCGGGTTGTGATACTTACACCTATCAATTCGATCTTGTTCATGGAGTATCTGGGCAAGATAGTAATGAGTTCATTCTCGGCCATGAAGTTGATCTCAGAGGGAGTCAAGTTGTTTTGTAGATGTGAAGGCAACGACATGATGGAGAAGTGGATATATGTTACGCGTTAACGAGATGATTATGAGATTCAGATGAGCGCGACGCACTGGCAGTTTGACTTTTGATGTGAAAAATAGTGCGACCCATTCTATGCCATGGGCTCTCTGCTAGGAAATAGAATTTGTTTGAGGATGGATAAAAAATGGCAATACTTACTGTTAATGTAACTTCATCTCAACAAAAGTTTCAGAATAGCTCTCATTTTACATCTCTATCTACAAGTATGAATCTAAATTGTTCTAATGTACATGTGCTTATGAGCAATCTATAGACAGAGAATGTTACCTCTTCTTGGTAAAGGTGGAAGTCTTTCCCATATTGACTCTTCTGGCCTTCTTGGAAGGCTGTGGACCTTCGCTTTCCTTGCCATATGGATCGAATGCTCTCTTCTTCTTCTTTTGGTCTCTACCCTTACGCTGTTTTTCGAGCATGATCTTGTCTGCATTAGCATAGTCGAGTGGAGCCTCATCAGTTTCAGGAGTACCCTTTTGGAAAGTCTTTTTGTTGAAATTCTTCTTGTTCTTTATGGTGATAATTTCATTAGGATCCGATTTGACAGGAGCTGATTCTTCAGGAGTTTCCTCCTTAACCTGTTCTTGAGGGACCGTAGTCACTTCTTCGTCCACTTCTTCGACTGCCTCATGTTCTGGAACTAAGGCTTGTAATTTCTCCACCTCTTCAAGGCCCTCCTTGGCAGTTGCCAATCTTTGTTCGTATTCCTTTGTGAAGTCGTGCTTAATGACAGTATCCTTCTCTGGATCAAATTCCTGAGTAACAATCGACTTTTCAATGAGGATACTATTAAAAATGTTGGAGTGTTTCAATAATGAGCTAGTGACAGTTGCGTTCAACAAATTGGCATTAGCTTCCTTCAACTTATCAAACTTATCCAAAGTAGCCAATGCTTTAATGTTGTCGATATTATCAAAGTTTTCGGGTTCATTGGTGACTTCCCTCCACTGATCAACCAAATCCCAATCCTTATCTTCGGAGTCCTTGATAGAAGCTTGTAATAATTCTGCCAAATCTCTAGCATTCAATCTAACATGCTCAGTGACAAAGTTGGAGGCTCCAAGAACCTTTTGTGCATCGATTGGCTGGCTTAAATTAGCCAAATTCACCAATAACTGGTTGGGCATAATGAATCTTACAGACTCATCTTCTTTCTTGGCCTTCAAGTCCCTCCAATTGTATAACATTTCCACTATTGGTTTCTTGTGATGAGGTATATTGTATTGATAAATGAGTGAAGCATACGGTTCTTTTGGATTATTAGACATAACTGGACAAGAAACTTTACTGGAAGCAGGAGCCGAAGATAACGGCCTGAACTTAGTGTATTCGAACCTTCTCTTGGCCACTTGTCTGGAATCATAAAGAACCTTTTGCAATTTTTCATCACCAGCATCAACAAGCTTATTCCTTAACTGGTCAAAAATGTTTAACAAGAAATGAGTATCAGATCTTGCATACGCCATCATTGCTGGAATGAGAGGCCTTATTCTCCAATCAGCTAATTGATACTTTTTGGAAGTTTTAAAACTTGCGTACGTTTCTAAAAGGTAGGCTAAGGAAAATTTAGGGAATCCTAAGGCTCTGGAGGCATGGTAGGTATCAAACAAAGAAACAACGTATAAACCCAAGTCTCTTTGTAACCAAATGATATCCATGAAGGCACCGTGAAAGACCTTTACTATACTTGGGTTGGCGAATATTTGGTTCAATGGTTCCAAGTCATCCCTTAATGCTAATGTGTCAACTATCCAATCATTTTCTCTGTTGGAAATTTGCATGAGACATACTATCCCGTAATAGGTTCTGAAATCATGATGCTCCAAGTCGACTGCAATTTCAGTCAGGGATGACAATTGATCAATCATTTCTTCTAAAGCTTTAGGAGTATTCACCCAGATTGCAGAAGTAGTATTCCAGTCTTTAGAAGGAATGGGGTCTGCTTTCTCAAGGATCGACTCAGGATAAGGTTGATGATCTATTTCGTATTCATAAGGATGAGGATAGTATGGAGGATCTATAATTTCAACAGAGTCCTCATAGATTGGTTCTGGATTTCTTATTTTAACAGATTCCTCATATGGAGTCAAACTATGGGGTTTTGAGGTTATCTTAGGCTTGAAAGGCGTAGATTCGGAGTTATCCACGGAAATTTTAAATTCAAGCTGAGGCTTTTCAATCTTCTTTGTTGTTGCAGAAGCAGTAGTATCATTCCCATCTTCCAAGTAAGTAAATTGTTGTTTATCAGCAGCTGGCTTGGACTTCTTTTGTGCATTGGAGAATGCAATATCAATCTTCTCGAACACTGCATCCAAAACATCTCCCAAAGGTTTCCAGTTAGCTTCTCCAGAGATGTTGTCCTTTCCAAATCTCAAGATATTGTCACTGTTGTCATCACCAGATACCTGTATCACCTTCTTAGTTAATTCCATAACGTTTCTAGCGGAGTCATCAAGCTCACTAGATAATGCAGAGTCGATGGACTTATAAAAATTGACATCTTGTGCACCCAAAGCTGAAGCAGCACGAATTGTCTGTAAGACTTTGGGTAACACCGAATCAAACACGTCCTTTTGAGGAGAGGAAGCGGACATCTTGGTGTAATATTGGTATTACTACGTAAAAATTTCATATCATCTCATACTTGGTCACGTGCAGTAGTGCGCGAAGAGGATGGGATGCCCCAAGTATATGTGGGCAAAAAGTCCAGAGGTGCTACAAGAGACCAATTGGACCAAAAGTGCCTTTATTATTGGAATCAATTTCTAATTAAGTTCTGATTATTTTTATAGAGTAAATTCTCGGTATGATGCATTGGTACAATGTCTTGAATAATTTCTATTAAATTTGTGACTAAGAATTGTGGCAGATGCAACTATAGAGTTTGCAACTTCCTATGAGCCATATATGCTCTTATCAATAAAAGAAGTTCTTTCCTTCTTAGATAACTGGAAGAATAGTCTTGTAGTAGCCCGGAGCAGAAAGTTATAAGAATTACATGTAAAATCCGGCTAACAAATATTACAACGGATCTTCTGCTATTGAAACTGATACCACATGAGCATCTAGTATCTAAGCATAGCTAAGCATGGACTTAAGATCTTAGCAATACCAGGAGTTTATGCTACTCAAGTGTGGAATGTTTCCTCTTGCCATCTCGTCACATGACCTCTTCTCCGCGATCAACTATTTTTTCAACTCATCGCTGTTACAAATCATCTCCTACTCCAACCATGTTTACCTGTAACACTTGTAACCTTGAGTTCCCCACTGCTGGGGACCAGAGAACCCACATGAAATCAGAATGGCACAGATACAATTTAAAGAGAAGAGTGGCGCAATTACCACCGCTTGACGAAGAGACCTTCAACACCAAAGTCATGGCTTTGAGTACCACAGAAGAAGCTCCCAAGAAGAAGGAGAAGCAAATCACCAAGAAAGAGCAAAGAAGAAAAGAGAAGGAAGCCTTGCAACAGCAAAAGAGAGATCTTCTTGAACAAGCCAAAAGGGCTATGATGGAAAAGATCAAGAACGGAGAAATTCCCGCATTCAAGGAGGATGACAAACTGGAAAAGGGCGAGGACGCTTCTGATGAAGTTGAAAACGAAAAAGAGCCAGAAGTACCAGTGAACGAAGAACCAGCGGAATCCCAAGAACAGGAGAAGCCAGAAGAAGAACTCACAACAGAGGAACTTGAAGAAAGACTCATCAAATTGAAACTTGCCAATAAAATCGAAATAAAACCAACCACCTGTTTGTTTGCCCACCCCAAGCAAAACCATAACTTTGATACAATTGAAGAAAATATCGAGCACATGTTCAAGAGCCATGGTCTTTACATTCCAGAAACAACTTACTTGGTAGACAAAGAAGGATTAATCAATTATCTCGCGGAGAAAATTGGCTTTGGATTCTGTATCTCTTGTAATTACCAAGGTAAGAATGCTGAAGCAGCAAGAGAACATATGGGCACAAAGAGACACATGAGAATTCCTTATGAAACTGAAGATGAAAAATTAGAAATTTCCGAATTTTATGATTTCAGTTCTACTTATGAAGACTACAGGAATCAAAATGTGGTTGCAGCCGAAGACACACAAAATGATGAAGGGGATGAAGATTGGGAGGATGTGGACGATGATGAAGATGTTGACTCACAAGATGAAGATGATGAAGATGATGATGAATTGCCTCCAACCAAGGATGCTATTTACCAACATGGTCATGAACTTTATTTACCTTCTGGCACAGTCCTTGGCCATAGATCCATGGCAAGGTACTACAGACAAAACTTGGCACCAGAAAGAATTTTGTCTGAAGGCCAAGGAACTGTGATAGCTGCTGAAACCAGACACATGTTAACCATCAAGGATAGACAAGAATTGGCTACCAAGAAGAGAGCATGGGGACATCAAAAGAAGAGAGAAGATGTCAACGATAGAAGGGCAGCCAAGTTTATCAACAACCAACCTCACTTTAGAGATCCATTATTGCAATAAACTTATTTATGTATTATTAACATTTTTGCATTTAAGGAGTTTGTCCTGAATAAACTAGCATGACTGACATTGAACGAAATGGGGTTAACTGCACATTGATTTGAGCAACAATATACTAAGTGGCACACAATGTACGCTCTCGATTACCTTGGAAGTTATAGACATTTATGAGCTTTCCAAAAAGCTTATCTAGGAATTGTACAACTTCATTAAACTCCGAGTTTCGTCTGAGTCGCTCAATGCGGTTGAATAAATATTTGATATATACATGCGATATAAATTAACGTGCTTCACAGGGTCATTATTTTTCCCAGTAATTTACCTGTAATTGACTGGATTTTTGTTGTGCATTCTCTAGTCTGCGACATAAACAACCAAAATCAGTATTAAAAAGTCCACCAAAAAGTTAATCAATAAAGACCAGCTTGCAAAGTAAAGTAGTTTAGGCGAGAAAACTGTCCAAATAAAAAGGTGGAATCTCAAGTTGATACAAGAACCGATCAAGCTAACTACCGCAATAGCATAAAACAACAACATGACCTTTGACTTTACCAAAAGTATGGATTTCTTGAGAAAACTGAATCTGATTAGATTTTTGGATTCCTGCTTTTTACTGAAAAGAATCTCGTATGGTTCAAATAAAATTTGAATTGAGGAGAGAGACCAATAGATAGGTGCAGCAAAGTTCGAAACAAACGTCATAACCCCAACCAAGAAAACATCATAAGACTTAACTCCATTGTATGCATTAGATAAGTCAACAGTGGCCAACAGGTTTGTATTTCCCATCAGGAAGAAGGATAAGTTTTGAAGACAAATGATAAAAGTGGATACCACAACAATCATTTGATCGATGTTTAAATTTCCAGGTTGGATTAGCACTTTTGTGAATGCAAATTTGACAATAAAGAATGCAATGAATATTGGAATATTCTCGAATCTAGTTTGTTGAAGAAAGAATAAGGTTCCGAGGTTTTGAATGTCTGTGACGAGCCCCTCATTAGTATTGCGTACTTTCCCTAATATTAATCTTGCTACCAATAAGCCAGATATGCAATATGCAGAGACTTGAGCCAATTGAATATTGATAGCTTGCAACTTGAATTTGTGATCGGTATTTGTTATCGAATCAGGTGTAACAAGAATATCGTAGTTTTCGAGGATCCAGGAGAATATCCATTGAATCCACACCGGTAAATGGTGACCATCATTAAAGAATTGACACAACTTGAACAGAAAAGAAACCGAACTCGTAATAAAAATCAACATAAATGATACTAAGTTGCCAACTTGAGTTTCTGGTCTTCCGTAATCGTTATTCAAGAAGTTAAAGCACGTAGTAAAACCTCCTTGCATGTAGAGACAGGAAGAAATCAATAAATAAGTAATCATGATCAATGCCCATAATAATGAGGTGTTGATATTCAACAAGTATGAACCAATTGTAAGGTCTGCCACAAACTTTTGTCCACTATTATTCCAAGCTCTGATAAATCTCACACCCACAATCAAAGCAATATAATAGAGGTAATCATGCTTTTCTAACGATTTTGCATTGAAACACAACAATAATGCCCAGGAGGTGACCGCGAGAAACCACCAAATTTGGTATTCCTCCTCAATCAAAGATGATCCATGAAAATGAATGGCATAAATGAATGCCAATGCTTGATAAAAGAAAACCAAGCTTTTTGGTATCGAAGAACTCTTCAAGAAATAATGGTTTAACGAAAATATCAAAATAACAGCGGATAAGATAGTTAAGAAATATCCCTGATATATATCGGTATAGTTATAATTTGTAGCAGATGAAGCTAAGATACCTTGAACCAGACTTAAAAATGTATAATACAAATCTAAATCCAATGATAAGGATGTATCATTTTGCAAAATATTCCACGTCTTGTAAATATCTTGGTAGCTGGCGTCAGATTGACCATACTTAGCGGTAAACAAATCCATAAATTGCTTGCAATTTTCCCATAAAATTGACCGCTGTTGTGATTGATTTGTCCAGAGGCTAAGGAGTTCCCGGATCACAATTCCAAGATTGTTCTTGGGGATTGGGAAATTTAACAATGCAGCCAACGTTGGAACCATATCAATTTGATTTATTCTTGAGAAATAGTTAAATTGGTCATCTTTGGACAAAGGTGCGTTCACTTCAGATGGCGAAACCCCTTGCAATTTTGGTGAGATGAACGTGAGACCAGCGCTGGTCTCGCCGGCAGAAGATCCCCCGTGATTACCAACTTCATTCATTCCATGATCCCCCATTAAAACTATCAAAACATTATCGTCTGCTGCCTTGGTATAATCGTACAACCTCTTTAATATCGAATCCATTTCTCTTTGCTTAGGTTTCATAAAGATTGAGTTGGGTCCTCCCTTATGTCCAATATGATCCAATCCAAGATAATGAAGGATGAGACCCTCCCATTTCGAGTCAGTCAATTGATCATCCAAATGTCTGGTTACGTTGTTGTCGACTTCGGTGAAATCGCTCACGAAAAACGAGTTCGTGCCTTCTGTTTCCTGGAACATATCAGGGTATAACTTCAACCAGGTATCATCGCCGAAGAAATTGACCCTTTTCTTTTCATCTTTCTGGTTCACAAACTGGTGTACCCACGAGTCTTGAGTACCCAAACCTTGGGATTGATCTTTATCGTCAGCAACGTTCAAAATCGCGTCCAAGAAGCTGGGAGTGCCTCCAGTTGTGATACCCTTCAAACGGGGCAACGTGACGGTGGGAGGATTGGAGAATGCCGTGAACGGAACCGCGTTTCCATCGTTGATCAATTGATGCAAGAAGTTCATTTCCGAGTTGTGCAGTGAATAGAAGAAGTCCGATCTCATGGCGTCGACCACCATAAGGATAAAGCGGTCAAACTGGGGCTTGTTGTGCTCGGACTTCCATCCTAGCTTGCTGTGGGTGGTGATGGCGAAGGGGGATTCGCCTTCAAAGGTGCTGAAGCCGGGGAGGACCACTTTGGACGGGAAGAATCCCTTCAAAAAGAGCAAAAGTCCCACCACATGGGTGGCTAGCAAGACCGTTTGTAGTGTCCATCGTGCTCTGATGGAGGTGAACATCTTGCGCTCCGCGTGGGTGATTGTGTGGGGTAGGATGGGAAATGTCAACGCGATGGTGGTTATTTCGTGGTACGTGTTTGTCTGACCTGCACACAGACCGGGAGCTGCAAAATCGTTGCACCACGGTGGATGGGCTAGTACTGGGACGGCGTGGTCATTCCACTATTTGTCAGCCTAAAGCTAGCTGGCCTGGGCCCCTGTGAGGATTACCGAGTAGCAAGAGTATTACAGCGGTAGATCACGTTTCGATCACCAGTAGGCCCAACAAGCAGGGTCTAGATGATCGGAACAGGTGCGGAAGCCAGACGGCATAGTGCCTCAACCCATGCGGGCGGGCCGCACCAAGATCTGCTGGGAAACCCATCGGCGGAAAAGCAAATTACTAATAGATAAGAGGTGCAGATGCCAGGGGATCAATGCCGTATAGGATGACAAGATGGTGTCCAGGCATAGCGTAGCAGCTGAGCCGTCACTAAGGTGATGTTGTGGAACCGTTAGTGCCTGGCCACGACCATGAGGCGGCCAGGAACGGGGTAACAATCTTGTAGCAACGGTTGATGGGGCCCTCATGCCCCACAAAAAAATTTGGAGAAATGTTGGCAGGGCATGGCGATCGCGCATCCTCGGCAAGTGGCGGACATCAAGGGTCTGATAGTGCACCAGTGCCGAGAAAGCCAGTTGTGCTGGCGGCATATGCGGTTCACGGAATGGTGGGCCATGCTTGGCCCAGCCAGGAGGTGATTCTGGCGAATAATAATGAAATTCCGCTTTGTGTCACGTGTTGGTCACTGGGGCATCGCTGTCCACCCGCCTGGCTGGCGCATCGACTGTTCTGGTGCTGACTCCTAAATTTTGCGGAGTATCCGTCTTGGCTCCGGGCTAGGTGGTGATCTCATCAACTACAAGGAATCTACAAATCCGTGACCCCCTCCCGCACATTTGCTAGGCCTGTGCCTGTGCCTGCACTATCCCCGCTATCTTGGGCCACCTGGCGCCAGGGTTTTCGCGCTTGCTCGATGCGGTAGGTATAATGCGCACGGACTATCGACAAACGACTACGATCCCGCTTATTCTGCGGACTTATGAAAATCCTGCAGACACCAGTGAGATTTCATCCTCGATAGCCAGCAACAACGGTTCCAGGTGGCTCCAGGGTGCCCGTTTGACGTACTACCTGACTGCCGGCGCCCACCCACCGCCAGAGCACCACTCACCCTAGTGTCTACTCTTCCCGTTTTCGCAAACCCGTTGTCACATCTGGCACCAAGTTTCGAGTCCACCCCGCTATCTCCCCAAAAGCAATTTGTGTTATCAGTAGATTTAGCATCTCCATATCAGGCGCATCAATCGAATGCCAACATATATAATGCAGCTAATTCCTCTTGGACGGAATTACCTCACCAGTAGTCCATGCATATACTATGAGTAGCTCCGGTGTACTTTCCCCCAACCGTTCCCTCCGCCAAGTCAAATCAATATCCCAGGTCCACGTCGATGACTTAAACATTACATCTATACTATCCAACCGAGGAATCACCATCCATGTCGACCATGAAATTGACGCAGACGAAGCCATGGTTTTGGCCATGGGTTACAAGCAAGAGTTCAAGCGTGAATTCTCGTTGTTGACCGTTTTCGCCGTGTCGTTCTCGGTGTTGGGTCTCTTGCCCTCGATCGCCGCATGTTTCGACTACCAACAATTGGTGGTTGGTATCAGTCCCGTGCCATGGATCGTCGCTGTCATATTCGTTACCAGTGTCTCCATGTCCCTTGCTGAAGTGGCATCGGCCTTTCCAGTCAGCAGTGGTACTCCATATGCAGTTTCCCAATTGGCACCCCCTAGCTGTAAAGCTTTCCTTACATGGTTAACTTGCTGGGCAAACTGGCTTTGTCAAATCACAGCAGCACCCTCTGTCAACTACAGTGGTGCCTCAATGATCCTTGCCTTGGTGGCATACAACAATCCAAATTTCACAGTCACCACTGGCAAAGTGTATGGTGTTACCACCGGAATTAATATTGTCCATGGTATCATCAGTTCTATGCCAACCAAGTTTTTGGCAAGATTCAACACCGTTGGAACATCCGTTAATATTATTTTCTTGGTCGTTGTTTTCGTCATTATCCTTGCTGGTAACGACAGACTTAACATCTATAACGGAGAAATTCCAAAGTTCAATTCTAACAGTGTGGCCTGGTCCTTTGATAATATGACGGATTATCCACTTGGTATTTCATTTCTTATGTCATTTTTGGGTGTTATTTGGAGTATGAGTGGTTATGATTCACCCTTCCATCTTGCTGAAGAGTGCTCTAACGCAGCACTGGCTGCTCCCAAAGCTATTATTTTGACTAGTTCCGTGGGTGGGTTCATCGGCTTTCTCTTCATGATTGCAATCTCATACACTCTTGTCGATATTCAACAAATTGCCGAAGATCCACAAGGGTTGGGTCAACCATTCGTTACTTACCTCACCCAGATTGCTAGCAAGAAGCTTGTCAATGCAGCTACCGCATTGACCATTGTTTCTTCTTTTTTTATGGGCTGTTCATGTATGCTTGCAGCATCCAGAGTCACATTTGCTTATTCAAGAGATGGTCTTTTCCCCTTGTCTAAGTACTGGAAGATCGTTACTCCACTTACCCAAACCCCTATTAATGCCGTTTGGATCAACTTGTTTATCAGTCAGCTTCTTCTTTTGTTAATGTTTGCCGGAGATGTTGCTATTGGTGCTATTTTCTCAGTTGGTGGTATTGCTGGATTTACCTCGTTCACTGCCCCCACTCTTCTTAAGATAACTTACGCCAGAGACAAGTTCAAGCCTGGACCAGTCAATTTAGGACGTTGGTCCACCCCAGTTGGTGCGGTCTCCGTTGCCTTTGTGACTCTCATGATTCCAATCTTATGTATGCCTTACGTCAAGGGCAAGAACTTGAACAACGAGGAGATGAACTGGACTGCACTTGTTTTCTTCGGTCCTATGCTTCTTGCTACCATCTACTATTTCGTTGCTGCTAACAAGTGGTACTCTGGACCAAAGAGCAATGTCAATGAAGAGGATTTGGCATATGGTGACAGCTACCAGGAGTATGAGGGACTTCCAATTGGTGAAAAGACCAGTTCTAAGATTGACCACAAGGATGCACCCGACTCTCTATAAGCTTATTTTAATTCAAATAGAAATGCATGTCTTCAGGAAGATAATGTCGTTGTAGAACTCAGTAGAACACCCACTGATAAATATTCTGTGAGAGAAACAGTTTGGGAGGTGTATGTATGGCTGGGACATCAAACCCCGAGCACTTTGTGTGGCCCGTTCTTCTGTCTTTAGCTCTCCCAGGAGTATCGGTAACTTGATAGCGTGACCTTCTTCAGCAATTCTTTCATGACTGAGGTGGAAATGTACTGAATTTGGAGTACTCAATCTCCTAGTCTTGTTCCATTGGCCTTGACTGCTTGGACCTAACTGATCTGAACAGCACCAGACCGTATGCTCCAATGGGCACATACCAATAAAGTAACATTCACTAGCATCACCTGACACCACTCACATTCTTTCACTTCCATTCACTTCAGGTAGTAATACTCATCCAGGAAATGGAGACCTTAAATACGCGGTGGCACCACTATGTGAGTGCGTTAATTCTTTGCCCAGTTGCAGCCACTATTTTGTGAGGTAATTGCTCGTTTTCGGTTACGTAAGCAGCGCACCTGACTTCTGGTCACCACTCTTTTGGCCTCCCGATCTGTTGCAAATCTCATCGAAAATTACTACCGTTGACAGACACCATACCATGAACAGAGGTTACCATCGACCACAGGAAGATAGATCGACATGCACATTCTACACCAAGATCGGCGCATGCCGTCATGGCGAAAAGTGCTCGAGGAAACACATCAAGCCCACCACATCTAGAACCGTGATACTATCCAACCTCTACGAGAATCCAAGACTCAACAAGAACGAAGACGAGTTCAATCCCAAACAGCTCCAGGAATATTTTGACCAGTTCTTCAAGGACGTTTTCATCAGATTCTCGGGGATAGGGAAGGTGGTGGCCATGGTGGTGTGCGAGAACGAAAACAACCATTTGAACGGGAACGTGTATGTGAGGTTCAGCAACACCCAAGAGGCAGACGTGGCCACCGAGGTGTTGAACCAGGACTGGTTCAACGGGCGGCCTGTGCATTGCGACTTGTCCCCCGTCGAAAACTTTGTGGAGGCCAACTGCCGGGCGTATGACGACAACAGCTGTACCCGGGGAGACCACTGCAACTTCATGCACGTAAGGCGGCCCACAAAGGCATTTGAAGACGGCTTGTTCCGGTCGCAGCAGAAGAGCTTCTTGTTACGAAAGCTCGAGGAGGCCAGGAAGCAGCTGGCGCCCAAGGCCGAGCCAGAAAAGGCGCCTGTGACTGCAGAAGCCAGCGTGGAGGAGCCACCCAAGGAGGAGGCCCAGCCAGAGAGCGCCACCACCATGATCCAACAATTATTTGCATAACTTATAGCGAGTCCAAACCGCTACATCCACCACCGCAACCCTTGTATGCTACACTGGAGTGAGAAGCTTGAGGCTGCTGATTTCAGTCTAACTCCTTGCAATCCTCATCATAAGACAGTTTTTGAAGACCACTTCTCGAGCCTTCCTGCCACTCCATCCTTCCACCAGCCTCGCGCGCTGCGCCTGCACTACATAGGACCCTCAATTTACGAAATAACGCGAATCGGTAATTCGGCTCAGCACCTCGTTCCAGGACTAGTGGGGCTACCCGATCCACATCTTCCGGAACAACGGTCACCACGCCATTCTTGTAGCTCTCTCCACCCGTCTCATTCCCACGTTCTCCATCCAGGCTCTGACCCAGCATGCCCTCTCCTACCAGCCTCTAGCACCCACCTCCCACCTCGCTTGCTTCTTCGCAACCCCCAAATCATAGTGACCAATTCATATGAAGAAAGCCGGTATCGCTATCGAAAAATTGCTAGTCGCAGAACTATCCCAGATGCCTATACTCTTCCTGAGGTGCTAGTTACATATCCCCTGGCTCAGCCGCTCCCACCCCCAAGCCTACACACCACGTCCCTCCTTCCCGCCCGACCCCCCGCCAGCGTACGCTCACGTCGACACTAGCCTCCCGAAAAATGTACAGAATCCTCCGGGTACGCTTGTTTCAGACGCCCACGAAATTGATAGTACCGAGTCTCGCAAGGGCGAATTGGCACCACAGAACGTTCGTGACGAGCACCTTTCTTCAGCAGAAACAATTGGGAAGCATGTCCCACCAAACCCCCAAATCCAGCTCTGGCGCCGTGCAAGAGCCTAGCCACCACCAGAACCACACCCACGCCAAAACCCCCGAATCCCATTCCCACGCCCACGCCGACTCCCACTCCCATGGCGGCGTCCTCTCACATACCCACACCCACCACCAGCCTAATGAACTCCTCCAGACCAGCGCCCTGTCTATCTTGTCCAACCCGGCTGTCCGGATCACCTGGATCGGCCTTCTTGTCAACGTGGCAATGGTAGTGTTCAAGGGCTTCGGTGGTGTCTACTTCCACTCACAGGCATTGATTGCCGACGCCATCCACTCGGTATCGGACATGGTGGCAGACTTTCTCACTTTGGCCACCGTCAACGTGGCAACCAAAGTGGGCACTCCCATCAACTTCCCTTTGGGTTATGGCAAGATCGAGACCGTGGGCTCGCTCTTGGTTTCGGGAGTATTGCTTTTTGCCGGAGTCTCTGTCGGCTGGTCTTCCTTACTCCAGATCTTTGAGTTCACCTTACCCTCCTTCCTCTACGATTACGTGGCCACCATTCAAATAGGCCATTCGCATAGCCATGGTGCTCCTTCTTCCAGTCCCTCGGGCCACAGCCATAGCCATTCACACTTGGGTTCAGAGGAGTCGGCTCCAGTGGTAAGAGACATTCCCAACATCAATGCTGCCTGGTTGGCAGCCGCCTCCATCGTGGTGAAGGAATTGCTTTACAGAAAGACTATGCAAGTAGCAGTAAAGACAAATTCGAAGGTGTTGGTTGCGAACGCATGGCACCACAGAGTGGACTCCTTGACTGCTGCCGTAGCATTGGTCACCGTTACTGGTGGCGTTATGTTCAACGTGGCTTGGCTCGATTCCATTGGTGGCTTATGTGTTTCGTTGTTGATTATCAGAGCAGGATGGGGCACATTCAAGTCTTCATGGTTCGAAATCATTGACAGAGGTGAAAAGCCAGGTGATGAAACTTATGATAAGGTGTCGGGTATAGTTCAAGCAGAGGTTGATGAAAACTTGAACAACTTCACTATTTCTGAATTGTCAGTGATGACTTCCGGTGCCAATACCAATATCTACTTGACTTTGAAAACCTCTCAATCTTACACCTTGAAGGAGTTGAACGAATTTGAGCTGAAGTTCGAGTCATTGATCAAGAAGGATGACAAGTTCATCCGTAACGTCTATGTCAAATTCAAGTATGAATGAATGAACCTTGATTCCAGAATAAACAATCTTGATTGATGAGAACTACTCCTTTATCAAACTGTACATGCTACATGTGTGCTGCTGTTTACTTTCTTATGACATTCGCTAGCTTGACTAGCTCATTTGTATATACAAGATAAAAGTAAATATATACATCACTTCTTAGACTTCTTGGCCTTCTTTGGTTGGTCTCCCTCAATAAATTTCAAAATATCCTCAACAGATTTAGAAGCGATCTCTGGGTCTGGAATAGCAGACTTCTTTCCATTCTTCGTCTTCTTCTTTGATTCTGGGGCTTTTGGAGCTTGGACTGGAGCCTTCTTAGCTTGCTTTGCAAGTTGCTTCTTTTGCTTTTCTTGAGCTTCAAGGAATTCAAGATACTTGGCGATGCTTCCGGAATACTTAGAAGATTGTCTGGATAAGAAGTCGTCTGGTCCAAGAACCTTGGTAAAGATGTCTTGAGCAATTGAGAAGAAATTCAAGGATTCCTTAAACTTACCAGAATTCAACAACAACAATGCCAAACTGTAGTAGATACTACCAGTCAATTGAGACACGGGACCGTTGGTCTTGATAGACAAGCCTAAGGCCTCCTCGAACAACTTAGCAGCAGATGGGTATAACTTGACTCTAGTCAAGCTCTCGGCTAAGTTGGTCAATGTAGTAACCAAAGTAGGATGGTCTCTTCCATAAACAGTTGACCAAACGTTGATAGCTTGCTTGTACAACTTCAAAGAGTTGACGAGTTCCAAGTTCGATGACTCGTAAAATCCTGAGTTCATGTAAGCAGAGATGGTATCATAAGAGTCAAACCCAGTAGTTCTTTCGGCCAATATAATTGCCTTACGAGCCAAAACTGCGGCCTGGTACTCTAAACCGATATCAGCATACACTTGAGAGATCATTGAGAACAACTTAGCAGTTTCTGGATGGACAATACCGTATAATTGTTCTTGGATGTTGATCAATTCATTGAGCAAAGAAGCTCCGGTTTCCTTGTCTCCTTGATAGATGTGAGCTCTGGCACTCTGGAAGATCTCGTCAATAAGAGAAGACTTGTAACCGGAGTCCTTGACAAGAGGGAGGAAGTTAACAATGTCATCAGCAACGAAAGTAGAAGAACGAGGAGTGACCTTTGTGGTAGCGACAGAGGCACTTGCAGATTTCTTCTTGTTCTTCTTAGACTTGGCGGTCTCAATGACTTGTGTTTCAACTGCCAATGAGTCCTTCACTTGATCGAATTCTTCCTTAGTGAAAACATAATCTTGAGATTTCCATTGGATACCAAACTTGATGGCAATTTCTCTCATCAACTGGACAGGGTGGATCAATTTCTGGTTCCATTCCTTTGGTAAAGTGTATCTGAATCTTGAGTAAACTTCCTTCTCAATCAAGAAAAAGACACCCTCGCTTGTAAGCTTGACCCACTCCAAAGCATTCTCATCAATGAAGCTCTTGACAGTTTCGTCAATGACAACTTCTGGAGTGGTGGTGATGTTGCTTCCTAACAAACAGTTATGGAAATGAGCAACAAAGGAAGGGAACAAGAATTCGGGGACACCTACGGAAAGTTGACGCAACAAGTGCTTGACGGCTCTAGCAATCATTTCTTGAGTAGCAAGTCTGTGAAGGGTGGTGTAGTTGGCAATGATTGGTTGGAAGGTTCCCTTAGTTTGTTCAGGTTCTGTAGAAGATTCCTTGGATTCGTCCTTAGATTCTTCATTAGAATCGTCCTTAGATTCTTCCTTGTCCTTAGACTCTTGCTCCACCTTTGCTGCTTCATCGGCTTCCTTCTGTCTTTGTTCAGCAAGCTCGATGTTTTGCTGGATAGTCTTTTCTTCTTCCTTCACCACTTGGTCCCTCTTGATCAAGGCTTGTTCAGCAAGGTAACCCAAGTATCTCAAGTTGATACCTTGCTTGTGTAACGATTCACTCAAGTGCTTTCCGTCGAAAGGAGCCACCTGCGAAGGGAACTCAGTCAAGAATTCTTCGATTAAAGTGTCCTTGATAAACTTCGACAAAACTCTAACTTCATCTTGATCTTCCTTCTTCTCGTTGATACCTGAGAAGGCATCTGGGTTGAAAACAGCCTTGTCGGTTGGCAAAACAATCTGGGCCTTTTCTTCATCAGACTTACCCTCCTTTTCAAGCTTGGCATTCTCTTCCTTAATGTAGGTAGAAATTTCCCTCTTCCAGTATTCGGCGACGGCTTCGTGTCTGATAAGAGCCTCACCATGTGGGTACGAGTCTACCTTAGCACTATCGTAGTGTGCTTCAATAAATTCAATATCACGAGGACTGGTTCTGTATAAATCCATAATGTATTTACGACCATCAGAACCTCTAACACCCTTAGTATCCTTGGAAACAACGAGCTCTCCGTCGGATTTGATCTCCTCGCTCAATTCGACGGTGTGGGGCTTCAAATGGAAAGTCTCGGCAACTTGCTTCAAAGGCTCAGTGAATGATTCATCCCTCAAGATGGAGGAGTTGTCACTGGATAAACCATAGACAACCTTTTCATCAACTTCAGTTTCAGAAGTTTGGTTGAAAATACCTGGTACAGGAGCTTGACAAACAACTCTCTTACCCATGAAATCAACGATACAGGTAACCAAGCTGTAGATACCGCTGGCATCAACTCTGTTCAACACCTTAATGGAAGCCAAATCCTTACTTGAAGCATATCTAGAAGCCTCAGCACCGCCGGTTGTGTCAAACAAGTCAACAGTAGTGGCACCAGAGGTGTAGAAAATACCATTCTTCAAGTAAATTTGCTTATCTGGCTCTTCATTTGGGTTCATTGGGGTTAAGTTACCCTTAATAATGTTGATTGCGGTTTCGCTGGCAAACTTGGTGAAATCAGCTAAAGTCTTGTGGATCAACTTCTCCTTGAGGATACGTTCTTGGATATTGGAGTTTGGCAATTCCCTGATAGCTTGAATATCTTCATTCCATTCCTTTATGATTTCTGAGCCATCGACACCGTTGTTTAAAACAGGCAATTGGAATCTGGATAAGTCTGGGTGGATCTTAACCTTGTCAGCATTTACCAACCATGGGGATGCTAAGAATGAATTGTTTGGCAACAAGTAAGTCTCAGGGTGCTCAGTTGAAGTTGACAATGTAATTTCATTTTCCTTGATAGTTTTAGAAAACGATGGAGATAAAGAGTCTACCAAGTTGTATAACAAATAGCTCTTGGAGAACTTACCCTTTTCATTCACCTTCATGTCAGCATTAAAGTTTGCGGTAGAGGATTGGTTGACAAAAAATCCCGAGTACGAACAAGTGATGTTGAAGGTCTCACTTTCTAAGGTTTGCAATGTCAAGTACAATAAGTCACCCTTGGTCTTACGGAATGCTGGGACTGGAGACCATTGGGAAACAGTCAAAGACTTAACAGGAATCTTTAATTGGTCACGCAAGCTGTTGAACTCAGCAAATTTGGAAATGGAGGAATCATGTTCAGTAATAGTCTTGGTGGTTTCAACGATTTTTTGCAAGTCCTCCTCGGAGATTTTGGATTCTTCCGCCTTTTCTTCAGATTCGGCACTGTTTTCCTTCTGTTCTTCTTCTTCTTTTGGTTCCTGTTCTTCTTTTGGTTCTGGGACCTTCAAATCGGTCAAGCCGAGATCATTGAACTTGGTGACACCACTGGAAACACCAAAATCTTGGGAGATTTTGTCAATGTAGTGCAAACCAATCACTTCTCTGAATCTAGTAATTTGTTCAAAAACACCAGCCAAGTTGTAGGCTACTTCTTTGATAACCAAGTGTAATTCCGTCACTTCACCCTCCAAGCCCAAGGTTTCGAGAATCTCCGAGTATGGAGAGATTTCATCAAACTGCTCGGTGATATTGACACCACGTAACAGCACACTGTAGTTGGTCAAGTTCTTGGTAGCAGGTAAGAGAAGTAACACCTGTTTAAGATCGGCCAAAGTTTCACTAGTAGTAGAAGGAACCTCCAAGACTTCCTGTGACTCGGATAAGCATTTTGGAAGCTGGATTTTCAAGGTAATTTCCCTACTTTCAGCCTGGACGGCATCGTTTGTTTCTGGTGCCGACATTTGCTTGTTCGTGTAGTAAATTTTTCAACAATTTTTCATTTTTGGCCTCGAGCGAGGTAGTGAGAACGAATTGATCGCAGTTGGCGAACGACGTTTTGTGTTATCCGCCGTAAGCGGGTCATATGTAGTATACCCAACATTGACGCCAGGCCAACATTAAAAGCATCCTTTGCATTTCTGTTCGGTCTGTCGGTCAGATGATTGCCAGTCCCGTTTATTGAAATATGGGGTAGACAGAAGTGATGTCATGGGTGGAACCTCAATGCGACCAATATCTGGAAATAATACATGGTTGGGTTTAGATTACGTAAAGAGGGCTAATGTCAAAATCGATTCAGATTGGGCTGAATTTGTGTAAGGAGTGATGGATTAGAGGGTACAGCAATGATCGACTTTTACCACCAGCTCGTCGGTGAATTCAATGGTAACTGCACTCAGCAGCCAAGTTGTTGTTGAGATCCCAGCACTAGAAACAAAATCAATGCCACTCTCCATACCACTCACCATGCCACTCTCACCTAGTAAAGGGTTTACCCACCTACGATTGCCAGTTCCTCTCATAAATATTTATTAATTATTAATCTACTCTCTATGTACAGAAATAGAGCCAGCAGCCACTATTGTGATTGAATGGATATCGTATCTAATTAGCCCATTTGGATCTAGCTCTCAACTTAGGACCATTGAGGTAGAATAGGATTGGAATTGCCAACATAGCAAGTGTGAGGAAACCCAAAATGGAAGATCCCCAACCAACTGCGAATCTATCAGTTTTCAAGTTATTGAATAAGGCATGTCCAAATAATGGGAAGACACCAGCAATAACAGATCTGAACAAATCATTACCAGCAAACACTGAGGCCAAGTATCTGTAGAAGGACATACCCAAATAATTGAACAAAGTTTGGAAAATGAGGAAAGCACCGGCTGCGAAAATAGCGGCACCGATCAAAGATCCAATCCAGTGGAGATCCTTTGCAACAGTCCATCCGAAAATGAAGGTTCCAATTGGCATAAGAGTACCACCAATAATAGCAACTGGAATGAATACTTCGGGAACAACCATTTCACCTGCCAACAATTTTGCAGTGAAAGCTTTTCTGACCCACAATAAATAAATAATACAACCAATTCCAATACCGACGATAATGGAAACGTAAGAAACACCCATCTCGACCAAAGTAAATCCATAGACACCAAGGTACGCAATTGGGTAAGCCTCGAACCAAAGGTACAAAATGGAATACACCAAGGCAATGTACATGTTGATCATCAACACCACAGGCTCGGCGATAGAGATTTCAATTGGTCTCCACAACGTTTCAATAGCAATTTCACGAACAGTCAGCTTAGAATTAGCAACTTCGTCTTCGGTAGTAATATTCATGTTGCCAGTCTTTGCTCTCAATCTCTTGGCTTTCCTCAAGAGAAGAGTCTTGGAATAAGATTCAGGCAAGAAGAAGAGAAGAGTAATAAATGAAGTACCACTAATGATAGCCATGAACCAGAAAGTCCATCTCCATCCACCCTTGACAGTTAACACTGAACCAACCAAAGGACCGAGAGAAGGTCCACAGACTGCAGCCATTGCCCAGGAAGCAATACCGATAGGAGCATAAGGCATAGCCAACACATCAACAACGGAAGCACCACCAGTGGCCAAAGCAGGAGAAGCAAAGACACCACCGAGAAGTCTCAAAACACTCAAGGAGGCAATGTTCTTTGCCAATGCAGTTGGGATTTGTAAAATGAAGAAGATGAATAACGTCACCACATAAATAGAAGTTCTACCAAAAATAGCGTTTTCAGACATGGGGGAGAAAACCATTGGGCCAATACCATAACCAATGACGAACATGGACAATGGTAAAGCGGCCAAGGTCTGACTGATTTGGAACTCCTCCATAATTTCCTCGATACCCGGGGTATACACAGCTGAGCCGATGTAGACAGAGGTGGTCAAGAATGCAATTTCAAAAATGAAGAACGCCTTTTGGATGAAGGGCCAGTTCTGAGGGTTTTCAGGGTCATCTTCGCCGTCCCAGTCAACGTAGATATTTGTGTCTTTTGCAACGGTTTCGCTAGAAGCGGCAGAAGTGGCATCCAATTCTTTTGCTTCCGTTTCACCGGCAGCAACATCTGAATCCTCTGTAAGTTCCTTGCTTGGAGCCTTGTAGTCTGGAAGGTACTTCTCAGCGGGAACGTAGTCGGCAGCTTCTTCTTTGTGAGTGAAGACTTTCTTGCCAGATAAATGATAGACCATCCGGCCGAAAAAACTATCTCTTATAAAACGATAATGCATGCTTAAGATAATTTGTTGTAGTTGACAAGAATATGAAGGTGAATGGGGCTACCTTTATACCAATTGCAAATCCAAGATAAGTAGAGGCAAGATTACAAATTCACCAGATTAAGTCATCACCACAAAGCTAGTTTGCAAAGGCACAAACCAGAGATGAGGTGTGAGGCTTGTAACATTACTAATTACTATAGGCAAGTAGAATTATAAAATGCAACATTTACGGCCAAGCAAGCGGTTACGAATCAAACGAAACCCAAAATGGACGAAAGGCTGAACTACACCAGCAGGACAATGTACCTAGGCGAGTACCGGGCAGATATTCGAGGGTAAATCCGGTCGGTATCACTGCGACAGAACGTGCGAAATTGCTGCGGCAATGCGTTAGATTAGATCTCTAACCGTTTCCGGGGGTGAATCACTGATTATTAATTATCAGGGAAGTGCCCCTACACTGGACTGGAGCTACCAGCAGAACCTTAATCGAGGAGGGGGCGGGCGGGGGGCAAACGAGCTAAAACTGTGGCTTAGACCCTTTAGACTCAGCAGCCGTAGAATGAGTCAGCGGCCCAAAGTTTAAAACTCAGTGGCAATTGGTGGACTACGGATGGTACGGGTTTAGTCTAGGGACGGCTGTATATTGCGACGGACCAGAGGCGGTGTTAATCCATGTGCGCGGATGCGGGTAGGGTTAGCACCGTGGCGGGTACTGCACATCGCACATAAAAGGGTGCAAGTGCAATAATAGACGGCTGTGAATGCTTCCGGCGGAAATTCTCTCCGTGTAGTTCCGTAACGTTATCGTTGGATTTCTGGAACGTTCGTGTCTGCACTTGTGCTCGTAGGTAAAACAAGAAGCAAGTGGCTGATTCAATACCACGATTGGGTGAATACATACATGACTAATCGAAAGCTTGGTTATGATTCTTAGTTGGCTTTTTTAATGCAATTGGACCCTGGTTTAGTATGATCAAGTTGCTTGAACTTAGTAATTCTCCAGTAGTGGTTTTTGTGAGTTTGAATTTTCCTGCTTTTGCGTCCATTTTTTTGACTATTGAAGTGAATCCAGTTTTCTGAGCCGTGCTATTTTTGGAGTGATCAAGTTCTCCTTGTTCTCGTTAAATGGCCATATCCGGTTTTCAGTGGATGAGAACCGTATTATATCAGTAATGCAATTATTTCATGGTAAGGGTGATCTTGTGCTAGCATCATTGCTGTATTTAGAGCAATAATGAAGAATAATTAATACGATAAAACTCAATTGAGTTTGGCAATATTTCCTCGTAGCCGTATTGAGCCCAACCAGATCTTTGAAGATACCAGAAGATCAAAGTTCCATGCAAGCAATTCCTACATTTCCACTACCTAACTTCCTTGCTATGAATCACGTTTGGTTTGAGTTGTGATGGTTGCACTTGACTGACAGCTGAAAAATGTTATATTACTATGTTTTTGGACGAATTGGCACAAGAATTGTAAGCTTCAGTTTATAAATAAGGAGAATAGCTATCATTATTGGCACTCTTCCGGTCTTTGAGGGTAAATAAATGCAAATCTAGTCAAAATTCGTTCACTAGAATCGCGAGAACGGGTGATGAAGAGTTCTATGAGCTTAATTTAGGTAATTTCGAAAATCTGGTTCTTCTTGTATTGGATCATTAAAAATTCCTTTTAATCACACTTTACAAAATTGTTTTAATTCTGCGAAATGTATCGAAAAATTCACAAAATTCGTTGAACAACTTCAACTTGACGGGATAATCGAATAAACATGTAAAAAGAACTTTACTTGCAATTCCCAGGCTCTTTCCCTTCACAATTGCAAGATGATCATCCTCAGGTAGGCTTTTACCCAAACCAAGCCGCAAAACTGCCTTCCACTACCCTGACCGATCGGAGTGCACTAAACATGCAGTCTCATCAAAGTCATATTCCGTATCTGGCAACGCGCAGCACACGTTTGAATATCACCACCACCATGTCCCTGATAGACCTCTTGGGGAACACTCTTTCACAGGTCGATGTTCCGGTGTCACTGGATCCCAAGACTCACATTCACGAACTTCCCTTGGAGATTCTCATCCAGATCTTTTCCAATCTTGATCCCATCCAGTTGAATACCATTAGATTGGTGTGCAAACGGTGGAGGTTTGCTGTGTCCGACAAGGAGACATGGCTCAACTCATTTAGTTTGAAGTTCGGCACATCTAGGAGCTTTCCTACCTTGACTGACTCAAGACAGTGGATGGTGGAGTACTTCGATCGTTTAAGGTGTCTCAAGAAGTGGAACAAAGCAGTGGCGATTCATAAGTCATACCTTTTGATCAACAACGAGTTCAGAAACGTGGCAACGTGTGTCTCTAATTTCAATAATAACGAAGGCTGGGGAAAGCTTATGACGTTCTCCCCAAGATTCGGAAATATTGCCATTTGTAATCTCAAGAACGGGAGAAACCAGAGCTTTATTCCTGGTGGGAACAACGTATTCGGGCAAATCTTCAGCTACGACATTAATTGGAACTACTTGTTAATGGGGAGAGCAGATGGTGAAGTGGTTTTGAAAAACCTCTTAACATCCACCTCATCTGGTGCCAATCGTTCTTCACAACTGACATTCATTGATGATCTTGATTCGATAAAAAGCCCAGTGACTGCTGTATGCTTGAACTCCTTGACCAATATTGACAAACACAAGCAAAGGGTCGACATAATATCAGGTACATTGAATGGTAAATTGAGATTGTGGAATTTAAGCAAGGTATTGGTAAAGGTCATCGAGTTCGAGAATGAGTCAATTATCAATATCAGGTCAGACTTCAAGAGTTTTATCATAATTAATACCCAGATTAACGTCTACGTTATACACTTTTCTAATCATACGATCTTGGCCCAGATACCACTTGGCTTTGAAATTGAATTGTCGGACAATACTTTTGTTCCGTCCAACTACTTTTACGGAACACCTGGCCCTGATGCAAAGAATAACTTGGATGTCGATTTCGGAGATTCTAACATCATAATTACTTACAGGTCACATATTAGAGTTTTCAACTTTAAAGTACCCACTGCCATTAAAAGCAGAGAGTTAGACTTGCCCAACGATATGTTTGTGACATTATCCAGCATGCAGACATGCCCCAGTCATAAGACAGGCTCACATTCGTCACGGAATGTCAAGCTTGTGGGGCTGGATGAACTCCTTTACGCCAATGCCCTCAGTGACGGGAGTGTGATTACTTGGAAGATACGTGATTTTACAGACAAACATATCATTCCTCAGTGCAAGATAACACCCGAGTTCAGCAAGTACTCGCCTGACCTCTCCAACTACATTGGCAACGAGAACTTCGGAACCATTACCGCAATTGCATTGAACGGGGTAGTAGTGGCCATCGGAGGCTACAACGGGTTTACCAACCTCCACAATGTTTTTACAGGAGAGTTTATCAAAGAAGCATCTGTTAAGTACCCCAAGAAGATGTCCCATATGTACAACGAGTTGATTCCAGTGAACCGCATCTTGTTGAACGATGTTCCCAAAGAAACCAACGGATTAATTGTATGCGGAGACACGGTGCAATATTTCCAGTTTGGAGAAACCGAGCTCATCAACAGCTCCACCACTTCGGGCACTTCAGGAGTCCACAAAAAGAAAATCAACTCTGGGGTACTCAACAAGCACGAGTCCAAAAAGAAGATCCGAGACCAGATTGATGACTACGACACCCAGGTGTACTTGGAGAGCGAGAGACAAAAAATGTTTGAAAAATACAATGGGCTGTTCGACGAGGAGGACGAGCTTTCCATTGCTCTAGCCATGAGTCAGAGCCAGGCCCCACCCATCGACGAAGACGAAGAGCTTGCGCGGGTGCTAGAACTCTCCAAGCTCGCTCAGAAGGAAGAAATTCACGTGGCACAAGTGCGAGATCCGGACCCGGAGTCAGATTTGGCGCCAGCAACAGAGGGAGCACTGGTAGACGAGGATGACGAGTTGCGGAGAATCCTAGAACTATCATTGATAGAGCAATAGAACCGCCTAGGCACGGTTGGTAGCCATGCCTGGGGCTATACCCGCGGCTTGCTGGGTGGCAAAACCGCCCCGAACGGCGCTATACCTGCGAGACAATAACATGGATGCGACAACGCCTCGCTTAGTGCAATCATTCAAGCTCCAGCTCAGCTGCTGCAATAACACAACTCAGAGGACAGACCTTCGTGTGTTACGAATTGGCGTTATTATGTTTGGCCCCACCACTCACTGCTTGTCTGCAATGAATATAGAATAATAGACATGACTCACTAGTAGTAGCAGGGACATCCGAGTGGTCCCATGCGCGGGCTCCGTGATCCTCCGCTGCTCCATGCCTAATACGTCCGTGCGTGCGCGCCCACCAATCATTGGGATCCGTTCGGAACCTGTAAACTTTGCACCCTCAAAAATTTGCCAGTTAATCTAACATATAGTTCAACCGACCTACTTCCCTAATTTATCCACTACCCCTTGGGTTGCTTGCATTGCTCCTTCGTTTATTATACCACGGCAGTCTCCGCTTGCTGATTTTTCATTCCAGATCACCATCGCAGGCTAACTGCCCAACCATACCTCTTTGCATCGGTGACTCAACAATAACTGCCGCAGAACTGTTGGCTCCTCCCCCCGAAGTAGCATCCTCTCAACATGGTGTTCTCCAACTTCATCAAGTGCTCCAAGTGCTCGCCTCACGATAGGTTGCAGTTCTTCCAGAGCTCTCATCCATACCTCAACAACAATTCGTTGATAAATTACAGATGGTTCCAGAACAAGAGATGGACCAACCCAAACCCTTCCAGTGCCTCGCAAAACTACTTAACCATTGATAATGGCCATTATGGGTTGTACTACACCGTGTACAACCATGATGCTGAGCGCAAGAAGTCTGGCCAGTCCGCACCATTGGGTGATACCCTTCTTTCATTCATTATCACTCATGAGGACCACTCGAGGTCTTGTTTTGACTATGCCACCCAATTTTTCATCCTGAGAATTAATCAAGACATCTACAACAACATCACCCAAATTAAGAACATCTCCAAGAAATTTTTGTCCGCCATGTCTGTTATTACCCCGAAAATCAGGAGCTTCAATCCAAAACATGATTGTCCAGTCAGGTACTTTTCTTCAATGGCTATTGGAAAACAAAAAATAATATATCATAGCCCTGAGCCTAAACAGCACCAGTACACTGCCAAGCAGGAAGATGCAGTGACCATTCATCAGCATATCGAACAGCAAGACGTCAACTTCGATTTTATACAGCCAGTTGCTCAATTAGAGTCAACCGAATCAGAGACATTTGAATCTAACTTTTTTCAAACTCAAATTTCCAGTATCTTAGACATTTACAATAACTGCTCCAGCCCAGAGCAGTTGAATATGATTTATCCATTATATCAGTCGCTAAAGAGAAACGATATCACACTTCCAACTATTGAGCTCTATAATGTCATTTTGCATTCCATTTCAATGAGATCCTTGGACTCAGAATTAACCTCAGAGTCTATCGAGTCAAAGTTAACTAACTTGTTGACAATTTACCAAGACATTTTGAAGAGCTCTTTGAAGCCTAATGCAGAAACGTTTAACATCATTGTGACAAACTTGTTTGATGGCAGCATAAATGTGTCAAAGTTATCATCCTCCTCCTCAAATATTTTCATTCATCGCAACTACTCTAACAAGGCCAAAGAATTCGGACAAATTGGTATTGAATTATTTGAATCTATCCAAAAGAAGGAACAGTTAAACTTGATAGGCATAATTCCAAAACTTTTGGAGGTTTTGCGTTCTTACCCAGAATTAGTTGGTAAACCAATTTCAGCTCAAATAGTGCCATTTGTCTATTTGCCTGCCAGCGCAACTAATCAAAGATTTCTTGAAAATTTGATCGAGTTCACCAAGCATTTTACCAGAATTGGAATGTTCGAAGGCAGTTCCGAGAAGACTTATAAGTTCATTGTTTCGGTTTATGAACAATACAAAGAGTCTGAACTTAAAATTAATGATGAATTTTCGATGTATGGAAAATTGATTGAATCGTTAGTCTACAATGACCAATTCGTATTGGCATCAAAGTTTTTGGATGATATCTTGATGGACTACAAGCACTCGATTGAGAACAACATTAAACCAAAGAAAAATCAAATTTCGGCGGTAATTTCCTCATACATCTCAGCAATCATTAATAAGAACCAAGAGGACTTGGATAAGGGCTATGGTTTATTAAGAAAATTTAACGGAATTGGCTATCTTCCTGAATTGTCAAACTCATTGTACAATGATATGATTGTCAAGTACATTGACAAGTACCATGCGAACTTGATGAAGAAGTCTAACATGAACCAAATGATGCCTAATTCAATACTTGACGAAGAACAAAGATTCATTTATGAGAACATTTGGAGTCTTTACAACTACATGGCGATTAGAAGAGATTATCAAGAAACTTCCACCATGAATTTGATTGAAGAATCAGAAGTATCTCAGCATGCAAGAGATTCTGTGCTATCATTAAGCATTGATGTCGGAGATCATGAAAGGATATTCCAAGTTATCAAGGAAATTCTTTTGAAAAATCACTTGGTTTTTGATATTATAGGTTTTAAAAAGCTTTTGAGTTACCTTTACAATGGAGTTGTTTACAATGCCAATGATCAACCTTTCAACCAATACTATTTTGGACTTATTTGGAATCTTTTCGAATGCCAGTCTAGTTATTACAACAGTTCCTCTATTGAGATAAATGAATTTTTATCTGAATCGGTAAACTTCTTGATGGTCCCAAATGTCAATGAACACACCAACGAATACAACATTAAGTTATTTTTGGAGTCCCCTATTGTGCAACATGCAGTAGGTAAATTTGATTTACAAAGTGATAACATTTTTGGTTTGATTATGATTTCTAAAACCTTAATGCAATACAGAGGTAATGACGCTAAAACTTATAATCAGATTTTGGAATTTCAATCGAAGTTAATCAACCAATTTGAAGACATTGATAACCTTTATATTGAGTTTGCTGAGGATATGCTTCAGCACAAGGCTGATTTATTGCAGCAGTTTAAGCATTTGATGAGCTCCTTGGAAAGTGAAAAAATTAAATTGACAGATAATATCATAGATGCATGCAAAGCGTGTGATGTCGAAGTGTTGAATGAAATATCCGAAGAGAACTTGGAGCATACAATGAAATATGACTTAAATTTGTCTTACCTACTTAACGTCAATTACGATGTTGGTATAGACAATTTCATAAAGTCATTCAGAAAGGGTTTGACATTTAACTCAGGTACTTGGGAGATTGTTCTCAATTATAAATTTCTTTCAGAATTGACTGCTTATTCATCACCCATAAAGATTTCCGAATTGATTGGTAGAATTTGGGAGCTGAGAATTGATACTGAATCAAAAGTTCAGCATATTAGCACATTGATTAATTTCAAGGACGACAAGATTAATATCAAGGTTACAGAATCTTTGATTAAGGAAGCATCATTGTTCAAAGAACTGGATTCAATGGATTCAGTCTTGAGTTCATTGATTTCCGCCGTTTCTAGCTCCAAGAACGTTTATTTGAAAAGCTTGTTCTCAAAGGTTGGTTTATTCCATCATATGTATTCGGAGGGAGAAAATGGACGCTGGGTTGCTGAATACTTGAAGCTCTTGGTGAAACAAGGTGAGTTTGATGAGTGCATTCAGTTGATCGAAACATTCAAGCTTATGGAAACCAGAAACACCCCTGATGATCAGGGCTTCCAAGTGACTGTTGCTGTATTAGAGGCTTATTTAAATTCTGGTAACTTGCAAAAGTTCATGTCCGTTTTCAAAAACAACTTCATGGATATCAATATTCTAAGAAAATCACCAGAGTTGGTGGGTTTGCTAATCACCTACTACATGAAATTAGGAGGAAAAGAAAATATTGAGGTCGTTTTATCGAAGTTTTCTGAACTCTCTAATGCTAGTCAGCAAACAAAAGAACTTTTTTTAAATGCAAAGTTAGTTAACTCATTGCAGTCGGAAAAGGTTGAAAGCGTGGGAGAGGGTATTGAAGCTGGTTCAATCAATGAACTTGCAATGAAGTTGTTGATAAGTGACGACATCAAGAATATGGCTGAGGTGTTTAAGGCAAACGATGGATTGATAGTCAATAAAGTGACCAAAAATCGTTTGGTTGACAGTATATTGGACAACCTACTTCAGGCTTCAGCTCAAGCTACAACCGACCAGAGAATCTCTAACCAAACCTTCCAGAGAGCTTTAAGATTTTTCAAGCTAATTTCATACCGTGCATTAGATGTTAAGCAACTTCTCAAGGTTATTAGAATTCTCACCATAAACAAATCTAGAGAAACATTGAATATTTTATTGTCAAAGCTTGTTCATAATTCAAGCTTTGCAAGTGTGTTAAATTTTTACTTCATGGAGATCAGACTCGTAGCCGAGGATGATAGGATTTTATTGTTGGACTTATTAAAGAAGAGTTTCACATATTTGCAGGATCCTATCAACTTACACACTATTGAAAAATATTGTGAAAGTTCTGGTCTTGATCTTCCTTGTTTTACTGAGGAAGATTTTATCAAAGAGTTACATTAGCTCTTGTGGGTTATTTATAGGGTAGGCTAATGATTACATGATATCATAGATTGAACGTAGAAAGTAGCATATGTCTGATCTTCGAGATGTAGAAACTCCCATTATTACCTCGTCCTAACTTCCCGTTTATGTCTGACCCTTGCGAAATTGAACAAAAAACTATCTTGATCAGTACGGTTTACCCTATACTGAAAAGCCACTCGCTTTAATTGCTTCTCAACGAGAAGGTAGTCTATCGGGCTTTATTACAAATCTCTTTGTACCACGAGAATGGAACTTACCTTTAACCTCCTCCGGAACCGATCGTGGGGGTCTGTACTTAGAACTCCCCGCATTTATTTCAAGCGCTCCGTGCACCGGAGTATTAGGTTCTTATCACACCCTTCTTCCAAAATGTCCAAACAAGCGAACTCCACAGCAATCAACTCTTTCAATTCGAATCATAAGGACTATGACCAGTACAGGCCATCATTTGCGAAGTCTTTTGTGGACCCTTTTTTGGCAGAGTTAGGATTGGCCACCAAAGTCCCTCAATCAAACACGTACAAGATGGATACAAGCAAAGTCATTCTTGAGTTAGCAGCAGGAACTGGTAAATTTACAAGAAACTTGGTTGATAATGGATGGGGTAATGAATCGGACAACTTGATAATCGTGGAGCCAAGTTCAGGAATGTTAAAGTCATTCAAGACCAATTTCCCCAAAATAAGGCCCACAAATATACACAATGCATCTTCGTACGAGCTCCCATTGGCAGACAGCTCGGTGGATTCAGTGCTTATCGCTCAAGGGTTCCATTGGTTTTCGGACCAAGAAAGTTTGAAAGAGATAAACCGGGTATTGAAGCCCAATGGTACTTTAGGCTTGATCTGGAATTTTGACTACCCAAGCCCAAGCCAGAATAGCAAGACTAAAAATGTTACATACATCGAACAGCAGAGTGGACTTTTAGACAAGAGCAAGTTGGACCAGAACTTAAATCCTGAGGATGTATTTCTTGATTATTTTAATAAGGCTCCTTGGAGTAATGAGATTAGCAAGAAGATCTACTCTTATGACGTCGGTGTTCCACAGTATCGTCATGGAAAATGGAGAGGAGCTTTGGAGCTGGACCGTGAATATTTCGATCCAATCTCAGGAGAGCTCTTTTACGCCTATGAGTATTTGATCGATAGAGATAGTATTTATGAATACTGGAAGACCAGATCCTACATTACTTCTTTGAGTGAGAAGGAAAAGATTCAGGTCAAGGAATTTATTGAAGGGGTTGTGGACAAAGCTGAAGAGATATCGCCTAAAAAGGAAGGAAAGTTTGTCAGACCAATGGCCACTCATGCAGTAGTCGTTCCTGTTAAAAAAGCTTAAGCAGGAGGTTGTTGTTTTTGCAAAAGATGCTTAGTTGTTTTATATGAGTTCCATACTTTTGATCTTGAATAAATATATTATGCCCATAGAACTAAATTTGCCTTACCATTCCTGCTCCTCAGTTGCATATTGTTGGCTCCGCGCCGGCGAAACAACCAAATCGGCGAGGATCATCCCAAGGAATTCGTTCCCGCTTTCTGAAAGTTGTTGTTCTTTGGGAATTTTGGATTTGTCTAGAACGTTGGTAAGTTTATTCATGAGGCTAGAACTTTCCTCTTCAGAGGATATGTCTTCTGCGGGTTCTTGCTGAACAACTTCCGGAATATCTGGCATGCGCTGAGATTGTTGGGTGAATGGAGAATCTTGAATCAGAGCATGTTGAGTAGATGACAGTTCAGCTTGTTTGGAGGTATCAATCGATGTTATTTGAACAGTTGACTGAGGCGTTGGCTTCACAGGTCTTGCTCTAGGTTCTGTTCTAACATTTCCTGTAATCCAAATCTTACCTAAGTAATCAAATAACTTGGTAGATTCTTCATCAAACTCAAACACATGGCCTTCGTCAAGCCCATTTCCATTAGTAAGATTATAAGTGGCAATTTGGTTGTATGCACAATAGAAATACCCTTGGCAATTTGGATTATGCATCCAACCCTTTTGTGGACCATAATCTTCAATTCTTCGGTTGTCTAACTCATCCATGTCTTTGTGCCGATGAGTCCAAGATTCCATAAAATCTAATTCCGGTGTGTCATCAATAGGGTTGAACGGTTCCCTTAAATTAGGCAAATCTGGAGGAATAATCGCAGCTCTGATTTGAAGAGGTTTAGAATATTTCTGATTCAATTCCTCTGCTTCAAAAATTGAAAATGGAAAATTGAGTCTGTCTCTGAAAGAACCATTCTTTTTGCAAAAACTGAATCCGGAATTAATCCACAAGAGCTTTCCATTCTTATCGACATGGCCAGGATGTGTCGAGCATAACTCTTGAGAGGTGGTGTTTGGGTAGAATGCATAGGTACTATTTTTGGTTAATTCACCAACACTTGCAGCAGAGTACTCATTAAACTCGTAGCTTTCATCCCCAGACATGGCGAAGCCCAACCAATACATCTCCTTATCTCCCCATATAGATGATCTAGCTGGATCTCGCCAGTAGCTAAGGGGCAAAGTCATCAATATTGGCAAAAAATGATCTTTCTTTTGTAGTGCTACCACACCAGCTTCTTGGAAGTGTCTCCATCCAGTCATGTACTTATTGCTCATAGTCTTATTTGTAACCAATGGAATATTAAATAAGGTATCCATAGACTTTTCGTTGATTGGAAACAATTTGGAAAAGTAATTTGTTTCAATATAATCATTATGATCTCTCAAAGATCTGTCCTTGAAGAAAAATGTTCCTGACTTTTTATACTCATCTGACTCAAAAAATTCTATAATTGGAACTAGGGGTACTGTGTCAGCATCTAGCAAAACCACTTCCTCAAATGAGCTCATTAACAAGGCTAACAATTTATTAGAATATTTGGGGAAACTTTGCTTTTCTTGTTTCTCGATGCTGAACTTGATATTGACCAACCAAATATCTTGTGGCGGAAATTCAGAACCATAATCTTTGTATTGTTCTAACAATTTTAATTCAGGCAAAACATCAAGATGCTCCGAAGCCATACCCGGATTCAATAGGAAATCAATATCCCTGGTTGCCACTAATTCGATGATTCTCCGGGACTTGGTATTGATATCACCATTGTAAACAATTTGGATTGGTAAACGGTTATTAAGGGCCCTAAGTACCCTGATTAGCTTAATCAAGTCACGGACATGCTTATTAGCAGCAGATATGACAATGCCTTTTCCAGAAGTATTCTTGTGAAGAAAGTCAATGAGATTATCATGACCCGGGTCGTACAGAACAGTTTGTCCAGTGAATTGGTTATCTGTATGGAATACTGGGAGTATGTTGTCCCCAAACAATCTGTCACCCTGTTGTGTAAGCCTCTCAAAGGTAGGCAAGGCATGAGTGTTTAAGAATGGAAATAGTTTATTTGAATACTTTTGGTAGATGTCATTCATTTCATGATTCTCATTGTTCACGAAACACTTGCCATAAAGACGCATCAATGTGATGGTATCTGCCATTCCTTGCTCTGCAATTTTTGATGCTTTGTAACTGTTCTTGAACTCTTCATTTATAGTGTTATTGTCAATCCTAGTTATTTCATCGCTTTCGCCCTTAGCCGACTTCTGTTCTTTCAAGATGTCGCTCCTACTTTTGAAGAACATCTTTTTATGATTAATGTTCTTCTCAAATTTTATGTCTCCCCTCCACAGGTCTATAGCCCACTCTGGATTATAAAGTTCATGCTGGTCAAAGAAAGCCTTGCATTTCTCGTTCAATGGTAATGACTGGACTCGCTCAATGTCATTGTCATAAAGCGCTGTGAAATTATCGTATCCCTCGAAAAGGTAATTTGAATAATGGAACTCTTGACGTATTATAGAGTCAGAATTTTTGAAACTTCGATCATCGTACCGATCATGAATTAATAGGTCTTGATAAAAGGCAGACATATCGTCAAAGTTGACTATGCATATCAAGTATAGAATGAGCACCACAACAGTGGCCACCAGGATCAACGTTAGTCTCTTCAATGAGAACCTCATCCAGGATTGATTTACCGTAGGGAATGCTATCAAACGAGTGCTGAAAAATAGTCTGCACGAAGAACAATATGTCTAAAGTCAATGCTCTCGTGCCGTTGAATAGGAAGTTAATGATTGTGATAGGCTAAAGTACACGCGTCAAATTATCGTTCATTGGATCAAACTCATACTATCTCCTAGTCCAGGAACAGATTTGTGTTAAAAATATGGTTAAGCACTCGGCACGTGTTGATTCAGTCTACCACTCTTGGTGATATTTCTTGCACAGTTTTCTAAGCGAAATAGTGGTGGAAAAGAAGTACAAGTGCAGCTTAAGGTCTTGATATGACTTAGTTTTAAGAAGCAAATGATATACGCTCTATGTATCTGGCAAGGTACTCTTGTGGGCGAAGTTATAGGAGAGCGGTTAAGCTAGCGAGGCTTAAGAACGGGAAACTCGGCAGTGTGGGAACTGCACCTCACACAACCAATGTTTCATTCCACATGTGTTCTACTGGTGGCCCGATGCTCATACAGTAGCGTAGACTTAAGGGGGTATGGACTCCAGTATAATGTGCCAAGTTCTAAAATTTCGAACCCTGTGGTAGCCCAGATGAATGCTTTCGAAAATCCTTAGCATTGCTAAAGTACAGGGTGGCTTTCTACATCTAGGTACGCATTATTCATTTATCAGATTCCTAGTGGGACTACAAAAGAAATACAACTCCAAACTACAGGATTGGGCTTTCGCAATCAATAGCTATGCATTTTTCTTATGGCCTTTTGTTCATTACTAATTACTGCAATTAAATCGTTGTTTTCTTAACGGGCCTTACCTTCAGCAGCCTTGACAAAGATAATATCACCATCTTCAACGATGTAATCTCTACCCTTGGTCATCAACTTACCTGCAGACTTGACACTAGCTTCGTCTCCGAGTTCAATCAAGTCTTCGTATTTGGTAACAAGAGCCAAGATGAAAGTTCTTTCCAAATCACCGTGAATAGTACCGGCAGCTTGTGGGGCAGTGTAAAATCTTCTGATAGTCCATTCTCTAACTTCATCTGGACCACCAGTGAAGAAGGAGATCAAGTCCAACTTTTGTCTCATGGAGACAATGATCTTTGGCAAAGCAGAGGTAGCACCGATTTCCTTACAGTAAGCGTCTCTTTCTTCGTCAGAGCCCATTCCAGCCAATTTTTCTTCCAAACAAACAGAGATTGGAATGATAGAATCACCTGGAGAGTTCTGGTCAACCCATTCCTTGATTTTCAATAAGTGCTTGTTCTTCTTTCTGACATAGTCTCTTTCAGATAAGTTGATCAAGTAGATACATGGCTTGGCAGTCAACAAGAGCATTTGGTTGATGACTTCGACTTCCTTTGTGGTCCACTTGTTGTTGGCAATTCTTTGACCATCTTCCAACATCTTGATGATTCTCTTGACCAATTCAGCTTCTTCCTTCTTTTGCTTGACTTCCAAGGATTGACCACCTCTCTTGGTGATCTTTTCAACACCTTCCAAGTGCTTTTGAGCAAATTCAATATCCTTCAATCTTAATTCTTCGTGAATGATTTCCAAATCAGCATAAGGGTTAACTTCATCGTTAATGTGAATAATTTCAGAGTCATCGAAACAACGGACAACTTGGAAAATAGCATCGACAGCACGAATGTTGGCTAAGAAATTGTTACCTAAACCTTCACCGGCGTGAGCACCCTTGGTCAAACCAGCAATATCATAAATGGTCATGTAAGCTGGAACTTCACTTTTAGGCTTGTACAATTCACATAATTTGTCGAATCTTGGAGAAGGAACAATAACTCTAGCTTCTTCTGGTTCAATGGTGGCGAATGGGTAGTTAGCTGGGTTACCTAAAGGACATCTGGTAATGGCCTGGAAGAAGGTGGATTTACCAACATTGGCTAAACCAACGATACCAGACTTCAAGTTGTTACCTGGTCTTCCTAATAAAATAGGCTTTTCTACGACTCCCTTCTTTTTTGGTGGCATTTTGAATAATATAGAGAAAGAAACTGCAACTGATGGCTCCTATGTCTATAAGTTGCGAGTGTCGAAAAATTTTTAAATGTCGCGATGTCGCAGGTGAAGACATTATTCTTCAACAATTGTGATATCCAACTTCACTACTCCTAATGATGATCAAAATACTGCAAATAATAAGGAGCACCAGACAGTTCAGCACTCTGGTAGCAAGAGTACAAGCTGCTAAGTCATCCTGTGTCGCTGGAACCAAGCTCAACTTGAAGATCAGGAAAAATGGTGATGAACCAGTTGCATTGGAAGACTCCGAGTACCCAGAATGGTTATGGGATATGCTTGATAAAAAGAAGTGTGATGAGAAATTGAAAGAGACTGATTTCATGAAGTGGAGAAGAAAGCACTTGGGAAAGGAAAATGCTAAGAAGATCAAGAGTAATAACTTTTTGGCCAATGTTAAGTAAACTTGAAGGTCCCACTAAGTATCATCATTGTAGGCCGGGTCAAAATTAAAAGAATATCATTGGTTAAAAATGCAATCACTATATTGCAGTTCCTTAACACTTTAAAAAGCCCACTCTGACTTAAGAGGGAGTACAGTCCAATAAAATACTTGTATATACTAAATCAATACTAAAATTGCGATTCATTGAAATCTATACACTACTATTCAATCTAGAGTGTCATTTTTTGGAACCAGTTCCATTACTCGATAACTCTAATGTGTTCGCTGGTGGTATACTTAATTTGGGCAAGGGAAATGGTATCATCGTCTAAGTCGAAAACAGCGTACGCGGATCTCAAGAAGTTGGAACCGACAATAGGTTGGTCATTTGGAACAATTCCAAATGCACAAACCAGGTTACCAGTAGCATCGTGACCGGCTTCTAAGACCAAATCAGTGAATGGGACATTGATAGTGGTTTGACCGTTGAAATCGTACTTAATGTAGTTTTCCTTTTGCTTCAAGCCACATGGAACGATGTAACCACGGGCGTTTTCATTGTAAACTGCTCCTGGAGCAATATTTTGAACCAACTCATAAAGAGTGGCGTTTGGTAAAAGAGTCAAGGTGGTACCGGAATCAACAATAATTGGCTTGTTGCCGAAGTCAACGGTATTATTCAGTATTGGAGAAGAAGAAGCTGAAGGTTCAGGAGTACCTGGGATACTAGTGCTGTTAGCAGCAAAAGCAAAGCCGCCAAAATCGAAGACGAATTTTCCTTCAGTAGGAGTTCCGGTGGTAGCAGCGATGTGAGGAACGTTACCGGTAGCAGTGGAGGTGGGGGTAGGAGGAGGCACGCCGCGGTTAACGATGTGGGCCGAGATCGACTTCAATGGAATTTGCAAAAGGTGTGGGTTTCCGTTCTGGTCTTTGGTAATGTCGATTGGGACCAATTCACCGCTATACTTCGCTCTGTCGACACCTCCGAACAAGATGGTTCCAGAGGTATCGGAGGAAGTGCCCAAGTACAAGGAGTATGCAATCTTATTGATGAGACCCTGCTCTTTCATCAAGGCAGGGATGTTGGTGTACTTCTTCTGGGCACTTTCTTGGACTTGGTAGGCGATACCGAAGACACCAACATTGGAGTCACTGTCGTCGGCAACGGCAAAGGTAGCATTGTCTAATTTCAATTGTGGAGTTAATGAAACGACATCGGTACCCCAAGCACCACGAGCGTAGGTTTTGTCCAAATACGAGATCGAGAAGTTCTCGCCGTTTGGCTGCCAGGTTGACGAAGCAGATTCGTTAAAAGTGCCGTAGCGGTCGCAGTCGACATCACCACCGTGAGAATGGCACTGGGGGTTGATCGAGCTCATCACCCAGAGATCGGAAGATCCACTGTCAAGCAACACCTCCACGGAAACCGGAGGGGTACCGATGGTGACGTTGGTGACATAGAAGGTTTGTTCGTTGGCAACACTAACTGCGAATGGCAGGTCCTTAGAGTCTCTTCCAAACAAGTCTTCCACAGGAAACTCCTTTCCGATGTCCACCAAGAAGTTGGACAAGGCGCTGGACAAGTCCTCCCCGTGGAGAAGGTTGAAGTCCATTTTGTAAAAACCGTCGCTGGCGTGGGCTGCCAAAGCGAGGTATGCGGGAGTCAAAAAACGAGTGAATAGCATGGTGGTGCCAAAGGAGTGTGAGCAGAAGGAACGACTAATGGGGGACTGCTTGACCTGTTTTAGAGATGTAGCGGAAATGGGTGCTTTTTAACCTGTCTTGTTCCCATAATAGCCCAAAGCGATCAACCCATCTTGATGGGTTTGGGATCATAACTCACCGCTATTGTGAAACACAACCATCTGGCCGTTTGAGGTAATACGTGGAGTGCACGAAAAAGCCTGGTGGTTGGGGCTTGCTGGCACCTTGCAGCCTGCACCCACTGCTGCCGTTTCTGGGGATACAGGCAGTCTCTGGTTGGTAGGGAAGCCTTCTGGACCGCTAGCACCGCGTACTCCAACAGCTACTGGAAAACAAGTCTGCTGCAGAGAACAATGCCCCTAACATGTTCTATTGTCATCATGGCGCAGGTGCATCTTTCATGCAAGGCACGCGGTACCTAAGCCGTCAGTGCGACATGTGCTATATGTCACTAGCCCTGAGTGGCCAAGAGCGACATCTGGCCGGTGAGGGCTTCTATCGGCGGCTGTGTCGTGTCCCTCGGTGCCCTTGACGGTTCAGGATGCCCAGAAATTACCGGCCTGCACCGCTGACGAGCGAATGACGTGTTGTGGTGATTGTATTGCTTTGGCTGGGATCCCAGTTAGCCCGACACGGTAGCAACACGAACAGCACATTTGTTGGACCCAAGAATGTGCTGGCACCGCGCCAGGTGAGGGGCAAATGTTTACAATACAGTAGCATATGGGCATTGGTGGTGTTTCTATTAATCTATACATGTTACCAGGGATTGGACTCGAACTCATCCTCTCCCCATGGCTTGTGTGCCAAAGAATTGGGCATTTGCACCTGCTTGAACAACTCGTCTCCCTTGATATCCAGAGCCTTCTCGTTGGTCTCTGGTAACTCCTCGTCCTCAGCACCAGCATCGTCGTCCTCTCGTTGCTGATCATAGTCAAATGAGTCGTTGAAAGCGTTGTTCTTGTTCTCGGTGAGAATGTCGTCCACATCGTCAACGATACTGATGGGCAATGAGGGTTGATACTTCTTGTTCCGCAACACCCTGATACCCCCAAGACCTGACCCGTACTTGCTGATCATCTCAGTGAGGTTGGGCAACCCCACTCCGAAAATAAAATTGGGGTTCAAGTATATGTAGATTTCTTTGGTTAAGAAATTGCTTTGGGTCATGTAGTGCTGGTTCATTCTGGCTATCTGCGTCTCTCCTTGTTCATTCATGAGGTTTTTGACCAACTGAGTCAATTTCTTGGGTAGTTTTGTTTCCTCTACTTCATATCTGTACAACTTGTTCATTACTTTGAACAATTGGTAGTAGTTCAAAGAATCAAATTGGTTAATAGTGTTTATGAGACTCTCCTCATCTGTCAACAGAGACATACATTGCAACCATTGCAATAATTCAATGGTTGGTTGTAATTGACTCTTTCCCACATGGTACAACGAATTGTAATAGAATCTCAAAAAGTGAGGATCTTTGTTGGCGAGCTCCAGCTTCTCTTCCTTAAGGAGATTTTGCAACTGAGCATCGCCATCGCCCACAAGCTTATTCAATCCTCCAATACTTTCGGGAACACTAATTCTATAATTATGTGACCTGAGCCAATCCTCGATCGCAGAGATATTAAGTCTTATCTGAATGGCCTTAGTTCTTCCACAGTATCTAGATTGGCCAATTATTCTATTAAAAATGATGCAGTTACTGTAGTAAAACACTTGTGAAAAAGTTTGTGACCTGATGAGATTGTCCACTTTATGGATTTTTAAGACGTAGTCTAAGGCTCCAAGAACTTGAAGATACCGAATAGGTGAAGGTTTCATCAACTCGTTCTGACTTGGGGGATACAACATATTGAAAATATCCTCATAAGTATTAGGATGCTTTTTTTTATTCTTAAAGAAGTTCCAATTCTTAGCATACAAAACATTTGAAACGTCAACCAAGCTGGTGAAGTCTAACAAACACTCATCTACTAGCAAGCTCAATCTTGAGTTAATAGACAATGAGAGTGTGGCAACTAACGATTGAACAACATTGATGATCTCTTGTAAAAACCTTGGGTAAGAAGTATAGGTTTCACTCTTCCCCAAGTAGTAGTGAAGGAATTGAAGTACCGACAACCAGTAGCTCAATAATACAATGTCGCCACCACCTGCTTGGGCAGAAGAACCCCCATTTGCTTCTTGTGTGGCCATATTGAATACTCCAGATTTAGTATTAGTAACCGCTCTTAATCTGGCCGTAAAGCAATCGAAAAGAAAGTTGCTCAACTCTTCACTTTGGACTTTAATATGTGAATAACGAAGAAGCTGGAAGACTATAGCAGCAGGCACCCTCGTGTCGTGTTGGAATTGGATTCTTTTGGTTCTTAAGCTGAATATGTAATCCAATAATGACGGGATGTCACTGTCTGTGAACTTTATATATTGCTCAGGCAAGAGCTTATCGTATTCGAAATCAGGCAATGTTCTAATAGCTGGGTCCTGGGCTAATAGGGCTTCATCGTCCTCCTCGTACACCGATTCGGATTCTTCTTCTTCTCCAATCGCTGAGCTTGCAGTGATACTTTGTAGCTTGATCTTGGTAGCAAGATCATCTACTATGGGATCTTCTTGCTCGAAAGCTGTTGACTTATAAAAAGTATCTTCTTCTGTGATACCCGAACTTTTGCCTAACAAATTGTGAGACTTGAAGTATTCATAAATTTCTGTCTTCTCCGGATTGATCAAGCTGATGGCATTTTTGCCATCGTCCTTTGGAGATAATTCCGGATCGGCCTGGTGGTTCAACAACAATTTAATGGTATCCAATTGGTCAAAATGCACGGCCCACATCAATGGTGTATAGTTTGTCAACGTGTCAAACAAATCAGGGTCAGCATTATAGTTGGATAACAAACTATCAATGACACTTTGGTTGTTAAAGCAGATGGCATACACCAATGCACTTACCCCGTGATCATCAGTGGGATACAATTTGTTCACCAACTGGGGATTGTTTCTTAACAAGCTCTCCAAAGTGACCAAATCACCCTCGGATGCTGCTAACAAGAACTCTATGAAAAGTTTCTTGTCATCTTTACCCAATGCCTCAGTTTCAACTGAGTTGGCTGCAGTTTCTAATGCAAACTTTAATGCTTTCTTGGATCCAAGGATCTTGGCCAAAAGTGGATCCGAGTAGTTGAGAATACCTGGAAGGCTTGATCCAGTGAGGGACAACAACCCTGGGTTACTTCCGGTTGTCCATGCTTCCATTGTATGGTTTCTGATCTAGACCCCTATACTCTTTCGTTTGCTCAAATCGTTCTGGGGTGACCGAACGGGTAAAGTTTCATCCGCATCTTCTATATACAGGGACGATTTCATGAGGATAAAGATTCTAACACTTCTTCATCCCACCCGTTAAGATGTCCCGATTATACCAAAGGGTAGTTATCCCGCTCGTGGTGGCCACCTTGCTTCTATGCGGGTATATATTGAGCTCACATACACCTAAGGACACGCTCATCAACACCGGTTCACACATTATTGATTCATTCGCTCACATCACCGACACTACCTCTTCACAGAAGGAGCAAGCAGGGCCGAATGGAGGTACTGCTGACAACTTGGCCAGCGGTAAAAAGACCCCCACAACAGAGGAAACCAAGGAAGAGGTCGAGGTCGATCCCTGTACCGTCATCAACCCATCGAATCACGGATTCATCGATATGAGAGCCTTATCTTCTATTGAAAACGACGGCAAGGCCTTACCATGGATCTCACGAGGATATGAGAGTGGATACAACTATACCATTGGAATTTGCTCAAATCCTTTCAAAAGACAACACGAGGGAGCCAGAGATATCCAGGACAACGTCAACGCCAGCAGTATAGGTGCGTTTTATGTGGACCCCAAAACCAGTAAATACGTTTCCATGGGAGAGTTTTCTACCACACCAAAGTTTATTGGTAAGAAGCTTACCTTGACCTACGAAAATGGTTCATACTGTGAAAACACAGTGAATTCTGCCACCGGGGAAAGAATGAGAAAATCAACAATTTTGAAGTTCACCTGCGATCGTGAAATGATGGCGAAGGCTGCAGTTTCATTCATTGGCTCCTTCAACGATTGCCACTATGTGTTTGAAGTAAGGTCCCATTATGCATGTCCAGCTGCCCCAAAGAGTAACAACTTAGCAGTCATTTGGATATTTTTATTGATCGTATCCGCTGCTGTTTTGGTGTACGTATCTGGGGGTTTGTTGTATAAGCAAATGAAGAAGCAGAACAAAGCGTTTACGCTGAAAGCATAACCAGCTAGTCTGGCATGGACGCGTGTATATTATTGCATATAGATAACTATTTAAGCTGAGTTAGAAATAGAGCTACTCGGCAACCAAAGAAAATTAAATGAAGGATTTAAAGAATGTAAGTATATCATTTTCAGGGGTTGTTTGCCCTTGGGGCAACTTAAATGGACAAAACCGGACTTTCAGTGCGTTCGTTAAATTTGGATGAATGGATTTGCCCAGAAATTTATGCCTAGCTTGACCACATGCATTTTAGTCTGTCACCCCCTTACATTAGTATTACTATTTTGTCATATATTACTGTCTATTTCATCTATTTCATATAAATTGTTTATCATAGCCGTAATTACCATTCTGTAGGACCGAACTTCTCCCCCTTCTTCAATACGTAATAAGGTGCGCTCTTGAAGTCCTTTGTGTTTCTGTAAACTGTGTTACCCCACCATGTGAGCTTACCACCTGGGTAAGACACACATAAGAAGATTATCACACCTGCAATTGCCACACCTGCATCGAACCCAGCTGAGATAACATTATTGTATCTAGTGTGGAATGCAGTCTTGAATCTCTTCAAGTAGAAGTTGAAGACAAAACAAGTGGCAAAGTATAACGAGTAGTTATACAATGTGGATGGTGGAATGTTTCCGGGACCAGTAAAGAACACTGGGGAATTGATTCTACCAAACCATCTAGTTGGATACTTCTTCCATAAGTAGTAGGTAAAGAATGGGAAAATAGCACCAATAAGGAAAAAGTACAATAATGGGTTGTAGATCTTTCCTGGTGAAAACAATTCTTCAACTAATGAAAAAGTGATTGATGCTGTAAAGATAACCCTTCCACTTGCACAAGAAAATTCAGTTCCTGGTACGCAAATGTCCTTGATGTTGAATCTCATCCATTGCTGAACACCAACATTAACCAAGGAAGCCAAAACAGTACCATAAACTTGGAACATAAATAACGTTCTAGGAGGAATCTTCATATACTGGCCTAACTTCAAGTCCATAGCAAAATTCAAACCTTGACGGTTAGGAATGAAACCAACTAATTTAATGATCATGTTGGCAAAAGGATTACCCTTGAAGACATATCCGGCTACCAACTCAGTAATGATGTTGAGACCAACGTGTTGGTTGGTAGTAGATTGAAGAATAGCTTCGAAAAGGAATGTAGACAAGGCAATTGCAATGGCAAGAATAAGACCATACCATGGAGTTTGACTGTACTCAGGCCAACCACAAACAGCGCCGAACCCAAATCCAATAGCCACCAAGAAAAGGACACCTGACCACCAGTAAGGCACATCCTTGAAGTGCTTTTTCATCAATCTTCTGTGAATATCATCCCCAGTGTGGGAGGGGTCTTTAAGTAAACCAAGGATGGTCTTACCATTATATAAAATAGAATGGGTAATGAGCGAGGTCACAGCTGCAAAATTCAATGCATACGACAATAAGTATGAATAGGAGACGAAGACAGGAGAGTATGCCTTATAAAGAGCCTTGTCTACCTTTTTGTGTTTGTTTAAGATTCTTGTCACATTGTAACTCTTTTGGGTATTGTCAAATGAAGTTGAGCTGATCATTGGCATGTACTTTGCATACCAAGTGTTGGTATAATACAAAATTGGCAAAACAATCCAGAAAAAGATAAACACCGAACCATAGGTATTTGCAGCCACATTGAATGGGGTTGCTAATGGAGAAACACTCAAAGCTTGAGTAATTTGGGTCCAGTCAAAAGTGATTGGGATTCCTACCGCTAATCCAGAAGATGTACCAAAGATTTGGTTAACCACGGTGTTATTTGGAGCGATCCAACAAATCCAGTTGAAGTTTGAGAGACCTTTGAATAAGAAATCTGGCACCCAATACCAAACAAAACTGCCAATGGTAACGATATAGAACATCTTGAATCTGGACCAGTTGAATCTGGCAACCTTCACAGCATCCACAATGTCAGCCTTTGCCAAAGTTGTGAAAATGGTGGCAGTAACCAAGGCCAGGGGCCAGATGGCAGCTGCTGGGTAGACCACCCATCTTTGTGATAACTGGGCTGCAGAATAACCTAACATTTGCGAGGTAAGGACAAGTAAGATTTGGTATCCTACCGAAACATCTATGTGGTAAAAGTTGGTGGTTGCAATAAGAATGTTCATAGCATATGCTGAAGATGCAGTCAAAGACACGATAATGGTCAAAAGAGCGTGCTCCTGGATACCAAAAGGTGCTGGATTAAGGTTGAAGAATGGAGCATGCTTGAATCTGATATCGGGCAATTTTGCCAATGCTTTTCCAATTGGGAATGAGATAATTTGAGCAACAACATAACTGATACTTATAGATGGATATCTCAAAGAAAAGAACTGGTTAACTCCTGCAAAAACAATCACAAAAACTGTAACCATAAACCAAGATCTCCAATGGTTCAAATGTACATTTGGGTCCACTTCCACCGAAACAGCAGCACGAACCTCGGGATATGGCGAATTGGTCATGAACGTAGGGTCACCATGGATAAAATCAAAGTTAGTCTCATCGATCTCAATAACGGTATGCGTTGGATCCACGCTATTTCCAAGACTCAGTTTCTCGACATCGCTGTCAACCTCGATATGCTTCTCAGCCTTGACGTCGGATTTTTCAAACCCTCTTTCGGTAAATGATACCATATTCAGAGTCTGAGATAATTGATGTCGATATTGGCTTCTACATTGTTGGTATAGCACAGTCTTTTATATATTCTCCATTTCACTGTGGCTGTTATCTATGGAAGGTGCCGCATCTGGATCTGATCACAAAGACCAATCAATTTGACACAAATGGACTAGTGACACATTAATTCTAAAGTATAATCCGCAGGTGCAGAACTAATTCACGGAGATATACACAAGTGCCACTCTCGTGACCTGATGAAAGTTAATTAAATGTATATTTTCTAGCGAATATTTGGCTGATCTCCTCGAATCATGCATAGATTTCGGGCGTCATTAGATAAGGACAGTTTAGAACAGGGATAGATCGTACCCCCTGGTGGCACTTGCTGGCAAATGAGTAGCCCTTTTACTACCACTGCCCCCCATTTGTCCCACCTTCAACTTCTGGGTAATTTTGCTTGTCTGACAGTGACACCTCGACACCTCCAAGCAATTCTTGGCACCCTGTTCATTCTTCATAGCCGCGTCTCCTGTGCATGGGCCACACTTCTGGTCGAGTTGTGGATATACGTAAGGTCACGTGCGCCAACAAATCGTATGGTTTCTATGGGTAAGCAACCCTTTATTGTCCTGTGGATCTCGACTCCACAATTATAAACAGGAGAATGCCTACGGGTTTTAGCTTTTCTCTCCAATTACAATGCCGATACCGGCATTAGCCTTCCACCACAATAGTTTCGGCAAACTTGTGTTCTCTACATGATCGTTTGTAAGCTTATTTTTACTGTTTCTTAACACCTATACATTTAATATGCCCCACTGGTAATAATGGCACTGAAGTTTTCTGTCTCGGCCTTGGCTTCGATCTTTGCAACAATCTTACCGCTAGAGTTTGCCAATCTAATCATAACGGCCACCTTTCCGCCCCAAACGTCCTTACCCAATAATTTCAAGATGTGGGAAGTAGAGTCGCTAGGCACGTAGTCAGAACCATCCAAAGGAAGTAAATTCAAAGTTGACTTCAACTTAGTAACTGCATTTTCCAAGGTGTCGGCACCGCTAATGTGAGCAACAGAACTTTGGTATGAGGGCAAAGCATCATAAATGGCTGTGAAGTTGGAGTTGTATAATGGGGTGACAAAGTCTCCTGAAACAATTTCCAAGTCGTCCACTTGATATTCGTCGGTGTACCCTTCATCCCTTTCATCGACATTTCCTTCTTCGTCAATAATGTCCTTATTAGTGTATGCAACAGTATTGCCAAACGCAGCAAGAAGTTCTTCATCTTCAATGCTTGGAGTACTGAAAGATACGTAGACGGTACCGGTTTGGTCTGGCTTCAATTCTGACAATGGAATGATAAAATCTTCAACATAGTCTTCGTTGTCTGGTTGTGCTATCACGGAAATGTCCTGTAAGACAGAACGAGGTAATGTGTTGGTGATATTGTACTGCAAAACCAATTTCTTTGATTCAATGAAAAAGTGTTTGACGACGGTGACAACGAATTCGTTCTCCTTCTCTGTCAAGTAAACTGGAACCATAGTCGACTTGGATAACTTACCATAAGCTTCGAATTCTGGGTAAGCAGAGAGTTCTTGTGCGTATTCTTGTTGTTTCAATAAGTCATTAGCAACATCGTCACTGCCAGCCTTTTCGGTATCCTTCTTACCTTCGTCCTTGGAAGCACTTTCCGAGGCATCTGTAGATCCTTCATCAAGCTTGTTGACCTTCTTATTGTATTCCAATGATTTCAATTCTTCGTTGGTGATGATTGGAACTTCGCTGATATCAAACTTGGTGGCAAAGTTGGCTTCGTTGTTCAAATAGTGGGTTAACTTACTTTCCAAAGCAGCTAAGTCGTATTTAGAATCAGAAACAATCAACTTCTTTTGGTTGCTTGAGATGAACTTCAATGACAAAGCAGCTCTGTCTCTAACTTCATCATCAACATCGTTCAAGCATCTGCCCAACAAAATCTTGACATTGGATGCAACATCGCCTCCACAAACGGAAGCAAACTTGGCCAAAGAAATAATTGCGGATGATCTCACAATGGAGTTTTCCAACACCAATCTGTTGTAAATGTGTCTTATGTAATAAGATGGGTTTGTAGTGTGTGGACCCTCATCACCTAACAAGTGCAAGATACGAACAGACAATTCGGTGAACTCACAATCTTCTATGAATTCACACAAATTCATCAAAATCAATTGTTTGGCACTGGCATCTGGTAAAAATTTGATCAAGTCAAACAACGCGTCGACAATGCTAGTCTTTAATAATAATGAACCATCTTCTCTCAACAAGTCTGTCAAGAAGGCAACCAACTTTTTGTGTTTACTTGGGAACTTTAAGGCCAAGTTTTCAATTGCTTCGATGATAACAATCTTGAAGTCTTCAGTGATTTCGTCCATAAGGGAAGTCATCTTAGTGATTAACCTATCAACACTTTCACCACCAGTAGATCCAGTGTCAATAGTTCCGGCTCCCATGGTCTTCAACAAAGTAGTAATAGCCAAAGTGGAGATGGCTCTGTTTGGATCATTGATCAAGCCTTCTAATTCAATGTTCACGATAATGATCTTCTCTGGATGCTTAAAGGAGATCTTATTGATTAATCTAATGGCAGCGAATCTAGTAGCAGTTCTTGGCACACTCAATAATTTTTGTAAGGTAGTAATAATGTTCATGAATTGATCATCCTTAATCAAATGTTGCAAGTTGATCAAGGTCTTACATGCTTCCAATTCCACCATATCAGACTTGTGCTTCAAAAGACCAGCCAAAATTGGGTACAAGTGTTGGATCAATGATTCGTCGTCAACTAAAATCTTGTTGATGTATCTGATCAATTGAATAATCGACAAAGAGTTCTTCAATGAAGAGCCTTCAGATAAGGAGGTGATCAATTTAACCAAAGCCATTTTATCATAGTTTCTCAAGTGGTACAATAAACCCAAGGCATGGTATTGATACATGAATGAAGTAGCAGGTAAGTTCGAGGTAGAGTTACCATAGTATTCATGTAATTCGAATTGACTTGAAGGGAATTGCTTGTACGATTGCAAAGTCTCCAATGTTTCATTGGTGAATCTCTTAACCACATCCTTAGCAATAGGAAGTAAATTATAAGATGAGATCAAAGCAGCGGAAGATAAGATTGGATTTTTGTCAACAATAGCATTCTTGAATAATCTCTCAGCTGCATTGACAGTAGTTGAATCTAAAACCTTGGACAATGTTCTAATAGCATTAGGCTTGTAGACAGAGTCGCCCCCTTGGATATCCTTCATGATTGAAGAGGTAACCATCAAAATATCGTCGGAGGTAGCTGCGAGCTCCTTAATGGTCAAGTAGACTAATTGTCTTAAAGATTGGTTCTTATCCTGGAACAATTTGGAAATAGAAAAGAACAAGGTGGTAGACTCCTGTGCTGGAAAAACTTCACCAGAATAGATCAATCTCAACAACTTGGCTAAAAGACTCCGACACTTTTTGGCATCAATAGGTGATTTGTTGAACTGTTGTAAACACTCTTGAAACACCGCCATCTTGTCAGGCGATCCAGTGGAGCTGGAATACGCGTCCTTGTTCTTGTAGGACTGCGTGGACATCTTGACAGTGGTAATTGACTTAATGTGTTGTGTGATGCTGAACACTTGACGTGTTTAATTGGATCTCGTTGTTGTCGAGCGAAAAATGTTACGTAATGACTTACTAAGTGAGTATCTTTTTTCACTAAATCTCAGTACCAACCTTGAGCATCAGAAGTCCATCAGATCGTTACACCCATTAGACCAACCTCCTTCACAATGTTTGGACTCACATCTATAATTAAGAGACAAGTTGCACCTGTATTCTCCAGAAATGTTTTTACTCCAAGATTATTTACCCCTATAACGTTGCCAACTTTAATGATCCCAGTCAGAGGTTTTAAGGTCAGAACTTCGGTGAAGAAGTTCTGCAAAGACTGCTACATGGTTAGAAGAAAGGGAAGAGTGTTCGTGTATTGTAAGTCAAATGGTAAGCACAAGCAAAGACAAGGTTAAAAGACATCGCTCTAGCAGAAGTCATGAAAACTTGATTTTCCTCCACAACTCATGAGAATGTATATCTAGTCCCCTGTCCCAACTTTTCATTCAACAAGTATTGCTAGCTACTTGCTTCCTACAGTATCCTTGACCTCTGTAAATAGAAGGATATACCGAACTATGCTATTTTTAATTACATATGTAGAAGCAGCTTCAAGTAATATTCAAATTCTGTTCTCCTCGCTTCTTTTGAGTGCCAGAAGCAGCTGCTTGCGCCGCTAACTTGACTGCCCTAGTAGTTGGTGTATGTACTGACCTGTTGTTGGCCATAGGTTGCTGATTAGAAAATGAAGCAACTCGAGCATTACCTGGCCTTTGCATCTGCAATGCTTGGTTCATGAGGCCCTGTGATTGGGTGGGTTGCCCAGATTGCCTCGAAGGGGAAGGCGAAGGTGAGTGAGAGGATTGAGAAGACATGACAGCTTCTTGCCATAACCGATTCAAAGTCACGTTAAGCTCCTGTTCCTTTTCCAGATAAATGTTGGACACTTCCCTGAAAGTACCGTTGGAAGAGCTTGAGATAACAGAATCACCATGAGTACTTGCACTCCCGCTACGATTCTTCTTATTCTTCGAAACCACGATATCTTTTCCTCCGTGTGCATACTTCTCCACCCTGCTCAAACTTTCAGCAGCAGGATTTAAATGTCTTCTAACATTCAAATACTCTCTGTTTAAACGTTCGAACTCTGTTCTCGATTGAATCGAGTTTTGATGACTATTTTGTGCCATCAATAACAAACCGTTAATGTTAGTCATGCTGCTTGAATGATTTTCTGGAGTACCGCTTAAAGCTACCAGATTGTTGGCATTTAGTTGCAAATTGTGCATATTAGACATTTGATTCACACTGAGTCCTTGACCTGCATCTCCCAATCCTCGTCCCTCTCCATTAGCAATTGCTGCTACCCTTGCAGGGTGATTGATTCCTCCTGGTGTCAAAGGAAACATAGGCTGCTGTTGTTGTTGATCCCTTAAATTTATGGGACTGGGATTCACAACACTGTTATTGTAATTATTAGCAAACATTAGATTGTTTAATGATAGATTTGAGAAATTAGCTAAGTTGTTAGGGTCCAAGTTTGAGATATCTAACAACGAGTTTTCTCTCTGTAACCATAATCTTTGTTGAGCTCTAGTCTCTAAATTGTGTGGCACTGAGTTTTGATCAGAGTTGTTATTGTTAGTCAAAAAGTTTGAAAAGTTGTTCACCCCGTTTGGTATCGCATGTTCATGCTGCTGATTTTGGTTGATCTTCTGATTTTGATGTTGATGGTGATGATGATTTTGATTTTGAGTAACATTTGAATGATGATTTTGCCCTGGAGTCTGCTTTTTGGATGATAAATACTGACTGTTTGTTCTTTGCAAGTTATTAAATATCGTTTGATTTGGTTGATAGGAGTTATTCTGAATTACATTTTTATTGGTAATGACAGGTTCTGCAAGACTCTCTATTGGATTTGCTTTAAAAGAAATTCCGCTGTTAGGCTCAAAAGCATTAGAATCAACAAACGATTGATTTTGAGGGATGGAAACATTCGAGCCTGATTTTGTACCATTGTTGGAATAGGCGTCAGAGCCTAAAAGCTTTTGATGCATTAGTTGATTTCCGAGTCTCTTGTCAAGTTTCTTGGTTAATCCTGTAGATTGAGATAATAACAACGAACCGCCATACATGTTGTTGGAGAAATCATCAGTTGAACTGCGAGTGCTAACAGTATGCTTGGAATTGAGCTTATTGTATTGGTTTTCCTTCTCCTGCGAACTTGTCAGGTCATCATACAATTCAGATCTTTGACTTTTTTCACTGGTTGAATCCACAAGTTCCTGCCTGGTGCTTTCCTCTGATTGATCTTGATAGTTTTGACTGGAAGACTCATATTCCCTTTGGTTGTGGCCACTTTCATAAGGGTTTTCATCCCTAGGATGCATTTTCTCTCCAAAGGACTCGTAAGACGCCTTCTCGTTTCCATCGGTTCCCAGAACCATTTCACCTTCGTGCAAGCTATCAGATTTTGTGTGGTCTTTAGAAGGGCTAGTGTCCAGATGTTGTGATTGATTGAAGTAATCTGCCTCATTATTTATGCCTGAACTGTCCTTTGATTCTGCACCCTTGAGCATTTTACTATCGTCGTTATCCAAATCTTCATAGTCGTCATTATCGTCCTCATTTAATCGCAAGATTGCCTTGCCCTTCCGGCCGCTTGACTTAAGTCCGCTTAGCGGAACTAGTTGTCCCGTTGAGTTGTTCAATCCCTTTAAAGATCCCGTGGATTTGTTCAACTTTATCGATGTATTAGAGAGAGAAGGCTTAAGCGGATGCAAACCTGTAAGCTTGGTGACTGATCGATTGTTCCTTTTTAATGATGTATTCTGTCTATTTTTAATGAGACCATCTGTAGACTTGGATCTATTCAACACTGGCCTAACCAAGTGCAGAGAAGATCCCGAGGGAGATGCTAATTTGCTAACCAACTTGTTGTGTGAAAGCGAGCGGTTATGTGTCTTAACTTTGGGGTGCTTTTTAGGCGCTTGAGTTGGAATACCGGGCAGGGGCGTGACATTCGATGCTGAGGTTATGGAACTCCCTGACAGGTTTAGTTTTGGTCTTCCACGCCCATCCCTCTGGGCTATTGAAGTGGAGATTACAGATGACATCTGATGGCTCAGTCAGACATTAACATTCGGTTGGGTTATAGTGACTGGAGGTCACGTGTGACGAATGCGGTAATGTGGAATCTGGTGCGCACCACTCAAACGGCGAAGCAGTACAAATTGGGAAAGGTCACAACTGTGATCCTTCCAGCTGTTCTGAAGCAAGCACATCATTGGGACTATAGTCAGCTTGGTCATTAATTGGCTGAATAAACTGATAAAATTTTGAGTAAAACCATTCAATCCGACGTGACTACTTTAGCACACTATTTTATTGGTTCTTGTCACTGTGTTGAGGCCTACTACACAACTCGATACTTTCGCTAGAATGCTTCGGTAACTACTATGTACTAGTATGGTTCTCATATGAGTTCAATGTAATTAAAAGATTGTAGTTATTATTAGAGCAAATAAACTAGGTCATGATTTACAATATTTTTGTCTTTTTGGAGTATTCTGGCAAATTTTGATAGAATTATTGATAACTTCTGAATCTTAAACCAAACGAAACAAAGATGGTAGCCAACGTACTTTCAATTATACACAAGCCCCATTAGACCAATTCAGAAGAACATTTACTCTTACTGTGGCTGCAAAAACAGGTGAACCCCTTTTACAAATCGTGAAAACTTGACTTGGTAAGTATGTATCTTTGGTAATATAATTACATAAAGTACTAATGTAGTGTATTTATAGTGATATAAAGATAAAAGCAAAGCTCTGTAGATGGAGGTTATTATCTATCGGCATGCAAATATACTCTGAGTTTTCTAATTCTTTGATGCTCATAGGAATTGGTCAAATTGAATTGTTATTTGGATGAAAGCAAATAAATGACTTAAATATAGGATAATAATATGGGATCGCTTGGTTTTTGCTAAAAAGTATTCAATAGTCACCATTATAATTATTAGTCTGTTTTATCCATATGAATATTGGTGTCTAACAAAATCTGATAGTTCAGTTTTGTACTGAATAGTATAGTTTAGCATTGCATTGGTACCCTGACTAATATGGTTAGTTGTGAACTGACGGCACTTCGAAGCAATTTTTTTAAAGCTGTACAAGATACTATCAGGAACACTTTGATGGCAATATTCGCTATCAACGGGGCTAATTGGTATACAACAATTATTATTGTCAATCTGCTTTGGAGCGAATTCTGGATGAATGATAATTCTCTACCCCAACGTACTAGGCTGGGCCAATGATTTTTACACCAAAGACTTCACACAGAACATGAATTGAACAATCTCAAGGACTCCCAAGGTCAAATGAATCTTAGATCAATTATAAAACTAATAGTCTTGCTAGTCTCATTTTGCTCGATTTATACCGTTCAGCTTCTGTAAAATTCGGCCTTTGAAACCGAAGTGTCGAAGGATATCATAAGTAAATTGATGATTGTTTCGATGTAGACAGATATTAGAGGACCTCTATTTTCTGGAAGCAGTTTTGTTTTGTAAGCTTCTCATTTTGTTCTGCTCTTCTCTACTCTACAATTTTTAGCCCACATCTATTGATAAGATGATAAAGTTTGACAAAATGAGTATTTGGACTCGACTAAATCCACCACACCACTAACTAATGTTTGTTCAATGTCCCTGAAGAATCATTTTGTTCAACTTTCGAGAGCATACGTCACATTTCTAAATATTATAGAATTTTCGAATTTGTCATCAATCACCCCTGGTTTCGAAGGGTCGCAAGGTTAATAATTAGATCTACGAAAAACTTCCTTCTTAGTTTATGAAACATGCATTAGATTTTAGCATGGTACTATTTTACAGATGTGGTGCTACTTGATGGGGCTCGGTAGATAATGCTATTCAGGACCAAAAGAAGATTCTCCACTATACGAATCGAAACCTCTGGATTGTCCTCCATTGAAACCCGAATTGTATCCACCTCTACCGCCTCTAAATCCTGGTCCACCTCTTCCACGGTATCCACCTCTGAAGCCACGACCACCTCTGAAGCCCCTTCCTCTTCCTCTGAAACCACCTCTGAAACCACCTCTATCGCCCTTGAAACCTTCAGCTTCGGCGGCCTCCTGACTAGCCTGGCCTCCAAATATACCTCTTCCAAACTGTCTTCCTTCTCTGAACCCAGGATCCAAATCGATGGATAAAGATTGTCCATCCAAATATGTAGATTTCAAGAACTTCATGGCATTCAAGGATCCTTCTTCAACTTTATATATGACAAAGCAGAACCCACAGGGCGTCATCTTGTTTCTATCAAGTCCCATAATGATTCTGTCTATAGGTCCACATTTCAGAAACAATTCATGAATCTGTTCTTCGGTGGTGAAGTGTGACAAGTTTCCCACATAGACAGTTTTCAGGTGGAGTGATTTATCCAAATTATCGAGATTCTGTCTACGGACTGCCCTTTTAATCAAGTAGGCCGACGGTTTGTCCAATCTCTCGGCGGAATGCTTGTAGTTTTCTTGTAAAAGCTCCATGTTGTGGTGTTACTGGTGTGATTTTTGATGATGGAATATGAATTGATTGAGAAGTGCGCGAGCCATTTGGTTCTGAATTGAGAATTGCCAATGATAGCATTAGCACCTTTGTATTCAGCTCATAACATAAAGTCATTGAAACACAGTCCGATGTGGGCAAGATTAGTCGTATCTGAGAGGACAGATATCCGTAAATGCTCCAACAAGGAAACCCTCGAAAAGAATCTCTGAGCATCGTCATAAAAATTGCTTGCATTACTGGCTTTAGATTAGAGTTCCTCTCTATATATATATACTTATATCTCAGCATAAACCCGCCATACTACCAGCGTTGAACTGAAGGAAGTTCCCAGTCATTATCCTTCTTTTTTGATCATTTTTCCATTACTTGCCTTCGCAACTTATTTTGGGAGACTTTCCATTATCAACACGCTTCTATTTACCTAACAGTCGTACGTAATTTGCACTTAATGTTAGAGACTGAAGCGTTTTATGTCACAGCACCTAAGCGGGCTGGCCACAGTTGGTTTACTTCGTGTGAAGTTATGCCAACCTTGTAGACGCACGAGCTCGCATAATCAAATTTGTTCGCAGGCCCTGCGCATTTTAGTTATCAAAAATCGTATTCATCACCACCACATCCATGTTTAAGTCATTCTTCCAGACGGGAATACGTGCCGCGTATACCGTGTCGGAAAACCCTACATTTGTTTCAGAACCATGGTCCATTTACCCTGCCAAACACAAACAAAGTGGCAGAGTTGTGTCCGTGTTTATCTTTGATAAGACAAAGTTTGAAGCTCAGATTAACAAGCTTTGTTCAACGAATTCCAGCAGCAAGAGTCCAAGGGTGATCATAAGTGAATGCTATGAATTAATCAAGAATGAACTCAGCCAGTTGAGCAAATTGAAGCATCCGCAGATTCTTACCATTATTGAGGTATTGGAAGAGACAAAACTGAAGTTTCTCTTTGTCAGTGAAGCATTAGTCGATAACTTAGTCACCGTGAACTTTTCAAAACAACTCGATAATCTAAGCATACAGAAGGGGTTATTGCAAGTCAGTAAGGGTGTCCAGTTTTTGCATAACTATTGCACTATTGTACATTTTAATCTTCAACCATCATCTATATTTATCAATAATCAAGGTGATTGGAAATTGGGAGGATTCAAATTTCTACAAAACTTGAACGAAATTTCACCACTGGAAAGAGATAACTTTTACATCATGAACAATTCTTCAGTGGTCCCATTTGCGAACTTGAACCTTAATTTCACTGCCCCCGAATTGTTGATCGACGCGCAAGTCAAGTTGGATCTTGCAAACGATATATGGTCATTAGGATGCTTGATTTACTATTTGTTTAATAATGGTGATACCTTAATTAGTTGCTTCGATCAAGACAGCATATCAGATTTCAAGAAAGAGTTCAGAAAGTTCGAAACCAAATTTTACAATCACAAACACACCGAGTTGAAGTACTTGTTAAAAAATGTCCCCGAGAAGTTATATCCGATTTATCCAAGATTACTTGCTAGATACCCCCATGATAGATTAACTATCGATGAGTTCATTGATTCTGATTTCTTCAATGGCAGTGTCATCAAGGCTATGTTATTCATAGACGAGTTTTCAACAAAGTCTGTTGATGAGAAGTTTATATTCTTAAAGGGATTACCAGAGACTGATGAACATGGTAACAGCTTATTGCAAGAATTCCCAATAAGTTTCAGGACACTGAAACTTTTACCATTGCTTATTGATTTAGTTATAAGTGAATTGAGTGTTTTAGACGGATCTTCAATCTCGGAAAATGTTGATCAACTATTGAGCCATGCTTTAGACATTACTTTCAAGATTGGCTTGAATCTTTCCTCATTAACATTTCAAGATAGGGTTTATGATGTCATATTGAAAGACAATCATAAAAATAAAAAGAATCCGGACATTTTTAAGAGGTTGATCAATTCATCTGTCAAAACCCGCTTAACATTGGTTCAGAACATTACCGTGCTAAAACAGAAGTTGAATGACAAACAAATGTTAGAGGTTGTCAAAAAGCTCGATGCGCTCATTTTGACTACAACATTCCCACATGAAAGTAATCAACAACAGGATCAGGTTTTGCTTCAAGAATTGTTCTTGAAATCGTTGACGGATTTGGTTTCGATCATGGAATTTCCCTACATCAAGAACACCTTATTGCCATTGATTTGTCAAGTTTTCAAGACCACCAGCATTTTGTCAACAAAGTTAGTGACCATAGAAGCATTTGGTATGTTTGTTGATAAAAAGATTATCGACAAAGTTATCGTGAACGAGCAGCTCTTTCCAGTATTGAAAAATTTGAAGAGCAGAGACAAACGAATTGTCAAGAATGTGCTAAACTTCTTCGCTAAAGTGTGCGAAAGTGAGCACGTAAACTTGAGTTTAGAGTCTTCCATCGAATCTGTGTTACCACAGTGCTTTAGTTTGGCGTTTGGATGTAATGATTGCTCCAAGGGAGAGTTCAGACAATTCATGCAACTCATCAATAATTTGCAGAAGGGTTTGACGGAGAAAAAGATCTCTTCCCTCTCGGACAGGGCCACTTCCCCGCTGACAGACGAACAGAAATCGTTCCAGTCATTAATTAATACCCAGTCAATTAATGAAGGTAACAAAGAAAAGATCACCAAAGCTCCTCAATCCAAAACCATCATGCAGCCAACGAGAAAGGCGGGAACTGGCTCGCAAAGACAACTGCCATCTACGGCACAGGCCAGACCAGTGCCCACGTCCCCACCAAGCCAGCAGACACTTACCCCCAGAGCAAAGGCTGCGCCACTCACATTGAAGCCGACTCAGCCAAAAAAGACTCCGTTGACGTTCGGTGCAGTTGACCAGAACTCTAATAACAGCAACTTATTTAATAAGCTCAACAGTACATTCAGCAAGGACGAAGACGAGTTTGAGGACTTCCAACAGGCCTCAAACACCACCAGTACCAGTAGCAATACCCCCGCCATCAACTGGAACACTAAAGCCCCCAGCACACCTACAATGGGCTCCATGACCCCAAAGGTCTTGCTGCCTACCACGCTCGTACCTAACAGTACCAACGCCAACAATTACCCCCCGGGCTTCGGAACGACCATCCTTACCCCAAATTCCACCACCTCGCATAAGAAAACAGCCCCAGCCGGTGCAACCAACGGCATCAGTGCAGCCAGTGCCGCAAACGCTGATCTTCTAGATTTTTTGTAACCAAAGTCCGCTTGTCAATCACGTGACCCAACCAATTTGACGTAGAACCGAGTAGAATGGATGAGCCAGGTGATTCCAGTGTTCTGATCAGACCATGGCATGCCACCACCATGCGTGGTGCCAGTCGTAATCGCACAGACCCCGAACGGCCCACAATGCTCCCTATCAGGCCATAGCCCGTATGGTCATCGAATGTTCCCCGAGGCTCGGGAAACTTCACACCACCGGTCGTTCCCGTCGTACAGGTACGAGCACAAACAACACAAAATGATTTTGACACGAGAGAAAATTTGCTTATAAACAAGCACTCAGGGAGGGTTTACTAATAGATATAGACAGTTCAGAATAGTACGGATACGCGAACGTCCCAGATAGAGTTCCTTACCTGTCATCTTCCTAGTTATTTATTGAAGAGGACCGTACACCACATCTCTCCCTGCCAAAATGGATATTGTGTTAGAGATTACGGACTACTACTTGTTTGACAGAGCCTATGCCTCTTTGCTTCCAAAGGGAGGAGCTGTCCACCAATATGTCGAGAAGGCCGCCTCCCTGGAGTTGGTGCAGAAGATCCCATTCTTGGGCCAAACCATACCCAGCGAGTTGTCTGTCAACGGTACAAGTAGTGCCGTCTCCACCACATTTGCATACTTGAGTAATGCAGTTTCCAACTTCCAGAACAAAGAAGAGGTTTATGGTTTGCCCAACTTCTTGCCTGCGTCCGAGTACATAGATGCATCGTTCTTGTCCAGATCAAACATATTCAGGGAAGTGCTCTCCATATTCTTGGTGACTGCTATCTTTGGATGGGTGTTGTACTTCACGGTGGCATATTTGTCTTATCTTTTTGTGTTTGACAGAAAGATCTTCAACCATCCTAGATACTTGAAGAACCAGGTCTACTTGGAAATTGTGCAGGCTTCCACGGCCATCCCCGTCATGGTTTTGTTGACCGCACCATTTTTCATAGCCGAACTTAACGGCCTTTCATGTTTATACATGGATATCAATGAGTCTACTGGTGGCTGGAAGGCGTTACTTTTCCAAATCCCTGCCTTTATTTTGTTCACTGATTGCGGAATTTACTTCATTCACAGATTCTTACACTGGCCATCCGTGTACAAGAGATTGCACAAGCCTCACCATAAGTGGATTGTGTGTACCCCATTTGCATCACACGCTTTCCACCCAGTCGATGGATGGTTTCAAAGTATTCCCTACCACATCTACCCATTGCTTTTCCCTTTGCATAAGGTATTGTACTTATTGTTGTTCACGTTTGTGAACTTCTGGACTGTTATGATCCACGATGGTAACTACATGTCTAATGATCCGGTGGTCAACGGTACTGCGTGCCACACTGTGCACCACTTGTACTTCAACTACAACTACGGACAGTTCACCACTTTGTGGGACAGAATTGGTAACTCCTACAGAAGACCAGACGATTCTTTATTCGTCAAAGATACCAAAAAGGAAGAGGAGGCTAAGTTGTGGAAAGAACAAACCGTGCAGATGGAGGCCATCAGAGGAAAGTTAGAGGGCGCAGACGACGATAGGGTCTATATCGAGTAGCTGATTTGACGTTAAAGGATATCGGATATCCGGATGTTTATAATATATTTCAATTCCAACCATGTATCATACTTCTATCTTATCGTTGTGCATTATCGAATCACGACCTTGCTTGGCGAGACTGGAGATGCATGTTGCAGTTGTCGTGCGGCATACAACCGGAACCGGTCCCAATCGGGTTAGTTTTAGATTGTATGGGGCAGGCGTCGAAATACGGAGGCTGGGTAGACCAAGACTTTGCCGTTCCGTCCCTGCGCATAAGCCATCCCCACATGCAGATCCGTCAACAGGGTGCACCACCCTGAAATGCCTTGACGCCCGTTGCTATCAGTTCGGGAATTTTTATCGCGGGCCACTCACCGGGCCATTTTTCAGTGATATCAGCAGATAACCTCGATTCCTGTACATAGACCACAATGCATAACCAACAGTGGTGATGGTTGTACTATCAGCCTTACCATTATCAACCTTATCGGTAGTTAGACATTATCTTATCTAGATCTCTTCACGGCTTTGGGACCCTCTGATGGTATAAATATACCGCCAATTGGTGTAATTTATGCCATCAACAAAATGTCTTCTGCTGCACAATATGTACCTTTACCCCAGAGCGCCGGCTACGCCGTAGTGGTTGGCTTGGGAGCAGTGTTTGCTTTTGGTATGATGCTTACAACTTACGTGTTAAGGAGATATAACAGAGAAATCATGACTGCCGAAGAATTCGCTACCGCAGGAAGATCAGTCAAAACAGGTTTAATCAGTGCTGCTGTGGTGTCTTCATGGACATGGGCTGGTAAGTATCAACGATGTGTTTTCCTTAGTGATTCATCTACTAACAAATAGCGACGTTGTTGACGTCCACCACTCAGGTGTATAATAACGGTGTCTCAGGTGCATACTATTATGCTGCTGGTGCGTGCTGTCAAATTATTTTATTTTCATGCTTGGCCATTAAAGGTAAGGAAAGAGCACCGGCTGCTCACTCATACCTCGAAATCGTGAAGGCAAGATACGGCAAGCAGACTCACTCCGTTTATGTTTTCTGGGGGTTCTGCACCAACATTCTTGTCACCAGTATGCTTTTGACCGGTGGTTCTGCAGTGGTGCATGATTTGACAGGTATGAACACAGTTGCAGCATGTCTTCTCTTGCCATTAGGAGTGGTTGTGTATACTCTTTTCGGGGGTATTAAGGCCACTTTCTTGACTGATTACGTTCACACTGTGGTTATTGTCATTATCATCCTTGTGTTTGCCTTCAGTGCTTTCGCAACCTCTGACAGATTGGGATCTCCAGAGGTAGTTTGGGATATCATCACGAAATTGGCAGACACCAAGCCAAGAGAAGGTAACGCAGGTGGCTCTTACTTGACCATGCACTCAAGATCCGGTGGTATTTTCTTCGTTATCAACCTTGTGGGTAACTTCGGAACCGTGTTCTTGGACAATGGTTATTTCAACAAGGCCTTTGCAGCAGACCCAGCTGCTGCCATGCCTGGTTACGTCTTGGGTGGATTGGCATGGTTCGCCATTCCAATGCTTACTGCCACCACCATGGGTTTGACTGCATTGGCTTTGGAGAACACCTCCTACTGGCCCACATACCCATTGAAGATGAGCTCTGCTGAAGTCAATGCTGGATTGGTCTTGCCAAATGCTGCTGTCGCCTTGTTGGGTAAGGGTGGTGCAGCTTGCTCTTTGTTGTTGGTTTTCATGGCTGTCACCTCTGCTATGTCTGCCGAATTGATCGCTGTTTCAACTATTTTCACCTACGATATCTTCAGAACATACATTGATCCAAAAGCCAGTGGTAAGAAGTTGATGATTATGTCCCACTGTTCCGTTATTGTCTACGCATATGTTATGGCCGGTTTCGCTATCGGATTGTACTACGCTGGTGTCTCGATGGGATACTTGTATGAAATGATGGGTGTCATTATTGGAGGTGCTGTCTTGCCTTCTGCTTTGACTTTGTTATCCAAGAGACAAAGTGTTCAGGCTGCAACTTGGACTCCACCAATTGCCACTGGTTTGGCAATTATGTCCTGGTTGATCTGTACCAAGAAGAAGTTTGGAACAGTTAACGTGGACACCACTTTTGAAGATGACGCCATGTTGACTGGTAATGTTGTTGCCTTATTGTCTCCATTGATCATTATCCCTATCTTGACTTTCTCATTCAAGCCACAAATCTTTGACTGGGAACTCTTGAAGACCCGTATCACTCGTGTCGATGAAGATGAAGAAATCCTTGATGCTACTGGCAATGAGTTTGGATTCCACCAAGATGAAGAAGCATCTGAAACTAATGAAAAGATTCATCCAGTGAAATCTCAGATTTCTATGATTGCTAGTGATTTAGCTGAGTTACACAAGGATAGACTCGACGAGGAGACTAAGATGCTTGCCCGGTCTTTCAAGATTGTGGTCGCAGTGTGTGTTGTCCTTACACTTTGTCTCATTATTCTCTGGCCTATGCCAATGTACGGTACCTCCTACATCTTTTCCAAGAAGTTTTTCACCGGATGGATTGTTGTGTTGTTCATTTGGATCTTCTTCACATTGTTCATGGTTGTGATATACCCTGTCTGGGAGGGAAGAGAAGGTTTGAGAGACACTTTCAGAGGAATTTACTGGGATTTGTCGGGCCAATCCCATAAACTTAGAGAATGGCAGAATGCCAACCCTGAGAGAATGCATGCTGTGAGATCCCAGGTGGGTGCACAATTATTGGCAGCTTCTCAATCGAAAGCCCAAGTTCTTGAAGGAAAAACCCTTAATGATGGATATACCAGTCCCGCCGGGGAGATTTCAAGAGATTTGGCAGATGTCAAAGAAAAGTAATTAGTATCATATAGGATGTGATAAACGTGAAATTGATAATATGCCTTGTAAGATAGAATTGCCGCAAATATATCCCTATGCAGTCCACAAATTCTACAACTCTCAATTCTTCAAGGTGGGCACAGATGAAAGATTTAGCCTGTTCTGCTGATCCATAATCCTTATGCTTGTCATCTGAGCAATTGGATGACCATCAATTGTGCTTTGTCAGGAGGTTAAGCTAAGCTAAGAATAATAGTACTGCTCAGCTCTCAGCAACCTTAGAAAATTACGTATTGATGTGCATTACTTGGTATAGACCTAGAGGCCAGCTTGTAGTCGAGATATAGTTATTGTATGCTCTCTCAGTTAATCTTTAGTTGCCCAAGCCTTTCTGTTGGTCTATTAATTGCATCAAGCCTTTTCTGGTCTGCTGAATGCGAAGCAAACACAAGCAGTCCAACTTTCTACTCAAGAGACCTCATGCATGGTCGATGGCTTCACGAAAATGGCATGCGGCTTCCATCACATAGGGCGATAAGGACTTGACGAAAAGGCGGATCCTGGAAGCAAGAGTGTGAGGATTTATCCCGATCAACCCCCGTGTTACCAGGACCCTTCACTTTTTATCAGTAGCCAATCAGCGCGGGGGATTACTTTTACGTCAATTCTCGCGCAGATTCCGCTGGCAATCACCTGAATGTTCACGTGATCACAGCTATCGGGTCCCTGAGCCCGTTGCAACGTATCCGACGAATAGCAGCGCATCACCGCCAGGCTCACAACAATCTAATCTCTAAAATTAACTATCTAATCACCTCTATGTGCAGGAGGCAGCCCGAGCTTGGGGGGCCCTGGCAATCCCGTGATCCGGCCCGTCGCGGTGGATTGCACTTTGGTTGGCGGCTTCCACATCCTTGAGGCAAACTGGTCGGAGTCTTCCGAGATTGGACAGTACATGAGTTTATCCCACCAAGCTGATCCAAACAGATGGCGGGGTGAATTTGGCACATAACGCCGGGATTTTCCGGCGGGCCGTTTGCACGCTGCCGCTACATCGGGTAACCGATGCTATCGTAGTCTCTATCTATATAACACATCGATTTCGCATATCTCATCGCCCATCATATTAGTTCCTCAACAGGCTTCAGGCTCTACATATTTCACAACCTCCCCAATCAGCATACACTCTACACCATGTCAACTGGTTGGACTGTTCAAGACTGGAAAGATTTCCACTTCGAGGTCAGCCCCAACGAGTCGTTCGAACGCCTCGCTTCGCTTCTTGCTAGCCAATCGACATTTCCCCAAGATCCAGCATGGATCTCGTTGGCCACCCTCGACAACCTTAAGCACCAGTGGCACTATTTACAATCCAAAGCCAACAAGCTCGAACTCCCTCTCTACGGAGTGCCGGTGGCCATCAAAGACAATATCGACGTAAAGGACTTCGAAACTACCGCAGCCTGCCCTTCCTTTGCCTACAGCGCGCAAGAAGATGCGACCACCGTCAAACTCTTGAGAAACGCTGGTGCCATTGTCATTGGTAAAACCAACTTGGACCAATTTGCAACCGGCTTGGTGGGCACGCGTTCGCCTTACGGGGCTACCCCAAACACCTTTGACCCTGACTACGTCAGCGGTGGTTCTTCTGCTGGTTCTGCTTCGGTCGTGGCCAGAGGTATTGTTCCAATTGCTTTGGGTACCGACACTGCAGGCTCAGGAAGAGTCCCTGCAGCTTTGAATAATTTGATCGGCTTGAAACCCACCAAGGGTGTGTTTTCGTGCAAAGGTGTTGTGCCAGCATGTAAGTCCTTAGACTGTGTCAGTATTTTCTCGTTGAACCTCCAGGATGCTCAGCTCACATTCAACATCATGGCCCAGGAAGATGGCGAGAACGACGAGTACTCTAGACCTTTGCCAAAGAATCCATTGTTGAAGTTTTCCGCGTCGCCAAAAATTGGTGTGCCCAGCAACTTGTTGTGGTACGGCGAGCAAGAAAACCCCAAGTTGTACAACAAAGCTGTGGAATTGTTCAAGGAAGAATTGGGCACTGATACCGTCCCATTAAACATAGACCCTTTGTTGGATTTGGCAAAGTGCTTGTATGAAGGCCCATGGGTCTCAGAACGTTACACTGCGACAAAAGAGTTTTTCGCAACCAATCCTCCAGAAGCCGATTTGGACCCCACAGTTGCAGCTATCATCAGAGGCGGTGAAAAGCACTCCGCCGCAACTGCATTTGATTATGAATACAAGAGACAAGGAATTCTTCAGAAGGTCAGAAAACTACTCGAGGGAATCGATGTGGTGATCGTCCCCACTGCCCCATTAAACCCTTCCTTAAAGCAAATTGAACAGGAGCCCGTTAAAATCAATTCATACCAAGGCACATACACCAATTTTGTCAATTTGGCTGATATGTCTGCTTTAGCCATTCCTGCTGGTTTCAGATCCGATGGCTTGCCTTTTGGTATCACCCTTTTGTCCCATAAATTCAACGACTATGCGCTTTTGGAGTTGGCCTCCAGATATATTAAAGCTTACTCGAAGACAGCACCAAGATTCTACGGTTGTTTGAAAGATAAGACAGTTTCTACTTTAGCAGATGAATTATTGCCAAACGTTCCAGCTCCAAACACTGATCTGCTTGTCAAGTTGGCCGTTGTTGGTGCCCACTTGAAGGGATTCCAACTTCACTGGCAATTGGAGAAGGTCAATGCTACCTTTGTTGAGTCTACTACGACCTCATCAAATTATAGACTTTACGCATTGCCTAAGACCGGGCCAGTTGCAAAGCCAGGATTAAGACGAGTCACCAAAGATGGTTCTTCAATTGCATTAGAAGTGTACTACGTGCCAAAGGAAACATTTGGAGAATTCATTAGCATGGTTCCAGAACCTCTTGGAATTGGTTCAGTTGAATTAAAGTCAGGAGAATGGATTAAGTCTTTTATCTGTGAGGAATTTGGTTACAACTTACCTGGTACTACAGATGTGACTTCTTTCGGTGGCTGGAAGAATTACCAAGAACATTTGAGTAAGGAAGCAAGTAGAGTGAAGAAACCATTCAACTCCGTCTTGGTCGCCAACAGAGGTGAAATTGCCGTCAGAATTATCAAGACCTTGAAGAAACTCGGAATCAAGTCGATTGCTATCTACTCAGACCCTGATAAGTACGCTAAACATGTTTTGATGGCAGATGTGGCCATTCCTTTGCATGGTGTTTCTGCAGCAGAAACCTATATTTCTATCGACAAGGTTTTAAAAGCAGCTAAGGATTCCGGTGCCGAAGCTATTATTCCTGGTTACGGTTTCTTATCAGAAAATGCTGACTTCTCGGACCGTTGTGGAAGAGAAGGAATTGTCTTTGTTGGACCATCTGGTGATGCGATCAGATTGTTAGGTTTAAAGCATTCTGCTAGAGAAATCGCAGAAAGGGCCGGAGTTCCTTTGGTTCCCGGATCTGGCTTAGTCAAAGATCCCAAGGAAGCCAGGGAAATTGCCGCCAAATTGGAATATCCAGTTATGGTGAAATCTACAGCTGGTGGTGGTGGTATTGGTTTACAAAAAGTCGACTCCGAGGAAGATATTGAAAGAGTTTTCCTCACTGTTCAGCATCAAGGTAAATCTTACTTCGGTGATCCAGGTGTCTTCTTAGAAAGATTCGTTGAAAATGCTAGACATGTTGAAATTCAAATGTTCGGTGATGGTTATGGTAAAGCAATTGCATTAGGTGAGAGAGACTGTTCTTTACAACGTCGTAATCAAAAGATTATCGAAGAAACACCAGCTCCCAATTTGCCTGAATCTACCAGAGCTAAAATGAGAAAAGCAGCTGAAAGTTTGGGTGCCTCCATGAACTATAAGTGTGCTGGTACCGTTGAATATATCTATGACGAAAGAAGAGATGAATTTTACTTCTTGGAAGTCAACGCCAGATTGCAAGTGGAACATCCAATTACTGAAATGGTTACTGGTTTGGATTTGGTCGAATGGATGTTGTATATTGCAGCCGATATGCCTCCTGATTTCAGCCAAAAAATTGAAGTTACAGGTGCCTCTATGGAAGCAAGATTGTACGCTGAAAATCCAGTTAAGGATTTTATGCCATCTCCTGGTCAATTGACTGAAGTCAAGTTCCCTGAGTGGGCCAGAATTGATGGTTGGGTAGATAAGGGTACAGTGGTTTCTGCCGAATACGATCCAACTTTGGCTAAAATTATCGTTCATGGTAAGGATAGAAATGATGCTTTGAAGAAGTTACGTCAAGCATTAGATGAAACTGTTGTATTCGGTTGTATTACCAACATTGACTACTTGAGATCTATTGCCAAGTCATCCATGTTTGCAGAAGCTAGGGTTGCCACTAAAGTCTTGGACAGTTATGAGTACAACCCAACAGCATTCGAAATCATCCACCCCGGTGCTTACACCACTGTGCAAGATTATCCCGGTAGAAAAGGATACTGGCACATTGGTGTTCCACCCTCAGGATGTATGGATGAATACTCGTTCAGAGTTGCAAACAGAATTGTCGGAAACCACAAGGCTAGTCCTGGTATTGAAATCACATTGAATGGTCCTAAAATTTTATTCCACCACGATGCTATTATTGCTGTTACTGGTGGTAAGGTTGATGTTGACATTAATGGACATCATGTTCCTCAATGGGCTCCTATTAATATCAAGAAGGGTGACAAATTGTCTATTGGAAAGATGCAACATGGTTGCAGAGCTTATTTGTCTATCAGGGGTGGTATCGATGTCACCGAATATTTGGGTTCAAGATCCACTTTTGCCTTGGGTAACTTAGGTGGTTACAATGGTAGAGCTTTAAAGTTGGGTGATGTCTTATTTTTGGCTCAACCAGAAATTTCTAGCTGTACTTTACCATCTTGTGTTTCTGAACCTACTAAGGTCCCTAACTCTTTGGTTCCATCCTATGATAACAAGGTTTGGAAGGTCGGTGTCACTTGTGGTCCTCACGGGTCTCCAGACTTCTTCAAGGCTGAATACGTTGAAGAGTTTTTCACTGAAACATGGAAAGTTCACTACAATTCGAACAGATTTGGTGTTAGATTAATTGGTCCAAAGCCAAAATGGGCTAGAAAAGATGGTGGTGAAGCTGGTTTGCATCCTTCCAATGCTCACGATTACGTATACTCCTTGGGTGCCATCAACTTCACTGGTGATGAGCCTGTTATCTTGACTTGTGATGGTCCATCCTTGGGTGGTTTCGTTTGTCATGCTGTCGTTGCAGAAGCTGAAATGTGGAAGATTGGTCAAGTTAAGCCTGGTGAGCAAATTCAATTTGTCCCAATATCTTACGAAACTGCTAAATCTTTGAAAGCTCAACAGGACAAGATCATTGATGATCTTAGAGGAGCTTTACCATCATTTGAAAATCAAGTCATCCAACCCGAAAACCCTGTTTTACACGAATTCAAGGTTTCTTCTAATGCTCCAAAGGTTACTTATCGTCAAGCTGGTGACAGATACATTCTTGTTGAATACGGTAACAACGAATTAGATTTGAACTTATCATACAGAATCCACAAACTTATTGAGATGGTGAAGGAGCACATGACACCAGGAATTGTGGAAATGTCTCCGGGTGTCAGATCTGTCTTGATTGAATTCGGTTCAGATATCACTCAAAGACAATTATTGCAAACTTTGATCTCTTATGAGAAGGAGATTGTGTTTATCAACAAATGGGAGACTAGTTCTAGAATCATTAAATTGCCAATGGCATTTGAAGATAAGAAGACTTTGGATGCTGTCAAAAGATATCAAGAAACTATTAGAAGTGATGCGCCATGGTTGCCAAATAACGTGGACTTTATTGCCAACATCAATGGAATCAAGAGAAATGAGGTTAAGGATATGATGTATACCGCTAGATTCTTGGTTTTGGGATTGGGTGATGTTTTCTTGGGGGCTCCTTGTGCAGTTCCATTAGATCCAAGACATAGATTATTGGGAACGAAGTACAACCCCTCGAGAACATATACACCAAACGGTACTGTTGGTATCGGTGGTAACTATATGTGTATCTACACTATGGATTCACCAGGTGGTTATCAATTGGTTGGTAGAACTATTCCCATCTGGGACAAGTTGACTTTGGGAGAACACTCCGGCAACAAGCCATGGTTATTGTCTCCATTCGATCAAATTGAGTTCTATCCAGTTTCAGAAGAAGAGATTGATAAATTCACGGAGGAAATGCATGCTGGTAAATTCAAGGTTGACATCGTCGACTCTGTGTTTAACCACACCGAATACATGGAATGGATCCAGGAAAACTCTGCTTACATCGAGGAATTCCAGAAGTCCCAAACTGGTGAAAAGTTAGAGGAATTCAACCGTTTGATTCAAGTTTCCAATAGTGAGTTAGAGAAGGGTGGAAGTAATGTGGCTGAAGATGAGGTCTTTGATGAGGATGCCGAATTGGTCTACTCTGAATTTTCCGGTAGATTCTGGAAGTCGTTGGTCAAGGTTGGAGACGAAGTCAAGGCCGGCCAAGGGCTTATTGTTGTCGAAGCCATGAAGACCGAGATGATAGTCACTGCTACCAGATCTGGTAAAGTCATCAAGGTGTACCACAAGAATGGTGATATGGTTGATGCTGGTGATCTTGTTGTTGTTTTAGAGTAAGTTCAGATATATGCTATATAGCTTTGTATAATAGAGATTTTTAAAAATTTTCCCGGCCATAGTTACCATTAATTCTATCCTTGGGATGTGTAGACGGTTCACATCCTTTTGTGTGAAATTTGGCAACTCCATCAACTTTACTGATCCTGCATTGCCAGGACGCACCGAATGGAGATTATGCAGAGGCGAGCCACAAACTGCAGCATCGTGAACCCTGGCGAGCCGTTCGGGTGAAGGCCCCGAAACCATGTAGACCGCGATGAGTCATAGCTAATTTCAAGCGAGTTTATTCTTCCCCGAGCCTAGACGCACAGCCCTCTAGCACTTGGTATAAGGCATTTGGTTATTATTCGTGTCTCCCCTCCCTTCTGGTGTGAGTCAATCACTGAAAATGCGTGTAAATGATGGATAGTGTGGCACCCGGCCCTAACCTGTACAATAGATAACAGATGCCAGAATGAGCGAGGCATCGAGTTAAACCTATAAATAGTGCCAATTCTACTCGATAGCTTTGAATACTAATGACAATGCTAAATCTGACACTACCGAGAGGTGAAGTTTGTACCTTTTCCTACTCTATTATCAATCCGTTGTATGATCCCCACCAGAATACCATAAACCCGTGCTTTATATCTGCCCTCCACTTAGTGTTCAATGCGTTCATTGCCCTTCTAGGTGTGTACCAGCTTTGGCAACAGAGCTTCAGAAACTACTATGGACCACACCAGATAAAGTACTCGTTTGGATCTCCGTTCAAGATCCAGAGTGTGGGAATCTTGCAGTTGGTCAAGCTCAACTCGATCTTTCTCCAGATCATACTCTTTGTGTTCTTGCTTGACTTCTCAAAATCTCCGGGGGTTACCACCCTCAATATCGTATGGACCCTTATCGTGACTACGTTTGTGTTTTTGCCATTGCAAATCTACGAGCCTACAAGGTCCCCTGTCACGTTGGCTTCTTCGCTATTCTTTTGGACGGCTAATGCTTTGTTTAACACCGGTGTATTTTTGCAAGATACCTTTTCCCTGCAAAAAGTCTGGATACCGTTGCATGCCTCTCCTCAAACTATTTCAATAATAAGAACCATTGAGTTATGCGTGACTATCAACACATTGGCCATCTTTATTATTCAGTATTACTTTTATCGCCCCTCAAAAGAGCTCAAGGAATACTGGGAACTTAACGATTGGAGCATAGATGCAATTCACGATATATACTCAAATCTTGGGTTGTTGTGGCTTAGACACTACATTGCCTATGCTTACAAAGCCGAAGAGGTTACTCTCAAAGATGTCCCTCCTGCTCATATTAAAATTACCAGCGAGGTTTCACTTTCAATTTTGAACCACTATTGGAATGTTGCTGTGGCAAAAAGTATTGCCAAAAGAGATGAAAAGCTCAAGAGAATATCTAATCCTTCTTTAAAAGACAAAAAGCCACCAAAGTTCTCTTTGTTCTGGATTTTTGTAAAGATCTTTTGGAGAGACTCTGTTAAAATCTTTTTTGCTGATATTGGAGACTTGAGCAGTTCTCTCGCCCGTACCTACCTTTTGAAGCAATTTATTCAATTCTTCAGCGAGTCTGTGACTTCTTCAGATAGACCAGTTATTGTGGGTATCACAATTGCTGTGTTGATGTTCTTCAGTTCTGTTGCTAGCTTCACGTGTTTTAATATTTGGCGTTTAACCCTAGTTGGAATTAAGGCAAGGCTTCGTTCCAGTTTGGCTGCGAAGATTTATCAAAAATCAATTCTGTTGTCCCCCGAAGCTAGAAAGCACAAACCTAGTGGAGATATTATTTCAAATCTTGCAGTCGATGTCGCAACCATTAGCGACAGTTTTGAAACCCTCAGTGACTTGATTACTATGCCCATCAGATTAATTGCATCGTTGGTCGCTTTATACAAGTTGTTGGGTAACTCTACAATTGCTGGCCTCATTGCTGCGGTGATTTTAATTCCCTGCAGCAGCATCATCAGTAATTCGATATCAACACTTTACACAAGAATAATGAATGTTAAAGATTCGAGAACCAGATTAACCTCAGAAATCTTAACTTCGATGAAATCAATTAAATTGTTTGCTTGGGAAGAACCAATGTTGAAAAGACTATTTGCTGTTAGAAATGACAAAGAATTGAGATTAGCTAGAAGAATTGGTATCTATAATTCGATTGCCACATTTACTTGGATGTTGATCCCCTTCACCATGGCTAGTGTTTGTTTCATAACTTATATTTATATTGGCAAGACTCCGTTGATTCCATCCATAGTTTTTCCCGCTGCCACCTTATTTGAATTTATTACAGAGCCAATTCTACTTATTCCCAACCTTTACGCTGATGCTATAGAAACAAATGTTTCTTTGAAGCGTTTGCGGGAATTATTTTTGATGGAAGAACTTGAAAGTGGTATTGTTGAAAGATCATCTGAAACGTTGAAATCGGGTGAAGCATCGGTAGAAGTTTCAAACGCAACTTTCTTGTGGAAATCCGATCCTGATGTGCCGATTAATGATGAAGAAAACCAGATTGAAAGCTCTGATGTTGCCCTTGATAATATTAATTTTGTTGCCAAAAAAGGGGAGTTGACTTGTATCGTTGGAAGGGTTGGTAGTGGTAAATCAACCCTTCTCAAAGCACTACTAGGCGAAGTCGCACTCAAGCGGGACAAATCTTCACACGTTAAGCTCAATGGTACGATTGCATATTGTGACCAAAACCCATGGTTGGCCAATGCTTCTGTTAGAGAAAATATCTTATTTGGAAGCAGATATGATCCAGAGTTCTACCAAAAAACAATCTCTGCATGTCAATTACTACAAGACCTTGAAGTACTTCCAGATGGTGAAAGAACCATCGTTGGTGAAAAGGGTATTTCTTTAAGTGGGGGACAAAAGGCAAGAGTATCTCTAGCAAGGGCTGTGTATTCAAGGGCGGATATTATTCTCTTAGATGATATTTTATCTGCTGTTGACAGTCATGTTGGAAAACGAATTATCCGAGAAGTTATTGGATCCACGGGAATCTTATCCACTAAAACCATCGTTTTGGCAACAAATGCAGTTAATGTGTTAGCTAAAGCTAGTATGATATATTTGGTACAAAAGGGTAAAATCGTGGAGAGTGGCAGTTATGCTGAAGTCACTAATAAAGATTCCGATTTAGCCAAACTCATTGAAGAATTTGGTGAGAAAAAGCACGAGGAAAGCGAAGAGGTAACTGATGAGAATAATAACACGGATGTATCTTCAATTTCCTCAAATGAAGTTGCTCGGTATAATCCTGAAGCACAATATCACGATGAAATGGTTGAGGAAGAAAATCCTTTAACTCAAGTTAGATCTAAAACCACTTTAAGAAGAGCCAGTTTTGTTTCGTTTAATCACGACTACACTGCAGAGGAAGAGGATGAAGATAATCTGCCAAAGAGAACCGGAGCCACCCAAGAAAATACTACTAAAGGAGAAATTAAGACTTCTGTTTACCTTGAGTACTTCAAAGCCTGCAACTACTACTACGTTCTATTTTACATTATTTGCTTTGGGGCGTACACTGGATCTGAGCTTTTCATACAATACTTATGCAAGATATGGTCCGAGAAGAATTTAGAGGCTGGTCATAACGTCAATTCTGCGTTCTACTTGAGTCTCTACGTCAGTTTGGGATTCGCTGGATGTTTTGCTACCTTATTGGGATACTTTGTTATTTGGTATTACTGTGTTATCAGTGCATCCAAACATTTTCACGACACAATGGCTAGAAAAGTCCTTAGATCGCCTATGTCTTTTTTTGAAACAACTCCTGTTGGTAGAGTTATCAATAGATTTGCTGATGACATGAACTCAATTGATGAGCGTCTAGTCTGGGCTTTTCTTGGAGTTGTTGACTTTTCAATGATGACTTTAGGAGTTCTTGTTGTTATTGTCATCAATTTGCCAATAATGATTTTTGTGATTATGGGATTAACTATACTTTATAACCAAGTGAGAAAGTATTTCATTGCCTCGCAAAGAGAGTTGAAGAGAATTGAAAGTGCTCGAAAGAGTCCTGTGTTTGCCCATGTCCAAGAGTCATTAAACGGTATCAGCACCATTAGAGCTTATGATCAAATTGAAAGGTTCATCTATCGAAATGCAAAGGATGTCAATACCTTGACTAGGGTATTTTATATGAATGTTTGTTGTGGCCGGTGGTTGTCAATGAGGTTACAGGCAATTTCTTCACTTGTTTCATTTGCATCCTCGATTCTTATATTGTTGACCTTAGGAACTTCTAAGCAATTAAGTCCTGGGTTGGTTGGATTCCTTATGGTCAATGCTTTGACCATAACTGGCCACTTAAATACCATTATCAGGTATTGGGCTCAAATTGAGAATGAGACTATTTCAGTTGAAAGAGTAGTTGAGTACTGCAACTTGGATTCAGAAGCAGAGCCCATAATTGAGGATAAAAGACCAGAAAAAAGTTGGCCATCGAAGGGACAAATCAAGTTTATCGATTATTCTGTGAAGTATAGACCCAACCTTGACCCGGTGTTGAAGAATATATCGTTAGAATTCAACGAGGGTGAGAAAATTGGTATTGTTGGAAGAACCGGTGCTGGAAAGTCTACTCTTTCTTTGGCACTTTTTAGAATTATCGAAGCTAATACCGGTCATATTGAAATTGATGGAATTGATACCAGCAAGATTGGTCTTTATGATTTGAGACACAATTTGAATATTATACCTCAAGACTCGCACGCAATTGAAGGATCTGTTAGAGAAAACTTAGATCCTTTCGGTAACTTTACGGATGAACAGTTGTGGAGAGTTTTAGAATTGGCAAGTTTGAAAGAGCATGTTGAAGGAATGAAAAATAAGAAGAAACGAGACGATGAAGACATTGAAGATAGTGACGATGAAGATGATGACAAGGATGAAGAAAATGAGTCACAAGATTCCGATGAAGTCGTGGAGTACGAAGAAGGTCTTTCTGCCAGGGTTTTCGAAGGTGGGTCAAACTTATCTGCGGGTCAGAGGCAACTTCTTTCTCTTGCTAGATCATTATTAAACCCATCACAAGTTTTGATCTTGGATGAGGCAACTGCTGCTGTTGACGCTCAAACTGATAAAATCATTCAAAAAACAATTAGATCCGAATTCAATGATAAAACCATCTTGACTATTGCTCATAGATTGGACACAGTTTTGGATAGTGATAAAGTGTTAGTGTTGGGCAATGGAGAAGTTAAAGAGTTCGATACTCCCAAAAATTTACTATCAGATCAAAGCACGATATTTTACTCCCTCTGTAAAGAAGGTGGGTATCTTAATTCCTTGGATATTACTTCTCTAAAATGATCTTGTTGACAGCTAGATTACTTTGTTTATCAACTATGCCTGATTAAAATTAAATATCAATTTCTTTGAAATAAAATACCAACTAATTTTACCTGTAGGATCTTTAATCATAAGGTGTGCGCTATTGTCCGTCTTTGAATATCTATCAGTAAAGTTGGGAACAACCCATAGAATGGGTATGCTTAGTCATCGCTTAGTCAGCCACATCTTTATATCGCGGACTTGGAAATAGACGTGTATCCACAACATGTCATCTGCTGTTAGTGCCTTACAACCGGAGCTTTGGACAAGCTCCTCGAATGAAGTCCTCAAAATTTTCATCACAGATGGAACAGGTGCTATCAACTTTTCTCCCGAGTTCACCTACCCCATTTTTGGTGATGCCGAGACAATTTATGGGTATAAGGATTTAGTAATATTCTTATGCTTTGACCACTATACATTCTATCCATTTTTGAACATAAAGTATAGCGAAAAGTTGGATGACCCAGAGATTGGTGACTTGAAGGAAAAAATATCGGAATTCTTACCATTAACTACAGTTTTCAAGGATGAAGAGAAGTGGGTGGACTCCATTGAAGATGAAAAGAAACAATACCAAATTCCAGGTGATTTGGTTCAAGAGTTCACCAAAGATGGTGAAGATTTTTCCATCTACAAGTTGAATCTCAGTGATGTGGCTGGGCTTGAGCTTCATAAAAGGCTTCAAATATTGGTCCTTCTCTTCATTGAAGCAGGATCATACATCGATGCAGGCGATAAACTATGGGAAGTGTATGTGTTGTACAAAAAATCCGCAAAGGAACCTTCCATTGTTGGTTTCACTACCGTCTACAATTATTGGAGATACGGAGGAGCTGAAAAGTTCGATTTGGATGTACAACAAGTTCGCAAAAAGATTTCACAGTTCATAATTATGCCCCCACATCAAGGAAAGGGATTAGGAGGAACGTTTTACAAGCAATTGAGTGAACAATGGGACAAGGATGCACTGGTTACAGAGATTGTGATTGAGGATCCTAATGAAAGTTTTGACGATTTGAGAGATAGGGTGGATTTAAAGCGGTTAAACGAGCAAATCGACATCTCTGCCATCTCTACCGCTTCTAGCCCCGAGTGGTTGAATACCACTCGCACAGCATTGAAGTTGGAGAAGAGGCAGTTTTCTCGTTTGGTGGAAATGATCCTACTTTACAAGTTGAAGCACAAGCAGGACGAAAGTGCTCGTGCCGTGCGTTTACACATAAAAAGACGTTTGTATGAAAAAAATAAGGACGGCTTGAGCGGACTTGATGAGAACACAAAGAAGGATAAATTGCAAACTGCTTACATCGCTTTGGAAGAGGACTACTACAGGATATTGGGCGACATCAAATTGAACACCAAGAGAAAGACTGAGGAGGGGTCGACTGGAGTCAAGAAAAAGAAGATATAGTGTATTATAGTAAAGCAAATCCCCTGGAGTTGATAAACAAGATATAGTGTATTATAAACAGAACGTTAGTGGGTTTAGTAAGTTTAGTGTCACTTTAATGAAGTGTGCCAGATCAATCAGACCCTACAAGCAAGATGGGGATGGGAGACATTCTCGTATGTGAAAGCCGTGACTGCGTCATACTGACCACTCGGTTGTAAGCAACTGGATCTAGCCGTCCACCATCCGCGTGACGTGCGTGGTGATGGCATTCCAGTCAGGTCTACTATGGCTTCCATGACGTCATCGAAACCACCCGCACAGAACGACGAACGTGGGACGATATCGAATCTTGGTACAGACTTCCCCCGTTAGCTGAGGGCCAGAGAACACCCACAATGCGTATGGTAGCAGTCGCTAACAGTTTCGCCCACCACTAGCGGACAGACTAGTCACCAGCAACCCGCAACAGCAACCGCCCAAAAGGGAAATTATCCAGCAAGGACATGAACAAGGGGCCCGAGGCGCACCGAATTCACAATTACGGGGCTGCATGAAAACCATGTCACGCCGGCAAAATATTCTGCGGGAGTATATAAGGAAGGAGAATTAACTTTGGAGCAAAATTCTCCGATCATATCCTCAATTGGAGTAATTTAATACTTAATCAGTTAAGATGCATAGAACATACTCATTGAGGTCCTCAAAGGCACCTACTGCCGCTCAATTGCAATCGCCCCCACCACCTCCTTCCACTACCAAGTCCAAGTTCTTTGGTAAGGGAGGAATTGCTTCCAGTTTCAGAAAGACTGTTGCTGGTAACACCGGCCCAGAATTGTCCAGAAAGTTGTCTGCCTACATCAAGCTCGAAAAGAATGTGATGAGAGCCATTGAATTGACCGCTCGTGAACGTCGTGACGTTGCCAAGCAGTTGAGTGCTTGGGGTGAAGACAACGACTCCGATGTTTCCGACGTCACTGACAAGTTGGGTGTTTTGCTCTACGAAATCGGTGAATTGGAAGACCAATACATTGACAAGTACGACCAATACAGAATCACCTTGAAGACCATTCGTAACATCGAAGCTTCTGTCCAACCATCCAGAGACAAGAAGCAAAAGATTACCGACGAAATTGCTCTCCTCAAATACAAGGACCCACAATCCCCAAAGATCCCAGTCTTGGAACAAGAATTGGTCCGTGCCGAAGCCGAGTCCTTGGTTGCCGAAGCCCAATTATCCAACATCACTAGAGAACAATTGAAGGCTGCCTTCAACTACCAATTCGATGCCACCAGAGAATTGGCTGAAAAGTATGCCTTGATTGCCGGTTACGGTAAGGCTTTGTTGGAATTATTGGACGATACTGCTGTCACTCCTGGTGAGACTAGACCTGCTTACGATGGTTATGAGGCCTCCAAGCAAATCATTATCGATGCCGAAAATGCCTTGGCTGCATGGACTTTGGATGCCGCTGCTGTTAAGCCTACTTTGTCTTTACACCAAGAGTACGATGACGAAGAGCCAGTTGATGGTGAAATTGAAGAAGCTGCCGAAGAAGAATTCGCCAAGCACGACGATGAAGAAGTTGTCGTTTCTAAGTAAGTTTTAATTTAATAACTTCTCTTTCTTTAATCAGTATTATCTACGATGTTTTAATGCAATCCCTGGGTTCCCGAGGTTCCCTTTGATATTTGCAGATCTCAATTTCATTATTGTAGTTGCTGCACTTCCATGCCTGTAGTTGTTTGCAATTTTCCTAAACAGTACGCACTCTGTCTGTTTTGGGAATCGTTTCATATGGCTTGCATAAGAACACGCAAGCCAAGCCGACATCTGAATCGCGACATTTGCAATCAACTAGGAACAACAATGTCAATATGTCTCCCTAAACCAACCTCTAGGTTTGAGCCTTTCGTTTCTAGCTGGATCATATTTCTGGTAGCAAGAGTGAGTATGCTGGCAAAACAGCTTGCGGCTAAACCACGAGAAACAGGTGACTCGCCAGCTGCTGCTGCTGTATTTTCATCTGGAATGATGTTGGAAAATTTGACGATTCGGTACTCGTTTGTAGTTGATATTTCCGCGATCGAATTAAGGCGAGGCTCATCACCAATGTAGGGGGTGCCATAAGTTTGACTAGCTGATATAAGGAATTTATAAAACTTTAGTGATTGTATAGCAAGGGATGATTGTGAATTCAGTGGAATGTCCACGAAAGATACGTCATCAAGCGATTTCTGAAGATTTGATTCACCACTCTCACTTTGCTTGGAATATTGTAATCTGCTTTGGAGCTCGCTCCTATCAAGTTCGCTAAATGATAAGCCCAAAACACTGTCGTCAGGCTCGGACATAACAATGCCTAGATCTAATCCTTCTGTGATGCCTTGAAACCCGTGATTGAGGTTTTCCAACATTTCTGTATGCTGGAAATCTCTACCGATTTCTGTATCATGATCACCTGATGCATTTCTTTCAATAGCTCGAACGAGACTAAACTCTCGAGTGATTTCTCTGGTTTCAGCATTGGAAGCTTCAGGCATAGAGTTTGACAATGCGATCATTTTCAAACGAGATAATAGCCTGTTGTTACCTGAGACTTTCTTTGCTTCCGCCAATATTGATTCATATACACTTATCTCTATGCAAGAGTTGGTCTTCTTAGAATGCATCCGACTTTCATAACTTTTCACGGATTCTTCCAAGTTTTCGGTACTTACTATGATATTTCCATTCTTATCATTTACTAATTTGTGAAATTTCAACTCGTTCTTGGATTTGATAACCTGATTGTAAGTGCTCTGGTTTTCTGTTGTGGACATGTGGAAGTTGGCATCATTGGTTATGCTTTTTCCTGGTTCATATTCTCCAATTTGATCTTCAAGTTCAGGGGGAATTTCTAGGTCTTCAAGCTCAAATTGCATCACATCTTCAGCTTGTTCAGCTGCAAAATCTGGCCTTGCCAAGTTCAAGTTTATTAAGTTTCCACTCTCATTGAACACAAAATCTACCCCAGATGAATTTGCAGCCAGTTGAACTTCATTACGTAATCCCATGCTATGGTCAATATAGTTACTAATCAATTGATCATCGATAGTTGTAACCATTTGAGTACTTGCATCAGGGTGCTCTGTATTCAAATAGTTCATACTGGGAAAGATCTGTTGGTCCTGTTGCTGAATTTGTAGTCTTCTACGTTTCTGTGGATATGTTGTATCATCATTGACAAGCCGGACAAAATCAATATCAAGATTGAATTGAATATCATCTTCCAAGAATACTTGTCTTTGAATGGAAGAACCATCAATATCTGTTTCTGTTCCTTTTGATGTGAAGCTTCTAGGATCTGAGGAACCAAAACCTCTAAATAGAAACTCCTTTGATAGTTTGACTTTGATCAATATAAGATCGTTCCACAAGAGGTCTATCTTTGCTTTATATATCATGGATATTCCATGGAGAACACTAGATGTATATCTGATACTTCGGTCTTGACAGCATTCACCTAGTTGTGAACATACTTCAGGAATTGATAGGTTCAAAATGTCCCTCTTTATAGACCTTTTATTGGTGATTCTTGGACCAACTGTGGCTAAAAGCCAGGCTGTTTGAAGGGATGCTGATGGTTTATCCATGATGGTATTACTCATTGTAGATATTACAGTGGTTGGCTGTAAAAAGAAAATGCGAAAGGGACTGGAAAAAGGGCGCCAGACAAAGTAGTTCGGAGTTACGACAAAACCAATGTACTGGTCCCCTTTCCAACAGTTAATTTATCCGTTCGGTTAACCGACCATAGTTGTGATACTTTAGATACATATATTGCTTGCTATAATTATCCCCAATTTGAAGTCAATATAAAAGCTATTACCATAGATCTTACAACACTCATTTCAACAATAAGTAAATCAAAAACCAGCTCATCGTCCATTCCATAAATAAAAACTTCCCGCTAAAAACTAAGAAAAGAAATGCTCCCAAGCAAAATTACCCATCATAATAGCCAATTAATATTCCGTAATTTGTCATAAAGTACTACCAACCATTTCACAGTAAGCTCATAATCTTTCTCATTTACCGATTCACGAAGGCCAGTGAATGTGCTAAGCTTGAATCTCTGATTCAAGTAAGTTGAGTTTTTTCCGATATCAAAACCGGGCACGCCATAAAGCAAATTTGAGTAAAAGCTCTCATTCACTCCCAAATATTGATAATCCTTAGTGTCCAATTTAAGGTTCTTTTCCCAATGCAACAGCTTATAATTAGCCAACTTGAATTGTGAAAAGTGACCCACCTTCTTATAATAACTATACCATGGATAGTCTTTGATTAAGTTGCTTTGAACATGTTTGTTATACTTATCGGTAGCAATTGTATCATTGTATGAATCTTTGACAAGCAATTTTATCTGGGCAATAAGGTCCTTCAACCTAACATCTTCCACTTCAGGATAACTTCTCTGAATATCTTTGAAAATGGACCATTTACTTAATAAGTATTGCCCTACCTGTTTATTCTTCCATTCATCCAAGATTTGTTCATTGTCGCCAAAGAATGAATCCAACAGCTTTCGGATGAAATCAAAATAGGACCGTGCTTTGTAATCCACCACTTCATGTTCACTAAGATTTATGCCTAGTAAGCCAATGTATCTAATCAACAGACCGTGGAGGATAAGGTCTGTATCTATGTGTCTATCAGTCAACCAATTGAGAGAATAGTAGTTTGAGTTTGGAATGTAGACTGAGGATTCTCTCTTAATATCATTGTCAAACCTAATATTGATCAGCGGAACCACAAGATGATTTTGAAAAATCCCTGCATCTGAAAATTTGAGCTCCTGTCCTAGAACATTGTTGATAGTACCGTTATCTTGCTTCATCCAGTAACGATGCAAAGTTGTATAGTTTTCTTCGTAGTCATGATCTTCAAAAGGTTCTTCATCGTCCGTGTCATCCTCGATGTTTAGATCGCGAAGTATGCCTTCGGTTTCTGTTTCTGGAAGATTCTTATAGGATGTAGAGCCCTTTGGAATGGGTACAAACTTGGACGTCAGCTTCAAAATGTGGTTGAAGAACGGATTGGAATCAACATGCAACTTACTTCCAATAATGCAATCACCATCTATGTTGATATAACTAAGGATAGGACGCTTGGCGTCGAAAGCAACAGTGTCATTCACAAAAAGTTGACTACCAATCATTCCATCTGATGAACCATCCCAGCTGATAAACTTGATGTTCCTCAACGGTTTCCAGCCTAGCTTGACTAATCTCTGGTAATTTCTCATTATTTCAAACAAAACTGCGTGGCCACTTGAAGGATTTGATGAAGTCAATGAATCTCTCTTGGATGCAATAATAATGTCACCATCGTTTATAATACCCTTGAGAGTGCCAACAATATTGGTAGCTTTACCTTTGGATTGCCCATTGAAGGTGGTAGAAAGGTGAAGATGTAAATTATTAGATGATTTCAGTGGGTGAAAGTCCCAGTCACTGAAGTCGTCGTTCTTAATAGTCTCTTTGAAAGTGTCAAGTATTGGTTTGAGTGCATTTAGGCTGACAGGGATAGATACTATTTTGGGGGTGTGAAAGTGCAGAAGTGATCCCATTCCTAAACTGCTCCTTGAAATAGCCCAATCGAGCTTCTTCTCGTTGGCCTTCTCGTAAGATTCAAAGTCGTAGTAGTTGATGAATGCGGAAGCTCCAAACTTTTGTGCAATCTGGACTTTCTCCGCAATACTAATATTGGAATTCAATTCTGTCTTGACTATCACCACCTTTTTAGCAATTTCAAACCCATGCTTCACCAATAGCTCGTAATCCTCGGTGTCACCCGAATTAGCATAAATGTAATCGCTATCAATGGTTCCATTTGCCCCAAAAGAGTGAAAAGCTGGTGTTTCAGAGTTGGGCTCAAGTAATTTTGCAATGTATAGTTGTCTGCCACTTTTGGAGTCAACTAAAGTCAATTCCAGACTTTCAGGAACCTTAAGCAAAGGAACGTCATAGGAGTAGCTATGGGTTTTGAATCCGAACTGCTTAAACTGAGATTCGACAAAGGATGTGAGTTTATGATTATTACTTCCTAATGTGTTGATTTTGCTCTCGGAATGGATTTTACTAAACGTTTGGAGCCACTTTAGAATGTGTTGCTCGGTCGTCAAACTACCGTGGGAATTTCCAATGCCAGCAAATACCAAAAAGTTGCGTTTGACCTCGGACTTGGTAAGGTGAATTCCATGATATCTTCTGTAGTCCCGACTCAACGACGTTCTCGGCAAAAATGTCAATTGTAATACTATCAACGCAGCCAAGCCCAAAGAACAAAACCACCAAAAGCGGCGAGTGAAAACATGGGGAGAATCCGAGTAGCCTATGCTGCCATACTTAGATGAGCCGTCTCCTTCTAGGTCATCTTGTTGAGGCCCATTGATAGTCTCTTCGGAGTTTGGTGAAACTGCTAATAATGCGGTTGCCTCAGTCTGGCTTTCAGGAGCAACAGACTGACGTTGGGAAAGTTCAGCGGCCATACTAGGACACTAAGCTATTGATCATTCAGTCTAGCGTAATCGGATAAGATTGAGTTCTAAATGTGGAGGAATGATTAGGTGTAGTATCCGTGGGTCATGAATAGAGTATTAATAGGCCCCCCACGGTCCATGTCACGTGATATGCCACATATCAGATTGAACCAAGGAAGGCTACAATATTGGCAATTGGCCACATGAATGGTATCCCATAAGTCTCCAAGTACTAGGTTTATCCCATGCTACAAGATGTCATTCCCCACTCCGGTTTGGTGCAAAAGTGCTATGACACATAAGCTATCTTCTCAAAGGGGGAAGCGATCGGGATCTACGGCGATTAGGTAAGATATTACTAACAAGAAGGGATATCTATAATGAATAGTAAAACATAGGGTCTAGAACCATTTTATGGGGCCTAGAACGATATATAAATAGATGCCTATGTTACTTCCAAATTATTAGGAGAATGCAGATCTTGTACGTCTTCTTGGAGAAGTCATGGTTTACACTATGGATACATGCATTTGAGGTGACTGTAGAAGGATGTTTTAGGAACGTGAATCTTTCTCTGGCAGTTCACGCAAATGAAGTCGTGTGTACACAGATGGTTCACCCATAACATGTTGGATGGGTTCAGTAGTTAGACCTTGTGTACTCCACGTCTCGAGGCTGCCCAGAAAGCTAGCTAGCGCTGCTAGCTTACTTGTTCAAGATGCTATTCAAGGTTTCGGGGTCAAACATGCCAGACCCAGACTGGAGCGCTTTGGCAAGAATAACCAAGGACTTATCAGTAAAGTCTGGTTTCTTTCTCAACTCATCCAAATCATTGCCAAATTCTCCAGCCATGAGTCCCAAGTATGCATTTTGTAACTTCACTTTATCTTTCTGTATGCTTTCTTCTATTTGTCCCATGTTGGTTATGGAATTCAAACTTTTACCGAATCCGGTTGTCTGTGATAATTGTGTGGTCGTGAGCTGTATCTTATTGAGATTCCTGTGGGTTTCATTGGTGAGAGGCTTTGGTGCACTTCCCTTGGTGGATTCATCTTCTGAATCGATGTCTATATCATCTATGTTGACTTGTGCTTGTTGTTGGACTGGTTCATCATCTTGCTGAACCTCAGCTTCCTCATCTGAGGACGACGATGAGGACGAATCGGAATCTGAAGAGAAGTCTTCTGTTCTTCTCTTCTTTCTTCTTCTTCTAGAAGCCTTGTTGTCTGCCCTAGGCTTCTCGTTCTTGATTTGTGCTGCCATCTTGATGAGTTGAGCTTGATGAGATGCCGTTTTTTTGATGTGCGAACAGAGATGGGGGTGTGCGCGAAGACTCATTTGATCAGTCGTATAAAACTAATGTTAGTCCAGAACTACATTCGATAGTATTTACCCTTAGAGCTCAGGTTTAAAATTCTTATTACGAATTGATTTGAAACAACTGAACGAACTAAATCTATCTATCTTCATATTCCTTACTTTTTGGCCTTTTTTACTGGCCCTGCAGGCTTTCCAGGAGTCTTTCTCTTCTTGATTACTCCAGTTAAATCATTAACAGGGACTTTCTTCTTTACAATGGAAGTCAAGTCGTTGATGGCAGCGGCAGCGGTGCTCGAAGATCCGCTCTGGCCATCGGAGGTAGGCTCGCCCAACAAGCCCTTTATTATATCTAATTGTTCCTGTTGTATTTCCTCTGCTGGGTCCTTCTCCAAGTCTTGGAGCCTCAGTTTCAAATCTTGAATTAACTCATCGTTTTCTTTGATTTTAGACTCGTCGTCTTCGGTCTTGTTTCTGAGGACCACCGATTCGATGGCCAACTTCATCTGTTCAACAGCCTTATTCCTCAGTTCTGGATCGTCCACACTGAACTCTAACGCCAAGGACAACTTGTAGTGGGACTCGGAAATTAATGTAGACTTTTTAGGGTCGTAGAGTTTCAATCTAAGATTCAAGCAGCTTTCAAAATCCTCAACTGCCTGAGCAAAATTACCTGCCTCCAAGGAAACTTCTCCTAACAAATCGTACGTTTCGGAAAGCTTTTTCACCAAGGTAACATACTCGTTTGTGGTCTCCTCTGAATCCTTAAAGTATGGTTCCTCAATGTCTTGAAGAAGATCCTTTTTGGAGTCAGCCTGAGATTCAAACAAAGTCCTCGTCAAGTCCAAAATTTCCCAGGCAACTTCAAAATCACTTTGCTCCTCCTCTCCATTTTCATGTTGTTCACCCTCTCCCTCTTCTTCTTGCTCTTCTCCCTCAAGTTCAGGCTGTGGGTCGCTATCAACTTCCTCGCCCTCTAATGGAGGGGCATCGTAGAATTGGAACTTTCCGTCATCCTCTTCTTCTTTCTCTTGGTCTTCCTTCTCCTCCTTCTCTTCCTGCTTGGCTTCGCTGCTTCCACCAAACACATCTGACTTGGAAACTGCACTCTGGAAGAGGGCCTTTCCATATAACAATAATAAGTCCGCATCTTCTTCACTGTTCTCTTCGCTGAACAATTCGCATGCTTCGGCGTATTTCTCACTGGCTAGGTCGTAGTCCTTGGCAGAGTAAGCCCTGGACCCATCTGCTATGATCTTGGAGATTCCTGGTGTGTATGCCATCTTGTGTTGGGGAACGCGTTATACAGTCGCGGTAGGGCCTCATCAAGAGGGAGGACCAAATCAAGAACTGGTGTGTTCACGTGACATAGCCGCATACCCCAGTAGCTCCTAAACAATAGCTGGATTGGACTTGAATTGATTTCATTGCTAATAGCTATTGCTGGCCATAACTGTCCTTTACATAGACCTAAAACCACTGGGCTTATGCGAACGTTCCCATCCTCCATCTTTCTGATAACACACACTTATAGAGCTTGTCATGTCTGAATGGGGAAGCAATTTAAGCACCTCCCAGGGTCGAAAGCAATTGAGAAGAAAACCGCCACCTCCGCTATACGATAGTGACGATGTTCAGGAGTTTATTCCTGCTACGGTAAACTCGCCTGCAGTTGTGACCCATCCTTCAATTCCCGAGCCTGTGACTCAACTCCCATCCTACTCATCCGCCTCCTATTCTATGCCCAATATTCCCCCCAGGCCACACCCCGTCGCCGTCCAGAACCTTACCATTGATACCGGAGAGACGTTCCGGGAACAATATACCTACGATGAAGAGGAAACCATCTTGTCGTATGAACCACCAAAGCCAATGGGCCCGAAAGAACTCCCGGACTATGAAGCTCCATCCGTCCCACCTCGACCATCTAAGGTCAGACAATACCAACAGTTATCAAGATCGCAATCACAACCCATTGAGCTCCCTTATCCCACCCATAGCCCAGAGCCTGAGCTTACACCAGATGATCTCATTCATCCAGAGTCCCCTGCCCCCGACGTACGACTTCAATATAGAAGCACGCAAACCAGCAATCACTCGTTATCAACGCCCAATAGAATTCCTAAATTGAACAATAATGGACCCTTATTTAGGCCCACCTTGAACCAGAAGACTCTGTTACCGGTAATCAGCAGTTCAATTTTGGAATCAGACTTACCATATCTGCCCATATCACCACTAGACACGCCTGACCGTTTGAATCGAACCCACACCGTTGGTGGGGCTGACGGACCCCGATCAACTTCTCCGGTAAGATCCCACACCTTGAATATCCCCGGAAGTGGAACCTCGCCAACCAACAATTACGCAGATACAGTTCTTGCTGAGAGACAATATAAGCCAAAGTCTCCTTCGCCAAATAAGTATGGCAGATCACCATCAATCTATGGCTATCATACTTTCCCGTACCAGGATCATAATGAAACCGACGAGCTGTACGAGTATGATGAAACTAGCTTTGTGAATGAATATCAGTATGATTATGAAAATGAACAAAAACACTCAAAATGGAACACAGTGGACACTTCGAGAAGAATGTCAAACGGAGATTATAATTTCCTTGATAATGATTACTTGGAAACACCTACGGCCCACTACTTTGATTACTCGATTTTGCCCGACTTACCTTCAAGCATGCCGAGCGCTTTGGAAAGCCCTAGCTCCTCTAAAAAGGACTTAATGTACTCACCATTTTCAGCAAATGGACGAGATTCTGTTTACACTTCACAAACATCACCCACGGTTATGCCTGCCTTACCTTCGAAGAAGAAAGATGATGCGTTGCCCCCAGTTCCATTAGACTTGCCACAACTTCCATTCACTTCGGCTTCATTGGTGTCTCAACATTTTGCGACGTGTAAATCAATATGGTCTCTAAGCAGCATTTTTGACTGGTGCCTCAAATTGAAGATATGGCTTCATGACTTGTTTATTCCAAGAAGAGAATTCAAAAAAGCATTAATTAAACTCTTGGTCTTCCATAGAAGAGAATTACCCTTGGATCTCATAGGTCAAAACGTCGATCAGATTTTGGAATCGCTCTTGAGGGGTAATGCGATCAGTTATCACCATTTTCCAGCAGGGGAAAACGATACTCCCGAACTGAAGGAATCACAGGACCCTGGTGTCATAATGAACGAGAGTGCTGATATTAGTGGTGTCTTGACTGAGCTTACTCCATGCTACTATAATGGAAACGATCATGGAAACAAGGGTATCAGCTTGAGGTGTTACTCATCACAATGTTACTTGAATAAGATGATTGACCATGAAGCTCAATTGAAGAATATGAATATTAATGAGATCATCCTTGGTGATGATTGGGCCTCCCATTGGAAATTGTCAGCAATTGATTTGAAGAATATTGATAAAAATATTTCTAAACGGCAATCATTGGTTTTTGATCTTATTAGATATGAACAGACGTTTATTCAAAGAGCATCATGTTTTGTTGAGAGTGTCGGTCCCGAGTTTATAAAAACTGCCAGATTATTTATGGGTAATGATATTGTCCTGTTGAATAAATTTGAAGAAGATATCATCAAGCCAGGAAAAGAGTTGGTCAAAATACATCAAAATATTTTATTCGAACCACTTTTGCGGATCCTCATATCTGGTGGCAAATTCATCAACAATGTGGGTGAAATTGCCAACCTTTATAATGCATGGTCAATCGAAGTTAAGAATCAGTTATTGACATACATGAGTACAGTTCCGATGATTGAAGATTTGTTAAACAATGAGCATTTAAAGCGTTGGGTTGACGTGAACGTGAGAAATATGCCCAGAGTAAAGGAACTTAAAGTTAATGGGCCACTTTTGTTCATGAGTACTTTTAATTCTAGGTATCAGTCATTACCTTTACAATTATTTGACGTGCGAAAACTTTATGATGCACAAGAACCAGAATATATCAGCTTGACTAAAGCGATAGACGGGATCAAAAGGCTAGGAAATAAGGTCAATGAAATGAAAAGGCATGCAGATAACATCTATGCTCTTAAAAAAGTTCATAAACAATTGGTATGGAAGAATAGTGTCAATCAACCACAAACTAATTTAGGTTCAGAGAATAGAAAGTTTTTCTTCAGAGGTGATGTTACCAGAAAAGGTGATTTGAAAATTAATAGTTCAACAAATCATTTAATCTTATTAGATCATTTCTTATTCATTACTGAACGTGTGAAGAATCCCAGATCTAGCAGCTATCCATTGAACAGAGTAATTGACAATCCAGTACCGGTAGAATTATTGTTGGTTGAAGAGAAAGACGTGGGCTCGGAAATAAACCCACTCTCCAAAGCACTAACACTGTCCTCACAACCTACGGTCCCTCTTAGTACAACTGAAACTGTTGAGGAAGACGAACCATCCTCATTCCCCTTTAAGATAAGATATGCTGGTAGAGGGAAGCATGATGCCTATACTTTTTCGACCAAAACAGAGCGGGAAAGGGCCGAATGGATAACCCACTTTACTGAAGCAAGATCTAATATCTGCAGAAGACTCGGGAAAACAGAGCCATACACTGTTGATTCAATCTCGAACACATGCTTTGCCTACGAAATGAGTAACAGAATCCAAAAGCTTCCAATTTGTGCTCCGTTTGATCCTATCTATGAAGTTTCAACCAATGCCTTAAACAAATTGACAGAGTTGGGCTACAGTAATGATCTATACAACTTCACAAATTCTAGGGATCATTTAGTATACTCAAAAGTGTTAAGCGTGAGTCTGTTTGAATTCAGACGAACCAAATTTCACTTAGTTGGGCTTGCGTCTGGATTATACTGTTCAGACACTAAGAACAGATGGAAAAAGGTCGTTCATGGCACTGATATCACCAAGATAAGCGTGGACAGTTCGATAAATCTAGTAGTGATTCTTGGAAGCAAGCATCTCCGTTACTATCCATTAGACCTGATAGTTGGGGTATATTATGAGAAGAGACGTGAGATTACAGGAGTATCGTTATCCAACGATCCAGTGTCATTTTTTTCGATAGGAACACACAGGAAGCTTACAATGTTGTTCTACGCCAAGAAGAAAACGAATTCGGGATCAACAAATTTCAAGGTGTTGATACCCGAAACTGATAATGACGGGATATTCAGTGCATTCAAAGTAGCCAAGAGGTTTTATATTCAAGCTGAATGTTACGGAATCTCCATCTTCAATACTTCTTTTGCAGTGCACACAAACAAGGGCTACGAAATTTTGGAGTTGGACAAGTTGCTTCCCCGGTCGATACCTGAAATTCCCCAGTCGGATAGTTCCAAGAGAATAGACGGCTATAGTCGGAAATCAATCAGCTCTGTCACTGGGGTGGAGGCCATTCGCAAGTACGTCTCCACCAATGTGAGGCCCATGGGAATGTACAAACTTGCAAACAACACCGAGTTTTTATGTGTCTACAACAACTGTGCCATCTTTACCAATAAGCATGGTAAACTCTCACGAACCTCTTTTATTCGGTTTGATTTCAAGGCCAAGTCGATCTCTTTCATTGACAACAACCTTTTCATTGTGTGTGAGGAAGTGATCGAGGTATGGTCCATCTCCGATTTTGTCAACGGTTCGAACAAACTTATACAGGTGATTACGGGCAAGGACATCACTGCCATCGATCCGGAGACACTCTGCTTCGCCATGGCCAACCCCTTGGTGCAGGGCTTGCAACTAGTATTCCGGTTAGTGGCTAATGCCTCGTCCTCTCCAACGGGCGCCAGTCCCATCTCAACGACTTATGTATGATGTATTAAATGTACTATTAGCGAGCTGTCAGCTCGCGACTCCTTAATTCAAGTTAATGAGGTCTTCTCGGTGAGAGTCCACTAGTAACTGCATCATACTACAATCTCTTGATAAATTTCTACAAGTAAACCTCACCAACATCCATACTACAATCTCTTGGCGTCCTCAAGTAATCCGGAACATATTCTAAAATGCACACAGCCGAGGACCTCGCTCCTTGACCTTAATAAACCCGAACACACTACCCAGTGGACCCGAAAAACTCGGTGCAAAGTCCATCAATTAGGAGAATTTTAGAAACCGATGCCGCGCGGGGAGACCCCAATGCACTACGTGGGGGAAGGGTCTGGCCAGAGGATACCTGGGCCGAGCCCAGCCATCGCGAGTTGTTCACATGCTTAGCCACCAGTTGGCACCGTGAAGCATAAAGGGATTCAGGGGCTTTGTTCAGTCCAAGCTGCCCACCGTCGTCCACACTCCTAGGCGGTAGTCTGGAACCTCCCAGTTTCGCAGTGTAAGATTCACAGACGTTTTCATAGCACCCCTCACACGTGAACAGGCTATCATCTGGGGTAAACTTGCGACCCGAGGAACAGAGGTGGGGACACTATAAAACAAATGATTTCGCTAGAAATGAAAAATCAATAACAAAATGGTTGAACTTAATGTTAACGGAAAGGTAGCTGTGGTCACAGGAGGATCCAGAGGATTGGGATTGGACTGTGCCGAAGTGTTGGCTGTGAACGGAGCCTCCACCATCGTGATTACCTCCCGTAAGGCCAAGGCATGCGAAGAAGCAAAGGCCCAAATCGAAAAGGTCGCTGCTGGTGCAGGCAAGAAGGTCAAGGTGATCTCGATCCCAGCCGATCTCTCGGACGAGAAGGACACCCAAAGATTCTTCGACGAGACCTCCAAGCAAGTCGACAAGGTCGACATCTTGATTGCCAACGCTGGTGCCTCCTGGGGCTCGCCATTGGAGCAGCACCCCGTCTCGGCTGTCAAGAAGGTGTTGGACTTGAACATTGTGGGTGTTTTCCAATCCATCCAATTGTTCACTCCTTTGTTGGAGAAGGCTGGCACTGCTGAAGACCCCTCCAGAGTGCTTATCATGTCGTCGATTGCCTCCATCTCCCCTGTCGATTTTGCCGGTACTTACGGCTACTTGGCCTCCAAGGCCGGTGTCACTCACATGGGTAAGAACTTGGCCCTCCAATTGGGTCCTCGTAACATCACTGTCAACTCGCTTGCTCCTGGGTTTTTCCCCTCCAAGATGTCCAACGGTTTGCTCGAAGTGGCCGGTGACGTTTTGATCGAAACCAACCCAAGAAAGAGACTTGGTAAGAAGCAAGACATCCAGGATCTCGTTTTGTTCATGTGTGCTAAGCAGTCTTCCTACATTAACGGTATCGTGATTCCGCTCGATGGAGGAGCTCACTTGGGCAGCTTTTCTAAGTTGTAAGAAATGCGATTTTATTTATATGTTCTTTCAATACAATGTCTGTTACGATTGTCACTGGCGCCTCTAAAGGTATGTACTACGGGTGAAGGAGTAACCTCTGTGAAACCCCTGTGAAGCCCATCCGGGCTATGGCAGGGTGTGAGCTCTCTCTACGTGTCTCGAGTTTGCGTGTTAGCAAAGATCGGCAGCTTGTGTGAGATCCACGATGGTGTGCCACGAGACTGCAACCGAACGGGATATGAGTTCTTTCGCCTGACGTGGGCATCACTAACTTCAGGTATCGGAAAGTCTATCGTTGAAATCCTTCTTTCAAACCCCAATGCAAAGGTCATAGCAGTGGCAAGGAGCGAACTGGATCTCCAGAAGATCCAAGATCAGCACGGCTCAGAAAGAGTGGCCTACATCGCTGGCGATGTTTCTGAGGAAAGCATTGCTGCCGAAGCGGTGAAGCTTGCCGTGTCCAAGTTTGGCGGTGTCAATGCCATTATTGCCAATGCTGGTGTGCTCGCTCCGGTTGCTCCTATTGACAAGGTGTCTGTTGACGACTGGAAGCGGCTTTTTGATATCAACTACTATGCCGTGATCCACTTGGTTCAGCACAGTCTTGAACAATTGAAGAAGTCCTCCGGAAAGGTGGTTGTGGTCTCCTCGGGAGCTTCGGTGAAGTCCTACAGCGGTTGGTACGCCTACGGGGGCTCCAAGGCAGCCTTGAACCACTTGGTATTGTCGCTAGCTGAACAGGAGAAGGGCATATCTGCCATATCCATTGCCCCAGGAGTGGTCGACACACCGATGCAGCAGGACATCCGTGAAAAACACGGAGGCTCCATGAGTGCTGAGGGCCACAAGAGGTTCCTTGACCTCCACAAGAACAAGGAATTGGTCAAGCCAGAGGTGCCTGCTACCGTGTTAGCTAACCTTGCCTTACGAGGATGGGACTCCTCTATCAACGGGAAGTACTTGCGCTACAATGACGAGCAATTGAAAGAGTACACCCAATAGGTCCATGGACCTACCAGGCACATTCCTGTAATCTGGCTGTCGTCTCTAGCACATGTATAGTTAACGAAGGTACTGACTACGTAACCATAAGCCCAAACCGCCTGACAGGCGTAGTGACAGGCTCGCGAATTTACGATCCGGCTCGTTGAAATTTTAATACATCACCACCCAATGAACAGACTCGTCACCTCCACCAGAATCGGCGCCAGAGCCTCCGCTTTGGCCAGAACCAGAGTTGGTGCTCACTTGCACAGATGCAATTCGTCCAGCACCACCCCTCCACCTATTGGAAAGGGAAAGATCTTAGTTGGTCTCGGTGCTTTGGCTATTGGATCCACGGTGTTTGCGTCCTTATACTCCAAAGAGGAACCTAAATCTGCCGTGGAACCAGCAAAGAAGGCTGCCTTCTCCGACGGCCAGATCTCTGTCATCTACGTCCTTGGAGGACCAGGTGCTGGAAAGGGTACCCAGTGTGCCAACTTGGTCAAGGACCACGGTTTCATCCACTTGTCTGCTGGGGACTTGTTGAGAGCCGAGCAGAACAGACCTGGCTCTAAATACGGAGAATTGATTGCTAGATACATCAAAGAAGGCACCATTGTTCCTCAAGAAGTCACGCTTGCGTTGTTGGAACAATCCATCAAGCACGAATACGCCAAAGGGTTCAAGAAGTTTTTGGTGGACGGATTTCCTAGAAAGATGGACCAGGCCATCAGCTTCGAAGAGCAGATTGCCCGTTCATCCTTCACCTTATTCTTCGAGTGTCCCGAACAGGTTATGTTGAAGAGATTATTGGAGAGAGGCAAGACCAGTGGAAGAGCCGACGACAATATCGAGAGCATCAAGAAGAGATTCCGCACCTTTGTGGAGACCTCGATGCCCGTGGTCGACTACTTTGAAAAGCAAGGAAAGGTGGTCAAGGTCAGCTGTGATAAGCCAGTTGACGAAGTTTATGCTCAGGTCAAGGATGCCTTGAAGGACAAGGGAATATAGGCTGTTCACACCGGAACGGAGCCTACTATTGTGTAGAACTGGAGCATAGACAAAGAATATTTACAATATTGATTAATCCAGAAATATTCAAATCAACTATGGTTTCCGAATTGGTGCCCAGTAGCTTACTAATACTTGTAGTCACTATGGTCATAAACACCACAGAAACGCCGTCCTAGCTGAATTTGGGTTTGTTGGGCACCTAATGGGCACTATCGTCGTAGCTTGGATCACGAGAAAAAATCCCGTGACCGCAGTCCGCCACTAGATATCTGACAAACGAACACCCAACAACAACCACCAAAAATGTCCACAGGATTACCACCCGGATGGGCCATACGCGTGTCACGTACCCACGGCACCGAATATTTCTTGAACCAGGCCACTAAGGAGTCCTCGTGGGAACCACCATTTGGGTCCGACGAAGGCATATTGACTGAGTACTTGAAGAAGTTCAAAGCCAACGGCAACAAGCCAGTGGTTCGCGAAGACGGCAAGATCAGTGTGGCACACTTGTTGGTCAAGAACAACCAGTCGCGGAAGCCAAGATCGTGGAAGAGCCCTGATGGCATCACCCTCTCCCGCGATGAGGCCATCCAAATCATCAAGAAGCACCACGCCAGAATCTTGAACGGAGAAGTCAAGTTGGGCGAGCTTGCAAAGACCGAGAGCGACTGCTCGTCGCACGCTCAGGGTGGAGAGTTGGGTTTCTTTGGCAAGGGCCAAATGCAGCCTAGCTTCGAGGAGGCAGCGTACGCCTTGAATGTAGGCGAGATTAGTGACATCGTAGAGACCGACAGCGGGGTCCACATCCTCCAAAGAACTGGCTAGAGACTGGGTTCTCTGCTAGCAGCATCCGTATAGAACTACCTTGTGATGAATACATGCCTACAATGATCTAACTAGCACTATAAAAAACAGTACTATGTATGGCCAAACCAGCACTTTCAGCTCAAATATTCAACGTAGTATATATACTTATTTAGTTTACTCATGAATCACAAATCATGCCCCACTAGCCTTCTGTACCACGCAGCCACCATCTGTCGTCGCTACCTCCCCTCTTTGGCCCAATCCGACTCACTTGCGGCTGGCCAGTTTCGGTCCGCTTCCACCAGCGGCCGCACGGCTGCCCCAGAAACTGCTCCACGGACATATCCAATGGGGTTCAATTGTAGCCGCTTCGAGTCGCCGCGTGTCTTTGAGGCTGCAATGCCGCCGATCTCCTACTGCCGTTGGTCCCCATATTCGGCACTGGGTGACAGATGATCTGGCGCCTAATTTTAGCCACCTGTCTGAGGGTGGTGGTGTCTCCGCTATCCTGCATTTCCAGTTTGCTATAAATTGATCAAATCCGCTATTTCTGGACTACATCCATAATGTGCTCTTCCACCCCTAACACCGAAAGGGAGGTTTTGCCTACCAATGTCAAACCCTTCCACTACAATATCACCCTCGAACCCGATCTTGAGAAGTTCACCTTCGATGGTGAAGAGACCATTGAGTTCAATGTCAACGAGAGAACCGACTACATCTCGTTGAACTCGTTGGAAATCACGGTTTCCGAAGCCAATGTCAACGGCGTGCCTGTTTCCAGCATCACCTTCGACGAAAAGGCCCAAACAGTCACCTTCAAGCTTGATGACCACTTGGTCGAAGGCTCGGTGGCAAAATTACACATCAAGTTCCAGGGGATCTTGAACGACCAAATGGCCGGTTTCTACCGCTCCTCTTACGAACAAGATGGCAAGAAGAAGTACTTGGCCACAACCCAATTCGAACCCACCGACTGTCGTAGAGCCTTTCCATCCTACGATGAGCCCTCTGCAAAGGCCACGTTCTCCATCAGTCTTATTGCTGACAAGGACTTGGTCTGCTTGTCCAACATGGACGAAAAGGAAACCACCTTGTTGTCTGACAACAAGAAGAAGGTCGAGTTCAATAAGTCGCCCCTCATGTCTACCTACCTCGTCGCCTGCATTGTTGGTGACTTGAGACACGTTGACAGCGTGGTTGAGTATAAGGTCCCAATCAAGGTCTATGCCACTCCTGGTATGGAACATTTGGGAAAGTACTCGGCTGATGTGGCTGCCAAGTGTTTGGCATTCTTTGACAAGAAGTTTGACATTGACTATCCATTGCCAAAGTGTGATATGGTTGCTATCCACGATTTCTCAGCTGGTGCCATGGAAAACTTCGGATTAATCACTTATAGAAATACCGATTTGTTAATTGACGCATCAAAGGCTGATGTTAACACCAAGTTGAGAGTCACTGAGGTTGTTGCCCACGAATTGGCCCATCAATGGTTTGGTAACTTGGTCACCATGGATTTCTGGGATGGTTTATGGTTGAACGAAGGTTTTGCAACCTGGATGTCTTGGTATGCTGTTGATAGCTTGTACCCAGAGTGGAAGGTTTGGGAATCCTATGTATCTGACTCCTTGCAGCATGCTCTTGGTCTCGACAGCTTAAGATCATCCCACCCTGTTGAGGTACCAGTTAAAAAGGCGGAAGAAATCAACCAAATTTTCGATGCCATCTCATATTCTAAGGGCTCTTCTATCTTGAAAATGCTTTCAAAGTGGTTGGGTGAAGAAACCTTCATTAAAGGTGTTTCCAACTACTTGAAAAAACACAAATGGGGAAACACTCAAACTAGTGACTTGTGGGATGCCTTGAGTGCTGCTAGTGGTAAAGATGTTGTTGAAGTTATGGATATTTGGACCAAAAAGATTGGTTACCCTGTTGTCAAGGTTTCCGAGGAAGATGGGAAAATCACCGTTACTCAAAATCGTTTTTTGAACACAAATGATGTTAAGCCCGAAGAAGATGAAACTTTGTACCCTATTTTCTTAGCATTAAAAACTTCCAATGGTGTCGAAGACTTGACTTTGGATTCCAGATCCAAGACTATCGACTTATCCACCAAGGATGACTTCTTCAAGATCAATGCCGACCAATTCGGTATTTACCGTACCGCTTACGAAACCTCTCGTTGGAACAAATTGGGCCAAGCTGGTGTCGAAGGAAAGTTGTCTGTTGAAGACCGTGTTGGTTTAGTTGCTGATGCTGGTTCTTTGGCTTCTGCTGGATACATTGAGACTACTAACTTGTTGGACTTAGTTAAATTGTGGACCAAGGAAGAAAACTATGTCGTTTGGGATGAAATTATAAACAGAATTGGTGCCATTAAAAAGGCATTTATCTTTTCCGACGAAAGCATCACTGAAGGTTTGAAATCCTTTGTTCTTGACTTGATCAAAGAAAAGACTTCTAGCATTTCTTGGGATTACTCATCGGAAAACTTGTCTTTCGCTGAAGAACAATTAAGAGTTTCTTTCTTTAGTGCTGCTGTCAACAACGGTGATAAGAAGGCAATTGAATTTGCTCAATCTGCTTTCGAAGCATATATTGCTGGAGATGAAAATGCTTTCAGCCCAAGTTTCAGATCTATTATCTTCAATGCTGTTGCCAAGAATGGTGATAGAAAAACTTATGACAAGCTTTTGGCCCTTTTGAAGACTACAAAGATTGTTGATGAAGAAGGTGCCATTTTGAGATCTTTGGGTAGCTTCAGGGACCCAGAAATCATCGATTCCGTTCTCGGGTTGTTGAAAGAAGGTTCCATCGTTAGACAACAAGATATTTACAAGCCTATGGCTGGCTTAACTACTCACGTTGTTGGTATCAACAAATTCTGGGCATGGTTCCAAGAAAATGCTGAAGAACTTGAAAAGAGATTCCCTCCAGGTTCAAGTCTCTTTAGTGCTGTCGTTCGTTTGTCTACTTCTAGTTTCACCACCAGTGAAAAGAAGGCAGAAATCGAAAAGTTCTTCGCCAACAAGGAAACTAAGGGATATGATCAAGCCTTGGCTCAATCTCTTGATGTCATTAGCTCCAAGATTTCTTGGACTCAACGTGACACTACTGAACTTCAACAATGGTTAAATGCCAGTGGATATAAGCAATAACTAGCAATTTCTAGTAAGTTGTGAGGTATTTAGTTTCTAATTTGTGTGAATCAATTCGCAAGTTATTGCTTTATGTCAGCTTACTGGAGCTACGATATTACCGTTCTTCTAAATGGTACCTTTAATGAATGGTCTGGATAGGTTAGGAAAAAAAAAAGTTTTAATCGTACTGAAACTGTAGACTACATTGCTTTTGAGTGTACTCTGACTTACGATAACGATTGCCCAAATCTAAATCATGTTCCGTTTTTTTGATCTCAATTCTAATTTCTAGTTGCGAATATTGTGTTACAGTTCTGCTTTCCAAAGGTGAAGTAAAATTACACTTGGACATTTTCATTTACCGTCCCTAATGGAACCTATATCCCAATCTCACTAAAGCCTCGTGAGAGCAGGTGATTTCGCTTTATCGAAGATCATGAATTTAAGAAATCTAGCTCCTGAGGAGATCAAAAACAATATACTAGAAGACTTGGATCAAGAGCCCACGCCCATGAACTTCAAGATCAAAACGAATTGATCTTCTTCGTATGCAAATGCCTGTCTAAACTTGATAATATGCTTCCATCTCTTGGCATTCATTCCCTTTGGCTCTCTAATCAATCTGTCCCATAAATGATAACCACCAACATTTTCTCTTACTAGTGATGCCGATAATTTTATATCGTACTTATCATCGATTAAGGTTTCATTGTGAGCTCTTTGCTGGTGAACAGCCCAAATCAAAATATTCCCAATGTAAGACAAAACACTATAGTCTAGATTATTCTGATGAATGTCTTTGTTAGATGGGGTCAATTTTGTACCAGTGGTTTCCAAATTGATTTCGTCATACCCGCCAAATAATTCGAGAATATTTGGATAGACTTTCACAGTCTTCTTGAATCCAATAGACTCGTACAATGCCACATTTATGCACAACAAGAAGAAAATCTTCTTTTTATTTTCATCTTTAAACAACTCATTGGTATGTTTGATTGTGAAGTTGAGCGAAGTTGAAGAATACTTCGAGATTTTTGAAGATGATAAAATGGTTTTGAGCTTGACATCAGAAACATCTAAGTTCAAGATCTGCTTGTGCGATAAACCAATAATAGTCTTGATTGGTTGAATTTCGGGTAATTTGTTGTCGTATCTACTGTTCATAGTTGTCTTCTTGGTGGATCTAAGCTTAATGTCGAATGGATTGGATTCGTTAGACAACGCAGACTGTTGACTTAAATATTCCATCGACTTCTTCTTGTTCAACCTCAATGTTTCTTCGATCGTTGGTTTCTTGGGTTGGATAGTTTGAGAAAAGGTAACTTTACGAATGGGTGAGTTTTCCTCGTCAGATGATCTCTTGGGGGTATCAACCGAAGTGTTTTCTTCTGCAGTTTCATCGAATATACTGTCCAATGTGACATCTGGGTTTATTTCCTCGTCTTCAACCTCAACTGCATCTAATAATGGGTCCGGTTGTACTACCAGGTTTAAAACTGGTTCGGGAGCAGATGCTGTGGATGATGCGGAAAGTTCTCTGTCCCTTTTATTCTGGTTTGTTCTAGCTCTTCTTTCTTTTCTTTTTCTGTTTTTGAGTCTTCTTTTCTCCTTTTCGGCGTCAGCCAAGTCTTCAGGATCCAAAGAAACGATTGAATCATCAAATTCAGATTCCGTTTCAATTTCATCAAGTTTTGTAGGTTTTGGTTGTCTTGTTCTTTCAGCCAATTTGTTCATTGATGCTCTCTTTCTCAAGTTTTGTGGCTTTCCAAAATCTTCCTTAATAGTTCTGAAATCCAACGATTTCAGCTTGTTGAGCTTCTTTTCAACCGACGAGGATTCAGAATTGTTTCTTCTGAAATCTGCTGACTGTTGTCTGTTCAATTTGCGGGGCTTGTCGTCTTTGTTGGCTTTTTGACCCAGGTTGTTAGCATTGGAGTTACCACCACGATTTAAATTGCCGTACGATTTCTTCTTTCTGGCAGATGGTGGAGGGTTTTTGGACTTTTCATCCTCGCTGTCACTCAAGTCGATATCATTGATGTCTTTGGTCACTTCATCCACCAAGAACTTCAAGTTTCTAGACTTTGCGTCCTTTTTGGACTTTGGCTTGTTGGAGCTGACAGCAGTGATGATAGTGTCAGAGACCTCGAAATTTTGGACAGGTGAGGCCTGAATATCATTGTTGTTCAACAAATACTTGAGATCATTCTCAAACTGTGAATCGCCCGTGTCTTTCTGCAATTGGTCGTAGTCGTAGTCCTCCACTATGAAATCACCATCAGTGAGTCTGCTATCCGGGGCAGGTCCCAGAAGATTGATCATAGCTGCTGAAGCCTTCTTCGTTCTTGTTTTGCTCATGCTAGCTGTATGGATATGTGGTCGAAGTATTGAGCTGGCACAATCTCGATATTGGTACCTGATTCACTGCAAGAACACGGTTTACAAAACAGGCGCACAAAATCAAACGTCACTAGAGCAAAATGTCTGGCGATTGGGTCTAGTATCGAAGGAGGGAACAGAGATGAAAGATCGTTCTGGAAGGGCACAATGATCTATCTACGCAAACTACGAGTCGTCAGTCACGCTAGGGGGGCACCCGCAACCAGGGGTTGTTTCAAGTACTACCTAGTTGGTAAATGTACTTATTATTAAAATAGACGAGGGTTTAAAATTTTCATGCCGAACCGAGACGGTGGGGCACCGCCTACATCCTGGCACCCGTTACCAGCCAGAATGAAGATATTGCCAAGATGTGCCCCACATTGCCATGATTCCCGTGGGCACCTTACGGACATCGTGGATCTGCTATCCACAGAACTAGTTGCAGAGCTACAATCTTACACTTCGCTAGAATGCTAGCACAGTTAATAATATGTCTTTTCATTTTGGTTTGTCCAAGATAGTCAAATCAATGCTTGCGTCATCTAAGTAGAATAATATTCATATGTTTCTAGAAGTAAACATTAAGTGAACCTCATATGCCAGTATGGACTTAGAAAGAAGCAGCGAAAGCTTCGGTAACAGACTTCAACTTTTCTAATAATTCCTTGGATAATTCACCCTTTTCTCTGACAGCGTCCAAGATTTCTGGAGCGTCAGACTTCAAGTGAGACAAGAAGGATTCTTCGAATTCACCAATTCTTTCAATAGCGACTTCATCCAAGAAACCGTTAACACCAGCGTAAATGATTGGGACTTGTTCTTCAGCGGCCATTGGGCTGTATTGCTTTTGCTTCAAGATTTGGGTCAATCTTTCACCTCTGGACAAGGTTTGCTTGGTGGAAGCATCCAAATCGGAACCGAATTGGGCGAAAGCAGCGACTTCTCTGTACTGAGCCAAGAACAACTTCAAGGAACCAGCAACTTGCTTCATGGCCTTGACTTGAGCAGCGGAACCGACACGAGAGACGGACAAACCGACGTTAATAGCTGGTCTGATACCCTTGTAGAACAATTCAGCTTCCAAGAAAATTTGACCATCAGTGATGGAAATAACGTTGGTTGGAATATAAGCGGAGACATCACCACCTTGGGTTTCAATAACTGGCAAAGCAGTCAAGGAACCAGCACCGTTAGCTTCGGACATCTTAGCAGCTCTTTCCAATAATCTAGAGTGCAAGTAGAAAACATCACCTGGGTAAGCTTCTCTACCTGGTGGACGTCTCAATAACAAAGACAATTGACGGTAAGCAACGGCTTGCTTGGACAAATCATCGTAGACAATCAAAGCGTGTCTACCGTTGTCTCTGAACCATTCACCAATAGCACAAGCAGTGAAAGGAGCAATGTATTGTAATGGAGCGGCTTCAGAGGCGGTAGCAGCAACAATGATGGAGTATTTAAGAGCATCGTGTTGTTCCAAAGTTTGGACCAATTGAGCGACGGTGGATCTCTTTTGACCAACAGCGACGTAAACACAGTACAACTTCTTGGATTCGTCGGTACCGTTGTTCCATCTCTTTTGGTTCAAGATGGTGTCCAAAGCGACAGCGGTCTTACCAGTTTGACGATCACCAATGATCAATTCTCTTTGACCTCTACCGACTGGGACTAAGGCATCAACAGACTTCAAACCAGTTTGCATTGGTTCGTGGACGGATCTTCTTGGCAAGATACCTGGGGCCTTAACTTGGGCTCTGGAAGAGGAAGAGGCGTTCAATGGACCCTTACCATCGATTGGGTTACCCAAACCGTCAACAACTCTACCTAACAATTCTGGACCGGTTGGGACATCAACAATCTTACCGGTTCTCTTAACGGTTTCACCTTCCTTGACCAATCTGTCAGAACCGAACAAGACAATACCGACTTGGTCGGCTTCCAAGTTCAAGGCCATACCTTGGACACCGGAAGAGAATTCAACCAATTCTTCGGCTTGAATGTTGTTTAAACCGAAAACACGGGCAATACCATCACTATAATGTTAGTAACAAGTCGAATGAAAAAATTTTCCTAGAAAGTTATACGTACCCAACGGACAAAACTCTACCGGTTTCGTTCAAGTTAGCTTCATCAGAGACACCTCTGATTCTTTCTTCCAAGATAGAGGAAACTTCAGTTGGAGCAGCCTTGGCAGAAGCGAATCTTCTGGCAGACAATTGAGTTGGGCGAGCCTGTAACAGTTAGTATTGAGCTTGAATTGGTGAGTGGATGGAATGCTGAAGGTTTGGTGGTAACAGTGCTTGGAGCTGGGTTTGATTGGCCATGATTGGGCAAGTTCTGGATGTCGACCTGTTGAAGTCTGTTGAGTGGATGCCAGGTGGACACGTTGTGGCAACAACCCCAGCCAGTGCCACCGTTAATCAATTACAATTGATTGATCTGGCCATTGACCGATTGATCATTGGCCCTTTCTGTCTCAGATACCCACTCCTTTTTGGTTCTTCAGTCTTTGCCAGTGAATCAAGCAAGACCACCAACATCCACTTGGGTCCATTGAATACATACAATACGCAAACCCCTAGCCACGGCAGTAGCTGAGCGAGCAGCAGAACGTAAGACTGGACGAGCTGACAACATCTTATACTATCAAATTTAACTAATCCTAGTTAAAAAAAAAGTGGTGGTAGGTAATAAATATGAAAAATCCTGCCAGTGTTTCCTCGCTCGCTCGGCGCCAACCAACCAACTTTCTTTGGTTGTCCAACGGGTGCCGGACAACTTCGCGCGGATGGGGGCCTGTGATTGGCCGGCACATGTGCGGGTAACTTCAGCGGTAGTGCGGAACTGGAGTATTAGAGTCACGTGAGTTTCTTCAACCCGTGTTCCGGCGCCAGGAGGGACTAGTTGCTCCTGGCGGATGGAGGGGTGTGGGGCATTGTTGGGACCACTGGAATGATGGCTTCCTAAAGATTTGCCACGCTTTCTACAGCACGCTGCCTTTGGCGCCCATTTCGTCTGTTTCGCCCCACAGGTGCCTGATCCGCCATGTGCGGAGGACCACCGTCGGTCACTCAATGTGTGGACCAACAGCCGATCCGAGAGGGTACTGACGCAACCCCAGCACCTGTGTTTTCAAGCCGGTAGTTTAATTGACCTCCCCAGCCCCGTGTAGGCCCAACCCAACCTATTCCACTATACCGGTTACTCAGGAAGCTCTGGTTACGTAAGCGGTCGTCCGCTGCCAAACACCTGGTGCGCGAAGTGAAAAATCTACCTCTCACAATCAAGGCCAGTCAAGGTCAATTCCATAGCATCAATGTACAACTCGGTCAAGGCCCCTTTAAGAAGGGTTGGATTGAGGTTCCAGTCCAGTGACTCCAAGAACTCGGTCTTCCTCTCTGATTTGTTCAAGAGAATAGAAGAAGTCACCGCAAAGACCAAGGACATCAAGCCTGCCGAACGTCCAAAGAAGACCTTCAACAAGAAGAAGCCACTCAATAAGAAGCCTGCCACCTTGGCTGCCAAACCAGCTCCCCAGCAACCTCAAAATGTCATAAAGGTGCAAGATCACTCCTTGATGAACAGTTTCGGCCAGAGCTATGCTCAGTTTGCAACTACCGGAGGTGCTCCTCGCGGACCACCAAGAACTCCTAGAACTCCTAGAGCTCCAGGTGTCAGAACCGCTAGAGGACCAAGACCCCCCAGATCAGATGCTCCAGCTCCCTCTGCTGCCAGACCGGCTCCTCAAAGACAAGCCAGACCAACGAGACAAAGGGCATTAGACACTTCAGAAAAGGACGGAAAGGTCCCAAGTAAGAAATTGGTGGCACAGCCTTTGGTTCCACAACTCGGGGGTAACACCTTCTTCTACGGCAAGCTCACCACTGTCAACCCCTGTGTTACATCCAGAGTTGCATCTATAACAAAGGAAGCATTACTTAAGTCCAAATACCCATACTTGGCACCCAAGCATATCATCGACCACTTGCCCGAAGGCCCCCAGAACAAGTTCTTGCTCCAGAACAACTACTCGTTGGAGGTCGACCAAGACGCTTTCACCTCCAGATTCAACGAGGTGGTCAAGGGTACTCCTCAGCAAATCAATGTAGGTGTCAAGGGAGCCCAGGCCGAGTTCACCAGGGCGGAAATCATGAAGAACGGTACTTTGAATGTGGCCAACAAGCAGACGCTTTTCGACATTGTCAACGGGTTGAAGAGTCCCAAGGATTTATTTGCCAACGCTGCGTGGGCTAAGAAATAAGTCCGCTCGCACTATATATGTACATAGGAATTCACAAATTCACGTCAGCCAGTCCAGGACACATTTCTGTCCGTACAAACATCGTACAGCCCTGTGGCGACTCGTAGGGGCCATGCAACATGCCTGGGTGGCGGTAGCAGTAGGAGTCCTTGCCAAACCACTGGGCGAGGGAGGTGTCGTAGAGGGCGCCCTCGAGGATGTACACTTCCTCGTAGTACTGGTGGCAGGTCGTCTCGGTGGTGACTGTTCCGGGAGCGTACTTCTGGATGAGAGTAGCAGTGCCCTGGTCGTCCCGATTTAGGTACTTGTTGAAGATGGACGGATGGGCAGTTGGCTGCCAATTTTGGGGCGCCACATGCAACTCGGACTGGGGGTACATGGTTGGTAATTGGGGCAATGTTATTGGACGAGGAGGGGATATGGGAGTCGAACACAAACCGGAAGTGGATAGTGTATTATTAATGATGTGGGCCCATTATGGGATTTCCTGGCTATTTCGCAATATTCCTCCAGGGTGAGCACAGTGTGTGGAGACCGGATTAGTATGGGCGCAAGCCGCACCGATTGTTGCGACATGTTGCGACAATAACCACAAAGGGATCAATCGCAGATATCGGCCGCCAGATCGATAGCCATTACACATGTGTGCTAGAGTGGACTACATGGCTTGCTGCCACCAGATAAGAACAGAATTTATTAGCTAACTAAAGACCCACCCACGAAATGAACGGCGCTTCCAGAAGCGCCAGGCAGAACTGACCCAGTCATACCTTGTTGAAGAGCGCTCTGGCACTGATGGTGCCTTTAGTGGCCGACTGGGCAAAGTTGTGGGACTCCTTGTAGGACAATGCAAACGGAAGGGTGGTGGAAATCACCAAGTATCCGAGGAGTAGCACGGTGGAGGACGAGGTGGCGGGTTTCATAAATGTGTGCATGATGCGATGGGTTTTTGCAATGGGATCTCTGGCTATTTATATGGTATAACCACAGTAGGAAGTAGTCAATGCAATCAGGTGACATTTGCATTCGCTCCTTGACACAAAGATCCGCTCGCACAATCGCACTGTCAGCGGTCCTGGCCGGGGTAGCCTGACCGCGCACCGCCATCTCGGAGGGGCCCCGGCCCCTTGAGGTGATTGCACCCGAGCTCCCTACGACCCCCTCCCTAGTCCCTGGCAACCTATTGTGCGAATCCATTGTAGAGTCTTGAAGTAAGGGTTTGGGTACGAGGTGATGGGAGGTTGGCCCCCTGGACCCTTGGAGCGGAAACCTGCCGTGATTGGTCGTGTTGCCGTGCTGCCGTGCTGCCGTGCCCTGGCCAGCTGGGGTTGGTCTAGCGCCGAATCACCTGTCCATCTCGTTTCTGTCGTACCCCAACTATCACGAACTCTGTCCTGCGCAGGCGCCAAAATCAGGGCAGGTTGCGTCTGTCCTCTGTTGAGGACCGCCACTCCGTAGTCTTGGTGAACCTATCACGCCGCCATACAGGCCAATGGGCTGAAACAGCAGCACAGTTGGCCATTGCTGGTAGTCTTTTTTGTGGTGGAAGGGCTCCATTTGCAACCAGGCCCTGGACACAAGTGGCCCCACAAGTGTCCTGATCTTCCCCCGTCGTAGCCAGATCGTGCGCGCGACTCCGAATCGGTGGCTGGTGGCAAGCGCAACAGACACCGCCAGGATGAATTGGGGCGTAGCGACGGGCAATGTCACCTTGGCAAAGCTCGCAATTGAACCAATGAGACCGTTTTGGAGCTACAATCGATTCTAGCCAAACCTACGCTATTATTGGCATAACGGGGTAGTTACAATTCCGCTAGCACGCCAAATGAGGCAAGTCCCGTTTCTGCCATCGCCGCCCCTATCTTCCTTTGAAAATAAGGCTCTGAAAGAAAGATGCATAAACTTACCACCCCGATCTACACTTCGGTACGAATAGATTTAAATAGTAATAACCATAAATCATATACAAAATGGGGTATCCTCACGCTAGGTACTTAGATTAATCCTGTTGCACCTTGGCGTAACTGGGAGGCCGCAATTTCCTCTCTATATATCTGCTGATCCACACGGGTAACAAGCTGAGGGCTAGAATCACGGCTACTTGCCATAAATAACTGAACGAAGCCACGTATTCCAAGTCAAAATAGTCGGACAAAAATGGCACAGACACCACATAGATCATAAGCGTGATCACCACCGTACTGGTGACCACCTTGTTCCACCTGAAAACTGAGATGGCCACCATAATCAACTCGTTGTAGATCAAGCACGAAAATGAAAGCGCCACCATTGTCTTAAATTTGTCTTGATCTAAAGTCTGGAATGCTTGTGATAATATCTGTATAACTATGCCTTGGTGGAGCGATATTAACACCCAAACAAAAAACGTCTTATAAGACAACGACTTACCAAGGGTCAACTCCTTGTATAACTCAGGGTACAATCTGGTCAAATGCTCATCGATATCGTTGTCCTTGGTAAGCGAAAACACTGGTGCCATGGTGTACAATGTAGAATACCCCACCATCAACCACCCCTGGTACAATGCTAAAGGTTCAAATCCGGTGGAAATCGAATAAACCGCTTGAGCAACCGAAATCAATAATCCACGATGAATAACAAACTGTCCCAAACGAGCCGAACGCTTGTAAGAGTTTCTACCGTGCCAGAGCAATAGTTTCACCAAATGGCAAAACTGATCAATACTGAAATCAGCTGCCAAAGATGCCTGCTTACCTTCCTTACCAACAATACCAACACCAACATCTGCACATTGAATCATGCTGACATCATTACCTCCATCTCCAATACAGCATACTCTCTTTCCAGTAATCTCTCTGATCATGGTGGCAACATCAGCCTTCTGCTGTGGGGAGCACCGACATGCAACGACTGCCGGTAAATTAATAACGACCTCAAAAAATTCTTTCTTGTAGTATTTCATGTACATCCCTAAGGATTCTCCATCAATCAACAAACAAGCGTTCTTATTAACCTTCAAGTATTCCAATTGATTCATGGCTAATTCCGGATGACTAACCTTTGTTATTTGATGAACATATTGTCCTCTCGAAATCAATCTTGCACTTATGGATACACATTTTGCTGTTTCCACCTTATCACCAGTCAACATCCAGATCTTGATACCTGCATTCCGAAGTAATTCAATAGATGTTTTGACATCATGTTGCAACTTATCTTCAACACCTGTAAGGCCCAAGAGTTCTAAATCCAGCTCCAAGTATTGGCCGATGACTTTTTGCATAGCAGAATCTCTATCATGCATAGATAATGTAGCTTTCTTGTAGTCTTGAACGAAATTTTCGTATAAATGAGAACTTAATCTCTTCTTACCAATGACCAAAGTTCTCAATCCTTCCCTAGCCATATTGCCAGTTTCTTCATCGAGCCAGTCATTCGTGTTGACAATGGCAGACATCACTGTATCTGCTCCCTTTTGTAAAAACCAGATCTCATCATGATGTTTATCCTTCACAATTATACCCATTCTTTTGGTATCCGAGGAAAATGGAAAATTATACAAGATCTCAAACTCAAGGGTTTGATTGGTCATGGTATGCAATAAAGAAACAGATCTTCTATCTCTTTTAAAAAGTTTTAATCCAACCAATTCTGTAAATTTGACTATAGCAACTTCATCTGGTGAGGCAGCTTGGTAGCTCACATCACCATTGACCTCGTCATCCTCATTCTCATAAGTTGGGGTAACATTATGACAAAGAGCTAGGGTGAGAATCAAATCACATACTTTTGAACTAAGATCTTTCTTTTTTGTAGCTCCAGTGGGCTTCGCATCAAGAATAGTTAACATATTTGTAACATAATCGGTGACAATATCCAAGGATTCTCCTGCATAACTCACAGTTCCTAAATGTAACTTTTTCATTTCCATATCATTTTGGGTCAATGTTCCTGTTTTATCACTCAACAAGTATTCTATCCTACCCAAGTCTTCTGGAATCGTAGAAGTTCTGACAATAGTGTCAGGGATGTCATTGTCCTTGTGAATCTGTGAAGCATAAACTGACTTTGCCAAATCTAGATTGACTCTTAAAGAAACTGGAATAATCGTGGAGAATAAAATTAAGAATCTGAGGATATCAATATACCAAGTGTCCCTCAACGGAAATCCATGAGCCAAAACCAAGCCCACTGATAATGCTGCAACCACGAAACATAAAATTTTGGAAAGACTGTTGATTTCAAGTTCCAAAAGCCCCGTCTTAACACCAGTTTTTGTAGTATTCATGGCCTGTCTGGTTTCTGTACCTGTGTATGCTATAATTCCAATAGCAGTACCCGAGGCCAAAACCGTGTTTGCCCATAATGTTTGGTCTATTGTTAATGCATATGTTTCATTCCCAGTTGTTGGTGAAACTGAGCCAGCAACAGATTGAGGATGGTAGACTAATTTTCCCGCAAAGTGATGAATGGACTTTGTTGGTGGGTTTATAATAATGGAAATGGTATTGATGAGTTGTGCTGCGGTAGTAATCGATTGGGTCGCAGGACAAGCAACCCTGAGCTTCCAATCAGTTTCACCATCTAACTGATCCGTCTTTATAAATGCCTCGCCTGTCCCTTCTTTGTCTGAAGTCTGCAACAAAACCATATCAGCTGGGATTCTTGTGTCTTTGTGAAGTCTGACCAAATCTCCGACTTTCAAATTTTTGGAAGGCACAAGCTTGTAGTCCTGGGCTAAATTATTAGGAGTACGGTTAAGGACTTCATATAGTTCGTTGTTTTGTTCTCTATCACGACGACGTCTGGCAATATCATCTCCAGCTTCTTTCATCATGGTGACCGTTAAAACAAATGCAAGTGGTACTATGTATGAAGACAAATAACCAATTCTGAGAGCTGGAATGATCTGGGATAATGCTACCAACAAGAAGTAAAGGTTGAAAAAGAACCGGAACTGGTCGTATAAAATGATCGGCACAAAGGTGATAGCGTTGTACTTCGCATTTGAGACAGCATTGGATGGATAGGCGTCACTAGATTTGGATTTCACGTTTCGTGGAGATATGTATCTTTCATCGGAAGCATTGCCATCCCGAAGCGACACTCCCAGTCTGCCCTGATTTAATTCCTTCTTGGCACTGATGAAAAAGTTGATTCCCTTCTTGAATGCCCTTTTGATTGATAAGGAAAATGGAAGGGATCGACCGCCTCCTAAGTTAAGAGACGATGTAGATGAAGAAAAGGACCTGTTGAGAGTGGAATATGCTTGGTTGGCGATTAAAGGCGAGCTATCGCTATGCTCGTCCTCTCCTCGGATGCGATCAAATGAGTGGCCCATGTTGGAAAGTGGAATAGCCCCCATGGAGCCTTGAGAACCTTGCCTGGACCCGTTCGGTCCGTGACCTTTATTATATTCAAATAGATTATTGGAAGCATTGTTCAAAGCCCGATCCAATGATACGTCTAGGTCATCGAACGAGTCGCCCTCGTTATCCTCGCTAAACGAGAATCGCCTGGACATGTTATTCTTTGGTATCCGTAAGATGGATCTCAAGTGAGTGTTGGCAGGTTTGTATCAAAAACATCACGTGCGGCTGTCACCCTCGACTGGTATCAGTAATTAGCGGCGAGACCTCGTCCCTCTACGATAAGGTTGAACATACAGTCACGAGTTACTGGCGCTATTTAATTGGACATGCTGTCAGACGACGAATCACAGGAATTGTTGGCAGTGTCAGCGACTTCCTCTCACAACAATCTCACGGATAGAGCTAAGACGGATGCATTACACAAACGAGTAGATGAGCAGTCAACCAAAACCAATACCCTCTTGAAGAAGACGTGGGAGTTCTTCAAACATCAAGTTTTAGGCCGCCCCAATGAGTTCGAGCAGTTTGTCTTGAATAACGAACCAAATGACAGCTCTTTGATTGCCAAATACACCAAGGTGGTGGATATCGACTTAACCGAACAACCGTTACTGGTTGACTCGGTGACGTTGAATACTATCCATATCCCTCACCCATTGGTCAGCTTTATGAGGAACGAGAAGAATCAAGTACTGGATTCAGACTTGGACATAGTCACCGACTTGAAGGAATCGCCAATATTGGTCTTCATCCATGGATTGGGTGGACAAATGTCCCAATTTGAACCCTTGATGGGTTTGCTATCTCAATGCCTGGAAATTGTGTCGTTGGACTTACCAGGCTTTGGAAACTCGAGACTTGACTTTTCCAAAGACTCAAAACTGGAAACTAGTTTGACCGAGGATGAGAAAGTAAGAATTTCTTCAAGTGTCAAAAAGATGTCGTGGGAAGATTTTCAGACGGATAATATCGTTAATATCATTTACGAGTTTATTCGGCAAAACATTGCCAAAGGTAAGAGGATTGTCTTAATTGGACATTCTATGGGTACTCATCTTTCGATTAAAGTAGCTAAAAAGCTACCATCTCAACAAGTTGAAGGATTGATTTTATTATCTCCGCCTGGATTGACTGATGACGTTGAGAAGGAGATACCTTCCCATAAAACTGGAACAGTGACGTTATTGAAGTTTTTCACGTACTTCCCATTCTTTTTCAATGCCTTCAGATGTTGGGACAGGTTGGAAGGTTTGAACAGTACCAGTGTGCTAAGACAATTGGGTAAGGTTACAAACTTAGATCACAATATCTACGTTAAGTTAAGGCAATTTAGATGGAATATGGATGTACACTCGGATGTTGTGTTGAAGTATGCTTCTGGGTTCCGCAAAGCCAAGTACTCGGAATTACTTGCAGGAATATCCAAATTCAATGACAACGCTCTGGATAAAACGGTGTATGAGAAGACTTTGCTCATTGGAGGAACTAATGATGGGGTCACCCCAGTGAAAATAATTCACGAAGTGGATGCTTTCTTGACCAAAAAGTTTGATAGAAAGGTATCTTCAATAATAGAGGTTAATAATGCAGGTCATTCTCTATTGCTAAACAAACCAGAACTCATTAGTGGAATGATTTTGAACCACGTGGAGCTGAAGTTCCCAGAGAGGTTACATTTGTCGCCAGCGTGGGTTCTAAAGGTGAAAGCGAAGATTTCTGGTGATAAATGGGGTTTGAAGAACGAGTTGAAGTGGCTGGCCCTCAAGCCAATCTCTTCGAACATTGGACGTGATGGGGGTCGCGATGTGTCTCCTTTGTTAGGAATGAAGACATTGAGAGAAGGCGACGCAAACCACTCGCCTACCATTGTTGAGCAAAGGTTCTATGGTAACTCTAGGGTCCAATCAGATCTTCAGGGTACTTTGGTAGCCATTGTGGACATCTCTGCTGATATTCCGCCATACAGTCCTAAATCGTTTAAGCACATCCAATACTACAAGTGCTCTACTGTGTCGAAAGTAGTACCTGACCAGGTTGCAGTCAGACGGTTTATTCAATTGATTGACGATATCTTATCCAACACTACTACGGAAAATCCATTGGTCGCAGTGCATTGTCACTATGGGTTCAACAGAACCGGATATTTAATATGCTGCTATTTGATAGAACGACTTGGTTGGACTGTTCAAGAGGCTGTGGATGGTTTCAAGGATGCGAAATTTCCTGGCATCAAACATCCCCATTTTATTGACGGATTGTACGTCAGGTACGAGGGGTAATCATTGCGAGACTCGGGAATTCCTACCCATGACGTAATGCACTATTCTCTCCTGCGCCAAGGTTCGGATTTCCAAACTTACCTTTTTGGGTGCGACATACGAAGTCTTACTTACGAACTGCCACTTACGAACTCTGACGTACACATCCGGGCCGCGCTTTATCCGCGGCATCAGTTCACCACCGTGAATTTCTATGATTTAAAAGGGCACCCTTAGCCTCAATTGTTTGGCAACCCCACCCTTCAACCAAAATGTCCAAGATCCCATTGGTTGTGCGCAAAGACATCAAAGATGCCGAGGCTGTCAATGCTGAACACTTGCTGAAGATAAATGCTACCCTTGGTACCAATTGGGCTTTGGAAATTGATTATGCTGCTTTCTACGAACAAATCAAGGACACCCACCCAGACTATGCACCACAAGTGGGAAGTGTTTCCACTTGGTACATGGCCAGCTTGGCTCAGGCTATTTCGAGCTTTGTCCAGAAGGACGACATGTACAAAGATGCGTTAGTGGAAGAAGTTTCTGCCAATGCCATCAAGGCGTTCAAGGTGGTTCCTCAAAACACTTACGATTCTACTGTTCATAACAAAATTGCCTTTGAAGATGGGAAGTTGGTCATTATTGTTCCAGAAAACCTGATTGCTGTCAATATCGATGATCTCGGTAATACTTTGGAAGAGAGCCTTTAGATAGTCTGAAGTAGAAGTGAATATACTATGTGATTTTGACAAAACTTTTTTTTGAATGCAAAATGTTATTTTTTTTGTATTGTTCTCAATATTTCGTATTTTCAGTAGTTGATTGTTGAACCAATCTTTTGTATCTATTGCATCTAAATGGAACTAGACTATTCTTACATTCCTTTAAACTGTTTTTGAAATGAAGTATCTACACCGGTGAATCTGTTAAAGTTAATTTACTCATATAAACCCATCAGACCAAACTCTTACCAGGTTGAAATGTATCCAAACTTGAGATATAATCCGAATGTAGCTCGTGTTGCAAGCCCTTTAATCAAATATGATTTCACTAAGTGTTGGACATGTCTCCTGGGATGCAAAACTTGGCACTAATTGAACCTATTTAATGCCATAGTAATTGCATGCACGTGTTTCGCAAATATCTTATCAATACTTTCGGATCACTTTTACCATACCGAACCATCATGAAGTTTGCGTCTTCCTTGAGCGAGGGCTTAGTTCCCGAATGGAAAGAGCAATACGTCAACTACGACGAAGGGAAGGTACTAATCAAGAAACTTAAGGCTTCGAAATTCGAATCTCATGACCCACAAGATAATCTGAAAACCTCGCAGGCTGCGACAAACTCAAGGACATTGGAGGTAGATGGGGCACAGGAAGATAATACAGAAAGACCGCCATTGAGAGACAATCGTGGAAGATCCAGGTCTATCTTCAAGTTTTCAACCAAATCACAGAAGGAATCTGTGGAGCCTGGGTCTGAAGTAGTACGATTCGTGGAGTGGCTCAATACTGAATTTGCCAAAGTCGAGGCGTTCTACGAAGAGAAAGAACAAGAAGTCCACGAGAGGTTTCTACTTTTACAAGACCAACTCTACCAACTCAGAGACCACAAAGCACATATTTTGCAGAATAGACTCCATAAAACTGATGATGGGCCCTATGGAACTGTACAGGACTTTGCCTTGAACACCAAGAATGTATTTGCATCATTGAAAGGATTAGAGTTACCATCCCTTCCAGCCACAGCATTTTTAAAGAAAGCGAAGTCCGCACCCAATGAATTGACCTTGCTAACAGAAAATACCGAAAACAACTACCATGTTAATTACGAAGAAAACAGAATCAGGAATGGCTTGGAAGTAGTTGATGATAACTCAGATATCGAGTCGGACAGCTCAACATTGAATCAGCGTCGCAGTTATGAACCGGCACGAGAGTCGCCCTCGCAAGCAAAGCTAGCCAACAAAAGAGACTATTCTGTAAAGAAACATCATTTTGGAGTTCCATATATTTTCGCTCGAAAACAGCTTAAGGATGCAGTTCTTAAGCACTATCGTGCATTGTCGTTGTTGAAATCTTACAGGGAAATGAACAGAACTGCTTTTAAGAAAATTACCAAAAAATTCGATAAGTCAATGCATACTAATATTAGCGAATCATATATGGACAAAATTGATAACCACTCCTATTTTCAAACGAGTGATCTTCCAGACAAGTTATCTAAATATCTTGAAGAGTTGTTCATTGCATTTTATGATCCAGAAACTACTGACAAGAAACGATCGTTAGAGAAATTGAAAAGCATTGCATATGCAATCAACAACAATCACATGAGGCAAATAACGCATTACCTGCCATTATTCACGTCGGGTCTTTTACTTGGTATTGGTATTCCATTCTTTATCCTCGGGTTAGTAAAGGCATTAGAGAAAACATTAAGTGGTCATTATTCCCAAGGAAAGTACATGTTGCAAATTTGGGGAGGATTCTTTCTTATAGATTTTACTTTGCTATTATTTGGAATCAACTTCATGGTATTTGATTACTTCAAGATAAATTATAAATTTATTTTTGAGTTCGATATTACAACAGCATTAGATTTTAAGCAGTTTGTTTTAATTCCTTCAATTGGATTTTGCTTGATGAGCATTCTAGGGTGGTTCAGTTTCCAGGAGATATGGCCTATTGCATTTCCTGGTAAGGATTGGCCTTGGCTCTATCTTGGGATTATGTTGATCGTGTTTTTATGGCCTGGAAAACAACTCTACGCATCAAGTAGGAGATGGATTCAGATAGCTTTATGGAGAATATTATTATCAGGTTTCTACCCAGTCGAGTTCAGAGATTTCTTTATTGGTGACATCTTATGCTCAATGACATATACAATGGGAAATATACCATTCTTCTTTTGCTTATACTCCCGCGAATGGGGAGGATCAGATACCTCTTTCCTGAATCCAATTTGTGGATCTTCGAGGTCCCGTTTGGTGGGATTTTTCAGTACATTACCAAGTATTTTCAGATTGCTCCAGTCATTGAGACGTTTTATGGATACTGGTGATTCATTTCCCCATTTGGCTAATTTGATGAAGTACGCATTCAATGTCACCTACTACGCTTTGTTGAGTAATTATAGAATTACCACCAATGAGAAGAATAGGGCCGCGTTCATCGTGATCGCCTCTCTTAATTCTATCTTTTCTGGTGCATGGGATGTGGTCATGGATTGGTCATTATTACAAAGCGGTTCAAAGCATAAGTTTTTGAGAAATAACTTGTTTTTCAAATGGCCTGGGTATTATTACATGGCCATCGTTGCTGATATCATGCTCAGATTCCAATGGATTTTCTATGCATTTTTTTCAAGTCAAATCCAGCAACTGGCTGTTACCAGTTTCTGTATTGCCGTTGCCGAAGTTATTAGAAGATTCATTTGGATCTTTTTCAGAATGGAGAATGAACATTGTACGAATGTTATTTTGTTCAGAGCATCTAAGGATACGCCTTTGCCATACTCTACTAGTACAAGGGTACTCAGGGCTATCAAGAAATTGGTTGAGTTGAGATATTCTTCGAATAACGATGTTGGTGTTGTGCAAGCCAACAGGTTCAGCAATGGGGCTAGTGGACAATCTCTGGCTGTTAGTGGAACAGGCAGAGCGTCGACACACGATGAAGAATCAGAAGTTGGAAGAAACAATACTCCTAATACGTCACTCAGCAGAAGAAGGTCTACTTTCAACGCCATCAGTGACAGTTTACAGAATGCCCACATCAAGGATTTCCAAAGGAAAAACAAGATTATTAGTAGTGTGGCAGAAAGCGATGATGAAGAGGACGAAGAGGACCACAACCTTTAATGCCCGCGTAGGGCCTTACCTATAGCACAGAGGTCAGTTTTATTTCAAGAGTAAGTTTCTGGAAAACGAGACTTGCCTTGGCTAAGTCGATTTTTTAATATCACTGCATAATAAGTGAAGTAAACTTCATAATTATTAATTTTATAGAATTCTTGCATGTTAATTATAGTTAAATACATCACAATTAAGCAAAATTAGGGATATAGGCGCGGTCCAGAGAGCACCCTTCATAGCAAAATGAAGAAATAATCTTGAATAAATACTTCAAGTAGTTTCGTTTATGTCTGCGTTGCTTTAGATGAAACAATAGAGTTTTAAGGGGGCCAAGGCTGGAAGGGTGGGTCGAGCTGGCAGCTAGCCAAACAGCCATAGTATTATATGAGCAAAGTTCTAATTGCCAGGGGACCAACAATTTCAAGCATTATTGAACATTTTTTTAGATTTACTTAATGATCACCCTATCATACGTTCTACTGACACCGATCGTACGACCAAGGCATACAAGGATTTCCGTCACCCAATTTAATTCAGACAGTGTATTCGATCACGCCAAAGAGGTATACAAATTCTTGTCATGTTTGGGTGCTTCGAACAACTGGCTTGCAAACGTGCGCCTTGAGTAGTTAGTGAGGAAGAACAAGATGACGTTATAGAAGCATTACAATCTATGCCATGCAAGGCATCAGTAAGCATAGTTACGAGCTGATTATGAGCACTACAAGCAAAATTAGGATTCTAGAAATTGATCAGAAATGCCTCGCACAATTGCTACTTACAAAGAGATCCTGTTTGATTGTCCCTCCTACTGAACACAACTGTTCCACCAGGCGGCTCATGGTATTTGACCCTGCATACTATAACAGTTCAGGAAAATTTTTCGAGAGGGCTCGTGTCCGATGCTGCAACCGTTAGAAAATGCACATCGTGGCCACCATGCGTCTTCGCTTGATAGACGAGGATTTTCCCCATAACAGGTCAACTCCCGTACATGTAGCTGTGAAAGTGCCGTGACACAAGTAGTACTGGTATTGGCTACGGCTTATTTGGGTAAGCTCTGAATTAGGACGTCTCCCTGTGGTCCGCCGAATCGTGCGCCTCCCGCACATCGGAGCCTTGTGCAGAACATTTGCATAATACACCGTGAGTACCGAGAGGCCAAAAATAATTCAAAAAAGAGATTACTTTCTTTCTAGGCAATGGTATTGGTAATGATCGAATAGTGGTGCCATTCATGAGATAACATCACAGCCCACACCCCACAGCCTTCCTTATCATGTATTCAGTGTTGCAACTTATCTTCACGCTAATTGCTATGATCAACTTAGTGACTTCAGCGGTAATTTACTTCAGGGAGCGACACGATGGCGTGAGTATAAACTCGGGGAACAACTTTCAAGCTTGGAAGGTGTGCATGATCATGAGTATTGTTTCTGGGTTGGTGGCCGTTCTAATCATGTTAATCAACTGGGGAAAATAGCCCGATTCCAAATTTAATGACCGTTTCTGGGGACCAAATAAGGTTAGTTTGGGACCGTTTTGTGTTTGCACAGCGTTTATTGTGCCATGAAACATATCTTAGGTCATAATGCTCATCGCTAGCATCTACGTTTGCTACACCGTCTTCTGTGATTCTTTTATTCGTTTATTTATGGATTGTCATTAAATTTTTTGCTTTTTGGTCTGGCTTTCATCCAATCCTTCAACAACATGAGGAACAATAGGCAAACCTCCGTTAGTGGTAGGTCTCACAAGCGGAGTACCCAAGTCAGAATGGAACTCCTTGATGATGGAATCAACATCATCGATGTTCAATTGTCTGACATCTCCCAATTTCTTGATCTTGTTGGTAACTTCCTTACATTGGTCGTCAGTCAAGTTCAAGTTCAATTGGTCAACTCTCGACTTGATGGCATTCCATCCTGTCAACCTGTTAGCAAAATGAATATATCTAGTCAAACCGAAGTCAGCAGGACTCAAAATTTCATATGTAGATGGGTTGGCCAAAATAGCCTTGGCGTGAATACCAGCCTTGTGGGTGAATGCACAGAAACCAGTGATTGGGTTGTTGAATGGAATATTCACTTGAACGGCTTCTGCAACCAAGTTCTCTAAGTCTCTGATTTTGTGCACCTTGTACTTGGATAAAACATAGTCTCTATCGGCAGCAATCATTCTAGCCATCAAACCACCCAATGGGGTGATTCCGTTTCTTTCCCCGATACCCAAAACGGAAACATCGATCAATCTAGCACCACCTTCTAAAGCAGTGTAGGCGTTGGCAATAGCACAACCAGTGTCATTGTGGAAATGACATTCGATGTCGCAGTTGACAACCGACTTCAAAGTACGGACCAATTCATAGACTTGTCTTGGGTTGGCGCATCCAACGGTATCAGCAATACCAACTCTGTTAACACCAATCTTGTCGACAGTTCTGTAGATGTTCAACAAATCCACCAAGTCGGATCTGAACGAGTCTTCAGAAGAGAATCTGATTTCGATACCCTTGGACTTGACGAACTCAATGACTTCGATGGCACTTTGGGCAATATAGTTCATGTCCTTACCGTGAGAGTATTCACGAAGGAATTGGGAGGTACCAATGACCACATCGACACCGTCAACACCGGTCTCGACTGCTACTCTGGCATCGTCCATATGACATCTGATGTGGGTCAAGATCTTTGCCTTCAAGCCCAACTTACAGATGGCTTCACAGTCCTTTCTGGACTGTTCGGAAGCAACCGGGGAGGTCAACTCGATGTAGTCGACACCGAAGTCGTCTAAGGCCTTGGCAATCTCAATTTTGGTTTCGGTGGAAAAGAAAGCGTTGGCAAACTGTTCACCTTCTCTGAGGGTGGATTCGATCAACTGGAAGTTGGAGACATTGGACAAGAAATCTGCGGGGTTGGGGCCGTATGGGTTGGCGTTGATCACGGCGTTGGAGACGTGTGAGTCCTCGCTAACCTTGTGGAAACCTTCTGGAGCTGACATTTGATTGATGAAGTATGGGAAACGTTCTATTGGAAAATTCCACCGATAAGAGTGTCGGTGTCACGTGCGACGTCGTCCTATGGAGGCTTGCGCTTACTCATAAATTTACTGGGGGCTATACAGGCTCAACTTGGGTGAGCGAATTCTGGCTGTAGAGAGAGTGGGTGTCTCCCACGATGGGGTTGTATCTGAACCCACTGAAGAGGGGGTTGTTGTTGAGGCTGCGGAAGAGCTGGGCGCTGTAGGTGTTGGACTCCGATGTCTGGTGGGGAGGTGAGTGTCGCACTGCCTCCTGCGAGGGATCTGGGGAAGATGCTGGCTGTTCTTGGAGCGGAGTTTGAATTTGGGACTCCGGTGTTGGGTTTAGTGTTACTTCGCCTGGTTCGCCTGGTGTAGAGACATTACGACCGTTATACCTGAAGCCGTGGTTCTCGGGTTGAATGTCAGTCTCTAATGCTGAAATTTGTAATGCTATGTGGAGCTGATCCTCCTCGCTGAGCCCGTGTTGCGCTCGCTGATCGTGCTCGAAAAGGAGCATGGGAATTATGCTGTGGAACTGGGAGTCGTCCACATGGTTGAGACCCCAGAGATCGATTTCCGATGGTAGGATATTGTATCTGGTCATCTTGCTGATCGACGACTCCAAGAGCTTGTCGTTTTTTATAAGGGCCCGATTCACCCTCAAAACCGGTACGTTGTATCTTGGATCAAACGAGAGCAAGTCGCAGGACTTGTGGAGGCGTTCACGGTACGGCGGCGTTTCGTCGTGGTACTCGTCCAAGGGCGGGGGGATGGAGGGGATGGTATCGAGCGATGCTCGCCTGGGACGGGTTCTGGCACGGTCTCTGCGTCTGGTATTTGGGGTATTTTCGTTGGGACTGGATGTTGCCCGGTTTCTCCTTCGCGACGAGGAGGGTGTAGGGCCTGGACGAGTCGCTGGCTCTTGTGTTCCAGGAGCTCTAGAGGTCGACAACTGATCCCTTCGGTCTCCTTGGTCCCTTTGGTCACTTCTGGAAGCTTGTAAAGGGCTAGATGCCCTCTTTTTTTGTCTAGGGTGCTTAGGCCGGGTCGGCTCTGTTTCCCTTGTTGATCCCGAGTCGATGGCTCTTGTGGGCTCCCCTAATATGCCAGCATCTCTCCTTTTCAAATGCTCGCTGTTCGCTCGTGGGATTTCTTCATGAGAGTCCTCATTAACCCCTCGAGCCTTGAGATGCTCTATGTTGTGGTCGTCTGAAAGCGTTGACTGATCCCTTCTCGATTTCTTCTTTGCTTTCGACTTTGCAGATGATCTCTGTTTGGGGGATTCTTTATCACTCGCTGGATCTTGTTTCTTACCCTTGCGATACTTTTGCCTGATTTTCCTTGGATCAGTTTCCATCTCTGGATTAGCCATATCTTGAGACGAAACCACCACCACATGCTTTTGCTGAACAGTTTGTGCTGCTTCAACCACAGTCATTAAGTCCATCGTCGCATTTGGGATGAGATGAGGAAATCGACTTGAAGCCGAGGTCGGACATGCTCTGTTCTCTCTTTCGTTGCCCACGGAAGGAGGACTGTCGGGAGGTGTAGATAAGTAGGTAGGTATCGTGTGGTTGATACTGGCGAACAAGTCGTGATCGTTGACAGGATAAGGTGGCGAGATGGGACGGGGTGGCTCGCGAGTAAATTGGCTCCTTGGAGCAGATCCAAAGATGGGGGAGTCTGGAGGTGTTTGTAAGGATGAAAACGCGCCTGCGCTGAGCGCCGGGCTCCCTGAAGGTGTCCCAGAGCCTGTTCCCGGCACAGTCTTTGGGGTAAATTTGGTGATGCCCATAGTAATTGCAGCCGCAGCTGAAAAAGATAATTTCAATAAATTGCTGGAATATAAACCGATCGCAAGTCAAAAATTGAACATTAAGTCAAAATAAAGAGAGCAACTGACGTATGTACAAACCGATGTGATTCAAGGCACATTCCAGGCACTTTGACGTGGAAGCCAATAACAGAAACGACAACCCCCACAACTTTCCTATAGCGGCATAGTGAGTAAGGTTACGCAATATGATTACGCTTTTGGGAGATTGGGGCTTTGGACCCCCACCAGGTGCGAGTGGGGCCAGCCCAACAACCTTATGAGGTCACGACGGCGAATGGACAATAAGGTAAGATGGGCCAGGGGCCGCAAGAGACTGCACAGCTACGGCATTCAAAAAAATGGTAGTCAATCGTAACAATATATATATTACGCTATTCACGCTTTGGTCCAACTACGAACAGATTGGTGAGGACGAGAGTGAGCCCAATGGCTTATTTCTTGATTTCCTTGATTTGGTTTTCCAACTTTTCAATGGTTTCCTTGTGCTCTTGTAACTTTTCTCTCAATTGCTTCAATTGTTCAGCTTCGTGCTTCTTGATGTACAAGTTTTCGTGAGCCTTTTCTCTTTCGTTGAAGGCTTCGCTGCCACCTTCGGTTCTGGCAACTCTGGCAGCAGAGAAGGATCTGATTGAGGTTCTTGGCAAGTTTCTGGCGATTTGAGACAACATGGTTGATGAATTGATGAAAATAGTAGTGGTACGTTGTTTTAATTGCCACTTGCGATTGGAAGGTGTGCGCATTTGTGTAATCTTGTGCGAGCTTTCATTGGAATAGAGTCTGTATTGCAGTATGCAGGTGCTGGATCGCATACCTAGGTCTATATACATATTTACAAGTTTCTGGATGGAAGGTACCTGGCGTGCTTGTGGGTACTGGACAATAAGCCGCATGCTCTGGCAGTCTTGATGGCGTCGGATAATCTTTTTTGGTTTTTTCCGTTGCATCCAGTAACACTTCTGGGGAGAATTTGACCAGTGCTGGTGATGAATCTGGATAATATTTCAGGCATGGCGTACAAGTTGCGGGGATCTATTCCTGTTCTTTCGAAGGGATCGCTTACTGTGTTCTTGGACTTGCGGAAAGTCTTCCTTTCCATGCTGAGCTTGGTGTTGGAAAAGTCAAAAGGGTCGTACGATTCGCCGAATGTAAATCTTCTAGTGAAACCAGCAGCGATATCCAACGGTGGTTGTGTGTTTTCTTGTATGGATCTTGCAATTCCCACCACGTCACGAGTTATATCATTCTTCCCGTTACCGGAAGCTCCACTGGCAGTGGTGGTTGCTTCTTTCTTCCACAAACCTTCGCTCCTCATTTCTGGAGTGGAAGGAAGACTATTGAGCCTCAAGGAGGTGGTACTGAGCTGACGCACGCCACCTGTTGCTATTCTTCTGCTAATCATGGCACAACTACCTAAGCTCTTGTTCATCAAATTTTGATTGATGAGACTCTCGCCAAGTGAACGCAGGCACGTGATCCCGACAAAGAAAAAAATTCTAGATTCAAAATCAATAGCCCGATAGACGTTAAGCAAGGAACACGACTGGTAATTAAGTGCTAACTCTAATTTATCGAGGGTAGCAACAGTCTCACTAATCTATAAGGTGGTCCCTGGCGTTTCATATTCATTCTTCCTGTTTTAGAGAATAACAGGTAACACAACGATATCATTTGTCATCAGGCAGTGCCACCCTCATAAAGCACCGATCATACACTTCAAACATGGGAGAACGAGGACCAGATCAATGGTTGGAACAGATCAGAAAGTGTATCGCTTTATCTGAATCAGATATGAAGCAGTTGTGTGAATTGATCAAGGAGTTGTTGATGGAGGAATCCAACATTCAACCGGTTCAATCACCCGTCACTGTTTGTGGTGATATACACGGTCAATTCCATGACTTGTTAGAGTTATTTAGAATCTCGGGTGGATTACCTTCGGATGATAATGACACTAACTACATATTCTTGGGAGATTACGTTGATAGAGGATACTTCTCCTTGGAAACATTCACATTATTAATGGTCTTGAAGGTCAAATATCCTCATAGAATCACGTTGGTAAGAGGAAACCACGAATCAAGACAAATCACCCAGGTGTACGGTTTCTATGAAGAATGTTTAACTAAATATGGCTCAACCACAGTATGGAAGTATTGTTGTCAAGTCTTTGATTTCTTGACTTTGGCCGCTATAATAGATGGCAAGATATTATGTGTCCACGGGGGTTTATCGCCAGAAATCAGAATGTTGGATCAAATCAGGGTGTTAAGTAGAGCCCAAGAAGTGCCTCACGAAGGTGGATTCTGTGATTTAGTGTGGTCAGACCCGGATAATGTGGATACTTGGGCCGTTTCACCTCGTGGTGCTGGTTGGTTGTTTGGTTCCAAAGTTAGTAGAGAGTTCAACCATATTAATAATTTGAGTTTAATTGCAAGAGCACATCAATTGGTCATGGAAGGGTTCAGGTATCATTTTAAAGAAAAGGATGTGGTCACTGTGTGGTCTGCCCCAAATTATTGTTATAGATGTGGGAATGTCGCTAGTGTCATGCAAGTGGGAGAAGACTTGGATCCAAATTTCAAAATATTCAGTGCCGTTCAAGATGGTGATTTGGCGGTGAAGAATAACGCCAACAAACAACAAAGAAGTGATTATTTCTTATAATTGTATCTTGTCTTCAGTCATTTTTGAATTGTTCACTACCTGCATTATAAAGCCCGCCTTTCAACCATGTCAACCCATCACTCCTTCAGAATACAAGTAACCGGAATTGTCCAGTATGCCATGTAATTAATATGTTCAAAGTTCATTGGCTGCTGGTACAATTTCCCGTTCAATTTATTGACAGTATTTATGAATTATGACGAATTCTTCATGTTCCATCATTACAACATTTTTATGTTTTAATTTCTTACTACAATGTATAGTACTTCATACAAGATAAATGTAAATCGTTCATTTTATGCAATTAATGCTAATGTAAATTAAAAATCTATTGTACAAGAACTATAGGATCATTTCTTACCCTTTCTTTGTCTACGCTTGGCACCAATGATCTTTTTGACTTCATCAGATACGTCAGATTTCTTTTCTGGTTTCTTCTCAGACTTATCTTTAGGACCCTTATTCATGTTACCCTTTCTGACTGGACCCTTTCTCTTCTTACCCTTTGGAGTCGCACTTGGTGCCTCTCCATCATCGTTATCCCTCTTTCTCTTCCTGTCATTTTTGTCAGACGAGTCTTTAGAACCATTACGAGAAAGGAACACCTTGTCTCTTCTTCTCTTCACAACTTGAGCATTTTCGATTGCAAATTCAACGATCAAGTTTCTCTTGGCCAAACCTTCTAATGAAGCTACCTTTTTCTCTTCATCAGTGAGACCTTCCAAAATTTCAGGAATGGTGACTTCATGGGCATTCAACCATCTCAAACCCATCAATGCAGCTCTGTGGTCTCTGAATTCGACGAAACCATAACCTCTACTACGACCAGTTTCACCAGTTCCCTTCACTTCCATGATAACCTTTGCTTGTTTGATGACACCCTTGTTCTTACTGCTCTTCTTGGACTTGTCGTCATCTTTAGGTTTGCTTTCAAATTCGTTCATGTCATGCTTCAACTTATCGGAACGGGTAGTTTCTTCTTTAGATAACGGTTGTCTCTTTCCTTCCTTTACTTCAGTAGCAAACTGAACAACGGCCTTACGACCCAATGCTCTCAAGGCCTTCTCATTCATTGCTCTAGGAAGATTTCTAATAGCTAATCTGGTTAACGACAAATGCAATGTAGGATTTTTGTTTAACTGTTGCACTCTCAACTTGTAAGATTTTTCTCTTAACTCAAGATCAGTTTTCGAAATGACTTGTGCCAATTTAGAGTTAGTGGTAATTCTACCTTCATTCAACAAGAACAAGTTACGCTTGTCCTTCTCCCCAGGTGCTTTACCCAAGACTTCTTTTCTCTTCTCTGAATTCTTTTCGGCCAATCTTGAAGCAGATTGTCTATCAACTGATGGAGAAATTGATAAAATACGACCTTGATAAACGTAAGCAGGAGAAACATCATCAGCAATAAGTAAAGAAGTGGAGGCAGACGAAGGAGCATTGTCCACACAGTCTGCAAATGCTTCTTCTTTCTTGAATGCAACGAAAGCAGATCCCTTAGCCAATCCTGTTTCTTTGTCTATGACGGGCAATGCATATTTGACTTCACCGAATTGACTGAAATGTTCCTTCAAAGATTCTTCATCTGCATCATACGGTATGTTACGAACAAAGATCGAGAACTGCTCTTGCCTGTTCTTAGGTTTTGGCTTTTCTTCTTCTTCTTCAACTTCAATTTCTTCGTCTGAATCAGGTTCGGCGTCTGATTTAATATCGTTCAAGTCATGAAAGTCATCGTTTTCATCTGCATCTTCTGCTTCGTCTTCATTTTCTTCCTCAGCATCACTGTCAGATTTTTCCTTGTCGTTCTCATTAACCTCGGCTTCTTCTTCTTCTTCTTCGTCATCTTCCTCTTCCTCGTCTCCTTTAGTCTCTTCCCACTTTGACTTTTCCAATGCCAAATCGACAGCCACTTCTCTACCATCAATCTTGAGGCCCACGGACTCTTTAACGGCTCTCTCAGCTGCTACCTTTTTTCTCATAGTTACAAAAGCAAAACCACTCATTTGTCCACCCTTCTTCTTGGGGATATAAGCATCAAAAACGGCACCGTATTTAGAGAAAATCTTCTTCAACACATCTGGTTTCTTACATGACCATGGAAGATTACGAATGATCAATCTCGATCTTCTCTTTTCCACTGGTGGTTCGACTGGTTCTGGTGTCTTTTGTTCCTTGTCCTTTCTGTCTCTTCTTTTTGCGATATCCACTCTCAATAATCTGTTCTGAAATTTGGTTTTTCTAGCTTCAGCTAAAGCAGTAATGGTATCGTCATCCATGGTGAATGAGACAAAACCAAACCCTCTTGACTTTTGGTTAGCGTCATTTACGATAACGGCATGTTTCACTGGTGCAAATTGCGAGAAGAACTCAGAAAGCTCTTCAGAAGTAGCTTCAAATGGTACAGAACGCACGAACAAAGTCTTTCTGTCCATTCCATCGTCTGCCACTGTAGAAGCAGGAGCTTTGGTCTCCGCCTTATCCTCGACCATCTTGAAATTGATAATGGGTTAGTTTGTTAGCCTTTCGCGAGATGCTCTTCAAAAAATTGTATGGAGATCATCTCAGTGAGATGCAAGGGTTACCCGGAAAAGTCACGCGGACCAACATCAACATTGGATCTTTACTATGTTGTTATGTGAATAGCGAAACTCCACACAAAGGGTGGACCATGGTTCATAAGAAGGAAGAGCGTAATGTGAAGAATGTATTGCCCAACAAGTATATCCCAGTTTTATCCCCAAAAGTTTTGCGGAATGTCATTTCGCGCCTACCCAAGAGTTCGTTGTTGGAATTGATGTATGTTTGGCCCAAGTTGGTAAACACCCAACCCCATCTTGATAAAGAAAATAGCAGACATAGCCAGGCTACTTATAGCTCAAAAGTCAGTCAAGAAGCTAAGGAGTTGAAACGCAACCTTAAGGTTCCAAAACGAAAGATCGTGGAGAAAATACTATTCGAATACTGGTCAAAGGGCCTTAACCTACTACAATTGGCACAAGTGGATTGCCAATTGATTATTGATCGCCCCAACTCATACTATTGGATAAAGTCAACTGTTCGAGACTCGAATGATAAGGAAGTTTGTCTCCTGTTGGCACCACAAATGTTTCTAGAAAGATTGGCTGCTGAACTCAGTGCATTATATCTCACATATATTTATGTTTGCCGCCACCCCAGGTTTCCCTTGATTTTAGTTAGGGTTCAAGTATTTGATTTGCAACCTATTAACTCCACGCTGAATTCATCCCGTCCCCACATCGCGTCTCACAAGCCGTACTTTGTTGCTATACCTTTAAACTCGCCTCATTTAATTCATAGTCCTGGTGATGACATGGTTACAAATATAGTCCTTCAAACTGTTGAATACTGCCTTCCACAGAGTGCAAACAATCTTGTCAGGCTTGAAACTAACCCTCACCAAAAGCCACTCCGATCACTAGAGTCAATGCATATCTTCAATGGTAATTCGAGGTTTGGAAATAGCATGGGTGCATGGACTCCTTATGCTGATGGTACAGTAGATCTGTTGCCATTTGGTGAACTCGAAAAGCATACGTCTTTGAATCCAAAACAAACATCTTCTGTACCCAGTGATGATGATCCATCGAAGTCGATGTTAAAAAAGATAGCAAACCTACGGTTCAAAGGTAGTCAAGATGGTGTTTTGAAATCAAGCAGACTATACGATGATAACAAACCCATTCGAAAGCTAACTATTAAATCTATTGCGCACGATTCAGAGTCTGAAGCAGAGTCGGGAAATGAAGATGAGTTTGAAAGTAACGAATATTCTTCTTTTGCACCCGTTCAGCATACGGAATTCATAATCAGAGAAAAGGTTAAGATCGAACATGAAAACTGTTCCAATATAAAAATTGCATTCTCGGGACTAGACGTGTTTGCTGGCCTACACGAATTGTCCGTGACTACCGCCGAGGAAAATAAAATGGTGCTAAATGCATTGAAAATCCCAAACTATTTGACTGGAGAAGAAGGTTCTAGTAATGGCGTGATTCACAATGGAGAGTTCACAAAAACCAGCTAATAACCCAATTTGGTTATATAGCCCTTTAACAATACAATAAGCCTTTCATCTTCACCACCAAGAGTTTCCATCATTCGTCTCAACCTATCAACATCTCTATTTTTGAATGCTTCATTAGCAGCTGATTCTAAATCATTGTTCTTAATGAATAGCTCTATTCTCTCCGAATACTTCAAGTTTGTGCAATTTTTAATGTATTCGGAAATATGACTTTTTGGTGCATTAAACTTGAACCCTGCATCAACGAATGGCTTAAACCCTATAGGTGATTTGGGAGTCAAATTTGCTGTCTTCAGGCCAATTGCAAATTGATATAACTTGTCAAAGTCCTTGGAGCTGGTATAGGTATTCAAAACAAGAATCCAAAGCTTTTCCGACGCAATATTGAAGTCCTTAATAATTGACTTGCACGCTTTGATCTGGTTCATTTTGATGAGTTTGATCAAAATATCATTCAATGATTTCTCTAGGAAAAAATTTGTCATGTAAGTCTCCCCTAACTTCTTCTGTAATTCCAATACTTCAAGTTCTCTTTGATATATTTTATTCATCCTTCTCATTCCAACCCTACTTATCGATTTGAGTAACCTGGATTTGTAATCTGCATAGTAAGTATCGTTGCTTTTAGATTGATTCTTCTTTAGGAAAGACTTGATCCTTGAAATTCCTAATTCTTGAGTTTTATCTTGTTGTATAAAATACGTTTCCATTAGCTTGGAATGTTGCTTCCCGATGCTCTGTAACCAAAAATGACCAATCAAGTCACCCGTTATAGGAAAGGCTCCTTTATTTTCTACTAAGCTCTTCAATTCGTTCTTGATTTCATTTTGATTCAAAACTTTGAAGAATTGTGAAATTGATAATTCCTTTTGAAGGTGAAGCAAGATAAACTTGATTAGGTCATACTCACCTGTTTGAAAAGCTTTGATTAGGCCTAGTTCAGTTTCATCATACTTGAAGTATTGACTTATTTTCTTTTGAATTGAAGGTTCAAAGTCGATCAACAACTTGCATAGCGTTATTCTGCCTTCTTCATATGCCGCATCTGTTATCTGTTCAACTGATACATAATTTCTCTTCTTTGCATCAGGAATCTCATTGGAGTTTGAGAAAGAATAAAGTTTGTTCGAAATGATTTTTAATAATTCTGCATCAGACAAATTCATCTCTTTCCTAACCTTATAACAGCACCAGTGGATATATACCATGTCTTTGAATTGGTTGAGATGTAACAAATCCATTATTTTCAATGACAATAAGTATTGGTCTCTGTTTAACAACATTTTAAAGAAACTCTCCCATCCAATATTAAGTAATTCACCATACGTGAGGAAAATGCCAAAATCTAAGGTCTTTATCTGATTTAAGATTTTGACTAGATTTATAGTTTTCAAATAATGAGAAGAATCGTATGAGTTCAAACCATCATCTCCGAAATATGTTTTCCCGAACGAAACAGCTCTTAAAATTTTCTTTTGCCATGTTTGATCAAACTCCTCGAGCACAACTTCAAGGCACTCAGTAATAGCACTTTCTAGAGAATTGTCAGATTTCAACAATGATATATTTGTATCTGCTTTTGAAGCATGATTTGAAAGCTTATCGATACAGTCCAATAGAATACTTGATGAGGATGATGAACCAATTTGATACAAATTTATCTGGGAGTCTGGAACTTTGTTTATGAATTCCACTGATGATGAAGTTATTATTTTCAACCCATCAGACTGAGTCAACAAAATGGGGATGGTAAAAGATAGATCACCATCAGTAGTAGTAGTGTCATTTAAAATCAAATCTATATCGAAATCTTCTTCTTCCTCGTCAATGTCGTAAAAAAATGAAACAGAATTCTGGTTAGGACCTATTAATTTTATCTCATCCTTTAATGAAATGCAGATTGCATCATTGCTGCACCAGGCAATTTGATAAGGCAAATGTGATTCGTTCAATAAATTGTATTCAAGCAATATGTTTGTGAATTTATTATTAATCACGTAAATCTTATTATTCACCAAAGAGATCAATTTGCCATTAGGAGAAGGTAAGATTTGATTAAAAGGTCCATCAGTCAACATATTATCAATAAACTTGAAAGTCATACTATTAATATCAATGTGGCTTGAAATTATTGTCTTGTCGTAACTGAATAAAAGCACAAATTGACTGTTGTTCTCATTCTCATGAATAGCTTCAAATGAATTGATCTTGCTCGAATCATACCCTTCCAAACTTATTTCATAAGTTTTCAATTGAGTAAGATTAATCACCACAAATCTATTCTGCAATCTCAATATTAAGAAATCCCTCCAGATCTTACTGTCTAATATCCTGTAGACTTCTTCTATCTCATTATTTTCCAAGTTAGTGATGACAACATTTTCACCAGTAGGATCATCTTTGGCAATTGAATCTCCGATATTATCCAACTTGATGGCTTCTTTTGTGAAATCATACTCCTCGAAACTACCCTTGAAATCATGGTAATAACGGATTTTTCTGTTACTCAATACAAGACACAATTCTTCATCTCGGAAGTGAAAATCCACTATATGCTCCTCTGGACGGCTGTTGTATACAACTGTCCATATCTTATTACCGTTTATAGAGTAGATATCTATAACATTAGGATGTGGAACGAATTTGGAGGCTAAAGCTATTAGTGTTCCGTTTGGTGATATGGACACTTTGAAATTGAGGTATAAGTTATCAACAGACCAATTCAACGACTCATACACTGTCACATGGCTGTAGAAAACATCATGTAGCTTTTGCCACCTCAAGCTTGGATTGGAGGTCATTATCGTCTTCAGTAGTTTAGGAGAGCGTATTATACGCGATAATCTTGTCATGTGACGAGATAGTGAAGTATGAAAATCAAGACTGGATACCACCACTAAACAACCAAACATGAGTGAATACGTCACGTTAGTGTCCAGTGATAACTACAAGTTCGTTGTGCTCAAAGAAGTGGCGCTGATATCTTCAGTGTTGAGGAATACGCAAGGTTTTGAAGAAGGAAAGACAGGGAAGATAAACTTGGAGATGGATGGAGATATTTTGGAATGTATTGTGGAATACCTATACTATCACTACAAATATAAGGACCAGGCGGAACTGGGTAACATTCCAGAGTTTAACATTCCAACTCATTTAGCATTGGAGCTTTTGGTGAAGGCGGACTTCTTGGATATATGATCTCTCGGTGATTTTTTATCGAAAATAAAAATCATACATATACTACTAAATCAGAGGATTATAAGAAGATATGGAGTCTACTAGCATTGATAGGTCCTTCCCTACAGAGTGTTCAGGAAATGACGATTAGATGTAACGCGGGTTTTTAAGTTCATCCTATAGCAATAGCCTATCGTCTATAAAACCATTTCATCACCTTATTCTACTCTAAACCATAGAACCCGACAGGGCTGATGTGAATCTTACAAGTTTCGAGCTGAACTTTCCACAAATACTTCGAAGTATGAGAGACACTTAAAAGAACAAATAGAACTTAAGTACCACGAGCAGCTTAATAAACTGGATATTACACCTGCATTGACATACACCTGCATTGACATTGAGAATGTAGATTTCCTAGATGTGTGAGGGAAGTGTCCCTATATTGTTTAACGATTCCAAACTGCTTTGGCTGATCATGGAGAGATTTGCTAAAGTACTGCATATACCCCACATTTATATAACCCCTACTCACAACTACTACATCACCAATCATGTCAGAGACTCTCCTAGATACGCTATCTGTGGAAGTTGACCACTTGATAGGGTCAGGTGAACGTGAATTGAATCTCCTTCAATCCGAATCTGATAGTTTATTGCACTATCTACAAGAAATAGAACAATCATTAGTCAAGAACATTGAACTTGAGTCGGATACAGCAACAACTGACACTAAACAACTTGACAATCTCACTAAGTCCTGGTACAACGGGTCCATTGGCCATTTGAAATCGTACAACTCCTCCATAAATCGATGCTACAAATCAGTTCTTTCTAATTCTAAATTCAATATTGACTTGGATGATGCATATTCTTATCCATTGAGACTCGACAATTTTCCAGTATCAGTGACGCCAACCATCACCAAGTACTTGGATGTTGAGCTGGAGAAGGATATAGAAGATCGTAAGACTGTGGTCAGGATCAAAAATCGTGAGTATCTATTGAAATCCATCATCTTACATTTATTGAAGATTGGACAATGTGATATTGTCGAAGAATTCGTTAAGGAATTGCCATTGGATTCAGAAGTGACCATTGATCAATCCTTGCTTAACAAATTCGAACGACTTAAAACCATCGTGGATAATATAGTGATAAATCACGACTTAACCCAGGCATTGGAATGGTTCAAAGACAAGTATAATGAATCAGTCAGTTTGTCCTCTGGTATTAGTCTGGCTTCAAGTTCTTATCACTCAAGTTATAATGAAATTGAATTCAAATTCCATATGTTACAGTTTATTCTTCTACTAAATGGGAATGGAACTGATTTCTGCATAGAAAACTCATTAAAGGCATACTTATATTCCAAAGAGAACTTCACGAGGTTCTTTAAAGACTATCTACATGAATTATCTCCATTGATGACACTATTGCTTTTCGAGACTGATAAGAACTACGATGAGGGTACAGATGTATTTTCACAGAAGCATGTCAAGGGAATGGTGGGGGTATTTTTGGAAAAGTTGAAGCATAGCTACAACTTGGAGATCTCTAGCAGAGGCGCAAATCAGGGTGAGTCTAGATTTGTTTACGAACTTTTGAACAGTTTTGAACGCATCCATGACAATCAAGCATTGTTTGTCAATCTATCGAACGAGTTTATTTCTGAGTATTGCAAAGACTTGAAGCTTTCAAACGATAGCTCTTTGTTCCAAAGTATATTGGCTGGACTTATATACTTACCAAGTTTCTACAAGTATAAGAAGATCCAAATGAAAATGAACAAAGTGTTGGAAGAAAAACCAAAAGATGCTGATCTGGAATTCCTGGAGAGTTTCGGGGAAGCACCTTATCACTATGACTTGCCTTTCCAGTTGCCAGACTCAAACCGCTTCCTATTCAATTATCATCCTATTTTTGTTTGCCCTGTGTCCAAGGACCAATTAGTTCCAGGATTACAATACTACGGGAACCAGTCTAGTTTGAACCCTTCATCTGGGCCACAGGTAAGTCCTGTGGTGGTGCTCAACTTCTGTAACCATGTGGCTTTGAGAGAGAGCATATGGCAGTTATCCAAGAAGGGGACGGAGATATTCAAATGTCATTACTGTTACAAGAAACATGAGTACTCGAATGTAACGGATGCCTACTTTATCGACTTGTGAGTAGGACACCGAATATTCTGTTATTTCTGTTCTATCAAGTTCGTACGTGCATGCTAGAGGGCAATACAGTACTCTCGGTCTTAGATCATGAGCTTCAGTACTCAATTTTGTTCAGCATAAATCTTAATTAAACATTCCAATTTTTATTTCTTTGTATTAGTAGTCCGCTCTATGACTGAATGGGGATCCAATGCATGTTTCTCTTCACTCAAATTCCTAACTTTTTACCTCTACCCTTCCTAGGAATTAACTGAAAACTTGGTGCGACTTCTCAAGTTAAAACGGATCTCATCTGCAAAATAAAAATTATTATCATCATGAAGGGAAAAGAGAAGAAACTGCCAGAGGCCAAGTTGATAATCTCGGATGTGTCGGTGTTGGGTGATCCTTGGGTCCCCATCTATGAGACCCAGGTGGACTTTGAGGCCCAACATTTCGAAGCTGCAATGTCTAACTTGATCAAACAACCCAATATCAACTCGACCGTGATCATGAGAGCAGACATCTTGCGTGAAAACAAGTATGATCCGGAGGAGGGAGTGACCAAGTTTGAAAGCAAGTTTGTCGATCAGATGCCGGAGTTCCCGAAGACTGATAATCAAGAAGATGTCGTGTTGCACCGCTACCTAGAAGACATTTCCCTTAAAAGCATCCCATTGAATAGTGAAATCAAGCTCAATCCAAAGTCTGAAATTATCAGAAGAATCATTCCCAGAAATCCATTCAAGGACTATATCATAAATCAGACTTGTTTGTTGCTAAGAGACGAACAACACCAGGAAAACGGTTCTGTATTGGTGGTCTACATTCCTCATATCAAGACTAGTGATGAAACTCCCTTCTACTTACCTCCTGTATATGCAGTAGGTATTTTGTACCATCAGTCTACCTTGTCAATTCATTATTTACCCTTTGGATATAATACGACATCGCCAGAGAACTTGCGTGAATTAGATCCCGCAGAAAGGCCAATCAGAATAGCACTCCGCTTACTTCAGACTTCGGCAAAACACTCGCACGGAGCTAAAACAGGGTATGAAAAGAGAGTCAATCACGATTTGGTGGTTCCAAAAATTGCATTCCAGAACCGGTACATCAGCTTGAAGAAAAAGTATTCCTCCGATCTTGTTAACCTGTGGAGTGAAAGCACTGATCCTAAGAAGCATGTGTTTGAAGACCTAGCCATCGCCGCATTTTTGATTGAGTTCTGGAACATAAAATACAACGGTAAAACCGACTTCGAATTTAGAGACTTGGGTTGTGGTAATGGATTGTTGGTATACATTTTGCAGATGGAAGGCTACAAGGGAAAAGGTATAGATGCAAGAGCCAGAAAATCTTGGGCAACCTACCCTAAAGAAGTGCAAGACAATCTTTATGAACAGATTGTGATCCCTGGTATCTTGTTAAAACCACATCCGGCTGTCTCTAAGTTGGCACCACAAGTCAAAGATAACGGGAGAGTTTTTAACGTTCCAATGGCACCCAATGACAAGGGAATGGAGTATCATTCCTCGGGAAGTCTCTTAAACTCCAATCAGGTTTGCACCACCGAAGATTTTCCATCGAACACTTTCATTATTGGAAATCATTCCGACGAGCTTACCTGCTGGATTCCTTTATTGGGTTTCCCATTTATTGTGATACCTTGTTGCTCGCATGCCCTTTCAGGGGCCAAGATCAGATACCCTCCACGCAAAGCCATTCACAACACCAATATTGGCCCTAATCACAACACTAGCATTTCTACATACAGCACCTTGGTGGATCATGTTGAGGACCTTGCACGCCAAGTTGGTTGGAAGGTTGAAAAAGAAATGTTACGAATTCCCAGCACTAGAAACTCAGCTATTATTGGTACCGATAAGATAGACCGTTTCAAGAACGAGTCCAAAGAATCTACACAAGTGCGCTTGTTTGACATCTTAGCTGTTGAAGGTGGTGCTGAAGGGTGGGTTGAGAACTCAATGCTTTTAATGAAGAAGGCACCAAGAAACCACTGAGGTCCTAATTCATTCAAACGCTTGTGTTCTGATTCTGTTCCGCCTGTGTGATACGTCAAACTTGGCCACCACTTCTATGTCGAGAAAAGAATCGGTTTTTAGCTCCAATTCGGGTTCTTGAGCGATCTACAGGCTTGCCTGTGTACACTAAGCCTCTTATCGGCCAGCCTATCCAACCTGTATATTAATGTATTATAACCAGATTTTCTCAATATAGACAATTCCTGTACACAACCGCGCCCTTCCACCAAACTCATGTAAAGGAGAAAGATTTCATTAGTTGGCATAAACTAACATGACTGGATCATCATCACAGTAAGTACAGATCTATACAACTCGTGGAGTGCCACTAACATTTAGATTTCAACAGCTTGAAAAGCTAGGTGAAGGAACATATGCCACCGTCTACAAAGGAAGAAATAGATCCACCGGTGCCTTGGTGGCATTGAAAGAAATTAACCTCGATTCTGAAGAAGGAACGCCTTCCACTGCCATAAGGGAAATCTCATTGATGAAGGAATTGGACTATGAGAATATCGTCACGTTGTACGATGTCATCCACACTGAGAACAAGCTCACGTTAGTGTTCGAATATATGGACAAGGACTTGAAGAAATACATGGAGGTCCATGGGAATCAAGGAGCATTAGACTTGAAGATCGTTAAGTCATTCATGTTCCAGCTTCTTAAGGGTATCATGTTCTGTCATGATAACCGTGTTTTGCATCGTGATTTGAAACCTCAAAATTTATTGATTAATAGCAAAGGTGAATTGAAATTAGGAGATTTCGGGTTGGCCAGAGCCTTTGGTATTCCTTTCAATACATTTTCTAATGAAGTGGTCACTTTATGGTACAGGGCACCGGATGTGCTTTTGGGATCCAGAGCATACACTACTTCAATTGATATATGGTCTGCTGGATGTATTTTTGCTGAGATGTGCACTGGTAAGCCCCTTTTCCCAGGTACTGCTAATGATGACCAATTGATCAAAATCTTCAGATTGATGGGTACTCCAAATGAAAGAACTTGGCCAGGAATCTCACAATATGCCAACTACAAGAGCAATTGGCAGATATTTGTCCCTCAAGATTTGAGATTCATTGTACCAAATTTGGATTCAATGGGATTAAACTTATTACTGAGCTTGTTACAGATGAGACCAGAAGCTAGAATCACTGCTAGACAGGCCTTACAACATCCATGGTTCCATGAAATCACCAACCCCACTCCACTTGTCCACCAATTGAATGATCCATACCAACAAAATCAATCACAACAGCCACCTCAACACTCGCACCAACATATTATTGATCAACAGTACCAATAGGAAGCGCCAGATTCTTTCCCTGAAAATATATACTTTACATCCTAGGCGGGTATGCTGATCCATGGACAAAGGACCAGTTTAGAATCTATATTAATAGTGGAGAGTATTTGATTCGTACTTAATCTCCAGAGCTATGTAAGTTTGTGAAGTAATGAAATGAATAATGCTATGGTAATGATCAAAGAAGTTCGAAGCTAGGACATTCACTGAACCGCATCAATAGTTGTGCTAAATTATAGTTTTTAGATTCCAACACAAATCTCCAAATTTCCAGATCCTCGTGCTCATTTTGATTGTAAAAGTCTGTCAATAATTGTATAAGTGCTTTGGATATGTCCTCGGATATTAGATCACCGTTGTAGTTGATGCCGAATTCAGAGCAATCTTTTGGTTCATACTCGTGATAAAGCTTAAGTAAATTTATCACTGGAATCTGAGTAATTGATCCATGCTTTGCTGATAGTATAAAAGTCATTATCTGATCTAGTGATAAGCTTGAAGTCTTGATATTATGAATCTCCTCAGGTTTGAAATTATACAACGTAGAAATGAGAATTTCATCCATATCTTCAAACCTGAACAAATATATCCTTTGTAAAAGTTTCAACAATTGAAACTTGGCATTTGTGTTAATGCCATTTCTGTAAATGATTGTGGGAAAGTTTCTGTTGTAGCGCACTTTCTCGAAATCATATATCACAGTGTTCTCTCTAATGCTGAAGGGCAATGATAAGTTGGTGCTACTATTGAGAAGCCATGGTTCTATCTGCTGTTTCTCGTCGTCATATTCTGGTAATTTTTCGTTTTCATCTAAAATCAATTCTTCTGTGGATTCAACTTCTTGCATTGCTGGAGTTGACGACTGATCATCTTCATTAGAATTAACTGTCGGCAAGGCTGTTGTTTCATTATGGATCTGATTAATTAGGTTTTGAAAATTCAATGATAACTCTTTGAACTTGTATCTCAAAAACCTCAATCTGGTCTTTCTCTCATAAACGATCTCTCCTTCTGACATTAAATTCATATACTCGTTAGCAGATTCGTCGTTATACAAACTGAACACGTAAGATTTGAAAAATTGCTCAATTAAACCCTTTGACACAAATTTGTTGGCTAGCACTTTGTCTGAAATGCCCTTGGAGGTCGAATTTAATTGAAGCTTATGGACAGTGTGCAGAATAATGTCTAGGTTTCTCTTTATCATTTTGTAATTTCCGTTTACCTCGATCGATTGATCTGGGTCATGCTGGTGGTATGCAAATTCTTGTATGACTTGAAGTAGTCTACTCTCATAGTACTCGAGTTTCTTGTGGATGAGATTAAAATCAATCCTGGTGTTCAAGTCCACGAGATACCAGGTCTTGATCATTTCAATCACAAGAGAGAGATTTCTCCAATTTCCCGAATTAGTTTCATGTTGAGGATCAAACTTGAGGAGGTTGTAAAATTCTTTATTGACCAACGGAAGAGTATTATTAGGTTTTGATAAGACAAAAATTTTGTACAAGATATCCACTGGGAGTGTAGATAGAGTCAACGGCTCGATGACCCTGGGCGGTGCTATCTTAAGCTTCTTCGGTTTATGTTGTTTGGCTCTGTATCTGGCCCTTTTTAGCGGTTTCCCCGGATTGATAAAACCCATAATGCTTCAAACTTCAGCCCGGATATTCTTGCAGATGCAGCGATGGTGTTACGTAAGCACAGCCGTATCGGGAAGTAAGGGTCCAGTAGAGGAGTATGGACAGACAACTAGGGATACGATGTTCTCGCTGACGGTAAGCTAATCTAGGGGGCAAATTTAGACTTCGTCACCTCGTCATCAACCTCGTGACTTTTCCTGCTTTTATGGCAATATCATGCACAATATCACCTTCTAGCTCATACCAAAAGTTTGATTCAGTGTGTCAATGCGATTATTATTAGAGTCTACAATTGATTCTGGCATACGTAATAAATAAGTATAAGTCACTAAATAGGTACCTGTACCGGTGGATATTATATATAGGGGAGTGTTAGCTCGCTAACTGTCACCTCTAAAGGTTACCCTTTGCTTTTTCCTTGATCTCCTTGAATTGATCTTCAGTGACACCAGCACCCATGGCAGCGGTGGAACTGACACCACCGGTAACCATCTTCAACAAACCGTCAATGTACTCGGCACCAGACCATTTTTGATGCTTGACAACTTCAACACCTCTTTCGATTTCTGGTTGTTGAACGGTTTGACCGTAAGCCTTCATACCCTTTTCAGCGTATTGACGAGAGAAGTCGTCCACAGCCAAAGCGGTGGTGTGCAAACCAGCCAAGGTGATGAATTGCCAGACGTAACCTAATTCACCCAATCTCTTGATGTAGGTCTCTTGTTCGTGTGGTGGCATAGCTCTGTTCCAGTTGAAAGATGGAGACAAGTTGTAAGCCAACCATTGGTCTGGGAATGCAGCCTTGACACCTTCAGCGAATTCCTTGGCTTGGTTGTAGTCTGGCAAAGCGGACTCCATCCAGATCAAGTCAGCGTATGGAGCAAAAGCTCTACCTCTCATCACAGCACATTGGGTACCACCTTGGTATCTGTAGTAACCTTCTCTGGCTCTGGAAACTTCCCAGTTGAAGTAGATGTCCTTGCCCAAGATTTCTCTGGCAAGCTTTCTGGCTTCCTTGTTGGAGGCACCAGACAATGGGTTAACCTTGTCGGTGAACTTCTTGATCAAGGCTTCCTTGTTGGAGTAGTTTCCACTCTTGATTTCGTCAATGACGGCTTCGTGGAACAACTTCAAACCGGCAGTCTTGGTCCATTCGACTTCGATGGCAGCCAAAGCATCACCGTAGATACCCTTGGATTCGGCTTCAGCCATGAGGGAGGCCAATTCTGGAGCGTCTGGGTTGGTGGCACCAATAACGAAGTAGTGGTCTCTGTGATCGATGGTGGAGGTGATCAAAGTGGCGGCTTCAGAATCGGTTCTGGCAACGGCCAATAAGTCGGAGCCCAAGATATCAGCAGAGGCTCTGATGGCGACCAATCTGTTGATGTGTTCTTGAACTGGGACCAAGACCTTACCGGCCATGTGACCACACTTCTTGGTACCTGGGGCTTGATCTTCGATGTGAATACCAGCAGCACCTCTTTCAACGAACATCTTGGTCAACTTGATGATGGCAGTGATACCACCGTGACCAGTGTCACCATCGGCAATAATAGGTCTCAAGAAGTCGATGTATGGGGTCTTAGCTCTTTGTTCTTTGGACAAGCCCAATCTTTCTTCTCTTTGCTTTCTGTCGTGGAACAACTGGGCGAACCACAAGTGTTCCACCTTGTTTGGAACAGTGTCCATAGGGTAATCAGCCAAATCTGGAGATGGCTCATTGGAGGTGGAAGCAGTAGAAGAACATTGCCATCCGGAAACGTAGATGGAGTCCAAGTACTTGGCCATTTGAGCGACATGGATTGGGTCCAAAGCACCGAAGGTGAAGGAAGCGGTCTTCTTCTTGTCGTGTTCAGTCAAGAGTCCGAACAACTTCTTGGCTTGCACGGAAGATGGGTAGTCGATTTTCAAACTACTTCTCTTCTTAGCGATTTCTTCAGGAGTGTAGATTCTCTTGGTCTTGTTCCAACGAGGTTGGGACCACCATTCCTTGATCTCCTGGACTTGTTGTTGGTAGAACTTCTCTTCTTGATCGACGTCAATAGCAGTGTAAGGCATCTTGTAATATTTGTTAAAGATATATGCTAGATAGAAATATCAAGAGGGTAAATTCCACCCTATTTATACCACATCCTGTCGGCCATATTTCGCCGTCGGTCCACAATACCCCAGATTTGTCTTCCGCTGATCCTGATACGAAAATTGCGGTGCGAACATGTGCCTCGGGTACACGGAAGGCACCCAGCCGACACGTCTCGAGACGGTGAAACGGGCCCGCTGGTGTTTCAGACATGGTGGTGGTGCTGCTGCTGTTGGCTAGCGGGTGCTAGTGGCGGCAGGTGGGACGGTGTGGACGGAGGTGGACGTCGTATGCTGGGGTAGGGTCCTCGGAAACTCGGAGTTTATGAGCGAGTATCACATGATGTGGATTTAACCCCGTGAGTCATCTGAGTCAACTGGTGGCCGGCGTCGGCCCCGAATCCCACATGAAAGTATCCGAGGTGCAAAGTTCCGTACTGCCGATCTTCACGTGAGCGCTCGTATCCGACGGTCTCGGAGTTGTGGCCGCCGGCCGACGTAACTGCCCTCGCGTGCGCACAATGTCGCCAAAGCCAAATGTCGCCAATGGCCAATGTCGCAGTAAATGTAATCCAACTTCGAGGACCGCACGTGACCCCTGTGTTTACTTCGCCCTACTCTTCACACTCTCCCTAAGCCCTAGTACCCCGCCCGGCATCACCATCCACCCGCCTGAACCTAACTTAATCTTACCAACCCGTTTCATCTACTATCTCGGCTTTTGGAACCGCTTCCCGTCCTATGCAGGAGCTCAGCCGGTTTTTTTGATCCATCACTAAATCGTTAGCGCTCCGGGCTAGCCACAGCCTCCATTCTCCCTCTTCCACCTTGAGAGTACCCTCCTCATATCCGTCGCCAAAGCACATACACCTGCCAAGAAATCTGGCTCCTCAGATAGTCCGCTGCTGTCATGTCAAGCTTAGTACCTGACGAGTACTTGGCATATCTAGCGTACCTACCGGATTTGCAGGTATGCGCCAACATATTCATGACGTTCACGCCTATGTTCTCGTACGGGTCGACCTGCTACAGCATCTATCGCCGGCAAACCTCCACCGGGTTCTCCATTGACATATGTGTCACCATGTTGATGGCGGCAACATTGAGGATCTTGTACTACGTGATCGCTCCGTACGAGATCACCTTGCTCCGACAATCAGTTGTCATGATCTTCATCCAGTGCATCTTGCTTAAGGTGTCCTTGCATTACAGACCCAACAATTACGACCCTGACTTCTTATCTCCGATGCCCATGTTTCGCAATGAAATAAACTCCAGTCTTCCTCGAAGACTCAGCGCCAGTGGCAACGCCGTGGACCACGGCAACTATTATGCCAACAAGTCGCTAATCTCGTCCTTAGGGTTCCTTGCGGCTGACGGCTTCAAAATAGTCAGGATCTACTTGCAGGTCAGTTTCAGTCAGGCGTTGAAATTCTTTGATGTCTATTACCAAAGACCCTTCTTTTTCTGGCAATGGAAGAACGAAGCTCCCTACTGGTCGTTTGTGGCGAAATTCAGTGGAGTGTTTGCGTTTTTGACCCTTGTCTTTAGAAATAACCAAACTTACGGCAATTTCATCGGAGTTTTGGGGCTTTTCATCGAGTCCTTATTACCACTTCCACAAATATTACTTCTTAATAGACTCGGTTCGGTGAAAAACTTCAAAATCATTTTGTTGTTGAGTTGGTTGGGTGGTGACTTGACTAAGATCAGTTACTTGGTGCTTGGAACTGATAATGTGTCCCCAATATTCATTATTGCTGGATTGTTCCAAATGTCATTAGATTTATTCATTGCATGGCAATATCTCCATTTTAGATATTTGGAAATGAAAGCAACCAGATTTGCATCCACATCACTTTCTAGTGGCTCATTTCCGAGTACAGTTAGCTCTGGCAATGCTTCGCTGGCTGATTCCACCAACATGAACGAGATTGTTGATCAGTTATTGGCCTCTCCGTCCAATAAAAATCAAAATCCTTCTCTGGAAACTTCTGCTAAAGTTCAACCGGATCAAAGTATAGAATTGAAGAGCTTCAATTTGGTTTAATGTATATAGACTACAGGAATAGATATAATAATTAAATATCATATATTTGGCTTGCAATCTGAATATTATTGTACTCCATACTCGTATGAACAATAAGTTATGTACAGGTATATTCGCAAACTCTATATATAAGGGGTAGAGAAACCAACAGTATTCTGGCTATTTATAAGTGATGATATTAAAACGCATAAGCATTGGGTATGTGGTCGTAAGCATAAAGGATATTCATAATTCGATTTGATGGGATGGATCAAACGGAAACGTACTCGACATTGTCCTTGGCCTCGTTGATTAGGTCCAAGGCTTCTTTTCCAACCAAACCATGTTTGACTTTAATATGCCTTGACAACGCATCGCCTCTGGAGAATGTCTTCAGTTTTCCATTACCTGCACCTCCGTTCATTCTTCCTTCACAGATAACGCATCTGAAAATCTTCTTCTTACTTGCATGAATTGTTTCTTGATGCCTGATCAAGTCATATGGTCTTGAAAATTGTTTGTGACATGGTACACCAGTAGATGGATTAATCAAATCACAAGCATGTGTGGGGTTGTTGGCAGATATTTCTGCTGCCGACATGTGAGGAAGGGAGACTCTAGTATTCAAACTCTTCTCTTCCTCATCCTCATCTTCATCAGACAAGAACTGCTGATCATCTTCCATGTTCATGTTGGCGAGTTCTTGGTCGATCATTAAGCCCTCGTCATTCTGGATAATGGGTGATTCTTGCTGAGTGTTACTGGATATTATTGCGTTTGGAGCTTTGAGTTCTTCTTGCTTGATGTTGAAGAAATCTTCATGCTTGATATCGTTGGCATTCAAGCCTTGTTGTTCGATATTGCTCATATTCACAGTATTGGTAGCAGGCTTCAAGTAGTCATCCAAATCCATAAAGTTCATGTTCACATCAGTTTCATTATAGTTTTCCCCATTGTGATTCATAACCAATTGGTCAAATTCGTCATCAACGTGGAAATATTTGCTATCGTCTTCGTCATCATCGGATAATTCTTCTTCGACATCCTCATCGAAAGCATCCATCGACAAGTAATCGTTTTCGTAACCGGGTATTATGTTGTTGTTGGCATTCAAGAACTGTTGTGAGTAGTCATTCGGGTTTCCAGCCTGGTTGAACTGGTTAGGAGGAACAAACAAGGGCGACAAGTCGTCGTTCCAGAACTTGTTGTTGATCAACTGCGATGGTTGGATATCGGGGTTGTATAGCAAGTAGTCGTCGTCCTTCTTATTGTTGGCCTGGTCCTCGTCGAGGAAGGTTATCCTTCTCCTCCTGTCGGGCTTGGTTGGGAATTGCTGTGGTAAGGGGGGGTAGTAAAGTTGCGAGTCTTGAGGAGGAGTGGTGTTCAAGGAGTCGGGGTTGGCGTAGTCGGTGAAGGGATTGATTCTTGGCTGGGAGTATTGCATGTCCACGTCCATAGCGTTTGAGTCATACACGGGGGCAGAAGTGTTGGGAGCGGGGTTGTGTTTGTAATCCAAGAAACTGTCAGGGATGTTGAGGAAGTTGGACAAGCTGGAGCTGTTGCTGGTGTTGGGATGCGAGTACAACTGGGCATGGGAAGCAGCGGGCGAGCCGTTGAACCCCAACTTAGGCGAGTCGCTTCTTTGGGGTTGGCTGGCAAGTTGCTGGGAGGGGAGATGCGAGTGTTGGAAGGAGTTGACCTGGATGGGGCTGTTGGGCAACTGGTAGAGCTCCTCGTCCATGATGTCGGTGATAGATCTTTTCAAGGAGGGCAATACAACCGAAGTCATGGTGTACTGCTAAAAAAAAACTTTAGTGGTAGACGATTTCGATGGCAAACCGGGAAAGATATATGTGGATACTACTGCTTATTAATTTGTATTGCTTTTTGTGCGCACACGCTAGACCATGGTGCAAGTGCGGGTGGATGCGGCGAACATACGAGGAGTCCGCATCGGATGCCTAAGTGTGGCCCCGCTGATTACAATTAGAACATGAAACGACGATAAGAAATGACTCATGGGGGTGGGCAGGCGTCAGGGACACCCACCCTGGCCAATGGCTGTCGGTGACAAGTGCCAGGGTGGTGCCAAGCGGAGGCTTACCGGAGCCGTTGCATCACACCCATCGGGAATAGTAATTGGCTGGTTGCTGGGCCATCACTCGGTCCCGATGTGGAATTTTCTAGAACGGGCGCACAGGCACTAGAGATCCGCAGCAGTGACTGGAAAAATGATGACGCCACGGGAGCTCACGTGCGGGCTGCGCGATCACCGCTATTTTTGGAGGCCCTCATTGCGCACCTTCTCTATGCCCTTTGCAGCCAACTCCTGGTCCAAGTAGTAGTAGTCCTTGACCAACTCACCGTGGTCGTCGAGCTCGAACACAAGCGGCACGCCCGTGGGCACGTTGATCGATGAGATGTCGTCGTCGCTGACGTGGCTCAAGTGCTTGATCACGCTCCGCACCACCGACCCGTGGGTCACCACGAGCACGGTGCGGTCCATCTGGATCAACTGGTGATTGAGCACCTCCTGGATGAAGAATGGCATCACCCGCTTCATCACCATCTCGAGCGACTCGCCCCGCGGCAACACCGCCTGGTTGACCACGTCGTTGTAGCGGGCGTCGATACAGGGATCGGGCCCCTCCACCGCGGGAGGCGTGCCGTGGTAGTCGCGCCGGATATAGTGGAACTTTTGCTTGTCCTCACCCAACAGCACGAACACATCGTGCTTGTTGCGACCCTGGTACTGGCCGTAGTGGCGCTCGTTCAATTGCCACACCTTGTGGTGGTCCAACCACGCCTTGTTCAAGTGGTCCAAGATCCGGAGCCCCGTGTCGATCGAGCGGGTAAGCCTCGATGTGTACACCACGTCGGGATCGAGGCCAGCGTCTTTGATAAGGGCCCCAGCCCGCGTGGCCTCGTCCTTGCCCTTCTCGGAGAGGGGGATGTCGATCCAGCCGCAGAACTTGTTCTCGTGGTTCCAGCGGGACTCGCCGTGGCGAAGAACGATCAACTTGTGGGTGGGCATGCTAAGTGATAGTCGCCGATTTGATTATCACCATGGCTGGAAAACTCCGGTGGCGGTTGTGTGCAGGACACGTACTTCCTGCCACTCCAGCTGTCATCTGTCACCAGATGGTTTCTGCGCTCCCGATAGAGACGGTTGGCGTGCTTGCGCGCCCGTTGCGGCTCTGCAGCTCCCGCGTACGTAGGCGGGAATATGCCCCCACCATCCTAATCGTCTCTATATAATATTAAGTCCAATGTAACCTTCCCCGATGCAACCTCGCCAGAATGCAACCCCACCGAAAATTCTGACAGGTGCCACTCTCCACGATAAGATGAGCAGGTCACAACAACAACAACAACCCACAAGTATATATACAATCGGCTAGCATGAACTGCGCCACTGTCCGAAGAATTTGCCTGTTCCCAAAAATTTCCATGTCCTATTTACACACTCCTCCAACCACTCCGGTCGCAACCACGCACATCGAAGCGCTTTATAAGCAATTCAACATCAAAATTGTGCACCACCACACGATGCCCAACCCCTCCAAGGTCAAGAAAACGCCGTTCTCGTGGCTGGAAATCCGCTACATCATCAGTACCAACCAATTGGAGCTCTTTGCCAGGTCCCAGGAGGCCACCGATAGGTACTTGAAGTTCAAGCAGCACCTCAAGGACCAGAACGTAGGCATCATGGACCATGTGTTGAACAACGAGCTCCAGTGGGATGCCGCGGGGTTGCGGACAGGCGACTCTCTCTTCACCAACCCCCAGGACCTTAAAATCATCTACAACCAGTTCCCGTACTACGTTCCCCACAACGTCAAGCATTTCTGTGTGTGGACCAAGGTCCGCATTTGTGGCGACCCCAACTCGCCCATTGGGGACATCCTGCCGCAAACCAGGGATGTAATCTCCAGGTACGTGGAGAAAACGTTTGTCGAGAAGTATGGCCTCAGTTGGGACCAGATCGTGTGGTTCCGCAACTGGGACAGTTTGCAGAGTGTCAAGAGCATCAGTCACATCCATGTGATTGTCAAGGACTTGGAGGTGCCCGACGAAGAGATCATTGGCACCAGCGGGTCCGTGTTGACCGAGGAGGAGTACAATACCATCATGGGCAAGTCCCAATGAGGAGCGAGGAGCAGTAAAAATCCCATCAGGGCAAGACCCAAAAGGCCCAGTGCCGTATACCCAGCATAGCTAGAATTGTATTATTAGAATAGAGATTCAGATCCGACAGACGTAGAGACAGAAGCGTGTAAATCCATTCCACGGCAATTCGGTGGTGAAACCATTTAGCTAGGTGACAAGATCCAAATCTCCGTTAGGGCTTGTGTACAGTCCATCAATCTCGTCAAAGGAATGACTGGAGGCGAGGCAGGAATCTAGAGGCAACTAGGCCCGGAACTGAAGCCCCAGCCCGTTCTACCATAGTTAACGTAACAATTTATTAATAATACTTATAATATACAAAAAGCAGAAATGAATTAACCACCGAAACCGTACAAGGTTCTACCTTGTCTCTTCAAAGCGTAAACGACGTCCAATGCAGTGACGGTCTTTCTCTTGGCGTGTTCAGTGTAGGTAACAGCATCTCTGATAACGTTTTCTAAGAAGGACTTAAGCACAACTCTGACTTCTTCGTAGATCAAAGCAGAGATACGCTTGACACCACCTCTTCTGGCCAATCTTCTGATGGCTGGCTTGGTGATACCTTGGATGTTGTCTCTCAAGATCTTTCTGTGTCTCTTGGCACCGCCTTTTCCTAAACCTTTTCCTCCTTTTCCTCTACCGGACATGTTGATTAATTATATTTGATATGATAAAGAAGAAACTTAACCAGGGTGCGAAACGATGTATTTATAACCAATGATGGGATCGCCCCCTAAGCAATACAATCTGCGCTCGGCCAAGCGAATGCCACGGATCCCGCAATACGGGAGTCAGGTGGCTGCGGAAGCCACTACTGGCGGGCCATGCCCGCGTTTACTCTTGTGCAGAGTAATTTCCCGCATTGTCTCCGCACTCCCCCATGCTTTTGTCCCTCTGAGAAGCCAAATTGCCCAATTGGGCCCCTCAATCTCTTTTCCCGGGCTAACTCCTACAATCTCTAGCTACTGCAATTCCCCATAAAGTGCGCACAGTGTTTTTCGCTCACGGTACCTGGCGATTTTAGACACTTCTCGAGCGCGCACAAGTGCGTTGGTATTCAGGTTACCCGTGCGCGTGTGTATCTGTGAGCATGCTGCCGGCAACCGTTTCTTCCCAGGCTGCGAAAAGTAATCACAACACGACGCCCGCTGGCGACGGCACATGACAATAATAAACATCTACCCGTCACGCGTAGGCAGAAACATCCTATATATATCGCGAGCCTGCCTACTGGTTTCCCGATTCATCAGTATTGAATATTCAACATGGCTAGAACCAAGCAAACCGCAAGAAAGTCTACTGGTGGTAAGGCACCAAGAAAACAATTAGCTTCCAAGGCTGCTAGAAAGTCTGCTCCATCCACCGGTGGTGTCAAGAAGCCTCACAGATATAAGCCAGGTACCGTTGCTTTGAGAGAAATCAGAAGATTCCAAAAGTCTACTGAATTGCTTATCAGAAAGTTGCCTTTCCAAAGATTGGTCAGAGAAATCGCCCAAGACTTCAAGACCGACTTGAGATTCCAATCCTCTGCCATCGGTGCCTTGCAAGAATCCGTTGAAGCTTACTTGGTCTCCTTGTTTGAAGACACCAACTTGTGTGCTATCCACGCCAAGAGAGTTACCATTCAAAAGAAGGACATCCAATTAGCTAGAAGATTAAGAGGTGAAAGAACTTAAGCCTAATTTTTCAATTCATCTAAACCGTTTACAGTTTGTTTATGAGTGTATATTAGTAATGTATATTTAAGAGTATCAAGTGTAGTATGAAACAATAGTAACGCCTTAGTTATTAATGATAATAATAATAGGAATTAAGCATGGTAAGAGGATTTGCATACCTTTGGATGGGCTATCTGCCCGTTAATGTAAATGCAAACTTAGGCATGTGCACTGAGGCTTCTGCCCTCCTAACAACTAGCTAGCTGAGGTTTGCGTCTTAAACTATGTGATTTTACGTATCGACGTCTCAAGACTGTTTCCCCGATGGGAGCCAACCATGAGCTAAATCCAGTCCCAAAACTTCATTTCAAATATCCAATGTTCATCTAACTATACTAAAAAGGATACACATCTGGCCCTGCTTCGGCAATCAACCCCGCCTTCTCTTGCTCGAGGGCCACCTTCTCCAAGTATGGCAATAGAACATCCGCATACTTGGAGTATCCCTTGTACTCCTCAACGTCTCCCGACCATGTCGAAATTCCATTTAACAATCTTCTAGGAATGTATGGCTCTTTGCACAATTTAACTATGGGAACAAAATAGGTTCTGATAGTGAACACCACTGCACCACTTTTGGGTAATCTTCTCAAGCTTTGGCGCTCGCTTCTGAAGTAAAGCTGGTCAATGATCGATGCTGGCACAGCAGTGTTCCACCCCACATTCTCACTGTCTTCTTCACCAATGGAGTGGGACCAGCCTAAGTTGTCATCGGTTTGGATAAAGTAGTTGTTCCTGACAACCGGCTTCTCGGAGGTTAACCTAGTGAAGAACCTGGTCATACCAGTCTTGAGCTTCTCGTTGTACTGGGGAACATCCCCACTGGTGTGAATCTCGTTAAGGCTCATTTTGTATTTATCTCTGAACCTCCAGAACCCAGCTAGGATGATTGCACCCGATTGCAACAGGTAGTTTCCTTCTTCGTCCTCCATCATGATTGCCAAGTCATCCTGGACCAATTTCGCAGCAATTAGAATAGGATCTTCTTTACCTCCCTTGGTGAAGTCAAACGATTCCTTGGTCACTAAGTTATCCAAACCAACGGCAGTCTCCTTGAATAGTTTTGGGTACCTGTGGGGAAGAAATCGTTTGAACTCATCCAACAACTCATACGCAGCGTCAGTGGCTTGGTTGCTCGTCTCGTACAATTCGGTACCTCTCTCTTGAATCCGACGCAACTTTTCGTTGTGATACAGTTCCCATTCGTTGTCCAACTCGATCCAATTGTCCCACTCCATATTCCTGATCCCCATGGTGACATTGTATCTGTGTTTAAAGGCACGGTATGGTAATGGTTTGGTTTTCTCATAGTCCCAGTGAGGATACTCTTGAGGAAGGGGAGTAACAAATGTTTCTGGTACCCAGTGGCCGTATTTCCTGTCCTTGTTGGACACCTTCTGGGCAACTGTCTTCTTTTTTGGCATGAACCTCATTGCCAACAACGCAATTGCAACTATGACTAGCACATCTAGTGATAAGGGTGAGGCATCAGATATTTTGGAGTACTGCTCATACAGCTCCCGGTAGAGGGTTGAAAAGACACCCACATCACTCACACTTTGGTTCATTCTGTTCTATTCGTTGGGGTTGGACGCTGGCCACCACCCAAACTTATATAGTGGGTAATCTTATCATTCCGTATATCGCATCCTAATCGGGTAAAGGTATGCAGATTAGATTTTGCGCCCATTTTCGAGGGTGCGTTTTGGAGACCACCCACACTCTTGCACGTTGCCAGATCAGGTCACAATCGAACCACTCTTGTAACGATCTAACAGAAAGCCTACGTTTATTACAGGTAACATGAATTAGATGGTATCTATGCTGAAGTCACAGGCATTTAAGCTTTGAATCCGATTATGCTGGGGGTAAAAACGCAGCGAACAAACTAGTTTGAGCAAAATTCCACCCAAGCATGTAGTAGATGACATATTTTCTGTAAGGCAGCTTGCTCTGGACCAACTGTGCAACATACCAGTAACTTAATGGTAAAAAGGATCCTATACGGGTTAAAATCTGAGTGTTCCAAAAGAAAATACCTCCAAGCAATACAAACACATTAATGACCAATAAAATGGTTATCTTCTTTATTTTTGGTAATTCTGCCGCATTTAAGTAGTGACGAATGGCAGCCGAGTGGATCAATATGGTCGGAGTTGCAAATAAGAAGTTGGGTATGTTGTTGACAGACCAATACACTAAAAACCCAACTCCCCAATATTCCCTCTGTGCGTACCCAAACAACAGAGGAACTGTGCGATTGCACCAGGAGCCCCTCTCAGGACAGAATAGCAAATAATTGTAAACATTCATCGCTAAGATGGTGAAGAACAATTGGCCTCCAGCAATGATGGACAATAAGCTGTCCACCACGTTTTTGTTTCCCAATAAAAAGCCATATAGGTCGTATAAATAGATGATACCAATAAAAATGGAGTTTGCTCTTATGGTGAAGTTGTATGCTAGGAGCAGCCCAGATGCGATATAGATTATGGGCCACTTAATGGACTTGTGAGTAGAAGGATATTTGAAATCAGAATGGTTAACAGAAATATCATGCAAATAAATGGTGGAGAAGCTCAAGAAATTACTCAAGTTTTCTGAGTATCCACTGGTGAGGAAAATGCCAGCAGGGGATATGATAACCAACCTGGCAGCTATCTCAGCGAATTCGCGTTCGCTCTTGATGCCATTTCTGGTATGAGTTCTAGCCCTGAAATAATTCAAAGTCAACGCATACATAACCAAGGCAGACATGTAGTGAAATGCATTGGAGACAAATAAACTCAAGATCAATTTGCTGTAAAAATTGCCCTCGCCCAACGGTATTGCTTTGATTAGTCTCCACCAGTTAGGACAGAACACGAACTGGTTTTCATACTTGATAGGGTTCACATGGAGATCAGAAAAGTATACTGCATCCCATGTTATGAACTTTTCTCCTATATGGGTTATAAGATGGTCAACAAAGGGTACCCATGATGTTCGGTCGAGCAATTGTTGTTTGAGTGGTTCATATTGACGAGCGAGTATCTGCGATGAGGTATCGAATTGAACCGGTGTGAAGTAGACAATAAGTAATTGTATGGTTTTGATGACTAAGAAAAGCTTGGTGAGTCTCTTGATTGCATCTCTGTGACCCATTCTTTGTATTCGATCAATGATCCCACACTCTTTACCTCTGATTTTTTACTGTTTTTTTCGAGTTGCGTACAGGAGTTGCAAAATTCATGATCATGTCATTAACAATTTTGATGAGAACAACTCAGTTACAGGCAGCTTGTCTTACACTGGGATGATTTGAACGCGGATATTATTTGTATATATATGTTTGCTATCCTCCTTTGGTATTAGGAATGGTGATTGTGATTAATTACTTCTTGCCAAATTGAACACCAAACGACTCAATGATACCAGCTACAGATTGTGGGTTGGCTAAGGTGGTGATGTCACCCAATTGGTCAGCTTCGTTAGCGGAGATCTTTCTCAAGATTCTTCTCATGATCTTACCGGATCTGGTCTTTGGCAAGTCGCCAACGATGATGACACTCTTTGGAGCAGCAAATGGACCGATTTCCTTTCTGACTTGCAAGATCAACTCCTTTCTCAAAGCAAACGCTTCTTCGCTGGTCTCCTTACCGTTCACCTTTTCGGCAGATTCGTCCTTCAAGGCAACGAAGGCTACGACAGCTTGACCGGTTAAGTCATCGTTGATACCAACAACAGCAGCTTCAGAAACACCTTGGTGCTCGATCAAAGCGGCTTCGATCTCGGCAGTGGATAATCTGTGACCAGAAACGTTGACAACGTCATCAACTCTACCCCTGATCCAGTAGTATCCGTCGTGATCTCTGGCAGCACCGTCACCAGTGAAGTAGTAGCCAGGGTATGGGTTCAAGTAGGTGTCCATGTACTTACCGTGGTTTCTCCAAACGGATCTGGCCATGGATGGCCAAGTTTCCTTGACGGCCAAGACACCTTCAACATCGAAACCAGTGATTTCCACACCAGTAACTGGATCTATAAGACAAGTTTCAATACCGAAAAATGGCAAGGAGGCAGAACCTGGCTTGTTTGGTGTAATACCAGCAATTGGAGCAATGAAGTGAGATCCAGATTCGGTTTGCCAGTAGGTATCGGAAATGTGACATTGTCCCTTACCAACCTTTTCGTTGTACCATTCCCAAATATCTGGGGAGATTGGTTCACCAACAGAGCCCAAGGTTCTCAAGGAAGACAAGTCGTACTTCTCGATTTCAGCCTCACCAGACTTTCTCAATAATCTCAAAGCAGTTGGGGCCACGTAGAAGTGGGTGGCCTTGTGCTTTTCAACGATTTGCCATAATCTACCGAAATCTGGGTATGCGGGAGTACCTTCGAAAACGATGGTTGGAATACCTAAGGCCAATGGACCGTACAAAGCGTAGGTATGGCCAGTGATCCAACCCACATCACCAGCAGTGAACAAAATGTCTTCTGGGTGAACATCGAAGATGTACTTAGTGGTCAAAGCAGCACCCAAGAGGTAACCTGCAGTGGAGTGGACAACACCCTTTGGAGTACCAGTAGAACCAGAGGTGTACAACAAGAACAATGGGTCCTCGGAGTTGACTGGGACTGGGGCCAAGTATCCTGGGAAGTTCTTGGTGGCTTCGTCCCAGTAGTAGTCACGACCTTCTTTCAAGGCAATTTCTGGGTTACCGGTTCTCTTGTAGACCAAAACCTTCTCAACGGAAGGACAGTTCAACAAAGCTTCATCACACAACTTCTTGATATTGACAGTCTTACCACCACGACGACCTTCATCACAAGTGATCAAAGCCTTACAGGAAGCGTCGTTGACACGATCCTTGATAGAACCAGAGGAGAAACCGGCAAAAATGACCGAGTGAATGGCACCCAATCTGGCCACAGCCAACATGGCAACAATGGCTTGAGAAGTCATTGGCAAGTAGATTGCGACAGTGTCACCCTTCTTGATTCCCCAAGATTGTAAAACACCAGCAACTTGAGAAACTTCACGCAACAACTCGGCATAAGTCAAAATCTTGGAGTCTGCCTCGTCATCGGCCTCGTAAATGACGGCAGGCTTGTCTGGAGTGGCGAAAGCATGTCTGTCAACACAGTTGTAAGAAGCATTCAACTCACCTCCGATGAACCAAGCAGCATCTCCGTGTTTCAAAGAGCCCGACTTGACCTTGGTGAAGTCTCTGTCCCAGTGCAAAAACTCCTTGGCTAAAGGACCGAAGAAGCCTTCAGGATCCTTGATCGACTTTTCATAAAGCTCGTAGTAGTGGTTCAAGTCCTTCAAGTGTCCATCTCTTGGTTGTCTTTCAAAGAATTCCTTAGGAGTAGGACGAAGAGTGGTATTGTTGGCTTCGTGCACAACTGAGTGACTAGGAGAGGAAGTCATCTTATGGTGTTATAGGCTTGACTGAAACAAACGAATATCTAAAAAGTAACCTGAATTGTTAGTATTGTTCCGGAACGAGGGACAACTAGGGTGAAGGTTGCAAGCTTGCAACCTTGACAAATGGCAGGCAAGAGTCATATGGGAGTTGTCCTTGGTGCAGCTCCATCCTGCAAGCAGGTGGTCTATCCACCATTTTCATCAACAATCTATAAGATGATCCTCTGGCGGATTTTTCAACCACCCACACTAACTGGACCAATTCGAGATTTTTGCCATCAATGTGTCACAAACGCCGGGTTATTCCCTCCATAGTATGGACCCTTTCATAATCCGGGGTTAGTACTTACAATCCGGATCGGCTCAACTTCTTCCTTGTTGGAAACTTCCGCAGCAAATAAAGAATGTGATCTCTATATGAATTGTCACTGCCAACATTTTGACTCAGAAGTTGTGAAAAAATTCAAGGCACAAAGTCTAAACGACGAGCGCGGTACGGACCTAATTGATCCCACACAATCTACGCTGTACAAGAGCTACAAAACAGATATTGGCTCGCTGTCACTACCTAGAGGGACTACACGGAGGTTACTGGTTCCGATCCTAGTTTAGCTGTGATCGTATCGACTAAAGTCTGGCCTTCAGGACGGAATTGAAGTGGTGTCATCTGTTGTGTACAGGATTTGGGGATCGCTATTTTTGTTGAACACTGGCGATAAGCACCGCGAGGAAGAACGGAACCGGTGGGGGAGGGGCTATGGAGGGGACAATATGACAGAACGTGAAACCAAGTGTGGCCCCATGTGTGTGTACGCAAATGTCCCTGGGACTCTTCTCGTGGCCAGATTCCGCCAATTGACCGAGTAGAGCTGTCTGGGACCTTCCCACCAATAATTTTTGTTGGTATGGGGTCTGACCAAAATGTTGGAGGAGGGGGGGCTAACGCACAAAAGAGGGGATTACGTAAGCGGGACCATAAAGAGGACGATCGTTTTTGGTAGTTTAAGCGCGAATGTGGAAGTGCCAACGACTACTGAGAATTCTTTATCTTTTCTTATTCTATTACCTATACATTCTAGAGAATTGTATTGCTAAATACAGAATGAACAACTACCATTAAATGACAAAATGAAGAAAACCGCAATAATAAAACAAACCCGTAAACCAATTGAAATGTCATAATTTATTATCATCATGTTTCGTTCTCTTCGACATCTTCTTGCTCATTCAAGTTGGTTGACCTGATCTAAATCATTTAATCAACTTCTTCAACAGTTGGACCGTCGTTGGAAGCGTCAGGAGCAGCACCACCTGGGGCAGCACCTGGGAAGCCACCTGGGGCAGCACCAGCTGGAGCAGCACCGGCTTGGTAGGCCTTGGACATAACTGGGTTAGCCTTACCTTCCAATTCCTTTTGCTTGTCAGCAAATTCTTCTTGGGTGGCAGTTTGGTTGGCGTCTAACCATTCAATAGTCTCGTCAGCAGCCTTGGTGACGGTTTCGACTTCGTCAGCTTCCAACTTGGACTTGAATTGTTCGTCAGCAAGAGTAGACTTCAAGGAGTAAGCGTAAGATTCCAAACCGTTCTTGGCTTGAACTCTGTTAGCTTCCTTTTCATCTTCTTCCTTGAACTTTTCAGCTTCGGAAACCATCTTTTCGATGTCTTCCTTAGATAATCTACCCTTGTCGTTGGTGATGGTAATCTTTTGAGTCTTACCAGTACCCTTTTCTAAGGCAGAAACGTTCAAGATACCGTTAGCATCAATGTCGAAGGTGACTTCAATTTGTGGGGTACCTCTTGGAGCTGGTGGAATACCAGACAATTCGAACTTACCCAACAAGTTGTTGTCAGCAGTCTTAGCTCTTTCACCTTCGAAGACTTGAATCAAGACACCTGGTTGGTTGTCAGCGTAAGTAGAGAAGGTTTCGGACTTCTTGGTTGGGATGGTAGAGTTTCTTGGGATCAACTTGGTCATAATACCACCAGCGGTTTCAATACCAAGAGACAATGGAGCAACATCCAACAACAATAAGTCTTGAGTCTTGGAAGAAGTGTCACCAGACAAGATAGCAGCTTGGACAGCGGCACCGTAAGCAACGGCTTCATCTGGGTTGATAGATCTGTTTGGTTCCTTACCGTTGAAGAAGTCAGAGACCAACTTTTGGACCTTTGGAATTCTGGTAGAACCACCGACCAAGACGATTTCGTGGACAGCGGACTTGTCAACCTTAGCATCTCTCAAGACCTTTTCAACTGGGTCCAAAGTAGATCTGAATAAGTCTTGACACAATTCTTCGAATCTGGCTCTGGTGATAGAGGTGTAGAAGTCAACACCTTCGTACAAGGAGTCGATTTCGATAGAGGTTTGAGCGGAAGAAGACAAGGTTCTCTTGGCTCTTTCACAAGCAGTTCTCAATCTTCTCAAGGCTCTTTGGTTGGTAGATAAGTCCTTCTTGTTCTTTCTCTTGAATTCGGCAACGAAGTGGTTAACCAATCTGTGGTCGAAATCTTCACCACCCAAGTGAGTGTCACCAGCAGTAGCCTTGACTTCGAAGATACCGTCTTCAATAGACAATAAGGAGACATCGAAAGTACCACCACCCAAGTCGAAGATCAAGACGTTCTTTTCTTGTTCATCCTTCTTGTCCAAACCGTAAGCAATGGCAGCAGCGGTTGGTTCGTTAATGATTCTCATAACGTTCAAACCAGCAATCAAACCAGCATCCTTGGTAGCTTGTCTTTGGGAGTCGTTGAAGTAAGCTGGGACGGTAACAACGGCGTCGTTAACTTGGGTACCCAAGTAACCTTCGGCGGTTTCCTTCATCTTACCCAAGATCATGGAAGAGATTTCTTCTGGAGTGAAGACCTTGGTTTCACCCTTGTATTCAACTTCGATGTTTGGCTTACCAGCCTTGTCGACAACCTTGAATGGGAAGTGCTTGATGTCACCTTGGACTTCAGCGTCGGAGGTCTTTCTACCGATCAAACGCTTAGCGTCGAAAACGGTGTTGCTTGGGTTCATAGCAGCTTGGTTCTTAGCAGCATCACCGATCAATCTTTCGGAGTCAGTGAAGGCAACGAAAGATGGAGTGGTTCTGTTACCTTGATCGTTGGCGATAATTTCGACACGATCGTTAGCGAAGTGTGCAACACATGAGTAGGTAGTACCTAAATCAATACCAACAGCTTTAGACATTTTTGTTTAATTAGTGGATAATAATGAAAAGAAAAATTTTGGCAATTGGGATTCAATCAATTTATAAAACGACGGCAGACGTCGGTGAAATTATTAACAAAGTTCCATAGATTTCGACGAACTTCTGCCGGTTACAGGACACAAAATTGAAAATCCTTGCACCCAAGCATGCATTGAGCGTCAATTAACAATTTGGAAATTGCTGGAAGCCTGTGGAAGCTTTTGTCCAGGTGAGGCGCATCACGTGACTGGGCCCTTGTGATGTCATATGCCATTGCCCTTCCTATTGCGGTAAATACTATTAAGTCATACATTGATGCTATAAAAGTACAGATTGTAAAACAGACGGAGGTTGGGCTGAGTCTCGTTTAAGTCAGCTTTTCCTTGGTGTAGTCATTGACCAAGTAGAAGTCACCGGTCTTTCTAACCGTGTGCTTGAAGGTGGTCCATCCTTGCTTGACAGCTGGAACGTTAACCGAGTTAACCAAGGAGTCAACCTTGACTTCAATGGACTTGATGTAGTTTCTGGTGAAGATGGAGTTTTCGAATCTGGTCTTGATGAAAACGGTGTACACCACAAATGGAACCAATGATCTTCTTCTGAAAGTAAGCAATCTGACGAACAACCACACGTATGCGTAGACTTCGATCACACTTCCCAATTGAACGGACTTAACGTTGTTGTTAGCAACGAAATCCCCAATAGTCTTGGAAATAGCATGCTTGTCGAGGCCAAAAACTGGCAATAAATAGGTTTGAATGTAGGCCAAAGAGTGGAACACCGAGTACAAGGCAAATGGCAACAAGGTCAACAACACGTAAGGTCTCAAGAAAAGCAAGGCGGCGCTTAACAAGAAGAATTGACTGTTGTCATTCTTGAGCACTGAGAACACATTGGAGCCACTCTTCTGGAAGATTTGGAAGATCAAAATACCAAAGCTTTCAAGGATCCCAAACAAAGCGACGGTGTACCAGAACTTGTAGGCACGAACACCAATCTTGATGTAGGTCAACGAATAGAAGAAGATACCTGTCAAGGTGAGCAAGTGACCTACGAACCAAGCAAACTGCAAGGTTTGCACGGTCTTGATCAATAACTCCTGGTTGAATCCAGGTTTGGAAGCTCCGGAAGAGGCTCCGCTAGAAGCTGGGGCTTGCTTGGAGGTGGTTTCTTCTGGTACTTCTACCTTTGGTGGTGGGACGTCGGACATTGTTGGCAATTCAAGAAAAGAACAAGTGTGGATAGCTTCTGAAATTCCACCGAGCAATGATGTTTTTTAACACTCAGGCACACTAATGAGAAAGTTCCTTCACTTACATATTTCCCAAATTGGTTTCAAGGTCACGAGTTTCTGGGCACGCAATTCACCAGGAGCAATTCATGTCCATCAGTGATCCAAGAGGGTATAGATCTGCTCAGCCGCAATTAACGTCATCTGGTACCTTTCCTCGCACAATCCCCATGTAAGGGCAACTAACACTCATGCGACGTGTCAGACAAAAGAAGTGAAATTTCATTTCGCATCATCTGGCTTGAACAATTAGAAATATATTGCAATATAGAACGGCATTTACTGGATTCGGACCATGGCATACTCCAATAGACTAGTAAATGAATATTGTCAGGTTATAGAGGAAAACTCCACCCGGAGTTTCGAAAAATCAGGGTGAAATGAGAGAAATATATCAAACAAGAGGCACTGTAAACTATAAAATGTGGTTAAACTCGTAAGTCTAACGTAAAAATCCTTTACGGGTCTTTGTGGGAGCGGGTGAGCTAGCAGCTGGCTCTTGTGGTAAGGTCTTTTGCTTCTCCAATTGGACCTTCTTATCTTCCAACAACTTTATTTGCTTGGTCAACTTGTCCTTCATTTCCTTATGTCTGGAAAACAAATCGGCTTCAGATCTTTGCAACTTCTTTTCCTTCTCGGACACCTTTTGTTGGAAAACAGCCTTCATTTCGGCTTCCATCTTGGCCAACTTGGCTTCGTGCAATGCTCTTTCTTCTTCTTGTTTGGCCAATGGGTCGAATTCTCTGAAAACGGTGTTGTCCTGGGCAATTCCCATTCTGTTCAACTTTTCAGTTCTATAGTTTTCGTACAAAGTATTGGCAGTATGTTCCTTCAATTCCTCTAAGAAGTTTCTCACCAATAATTGACGTAACTTGATGAAATCGTTGTGGTCTTCGTTGTCAACTTCAATAACACCCCATGGGTAGCTTCTACCTCTAACAATTCTTCCATCTGGAGTCTCAACTTCTTTGGTAGAACCGACAACAGCGAATGGAAACTTGCTCAAAATTTGCTTAGTGTTTAAGACGGTTTCTTCTTCGTCATTTTCGAAGTCGAGTGGCTGGAAGGTCTTTATACCTTGATACTTGATATCTTCCAAGATTCTTTGCTTGAACTCGGCAATTTCTTCTCCTGTCAAGGTATCAGACTTGGCAATAACTGGAATCAAGTTAACTTTCTCGTGAACCTGCTTCATCAAAGTTATATCCAAGGCTCTCAAAGAGTGGCCAGTTGGTTCAATGAAGTAAAGGAAAGCGTGCACTCTTTCATCATTCACAGTTGATCTGTTGATTCTGCTTTCAGCTTCCAAGAAAGAATCGAATCTGCTGTTGATTTCGTCTACGATAATCTTCCATGAGTTGACATTGTTCACAGATTCGCCGAATCCTGGGGCGGTGATTACGTTCAACTTCAACTTGACACCATCCTCATCTATTTCGGCAGTGGTGTTCTTGATCTTGACGGAAACTGTTTCGCTGGACTCTTGCTCTTCTTCGACTTCGACCTCTTTCTTCAAAATTTCGCGATTAAAAAGAGTGTTGATCAAGGTAGCTTTACCCAAACCTGCTTCACCAACAGCCATGATGTTCAAACTGAAGCCTCTTCTGATGGACTTTCTGTGCCATTGCTTTGGTAAGTTGGCGAATCCAACATAACCATTTAATTTTCTCTTGATTATTTTGACCTCCTGCTGGATGTTGTCCTTTATGGAGGTGGCGGCGATGGGAGTTTCTACTTCGGCTAGATAGGTTGTCATGTTAGTATCAGTTGGGTAGTCTGTCGATTCCTTGAACATACCTGAAGTCATTTTATATCTTTGTATTGAATCTGAAACAATTAGTAAAAAGGAGTTGTTTTTTTGACGTGTTTAATTTCAGTGGATTGATCTGGTGGTTTTGAGTACAATGAATTGATTGACACTCGGGACAGTACAAGTATCGAGAATGGAGTCGATGTATGGACCGTCAGTGATTGATAAATGGGGACGTTGATCGTTTGAACCACTTATTTTCGTTGTGTTTTTATGATTAGACGTTTTTTGTTTGTGGACTGGGCCCAAAAGAAACGAGCGCTGGATACGTGTCGAGCACATGCCGCACACGTCTACCAGAAAGGTCTAGAGGTCAAGGGGCCAAAGGGGCGGACGACGCAAAGCCACTAGGCGGATGATTACTTGCTTATTTAAGATCTTAGAGGGAACTGTGTAGGTCCTACAAAGTATAACTGTTGTTATATTGCTGGTGTGGTACTTTCTTTCTTCGCGTGAACACCAAAGGCCTCAATTTTTCTCGTCAAATTTTGGCCGTCTAATTAATTGGTGAGAAGAAAACTCTTGTAGGTAGGTGGGTTCAATTTCTATGGGCAAAAGAAGTAGTCCATTCGAAACTGCTAGATCATTATGACTGGGTTGACACTTTTTAGAACTTGGCTAATTTTTTTAAGTGCTGTTTTCGAAAATCTGGAGATAGAGCCTAGCTAAAGACTTTAAAACTGTAGCATTGACTCAGATAAAGGCTGAGTAGGTGTATTACTTGAGTAATGGAGCATTAGATGTCAACTAAAAAGTATTGGTCATATTTTCTTACATTTTTGCATTAATTCAAAATAATTGTTGAAGATATAATCTATGAACAGTGAAAAGTAAAAGAATGAAATATCCTTTTACCCGAAACTAATGTAAACTAAACCCAGGCAACGTTAAACAAGTAAATATTGTATGTGGGAACAGGGGATAACTTAAGGATACTTGATGGATGCCGGTATCGCTTACACTTGTATTACGTAATCAAAATTCCTTTCTATATACAAGAGTCTAGTTCTCCAACAGTTGCAATTGCTCTAACAAAAACTCCAAGCCTAACTTAGCAAACTCGGTCATATTTGTCGCTCTCTCCACGCTGCCAGTTTCTCTGGAGCATGAGATCTCTTTCGCGGGACCACTGAGCCCAAGAAACACAGTGCCAACCTTGGCAGCCGTGTTCTGGTCCTGATTGTGGTTCAAGTGGAGATCAGATGATGGGCCCGCGAATCCAGTTTCCGATAGCACGTAAGTCGAGCCCAATTCATATTTTGCAGTGCGGGCAAGTTTGAGGGCCACCTGCTCTGAAGGTCCCATGTATTGACTTATTTCAACATCGGACCAGCCAGACAATTTAAGTCTTTGTTTCAATGAGTACACCAACTTTCCTCCTATGTAGAAGTCAGATGCTCCTGGTACACTGACAACGTATGCAGATAAAAGGCCACCACAAGCAGCCTCGGAGACTGCCAAAGTCTCATTCCTAGAGCGCAATATGGCAGCTATCTTGGAGACCAACACTTGGATATCCTCTGGGGGGAAGTTCATCTTGTTCGGGGAGGTAGAGAACTGATCGTGGTGTCTGGGATTATTTGTGGGCAGGGGTCGTGCGCGCACCGCACTTTCTGGCACTATTGAGTGGCGATCATGGTGAGGAATAGTACCCACGATCCATTATGTCCAAAACATTGAAGTTCCATGCTGGCAAGGTCCAGTATGACGAAGACACCAAGAGGTGCACGCCGTTAGCGCACAAGGGGGTGATTTCGATCAAGCCCAGCTCCGAAGACCCCGATTTCCTTGCATTCACCTGGACTCCCAAATCAGACACAACAGTGGGAGGCACGGTGGAGAAGGACGAGTTATTGCTTATTCCCGGGGACGTGAGCTTCAAGCACATGAAGTCCTGCACCACTGGACGGGTGTTTGCATTGACATTTTTGAGTTCGGGAGCCAAGCATTTATACTGGTTACAAGATGTTGGTGATATCGATCAGCCAGGCGTCCTCACCGAAAAGGACTTGGGCATAGTGAAGCAGATTAACGAATTGATAACCATCAATGAGGATGAGGATGAGGACGAGGAGGACGAAGTCATCAAGGAAGAAAAGGACGAGTCAAGCGTCTCCAAGTAAGTACTATAATAAAAGCATCGTTTCAAGCCTGTAAAATACTAACGTCCAGGCCGTCGCAGCAGCAGCAGCAGCAGCAGCCCCAGATCCCTATCACCTCCATCGGCAACTTCTTGCAGCCGCAATTGGTCCAACAGCACTTGGACAAACTCTCGCCCCACCAGATCGACCAACTCTCGCAACATTTGCCAGCATCCACACCTGCCACCAAAACCGAGATAGCCCAGGTAGTTCGCAGCGGGTTTTTCCAGCAGTCGCAGCGCAAATTAAGCGAGCAACTCTCGTCGGGGCTCGGTGCGGGCTACTTGGTGGCCCAATCGTTGAAGTACGACTACAAGGGCGAGGGCGTCGACGGGTTTCTCAACGGGATCCGGGAGCTCACCAAGAAGGAGGACGACGATGGGGACGATGTCAAGCCCAAGCCTCAATAATCACGAGGCATTCCGTTGCTGCAATCAGTCCAAGTGAAACACTCAAAAACGTGACGTCATGGCTGGGGTCCCCAGCAATACAGCCTCTATATAGTGCGAGAACCCCCCACAATATGGGGCCCAACAATACAATGAGTAAGATAGAATTGATAACCCAGCCGGCTGATGATGAGAACATGTCGCGCAGCGAGTCGTTGGAGGCCACCCTCGAGAAGTTGAAGAAGTTGGTTGACGACAACCCCGTGCCCAGTGGGGACGACGACGACGACGAGGGTGTGAGTGCTAAGGAGGCAGCACAGGAAATCCGCAGAAGTCCCAGCCCGACCCGCGAGTTCTCACACGAGAAGCTCAAGGAGTTTGCCGGCACCGAAGCCAATAAGGACGATGAGGACGAACAGGAGTACGATGACGACGGGTTCGCCATACCCCAGGGAAAGATTCCCATCGACGGCCATTTTTCCACCCGCGAGTTGCAAGAGTTGGTGGAAATCGCCCAGCTGGAAGGGTACTTGAACGATGTTGACTTCAAGGTTGTGGATCACAACGAGACGTTGGGCGACAAGGTGGTGATAGCCGACCACGACAGGAGCTCCGAGGGCAAGAAGTACGGAGAGGACGAGGAACGCAAGGACGCGAAGAAACAGAAGGAACTGAAGGAGCATTCCAGCGAGCGTTCCGGCGAGCACCCCAAATGATTGTACACCATGAACCCCATGATTGTACACCGTGAACCTGTTCTTATTTATTACCTGTCCCACTAAACAAAACCCCACTAGTTACACCTACAATAGATAGACCCTTCAATTCTCATATGAAAACTTTCTGCAAAAACTGTACGTAGGCGCACCGTATCGAAACTGAGATCAATCTACCCAGCGTGAACGATCCGGGAGCCAACCAGTTTGACGTGCACCGTCTACGTCTCGAATTGAGCCACCAGCCCCATCCTTACGTCTCCCTATCCAGCATCAATCCTTCAGTTGAGCATGGAGATATCTTACCGCTCCAAGAGCCGATCCTCGAGGATATGGCTCTACCTGTTGGCCAGTCTAGGCCTCCTCCTCTTTGCATTGACCAGTTACTTGTACACTCGGGCCCTCCCGGGAGCAGATTCTCCTGGTTGTCGCCCAGTATGGATGTACCCATCCTATGCCAGGATTACAGGCTTTGACGAAACCCACACCAAGTTTGCTTCCAAGTACTCGTTATACCTCTACAGAGAGCAGGGAGTGGATCGCATTCCCGAGGAGAGCCCGGACAGAGAATTCAAGCTAGACGGAGTCCCAGTTCTCTTTATCCCTGGAAATGCTGGAAGCTACAGGCAGGCCAGATCCGTTGCATCGGAATCGGCTAACCTATACTTCGACGAATACACCCACGAGTGGAGCCACTTGAACCCGACTGCCAGGAACCTAGATGTCTTCACTGCCGATTTCAACGAGGACTTCACTGCATTCCACGGAAGAACAATGCTTGACCAGGCAGAGTACCTCAACGAGGCCGTCAAGTTCATCCTTGACTTGTACGCTGTGACTCCGAATCCCCCCAAGTCTGTGATCGTGGTGGGCCATTCCATGGGTGGTGTTGTGTCTAGAATCATGGTATCACTTCCTAATTTCTTGCCTGAATCCATCAATACAATTATCACATTGGCATCTCCTCACGCTGCAGCACCATTGACATTCGACGGTGATTTGCTCCGGATTTATTCCGCTGTTGATCGTTTTTGGTACGACGGGTACCACTCCAACTCGTCCATCGCAACCTCAAGGTTATCCAATTTGTCGTTGATATCAATTACCGGTGGCTTGCTGGACTCAACTTTACCGGCGGACTACACTACTTTGGGATACTTGGTTCCACCCACCAATGGGTTTACTGTTTATACCACAGGAATACCGCTGGTATGGACTCCAATAGATCATTTGGCAATTGTGTGGTGCAGCCAGTTGCGTAGAAAATTGGCAAGAGTATTGTTGGAGATTGTCGATGTTAACCTGCCATCGAGAACTTTGTCTTTACCAAGAAGGATGTCAGTTTTCAAGCAACACCTCTTGACTGGGTTCGAAGACTATGCATCACAAGACTCAATAGCTCAGACTGGTGAACACAATATAAACATTAAGTTGGATAGACAACAAATCGAAATATTAGGAGCTGGTGGGGCAGGTTTAAAATTATATGGAAAGGACAAACCAGATTCATCCGAGTCCAAGATGAGTTTATTTCAAATTCCCAAGAAAGACGGCGAGAATTTCGAGTTTTCCTTGTTAAGCTCAGCGCCCCTTAGTCCTTGGGACCCTTCGAACCCCAATTTGTCTATATTACTTTGTTCCAACGTACCAAATGGAGATCATCGAGAGGGGGTTGACGACTTTACAAGTGAGAACACTAATGAAACATTGCAATTGAGCTGCGTCGATATACATCAGGATGCGCGTATAGTTCCAAGGTCTAATAGTGATAGCAACTCATTGATGGACTCCTCTTTCGACGGAGAAAAGTCACCTTTCCATGCTTTCAAATTGAGTGCAAAAATTCTATCAAAATATGATCTGATTTTAATAGCTGCTCAAAAACAAAATAAAGATGAAGACTTCTTCATCGTAGGGGATGTTTTTAAAACAGAAGAACTCGAGTATAAACTAGGGACGAATATGTTCACATTATTTGCAAGGGGAGGAGCAGAGTTATCATTACCGAGCGATCGGCCTTTAGCGGTCAATCTCAATATCCCAGGAGCTTGGAGTAGTATTCTTGCCTATCACCTAAAGGTCAGATATCCCAAGGATGGGCCTGCTAGCGAAGCCACTCCATTCAGATCATTCATCAGGCAATGGATTGAGGATCCCTACGAAAGCAAGTGGCATCTAAATGTTGAGGATAACTCCGATTTGTCAATTGTCATGCACGGAGTGGCACCATTTGTTCCGTTTAAACTGAAGCATCAATCCCTTAACATTGAGTTATGGAGTTCAAAGATAGAGGGTGATTCGCCAATGGAAATCACGATTCGAATAGATTTTGTGAAAAGTTTAAGGCTACTAGTCTTGAGGTATAGGCTTGCGATAGTTGCAGGTTGTGTTCTGATAGTTTTGCTTGTGATGTTGATACAAGTAAAGATATACGCCAACACCAGCCGTTATCCCAATTTTATGCACGCGTTAGGATTGTTGAATTCTGGTAAGTCTTTATTGATAATCCTGGCAGTATTGGTGCTACTTAATCCCTTAATGAATTTCGGGTCCATTCAGCTGTTCATGAATTTGATTGACCCAGTTGTGTTGAGAGATTCTAACGAGATAAACTTGAGTTTACATAAAGATTTTAAGATCAACTCCTTCTACTTGGGATTAGAGGAGATATGGTTATGGCCAATTGGTATAGTGCTTTATCTAATGGCCCTCTTTTTGGTCTTTACAAGTTATCAGGTATTAATTCTTGTGGGAGTTGCAATAACTTGGATTATAAAAGCGGGTGGCAAACTATTCAAAATTAGTTTAGGATCCAGAGGTTCAAAACAGGAAAAGATAAATAACAGACAGGTTGGAAGCATTTCTAAGTTAGCACAGGTATGGTCCCGCCGTCGTATTATTATGATAGCCCTCCTTCTTTTGGCAATTCCAGTTTATGCTCCATATCAATTTGTTTACATTGCTTGCTTCATAATCCAGATCATAACAGCAGTCAAGTTATTGCTAAAAAGTAATGGTAGCAGTGATGCAAATGTTTTCAATTATCAAATGACAATATTAATGTTGATGTTGTGGATTTTACCAGTGAATGTGCCAATCTTGATTGTATTTGCCCACAATATAGCAGTCAACTGGAGAACACCTTTTAGTTCTCACCACAACTTCTTATCGATAATTCCAATCTTCTTCTTGATCGAAAGAAATTCCGTGATGAAGAAGTTGCCGAAGTTTTCAAATGGGGTCGTCACCATCAGGTGGTTTATGGTTTACTTCATATTTTATTGCATAGTGTATGGAATCCGTCATACATTTTGGATTCATCATTTGTTCAATGTCATGAGCTGTCTTCTATTGAGAATCTACTACGAGAATGAAGTGGATGAAGAACCAAACAAAGATACAGGTTAAATAGTAATTTAAAATACAGGATGATATTGGTTATATCCATATTCATTAAACTAATATACACTCAACCTAATAACGTTACAAAATTAAATAAAAGAAATGAAGTTGATTTAAACGCTTAGCTGGAAGCAGAGGAGTACTTGGTGACAGCTCTGGTACCTTCGGAAACAGCGTGCTTAGCCAATTCACCTGGTAAGATCAATCTGACAGCAGTTTGGATTTCTCTGGCAGAGATGGTAGACTTCTTGTTGTAAGCAGCCAACTTGGAAGCTTCACCAGCGATTCTTTCGAAGATATCGTTGACAAAGGAGTTCATGATGGACATGGCCTTTTGGGAGATACCGGTGTCTGGGTGAGTTTGCTTCAAGACCTTGTAGATGTAGGAAGAGTAAGTTTCCTTTCTGGTCTTGGTTCTCTTCTTGGAGTCAGAAGAAGAGGAAGCGGTCTTCTTAGCAGCTGGCTTCTTCTCAGCTGGGGCTTTAGAGGCAGGCTTCTTTTCAGCTTTTGGTGGGGCCATTGTGATTGATTAGTGTTAAATTAATTTACAACTGTTGAGGGGCTACGGGCAAATCACTTCTTTATATACACGCGAAACGATCGCGGGGCGAGAGGCCGGAGGCAACCAAAGAGGAGGAGAGGATTGGACGGGTTGTCCAAATAGGAAAGAGCGCGCTGCGGAGTCCACGCTGGAGACGTCCGGGAGAGTGCGTGGGTCATGACAATAACAAACATAGGACATGTAACTAGCGTGATTGGTACCGTATTTACTAGGATCGTGTTTTGCGTGTCGTTCTTACAGTTACGCACCTCGCCCGGTATTTTCCAGCATGTCTCCGCGCAAGCGTTTCTGTGAGCATGGCTTGGTAAATGTGGGCACTAAGTGAGGGTGGGTCTCGTGCTCGCGTCGCGGGGGGCGTTTATAAATATCAGTCAATCCCCTAATTCGTTTGGAGTATCAAATCTATAACTAATAGTAACTTATAATAATGTCAGGTGGTAAAGGTAAAGCCGGTTCATCCGAAAAAGCATCAACTTCCAGATCTTCCAAGGCTGGTTTGACTTTCCCAGTCGGTAGAGTCCACAGATTGTTAAGAAAGGGTAACTACGCTCAAAGAGTTGGTTCTGGTGCCCCAGTCTACTTGACTTCTGTCTTAGAATACTTGGCTGCTGAAATCTTGGAATTGGCTGGTAACGCTGCCAGAGACAACAAGAAGTCCAGAATTATCCCAAGACACTTGCAATTGGCCATCAGAAACGATGAAGAATTGAACAAATTGTTGGGTCACGTCACCATTGCACAAGGTGGTGTTTTGCCAAACATTCACCAATCCTTGTTGCCATCCAAGAAGGCTGTCAAGCCAGGAAGTGCTTCCCAAGAATTATAATCGGTTTAAGGTGGTTCGATTGTACTATAACTATTTAATTCTATTGTAACGTTTCATTGCCCCCCTTTTGCAATGATTATTTTTGTTATGTGTTTGTTTCACTCAAACTAGTGTATATTAGCCATTTAATGAGATACTATTGATCTTAGACTTTTGTAAGAACGCGAAAATTTATCATTAATTCATTCCCATTTCTCTTTAACATTGAACAATAATGGAGAAGTTTTCCAACTGGAGAGACAAAGGAACGGGCATTTCTCCGTTCATACCCTTCCCATCGCCTTTGGCCTCGGCATCTGCTATCAACAAGGTTTGGTATGTTGTGCTCAAGGTGGTGATGTTCGTCACAAGAATTCCATTGATTGTACTTCTTGGCCTTGCATACTTCGTCACTTCACTGAATGCCCTCTTGAGATTCGTGCTACTTGTGTGCTTTGGTCTTGACAAACTAGACGTTCTAGTAGATGGTATCAAGCGTTCCAATACTACTGCCATCAATGCAACCCTTCCCAAAATCAACGATTTGGTTGTTGTCAATTACATTTCACCAATTGACGGATTTATTTATGCTCTTTTGGCAGGCATTTCTTGGAGAAAGATCATCATTGTAATTCCTGATAACAAGGGACAATTCTACATCCATTCGATTTGGTCTTTGTTCAAGAATACTTTTTCCATTTCTCCACTCGGAACTGCCACCAAGCTCGATTTGAATCAGTATAAAGATAAGGTCGTCTTCTTACTTCTTGAAGGCACTCCATCCAACAACAAGGCGGTGTTGCCATTCCAGAACTTGCCTGCAAACAGTGTGCCAAAAGAGTTCACCATCAAATCAGTGATTTTGAAGATCCCACCACATTTGACTCTTCCAATTCCCTATTGTTCGAAACTCAGTTACTTGCTTGAGTTAGCCACTCCGGTGAATGCAAGGAACAATTTGATCAAAGCCAAGGTCTACACATTTTCCAAGTGGGATATTCGTGAGATCCGTAACTCTTTTGAAGTCAATGGTTTGAGTACTCTTGGCGACTCCTTAGGTATCGAAGGCAAACAACGTTTCTACGAATACTGGGGTGACTACAAGGTTAAAAAGGATTAGTCATCAGGCATTAATAAATGTATCCTAAGTTATCTAGTAGGACTTCTTTCACGTCTGTTTTCACGGTCAGATGCATCTTCATTTCCAGAATGGCGCCCATCACTTCGCCTTTTGAGTTCCCTACTTTTCTCTCTGTCGTCACCATTATTACTGTGCTTGTGACTATCTTTGTGGCCATGCTTATGACTATGTCTGTGGCTTCGATGTTTCTTTGCATCCTTATCGTGATGTCTGTGTCTGTGCCTATCCCCTTCATGTCTCTTTTTATCATCCTTTTTGCTGTTGCTGAGAAAAGCCTCCATAGGGTCCTTCAATTCGTCGTCCATCTCGTGTTTCTGAGAATCTGCAACGGCCAAAGCTGGTTCTGATGCATTGTAGTTTTCCATTGGGTCTCTCAATTCATCGTCATCCTGCACGTCCTTCAACTCTAATAGTTTTTGGGGTTTCTTAACATCTTCAGTATTCTTCAATGCTCTGCGTTCAAATTCGCTATAGTCCACTAGATAATCCTCCTCTTTTTCATTTCCTCTGAGCTTAAAGTAGACATGATCTACTTTGATTGACCGATCAAATATCTTCAATCCGTTTAGATTGTCTACCGCTAAAACACAGCTCTTGAAGTTGAAGTACTTCAAGTAACAGAAACCTCGAGACTTCCCTGTTTCACGGTCTTTTACTAGGTTGATATGACTAGGAATGCCATACTGTGAGAATATAGTAAGGATGTCTTTTTCTGCTATGTTATATGGTAGTCCCCCTATGTATATGTATGCTGTATCACGGTAATCATAATGCCATGATGACTCATATGAGGTGTTCTGTTCCAACTCTTTCTGGTTGATTTGGTTTAGCTTCCTGATAGCGTTCATGTTGTTGGTTTAACTATCTATGTACTGGGGTCTCATGAATATATGATCACGTGACCAAAAATTGTCCTGATGAGATGAGTTGAAAAAAATAGAAGAGCTAGTAGCACTTAACAGTAACGATGGCTAAATCCAAGTCTATCAAGCAATCGAAGAAGGTTGCTGAGAAGCTTACTAAGCTTGAAGAGTCTTCTAGAAAGAGAAAGGTGGAGGAAGAGGAAGAGGAAGAGTCTTCAGATGGAGAGTTCAACGTCGAAGGATTAATAGATCAAGAAGCATCTGAAGACGAGTCTGGCGAAGAAGAAGAAGAAGAAGCCGATGAAGACGAGGATGACGAAGATGACGAAGACGAGGAATTCAACAAGCTTATAGGCGAAGAAGATGATGTCAGCGATGTCGACTCTGAGGACTTTTCGCATGGGCCTCATGATGAGTCTGCCTCCATCACAGATAAACTCTCAGGGGTCAAGATCAGAAGCATGTCCAACAACAGTACCGAAGAAAAGGATATCCACACCGAATACTCTGATGGAAGACCAAGAATCATTAAGCCAGAAATCGAACCAGTCTACGACAGTGACGACAGTGACCACGAAAATTTCAACACTATTGGTAATATTCCATTGTCGGCCTACGAGGAGATGCCCCATCTTGGTTATGATATCAACGGTAAAAGAATCATGAGACCAGCCAGGGGTTCTGCTTTGGACCAACTTTTGGAATCTATTGATTTACCTGAGGGGTGGACTGGTTTATTGGATCAAAACACTGGTGGTAACTTGAAATTGACAGATGAGGAATTAGAATTAATCAGAAAGATTCAACAGCAAGAGAACACCGATGACAACATCAACCCATATGAACCATACATTGATTGGTTCACTTCTAAAGAAGAAGTCATGCCATTGACTGCCGTCCCAGAACCAAAGAGAAGATTTGTTCCCTCTAAACACGAAGCTAAGAGAGTCATGAAGATTGTCCGTGCTATCAGAGAAGGAAGAATTGTCTCTCCAAACAAGGTGAAGGAACAGGCGGAGGAAGAACAATACAACTATGATTTGTGGAAGGATGAAGTTGCAGTTGAAGACCACATCATGAACTTGAGAGCACCAAAGTTGCCTCCACCAACAAATGAAGAGTCTTACAACCCGCCTGAAGAATATTTAATGACTGAGGAAGAAAAGAAGCAATGGGATGAAATGGATCCTCTGGAAAGAGAAAGAAACTTCATTCCGCAAAAGTACTCTTCCTTGAGAAAGGTCCCAGGTTACCAAGAAAGTGTTACTGAGAGATTCGACAGATGTTTGGATTTGTACTTGGCTCCAAGAGTCCGTCACAACAAGTTGAACATTGATCCAGACAGTTTGATCCCAGAATTACCATCTCCTCAAGATTTGAGACCATTCCCTATTCGTTGTTCTACAGTTTATCAAGGTCACACTGGAAGAATACGTACTATATCGATTGATCCTCAAGGTTTATGGTTAGCTACTGGATCTGATGATGGAACTGTCAGAATCTGGGAAATCTTGACTGGAAGACAAGTTTACAAAGCACAATTACTTGAAGAGGACAATACTGATGACCACATCGAGAGCTTGGAGTGGAGTCCAGATTCGACCACCGGAATTTTGGCTGTTGCTGCCGGTGAAAATATTTACTTGATTGTTCCACCAATCTTTGGATTTGATATTGAGAATACTGGAAAATTGAGAATTGAATCTGGTTGGGGTTACGATACTTTTGGTAACAGCAAGAAGAACCGTGATATCAAGGTTGGCGAAGATGATGAGGAAGCTGAAGAAGATGTTGAATCCAACGATAAATCAGAAGTCAAAAAGGAAGTCGCCAAGTGGTTCACTCCATCTGTTGACCAAGCCAAATTGGGTATCTCTGCCATTATTCAATGCCGTAAGAATATCAAGAAAATCTCATGGCACAGAAAGGGTGACTATTTTGTTACCGTATCTCCAGACAGTAAGAACACTGCTGTATTAATTCATCAATTGTCTAAACATTTATCACAATCTCCATTCAAGAAGTCCAAGGGTATCATAATGGATGCCAAATTCCATCCATTCAAACCACAATTGTTTGTTGCATCTCAACGTACCATTAGAATATATGACTTGGCTCAACAAGTGCTTATTAAGAAGTTGATGCCAGGTGCTAGAATGTTATCTGGAATAGATATTCATCCAAGAGGTGATAACTTGTTAGCATCTTCTTATGATAAGAGAGTGTTATGGCATGATTTGGATTTATCCGCTACTCCTTACAAGACTTTAAGATACCACGAAAAGGCCGTTAGAAACATTAAATTCCACAAGTCCAACTTGCCATTGTTTGCATCTGCTTCCGATGACGGTAGCATCCATGTTTTCCATGGTACTGTTTATGACGATTTAATGACCAACCCATTGTTGGTTCCATTGAAGAAGTTGACCGGACATAAGGTTGTCAACAGTATTGGTGTTTTGGACTTGATCTGGCATCCTAAGGAGGCTTGGTTATTCAGTGCTGGTGCCGATGGTACCGCTCGTCTCTGGACTACATAGATAACAACTTGAACATAGAAGTTATTGTGCTACTTGCGTAGTAGTGCTTGCAAAATAAAAGATATACACCGGAATAAGTTTGGAGGAAACTTCGTAAATTAATTGAGGTTCGGTAAATTTGTTAGTTTTTAAACAAAGCGCACACTATTCGAGCCCTTGACACTTTCTAGCCGGTGTAAACCCGATAGACTCCATCAGATATAGGTTCTCTACTTAGAAGGTGTATGTCTGGGGAATACGGTATAGCCAGAACAAGTGTGGCGTATTACCCATAACTCAATCATCGATATACTTGTAGCACAGAAAATCTACTATTATTATGCAAGATTGGTGAAGCTTGAAAGGCTTTGTCAGCAGTCCAAACATCAACTCAGATGGTGTCAAACTACCATATACTACAGAGGTTTATCAATTCTTGAGGTCTCAATTGGGATTCATAACCAGCACGAATAGTTGAATCCTGCATATAAATCATGTTATCAGAAGCAGAACAAGAGCCATTACTCATTCTAAGAGAAAGTTGTTATCTAAACCTTCAATCCAACTTCAACAATGAAATTATCCGTATTGCTTGCATTGGCAACAGCCACTGCTTTTCCTTTGAGCTTCTCTCAATGGACCAATTCCGAGTCTGTTTCGGTGAGTGGCGAAGATGTTAGATTGCTCAAGTTAGGGGAAAACGACTACCAAATTGCTTCTGAAGAAGACAAGTTAAACCTCAGAAGACAGAACATCAACTTTATTGATGTAACTAACCACATTTCGGTTGAAGATGCTTTGGAAAAGGGATTGGTTGGAAACAACAAGGTCAGCTGGTTCCACAGAATTATGAACTCAAAGCAAGTAAGCTCCAAAAAGGTGTTCCCAGTATACAACTACCCTACTGAAGTCAAGCACGAGAAAAAAGTGAGGGATTTGTTCGGAGAAATTGACGTGACTAGATTGCAATCCAACTTGGCCGAGTTCACCTCCTTTTACACCCGGTACTACAAGTCGGAGACCGGTGTTGAAAGTGCCAATTGGTTACACGACAAGATTTCTGAAATCGTTCTGAGCGTGGATGATAAGGTCACCATCACCAAAGTGCAACATGATGGATGGGACCAATACAGTATTGTCGTTTCCATCCCTGGTGAAGTCACCGATAAAGTTATTCTTGGTGCCCACCAAGACTCCATCAACCTTTTGTTGCCAAACTTATTGAAGGCCCCAGGTGCAGACGATGATGGATCTGGAACTGTAACGGTTTTGGAGGCCCTCAATATTCTTGTTGGTCAATACGCCGAAGGTTCATTCAAGCCATACAACACTTTAGAATTCCACTTTTACTCTGCTGAAGAAGGTGGTTTACTTGGTTCTTATGATGTTTTCTCTAGATACGACGCAACCAATGAAACTGTCGTCGGTATGTTGCAACAAGACATGACTGGTTCCACCGAAGCTAGTATTGCCAAGGGCGTTGAGCCTCACTTTGGTTTGATTACCGACTATGTTGCTCCTTCGATTACTGAATTTCTCAAGTTGATCATTGATAATTACAACGACATCCCTTACCACGAGACTGCTTGTGGTTACGCATGTTCTGATCACGCTTCTGCCTTTGAATTCGGATACCCATCTGGCTTTTTGATCGAAAGTGAATTCGAATACATTTCGAAGTATGTTCACACAGTTCTTGACACTGTTGACAGAATTGACTTTGACCACGTCACTGAACATGTCAAGTTGAGTATCGCTTTTGCTTATGAATTGAGTTTAGCCAAAAAGTTACATTAAGACATTAAAAGTATATGAATGCACGAACTCGTTGTAAAGATTCTGCAAGAGTCATTAGTTCAAGTAGTCTGTGTTTTTGCCAGGTAGATATTCACAGCTCATAAGTCTTCCTTGCCTGTAAACAGTATTGAATATATCAGTCTCTTTAGCATCAAATAAATCCCGCAATATAACGGTCATATTATCGACTATTCCCATGTTATCCTTACTCAATACCCAGTCTAAGTTTTTCCAATCAAGAATTCCTTCTTTGTCAAAAATAATTGGTGTAGGGTAATTTGCAACTTGTTCTGGTGTGACTTCTGCAGTAAAGATATACATGCCTCCCACGGCTTCTCCCACTAGATTATCTTCATTATCGACTGTCCACAATACAACCCCTCTAGACTTGTACTGGGGCAATGAAAGACCTGTTTCCTCCTCTGTTTCTCTGACAATACACTGATGGGGGGTCTCGTTATGATCAAGCTTTCCTCCTACACCATTCCACCGGCCCATCCAAGGCTTTTTTTGTCTATTCAATAGCAATATCTGATTTGTCTCTGGGCAATGAATCACCCCAAGGGTGTATTTGAGTCTCTTACACGAATTATTGGTCATTATAGTACGCGTTCGATGTGGTACCAATGCGTTTGATCTAGAATAATTTTGACCACGCGTGCCCCCACCAACCATCAGGGTTATCTAACAAAAGTGAATAATTCGTCAATATCATAGATGTGGGAGCTAGTCTCGCATAGAGATCTAGCAGAAATAATGCCCAAATCAGAGAGTACATGAGACTCGAGTTCATTAATATCGTAAACATTTTCGAAGTTTTTGTAATTTTTGTTCAATAGAAACATAAGTAAAACTGTCTTCTTCAAGAAACTATAACGCTTATCACGCCCAGTAAAATCGGAACTGTATATTATGGCAGTAGAAAGCATCAACTTTGCTGCAATCCTGGGATCCAATTTTCCATAACCCGTAGCTATACCAGGAATTATTAAATTCTTAGGTGATGAATTTTCCAAGTACAAAAAAAGATTCCATATGGAATTAACAATCACCAGCTTTGCCTCTTTCTCAGAGAGCATTTCAGGAACTACCATTGAAGGGATTGCTAATACCGTAGTTAAATTCCAATTCATTCTGGCCAATGATTCGTGGTATGGATACGCCAATTGGGGTAATTTAATCTCATTAACGGTACTAATCGGCAAGTAGCCATTGTATTTTTCAAGAGTATACTCCTGGATTAGCCTTTCCAAGGTTTTATAGTCTATTCTAGGCGAGTTTACAGTCATGAGTAACGCTTCTAGCAAATAGCGATCGAAACCAGCTCCCATATATGCCGCAGAATTGGTGGGAGTTAATATGGCTGTTTCTCCCTTACACAGGGCCTGAGACGAAAGGAGACTCTCTATTGTAGTTTCAACAAACGTTCCATTTAGATGTATGCTAGCACTGGTACATGATTGGAAGAATTTTGTGGCAAGATCATAAACAATTTTCCACTGCTCTACAACATCTGGGTTGTTATCAATGAAGATACAGGAGACTCTACTATCTAGCATGGAATAGCGGGGCTGGGGGGTGAACACTGAAGTTTCGCTAATCATGGCGGACCCTCGGAATCAGATGACAGATCAGGCACGTGACACGGAGTCGGATTCTCACCTGACACTTATTGTCAACCTTACGATATTAGCACCAAACCAGTTGACTACCACAGTAGATTATGCTAGACTACCCAAACGAACATAAAGATTGAATTTCGCTTGGTATACCAATAAACTACGCATAATTCCAAAAATAGCAACCAGAAGTATTGATTGCACCTGACAACGCAGCTGGATCAGGCATCAATCCCTCATTCTTATAGACGGTAACAACCCCAAAGCACATCACAAAATCATTTCCAACTTTATATAACCATGACCCAATCACATTTAGCCTTACAGTCGCAGGTGATTCTGTTGCTCCAAGAACAAGTGGAGCAGATCAAACTGAAACGAACCCTCAAGTTGAATCGAATCAATCATAATGAAAAACTAGCGATCTCAGAAGTGATCGAATGCATCCACGAGTTCATAAACTCATTCCAGCCACCATTGAAACTAGAAAGACTTTCACTCCAGAGTAATCAGATCCAAGAACTCCCAGCAAATCTATCGATAATCGCAGGCAATATTCGATACTTGGATCTTCATAATAATGACTTGACTAATTTGTCAGATATCATCAAAGAGTTCACCAGTTTGGAAATTTTAGACTTATCCTCGAACAGATTATGGAACTTGCCCTCAATATCAATTTTGGGAAATTTGAGGAACTTAAGAGTGATATCCTTGAAAGAAAACAAATTCAAGTACTTGCCTCCTGTATTGGGTGAGTTGTCAAGTTTGAACTTAATCGAAGTGGCAGGTAACCCGTTAATTTTACCTTCTTTAGACGTGATCAAACTATATCAACACCAACGCCCAGATCTCGACTGGGTAAGTGAGTTGAAAAACTATATGTTAACGAATAAGTCCTTGTTGGAGTTCAAATTACAAGAACAGCATGAGTCCAAGATTAAAATGAATCAAAACTTACCGCAACCTGCTGCAAATCACCCTGCATTAGTAGCGAGATCCAAGAGTATCTCTGAGACTAAGTCAAAAGCTTCGAAGGCGGCAAGGAGAATGGGATTAATAATCAAAAAACCTGATGGCGCTGTCGAAGCCGGTTCAAACTCACACTCAAGTTCCAATCCCACCTCTGCAAACACAACAATAGATGACTCAACTACGAACTCAAGTTATGACATCATCAATCCGTCATCAGATTATTCGTTGACTTTGAATCTACCACATTCTGCTTCTGCAACGGAGACTTCTTTTAACGTTGGTACACCACCATTGGTAAATCCCACATCGACTGCTACGACTGTGCCAAGCACTCAAACAAATTCTCCATCATTATCTACGACTACTCTCAAAACTACGGTGCCATCAATAGTGACAACAAACTCAAACAATCCCCCCAATGCATCAAACCCATCGTCAGTTTCAAGCTCAAATATGTCGACATTGTCAAGACCAACTAGCAGAAACAGATCAAGATCAAATACATTAAAGGAGATTGATAAAATTTTGGAAAAGAATGATATTGTGGATACTGAGCATAAATCCGGTGCTTACTTCAGGAGATTATCAACCCTTCAGGAGAATCCAAATGATGAAACCTTATCTTTGAATCAACAATACAACATAAGCAAAATGATCAATAATAGCAGTACCCACAATCCTCAGACTACTACTTCATCGCACTCTCAAACTGTCCTGAACCAACATATACATCAAACTCAAGGCCAGGAAAATCTTCAGAGGCAACATCTGCTTCTGGTTCTGCATGTTAAAGATGACTTAACGACTCCTATAAAATCACCAGCAAGTGTTTTGGGAGGGGCCCGCTCAAATAGTCTACCATCCAACGAGGTTTCACCTGCAAGAATTGCTAATTCAGTTAAGAAGTATAACTCAACCACTATTGTGAAGGTATCTAGAAAGATTCTTTTCTCTTTCAGTGAGTTGCATTCTTCAGTTAGAAGATTTACTGGATTCTGCGTGGATAAGAAAATCACCATGAAGATGGTATCTTTCTTGTACACAACTAAATCGAATATTGATGGATTGGTTGAAAACTTAGAATTAATGGAGGAAAATGGTAATAATCTCGACCAGATAATTTCTTCATTGCATACATGCATTGGATCATTCAGATCAATTATGAATTTATTGAATGAGAACTTGAGTGCTTTTGTTGCAAAGATAGATGTTTGTTTCATTAGAATGTTATACTTGACATTGTACGGTTCTTTCAACGAATTTTTGAATGCTTACAGAATATTGGTGCCAAATTCAAAGCCACCAACATTCAATGCCCCTACAGCTTCTGAGCCCAAACAGAAGCTATCTGTGAATACCAACGTGTTTTACGAAAATGATGATATGGATGAGAAATTATACAGATCTATTGAAATCGCAACCTCGAATGCACAAGTTGTGTTTGGCGAGTTGACTCGTGCTATAGGCAAGAGTGCAATCGCCAGTACTACAAGTGCTTCCAACCCGGGAATTAGTCACTCTGTCGCTACCAAAGTTAAAGAGTTGACCAATGTATGCATGAATTCGATGGATATTACAAAGAGATTGAAAACGAAGTTGATAACTATCCGCAACAATGCATCTCAAACTACTAAGAGATTATTCTGGGATGATATTAATTTGTTTTTGAAGGCCATTATCCAAACCTTCTCTTCGGTAAAAGGAATTATGAAAGATTTGCCCATTCTAAACGAAGTGAGGGGATCAATGGCTAATTTGACCAAGACTACCAAAGACGTTACTCTCTTATTGGAGGTATCGTCTTACAAGTTCATGCCATCAGACAATTCTTCACAGGGACACTCTTCAAACAATCCTCCACTTTTGGCGTCAATTCCAAGTGTTTCGAATCTATTCACACCTTCCACTGCTCATCCCTTATCGCAGAATTCTTTATCTCTGGCTAACTTGAGTCAATTAAATACTTCTGGAGGAACCAGAACACCGTTTGTGGGACAGCAGGCTAACCAATCGATTGCAGTACCAACGAACCTTGATTCCATTGCTACTCCTAATTTGAGTCCTGGCATCCTTGTGGGAAATGGACCCCACGCAGCCCCAGTCACTGCACCAGCCCAATCCACAGGCCAGTATTTTGCGAAGAATGGAATGAATCCTTTCGACGGCTTGATCATTGCCAATAGAGATAAGACCAAGGAGGACAGCGATAGGGGGAACACGAGCTTCAACTTATGAGGGCCCCCGAAGAATCATGGATCTGTACTATCACCAAGGAGTAGTTCCACTGCTCAAGACTCTGGCATGCAGTTGGGACTGGATCATCACCACTCACGAGCTCGCGCGGCTGAAACAACTCGACCAATGATAAGGATCACAACTACGCTTACATGCACTTATATATATCTAGACATAGAAGCAAATACATTCTCTATTAGCGATCGGATTGCACATAGTCTGCCAAGTGACAATGTTCATAATTGTAGGTATACCCCATCCCGGCGGTCGTGCGCTTGGTCAACACCACGACTCCACCCGATCCATTTACTCATCCCAAAAGCTGGAGTATCTCCTACCAAATCCTTACCCAGAATGACCATTGAATTAGAAGAGCCTCCACTTGCCAGCAATGCACAGGTCATAAAGGACTTGGTCGGTGGTACCATGGGTGGTATTGCGCAGGTCTTGGTGGGCCAGCCTTTCGATACTGTTAAGGTCAGATTGCAGTCTGCTCCAGAAGGAACCTACAACGGGGCTGTGGACGTAATTAAGAAGTTGTTAAAAGATGAGGGTCCCAAAGGATTTTATAAGGGTACCTTGACCCCGCTTATTGGTGTTGGTGCTTGCGTTTCAGTGCAGTTCAGTGTCAATGAATATATGAAGAGATACTATGATGACAAGTTGAACGGTGCCCCATTGTCGTTGACCCAATTCTTTACATGTGGTGCAATTGCTGGGTTCGCTAATGGGTTCTTGGCTTCTCCCATCGAACATATCCGTATCAGATTGCAAACCCAAACCGGCAGTGTCAAACAGTTTCATGGTCCTATCGATTGTGGTAAGAAATTAGTGGCAGCAAATGGTTTATACAAGGGATTGTTGCCCACACTTGTCAGGGAAAGTGTAGGTTTGGGTATTTATTTTGCTACCTATGAAGCATTAATTGCTAGAGAATTGAAGGGTACTACTTTGGCAAGAAATGATATCCCTGGTTGGAAATTATGTGCTTTCGGTGGATTGTCTGGTTACACCTTGTGGATTGGTATTTACCCTATTGATGTGATCAAGTCCAAATTGCAAACCGACTCTTTGAAGTCCCCTACCTACAAAGGAAGTTTGAGTGTCTTCAGGGATGTGTGGGCCAAGAAAGGTATCAAGAGTTTCTACAGAGGCTTCATTCCTACCATTTTGAGAGCAGCACCAGCAAACGGAGCTACTTTTGCTGTCTTTGAATTGACCATGAGGTTGTTGAATTGAAATGTTACCTAGATTCTTACAATAATTTATAGATGTATATTAATTCTATTATTAAACCGCTAGAGAACCCGTACTCAAATAATGGTAGTTTAAGAACTGAAAGAGGTAAAAAAAGTCCTAGACAGACATAGTTTTACTGACAAATCTATTCTCTTTTCGTTAGATTTGCAGCCTCAGAATGCATTTCGAAATCAGATCCTTGAGCTTGAACATTATCATAATGCGCGTGATATTCTTCGGGGATTATTAGATCATCATCAGCAAAATCGTTAGGACTTATCACCCTTATAAATTCCATGAAGTCAAGCATGTACTCTCCATTGAATTCATAACTATCAGTCCCCATCAATTCTGCCTTCTCGTAGTAGCTGATTTCACTACCAATATTGGAAACATTGGTAGGGGATAACTGTGACTCAGCATCGATCTTCGGATCTGACTGTTTTTCTCGAGCTCTCCTATTGAAATCTTTGTCAATTCTCAAATGTAATCCCGGAATCAAATCAATGATGTATAAAAGGACACATGTCAATATGAAAACATATGAAGAAGCAACAACCGAACCTAAAATCTGATATCCTAACTGAATCCAGTTAGCTTCTACCCAACCACCTTTTGTTTCGTACAAGTTACTGGAAAATAACCCCGTTAATAGTGATCCCACAATACCAGCGACTCCATGAATTGCAAAAATATCTAAGGCGTCATCAATCCTCACGAAATATTTAAGGCGAGTTGAAAGATTACAAAGAATTGCTCCAATCACTCCAAACACAAACGATTTCCAGAATCCAGTAGCAGAAGAAATATAACCACCCGCTGGAGTAATGACCACTAGGCCGGTCATGATTCCCGATGAAAATGAGATCATGGAGAGCTTTCTCCTTTCAGTGAAATTGGACTTCGATTCATGCAAATGTTGATTCAACTGTACCCCAGTTTGGCTGATATACGGAGTCACAACATTACTTTTGGGACCATATTGTTCTATGGGGACAGATCCATCTAACGGAATGGATGAAAAGTAGTAATCAATCAGTGACCAAACAATCCCACTAGTCAAAGCACATAAGAAGGTATTAACAATTATGTACAATGTTCTTGAGGAAAACTTGAAATCACAGCCAGCAATAAATCCCATCCAGCCACAAGTTACAAAGAATGAACCCAAGACAGCATATCCCGTGTTGGAGTTCCTATAGTTGTATAAAAGCTTAGGATTTCTGGGGCCCAAAATGTACGAGTAGGCTAAAGTTGTGAACCCACTAACAATATGGACACAGGTACCACCTGCAAAATCAAGAACAGGCAATTTTCCCAACTCAATAGAGAGCCATCCCGAGTGATTCCAAAACCAGTAGGTAACTGGATTGTAAATTATTGCTGACCAGAAGAACAAGAAAACGCCCATAGGTATCAACCGACCTCTTTCGGCTACACAACCTGGAAAAGTGATAGCTGCGCAGATTACCTTGAAGAATCCGTTGAATAAAAAGTGATTGAGTCCCAATATGGTACCTCTAGAGGCCGTGTAAAATGCTTCCTCGGGATCACGGAGTTGCCTTAACACGGCAAACTTCAAGTTGCCAATGAACCTGTTTGATGAGCTTGAGTAGCACAAAGAATATCCCCAAATAAACCAATCGATGAATATGAGGGGTGTAAGCAAGAGTGGTAGTGCAAACATCGTCAAGGAAGCCCTTCTTTGGGTTAGACCAGAGTAAAAGAACCCTATTCCTATCACCACCAACGGTAGCAAGGAGGTACAAAATAACATGAAGAGAGCATTTATGGAATCAACATAGTCCAAGGAGTCGCCCTCCATCATTGAAATGTTTCTTTATGTTGGCTGGATAATGTAGTTTGAGTTGTGTTATCAAGCATGACTAGATCCGAAATAAAAAAATGGCCAGGGCACACATTCGACTCATTAATTTGGTGAGACTTAGATGGTTAATGATAGTAACTCAACTTTGAAGGATCTGTTGATACTAACGAGTTCACGATAGACTGCTAGGTTTATGCCAACAGTAAGTCTCAAAGCAACGTTTGCACGTAGAAGGAATGTTTGTTCCGTTGTTGTTAGACCTGTCCCAGTGTCGCTTTGCGATGGCACATGTTAGACACACGGCAAAAAACGAAGAGTTGGAACTTGTGGCTAGATTGAATCCATTTTGGATCATTCCCAGGATCTCTTTGGGGGTGTAACTTAGCTGGAATGTCGACGTGTTAGATAAGTACCCATAGTCGGCATTTGTAGTGTATACAATCAAAGGAGGTAATACTTCATCTTTCGCAACCACTGTAGAGTTCAGCAGAAGTTCCCCAATTATGGGGTAGTCCTTGGCCACATCGCAGCCTAGGAAAACTGGTCTTTGATTGAGGAATAACTTCACAATTTGTTTCTGACTAGGTACTTCAGGAAATACTGATTTGATATGGGTAGTGGTACTGTTGGGTGGAGTTGAGTGAAAGCTTGGTAGAACGAATGAGCTATTTTTGTTATGGAACCGCTTCAGTGAGTGGTACAATGTGGTCCCATTAGGGAAATTGGAGACATCTGCAGTGAGGTCATATGCAAGTATGATATCAATTTCCCTGGCTCTTACCAAGAAAGATTGGAATAGAATATTCTGGCCATCGTCCCCACCATCGACCAAATACATATGCTGAGTGCTAGAGAGATTCTTGCCAACACTGTTCTTAGTATTGAAGCCATAGAAAGGATTTGGAATTAATGCATAATCAGGATGCATTTGGGGTTTTAGCACAGATTTATAGTCGAGGCTAAGCCCAAAAGACTTTAAGATTATTGAAATTGCACTTGAAAAATCCAGTTTGATGTCTGTCAACAAATCAAAGAGGTACGGGAAAATATGATTGAAGAGCGAAGATGAAGTAGCAGTAATGAAACCAATATTATCAAACCCTGAAATGCAAAATGAAACATTTGGGTCCCTAGTAGGAGTATTTGAGACGCCAGCGATTAATGAGGATCCAAGGTATTTCATTGGTACAAAAGCATTCATATACGAATCCCACGAACCGAATTCAAAGGGTGTAAATTCAAATAAGCGAGAATTCTTTGAAGTTGTAGTTTGATTTGGGAACGCCTGAATTGTCCCAATAATTGGAAACGGTTGTTCGTACCTCTTGAATGAAGGTAAGTTAGTGCAACTGGTTACAGTTGCCCCAGGTGTACGAGCAGAAACTCCAAATATTCTCCGCACAAGTGCCCTTCCCCAATAGTCGGTAAGGGATAGATGGAATCCTGCCATTCTCTTTGCTCTGACTTCAATTTGCAATTCTTTATAAAATAAGAACACCTTCCGCAATGAAAACTTGTTTTGCACTGTAGAGTTGAGAGTACCTTGAAACGATTGAAACGATGTTCTAGCTGAGGTTGACTTTCTAAATCCAAAAAATCTAAGTATGCTCTTTAATACACTTTGTTTCCCTAAAATGGGCGCAGAGAAGGAACTCTTTAATTGGTTTTGAACCTTATTGGGATCAAAACTTGGAACTCCTTCCAACAATTGTGCATGTAAATCCCATGTCTTCTGATCATTCTTCAACTCATGAATTGGTCTGAAATCATTCACAAAATTGCTCATGACCAACCAGGACCCCCCAGAAATTCCACCTAGGTAACTAGTAGCCTGTAACAAGCCGTCCAAACCTGAGCTATTGAAATCAGAACCTGGTGTTCTCTTGTCAAATGCACTTAATATACCAGCTCCCAATAACATTGCCCGGTAGCCCCCTCCAGAAACAGCTATTGCTATTCGTATCGGTTTATTGGCTTCAAAGATCCCAGAATCATCGAAATCGGGTATTCTGTTTTTCAAGAATAGTCGTTTTAGCTCTACTTGCGTGAGATTGTTTCGCCTTTCAATATAATCCTTTTCCTCTTGTGAAAGTTGCTAATGTTAGTAAAGGTCTATTATTGGAAGCGAATGTACTCACCATATCACCTTTTCTAATCAAACATTTTGAAGGGCATAGCACAGTGTAGGGAGCATAAGATCTCCTCCAAAGGGTGTTGGAGTTTTTATGAGGAGCATGGCTCATCAATTGTTGTGAAGCATTGACGTGAGTTCCCACGACATTCGGGCTGTCAAATGCTCCGCAAAGTCCAATAGTAAGACAGACTAGTAGAATCGAAGCGAAAGGATTCATACAATCTGAGAACCTAAGCGGTTGCAATTTTCGCAACAGAAAAATCTAAAACTCAATCATGAATTTTCTTGACATGCAGAGGACTTCAGATACTGACATCAGATAGTGTACCGATTTTACAATAGTTAAAACATTATAATAAATTAATATCACTATATATGGAACAGGTGTATGAGATGTAAGAAAGAAATCTAAAAAGTGGAAAATAAACCGTATTCTAGTGCCCTAAACTGTATATGAAACCGATCTTTTTTCAAAAAAAACTGGGTAGTAAAAAACACCATGAAATTTTATAAGGGTATCTTTTCTCCTTTCTAAATAACTTAGAATTCTTCATCAGAAGAAACGTAGGCATCACCTAATTCCTTCTTCTTCTTCATTCTTTCCTTCTTCTTCTTTCTTAATTCAGCAGCAGACAACTTTTGCTTCTTCTTGGCAGCAGCAATCTTGTTACCCATAGCATCGAACTTGTCTTCTTCATCTTCCTTCTTTTCCAATCTTGGACCAGCACCTTGACCTTGGACCCAGTTGTGACCAGATGGAGTCATCTTACCGTCTAAGACAGCCCAGACTTCTTCAGTGATGTCCTTGGTGAATTCAGCAGAGTGAGTAATGATAACAATACCACCTTCGAAAGCCTTCAAAGCCTTGGACAAAGCACCTAAGGAGTCACGATCCAAATAGTTAGTTGGTTCATCCAAAACGATCAAGTGAGGTCTTTGCCAAGTACAAGCAGCCAAGACCAACTTGACCTTTTGACCACCAGACAAACCTCTGATTCTGGAGTGGGAAACCAATTCAGCTTCCAAACCCAACATAGCACAGTGCTCTTCAATTTCCTTTCTGGTCAAAGGTCTGAATTGACCAGAAGCCAAAGCTTCCTTCATGTCAACTTCAGCAACCATCTTGGAGTGAGTTTCCATCAATTCACCTCTTGGCAACCAGGTGTTGTCAACGGACATCATTGGGACCCATCTTTCGGTCTTCATACCAATGTTGTCACCCAACATCCAGGAGATTTCGTACTCGTAAGAGTTCTTGAACTTTCTTCTAGCGTGGATACCAGCAATCTTTCTTGGGGTACCTTCAACCTTGAAGATCTTGTTCATGGAGTTCTCATCGTCTTCGTTGATTTGTCTAGAAGCTCTGTCCATGGTTTCTCTATCTTCACCGGTTTGGAATCTCCATTGAATGTATTCAGATGGGGTTTTGTCCAAGTGGTTATCAATGTGGGCGAAAGCGTGTTGCTTGATGTAAGCAATACGACAGTTTTCGTGAACGTAAACTTCACCCTCAGTTGGCAATAATTCACCAGTCAAGACGTTAATCAAGGTGGACTTACCGGCACCGTTTGGACCAATGACGGCAATTCTGGAAGACAAAGAACATTGGAAGTTAATGTCTTGAATTTGTGGCTTGGTGGTACCTGGGTATTGGAAAGTCATGTTAGAGACCTTGACGATAGCCTTTTGCTTGGTCTTAACACCTTCCAAGAAACCTGGTTCTGGGAACTTGAATTCCAAGTCGGAGGCACCCAATTCGTAGTAAGATTGAGCAGATGGGCACTTCTTAACGAATTCGGACAAGTTACCCTTGTACTTTCTCAACTTGAAACCTTCGTAGTGGATAATGTATTGACAGACATTGTCCAAGAAACCGGAATCGTGGGAAACGATAATGGAGGTAATACCACAGGTTTGCAAGTAGTTGACTAACCAAGCAACGTTGACGGTATCCAAATGGTTAGTTGGTTCATCCAATAACAAGATATCGGCGTTCTTCAAGACAGCTCTAGCAAGAGCCAACTTCATCTTCCAACCACCAGACAAGGATTGAATTGGCATTTGGATCATGTCTTCGGAGAAAGCGAATTCGGTCAACTTAGCGTGGACAACATCCTTGGTCAAACCAACTTCACCATCGTTGATGACGAAGTCAAGAACGGAAGTGTCAGCTTCAGTACCATCGATATCGTGCTCGACGTAGACAGTCTTACATTCTTCTTGGGTTGGGAAACCTTCAACTTGACCGTTGGCAATAGCTCTCATCAAGGTGGACTTACCAGCACCGTTAGGACCACAAAGACCGTATCTTCTGTTTCTCTTCAATCTGAATTGAGTCTTGTTCAATAAGATCTTAGCACCGTAAGCCAAAGAGAACTCACAGTTACACAAGTCTTCACCTTCATCTTCTTCATCTTCGAAGGATGGTGGTTCAGGAATGTTGTCAAGGGCTCTCTTTCTGTATTCTTCGATGATTTCCTTAGCTTCCTTTTCGTGCAAGAAGATGGTAGCGAAAGGCAAGATAGCAGCCAACCAGGCTTCTGGTTGAATTTCTCTCTCATCGATCAAGTCACCGGCAATAGCGGCAATGTAGGTGAGGGCAGATTCGAATCTCTTACCGATCTTCTTACCTTCCAACAACTTGTTCAATTCGTTCAAAGTGACAGCGATGTCACCAGCAGTGGAAACTTCTGGGATAGCATCGTTTTCACCGACGGCACCGACTCTTCTCAAGGTGTTAAGAGCTCTGTTGGTGACTTCTCTAGCTTCTGGGTCAGCAACGGTTTGGAAGTTACCCTTCAAGGCTGGCAACAAGGTGCTCAAGAAAGGAGCAACAACTTGTGGGTCGTCGACCAACTTACACATGTTGTCAACAATGACAGCAGCCTTACGCTTGATGGCGGTGTCACGTTCAGCCAAACCTCTGGACAACAATGGAGCCATGATGGAAAGAGTGGCCATGGTGACTTCGGAAACGAAGGTGGTAGCACCCAAAACGTGGACGGTTTCTGGGACTTCAGTTGGCTTAGCAATACATTCGATCAACTTTGGAATAAACTTTTCGATATCCTTGTTGTCAATGGTTTCAGTGGACTTGGTCATGGTAGCGGTGGCAGCTTCCTTGACTTCCTTCTTGGTGTCCCACATGGCTTCAGACAAAGCTGGAATCAATTCAGGCATTCTCAAAGCGATTTGAGCCTTGGCAGTGTCAACCAATTGGGAGACAGCTCTCAAGATAGCGGTCTTTTCAGTCCACTTGTTGGTGGAAGCCAAACGTTCCATCAAGGTTGGTAACAAAGCCTTGATAGCGTGTGGAGTGACGGCTTGGGCAATGGAGAACAAAGCGTCGGAAGCAGCAACTTGGACATCCTTGTTCTTGTCACCGGCAAGAGCGGCAACATCACCAACCAATTCCACAATGTATGGTTCAACACTTGGGGTGATACCGTTTGGAGAGGCAATGTGGGTGTAAGCCTTCAAAGCAGCAAGAACGGCTTCGGTGTCCTTCTTGTTACCGAGTTGCTTCTTGAAGTCTTGGAAGAATTCAACTGGAACATCATGCTCAATGATGGATGAGTTCAAGAATGAAGAAACATTAGCAGCAGCTTCGTCCTTATTGTCAGCAACCTTTAAGGCACCCAATAATTCGGAAAGTACTTCAGCAGAGTATTTGGATTCACTGGCAGCAGACATTTTCCAATGTTGGTAAAAAGAAGAAGAACAAAAAATGTGAGAAACGTTCCTATTATAAACGGTTGGATGAGATAAAAATTTTCATCGTGATGGGATGGATGTTACCCGGACGCACGTGCTAGGAGTAGCAAGGAGCTGATCTGGTGATAAGCTGATCAGGTGCTGGTGCACGTGAGCAAACAGAAATCCAGAAATTCACGTGTTTCTTTTGCTGGTGGTGAGGTCAGATGCCGTTCAACGAAGGACTCAACGGGCAGCTAATGCAGGTGCAAGCAACTAGCGCATTCGCTGCAAGTTGTCTAGATGTTTAGGCGCTGTATGTGCCGATTTGGCGCAGAAGAATCCTACAAAAAATGGCCAACACGTAAATGGCCGGCATTTTTCAAGCACGATCCAGAATATGTACCGTCCACGTAATCACTTCCTGGTCCCACACAACCTGGTCCCTACAAACAGTGCAATTTACCCTGTTGGGGTCCCCAAAATTTCGGGTGTTTTCTGTTTCGGGCGACCCTATCGCACTTACTCGTCTAGTGATTTTGTGTGTTTGCACTCCCAACGTATGCATTAATCCTTCGTTTTGGCAAATCCTGTCAATTCTAGTACCACACTATCAGGCTGCTTGGATTACATAACATCGATTGGTAATAACCCCGGGCTCTTCGTTGTGGCATTTGGCATACTTGGCAGGTTCTTTTTCTTCAAACTTCACCCTCGTTTATTCTGCACCATGATCGACAAAGAAACAAAATACGACCGTCAATTGAGGTTATGGGCGTCCACAGGGCAGGCCAATCTTGAGAACTCTCACATATGCTTGATCAACGCCTCGGCGACGGGGTCAGAAATCCTCAAGAATCTAGTTTTGCCAGGAATCGGTGAGTTCACCATCATTGACGACAAAGTGGTATCCCCCCAAGACTTGTCAGGGAACTTCTTTTTGAAGAGAGAAAACTTGGGTCAAGACATTGCCACCAGCATTACCAGCAACTTGTCCGAACTCAACACCGATGTGAAAGGACATGCCATCAATCAATCAATCAAACATCTCATTACTAAGGTGGAGAGCCTGTTCTGGGACCAGTTCAACGTGGTGATTGTTTCTGACTACTCCCCCGAATTGGATGTGGTCAAGGATTTGTTATGGGACAAGAGAATCCCGTTGTTGATCGTGAACTCAGTGGGTTTCTATGGCTCCTTGAACCTCATAGCGAACGAAGTGACAGTCATCGAAACCCACGACCCATCTAGGTTATATGACTTGCGTATCGACTGCCCATGGCCAGAACTTCAAGAGCACGCGGACTCCATCGACTTGAATTCCTTGTCTGATCAAGATCATGCCCATGTCCCTTACATTATAATATATATCAAAGTATTGCAGGCTTGGAAACAGGAACATAACAACTTGCCACCCCAAAATTATGGCGAAAAGAAATTATTCCGTCTTCTAATTGAATCATACTCGAGAAACATTAAAATCGAGGCAAATTTCACCGAGGCCTCAAACTCAATTCATCGTGCATTACAAGTAACTCAAATACCCAACTCCATATCGAAATTGTTTGAAAATTCAAATATAAAAGATGAAAACTTGAGTTTGACAACTCCCATTTTTTGGATCTACATCAAGGCATTGAAAAATTTCGTCCATTTAAACAACAACCAACTCCCTTTGCCAGGAAACTTACCCGACATGGCTTCGGACACCGCGGGTTACATCAAGTTGCAAAATATTTATCGTGCAAAGGCATTAAAAGATCAAGAATTGTTTACTCATGAAGTACAAAAGATTCTTGATTCCATAGGAAGATCTCACGATGATGTCAATACTGAGTCAATTGCAAGTTTCTGTAAAAATTCTCAATTGTTATACGTGAGTCAAGGCTCAAAAGAACTCTATGGTACAAGTTTACTTCAAGAGTTATTGCATTCAGAACAAGCATCCGAAAATTACAATGCCCTCGGTGTGTACTTCTCCATTCTCACCTATAATGCATACATTGAAAAATTCAATTCCAAACCTTCAATTCAAGACCTCGAAACCTTTTCTGACCTATTCTTTCAAAAGTTTTCTATTGACAAAGCTGAGGTCCTCCCAGAATCAATACTTAACACTTTCAAAGAGGTGTTAAGTCATAACACACAAAATTACCATAATCTTAATAGTTTGATGGGTGGTATAGTCAGTCAGGAGGTTTTGAAATTGGCTACATCCCAATATACCCCACTCGATAATTTATTCGTGTTCGATGGAATACGGTCGTTCAGCGAGAAGTGGAAAATTTAAGCTCTTAAGGCCCAATTTGCATTGAGAATTGCTGAAGACTTGCAGATATCATTACTGGGATTTACCACTGTCATACGATTTTTTTGAAAAAACACGTATGTTATCATTAAATACGTAGGATTTCTTATATACCCGTTGTTAATAATTAACAATAGCCAACCTCGTACAAAGGTCTCTTTTCGCTGCAATTAATATACGAATGGTTTTAATTTTCAGTACCTTAAAAATGACAGGTTAGGGGCAAATCAGTAGCACTATTAGCATAAGCCATAACATTATAAACCTTCAAAAGCCAGAATTCCTGTGGAGTTCTTTTGCTTTTTGTTACTCTTAACGATATCTTTCCAATCAACCATATTATCCTCCTCCTCAGAATCTTCTTCCATGATTTTTTTCTCAATCGCTTCTCTCTTTCTTTTCATCTTCTCTCTTCTTTCCCCCTTTGTTTCCCTTTTTTCGGTTTTACTGGACCAGGCCTCATTCTTCACTTTAAGCTCCTTTCTTTTCTTCGCTTCATTAATCATCGCCAACTTTGTAGCTTCCAAATTTTCAATTCTTGAATTTTCCTTTTCCTCGTTAGCATACTTGTAATTGTCCATATCGATTGGTTCACCTAACCAACCGTCTTCAGGCATGAGATCATTGTTGATATACTTGGACTCAGGCATCTTAGGCAACCTCATTAACCCATACATCTTGGCAATTCCAAGGTAGTCCATGGATTGCATTCTGAAGATTGAATGAGCTAAGTGCTTAGAGTAGTACCGAACAAAACCCACGTAAGATTTTACTGCCAATTCGTGTCTTGCCCTATCGTGAAGTTGAAATTTTCTGAAACGGCTTTGGAAGGCCTCATGTTGTGGAGTTTTGGGAGCGTCCATTTCTTTCATAGCCACACCTTTGACTTCCATAAAATCGACATAGTTCTCTTCTTTGTTATTGGCATCCAACATTACAATGGCTTGACCCACTTTATTGGCTCTTCCAGTACGACCACACCTATGTAAAAACACATCTGGGTCAGTTGGAGGATCAATTTGGATAACCAAATCCACGTCAGGAATATCGATACCTCTTGCTGCAACATCCGTAGTCATTAAGATGAACTTACCAGTAGTTGCATCTCCTTCGGTAAAATTTTGAAGGGTCTTGAGTCTTGGTTTCGAGGCTAACTGACCATGCAAGGAGAAGAAGTTGAGATTTTCGTCATCCACCAATTTTGCAAACACAGAATAGAAGTATTTCACGGAAGTACACGTTGGAAAATATACAATACACTTTTTGTACTGATAATCGGAAAGCAATTTGAGCAAAATAGAAATCTTTAACTCTGGGTTGGTGAACATGTATGATATCAGTAATGAAGATGGTGCGGCGTTATTGGAAATATTTTTGGACTTGACAGAAACCTTGACTGGGTTATTCATACCGGTATTGAAAATGGCATCACCCGCTGATGAAATTGTAGCGGAGAACAAACCCGTTCTTCTTTGCTTCGGCAATTTTTTAAGGATGGTCACCACATCATTTTTGAATGAGATATCCAATAACTTGTCTGCTTCGTCCAAAATAGCAATTTCAACTAAGGAGGTCTTCACGTATTGAGAAGACAAGAAGTCCAACAATCTTCCGGGAGTTGCTATCAAAATCTGGGGCCTTTTTTCAAGGAAATGGGCCAAATCTTCTCTGACGTTCGATATGGACCCAATCAATAACTGAGTTTTGATAGGGGCCTTATCCTCTGGCAAGAAGTCGATGACAGATTTGAAGACACTCTGGATTTGACTGGCCAACTCTCTGGTTGGAGATAAAATGATAGAAAGCATATGGCCCTTTTTTGGTGGCCCATTGATTTCACCGTCTTCGTCCTGGTTGTACATGTATTCAGACACCTTTTGCAAAACAGGGATGGCAAAAGCGAGGGTTTTCCCCGAGCCTGTCACGGCTTCGACTACCACGTCCTTGTTTCCTGATAACAAAGGGATGGTTGATGCCTGGACAGGCGTCATTGTGGGAAATCCGAGCGAAGTGATGCCATCTTTGATCCATGGTTGGAGATCATACTTGAGATTATCCCACGCAAGGGAGCCTTTCTTGGTATTCATGCTTTCCGATATATTCTAGTTGGGTCTAGGTATACTGGATATGGATATGGTACGTCGTTATAACTCTGGTGGTGGTTCGGTGGTGGTGCTTGTTGGAGATGAGAGTTGGAACAGCGATATTCGTGCGTGTTGCGATGAGCGAAAAATTGGCCATCTCGTATCGCATAACGAACCAGATACCTAGGTACATGGACCCCATGTGCATATGTTAAGATTCTCGTCGATGTTAAAAAGAAGCTTCTCTACCATGAAAGAAGTCCCCGATTATTCGCTGTGGACAAAGGAACAACTCATCAAAAAAATCAAAGAATTGGAAAATGTTCCCACACCCAAGGCCGTCAAGAAACAAAAGCCCTTTGACTTCTCCAAGCACAATACCCGGTTTGTGGCGTTGAAATTTGCATACTTGGGGTGGAATTACTCAGGGTTGGCCTACCAGTTCGAGCCTACACCCAAGCCCACTATTGAATCCGAGTTGTTGAACGCAATGGTGACTGCCAAATTGATTGAAGATGTCGATCCTTCCGCTTGTAAGTTCAGCAGATGTGGCAGAACAGACAAGGGAGTCAGTGCAATGAACCAGGTTATCTCGTTGAGACTCAGGTCAGCCTTGACTGACGAGGAACAGTTGTTGGAAGAAAATGACGTCAAAGAACTCCCATACATAACCATCTTGAACTCATTGTTACCATCGGACATCAGAGTCACTGCCGTGTGCTTGAGACCACCCAAGGGGTTCGATGCCAGATTCAGTTGCAACTATAGACACTACCGGTACCTCTTCAAGAAGGATGAGTTGGATCTCGAGTTGATGAACGATGCGGCCAAGCTCTACGAAGGTCTTCATGATTTCAGACATTTTTGCAAGATTGATGGGTCTAAACAAATAACTAATTACAAGAGAAATATCCACAGTGCCAAGATCGGCCAATTAAACGAAAAGTACTACTACTTCGATTTGAAGGGAAGTGCCTTTCTCTGGCATCAGGTCAGATGTATGATGGCCATTCTCTTTCTTATTGGACAGAAATTGGAGCCTCCTAGCGTGATCACCGACCTTTTAGATGTTGAGAGATTCGAAGGAAAGCCTCACTACGAGATGGCCAACGATATTCCCTTGGTGCTATACGACTGTTCATACGACGATTTACAATGGAAAGTTCCACTCGACATCGGGCACCAGAATAAGCATTTGAAGTGTTTCACCAACTTCAAGGGAATTGCGCTTGACTACCAAGTAAAATCGAATATTGTCACGATCATGGAGGATATTTTCCTCAAAGATGCCGATAAGCTTACCAACGCTCCAGGCTGCGGAAGCATCAACGTTGGCAATGGTAGTGGTAGAAACTTCACCAAGTATGTCAAGGTGGAGGATAAGGAGAAGGGTCAGTCGTACGAAGTGGTGAACGAGAAGCATAAGGCAAAGAAGCAAAAGAAGAACCAGGCGGCCAAGCTAGCAGCCCAAGAGGAGAACCTGGAGGAGAAGTCGCAGTAACGGTGGAAGCTAGCTGAGCTGGCAGGATGTACACCAAGCAATACATAGAAGCCAATGGCAAATAGACTGTATTAATACACGAAAGGAAAAATGGTATCTGATTTGAATTCCAGCAGATAGATGAGTTAAGCCCGTAGATACTAGGATTGTTCCCGAGTGATAGAACTCGTTATTTGTCTTTTAGGATGGGTATTTCCAACACTCGCTTAGGCGTGACTATGCAACGGTAACATGCGAAGTTTAGTGTTTGTTCTTTTGGCTCCAGTTACCTGAGAATTTCATTTGGGATTAGGCATGATTTCGTAGATGTAAGTTCATAATTGAGCCATTCAAACCAAGGTGTCAGGCATTTTATGGTTAGAATTGGAGCAATCATGAGTAGCCATATAGACCAAGCTGTCGATTTGTTGAAGATTGATAATATTGAAATTATGAGTTCAATGAGGGATCATTACATAGTTGAGCCGTACAATCAAAAATGTAGACTTGAATATGCCAATTATTGACGATTCTCGAAAGTGTCATTCTCCGAGATCCATGGGCAAGCATCTTGTTAAATCCCCCCGTTGAATGCTATAGTCAAGTGCATCTTGAAGCGAGTTTTATGCCACTTTCTTCAATTGCTTGCTCTATGTTCTTGATATCCACGACGGCACCCAGTACAAGGTCTCTCCCTGCTGAGCGTCCAACCACAACAACCCGTTCAGGATCATTTCGTCGATAACGGTCTTGCACCTGGCCCTGTCCCAGTCATAGTTGTCCCGCAAGAGTCTGTAGGACACGTAGCCGCCCATGAAGCCACACAACTCGTAGATGGTCTTCTGGTCGCTGGAAATGGTGGAGCCTGCGGATCGGAGCCATTTCTTGCCGTTGATGTTGAGGATCTCAAACCCCCGGCCCAATTGGTTGAGAATAGCCACCGAGGTCTCGATGTCGTGCTCAGACGCCGCGATGGGCACGTTCTTCGACTGGAGGATCGACACGAGCTCTTTGACTGCAAGAAGGCCTCCGTTGATGTCGCGGGTCTCCTGGGAGATCTCCACAATACGCACCGAGAGTGCAATGTGGTAGTTGTCCAGCTTGGTACCTGTCAACACCAACTCGAGCACGTCGACGCCCACCACCTCGCAGATCCGGGTGAATTTGCCTCTGAACTCGCTGTTGCGCTTGATGTCTTGCTCGTGCTCGTGGGCAAAGTTGACCAAGACCGACTGGATCACGCTGAGCTGGGTCGAGAGCTGGTCCAGGTGGCGCTGCTCGAGCGCCTGGCCCAACAGAAGAAAAGCGTCCTTGTCGTTACCCCACCTGTTCATTGCCACATGGGAGGGAGCACACTGATTGTGGAAGAGGGTGAGAATGTTAGCGATTTGCACCGAGGTTCCCCATGTGACCCAAAAAAAGCTGTTTGCAGCGTTTGGCTGCTATATATATTAGTTCATACTACCGTGTTTTTGGTGCAAAAGATCCTGCTAGCTACTCACCATGACTCAAGCCATCTACCCCCCACCTCCACCGCCCCAGGTGCCTGTTCCTCGTGAGATCGAGGTCACGCTCGCCAATGGGGTCGTTGGCACCTTGGCCATCCCCCACTCGGTAGACGCCGACAACCCGTTCGTGGACGGATACGCCCCCAGCACACACAAGGTGGCATTGATTCTCCATGGCCAGTACGGCCACCGCAACTACTGCTACCAGCGGGTGTTGGCGCACAGGTTGGCAGCAGACTTGGGGGTCTACTCGCTCCGGATCGACTTCAGAGGCTGCGGCGACTCCGCAGACAATGCCGACGATTCCGTGGGCAGAGTATTCGAACAGGACGTCCAGGATATCCAGGCGGCCGCCGAATACTTGGTCGATGGGACCAAGAACGCGCTCAACATCAATTTCACCTTGTCTTCGATCATCGCCCACTCGCGGGGCTCGGTGGCCATGTTCTTGTGGGCGTTGGAGCAGAACAAGCTCGTCAAGGCTAACCACGCCAGCAGGGCCATCGTGGTTCCCAACTTGATCAACTGCTCCGGCCGGTTCAACTCGCCCCGCGTCTACGAGCGGTACCCCAAGGATTGGTCCGGGGTGGAGGTCAAGGTCATCAGGCACGGAAAGCCCGAAACCTCCACCTTCGTCAGCGGCGAGATCGTGTCGCTTGCGTCTGCCGACTTGGAGCCTGTGCGCGATCTCACCCTCGACTGGTCGGTGATGACCATCTTTGGTCTTCAGGATATCATAGTGCCCGTGGAGGATTCCACCATGTGGGCCAATGCGTTGAACCGCGGGCCCCACTCCCACACCTTGAAGCTCATCGAGGGTGCCGACCACAACTTCTACGGTGTCCACCAAATTGAGAACTTGGGCGACGCCGAGGACTACAACCCCAAGAATTTCCCCATCAATAGTAAAAAGTTGGTCAACTACAACTTCTTGGTCACAGACATGATCATCGAGTATCTCCAGCCAGAAGAGGAACTCAAGCGATTCGCCTCGTCTAACGTCGACGTAGGTAAATTGCCCAGATGGAAGGAAGTCGAAGGGGTGAACAACTTCAGAGATATGGGTGGATGGCAGATCACAGAGCCAAGATACACAATCGAGAATGCAGAGCACTACTATGTCAAACCCCATACCTTGTTCCGTTGCGCGAACATGTCGAACATCACCACCAACGGCCTCAAAACCCTTCAACGCCTTGGTATCAAAACCATTTTCGATCTCCGGTCTGATGGAGAATGCGATAAGGCTGGCCCTTCAAAGGATTTGGAAAAGTATGGCATTAAGCGCATACACACACCGATTTACAAGCAAGACGATTACTCACCCCAGGCAATTGCTGTTAGATATACTCATTTGATGACAAGTTGGTACACCTATGTTAACGTCTACCAGGATATGTTGGAAATGGGTGTCAGTGCTTTCAAGACCATTTTTGAATACATTCGGGACGTAAACGAACCCTTTGTGTTTCACTGCACTGCAGGTAAAGACCGTACAGGTATGATTGGGATGCTTATCTTATTGCTCTTGGGAGTGGACAAACACACTATCAGTAAGGAGTATGAGTTAACCACTATTGGGTTAAAGCCGGAAATCCCGGTTTTGAAGTCGGCTTTTGCGGAAACTGTATCGAAATTGAGGGCTAAAATGCAGAGCACCGTTGATATTGAGCAGATCATTGGCCAAGGTAGAAAAGACTGGAATGTTGAGGAGGAAGGCTTTAAAAACTTGATCAGTTCAAGGTACGAAGCCATGCTTTCCACGATTGAAATGTTCAACAACAAATATGGAGGCATCGTAGATTATTTGAAGTCTGAATTGAAGTTTACTGAAGAAGATATCTACAAGATTTATCAAAATTTGGTCATTGTGGATGAAAACTTTTCCCACAGTTCCACTTTAAACTGGCATCATAGAAAAGTTGAAAGATCTAAAATATAGAGCTTACCATACCGTTGCCTAGACTAGCTAGTGTACTGAGAGTATGAACAGTCATGAATATATAGGAAATAAAATGGACAATACTCACATGATAGGTAAAGGCCGTTGTTTGAATATGATTTTGTTTCGTATTATATCGACCATTTGTATTTGTGTGTTTTCCTCTTGTTCGCTAGATCCTCCGAGAGGAACTTTCAAAACTGCCAATGGGGTTTCTAAATTCACCACTGACCCCAATAATCTTTGTGACTTTCCGATGAAGAGGGTTGCCTTTTTAGGGTCTGCAGCATCGAATTCAAGATTTCCACATTTGACAGCATGGTAGACTTGATCCACTGTTATGAAGTTCAGTACATATTCAGCATCTGTATGGTCCGAGGCTGGTGGTTCGGTGGGAATGTTCAATTCGCCCTGAATCTCAAGGATGGAAAGCCCAAATGGAGTGGAAATCACCCCATCTTGACCTTCAAGCTTCGAGACTTCTGTGTCGTAGTTAAGGATGGCGTTGGCCCGCGAGTAGTCTATACTAGCAGACGGCATTGGTGATAAAAGACGTGTAGCGATGAATAGTATATACGCGGATCATTGTAGATCACGTGAAGAAAATCACATGTCAGATATCACATGAGCAAGGAGTCCTGGAAAGGGATATGGAACTAGGGGGATTGTTGTACAGGCTTGGTGAACTGAATAAGACTTGGCAATTTAGCACCACAGGCCTGTAAATCACCATTTTGAGCTTGATTACAACGGTTGTTATCAGCATAATCGATGTAGACTCACGTGCAATTTTTTGAGCAGAGGACAAAAGTTTCCCGTTTGGGTAAGCATAGTCCCATGTGAAGCCAATGTCTTGGATGGATTCAAAGCAGATCCTAGGCAGGGAACAAGTGTGTTGGGTTGGCAGACCACGAGAATAAGCAGTAATAGGGATTTGGGACTAGACTGTACAGTATGCAGACATCACCAAAACCAAACGTTAAACCTATTCGCCTCGAGTATCTGGGAGCCCCGCTATGTCCCACTTGGCTATATCACTTCCACTTCAAGTGCCTCCTATGGCCACAACATCAGCTTACACCCTGTCTGGATTTAGAAATTCTCTAATTACTTCGTTCCCAATTAGGCAAAGCGAATTTCTTACTGCACCAAATTTATGTCCTAATCGGGTAAGTTGTGTCTGGCTGCGAGGAAGTTGATTCTGCCGACCCTTCCCAATAAATAGACCTAGTGATCCCACATGTGCAAGATTTCCCAGTAACGGAACTATACCAGTATTCAGTGCCATCATCATGGACTTCGAAGACTACACCGCAACCCGCGGGATGATGTACCTTTTATTGGCCCAGAACAATAACCCTGCCTTAGGAACTGGTACCCACATTTTGGCTACCCAGTCCCAAAACTTATTGGGAGGTATTCCCGACACTTTGCTTGACTTCAATAACCAGTACCAGATCAACTTGTTTGGTAACTATCCCGTGGAGAGTGATAAGGTGCCTTCAGCCATCTTTGCAGCTGCGTTTGCAGTGTTGATGGTGCTTCATATTGCCATCTTTGCTATCAATGCGTCCCGTGGTCACTACTTCTGGTTGACCTTGGGTTGGATCTTCTACTGTATCATGAGAGTGATTGGATGGATCGTTAGAATTTACTGGATCCCTGTTTTATACGATACCACCAGAGGTATTTCCAACGAAGTGTTTTTGATTTTGCCCTCCATCTTTCTTACATCCTTCAACTTGATCTTAGCACAGCGTATTTTCACCTGGAGACATCCAGTCGGTGGATCCCGTCGTTTATTCTGGAATTTGATGATCACATTATATGTGTTCGTCGCTGCAATTGTGGCCATCACAGTGCTTGCTTCTGCAGTACCATACGTCAACTTCTTATCGGATAAAAACTACACCAGATGGAAAAAGGTGGTCGAGGCTTCGTCCATTTTGATTATCTTGTACTCCTTGACTTCGATCTCCTTGATTGGTTTGGCATACTTCTTCAAGCCAACCGCCAAGGACGAAAACTTATACACTTACCAACCTTGGTGGGTTGAATCTTTCTCTCCATTCTACTTTGTTAAGCCTGGTGCCAAAGAAGAAGCGGAAGAAACTTTCATGAAGAGAAACCACAACCATCGTCATGCCATCAGAGTCATCGCCGCCACCCACCATCACTACAACATGGTTGAAGGCACCACCAATCAAAGAGGTGACTTGACTCATAATTATTCTTTGGTTATCATCGCAATTACCACAGTATTGCTTCTCGTGGGAGCAGTATTGAGATCAATTGTTGTTTTCGAAGGAAACTACCATTACAAGAGTGGTAAGTTGTGTCAGCCTGTGGCTATGTACATCTGTTGGGGTTTGTTCGAATTTATCATCAACGCACTCTACATCGTTGGAAGAGTTGACTTGAGATTCTACAGACCAGACAAGTTACCTAAGAAGGTTAGAAGCATCATCACTGCCGAACAGTCTGTGCTTGTGTCCGACAACGAAGAAGAGGAAGAGGAATACGAGTATGAGACCGACGAGAACTACTCTCAACAATACAAGGAGTCATTTAACGATTCCAATGATCTCGACTTTTCTCCACCAAACTATCACTACCAAACAACTCAACCAGCTCATCCCAAACCAAAAACCGAGAAGAACGAGGAAGAGTTCCATTTCTAGCTTGGAATTAGATACCAACGAAAATGCAGAGAAGAGTTTCATTTCTAGTGCGCTTTCAAAGTCTTAGTTCTAGCTCAAGGCCCTTTGTTCATCACTGTGCACACTGACGTGGTCCAATGACCAGTCTTATTACCCATTATACCGAAAGGTTTACCATCCTCAGCGAGGACTTGCTAAGTTGCATGTAATATACGATTATAGAATCAGCGTAACACATAAAATTGTAGACTTTACTTTCCTAATCGGGCTATTTCAGTCAAGACTGATAATGCTTTTCCTAGAAGAAGTTGTGCTTCGCATTCTAGTGGTTAACATACAATCCTGGTTTAGGTATTGGGAGGAGACGCACGTGACTCAGCATCGCATCTAATTTTTTATTCAGAATTCTGATAGACTGCCACCAGCATTAAACCATGTCGAGACCTGAACAGATCGCCCCTCCAGAGGTATTCTACAATGATTCCGAGTCTCACAAATATACATCATCCACACGTGTCCAGCACATTCAGGCCAAGATGACCTTAAGAGCTTTGGAATTGTTAAATTTGGACACTCAAGATCCTCATTTCATCCTTGATTTGGGATGTGGTTCTGGATTATCAGGAGAGATTCTCACTGAAGAAGGATATAACTGGGTAGGAATGGATATTTCACCAAGTATGTTGGCCACCGGTTTGGACAGAGAAGTGGAAGGAGATCTTTTTTTGAGTGATTTGGGTAATGGTGTACCTTTTAGAGCAGGTACTTTTGATGCCGCAATTTCTATTTCTGCCATTCAGTGGTTGTGTAACGCTGATACTGCCAATGTGGACCCCAAGAAGAGAACCTTGACCTTCTTCAACACCTTATACGCATCATTGAAGAGAGGAGGCAAATTCGTGGCCCAGTTCTATCCTATGAACGACTCACAAACCGAAACTATCTTATCTTGTGCCAAAGTGGCTGGGTTTGGTGGTGGTTTGATTATCGATGACCCTGAATCGAAGAGACACAAAAAATACTACTTAGTGTTGACTGCCGGTATGGCTGAAAGAAACATCAACTTGACAGGTGCCGAAATGGATGCCCCAGACACTGTCAAGAAGCCAAACAGAAAGCTGCTCAAGAAGATGGAAAGTAAGAAGGATTTCATCGCCAGAAAGAAGGAAACTATGAGAAGAAGAGGTAAAAAGGTGGCCCTTGATTCCAACTTCACCGGAAGAAAGAGACGTCCTCGTTTCTAAGCAACTACCCATTATGTATATTAGTCTAGCATCGTATAACATACCTATGTATACCTTTTTAATTCATTCATGTGTCAGATCAATCGCTGTTGGGCGCGCGTAATTTTCAGATTTCAGCGTAAATTACAGCTCCAATATCAAATGAAAAAAACTTACCTTTACCAAGCGAGACAATTCACAGTACCCATAGCCATCATGATTGGTCTTACCGGAGGAAAGGTTGGCTTCCCTTCTTTGAAGACCGCTATACAGTCTATCAGGACATTTGTGCCCTTGAGAAAGCGTAAGTATCATTCCTTGCGTCGTGAAGTGCTAGTACTAACATTTAGCTGTTCCAACTGTCTATGAACCATTAGCAAAGAAAAGAGGAGGAGAAGACCCCATTTCATTCTTGAACAAGCAACTCTTACAAAAGTACGATCCTACTGGGAAAAGAAGAGCATTAGTACACTCTAAGACCGGGTTGCGTGCTGGAGATATTATCAAAGTCACCTACCTCGACAGAACCGATGTGGTTGGAAGAGTTTTGGGTGTCAAGAGAGGTGAAAATAACGTAGGAACCAACATCTTGTTGAGAAACAAGATCAACAGAATCGGATGTGAAGTTAGAATCCCCGTGTTCAGTCCTAAGCTCAGAAACATCGAAATTGTTCAAAGACCAAAGCAATACTTACCAAGAGCCAAACAATACTACATTAGAAACACCAAGCTCGACGTGGATGACATTGAAGCTTCCATAAAACGTCAAAACAAGAAGAATAGAAAGGCCGAAGAGACCAAATAGTCCTGTACATATGAATATTGACGAAACTGTCCTGTAATTACAAATGTAGACCGGCCTACGCCAGCAAGAACTCGACAGGATCCATATTGAGGCGAAGTTCACTTTTGGAGCAACTTCTCAAGCTTAGCACTGAGTTCATTACCAAAGTGTGCCTGGAAATCAGGCGACACATTCATCATCAACGATTCAAAGGTCTCATAGCACCGAGTGTCTGTTAGCAAGGACCAGCCTCTGATATCGACCGTGACCTTGAACTCGTCTCCCAGAGCAGTCAAAATGTGGAGGTGGTTTTGGGGCTTCTTCGACGGATTGTAGAAATCAACTGGTCTTTGCACCACGGTTTGAAGGTTGCACTCCGGGAAAAACGAGCCGTACTCTTCAAGTACCAACGAAAGCTCGTTCCTCTGGGCTGCGTTGTCCATAATTGGGCTGACCTAGTAGGATTTATGGAAAGAACAAGGTAGATAATTTTTAGAAAACGCGAACGTCGCTACAGATTTAGTCACAACTGATTCCCAATGTTCCACGGCTTTGTCAACATCGGGCGCCCAGAAACGTGCTCCAACAAGTGGTTTTTCTACGCTTTCATTCACATTTGAACTCCAACCAACCTCACAACTGAAAAGTGAAGCCAGCCTTTTGTAGAGAGTGAACATGCGATTGATGTTGGGGTTCAAAATTGGCGGGGCGATCGGCAGGTATTTATACACATCGCCGCGCCGGGTAACGGTATATGCACCGAGAGATCCCAGGGCAAAATGGTATGAATACCCTCTTGTCATCGACCGTATCATTCAATGTCAGCAGCTAAGATCGAAACCGAGAAGTATATCGGCGCTACCTTGAGGATTAAACTTAAAGATTCACGAGTTTTGGATGGCGTTTTGACGGTCATTGATCCTTTTGGAAACATTCTTCTTTCCAATGGATATGAATACTCGCTAGACAGAATAAACCCAGAGAAATTGCATAAGAGAGAAATTGGCTTGGTCAGTGTTCCCAAGGAGAGCATGGAGAGTATTAGTGTCGACAAGAAAACTCACGGAAACATTTTCAAGGCGAAGTAAGCCAAATTGGTCGATGTGGCTGGGATAGCCTAACGAATGAGTGCTACTAGCATGAGCGAGGAGGCATGTTTAGTTGGCCAGCAATTTTCGAAGCTTGACCAGGACCACTTCTGCCTAGCTCCTGGAACTAACAATGTTAGTGTTGTTAATTGTGGTCTCTCTAGACACTCATATCTTGGTGAAGACAGTCCTCTTCTGTCTGATCAAAGCACACAGATCCTTGGGATAGGATAATGTGCCCAAAGGTCTCCGAGCATGGATTGTCAAGATGAGAAATCATGGCCAACTGGCATTAGTGTTAACTAATGTCTGGCCAGGGGGGCAAGACCAGCATCATGTATCAAATTTCCTGAATTGGGAGCATACGTGTGATCCTCCAGCAAACCAAGACGTACCCACTCAAAGGGACAACCTACTATTAAGGTAGTTACTGTCAACCCTTGCACGCTGAATAGTTCGAACGAAATACCAACTTGTGAAGTCACAAGGGGTCTAAAAATTCAAATAAGGAGTGATTTCTCTACTTACATGCGAACGACGTGCAACACAATTGCTAGTCTTCCAAATGGACATCTCCGAAGTGTAGATAGCACAACATGAACCGCAACATGATTCGGAAGTGCCATAAGAATATAGAGATACTGGGTGGATTACAACGTATTATCTGTAACCTTCATGCAATAGAAGATGTAGAATACCCACGGGAGGCATTTTTCACCAGCATACTGCCACCAGCATCTGCTACAGTCAGAATGATGTGGGCAGAAGTTCCCGACAAGTCCGCCTGTGCTTACATAAGCGGCATACAACTGGGGAAAATTTATGTAGGCTCACCAAGCCCACACAAATGTCCAGGGCCTGAGCGCTTGAATCATTTTCCCGTGCCGGATCATTGCCCACTACTACCAGCTTTCTAGGAGGTTTTCATCCTTGCCAATAGTGGTGTGAAGAAATAACTACTAGCATAACAAACCGCTCTCTCTTTCTTGGTACTGGATCCTCCAGCTGTGTTGAATCAAGACACGTACTATAAACACTCAACTAGGTGAGATCTGGTAATAGAAATGCAAGGCACATACAGAAACAACGGGTTGCCCCGTCCCTACTACATGAAGCCTTCCAAGAAGAAGTCGCCCTACGAGAACATCAACTCGGTTAACTTCTTCAACACCTCGCGAAGAAAGATCTTGGGATACTTGGTGATGTTGTTTCTCTTTGGCACCTGTATGATGTGGGTGGCCCAAGAGTTGAGACCTGGGAATGATCCCCAGTACGAAATTGTCAAGTCTGAACTGAAGCAGCCAGTGGTGCCCGAAGTGCCCAGCAACAAGCTTCCCAACATCGAGAAAATAGCGAACTCCGTGGGCTCCAAGGCTGATAAGGAAAGCAGGAACGTTGACTTGGCAGGAAACTTTGCCCAGGGATCCAAGGGCGAGAAAGGCTTGGGTGTTGTTGAAGCCCCCAAGGGTGGGATTGCCAACGAAGCACCAATGGTCGGTAACGACGAGGATAAGTTGGTTGGAACTGGCAAGAACATCAAGCCCAAGGGTCAGGTGAGCGGCCAAGCCCCAAAGTATGACACTCAACCTCCTAAGAAGGGCTACAAGGCAGAAAAGAGCTCGGAAGACCCTCCTAAGAGTCCACAAAACGCCGACAAGCATGAGGTGGCAGATAACGCCAAGTTGATTATCGACCAAAGTTTGGAATAATAGTTGCCCTCGAGCTAACATTCATAACAACACTAAGCACGGGTTGGTGTAATGGTGATGGGCGACTGATTCAGAATAAGACCATCACACCCGGCATTAACTATGTTAGCAAGTACATAGCATTATACAATCATAATAGCACCATATTGTAGCGGTTTTTAAGCAGTCTCACCAGTATTTCCAGTGTGGGAAGTGTGGCCAACCACGCACAATTTTCAGTGAGACTCACCAGCCTGAGCAACAACAATTCACAGAAACAGTACTAGATGGCCACATAACAAGAAACATTCTATCAGAAGCCAAGCAATGATATTGGTATGCGAGTGCTTACCTAGCTTGTTGTGATCTTCATGGGCTTGTTCATGTCTACGTTTTTTTATGTCTACAATTTTTCGCAGCCACTTACCAGGAGCACGGACTTACCCAGCGAAAAGGATCAAATCAGTGCCAGATTACAGTATATTCGCCATCAAAGGACAAGGCTGGTTTGGTTACAAAATTATCCATTAATATCCATAGCTGGAGGAATTAGGTGCTATATATATCAAGGTCCTATCGAGGTAATTCTATTATACAATCTCACACTTCTCACCCTTCGAGTGATCACCCTTTCCTTTCATTTCATTATACTTTTCTAAGTTCCTTTCTTTCATTTTCTCCTTCACTTCGATGGGGAAATGACGCTTCATCAACTGCATCAATTCCTCATCCAAGTTGGTTCCATCTGCTTTTACAACTGCGTTCTGGTTTCTGCAAATAGGGCAGTTCTTCTTATCCTGTTGCTTTAACTTCACCAAACACCTGACGCAGAACAAGTGACCACATTGTAATTTAATGGGCTTGAATGCAACGCTGGTGCAGATTGGACAGGTATAATCATCGATCTGTGGAATCAAGGTCAAGATCGATGACTGCATAATGAAGCAGATCGATTGAGCTAACGACGAGCCCTTGATGAAAATATGGTCATTTGACACAAGCTTAGGATATCTTGCACTGACACCAAGAGAAGTTTGCTTGTCAAACTTCTTCAAAATTTTTCTGAAAGCCTCTGAATTGATTGACTGAAACTGAAGGATCTTCAAGAGATGGAAGTTCATTTGAAGAAATTGATTGTACGCATACATGGACTTCTTATTCTTGAATGTCGTTAAAATACCCGACTTTTCGACATTAGCCATAAACTGCGAGAGATTCTTTTTGATTTGTTCCGAGTTTCTTTCACTGGCCGAGTTGGAGGTCTCATTGTATCTAAAGTAAACTTCGGAATCCAAGTAGATCTTGAATAGTTCTCTCCACTTGTACATATCGGAGTTTTTGAGCCATCCCTTCAGGTCAGTCAACGTGGTAATCACAGATGCAATATTCTGGACTTCAGTTGTTAACTTGCTCTCTTCCGATGTTTTTAGCTTATCTAAGTTTTCTAATTCATCGTTGAGCATTCTGAAAAACTTGGTATCCGAGTTTAACAGGATGTAGATTTCGTTTTTCCTTACGTTTGGGTCAAGGACATCGTCGTCAAGAACCTCATCGATCGGGACAGTTGGCTTTTGCTCTGGGGACAAAGGAGGAGAGCCGTGTTTGGAGGAATGGGGACTGACCACCTTAAGTTCATCGTCCTTTTCTTCAAGCTGGATAACGTGCTCGTGAGGGGAAGCCAGCCTGGATCTCAGGGGAGGAGAAACTGGGGTAGAAATTGGCTCATCTTTCAAAGAGTTCAACGTGCCGTCTAATTGGTCTTTGAGGCTTTGACGCTCTTCTATTTCATGGATGTCGTGCGTCTCATCCTCGTCTTCGTTCAACAACTTCTCTATTCTATTTTTCAACTGTAATCCTAGCTGGTAGATGTGGTCGTCTGAGAAGTTCTCGTTGGAGTAGTCCAAGGTGATTTTGAGCATGGGTTTGATGTCGTTGGGGTCTGTGTGGTCATCGGAACCTGCCTGTTTGGTGAGTGTGTACTCGGCAATTATGGGGTTGGTGGCCTCTGCCTCGTGCTGGTCCATCTCGATGACTTGGGACTTGCTGGGGTCTTGGAGAAGCAACTTGAGGTCGTTCTGCTCGAGCCCCAAGAAGCGAAGCTCGTTAACCACTTTGGTGATGCATTTCTTGAGACTCTTGTACTGAATGGCGGCCTCCACCCACTCTTCGGGGATGTCTTCCTCGATCAACGTCTGTTCCAATACTTTAGCAAACTTCATTGGTAGGGTTCAAAGGCCATAATGGTGCGGTGGTCGGCGATAAGGAGAAGGGTTTGGTCACGGTTCGTGGGGTAGTGATACGGACGAGAAATGGAGAGTCTACACTGGGTTCATACTATGCTACGATCGATGCCCGTGTGTGGATACGGTTAAAATTTCGCGCTGGCCGATGGCTATATAGCAACGTGTGTGTGCGGTCAGGTGACTCGTGTGTAGTCATCACGCCGCCTCTGGTGCATATAGACGTGACGCGGGCCCGGGCGCATGACCTGCGCTGCATAGGGGACGTGCCGTGCGTGGTAGCGCCGATTCGCGCGTGGTGGGAAGTGGAAGTTAATAGAACCACGTGACCCCAGTCTCCCAGCGTCCAGCCAGTGCAGCACGTGAGCTAGGCTACTACAAATGGCTACCTGTCCGCTATCAACACCTCCCCACCAGTATGGATTTTGAACTCGAACCTACCTTGGAATCTATAGTCCAGCAGGACACCTTGAAGTGGATCTTCGTCGGTGGCAAGGGTGGTGTGGGTAAAACCACCACCTCGTCTTCGATAGCCGTGCAGTTGGCGTTGAACCATCCAGACGACCAGTTCTTGTTGATTTCCACCGATCCAGCCCACAACTTGTCGGATGCGTTCTGCCAGAAGTTCGGCAAAGACGCTCGTAAGGTCGAGGGTTTGTCCAACCTTTCGTGTATGGAAATCGACCCAGAGGCTGCCATGAGCGACATGCAACAACAGGCCCAACAGTACAACAACGACCCCAACGACCCGTTGAAGAACATCATGAACGACATGACGGGTTCCATTCCCGGAATTGATGAGGCCTTGTCTTTCATGGAGGTGTTGAAGCACATCAAGAACCAAAAGACCGCCAGCGAAGCCGACGCCTCCTCTGGCAAGTCCGAGATTGCCTACAAGACCATCATCTTCGATACCGCGCCCACAGGCCACACCTTGCGTTTCTTGCAGTTGCCATCCACATTGCAGCAGTTATTGAGCAAGTTCCAGTCGCTTTCTGGAAAGTTTGGCCCTATGTTGAGCATGTTGGGCGGAGGAGCTGGCGGACAGCAAGACTTGTTTGAGAAGTTGAACGAAGTACAAAAGAACGTGACCGAGGTCAATGAGCAGTTCACGAACCCCGACTTGACTACCTTCGTGTGTGTGTGTATTTCTGAGTTCTTGTCGTTGTACGAGACCGAGAGAATGATCCAGGAATTGATGTCGTACAAGATGGACGTCAACTCGATTGTGGTCAACCAGTTGTTGTTTGCTGACGACGACGAGACCCCCTGCAAGAGATGTGTGTCCAGATGGAAGATGCAGAAGAAGTACTTGGACCAAATGGGTGAGTTGTACGAGGACTACCACTTGGTCAAGATGCCATTGTTGGGTTGCGAAATCAGAGGTGTGAACAACTTGAAGAAGTTCTCCAAGTTCTTGTTGAAGCCGTATGATCCAAAGGTCGATGGAGGGATTGTCACCGAGTTAGAGGAGAAATAAGTGTATATACAGACTCTAAAGAATACAAGTCAGTCAGAGCAGATGTCGAAGAGAAGAAGCCAACATATAGCAGACGTGCACCGAAGTCAAAAGCAAATGAGATAGGTGTCTTCGCCATTAATATAAGCCAATGCGACCGACGTCTTCGTATAGTAATACATACCAATCATAGAAGTCTTCGTAACTCAAGCCAATCAAGACTCTTAAGTGCAACTTACTCCAGAATAGCACGCCCAACCTGAAATATTTCGATCAAACTGATGCCATCATATTCTGCTATCCTCCCACCACCCTGCCACACCATCGAATTCCACCTGGGCATCACAAGATAACATGCAACGTCAATAGATCGGGATCCGTGTTAACAACCAGGTTGACTATGTAACGCCATGTGCAGGAGGGCTTCCGCCTTGGCCTGATCTGGCCAGTTGCTATTGTAGGTGATAAATTTCAAACGGTTTTGACAATAGTAGCGAGCATCAGGAACCGAAGTGGCCACCAGGTTTGCGGGAGCATCACCAACGTGCAGACATGTTCTCGCCATGACATCACCGCGGTAGTACCAGCGTGGCCGGTGCGGATCTGGTGGAAATTGCCAGTCTCCAAGTAGTGCCACGGTAATGGCTGGACCCCGCCACAACCCGCAACGAGGGGAGCATGGCGGAGGTGGAAGGACCATTTGGTGGTGGGTGCAGCCGTCGCTGTTGGGCCACGAGCATTTGTGGCCTGGCCGTTTTCGGAAGGCGGATGTTATCGATCAGGGAATGGTGCATGCAAAAATTTGATAATATATAAGGGTGCGGAAATTATTCATGGTGATTTTCATGTCAATTGACCATGTCGAGAGGAAACCAGAGAGACCTTTCTAGAGCCAAAAACTTGAAGAAGCAGGCCGAGGCATCCAAGGCCCAGAAGAAGAGTGGTGACCCCACCAAGCGCATGGAGAGCGATGCCGACAAGATGAGAAGAAAACAGGCAGAAGGTACGTGCGGACCAGGCCCCAGTCCGTATCCCGGCGGTGGTACTAACATCTAGCTGACGCAAGAAAAGCACAAGGAATTTCCAAGCATTGATGGACTCCATCCCACGATCCCAAGCATAGCACATTCATTTCTCTTGGCCATCTGGTTCCGTCCTGTCCGCGCCTGGCATGGCGCATGGCTCCTGCCACTTCATAGTGCCATCGTCCCATGGATGGCCCACACATACCCACCCTCTGCCATCGCTGCAGATATCCCTTCCTCGTATCCACATACGAGGCCTTTCAATGTACGTTCAACTATTAATGTTTATCGTAGTGTATGAATCAGGAGTGATCTGGTGGCTTTGGGTGCCAAAAAAAAGAAATTGTCTTAGTAGACAGGAGGTGTTAGGCAAACATCCTTTGTCTTCTGCAAAGCTTAATAGCAACTCGCCTGTAGGGTAATTGTTGCCCACAATGGGTGGCTTGCTGCAGGCGTTGACAGGCACTGATGGATTAAATTCCCTCGATTCCCGGTGATATTCTTCAGGTTCTTTGATGCCTCCCTTTCCGACCGAAAACTGGATCGACCCATCAGAACAATGCGCTGCTGCACCCAGTCGCCACTGAAGGCACGGGAACAGGCTCGCCTCACCCACGCAGCATGGCTTATCTACTGGCACTTAGTATAGTACTTCCAAGGTAATATCGGGCCTCCGCTAGGTGGATTTATCAGTATGTCCAGCGCAGCTAGCAACGTAACCCTCCTTTCACTACAAATTTTGTTGGGTGTCCTTGTTCAATGGCTCCTCGACATTCAAAGTTTCATAGCTAGGAGCTAAAAAGAGTTTCTTGCGGAAGCTCGTAGTTTACAGGTATAGCAAATATTTAGGTTTGTTCCTAGCAGATAATTTGAGGCGGGCTTACTGATTACGTTCATCCAATCTCCACAAATTGGGTGCAACAATGATATCCCCTATGGAGATGCGACATTCACTTGGAACTACCGTACGAAGTCTCAGACAACGGTGCACGTGACCGTGTCTTGATATTCACCCCGCTGGCTCTTCAGTGACCACTACCCACCATGTTGATTGAAGAATCCTACCACGATGTCAAGACTTCGTACGGCACAACCATGCGGTTGTTCGTATACCACCCCAAGATCATCAACTACCCCAGAGTGAAATTTCCGGGTGTGGTGGTCTACAGCGAAATCTACCAGGTCACTGGTCCAGTGTCTCGGTTTGCAAAGGACATCGCTGGCCAGGGGTTCATTGTGGTGTGCCCATCAATCTACCACAACTTCGAGTCCCATGAGCCATTGGCCTACGACGTGGAAGGCACCGACAAGGGCAACTTGTACAAGATCACCAAGGAATTGAAGTCTTACGATGAAGACAACAAATTGGCCATCGACTACTTGACGTCGTTGCCCACCTGCAACGGCAAGATTGGTGCCACTGGAATGTGCCTTGGGGGCCATTTGGCCTTCAGAGCCGCATTGGACCCCAGAGTCCGTGCCGCTGTTTGTTTCTTCGCCACTGATATCCACAACCACGCATTGGCCAAGGGCCAGAATGACGACTCGCTCGCCAGATGCAAAGAGATCAAGGGCGAGTTGATCATGATCTTCGGATGCAAGGACAACCATGTGCCCTTGGAAGGCAGAGACTTGATCAGAGGCACGTTGCGCCAGGCTGGAGTCGAGATGACTTTCATCGAAATCAACGACGCCCAACACGCCTTCATCAGAGACGAAATGAGCAAGGGGAGATACGACCCAGCCACCACCAAGAACTGTACCGAGTGGATGTTTGAGTTGTTCAACAGAAAGTTGAAGTTGGACTACGGCGATCACGACGGAAAGAATGTCGAAATCGAAGATGTGTGCTGAGCAGCTCTACTAAAAGCATACACATACTCGTGGACTAGCTCTTATAGCATCACCAGGAAGCACCGTTGTATATCGGGGTAAGTACACAGTGATGCGCATCTAGAGAGGAGCCTCCCTCAAGTTTATATAGTAAAATGGCAATTCGATAGAACAATCCACAGCGAGCTGAAGCTCACCCATCCGCAAGCCGTTGCTCCCAACAGGGCATGTCTTCTGATGCTATTGTGCCCAGCAGTCATTGTAAGTCCCCTTTAACCTAGAAGGGTCGTCTCGCACGACCCGACCTATGAAAAAATTGATGAAAAATTTACTGAACACCAATACTATACACTATAGACCATGAGACCTATAAAGTTGATGGGACATGAGCGTTCCTTAACGCAAGTCAAATACAACAGAGAGGGAGACTTGTTGTTCTCCGTCTCCAAAGATAACGCCGCATCCATTTGGTACTCATCCAACGGTGAAAGATTAGGTACCTTGGAAGGACATCAGGGTGTAATCTGGTCTATTGATGTCGATCCAGAAACTCACTTGTGTGCCACTGGTGGTGGTGACTTGGCCATCAAATTGTGGAAGGTTGAAACCGGAAAGTGTGTTTTCACATGGGACTCTCCATCTCCATGCAGAAGAGTTGCATTCTCAGCCGATGGATCCAAATTGTTGGCTATTGCTGACCAGGTCATGGGTCATGTCGGTACCATCTCAGTATACGATATAAATCACGATGAACAATCTTTAACCAACCAAGCAGAAAAGCCATCATTAGTCATTGAGACTGCTCAAGGTGGATCCAAGGCTAATGTTGCCGGATGGTCCTTGGATGGTAAGCACATCATTGTTGGACACGATAATGGTTACGTTTCCAAGTACGACTCCAAGACTGGTGAGGTTGTTGAATCTATCCAAGCCCACGGTATCCACAACGAAGAAAAGAACGTTTCTATCACTGATATACAATTTGCCCCTGAAGACAGGTCATATTTCATCACTTCCTCCAAGGACAAGTGTGCCTCATTAATCGATTTTGACACCTTCAAGATCTTGAAGGTTTTCAAGGCTGATGCTCCTATGAACACTGCTGCCATAACTCCCGTCAAGGACTTCGTCATTTTGGGAGGTGGTCAAGAAGCCAGAAATGTTACTACCACTGCCGAGTCCCAAGGTAAGTTCGAAGCCAGATTCTACCATAAGATCTTTGAAGACGAAATCGGTCGTGTTAAGGGTCATTTCGGTCCATTGAACACCGTCGCAGTACACCCTGACGGTACGGGTTACAGTAGTGGTGGAGAAGATGGTTTTATCAGAGTTCACTCCTTCGACAAGTCTTACTTTGATTTCCTTTTCGATGCCGAAAGAACAGAAAAAGCTAATGCCTCTGGTAACATTTAAGCATATTGATAGACCCGTAGACTATCACTGTATATTAATACAAATATAATTTGCGAATGATTTGGTGGGATCTATTATTGCAGCGGGTTCAAGCCGTTTAAGTGTAATCTACTGTAGCAAATTACTGCTCTCTGATCTCCTGCTCTTGGCGAAGGCTTCAGTTTTGTAATGGCTTGAAGAGACCATCTTCATGTCGTCACAGAGTAAATGTCGCGCGACATTGCGACATACGTCTTCTTCTAGCACCTTCCAGAATTTCGCAGCTCAATAGATGCGAAAATGTCTAGAGTGTTCTATGACATGCCCTTTTGTATAAATCAAGGAAATCCCCAAATGTAAGTAGTCATCACCAAAATGCTTTCCTACATCCCTCAAATTCTCCACCCATTTCCAGGGTTCAACTTACCCTTTGCATGCCATAATAGTCACAGCCATTTGGACAGGTACCATGATTTGGTGTATGCTAGTGCTCCAGAGGTCAAACAAGTAGACACAAAAGAAGGATGCCAAATACAAATCTCGAAGGACTCTGGCGACTTTGAATCTTACAAAATACGACTTGCTGAACATGGTGAAGAATTCCAATTGAAGATCTCGTCAGAGGTCGATGAGTTCGAGCGTATATTCACTATAGATTCCAGCATGGCTGACATGGAACTGATAACTTGGAAGTTGTATCGCGAGGAGGGATTATTGGTTATCAATATCCCAAAGCATAAGAAGGGAAAACACACCTTGAGAGCTGCCCATAAAGAAAGCAAGAAGCAAAGACGACTTGAAAGAGAGTTGAAACGCAGAAGAAAAGAACAGAAAAGATTGCGTGCAGCAAAGAAATTAGCCAAGAGACAAAGAAAGCAGGAGCAGGAGCAGGAGGATTATAATGATAATTCTTCAAGTGGGGTAGATGAAGCCCACTTATTGCAGCATCAGTTCGAAGAGAGTTCAGAGCCAGAAACATCCGAGACCTCTGAATACGAGACTCCTTCCACCGACTCCGAGTGCGATTCGCACCCAGAATCACACTCGAGCTCTCCAACAAAGCCAACCCTTGAAGAAATCGAGGACGAAGAATTTGTCATGTATCATAGAATGATTAATCACGAATTATGAATTTCGCTGTCGACCTAATTTATGTCTTTATGAACTAATCAAACGCTTTAACGACAAAAATTGTAGAAAATAGATTATCAATTAAAGCATTCGTCGGAATTATATGTGAATATTCTGACAAGATACGCCGGACGGCTGCATCAATCACAGTCCACTGATGCCAACGTTCGTGGATCTCAGATTAGTCAAGAACCCTTGCTGGTCAAGATCACTAATCACTTGCACGTGATGCGAGATGATTGCTTGTCTGAGATGCACCAGATCTACATTTATGCTGTGAAAAAGAATTTGCCACCGACGAAGATAGTTGCAAGCAGTCTTCAAAGATGGCTCCGTCTCAGCATGACAACTCAGTTAGATCGGATGACTCCGATTCATTTCAAGACGGTGGAGGCGGATTTTTAGTGAATGATCCTGACCATAAACCAAGGAGGTCTAGAAGGGTCAAGGAGAACACGTCCTATAAGGAGTCCTCAGGAGAGGAGGAAGCAGTTGACTTCTCTAATGTGGATGTTCCAGCTAAAAGAGGGAGACAAACGCGTTCTACTCCCAAAAAGAGAAAGAAGGAGAACACTGAAGATGCAGACTTTAATTTCAAGATTATAGATGATGATGAAGACAATGACGACTTGATAGAGATTGTCAGGGATCAGAAGGTTGAGAGAAATGGAGATAGTGCTCTTCAAGCAATAGACTTATCGGATGCAGAGGATGATTTGCCGTTATCGAGCCGGACCGAAACGAAAAAACCCAAGAAGAGAGCACCCAAAAAGAAGAAGGAGCCCAAGGTCAAAGTTCCATATTTCACCAGAACAACCAACAAATTGTATGAACATCATCCCCACTTAAAGGAAGTGTTTCCGTACTTGCAATCCCTTGCGAAAATTCCAGTCGAAAGAGCAGCCCAGCCCCCTGGAATGACAATCAAATTACTTCCCTTTCAGCTCGAGGGTTTAAATTGGTTATTAAAGCAAGAAGATGGAGAGTTTCAGGGTGGTGTATTAGCTGATGAAATGGGTATGGGTAAAACTATCCAAACGATAGCATTGTTTATGAATGATTTGACAAAGCGTCCTAATTTAGTGGTAGGTCCAACCGTGGCATTAATGCAGTGGAAAAATGAAATAGAAAAACACACAGATGCGGGTAAACTCAAAGTTTTGTTATTTCATGGTGCAAATCGTGCTTCCAGTGCAGAAGAATTGGAGAAGTATGACGTTATTTTAACATCATATTCCGTTCTAGAATCTTCTTATAGAAAGCAACAATACGGGTTCAAGCGTAAAAACGGAGTTGTTAAGGAAAAATCTCCCTTGCATGAAGTTCAATTTTATCGAGTTATTCTAGATGAAGCTCATAATATTAAGGACAGAACGTCCGGGACAGCCAAAGCTGCAAATAATTTAAAAACCCATAGGAGATGGTGCTTGACTGGTACTCCATTACAGAATAGAATTGGTGAGATGTACTCACTTATAAGGTTTTTGAAGATTGAACCAATCCACTTATATTTCTGTACGAAGTGTGAGTGTCAGAATGACGAATGGAAGTTTTCTGATTGGAGACATTGTGACCAGTGTGGTCATTCGCCGATGTTGCATACAAATTTTTTTAACCATTTTATGTTGAAGAATATTCAGAAACATGGCATTGAAGGAGATGGATTGGTTAGTTTTAACCATATCAGACTTTTATTGAGCAACATTATGTTGAGAAGAACGAAGCTTGAGAGAGCAGATGATTTGGGATTGCCTCCCAGAGTTGTCGAGATCAGAAGAGACAAGTTTAACGAAGAAGAAAAGGATTTGTATACTTCACTCTACAGTGACTCCAAGAGAAAATTCAATGACTATGTGGCCGAAGGTGTTGTGCTTAACAACTACGCCAACATTTTTACCTTAATTACCAGAATGAGACAATTGGCTGATCATCCAGACTTGGTTTTGAAAAGAGTAGGGACTAACCAAATTGCCGGAGATGTTGAAGGTGTGATTATATGCCAACTTTGTGATGATGAAGCCGAAGAACCTATTGAATCTAAGTGTCACCATAGATTTTGCCGAATGTGTATTCAGGAATACATTGAGTCTTTTGGTGGTGACGAAAAGAAGTTAGAGTGTCCAGTTTGTCATATTGGTCTCTCCATAGATTTGGAGCAACCTGCCATAGAAGTTAACGAAGAATTGTTCTCGAAAGCTTCGATTGTCAATCGTATTAAGTTGGGGTCACACGGTGGGGAGTGGAGGTCTTCCACCAAGATCGAAGCATTGGTCGAGGAATTATACAAGTTGAGGTCCGACAGACACACCATCAAGTCTATCGTTTTTTCGCAGTTTACATCGATGTTGGATTTGATCGAATGGAGGTTAAAAAGGGCAGGTTTCAAGACCGTCAAGCTCCAAGGTTCGATGTCACCACAACAGCGTGATAATACTATTAAGCATTTCATGGAAAACACAGAAGTGGAAGTGTTCTTGGTGTCTTTAAAGGCTGGTGGTGTTGCATTAAACCTTTGTGAAGCTTCACAAGTGTTTCTTATGGACCCATGGTGGAATCCGAGTGTGGAGTGGCAGTCAATGGATCGTGTTCATAGAATTGGGCAAAAACGGCCAATTCGAATCACCCGGTTCTGTATTGAGGATAGCATCGAGCTGAAGATTATTGAATTGCAAGAGAAAAAGGCTAACATGATCCACGCCACCATTAATCAAGACGATGCCGCTGTCAGCAGATTGACACCAGATGATTTACAGTTTTTGTTCATGAACTGAACAGCTAATGACCACTATATCTTAAGCAAAGAGACCACTTTTTGAGTATTGAATACAAGTATTGATACCTAACATGGAAAGGATCCGATGTCACTGTAACAGCGTAGCACTACTTGAAGGATATAATCGATGACAAGGAAATATCGCACTTAAATTTAAGGCAACATTGATGAATTAATCGATAACAGTCTAGTGCCACCCCAATTTGAAGTATTCTTGCTATTTAACTCTGCCACCACAATTAAATCAGGTAATCTAGCTATCTTTCGATGTCAATGTAACACCCTACAAATCTGATAATCTTGTACTCAATTACGTAGGTGAAATATCCATCTCTATATCTCATGTCGCGCGAGAACTCACAACCCGATAGTCACAAACCCATACTTGCGCTTATCGCGAGGCACGTGACGTTCTGACTCACGCTGGGCACAGCGGCCCGGTTCGCTTAAAGTCCGGGGACAAGCCTAAATTTCACACCACTTTTCATCTCCATCAACGATGTCCGACTACTGGTTGAATTACTTGGATAATCCAACCTTGTCTGTGTTACCACATGATTTCCTCAAGCCTGCCAACAACCAGGCAGTCGAGGCCAATTATGAGTTCACCTTGCCCAACCTTCCCCAGGATGACTCGTTCATATTAGGATTGTCGACGTTTGCTGCTTTGATCTACAGATTGACTGGGGATGAAGATATCGTGATAGCCACCGACTCGGACTCCTCGGTTGAGTTCATCACCAGATTGAACCTCACAGCCACCATGACCTTTGCCCAATTGGTGGAGGCTGTCACCAAGGAATATAACAACGGTTTGAGCCAAATTGACTACTCCTCGTTGTCGGAGGTGTCTGAGCGCATCAAGGACAAGCAGAACTTGCCAGCCGCCCCTGGTCTCTTCAGATTGTCTTATCAACATGCCCACGAAAAGCAGCAGTTGTCCACCACCGTCGAAGGCTCGGTGAGAGACTTGGCCATTTTCGTCAAGGGATCCACAGTCACAATCTACTACAATGCTTTGCTCTACACCCACGACAGAATTGTGATTTTGGCAGAACAGTTCACTAAGTTTTTGACCCAAAACACCCCCACTGACCCCATCACCTCCATGAACTTGATCACCCCTTCACAAGAAAAGCATTTGCCAGACCCTACCTTGGATTTGGACTGGTCTGGCTATAGAGGTGCCATTCAAGACATCTTCATGGAGAACGCCAAGGCACACCCAGATAGAACATGTGTGGTGGAAACCAAGTCTTTCATGGACCCTTCCTCTAAAACTAGATCGTTCACCTATCAACAGATCAACCAGGCATCCAACATCGTTGGAAACTACCTTAAGGAAGGCGGTATAAAAAAAGGTGACATCGTCATGATTTATTCGTACCGTGGTGTCGATTTGATGATTGCTGTCATGGGTATCCTCAAAGCCGGTGCTACCTTTTCGGTTATTGACCCAGCTTATCCTCCAGCTAGGCAAAACATTTACTTATCAGTGGCTAAACCACAAGGTTTAATTGTCTTGGAGAAGGCTGGAGTCTTGGACGAATTGGTCACTGACTATATCAAGAAGGAATTGCAAGTTACCGTCACAATTCCACAATTAAAGATCGACGACAATGCAGTATTAGTTGGTGGTGTCTTGGAGGGTCAATCGGTAGACTCCTTGGAAAAGTTTCAAAGCACCAAAGACACTCCAACCGGAGTTATAGTTGGCCCAGACTCCAACCCTACCTTATCTTTCACCTCTGGTTCTGAAGGTATTCCAAAGGGTGTGTTGGGCCGTCATTACTCACTTGCCTACTATTTCCCATGGATGGCCAAAAAGTTTGGCTTGTCGTCCGAAGATAAGTTCACTATGTTGTCAGGAATTGCTCACGATCCAATCCAGAGAGATATGTTCACCCCATTATTCTTGGGTGCTCAATTATTAGTGCCTACTGCTGATGATATTGGTACGCCTGGAAAGTTGGCCGACTGGATGGCTGAGTATGGAGCTACAGTTACCCACTTGACCCCTGCTATGGGCCAATTATTAAGTGCTCAAGCCACTGCCTTGATTCCATCTCTTCATCATGCTTTCTTTGTTGGTGATATTTTGACCAAGAGAGATTGTTTGAGATTGCAAACTTTGGCAGAAAATGTCTACATTGTCAACATGTATGGAACTACTGAGACCCAAAGATCCGTCTCTTACTTTGAAATCCAGAGTCGCAAGAGTGATGCCACTTATTTGAAGAACCTCAAGGATGTTATGCCAGCAGGTACAGGTATGCACAATGTTCAATTATTGGTGGTCAGCAGAAACAACACCTCTGAAACCTGCGGTGTGGGTGAAATTGGTGAAATTTATGTTAGAGCTGCTGGATTGGCTGAAGGATACAGAGGGTTGCCCGAACTGAACAAGCAAAAGTTTATCACCAACTGGTTTGTGGATCCTCAGACTTGGGTAACCAAAGACGAGGCTGCGGCTGCTGGAGAAATCTGGAGAGAAAACGGTTGGTTGGGCCCAAGAGATAGGTTGTACAGAACTGGAGATTTGGGTCGTTACTTGCCCGATGGTAATGTTGAATGTTGCGGTAGAGCCGATGATCAGGTTAAGATTAGAGGTTTTAGAATCGAATTGGGTGAAATCGATACCCACATGTCTCAACATCCTTTGGTCAGAGAGAATGTCACCTTGGTCAGAAGAGACAAATCTGAAGAACCAACATTAATTTCATACATAGTTCCAAAGGACTCTCCAGAATTGTTGTCCTTCAAGTCTTCGCTTGCGGATTCTGAAGAAGTCCATGACCCTATTGTTGAAGGCTTGGTCATCTACAGAGAATTGATCAAGGATATCAAGGCTCATTTGAAGAAGAGGTTAGCATCTTACGCTATCCCAACTATTATCGTCCCATTGGTTAAGTTGCCTTTGAACCCTAATGGAAAGGTTGACAAGCCCAAGTTGCCATATCCAGATACTGCTCAATTAGCAGCAGTTTCTCAAGTTATCAGTGCCAACAATGGATCCGGTGCAGATGTTGAAGAAGAAAAATTTACCCAAGTCGAAGAGCAAATCAAAGACTTATGGTTGGAAGTCTTGCCTAACAGACCTGCCTCAATTGCGAAAGATGATTCCTTCTTCGACTTAGGTGGCCACTCTATCTTGGCTACCAGAATGATTTTCGAATTAAGAAAGAAATTGGTCGTGGATATTCCACTTGGGGTGATTTTCAAGAACCCTACAGTTGAAGCATTTGCCAGAGAAGTGGAATCATTCATCAAGGGTGATGATTTCCAATTAGCTGATGGTAAAGGTGATCAAAAGGAGACTGAAGAAACTGTTAAAGTTGTCGATTACGCAAAGGATGCTGCTGATTTGTCAGAAAGCCAATTGTTATCAAGATATCCTTCCTTGGAATCACTTGATGACTCTAAAACCATCAATGTGTTTGTTACTGGAGCCACTGGTTTCTTGGGTTCCTTCATTATCCGCGATTTATTGACTGCTCGTAAGGGTAGATCCTTCAAGATTTTTGCTCACGTTAGAGCATCCTCGGAAGAAGCTGGATTTGAAAGATTGCGTAAGGCTGGATTGACCTATGACATTTGGCAAGATGAATGGAAGGATCAAATCCAGGTCGTTTTAGGAGACTTAGCATCACCAAAGTTTGGATTGGGTGATGAACAATGGACTACATTGACTGAAACCATCGATGTTATCATTCATAACGGTGCATTTGTTCATTGGGTATACCCATACTCTCAATTGAGAGATGCTAACGTGATTGGAACTATTAATGTTTTGAACATGTGTGGAGAGGGTAAGCCCAAGTATTTCTCTTTCGTTTCATCCACCTCTGCTCTTGATACCGATCACTTTGTCCATTTATCGGATGAGTTGATCGCCAAGGGTGAGGCAGGTATTCCAGAATCTGACGATTTGCAGGGATCTGCTAAGGGATTAGGAAATGGCTATGGTCAATCTAAGTGGGCTGCTGAATACATCATCAGACAAGCTGGAACCAGAGGATTGAGAGGATGCATCACGAGACCTGGCTATGTTACTGGCTTCAGTAAAACTGGTGCTTCCAACACCGATGATTTCTTGTTGAGAATGTTGAAGGGCAGTGCCGAACTCGGAGGGTTCCCTGATATTTCTAACAACGTCAACATGGTGCCTGTGGATCATGTCGCAAGGGTAGTTGTTGCCACTGCTTTGCACCCACCTGCACAAGAATTGACGGTTGCACACGTCACTGGTCACCCTAGAATCAGCTTCAATGAATTTTTAGCATCCATCAAGGCCTACGGTTATGATGTGGAAGCACAAGATTACCCAGTTTGGAAAACCAATCTTGAAAAGTACGTTGTCGAAGATTCCAAGGACTCGGCCTTGTTCCCATTGCTCCACTTTGTTTTGGACAACTTGCCTCAGAACACCAAGGCGCCCGAATTGGATGACTCTAATGCTGCCAAGTCGTTGGAATTAGATTCCGAATGGACAGGTGAGGATGTTAGTTCTGGTAAAGGTGTTACCTTGGAACAAATGGGCATTTACATTGCATACTTGGCTGAGATTCTGTTCTTGCCACCACCAACCAAGTCCGGCAAGACTCTTCCTCAGATTGTTTTATCCCGTGAAGCTTTAGATTTGATTGCTGCTGGTGCAGGTGGACGTGGTTCTGCCGCTAGTAAATAAAACATCCTTGTACTTATTAGATATTTATTTAGTCATAACTTCATGAGAATTTACTGAACAACGCGTAGAATGGCTGCAGTGATAGCAGTATGTGTAGCATGACATGAGTCAAATAGAGATGTGCCTATTTGTAGAGGAATAAGTGTCTCGGGCTGGCGGCTTGAACTTTTCCAACTGTGGCAGTTCCAGTTCCACTTCAGCCCTGGTGTCAAATTTATCCGAGATCCAGAACAATTAGCTGAAATTAGAAAGGCTTAATCTACATTGTTAGGAACATCCGCCATGTGGCCCAATACGGCAATTCCCCTGTAGTGGGAGCTGGTGGCCACAAGACTACATGAGCGTACGACCATCCAAATTCATCTGCTATCTTCGTTGCACCCAATTTGTAGACACGATTAATCCGTAATATCCACTCACGGTTCCAATTCTGTCCAATATTTTCATCTGTTTTGAACAAACTCCAATTCCCTGAATGAGCTTTACCTCATAATCTGAGTTCTGCTATGCTAAGGAGTACTAGAAATTGACATTGGCTCTTAGTTATGAAGAAGAATATTGAAGCAAGGTCAATCCACGAATTTAGGTGAAATACTATGATTCTGCCTGTGCTAAAGAAAATTTACACTCATCTCTAAGAAGTAACATAACTACTAGGGAAGTTATTGGATAACCAAGCAGACGCACTAACTACTCTTGGTAAATGCTGAATTGGACAATAACCTACAACACCTTCTCCGCAAAGCTAATTGCAAATGTCACGTGATTCCAAGCTCGTGATCGTAACTGATTTGACAGGCATGCAGCGGGGTTCTGCGCTATTGACAACCTCGAGTCGACTGTTGGCCAGACAACTCTTGGTGATGAATACCACATATAACTGCACGTGGAACCATAATGATTGATGCTAAGCAACAGGCCCGGGTCGCGGAACAAAGCCCCCTGCCGGCAGTATCACCCCACGACAGCGACATCTCGAATCGAGAACCCTGGGACAATAGTCAGGGAGTGGTGCCAGTGATCATATCAACAGACTCGACTCCATCACCAGACTCGGCACCAATGACCTCGGATGAACGGCTTTCCCGACATAGCCAACGGTACGAGACGCTAGCAGACAGTGACCGAGTAGATACCCCCAGAATGACGCCAAAATCAGGTATCTCGCGGGAGTCATCCAGCACCAACATCAACAGTTTGTTCATGCGCAAGATCGAGGGCTTGGCGAAGGCCAGTCCCAACAGGGGAGCACTCAGCTTCCAATCGCAACAGAGAAGTCCCAACATAGCCACCAAGATCAGCGAGGACGGCGCTGGCGCCCGCTCGTACGTGGTAACCACCAATGACGTGGATCGCAAGCGGTTGGTGGACCAGTTCTACAACGCCATCAACGAAAGCACAGGAGGCGTTTCCAGCTCCGATTTGGGCCTGAAACGTGGCCAGGTAACGCCAGCAGGGGTGACACCCGTCCCGAGCAGCATGCATTCCCCCATTGCCGAGCAGACGTTCCGGTTTGTCGAGCAGGTGGGCGAGGAAACCAGGACATCCAGCCTGAAGCAGGGCCTCAGCAGCGACAAGCTCAACCAGGTGTTGCGCAACGGGGGCTTCACCTACAACCCTAGCAGTAAGCGTATGGTGCGCGACGGAGAGCTCACCGACTACATGCTCAACATCGACAACATCAGTGCCGAGTTGTCAAAACGCGAGTTTGAAGGGCTGTCACTGTTGCAGGCGTTGGTGCAGATCACAGGCAGAATTGCAGAGGGGGTGCACTTGGCGCAGACGCCGTTGGACGACAGTGACGGGCCCCTGCAGTCGTTGGCGGACCTCCACCAGTTGAAGCAGTACTTGACGTCGCTCCGCACAGACACCTTGGAGCTTACCCAAAAACTCACTCACAACCGCGAGATCCTTCGTACGGGCTACAGGACAGACATCAACGACAGCGTGGGCCGGTTGCACGAGCTCCTTGGCGAGTTGACGCTCTTGGAGAACAGACTCAACGGCATCAAGGACAAGATCAACGTCGATAAGACGGTGATGTCGCAGGAAATGCTCGAGAAACTCGAGATTCTCGAGTTGATCGACAACAGATTCACCGAGCACTCGCGAGTCACCCGAAACCGGCGTTTCAAGCAGTTGAACATCTCATTGACGGTGGCTGTGGTGATTGTGAGTCTCTACTTTGGGTTCCGGCTAAGATAGACGCAATGCATGCGGTTGCCAGCAACACGATGTAGACAGTGTAGGACAACGAAGCGATAAGCGTGGAAGTATGGATGTTCGATGGCTGGCTATCGAGGCCTTCACCGTCGACTTACCAGATCGATCACGATCAACTGGCCCACCACTTCCGTACCATCACCACGACTTCACCAGACAGTCGTTGCCGTTTCTGGCCGTGCAACTTCACGTGCGCCACAACGTGACTAACCCGCCCTACTCCACCAGCCTCACGTGGACTTGCAACATCGTGTCAGACCAACAGACTTGAGGGTCTAAGTTCCTGCATCACCCAAGGTGGTCCTCCCAAATCGGAACCCACAGCGAAAAGACGTGACGGATTGCAAAAGAAATTCACGGATGTTCAAAAAAAAGCAATTCGTAACGGCCGGGTAAGATAATGGTATGTGCACGAAGCACCAACCTTGATAAACACTGTAGGGTGTATATCCATCTACTATAACCATCGACCAGGTCCTGGGAAAAGTTAACGTGTCTTGGACTGCCTACCACGCCTGAAAGCCCCATCGACGCCTTGATTTGTGCACCGTAATTGACGTATCGCGCAGCATCTCCACCACCACACCCGCTCACATCGATCTTCTATCGAGCCAATTCCCGTCGCCAAACAGTCGTTACTCCGCCGCTGTAACCACTTCAGCACTTCAGCACCTCACCCCGAATCCTGCCATGGCTGAACTCATCTCGTTGGGGGACCTTCCTCACGGGTATGACAGTATCGTCCATCACGACACTGTGCTGTTCTCAACATTTGCTGAGTTGATAGCCAACTTGTTCTCCCGCAGCAACAGCGAGGCAGACACCAACCATCCGTTGGTGGTGATCATAGACGAGCCAGAGCACCCATCGCAAGATCTGTTGCAAACCTTGTCGTTCAACGCCAAAGTGTTGCTTCTCAAGTACTTCTTCGGCCACTTGAACACCATCATCATCAAGCCGTCACAAGTCAGCGACCCAGCCTTGGTCGCCCAGCTCAACGATGCCATCACCAGAGTCAACGAACTCATCGGAGACAGAATCTCGCGGATCCAAACTTGGACAGGCACAGGCGATTCCAAAATCAACGAATTCCACTTCTTCAAGCAAACCTACGAGGCTGCCCGTTTTGACATTAATGAGGTCATCTGCACCATGTCCTACACTTTGAACAACCATGCAAATAAGTCACACGTGTGCACCGACCACATCATACAATTAAAGGACTTGATCCTCAAGGAAATTGATTTCAGATCCTTATTGTCCCAGAACTCGCCACAGCATTTATCAAAATTGTGCCACTTGGTAGGCCACTGGTCTTTCCCCGCCCACGAGTTGACAAACGATGACTTGGTCTACTGTGTCTACATCATGATTCAATACGCTTTGAAGCAAGTGGAGAAGATCATCGAGTCTTCCAGTTGTTCTTCATTGAAGGATTTCCACGTACCTTCACCAAACGAATTATTGGGATTCGTTTTCATGGTGAGGGACACTTATAGAAGTGGGAACCCCTTCCATAATTTCCGTCATGCTGTGGACGTTATGCAAGCATGCTTCCATTTCTTGATCCGCTTAAACTGCTTGCCACCATTTAAGCAACTTGAAATCAATCCAAAGGCTGACGAATTGGTCTACATCGATATCGAAGAACGGAAGTTAGATATAAATGAAGAATTAATCCCATTATTTGGCTACAGAGGGCCTAGTGCATCGTCATCATCGTCATCAAACTCATCAAACTCAACTCTAGCATCTACAAACACTCCCCGCTTGAATCCCTTGCAAACACTTGGAATAGTGGTTGCGGCTTTGGGTCACGATGTGGGCCATCCAGGTCTTACAAACGCTTTCATGATCAAGCACGAAGCACCAACATCGCTCATATTCAACGAGCGTTCCGTCTTGGAGCTGTTCCATTCATCTGTATTCATCAACAAAATTCTTGTTGTCAACTGGCCCTCTTTATTGAAAGTTCACACCGAGGGTGAGAACGAGGAGCCATTTTTGATAAAGGACCTTATTGTTTCCAGTATATTGGCCACTGATATGGCCGAGCATTTCGAGTATATCCACAAGTTGAACGGGTTGAAAGGAGACGCTCCACATGATAACAGGATGGTCAAATTGATCTCTTCACTCTTGATCAAATGTGCCGATATTTCCAACGTGGCCAGACCTTTGAGGGTTTCCTCGCAGTGGGCCTTGGTGTTGGGACGTGAGTTTGAGGAGGTCGCTTCGTTGGAGCGTCGGATCAACCTAGGTGCCACTTCACTGGAGGACGTCAGCTACACCAGAGTACCGGTGCAGTTTGAACAGGTGTTGAAGCAGGCACCCGAGCTTCACAAGGGGCAGATTTTCTTTATCAACACGTTTGCTGAGAACTTGTTCAACAATATTGCCGAGCTCTTGCCTGAGTTGAAGTTTGCGTGTGGCATCATTAAGGAGAACAAGGAGTTCTGGTTGGGAAGGGCCCAATAGCCACGACGTTGGAAGGGATAAGCTAACGAGTTCGAAAGGGAGACTCACTCAACGATGCCTTCCCTAGCTGGAGAGTGTATGAGAAGTACAGAAATCAGACTGATTTCAACGCCAAGCTACTGTAGAGTCGCTTGAATTATCGGGCTTATTTCAACGTCCTCTACGGTGTCTTTGTCAGGACTTCCGATAAACGTCGAGTCTCTGACTCGTTTAACGTCCTGCTACGACAGTTTCTCTTACTTAGGCTACTTTCGCCGCCACTACGACGGAGTCCTGAGCAGGCTAGTTCAACGCTACCTACCTGTGTATGTATGTATGTATATTAGAGTTCACACCAGATGTAGATGTCGCGGATGTCGGGCAAAAAACAGTCACTATTACGTAACGGTTGGGGCGCAACAGATCTCCAGTGTCCGATCGCATTGACAGTGGCAGATGAATCGGTGCTTACGTAACTAGGGTGGGGACTGCCATTGGCAGATGGTCCACCATTGGTTAGCTGGTGGCACCAGCAGTACCAGCAGTACCAGTCGTACCAGTCGTACCAGTCGTAGCCGGCTGTAGCACTTCCAGTCGCCCGTAGCACCACCGCCAGCCGTCCCTCTCCAACACTCACCCACTCGTAACCTCCCCCACCCCACCCAGCTCATCACAAAATTTTCACCGCGTGGCTCTCCCTACCGTCCTGGACATAGCGGCGATATTCCACCATCACTAAAAATTGAGTTGTTCCTCCTGAGACTAGCGCTAGTCCTTTACCAGCTCACCTTCCACGTCGAATACCCATACGACGTCCATCCATCCTCACTGACATCCTTCGTGCGTGCTTCCTTCCCACCCATCATGGACAACGAACACACCTGGGAAAGGCCTATCATGTTATCACCACCTCCATTGGAACAACACATGCAGAAGCCTCCTGCCCAGCAGCCTGAGCAGGCGTTTCCGCTGAATCACGGCCATGCTGAGAGACAGATGAGTGTGGGCTACAACTTGCAGCACGAGTTTGAAACCTTGACTGCCGACTTGGACTTGGACTTGAGAAACTACGCCGCCAGACAGAGCGTGGACCACGGTGCGAGCGGTGGCGCTGGCAGCTCTGCGGCTTCCGCAGCTCCTGGAGCTCCCAATGGCGCCTCGGCATCTTCGGGGTCTTCGGGATCGTCGGGTTTCTCTGCCTCTGGCAACAGTGCCAGCTTGCTTGCCCCCTCTGCTTCCAAGTACGGGTTTTCCGACCTCTTGGGCACTGGCGGCTCTGGCACGCCCTTGGCAAACTCGCTCCTTCGTGATAACGCATTGTCCCCCATCCAACACCCGGTTCCAACCAACAACTTATCGTCGTTGTTAGGGGGAACCAACGGCGGTGGGTTCTTGCCTCCACTGGCGTCCATCCCCAACCGTCCCCAGTCGGTCAACGACTTCTCCAACTACTTCAACCGCCAGCAACAGCAAGAGCAGCCTCTGTTGTTGCAGCCCCAACAAACCAACTTCTACCTGGATTTATTAGCATTTACCAACTGGATTGAAAACTTGAATCCTCAGGATAATCTCACCATGATTGAGTACTTGTGCAACAACTTGCCGTTGGACATCTTGTTGACGTTCAAGTCAAAGCTCCAGGGCCACTTGGCCACCCACCAAGCCAAAACCCAGTCGTTCTTGTCGCCATACCACGAGCTCTACGGAGACATGGAAAACTTGAACTTGAGCGCCCACTCCGAGCCTCTGGCCACGGCTTCGTCACAGCCACAACTTCACCAGCCAAAGCCCAAGCTCAAAAATAACTTTGTCAACCAACACTTGTTTGTTGATCAGAGAAACCCAAGACCAAAGTCGGCCGATCCCACGGTTAACAATGCGGTCAGGTTCCAGCAACAGCCCCAGTCCCTGGCCCAAGCTCAAGCCCAACCCCAGCCGCAACAACTGCAACTGCAACAACAGTTTGAAAGAGCAAGATCTCCAACCAGTCATTTGTACGAAAAGACCAGTTTCTTGCAACAAGCTGCTGCCAACCCAAACTCTCCGTTGCATCAGCAGCTCCATGGTCATCATTACCCTCAAAACCAGCCTGCTCAACCAAGCCACCAAGCGCAACAAGCTAGCCAGCCTCAGCAAGGAAGCACCCAGCAGGCTACTTCTGATGAATCCTTGGATTTATCTGCCCACACCGCCTTGAAACTTGGTGCCTTGGCTACCATCAACTCCAGAGTTGCTTTGGACTCTAATAGAAAGTATGGTTATGGACCATACGGAAACGGACATACATACCAAGGAGGACGTCCAGGACATTTTGAAGATTCGATCAACAGAAATGTCAACTCTTCATCCGTTCCTCTTCCAAGAACTAACCCCAAGTCCCCGCAATCCAAGCCAATTAGCGGCCTTGGAAAGAAAGAACAAGAATTAGGAGGTAATCGTGAAAATTTATCAGGAATAAATTCTCCTAACAGTGCTTCGTCGTCGAACAGCTCGATGCCAGCTGATGTCACCAATATTGAGTTGTTGAACAACATCCCAGCCTGGTTGAAGTTGTTGAGATTGCACAAGTACACTGATTACTTGAAGGATATTCCTTGGAAGCAATTAGTAGAGATGAGCAATGAGGAATTGGAAGCCACCGGCGTGGTTGCATTGGGGGCCAGAAGAAAATTATTAAAGGCTTTTGATGTGGTTAAAAAGGCAAATGTTTAGTTGCTGAGCGACTAGGTGTTTGTATATTAGCATGAAATCTACATTAGCAATTTTGGCTACTTATTTGACATGAGTTCCTATAAATGTACATATTACATAAGAACACAACAAGAATTCGTCTTCTTGGCTTGTTTGTAGAACATTCTGGACGAGCTGGACAATGCTTCCGACTTATCGACCAACGAGTCTAACTTCTCGCCTCTCTGCAATACGCTTTCGATGGTCTTGTGCAACACGATCTTGGTTTCGTCTAATTCTTGTTGGACTTTCATGATGGAGTCAGCCTGGCTGGGGTCCTGGTATTTCTTCAAGTACTGCTCCAAGTTGTCGAACGCCAACGAGGGACTGGTGGCAGTCACCCCGCTCCACTCGGACGAGGGGTGCAACGACAAGTATTCTTCCAAGATCTTGTTGATCAAGGTGTATGCTGGACGCACTGGGTACTCTTTATCGGTGATGACCACGCACGCCAAGCCCTCGGATCTGGCGTAGGTGTGGCCCACGTAGTTGCCTTCCTCGATCGACTGTCTCTGGCCAGCGGGAGTTCTCTGGGCCACTGTTTCGGAGAAGAAGGTCATGAACTGGGACACTCCAGTTCTTTCGAAGAACGAGAACTGGGACAAGTCACGTGCGGAGGCCAACTCCAACGTCTTGCCTGCCGAGTTTCTCAAGATCCCTATGTAGTAAATCTTCATGGTGGTGTGTAGGGAGGTGTTGACGGGCGGTGTTGCTGTATTATTAGCTCGTCGCATCAACGATCAATGGTCACGTGACGAGCTCTGGATGGATGACACAAGATTCACCGTTGTTCAGAATCGGCTCAACGTCTACGGTTGACCAAAACTGCCCACAAGGCTAACCGGCTACTTTCCCTCCTTTAACCCTGTCTTTCTTCTCTGTTTATCCCCTCTCTGACCTCTTATTCCCCTACTGCTCTCACTGACCTTCGTGTCCTGCATACAGTCCTCGTCTGTTATCACTCCTCTGTCAGCCCTCTGGGACTATTCACCACCACCACGGCTTCACCTCTCAGCCACGCGTCGCCACCCTCCTTAGCAGGCACCATTGACTCGCTGACATAAATGGCACCGGCTGCCGACACAACGGGCTCCCAGACACTACCCACTCCCACCCCAACCCTCAAGGTGGTCCTCCTAGGCGACTCGGGAGTAGGCAAAACATGTTTACGGTCCCAGTTTGTGCATCATGTTTTCACCAACGCCTACAAGGCCACCATCGGGGGTGACTACTTGACCACCACCGTGGTGGTGCCGTCGCAGCTGCCAGAGGAAGCCTCAGGTCCCTCGGCAGCACTTCTCGTCCCGGACGACACGAGACCTCAGAGCTCCACCAAAGTCAATCTCCAGGTGTGGGACACCGCAGGCCAGGAGAGATTCAATTCCATATCACAGGCGTTCTACCGCGGGACCGACGTGTGTGTGCTTGTGTACGACATCACCAACTACGAGTCTGTGTTGAGCATCCGCGACTGGTTCAAACGGTTCATGGAACACTGCCACGTCGAGCGTCCTGGTGTCGTGATCGTGGGCAACAAGCTGGATCGCAGCTCGGAGCGATGTGTGGATGCTGAAGAGATAAGAGACATTTTGGTTGCGAATGCCTCCATCAATGTCGACGAGTACGTGGTCGACTGGGACACCGACCTCAAGGAAGTGTCGTCCAAAACCCTCGAGCTGGTCCAAGAGCTTTTCCTTCGTGTGGCACAAATAGGCATAGAGGCTGTGAACGACGGAAGAGCCCACGCACCCACACGAATACAAGGCTTCGACATCGACGTCGAACCGGTGCTGACATCGGGATGTGCATGCTAGTCCCATAAGAATTACCAATACTTTCTTTTACAAGCCGGTGCTGACATCAGGATAACATGCCGGTCTGGCCAATTTTACCAATAATTACTATTGCATAGAGTTTTCTATTTACATGTATTTACAACTATTTTTGAGCATCTTCGCTGGCTTCAGCGGCTTCAGCGGCTTCGACAACTTCAGCAGGGGCATTGTTAGTGTCAACCAACTCTTCTGGCTCGTCGTCCTCGTACAATTCTTCCTTGTAGTGCTCGGGGTATTGCTTGAAACAAGTTCTCATGTTCTCAAACTTCTTGATACAGTCAATACCCTTTGGCTCGCTTTCGGAGTACACGAAACAAGCAAATGCTTCCTTGAACTCTTCACCGCATGGTCCGTGGGCCATTCCCCCGAGGCATGGGCAGTCCCAGTTAATTTCACCAGTTTCTGGGTTGAAAGCAGCACTTTGGTTGCTTTCGGCTTCGGCATCGGCACCGGCTTCCGCCTCGGGCTCTTCCGAACTGGACTCAGACTTTGGAACGGCTTCCTCAGCAGCTTCGATGGCCTCATCAACAACCTCGGCAGCGTGTTCCTGGACCTCCTCCACCACTTCCTGAGCTTGTTCGAGGACTGCAGCGTCTTGTGTGGTAGCGCTCTCCTCCTCTTCTTGTTCTTCTTGTTCTTCTTCTTCTTCTTCTTCCTCTTCCTCGTCCTTGTTGCCCCTATTCAATCTGGCTGGGTGGATGTATTGCTGCTTTTCTTGGACTTCGTTCTCGATGTTGTTCTTGTTGAGCAAGAAGTAGCCCAAAGACACTGGCACAACACCAGCAGCAAAGAGTAAGTATCTGTTTGAGTTTTGCTGGGCTCTGGAGCCTCCGTTGCTGAAGGAACGACGGCCAACCCTCTGCACTTGACGAGCGGCACCTGATCTCAAGAATCTGTACATGGTGGTGTTTGGTGGATGATGAAACTGAACCGATCAAGTCTTATAGTAGAAATTTTCACTTAGTAAGCACGACCAGAATTTTCCATGCTGGGCGATCATGCAGGAAGATAAGCACTGACACTGACCCAAGTCAGAGGCCACTGGAAACGGTTTGCGTGGCGTCCGCTTGGCACTACAGTGGCGTATTGCATACATGGCCGTTGTAGGCGCTTTCTGGCCCGTTTGGGTGGAAATGGCCGAATCTGGAAGTGGCACTTCCAACCATCACCGGCTCCAGGTGTAACCGGATGCTCTCGGACCCGGTTTGCATTTGGCCTACCATACTCTTTTGGCAGGTCGTGGATCGTGGGTTGGGTCGTGGATCGTGAATCGTGTTATTAACTATGTACATCTACCTCACAATGCTCCGCATATCCTTGCCCAAGTCTTTCACATCCTCCACCGTCTCAATGATGGGTTCCTCGCCCAACGTGCTGGCATAGCCGATGGATCCAAGCACCACCAAGATGGAAAACATGCCGATCTTGCGCATGTACCGGATGGTGACCTCCGACTCCTTTGTCTTTTCATCCCCAATCTTCTTCATCAACTCGTTGACGTCCTTCAATCTCTGGCCCACCGAGTATGGCCTGAGTGGCCTGGCTGCACTTCTTGCAAGTGTAGTGCTGAAGGCCAATGCTCTGTTTATTTGGTGCATTTTGAGTGGGTCTACTCTGTCTGTCGATGTATTTTGCGACTTTGGTGATGGTGAATGGTGAGATGTCTGCACACGTGACTCACTCAAGCTGCTCGAGGGAAATGGGAGTATAGTCTCCGTCATAAGACCTGCAAATCCAGAGCACGTCTTCATGGATGAACGCCCATGCCTTAAAGCTGGCGAGCTGGATGCGGTGAAGTGGGTGACCCAACGTCGGGTGGAACTCGTTGGTAGAACTGAATAAAAACCCGTGCGAGGTACAATATGCACTGACCACATCTTTGAAGGATGTAACGAGCTTATAGGAGGGAATCCCGTTGACGTTGATGGTACTAGCAGCCTCAGTTACTTCTCTGTCGATAAATTTGCGTATTTCGTTGGTGGTTGGTGCAGAAGAGCCCATGAGCGTAGGTAGAATCATGGGAGCAGATGTCTCGATGTGATCCAATGCCGTGTTGAAATACCAAAGCACTAAAGGGTGCTGCTTCCAGTGGCTCTTACTCCATAAGTCGAACCACCGACGGAAATATTCTTGTACCTGGATCTTATTCTCTTTACACTTCGTTCCCAAGGTACTAACCCATGGATTGAACACTTGAAATTGGAGGATAATCTCGAAGTCATTCTGGCCCATAATCCCACTCGCTCCGATCTGAAGCACCCTCTGTAGGTCTTTCTCCTCGCCAATAGTCCAGCTATTGAGAAATTCAAGGAGTGAAGACGTCAATACGTCCTTGATATTGTAGAACTTTTCTGGCCCAAGATACTGGTCGAACACTTTAGACCAAACCTCCATTAGAGTACCAAGCTCGCTTCTCACCATCTCGGTATCGGTGACTCTCCAGAGTGATTTGTCGGAGCCTATATCCACGAATCTCAAGTATTTTTGTAGTATCAATTGCAACACCTCTTGAAACTCTATGGCATTCTCCGGACAGAGGAGCAAAATGAAATCTATGATGAAAGTCGGGGAAAATGCATATCTTTTGTCAGGATACCATTTCTCGATCTGGGTTGTGAAGTAAGGGGAAATCACTTCTCGGGTGAATTTGACTTGAATAGCAACCTCGGGATTCACAAAAATGGGGGCATGCAACCAAGTCTGCAATAAGTTGAGGTTGTCTATAAGGTGTTCTTCATCCGGTTCTTTCGAAGCAAGAAACTGTTGCATTTTCTCGGATAAAGCACAGTAGACCACAGAATCAAATGGGTCCATGCTGTTGTCGGTTGTGATCGTAAGTTCTCTATACAAGAACGACCATGAAGATAAGGTTGTAATTAGTAGACTGTTCTCGTTGGAAGTAGACTCGATATCTCCCTGGAATAGCTTGGGTAAACATGACCCAACAATGGAAGCAAAAACGCTTTTAATGGATGTGAAGTCTCTGTACGGCTCAGAGACCAAGCTGGTCAATATCGTGGTGGTGGCTTCTATTGATTCCGTGGCATCATCAATCTCGAGCATTTGGGACACTGCTTTGGACTGGAGCAATGACAATACTCTCTCAGCAGACTCCAAGTCTCTTTTGTTCTTTTCGGCTGTCTTCGTTCCTGCCTCAAGCTGGTAATTCAAAAACTGTTCCAGCGTATCTGCCTCTGTCCACTCCTGGCTTATTCGTGTAAGTTTGGCAAACGCCTTGCGTAATTCTTCGTCATCACGTCTATCTTTTTCATCGGAGAGGATCTTGTACTTCAAGGGCACATCAATGCCTTTGCCTTGTAATTCCTCTATGATTTCGAATAACGACACTTTTGGAGCTTTGTCTTCGTCATCGCTTGAATCCACATCCAGCTTGACCTCCTGCTCATGGGTACTAAATGCTCCAACTCCGAGTCCCTTAGGAAGCAATTTGGTTTCAATTGGCTGTACAATACCTTCATTTTTGACTCCCAAACCTTTTCCCTCTTGGTAACCCATCTTCATCATCAACTTGGCCCCTATACCATATTTCTGTATGTTCGAGGATTGGGAAGGATTAAGCCAAGATGGTTGGCTCATTGACGTCCGTTGAGTCACCTCTTCCTCTGCGTTATCTTCTTCCTCATCAAGTTCATCTTCGTACTCATCATGGAATGCAGCCATTCTCATACTGCCACCATTCTTCACCGTGGATGGGGGACTCCCTGCAGAAGCGTCGTCCTTACTCGAACCAGCTCCCTTGGTGAACGCTAGACCGCCTCCATATGCCATCGTGAAGTGCTAGTTGATCAGCTACTCATCTACAAAAGGTATGGCTGATACAGCGCGACATTGATGTCGTGTTTGCGACATATCTTCGTTACAGGACCCATCTGGTTTGACTTCCTTTTCCAGATACCACTGGCAGCTATCGTGTCTTGACTCTTCCTAAGAGTGTCATTATGCATGTAATTGTTGGAATAGACTACTTAAAAGCTAATTTTTGCAGACGAGTTATCTTGCAGGTTCCGAAGCTTTCATTAGCTTCAAGAACTGAACCAACTCCTGCTCTGCAGAATCAGATTCCTTTTGAATGTCCTCAAGACCCTCAGTAATTATCTCAACTATGGTGGGCTGGTTTTGATCTCCAGGTAGACTTAATTCCTTTGGAATAAACTCGCCATACTTTACGAGCCAATTCTTTCGTCTCTGCTCTTCATCCAGCTGCATCTGGTGCAACGTTTCATTCAAGAAATCAGTCAATTTCCCCAAGAATTTTCGTGGGTATACATATCTCTCGTAATGCAACTCAGATAAATACTGGGTGCGGTACACCTTCAAAAACTGGTTGTAGTGGTAGCTCAATTGCGAAATTGTCTCCGTATGCTGAGGAAGACTGTCAATCAGTTTGCAAGCGTCGCATAAAAGCATAATCTTGGGGATCCTGGTACTTCTCAATGAGCGATACATCATTATCTGCCGATCAGACCCCTCGAGAATCAGGTTTAAAATGGGCAATTGACCATTGAGGAATTTACTAGCTCGAATCTCGTTATTATGAACAATCTCACAAACAGTATTCAATTCCCTCAAAACCTCAGGTAACTCCACTGAGTCGTTGCTCAAGACCTGGAGAAACTCACTCGATATCCCTGAATTAAAAGCCTGCATCCCTTGGGTACATTGATCGTAGTGGTTCGTGAGCATCTCCAATATCGATACGAGCTCGTTCTCCAAGGATGCATTTTCCTTCAAGATCGTGCTTATTAAATTATGACTCTCATAAGGTCCTGTCCCTCCAAGAGCTATCAAATCCAATTGTAGGGGAGTCATGTCATCGTATTGTTTAATGATCCTCGAGTAGTTTTTGGAGGCGATTTTGTAAGGTTCTTGGATGCCATGTACAAACTCTTCCAGGAGGAGTTTCGCTATCTTGTCGGTATTTCTCCCGTAAACGTCTATCTCAGTTCTCAAGCGATCGATTGAGTCGATTGATATGAAATCCTTAAGTGTCTTCGGTGAGTCTGTTGCCCCAGGGGACGCAATCAAGAACCTGGGCACTCCAGTTCTGGCCAATTGGCCCAAAACTTGGTCGAATTCTTTCATTACAGGCTCTATGGACGCCTTCTTTTGCTGTGATTCCTCAAGTATACTTGATACATTGTTTCTGATGCTCTCGATCACCTTGCCTACTCCCTCATGCTGTCGCTTGACACCCTCCACTGTCTGCGAGCATTTCGTGAATAGCTCCGGTAAATGCGATGTGAGCTGGTATGACATGGACTTTAGCAGCGTCTCTGCACCGGTACAGAGCGCCTGGGCCCGTTGAAGGGTCTCCTGGGCCTGTTGAGTCCATTCTTTTATGTTGGCCTCAGAAATTGCCATTGTAATTGGCGCAGAAAACTGTAGAATGTTTGGTTCCTGAGCCTCTATAACGTGGGAATGTTTGAGTCGTTGTGAGTATCCGTTTGTGGTCTATTTGTAGGACCAGCCTATCTATAATGACCCGTACTCCTGAGTCACCCTTCTGATAACCTCCCAGCTTATCCACTCGCTATCAACCTGCAGGATTTTGATATCCAAACAGTGATGAAAAAATGGACCACCTCCACCATTGCACAATTCCACAACACCAACCATGAGCGGAGCGGTTGCCATCAAAGCCCTACACAGCGCAACCACGGCCAGCGCCCCTATAAAGCTCTTGAAGGGCGAGGACGAAGAAACACAGTCCATCAAGGATGCTAGCCATGTCAAGTTCGGGGACTCATCCATATTTGAGCTTGACTCCATCACCAATTTCTACAATGAAGAGCAGCCCCAAAGCTTGAGAGCAGTGGTGTTTTGCTGGCTCCATGACAAGTCATCCATCGTGGACTACAAAAACGAATGTTTGGAAAACGGCATAGCTGACTTCAAATTCTTGGTAAAGACCGAGTTGAACACTTGGTTGAATGGAAATTCCGACTCCTGTACCTTCGTGAAGGACGAGGTGGAGCAGAACCCGGTGACAGCCGAAGAATCCCAACAGACGGAGGCCAGTGCTGGTAAAAAACATAAGCTCGAGGATCCAAAGATAGAGCGAATTTCCGGGTACGAAAGAGAATCCATAGACCACAACGCAGCCTTGAGAGGAAGTAAAAACATTGACTTCGGATACCTAGTCTCGGATGCCAAGCGCTTGATCAGCCAGCTCAAGCGTTCCAAGCCTAACACCCAATCCAAGGCCTCCTCCTCCACCGCCCAAAAGAAACAGCCAATCATTATTGTATCACCAGCAACGACCTCGTTGTTATCCTTGTCTAACATCAAAGAATTCTTTGAAGAAGGAAGATTCACCGAGCCCAACCCAACCAACAAGCCAAGTGGTGGTTTGGTTACCTTGACACACAAATCCGATAGACTCATCCCTTCTGCCCAACAAATCATGGTGGTGGATAATGTTGAGATGTTCACCAAGCCTGAGTACTGGGACAGAGTTATTGCCATCTTCACCACCGGTCAAGCCTGGCAATTTGCCAAGTATAAATACTCCAAGCCTGAGCTCTTGTTTCAAAAATATGCTGGTTTCTACGTCAGCTACCAGGGAGAACCTACTCCTTCTAAAATCAGGGAATGGAACATCTCGCAAATAAGTGTGGATAGAGGAGAGAAAAGATTCAGAGACAAGATGATAGTGAGAGACTTCTGGGCTGATATTGATAAAATCTTGATTGCCAAAGGTTATGGTAAGCAATGATGTAACATTAGAGACTCTGAGCTTTGTAGCTTACGAATTGTACAACAACGACTTATCCGACATGTGCCGGCAAAAGTGTAATTAAAACAAGAATACAGGAGCAAGAAACTTGGTCCTATAAAATCTACCGATCTCCAATACAGATTGGAACTACTGTCATACTAATAATCGGCACCGGCTTCGTTCCTACACAACAGACGCAATGTAACATTCTACAGATAGTAGTTTATTGATGCTTAAGAAGGAAATGGAAAATGGAATGAATAAGTTTGAGCATTGATATTCTATGTACAAGTACGCCCTAATTTATACAATTCCATTTTATCGACGATTGCAAATTGCCTTGATCTCTGTAGTCTATTTGTAATGCTTTTCCAAGTCAATAAACATCTTGTAAACTTCTTGACTTGTCAAGTTGCTGACCTTTCTATTGTCCCGACTTCTAATGGCAACTGTGCCCAGCTCGATGTCCTTGTCACCCAACATCAAGATATATGAATATCCCTTTTGAATAGCCTCCTTGATTCTGTTGCCTACTGTTTCGTTTCTTTTGTCGATGTCAACGTAAAAGTTGTACCCAGTCATGGGGGAAATAACTTCATCGTGATTGAGAATATCCCCACTCAACTCCTTTTGTAAAGCCTCTGCGTTTCCAACGTGCTTTTCATTCACAGGAATGATGATTGCTTGTCTAGGATTGAGCCAGAATGGCCACTTACCTTGGTAGTGGTCCAAGAGGATGGCAAAAAATCTCTCTAAAGATCCGAAAACTGCTCTGTGCACCAAAATTGGCTGATGATCACGGTTTCCTTCTTCACCAACATACTTCAAATTGAATCTGGTGGGGAGCTGGAAGTCCAACTGGATAGTTCCTACTTGGTGCTTTTTTTCAAAAGCATCTGTCAATAATACGTCGATTTTTGGACCGTAGAAGGCACCATCGCCCTCCCTGATTTTCCATGAGTTCTCTCCGGTTGTTTTGTTCAACACTTGAGTCAACTGCTCTTCGGCATTGTCCCAAGTTTTAGCATCCCCAATGTACTTTTCAGGTCTAGTGGACAAGTGAAATTCAATCTCTTTGGTTTCAATACCAAATACTCCATAAGTGTTTTTGATCAAGTTGATGGTGTTAGAGATTTCTTGCTCAATTTGCTCCAACTGGCAGAAGATGTGTCCGTCATCCTGGTGGAATCTTCTCACTCTAGTGAGCCCAGACAACGCACCGCTGGCTTCGTTTCTATGCAATGAGGAGAAGTCGGAGTAACGGATGGGTAACTCATTGTAGGAACGGTCGAATTTGGCATAGATCAAGCAGTGGCCTGGGCAGTTCATAGGCTTGAGGCCATACTCCTCGTCCTCCGCATTGTGCTCATGCTCGTGATGATGCTCGTGTGCCTCGTTGCTCACATCTTGCACTTCATGGTCTTCTTTCGAAACATTTCCCATCACCTTGAACATGTCCTCGCTGTAGTTCTCCCAGTGGCCTGATTGTTTCCACAACTTGTTCTTGTAGATCAACGGAGTGATCACTTCCTGGAACCCGTACTTGATCTGTTGGTTCTTCATAAATTGGACCAACTTGTTGAAGATTCTGGTGCCATGAGGCAAGAAGAAGATAGACCCCGGTGTGAGCGGGTCCGTGGTGTATAAAAGCTGTTTGTTGGAGATCACCTGGTTGGACTGGGTGGCCGACTCCTTGGTGATACTCCTTGTGGCGTGCCTAAGCACTAGCCTCGAGGGTGCTGTCGGTATTCCAACCTTGAAGAGCATATTGGTGGATATTTTGCAGATCGGATTCTACGACTATATGTAGTGCGACTCAGGAATATGAGTGAGGCTAACGGTAAAGAGCCAGAATAACAACGAGATAGAGGGTATGGCACTGTAAACGCGTGCAGAAAGTGATTGGCAGGTGGTTTAGTGAAAGTTAATATAGGATTAGTTAATTTATGTACGGGGTGAATTCACACTATTCTTGTCGTTATAGAAATTCTTAAAGTTGGCGAGAAATGTGCTTTCACCACCTACTAATGATGTCGGCATTATCTCAACTTCAGCAGCTGTATAGCTGAGAAGTAAATAATCAATGGATGTAAGCCAGAAACCTGGACTCATGCATTAAGTACTTACTTTTCAAAACTGAAACCCTGGCCCACTGAATACCACATGCAATGTTGTTGTATCTCATCACTACCAGCTCATATCGGCAGCGCAAGAGGCTGTTGATACAACATCAAACTTGGAGTTCTTGTGCATACCTCACAGTACACACTCATTATCATCTTTGGAGAACCACGTCTCCGAGGTCCATGCACCGTAGTCTAGAACACTACGCCTCAGAACGTATATCGGGAGTCAGCGACACCGATTTTGCCGGTTCCTCTTTGACCTTGTTGGCTTCCGGTTCTGGATGTCCCTCCTCGGCGTGGCCATAGCCAATGTATTTCACCTTGAATCCACTGAAGGTTTTGAACTGATGGGGTTTCTTTACCCATTTTTTGCAGGGAGCACCCGACTTGTCCAAGGTGTATGCACTTGTTATGCTGTTCATGGTCAAGCCTGATGTGGACGATTCTTTCAATCCCGAGTTGATTTTGAAGTTGCTAATGGCACCCTGGCCATTGGCGCCTTGGCCTCCCAAGTTGCTCTTGCCGTTCTTTCCCTTGAAGTTGGCTGCCTTGTTTCTCACCACGGTCTCTGGCGTTGGCGATGAGTCTGTCTTCGTCACCTTACCTTTAGCTTTTGACTTGGGTGTGGTGGACGTCGAAGAAGTAGCGGACGCATCACTGGGCTTTTTTGCCTTGCTTTTCGTCACTGGTGGCGCAAACTCGGGAAGAGTCTTCAAGAAGGCAGTAGGCACCTGCACGGTGGCCCAGTATCGTTTTGGAGTTCCCATCAGTGCTGGTGTCTGGCTGGCGGTAAATCGTAGTCGCGATATCGACTTTAGATGTATGTCACGTGACTGTGGGTGTAAGTAACTTCCCCCCCAATTCTTGAATCCACAGCTGCCACAACCCTTTCTTTCCACCATGACAGGACCCCCACCTAGACAGAGATTGCCGTCCAGACTCGACGTGTTCCACAAAGACCTTAAGCTCGACATCCGAGCCCACCAGCGCACGTATGAAGGAGCCTACACCAGAAGTGCTATAGGATGCTTATCGTTTTCTATCGTGATCATCAAATTGTTCTCCAAGGAATTTCTTCCAGTAGGAGCAGTATATACAGTATATGGATGCCTATTGTACTTCATTGGGTTCTTCAAAGCCGCCTCTGTGGATGTGTATTACAACCCGGATAATCACATGGAAGTCTACAACACTTCAGGAAATACGGTTGTGCTTTTGACTGTCATCAGCTTGGCGAGCTATGTGACGTTGCTCGTGTTGATCTTGCGAATGTGAGCCTTCCACCCACTAAGTCAAGATCCCCAACCCAATCACAAGAACCTGGAACAATAGTTGTACCGACCAGAATCCTATCTTCTTCACCCTGAACATCCGAGCCTCCTCGTCCGCAACATAGTTGACAAAGTTGTCGTACACCTCTTCGGAAATGTCGTCCATCAACAACGAGTCATAGACTGTCCAGGACCCACTGAAATCCTCAATATTCTTGACGATCCGGTTTTGGATCTCGATGAATGTATTTTTCGAGTTGATGTAAGCAACAATTGGTCGGATTAATGCATAGTTGATGTAACTCAATTCAGGGGCCTGGAACGGAACAGATGCACGAACATGATTGAGCCTGATGGTCAAGTCCAATACGAAATATTTCAGGATGTCCTTGTAATCGTTAGAAGTCAATCTCATGTGCTGATCGGGATTCTTAGCCTTGGTCACTTCTGGGTTTTTGTACCTGGTCGCTTCCTTCTTGATGGATGCGGCAATGATGTTCACCAATTCGGTTACATTCATTTCGTTATTTTCCTGTGGAACCATCACATCGCCGATCATATCTACCTTTCCTGACGTGATCCAACCAAAGGGTCCTTCCAATCCAGTATTTAGATGGTCAAGACTCAATGAATCAACTCTGAGTCTGGTGATTCTTTTCCATTCCTTGCCCTTGACTTGACTATTACCATAGTCATCTAACCTTTGCTTTTTGTGAATAGTGAATAATGAATTATCGTAAGATCCACTCATGATATTTGCATTGAGGAAGTCGTAAAACAACCAATGTTGCCGCAATTTCGAAAGCTCGCAATTGTATATGGCAACATCGAATGGTCTGAATCCATTGGGTTGTAAAAGTTTGAACAATACATCCTCCATCTTGAAATCTTCAAACTCGAAGTCTCCTGGTTTGTGGATGTTCTTATAATTTGTAGCGTTGTCATTTGGATCCCACTTAACATGGGTTCTGTCCACGACTCCTCTCATACCCTTAACCTCCATGGTATCGATCATACCTGTACCATTGACCCACTTGTTGAATGAAAGGGATATGTTCACTTCTTCTATGGTAAGATCGTACTGGGTGTAGTTACCGTCATCTTCGATAACGTCTTGGTCGCTACTCACCAAATTCTTGGGGCTCATTGCTTCTTCATAAGCTTCAGCTTGTGAACCTTTGGTGAACTTTTTCTTTGACCGTGGTCTTTTACTCACAAAACACTTTCTGAAACTGATCTTACCATCTGACCAACCTGGAACGATAGCATGTTCGAAGGTCACTTCAAGATTTGAATTTTTGGTGATGAACTCGCCTAGTTTTCGGGCCACGAACTCCTGGGCAAACACTGTGTTGGCGGTGAAAATAACCAATGAGAAAAACGTGGTGGTTCCTAGGAAGAACAAGAGGACGTTTCCCATAACCAACCACGAGAAAAATGCAGAGTAGTCATCGGTATTAAACGGCCGGTTGGATCTCTTCACTAGCCACTTGAACCGGATTTGTAGTCTCGAAAAGAAATTGTTTGCCTTCGATAAAAGTTGAGCTTTAGCCAATCTGTTCCGATGCAAGACATCGATGTGTCTGGGAGGTGAGTCTGACAACTTGGCTAACTCCTTGCTCTCTTTTTTAGGTGGAGTGTCCTCGGGCTTTGATGCTTGACTGTAGTGTCTGGTGAGGCGCGATGATGCTCCTATCGACATATGGAGGGCGGCTAGCTTGGATTGCACTGGCGGAAGCGGAGAGCACTTCGATGCTGGATGGATGTGATTGGTAAAAAAGGGTCTTATTGGCATTGTCAACCCCACGCCAGACCTCTGGATGCTCCACCTGGGACTATACCTCAAGCTAGCTACTCCATCTCCTTGAATCTGGGGTATTACCCTCCTCAATATTCTGGAAGATTTGGCTATGTTCATGACGTCATGTGTAGATGGTAAGTATGAGTCTATACGATTGGACGGTTAGTGTTCAACTTCGGGGGGAAGAAAGTTGGATAGTAAGGATGTTCGAAGACGTGGTTGCCACTAGTATAGTTGCTTAAAAAATTTGACCGCCAGATATTCCTGCATGTAGACTGTGGGGCAGGAGCCGTGGACTAGTGCCGCTAATTAATTCGGGCCCGGGATTGATACTCTTGGTGTGAGAAAGGCTGTCGGCACTGGTCTTGGGATTTACATCACCGGAGCAGCTTTTTCCCCAAGAAAAGAATGGGAATACATTCTTATGTTCTATCTGGTGTGTGCCAATGGGTGCAAAACGTGGCTCAAATGGGCAGGTGACCGCGAAAAATGTGGACTACAGAGCACTGACAGATAGATGCAATTTCTGGGGGGACCTATCGAAGCTGGACAGCTCGTCTGTTGACTAGCAGGGAAGGTTTACTGAGAAGGAAGTGGCTCAATATTTTTATTTGTTACATCGAATCTAATTTTAAATCAATTATACCATATTATCAACATTTCACCTAAATTTGGCCTGTGCAAACACCTAACTAATTCTTTTCAACGCAATTCAAGAAGCACCCACGGAGACAGAGATTTCTTTTGCAACTCTCCCGAGCTCAGTCTCCTTATCATACACAGTATCTTTACCAAAACTGTTGAAGGTGTTGTATCCCCAGTTGTTTTGTCCGTAAAAGGTCTCTCTGGAGTACGGTTCTAAGCTATGGCCGTGATACAACCGATCTACCAAGTCTGGGTTGGAGGTAAAGTATCTCGAGAAGCCCACCAAAGTACGCTTATCGGCCAAATCTGCCCTCAAGGTCTGAAAGTCTGGGGCATCGTAAGTGTAATTTCCACTCTTCAAAATCACACCCTTCCAAATTTGTCCTACAAAGTCATTGGTACCTACCTGTCCTTCCTCGGGTTCTTCACCTTCTTGGCCAAGTCTGAGTCTTGGCTCAACGATAGATATGTAGGCCAATTCCTTTCCTTCATTGGCTCTCTTTTGGAGTTCATGCAAGAGATATCCGAGGGTCACAATAGGGTGGACCTCTTCTTTCTCTGCCTTAATGCCATTGTAGTTGGCCCATGGAGATATCCGAATGGCGAGCTTGTCAGCACCAATGACCTCACTTAAATGGTCGATGAGCTCGAGCAAGAATCTGGCTCTATTTTCGATAGATCCACCGTACTTGTCGGTTCTCTTGTTGGAGGATGGGTGGAGGAAGGAGTCGAGAAGGAAGCCATGGGCCCCATGGAGCTCAAAGTAGTCGAAACCAGCTTCGATGGACTTCTTGGCAGCGTTGGTAAAGTCTTCGTAGATGTACCTGTGGATCTCTTCTTCCGTCAAAGATCTAAGACGCACACCCGCTTCCTCGGCATTCTTCTTGCTTTCTTCGCTTGGAAAAATGGCAGAGGGGGAAAGGATTTCTTGACCAGCAGCCTTGATAATGGCTGGCCGGGCTGCTCTGCCCACGAAAATGGCTTGCACCCCGATAAAAGACCCGTTCTGATGGACCTTGTCTGTGATGGCCTTCCAGGCCTTGACATGGCGATCTGTCCAGATCCCCGGAGCATTCGAGATACCTACTGCCTGAGGGCTCACAAATGTGGCTTCAGCTATGAGAAAAGACCCCTTGGTCTTTGACCTGTCGTCGTAATAATCGACAATCAAATCCGATGGGCTGTGATCGTCCAAGGCCCTGGTTCTAGTGGTTGGAGCATAGACGATCTTGTGTTGCAATTGGTTCTTTCCCACCTTGATTGGGTTGAACACCTCAGTGTCCTTTAATGGAGAGATCTTGACACTAGCCATATTAATAGTGAAGACGGAAGATGCTACGGCCCGTCTCGGGCACCTTTTATACCATGGTATTACTAATGTTGGACACCAACATGGCAATAGGGGGTAAGGTGTGGCATCAGTGAGATACTCATCACGAATGAGCCTCTAACTGGGGGTGGCTGCGAAACGGGTCGAGTCGAAATACGAGTTTGTCACTGGCATATGGCTCACGGTGCTCAGATGGTGGTAGTGGCTGGAGGGTCCTACAGTATGGAAGTTTATTGGGTTTATCTTGCTGGTGCAACTCAGTAGCTCAACACCGACCACTAATTAGAAAGACGAGATTTTAACTTCGTTCTTTGGGGCGGCTGAATTGCTCGTGTCGGAGTCCGAGAGTATGCTTACTCATACTTTGGTTATCACGGGATTATTGTCGGGAAAAAGCTCCGAGCACGGCAACCTTCCTTTCGTGATTATGATTACTAATGTGCCTATCCAATGTATGCTCGCTTCCACAATGGCACGAGTTGTCCTCATACGGCTTGTAGCTCGTCATCTTTCACTTGGATTATTACGCTGGTCGCAATATGCGGCTGGTGTGGTTATGCCTTTGAACCAGGATATTTTGAGAACATAACCTAAAGTTATCGAAACAAGTCCATCCTGGTACTCGTTTCTGCGATTTGCCCCAGAAGTTTCCATTTCTAGTAGTACGGGTTTCTGCCCGGTCGATTTCCTGATCCGGGCCACTGGCACCAAAGTATTCTAACATATCGACAAAATGATGGTACTAGCAGTATCGAGGCACGCATCCATACTGCAATACTCTTGGATATCATTGACTTCCATAGTAGTGCCCATACTCTACAAGGGCCTCTGGCATTAATCCCCACACTAAATGACTCAGGGTCTAGTCGCACTGGCAGGTTTAGCCCGCCGTTATCAGCAGTGATTGGTGCCGTATATTGGGACGAGAATATGCAGTACTCGTTATAACCAAAGGATCCTGACTCACAGATAGTCCTGACTCACTACTCGTTATAAAACACCGATGTTTCGTCTATTCTCCTCGTACCTCTACCCCCAAGCCAATTCCTCCACAATGCCAGTTGTGCCCTTCGGAAAACCCTTCCGCGAAAAGTACTTCACCAAGCTTGATCCCGATATCTACCCCGTAAATCACGGATCTTACGGGGTATCGCCGGACCCAGTCTCAGATGCATACATCGAGGCCATTAATTTTTCTGCCAGGTATCCCGATCGGTTCTATCTAACCGAGCACAAGAAGCAGTACTACGAGGCAGTAAGAGTGGTGTCGGAGTTCTTAAAGGCAGAGTATGGAAGCTTGACCATCGTGGACAATGCCACGGCTGCTGTGAACACCGTGTTGAGAAGCTACCCCTTTCAGAAGGGAGACAAGATCGCGTACTCCAGCACCACCTACGATAGCTGCAACTACACCCTCCAGTTTTTGAAGAACAGGGTGGGTGTGGAGTTGATCGAGGTCCCCACGCTCTACCCCAGCGATGATGACGAGATCGTCGCCAAGTGGACTAAGTTGTTCGAGTCGGAAGACCGTCCTAAGCTTGCGCTTTTCGATACCATCATTTCCCAGCCATGTGCCCGGGTTCCGTTCGAGAAATTGACGGCGTTGTGCAAGCAGTACGGGGTGTTGTCGTTGATCGACGGAGCCCATTCCGTAGGGCTAATCCCCATTGACTTGGAATCGCTCCAGCCCGATTTCTACTGCTCCAATCTCCACAAGTGGTTCTATCTTCCACCAGGTTGCTGTGTGCTTTATGCCGACAAAAAGCACCACCATGTGATCCACACCATGCCGATCTCCAACATGTATTTGGACGATAGCGTGGAGTTGTCGCCCCAATTAGAAGCCACCAGGTTCATCGACCGTTTCTCGTTCGCTGGAACAAAGTGCTACGCCCATTTGGCTGCGATCCCCAAGGCCATTCAGTTTAGAGAAGAAGTCTGTGGAGGCGAAGAGGAAATTTGGAATTACTGCCATGGATTGGCCCAAAAAGTCGCCGAATACGTTTCCTCCAAGTGGAACACTTCGTACTTGAAACACACGGTGACCACCATGGTCAACGTGGAGATCCCCTACCAGGAATTAGGACTTGATATCGATCTTCTTGCAAGAAACGTGGGCGCAGTCACCAAGTTCTACTTGACAAAGTCCCTCCACGAGTACAAGACCCATGCTCCGTGTATCGCACACAACGGCAAATTATACGTCCGGTTCTCGTGCCAGATCTACAACGAGTTCGAGGACTACGTGTATGCCAGCGACAAGGTGTACAAAATCTTCCAAGAATTGGTCAAAAGCGATTTGTACAAGTCCTTCAAGTAGAAATAATCCGTGAAATATGAACTTAAAAAATATATTCTTTATCAATCTAAAAAGTAATTAAATGTGTGTAGCGAATTAAAGTGACGTTTTGGGTTAGAAATAACGGTGTCGTGCGAAAAGGGATGGTGCGTTCTGACTAGCAGACCAAATGAATAGGTAAGCAGATCAGAAACCACACTGGTTAGGATACTGTCTCTTGTTTAATGGTTGAGGGAAGACTCCGGCTTCCGTCAATCTTTGGAAATCCCACTCAACCGCGTTTTCGGTCTTCCAGTTCCAGAACACCCAGCCTCCAGTTTGCTCGAAAGCATCCAACTGGGCCTCGATGTATTTTCTGACGTTTTGTCTATATTCGGAGGACCAGTTTTGTTCCTCGGTGTATGCATCACAGGAGTCAATGTATGGGGCGTTGTCGTAGTCACCGGACCAACGGGCACCACGGCCTACACCGTTCAACCAGAGAGCACAGTCGGTCAAGGCAGCGGACCATTCGCCCGCAACGTTCCAGTGGTCTTCCTTCAATGCGTCCTTACCCCAGCCGCAAGCAACCTGCACGTGTTGATCGATGTCCCACGAGAGCTGGTCGGCTGCAAACACCTGGTAGTGGTGGTGGTCGATGACCACGTTCCAGTAGTCGCCGTTTTCAACGGTAGCAAAACCGTTCCAGTATTGCTGCTGTTGGAAGGCGTCGTGGAGAATGACGGGGGTCACGGAGCCGGTGGCTCTCAAGTTCTTGTAGCCTTGGAGGTAGAAGTCCTTGATCTCGTCCATGTTCAACGAAGGGCCCAAGGGCTCGTTGACCAACTCAATGCCAATGACAATGTCCGAGTAGTTACCGTTACCGTACTTCTCGAAGATAGTGTCCAACACGCTCAAGGTGACCTGGACGTTGTTGCCGTTTTGCCAGTCGATGGTGGTGCGCAATCCGGAGTTATCAAACCCATTCTGCGACCCTGGCGCGCCGTGCAAGTCGACCCACGCCTTCAAGTTGTACTGGCGACACCACGCCAATGCCTGGTCCAAGTACTGCACCTGGCCCTGGACGTAGGGGTCGTTGGGCAAGAGCTCAAACGCCCAGTACCCGATGGGGATTCTCACGAAATTGAGTCCCAAAGATTGGATTTGTTCGAAGTCTTTTTCGGTGTACCACGAGCTCCAGTGCGCCTGCAATCTGGACTCGGCCAACTGCTTGCCCAACTGCTTGGTGAAGTGGTACTCGTCCACAGGCACCTGCGATTGGTCGGCGCCTTTTTCGAACGAGGTGAACAAGGAGGGGGTGATGTAGGGTTCCAACACGAACCAGCCACCGAGGTTGACGCCTCGGATTTTGTCGTTCTGGTAGTCCCAAGACTGGCCTCTTTCAGTCAAGACCTTGAGGTTGCCGTTGGGAGCCAACGGGTGTGAGGCAGGCATGGCGGCAGGGGCGGCTGCCACCATGGAGGCGAACATCACCAAGGATGTTACGAAGGAGGAGAGCATAGCGATGGCTGCTTGGTGGAGGATGTGGGTGTGTTTAAGTAGTGGTAGGAGGAGGTCAGTGATTCAAACCTGGCAGTAAAACGGGGGTGAAACGGATGAATGCGTGTGGCTGCAATTGCAAGCAGAAGGTACCGTCGAACAGTCAAACGGCAAAGATGTCAATACTTATACAGCGAAGGAAGTATGAGATGCGGAACTACACGTCTGCAAGCGATGCTTATATACAAATATGCAAGGAGTCACAGGGATGAAATTGTGACAGTTAAGCCGCTCCCGTGGTGCTGGCCACCTTGGTGCAGGTGGTGCGGTAATAACAGTAAGCCTCTGTTATTGTTGGTGGTTCTATTATTGGGGCAGCTGCGGGTGTGGAGTTTCCCGCTGGCTTGCTGGCCAATAGCAGTGGCGGTGGCGGTCGCAGCGGACCACCGCCACCCACAGTCGTCTGGGCACACGTAAATAGTGGTGGTTGTGGGCCAGAACACATCCAGTGGCTGCCGTTAGCCGGTGGCATTCTGGAGGGTGGTGTCGCGGCCGCAGCCCCTGTCAGCCCAGTGCCTCAACGCGTGCAACTGGTGGAAAAACAGACAGGGCTCCAATTAGTGCCTAATTTGGCAGCAGGCTACAGACGCAGCAACCAGGCGCGCCCGTGCCTAGAGACCGCGCAAGCCCACACCGATCGGGAGGGTGAGTTCCCACACTCGGGAGCCGGCTACGGAGGGGGGGGTGAAAGCCCCCCCAACGCTGATGTTTCAAAACTCAAACGGGGCTGGTGATGGCTGGCTGAGGCGAAAATAGACAGCATTCTGACACAAGTGGGATCACGAGGGGTCGCGGACCGGACGCACAATAAGGGCAGTCACGTCTCCGTTACAATGCACAGAAAGAGGGGGTGCTTGGCAGAAGGGTGGTTATTTGTATGCAAGGAGTATGTCGCGGCGTGGATAAGATGTTGATGTCGCGTGGAAAATATCCGCGAAATGTCGCGCGGTGCCCCCACGACAGATGTCGCTCGGTGGGGGGACACCCGCGACATGAACGACATGAAGACCTTTGCGACATGCGCGACATGCAACGACATGCAACGCCCCCTTACCGCCGCATGACAACCGCTGTCACGTGCGCATGCGCATGCGCCTATACACTTGCGCCCTTCCTGCCGCAAGCGGCAACTGCAATTCGCCCAAATCACCGCCGGGGTGCCAATCATTACCTGATAGCAGTCTGAGCCTCGATAACCCTCTAGATGAACAAAAGATATGGGCTCGGTCGGTCCCCCGATCTACGCCTACTCGCACAATCGCCTATCAACAAATCCGCACTCTCCGCCCTGCCCCAGCCTGGATTCGCTCTTTTGCTGTCAAGTTTATAGTCCCGCCGGTCTCTCCACCACCCCTCTTTCGCTACCCCAACCTCCTCACCATCCCCACCTTTACTGTGCCTGAGAAGCGCATTCGGGGACCGACCTCCTCCAGTCAGTGCGGCTTTGACGTCTACCCGACCAGTTTTTGCCTATTTTGCCAGAATTCACCTGCGGCAGTCATGCACTACTCGGTATCTTATCTCAATTACGTCGTGGCTGCATTATCAAAGCGGAAGTTCTCCACTTGCGTACGATTCAGGTTCGGCACCAACTGTAATTTGGCTGGTTATATATAACATGGATCACCATCTGATTAGCCCAACGATAGCCTCCCAGCATCTCGGGACTAATAATCAAACCTGCCAGTGCTAATCACCATGGACGATCTATCAGTAGAAGCCATTCACACCAACGTCGAGCTCAACGACAGGAAAAACGAAGAGTTCATTCCCGGAACATGTAATATCTACTCCAACACATTTGACGGAAATGAGACCGACCCCACGTCAGGCCAGCCTCTCAAAAGGAAGGGCAATCTTATCTTGATTCCGCAACCCAGCGACTCGTGCAACGACCCTTTGAATTGGTCGTTGGCCCGTAAGGCGTTGAACATCTTTATTCTCACCTTCATCACCGGATTCACTGCTGCCACCTCCAACGATGCAGGGGCCACTCAGGATTCGCTCAACGAGATCTACGGGATCGAGTACTCGTCCATGAACACTGGTGCAGGTGTGCTTTTTGCCAGCATCGCCATCTCCACCTTTATCCTCACTCCGCTGGCCTCTATTTACGGCAGAAAACTCTCCTACTTTATCTGTATCACCATGGGCATGATCGGTGCCATCTGGTTTTCCAGAGCCAAAACCACCACCGACACCATCTGGTCGCAACTATTTGTGGGGGTATCGGAAAGTTGTGCTGAGGCCCATGTCCAGCTCAGTTTGACCGACTTGAGTTTTTTCCACTCTTTGGGTTCGGTTTTGACCCTCTATATCTTAGCCACCTCCATCGGGACGTTTTTGGGTCCCCTCATCGCTGGGTTCATCGTCCAGTACACCAACTTCAGATGGGTGGGCTACGTGGCTGCCATCATTTCGTTCGTGTTGCTTTTGGTGATCGTTTTCGTCATGGACGAAACCTATTTCGATAGGAGCAAGTTCAAGAACAGCGTGATCCAGTCGTATTCCAGTGCTGAATCGGTGACCCACAATGACGAGAAGCCTAAGAACGGCCAGAAAATACAATCTGTCGACTTCGACGACTCGGCTGACTTGCAGAGCCGGACTCAAGACTTGTCTGCTTATGTTACCGAAGGAGCTCACGAGCCACGCAAACCATACTGGCAAAGAAAACAGCTCATCACCTTGGCTTCCAACGTGAAAGGGACTGGTTTCAAGCAATATTGCACCCAGCTTCGTATGTTATTCAAGGTATTCATGTATCCTCCAGTAATTTTCGGAGGGTTGGTGTGGGGGATCCAAGATGCCTTATTGACGTTTTATCTCACGGTTGAAGATGATAACTACTACGACGCCCCTTACAACTATAGCAACACTGGTGTTGCGCTCATGAATGTGCCCACGTTAATCGGAGCAGTCATCGGTTGTTTCTACGCAGGTACTTTGAGTGATTACTTTACCATCTGGATGGCAAAGCGTAACAAAGGTATCCAAGAAGCCGAATCCAGATTGTGGTTTCTTATTCTTCCTGGTGTTTTTGCACCAATTGGTTTGGTGTGCTTTGGATTGGGTACTGACCGTGACTGGCATTGGGGAGCAACCTACTTTGCTCTTGGCTTAGTGGGTTTTGGCTTTGGTTGTTCCGGTGATGTCAGTATGTCGTACTTGATGGATGCATACCCAGATATGGTTATCGAAATGATGTGTGGAGTTGCTGTGATAAATAACACGATTGGATGCATCTTCACCTTTGCGTGCTCACCATGGCTTGATGCCATGGGGATCACCAACTCCTTAATCATCCTTGCCGTCATCGAAGCCATCATCATGTTGTCGTGTATTGTGTTTATCTACTACGGTAAGAGAATCAGAATATGGACTAAGCCATGGTACTTGGAATTTTGCGAGTCTCGTGACAAGATTTAGTGAACTAAAATAAATTAATACGGGTAATACCTCCAGTAGTATGTTATACCAGATGGATAGCTTCCACCGATTGCTAACCTGATCCCATACATTTGGGTGCAAAAAGCGGTCGGTCGTGTTTGAACCATCAGCCTCATGTACACGTGATTTCCCGGGCTGCAGCCCTAATCCCTTGCTCGCACCTGCATAGGGCGCACCATCCTCCTCCACCACCAAAATGAAGAACTTTTCAATCCCGCTCATACTCTTTTCAACCAAACTAAGAATAGTCTGCCTTTTGGAAAGCTTAAACTGATTATATCTAGTTAAATTCATAATGTCTGTTGAAACCGCTTTATCCTACGCTGCCTTGATCTTGACTGACGCTGAAGTCGAAGTCTCCGCTGAAAAGTTGTTGACCTTGGTCAACAAGGCTAACGTCGAAGTCGAAGGTATCTGGGCTGACATCTACGCCAAGGCCTTGGAAGGTAAGGACTTGAAGGAATTGTTCTTCAACTTCTCTGCTGCTCCAGCTGCCTCTGCTGCTCCATCTGCCGCTGCTGGTGGTGCCGCTGAAGAAGCTGCCGAAGAAAAGGCCGAAGAAGCCAAGGAAGAATCCGACGATGACATGGGTTTCGGTTTATTCGATTAAACGATGTAATCTTCAAGTACCTTTGCAGTTCATCACCAAGGGTAATGGGTGGTTTAGGTTTCTATAGATTGTATTAAATATATTGAATAATGTCATAATATTGTGTAGACTCACAGACGAGCAAATGCCTAGGAAGGGACAACAGCGATGAGGGATCAGGTAACGAGCAGAGGCGAAGAGCCACATGCCATGCCAGCATCGGTGGGACAGTAGCCAGTCTTGTGGCCCACACAACGGTATAGACTTACATGGTTTACTAATACATGATTATATTATTCACATACATACTAGATAAATGTACATTTAGTTGGAGGACAGAATTTACTTCTTCTTCTTGTCAGCTTCAGCTTCAGCAGCTTCTCTAGCACGCTTTTCTCTGATACCCTTGTATTTCTTGTCAGATTGAGCCAATCTCAAGGTGGTGAAAGCAGAAACGGATTGTTCTGGGACAGCTCTTGGGGCAGATTCGATTTCTGGTTGGACAACTGGGAAAGTAGCACCAGTAGAAATTTGCTTGTAAGCAGCAGCTTCGGAAGCCTTAGTCTTCTTGTCGAAGATAACCAACTTGGACTTGTATTCTTGTAATCTGGCAACGTTGGCGTCGAAGGTTTCTTGGGACTTGTTTTGTCTTCTGTGGTCAGCGGCAATACCGATGGTTCTAGCGTACTTAGCGGTCAAGCCAGCAGCCTTCAATTCGGCCAAGGTGAAACCTCTACCGGCTCTAACCTTTCTGTTGTATTTGACGGTTGGGGCTCTGACAACTGGTCTCAAAGCATCAAGAGGTCTTGGGGCAATCTTGGCAGCCTTGGACAATCTAGCTTGTCTTCTGGAAGCCTTCTTACCGGCTTGGTCAAAGTGAACTTTGACACGTTCTTGCCAGTGCTTTCTGAAGTGATTCTTCAATAATGGTAAGTTCTTGGAGATAGCCATCTTGGTTGTAGTAGAAAAGAAGACGAACCAGTACTTGGATTTAAAAATTTTCCATATAGGTGATACTGCGCGATAGTACTGTGCGAGGGCCTCGGGTGGAACCTGCAAAAAATTTGCCAAAGTGCATGTTCACCGCAATTTCTGGGCCAATTCCTGTATGAAAACGCAGTCACTCTTCGCTCCCGCACATCTGGGCCCGTAAGTAAACTGGGGTCTGCCGCACGGGCCCCGGCCCATATGCACTCCCCGCGCCCTGCCCCCGGCACCTGGAAACCACTGTGTCACGTGACACACATTTCCCCTACCCCCTACTGCGGCACGGGTGTCGAGTCGCACAAACCTTTACCGCAGCCTTAGAATTTTTCACCTAGTGTTCGAAAAAACAGGATAGAAAAATTTTAACTTATACTTCTTTCAATACTATCGAAGCAAGATGTCCACTCAATCTGTCCAAGTATGTAAAGACCCATTACAGAACACCACGAACCAAGATAAAATATAACGCCAGGGCCTATCAATACTCCATCCTCCGTGTGATTCACGAAGCACACCCATCCACATTCCTCATGGCACCGATCGCCAGGAGATCATCAGCCAAAAGCCCTCCAGGCCACAGGCACAGGCGCGTTGTCAGGCCCTGGCATTATAGCGTGAACAGCAGAACCAGTACTAACATCTAGACTTTTGGTAAAAAGAAGACCGCTACTGCCGTTGCCCACGTCAAGGCCGGTAAGGGTTTGATCAAGGTCAACGGTGCCCCAATCACCTTAGTTCAACCAGAAATCTTGAGATTCAAGGTTTACGAACCATTAACCCTCGTTGGTTTAGACAAATTCCAAAACATTGATATCAGAGTCAAGGTCACCGGTGGTGGTCACGTCTCTCAAGTTTACGCTATCAGACAAGCTATTGCCAAGGGATTGGTTGCTTACCACCAAAAGTTCGTTGACGAAGCTTCTAAGAACGAATTGAAGAAGATCTTCGCCGCTTACGACAAGACCTTGTTGGTTGCTGACTCCAGAAGAATGGAACCAAAGAAGTTCGGTGGTCGTGGTGCCAGAGCCAGATTCCAAAAGTCTTACCGTTAAAACTCCTCCAAAATCAAGAAAGTCTTATCATATATATTTTCACTTGGCGTTCTTCATGTACTCGTATATAAGGAACCTTGTTTATTAGTCTAATCTTGGGTTTAATATACACCACAAATATCAGAACTATCGTAGAGAAGTGTAGCTGTAATCTGAACCTTGCACCAGATACCCCATTGCGTTTGTACATAACGAGATGAGCTATAACTAAACTGAGAATCCATATTGTAAGGATGAATATTGGAATAAAAAATTACCAAAAAGAAGGGGCGAGCTGGGAATTGAACCCAGGGCCTCTCGCATGCTTGTGAAATTAGCTCAGTAAACTGAACAGTCACCCAAAGCGAGAATCATACCACTAGACCACACGCCCATATTTTGTGATCGGAGTATAAGCTAAATTTTGATCTCAACGCCATTTTTGCAGGAAAAAATGCCCCAAACGCCCCCATATTACTACCAAGTCCACCTTCTATGTAATATTGACAATTTCCTAATACACCTGTGCCCTCTTAGGATCTAAACTATCTATTTATCGCTGCCCAGGAGCTCATGCCATTATTTGCTGACTAACTGATTACGTAAGACGAGTCCTAAATCATAGCCAGTTCTTGGGGACACATAAACTAACTTCCATCACCATCTTTCCTAGCAAAATGGTATGGGTCGAATCATGTCCCGAGAATCTGATAGCCCTCCCATTTAAGGAGCCAATTGTCAAGCTCATTCACATAGCCCATACCTCATTACTAGTCGTTTTGACAACTAGTTCTGTTTATCTCATAAATCAGCATACCTTGTTACCCATAGCATCACATTCCAGATCCGCCGAATCCATTCAGCTGCATGGAAAGAACATCAATGTGAAGACTAAGCATGTTTCAGTGAACACTGCCCAATTACAAAAGATTTCAACCGTCAATTTGTTTGTACAATCTGATAAGGACTATCTTGTGATATACCAAATACTCATCAATTACTCAACATCCTTATACGAAATTAATAGTATTAAGAGTGATCTGACTTTACAAAGTGGATTGCCGTTGAGTTATACCTCCAAAAAGTTCAGTTTGGCGAGCTTCATCAAATCGGCTACGAAAACAATCATTCATGGAGGAGACAAGGCATCAATAAATTTAGAGAACATTGAGCATTTGAATAACAGTGGGCTTGAGGATGAATTAGGTGGCTATATAGTGGAATCTGCTAAGATCTCTGTTTTCAAAATGTTGAAGATCAAGATCGGTCTCGACAGATACTGGTTGAAACAGAATAGCCACAACTTGATTATATACAATGGACACGACCGCAAGCCAGAATCAGAAGAGGAGGAAGAGTTTGAGAATAGCCATTTCCAAATTATCAATATTCAAACCTTCAAAAATTCGGTTCTCTCATTAGACGAGACCGAGTGGTATCATAATAAATCCAAATTGGTCTACATTAACTACAATCTTTTTAAGAACTATTTTATTTTCGTTAATGAAGATAAGGAGCTTTGGTTATTACATTTTGAAGTATCTGAAGACTCAGAAATTATCCCACTAGGCACGAAGTTGCAATCTGATATTCTAACAACCAAGGTTAAATTTTACTTCAATCCCCAATCTGATCTTATTTTAATTTCTGCAAATGATGAGCTATCTATCTATAAGATAGACACAACTAAGTCGTTGTTGGATAATTATGGTAAGATTAAAGATGTGAATGTCGACTCGACGGTAGTAACATGGTCTTCGTGTGGTGAATTCTTCACAGTTCTCGATAAGAAGACAGGTTATTGGTCTTTGCATTCGAAGTTTGGGAACTCTTCATTTGACTCGTATGAATTATTGAATGAGCTTGAGGAAAGAAATGACGAAAATCGTCAATTTTTAAGGAGTTCGAACATAATCATCAGTCCTAATTCTTCCTCTTTATATCTCATCAACCACAACAACAGCAAGTTGTATAGAGTCAATCTTTTGACGAGATCATATGATTCGAAAATCTTGTTCCGTGACTCTAACTATATTAGTGTTATTTACAAAAACAAGTCGTTTGTGAGATTCCCAATATTGCACAAGTTCAAAAATATAAATAATAGGATAGAAGGGTTTAATGGATCAAGTACCAAGTCTGCCAAGAGTATCAGTGGAAAATTAACCATTTCAAGAAATAAGTTTAATCAATTTTCCATCACCTATGGAAATGAGATTGCAATTTCAACCCCTCTCAACTCAGTAAAAGCAGTTCTAAATGGATCGAAGGAAAAGCTTAGTGGAGAGGAGTTTTCAAACTCTATCACAGGCGAAGTCAATCATCTCTTATGGTTTAATTTCAAAAATTATTACAGTGATTCCTTAAATATTGTGAACCACTTCTGGTTTAATGATTACTTAATATTGATAAATCGGAAGTTTGATGATGAGTACATAGCCAAAGAAGGGGATGAAATGAATGATAATGAAATGGGACATTTGGTTGATGAGATTATAGTCTTGAATACTCCCATGTCAAAGTACGGTAACGGAGGTGAGAATTTCGTCTTTGATAGTGACTTAATTCTCTGGAAGTATGATTTCAAAACTCCGTTCATTAGTGTTGACCCCACAGAAATTTCCCACAACCTAACGAACTTGCTTATTTTGACCAAGGATCTCAGATTGGTAATCATAGAGTTGAACGACCAAAAATTGATTCTTGATGAATCCGGCGATGCATCTGATCAGAAAAACTATAACATATTTATTGGTGTCAACAAAACTATTCACTTGTCGACCATCAGTTCCAAGCTCAATCTCAGGAATATCACCAAGTCCACGATAATTGAAAGAAAGCACTTCTTATTTTTGCTCAACACTGGTGAATTATATCTCTTGAAAAATCAATCTGCCAGAGATTCGTTTGCCAATCCGGTGAATGCAATCAAGCCTAGTAATATGTACGATTTGATTTTGATCAACCAGTCAGTGGAGTCTTTCAAAACGCAATCAATTACTTTCAATGACCAGGAAATTGAATACTTGCATGTTGTTAACGCACATAACCTTTTGATTTATGAGTTGAGAGATCTCGTGCTCAATGCTTTTGATAAGTCTGCAACAGTTTACGATGGTATCGAATCTCCCGGTGGACTTTCAGGAGAGCTTCACCCGGTTTCTGTTGATATAGACAATTATCAACCAGTTGAACTAAACACAAGTGATGGGCTGGAATCTTCACTCCAATTAGTGGTTGTTGAAAACCAAGTTCTTGACAAAAGTACCACTGGAGGGTTAATAATAAAGCCTAAATTGTCGCATAAACTCGTGCTCAACAACTTCATTGAGAATGAACTTATTCATAGACCTTTGAATTCAAAAGAGATATCTTCCAAGTATTCGAAATACAATGGCTACAACTATTGCCTTGAATTGTTATTGTTCAAGTACCTCACCGAAACCTTTGATTCGGATACTGTTTTGAAATCTTTGATAAGTTTAATTGAATTGAACGAAGATGCTGAACGTATCTTCATTAATTGTCTAAGAAAGATTGAAGTTGGATTCTGGGAACCATTTTTTGATGTGTTGAATACTTCCCCGGTTGATTTCATGAATCGGTTGATAGAAAAAGGAAATGTGGAGTTGTGTTATAATTTCTTGATTGTTTACTTGAATGTCAAGAAGGAAGAAACTCCAGTAATATCTAATAATTCCAAGAAAAAGAAGAACAAGAGTAAAAAGAAGGATCCTGGATACCTTTTGGACTCCAAGGACAAACAGATTATTCTCAAGATTGTGGTTATGCTCGATAAGGCCAAGAAATGGGACTGGTGCTTCGAATTATGTCGTTTTATCAAGCTTCTCGAGCCCTCGGGCGTGTTATTGAAGGAAATAAGATCTTCACTTTCTGGCTGAGGCCAAGAACTTTTGAAGGTTGATAAATAGAGACTACCTCAAGCTGTTTTGCTCATTAGTACCGATCCTTACTCAGGCCATGCACTAATAAGCTTACCTCGCATGATCCACAAGAAGTGGACAATTCATTGTATCATTAAATGATAGAAATAACATCCACTTTTGTTGGAATTCTGAAGGTCTGAAAAGCTTTCATGACTTAGGTCTCTGTATTGTACAGTCCAAGTATAGTTGAAGGAGACCAATCAGGCGTAAGGCTGTTCCTTTGGCGCCCGAGGTTCTTCGTCTGATGTTGTATGTACGCATACGTTGGTCACTTGCGCTCATTGTATTATCTGGGGAGCTAGCTATAAGAAATTTTATACTCGCTCAGGGCCTATGCAAAAGCCTATTAAAGACCTACCCAGTCTCGTCTAGCTGATATCATTACGGAGGTAGTATGGAAGTAAGTGTCCTAGGTCTTTGACACATTTCTTTTGCATATTCTAATGCGAAAGTGTTTTCTAGTTGACACATTAAATGCATAAACCATTGCTCTTCTATTGGCTATGGCTCCTTGTAGGACCCGTTAACGCCGCCTTTACCTTGGACCACTCTGCAGGTATTATGTGTGCCTTCGTCAGCGCTGACGGTAGGCGGTCTTCCTCGATTTCCGGAAAAGATGAGAAGACCCTGCCTGTGCCTGTGCCTGTGCCTGGCATTATCTAACAATTCTCCGATTTCTCTAAAATCCTCAGTAACGTCGGAAACCCTTCCATTTTCCTGTGGGTCAATGGCTACAACGGTAAGTAATCATTACTCGGAGGTGATTGACTTTGACGAACAGCGTTTTCAGCGTTTTCTAGTCTCGGAAGACAAATGGCCTGTGGTGTTCAAAGGGCCTGTTGGGCCTGACTATGACCTGGATTGCCTTGTGAACGCTACTGACTACTACTGTGTGTATGTAGCCATTTCATTTTGGGTCCAGGCACGGGCTTATCCTTTTCGTGATGGTCTCGCTGGCCGCTTTTTTCCAATACAATAGCAGACTTTTCGTCGATATTGGTTCAATTCAAGACGACAAGAGATTTTACCACGAAAATAAGGATTAAGAACCAGAAAAACCTACAGCTTCAGCAGTAATTCACAATACAGGATGATGGTTGATGATAAAAAGCGACTAGCATAGTATACCAAAAAGATTTATTTTGTATTGCAGCATGCATTATTGCACCAGTATAGTTTTTCAGCTTGAACCTCTGACTTTCAATAACAATGATCCTGATGATTCGTAGTTCATCTGATGGCTTGGTTCACTGGTGGTGCAAGTTTCGCAGCCAGGTGATAACCAGGTCGTATCACGTGTGCTTGAAATCACGTGTTGTCTCAGCCAACCAAACGTCGTCTTTTAAAAAAAACCAGTAATCACACCAACATCATGACTTTAGCTACCGAGTTTGCAGAGACCACCCGTAGGTCGGTCAACAATGCCGACATGAGAAAGAGGGTGTTGCACTTATACCGCAAGTACATCCGTAATGCCAGAGAATTTTGTGACTTATACGAGTTAGACATGCCAGTATCCAACGTCAAGACAAAGATCCGTCAAGAATTCGAAAGACAAAGATTCGTCACCGATTTAGGTGTCAACAACCACTTAGTCATGAAGGGCCAAATGGAATTCCAAGAGTTGATCAATTTCTGGAAGCAACAGTGTCACGTCATGAGATACTTTGACAACCAGAACAGTTATAATGTTGTGGATAAGAACGATTTTGTTAAGAACTTCCTTAGATCTAACTAGGTTAGATCACTGCATCAGCGAAAGCTACAGGTTGTATCTATGATACGGCTTTATAAAGTAATATATTATTGAATGAGAAAACTGTAGCATCTAAACATAAAGAAAGGCACGAGTCAACGAACACCAATAATCAGTTAACCTTGGTTACTCCACTGCTGAATAGTAGACTATTTGGGCTCAGGTTGCAATTTGGATCCGTCAACATTGCGAATATGATTTGATGCATTGAATTTAATGTACTGTCAGGTGTAGGGCAAATAGAGAAGGACCAAATCAAAAGGTTTGTGGGCCAGCAATAACCGTGAGTAACTTTTACTTGCAAACAGTAGGGTATAAATTAACTATTATATATAAGAAGCAAAGAGAAATAAACATAAAGAACACCTAACCAGGCATTTACTCTAATTGGTCATCTAATGGAGCTTCATCAGCGTATTCCAATTCCTCTTCTTCATCAACACTGGCTTCTTGGTATTGTTGGTATTCACTAACCAAGTCATTCATGTTGGATTCAGCTTCAGTGAATTCCATTTCATCCATACCTTCGGAAGTGTACCAATGCAAGAAAGCCTTTCTTCTGAACATAGCACTGAATTGGTCTCCAACTCTCTTGAACAATTCTTGAATAGAGGTGGAGTTACCAATGAAAGTAGCAGACATGTCCAAATCCTTTGGAGCGACAGAACAAACAGCAGTTTGCACGTTGTTTGGAATCCACTCAACGAAGTAAGAGGAGTTCTTGGTTTGGACCTTGTGCATTTCATCCTCAACTTCCTTGACGGAAACCTTACCTCTGAAGAAGGCAGCGACAGTCAAGTATCTACCATTCTTTGGGTCAGAAGCAGCCATCATATTCTTGGAGTCAAACATTTGTTGGGTTAACTCTGGGACAGTCAATGATCTGAAAGATTGAGAACCTAAAGAAGTTAATGGAGCGTAACCGACCATGAAGAAATGTAATCTTGGGAATGGGACCAAGTTAACAGCCAACTTTCTCAAATCAGAGTTCAATTGACCTGGGTAACGTAAAGAGGTAGTAACACCCGACATGACAGAAGAAACCAAGTTGTTCAACTCCACGTAGGATGGAGTTGGCAACTTCAAGGTCTTTTGACAAATGTTGTACAAAGCCTCGTTATCAATACAGAAGGTCTCATCGGAGTTTTCAACCAATTGATGGATAGACAAAGTGGCGTTATATGGTTCAATGACAGTATCGGAAAGCTTTGGGGATGGAACAACGGAGAAAGTAGCCATCATTCTGTCTGGAAATTCTTCTCTAATCTTGGAAATTAATAAAGTACCCATACCAGAACCGGTACCACCACCTAAGGAGTGTGTTATTTGGAAACCTTGCAAGGAGTCACATCCTTCGGCTTCTCTTCTGATGACATCCATGACGGAGTCAACCAATTCGGCACCTTCAGTGTAGTGACCCTTGGCCCAGACATTACCAGCGGAGCTTTGGCCAAAAATGAAGTTATCAGGACGGAACAAGTTACCGATCTTGGAGGTCTTGACGCCATCAATGGTACCTGGCTCCAAATCGACCATAACTGCACGTGGAACATACTTTCCGGAGGAGGCTTCGTTGAAATAAACGTTCAACTTGGATCTTTGGATTTCTTCAGTGCCGTGGTAGTTACCGTTGCTGTCCAAACCATGTTCGCCACAGATGGTTTCCCAGAATGCAGCACCCTGTATTGTTAGTATGGATCACCGTTTTAGGGCGTTGATCTCTGTCATCATACACCGATTGGAAGCCGCCATCATGGGGCGTCCCATTCAGCGGCGTGATCTATTCTCGTGCACGCGTCTTCTGATCAATCGTTGATTCCCCTTCTGCTGAGCTGGTCGCTACGTACAATTTGGTTACCACATTGACCGGTGGATAAATGAATCTAGATGTGTTAGTACCGCGTTTCAAGCGCCAAAATTGCCCATCTCCAAAATCCCTGCAAACATCATGGGAGGATTGGGCGGAGTCTGGCTTGGCCGATCGGGGCTGTAGTACTTACAATTTCCCTCATTGCTGCCTTTTCGAAATGTCTAAAAGAACTGCTTTCGTTATATATTGACAAGGTTGTTTTGATTTGAGTATTGGCGATTCGTCTAGAATCGGTGCGCGCACGCCCGATGTGTGTTTGAATTACCGCATTGGGGTGCAAGCGACCGGGTCAGAATTGATGGGTCTAGTTGTACGACGGGGTTTAGCCTGCCAGCCGTGGAACTGCCCCGTAGTTCTTGCGCGGTGTCGCAGAAGTAGCGCTACGCGTCTTTCTTGCTGAATTGACCGTGTTGGCTGCTGAGCTGCTTTACGGTTCTTCCCCTATATTGAGGCCGCCTTTCGCACCCACCAAAATGATACTGTTGACTGATGTAGTGTCAGCAGTCGAGTTGTGTACTATAAGTGTGGATTAGGTGTTCTACTCACATAAATTACACAGATTAGATTTCAAGGATTGACCAACGGGTTTTCCCGTCTTTGGTTGTTGAGCATTCTGGCTCGATATTCCGAATTATTCTGTAATTATTGACAAAAGTTACCAAAATTTATTTCTTATAAGACCAGACAATCAGCCCCTCAACCGCAAATGGATATACCGCAGTACCTCAGTAGGAGCCTGCTCCCCCTATGCTGATTTCTGCGTTGGAAAAGTCTGGTTCACTGTGGAGAAATCAAGCACGTGACACATCACTGGCATCGCTCACAACCTCCAATTATCTCCCTCTATCTACATATCTATGCCCTAGCCAGTTATTTAGGCACATGCTTTGCTTCCAGAGTTGATCTGACTTGAAATTCACCCACTATCCACCACATAATACCCCACCCTCGTGATCCCATATCAAACCTAACCTGAAAAATCCCCAGCCATGTTGTTCATCACCATGGATAGCCAGTCGCTCGACACTCTAGAAACGAAGCAAGTGACACAGCAGAGGACTTTTGTGGTGCTGGAGCCGGTAAAGACTAAGAACATTCTAGCAGGCCCCCTGAAAAGGTCAAGAAACGGATGTGAGCCATGCCGTAGAAGGAAGTAAGTTATCCCTGGATCTACTAAGAACGAGCTAACCTATAGAAAGAAGTGCGATGAGCAGCAGCCAGTGTGTGGCCTCTGTCAGTACCGAAATGTGGAGTGCACGTTTAGGGACAATCCCAAAGTCACTATCAAAAAACATCAATTCAAACCCGAAACTGCCCAGTCCCCATCAAAAGTGCCTGAGGTCCAGACTGCCGAGGCTGTTCCCTCCACTGAAGATTTCACCCAGCAAGCCTTGATTTTGCCTTCAAGTCTGGTGGAATTCAAATCAAGTCTGCAACTGCCATACAACGTTGAGATTGAGAACACTTATTCACACATTCCTACAGTTTACGATGAGTACTTCAGCCTAACCCCCCCACGCTTGCCCCTGTCGCCGCTCACGCTGGACTTGGATGACTTTGGCCCCATTTTCCTCCAGGGATTTATAGCAAAAGTGTCTAAAACCATTTGCATAGCCACTGATGCTTCAAACTATTATTGCAAGACCATAGTCCAGATTGCAGCAACGGATAAAAGCGTGCTATATGCCATAGCAGCTTGGGGAGGTCTATTCATCGAAGGTTTCACCCCTACGGTGCAGGCATACATGACCAGGGCAATAGAACTCAGTGACAAGACCCAGCTGGTACCGGGGAACTTGGGCAAAAAGGAACTCTATGTGATGTTCAGTTTCTGTATTGTGATGATGGGTTTTCATATAAGCGCAGGAGATGTGAGACAATGGAATGTGTTGCTCGGGAAGTGTGTCAAGTTAATCAGTGAACTTGGAGGACTCCGAAAAATGTGTGAATTGTATGAATACTCCAACGACATCAAATTTCTTTGCTCAGCATTACTGTTTCACGATCTAATGAGCTCTGCTGCTTTTATCAAGGGTACTGCACTTCCCATGGGCAGTTATCTCGAAATTTTCCGAGATAAAAAGCTACTAGAGATGGGCAATTACGGCCTTGATCCGCTTCAAGGCTGTATCCAACCACTATATTTACTAATGGGTGAAATCAGCACAGTAGCGGCGGAATTGAGAGTCAAAAAGAAGGTTATAGCGGAGAAGTACGACCAGCTTGCAAATAAGAAGCTTGCTGGAGTATATGAATCTTCGAGACAGGAGTATGAGCTTAAACTAGCCAGGATCGAATACTTTGAGGACGCCACAGAACAGTTCAATATACTACAAAGAAAATTACAGAATTGCCTTCCAAGCGCCGTTCAGATGGAGCTGATCATGCATGATGAGAAAGAATTGGAGCTTCATCTTACTCTTTTTGACATTTACATGTATACTAGCCAGTTGTGTTTGAACAGTCAGATTAAAGAAATGACTCCAGAATCATTTGAGATTCAGAAAATCTTGGTGAACGCCCTAAACTGCATCGACGTGCTAATCGATACCAAAATGGTGGCATCGCTTTCGTTGGCATTACTTGTGTGTGGGGTTGCGTGTTCCACTGACTGTGATAGAAGAGAGATGGAGCAGAGGATAGAGAGAGTCAGAAAAGTGTACCCGGTCGAAAATGTTGTCAGAATCGTTGACGTGATACATCAAGTCTGGGCTGTGAATGATCATGGCAAAGTGTGTGTGGACTGGGCCGAGATCTGCCGAAAGAAGGGCTGGGAATTGGCAGTATGCTGACCACACTAGCACATATTTAACGAAACGACTAATGCTAAAAAACTTTACGCAATTGTAGTACCAGTAGGCATAATCACAGATATTTGACCAGTGCCATACATGTATAATTGGGCTAGTAATTATGCAAGCGAAATAACCCAGAGGATAAATATAGACAGTGGTAAACAGACTGGCTTCAGTATGGAGCGAACTCCACAGATCCGGGGTGAGTCGGAAGTGCGCAAAAGGATGGCAATAATAGTAAGTGGTTGAACAAGCCCTCAAGGCAATAAACGATTTACACCCACCTACACGCTGCAAGGACCACGAACCCCGAGAGGATAACGAATACCGAACACCAAACACTGTCCTCAATACGTGTCACCTTTCTCTCTGATTAGCACCAAGCCACTAGGAAATGCCCCCGGAATAAGTATTCGAAGCAAGGCACGTGATAAAGCTCAGTTGCGAGATTCCTGCACCCAGCAAAACACAACAAAAAGGACGAGTGTCATCTAGATAGACTGCCCAGCATTACCAGTCCCAACACCACCAGTCCGCCTACTCTGCGTGACCAGCCCCCCACTCAGGCACCCGTTATACCCACAATCCACCATGTCCAGTGCTATACAGAACAGGACGTTCGAATTCCAACAATGTGTGTCTACATTTGACAAGATAAATAAGAAGCAGAACCAGCTTCCACGAGAAGCACCATCGGGGCCAGTCAAGAAATCGCGGTTCAGCCAGCAGGCCAGTATTATTGCCAAAGACATATCGCATGTGACTGAGTTGTTGAGCAAATTAGCATTATTGGCCAAGAGAAAGCCGTTGTTCGATGACAAGCCGGTGGAAATAGGCGAATTGACGTACGTGATCAAGCAGGACATCTTCAAGATCGAGCAGAGCATGCAGAACTTGCAGCGGTTCGTCAAGGGCGACAGCTCGGTCCAGATCGACTCGCAGACATCCCAGTTTTCCAAGAACGTGGTGAACCTCTTGAACTCCAAGATGAAGAACGTGAGTGGAGAGTTCAAGAACGTGTTGGAAATCCGCCAAAAGAACGAGATCATGAACAAGAACCGGACCGAGAACTTTCTCTCTGCCACCAGCAACCGCACCGGCAACAACGAGTCGCCCAACCCCACCAATAATTTATCGCACTTGGGAGAGAACCCATACCTCATGTCGGCACAGCACAGCCAGAACTCGTTGCCCTACGACCCAGACCGGGACCCCGACGACGTGGTTCCATATTCCAACGGGGACTACCTTCTGATCCCCAGCCAGACCCAGCAGATGCTCATGATGGAGGAACAGGGTTCGCAGTACCTCCAGCAGAGAAACCGGGCGGTTGAAACCATAGAGTCCACCATCAACGAGGTGGGAAACCTCTTCCAACAGTTGGCCACCATGGTCAGCGAGCAGGGCGAGCAGATCCAGAGAATCGACGAGAACGTCGAGGACATCAGCTTGAACATCTCGGGTGCCCAGAGAGAATTGTTGAAGTACTACGCACACATCACCAACAACAGATGGCTCTTTTTGAAGATCTTCGGGGTGTTGATTGTGTTCTTCTTCTTGTGGGTGCTTGTCAGCTAGACGCATGCACACGCATCACCAACAACAACATATGGTTCTTCTTCTTGGCCGTCAGCTAGCCCTTGTTGAAGATCTTCTACAGCTTCTTCTTGCGGGTGCTTCAGCTAGCCGCACTGGGCTATAATCTCCTGCCAGGTAGTGCGCGGCCCACTCCTCCGCCAGTGTCATTAGCGACTATTGGTGACTGAGGGAGAACCACGGAGCGACTAGACACCATCACCTCTTTCATTAGATACCTCCATACATCCCACCATTAATTGACAAGTGTAAGTAGACCCCAATTGTGTGCAGGTTCCCCGATCAAACGGAGCCAGCCACGCCACCATCCCCCCCGATAAGGAGATACTAACTGCAGGTGGCACTGTCATACTGAGCAACAAGCAATACATTCCAAGCACCAGACGATTGACGACGCCAGACCATGTGGAACTATCTATTTGGCGGCAACAAGGGCCAGAAGAAGGAGCTTCCCAAGAAGGCGATTGTTGAGTTGAGGGAGCACATCTCGACCTTGAACAAGAAGAGGTCCCACTTGGAGCAGCAGATGGCAGACCAGGACGCCTTGGCCCGCAAGCACATCGCCACCAACAAGGTGTTGGCCAAGAACGCGTTGAAGAGAAAGAAGGGGTACGAGACCAACTTGGTGAAGGTGGAGAACCAGATCGAGTCGTTGGAAACCCAGTTGACGGCCATCGAGGGCGCCAACTTGAACTTGGAGACCATGAAGGCCATGAAACAAGGTGCATCGGCCATGAAACAGATACACGGCGAGTACAACGTCGACAAGGTCGAGGACACCATGGACGAGATCAGGGAGCAGGTGGAGCTTGCGGATGAGATCTCCGAGGCCATATCGAGACCCGTGGGCACCGAGTACGTGGATGAGGACGAGCTCGACGAGGAGTTGGCTGCATTACAGGAGGAGGAGAAGCAGCTGCACGCCGTTCCGGCCCAGAAGGCCCGTCCTGCTCCGGCCCAGGACCTTCCTAACTTCCCTACTGTCACCAAGACCCAGCCCCAGGCTGCTGCCACCGAGGACGAGGACGAAGAGGCTTTGAAGGCGTTACAGGCGGAAATGGGGTTGTAGCCAGCGTCTTAGTCATAACATTAGTTCACTTCTCTCACCATTGCTCAATACATTAATTTATTAGGCCCTCCGTAGCCGATGCCAGACACCACCACGACTTCAGTTATGGTGTAGGAGTGCTTCATTTCTGGTGGCGATGTCTCACGCGAGACTTCGCCTCCGGTTTCGCCAGGAACGAGCCAGTAGCGATTAACACAGCGTCTCACCGTAAATGGACCGGCTGCCAGCACAGCTACCGATACTACGTGCTACATTACTCCCTAACCGTAGCGACAGCCTCTCGGTATCCTCCCTAGCCGTAGCGACAGCTTCCTACGGGGTCGCACTGGCCATCTCACGCTACCCCTTCCCTGCACACTACCCCATCACTGCAAATTTTATAATTTCAATGGTAGGCTATCACCAGTACCCAACCATGTTAAGTAGAGTATCACGAAGGAGAATAGGCCATGCTCACATCGTCTCGCTCAAACGGTCTGTGGGATCGTTGGCCACGTCGAAACTGACGATTTCCGAGTTTCCCATGTACAAATCGTTTCTCGATGACTTGAAATCAAAGTCGTTCGATAAGAAGAAACACCCCAATGCATACTCAAAGTCGTTTGCGGACATCGACGACCAGAGCTTCGACCGCATCACCGACGAGGACAGGAAGGAGGTCTCGTGGTCTTCGCAGTACGACCCAGTGACCAGATCGCCTTTCGCCAAAGACGTCATCCACCTCCACTCATTATTGGACGCCTTGCTCGCCTCCAAGAACTTCGACAGAGCCGAACGCATCTTGGGCGCCATATACCCGCTCTTGTCCAACCCCGAGTCGTTTATCTTCACCTTGAACGAGTACCTCAAGCTGTGGGCCCTCGAAGACACAACCACCCTAGACGATGTCGAGGCCAGCTTGTCCAAGTTCACCACCAAGTTCCCAGCCACCAGATTGAACGATAGAACCTACGCCATCCTCCTCACAAAGTACATGAGCACAAACACTCCTTACATCGATTACATCTCCAAGTTCACTGTGCAGAAAACCAGACAAATATTCACCCATATTGATATCATTGGCACGGAAGGTTTGATGGAAATATTCAAGCATCCAGAAATATCAGAGAGCCATGTTCCCAACGATTTCATCCATTTGTTCAAACAGGTCAGAGGTGAGTTGGTTCAAGACGTCCCTCAGTACTTCACCCAGGACTTACAAGCCCCTACTATAGAGAAGGACAGTGAGGACTTGAAACCAGTGGACTCGTTCGGTTTAAAAATCATTAGACATACTTTACTTGGTTTGAAAGAAGAAACCGGGTCTGGAGAATTTGAAGCAATTCTCAAAGATCTTGAAAAAGATTTAAATGGTCATTTATTGCATAATGCTTCAGAAACTCCCATGTCCTCCAAAAGAGATTACTTCCAACTTTACAAGACCCTCAAGACTCAAGAACAGAAAGACAAGTTTAACGAAGCATTAGATTTATTTAACGAAGCAAGACAGAGACAGTTAGAAATCAGAGGTGTTGATGGTGCTAAGGAGAAATGGAAGCATGAATTCGAGGAGATGCAGAAGAGAGGAGGTATCAGTCTCAACAAAGGCTTGAATGCCCAGTTATTCAAGTGGTACTCCGAATTCTTGCCCTATGTCGAAGAAGAAATCAAACAATGTCAAAACATCTTACTGGGAACCATCGATAAGGAGGGACTTTCAGCAGAAGAATTAAAAGTGATCAAGGAAAGAGAGTTTTATGCCCCATACTTAGTTCTCGTTCCGCCTCAAAAGATGTGCGTCGTCACTATATTAGAGCTTTTAAAATTAACCTCTACTGGAGGTATTGATAATGGTATGAGAGCTGCCAGAGCATTGATTTCAGTTGGTAAAGCAATTGAACTCGAATACAGATCACAGGCATTGGTGAATACCGAAAAGAAGGTCTATTCCAAAAAGTTAAAGACCACTAACCAATGGAAGAAATTGTTGAGAAAGAAAAAGAATGTCATTCTTGATTCAACTACCAATCAACCAAATGACTGGAGCTACACTGTATATGCCAAGATTGGAGCAGTGTTAGTATCATTATTAAAGCATGTGGCAAAAGTTCCAGTTAAAGGAATTGATCCCACCACTGGAAAGTCTATCACCGGTAGTCAACCAGCTATTCATCATACCTATAAATACTCCAATGGCCAGAAGTTGGGTGTATTTATTATTCATAAGGAAGTGGTTAAGCAATTAGCTGGAAAATCGTTCAGCAATTGTGTTCAACCACAATTATTACCCATGTTAGTACCACCTAGACCTTGGAACTCATACAATGACGGTGGTTACTTGTTCTCTCAAACACAATTGGTAAGAATTAAGGATTCGGTAGAAACTTCGGCATACTTGAAGGCTGCATCCGAAATGGGTAATTTGGACGAAATCTACCAAGGCCTTAACGTTTTGGGGAATACTGCATGGACTGTAAATAGAAGAGTTTTGGATGTCATCACAAAGCATTGGAATACTGGTAAGGAATTCCTCGATATTCCACCTATTATCGAGGAACCAAACTTGCCAAAGGCTATTCCTCTTGATGCGGAACCAAACGAAAAGTTCGAATACCAGAAGAAGGTGAGACAAGCTATCAATGATGCAGCCTCTGCCAAATCTCAAAGATGTGATACCAATTACAAATTGGAAATTGCTAGAGGTTTTCTAGGTGAAAAGTTGTTCTTTCCCCACAATGTCGATTTCAGAGGAAGAGCATACCCTTTGTCTCCGCATTTTAACCACTTGGGTAACGATTTGACCAGATCTTTGTTCTTATTCTGGGAAGGTAAGGAAATAGGTGAGAATGGTTTAAGATGGTTGAAAATCCATTTGGCGAACGTGTTCGGTATCGACAAAGCCCCATTGGCTAAACGTGTGGAGTTTGTGAATGAAAACCTTGAAAACATTTTCCAGTCTGCTCAAAATCCTTACGACCCTCAAGCATGGTGGCTAAAGGGTGAAAAACCTTGGCAAGTATTGAGTGTTTGTTTCGAGTTGAACGAAGCATACAAGATGTCTGATCCTACTAAGTTCGTTTCGCATATTCCTGTTCATCAGGACGGTACTTGTAATGGTTTGCAACATTATGCTGCCTTGGGTGGTGATATCGAAGGTGCTAGACAAGTGAACTTATTACCAGCAGACAAGCCTCAAGATGTTTACTCATTCGTTGCCTCTTTGGTGCAAAAGAGAATTGATAGTGAAGCCGAAGAAGGTAACAAGTATGCTTTGTTCCTTCAAGATAAAATCACAAGAAAGGTAGTTAAGCAAACTGTTATGACCAATGTGTACGGTGTTACCTTTGTTGGTGCTGCTGCACAGATCAAGAAACAACTTGACCATCATTTTACCAAAGATATGGAAGAGGACGTTGTTGATTACGCTAGATACTTGACTTTACACGTGTTTGCATCGGTGAGAGAATTGTTCGAAGGTGCTCATCATATCCAAGATTGGTTGGGAGAATCAGCCAAGAGGATCAGTAAATCTGTTAGAATTGATTACGAAGATTCTCAAGTTGCCAACAAACCTAACCATTTGTCTTCGGTGATCTGGACCACGCCATTAGGGTTACCATGCGTTCAACCATACAGAGTGGCCAAGAACCAATTAATCAAGACTAACTTACAAGATATTTCGATTTCGGATCCATTTGGAACTTCCCAAGTTGATGCTAGAAAGCAACAAGCGGCTTTCCCACCTAACTTTGTTCACTCTTTGGACGCTACCCACATGTTGATGACTTCTAGATCATGTGGTGAAAAGGGACTCTCTTTCGCCGCTGTTCATGATTCCTACTGGACCCATGCTTCCGATGTGGATATTATGAATGCTGAGATCAGAAATCAGTTTGTGAATTTGCACAAGAGCAACTTGATTAACCAAGTTAGAGACGAATTCGAGAAACGTTACAAGGATTGCCTCCAAGTCATTTTGATTCCTGGCGACCACGAGTTGGCCAAGAAAATTAAGGACATCAGAAGGAACATTGTTAAGAGTTTGGGGAGAGCATTGACTGTTGCAGATGAAATCTATTTGGAGAAGAAGAGATTGCAACTCTTGGGTTCTAGTGATCCATCTGTTGTTCAGACCGGTAAGGAAATGATTACCACTGTCAGCATTACTGAAGGCTACAACGTAGAAGAGTTGACAGTCAGCAGTGCCAGCTCTAAGGCCTTCCAAATTTTGGTTCCTTTGAAGTTCCCTGAGGTTCCAGAAAGAGGTGATTTAGATGTTGAGTTAGTCAAGGAGTCAGATTATTTCTTCTCCTAGGCTAATACAAACAACAGAAAGAAGTGGATCAATCCATTTCTGCCCTTCTAAAGCTCTAACGAACTACGACCACGAAATTACCCTGTTAATAAAAATCAATCATGTATATATTTTAATGGATATTATAGATATTTTTGCGTAGTTCCTGACGTACCAAACCTTTTCTTTTTATCATGGCCTCTAGATGCAATAATACAATGCTTGCCGAGGGGAGGGGACACCTGGCATAAACAGTAATGCAGGAAGTGAAAGTGGGAAGAGCCGTTTTAAGCCGAGTGTCTTCACAGAATTTCACTTGACAGCTAGCTTGCTGGCCGTTTTATGCAATCTTTCCCTGTTGCTCCAAGTTTTCTATCAATGGCAACAATGGTTCTAACTCAGATCTGTCAATTAGATTGTATTCCTTGATAAAACTGATGAAGTGTGCAAAAAACGAGTTCCAGTGGGCCTCCAAAGACAAGTGGACGATCTTCTCGAAATGGTTGTGATAAATGTGGGCAAATATTCTGAACATCTGTCTTGATATGTTTTTACAGTCCTTCAAGAAGTTGGGTGGGAAAGCACCACCATTCTTGGTGGGAAAGACTGACTGATCGTTCAACTTGGTGGAGATCCAGGTCAACACGAAGTCGATGTACTGACCTGCTGGTAAGTTGACTGCTTGGCCGTTGGAGTCCACCCATAAGTAGTTTGTGTTTGGTCCTGCGTTCATGGAGGGGTACTCTTCGGGAGTGACGTAGTCAGCAATGACTCCGTAGAACTGGTTCAAATTGTTGAAGGTTTCGAAGATGTTGAGCGCAATCCACTCGCCGTAGTCCACGTACTTGGGCAACTGGACGATGGTCTTGAAGGAACCCTTGACCAACGCAGTCTTCACGAACGGCTCACACAAGAACAATGGTGGTACCTGGCCCTCGTCGTGGACGCTCGGCGTGGATTGCATGGTGGTCTGTGAATGTCTTTTGGGCAGCTGTGATCCGGGATGGGTGATTCGATTTCGTTTGGTGGGCGACTGTGGTGCAAACTGTATTTGGCTGTTCATTTTTTGCTTTGTTGGTGATGATACTTTGGAAGGCGACTGTGATCTCCGCAAAGGAGAACCCGAGGTATTGGGATGGGCGTACAAGGGGGCATTGGGATCCAAGTCCTTTTTGTTCTTTTTGGAACTTCTGCCAAATCCTCGAATCGTGTTTAAGAATGACATGATGCCTCAGATCAGATCGGTTTATGCTAGGCTTGGAGACGGATGCGACGGTGGAGGAAGTCGGTGGGGGTTCTCGACAAGGGGGAGCAGCCGAGGAGGTGCAGGAGGGGACGGAGGGAAAGGATGGGACAGCGAAACACGGTAGTCGTAAGGCAGTACACTCTCAGTAAACAGCGGCAGTCCAGTGTATTGTTGAAGAAAAGGAGGGTAAGCGCTCACGTGACCCAGTGATGGTGGTTGCTTGACTACGGTGGATTACGCGGCAGCTACAGGTGCAGGCGCGGAGACCACCGGGCACGTGACCGGTCCCATCCAGGAATGTGGATCGATTCTGACGGACGTGCAGGTGACGAAGGGGAATGTGATCGTATATGGGCGGGTGAAGCCCGCTAAATAGTTAAAATAGGGTTAGCCGGGGATGCGCGATTATGGGGTAGAATATGACGGATGGGATTTTTCCTACTTTGCTAGAGTAGGTTATTATTCCTCCTCAAATTACGGCAGTAGCGAAGGACTATGGACTATTAGTATCTATCTGACGGCCAGTAACGACCTCTCTATATGTGGATTACTCCAACTGACCCAAGGACTCGCCCACCTTGACCTTCTGGCCCTGTGTCAAGTTGAACTTGAAGTTGCTGGGGGCCTCGAAAATCAACACCACTGTAGAGCCGAGCTTGAAGCCACCCATTTCTTGACCTTTAGTCAAGGGATAGCCCCCAAGGATCCTGCTGGCCTTGGAGTAGGTGGCCTCGTACACGGTGTTCTTCTTCAACTTCTTCTTCTTGGACTCGGTGGTGGCAATGGTGTTCACCTCCGAGGACTCTGACGATGCCTCCAAAAGAGGCGTCTTTTCGTCGGGGCTGGCGGATCTAGAATAAACCTCATGCTCGTACACGTCGTTGGTCTTCAAGTCCTTGTCGAAGTTGACCACGATACTACCCACGTTGGTGGCTCCAACAGGAATCATCGAGAAAAACCCATACTTCCAGTATCCCAACAATGCAACTCTTTCATTCAACACAAACAACCCCTGGAGGGTCTTTTGGAAGAATGGTGCCACCGAGAATAACTCCCCAATGAAGTGACGTCTCAACGTGGTCACCCAGTTGGTAGGCGAGTGGTAGTGGTGGTAATCTCCCGGCGCAAGGTATATCACAGTGAAAAAGAGCTGTTTGTCACCATTGCTCAATGCTTCTAATGGACTACTAGCCAAGTTTTTGGCTACCGTCATCTCCTTGGTGAGCGACGACTTGGAGTCGGCACGGTCGCCATTATCTCTGTAGTTCAAGTCAGTCAAGTGGTACGATGAGTCCGACTCTCCGCCAACGATGTCATCAACTGTGTAGGAAATGCCATTGATTTTAGCAAATTCAGAGTCTCTCTGCACAACGGTTTCATCATCAGAGTTGTATTCAAACTCTAACGAGTGACTGGGAGCAGCCAATCTTTCGTTTTTCAAACCTAGCAAGGCATCGATGGAATAAGTCATACCTTTGACTTGCTCAATTTCTCCATTCTCAATGACTCCGAACTTCAACACTTTGCCATCAGCTGGCGATACCAAATCAGAATCGTCAATTGGACGCACTCCAGGACGGAGGGTTCTGTAGAAGAATTCAGAAAGGTTTGGATAAGCTGTAAAATCGGGGTCTTCCATCTCGTCCAAATTGACTCCGAAAAGCGCAGAATAAAGTCTATAAGAGGGGGATCTAAGCCAGACAGGCAAGTTGATGGAATTGACCTGGCCCCATAACCTCGACATGGCCTTCAAGGGCAAGGTCGAGTAGGCATACAAGTGCCACAGCTGGGGTTTTATCTGGTACTCGTTGATGGGCCCTGCCTCGCCTCTCTCGTACTTGATTTTGGCGGCAATGCCTCCAAGAACAACCGTGAGCGAGGTGACGGTCCACCATCTGATGAAGCGTCTTCTCTGTTGTCTTCTACGGCGGGCCTCCACCGAAAAAAACCGGTTATGCAAATTCTTGGTTTTGATCTTGAGCTTCTGGTTGGCGTTGGAGATGGAACGACGAGAGATCTTGAGCTTGGGGAAGCGGATGTTGTTGTGTCCCGGGATGAACTTGGAGCCCTTGGACCATGTGGAGTAGTACAACACGTTTCGCTTTGGTCTGGGGATCTTGGGGAACGGATAGTAGTAGGAGCTGAACTTGCGATGCTGCTGCAGCTGTTGCTGCTGGAAAAGCCACTCGGCGCCAGTGGAGGCTCTGGAGAGCGGCTGGGTGATGTTCATGCGCTGGGGGCCAAACATATAGGGGGAAGGCGACTGTCTCATCTTGGGCTTGACACTGGGAAACGCCCAGGAGGGGGGTCTGTAGGCCATGATATATGGGGGGAAGGCCACGATTACTAGGGAGGGTAATAATGAGGAGTGCGAATGCGTTCCTTGGTATTATAGTTGTTCTAGAGCGACACGCCAACAATCACATTCACATTCACATCAACAACTGCACAAACAATACGAGGATGGGCAGGTAGCGGCACGACCGGGACCACGCGAATTCCCGCATTGTCGTGTGAGGCTGTCGTATTGGTGTGGTTAGACGGGAGGGGAGTAGTGCGGTAGTCAGGGAAGTGGCAGGCCAATAGGAGTGGTAGTCCATGGAGTGCATGCCCAATCGGGACGGAGGAGTGGCATAGTCATAGGAGTGGCATACCTAATTGGGCCGGTAGTGGTGCCAATGGGACTGATAGTGCCCTGGCCAGGTCGTGCCACGGTCCAAAAGTAGGCCATATTTCCCCAAGGAGGTATATCTCCAGGTGCCTATTCGTGCTATAGTGCAATAATTGGTAGTGCGGAGTAGAATAGGACTGCAGTGCCAATAGCTAGTATCGTAGGCAGGGCCATTGACTGGTAGTCATAGCCCAGTAAGGATAGGCAGTGCCATAGTACAATAGAATTGGTACTCAAAGACCCCAATAGTAATTGGTGGTCCTGCCTAATAGGTGGCTTCATAGTACCCAGTCCAATAGCCCAATTGAACTGGAACGACGCCTGTAATCTCTGAGCCCCTACCCGGCAAGCGCCCACACCAGCTGTTTCAACTGCTCCACGAACTCCAAGGAAATGTACCGCATCTCGTGGTTCAATAGCGTGTCCGCATAGGCAAACAAAAGGCGTAGGTTCCAGAGGTGTTCCACGGACGCTGGCCGGGTGGCTATCCGACTGAGATCGAGCTTGGTGTCGATGATGTTGTAGAGCGAGAGCCCCGAGTTGTCGTCGTTCTCGCTGGCATCAAACACCACCACCTGTTTGTCGTGGGCACTGAGGCCAGCCATTGGACCTACCTCGAGCATTTGCACCAAGTCTGGACTGAGGTGCAACTCGTGGTTGGCCACCTGCAACGCCTTGTTCTCGTTGCTCAAGAGCGAGCCAATGGACGACTTGAGCATGCGGTAGTTCTTGCGCTTGTACACATAGATGGTGAGCCGGTTCTTGAAGATCTCCAAGTACTCAGAGTGGGACGCAACCTCGATCTTGACCTGGAAATGGTCGCTGGACTCGGTCTCGATGGTCTGCAAGTGATCCAACGCCGGCAACAAGCATGGGGTCAACGTCTCGCGGACGGTGCCGTTCTTCATCGTGATTTTGACCGGGATTTTGCACGGCTTGTTGGTAGTAACATCCCGCACCACAAGGCATCGAGGCTCCACCGACAACGCCCAGAAATGCCTCAACGCCTGCAAGTGTACCTCGTACTCGCTCTCTTGGTTGGGGAAAATCGGGTACAAGGCAGTAATCAAGCTGGCCACTGCAAAATTGCTGTTGCCAAACGCATACTGGCCTCCACCCAAAAAGAGGAACCCCAATGCGGTGTTGATGGCCATGTAATTGCCGTATCCTTTGTCCTTGCTGGTGTCGTTGTGCAACACTCTGATCCGACGGAATGACTCCAAGTCCCCACTTCCTGCCATCACCACAGAAACACTTAGGGCCAACAAATTCTGCATGCTCATGGCACTATGATGGGCAATCTTTTGATCGTAATTGCTGGCCTCCTTGGAAGAAATAGTCATCATCATGTCTAGAAAATGCAACAAGGTGTCCCGTGCAGTGATATTGTGACTCGAAGCGTATTTGGCTGCAATCGACAAGCACGATCCTCCGAGAATATAGAAGTAGCTCAACTGGTCACTGTCCAAAGTATCAAGCGTGCTGTTGGAGTACTTTTCGTGCAATGGGGTGGGAAGCTCTGACTCTACCCAATCAACTGTGCCCTCGATTCTGTTCCACATAACCAAGTTTTTGGCAACGCATCGAAGCAAGAGCAAATCTGGTCTAATATAGTCCAACAATTGTTCGATATTGGGGACTCTTAGCTTGTTAGCAATCGAGGTGTTTTCAGTTCTCATGTAGATAAAGCCTAATGCAATAATTGCTCCACAGCATGATTTGTCCAATTCCTGAACTGGTTGGTGATCCTTCATAGCAATGGCTAAAGAAATCAACTTGTCGACGACATGCGTGTCATGTAATCCCCTAAGATCATCTCCTTTTCCTAAATTCACGAAACCGAGAGCTATTCCGGCTGCCAATCTGTACCCTTCATGTATTTGCTCAGAATCGTTCTGGAAAACAGAACTGGTGATTTGTGACAACAAAATCTCACTCATCCGTCTATGTTGACTCTCCAAATACAACAAACCAATACCAATTAAGCCTGCGGTTTGAACCATCACTGGGACGTTCAAATCATTGGCTCCTTGAGGCAACAAGGCTACTGCATGGACTGATAACACTTTTGTTAATTTGTTGTCCATGGAACCCTTAATGCTTGCTGCCATACCTATTAATAAACCCACACTGGTCAACGGGTGCTTGGGGCCCAAATAATTATAAATATGCCATTCCTCAAGTTTTTTTAAATGCCCGTTAAGACCCAAACCTAGGAGGAACCCTGCATGCTGTGCGTTTAAATCAGGTGGTTTGTTGAAAATGATCCAGCTTCCAGAGATCCCCTTAGCATCTCTACTGATACTCATACCAGATGAAACACCATTATGGAAGGAGCCCCACTCAGCTATATTGAATGGTATTGAGCCTTCAGAGAATACTATATTGGTCATTGTTGGTGCGATCAAGGTATTCAAGTTGAATTTCGGAATTGGAAATTTCTCTGTAAGCAAAGGCTTCCTACTAGCATAGAACAATGAGGCCCTTCCCAAGGGAATAGTAAGTGTTCTCATCGCAACTAGCGAGGCAAGCTCTCTTTGTAAAAGAACCAAGTCATACTCCGTGATATTCTCATCTGCATGCAATGTAGCAGTTTGCGTTTTTGTTTGATGTAAAAGAGTAGTAATCTCAAAATACCTTCTATCATAATCGAACATTAGCTTCGTGATGTTGATTCGCTCTGCCTCAGATTGACCGTCCCAGGGAGAGATGGTCTCATTTTTATCCAAAACGTTTGATAAAATTTGAGTGATACTTTTGGTTTCAGGAATAGTACCTACTAAGCTAGCATTTGTTCTCTCATTAGATAAGAACATGCTGAGATCCTTTCTGCCTACCAATTCAAGCGCATTTTTGGTCCATTCAAACATTGGGTTTTCTTGACAGATCAGAATCGCTTCCTTTAGTGGGATTGCTATTCCTGGAGGATATGTCTCAAGATCACCTTGTGTAATGCCATATTCGCACATCAAGTCAATAACCGTGCTTGGGCCATAGCTCGGAGAAACAATCACCTCAAAAAATTTTAAGATGTAGTGAGTTCTTGGAGTTATTAATGCATCAATTGAGTCACCTTCCTCTACCAACTGGGAGAATGTAAGGTAACGAGTAATCTTATTGCTGAACAAACTAGCCAAGGACTCTAATAAATTAGGTGGTGATTCTAATATGAACACCAGGAGAAACCTGACTTCAGAATCAATCTCTTGTTCCTGAACCATATAGTAATTACTCCAGTGATCCGGCCATCCCATCCAGGTTGTTAATTGTGCCAACAACAATCCAACTTTATTCAAATTCAGGGTTGCGGTCAAGTCAAGCCTCAATTCTTCTCTCAAAAGATGCATGGATAATGCGATATATGGTATAAGATCAGATAACGAGTAGTTGAGATGAGAAGCTTCATGTAGATACTTTGCTTTTGGTATCAATTTAGTGATATCATTGGTGGTGGTAGGCGGTGGTTGATCAAAAGGATATATTATAGAAAGAAGTGCAATGACAAACGCATTCCATTCATTGTTATAGTCATCTAGCATGAGTGCTGTTCTCCAGAGTAGCCAGACCGTTTCATTAATTTTGGAACCAGATAGATACTTGAAACACTTGAGACACCCCAAGACGAAAGAGTTCAGAGGCTCCAATCTAAGCCTAATATTATATGATTTACCACTTGTAGTTAATAAGGAAATCTGTTCATCACATGAGTCGATCAATCTAGTAATATTGGATGAATGACCTGACAAATTGATTTTGGGTGATACAATATCCAAGAACGGATTCACTAATGTCAACGAACCTTCGTTCAAACTTATCATAAACCCATCATATCTTGGGTGGTTTAATGGTATACATTCCTGACTGTGAAAAGTATAGCACGATTGGAAACGACCAGAAGAGGAATGCTTGTAGATATATGCACGAGTTTCTTTCTTCAATTTATTAACGATCACAATAGCCTCTTGGTCTTCATAAATCAAGCCATAAATTTGAAGGTTCTTCCTATCGACTTTGAGGCCTAGTACATCCACCCGAGTGAGGATCATGTCCTTTTTGAACACAGGGTATTCGTGTGAATTGTTGTTTTTCTTTTTTGATGGTTCGGAAAATCCTGGATCAGTACTCATTCTTGCAATGGAAGACACGTCTGACAACAAGGTGCTTGTCCTTTTCTTCTCCATATTCAACGAGAGAACATTCTGGTTTGAATTGGGGACCTCACTCAATATTTCATCCTCAAGGATCCGAGAAGGGTTCGGAGTGTAGACCAACGAGTGCTTCCTTTTAGCGTATTTGCTCGAGTTGGAGTTCAATATTTTGTTGTTTCTAGTCGATGCTCTTATTTGGTATATGAGCACATTGCCGTCAGTGCCGTTATAGGTAGCGCAGAGACTGGATGATTTATTCAAGGCCCGCCTTGGAAACGTCATGAGCTCTTCATTTCTTGATATGATCGAGGTCGAGGATGTAGTGACTATTCTGAAATCTCCAATGGGGTCTACCAATGTGAGGAATTTGGCACTGTTTAATTGTTGGGGATGGAGATGGCTCGAGAAAAGCGACGGCAGAGATTGGTCCTTCTCAAGAATAAGTCCCGAATCAAACGGAAAGGCGTTTTTCAACACGAATGGAAAGCTCACCACGTATGCTCGTCCGTCCTTGTAGTAGATGTTGGCCGACTTGGCAAGACAGACCACAAGGGCATCGGTGGTGATAACGTTGGCGGAGTTGTTGTTGAAACAGGTGTAGGTTGCAGTGACAATGTCCTCGTTGAACGTGTACTTCTTTGAAATGGTGGAGCCCTGGATCACCACCACTTCGTGTTTGCCGATTAGAAGCTGTCTATTGTGAGAGAACAACTTGGTGGTATAGCCCTTGGACGAGGAATACGGGTGGGTGATCTCACGATTGAGGTCTATGACCGGAAGCGTAAGCGCTTCAATGGTCTTGGAACGCATCGAACGGATGGGTGATGATATGGTGGTATTGTTGGTGATGATTACTGTTGATAATGTGCGCCAGATGAGTGCGCGCGTGGGTGCAAATGGCTGGGGAGAAGTGTTGGGTCAGAGGGACGAGGGACGAGGGAAGAGGGAAGAGGGACGAGGGACGAGGGAAGAGGGAAGAGGGTATTGGTAAGGGTTGCGGGAAGTTCCCTGAAGATTGGCCACTTGTATTGTCCATTCCTGCCGATGTAGTTTTATTCCACATATTTGGGCAAGAATTCTTCGCTAAACAGCAGTTACTTTCTATTAAGCATAGTTTCAGCAATTATGTAGTTTCAGTGAAGGAAACCATGTGGTATCATCAGATACGCTGTAAAATTTGGAGTTAAACTGTACGTTTAATATTCACAGTTATTTACTATGATTCGATAAAGATTGCCTCTCGTCACTAAAGCCTGGAGGATTCTATGACACTCATCTACTCTACAGTTGTATACAAGCTAGCATTCATAAAACTATATACAATCACCTAGCCACTTTACTCGAGAATTCTAGTAATCAAACCAGTACCAACAGTCTTACCACCTTCTCTGATGTTGAAACGTTGGTTGATTTCAATTGGAACAGCTCTGATCAATTCAGCTTCCATTTCAATGTTGTCACCTGGCATGACCATTTGGGAGTGATCAACACCTTCACCAGCTGGGAACTTGAAAGAAGCAGTGACATCGGAGGTTCTGAAGAAAACTTGAGGCTTGTAGTTCTCACCGAATGGAGAGTGACGACCACCTTCTTCGGTAGACAAAATGTAAAGGGAGGCCAAGAACTTCTTGTGGGAAGTGACGGTGTTTGGCTTAGCCAAAACCATACCTCTCTTGATTTCATCTCTCTTGACACCTCTCAACAAGACACCACAGTTGTCACCAGCCATGGCAGAGTCTAATTCCTTCTTGAACATTTCAATACCAGTGACGGTGGTCTTGAATTGCTTTTCAAAGTTACCGACAACTTCGATTTCTTCACCCTTCTTCAACACACCTCTCTCGACTCTACCGGTGACGACGGTACCTCTACCGGAGATAGAGAAGACGTCTTCAACTGGCAACAAGAATGGTTGTTCCAAGTCACGTTGTGGGGTTGGGATGTGTTCATCGACAGCGTCCAACAACTTGGCGATGGATTCAGCACCGATTTCTGGTTGCTTGTCTTCCAAGGCACACAAAGCAGAACCCATGACAACTGGGGTGTTGTCACCATCGAAACCGTAGGTGGTCAACAATTCTCTCATTTCCATTTCAACCAATTCCAACATTTCTGGGTCGTCGATGGTGTCAACCTTGTTGACGAAGACAACCAAGTGTTGGACACCAACCTGTCTGGCCAACAACAAGTGCTCTCTGGTTTGAGGCATTTGACCATCGGTAGCAGCAACGACAATGATGGCACCGTCCATTTGGGCGGCACCGGTAATCATGTTCTTGATGTAATCAGCGTGACCTGGACAGTCAACGTGAGCATAGTGTCTCTTGTCAGTTTCGTATTCAACGTGGGCAGTGGAGATGGTGATACCTCTGGCTCTTTCTTCAGGGGCTCTGTCGATGGAGCCGTAGTCCAAGAAGTTGGCACCACCCTTTTGGGACAAAACCTTGGTGATGGCAGCGGTCAAGGTGGTCTTACCATGATCGACGTGGCCAATAGTACCGATGTTGACGTGGGGCTTAGAACGGTCGAAAGCGGCGTAGCCTCTGGTCAAGGCAGGACGAGCCTTAACCGAGGTACGACCGACAGTACGCAAGGCGCTAACGAATTGTTTGAACATTGTGTAGTCAAGGAACCTGTGGTGGTGAAAAATTTCCACTTTTCTCTGACCAATGGTGCGTGGGGCGATGTTGCGATTACATAAGCACTTACGTAATTGAGTGGTAGTGCCTTGTCTACGACTGGATACACCCGTGTATATTAGTGGTCTACTGGAGGATACGCCGGCCTGCTCACTCGCCCTCGGCGAGGAGGGGCTCCTCGGCCCCCACGTTCTCCTCCACGATGCGCTCCAACGCTCTTCTTTCCCCCAACTCCGCGTCAAGGCCGTGGTTCTTGAAGTACTCATAGTAGATGCACAACGTCAAAAGCGCCCCCTGGAACGAAGCCGCCGTGAAGTATGACACCCACGAGCTCCAGTGCGAGCCCTTGGTGAAGAACAAGTCGGCGGTGAGAATAAACCCTCCCGGGGTTTGAATGCACATCATCCCCACCGATAGCGTCCCGGGATGCTTGAGCTTGTAGGTGGTGTAGATCTGGGGCACGTACTTGACCATGGTGAGGGCGGTGGACAATAGTCCGTTGGCGTTGGCAATGGGGTAGAGGTACGACGTGTGGAGGCCCACAACGATTTGCACCACCGACAAAAGTCCGTGAAGAGCCACCACGTTTCCCACATTGACTATGCGGGCGTACTCCTCTTTGTCCTGCTTAATGGAGTCTTTGGTTATCACCAATACCACCACGAGGATGAGCACCGCACACACACATTGGGTGCCGATTTGTAGCAAGCTAAGCTGTGAATTGAGACAATCAAACACAGAGAGACTGGAACAGCACCCTCTGGCCTTTGACGACACCAAGATGATATTTGTGACTGTTAAAATGGAGGAAGCTGACCCCAAAAAGAGGAAGCTGGCTGATAATCCTTCGGAGGTCTTTTTGAGGTAGATTCTTCTGTATTGAGGAACGTAACTGAGGAAAATGGCAAACGTCATCATGACCAGGGTGGCGAAGTGCACCACCGAGGCGTCTTCAAACACTCCACATTGGTCTTTGGACATTTTGGTGTAGATAAGCAGAGAGAGGAAGTGGTTTTAAGTGACCTGACCACGTGAGTCGTAAATCCCAAGACACATCACGTGTAAACTGTGGTCTGGGTGGATAGAGCTGGGTGTTTCAGTATGGGTGTCCGGAGTGGATGGTAGTAAGGATGTTTATGGTTATCTTTGGATATTGCTCTATTTATTATTTGAAGTATCTATAACGCTTATTGGACTACGCTAGCGTAGAATCTTCAAGGGTACCTTGAGACTCACGCTTTCCCCGTTTTGTAAACGCAAGGTCACCACAATGTAGTATGACCTTCCGATGATGCAACTTTGGAAGCTTGGAACCAACGCATGAGCTTCACTGACCAGATTTTCCGTCAGTTCCCTACTCAACACCGCCTTCAAATCTAAAGAAATCATAAATTTCTTGGTCAAGGTGGTGGCCAGCGACCCGGTTTTCCACGTAGTGGAAAATTGATTCAGTTTGACATTCTCGATTTTCAACTTGTTGTACTTGGTCTGCATGTAAGCCAAACACTTGATGTCCATCACAAGCTGCCGATCGACATCCAAGACACCGCTGTTAAATTTCTCCATCAATTCAGATAGCTCATGAAGATACTGTTTAAACGGCTTGATCACAATTCCTTCAAAGTTGTCATTCTCCTCTCCATTATTCTTGAAAAGTAAGTCGTGAGTCACTTCGATTGGTATAGCATACTTTTTTGATCTGTGGGTGAAGACGACTAATTCTGCACCAATCGACTTAATTTCAGGTGGCTTCATCGACTTAGTACTTGCCTCGCTACTGAATTGAAGTGTCAAATCAATAGGAATTTGCACCAAAGTAGAAATTTCCTCTCGAGGAGAGTGCAGCAATATCGATTTAAAAAGATGAGGGGGACAATATTGAACTTTATATTCTGTTTTGGCAGTAGCCATGCCAAGAACCGCCACTATCTTTGGTGGAGCAGTAAGGGTTTTCTTTTTCAATGGAACGAATACTTCATACTTGGTTTTATGAACACCATTAACCCCATTTTGTTGACCAGTCTGTTTTATTTTGGACACAGAAGAAGTTCGTCCTAATTCGTGGGTAGTTTCACTATTTTCGATTTCTTTTTCCTGCAATAGCTGTTTTCCCAAATCAATTTTTTGTCGTACTATTCGTACCAAATTATTGTAAACTGACTGAGATTGACGATCGAGGACTTCCGTGTCGAATTCGTACAATAAGGTCTCTTTAGGAACCACTCTAATGAAGCAACTAGCTTCGCTGACGATTAAAAACTCTTCCTTTTCTCCTTGGGGTTTGGGTTTCCCCAATACCTTGGTGTACTCCGAATCCTTGCCTATAACTCGAGCTTCAACGCTGTAACTGATGGAGGTGTCCGAAAACGAGAAGTCCTTGATTCTTCTATCCAAAACCTCATTGATGTTTGACTTTTTGCGTACCAATTCGGGTCGTTTATTTCTCTCTCGGAATTTGCGAATATCCTTCAAGAATTGGTCCTTGTCCAAGCCAATCGTGGGCATGATTTGGATGTGCCGCTGGAAATTGTGGGTCTCGCAAGAACAGTCCAAGAGCCGGTCTGGGATTTTGAAATTGAAGAACTTCTTGTAGGTGACGTTGGGCTCGAAGAACTTTTCCATGGGGAACCGGTTTCTAGTGTTGTCGATTGGGTCGAACATGACATCGTCGTGGTCGTCGAAGTTGACAGGAGTCCACGAGGCATTGTAGTCGAACATGTTGAGGAACTTGTTGAAGACCAATGGCTCCTTCTTTTCCGAGGACTCTGGCATCACTGAGATCTTGCCCTCGAACACCACCGAGAACATGTCGAATGGGAGCGGAAATGGAGCCGTGTTGCGCACGGTGATATAGCCCTGGACGGGGTCGCCCTGCTGGAACTCGAAACGGTCGTGATTGAGGAGCTGAGGCGGCACTCCAAGCTTGCACGGAGCAGCCGTGAGGTGGATGGAGATGTGGAGATGGTCGAAACCGGTCAATTTCTTCATCCGGTATGAGTTGGCTAGGATGGTGTCTTCCCAGCGCGTGGGTGAGTCCACGTCGTCGTTGGGGACCTGGGGAAAGTACTCGTTGCTGGAAGGCTGGCAGTCTGGGGTGGTGAAGTAGGTTGGAGGAGGACGATCTTCGGTTCCTGGCAGGATATTCTTGGAGAACGTCGACTGGAAGAGATGGTACGACGGCAAGATGCTCCACATGGGCACATCCTCGTAGGCAGGCGACACTAGCGGCTGCAAGTCATGGGAGTGGGTGGAGGAGGTGGTTGCGGTGGTGGTGGAGGTGACGGGCTTCTTGGGCTTGGAATCGCGCTTAACAGAGGCAGCCAGCGGTCTCATCGAGTGGGCCGACAGTTACGCACTGGAGTGGGCTGATGGCAGGTGCTGGTGGTGGCGGCAGTTGCTGATGATGTGGCAGTCGATGTGGGAGATGTCCAACCCCACCTCATCAGGGGTTCAGATGTCGCGCGACACTTGGCAAATGATCCTAGAAACACCGCGACATCTTCCCAGATCAACTACCAACTCCAGGCACTGTTTTGCACCAATACGATGAGTTCCCAATTCTGGGCTCTGAACGCGACCAAGAAGCGCAATGAGCTCGTCCCAGGAACCTCCAAGTGGGTGGCCAACGAGCTCTCCACCGTCAACGACGTGGTGTTGACCCACAACGAGCAGGTGTTTCAGAGCTTGCAAGAGAAACTCGACCACATGAACGCGTTTATGCGCAGCGTGTTGGACGGAACCATCGCCCTCGACGCCATACGACGGGACCCAAGCCCTTCCCACTTCTCCTACATCCATCCGACCACCACCATCCCCCAGTCTTCGCCTGTGAAGACGGCCCCCCCTCGGGAACCACCCACCTCCAAGCACACGTTTCCCAAGACACCGTCTCCCGTGAAGCCTCTGCCAAAAACCTCTCCCAGCATCGACTCCTCGTTTGTTCCCATAGCCAGAACCATCGACCCCAACAAGAACGCCCCACCCGAGCTCACCAAAGTACGTTCCAGCTTGGACGACTCTTTCCAGGCCATCAGCACCGCCATCCGCAAGAGTATAGCAGGCAAATCTGCCATCGTGGACGAAACGAAAAAACCATCTCCCGAAGTTTCCACCTCCAAGCAAGATTCGTCGAAAAAGTCCACCAGCAAGACCCCCAAGAGAAGCTCCATTTTCGTGTCTTTGCCGTCGCGAGAGCCTATAACCATCACAGCAGCTTCAAAGACGTCTTCAAAAAGGCTTACGGGGGTCAAGAGCAGGTCTCTGAGAGTGTTTGAACGCCTTGACATTGCCTCGAGAAGAGAAACTTCGACCATGAACAAAAATATGGTTCTATCTCCTGTTGCAATCCCACGGAGCACCCCACTTACATCACTAGAATACAAACTTGAGTTGTTGGACTCGAAACCAGAACTTCCAAAACCAGAGTATCACGATCAAAAGAAACCTGAAATACCGTCCAATACTACCATGGGAGAGGAAAAGCCCAAACCCGAGAATTCCCGCCCTGCCAGCAAAAGCAACACACATCCATCCAGTTTAAACGAAACAAAGATCCCGGTATTGAAAAAGAGCCTATCTAACTCGAGTCCTAAGCGTGAAAATACCCCCAATGGACTTATCCAAAGTGAAATTAATCTCCCATCTTATATGAGGACCACGTCAAGCCGTAGTAATAGCTCGTCTCCAGTTAGTTCGCCCCCAAAACATACACAAGTGAAGCGTTCTCCACGAAAGTCACCCGTGAAGATATCACCTACCAAGACCCGTTCTCCCGCTAAGAAGACTGAACCCGAGGAAACTAGCAATGAATCGAAATTGCTTAATAGACTAATGGCTCCTACAAGTTCCAGTGCTGCCAAGAGCAAACTGCAGGTAGTGGGTGGTAAGGTATCTAAACCTGCTAATGAAATCAAAAAGCTAGACTTAAGCACAAAAAACAGATTCCTCACTACCACCCTCATTCCAACATCAACCCCCCAATTCAATCCGCAAAAACCTCCTCAGTTCACAAGCTCTAAAGTCAGCTCTAAAGCTTTAGTTTCCCCCATACAAGCAAATAAGATTGTGGATGAGATAGAATCAAAAACCCCTATGCGCTTGGAGTCTATGCTGATTCCTTCTTTGAAGAAGAAGTCTATGATGGCAGAAAGAAGTGAAGCTGCTGCACAGAAACCCAAGCACAAGATAACTATCTCCATGAACCATAAAATAGATTTGAAGACTTCAAATCCCAAAGGAGCTCCTGAAAAAGAGCAAACAGACTTTATTGATGCGAAGAAAAAGGTACACAAGGGGGAATTGACGAAGCAGTCGAAGGGAAACTCGGTTGCTTTACCAGAAGTCGCTAGAGGAAACTTCGGTAAGACTCAAGAGAGTTCAAAGAGAAGAAAAATAGCGAAAGAGAGTCAATCCAGCGAACCTATTTCAAAGGACATATTACCCAATGATCTCTTTAAGGAACAAAAAACTCCAGGAAGGTCAATTAGCAAATCTCAGATTCTTGGTAAGAAAGCTAGCAGAATTTCAGGAGCTAGAACACCATTCAAAAACAAATTTGATACCACTAATGAGCTGGAGACGCCCGGACCGATCACCCCTGGTACACTACCAGAAATACATTCTGATGAAGATGACGATGACAACAAATACAAAGTATTAAAGAGCTGGGGTCATACTCCAGAATTGCATAAGATAATCATGAAGAACAGGAACGTGGATCCAAGCTCAGTTTTCGGAGCAGTGCCAAAGATTAATATTGAGGAGATATTCGAATCACAAGCCTCAAGAATGAGAGGAAAACAATCACCATATCTTTCGCCCAACGAGAAACAACGAAGACACGAGGAACGGCAGTATGTGCTAGAGATGGGCTACAAGTGATAAGTTTTGTAACACAAGAAATATCTTGTTCACGGTATTTGTATTCTCTCCGAAGGTCAACGGTGATTTCGTTGGCTACAATTATTTCAGCATTATCCTATAATTGTCTATAGACCAATTCAGGAAATTGGATATATCGAAGGCTTTTTGGCCTGTAGATCATGTATGTACACGTCTAGGGTCGTGGACGCTCTGTTTTTTGACCCATAGACTCAAGCTCTCTTGGCCAAAGCGGCTTCCTTGTTCCATTTGGAAATCCAGTCGGAAGAGGCAACCTTAGGAACCACATAAAGTCTTAACCCGTTATCGAATAACGGAGCCTTAGGCTTATCAGCCATCAAGACGTTGTTGATGGCCATTTTCTTTCCAACCTTGATCAATCCACCGGCTTCGGTTTCCATGTAGCACTCCAATTTCTTGACACCAAAATCCTTATGTTTGGGGTCTTCAAACCATTCCTTTGGTCTGTCCATAATCATTTCCAAAATCTCCAAAGGAGTCACCAACTCACTGATTTCGGCAATGTAATCGAACTCGTCGATGGTTGGATATATGACCATGGCAGGGAAAATCAATTGGGATTCGTGGTCTTGTGGATCTTCTAATCGTATACTAGCATCTTCCAACAATTCGGCTGGTCTTGAGGATTTGAGAATGGTGTAGTGTCTCATCTTGATCGAGTTGTCCAATATTATGCCCTTCAATCTCTTTAATTCTTCCTCTCTTTCTTTACGAATTCTAGCCTCTTCAATTTCCTTCTGCTTGGCTACAACGCTATCCAAGACCTCCTTCAAGGACTTGTTGTCTTTGTCGAAAGACAATCCGTACTCCAAAATGCCGATGGCTTCGTCGTATCTTCCCACCGCAAAGAATGCTCTCCCGGATCTGTAACATGCTTTGGAGTTATTTTGGTCAATAGCCAATACCTTTTTGCAGTCCTCAATACACTTTCTGTAGTTCTTGAGTTCGAGGTTACAGGCAGCACGGTTCAAGTACAATGCACTGTCGATAGAGTCAACCCCACAATCGACCTCCAACCCTTTTGTGTAGTAAGTGATAGCTGCTTGGTACTGCTTGGTCTTGTAACAGTCGTTACCCTGGTTTTTGAAGTTTGTGGCGATTTCGTCGGGCTCACCATCGTAGGCCAAACTCTTAAGAGCCTCTAAGGTCACATTCTCTCCTCCATCAGCGTCGGTTTCGTCCAACTCTGTCATGAAGAAGGGCAACTTGTTCAACTCCTTGATGACATCATCAGCGGACTTATTGGCAAGCTCCGAAAGTTGTGGTGGTAAGGCAGGCTCGCCTGGCTTGGGGACATATCTTCTCTTCTCCCATTCGGAGATGAACTCAGTAGGATCTGCTTCGGCCATTATAGGTCTGGTGCTAGTGATGAGATGAGGTGAAAAGTTAATGCGAGCTTGTGGCTAGCGAGAATTAGCGAGCAGGTGACCATAGCTAGCGAGAGAATAGTGCGCTGGGCCAACAAATAGCGCGTGCGCAGGGAGGGATTTCTTCCAAGTGGTGCCGAAAAATAAATTCGGTGCGGTAGAATACCGACAATTTAGTGAGGTTCTCCCACCGACTCTGTCAGCGCTGAAAAGACATCAGGAAAAGTAGACACAACAGGAACTCACACACAATGTGAATGATTTGAAGCACCGTGGTCTCTGAGGACTCAAATCCTACTTCGTAGTGGTATTACGCGGGGCAAAGTTGTTAAAATTAGGCTTTACTACTCTATATTTCTATCTTCACACCCATACCCCGGGTGGAATTTGGCTTTTGCAAAACCAATGGAACTCTGAATGCAATTTTGTCACCATTTGGACACTTTAAGTTCACCTTCAAGTAGTATAATCTTGACAACAAACATGACTGGAAATCTGGCACCAAACAAAATTCGGGGGCAGTAGACAAGCTTGGAACTGCGTTCTTGATATCTACCTTCAAATTGAACTTCTTGAAGTACTTGATCTGCTCCTCCACCTGACCAGTAGAGGTGGAGCTGGTCAAAGTTTCCGACTCCCAAGGTATTGAGGATAGGAAGTTGTGGGAGTCACTTGAATCTAATGGTTCTATTTTAGTGTTCGTGATCTTAAGGTGATCGTACTTCGAGGATAAGTTAGCCAAGCACTTGACATCTTGGATCAACTCTTTGTCCATTTCGAGCGCTTCAAATCCAACCTCTTTGATGATTTTGGATAATTCAATAGCATACTTTTGAAATTTGCGGATCGTTACCAAGTCAAAGTTGTCAGTACCTTTACTCTTGTTCTCAAATAGCATATCAGGATGAAACACCACAGGAATTGGCAAGCTCTTAGACTTGATGGTTAAACATACCAATTCTACTGAAATTCTTTTCAAATCGGGAAGAATGGTACTGTGATTATCTGAAAAAACAAAAGTCAAATCAATAGGAATCTTGACTTCTGTTGGTGGAATAGGATCGTTGGGTTTCTTGAATCGATCTAACGGGTTGTAATTGACTCTGTACTCAGTTTTTGGGGTGGAGCATGCAATTAATCCAATGATTTTGGAGGTTCCAAACACCGATTTCTTTTTGTAAGGCATGAATACTTCATAAACATTATCGCGATGAACTCTTTGGTGTGTTGGATTGACCTTTTTGTAGTAAGATTGTTGCATTTTGGCTAACTCTGCTGCACTAGATGTTGGTTGGAGGTTTGTCGAGCTTTCTGAATGTTGCAAATTAGCGATGGAAGTGTTTAAGGAGGCTTTCTGTTCACGAGACATCAATTCTTTACCAAGCACAATTTTCTCATTGATTTTGTTAATCATGTTATCGTAGATTAATTTTGCTTCTTCATTTATCATGGACCTATTGGATTCAAAGATCGAGTTTGTCACGTTAATGACTCTAAGGTAACAGTAATCTTCATTGGCAACCACATATTCGTCACCCGTGGGATTTAAATGAGGCAAGGCATTTCTCTGGACCAAATGCTCGTAATCTGAAGCCTTACCGATAATTCTTGCACTTATGCTGAAATCTATAGAACAATCCTGGAATGCAAAGTCATTAGTAATAGATGCATATGTGACATTCTTCACTCTTTCACGAGCGGATTCCTCATTACTCTCGTCATTCTCCTTCCATTTTCTTCTCAATGCAGTGATAATTTCATTTTTAGAAATACCCAATGAAGAAGGGATTTGCAAATGCTTGACGAGTCCATGCTCACACGTACTATCTAAAAGCTTTTCAGGCATTCTGAAGGTGAAGAATTTTTTGTAGGTGATATTTGGTTCTAAGATCTTTTTGTAATTGAAGTTGACGTGGGTACCATCGACTGGGTCAATCTCGTTTATGGGGATGTAGGGGTTGTTGTGGTCCGAAGGCAATCTGTCCAAGCAGGCGTCGTTCCAGGAAGCGTTGAAATCAAACATGTTCAAGAAGCGGACGATGTGGCTTGGGGGCTGCACAATGCTGTTTTTCATGTTACCATAGGTGATCAGGCCCTCCAACACCACCGAAAACATGTCGAACGGTATATCCTGCTTTGTCTTGTTTGTGACTAGAATGTAGCCAAAGATGTAGTCGCCCTGTCTGAGTTCCACGCCTAGGGGGTCGATGATCTTGGGCTTTTCGCCGATTTTGCCGATTTTTTCAGTCAAGTAGATTTGGATGTTGAGTGACTTGGAGAGCTCCTTGTTGATGGAGGTCAACCTTTTCAATTTGTGGACGTTTTCGAGGATGGTATCGTCGAACTGGGCCACCGATCCGCTGGCGGCATCGAGGAACTCTTGGGGGTTATTGACAGGCGACGTGGGCAACGAGCGCAAGTACTCCACCGAGTTGTTGGAGGCGTTGGAGGCGTTGGAAGTCTGGGGCGTCAACTCGTACCCGGGGGGGTCTGTTCTCATGTCTTCGCTGGTGGGGGTCAAGTGTTTGGACACCGTCGACTGGTACATTTGGTAGGACGGGAGGATATTCAAGAGCAATTCCTCGTCGTCCTCCGGCTGCTGGTTGCGCCGTATGGACAACGACGAGAGCTTGAGGTTGAACTTGTTTCTGCTCATGGTGCGGTGGGGATGACGGTATGGGGTATATTGGTGGTAGGAAGTGGTGGGAGATGAGTGGCTGGGGCACCGGCTGGGGTAGATGCAATAGGAGAGCCGTGGCAGGTGATCTGTGGAGTGCCAGCGCTACGGGAACAGGGAGGGTGTTGTAAGTGTGAGAGCCGCCGACCAGATGGGCTGCCAGCGTAGGTCAGATTTGGTGTTTTGGTGCAACCCGCACGGGTTGGAGTGTGCGGCACTACAAAGTTAGGGAGCCTGCGAGGGCAGAGCGAGGAGACAGGGAGGGGGAATGGGAGTGTTGGGTGGAGAGCGCGAGGCGTAGGCCAGGGAAGGATAGCCAAGAAGCGAGGGGAGGTACATGTATGGGGGCCTACAGAGGGTAGTGGCTACCGGCGGGTGTTCGGAAAGACGGAGGGCTGTGGCATTGGTGGCCGGGGCTACCGAGGCGAACGTAGGACGAGCGTGGTGCGAGGCGGGCGGTAGCGGCACCGCAAGAAAAGACGTAGTACAAGGAGAGGCCGGGGCATTAAGGGGACACGGAGGGGGTGTGTTTCGTGCTACTCGAAAGGTAGCTAGAAGACAGCCGGAAACCCGAACTGGGGTAGACTGACCCGGCGTAGGGCTAGAAGGGAAATTTTGTTCGCTGGTACCAGCCCGCTATCGGCTTCCAATGGAGCAGGCCGTCCCAGGCGCATCGTATGGGAGCTACTTGGGTAGCATTAGCGAGTAAACGAACAGCAAAGGCGAAGAAGGGAGTAATGATACTCGGATAGTGCCGAGTAGATAGAAACCCCAAGCGAAAGGGCGGGACTGTATAATAATTCTGGAAGTCCTGGTAGTTTTGCACGGTTCCACGCAATATATTCTTGTGGGTGTCCTTTATCCGCCAGTCTACTTCTGATCTTTCACGATGACAGGCTCCACAAGGGAGACTAGGACCCCAGCATGCTTTTTAAGGCAAATTCTAGCCCTGCATTGGTCTTGTTAGTAATTTCAGTAGGTTTTCACAATCATCATCCAAAGTTCGGTAGATTAATATGACAAATCAACCACATTAGTGCTATCACACTGAGCTACGGGTATCGTAAAGTTCATTCATTATATTTACAGTTGGATGCCTATTATCCGTCTATTTACGGTACTCTCTAATTTTGCATCAATAGGGCCAAACCCCGGTTCCTATTGTATCGTTTGGCACCAGTACCGGCTACCGTCACTGTAGGACGCATAGCTTCTAGTACAGTGGTCTCTATGTGGGGGTGCTATTTCCTCCCATCCTGGCGGATCGTCCTGGGCCCAGGACCCTTTTTAGTATCCTTTTTCTCACCCTCGTTTTACCTCAGCTCTCGATAGTCAATGGAACGTTCACCACCAAACTGTCACCGCTGCTCAATTTGGCAGTGATTTTCACATAGTACATACGGGCCATCAAGCAGTTCTGGAAGTCTGGAACCAAGGTAAAGTGATCAAAGCCCTTGTTGGTTCTGTTTTCGTGACCTTTCAAATGACAATCGTTGAGGTTCAATTTCAATTCAAACTTTTTGGAGTACAACGTGTGTACGGAATTTTCCTGGTGCTCCAATTCCCAAGGTATAGTCTTGATGGAGTTATGGAGTCCCGAGTTGTTCTCGGAGCGGGCATAGAACTTGACGTCGTTTTCCAGTACCGACAAGTTGATATACTTTGTCTGCAACGAGGCAAGTGCCTTGACGTCCTTGAACAACTGGCTCTCAAACTTGATGAGGTCGTTGCCCACTGTTTGGATCTGGCTGGTGATTTCTGCAAGGTAGTCCTTGAATTGTTTGATGATGATGGAATCGAAGTTGTCCAAGTCCTTTTTCTTCCAGTCCAATTCCTGGTCTCGGAAGCACATCTCGTGGTTGAACTCGATGGGGATATAATGCTTTTTGGATCGTATGGTAAGCACGGTCAACTCAGGAGTAATTGACTTGATTTCTGGCAAGGTGGCCCTAGAAGCCGCACCTTCGATGAAGTAGGACAATTCTAACGGGATGTTCAACTCGAAAGTCGATACTGGGGGCACTGCACCCGTGCGGAACTTGATGGGAGGCACGTACAACGAGTGGTATTGGGTTTTGGGGGTTGAAAGTGATACGATACCCAAGATCTTGGTTCCTCCTGTCAACGACTTCTTCTTGAACGGGATCAAGCACTGGTAGGAGTCGTCACTGAACTGCTTCTTGGACTGGAGGCTGGAGTTGATGGTGGTGCCAGCCACGTCGTACAAGTGACGGAGTTTGTTGTTGGAGCCAGAATCGCGAGAGCTGACTGGGGACAACGCTATTTCTTCACGCTGACTGACGGGAACCTTGAGGAGGGTACGTCCGAACTCGATTTTCTCAAGGACGGCGTCCACAAACGCCTTATAGAAGGTGGTAGTTCCGTGCAGCAGCTCAGAGCTGTTGTAGTACACTTCTGGAGACTGCTTTGGAATCACTCGGATGGGGCAGATAGCCTCCTGGGCGATGACGTACTGGTCGTGTGAGGTCTTGTAGTTGTACTCCAGGGCCCTGCCAATGACTCTGGCCTCCACGCTGTAGGAGATGGAGGTGTCGATGAACGAGAGGTCGCGGATTTGGGCGTCTCTGTTGGCCAAGAGCATGGAGGGAGACACCATGTTGCGGGGTACGCCCAAGCTGGGAGGCACCTCTGTGTGGCGGGTCAAGTTGTGGGCTTCACACGAGTCGTCTAAGAGCTTTTCTGGCACTCGGAACGTGAAGTAGCGTTTGTAGGTGACGTTGGGGTGGAAGGTACGCTTCAAGTCCAACGACAATGCAGCGTTGTCGTAGGGATCTGTTTCGCCATGGCACCAGTCGTGGGGGTCGCCGTTGTCAGTGACCAAGCGATCGATATTGGCGTAGGACCACGAGGCAAAGAGGTCGAGCATGTTCAAGAACTTGAACACCTGGCTCTGCTTGTCTGTGTCGATCAACCCCCTCTTGTTCTCCAACACCACCATGGTTCCCTCGAACACCACGTACACCATGTCGAAGGTCACTGGGTGGGGCGTACGGTTGACGATGGTCACGTAGCCGTGGATGTAGTCGCGTTGGGCAAACTCGAGGTTGGATGGGTCGATGAGCACAGGCTTGACACCTTTCTGGCACACCTCCTGGGTGACGTGGATGCCCACGTCGAGGCCCTGGGCGATGGCGTTGTCGGACTTGGCCAAGTTGGGGAGCTTGTGCACGTTGGCAAGAATGGTGTTTTCCCAGAGGTCAGCGCTCTGCTCATTGAACGTCTCGTCGTTGAACGGAAAGTGGTCGATGGCAGGAGTGGCGTCGCCAGGAGTGCCCACTGGCGACTGAATCGACAGAAGCGTGACGAACGGCGTGGTAGCCGCCGAACTGACAGGAGTCATTTCGTACATGGGCGGGTCCACCGTGAAGTTTTCCTCCTCGGGAGTCAACTTCTTGGACACCGTCGACTGGTACATTTGGTAGGACGGGAGGATGTTGTTGATGAGGCTGTCATCCTGGAACGGGCCAGGCGACGCTTGTCGGGGGTGGGGAGAGTCTGACATGGTGGTGGAGGTGGCAGTTGTGGTTGGCATCACTTATGGTGGGTGCAGGACGCGCAGGGTCCAGGATGGGAGATGGGAAGGTGATGAGGATGGGATGGAAAGATGGGAAGAGATAGGGGATATGATGTGGGAAGAATAGGGAGTATGGAGTGCTTGTGTGTCTGTCCAGGCTGTGATGCAAATTGGTCAATGGAGACTGTGGGTGATTTCTGAGGTCTTACCGAGCATGGCCAGATGGCATACGACCGCCACAGCGATGAACAGAATTGTGGACGCGCTAGTAGCCGAACAGTAAGAGAGAGTAATGTCAAGCGAGATCTCAGCCAGATGTAGATACAGGGAGGGTCGAATGGGACTGAATGGCAATGGTTTGGTATTGATAGAATGGATATGGTCTACTGAAAGAATGGACATGAAAATAATTGATGGTCGTTTGAACATGACTATTCAATGGGTACACACAGGCATGGTCGATAGTGGTGGTAGCATGGCCAGATCTGTTCATTCTCTTACGAATTGATATTTCTTTACTTTGGAAATGATCGAAGACATATACTAATGTTGCATCGTGTGACTAGTTAGTATCAAAAATCGATAAATGATGACGGAATTGCAACGATCAATATCACTAGAGCTTGGTGATTTTGAGGTTACCTACCAGGCATAGCTGATATACAATATTGCCCCCGATGACTCCGGAAAGTCGCCTACAACATCCTTGCTGAGAACACGAGAACCAATACTGACAGGTGGCCTCGATCAATACATAGATGGACATAGATCGTATAATTTGATGGATATTGACACAAGAACGGTGTATCGGTGAATTTTGGTCTAGATCCAGCAGAGTCTCGGTCGACTTGAGATCTGACTTCACCAGTCGGAGTATCGTGGATGTACATCCACTACGTAGATCGGGACTCCAAGATGTGAACCCGTCAGATATCGCAAACAGATATCCCAAAACTACTCATAAAATCGTAAAACTTCCCTCGTCAGATATCCCAAAGCATCTACCTTTCAAATACCTATCCACCACTCAAACCCATCCCGGCCCCGAAAATTACCTCCGTAGTCTCGGTGATTCCGTGCGCAACGGCCGGCATAATATGGGTCGGATGGCATATCCCGCATCATCCACACCAGGGTCCACCACAGAGTATTGCCGACTGGCTACTCCCGCCACAGCCTACACCCACTACCAATACCACTACGAGTACCACTTCCTTCTACCACTTGCTTCCAGCTTCTAGCTCTTCGTCCACCTCTTCCTTTCACTTTTCCCCCACCTTTCCTCGAAGTCTTGACGTCTCGCCTGACGTCGCCCCCCCACGCCCTTCGATTGCGCTATCAGATAAGCTGTGGCAGCCGCACTGACAGAATCCACCGCCATTCTTCTCGACTATCATTCTTCCCATCACTTCCACCACTATCACCACTTCCCACCATGCTCGTGAACGAGAAACGAGCCTCTTCACCAGCCAGTGGAAGACCCCGTCGCCACCTCTTCACCGCCCTGGTGCTCGTGGGGTTGGTGCTCTGGATGGGGTTCTCGCTACTCACCACCACCACCACCACCACCACCACACACAACTCCATGAACCCCGTGTTGGGACTGGGTCTCACCCACAAGCCTGAGTACTACGACTTGCTTGCGTACGATGGACAGGACGAGCCTCCCGCCAACACCCCGCTCCGGGGTCCCAGCTTGAAGCCGCAACAGCGCCATCTCCAAGTGGGCGACAAGGCCATGGTTGCCAGTGACATCCCGTTGTGCTCACAGCTAGGCAAGGATATCTTGCTCCAGGGCGGCAACGCTGCCGACGCTGCGGTTACAGTGGCGCTCTGCATCGGCAGCATCAACTCCCAGTCTTCTGGTATTGGTGGCGGCTCCTACATCATCAGCAGACACAACCAGGAGGCAGTGAGCATCGATGCGCGGGAAGCCGCGCCTGAAAGAGCCCACAAGACGATGTTTGCGAAGGATCCCATGCTTGCGTTGGTGGGCGCTCTCTCCATCGCCACTCCTGGAGAGTTGAAGGGCTTGGACGAGTTGTACCACCGCCACGGCTCCGGCAACTTGACCTGGAAACAGTTGTTCGAGCCAGTGATCGAGCTCAACCGCAAGGGGTTCCCTTGCACCAAGTTGTTCTCCAAGGTGATTGAGCTCGAGCAGGAGCTAGTGTTTTCGGCGATTCCGTCGATCCGCGAGCTCTGGGACTTCATCTTCGACGACAACGGCAACCTCATCAAGGAAGGCGATACCATCAGACGGCCTCGCTATGCCGACACCTTGGAGTTGATTGCCAACAACGGCAGCAGTGCCATTTTCTACGACCCCGAGGGACCTATCGTGCAGTCGTTGGTCAACGTGACATCCAAATTAGGCGGAATCATCGCCCCATCCGATTTCGCCAGTTACCGGGTGCATGTAGAAAAGCCGGTGGTGCTCGACTTGGAAGTCCCTGGAAAGTCGCTCCAAGTGATCACCACCAGCGGAGTGTCTTCCGGAGCGCCGCTCGCAGCAGGGTTGAACTTCTTCAGCGAGGTTCACGGACTCAGTCAGCCCGACCCAGTTTTGGCAGTCCATCAGTTGATCGAGAGCTTCAAGTGGCTCGGGGCCATCAGGACCCATTTTGGCGACTCGAGGAGCGACCACGAAAGGGCCCAGTTGCTCGAAGAATACAGCGGAAAGGAGTGGATCCACGCTGTGCTCAGCGAGGGCAGATACTCGCCCAACCGCACGTTTGGCTGGCAGAACTACGGGCCCCAATACGAGCTGGTGGACCCCAAGGGCACGGCACATTTCTCGATCGTGGACGAGCACGACAACGCCGTCAGCATGACCACCACCGTCAACCTCTCGTTCGGGTCGGTGGTGCATGATCGCACCACTGGCGTGATTTTGAACAACGAGATGGACGACTTCTCGCAGCCAGGAGTGAAGAACAAGTTTGGCCTCGCTCCGTCCATCCACAACTTCATCGCTCCGTTCAGAAGACCGTTGTCGCTGACGTCGCCCACCATCATCCTCGACCGTGCCTCCAACACCACCGACATGGTGATTGGCGCTGCTGGCGGCTCGCGCATCCCTACGGCCGTGCTTCAGGCCATCGTGCGCCACTACTACCAGGACCACGGGCTTTTGCAGGTGATGGCGTTTCCACGGTTGCACCACCAGCTCGTGCCAGAAGTGACGTCGGTGGAGGACCTCGAGGTGTTCAACCGCGAGCACCAGGCCAACACGCCCGGCACCACCATGTCAGAAGCGTTGGAGGCGTTGGGGCACCAGTTTTACGAGAATGGTGCGCACAGCGCCATGAACGGAATCGCCCGGGTGGGGGGACAGTTCCACGGAGTGAGTGATTTCTGGCGCAAGGGAGGCGAGGCCGCAGGTTATTAGATACTCGGCGCGAAACTCCGGCCGGCGGGGCAGATCAATGAACGCAATAATGCGAATCTCCGGAAATGAAGAATGGGGTCTCTCACCGAAGAGAAATCAGAGGGCCTTCAGACTCACCGAGCTCCATGTGCTGCCAGAATGCCACAATGCCATTACTTCCCCATCACACCTACCCCCACCGATCCACCTCCCCGAGGTGTATTTAGACCAATACATTAGACTAATCCGTACTAATCTCGGAGTTACGCCCGTTACCCGGCGCCAATTGTGGGGCGTACCCCAGATTCCATCGGCGCGCCAGTGATTGGCCGCTTACGTCAGCGCCCCACGATCTCCTTAAATACTCCGTACTGTGCTCTATCCGTACTGCTTTCTCCCACACACCCATGACCTTCCGCCACCAGGACTCCCTCGCGAGTCTCCCCATTCCCGACCTCCACGAAACCTGCACCAACTACCTCGAGGTGTTGCAGCCCCTCCAGACCGAGGCCGAGCACAGAAACACAGTAGCCGCCGTCGACCGCTTCCTCAAGTCGGGCACTGGCGCCTACCTCGACTCCGAGCTCCGCAACTACGCCAAGTCCCGTGCCTCCTACATCGAGCAGTTTTGGTACGACTCGTACCTCAACTACGACAATCCCGTGGTGTTGAACCTCAACCCCTTCTTCCTCCTCGAGGACGACCCCTTCAACAACGACTCCACCACCTTCAACCCCCAGATCAAGCGTGCCACCTCACTTACGCTCTCGTCGCTCAAGTTCATCCAGGCCCTCCGCAACGACACCTTGCCTCCCGACGTGTTGCGCAATGGCCAGCCCTTGTGCATGTACCAGTACTCCAAGCTCTTTGGCGCCTCACGGATCCCCACCAACGACGGGTGCATGATGCAGACCGACTCGTCGTCCAACCACATTGTGGTCATGAGCAAATCGCAGTTCTACTGGTTCGACGTGTTGGACTCTGCCAACAACATCCTCCTCTCGGAGCTGGACCTCATGGTCAACTTCACCTCCATCATCCACGACTCATTAAAGACCCCGCCTGACGAGATTGCCAGGTCCTCGTTCGGGGTGCTTACCACCGAAAACAGACGTATCTGGGCCAACGTGCGCTCCAGCATCCAGGACAACCCCACCAATAGCGAAATCTTGTCCATCGTGGACTCGTCGCTCTTCATTCTCTGCTTGGACGACATCGCCATCTCTGACTTGTCCGAATTGTCCAAGAATATGCTCTGCGGTTTGTCCATTCTCGATAAAGGTATCCAGGTAGGCACCTGCACCAACAGGTGGTACGACAAGTTGCAGATCATCGTCACCAAGAACGGAAAAGCCGGTATTAACTTCGAGCATACAGGCGTGGATGGCCACACCGTGTTGCGCTTTGTCAGTGACATCTACACCGACTCCATTCTCTCGTTTGCCCAGTCCATCAACAACAATACCCCGTCGTTGTGGAAGGCCAACTCCGACAAGAAGCCTGGAAACGACGCCGACGACCTCATCACCATTCCCCGGAAGTTGGAGTGGGACTTGACCCCGGACTTATCCCTCAGTCTCCGTTTCGGTGAAACCAGACTCAGTGACTTGATCAACCAGAACGAGTTCAAACACTTGGAGTTTAAGAACTACGGCTCGTCTTACATCAAGAAAATGAAATTCTCACCAGATGCATTTGTCCAAATGGCCTTCCAAGCCGCCAATTACGCTCTTTACGGAAAAGTCGAATGCACCTACGAACCCGCAATGACCAAGCAGTACTACCACGGAAGAACCGAGGCAATCAGGACGGTCTCGCAGGAATCAAACTTGTTTGTGCGTAAATTCTTCGATTCTTCCGTCCCCAATCAGGATAAGTTAAAGTTCTTAACTGACGCATGTTCCAAGCATTCTGCTCAAACAAAGAGGTGTTCCCAAGGAAAGGGAGTTGACAGACACCTTTATGCCTTATTCTGTATTTGGAAGAGGTATGTGGATGATTCTGTTTCCGCTGGAATGGATCAACGGACATCTATCACCACCTTAATCGATGACGATAACGAATCTTCGTCAGATAAGACAATTGTGGGAAACATTGATAAATCTAACTTGAGTGAAATTCCCGATATTTTCGCAGATGGTGGTTGGGACAAACTCAACAATACCATGATTTCTACTTCCAACTGTGGAAACCCCTCATTAAGACTTTTTGGCTTTGGCCCCGTTTCCCCTCAAGGTTTCGGTATCGGATACATCATCAAAGACGATTCGATTTCTATTTGTGCCTCTTCTAAGCACAGACAGACTGAGAGATTCTTAGTCACGTTGGAGAGTTACTTCAATGAAATCAAACGCATTTTCTCAGAAGTCCAACAAAAGAAAGATACCAGTATTCTTACCACCGCTAAAAGCATTGTGTCCACCTTGCCCAGGAACAACTTATCCACCCTCTTGGGAGGTTACGGCTATTTTGATATGGGCGACGATGATATTAAGTCTAGACACAGTCCGGAACCACCTTTCTTGCATAGAAACAATAGTGGCTTCTCCGTTCGTGAAATAGGTAAGAAGTTGAGGTTATCTGAGTATTGAGGTACTGGTTGATCTGGTGCCTTACGACTAACGTTATTTATTCTATTTATTATTATTTATTAACTATTTATTTGTTGCTTTTGATCGTTATTCCACCTATTTATTTCAATACACTTATTTATTGCTGCCACCGTTGAAGTAGGCTCTGGGCACACTGAAAGAGATGCGGGAATGGAGTGAAAGATTAAATGCTCAGAAATTGAAGTGTTTCAAATAGTCAATGAAATGAACAGAATCATTAGTCTTACATTCTGTTCCGATTTCAACACTATTTATTGTTTTCTATGCTCACAAGACTGAGGTACGTCATTTTTTGTAGAGATACTTGGAAAACCTACGTATTGTGCAATAAGCAGGACCACCATAAAAAAGTATTCTCCTAATCAGTACCAATTTTTTGAGACTTAAATAGCCAACAATTACCCGAAGCTGACTCAACAGAGAACAAGATACTTATAAGCATGGATGTTTTAGTTTTCGCAGCCACAATTGTTGCAAAAAGTGGTACTTTTTAAATTAATATTACCAGACAGACTGGACCCAGAAGTCAGACTTATCTACGTCGAACCGAATAAATATTTATGATACTACATAATTTGTACATATATACATGCTTCATTCAAATTCCAAAACTGCCTTGGTTGAAGGCAGCTCTCAAATTTGCCTTATTGTTGTTCTTGTTCTTGTTGAATTTGTTAGCACTAGGCATGCCTCTCATCGCCACATCACTCGTAGTTTGTTTGGGAGGTTGACGAGAATGAGCAGGCGGGTGGTGGTGGCCTCCGGGTGGTGGATAGTAGGGTTGGGGAGGGTAATAGCCTCCAGGAGGTGGAGGTGGGTAATAGTTTGGATCGTAGCCTTGTGGGGGTGGGTAATTAGGGTAGCCTTGTGGAGGTGGATAGTTGGGGTATCCTTGTGGAGGAGGATAACTGGGGTATCCCTGTGGTGGAGCCTGTGGGTATGGTTGTGCTGGCGGATAGTGCTGAGGAGGGTGTCCCTGTGGGGGTGGATGGCTATGTCCCTGTGGCGGAGGCGGTTGTGCGTGGACATTGGGCTGAGGCGACGGTTGTGGTGTATGTCCTTGCGGCTGGTGTGCTTGAGGCGGATGTCCTTGAGGCGGATGTCCTTGCACATGCCCGTGGGGCGCCTGTACATTTGGTTGTGGGGGTTGTTGTTGTGCATGGCCCTTTGGATGCTGAGCATACAGGTTTGGCTGAGGAGAAGGTTGAGCAGATGAAGGGTTTGGCCGGGGCAAATGAGTTTGACTTCCTGGCTGCGAACCATAAGGCTGCGGAGGCCTTTGATTGGGTGCTAATGTCCTATGTCCTTGAGGGCCAACAGTATGTGTAGGATGAGGTGCCGAATGTGTAGATGCGTGAGAGACCTGCGAGTTTGGGGTAGGGGGGAGCGATTGTCCTCTGTGCTGGTAACTGTGATTAGATTGAGGCGATGTTTGTCCTGAATGAGGAGAGCGGCCAGATTCCACCAGTGGTAAGCTGGGAAGGGAAGCATCCAATCTCTGGTTCAACATGGGAGATCGTGACTGCGTTTGTGCAGCAGGCGGTGGTATTTGGGGTTGTGGTTGGTACGTAGTAGGTTTTGGTGGTGCAGAAGGAGGGTTGGCTAAGCTTTCGGAAGATTCCAGTCCTCTTGCCCGTAATATAGGGGCAGGAGCTGGTAAGGCAAACGCTTCGTTACTCTTCACAAGCGGACTCTTAAGCGGCTGAGAACGAGGAGGTGCAAGGGTTGTCACTGTAGGCATCTGAGTTTGTCTCTGTGCCTGAATAGTTGGTACAGGTTGACCCGTTTCAGGCGAATGGCCTCCCCGATCTGGATAGCCAGCTTGAGAAGCTTGTACACCTTGTGCATGCTGAACCTGTGGAGGTTGGCGAGGACCAGTAACAACTTCTTGCAGTGGTTGTGGTTGTGGCTTGCTGACAGGTGCTGCAGGAGGAAGGGAAAGCTTGGGAACAATGTGATCATAATCTTGCGGAACTGCTAACTGCACCTTTTGAGGTGGGTTAGGTGGAGAAACATGTGCCTGGTTGACCTGTTGTCTCGCTGAGGATGGTGCCGGTGCTGGTGCTTGTGCAGATGTTGATGCTGTGGTTGCAACTGTTGTTTGTGGAACCTGCAGCACCAATGGGACTCCAAGGTGAGCTGGAGCATGTGCACTTGGGGGTATCATACTAACAGTTGCTGGTATTGGACCAGGGTGAGATCTTCGCTGCTCTTCACGTCCAACAGGCGACATAGAAACTGTCGGAGAGGGCAATTGCAGGGGCACTGGAGAGACCTCTGTTTGGGCGGAAAACGTTGGATTTTGTTTAGTCTCAGGGGACAGTTGCAACGACTTAGCGGGAGACTTTTCACCTGAGGCTTCTGATTTCTTTTTCTTTTTCTTCTTATCTTTCTTCTTTGGAGATTCCGGTTCCAAACCAGGGGGCATTGGGAAAAACCCAGGTGGTGGTATTGGCGGTAATCCATCAGTTCCGAAGGGAGGCATCATTCCACCGGGAGGTGGGAAAAATCCATATGCCATTGCAGCTGTAAGAGCTGCCATTTCCTTTTCTTGCTCCATTTCCTTTTCCTTTTTCTTCTTTTCCTTCCTTTTCTTACGCTTTTCTTCTTTAGCTTTCTTCGCTTCTTCTGTCTCGTCCTCGTTTGGGTTAGGTGATTGTTGTCCCGGGCTTACTGTTTGATCTTGGTAAACCTCCTGGCCTGTCAGATACTGAGGATCTTGGGGAGCTTGTGCGAAATACTCTTCTTGATGAACTTGATGCTGGGGAATTTGTTCTGTCTCAGTAGGACCATAATCTGCATAAGTCATGTCCTGGGCAACTTCATATGTTGGTTGATCTTCAGGTTGAGCAATGTATCCTTGCTGTGTTTGTTCATGAATTACAGCTGGATTGGCTTGTTGTACTTGCTCGTGGTTTTGGACCTGTTCTGTAGGGTAAGTTTGCTCGGGTTGTCCGGGAACTTGATAATTGTCAAATGGTTCGTCAGATTGATTCTGTTTCGCAAGCTCTGCTTTCTCATACGCAGTAACATATAACTCATAAGGCTCATGAAATCCATCCTTCGAGGGTGAGTAGAACTGAGTGGCTATGCTATTTCTCTGAGGGGAATGCTGGTCAGGGGTCAAGTATTGGCTTTGGGCTCCAGGTGACTTCTCAGGAACAAAAGCTGATTTGTCTGCAACCAACGAAGGGCTGTTGAGATTTTCGTTAGAAACAGGCAATGGGGCTGGAGGTGCTGGTGCATTGGGGTCGTAATTAGCATTCACATTGTTTCCATTTTGTTGAGGTGCTAGTTGATACATTGGCTGATTATATGTAGTCTGAGTATTTGTGCCCGGTTGGTCATATGCGAGGTCACTGTATGTGGGTTGAGTGTATGACTGTTGGGAATATGCTTGATCGTATTGCTGATGTTGTGCACCAGGTGCCTCTGTTTCCATAGGCGGTGGTGGTGGCCTTCTCCCAGATGTTCTCATCTGGCTCGAAGTAGTAGAACTTGTCTGTGGTTTCCCTATTTCACTTCCATGATGATCATCTAAGCTATTAATGTAGGTTTGATAATCGCTGAGTTCTTCTTTTGTATTTTCACTGCGAATATGACCAGAAACTTCATCAATAGATACATCGAGTCTCGAGTCATGCTCGCTAAAGTTGATTTTTGGCAATAATCCTTTGGTGTCCTTCTCTGGAGGAGGTGGTGGTGGCAAAGGCGTATCTTTCTTCGCATAGCTATCATTTGAAACCACTCTCCTGCTTGAAACGTCTCCATTATTAAAGTGAGCAACATATTCCTCAGTACTCAAAGTCTTTTCTGTAACTATCAACCATTTTTGAAACCCTCTTAATCCTGCTTCCAACACCAAAGATCTTCCAAATAATTTCTTGATGTGACTCGTTTGATCAGAACCTATCGAGGACAACCAAGTCCATATATAGTAATCCTGAATTGTGATATTTGTAATGGAGATTGCTGAGTACAATGGGATGTTCGGATCAACTGGAGTTTCATTCGTACATTCTCGATTCACCCATCCTGGATACAAGTCATAATCGGAGCTGATTGGATCTGTAGTTAGCCTGTTCAATATCCTTCTTGATTCTTCAGTTAACGTCGCCACAATATCATTTGTTGATTCCTTTTGAAAAATGTTTTTAAGGATAGTGTAATTCTCAATTGAAAGAAATGAATCTTTCTTTTCAAAGCTGAGGGTGTGCCTCACTTTACTGAGCAATTCGTATGGATTGTTTGAGGGTTTTGTGGAGCTTATATTGACACAAGGTATCGTAATCATGGATTTTAGGGAGTCATTATTTTCCATTGGTGGGTATGAATTCGTGATTAAAAGAGACTGTAAGGTCTTGGGCAACTTCAAGGTTTCCAGCTCCTTGTCGGGCAACATTGCTCTCAAAAATGATAAGAGTAGATGAAACAAGGCATCGGAAGATGATTTCCAAGTTTCCAAGCCATCGTTAAAGTTGTTTTCCTTTTTAATGGTAGCATCATAGAAAGGAGACGATCTGAATCTCGAAGTACCATTAAAAGCCCACAAACTAGACATCTTAGCGATTTTTCTTCCACTCAAATAATTGTACTGGGAGTTCGAGGTGATGCTTATCAATAAATCCAAGAAATCATAGACGATGGAGGCATGAGCAGGTGACGACAAACACTTTGGCAAGATACTAAGGAATGCGCTTTTGGGATATCCTGCTTCTTTCTCCTTTCGCCTGTACTCCAAGTATACACTCCAGCCGATGATTTCGTGGTTAGGTAGACGACTCCATAAGTATTTCAAGCCGCAGATCAATGTGAATTCATCGGTGGCCTTGAGGATCAGCTTCACGCCGTCCTCGTCCTTCAAGTTGAGGAGTTCTCCGTCGGGAAATATGAGTTGCAAAAACAGTTCGAGCTTGGCGTCGTCGATCTTGGATCTGAACGGGAGGAAGATGTGGGGGGTCTTGGTGCCTCTGAGTTTCAACTCGGCTGTGATGAGATGGAGGATGACTTTGAGCTTTTTGCGGGTGAACTGGTCGGGTCTGATGATGTTGGACTCCAAGCGCTGGTTGGGAGGGAGGTCCGGAAGCTCCAAGTCGCCCATTTGGCTCAGGGTGATCACCATGGTGGGTTTGGCCTGGACGAATCAGAAGCACGTAGCTATTGGCTGGCAGGCACGAGACGGGCACGGAACAAAAATAGGACGCCGCAGCAGACGCGTAGTCTAGAGGTGTCTCCTGGAGTGTGAGGACGGGATCCGATGGGGCTGGGGCCAGTACTCGTGGCGGGTGGTTCTTGGTAGACTACGCCAGAACCGTTTATTTATTTGTTGTTTGTGTGCACGTGACCCTCGGGATGAGCGTGTCGCCTGCGTCAGATCACGACTCCTTCCGAGGAATGAGGCGCCACCAGGCGCCAACCCAACAAGTAGGGGTATGGGGTCTCGGCGGCTACTTCTGCGTCAGGAACATATGTGTCGGAAACGTCCTTGTCGTCTACAAGTGTCTGGATCAGGCCTTAATTGGCTGCGGTATATTCTAGTGTATTAATGGCTGCAAGTAGGGCATAGTTGCAACCGCCGTGGATGGGGTGGTAAGTTAGAGGATGGAAAGGGTGGATGCTAATGGAGAGGTTTACTGACTGGGTGGACAGATGATTCCTTCGTATAAGACAGTTTGGTTGATCTTCGGGTAGAGTAGAATCTTGGAGGTGGATTAGAAGGTCGAGTCGAGGCGGTACTTGTCAAGTTGATTGACTCTTCACATTGATCGCCTCTTTTCGTGTGACTTCTTCAAGCTGGTGGATCCTTCCATGTAGATCCCTCAAGGTAGACGCGTTGTCACTTTTCAAGCTGATAAGGGTCCTCGAGCTGGTCGATAAGCTTTGAGCTGGCAGACTCTTGAAAATAACGGTAGCTTCAAGCTGGCAGACACTTCAAAGAAACGGTGGCTTCAAGCTATTCGATATGACCTTCAGCTGACACTCTTCTTTATGAACGGTGGCTTCAAGCTGGTAAACTCGCTGGTACACCCTTTAAGCGGTCGAGCCTCCAAGCCGATAGACCTCAAATTGGCCGGCTTGCCTTCTTTTCGATGCCTACTCCTGAGACTGGGCTATCAACCCGCTGAACCCCGTCTGGGGCACGTTCTGTTGGAACTGGTGCAGCTGCAAGTCCACCATGCTGTTGACAGGCCGCAAGCCGTTGTCCACTGGGCCCTGCTTGCGCTGAGGCTGGTTCATTCCCGCTAAATTCGACATGCTGTTGATGGCCCTCAAGTCGCCACTAGCGTAGTTATTCGCCATCATGGCTGCGTTGTTCGCCACGGAAGCTGGCAAGTCGGTCACGCTGTGGTGGCTGGGGATGTCTATGACTCCCTGACCGCCCATGTTCATCTGGGCGTGGGGCATATTGACGGTGGTGGAGTTGCTGGTGGTGTTGCTGACGTCCTTGGACGCTGGCAGCTGTTGCAGCTGCGCAGGGGCCTGGCCGTTGATATTCATAGGCAAGCCTGGACCCACTGCTGCTGTAGGTGCTGGGGGAGGTATTTGGTACTGGGCACTGGGAGCCTGCCGCACAGGCTCACGAGGGTTGTTGAGGGTGGTTGGAATGGTGCTGGGGATCGAGGTCACGTTGCTCTGGCTACTGGCAGTGACTTGGGTGGCATAGTTGGCCTGCTGTATTATCATGTTGAGCGCTTCAAATCCGCCCACCGATTGTGCCAACATCGAGCAGTCCTTGTGGCTCACCAACACCCCCTTGAGCGTGATCACCTGGTCCCGCAACTGGCTCACTTGCGCAGACAACTCCCTATAGCCCGTGGAATAGAAGCTCAACTCGTCCTCCATCTTCTGGATCAACTGCTTCTTTCTCTGACGACACTTGGACGCTGCCACTCTGTTCCTCTCCAAGAAACTCTTGCGCTTGTCTGCCAGCGACGAGGGCCCGCCATCGGGAGAGTCGCTTTCGACCTTGCCGTTGTTGGTGGCTTCTGGATCCTTTTTGACCTTGGTTGTGACCTTTTTGCCAGTGGCCCTCTTCTTGGGCTCTGTCTTCTGTTTCTTGTTCTCTCGTTCTCCGCTTTCGGCGCTGCGCTTGCTGGACTGAGAAGCTGGCGACGTGGATGTGTCCTCTGCTTCTCTTATTTTCGGCATGGCAAACCCTCCCACATGGTTTTCGGTGGTGAGTGCTTGAGGTGGCACTACATTGTTCTGGTCGTAGTGTGGCTGGTTTATCTGCATGCTTTGTGGTAATGGTTGTTGTTCTTCGTGTACATTTGGCCCTCTTTGTTCCTGTCTGAGTTGAGGATTGGGCTGTTGTGGTTTCTGTTGGAGGTTATTATTGGCCAAAGGCATGCTCTGGCCCGTGTTGGTCATACCAAGAAGACTCAGGAGGCCAGGAGTCATTGGACTGTTTAACAACGCACCTGGGGTGGTTAAGCCTGGGACCGAATTGAAGGGGAACGACGAATGGTTTATAACGCCTGGGGTTAATCCTGAACGAAGGTTGGATTCGTTAGGAGTGAGTCCCGTTTTCCTGATAGAGTTCACAAACTGGTTAAAGCCGTTGTTCTGGTTAGACGAAAATGGATGGGCCGATGCTTCAGCGTCGCCCTCGGGGTTGGCGGGTTGGGTTCCGTTATTGGTATTATTGCGCGAGCTGGGGTTATTGGTAGCACTTATTAAGCTGTTCCAGAGGTTGGAGCCTGGAGTCTCGGGGTTGGTCAAGTGGCTCCCAGGAGAAAGACCCAAAGGAGGTAATCGTCTTCCTGAAGGAGTGAATAGAGGAGGAGTGATTCCTGGGAGTTTTGTGTGTGGCTGGTGGGTCAAGGTGGAAAGATTGGGGATGTGCAAGTTGTGCTTGTTGTTTGCCTTGGCTGACGACGACGTGGAGGTCAGGTCGGTGCTGGGGTTCTTGGGGGCCAGGAGGCTCGAGTCATTAGGCTCCTTGTTGGCAAAAGACCTCTCGAAAGGGTTGGGTTCTAACTCGAATGAAGTTTTCAGCTAAAAGTTAGTACGGTACGACGGAAATCATCACGGTGACTGCTGGGCTCCAACGTCTGGTACTATGACCATGTGTGACGTAATAGTACTCCTGACTCATGTCATCAGTTTCGAGGCGCCGAAACGACAACGGCAGCTGTGTTGCTAGCTCCATACATACATCACTCGACATGGCTGCAGGTAACGATAGAATTAGCTCCTAGACCTTGGGGTTGCCACGGGCCGTTTGTTGTGGAAGATGATGTTAGTAATATAAATTCTCACCACCGCATTTTGTCCCGTGATTCATCGGCACTTACGTCATTTATGATGCCTCGGAGCCAGGGAGGCGGAATTTTTTGGGCACATCAGCTGTACAGATTTGCGAGCAGCAACTGTCTAGCAATGCCAGATCCACTTGCCATAACGCCTGGTTGCTGATGGCAACGGCTGCATGGGGGGTATTCACAGAGAGTGTCAAAATTCGATTGATGCCGCGAGCTCCCACCAGTGAGTATGGCCTACACGGGAGTGGCCACTCGGCCAATGGCCCCGGATGGATCTTCCGTGTCTCTACCAAGTAACACCGTTGCCATGTCTCACTGTGTAATGGTTATTTTTGTCAAGCGCATCTATTGCTACGGGCTCCTGATTGCTCATGTATGTGCTAAAGATAAAAGCGTTGACGATTGTCAGCGCTCACAACAAACCGTAAACTACTACTCCATGTTTTGCAAGATCTTGTCGAGCTTCTTCTTCAGCTCGGCCTTGGTGTCTTTCACCAATTCCGGGTTTTTCTTGACCTCTTCCAACGCCTCTGCTTCGGGTGCCTTGTCGGCAGGCTTGGCCTTGGGTGGGTTTTGCTTGTCTATCTTAACAGCAGGAGGCTGCATAGTAGGCTCCTCAGTCTCGTCGATCTTTCTTCTCCAACCTGTCTTCAAGAACTCGTTCGTGTCGAATCTGGGGAATGGGTGCGCCTCGGTGTTGAAAACGTACTTGTCCAACGGAATCTTGTTTTCGTCATCAAACAACAAGTACAAGTACTTCAAAGTCTCGGCAAACCAGAACGACTCAACATTGTCCTTCTTGGTGGAAGGAATCTTGGTCACGTCATCCAACGAGGTGTATGCAACCTCCCCTTTGTCGTTGACGACCTTGGTGTGAGTGAGGAAACTCTGGAAAATCTCGTAACCATACTCACGGTACTTGACATCTCCAGTTAACCTGTACAAATAGAACAAAGACTCGACAGTTTCTGGACGCTGTAAGTTGTGTCTGTCCAATGGCTTGATGTGGAAGTCCTCCTTGCTGTTTGCAGCTTGGTTGAAAACGACGATTTCTGGTGATAAGCCAGTAGCGACATCCTTGTACATCTTGTAACAAGTGTAGGTCAACTCTTCTGCCAACTTGAAGTCAGATTCCTTGTCTGGCGTCCAGTTTGGCAAACGCTTGGCCTCCTCGTAAGTCAAACCGTTGGTAGCACCCAACGCCAATAATCCACCGTAGAAACAAACCAAGTGGTCCATTTTTGGTGACAATCCACCACCAATACCGTTGTCCAATTCTCCGATAAAGGTCAATCCGTTTGGCTTCGATTTACCAACCATGTGCTTCTTCACTCCCTCCACGGATTCACGGTACATATCCCAATACACTTGTTCCTGGTTGTTGGTTTGCAAGTATTGTTTCAACAAGTACTCGTAGTAAGAGTCACCTCTGGAGCCCAATCTTATTAAATTGCCTTGGTACTTACCGGTGTCTGGATGGACATATATAGGAACAAGTCCATCCTTTGGCTTATTTGCATCCAAAATCTCCATCACCTTTTCGGCTGCCTTCCAGTACAAGGTCTCACCGGTCAATTTAGACAAGTATTTGAATTCTAACTGCAAGGTCGACACCTCGGCTGTTGAAGATGCACCATTGTCCACATGGTTCTTGACCCCCTCGCCAGAGTATAAGTTAACCGAGGAGTATGGCAAGCCTGTAGGACTGTGGAAACCACCTTCCAATGCATTGGCCAAATCCACAGCCTTGTCCAAATAAACATCGTCCTCTGTAAGGTGGAAAGCAGACAAAAGACCACCCAACATTCTGATTGTCGTTTCAAACACATTGACTTCGTAGTCAAATCCGTAGTCGAGGTCCTTGACCACCCACAGCCTGGCTCTTTCCACCTCGTCCTTTGCATCCATCAAGATCAAAGTGTCCAAACTGTCGACTATCATCCACCCCAAGGGTTTGGGGCCCATGTTCTTGCCGGTCTCCGAGATAGGGTGGTAGACATCCTTGCCCCAGCCGTACTTTTCATAGTTGTGCCACGAGTCCAAAAACACGTCTTTGACTTCCTGCTGGCGTTTGCTCCAATTGGACGAGCTGGAACGCTCCAAGGCTCCAGACGATGCCAAGTAGTATATGATATAGAGCACCACTGATCCCAAAAGTGTCTTCATCAACAACACTTGCTTTCTGCCCTTGGGGGAGGGCTTGTCCTTGTAGTACATTGGAAGCGGGGTATTCTTCTCGGGGTGTTGTTTTCTGGCACGCCACCGTTTATCTGTATCGCCTATAGAGATTCCGTCTGTGTTGAACGACAAACTCATAATGTGTTGTCGTGTTCTGAGTACACCGGGACGATTTATGGAGGGGTGTCACGTGATCCGATGCATCGGGGAGCCTTCCTTTACCCCCGAGTGTGGTGGTGGTTTCTGGTGGTAGGTGGTGGTTTCTGGTGTCAACTACGGCTACTTGTGACTGTCGTCCTGTTTATTGCATCTGCTAGAATACAGTTTCTCCTGTTTTGCACATTTAGGTGCTACGCGAAATCAAATTTGCAGCTGGTCATTCGCCGCTGATTTCACCGCAAGAAGCTGCCACCAAAGGAACCACCAGCGATAGAGAAGAGGCCCATTAGCTGCTGTGAATAGCCCCAGTGCTCTATCTGCTCGCAATAATCACCCTTGGTGGTCTCCCATTGGATGCTTCTTTCTCGCTAGCCGGCTTAGTCCACTAAATCGGTGTACGCGCCAAAACATCACCAAAACATCGTACTCATTACTCCACAATAGAAGTGAAATCCCCATGGTCAAATCAAGGAGCGAGGAAAAGATCAGGTTTGGTGTTCTTGATATCGTCAGGATTCTTGGAGGAATCCTCGCGTTCAATGCACTCCTTTCATGGTGGTTCACCTCCACTGGCACCTGGGGCTACCGTGGAAGGTGGATCGACCCCCGTTACGTCAAGTTCAAGTTTTCCCCGGGGTATCTCAACCTTACCATAGCAGAGTTGGCGTTGTACAACGGCAGCGATCCCAAGTTGCCCATCTACGTCGCTATCAACGGCAGCGTCTACGACGTCACCAAGTCCCCAGGCATTTATGGGCCTGGCGGCTCGTACCACAAGGTCAGTGGAAAGGACAGCGCCCGTGTGTTTGTCACCGGGTGCCTCATGAAGGAGGACGAGTTCACCTACGACTTGAGGGGTTTGGACCAAGACGAAGCTGCCTACGATATTCTCCAATGGCAGCAGTACTTCCACAACAGCGAACGCTACTGGTACGTGGGGTCTGTGCAGCACGATCCTCTCACGGGGGATCCACCTGCTCCGTGTGACCATATCAAGTACCCCGGCCGCTCAGTATAGGTCCACTTCCACCTTTGCAATTCCATCACCCAATATCTATTTTTACAGTCACCGCCAGTTTTCATATTAACGTATAGCCATTATTCTAGCAATAAATTCATACAGTCTACGGGATTCCAGCCATGGTCTGACGTTTTTTGATTCACTCCGGATCCTTTGTATCCGAAGAATCGCTATGGAATGCACAGTTACCTTCAAGGGTCACTTGCAGAATCTAAGCTCTTTTGCAATACTCCCAACAACTCGTCGGGATCTTCCAACCCAATACTTATTCTGATCAAGTTTCTATCCACATCCCACTTGGCAATTTCGTCCAATTCCTGGTAATGAGCCAAAATCGCATATGGGCACGCCAACGTGAAATTGGTACCCAAAGATGGGCCCTTGTGCAAATTGACTGCATTGAAGAAACGAACGGCATGGATGGGGTTATGGAAAAGAAAAGATAATAAGCCTCCGTAGCCTCCATCTGGAGTCTTGATTTCTTCATAATACTTTTTGGATTCTCCAATACTTGGATAATACACTTTGGAAATTAAGGGCAGCTTCTGGAGCAAGTCCACTGCCAACAAAGAGTTTTCGTTGATCTTAGCCGATCTTTCAGCAAAGTCACGGGAGTTTCTTTCCAAGTATAACCCGTCTTCGTCCCAGAACAAGTCTTCATATTCTTCGTCGAAGAATTCCTTGAACTTGTGATAATGCTTTCCAAGAGGATTCAATATAAGAGAGCCACCCATCACATTAGAGTCACCGGAAAACACTTTTGTCAACGAGGATGCAACCATATCGGCGTAAGGTAACACATGGATATTTAAGAAGTTACCCACGGTCTCATCGATGACAACTGCAAAATCATATTTATCGGCCAAGGAACGGATTCTCTTCAAATTGGGCGTTTTCAACAACGGGTTGGATGGACATTCACAGAAAAGTGCCATCACATCGATCTCACCAGACTCAAGCTGTTTTTCAAGGGTATCCAACGAGGCATCATCTCCAAGCCCCAAGAAGTGCACACCCGGACCGAATTTCTTGAGGATGTTGAGGGTGTCCACATATGGGAACCCGAAACACACCGATTTCTTGGGCGTGCTCCAAGTTTGAAGGAGGGCGTAGTGGGCGAAGAAGATGGATGCCATGCCCGTAGGAAACAAATAGACGTCGGTTTCACTCAAGTTTTTGCCTCTCTTTGCCTTTTCGATTTCTTCTTGCTGGTTGTGGGAGTGATCGACCTTACCACAGATTCTTCTTCTCAATGCTATTTTTGCCTGTTTGGCAAACTTCAAGTCCAACACTCTGCCGAACTTGTGTTCGATGAAGGCATTGTACTCTTTTTCTGCCACCTTGTCGGGGGCGTTGATGGAGGAGAACGAGGCTGCGATGGAGGGCGACCTGCGTTGGATCTGCTGGGCCTGTTGCAGGGCATTGGAGTAGCCTGAATTGCCGACAGATCCATCGTCCTCGTCTCCAAACAACGCATGGAGAACATACTCTCCCATTCTGGAACTGATACCCTCGCCTGAGTGCTGCCAGTAGGACTTGGCAAGGGGGAAGAGCGAGGCCTGCAAGAACACCACGCCGATGTTGGACTCGATCTTGGTGGAGCTCTCGTCGGCGTTGGCTGGAGGAGGAGTGCTTAACTGGAGGATACGGACCGCAGATCCATTGGCATCCGAGCCAGCGTGGGTCTTAACAAACTCCCGGCACCGTTTGGCCACCTTGTACGAGGGGAAGATCACAGCAACCTCGTTCTGTCTGCCGTACTTTTCTTCGAGCTTTTTGGCCAATTTCTTGATGGAGGTATGGATGAAGAATCTAGGGTAGCCTGAGGTCATCTTGTTGACCACCCAGCTTTCGCCCTCTTCGTAGCCCACAGTGGCTTCCCAGGTGGGCAAGCTCACCGACACGGCATGGGGGACGTTCGGGATGGGGGCACCTATTTCTTGGGTAGGCATGATGAAGAGTAGTAAGGTGGTTGAGATTAGTGTGACTCCGATAAGGGTGGTGGGAGTCGCACGGGGACGCCGCGACCGTGGTGGAAGGAGTAGTGCCAGTCGCCGGGAAGTCGCACTGGAGTAGTGCCAGGCGCACTGCTAGCCTAGTGCCAGTCGCACGGGATGCCGCCAGAATAGTGACACTCACCACCGGCCATCGCTTTACCTCGCCGATCGTCGCCCCCGGAAATTTACCGCCGTGACTCAGCGATTCTCGCTAGATGATGCCAAAAAACGTGAGAACAATAATGATGATCTATTAATGCAGAATATACAGAGATTAATTATTACGACTTGATGCAGTTAACAGAACCTTCTTGAAGGCGCTTGAGATCGGAGCCGTTGACAGCAGGTGTAGCAGCAGGTGTAGCAGCAAGTGTAGGAGCAGCTCTGTTGTGCTGCATATGGGACTGAACCAAATGGCCAGCTGCCAACGCAGAGCAGAGCGAAAGCTCGGCTGCCAACACAGCTGAGGCCACGATCCGGGCCAATTGCCTGGCGTTGTCACCAGGGTTGGTGGGGTGAGGTCCACGCACACCCAACAACTCCAACATGGCACCTTGTGGATCCAACACCGTTCCTCCTCCAATGGTACCAACCTCGATGGAGGGCATAGAAACCGAGATCTGCAAGTCTCCGTTTGGAAGCTTGTTCATCAATGTAATACAGTTGGACGACTCCACGTTTTGGGCAGGATCTTGACCACAGGCCAAAAACACGGCCGTGACCAAGTTGGCAGCGTGAGCGTTGAATCCTCCCACTGAGCCTGCCATAGCAGAACCAATCAAGTTCTTGCTGATGTTCAACTCAACAAGAGCATCGACCTCGGATTTGAGCACCTTGCGCACCACGTCGCTGGGGATTCTGGCCTCGGCAACCACTGACTTACCTCTTCCTTCGATCCAGTTGATAGCAGCAGGCTTCTTGTCGGTACAGAAGTTACCGGAAACAGACACCACGTTCATGTCCTCGAATCCACACTCTTCAACCATGTACTTAAGGGCGTATTCAACTCCCTTGGAAATCATGTTCATACCCATAGCATCACCGGTGGTGGTCTTGAAACGAATGTACAACAAGGTCCCGGCCATGGCGGTTTTGATGTGTTGTAAACGAGCGAATCTGGACGTACTGTTGAATGCCTTCTTGATCGTCTTTTGACCTTCCTCGGAGTCGATCCAAATCTTAGCTGCACCGGCTCTAGCCAACGATGGGAACGAAACACAAGGTCCTCTGGTCATACCATCTTGGGTTAAAACAGTTTGGACACCTCCACCAGCATTGATAGCCTTACAACCACGCATGGTGGATGCAACCAAACAACCTTCAGTAGTAGCCATGGGGATGTGGTATGGCTTGTCGTCGATATACAATGGACCAGCAACACCAACTGGGATAGGCATGAAACCAATAACATTCTCACAACAAGCACCAAATACCCTGTCATAATCGTAGCCATCGTATGGTAAACGCAAAGTATCCAAAACAGGGGCATCCGCAATCTTAGCAATAGCCTTACGACGAACAACCACGGCTCTGGTGTTGTCACCCAATTGCTTCTCCAAAGCATATAAAGGCAATTTACCAGAAACAACTAAGGAACTGATTTCATCGTCATTCAAAGTCTTAACATTACCGTCCTTGAGCACCTTGGCACATTCTTCCAATGGAAGTTGCTTTGCTTTGGCGGTAATTTCCAATTCGAGAGAAGAGTCGTCGGTTTCATCAGATTGAACGTTGACAATTTTTGAGGCAGGAGACTTGGACTTGGACTTCTTGGACTTCTTGGCCTTTGGCTTGGAAGTAGCGGCCTTTGGTCTGGAGATTTCGTTTTCAATCAACTTGTTAGTGGTTGAAGCTTGGTGACGGGAAGCATTTAAGAAGTAAGCGTTGGTACTGATGGAAATAGCAAATCCAAATAATAAGAACTTGGAAATTAATTTGTCTCTGATGGCCCTGCTGATTTGTTCCAAAACCAAGTAAACAAATTCTTCGATCTGAACCAAAGCACCCAATGGCTGGTAAACTCTGGTTGGGAAAATTGTAGCAATAGTACCCTTCTTTCCAATTGGAAGGTGCTTAGCAGCGGCCTTGGATAAATTGGTTGGGTTCAAAGTGAAAGCGCCAGCTTGTTCCTGAGAGTTGTATAACCAAGAGCTTCCCAACCAGAACGCATGGAAAGCAAAGAAAGCCGCAATCATAGCGACCTTGAATGAAACAATGGAAGTATCTTGAGAATTGAAAAGAGAATCTTGGTGAGGGTGTTCAAGATCAGCGGATTGTTGAGCCACGTTTTGGGCAACCAAGTAGGAGATGCCTTCTTCTTGCAAGGCTTGTTGCAAGTCCTTGGTTCTGCGAGCTCTGTTGATTTCAACCTTCAACGCCAAAATGGCCGAGTAGAAGGTGTAGACCAACAACAAGTCGAAAGACAAAATCAAAGCACTCAAGATGCAAAAGTTGGTCAATCCCACCAAGTGAGGAGCGTAGAAAGTGATGGAGAGCAATGCAGAAATGACAACCAAGTTGTCTCTCAACAAACTGGTGGTGTGAGCAGCAATGGCGTTGGCCACGATGGTCTTACTGTCCAAGGCCGAGCTGGAAGCGTTCATGACGGAGGCGGCAATGGACACCTTGTGCTTGAAGCCAATGATGGCCACCAAGAACGGAATGCCCTCGGAGATGCTCAAAAGAGGGACCTTGGCATCCAACACTCTGATGGTGGTGAACAAAGCAAAAAGGAACGCAAACGTGGACGACGACAAGGTGGAGAACGCCAACCAGAACTTGGAGCCCACCTGTCTCATGTCGACGAACACCTTGACAAGGGTGTACCACATGGCCACGTAGGCCACTGTGATCAAGAGAATGTCGAAGTTTTCTGCGCCCTGGATCAAGCTCTTGATTTTGCGCAAGCCAAAGCGGGCGTAGTCGTAGTACTTGCCGATTCTCTGGCTGTGTCTAGCCTTCAAGGTCTTGCCGTCGGCGTGGATCTTTTCTGGCAAGCTGGCGTCGAGCTGGTCGGACTCAATGATGAACAAACGGTGGCTGGCGTCCACGCCGTCGAACGTGTGTTCCAACGCTGGGGCAGCGCTTCTGGCGAAGCGTAACGGCACGATGGATATCTGGGTGGCGTCTGGGTATAGCGATGCGTCCTCGAGAGGCACCCAGTTCTTGTACTTGGCGTAGCCCGGAGGGTGGTAGTACGAGACGCCAGCACCGTAGTTGTGGAAGCTGTCAGGCACGTACTCGTCCACCACCGACAAGTAGGCGACGGAGGCGAGCAAGGCTGACACTATGATGAAGTGGATGGGGCGGTGAGCCGACAATCTGGCCAAGCCAGACGTGGCGTCAGTGATAAAGCCTAGCATGCTAGAGCGATGGGCTGGCAGTGTTGCACGAAGTGGTAGTCCCAAAGAAGTTCCCACGATGACTGGCAGTGAGTATGGTGGTTGTTGCAGTCGGGTAGTGACGCGGAGGGCTGCAGGGTCTGTGTTGGAAGATCCTGAAGGGTTCTAGCACTGAAGTCGAATTGCCGCTTTGTTCAAATGACAAACGATCGTATACTGTCTAAATTTTTCGTCGTTCGCGTCGGGGAAACGATGGGGTTATGAGGAGAATTAGCAGAGTTAGCTGGAGCAGGGAAAAGACTGACAGAGTGGCAAGGGGGGATGGGGGGATGAGATCTACATGCTACGGTGATGTTGGTGGTGGCAATGGTGCTGGTCGTGGTGGGGATAGCGGTAAGGGCCAGGAGACGCTGGCACTGTCCAATTGGTCCCGGTGGTCCCTCGACGCGTGAATATCACCCAATACGAGATGACGAGAGTAAGCGGTGCGGGTGCGTGGCCGCAGTACGGGCGGGGCATGGTGTCCCAGTACGAGCAGTGCGTGGTGGGTCGCAGTGGAGGGTGGATGTTTCGTTAGAATCAGTCGCTAGCGGGAGGAACTGGCCCCCGCCAGTGGGATTTCAGGGCCCTAGCGGGACATCCCACCGGTGCCAGAGTCCTAAACAATAGTTAGCGAGGTTTCCTTCGTGCCAAACAGCTGCTAACTCAGGACGCTGCGATGGCCCCAGGCGGGCCAGTGCGGTGGAAAGAGATTTTCTGGCACAAACTAGTCAAGTCTGAAAACCGTCTCAACCAGCCAGAGGCTGCTTTGCAATTCTTTCGGTCTAGCCTTCATTGGTTGACTATTTGTACTGACACATGAGCTGGCTCAGGGTGAATGTAAAGTCTGGTGCAACGAATATCATTATTTGAGTAGAATTCGCTGCTGTAATAGGCTAATTGTATTAACTTTGGATACTTGCCTGGGTGCCGATACAATAAGTAGAAGATTTTGAATAATCTGAAAAAAATTAATATCAACTGATACCTCGCTTGAAGTCGCAGTTAAGTGCAATAAATTAATGATACAATCACTGATAATCCGTTTAGTGTCGTGACTGCGATAGAGGTTCCTTGGTGGCAGCTTTAGAATTGAGCTGGGGAACCCCTATAAATTTGTGGGTGAGGAAATTAAATAAATATGGCTAGAGCACAAAACTGGTATCATTTCTATTCTTAACCAGATACAGATAGTTGGTGACAGATGGACTGTTCGAAAGGTGCTTGTATCTCTGGTGGTGGCTCCCATTCGAGTTACCAGCCATCGAAATTTGTTGCTCTGTAACTCGGAGCTCGCCTTTCTTCCTAAAATTCATAGCTATTAAAATGAAGTATACAATTGAGTCTTTCTGAATTTATTGAGTTAAGTTTCGAAAGGGTCTGTACTTTTATCCATACTTCGAAATTGCATTTCCTTCGGAAAATCCCATTTTCTTGGTTGAATAATCCCTTGGAGCAAATGTTTCGCTATATTGTCCTTTACACTATTTTACTTCCGACTCTCAACAGATGAGTACCGTTCCCTTGAGCAGTGGACCTTGAGCGAGATGATTTCTCCCGTAATTTCTGTAGTTTTGGACCCGTTCAGTCGCTATTGCTGCCTGGGTTGCGATTTTGCAACTCCAAATTGAATTTCCATCCCCAATGAAGCTACATTGAATAACTTTCTCAGTGCAACCATTGGAAAGTAACTCTTTCGAATATCAACCACTGGAATTGTTTGTACAATTTGCAAATAGAAAATTTAAAGAATGGCCCATATGCTGGTGAGTAGTATATTATCAAAGAAACAACTTGTTACATCCCTATTTTTGGTTCCAACAGCTCCTTCATAACATTCAGCGAAGTAGAACAGATCCTTTATCTCAACGCAGCTCTGGCCACATCATTCCTCTCCCGATATAATCATACCCACTAGATCATGCCTCAGAAGAAACAAGTAGATGAACCTAGTCGTAACCAGCCTAGCTCATGACAAACTGCACTATTCGCTACTGATTGTTTTATACTAGTTCAATAAGCCTGTTCATTATATTAAACGGATTTAAGCATTTTTCAGGCTAATTGAAATGCTCCAAGCCAATATTAAAGAGCAATTTGTAGACTGATACCACACTTATTCCACAAATTTACCCACTATACAATACCTTCACCCTTTCTACACTTTTCTAGTCCATCATATACATTATAAGTAATCTACTTAAGAGAAACCAACTTGATGTCGAAGGTCAACTCGGAGTTGGCTGGAATTCCTGGCAAGGATTGGGAGCCGTAACCCATCTTGGCTGGAATGACAACTCTTCTCTCACCGCCGACAGCCATGCCAGCAACACCGAGATCGAAACCCTTGATGCACTCACCCTTACCTAAACCAAAAACAAATGGCTTACCAGAGGTGTTCTTGTCAAAGACCTTACCGTTCTTCAACTTACCAATGTAACGGATACCAACTCTGTTACCAGACTTGGCAGCTGGACCCTTACCGACCTTTCTGTCTTCGGTAACAACACCTCCCAACAAGGTCTTGGTTGGGTACTTCTTGGCACCGGCTTCGTCCTTGTTGGATTCGTCCTTCTTGGCTTCTTCCTTCTTGGCTTCGGCTTCTTCCTTCTTGGCCTTGGCCTTTTCCTTCTTCTCCTTCTTCTTGTCAACCAAGGTGGAGCCAGTTGGGCCCTGTTCCAATTCCTTGGTGAACTGGACGGACTTCTTTTCTTCCTTCTTCTTCTTGTCCTTCTTGGATGGTGGCTGTTCTTGCTCGTCTTCTTCGGCAGCTCTCTTCTTGCTCTTCTTGTCGTTTTCGACCAACTCTTCGATCTTGTTTTCGATGTCAGATTCGTCTTCCAAGTCGTCCAAGTCGTATCCGTCACCGTGGATGATTTCATCCTCATCTGGGGACAAGTCGTAGTCGTCTTCGTCGTACTCTTCGTCTTCGTCAGAGTCTTCGTCGGCTGGGTGCTCCACGTAGTTACCGGTCAAGTGGATGGCGTATGAACCGGTGACAACGAAGAAGACTTCTTCATCGGGGCTGATGGTCAAGTCAATGGTTTGTTGGAATTGGACCTTTGGAGACAAAGTACAGACAACAAACTCGGAAATGTCATCTTCATCCTCGTCGTCGTCAGAACCGTCGATGTCAAGGTCTTCTTCGTCTTCGTCCACCTCTTCTTCTTCGGCCTTCTTGGCCTTCTTACCCTTCTTCTTTGGGGCTTCTTCCACTTCTTCCTCTTCTTCTTCGGAGTCTAACTCGTCAGCTTCTTCGGCTTCAAGGTCAGAGTCTTCTTCGTCGTCAAGGAATGGTAAGGTTCTCTTTAACAATCTCAAGGTAGATGGCTCTTCCTTGTCATCGAGGGCTTCTGGGTCCACGGCAGCCAAGGTCAATCTGATGGTGACTGGGTAGTCGTCCTCGATAGCAGGGACTGGGTTGAATGGCTGAACAGCCAAGTTGTAGGTGGAAATAGGAATCAAACTAGCCATTGTGGTTGTGATGAGTAGAACTACAGACTAAATTATTACTGATGGAGATGAGATGAGATTTTTTTCAGGGCGTGGGAGGATGGTCACGTGCGAGGACCAGCCATCAGGCAGCCTCGGGTGATGTAGACACTAACGGGAGGCAGAAGCGGAGACCGGCACTACAGACTACTGTTGTTATCGTTTGAACTGTATTAAATATACAAAGAGAAAATTCACCACTAAACTTCAAAATTAAACAAGGCTAACCACCAAAGACTTGACTTATGTACATCTTGAGGTCAAGGCCCTGTATATTAGATTTTTTTGCTGTTTATTGATTAGAACTTCAACAAGTGTGGTTTGTCACCGCTCTTCAAGGAGAAAGAAGCAGACAAGTATTGTTTTAATAATGGGGTCTTCTTGATTTGAGCCAACAAAGCAGCGTCAACGGTCTTTTGGTCAGCGACTCTTTCGGCCTTGATTTCCTTCTTTGGTTCTTCCTTGAAGAAAGCTTCTTCGGTCTTTCTGACGAATCTTGGGGCCTTTTCTCTGGCAAAGTATTCGACGTCGAACTTGGAAACGTCGACACCTTCAACAGAAACCTTGGTGGAGGTGGCAATGACGTAACGGGCGTTGACTCTTCTCAATGGGACACCGTTGACTTTGAATGGACCGGAGACCAACAAGGTGTTGTCTTCCAAGTTCTTCAAGTAGACGACTCTCTTACCTCTGAATCTACCGGCCAACAAGATCAAGACGGTACCTGGGACTAAGGAGGCACGCAACTTTTGTGGACGGGCAACCTTTCTAGATTGCTTTGGGACTGGGACGTCTTGAGATGAGTACCACTTTGGTGCCTAAACGTTAGTATGGGTTCGGTTTGCTGGGCCAACAGCACGGTTTTTCACCGGGAAAAACAGGCCTGTTTTCGTGGCTGGCGTCCACACGCTTGTTGGTGGTACTGGTGCCATGTTCTCTGCTCGTGGGTACATACAACTTGGCTCATTTTTGATCTAGTTTATGGGTGATGGTTAAACAAGTAGAAGGAAAGAATTTTTTCTATGTATTTTTCACTGGGGGTTGGCGGTACTGAGGACGGTGTGCCGGCAGGTGACTCGCGCGCCTGCGGTGGGCGCTGGGGGCAGAGGAACTCCCGGGCTGTGTGCAGGATTTGTGGGTGGAGGACGGTGCGGGTGGAGACTGGGTAGTGCACACAGACCAAATGGGACTGCTGGTAAATGGTGGTGGTCGGGTGACTGGCACGTGTTTTTGGAAAAGCAGTCACAGTGGTGGAAGCGGCAGTCACGCGATTTGCAGCCACTTGGAGGGGTGGATCTAGATGCTAGCACTGGGGTAGTGAAGTATGGACCAGACGGTACCATCAGGCAGTATAGATGGAGACTATACTATAATGCAGTATGGGTGCAGACTACATCCGTACTTCAACTTTCTGGTAATTTCTACCGTTGTAGCCGCCAAGTGCAACCCTACCAAGGAGACGGATGTTTCGGGATGGGAGGTAAACCAGAATGCCTGGAAAATGAATATGGCTGTATGATGTGCAACGAGGTTGGGGAGGATAATGGATGTTTGTTTGCACTGTCCTGGGGTAACCAACGCAATCGGATACGTCAGAACATTACTACTCAATACACTCTTGAAGAGCTAAACCATTATCTGATACTTCAGAACACGTTCTTGAATAGCTGAACTGTTATCTGATAACAATCATCTGACACTTCAGGACAATACGTTCTTGAAATAGCTGAATTATTATCTGATTCCAGGTTATTACTACCAATTTACGTTCTTGAATAGCTGAATTATTATCTGATTCCAGGTCTTATTACTACCAATTTACGTTCTTGAAATACCTGACCACTAATCTGATTCCAGTTATCATCACCACTCAAATACGCTCTTGGGGAGTAACCAAAGCAATTATCTGATTCCAGTTATCGTCACCACTCAAATAAGCTCTTTGGGGTAACCTAGGAATTCTGATGTCAGGTCTGCATCAGTCATCGCTGGCCCATTTCTTGAACCAACCAAACAATGATGATTTCACTCCTCCCACTTCAATATCCTTGGGACTCCTATACGATTTAACATCCCCGTTCTCTCGATCTACTACTCATACAAAACATTATCAATGCATTCAAGAAATAAACAAATCATGTGGACAAGTATCTGATGTTGACGGTCAACTCACCTTCGCCAGCATTCAACACAATATTTTCGGCCTTATTCAATACCTCAACTAATGGCAACACAGTGTGGCCCAAATTGACAGTCTTGCCGAAAGTGTGATGTTCTCTAACATAGAAGTGCAACTCTCCACTACTGGCAGACTTGAAGGGGGTGGATTCGTTCCACCTGTACAAGCCTGTTTCCTTGTCCACCTTGGTGGCTCTGGTCTTGTAGAGCTCCTTGTCCTTGGTGGAGGTCTTTAATGAAATCTTGACTTCCAAGTTAGAGTTGGAAAATCCTTGTGCCGACACAACACTGATTCTACCAGGAATGGTTCCTGGTCCATGAATACTGGCGGCATAACTATCTTCAGTAGCCATACTGGCGGTACGACTGTGGGTCATATGAGGTCTTTGAGGGGCTGGTAAGTTTTCAGCATGGATATTTGGAACACCAGCAACATTCTTACTGTTAGTGGCGACTCCGGTTCCCACGCCAGGTTGTTGCGATCTTTGACTGTGTAAGTCTCCATTTTGCTGTGACTGCTTGCTATCAAGTTGGCTAGAAGATCTACCATAGGTACTGGACTCTCCGTTGGTGTATTGAGATTCATTTTCACCATCTTCGTCTTCTTCGTCGTCTGACTGTGCTTGCTTGGCAGCAGTTGGTGCCTCTTCAGCATTGGCCTCGATTGAGTTAGGATCCAATTCTTTCTTGTCTTCCTTCTTCTTTCTTCTTCCCAATCCCTTGAGGAATGAACCACCCTTGGTTACACCGTCAGTGGCCAAACCAATACCACTTCCAACAACATTAGTAGCTACACCAGCAGCACCTCCCACAACCTTCAATGGAACACCAGAAACAGCACTCAAATCAATTGGTAATCCACTTGCAGAGTGCAATTGAGGTCTAATGTATTCTGGTTTGAAAGTAGCACGCAAGTTAACGGTACCTTGAGTATCCAAGTTAACTTGGAATTGAGTAGAATTGTGGGGTTCAATAGTTGATAAGTCTAAGTTGGCTCTGCCCAACAACTCATCGTCGTGAGTCAAATCCCAATCATACACTTCCACCAAGACAACTTGTCTGGAACGAGAAATAAGTGGGAAATCAACGGCTTCGTTCCAAATTGGATCCAATGTCTTTCTCTTCTTATCAGTTTTGTAAATTTCAACACCATCCAATTTAACAACAACCAATGGATCAGACTTTCCGTTGGAATCCACGGACTTCAAGTTTTCAGCACTCAAAATATCTAACTTCATGTGACCAACGTCCAAAATGGTGTCTAATGGAGCAAGCTTGAAGGCAGATGGAATGAACTCGAAGCGAACTTGGACGGAGTTTTTATCGTTGATTCTCAAAGTAATTGGCTTTGCAAAGCCTCTCTTCAAACAATCAAGAGTGTCAAAGATCTTTTCAGCAATAACATCCTTTTCTCTGTTGACATCCACTCTTTTGGCGAGTCTAATAATCAACTTGGAATTTGGCAAATCTCTGATGAAACCTTCACCACTGGAAGAAACCAGCAAGTGTCTTCCCTCAGCCCTAGGACTTACACCAGATGGATAGGAATGGTCATCGAACAAAGTGTGAACATATAAATCAGGCTTGTCAAACGAACCGCTCAATAAGTGAACATTGAGAATACCAGTTCTGTACCTAATGGCCTTCTCCAATGGCATGGTAACCTTTGGAGGGCTTGGAACAATATCTTCATTAGTTTCAAGCCATTGATACTCATCTGGTTTTTCTTTGTAAAGTTTCTCCTCCTCTGCTTGTCTGGCGGCATCTTCAGCTTGCTTCTGTGCTTCAATCTCTTCGTACTCTTTCTTGTTTTCAATTTGGTGATGAGTGAAAACAGGAATTGTTGGAACAAAGGAGACAGAATAAGTCAATTTACCGTGTGGTTGACCATTCAAAAGAATTGGCTGTTCGATGAGTTCTTCTGAACCATCATAGGCCAAGTAGTATCCTTCATCATTTTTCTTCAAGAAATCGTTGACACTGATGGCGGCACTACCCAAAGTTCTATCCTTTTCATCTTCTTCGTCCATGAACTCAACCAAGAAATGTTGATGCTCATTAGCAACAGGAAGGAAAGAGACGGAATTGAAAGCAGGATCAAGCGTGTTCGCAAAGGTAGGAGTACGTCCTCTGACTTTACCGTGTAAGAGAATTCTTGCATATGGATCAATCTTTCCAACAGATTCAAGGTTTTTGAGACCAACAGCTTGACGCAAGTGCAATCTTAAACCACCAATAGAAGCATCCGGATAACTCTTGACAACACTATCATCAGTCATAGCCAACGACTTCCAGGTGGCAGAAATTCTAAATCTTGCAGGAGGAACATCTGGTTTAACTTGGTCACCCTTGATCCATTGTTGACCTCTGTTGGATTCGAAGATAAGATCTTGGATGTTAGCATCAACCTTACCGACCACTTGATCATCAACAGCATCTTTAACAATGATTTGGACACGAGTTTTAGATTGACTAGTGACCAAAGATTCGAAAGATTGATCCCAAACTGGTTCATTGATTTGTCTTAATTGACGACAAGTCTTAACACCCTTATAGTTCACGAGAATCTCAGCATATGGATTCAACAAACCAATAACAGATTGAGAAATATCCAAGTCTCTAGCTTCATGTAAGTTGATTTTCAAGATACCCACCTCCGCATCGGTGACAGGCTCCTTAGTACCATCTTCTAAGACCATAGGTTCCATTTGTGGGAACCATCTCAAATCATAGTCAATTTTACCCACGGTTCTTCCACCTTCAGTCAAAGACTTGACAACGTTCTTTTGGATTGGCTTTTGGTATAAATCGACCAATGGAACATCAATGTTACCAATCAATTGATCATCAGCTTTGTCTTTGAGGAAGTTGAATACATTCAAACTCAAGTGGTTTCCATCTAAATTGTTCACTAACAAGTAAATAGTTTCCATGTAAACGGGATCGTTAACCAATTTCTTAACCTTTGTCTTTTCTTCAACCTCAGCATTGTTGGAGATCTTCAATTCAACATATGGATTAAGACTGTTCTTTGGAGTTGGGTTACCAATTTTCAAGTGAGACAAACGGTTAATACCAACAGCAACAACACCAATGGAGTCATTGGATTGTTGAGCCATGATATCCTCGACGTCAATATCTAAGGAGTTTGGAGCATACAACATAGGTCTCAAGTTAGAATGGATCAAACCATTAACAAACTTGGACAAACCAGGGATGAAAGACATGATATCAATTCCGAAGGTGTCACCACCGACTGGCTTCAATGCGTAATCAATGGTTGGTGCTTCCAAGAACTGAACGGAAACCATTTTGACGTGAGGAAAGTTTTGAGTCAACTTCAATTTGATGTTCATTCTACCGGTAAACGACATATCCTCGACTAAAATAGGCAAAGACTTGGTGATAAAGGCCTTACCGACAGTAACACCCAAGGCAACCTTGGGATTGATCTTTTTCTTAATTTCGTTTTTGGTCATGTCATCAGTGTCGTTGGGAGTGAAAGAAAATGCCCAATCCATTTCAATGTGGTCGTGGCCCTTCTTGGTGTAGGACTTGATAGAGTCCACACGAGGAGCTTTAGAACCCAAGGTAAATTCGTCTAAAGACAAAGCCTCAATACCAAAACCAGGTGCTTGATCTTTTAAGATTTCATTGGTTTGGAACATGACGGTCTCCGACAATGCAGGCATGTAGATAACCCAGAACTTGTCCATGAACGAGTTCAACCACTCCATGGTTTCCAATTCGTTTTCCAATCTGTTGCTAGCGTTGATTCTGGTCATGTCATCTCTGATGTTACGGTTGAATCTTCTAAACTCCGTCCTATAGACAGAACTGGTGAACAACAAGATGAACCCTAAGGAAAGAATTCCACCTCCAATTCGAGCAATGAGCCATGAGAAGAAACAGGTTCCAACCATGATGGAGCAGTTCCAGTACCAGTCACCGTAGAAGTGGTCGGTGACGTAGCTCTCGATGGCCTTGATGATTTCCAACTGGTGCAATTTGTCCAGGGTGGAGGAGGAGTTCCAGAACCCGACGTTGGTCCACGAGAACGTGGAGCTGTTTCTGACACTGACCTTTTCCGGCTGGATCTTTTCTTCGTTTTTGGACCCGTCCACGGGGACTGAGTGGTTGTTGGCATTGTTGGCCACTTCCTTGTTGTAGTCCTGGACGTCTTCGACGCTCATCTTGCCTTTTGGCGGGCGGTCCTGACTGTTAGTCTCGAGCAATAACACTGGAGGGTGTGGGTCCATGTCGACCACTTGGACCGTTGGGGGCCAATTGGGCCACTAGCAAGTCGCCAGGGCCTTCGCGAGCCCCGGCAAGCCCACCACGGCCGCGTGATACTTACGTCTTCCATGATAATGGCGTGAGTGAAGATGATAACTGGTTATGCTGAGTTATAATCTTCGATTCACACCCTCCGGCATACAGGCCAGGGGTTTGTGAGACAGCAACAGCGCAACACTGAAATTTCATGCTGGAGGCAAGATGACCGCCTCCCGCCGCGTGGGACTGGCGCCAGTTTAGGGGTTGCGCTTAGGCCACAACCGTGCCGTGATATCTGGCAGTGGGTGGGGCTTTCGAGAGGCGTTTGAGGACGTTCGGGGACGTTTTCGCTGGTTTCAGAAGCTTATCTCCATGCTGCATGTGGACTCGAGATCTCGTGACGCGACGGCTCGCGAAAGCGAGATTCATGTTACTAGCGCTGAGCTGGCACAGCCCCATTACTGGCTGGAGGAAGGCTAGGGTTGTGCTACGGCTGATACCAGTACTGAGCAGCGTGGAGGCTATAACTTACGTGCTTTTTCCCACTTTGCTGTGGTTTTATTGGTTTTTACGGCTAGCTGGAACGGGGCCGTTTCACGCACGCTGTCAGCGAACATCGGCAGTGCAGTGTGCCTGGAGGCGTGTCTGGGCAAGTAACGTAACCGTCAAGGCTTGAGTAGAAGTGGCAGTAGACCAACCAGGAGAGGCAGTGAGATGGACGTCGGGTTGAGCAGATTACTTAGTCCACATCGCTTATTGATAGATCATTTGGCTCGATTAGTTAATCGTCGAACTCGGTTTTCGATGGACGATTTGGTCTAACTACTTGATCGTCGATATCCTTCTTCAGTCATCAGTTTCTGACGATAATGTACTGGAAACAATACAGACGGCAAACGTCCGCTACACAGCCCCTGCTCTACTGGTCGATAAAATATTATATGGATTTCTGTATGCTATTTACTATCAGAAATTAGACACTTTCCAAGACAACATCCTTGAAACCGGAAGAAACCTTCTTACCCTTTTCTTCGGTAGAACCTTCACCGTGCAAGGACAACAAAGCACCCAAGTCGAACTTTGGTTGCTTCAAGACCTTGACCTTTCTGACGTGAATGTTTTGTAATGGCAAGATGGTTTGGGTGGACTTTTCGATTTCACGGCCAATGACTTCTGGGATCAACTTGGAGGTTAATTGAGCCAAGGTGACGTTGGAAACTTCTCTTTGCATGATTTCGATCATCTTCTTTCTAACTTCTCTCAACTTGGAAGATTGAGCGTAGGTGGTCTTTCTTACTTGGTTTGGTTGTCTCTTGGTGAAGGCAATGGCGAAGACTCTCAAGACGTAGTCGTCAGCGGTCTTGACAGTGACGTTGGCTTCAACCAATGATTGCCACTTTCTGACCAAAGATCTCAATTTGTCGGAGGTAAAGTCTAAACCGTGGAAGTTGGTCAACAAGTTCTTACCTTGGACTTCGTCAACTCTCAACTTGACCTTTCTGTAGGAGTGGTCTTCGGAGCCTTGCAAGTCAGCCAAGCAGACTTCGACGACACGGCCCTTCAAGCCATCGGCGGCGTTCTTTAAACCGGTAGACTTGTTGATCAAAGTCTTACCAACGTTTCTGTTTTCAAAGGTAGATGGGGCCTTGATGTCAAACCATTCCTTCTTGGTGAATGGGTCAACGACCTTCTTCTTCAATCCCTTCTTTCCCTTGGATAATCTCTTGTTCTTACCAACAGCCATCTTTGTTGTGTACTAATCTAAAAGAGTCTGGTAAAAAGATATAAGAGCCTGACAAATTTTTTTCACTTGCCAAATTTTCCCGCCATAGTGAGTATGGTGCGGGAGAGAGGAGCTGAGGTGGGCCGGGGTGTGTGCAGGAGGGGCGGTGGGTTTTCGGGCACGTGCGGAGGGCGAAAAGCGAGGGCGCCAGCCCTGGTCACGTGCGAGACCCCACCTGCCACCTCCCCAGCCAGGGCCTTTCCGAATCGGGAAGCCCATTACGCGACTGCCCCGTATCCAAACATCAACAAGCTCCCACAACCACCACATCCAATGGAAGAACAGCAGGACCACACGAACCAGTACGTATATGCCACAGTTGAGATACTGCGAGGGCCCCCCTCTGACGTCACCAATGCTGATACAACGGTGTCTGAGCATAAATAAATGGTTGCAGACCACCAGAAGCATCAGCCCAGCTTGCCCGAATGCATCGGTGCACTGATTCTATTGACTGGATAGAGCTGGTTGCTCGTCCGTGCTGGTGGTGCTCAGGCACACGCCAATTGTGACGAATTCGTTTCCAAACCGTTCTAACCGCCAGAGTGGCCTTGAAAATAGGCTTGATTGGGGACTCCCAGATCGGCAAGACGTCGTTGATGGTCAAGTACGTGGAAGGGTCGTTTGATGAGGACTACATCCAGACATTGGGGGTCAACTTCATGGACAAGAAGATCCAGATCCGCAACAACACCATAACGTTCTCGATCTGGGATCTCGGAGGCCAGAAGGAGTTCATCAACATGTTGCCGTTGGTGTCCAACGACGCGGTGGCCATCCTCTTCATGTTTGATCTCACCCGCAAGCTGACCTTGAACTCGATCAAAGAATGGTACCGCCAGGTGCGTGGGTTTAACAAGACCGCCATTCCGTTCTTGGTAGGCACCAAGTACGACCAATTCATCGACCTCTCCTACTCGGACCAGTTGGAGATCACCCAACAGGCCAAGAAGTTCGGCACGGCCATGAAGGCCCCTGTGATTTTCTGCTCCACCAGCCACTCCATCAACGTGCAAAAGATCTTCAAGATCATACTATCCAAGGCATTCGACTTGCGCTTGAACCTCGACGAGATTGTCAACGTTGGCGAGCCCTTGTTGATCTACAAATGAGGAATTGCAGCCTAGGACAGCAGCCAGAGCGTAGCGTGGTGTGGCTGTTTTTCCCTTTGAATTGGTTCAGTTTACCTACCGTCTGCGATCTACTGATTTCTACTGCATTTCGTCTCCCGCGCCTCCACCAGTCTCCACATCCACTAAACCTGCCAGCCACTGGCTGGACCACCGAGCTGGTCCAGCCGTGGACTCTTCAGTTCTCCACCACTTGCCCTGATGGGCCCATGTATTTATCCGTAATTCTATAGCATCAATCTAAATCGCACCCAAGAAATCATCGGTACTGCAGATAAGAGACAGACACTCCACTATCTCTATCAAACAGTACATCTCCCATCTGCCACTTTTAGTCGGTACAGATCCACCCACCATCACTCCTGTACCGCATATACGGTCCCATACGTCCATTCTTGCATCTCGCCAAACATCCTGCTCATCCCTCTTTTTTTCGGCGCCATTGAGTCGTTCTTTTGTTGCCAATCTTGTCATTGATTCTTCACTCCAACTCGCCAGTAATTGACCCATGATTAAAGGCTGGAACTACTCGCTTGGAGAGGAGCCTGTTTCCACAACCGTCTCGACCCCCAGACGAAGCCGCAGAGCCCAGCCAATTGCCCAATCGATCACGTTAAAGAGAGACTCCGATGGCCTCGAGATCAAGCCAGGAGACTGCTTGATGGTCCAACAGTCGAAACTGTCGGCAGAGGTAGCCTTCGTCAAGGAAATCAAGTTTGGAAGCAGCAAATTCATTGATGTGGTGGTGTTGTGGTTCATCCGCGCAAAAGACATCGATCCAGCCCGTCTACAAGGACCCTTGAACCACCACGAATTATTCCTCACACCCTACTTGGAGGATATCGAGTTGACTGATATCATCGACAAGGTCAACGTGGTGTCGGAACAAGAGCTCGCTGCCGATATAGTGGTAGATGAGTCCAATCTGGGCACCACTTTCATGACCCGAAAAGGGTGCAATTCAGAGGGTGATATGTTTAGCGAGCCTTACGACTACCGAGAACTCCTCAAACTATTCACCAAGGACCCTAATGAATTTGTGGAGTATATCAGAGAGAAAACTGTGCCTGTAGCCTACAAGGCTAGCAAAAGAAGTCCCAAAAAGGCCCCCAGTGTGCTTGAGAAATTGAAGCAGGTTGAAACCAAACAAAAATCTGCTTCTCCGACCAGGAAAAGGATTCTTGAACTGGATGAAGAGGATCTGGGGGACAGCTCGGATGAATACTTTTCCCCCGAGGAAAATCAAGACAATGACGATGATTTAGAGCTGGATGCAGATCCACTCTCTGATGAACAATCTGAGCCAAAGTCAGAGCCTGAAGTCGCTAAGCCTAAAAATCCCAGTACTCCCAGAAAAAAGCAAAAAACCCAATCTTCTCCTACTAAATCCCAGACCAGATCTACTTCGAAATCTCCTTCGAAATCCCCCTCTAAAAAGAAGGATGTGGAATACATGAAATCAATTTTGTCACCGTTGAAGAAGGGATACAAGATAAAACCAGACCTCAATGCTCCTTCATTGACTTTCTTGTCGCCCAAAAAGTCTGGTACACCACAATTATCCTCGTCATCTTCCCAAGCCTTTAAGGAAATCAAGGCGAAATTGCATACTTCTGCAAAATTGAGTTCTCTCCCAGGTAGGGAAGACGAAATGCTTCAATTATTGGAGAAGATTTCTACTGCCATTGAAACGGAAACGGGATCGTGTGTCTATGTGAGTGGAACTCCTGGTGTGGGTAAGACTGCTACGGTTCGAGAAGTGATAAAACAACTCCAGGAATTGTCCGAAGATGGGGACTTCAAGCAGTTTGACTATCTCGAAATCAACGGTCTCAAGCTCCTCACTCCCAGTGTAGCGTACGAATTGTTGTGGAAAAAAATCTCAGGAATTAATGTCAGTGCCTCCAATGCTGCCATTCTTCTTGAAAAGCATTTTGATACCAAGAGAGACAACAGCCGTCCGTTGGTGGTTTTGATGGATGAATTAGATCAGATCGTCACCAAGAAGCAGAATGTCATGTATAATTTCTTCAACTGGCCCTCTTATGCGAATTCCAAGCTAGTTGTCATTGCTGTTGCCAACACCATGGATCTTCCAGAAAGAGTTTTATCCAACAAGATCTCCTCCAGATTGGGGTTGAACAGAATCCAATTCGTTGGATATACGTTTGACCAGTTGGGGGAGATCATTAAGCATCGTTTAAGTATGTTAACCAAACAGAACAAACGGAAAGTGATCATCACCGATGATGCCGTTGGCTTTGCTTCCAGAAAAGTGGCCAGTGTTAGCGGTGATGCTAGAAGAGCTTTGACAATCTGTCGGAGAGCGGTGGAAATAGCTGAAAAAGAATACTTGGAAGCGAAGACCCAAGAGGAGGTGAAAACGGAAGAGGAGGAGTCTTTCCACGTGCATATCAATCATATTTCCAAGGCCATCAATGAGACGATCAACTCTCCCATCTCCCAGTTCTTAGTGACCTTGCCGTTTGCGTCTAAGCTTTTTCTTCAAGCAGTCCTATTGAGAATGAAGAGATCTGGTTTGGCAGAAAACTCGTTGGGTGATATTATCGACGAAATGAAGAACTCTCTTCAGTTGCTTACCTCAGACAAGGGTACCAATGTACTCAATCCTTTGGGCGCAAATATTACTTTACTTGATTTATTGTATGGAAACAGTCTCGCCGACTCTTCTACAAAACTCAATATTAGGTCCTGGAAGTTCAAGCACTTAGTGAATGAGTTGGTGGAGTACGGGATCTTAATGCAACAAAATGTTCCCGGTGAACGTTACAGGCTGATCCAACTCAATATTTCGGAGGAAGAGCTTTCTCTGGCATTGAGAAGAGATAAAGACATTTTGGGGGATATCTAGACACAATAGAAGTGATTTAAAATTAGTAATGAGTTAGACTGTAGAATTAACTATGTCCTTCTGAGAGAGTTGAGGAACTTATTAAATTTTGCAAATAACTCTGCATTTAATATGTTACCCATTGTGCGTTAAAATCTTACGAATAGTATATCCATTAGTAAAAGGTTTCAGATGGTTGATATAGAAGTTCTAGACAACCACCCACAAATTATCCCAGTAACTATATAGATAAATGCTTATGATGGGTACTTTTTAGATAATCCAGGAAACGATACATCAAATTAATTATAACAGAAATTTTGCGTAAATTAGAGATCGAAAAGATTCATCAAACAGCAAAACTCAAAGATTAAAAAGGCTTGAATTATCCATTTATTGCAATAATAAAGATGGAGTAAATGCAGAAGATACAACTTCAAATTAGATCTACTTGTCCTTGAATAATTATGGTTCGAAAATACTTTGGGTAAATTTAGTAGATCCTAACAATTAAAATCAAAGGCTGTAACAGCTAAATTCCCCGTTTAGCACAGCAGAGATTCTGAAATCATCCTTGATCTGATACCTCTGCATCTGCTCCAGTATCAAAGACCTCACTTACGCCGCGTGCCCCAGCCATCGCGATGAGCTGAAAAATAACCACCAAACTATACCTTTCATCCACACATTGCCATGAACGCCATAGACCCAACAGACTACGTGGAAGCCGAAGAAGGCCAGTTGTACTTGAGGTTCGGAGACGACAAGCAACAGGCCAAGTTCGAACTTGGAGTTTGCATGGCCATCTACAAATGGGAAGAGCTCACCACTGCGGTGGACAACTCGTGGGGAGGACCCAAGTCTGGGGAAAAGAGAGACTGGATCTCGGGGATTGTCATCGAGTTGTTCGATGAGAAGGTTGTCGACGTCCAGTTGATCGAAGAGACGTTATTATACGCCATGGTGGACGAGTTCGACACTGAGATCGACAACGACTCTGCGTTGGAAATCGGGGCCTTGGTGATGAAATTCTACAAGAATGTCAGGGACCGCAAGTACGAAGCCATTGACGAGTTGTACAACAAATGGACCGAGAAGCAGGCCACCAAGACTTCCAAGGAGAAGGTCACTGTCGGAGCTGATCCCAACAACCCAGATGCTTCTGACAGCGAAAGCGACGACGAGGAAGACGAAGAGCCCCACGGAGATGACGACATGGATGTTGATGTACAAGAACCAGCAGGTCCGGTTATAGATGATGATGGGTTTGAGTTGGTGCAAACCAGAAGAAGAAGATAGGTGAAGATTGGGCAAATTGGCCAACGATTGAATAGGAGCAATTCGCAATAAGATATCTAATTTAAGAGGTAGAGTATGTCTCGGTGTAGTTGGTAGCCAGTGTGACTCAGTGAATAACTAATGACCACATGGGTCCAGAGATCATACAAAAATTTAGCCATGTTTAGTACAGTAATTCGGGCTATTTGTAGTCAATCGTATATGTTTCTATAATCGCTACATACTGATCGAGTTTCTAGGAGTGTTGCTTCGCGACCGATTCAAAGTGTTCAACGAGTGTAACGATGAAATGGAAGCCCGATGATACCTACCAAAGGTGGCCTCTTGCTCCTCGATGGGCGTGCTCAATCCTGAGCTGACGCTGTTTCTGCTGGCATTATTCACTTTGAAGTCGCTGAATCTTCGCACCAAGTGGTTAGCCATGCTTCCAGGAGTCCCTGGACCTCTGCCAAAAATCCCGTCGCTCGTGCTTTCGATCCTGAACAACTTGATTCCCGTGGAGGCCCAGTGGTTGATGGTCGTGGCCGAATTTTGCACCCATTCGTTCACTCGCTCCAAGTCATTGGGCTGCGATGCTGCTGCAGATGAGCCACTCTTGATGAAACTGGTCCACGATGATGTTATCTTGCTTACCGAAGCCAACGATGAAGTGATGTTTTTCATGATCTTATTATTACCACCAGTGTAATTTTTGACCAAGTTGATTGCATTATAGATGTCGCCATAGAGCAATGAAAGGTACCATCCCAAAGACAAATGACTCCAGGTGAACTTCAATGACTCAAATGAGGTTTCCGGTAAGAAGTCATTATTGATCTGAGACCTGTGCCTTGTCATGATTTGATCAAAGTCAATCTGCTCAATACTTCTTACAATCTGCCACGAATCCACCTTGGATCCTGTGATAGGGTTCCATAATTCTTGAAGGGACTCTTTCAAGTAAGGAATCACCATGGTCAAGATGACTCTGAGGGCATCCTTACCACCCCATGTTCTCTTCAATGGACTATTCATGGGTAATTTTTCACGGGCTCTTTCTGACATTCCAGTGGGTGGTTTTGACCTCAACGACTCTTCAATTGCTTTGTAGTCGAGGTTTGGAACTGGAACTTGTGCTTCTGAGGATAGACTTATGATGGAAGTTCTATTTGATTGGATGTTGGAGCCTGGGGTCTGTGAATCCACATCAAGCGAGGAGATACTGGAATTATCCCCCTGGAATGATATCTCATCTAATCTCTGTTCTACTTCGTCCTCCTGTGCTTGCTGTGTTGTGTCTTCTTCTTCTTCTTCCTCCTCCTCCTCTCTTTCAAAACTATTGATGGTATTCCAAATGTTATCGTAGACTTTTTCATTCTTGAGAATGGAAAACAAGAGCATCCTGGATGCTTGGGGGTTTTTAAGAATGGCATTGCAGATTCCCCTCACTAAGAGTGCCAACAAGTCAGCATTAAATGGTTTTTCCTTCAAGAATTCCGGGGTACTGAGTTTGACCAAAACTTGGGTAAGCGTCCAACTGCTGGAGTAGCTCAATCCGCCTTTGGCGTTGAAGTTGCTCATCTTCTTAATTTCCTCGTTGGTGGACTTCAAGTCCCTGACCGCTACCGTAGAAATTATATTGTAGAGCGTCTCCACCAAGGTGAGCATCAACAAATCTGACATGGGTGGAGTCACCCCGGTTCTGTTGGATGTGTTGGCTGAAATGGTGCTGTCTATCAATGTTGCTATGTGCGTGGCAATGAAGTCTCTTGTTGTCACGGGGCGAGGGTTGGTCTTGAAGTCTTGCGGTAACGACTGGTAGAATCCCTCACGAATGGGGGTGTACGAGAGCTCAACGAGCTTGGGGTCCGAGCTGATGTAAAGGATCAAATACGAGCACGTCCTCACCATGTTTGTGTGAGCAGGAGACGAGTGGTAAGTGACCAAATAGTACATCAAAACGACCAACAACTCGTCCAGGTACTTTGAGGCCACCAAGGCCCGGAAATTTTTGTTGCACTGGAGGAGCTCCCATATGAGCATCAAGGTCTCTGTGGCCCAGAGAGAGGGCATGGCGGATGCCTTGACTAACGAGAACGAGCCAGCGTCTTCTGCGTGCTTCTGGATGGGGAGTTTCAAGATGCTGATCAACGACGAGTATATCAACAACAACTCGGAGTCCTTGTGCAACTTGCCGATATAGAGCCTGACCAAGTTGGCAGGCCTGGGGCTTGAGAGCACCTGGAGGTCGGACATGAACGTCAAGTGCTCGGAGGACGGCAATGGATAACCAATCATCAACGTCAATAATTGGCACGAGTAGGTGATGCACAAGTAGCGCAGGTCGATCAAGTCGGTGTTGGCATGCACCAAGCCGTTTTCCACCGTGGGAGCACGGCACGAGCGGCACACCAAGTTGAAGAGCGAACACACCAACGTGAGGAGCTCGACTCGAGGCATTGCCACCACCAAAAGTGTCAAGAACCGGGACCCCAGGTAGATGATCTGCGACGGCAACAGGTACAACGAGGTGGACACGAGGGTCAAGAGGAACTTCAACACCTCAGTTCTGTTGGAGTCCACCACTAGGTTGGGAGGCATGTATTTGGCGGCATTGGAGCCAATTCCAGGCTCCCAGAGCGTGCTGGGCGACTTGCGGGATCCATTGGCGTCGAGGGTGAAGCCCCTGACGAAGAGGAGCCGGATGGTGCAGCGTAGAAGCTGGAGACCCAAGATGGCAGTGTCGTCGCGGGAGGCATCGCCGGCCGCTGGCTCGGGAATGGACTGTAAGCGATTGACAGTGGAGAGTGGCGTGGACGGCTCCTTGCCGATCAACAGCACTGGGTCGAAAGAAGCTGTCCAGAAGAGGCTGGACTCAATCTCGTCGGTGTACTCAGGAAGCTCGTACAAGAACGGTAACACCTTGGTCAAAAAACGGATGCAATTCAACAACTGGGGCGTCTGCGGCACCACCTGGTCGGAGGACACGATGGCCACTACCTTCTCGCTGAGCACACGCACCAAGGTGAGGAAGTTGATCTTGTTCTGGTCGCGGATGGTCTTGATGTCGAAGGGGGTCAAGAGTTCGTAGATGTCATTGGAGTGTTGGGGTTCGTTCCATAGGAGCAGCCAGTAGGAGGTCTGGGTGGTGTCGATGATTCTGCCCTGGCCTAGCTTGAAGAAGTGGTTCTTGAGGCGGAGGCGCTCCTCGTAGGACTTCATGGAGTGGTGTATGCTGGTGATGGGATGGGTGGAGGTGATGGTGATGGGCGGTGGGTGAATAGGGTGGTGCGACTGGAAGCGGAAAGTGCAGCGAGGTGGTGCGAGAGGTGGTACTAGCACGGGAGGGCGTGGTACTGGCGTAGCGAGAAGCTGGCAGGCCGCCGTGGTAGTGCGGAGGATCTCGGTCGTGCTAGCACAGTGAGAGGTGGCGCACTGGAGAGCGATCGGCATTGCACCAATTACTGAGAGGGAAACATCCTTACTTAACTCTTCTGTGCCAATGGTCTCTTCAGGAGACCGAAAACTATTACTTCTAGGCAATTATTATCTTTTTAGTACATTTGCTATATTCTATCGTATGGGATCAAGATTAATAGCATATTTTCCAATAGCAATTATGGTATCTCAAATCGTTAGTGAAATGTTAATATTCTTTCATTTTTCTGTTAAAAGAGATATTCACGGAAATTGCTAATAATATGAATATTCTTTCTCTGGACCTGCTTACATTCAGCTGATAACCTAAAAAAGGGCATTTTTGATGATTTTTTTGCATTAATTAATAGTATGCACCGGAACAGGACCGGACTCGACGCTATGAACAAGATGAACTGGACTACAAAGCACAGTAAAGGACGGCATTACGTGAGTAGTAGTCGTATGCATTTTTTTCTGGTTTTCCAGTAGTTCCACGCAAAACAGGACCCAATGTCACTACCAAGTATCTCGAGCGGATTGGCGACCAAAGTACCATAGAATGAAGCAATAGTAGGCAATTTCACGAGACAACTTGAGCCTGGGCTGAACCACACTAGCCAGTCTGGCATTCCGTGCCCAATTTCTCATCATACTCAAGCAGTTGCAAATTGGAACATTCCCGGGGCAGATCGCTGGCATAGGACCATGTTTTTCATAGACCGGTAGCATTTCTCGATGACCTATGCCTTGAAAAGGACATTCTGGACCCGTTCCTCGATTTCTCTTTGCTTTAGAACTACTGGGTACAATGAACCATATCTCGGTAAGCCTCTGCTTTACAGCTACTGGAATAACTCAAGCGCAGGCACTGGCAGCATGGCAGCATAATCGCCATACCGTGAGGATATCCGCTACTCTGACCCTTGGCAAGTGTGGTTTGTTCTCAATACCTGAGATGAGGAATATCCGCTCGGGCTTCTTTCCAGTGGCAGATTTCATTCTCCATACCTTAGCATCACTCTATTCTCTTTTGGTTTCCTTTTCTTATGGTTACTCTCCATACTTAATCACCACTGTCCTCTTCAGTGGTTCCTTTTCTAACTTCTAATTCTGTCTTTTTGGACTACACTAACCGTCTGGACTTGGGAGTTCCATTCGAGTCATGCTCTCGCTTTCGTATGCTGCCCACTATCGAAGCGTACCCCACGTCCACATGCATGGCAGCCTCGTCCTCAGGATCTGCCACTGGAATTTCCTCGAGATCGTCGGCATTTCCTGTGGTATCCAATACTGTTTCCTGGACCCACGAAGCAGGGATGTCTAGAGCTGGTTCCTCGTGGAACTGGGCCGGTTCTTCGACATCATCAGTGTCGTAGTGCAAGGCAGAGCACTGGGATAATGCGTGGTACACTGCCAGCACCGTGGCATCCACATGGGCAAAGAGAGGCGACAGACTCTCGCTGGAACCACGTTGGGAGATCTCGAGTACCACGGTAGGGGCGAATTCCGAGGACTGGGAAGGCACAGCCTGTGCCACGGCACTGGAGAGCACCTGGAGGTAAAGGAGAGGGCCCTGGGAGGTGTCTTTGAGCGCATGGAGGAGGATGTTCTGGTAGGGCAACTCAAGTCCCACATTTGTGTTGACAGACCACACCACGAGTGAGGTGTTCAACACGTACAACGCGAGGTGGGACCAGTCGAAGTCGAGCTCGGGAGCTACCACTAAAGTATGGGTAGGGTCGTTGGCAGAGAGCTGGGCCAGGAAGCCGTCTCCTCCTCCGTAAAGCACGAACTTATCGTCATCGAGCGAGAAGCGCTCGGGAGACGACACCTGGTACAATGCGATGGGGACGGTGTTCTCGACGTTGGGAACCTCGGTGGTGATCCGTGGGACGTGTGGCATTGGAACTAGAAATAGAGACGCTATGGACGGTGGTGGTGATATGGTAGATGGGAGTCACGTGGGTGCGAGTATTTGCAGTACATTTGGGGTGGCTCGCGATTTTGCAGTATATTGGGGTGACGTTAGCAGTGGCATGTAGAGTGACATTTGTGGAGTGATGGGTAGTGTGACATCTGCAGAGGTGACATGTGCATTGACATCTGCACAAGTGACATTTGCAGATTGACACCTAGAGAGTGACATTTGTTGCGAAGGCTTAGACAAGACGTTAATGGAGGCGTTGAGTGGGGCGTATAGCACTGGAGTGGCTGGAAGGCATTAGCAGAAAGTGGCTGCGTTGCTCAATGGCCAATTGGCTGCGAAAGCTTTTATGGGACATTGGCACCACAATGGCTACACCATGACACTACGCCAATGGCACCAGGCTGCGCCTGCCGCCCTTCTAAACCTGTCTCTGGTCACCGCTCTGCGACAACCGTCTCAAAAGACGTTGGAAAACAGGACTGTTGCTGGCATTGTCATCATCGTCAATCTCCTTCTTGACCCGTTCAGTACGCTCCAACTCCCGCTGCTTGAGCTCTTCGGGTGTGGGTGGTAACGCCTCGTTGCGGAGGTCGGCACGACGGGCATCCTCGAACGAGGTGATGGTGTCCTTCAACCCCTCAGAACCGTGAAGCAACGAGCCCTTGGGCAACACACCGCTGTTGAGCTCCTTCAAGTGGGCCACATTCTCGCTCTCCTGCCTCAACACTGAATACATTCGCGACACACGTCCAATGGCTATGACCTTGTTACGCAAGGCGATGCGCTTAGCTTCCAACGAGTCAGGGTCGAGCGCGCCGTCCTTAGGCGGTACTGGTGGCCTGGTGGTAGCAGCAGCAGCAGCAGCAGCAGGTGTGATGGCCACTTCTGACGCCAATGGGGTCTCCTCGTCCAACTCCTCCTCTGTGCAGATGTTCAAGATCGACACCAACATGTCAGTGATTTTCTCACCCACAAACGGAAGCGACCAGGTAAATACGTCCATGAAGTGGGGCAACCAGTAGGGATGGGGCGATGCGTTGAACTGGCGGATGTTCATCACATTGTTCTCGTACTTCAACACTGCAGCCTTGTTGTTGTAGGTGTCCAAGTAGTTGGGAGCACTGAACATGGTCAATAGCGACGGAAATCCCATGGTTTTGGTCTGCTTGTACATGCGGTAGCCGGCATCCTGGGCCTCATGAGCTCGGATAATTGAGAGCAACCCCGTGCGCTCGAGAAACTGGCACGACGCCTTGTATGTGAAGGCGTAGGAGCACCCTCTGACCGTGTTCTTGATGAAGGTCTGGTCGATGTTGTCGTCGTCGTAGTCCTCCACGGGGTCAGCCCAGAGAAGGTCACACATTAAACCCTTGGTGGGAGGTTCACGGAACCGGTCGAGCTTGACCAACTCATCGAGGGTCTTCAACTCTGGCGACAAACCTCCGTGCACGCAGAAGAACTGCTTGTTCATGATAGCGGCCAACGGCAACGCGTTGAACGACCGTAAGCTCTCCTCGTACAAGGTGGCCGAGTACTTGTGCAAGCACTCGGATTTGAACGTGAAATACTCAGTCAAGTGCTTGCACTCGTGGTTACCTCGCAACATCCAGAAGGTGTCGGGGTAGTTCAACTTCAACGCGTAGAGGTAGAGCAAGCATTCGATGGAAAACGACCCTCTATCCACGTAGTCGCCAAGAAACAAGTACGAGGTGGTTGCTGGCAGTCCTCCCACCTCGAACAACTTCATCAAGTCGTAGTACTGGCCGTGCACATCGCCACAGATGGTCACGGGAGCTGGCACTTCGAGCAAGTTGGGCTCGCTGGCAAGCAACTCGGTAGCGTCGCGTAAGATCCGGATGGCGTGCTCCTCGTGGAGTCGTCCTTCACGCTTGAAGTGTTCTTTTAACACCTCGCAATTGGGAAGCCCGTTGGGGTGGAACAACTCGGCTTCGCTGGGCTTGTGTGACGCTGGCGGGTCCACGCTGGTCACGGCTCTGTCGACTGTCGAGTAGCGATCACCCTCGTCGCTGACGTAGACGGTGTAGTCCTGGTCAGAGACCAGCTTCTGCTTCATGGCATTCAAGGCGTTGTTGATCTGGGTGGTGTTGCGGATAGCATTTCGGGACATTGTGGGGTAGCAGGCGGGAACGGATAGACGGCAGTAGATCCGGAGGGCAGGCTGGGGCGATTCGGTCTGGTCTTGGTGGACATTTAGATCGTGTTATCAGGTTTGATCGGAGTGCGATTACGTAAGCATTCTCGGTGTGCTTACGTAATTAGTGGCCCCGCTTCCGTCTTGACCGTGGGGGCTCGGCGGTCTCGCCAGCTACGGCCAAAGGCAACGATTCGCTTACAATGCATCTAGTGCCGTACTGGCTAGCCACTCGCTGGGACTACACTGGTCTCTGTCGTCCTTCCTGATCGCAAGTTACGTAAGCCGCGGCCTGTCCAGTGCTAAAGATAGAAATGATGACCAGAGGCTGAGGCCACAGGAGATCGGTGGCAACGTCCTTGATGGACGCGAACTGGAGCGTAACAATAGGTTTGTTGTGGAAAGGTCCAGGCGTAGATGTCTCAACCTGCAATTTTCAGTAATTTCTCAGGAGTTTTGGACAAATTAGGCGAAAATTATCCAGAAGCTGCAAAAAGGGGTGGAAAACAGAAGAGAGAGAAGGACTGAAACGAAAAGTACAGGGAGTGTAAACAGCAAAATGGTTGGAGAAATCGTCAATTTCGACTGGCATTACCATGTAAGCCGCGAACTCCCATTGGCCGAATGCGTGATGGGTGAATGTGGATGTTGCTGTGGTGGGCTGCGAAAACGGCGGAATGCAAATTAGACGATTGGGCGCGGGCGAGCCTAGACCATCGCGATGGACTCATCGTGAATTGGAGTATGCACGCACTATTTTAGGCGATTGTCTGTGCCAGAAAGGATTTGTAGTGAAAGAGGTGGAGAAGTTGAAGCATGGTATGGAGACGCACGTGACAGACACTGACCACTGTGTAGCTTCTGGAGAAGTGTCAGGAGACAGATCGTATGCATGGATAAGTAGCACACTCGTAAAGTCAGCCCATTCATTGCTACCGAAATGCTCCAATTGTCTCAGGCCCTAGTATTCTTATCTGATATTCTACATCATTTCGCCACCAATTGGGCATCTCAAGACTCTAGTAAAGCTATCATGAAGAGTATTGTCTTGCGGAGAATGAAGTCTGGTGAAACTGCCGGGAAAACATTCGTAGTTTGTTCTTGCTTGTATTGGTAGGCGAATCCAGAGTAACCGGTCGTGCCCATCGATATCGTTTTTTTGCAGCCTCCTAAACAACCTGAACATCTGAAGCATGGTTTGGTGGTGAATGTCCAGCAACAGTAGTAGCAAGTAGTTTTGAAGGTTCTACTTTTCAAGAAAGTTATCCATTGCAATTGTTGGTGGAATTTGCATGATTCTTGACTTCAGCGAAACTGCATTGAAAGTGAACCCGAATCAATTAGTTTAAAAAGTCTAGTGACTCGAGAACAAAATGTCGATGGTATTATCACTAGGACTCATAGGGAATACCAGTGCTACGAAGTCGACTCTTGTCACAGTTTGTCTCCGTGAACTCAGAATGCCTACTGCACTCAAGTCGTTAGTTCAATCTAGCACGCTAATTCTTGTAATTCACGAGATTCGACTAGCGCAAGTCTTCAAATCAATGCCTCTGGCTCGCCTGACCCCACGAACTCGCTTTTGCTCGCCACTCTACAAAATTTGCTCGCTATGGCTCATGTATTAACTAGCAGAGGAAACGTACACTACGTGGGCATTTCCCTTAAAGCCATTGAACGAGGTGGTGGAGGTGCTGGTGTACGCACCCACGTTGGAAAAGTACAACCAGTCCCCGACCTCGACATCGTGAGACAAAACAGTGTCACTGGACACACAATCCAAACCATCACAAGTTGGTCCCCAGATCGAGAAGTGGTGCTTGCCCTGTTCGGCATCATTCTCGACCTCACCTTCTTGATTGGTCGATTGGAAGTGGTAGGTGTCGCCATGCTTCAACACCTTGGCCTGGGGGTGCTGGTGGTCGAACAAGATACAGTTCAAGTTGCCGTAGACCCCGTCGTTGATGTAGATCATGGCCTTGATTTTGTCGTCGGCCAAGTCCCGTCTGGCAATCACATGGGTGGCCAACGTGAACGCATTGGACACCATGAACCGTCCTGGCTCAGCCACAAGCTCGATTCCATGGTGGTCGAGGTAGCTGGCTGGGAAGAAAGTGTCCAAGGCTGCGTTGACGGTGTGGGACGACTCGCCAAACGACTCCGGCTCGAAGCCGCCACCAATGTCCAACACGTTCATGGGATGACCGTAGAGGTCAATTCCCTTGTCGAACACGGTTCTGGCGTCGCCAATGGCCCTGGTGATGGAGCGGAAGTCCTTAGCACCCGAGCCTACGTGGAAAGCCACTCCACGCACAGTCAAGCCCAACTGGTGGGCCAAAGGCAACAACTGGTTGATTGCCACGTCCAAAGAGCATCCGAACTTGGTCGATAACCGGCACAAGGCGCCCTCGTCGTCGGTAACAATCCGGATCAAGATTCCACACTGCGGATGGTGCTGCTTCAACTTGTAGAGCTCGTGTGGGTTGTCGACGGTCGTCATGTTGACGCCAGCAGACGCTGCGTGACGAATGAACGAGTTCGTCTTGCAGGGGTTGGCGTAGACAATTCTGGCTGGGGCAATGCCCAAGCCCAAAACGGTGTCGATCTCGGTTTTGGAGGCACAGTCGAAGTTGGCGCCCAAAGACAGCAACAAACGGAGCACCTCCACGTTGGGGTTGCACTTGACGGCGTAGAACGGGTGCACCCGTGGCAAGTGGCGTTTCCAGGTGGCAAACGCTCTGGAAATCAGACCAAGATCGCACACGAAGAACGAGTCCTCGTCGCCAGCATCACAGCTGTGGTGGTCGATTTCAGCGACGTGGGAGACCAACGCCTGGTTGACGATGGAGCGGTTGTCGCTGGCAGAGGCCCTGGCAGGCGCAGTCTGGTCGGGTCTGAACGGTTCGACTAGCGGCTGGTAAGCAGCATCGAAGAGAGTTGGTCCATGGCAGACGTCGACGGATGGGGTCATCACTTGGCTGGGGCGGGGGTAAATTGGGGCAATTGGGGCAATTGGTGGGCGATAGCGGCTATCGAAGCACTACTCTCTCGGGGACTTAAGACAGTAGACTAGCAAATACTCACGGAATGGGTGAGTACACAGTGTATATGACGTCAAGCGGCAGCTCTCGTGGGTGGTGGTCAAGTTTGGGAAGGCACTTCAAAATTGCAGTCTGGAGACTAGCAGAATTGGAACGGATCGGTTGGTACTTCCTTGTGGATGGAGAAGAAAGGTGTTGCTGAAAACTTTTTCAGATCGCTCGGAGTGCGCGATAAGAGCGTGGGGCATGGGAGGTAGAAGAGAAGAGAGGTTATGAGGGTATGAGGTTATGGGTTATGAGGTATATCATGGATGACCGTTGCTGCTCGGGAAGACAAGACATGGTGGTAAGAACCGTGCATAGGCGTTGCTGATACAAAAGAAATGAGTTGTGGAATTCATCATGGCAATGAGAAATTGCTTGCAGGTAAGAGTAAAGTAGTAGTAATTTTGACTAGAGTATTGTGTATTTATTGTGGGACAGACTGCTCCGAAAGAGCAATAATAAATTCATCATGATAATGGAACACCACTGTTCCAAAAGAGATGTTGTAATATTTTTATGATAAGCTGGGGCATTATAGAATTTATCCTGAAGAGACTTGAGGATAATCATGGAATGAAAGTAAAAAAATATTACTAATTAGTCTAACTAATGTATTGAAATCATAACTATGGGGAATTGCTGTTCGACTTAATAAGATAATTACGGGCCTTTCTGTTTCAGAAAGACAAGATCATGATAATTCTGGAGGGCAGCTCCGATTATTTATTAAATTAATGTATCCTGCTTAGACTCACAAACTAAAACTTGCTACGGAAAGAAAAACAGTTTATCGGGTTGTGGTTAGAAACTCTGTTTGACGTTGCAAGACATACGCTAATGCTTTCACTAGGGAGTTTTGCACACAGCACTATATGTTTAGAGCGCACCTTTACTGTTCCACAAGAGACGTTCTAATATATCATGATATTGAAACTATGGAATAACTACCACAAGAGGCAAAAATACCCATCAAAGCTCAATCAATGGCTCGGGCTCGGCAACATACTTTGCTGGTCTAGTCTCGCCCTGCCCAAAATCAGGCAAGCTGGGCAACTGAGCAAGGTCCTGCTCTGATGCTCCAGGATATGGAGGGTTGGATGCCGTGCGGTTTGGGTGCTGCTTGTCATAATCGTTCTCCACTGTTTCTATGGTGGGAAACCGGGCAGTGGCGTCCTCAACCGCATGTGCAGGCAAAGTCGACGATTGTCTTCTGACCAGCGACGACAGTGGCTGCTGGTGGGTCAATGTAGATGCGTCTGAACGTTCATTATCTGTCTCGTTGTCGGTGATTTCAGGCGAGTAGTTGGCTGGTGGATAAAAGCTTGGTTGCGACTGTTGGGGTGGCTGCAAAGGTGGCTGCGAATTAACTCCATCGTACAGAACAGGATACGCCAAGTTGGCATTTGTACGGTTATTTGTTCCGAAAGTGGTGGGTGGTGGTTGCTGGTATGCGTATTGTGATTCCTTATCCTCCTCTTCCTCGTCCTCCTCTTCCTCGTCGTCATCAAAGCTGGGCTCTGAAGGTTGTTGGTGGCCCCCCTGGGCATACAGCGATGGCGCAGGCTGTGGAGCCAGCGAGCCTCCCCTGCCATAGTCTGGCCTGGTCTGTCCTGGTGCTGGATATCCAGTAGACTGTCTCGAAACAGGCACATTGGGAGGAGAATAACCAGTGGGCTGTCTCGCAACCTGGTCATGATACTCATATCCTGTAGATTGGTGTGATACATATCCTGGAGCCGGGCCTTCGGAAGCTCCGGATGCTTGGTTACCATCGTAGTAGGCACCTTGTGGCTGGAGCTCGGAATTGTTCTGGTAAGAGGATTCAGAGAAGAAATGTGCTCCTTCAGATGTGGGCTGATGGGAAAGATAGCCGTTGGAGGCTCCAGTTGCTTGTTGTGCAACAGAGGTTCCATTGTAGGCATTGTAACTTGGAAGTTGGCCGGTCTTATCCTGATAAGATGGTTCAGAGAAGAAGTGACCAGGGGCCCCTTCAGCGGTGGGCTGGGAGGAAATATGGTGGTTTCCATAGGCCATGTTCAACTTATCTTCCAAGTACTGGTCGTAGAGCTTGATAATGGTGGAGATCTTATTGTTCATTTCCAAGAAGGTCTCGTACTTCTCAATTGATGCTCTCAACGACTTGTTGACCTTGGGTTTTAATCTGATAACTTGCGTGTGCAATTCGCTTATGTTGGAGTCATAAAGGATGTTTGCTCTCTTTTTCGGATCGTTCTTGACCGTGTTCATCAAAGTAATAAATAAATTGATTTGGCCTTCTTCCTGCTGAGTCAAATCTTCTACTTGGGTTCTTTGAGGTGCCAATTGCTGGTGCTGTGGAGGTTGTGAATATGCCTGTGGTTGGCTTGGATTGTATTGGTTATAATGGTTGGCTTGGTCGTTCACGCCAAACTGTTCGTTAGCATCAAATGGAAGAATGTTAGAATAGAAGTCTGACTGAGGAGCCGCAGGTGCAGCAGCAGGGGCGGATGCTTGTTGTGGCTGTGACTGCTGCTTATTAAATTTTTCTTGGTTTTCAAATTCCTTTAAGCTGGCTGCAATTGCAGCTTTCATTTCTTCGTCGTCGTCCTCACTCTGTGCCTGGGGTGGTGGAGCCAGAGGGGGTTCCTGGGGAGGCTTGAACTCCTGGACGCCCGAATCTCTGAGACTCAACTCAATAGCTCGTTTCAACTCTTCGTCCTCGTCGTCTGGATTTGCAGACAGGGCGAGAGATCTGGACCTGGAGTGGCCAGAGTGGCCGGAAGTCTTGGGAGTCTTACCCTTGTACTTTGCATGGCAATTATCGCACACTCTGACAGGCTCCTTGATCCCTAACGACACCAATGGGATGTAGTTGTTGGAGTGGGTTTGGCAGAAAACGCCGCCACAGGCACGACAATGGTGCTTTCTGTTGATCATGGAGAACGGGGTGTAGCAGATCATGCACAGGTCGCTGTCCACCCAGTCTGGAGGGGCCTCGGAGTCGATGAACGTGCTGTTGATGTGCAGAGAGCCTTCTCGCTGTGGAAACTTATAGCCGTCGTTGACCAACTGCTTGTAGCACTTGTCGACGTAGTTCAACTGGAGCTGGTTCTCGAACATGATTGCCCACTCCTGTATAAGTGCCAAGATGGTGTTGCCCACGTTCAACTTGGACTCGATGTTGCGGATGCCATAGTCCTTCACATTGTAGTGGATCTTGAGAAGCACGTCCACCACGTAGTCCATGAACTCTTTGGACGCGATCTCCACCAAGAAGTGGTAGCCGCTGTTCTTGACACACAAGTCCACTAACTTGAGTGACGACGTCAACAAGTTGGGGTTGGCGTGCACCAACGTGAGCCGCTTCTTCAACGATCTCATACATTGTTTGGCAGGGATCTTCTTGGATCTGATGAGGTCGGTGATCTCTAACGCCACCGAGAGCTCGATCTCGCCGTTGGGAATCGACTCAGACGTGGCTTCCGAGATCTTGTTGTCTAGCTCCACTGTGGAGACGGAGTTGCCGCTGAACCAAGACATGGAGATTGAAAGGGATTGGGGGGATTGGGTCGATTGAATGTGTTTGGTGGTAGTGTGGAGGGGTCTGGTGGTGATGTGGGACGCCTGGAGGTGGATGGGGTAGCCTGGCGGTTGCGTGGACGGCGGGAAAGTGTGCCTGAAGATGAGTGGGAGCTCGTTGGTTATCGGTTGCCACTATAAGGGGAGATCACGTGACAAGAGGGGCGAGAGGCTGGGGCGGTCATGAAGGAGATGGGGAAAATATATTGATGGTCGGTGATGGTAGTGGTGGATCGAGCGGAAGTGCAGCTGGTAGGTTGGAGGATGACTGGTAATTTTCTAATTCTCCAGAGGTAGATTTTTATATCATGGTTGAATTTATAAATGATGTTTCGATGAGTACAACGAGGCACTAGAAGCATAATAGATATTTGAAGAGTAGAACAAGATAAGCAGTAAGTATTATAGAGTATTAGTTGAAGAGCGCAACTAAGGTGACTAATGTTAGAGCCATTTTATCGATGAGTTCCACTCGAATAGTAATGGAGGAACACACGCTAGCAAATGGATAAGATGTAGCGGAGCTTGTATTATTTGTAACTAGAGTACTGTTATTGGATTTGGTTTCTACACCTAGAAAAGTAATGGAGGAAGCCACTTCATAAACCAGCTAGTTTTTTCAAAGACATTCTTATAGAATTGGTAAAATATTTGATCGGAATAACCGATTAGCTATCGTTAAAACAGTCGAGTAAGTAAATTGAAATTTCTTTCATTCTATTGATGACCATATCTGCTGGTTTATTCTTGTTGCGATTTATGCACCTTATTGACAAATTCTAATAAATGGTAATAATATGTTTTATCGGGAATGGTCAAATTAATCAGTCTACTTGGAACAGAAGTAGAGAACTAGAGGCAAGAACATGTACACTTTAGACCCATTATGTCAAGATGATTCAATGAATAGTTTTGCTATCTCCTCTACTTAAATTTGCTAAACCTTCATATAGTTTTACTAGTAACTTTAGTTATCTTCTAAATGTTCTTTCGCTCAGTGATCCTTACTACCTTCTTAACTATTAATCTTAGCAACCTTAGTAAGATTCTTATACCAATACTCCCGAGTCTATTCCTTAGGTCAGTTTTTTCATAATTACCACTATGGCATTTTTAACGTGACATTTAAAATGATATGAGGTCCAAGTAACGCAAGTAGCTGTGAGATCACTACTGTTCATAATTAGGATCCCAGTGGGTCTTAAATTCGGAACCTCCTCTAAATCCCCTTGCACCACCAGGAATTGTAGTATGGGAATTATCATACTTTGCACCTGAAGTCTCATTTGGGTCTCCTCTGCTGTCTACACTGGGCTAGAATTTATGCAATAACTATACAAAACAAGAAGAAACATGATGATGATGACTAGCGCAAGAATACGGCAGCAGAGGTGACCCCCAAAAGGGCCACACTGCCCCACCAGTACTTGTCGAACTTGTCGGTGTTAGTGTCCTTGAACGCGTTGGTTCTGTACTTGTTCTCCAACGATCTCTTAACTCTCTTTCTCAACGATGTCTTGGTCTCCGAGGCAGAGTCGGTGGGGTTCAACGCGGCGGTGGGCAACATCAAAGGGGGCTTGTAGGCCAAGTACAAGGGCTGCATCATCGAGCCGTCGAACTGGTAGATTTGCAACGACATCTTGCCGTTGTAGTCGTCCACCTGCACTTGGTAGGTCTTGAAGAACGTAGGCTGCACGTATCTGGAGTATTGGGACGAGTCGGGGTTTTCGCCACAGGGGTCGCTCAACAACTGTCTTCCGTCCACTGCGATGGGGTACAACATCACCGATCCGTTGGCCTTGATCTCGTAGGTTCCATGCTGGAATGTGATGGACGCAATGGCGCACGAGTGGTTCTGGGGGTTGGACTTGACTCTATAGAGCGCCTCTTCGTAGTGGCCGTCGCTGGTGAACGAATACGAGATTCCTGGCAAGTCTGGCTCGATCAACAACTCATCGATTGGATCGTAGAACCCAGGGCCTGTGAACACAGTGTTGGACTTGGACGTCCATGTGCCTTCCAACTCCAGCATGCTGGGGTCAGCCATGGCCACAGTGGCCATTGTGGAGAGCACAGCGGCAATGCTGGCTGTAAATATCTTCATGATGTGGATTGCTGTTAACGATAGGCTGGCGGTAAAGGCAGGGGAGGGTCAAAAATCTCGCGGAAAAAGGCTGAAAAGACTCTTGAGGGCCAGGAGGCAGATTTGGAGGCGCGTGGCGGGGTGTACAGACGGGTACACGATGTATCAGTGGTTGAAAGATGAGGAATAGGTGGTGCCTGAGTGTTTTTTTTTGGCAGCAGAGGGACGGAGAGTCGCGTGTCTGGCGGCACGTGAGGGGCAGTGCTGGGCGGAGTGTATTAGGTAAGGAAGCATTACGTAAGCACGCTGACTTCGGTGCTCTGGCGTGGTCACTGCGCTAGGTGCTTTGGAGGGCGGCGTGGGCGGGGCCTACTCTACTGGACCCGTCCGCTAGCACCAGGCAGGGAAACCGTCACGTGCATTTCCCAGGGTGGGCTAAAAATAGCGGTCGTGCTCCAACCATTGCTCAATGGCCTGTTACCAACTTCAGCTTACGTAATCTACCGTTTGGCAGCCCTACTGGCTGCCTGATTCCACTCGATGCCTCCAACACACTAGATGCCCTTGGTCTCCATTGTCGAGTCGGAAGGAATGGTGCAAATGTCACCGCAATTGCCGCCATTGTCGCTTTTCGTGCATCAATAGCCCGAGGCGAACCATAGCCGCCATGATCAATGGTTGTCACCACCATCGAGAAAAACGCCCAAAATGAAGGCAAATCGGGTGTGTGTGTCTCGGTGGAAGAAATGGTACTGAGAGGATACTTTTGCAGACTCTCCATGCTTCCATACGGCCTCTTTGTGCCGATAGCTCCAATGGCTGCATGTATAGGCACCTATTTTGACACAATATGATAGACAATAAGGCAAGGTATGCCCAAGCAGCTCCTGTGGGCGACACGTCCTATGCACCACGGAACTAGTCTACAGGCAAGATCTGTCCACGGCGGGCAGATCTGGACATGAGCGCCCACCGGTACCATGCCTATCAAAACCATCATGATGCACCAGGACCAAGTGCTTCGTCAAAGTTCATAATTACGTCTGGTCCCACATGCTGTGGTCCCACTGACTCATGCGTCTAGCTTCAAGAGCCAACCGATACATTGATCGAGGTTAACAATTGGGGATTGACGAAGGTTATGAGGGTGTTAGCACAATGTTGCGTTGCACTACATCGATTGTGCTGTGGTTGTGGGTTCGACCAGGCTCCAGAGGTCTGGATCTGAGGCTATGGAAGAATAAGCCACGGAGCAGCTCAGTTGCGTTTGAGGCGGATATTTACTATGCCCTGCTGCATGGAATACCGGTTAGAAGGGCCTCTAGTCGACCTTGGGAATGTCCTGGATACATGCCAGGCGCAATAGGCTCAGTTGAGCCCAGTTCGGGATTTTGCCGGTATTGTAGCACCAAAGGCCACTTAAGCGCTGTTAAGAGATTTATCAGGCTAACATTGGTGGAAGTCTTGGGCAATTCTACACGAAGTAAGCTGAACTTGTCGAATAATTTCAGCTCTGGAAGCTACAATATTTCCCTCGGAAATGCAGTGTATTATGAACTATAAGCGTTTCGACGAAGCGAACAGAAAAGGAATTAATATGAAGCAAACTAAATGACAACCGAGGGGAAGTAAAGCATGAGCACCGTGCTAGCAGGTGTAGAGTCGTGAAGGTAAACAGCTGTAATTGGTCCTGTGGCTCCAGCCATTGCATTAGGCGGAGAAATTGGGACCAGAATTCACTGTTTCGCCATAGAATAGATGGGACTTTCGTTTTCACTCAACGGGGTGCTGATGCCTCCTTTTCTCGAGTAGTCAAACTCAAAGATATCTGCTACTCCAACACCTCCTTCCTCTTGGCTGTCCGCTTTGGAACTCGCCGAAGAGTTGAGACTTGCCAGGGAGTTGTTATGCTGATGCGGGTTGGTGCTAATGCTGGGGAGTTTGTACAACGACCGGGTACAGGTGTAACTTGGGTTAGGCGAGTTGTGGAAAAACACCGGCTTATAGATGTTCTTGGAATTAGGAACGGCAGGAGGGTTGGAGCTGGGAATAGAGGTTATGGGAGAATTGAAACTTTTATAAGAAGATGAACATAATTGATGTGGCGCAGGGATGGATCTAGAAGAAGCTGGAGGGGTGTTCATTTGATGAGATGAATGATTGTATGAAGACGTGGGACTGGACTTTTTATGTGAATTAAATGAATTGAATGAATTATGGGATGAGTTGTTGTTATTGTTGTATGGAGATGATGTTGGGGACATCCTTTTTCTAGGAGTCATGTTAAGGTTGATGCTGGGGGTACCTGGGGTACAAATGCTGGAAGGGGCACCAATCGATGCAGAGCTTAAAGGATAAGGACTTTTGTATGTCGAGTGGATTTGTTGGTGCAAGTACTGACATCCCTTGGAATTGAAAAGCTTGAGAATGAAGTCAGACGAGTTCAACACCGACTTGATGACGTTCTTCTTGATGTATTTGTATTTGTTGATATCCATCTCAGGGTGCATGTCACCGTCAAGGGCCAAGATATGTTGGTAGTTGGTATTGTCGATGTTCAACTTGAAGGTTTCGTTAATCAAGTCAAGAATGACCTTACCAAGATCGATCAAGTTAGTGTCAATCAATTCGAAGGAATAAAGCGAAAGATAACTCAAGAACTCCTTGATTTTGAACATCTCGTTGATGTTTAAGCTGGTGCCAGCATTGTTGGCAACCTCTGGGACAATCGAGAACTCATCACTTTGAATAATAAACTCCTCAATGGAAGGGTCGTTCAAGGACCAGTCCAAAGTCGTCAACACATGCAATTCCATTTGCTTGAACATTCCTTGGTCGTACTTGCACTTGGCTCCACACAACTTGACCAACTCGTGCAACTTGGGCAATCTGAACCTTTCGGTTGGTCCCAAGTACTTGCCTCCAGAACCATAACCTAAGTCATTGATGGTCTTGATGCTGGTCAACTTTTCGAGGTTGCTGAGGTTGACAAAGTGGTTGTTTCCGCCCTGCATTTTGGAGGCAATCCACAAGCAGGTGGTAATGATCAACTGGGATTGGTCCAACAATACGATTCTTTTGGAACAGTATCTGTCAAAGATCTTGACTGCCTTGAAGAACACAAATGGCAATATCTTCAAGCGTATAGACATTTTGAGCAAGAAGTCTATGAGCTTGAGTCTGATAGAGAAGGTCAAGTATGGCTGTTGCTTGTACAAGTCCAAGTTGGGCTTGTTGGACTCGAGCATGTCAACCATTACCTGGTAGATTTCCTCGTCGTATTCATTCAATGATTGTTGGTGGACTTCTAATTCCTTCTGGTACAATGGGGTTGGGTATTCGTACTGGAAGAACTTAGGGGCCAGGGTAGAGGCAGCCATGGAGTTGGAGGATTGGCTGGAGGAGGAGTTATGACTTATGTTTTGATTGAGGTGGTGTGGAGGGGTCTTGAACGAGTTGGGGGTCAAAGGATTGACCCCTTTGGTCATCTTCGGTATATTCAACATTAGCTAAGGAAGGACGGGGTTGGTTAAGGAAGGTATGGGACAACAATTGCTTGATGGGCAACTCCAAGTATGGTGGTTGCAATGTGGAGAGTGAAAAATTTGAAAAGCACTTGAAATGTTCAGAGATTTTGATGTATAAATATAAGCTCTCTATATTTGGGTGTAAGCACACTTGATCAAGAACCTACGTCTATTCCCTTTTTCCACTATAATTTTATGGTGATACCTACAACAATACTGGGAAATGTACAGCAAATATTTTTTAGCATTCTTTTTAAATAATATCTTAAAGGTTATTTTGGATGAGTTGGCCTTTTTTTTTTGACCCCAATACGAAAAAATAAATAATAGGTCCGGATTGTTTCCAAATAAAACAAAATAGTTAACAATTCATGGCGTGTAAACATCAAACCCAGTGCCGAAATGCTAATTTGATGGTCCGTATCCATCACCAGCCTACAACAGTGGTTAGGACTCCGGCACGGTTGGTAGGCGCATTGTTTATGCTTTCGCACCCCGCCAGACCCACTGCGCATCCGTATTTTAAATCACCTCGACGGCTCACCCTTACTACCAGGATAACCATCCGGACCCCTCGAGATGAAAAAAAAAGGAGGCCTCGCCAGACGAGAAAAATCGATTATTATCAAGCACTAAGGAGTACCCTACAGCCAGGCGAGACGCCAGGCAATTGCGTGGCGGCTTTTGGCATACAATGGTAGCACGGTGCTAGCTAGGGTCCCACCTTCGTCGGCACCACCCCTCGCTACCACCGCGTCCCACCCATGTCTCCACCCCCCTAGCCAGGACTCACGCCAGTTGTCATGCCCATCGCTGTCTGTCGGCCCCCTCGCTCCTGCCATCTGTCTATCCGTGCAGCATCACCATCCCCACATGATCTCGTCTAGTGCGGATTTTCTGAGTGTCCGGATTTGAAATTGGCCAGGTGAAAAATGCAACTACTGGCGAAAATCCGCCAGTTAGTCAAGGCACCGTTCCCAAAACGCCGACATTGACTCGCGTCCAGGTGCTCGGCTGGACGGTGGTGCCAGTCCCGTGATCGTGTGGTGCCTGGTGTGCCGTTGGTCCAGGGCTCGCTACAAACATCGTCTAGCCCTACCCAGCGCCGTTTGGGGGCCACGAGAAGGTTTACCCGAGCAGAACCACTCGCTAGCCTCGCTAGTCAAGTCGATCAGCCGGTAGCCTCGACAATCGGGGAAGATGGGTTGTGATTCGAGAGGCCGTGGTGGGTGAAGATGCACTGGTGCGAGTGTGAGTAAGAGTAGAGTATGCACAGCGAAAATGGATTTTACGGCCCCAGCTGGTTCCAGTGCCATTGGACTAAGTGCCGTTGGACCCGTCCAGACTGTAACAATAGGCTTATCCCCCGGTATGCTGGTGCTGGCTAAAGATATGCCATCCATTACGATGCTAGGCAATGCATTGCGCAACGTTACAAATTCCCAAGCACTGGCCAAACCTGGGGAACTGGTGGGTCGCCGAACGGACCAGACACTTCCAGTATGTCCCATGCGGACAATAAACCACTAGTTGCGGAACAATTATGGCCATTCCCCTGGTATGTGCCCCATGCATGTCATGAGTGCAGCGATCGGAATGTTACATTCAATGTTGGATTGGCATTTCCCAACGGGTCAGATGTCTATAGAGAAGCGCCGAAGCACCAGAAAACGTCTTAGACCAGGCGTCTACAATCGCGAGAACGCCTACCCATTATCCCAGTCCTTGTCAGCAATAGTTGTGGAGGATGTGGAGATATTCACAAGCCTTCTCGAACACGAATAGCTTCCTGGCCCCTCTAGGTGTGCCCTTACAATTATAATTAAATATGTCGATCCCAGGCTATTTCCGAAAATCTTTGGTGTAGTCACCAGGTCACACTACAGCAGGCAGGGTCAGGCTACTAAAACCGAGTTACTTCTAGAAATCACCCGCAAAAAGGTTAGAAGTGGTGGTGGGAACAGAGTGGCCATACTTCCATGTGGGTGGTGTCGCTGGCCCAAACGGTCCAGGGTCACTGAGGTCATTCTCGACATTTAAAGTTAGACGGGCCAATTTCCATCCAGATCCATACAACACCCCTCGTAAGCGGACATCTACGATAGTTGTTTTCGGCAATATTTTAACAATAAAAAGGCGAAGTGCTGATGTAGATTGGTTTTTACCGAATCGGTAATACGCTTTTATGCGCCTGATTGTCGAGATATTTATTTTCTCAGTCTCGGCTACCCCTGACAGCTGCTTAAGTTAATTCCGGTGCGAAAATTATGTCCACAAAGCCGCCCACAACGCAGCATTTACTTTCGTCAGACTATTGGCGATAGCTTTAAGGTTTATAATGTTATGTTTTAAATGCTCGTCTAGGGACCTCCTACATTCTACCTACCTATGTGATAAGCATGGTGGGGCGATTCGCAGTGGAGGTTGGCCGTTGAATGTTTACCATTGTTCTCATTAGGCATTTCCACCGTTGTCTTCGGTTTCCTCTCTCCTCCTCGACTTCCCATGATGGCCCCATCCCAATGCACAAACTCATGCCTTTTCTCCTACACTCACAGCTTCGCCTGCCAACTCGCCTCGGCTCAGGGAGGTCTCCCGCGTACTCTGTAGGGAATCACCTATCTAGATAGGTTCAGGTGCAGCTGTATGCAGTTTATTTTTTGATGGGGACCACCATCCTCTCGGATTAGTGCAACCTGCGCTGCGCTATGGTTCGCGTTAGACAGCTGGCTGGGATCCTGGCTTAACAGAATGCTGCTTCCAAACCCTAATTACGCATAAGAGCGCTTCTATGCTGGAGCTACCCCGACCTCTGGGCCCACAGCCTTAGTGGTATGTCACAGCCCTCCCCCCAGCTAGCCAGATACCTAGGGGTCTGCCGCCTCCGGGTACCTACATGTGACCGTGTATGCACTAGTCGCCAGTTGGGCTAAATTTAACTAATATTAATTAAATATCTGTTCTAGACTGAAGGGTCACAAATAGCTTCGACCATCTTTAAATCCCTAAATGCCATTTGTACTCTGTTTGATTTCCATCCCAAACTAGCCACTCCTCCGCCATTAATTGTCCAGGCAATCTGGACATTATCACCCTCGGCCGCAATAATGCGATTGTACGCAAACAAAGAACAATCTTGGGGGACACACGGCGACAAGGGATGGCGGGCATGAACCCTATTCTCACAGCAGCACCCCAGGTATGGTCTGGTGACAGGAAGACTAAACTCGTAGTTGGTTTAAATTATATCCTAGTGAATTACATCTATTTCGGCGAACCAGCTGGCGATCCGTGCCGTTTCCGTGGTCTTACGCACCCTTCAGCACCTCTACGCCAGATCCGCGCTGGCTACTCTAATCAGTGAAACCAGGTGGTGTGCCGAGGGTCTATTGTATGTAGGTCTAAACTCAAACCTCTGGAAATATGTCGAGGCTGGTCTGATCGGTCTCAGGTGCTTGGCTCCCATGTTGCGAAGCAAACGGCGTTCCTCCACCCTGGCCTTGCACAGATTTCCGAATCGAGGACCAGGTCGCTATTATCACGTTTCACCCCAGCTCGCACCGATTTGCTCCAACAATAGTATTTTTTGTATGCTGTGAATGTTATACTGCGCTCGCATCCAACCACGGATGGTCTTGGTGGTATGTGCCTTGCCAGTAATTTTTGCGAGGATGGAATGCTCGGAGGCATCTGGTGGGGGTGTCTCTGTACGTTCGAGCCGAGCCGCTATGACCAATAGCGGGTTCGTAACTGCGGTTCGGGTGGTTTCGGTGCGGTGCCTCCCCGTCGCCTGGAGGTAGCGAACGTCATGCACTGAAGATGTAGAGAACATGCCTTGCAAGCAAAATAGACTACTTCGACAAAGTTTAGTCAAGAGGCACCTTCTGGACATTTGGGGCGGATGCAGACCTTGAGTGAGCAATTCATTATTGCTGGGATGACTCCCAGAGCTTATTGGCCAGCAGTAGTGGTGCTACACATTTCTGGGGCCTCTCCATGGTTGTCTGTTTCAAATGGCCCGTTTGGATTGGTACAATTCCTAATAAGCCTCGTTGCAAGCTATTTTCTCCAGCTTCCAAGATTAATTTCTGCGCTGGAGATTTCTACTGATTTTGGCAATTTTTCAACCTAATTGTGATAATCGCAATATTCAGACTTCTACTCTGATTGCAACCAGGAGGTGGATTCCCGCACCAAAGGGGCGGAGCTGCCGTGGTGAACTATGGTGGGGCACCCGACGTGACCCCAGCGGCTTGCCATGTAGATTAGCCTCTTGGCCTCCCCACCACGGACCGGAACCATTTCGCATCCGGAGTAACCCGCTAATGGGCTAACCCGCAAACCGCGTATACCTCCTCAACCTGCACAACGCGTGCAACCTGCAGACCTTCCGATAATCATCTCGATCTACTCCATCAATACCGATAACAAACAACCCCACCACTCGCAAGTGACAAGATGCAATGTTGAAGTACTTCTTTGGCGTGGGAGATGACACAGGCTCGCTCAGAAACGAGCCCACAATCGACTACAACAACACCTTACCCTCGCTGAACACCAGCCTTCGAGGAACCAGCCGTGGCCCTCTGAACCCCATTGAGGCCATCTCGCGTGATGCGGACGCCAGATACACCAGATATGACTACAAGGACAACACGAGAGCAGTGATCGACTTTTCCGACGACGATCTTGACTCTGACGAAGAAGTCACTCGCGACTTCAACATGATCATGGATAACTTCACCAGAACCAGTGAGCATATGAGCCGCTACTCGGATGATCGACACAGCACGGCGTTCTCGTTGCCCAGCGACTATCCAGGCAAGTTCGAAACGCCGAGAGACGCAAAATCCGGGGGGTATACTGCGTTACATTCCCAGCACCGTCCTCCAAAGAACCGATTCCTGGACGAAACATGGCAGTCTGGCGGGAGAAAGGGCACCAAACAAACCAACGAACGCGTGTCTGTCTCAAACCCCAAGGATCCACTGTTGTTCACGGAGAAAATAAACGTCCAGATAGAAGAACTCCAGCAACAGGTGGAGAATGAGTTGCGATCTGCAGCAGGTAGTGAGGTCGAGGATGTTAATGTCAAGCGAGCAATGGAGAAAATAACCCTGCAGAACGAGTTCTTGTCGCAATTGAATGCGTTGGTCGATTTGAACATGGCCTCCACGGAAGAACAAAGCATCCCAAACAACTTGCTTCAAAAATACCACATTCTCAAACAAGAGTACCTCAAAGAGTTGCATAATTCTCAGGATCTATACAAGGGATATTATAAGCTCATATTAAAATACCGACTGTTGCGGAAGAACCACAGGCACGACGACCCTGCTGGAAATAATACTGCCGATCGTCGATCGGTCAATCGCTCCACATTCACGGTGAAGGAAAAAATACGATTGATCAAATCGACTAGCAATCAGGAATCGATCAAGCTTATTTGTGTGAACGTGTTGAAGGAGCTAGAGAGCTTGGAAAATAAGGATGCGATCATAGAGTCGTATAAGCGTGAGTTGGAGGCCGCAAATGCGAAGATCAAGGAGCTAGAGACGACCCTCCAGGACCGAAATAGCACCCGCGACACGACACAGCCCTAAACGAATGGTCAAGAATAGTCCAGGGATTGGGAGGGTAGGCTGGGTGTTTAGGCGAGGCGTACGGGAGGTCTACAATTACAAACATTGACAGCAGGGCTCTAGAAAGGCTGAAGTCTAATTCGGTGAGTTTGAGCCTTGAAATAATATCCGTTGAGATGATCATCTGACATAAATATATCAGCTGATTTTTGCGAGAAGGTGCCCCAGTTGCGGATACACCACTTGGTGATTGAGTCTTTCACTATTATTTAGGCTTTGTCCGGGTTTTGGAGGCTAACTGCAGTGTTTATGCGATGATCGGAGAATTAGCCGGCGAGATTTGCGGGATCAAGGCTCACCTGCAGGCCATGGCGTGTCCTGGTGTTCTAGAGCGATACGAGGTGATGCAGTCCATCTCTGGATAAACGAATGCGCTCGCCCTTGGTTCTGACGTGTACGGTTCGTAAAAGGTGTGGGTTCGCATACATGTGCATGGCAGTGGATGCGCTTTGCATAAGGCGTCAATGCACTGGTTTTAAAAATTCAGCAGATGATTGGTTTATTGCGTTTTTAGGGGACCTTGGGCGAATAGGCACTGGTGTGCCTGGATTGTCCAACAACCGATCTCCAGGGCTCCATGTACCAGGTCTTCGAGAACAGGGCTGCATGGGTTGGAATAGGTGGTGGAAACCTGTCTCATCGGGGGAGGTCACGTGTTGTTCCCATTGGGAGTGGTGCATGCTGCAATAGTAGCACCAGCATGAAGCACCTGTCTTAAAACAAGAGCTGGTGCGTGTCTCGTTTAAACCACAGATGTGGGTTGTGTACCGCAGTTTGCATTGCAGGGAAACAACAGGTGTTGATCCCGAGTTGCTGATATCCGTGCACAGGTTGCTACATCGCCGATTTAGCAGTCCAGCGTCTTAAAGTTGATTGTTTGGCGGCACACGATGCCAAACAATTGATTAGTGGACTTGCTGGTTGCCCAGAAGGTCATTTCTCCGATCCCAAGCCATGATCAAGAACAAACTTAGTTCGGGTTGCCGCAAACTTAATGCAAGGTGAAACAACAACACTCAATGCAGTGGCCGCAAATAGCACACACCTTAATTTACAAGATAAACTTACACTGGCGGACCTTGCCACTTTTGGGGCGCTGGGCAGGTCCATTGGCTCGTCGAAGTGTGTACCATTCATGGAGGGCTAAATAATGTAACATGGCAAAAATTGTTGGTCTTAAATTAGTTCCAAACACTGGTGGATCCGCGATGACGGGCCCAACACATGCTGGTTGCATCCCAATGGGTGCTCATGGGTATAGACGGGGTTGTGTTCGGTAGCATCCGACTGTTCCACCTAAGCCTCGTGTAGTAGTCGTGATTTTTAGCCTCAGCTGATATTGTTCTCGTCAAGAATCGCTTCGTTGATCGATTGTGTGATAATATAGTCCCAGTCACTGGTGACAACAAAGTATAACTGTAATGTAGAGGTGACCACGAGTGCTATTATCATTCCCAACCATAAACCAATCAACTCCAATTTGAAGTAAAATGCAAAGATGAACGCACTAGGCAATGCAAGGAAGTAGTAGCTGAACAAGTTCATGTACCCCCCGATTTTCTGTCTTCCCTGTCCTCGCAAAACACCCCCCGAAGCACAGCTCAAGAACTCGTTTAACTGGTAGATCGATGCTACCACAAGCACCTTAGCTGCAAAATCAATCACACTCTGGTCGTTGGTGTACAACGACGCGAGCGGACGTCTGAATGCAAAGAGAAATATACCCGTCATCAGCCCAAGGGTCAACGAGCACATGATAGACGACCTTGTGGCCGTGATGGCTGCTCTTTTCGAGGCTGCTCCAATGTACCAGGCCACTCTGGTGGAGATAGTCACCGAAAATGCGAGCGGAATTTGGTACATCAAGGCACAGGTGGTGGTGACGATGGATTGGGCCGCCAACACATCGGTTCCGAAGGACGCAGCCGTGAAGGTGATAATCTCAAAAGCCAACCATTCGGCTTCCACCATCAACACACCTGGAACCGACAAGTTGATCATCTTGGACCAGTTTCTGAAGAATATGGCGTGGAAAACCGACTCCTTGGGCCAGCATTCGTAGCCTTTGACCCAGAAGATGTATGCAAAAATCATGAAACACATGACCCAGTCGGTGATGGCCACGGACAATGGAGCTCCAATAAAGCCCAAGCCGTAGGTTTTATCCCACACCAAGAAGTAGTTGAGAAAGGCGTTCAAGGGAGCGCAGAAGGCAAGCACGTAGGTGGACGCGTGGAAGATGTTCTGGCACTGCAAGAAATGGGTGGCCACCTCGAACAAAATGAAGCCAGGGATCCCGAAACTCAACACCCGCAAGTAGTCACCCGCCAACTGGCACAACTCGGCCTTGTCGTGGCCACAGATGGCGATCAAGATGGGGGTGGCGCCAAACACCCACAACACGAACATGGGCACAAACAAGAGCAACAAGAAGTAGCTGCACCGGATGGCGTGCACCCCCACCATGCGGTAGTCCTTGCGTCCGTATGCCTGGGCGCAGAGGGTGTCGAGGCAGGTGGACACCCCCTGGATGATGGCGTAGCCCGAGATATTGGCTGTCATGGTGCTCAAGGAGACGGCTGCAAGCTCCTTCAGTCCCAAGCGGCCCACCGAGAACACCGACGCCACCGTGAACGAGTACTTCAACAAGAAGGTGAGGATCAACGGAAACGAGTACCCCAAGAGCGCCTGGACCTCGGTGGAGACGTCTGTTTCTGGCTCGGGTCTAACCGAGTGAGCAGACAAGATATCCGACACATCAAGCGTGTGGCTGGTCACCATGGAGGCATGGGAGCGGGTACGGGTCAAGTCCTGCGGCACCACGGGGTTGGCTGCGGCAAACGTGTAGGGGACGTTGTCTCTGGCCATAGACGCCATGGAGGCTCTTCTTTGCAGCACATACGACACGATATCGGACTCGTCGATGTCGGAAAACGAGTTGTAGCTCCGTCGAGGGGCCAAGAACGGCGAGGTTTCGGATCTGGTCATGGCAGAAGAGGCGGCGAGGGGGCAGAAGAAGAGTTGTGGAGCAGAAGTGGAATTGGCAGCAAGGAAATGCGATGCTTTATATGTTTATGTCGCAACCAAAATCACGCAGATAAGCCACGCGGTGTTCCAGGCAACGTTCGGGGTTATCGCGAGGGAATATCGGGGCAAACGTGCCGATTGGGGCCGAGGAGCAAACAACGGCAATTGTGGTGAAACGGGAGATAGTGGGAGGCCCTGGGAGGCGGCGGGAGGCACTGGAAGGACTGCCTGGCGAGTACTGGCGCTGGTGGTACTGGAAGAATGGCTGTGGTGGAGCGCGGAATCGCTCCGGCAAAATACGAGATTGCCGACAATTGCGGGGCGAGCCACTCTGGCGCGACATCAGGGAAGCTAGGGGAAATCTACGGGAAATCCACGGGAAATCTACGGGAAAGCTACGGGAAGGCTACGGGAAAGCTAGCTTTTGACAGCGAGGCTGAAGTACGGATGTTTACCTCACCACCCAGGGGCAACTGCCCCAGCCCGCTGGCCACGTTGTGTTGTTGTCGGACGACATGGCTTTGGTTGCGATTAGCCTGATCTGGAATTGGTTGTGAGCACTCCACGTGATCGGCTCCTGGGACCCGAACAAAGGCCAGGCGGGGGGTGGAATTGGTGGTGCCAGAGGGGACGGGACGGTGGCCAAGGCGGTTCCACAGTGGTGGAGTATGGATTTTCACGTCATGCCCACCGTCCCCTCCGATGAGTCTCCGCAACAGAGGCGGAGATTACGGACTGTGAAGTTCCAGTGTGAGCATAATGAAGCTCACTAAATTCCGCTAGGGTCAAATAATCGTCTAGGGTGACTTTATTTACTAAATTCGCTATCTGTGGAGGCGGTGGGGGAGACCCTCCCGCAGTTGGCGTGAACGCATCACCTCTTTTCAAAGAGATCGTAGCACGGAATTTTGGGTTAATATTCTAATGTGGAGGTGTAGCGGACCAGTAATCATGGCACTGCTATCGTTGTGCGTGCTCCACACCAGGATTATACAATGTTGTTGTCACTAAACGAAGCTAACAACATAGCAAATATTAATCAGAGCCACCAAGTGTCAGCCTATTTTCGTCGTTTTACTGATGGTGTTGTTTCAGGTATGATTGTTAATAAGTGGCTGAATTGACACGAGAAAGTAGATAATAATGGCAGGATCATTTACATCCAGAAAAATGTGAAATGGCCTTTATCCATCCTCTGGAATTCGTGATATATACCTCATACTGGTGTTTCTAGTAACCAGCAGTAATTGCATTATTTCGAAGTTTTTGTTTCAGAATGATTGGCCTAAAACATTCTGTATTGGCTTGGGGGTTGTAGCAAATAATCAGTTGATCCTGATTGCAATGGGCAAGAACTGGGAACACCGGGCCCATCAAGGAATTAAAAGTTCTTAGATTTGTTTCTCCTCCTGTCCTTCATCCGTTTTCGGCAATAATAACTCGACTGTATGTATACCCTAGTGGATCATTCTCTGCTAAAAACAGTATTGCTTGCAACTGTCTATTCAAGAATGTCGTCCTGCTAGTGAAGGATTGAGCCTCCTTCACTTCCAGTTAGGCCTGAGGCGGTTGCAAAAACGCCATGCAGTACGAAGCTCCTGAAGCAGAAAAGAAGGTTATTCTCAGTGTCGATCACCAGAAAACTAAAAATAGGTCTTCAGGTTCTGAGAAATTGAACATAATACTGGTTTTATTCCTGGCTTCGAGGTGAATTTCGACACAGACTGTACTTCAATTTTAGAATATTTAGTTTAGACTAGAATATACAGTGTCCATTTTTTAAAGCACCCTAGGAGCGAATAACTACATGGGTGGCAAAGCATTGAACTTGAATATGTAAGGAAAAGCACACAAAGTTTTCTTCTCGAGAAACTTGCTATCATCAATTTATTTCTTGAACTCCCTCTCCTATTAGATCCACAGGGCTAGCCAATCGGGGAACCGTGTAAAAAAGTAGTTGTGGTAAGAATACTCTTATAGTATTGGTGAGTTGATTGCGTACACTAAGACTCTGGTATTGGCAAAAGTTATAGTGGCGACTTAGCATAACCACTTATTCATTTGGGACCAAGGAAAGAATTCGTGAACTTTTGTTCGGTGAAGATCATTAGATCTGTTCACTCAAGCAAAATTAATACTCACAGTTAAAACAGGGATTCCAGCAATGCAGATTGGGAGTTTTTTATTAGAAGAGTATTGGAATCTATGCAATAAAACCAGTTGAATTCTTTCTTGACCAATACATTCTGGAAACGGATTGAAAGCACAAGACCAACCAAGTATCGTTGGTAATGATGCTCTCATAATGCACCCAAAGTAGAAGTATTTTTCTGACAGGTTCTGTAGCCGTAATAGTTCATTGACCAAAACGAAAATGAGTAAAATAATCACTAAAAAGTCTGCAATAAATCCATTCCAAAACTAGAACAACCAAGTCGCTCCCTCGTTTTGCATGATTAGCTTGAAACCAGTGGTGCCATTTCGCTGGCCCTGAGTGATTATAATTTGGTTACCAGGTAGATTGATTGAATTCATTTCCAGTCTAACCAACAACCGGTATTCCTTCCAGTTATCTTTCCTCTAGGCTTGAGTTGTGTCCTGGGTCCATATGACCCAAACTTCGTGTACCTCAGTGATTCAGCTTGTAAATAAGCATGGAATAACTACACAGTTCTGGATTCTATGTGGGAGCAAACCTCGTTCAACAACTTGGCTACCATCTTGATGTCGCGATTGATGCCCTCGTCAGCTATCTTTTCTTCCTTGCCAAAGACCAACACTCCTTTCAATTGATCTATTCTGGTTCCATAAGGCAACTTGTTCCCCACAATCATGCTCACCAAGATCTCTTCTACCTGTAGATGTGGTGGGAGGCGGAAAATGTCGTAGATCTTTGATATTCTCACACTTCTGTAGTATTTGGATAACAGCATCAAGTTGTTCTCCATCCAGTTTTCCAATACCCTATCATACTCCAAGCACTCGCTGAACAACTGGCGGTACCCAGAGTTGAGGGAATCTGCCCTAGATTTAAGAAAGTGCTCGAGGAGGTCCACAGGCACCAATCTCTGAGCCGATATCAAGTCATAAATGTTCTTGGTGGTCGAATCAAGGTCTTCGGGAAGATTCTGCTTCAAGTAAACCAACACGTTGTACCTCCTGTAGTCCAGACTGGATATTATGAGCAACTGGACGATCTTGTAGTTGAGACGACGGCCCAATTCGCCTTGCTGGTTGGTGGGTATCCCGTTGAAGAGCAATATCTTCTTGTTTATGAGGTCTCCGAACTTATTGTAATCGAGGTTCTCGACAAGATATTGGTAGTCTGTGTAAAGATCATGATATGTGATCCGCTGAGCTAGAAACGATGGAGAATTGTTTCCAATGGCTGATTTATAATCTGGAAGGGATTGTAGATGCTTGAATTTAGTCGCCAATGTGTGGTGCTGGGAAGGCGTTTCTAGAGCGGCCTCAATTTCACGAAGGGCCTGGTTGAATTCAGCAGCGGAACCACCTTCGGAAACTGTAGAAGGCATTGTCATGGTGTGTGGGGTGGAAAGGGTAATATAGCCGGCCAGGAATTTGAGATTGAGATCGGGTCAGGTGACCCAATGACACGTGACCGGGATTTACACCCACAGGAAAGACGTTTGGAAACAGACCTATACTTGGAGATTGGCAGTTGATCGTATTGGTATCTGGCCGGGGGTAAATTGTACGCCTTGCTGTGTTCCAAAGTGTAATTTCAGCTTTCGTACTGCTATTTTTGCGTAATGCTCGGCTTCCTTGGAGTGAAACAGGACCAAGAAAAGGGCAATATGAAGCACCGGAACGAGCCCGTCCTCTTTAAGCCCCGCGGAGGCTTCCTACCCCCTGTGTGGTATAGATAGTGCCAAAAATGCTTATACGAGAAACGATCAGCTCACGTGACCTGTATACGACAGTGAAAATCATTTAATAGCGGCCCGAAGAACCAAAATACCACGCCAGACTGCCCCATGAAGCTCTTCTACTATACCGTCCTTCCGTTGGCCATCTACGCTGCCTTCAACTACCTTTTCCACCACTGGCTTCCCTCCGTGTATGTGTTCGACAAGGTGGTGTTGCAAGAGCTCTCCAGAGAAGTGATTGCCAACCATCCAGACGGCAATGCCACTGCCATTATGGTTGAATTGACACCAAAGATCCAGGCTGCTTATCCTCACGTTCGTATCAACGACCTCAACTTTGACGACTGGGTCATGAACAACGCTGGAGGTGCCATGGGAACCATGTTCATCATGCATGCCTCCATCACCGAGTACTTGATCTTCTTTGCCACTCCCGTGGGTACTGAGGGCCACACAGGGATCCATTTCGCCGACGACTACTTCACTATTTTGACCGGAGAGCAGACTGCTGCACTTGCCGGCGCTACTAGCCCAGAGATCTACCTTCCAGGAGACCAGCACCACTTGCAAAAGGGTGACCTCAAGCAGTACAGCATGCCTAGAGGCGCATTAGCGTTGGAGTTGGCCCAGGGATGGATCCCAGCCATGTTGCCTTTCGGATTCTTGGACAGTATCTGCTCGACCTTGGACTACATCTCTCTCTCCAAGACCATCTGGTTGACTGGTAAGGACATGATCTTGAACTTGCTTGCAGGTAAGTTGTAGACTGAGGTGCTACGCCATTGAAGCCTATAGACTGAATAGAAAATAGCCAATATAGCTATCAATAGAGACCAGTAATAACCAGTGTAGAAATTGAGGAAAACGGCAGTGTAGAAATCGTGAACAATGACAGAATAGAAGCACGAGAATGGAATTGTTGAGTTCTGGACGAGTAGAAGCACTTTTGTTGCGACTAATGGTAGAAATGAACCATCAAAAATAGTGTAAGAGCGGAAGTGAAAAAAGCTAAGTTGTGAAGTGCTTGCCGGAGTTCAAAGCCACGATTGGTATCTAAGCCACCCAGGGGGGCGAGCGAACTGCCTGATCGATGTTGGCTACGAATTATTACTGCTTTCCCACGGTTTGAAGGAGAGGTTTATTCTTGGAGTGAAAATATGGCCAAATTCTTCACTAAATGACAGCAAGTTTTTTATTCTAATGTAAATTCAGTTGATTACCAACCCTCCCACCAGTTCTGGAGCATCCACTTCGTCCCCACGGGTGTAAAAGCCCCAAGCAAGATGGGTGCAAAATGGGGTGGGTGCGAAAAGGAACATGCCCATCTCTTATATAATTACCTATGTTATTATGGTTAAAGAGAGCTGGCACAATAGTTTGTCTAATTAATAACAATAGAATCTATTGTCACAACGGAGCTCAAAATAATATTACTAGCGATCGCTACAACGGTTGGAGGGTCAATAATTATACATTTACACTATGATGTCGTTATCTATTAAAACTAGATGCAGGGCCTGCGACCGGCAACCGTCCCGACTGGCTCATGAAGTCTTGGACAATGCAATCATTCTATGGAAATCACCGATCGCACGCAGGGTCGTTGCTCTCGTAATAGCCCCCCAACTGGAGCAAGGACTTGGCCACGCTGAAGCTGTTGGGGGTGCCGAAGCTGGCGATGGGAGACGAGGTGAGAATGCAGCTTCCCTTTCTTTCTTTTTCTTTTATGGTGGTGTTACAAATCGTAGCATCATTATCCTCGTCGATGGTGGTGTCATCGGTGGCTACCACAGCCGACGATACGTTGAGGCTGGAGATGAGGTGCCTGGTCGAGCTTGCGTTTTTTATGGGGGTTTTGAGGATCTTGTTGATGGAAGGGAGGTTAGTTTTGGCGAGGGAGTCAGAGTCTGCTCGCGAGAGGCGTGGAAGCTCGTCAGGGTCTATTTTGGCGGGGATTTCTGCCTGGCGGATCGAGTTGGCCAACGAAGTCAACATGGGCTTGGGGAGGTTGACGTGGTTGATCGACAACGGCAACGGCTTGTTGGCCGGGGCCGCTGAGTAGAAGATGGACTTGCGCTTGATCTTGAAGAGCCGGAGCTTCTGCACCTTGGCAGCGTGGTCGCTGGTGGCTATGTTGGAGAGGGACGGGAACGTTCTTGTTTTGGAGAGGAGTTTTGCTTTTGTTTTGAGGTTGATGTTGACGGACGACGAGTAGGGACGCGACCGTGGGGGTGTGGGGAGGTACGGAGACGATGCAGGGCGTTTCAGGGACGAGATGTTGAGGGACGCGATGGGGGACGTGGTGGCAGTGGTGGTGGGGGACGTTTTGGGGGGATGTGCGGAAGAAGAGACGCCCTGGCTGTTATTGTTATTGTTGCCACTAATACCGCCACTCTGTTGCTGAAGCTTGTACAACGCCAACTGCAACTTGAGCTTGAGCTTGGTGGCTGCCAACCCAGCAGTGTCGTTTTTAGCCCCCCTAATTGTTGGCGACAATGACGACGACCGTGACTCAGAAAAGCTGAGCGACTTGATGGGAGTATGACGAGCTCCACTGGCACCATTGAAGCTGGTAGAAACGCCAGCAGTTCCCACCAAGTAGCCAGGCGTTCTGGCAGAAATGATACTGGAGGTGGTGGTGGGAGAGTTTGCAAACGAGTTGACGCCATGGGAGGACGCGAGAGGAGAGACTCTCTTTGGTTTCCTCATGGGGGTTCCGTCGCGTGACCCTGGTTTGTTCAAGCACGAGTCTTTGATGGGAGCCAAGGCCACTCTGTTGGATACTGACATGGTTGGGACGGTGGAAATGGCGAGTTGTGGTGGTGGAGGAAGTTGCCAGGTATATGTATGGGCGCGTAGTGGGCTGGAGGAGATCCGAGGGGAGGAGGACGGAAGTCGGCCGGGTTGGGCCAAGTCGTAAACAGTGCGCACAATGGACGTGTTGTTTGTTTGTTTACGTGAGCGAAGCGCACCCCGAGTGCGACGTGATGGGGGTGACCTGGAGGTGCGTGGTGTTGTGGGATTACCGTTTGGAGTGTTTGCATTCTCGCATACGGCGCCGGCGGCAGCACCACCACCAGCGACAGCAGCCGCGCCAGCGGCATGTGTCCCAGATGGGTAGTGGTGGAGGATGCGTGCCGGTTGGGGAAGTCGCTTCCCCAAGCGTCGAATCCCACCATCAATTAGGAAGGTGCTACTACCAATTAGAGTTTGGCGAGGAGGAAAACCCTGGATGGCAAATTGCAGATGCGAGCTGTGCAGGCGATGCACAACAATACCCTTCACTATTGGGTGCTTCGTATTTATGGTGCCCGGCACGGGATCCACGGGAGTGCAGCAAGCATAGCGTGTGTGTGCGTACAGGTGAAAGTCATGGTTGGTTGTTGGGGATGGGTCGGCTGCGGCCATGACCCCGGGCGATGGCCCCGACGTTGCGCGTCGGCTGGTCATCGTGCCTGACTACTGGGGAAGACCTTACACGTGATGATTGGTCCAAGATCATCATCTGGCCGCGCCTCGATCTTTGTGCAGGACAATGCAAGATGCCAGATAATAATTGTTACTATTCACTTTGGCGTACTAGCGTCAAACGAGCCTAGGTGCGTAAAAAATATAGCGTGCTACGGCACGCGAGAGCCACGTGATAATGTTCACGTGATACTATACTGGTGTCCTACGTGCTACTTTACTATTCATCTAGCTATTAAGGAAATGTTACTAGTAAAGTACGGGTACGTGCATGTGAAAGATATCTTGACTAGCGAAAAACCTCCCCAGAAAATGTCGCTTCTCCATTTAGTGGATATCTTTGCACCCAATGGCCGAATTTCAATCCCCATTTAAGAAGAGTATATAGTGTATTATTTAAATTTAGTTAAGCACATAGAGAAAATCACTAACTACAATGAAATGATTACCGTGAGATGTCCGTGCTCCTGGTTCATGTTTTGTTTGGATGGATAGTCGTGGGATTCATCTATTTTGGAACTGTGCTCTTGTGCTTTGCTAAGAGCCAACTACTGATACCCTTTGTGTACTCTTGCCAGACTTCCATCAAGTCCAAAGCCTGATTTTTAGTCTTGGTATAGCATTTAGTCCTCTTTTGATTGGAAAATTACCATAAAACCTAAACCCCTCGATAATACTAGTCAATGCAGTTAATCAGGCAGTTATCAATTTTCTCAGGACTTTACGGTACGCTGGAATTTACACATCTGCATTAACTGGATATCCAACTCAACGGCTAGATATTTCAAGGCATAAACATTGAGAACTGTTGAAGAGACATTCATTGTAGATTTCTACTTCTAGCCAAAACTCTGTTTTGACCACTGATCTACTAATCATTGTAGTTTTTCATTTCCAGGCCAACACACTTCATCGAAATAATGCTCCAAGAAGACATGTAAGGCGTCATTTGACTTATGGGCGAACTGCACTGCTATCTACACACTATTTCTATCTAAAGAAGGTAAGTTGCATACAATATATTTAGTCTCACCCATCTGATAAAAGCAAATCCTAGTATTTGATTGCTGGCCACGGTTCTGTATCACATAAGCTGCTCTTGAAATCACAAAGAATATTTCCGCTTATAGCAGGTCGCTTTACTTGTAATGATGTGCGATGTCACCACACTAGTGACAGAATAACCCAGTAATTACTGCACGCTGGTGAAATATTGCACCCAATTTATACAAATGAGTACTGTGAAACATAATTCGTGAATCAGCCTTCCAATTATTTCCAATATTTATCTGTTTTGGACCAACCTGAACGCCTCGAAGCATGCTTATTTCATGAGCTGATAACATCGAGAGGATTATTGTGCTGTCCAGCTCTTAGTCATGAACTATGTAAAACTGGCTCTTAGTAACAAAATTTAATAAACTGAGGAACATTATTAACAAGGACCCCACAAAATTTGTGGTGAAGATGGGTCACGGTGAAAGCATTGGATTTTCGACTAGCATGTGTATAATTTTTAATTCAGCTTCATCAGAATTATTGACGATTTTGTTAGCTAATTTGCTGCGCTTGCCATGGATCGCCACCAAAGGCCCACCTCCCAAACTCGTCCAGCTTGGACCCTTAAACTAATCGATAATGACGGCCCAGTTGTTGGGGATTACCAATTTGTGTTTCCCCAACAAGCTATGGAAAAGATTTACATGGAACTCTACACGATGATGAACTATAGATTGGTCAAGTATCGTAATATCATCGATCATCAGAAATTTATGAGATCTGATTTATAATATTAATATGACAGTGGGGAACTATTCAAGAAGTTGAACCAAGCTCTTCCTTAACCAAATGGTAGTTGGTCGGACAGTGTCCCACAATGTCGCCACAGCAGTGTCGCACAACATACTCCAAATACAGAACAGATCACGTGCCACAAATCACGCGACTTGACACCTGACTTCACAGGTCATCTATCATCCCTTATCTCTCCTTCTTCCACATCATGTTGCGCTCCAAACTCTCTTCCTTGAGGGAATACCTCACCCCCATCAACCACGCCTCCAACTTCTCGTCCACTGGCGAGTTGAGCCCCGAAGAATTCGTCCAGGCTGGCGACTACCTCGTCTACAAGTTCCCCACATGGCAATGGGCATCCTGTCCCAAGGCGCTCCAGAAGTCGTTCTTGCCTCCAGACAAGCAGTTTTTGATCACCAAGCACGTGCCAAGCTACCAGCGTGCTTCCAACTATCTTACAGGTGAAGGAGGCATTGATTTTGATGAAGACGAAGAGGATGAGGACGGATGGGTGACTTCCCAGGGCCCCAAGGGGGGCCTGGGGGCACCAGAAAGGGTCCAGGCCGAAGTCATCAATGATATCGACGACTTTGTCGACGACAATGCGCAGGAGGAGGAGGATGACGACATTGACGACCTCCAGATGATCAATAACTCCAGCTCCACCCTCCGCAAGTACGACCTCTACATCACGTACTCGACGTCGTACCGCGTTCCCAAGTTGTACTTGGTGGGATTTGGCTCTGGGGGCATTCCACTCTTGCCTGACCAGATGTTCGAGGATATTAATGCTGACTACAAGGACAAAACCGCCACCATAGAGACGTTGCCTGTTTCGTACAACACCACCCTGGTGTCGATCCACCCGTGCAAGCACTCCAGCGTGATGCGGGTATTGATGAAGCACGCGCAGGGCCGCGAGACCACCGAGAGTGAGGCTCTGGGTGTACGGGTGGACCATTATCTTGTGATTTTCCTCAAGTTCATAGCCAGTGTGACTCCGGGAATCGAGTACGACTACACCATGGATGCTTTGTAGCGGCTGGGCCACGCTGGTTGTGGCTGATAGAATATAGAGGAATAAATGAATGGCTGGGCTCGTATGTAGAGGTTTCTTTGTAGACGTATGGGAATAAATATGGTAATAGGCTCTTGCTACTGAAAAGCAGTGATAAATTGGAAATAGTGAACACTTATGTGATGATATTTTCTAATAAACATTGATTATTTATATCCATTGATGTAATTCCCACATCAGGGAAAAATACAGCTTAAAAGTGCTTTAATTTGATTGTATCTTCGATAATCCACATTTGATGATCACACTCTCTCTTGTATTGGGTTTCATTCATTTGGAAAGAACCTGAGTTTACTCTTGATACTTATCCTAATGATCTCAGAAAATGAACCATGCATGTCAAAGGTTTCAATAAACCAAGAATAAGTCCAAGTACCTTTTTCCTATTATCTAGTTAATGAATATGCTTTGTGCAAGTATCTGATTCTTATATTAATCAGAACCTCGGAAAAGATTACCTTCAAAGGTATGCTTCCGATATCTATGATGGCTGTTCCTGTTAGGTTAATCCTCAGACTTTCATGAGCTCCTGCTGCAAGGGAATGAATACACCAAAGACAATTGGCACCATTCCACACAGTTCTATTGAAATAAAATGTAACTGATCTAAAGGTTACTGGTAATCACATTTTTGGCTATGTTGTGTGAGTTAAACATCCATGAAGACAGGATCCAAGAGTAATATATTGAGCATTGGTCAATTGTTTTGCCCGTATTACTACACACTCAAATGCACCAGCAGGAGTTTTATTTGGTACCGCTGTGGAGAGAGGTCAAAGACCGTTTTAGTTGTTCCTCAGTAAACACTATGACAGCGCATATTTTGAATCCGCCTAGGTGGCTCATATCGGCAAGCTTCTGCGGAGTAGTAATCATTCCGTTACTACGCCAAATTGGTGTATGCCTTTACATGGACTTGCGTCGAGAGTCTGCATTTTGACATATTCTTGACGTGCCTGCTTGTTCGTAACTTGCACATTATGCGGGCAAGAGTGAATTGTTTACAAGATGCATCTGCAAGTCAGAAATGACGTACTGGTATCAGGTACAATCCAGTTCCCCAACAGTCAATGGATTATATGCGACATCATGTTGCCTTGCGTATACGACTTGGGCTACAGGGTACATAACGCGACTGCAACAGAGTTGGGCGGCCATCAACCGATCCGAAGGCAGGGGGACATGGATAGCCGTGCACAAGAAGCAACACGACGCCCTACGACACCCAGAGCAAGATCAGGCCATCTTGTGACGTCGTGCCGGCCAGGCCAATTGTCGATGGCAACATTGGGGAACCAACGGCAAAGAAACACTTGGTGAAATGTGACATTCTGGCTCAGAAGTAATACCAAGCACCTCAAGGCACTTACAAGGGACTGCCATGTTTGTTCTTTATCTGTCAAGGTTTACGGTGTATTTGTACTTGCTGTATCCGTGGCGGCCTTTAGTGCACTTGACAGCAACTATACGTTGCATGCTTTCGGCTGTGCCTGCTTGACATCTCTATACACCCATGCTACAATACTCTAGCTGTGTAGGCTCGGTAAGAGAGAGGGCACTGGAAGTGTGTCTAATTGGTGCTGTCTGCTCGACTGTAATGGTAGCCAATTGTGTGGATTGCTCTCGGCCATTGGGTGCAAATATGGTTGCTTTGTGCCAGACATCCTCGGGACGACGCGGCAGGACGTCCATAGTAGCGTGCTCTTGGAGCCCATGAGTCCCGAAACCGTGTAGTCCATTCTGGCCACCAATCAGGTCCCAATTGACTGCTCTTTCCGTTCCCAATTGACTGCACCATTTTCCTTCCGTTCCCTTCCGTTCCCTATTGACTGCTCTTCCCATCACATACCCATTTCCTCTAGCGTCTCTAGCCATAAACCACATCCACCATCTCCAGCATCTCCACCTCATATAGCCACGACCCCACCATCCACCGCAAAACGTGTCCTGTCCCAATATTGTCTGTCTTTATTCCATCCAGCACTGAACTCCGACCTTCACTCTCACGTGCACCTCTACTCAAATCCACCATCTCGTCCATCAAAACACATCCACAACCATGCCCAGAAAGAAGAGTGCTGCTAGTGGCTCTCCTGCCAGCGACACTGCAGTGACGCTGGCCCTCTCGCGTAACGAGCTCATTGAATCGGTGGCAGAGCTCGTGGTGGCCCAGAACGAATCGGACTCTGCTGGCTCCACTACCACCTCCTCCACCACTCTGGTTTCGAAACGGCTCCACGAGTCCCGTCGTGTGGTGTTCGTGTTGGGAACCTTGCTTGGGTTGCTTGTCACAGCTGTTTTCACCACCTACAACAGTCCCCACCTCAAGAACGAGCTCGACAAGTACGTGAGACTCGATTCCATGTCGTTGTTTGAGGACTGGCGGGACTGGACTGACATGTTGCCCAGCGGACTCCAGCTGATGATGTCAGACTTCGACTTTTCCAGCCAGCAGGATCCTCTCAGCGGCAGTGCTGAGTCGTTCCTGGTGGGAAAGCGCATGGCGCTTGTCCACAACCTTACCGCCCAGCACAGCGTGGTGATGGTTCCAGGCGTGATTTCAACCGGAATTGAGTCGTGGGGCGTGTCGCTGGATGGCGAGTGTCCGTCCATCAACCACTTCCGTAAGCGCTTGTGGGGTTCGTTCTACATGCTCCGCACCATGGTGCTCGACAAAGGCTGCTGGTTGAAACACATCATGCTAGACCCCAACACGGGCCTCGATCCCCCCAACGTGCGGCTAAGGGCAGCACAGGGCTTTGAGGCTGCTGACTTCTTCATGGCTGGCTATTGGATCTGGAACAAGATCCTCCAGAACCTTGCAGTCATTGGCTACGGCCCCAACAACATGATCAGTGCTGCCTACGACTGGCGCTTGGCGTACCTCGACTTGGAGCGCCGTGACGGGTACTTCTCCAAGCTCCAGCAGCAGATCGAGCTCACCAGGCGGCTCACGGGCCAGAAGACCATCTTGGTGGGCCACTCCATGGGATCGCAGGTGATTTTCTACTTCTTGAAGTGGGTGGAGGCCCAGGGCGAGTTCTACGGCAACGCAGGCCCTGGCTGGTGCAACCACCACATCGAGGCTTTCGTGGATATCTCGGGCCTGTCGTTGGGAACGCCCAAGGCTATTCCAGCGTTGATTTCTGGTGAAATGAAGGATACGGTCCAGTTGAACGCTTTGGCTGTCTACGGCTTGGAGAAGTTCTTCAGCCGTCGCGAGCGTGTCGACATGTTGCGGTCGTTTGGAGGCATAGCCAGTATGTTTCCCAAGGGTGGCGAATTAATTTGGGGTAACTTGACCCATGCGCCCGATGATCCTACTAACACCTTGGAGACCAATGGCCTGGTGGTGGTCACCACAGGCCCCAAAAATGAGAGCTTTGGCACCTTCATCCGCCACGTGTCCAAGAACAGCCTGGTGGAACACTACACCGTCCAGCAGAGTCTTGATAACTTGTTAGACGACGCCCCCGAGTGGTACGCCCAGCGTGTACGTGACCAGTACTCGTACGGAGTGGCTGAAAATGCTGCCCAGTTGAAGAAAAACAACCACGACCACCTGAAGTGGTCCAATCCGTTGGAGGCAGCCTTACCTAACGCGCCAGATATGAAGGTTTTCTGCTTCTACGGCGTGGGAAAGCCCACGGAAAGGGCTTACTCGTACGCAGACGCGGACGATGCCACTAAGTTGAAGATGGTGATCGACTCCGAACTGGACAATCCCGTGTTTTTGGGAGACGGTGACGGTACGGTGTCCCTCTTGACCCACACCATGTGCCACGAATGGAAGAAGGGCCTGGCGTCGCGGTTCAACCCTGGAAACTCGAGCGTGACAATCGTGGAGATCAAGGACGAGCCTGATCGGTTCGACATCCGTGGAGGTGCCAAGACTGCTGACCATGTGGACATCTTGGGGTCGGCGGAGTTGAACGAGTTGGTGTTGAAGGTGGCGGCAGGAAAGGGCCACTTGATCGAAGACCGGTACATGAGCAACCTTCGTGAGATTGTGGCGGGAATGAACATCTAGGCCGGTAAAATACCTGTGAAAGATGCATTCTGAGAAGTCACGTTGCAATGACATGCTGATTCTTGTGTTAAGAAGGCATATTTATTTATACTAAATTTCCAAGTTCTGCTCGATGGAGCTTATAAAATAGCTATGGTACAATTCTGAACCCACAGTTCAGTGCTAATTTTTGTGTTTAGAATGACAGAATATATTTATATTACATCCAGATCAATGTAGAGATAGAGCCCCAAAGATGAAATAGTAAATGCATGAATACGTGAAGTGTTTGGAAGCTCAAATCTCGAGAATCTTCGGTCTTAGAAGAATTAGTATAAATAGGGCAATTGACACACTAAAATCAAAGAATTTAAGCAAGAGATCAAAATTGGCTCTAAAAAGAATTTGGGCGTAGCTTCATAGGTTTTAGGTCCTTCTTAAATTAATAATTCTTGAATAATTACCACTTGTATTCACGAGTCCGTATTTTGTTGATCCGGAAGCGATTCTGCCGGTTTCTACAAGCAGTTCACCGAGATTAATGGAGAAATGATTCTCAATCAAAATCGACCACCAATCTGAAACTATCATTGTCAGTACTCAACCTGCTTGCCTGCAAACGTCTCTGGAACGTAGCTCACATGTATACCTCTGTGGCGCTGCCATGACAGAAACATTCAGTAGCAGGAATCCGAGGCTTAACAATACCCGGGAGTTTCCAAGGAGAATTTCAGTGGGCCATGTCCCAAGGTGCCCGCGAACAACACCGAAATCTCTCGCTACACTCTCGTACCTTCCCGCTGCACTCTCGTACCTTCCCGCCGCACCTCTTTTCTGGCCCTACTCTCCCCCTACACTCTGCCTTCGCGCTCCCTAACTTCGCCTAACTCCCACTACCCCCTCCCTAACTCTCCCTACAACCCCTGCCAGCCACCCGCACTCAAATCCCCACCGTTCTCGACGAAACCACAACACACCACCATCATGAGGTAAGTCCCCAATCCCCCACACACCCTCCTGGTCGTACTAACCCCCAGCGGCAAATTCGTCAGAGCCTCCAAATACCGCCACGTCTTTGGACAGGCAGCCAAGAAGGAATTGTGCTATGAAAACTTGAAAATCACCAAAAATGCCTGGGACTCCAACATCATCAGCAGCAACGGCAAGTACTTGTCAGTCAATTGGGACGCGTCTGGCGGTGGAGCGTTTGCAGTGATCCCTCTATCGGAAGTGGGCAAAGCACCTGACCAGGTGCCGCTTTTCCGTGGCCACAAGGGCCCAGTTTTGGATACGGTGTTCAACCCGTTTGACTCCCAGCAAGTGGTCAGTTGTTCCGACGACGGCAAGATCTTGTTGTGGCAGATTCCTGACGACTACTCGTTCCACCGTTACGTGGACGCCAACGACAACATCAAGGACATCACCGAGCCCTTGAAGGTGTTGTCTGGCCACACCAGAAAGGTGGGCCACGTCGAGTTCCATCCCTGCGCTGCCAACGTGTTGGCATCGTGTTCGATGGACTACACAGTCAAAATCTGGAACCTCGACTCCGGAAAGGATGAGATCACCTTACAACACAAAGACTTAGTGACCTCGTTTGCTTTCAACTACAACGGTTCGTTGATGGCCACCACCTCCAGGGACAAGAAGTTGCGTATCTGGGACGTCCGTCTGGGCAAGGTGCTCAGTGAGGGCAATGGCCACACTGGAGCCAAGCCTTCGCGAGTGGCCTGGCTCGGAAACACCGACAGAATCGTCACCACAGGGTTCTCGCGGCTTTCGGACCGTCAGGTGGGGCTCTGGGATGTCAACGACATCGAAAAGGGCCCCATCGACGGATTCCTCGTCATTGACTCGTCCTCAGGAGTGTTGATTCCATACTTCGATGAAGCCACTTCCATCTTGTACTTGGCTGGTAAGGGAGACGGTAACATCCGTTACTTCGAGTACAACGAGGACTACTTCCACGAGTTGTCGCAGTATGCCTCCACGGACGCTCAGAGGGGGTTCGTTGCGGCCCCCAAACACTCGGTGAATGTCAAGGAAAACGAAATCACCAGGGCTTTCAAGACCGTCAACGACCTGTCGATTGAGCCTATCTCCTTCATCGTGCCCAGAAGATCCGAATTGTTCCAACAAGATATCTATCCAGACTGTCCCTCCGGCAAGCCAGCATTGACTGCTTCTGAATGGTTTGCTGGCAAGGATGTCAATGGTCCCTTGTTGATGAGCATGGATGCTCTTTACGAGGGAACCACTCCATCGATCAGAGAGTCTGAGCCAGTGACTAAAGTCTCTGAAGCCAGGGAAGAGGCTGAGAAGAAGAAGGCAGAAGAAAAGAAGGCAGAAGCCAAGCAGACCGAGGAAAAGAAAGCTTCCAAGGAGGTCAAGGAGCCAGTCAAGGAATCTTCTCCTGTGACAAAGAACGTCGACGAAGTGTTGAAGTCGGACTCGAAGGTCAACAACTTGCTTGACAAGGTTAACGGGCAATCTGACGACGAGGACGCCGTTTCCGAAGACGAGAAGGATGGTGACTGGGAAGAAGTTGCAAAGCCAAGCAAAGAAACTACCCCTAAGCAGATTAAGTCAGAAGAATCTAAGAAAGTGGAGCCAAAAGTTGAGGCCAAAAAGGAAGAACCAAAGGCCGAGCCCAAGGTAGAGGCTAAGAAAGAAGAGACCAAGGTTGAACCAAAGGTTGAGTCAAAGAAGGAAGAGCCAAAGATCGAGCTCTCCAAGCCCAAGGAACTCGCAAAGACCCCAGAACCAGCCAAGCCAGAATCTCCTGTTAAGGCTGGTGCCGGTGCCCCAACATTAAAGGCAACCGTGGAGAAGTTGGCCAACATTGTCATTCAATTGGAGAGCCAAGTCCAGAAATTGACTGATGCGGGCCTCGAAAAGGACGAAAGATTAGCTTCCTTGGAGAAGAAGATTGATGAGTTATTGAGAAAGTAGATAGCATTAAGGACTATAGCTGTTACGAACATTACAATTTAGATTCAACATTGTAGATTTTGGTGGACCACTGTAACTACCGCGATATGTCGATCTTAATGGGAAGTCATAATGCCAACAGTACTGATTTTTAATGGGTATCCAAATAGCTTGCAATGAGTAATAGATGTTCATACAGTTCGAATCAATAAACAGACAAATTATTGGCTGTACCATGATAATTTAATACCAACCGATCCGAAAGTGCTTTCTTATTAATTAAAACTGGAATGTATTATTGCAAGCCTGGTCCTACATCTATGGTAACGAGAATTATTCCAGTATTTCTAGCCGTATATTCTATTAAGGATAGGAATTAAAACATCCCACCACCCTAATGGGAGTTGTACCATCAATTCCGAGCCGACGATTCTTATGCTAGTGGAAAACACTTCTATGTAGCCATACTATCGATTGTAACAAAAAATATTGACTGTATCAGGACTAATTTTGGCTTTTGCAAGTTGACCTGAACTCTCTTTTACTCACATGAATGGCACAATAGTTCTTCTCAACTATCATATATCTGTAAGTTGACAGGGAGCATTGAAACCCAGCCTGACAGTATCCAATATATGTACTTTTTCTTACTCGTTTTTAACGAGTTGATAATATTGAAGCTACGTCTTCTTTCTAGTTCTAAATGATATTTATTGGAATCACACTATCTCTTTTATCTAATGAATATCGTAAAACTTCCTGAAAATGAAGCTTATCAAGGTTTCACTGCGGAATACCATATGCAAATCATCAAACATCTCGATCTTTTCGGTGCCTTCATATTGTATGTTCAACAATTCATCCAAAGTGATGACATTGAATGCTCCTGGAAGCGAAACCGAGCCTCCGGTGGCCACCTCGACAATAAACTTACCGACCTCGTTACAACTGAACATGAGATCCAACTTGCTGGAGCCAAAGTTGACCCCTCCAAAGTCGAGCAAGATACCTTGATCCATGAGCTTTTTGGCAGAGTACTTGTAGGAGCCAAACTTGGGCAACCTGTTTCTCTTTCTCAATTCTCTGTGGTAGAAGTACTGCTTGCTGAATACGGGAATGATGTTGAAGATCTTCCTGTCCTTGGGCTTGGATTGCAACTGCGATAAAATCTTCTCAATGTGGTTGTTGTAATCGGATAACTGCTTTCTAAGGAACTTTTGTTTATCCGACAACTTTTCAATTGCTTTGAGGGTGATCTCCAACTGGGACTTTCTGCTGGATCTTTGCGAATCCTTGGTCTTGATATCGATGGCAATGTTGTTAAGAATATCTTGGTAACAATTTTTTCTGGTAACATGTCCTTCGGTTTCCAACTTGATAATCAAGTTCAAGGCCATCTTTTTCAATTCATGGTAGGTGATCAGAGACAAGTCACCCAAAGAGGTACGGTAGTAGGGATTCTTCTTCTCATTGCTCTTCGACTGTTGGATTTCCTTCTTTTCGGTCGATACTATCTCCTTGAACTTTTGTTCATGCTGGTCCTGAATACCTGAAATGAGAAGCTCCAAAAGGTTTTCTCCTTGCTGGATTCGAATGATGTAAATGACGCACCTCTTAACTTGTGTCAACATGGATCTGTATTTTGAGTCGGCTAGAGAATCTTCCTTTGTGGTGGGATTAAGATTCAAGGTGATAGAACCAAACTCGGTCAAGGTCATGTAGTCATCTAGAGTGTTCAAGGTGTTGTTCAAGGTGGTGATATTGGCAAATAGCTGGTCATCAGACGAGGGTGCCATGATGTCAATTCTTTCACTAATAAACTTCTCAACTTCGATCATCTTCGACACATTCATAGTCAACGAAGGACGGGCGTGGTTGATAATGTCATTATAATCATTCATCTGGTACTCTTGTTCAAGACCATCCACATCTATCAAGCGGGAGATGATCAGCTTGGTAATGTCACTGGAGCTAGTCAAGTAGTCATTTAATGGCTTCAAGAAGTTGTCACTAAATGGCTTGAGGGAAAAGAGCTGGAGCAACACACGGGCCAACGATTTCAAGTTCTTTCCGCACTTGAACGAGTTGATGATAGATGGATTGAATGGATCCCTAACTAAGTACCCGAAATTTTCAGGATATTGAAGAATATTGGAGATGTAGTGCTTTATGAATACCACTCCAGCAACTGCCAAATGTTGCTGATTTGGCTTGCTTGGGAATTGGATCTTGGACAACTTGTAGCACTGGTTGCAAATCAATCTCACGTGCAAGGGAATTTTGGAGATATTCTGATCCAATATGTTGAGGAAATCGGTGGAGATTTCTCTCAAATTCATCAAGTTTTCAATAAATTGGCTCGATACTTCAGGAGTTTTGATGGCAACCTGGGGAGTAATTCCCTCCATGTTCTTGGAAGTGTATCCATCGACCTTAATTTCTTTGTTAGCAATTTCAGCGTAGATTTCACAGGGATCAGACTCGAAGCTAAGCTCCTCATTTTCAATAATATGGTCAATCACTCCTCCGGTTAAGCTCTTCAAGTGTTGTCTTTGATAGGTGTGGTTGTTAAAGTTCAAAAAGTATTCAATCCAGTGGCACGACTGGGCCTTTGTGATCTCGGTGATTAATGGGCAATTATTCTCAATATCATACTTCATCAAATCGAGGATGAATTTGATGAAGAAGTATTCTTCTCTGGAGTGTTCATTGACAGAAAGATCGGTGATGGGGAAAATCAGCAAGATTATAGACTGGAGATCCTTCAACGTCTTGCTACTTTCTTCATCTGCATTTGTAGGGCCACCAAGTGCCTTGAAAAGCCTTATGAAATAAGCTGGTTTTGTCTGGAGAAGGTAGAACATCGATTGGTACAATTCAATCCGTTGTCTCGAGTTCTTATTAAGTTTGTCCATAGTTTTGGCACCCATATCAAGGGAAGTCGAGGGTCCACCAAGAGCGGGTTTCTTCTTGTTCTTCATGAATTCTTCAATGGTGATTTTGTTTTTGTCAAGCAATCCAAGTTTGATGTCCAAGCTTTCGATTTGATTCTCCAAATCTTCATTTGTCTTCGAGCTTTCGATGATTCTGTCTTTGAGATCCGACAACTCTATTTCTTCCCTGTAGTCGATATCGTTATCAGTCAAAAGATACGCAAATTTGGAGATAGTGCCCAACGAAGGATTTTTCAGATTAACAAGAGAATGGTATGCGTGTTGGGTGATCTTTGATCTGAAAATGGACTGAGCTTTGATCACCTTCTCAATGTTGTAATGGTAGTAAATGATCATTTCTCTGTAATTGTACCGTATTCTGTTTCCTCTTATGATTGACTGGAACAGAATGAGACTGTCCACTTCTTGATACATGTCGTCAAGCATGATTTCTTTCTTGAATCTGGTCAAAACGCCTCTGAACAAGGTTTGTACTGGAACGATGGCCTTTTGCTCGTAAAACTCCAAAGCAAATTTGGTTCTTTGGACTTGCTTTCTGAGCTTGTTGGCTCTGATCTTCGCGTAGAGCTCATTTAACACTTGATCTTCGTAGAGAAGGGTCAAGAGCACGTCATTACAGAGCTGAGATCTGGAAATTCCACCTCTTGCAATGCTCTGAAGTTCTAGAAGCCCTGGAAGGTGAATTCCCACTGCCTTTCTTTTCTTTTCGATGGATCCTCTGACAATTGCACCACGCAAAACTGCCTGGAATTGGATCAAGGCAGCATCCTTCGAGAGAGATGTACCGATGTATCTGGTGGAGTTTTTGGCCAAATACCCACGACAGAGAGACTGCAACGACACAACCAGTTCTTCAATGCTAGAAAGATGTGGTAAAACCACACGAGAGTATTGATACACTCTATTTCTTCTCACAACTGACTGGAGATCGGTGATGGCATCTGTCTGTCTCCAGAGAGCCATTTGATCGCGTTTGACCTTATATCTGAGCACATGGCCTCTGGCGATACTCTGTAAGTTTTGGATGTCGTTGTGGGAGTCACCAAAATCGACGTTTCGTCTGTTGCGGGCCAATTTCGACCTGATCATGGCTTGTAACTCCACGACCTCAGTCTTGTAGTAGAGCAACTCGTCCCTATGCCTGTGGATGGTTCTGCTTCTGGACAAGTTGCCTCGGATGATGCAGAGAAGGTACGACAACTCGTCAGAAAACGACTTAAGCATGATCTTGTCAACAAACATCTTGTACCTGAAGTTGGCTCCACGGGCCAAAGACTGGAGCTTGATGATATTGGCGGTATTGGTATCGATTTCCGCAAGATTGACAATGGGTTTGGGGGCCTTCTGGCGCAGCTGGACCGGTTCTTCGTCGAACGTGTACAGTGGAGCCGCCTGGTACTCGTGCAATCTGGACGAGAACGTACTGGTGCCCACGCTGTTGCTGGTGGAGGCAGCATTGAGGTCCACACGGAAAGGGTTGATCTCGTCGGTCTGAATGGCACTGGAAACAAATTTCTTAGGGAACGATGGTGGTGGCGATGGCTGACGGACGCTGACCTGGATCTCCACCAGTCTTGATGCCTTTTCCACGGGACGAGGGATGGCTCTGGTGGGCGACTCCGTCATTTTGGCCATGTAGGAGTTGTCAGGCTGGGAGGCATCGCCAGTGTCTGCACTAGCAAAATTGGGCAACCCTGAGCCCACCAACGCCCTGTTGGCCTGTCTGATGTCGTCGTCGTCGAAGTCGACCTGGTCGACCAAGTTCTGGATCCGTGGATAGCCTTGGTCCGACTTGTTGAGCATGTAGCTCATGGCGTGTAAGCAGAACCACACCTTGGGCACGTTTTTGGCGTCATAAAGGTCCGTCAACTCGAACCGGAACAAGTCTGGCACGTTCATGTAGTCCAACAACCCGAAGAACCGGTTGATGTTCTCAGTGTGTCTGAACTGGAGCTTTGAGTCGTTGGTGAACACATTGCGCTTGGAGGGAAGGATGACGTTGGCGAGCTTGGCGAGATGGATCCCGTTCCGGATGTAGGCGATCAACTGGACCGGTTCCTGGGCAATTGGCTCGTCCAATACCTGTTCCAACCATTGCTTGATGGCCTGGATCCGACAGAGGTACTCGTAGCCAGGCGAGTCCCGTGCCGTGCTGTTGCTGGGAGACTGGAGAAACGGCCTGGCCTTGGGTGCTGGAGCCGGAGTGCTCATTTGCTGCTTTAAGGGAGCAATTGTGGTGGGGGTATCATGGTGAAGAGACGTGTTTCTGGGAGCAGTTGGCGTGTTTCTGGCAGGCAGACGGGTAAGAACGTCCTTGTAGTTCTTTTTGGCCCAGCTGGGCAGCTCAGAGTCCTCGGCACCTTCGTTGGTGTGCAAATCGGGCTTGTTTTCGACTAGAGCACGGCGTTCGGTGGCGTTGCTGCCATGACTGCCTTTTTTGATGGGGGATCCAGTCCTGCTGCTGGACGTCAGGGATGACTTGTTCAGCGGAGTCTTGAAGGACGACACAGTGACGGATGGCGACTCGAAACGAGTCCGGAGAAGCGCCGTTTTGGAGGGACTGACACCACTGGGCGTGATGTTGAGTTGTTTGGCGAGAGCATCCAAATCTTCGTCCTTGGGCCTGGCGGGCGAGTTGAACTTCTGGGTGGGTTGTAGGGGCATGCGGACGGGGGAGTCGTCACCAAGGGACTCGAGGTAGCGGAGGGCCACCTTCCTGGGGGAGGTCATGGTGGTGATGTCTGGGTCCGGTGTCTGATGGGATTTCCAACAGGTACCTGTGTGTCTGATGGGTATTCTGGGTGTCTGATGGAAACAGTATTTTGCTGTCTGCGTGTCTGATGCGATTCGTACCTGACGATGTCTGCAGCTTACGATACGGCTCGAGACTGGGGGCTCTGAGAAGAAGCTGGTAACAACGAGATGGTTGGCCCGATCCCTTGTTGTGGGTCAGCCTGTATGGGGCCGAAATGTAGAGGCGTCCCGATTGGGAAATGTAAATATTTACTCGCTTGAGATGTGAGGGACGGCTAACTACAGGAAGGTACTAGTGCGGAGGCGTAGCATTAGATCTAGGAATACGGAGCACTGGGAATGGGTGGTGGAACTGAATCCAGTTGAACTAGCTAATAGAAAGCAAACCAGCAATCTGCTGGCAAACCCAAGCCGCTTGTCCTGGGTATTTGTGTCTGTCGCATAAGTGGGTCGCAGTTGGTGTCGCAGGTGTCTGACACACTGCACCACGCGCAGTTCTGTTGATGGCTGTCGGCATACAGTACTTCAACCTTAATTTGGTCTCTGGTGTCTGTCCCAAATAGTGTCAGAATCTCGTCTATCTGAACACCTCTAATCGGCAATTTTGGGCCCGTGACCATGAGCCTGGCACTTTCGAGCCAGCTCCGACAGGAGAGCTGTCGAAGCAAGACTGTCATCGTAATTCCACCTCTATAAGTGGATATCGAATGTCTTGATCACGTGATCACACCTCTTCTGCCTCCTGGCGTCGGTATGCCTCTTCCAAGAACCGCAAGGTCTCGTCGTAGCGGTCCAACTCTGCCTTGCGCTCGGGAATGGTCTTCTTCAAGTCGTTGAGCATCAACACGTGTTTCTCGTACTCGCTGGAGATCTCGCCAATGTTGGGCACGCTGACCTCGAAATCCTCGTCTTCCTCTGCCTCCAATCCCGCAAGAATCGACGACAATTCGCCATCAGTACGCCTCACAAGCTCCTGGTACGCTCCCCGTGCTTTTGCGGGGAGTTCTCGTCTCAACTTGGTGAGTTCGATCGTTTCCTGCTCTACCTGGAGCAATACCTCACGGAGACGGGTGTTGATTGCGAGATCGAACGGCTCCACTGTCTCCTTGCGTTTCAAAGAGAGTAGCTCGTGTATGCTGCCGTCGTCGATGGCGTGGCCATCGACCACCAAACCGCTTTTGGCGAGCTCAAATGCTCCAAGAAGGAACTCATCGAGCACACCTGCCACTTTGTTCTTGAGAGGATCATTGTCGGAGGTGGGCAAGTGGAGGTCGAGTTTGGCGGTGGTCAGCTGAAGCACCTGGCTGTAGACGTGCCTCAAGTCCTGCTTGGAAAGGGCTATCTTCTCGTAGTCAGGCATTGTAATGCAGACCGAAGACGCGTTCTGGGTGTCTAAATCTGTGCTAGTGGGACGCAGCTAGCAGTGCTGAGCAGGACAGTGGCGGGAGGTCGAAGTTACACGCTTGCAATGGTAGTTTTGACAGGGCAGGAAGGATGTCGCGCAGTGTTTATGGGACGGGGAGCAATGTCGCGGATGTCGGCCGCTGCCACGTGACCCCTCGCCCAAGTGAAAACGAACTCACCAAAAACCGTCCCCACCACCATGTCAGAATTAGGTCCAGAATACACCCCTGCCTTCGCGCCCTTCCTTGGGTTCGCAGGCTGTGCCGCCGCCATGATCCTCTCCTGTGCCGGCGCCGCCATCGGCACCGCCAAGTCCGGCATTGGTATCGCCGGTATCGGTACCTACAAACCTGAATTGATCATGAAGTCGCTCATTCCCGTCGTTATGTCGGGTATCTTGTCTGTCTACGGGTTGGTGGTGTCGGTGTTGATTGCTGGAGGCTTGGATCCCTCCAAAAACTACTCACTTTTCAATGGATTTATGCACTTGGCCTGTGGGTTGTCGGTTGGCTTTGCATGCTTGGCTTCTGGTTATGCCATTGGTATTGTTGGAGACGAAGGTGTGCGTCAGTACATGCACCAGCCACGGTTGTTTGTGGGGATCGTGTTGATTTTGATTTTTGCTGAGGTGTTGGGGTTGTACGGAATGATTATTGCGTTGATCTTGAACACCAAGGGCAGTGATTAGCGAGTTTACTTCTGCATTTATCTAGTATAAATTATTGACTAATACACATAGTAGAGAGTGGATGTAGAGAGGATGGGGGACGGAATGTCAGAACAATGAGAGACTATTCCAGGACTGTCCAGTTATCAGATACCGTAAAACACTAACTAATATCAGCTCATAAATGATAGTACCATCATTTAATGTCTGAGAGAGGAGGCTAATTTAATTTAAACACCATAATTAATTTGAATATCACCACCTGATATTTATGCTCTTCATGAAATCAAGACATTACAACATGATATAATCCTTCCCTCTTAATTTGATACGATAAACCAACTTAAACCTACAGCATATTCTTCTCCAGCTAATATTAATATTGCTTCTGCTAGAAAGTAGTATTTGCCAAACCATCAATTAAACTTAATACTACACCTGCTTACAAGGCGTAGCTAGAATAGCATTTCACAACTCCTGAAGAACTAGTCAAACAAAGCGAACAATTAATTTCAATTTCAATTTCAAGAGCAAGTAGAGCAAGTATAAATATGTGTTATCTTGACATACAATCAGATTTTAATTGAAATACTAATTCGGTAGTCTTGTTGGTTATGTCTACGGAATACATCTTACAGTATCCAATTAATCAATATCGTTATTTATTTTATCAATCAATATTGCTCAATATCAATACGTATACATATCTATACATCTATATCAATCGTTCAATACCCGCTTCATGCTGGAACCTCTCCATCAATTCCCCTTGCATTTAATCGGTTTCCATCTTATCATCGTTCTTCTTTTCTCCAATGGTAACCTGCCCGTTATCGTCAATAAACTGCGAAGAAAACTCCTCCAAGTACTGCACGGATCTGTCGGAGTCCAAGAACAAGGTGTAAGCCCTCTTGATGTCTGGAAGGTCCACGGTGTTGCTTCTTCTCTTAAGAGCAATTTGCTGCGATACAGAAATCAAGTTGGAGGCATATCTCAAACTGGTTTCTTGGCCGATCTTGGTCAACAACGCCAAGGCATCGGCGGATAACTCAATCTCCTCCTCACTGGCACGAATGGACAAAATGGTTCTGATTTCATCCTGGGAGTATGACGAGGTGTGGATGATGATGGATCTGTCCAACAAATCGATGGGCAATCCGTGGGGGGATTTGTAGTTGGTACCACGGGTTCTGGAGATACCTCTGTTGGTGGCCATGATCACGATGGGGGCAAAGTCGTCTTCCAACGCCCTATTTATGAATGAGAAACACTCGATGTCCAACATGTGGACCTCGTCAATGAACAAAACACCGGGAATGATCTCGGCCTTGCCTTCTTCCTTCCATTCTGCCACCTTGGTGTTGATCTGCTCACGAACCTCGGCTCTGATTTCACCGGTGTCACCGGAAAACAACGCCAAAAATCCTTGTTGTCTGGAATTTATCACGTCTATTTCGTGTAACGAGACGGTATGGACTGCCTCCTTTCTCTTCTGCAACTCACCCTCTGGACACTGAACAAACTTGGTCTCAGGACCCATGGCGTCGTAGTCTCTGGCTCTGGTGAACGATTTACCCAATTTGGTGATCTTTCCCGACGCCTTGTCGATGGAGATAACGTCTCCGGCCAACACCTTTTCCTTGGTCAAGCCCTCGATCATCTTGTTACCCAACTCGTAGATGGTCTCCATGTCTGTGGTCTTGATGGTCAACTTTCCTTGCTTGTGGCCTCCGGTGATAGATCTGTCAATCTGGATCTCGACCACTTCACCTTCGATAATTTCGGTTTCTTCCTTGATTCTGATACCAATGGACTTTCTGAACACCTGAGTCAAAGCCTCAGTCTTGGACAACTCTAACGAGAAGATTTCCGACCCAGCAATGGCCGTGAAAGGCACCTCAGCTCCCAAGCTCTGAGATAATCCCATGGCAATGGCTGTTTTACCGGTGGATGGAGGGCCAGCGACCAAAACGGCTCTACCGGCAATTTTTCCAGCCTGGATCATTTTCAAAATGACCCCAGCTGCCTTTCTTGCCTTGATTTGACCAACCATTCCTTGGGCGTTCTCCTTGGGCTGGAGATTGTCATCGAGGCCCAAGCCTGAGATGTGGGAGTGGGCTGCGATTAAGGACAATCCATTCAAGTCTTTCGATTCAACCTTGGTGCTGATTGTGGTCTGGATGTTAGTAGGGCACGGTGGCAGGGGGAGGGGGGACTACTTACCATTTTAAGTGATGGAGTTGTGTTGTTTGAAATTGATGAAAAAATGGTTAGGGTGGCGCGACATGCGACATCTGAGCTGGGCCGGCATATGAGTGGGAAAAATTGAGGATAAACGAAGGACCGATACGATGGGATGGATCAAAGTGGTGGAGAATAAAGCTTTAAACTGTATTAATAGCATTAAATGAAGTGATGTTGGAGGGTGGTCAATGCGACATTACGCTGGCACTAATCCTAGTGAGCTCTCGCTAGCCCTCATGCAAGTTAGCGCGGGATGCAGCCACATTTACTGGGAAAATTTCAAATTACCGAGAACCTCACAAAAATGGTCCGCTAAAAGGTGCTACTGTACCAATTTCGCAGCCAGCACCAATCTCTCTGGGGCCTTAAAATTAGCGTGTTGATTCATCCTCGATGCCGTTCAATATCTGTGCCAACGATCCCTACTACCCACGAAACGACCTCCCAAATATGCTTTCGTTAATAGGCATTTTTTGGAATGATGAGAGTAAAGTTGTTTGCCCTTATTTGAATCCTTTCACGAACCAGGGTAAATTACTTAGATTATTATGACGTGAATTAGTTAATTCATGGCTTGAAAGAAACCAACCGGGTTACAGAAGTAACAGGGAGTGAAAAAATTAGACCCGAAGAGTATCATCAAGAGGTGAGAATAACGAAGAATTTACTACTAAAACAGAAAGCCAGTATACAATAAGAACCACGTGTTAGCATGTGTAGTATACGTCGGTGAATTGGGATCCCTCCATAAAGTAGGGAGCTAACTACTCGGAATAGAGGTGTTTATATAGCTCCTTGGGAGCTTATGTAATAGAATCTCCTCGGCATCATGTGATAGCTACTTGTCGGCATCATGTGAGGTATCGGCTCACCGGTATTGTTAGTCTCCCATGCGGATTAAAACGTTACGAATGGAATTAGAGATAAGGATCAGACTACCAGTCACGTGAAAAAATGGACCAACCACAAGTGTGTAAATAGAACAATAAAGAGGCATAGTATGGCGTTCTATCACACAGCTATAACTTCATTGCTGCTCCTAGGTCCAGAAATTACCGGCTACACTCTACGAACTACTTTTATCAATTTTGTAATGTTTCTTTCTCTAATAATAAATCATAATTTGGAGCTATTGATCAACGAACCTTCTACTTCGTACATGTTGTCAATTTGCTCCTTGAAGAACTTCGCGGCAATTGGTCTCTTGATCTTCACGGTTGGGGTGATCAAGTTTCTTTCGCCGGTCAAAGGCTCGACTTCAAGGTAGATATTGTGTAACTTCTCAAAACCTAACAACTTGTTCTTGATGTTTCCGTTGATTTGGGTCAACAACGCTTTCTTATGAGCAGGCTTGTTGATTTCCTTCAAAAGACCTTCGGGGCTTTCAATCGAAGATTTGGCGACACCTTGCTTGAGCAAAAACTTAGTGGCCAATGGCACATCGATACCGACAATACCGACCAAGAAACTCTTGGTAGAGTTTCCGTGGACGAAACATTGGGAAATGATTGGGTCGGTTGACATGTAGGTGTTTTCAATCTTTTCTGGGGTGACGTACTCACCTTGACTCAACTTGAAGAAGTTCTTGACTCTATCAATAATCTTGATTTGACCAGTGCTAGCGACAATCTGGGCAACATCTCCAGTATGGAACCAACCCTCGTCATCGATGGTCTTCTTGGTTTCTTCCTCGTTCTTGAAGTAACCAGTGAACATCTGGGGGCCTCTCAACAAGAGTTCACCTCTTGGGCCACCCTCGTCGTTGATACCATAGCCCATTTCAGGCAATTGTTGAACTTTGATTTCACATCCAATGCATGGAGCACCACAAGTACCAGGCTGGGCCTCGTACTTGTTGGAAAGACTCATTCCTGCAAACGATTCAGTTAACCCGTAACCCTGAGCAAATCCCACGTTCAACGCAGCTCTCAAGAACTTGATGGTGGACACACTGATGGGGGCCGAACCAGTAACCAAGAACTGGGTGTTGTCGAGCCCCAAGGCCGCCTTCAACTTAGGGAAGAGCAAGCGGTCGTACAAGAAGTGGGAGCCCTTGTCGCCATCGCTTCTTTCTTGAAGTTCCTGCTTCGTGGCAATGGCCTTGCCGAAAATGGCTTTGGCGATGGAGGAGTTGGAGTCGACGGTGGCAGCCTTGAGGGCTGCTTCGAACTTGGTGTACACTCTAGGGACGTTACTGAGGGCCTCAGGCTTGAAGAACTTCAAGTCTTCGACCAAGGTCAATGGCGACCCGTTCAATTGGGGGAAGTTGATGGTGGAGCCGTAGGTCATTCCAGATAACGTCATTTGACGTTCGTAGATGTGGGCTAACGGCAAGAAGCAGAAGTTGCTCTTGGCCTCGTATCCTGACCCCACCAATACCAAACTGACGGCAGAAATCGCAGCTCTCTGCTGCAACATAACTCCCTTTGGCTTGGAGCCTGTGGTTCCCGAGGTGAAACTGATGGTGTACAAGGTGTCTGGCGAGGGCAACAAACGTTCCTTGGGGAACACCTGACCCGTCTTGATCACCTGGTCCATGGACACCAACACGATGTTCTCACTGCGTGCTCTGGCCACCAATTCAGAGTCCTGGGGCGTCAATGGGTCGAACGAGATCATCAACACCAACGCACCCAACTGTTCAGGGTTCTGGGCCTTCAAGTCGAGGATGTCGACGATGTGGTTCTTGGAAAGTGCCACGACTGGCGACTCGGTCAGTTCCAAGATGAATTCGGACGTCAGTGCTCCCAAGGTGTCGTACAACGCGGTGTTGGTGATGGAGTACGCGCTGCTGACGAGGTCGGTCAACACCCACTCGTGTCTGTTGGCGGAGTAGATGGTCAAGACAAACGAGAAGTTGTCCTTGTCGTAGCTCTTGTAGGCCAGTTCGTGGGCGTCAATTTTGGCGTGACTTGCAAACTTTGCAGCGTTCTTGAACGGGTTGACTTCGAGCAAATACAACAATCCAGCACCGTAGTCGTTGATCAACCCGTCCACCTGCTTGTAGGACAAGCTGACCTTGTTCTCGGTGGGGGTGTTGTTGACGTAGTCGTGTTCTCTGAACGTGAATACGGAATTATCGCCAAAGTGCTTCACAGCGTTGTCAAACAACTGTGGAAGCGTCCGCACGCTGGGAAACAAGGAGTCCTTGACGCCCCCGGGACTGAGGGCGTTTCTGTAGATGGCTGACAGGTCGCCCTTCTGGGAGCCTGGCACGGGGACCGCTCTGTCGGATAACGTGCCTGGGAAGGGGAGGTACTTGTGCAACAAGTCGACGTAGCCGTAGCCTTCCTTGAAGAAGGAGGACGCTTCTGGCGGAGCGATGTGCTCGCCAGTGGGAGGAGGAAGAATTGCCATGTTGGAGTTCCAGAGTGGTGGGAAGAGTGTGCAATAATGTGTTCACATTTCAGGCACTGGCCCTACTTATACCGTTTTGGCCCAGCCCTGACATCCACTTCCTAATCTAGCGATCGGCCGGAAGGAACGACGCACAGTTTGGAGGCACTGCCGAAGGTGGGGACAGATAGCGGGGTGTTGCGGGCCTGAAAAAGCAGAGAATTCACGTGGACGAAGGGCTGCCTGGGGGAACGTTACCTGGTGGAGCCTAGCAGGTGCCAGAGGTGGCGGACTGGGCTGGGAGGCCAGGGGAGTCTTCCGCAACCCCGCATTTCCTCGGGAAAACGAGGACTGCTAGTTCGCCATCACGTGCCGGCGAACCGGGGTAGAACGCGACTCCGTGCCGAGCGGTGGGGCTAAAGGAATGGCGAATATGGGGCAAATGGAAGAGAAATGAGCACATGGCTGTATGGATCATGTGGGTCGTTTTGTCTATGTGGATCTGTGGTGGTCCTGTAATTGTACTGGTTCATATAGATGCTTGTGGTCCATATGGATCTAATGGAGTATAATAGATCATGTAGATACTTATGGCCCATGTGATCGAATGGATCATATAGACGGATCAAAATCGATCTACATAATGGGTGGTAATGGATCATTACGGATCATTAAAGATACGTTACAATCTGGCCGGCTGGATCTATGCATTTCAATTTGCCAGTTAGATCTCTCCGTGGCTTGTACAGTGGCTTCCAGTGGCTTTCAAGGTATTTCATGTTTCCAGTCATCTGGATCAGTAGTTATCCAGCCGATCGTCGGTGGTGATCATTCCAGCCTCTCGACGTCTCTTGCTGCTGATCCATTGCCTGGCGATCTCGCTAGCCATAAATTGCTCTGCAGCAGGCTTGATCTGCACATAACTGCCAGTTGCAACCACATTAATGATAATTAGACAATTAGCCAGCCAGCGAGCAACATATAGCTTACACCCCAAAACCGGACCTTGCCCGTCTTCTTCGTAATCAATTAATTAATTAGACAATTGGACTAGTGATGTAAATATCGCTTGACCCTGCCCATCTATTGATTATAATTAAACAATTTTAGACGAGTATTCTGTTGCACTTCTCCAAGAACCTGCCTTTCCCCTCTAATTATTTATAATTACACCTTTCAACCAGAAGCCACTATTGCTTGCATTTCTCCAAGAACCTGACCAACTTGGTCAAAACATCGTTTTGGTCCATCTTCAACTCGACTAGCTCCAACCGATTCGCACAGTCGGTTGTGCGAATTCTATACTTGTCCAACTCGTAGTCGTTGTTCAATGTCAACGATGTGTGAAATTTCTCTTCCGGGTCCCCAAAAGCCCTGACTAGCCCAGTCCAGTGCCAGTTTGGGGCAATGTCGTTATAGCTACGCTGGGGCCCCTGGATAGTCCTCTCGATGGTGTAGCCCTCGTTGTTCATGATGAAGATTTGGGGCTTCACCTTGAGCTGGCTACCGTACCTCACAAACGCAGATAATTCCTGAATAGTCATCTGTGCTGATCCATCACCTTCCAAGACGAGTATTCGCCTGTTTTGTCCCAGATCGTTGACTGCGAAACATACCCCCACAGAGGTGGGTAAGGAATGCCCGATAGAAGCATAGAAGGACTGTGATATGTATTGACACCCCGGAGGAAGCTTGAGATCAGCTGCTCCGAAGACGAATGCACACACATCAATCAATAGGATATCACCTGCCTGGAGATACCCATTGACGAAATCCAAGAGCTTGTTCTGCTGGATATATTTTTCATTGTTGGTTATGGCTGCGAGCTTGGGGAAGTATTTGTATGTGACGTTGACAGGAAGGATAGAATGGGCGTACCTGGACTCATCAAAATTATCAATTAGGTTGTCGAGAAGGTTCTCTAACGTGAAAAGTCTATTGCCGTGCTCTTGTTTGATTAAATGATACTTTCCATCCACCAAAATGTAATCGTGGTTAATCTCGATGTAGTCCTTGATTTCCGAAAAATCGCTTGAATAAGATGCAGTGTTGGTCTCCATGTTGGCGTGCCCAAAGATGAACAAAGTATCAGTTTCCTTCTCCAACATATTCACTACTTCAGGAGAGGATGAAACCGCTCCAAAGTAGCACCCAATATGGTTTGGAAGTGACTCATCAAGGTTCCTTCCCATATTGGTGCTGAAAAGCTTTAGAAATTTCTGACCAGGGTCAATCCGACGGATAAATTGGTTCAACTTGTCCTGTAAGTTAAATCTGCTAATAAGGAGATCGGATAAAATTGAGGGACTGGAAGCATTGTATAATTTATCAAGAAGTAGATTGGTGAGCTTATCTAACTGTTGTGTACACTTTTTCTGATGGCCATAGAAGTCCAGCTTTTCAAATAGCCTGACGGTGCTAACATAAAAATCAGGGAGATCTGCCGGAATAAACAAATAGCCTGGTCTAGAATTCTGGAGAATTTCATGCAATACTCTATCTATTTGATCCAAAGCTTTCTCATCATTGGATTCCAAGATTTCTTGCACAACACTGACATCGGTGCTCATTTCCTGATACACATTGTGGTTAGGTGCTAATAACTGGTTTTTGTTCTGAATTAAATGATGAAAGTTCTTAACAGGGTTTTTTGGATCAGCAGCATATTTCCTCTGTGCTCTGGAGGAGATTCCAACTATATGTAAAATAGGAATATACTCACTGAAGGACGAAGCAATTCCGTTAATTGCAGAGAGCTCTCCGACGCCGAAGGTGGTAATCAAGACTGCTAATCCACCAATCGCTATGCTATATCCATTGGCAACGTAAGCAGAGTTGAGCTCATTGCATAAACCAACAAAATTGATATTCTGCTTCTGGACGGTTTTTGCGTACAAGTGTTCCAATAAATTCAAGCTATAATCACCTGCAACACCAAAAATTGATCTTAACTTAGGATTGGCCTGAGCAATTCTGAGAAACAAATATTCTCCCAACGGGATTTCTTTGGGGATTTCCAATTGTGGGATTATGTCAACGGTCATGATGATTTCGTTATCGTAAAAAATTGGCAAAAGGTCCAAGAGCTTGACGTTTAAATAGAAATCATCTTTGAACGTTGTGGCTCAAATCCATATGTTTATCGGAATATACTGTACATCGGAGGTAGAATTTCTTGAATTGGCCGGAGATAACGAGCAAGCCGGTTGCATTTTTCAGACGAGAATCGTTTATTCTAGTGGAGTTAAAAATCTATAGAAGCTTCATCATTTGTAATCCTTGCCAAGAAAGTGGATTATAATACTCGAAGAGTGTAGATCAGAAATGATAGCCTGGAATACTCAAGGCAAGACTAGTTAATGTGAGCTGCCAGTATCGGGTATTTTTCCGAAACAAGTCGATAAGCTCCATTATGCGCAGGTGCCGAGTGATAAGGCTCCGATATCTGGAGATAGGTCGGACAATAATTTAAGTCCGGACTGACACTATCAGAATCATGAAGCTTATTTCCGAACAAGTCCAAAACGTTGAATCAGGGTGCAATTGAAAAAGTGACAGCAACGCCCCGTTCGTAACCTGAATAGAAAATGGCAAATAATAATCAAAAAAATTTCAAGAATGAGCTAGGCATATACTCCAGAAATCTTTCTACCCCCTGTGTTATTTAATGAGTTTCCTGGTGTAAATTAGTTGCGGTTGTTGGCCTTTCTTTGTATCTGCCTGTCAAATTTTTAGCTTTCAAGTGCGGCGCACCCTTACATTAGTCGATTCTAAACACGCTGAAAAATATGAAGTCTTAGTACATAATCACCGAAGTTACGGTGCAAAACGACTTAGGTGGTACTTCCGAATCCCGAAAGTCTGCTTTATCAATAATAGGACGAGGCCACTAATTTCGGCTTATACTTTAAGTGAGTGTTATATTTATGAATGCCTAAAACGTGGATGATGATATCAGATATGATATCAGATATGTATTACGGCCCGCCGTACTGGCAGCGTTGAGAAGATTGCCATTGCGACATACGTGCCCAGTTTTTTACCAAGTAATGACAGTACACAAGCTTATTGGATAAGTAATGAACTTGATCCGGTGGTAAAGTACCTAGCTTATCGAGAACTAACGGTCGATCTTGCCGTCTTGAATACCACTTATCCAGCCATAGTCGATTCTTTCCGTGGCATGTTTAAAGTGAGGATTGGTGAATGATTTAGTGGGCCAATCGAAGTCGTCTACCTCCACGCTTCCGCCATCAAGTCTGCCTATCGTAAGCCCTCGACAGTTCTCAATAATTATGGTGTTATTTCCCACATTGTCGATCCAGATGCGACAATTGTTCAAGTTGTGTAGTCTTAGCTGGTGACAGTTAATCACCAAATCGCAGTCTTCCAAATCATGAACAAAAACGGGGCCCTTGGCTTCCACCTTGAAAACAGTGCTTTGGCCGCCCTTGATGTGCATGGATGACGGCACCTGTTCCGAAGTGACCACTATACTGTTATTAGCGTTTCTGATTAAAACATGGCTCCCAGAACCCTCTACTGTCTGTTTGACCCCAGAAAGCCCTTCGTATGTTCTTGCACTTTCCTGCATTGGCTCTGAGGCCTGTGGTGCTCGTAATGGTCTGGACTTCGCAGCCGGAATGGGCTCACCTACAAAGTGAAACTCTCTGGTATCAAGCTGGGTGCGTTGTGCTTCCACATACTTGAACAAAGTATCCACAGACAGTCCAATGCGCTTCTGGTCAAACGGAGGAAGATTGTCTAAGTGAGATTCCACCAAGCCGTTTAGCTCAATGACTTCTGCTTTCAATGCCACCACATCACTCTTGGTATTGCTTTGTATGATTTTATCATGTATGGCTAGCTGTTAGTCCTGATCGATAAAGGCATTGATATGCCATAAAGAAGATTCCAGTGATCATACCCGTGGCTCTAGTATTGAATTCAGAGATGAACTTTGTGGTGGAGTCTCTCATTGACCTTCAATTTGGTGGTAGGAACTGAATTTATATCGGGGCACGTGACCTCACATATTGGTTGGGATTGGCCAGCAACGTTTGGATGGGGGCCGGAAGATGCCAAAGAGAATGAAGAGAGGGACTCTCGTTGTTTAGATCTGCTACTGTGCCGTGTGCAAACGAAGATGACATTGAAGTAGTTTTCGCCATATGACACAAATTTGCGACTGGAAGTAGTAGAAGTCTCCCAAGGGTGAATAGCTCTCCAACTTGAACGATCCAGTTGTCCATGCACTCATAATGTGGAGGTAACGGTTCTTAGCCTTGACCTGTGTTAAAAACCGTTCTACTTTAATTTATTGAGACACATTGTAGAAAACGCGATACTTTTTGCAATATTTATAAGAAATTTGGGAAATCAATTCAGGCTTTGGCACGGTAGTAAGGTGCAATTGGTGTCTGTTTAGTGCTAAAGGCATTTAAGTTCTGACGAATGAATTTCAAATATTCAAGGAGTAGTTGGAAATAAGAAGTAAAATAATTATTATAGCTAAGACGATCCAGTTGGTGGCTAATAAAGTAAAGTAATAAAGTAAAGACCACTGTTTTACCAACACTAAAATCAAGTTCTTTTGAGCCCACACGAATTCTTCAGATTAGTAAGTCTTCATTTTTACGGAATTACTAAAATATGCTTTACAGTAATCCGGGCACTTGTTTAGATCAGTCAATCAGCTTCACATATACTGGCTTAGATTTACATCATAAGTATTTTATTAACATCTATACAACAGGTCTTTCGATTCTGGTTCTGCCAACCAATTGATCGGCAACGTCTCTGATGGTGGCCCAGTGAATCTTCTTAGGCATTCTTCTACCCAACTCAGTTTCAAAGTCGTACAACTTTCTGATTGGGCTAAATCTCAAGTGCGAGGACTTAATACCCAAAACCACCGCGGTGGCTTTCAACTTCTTATCATCACTAGGGAAGTCAGGGGAATATTTGACATCAGCCAATAAGTCGGAGTTGTCTTCAACGAACTGAACAGCCTTCACTGCGAATCTTGCAGCTCTGGTTCTGTCGATAGGAGAAGGCAAACCACCCTGTTGGACGTGGCCAGGAACAGCAGTCTTGGTGTCAAACTCGTTTCCGGCTTCGTACTTGATGATATCAGCCAATACCTGTGTGGATAAAACCTTGGATGCATTGGTGCTCTTAATGATCAATTTACCGGACTTGGTCAATCCCCTTTCTGTAGCAAAGGACTCCTTGAGGGAACGGATATCCAACTCCAATTGATCCAAGGAAATGCCTTCCTCTGGAACATAAGAGGCCTGGGCCCCACTGATCAAGGAGGTACAGGTGGCAATGTAACCGGAGTTACCACCTTGCACTTCAATCACGAAGGCACGGTCTCTGGTGGAAGATGCAGACTGTTTCACAACGTCACAGTAGTCCATCAACGAGTTCAAACAGGTATCGGCACCCAACGAGTACTCGGTACCTGGAACGTTGTTGGAGATGGTGGCAGGAATCAACACAATTGGGATTCTGAATGCTGGGTACATTGGTCTGGCCTTCTCCAATTGTTCCAACGAAAGGAAGGCTTCGAAACCACCGATGATGATCAAACCATCAAATTGGTACTTTTCGAAGTAGTAGGCAATCATTCCAAGGTCTGTATCCTCAGGGGTTTGTCTGTTGGTACCGATTTCCGAACCACCAATGGAGTTCCAGCCCTCAATGTCCAACCAGTCCATGGATCTGACTGACTCGTGTCTGGCCAAACCGGAGAAACCGTTGTGGATGGCGTAAGGAGTGTGTCCTCTGGACATACAGTATGTGGCCATTGAGTAGACAGCACTGTTCATACCACCGGCAGGGGCTCCCACGTTGATAATGGCGATTTTCTTTCTCTTTTCAACAGGCAAGGTGGGCTCGTTGTGGTTGGCGGAGTTCATGGCCATGTAGTTCGATAAATGTTCGCAAAACTCGGAGTCTCTTAAGCTCATTGCCTTGTCGAAGTCCTTGTTTTCGATGGCAGTGGCCACAGACTTGGTGATCTTGACAGCTTCGACCAATGGCTTTCTGACCAACTTGTTCTCGTCAATAGCAATCAACGGAGATGGGGTATCTGGAGTACAGTCCAAGACTGCCTTGACAGCCTCCACACCTTGCAAGGTGGCCAAGAACCGATCGTAGGCCACGGCATTACCACCTCTTTGGACGTGGCCCAAGGTGGTAACTCTGGTGTCCAAGCCCAATCTGTCCACCAACACGTCCTTGACGTTGTTGGCAGAGATAGGCTGCAAGTCGGAGGTGATGGCACCTTCCGCGACGATCACGATACTCTTTCTCTTGCCCTTGGCTCTGTGCTTGGAGACGATTTTGCACATCTGGTCTTGCCAGTCCTGCGACGACGATGGCTTTTCGGGAATCAAGATATAGTCGGCACTGGTGGCAATACCTGCCATCAACGCCAACCAGCCACAGTGTCTGCCCATGACTTCCACTACGAATGCTCTGGAGTGGGAATTGGCGGTGGCATCGATGTAGTCGATGGCCTTGCAAATTCTGTCCAACGACGAGTAGGCACCAATGGTGGCGTCGGTGGTGGCCATGTCGTTGTCGATCAGGCCCACAGTGCCGCAGATGTTCAAATGCTTGTGTTTCTGGTACTTTTCTTCGGAAATGTCGCCGTTTTTCCTCAATTCGTCGATCAACGAGGGCCATTCGGATCTGAACAAGTCTGCACCCGTCAACGAGCCGTCACCACCACACACGATCAAGGCGTCGATGCCTGCTTCGATCAAATGCTTGCAACCTTGCAATCTGCCTTTTCTCTCCTTGAAAGCCATGCAACGAGCAGTTCCGATCTTGGTACCGCCTTCCGAGAGGTAGCCCTTGACGTCGTGCCAGGTCATCTCCTTGATGTACTCGGGACCACCGCGGACCAAGCCTTCGTAGCCTTCCATGACTGCGTAAGCCTTACATCCACGAAAGATGGCAGCACGTACCACGGCACGCACGTTTGCGTTCATGCCGGGAGCATCACCTCCCGAAGTCATGACGGCGATGTTTCTTCTGGGCTTGACGCCCTCATCGCCACGGGAGAGCTCGGATACAGAGGCAGAAACCGCAGTGGATTCGGCACCCACGGGGTTATACTTCTCCACAGGCGGCACCAACGTCAATGGGTTGGCACAGGCGGTGAAGCCGATCAATGTGCCCACGGGATCGATGGTGTAGACTTCGTTGGGGTACAATTCGTTGGGGTTGACCTGGACAGGCAACTGCGAGAGCTGGAAGGTAGCAATCAACCGGTTCAAATTGGTGCTGCGGAACACCACAGACGACTCGGAAGTCCGCCAGTCGTCGATGTTGAGGCGCTTGGCAAGCGCAGCCTTCTTGTGGGCCACTTCGTCTGCCGAAAGGCCGCTGCCAACCACAATCTTGATGGTGATCTTCTGGTCTTTGTTGGAGAGGAAAACGGCATCGCTGGACTCGGAGTGGAGCGCAAGCCCTAGCACGTTGGAGTAGAAGGTGATGGTGTCGTCTAGGAGCGTTTTGGTGGCGGCATGGATGGTGACGCTGGCGGAGCCGTTGACAATCGGGACAGTCATGATGAGATGTCCGGAGCTGGGGCAGGTGTACGAGACGGGGAGGAGGGGTGTTGGGCCGTCGTGGTACTGAAATGGGAGGGGTGGCGCCAGGGGTATCGACTCTGGCAGCTTTGGGGGCAATTGGGCGGGAGTGGAGACGTTGCTTCGGAGAGGAAGAAGTCGGTGGTGGTAGTGGTTCGGAGCCGTCATCCCACGTCAGGTGACCTGCGAGGGATTCGGGTGAGAGCAGTGCGGGAGGAGAGTGACATCATTGGGAGGGAGAGTCTAAGAGTATTGAGGTAGGGATGCCTCCAAGGGGATTGAACCAGCTGGATATGGTAGCATGTAGCCACGCTACCGATAGGGCTGTCAATAAAATTAGACCGATGGATGATCGGTGTTCGTGATTACGTAATACTATAACAGGAAGTACCACTGCTGGGGAGAACTATGTATCTTACGTAAGTTGTTGCGTACTAACAAAGTTACCCTTTAGGCCCGGTTTAATTCAATCAAATTATACCTACCTGGCCAACTTGCATTTAACCATCTCCCCAATATTAGGAGCTCGAATTTATGGATTTGGAGCAATTTTGTTTATTAGACGAGATCCATTTCGCTTACCTACCAGAAAATATGGCCTGGCTGGGGGATCTTAATACAGATTTCCTACGCCAATACCCACGGGAGGGTAGATAACCGATCATTCCAAAAGATTTGGGGATTATGGTCACGTGACCGCAACTTCCTGGTTGCGGGACCGGCTCTCCATCGTGAGCTGGTAGCGGCGTTCGGTTCAAACTCGGTACAGCAGTATATGTGCTCACCAATAAGCAAGCGCCCCTTTTTGGGCTTAATTAAAGCTAATATTTCACCTTTTCCGTCGACCTTAAGTGACCGACCCAGGCGGTCGGAATTCGAGTTTTCACGTGTATTCCGGCCACGACTACAGCTATTAGTACTTTTATTTGATAACAAGTAGATTTGAAACAGACGAAGCCGCTCAAATGAAATTAGATAAGTCTACAGAGTACTCAAGTACGTACATAGTAGACGTAAGCTAGGGTATCAATTCGCTTATTACATAATTAGTGTCCATTGCTGGCTGCTGTATTGCTGGGTCGAATCTCCAAAATAATGTAGCCAAATTAGCCCCAAAATCATACAGCGAATATTATAAATATTCTCTTTATTGGAGGTAACATCTAACAAAGCACTAATGTAGTTCGACCGCTGCTACCACCGCAACTCCTATCCTAGTTCCTAATGTTGCACCCCAACCCACGTGACCTTACCCTGCGACTTATCCCACCAAAAAATTTTCACTGTCGACAACAACCTTCTTCATCCAATGTCACAATCCAGCCCCTCCCAGACCCCCGTTGCGTTGGGCGACTTGTCCAAGTTGAACATCCCCTCCCTCCCCCCAGTCACCCCTCAACCCCCAAAGCCTCACGGCTTGTGGTCGTCCAACCCCGTCTTCTCATACTTAAATGACGCCTACACCACCATCAGCGAACACCGTAAGTCCTTGGGCTTGGTCAACCCAGGAACCGTGGAAAACTTGAACAAAGAGGTCACCAGAGACGTGTTCTTGAACCAGTACTTCTTCACCGGGTTGAGAGCCGATTTGAACAAGGTGTTCTCGTTTGCCCCAGTTTTCCAGACCTCGCACACCTTGAGTGTTGGCTCCCAAGTGTTGCCAGCCTACGCCTTCTCGGCCGTGTATGCCAGCGACGACTACATGCTCCAGGCCAACATGGACAACGACTACTCGTTCAGCGGTAGAGTCAACTACGGATGGGACAAGCACAACATCTCCAAGTTGACATTGCAGTTGGCCAACGCCCAGCCCTCGATGGTCCAGTTGGAACAGGACTACCAGGGTTCGGACTTCTCCATCAACCTTAAGGCCTTGAACCCATCTTTCATCTCTGGTGGGTTTACTGGTGTTGCTGTGGGTTCTTTGTTGCAGTCTTTGACTCCTGCCTTCTCTATCGGTTTGGAGACCATGTACTCCAGACAAGCCATGGTCGCTCCTCCAGATGCTGCTGTGAACTACTTTGCTCGTTACAACGCCGGCAACTGGATCGCTTCGGCCCAATTACAGGCCCAAGGTGCGTTGGTTGCTTCTTTCTGGAGAAAGGTCACTGACAAGGTTGAGGCCGGTATCGAGACCCAGATCGCCGCCAGTGTCAAGCCACTTGCTGACCCCATGATGAGTGCTGCTCCAATTGGTTACGAGTCCGTTGTCGAGGGTTTGACCACCATTGGTGCCAAGTACGAGTACCGTAGTGCCGTTTTCAGAGGCCAAGTCGACTCCGCTGGTAAGGTCAGTGCCTTCATCGAAAAGAGAGTGTTGCCAACCATCTCGTTGTTGTTCTCGGGAGAAATCGACCACCTCAAGAACTCGTCCAGACTCGGATTGGGTTTGCAAGTTGAATCCGCTGGTAATGAACAAGTGATGTTGATGCAACAAGGCTTGGTTGATCAAAACGGTAACCCAGTTCCAGGTGCTCCTCAACTCTAGGGGTGCTTGTCTCCATACTTAATGCCTACGAAACTGATGATCAAAATTAATCTGGGCTTTCCGGTGATTTTGTACGAACATGATGATCAAAATTGTCCTGGTTTCCGGTGATTTTGTTTATAGAATATTCAGCCTATGTATATAATTCCAGCGCCTGCTGAATAGCAGCGGAGCTCCAGCAAAGCTGACAATAAATAGTCCCATGTAGGGGATATCACAGGATTCAGTATGACTGACAATAAATAGGAGAGCACATTACAGTGCCATGGTTAATGCGACAGTCAGGATAAATAAAGGAGGGATATTGAACTCGGCCTCATGATTCATAACTTTTTGAATCAATACCACACGCCAGCCAGATGAATAAGTAGGATGAACATTCCGGAGAGGCGTGAGCAACCATAGAACTGTCAACAATTGGTCAAACTCCCGATCGAGAGTATGGGTTTCACCAAGTAGCTCACCACCAAGAGAATGAACTTTCTCATCGAGATGTAGAACTGCTATGAATATTTACACCAGTGGTGTTGTAGACCACGGTGGATAACATCCATAATTCAAATCGTTGGTGGAGGTCGTAATCTAAATTGTTGGTGGAAGACGAGCTCAGAGTGCACAACAAGCAATTAATTAGCCAAGTTGACACTTCTAGCATACGCCATTTCTGAGTTTTCCACACACCTCTGAGAAAACTACTCCTGCCTGTCCATTTCTTCACTAGCCCCAACCAAAGAACCTCTCGGTGATGCTCTTTCTTGCTTTTGGCTTACCCCGCGATATAATATTGTAGACCTCCGAAGAGTCCAACTTCATATCGAAACCATCGTCTCTTTTCTTCTCTCGAGGGTCCCTGCTTCCAAAATCACTCCTAGAAGCAATTGGATATGCTTGCCTTGGAGGCTGGTACGACTGGGTAGACTTGACATCGTCATCCACATACAGGTTCAAGTTCCTTTGGGTAATGGAACGATAAATGTTTCTGTATGTGCTGGTCAAATCGAGTTTCTGGTAGCCTGGAGCATTCATGCTGTAGCTTGATCTCGATTTTGGAAGTCTGGGCTTGCCATCCTCGTGCCTTGGCTCCATCCAATTGGACTCAGACACATACAACTCACTCCTGGACGATCTCCTGGATCGAGAATGGTTGTGGGTCTTGTTGTACTCACTCAAGGACGTGCTTGGGAAGTCGTCATATTGGGTGGACCTGGCATCTCTGTCTATGACATCTCTTGAAAGTGCATCTCGTGAATAATGGAGCGGTTTGGGGGGAAACTGGGGAGCCAGGATAACCGAATGTCCTCTGGAAGCCGGCCTGGAAGGTTGTCTGGAAGGCTGTCTTGACGGTTGTCTCGAAGGCTGAGTCGATTTCGTGTGGATGATATTTTCCTCGTACTCGTCTAGTAACGAGTCCATTGAAGAATCCGATTTCTCATCCTGCTTCAACTTGCGTTCGTACACGGTGGGATGTTGGAACACGCTGTAGGGCTGTTTGTGCTGGATTTTGTAGTTCTCGTTGAAGATCGGCTTGGTCAACGGATCGATGTGGCGACTTGGGCGTGGCTGATGGATAATATTCTGACGAGAGGGTTTTTTGTAGCTCTTGTCGTTCAAATCAAGACATGCCATTGAAGTCGAGATTGACTGGTTCGATGCCTTTTTATTAAGGGACCATCCGAACTTTGGATTGGGTTCCGCTGCCGTGATGGTAGGGAACTGTTCGGAGAAACCATTATGACGAGGAGGGGAAATTGGGGCGGAAGGAGGAGAATCCGGAATTTCCCCAGCCAACTGGGGAAACTCGAATTCCATGACAGGATTTCCTCCGTTGGACTCCGTTTCATCGATGATGGAGAGCGATTTCAACTCACTCGGCTGCTCATTAATGGCATTGATATCGTTGGGATTGGTGTCATATCCAGATGGTGCCAATCCCGGCAATATTTGGTTTTCAGGAACATTTTGGAGCCCAGTCTTGGACGATTTTTTGGGAGGAGGGCTGCCGAAGAAGAGATTGCGGTACTGCACCACCCTTTCCAAGGTATTTTCAAGCACTTGGATCACGTTGGGCTCGTCGGAGTTGATAAAGATCTTCCAGTACCGTTCGGGGTTGACCAACGGGAGAATGAACTGGTTGAAATTGATGCGGAGTATCTTCAATTTCGGGAGCAACGGGTAGATAAACGAGGTACCACACGAGAGGTAAGTTACGTCGCCATTGTGTAATTGGAAAATCTCAAACTCGCCGTGGCCCAATAGCCTTCCAGAAGAGCTCGTGTGGGTCTTGCCGTCGGTCAATTGTTCGTCATACACAAAGATCTTGGACGACTTGTACTTGAACAACGTCACACGCTCGTCGAGATCCACTCGTTCGTCGAACACCTGTACCTCTTCTTCCGCAGGCGTGCTCTTGCTCTTGAGGTTGTCCCTGACCTCGTTGATGTATGTTCTTCCGTTGATGTTTTCGTCACTTTTCTTGTATCTCATGATGGCCTGCTTGCGAGGACTCATTGGGACCTTGGTTGCTTGCTTGCCTGGAAGTCCATTGGCCAGTGTCGAGCCGTTATCGTCGGTCGTCACCGGTTCATGGTGCTGGTCCTTCTTGGGCCTTTCTTTGACCTCTTTCGCCTCGTCCACAGCATCCTTCGCATGTACAGCCCCATCGTCAGCCTCAGGTTTCAGTTTCGGCTTGGGCTTGCGCCGTTTCTTTCGTTTGGTGCCCATTTTGGTCTCTTTGTCACTGGAGTTGGGGTCCGTTTGCTTGTTGTCTGGGCCCGTTTCAAGCGGTTTTGACGCCTGAAAATTGTCTCCGTTCGAGATGCCTGGCGCCTGCCGGGCCAGGCTGGAGTGCTCATGGACAGTGCCAGCGTCGTTCTGGGAATCCGGCATGGTGAAGACGAAGTGGTAGTGGTTGATAATTGTTTAGACTGCGGGGGACGGCTTGGGTGCAGGACGGTATCAGTGATAGAGAAGCAGAGGGAAAGGAAACGGAAAGGAACAGGTGGTGAAATGGCAACTACAATGGGACATTGTACTGCTCGCAATGGAGGGTATATTAATGATTTATTCAGCTTGATTGCTAATCATAAATTTTTTTTATTTTTAGTTATATATGTTATTTGTCTAGTAGAGAGGGAATACTAAGATAGGCCTAACTGCCGATTGTCGCCAGAGACCACCTCAATTAATCTATACTTTAACTGCCGAATACAATTATAGAGGTATATTTAATCTTTAATTAAATGCCGATCGTAGAGAGTCTATAATGATCCAGTTCAACTGCTGATTGTATTAGCAGGCTAGCTTGAATCAACAGTAGAAATGCTAGCTTAATTATATTCTTAGTCTAACTGCTCATTGGTTCAGAGAGAGTGTTTTGATGATATATTCCACTGCTGACTCTCTATAGATTCTAATGTTGTATTTTAGTTTGACTGATTGTCTCAAGAGTCGGGCTTAATGTATTCTTTATAGCACCACGAGATTCTTACGCTTGTTCCGTTGAGTAATTGATTTGTTGCTCACTTCAGTAGTATATTCGTATGAATCTATACGATTAGTTTATCTGATGCTCATTCATTATTGGCATATATTTTACAAAGTAAATATAGACATAGTACTTTACTATATGGAAGACCTGATTGGATGATCCTATTATTTGTTTATACAAACATTGAGGTGCTTCATTCGATGCTGCTTTTCATTCATTTATACGAAAAGCTTTATTAAGTGCTTTATTGGATGCTTTTTCTTCATATCAGTCATTCATACGAAGTATTGAATGCTCTTTCTTACTATATTCATTTATACGAAGTACCTTGTTGGAGTCCAAATGAGTAGTACACATGCTCCTTCTTATATTCGTTATATAAATACCGAAGTTCGTATTGAAGGCCCTTATGCAGTCCGTATTGAAGGACCGACGAAGTTCTTACTGCACTGTAGCACCTCGAGTTGGTCCCGATTGGAGGGGCATGCCCAGGGGTGGCAGAACCACCAGTGTTGCTGTACTGTGACGGGACCAGAGGATTTTTCCGGTGCTGGAGCAGGTCTAGGCACCCAAGACCTGACCATCGCCCCTGAAAGGAGCCGGGGTCGAGGCAGAGGCCTCGAGGTCCTCGACCAACAACGAGGTGTAGGTAACACCCCGGGACTCGATGGCTTCCAGCTCCCTGTAGTAGACCACCAAGCCGTCGAGCTTGGAGATGGGCACTGCGAGCTTTCTTTCGATCCACAAAATGACTTTGGAGGGAGGGTACAACACCTTCAAGTACCCCAAGCCCAAGAGGTAGCCAGTGGAAACACCAGCCAAGTGGCCAAACAACGAGGATCCAGGAAGCAACACAGCAGTGATGGTGACAAAGATCAACGGGGTCCAGAGCGTGGGGATCGACACGGTTCTGCTCTGGAACGTGTAGGTGTACACGGGACGGTGCTGGTGCTCCTTGACAGCCACGTAGCTCAAGAAACTGAATACCACTCCTGAAAGACCAACAACATGGGTGTCGGGATAGAAGAGCAATCCGACCACACAATACTGCAATCCAGCTACCGCAGCCAATAAGTTCAAGGTGACCCCGGTGTAGACAGTCCCGTGGGTGCGCTCGAAAATAGCCATTGGTGTGGCCAACGCCAAGCAGTTAAGGAACCAGTGGAGGAAGCTTCTGTGGAACAAAATGTAGAACGACAATCGGTTCAAGTCGAGCTTGAATGGAGCTCCTGGATACAACGAGAAGACGGCACTCAACCAGTCGCCCACATTGGCCAACAAGAGGATGAAGGTGAAGATTGGCAAGCCCACGGTGAGCGCAGGGTAGTGGTTGACGGAAGACAAGTCAAGCGGGAAGGAGGATGCCATGGTTGGATGTGTAGGAAGGATGCGCAGCAGAAGATATGTTGTTGATCGAGCCATCACGTGAGAGGTCTGGAACAGGACGGGAATGGAGGCAGGAAAGGTATTGAAATGCAGTGAATGGTAGGGACGTTGTAGACGAGTCATTCCGTACGGTCACTTATCGATCAATTAGGATGTGTATAATCACATTAACACCTTTCGGCTAGTGGCTTGGTAGCGAGTTGAAGTGAGAATGATCTGTTCACTCGCGTACAGTGTGGTGCGAATGGCATAGAGTTGCAGTAGTAGCAGCGTGCCAGCGGGATGTCAAAACAATTGCTAAGAACTACCACGATCATTAACAAATAGAACCCTTAAATCAATACTCTGAAAAACCATCAACTCAAAGGGAAAGCCGCTTGCGAAGAGACCATATTGCATTCAGTTCCTGCTGAGTTCCAACCGTGATTATTGCGGTACGAGATAAAGCTATGCACCTTCTCATGCTTAATACCATCCACCAGCAATGTGCAGCGTACCAAGAGGGGAGTGTTGGACACTCCAAAAGCATGCTTCGAGCCTAAAACCCAAACCGACCTTCCTTGAAGAAGTCATGGCGATATCCGACAATGACTTCGATAAATAACAGCAGACCTTTCTTCTGGAGACTGGAGTGGATCACCATTGGTGGGGCGAGTAGACCCAAGTACCCTGGGTAGAAGAATACAGCGGAGACCACAATTCGTCGACCAGCGGTGATTGGCGAACTCGTAGTCACGTAGTTCGGCCTTGGAGCAGCTGGGTCACACAGAGAAGTACAGAATGCCACTGAAATCGCTTCTAGAGAAGACCCTTAACAGCTGTTATTGCAGACCTGGAACGGGATCCTTCTGTATCCACCACGCGTTGCAATTGCACCAAGAGGTCAGGATTGAGAGTGAAAGGGCGTGCTAGAAGTATTTGCTTGAAGTGCCTGGAACTACCTGTGGGAATGGATATCAAGCTGGTTCCTGACTTTATTATGTGTTCAGCATTGATCGCATGGCCAAATTCAGCACCTGACTAATTCTTCATCCACTTTGGTGGCACCTTGCAGGGGTGGTGGTGGAGATGACCAGACTGGTGCCTGGCCCATCACTGAAGCTCCTGCTCCACCCGGGACCCTACCCGGGCCAAGAACTCACACTTGCGCTGGTTGCTCCGCGACAAACCCTCTATACGCGCCTTTCGTTCGCCAATGGTCTCGTTGATGCCTTCCACCTCTTGCAAGTACTGCTTCAAGGTGGCAAATTTGAGACGGATACTTCCTGAATGCTTGTCGATGTCTCGTGCCAGTAACACCCCCGAGTCCAAGTCGTGGAGAAGATTGAAGAGATCGGGAAGAACTTCCAAGTTGTGCAACTTCTGGATGACGTCTGCTTCGTCGTCGTCGTTTTCGGTGGCGCCCGCGGCTGGAGGCACCAGAACATCGCTGGCAGTCGTAGAAATGGCCAAGTCGATGTCCATGGCGTCGGCAGCAGCAGCTTCTGCGGCAGGAGTGGTGGAGGACATGGTGTGGTGATTTGGGAGAGGTCACAGGTTCTGGCGGTTAATCTTGAAGTGACCATGGTCGCGGCCTGCATATAGTGCCAGAGATATCGCCAGTCAGCGGCTAGAAAGGTATGGACTTCAGAGGACAGTCATTATCTCAGTAGATTACAGTAATTGATCTGGAGGATTACAGTTATTATCTTGAAGGATTACAGTCATTATCTAAAAGGATTAATATTATTAGTCTTGAAGAAACAACGCCATATCTTCTCGCAAGGACTACAATCATAGCTTGAAGATTACTCCATATCTTCTGAAAGAATTACACCCATTGATCTCACTGAAAGGCCACAGATCTTCCTTCTTGGTTACAACCTTTGTGAAAGAAGTGCACCCATTAATATTCCTTAAAGTACTAAACTCGTCGAAGGAATTCCCATTAAATACTCATTAAAGGCATTCATCCATTGATACTCGTGAAAGGATCACAGCACACATCTTCCTTAAGGCCATTGATCTTCCTGCAAATCATTAATATTCCCGAAAGGACTGCTGTCATTGATATCTTAAAGGACAGCACTTTATACTCCTTAAAGGTTCGCCATTAACATTCCTGAAAGGTCTACAGCCATTGATCTTAAGGATTACTGCAACATCTCCATTCATCTTCCAGAAAGGACTATATTCAGTATTATCCTGAAGACTTGCACCATATCTTCCTCAAAGGTCCAGTAACACCACCACCATGGATCTCCAATCGATAATCAGCACCTGCTTCCCCTGCCTCCCGTGCTTCCAGTCGCCCTATGTGGCCATCAGCAACAATAAGTACAAGATCATCAGGCTCCTCGGCGAGGGTGGGTTCTCGTACGTGTACCTCGTGGCAGACAGGGCCAACAACAACGCGTTGTATGCGTTGAAGAAGATCCGGTGCCCGTTCGGCGCCAGTGACGAGCTGTTCCGCAATGCGGTACGAGAGATCCGCAACTACCACCGGTTTGCTGCAGCCAGAACTCCCTACATCATCCAGTCTATCGAGGAGTCAGTGGTGGAGGAGAGCGACGGGTCCAAGAGCATCTACATCGTCATGCCATACTTCGAGAAGTCACTCCAGGATGTGATCAACGAGCACGTCTTGTCTGATCAGTCCATGGACGAGGCTGAGATCATCAAGATCTTCGTTGGGGTCTGCCGTGGCCTCAAGGTGATGCACAACTACAAGAAAAGGCTGAGTGGGCTGGGTCAAGCTCAGGCAGCTGCGGATGGTGGCGAAGGTGACTTGTTGCTCCCCGAAAGCGAGGACGACGACGAAGGCGATGGCGAGATGGGCACTCAGATGCTGGAATTGGTGCCGTTTGCCCACCACGATATCAAGCCAGCCAACGTCATGCTCTCAGCCGAAGGTCTCCCAGTGTTGGTGGACTTGGGGTCATGTTCGGCTGCCAGGATCCACATCAAGTCGAGGCAACAGGCGTTGACCATGACCGATTTCGCCCAGGAACACTGCACATTGCCCTACCGGGCACCGGAACTCTTGGACGTGGCCACCAATGCCGACATCTCCGAAAAGACCGACATCTGGTCCTTGGGGTGCTTGCTCTACTGCTGCTGCTTCGGCTTCTCGCCGTTTGAGAAGTTGGAGATCGAGCAAGGCGCCAACTTGACGTTGGTGATTTCTCAGGGAAATTACGTGATTCCTGAAGACAGAAGAGGTTACTCCGAGGCATTGATGGATTTGGTCAGGGAGTGTTTGGTGGTCGACCCCAAGCAGCGGCCCACCATCGAGACGGTGTTGGAAAAGGCACTCGAGTTGTCGAGACAGGCGTCGTAAGAAGGTTGAGATGATTCATCCATTTTCTGTTACGTTGGAGGCTGGATAGGGAGCATGGAGGAATATCCATAGCTCACTACCGAGGAAACATCCACTAACTTCATGTTAGCCAGCACCAAGGACGATATACGCTCTACTATACTCAGGAAACATCCATGGCCACTCATACCGGCGTATAAAGGAATAGACGTATTATTCCCCTTATTAAACTAAGCGGATTGTTTGTGGGAGGGCGAGAATGCAGTAATATTACACTGAGGCTCTCATTGAAACGAAACAGATTGTTTGTTGAGGGGGCAGATATACTCACTTATTGTGAGGACGAGTATGCATCGCCTAGGGCCCATTTTTAGTATTAACGGAATAATCGTTGGGAGGACCAGAATACAGTTGTTTCCCAGAATATTGGCCCAATTTCAATAATCGCATTCATTCTCATCTGTTAGAGAATTCAGGATGGGCCAATACTAATGTCAAGCTCTCGAGGAAAGTCCGAGTCCCCAGGTGCCATTCTCCTGATGTACAGTTTGGAAGTCAAGTGCATTGTCTCAGGTGCAAAGCCCAGTCTAAGACTGTGCACAATTTCATCCAATCGCTTGGCCAGACACACCTACACTGGTCGACCATTCACCACAGACGAGGCTACTCTGGTAAATCACACCCGAGACGAGTCCACTGGTAGACGCACCACTGGAGACGACACATTCCTAGACCACTTCGTGACGCACCATCACGACATCCTACTTCGGGACACGCACCAGCCTAGCTGCTCCACACGCGCCAATCAGGCAGTTGCACCACCTCCTCACACGTAAATAGCCACTACTACACTTACTACACTTACTACGCTTACCGTACACCACCCTCCCAGTGTCTGTCTGACACCCAGGGTCTGCTGGCTGGCATCGGTGTCCGCCGACACTCGGCGCTGGCAGCCTCGAGATGGCTCCGGTGCATGCGTCCGCGCTCGCAACCCGTTGCATAACCACCACCGTGCCCCTGACAGCGATATCCGCCGTTTGCACCGAAGCACTGCCTCCCACACGGTGGCACCGAGGCAGGGGATTGGAGGAGGGCAGCTAGCACAGGGAGCCACGTGACCGCCGATCGCTGGCGTGGTGTGGTGGGAGAGGCTTTGTGGCCCCGTGGCGGCGGTGAGGATTCGTGTCAACTGGTTATGAAAAGCGGTAGGCGCACGACGCTGGCTGCGTCAGACAATTGTCGGGAGAAGCTGCGGCGGGACGTGGTGGAGCAGGAGGAGGAGGACGGAGGGAGGAGGACGTATCGAGGATTACGTGGCGGACGATGACGTGCTGGACCTCCATGCCCCGATCCCATTGTTACCACACGTGGAGATCTCGTCCCGAGCCAGAAATAGACCAAACAAACACCACGCGGCAAACACGACAGCGCGCGCCGACAAAAACGCGCGTCCTTCAGGACACGTAAAGACATCACCACGACACTGGGGCAAGACCACTCCACTCCAGGACTAGGCCAGGACCAGGCCACAAGCACTCCAGACCAGTGCAATAGAGGCTCTCAGCAGTCGTTGCACCACAGCCTCGGCACCAGGTGTGCTCCAGACCATTGCACTACGGGTCCAGTGTACCCTCCCCCACCCGCCTCGGACCCTCGCTGATTCCCACCGCGCGCATATTTCAGACATTCGTGTCTGTTGGCGCACCAAACTATATAAACTACCAATTTCCCGTTGCCAAAAACACTGACCCAGTTTTTACACACACTACACTATGAAAGGTTTAATTTTAGTCGGAGGTTACGGTACCCGTTTGAGACCCCTCACCCTTACCTTGCCAAAGCCTTTGGTCGAGTTCGGTAACCGTCCCATGATCTTGCACCAAATCGAAGCTCTTGCTGCTGCTGGCGTCACCGACATCGTGTTGGCCGTCAACTACCGTCCTGAAGTCATGGTGTCCACCTTGAAGAAGTACGAAGCCATCTACGGTGTCTCCATCACCTTCTCTGTCGAGGAAGAGCCTCTTGGCACTGCTGGTCCTTTGAAGTTGGCTGAAAAGGTGTTGAAGAAGGACGACTCGCCCTTCTTCGTGCTCAACTCCGACGTCATCTGTGACTACCCCTTCAAGGAGTTGGCTGCCTTCCACAAGGCCCACGGTGCCGCCGGTACCATCGTCGCCACCAAGGTGGACGAGCCTTCCAAGTACGGTGTGATTGTCCACGACAGAGACACCCCCAACTTGATCGACAGATTCGTCGAGAAGCCAGTCGAGTTTGTCGGCAACAGAATCAACGCCGGTTTGTACATCTTGAACCCTGAAGTCATCGACTTGATCGACATGAAGCCTACCTCCATCGAAAAGGAGACCTTCCCACAATTGGTCGAGAAGAAGCAATTGTACTCGTTCGACTTGGAGGGCTACTGGATGGACGTCGGCCAGCCAAAGGACTTCTTGTCCGGTACCGTGTTGTACTTGACCTCGTTGGCCAAGAAATCCCCCGAAAAGTTGTCCAAGGAACCTTTCGTCCACGGTGGTAACGTCTTGATCGACCCATCGGCCAAGATCCACCCATCTGCATTGATCGGCCCTAACGTCACCATTGGTCCTAACGTCGTTGTTGGCGAGGGTGCCAGAATCCAAAGATCGGTGTTGTTGGCCAACTCCGAAGTCAAGGACCACGCCTGGGTCAAGTCCACCATTGTTGGCTGGAACTCGAGAATCGGAAAGTGGGCCAGAACCGAAGGTGTCACTGTTTTGGGTGACGACGTTGAAATCAAGAACGAAATCTACGTCAACGGTGCCAAGGTCTTACCTCACAAGTCTATTTCTTCTAATGTTGAACATGAAGCCATTATTATGTAAGTTTTTCATACCCTACCATACAGACGTTCCTGGACGTTTGTTGTACTTTATATAAAACGTTAAATAGGTAAATTAATACTGTTAGCCTATGCTAACTGATAGACCAGTGTAGTTGCTTCTGAGCAGAGTTAGAAAGCTAGATAATACCCAACAATTAAGGAGAGTATGGTGAAAAAATATGGTGAAATTTCTACCGTTTTTTATTATAATATCTTGGCTTCGGAAAATTATTATCAACTGTGGAATATAGTTGGCACTACTGCGACTGTTGTAACGCTAACGAGTAATGTAGACGTTGCTTGAAAGATGGTCAGAGCAATTCTCGAATTGAAGCTCATTCTGTGCTGCATCTGGGTGAATTATATCTGCAGATATATCCATGTACTATGCTTGTAATTATGATTATTTTTATTATTGAAACTGGAACTGCTATTAAACGTTTCGTGTGCATAACTACTTGAAGTGGTTTAAGTTCGAAGACAGCACCACTGACAAGAAATTCATCTTTCGACCATTACCAGTTAATTTATCCAGACAATTTTCAGAAACAATGCTCTCATCGTTTCTGGCGAACAACGCTCTGAATGACATTTCTGATTTCTTTGACATAATATGGCCACAAAAGGTCAAAGGTCAACTGTCCAGCTCATGTCATTTCGAGTATTGAGTCTCTCAGCACCAATGGCTCAAAAATATTGTCGTTGACACCTATCCTCTGCCTCTACACCGTAATATCAGACAATCAGTTGGACTATATACATATATTGATTGACTGGACCTCGAGGCATCCACTGGACTTAGGCCCAGGTGGCCAACTCGTCGATGCAGCTCTTTCTCAAGGGCTCACTCAATGGCTTCTTTCCACTCAAGTATTGCAACATCAACACTTGTGCAATCATAGGCTCTTCAACATCACCCAATACGGCCACAGTCTTCTTTTGGGGATCTGTGTAAGTCACTTTCAATTCCCCGCTGGACAACATTTGCAAGTACATCAAGTGGTTCTTTGGAACCGAACCCTTGCGACCCTTGAACACTTCTCTCAACTGTTCCAAGCCCGCACCCACAATCTCTCTTGTGTCCTGGCCCTTGCTCAAAGGATGGGCCAAGATGGACTTGATGAGCCCGTCCTTCAAGTGTCCGTAATCCGTGTTTCTGACGGGGCTGATTCTGACCATAAATCTGACTCCGCTGTCCAATAACTTGGCCACAATGAGCCCCGAAGCCACGGGGCTAGCGAGAAGTTCCTTCAACTGGTGGTTTTCGGTCTCCAACGAAGCCAAAAACTTCTGGTCTCCCAAGACTGACTTAGCCAACCCAATATCAGCATCAGCGATGTAGAGTCCGATTCCGTACACTTTGAAGCCCACAAAAGTCACCGATCTGACTCCGTGCCCCACCAAGGTGAAGTCAGTGGCAACGTGCTGGTTGTCTGCAGAAATCTTGATTGGAAATGGATCAATAGACGAGTCTACGGCAACAGACTCCTCTGGAAGAAGCTGGCCATCGATTTTGGTGTCCAACTGTACTGAAGTCGATTGGCAGTAAACCAAGGCGCCAGCGAGAATAGCTCCACCAAAAAGAATCTTCTTTTTGGGGAAGGTGGTCGTGCTGGCAAACCTGGTGGAGTAGGCCCTAATGGGAGAGTTTCTGAGCTGCCTAGCAGTCTGTCTTGCTGCAAATCTGAACATTGTTGGTGGCGGAAAGTGGTGCCAGAAACCTTTAGTAGAGTCAAGCACGTGCATGAATACACGTGACCTATGATGGGAGCGATTTCTTGCGGGGTGATATTCGATTATTAAATCCCTTCAATAGGATAATTGAGAAGTATCCCAACACTCTAAATGAACTGGAAACTTGAGGTTAATGAAAGAAATTTCCAATTCAAAAAGTAAGGATAAGATGGCACATGCAATGAAAGCTCTAAATGCAGATCTAGTTTGATGAAGCAAGTTCACTTTCAAAAGACCCAAACCCATTTCTATAGATGTGTTTTGTGTATTAGGTAATTTTTATTGGCTTATCATTAATTTACTATCAAATGCTCTTCATTATATGCGTCTATAGAATAACAATTACACAGATAGGATGGGGAACTACTTCAAGAACCTGATCTCCTCACTGATGGCGGTACTGCTCTCCAAAGAGAGCCCACTAGCGAGCTGTGCCTTGTAGAGTGCTTCCCATTTTCCCCATTCCTGCTCCACCGACTGGAGTTCAGGCTGGAGCCAATTGGCATCGTCCCTGCCCAGAAGCCTCGACACCAAAAATCCCAACATCGAGTCTCCAGCACCAGTAACGTTCTTTATTGCCAAATTTTGGTTTTCGGCAGGAATAGGGAAATGCTGGATAATAACCCCCATAGTACTGCCTCCTTCAAGAACTCGTCCCTCTGACTTGAGCATGAATGTAGGCCTGTACAAAGATGTGGTTGGGATAGACTTGTAGTCATTGACGTTGGTGGAAATGCTGAGAGTGAGAAGACCATTTGCACCCAATTTGACGTACAAATTGGGCACGAAGGGGAGCAATTGGAACGCTTGCTGCAACGTTCCTTGCGACAAAAGCGACTTCAATACATGGTGGTCTTTCTTGTTGGACAAGGCGTTCAACTTCTCTCTGAAAGTGCCATCGATTCCAAGGGCATCGAGCAACGGGAACCACTGATCGAAATCGTCAAATTTGCCCTGTTCGCTGAACCCAGCGTACATCGACTCGACCTCAGCAGCGGTGGGGGTAGCCAAATGGAGCACATTGTTGGGGAATACACCAGTATTAAGTTGAGAAATGCGAGAAGCTTTGGCATGCGATGTTGGCTCTATAATGACGTTAGCATGATTATGGTTTTTGTAGATATGATGGAGCACTTTATTGGCAACAGCAGGAGCCAAGTTGCAGTCCATGACCACGTTTTGGGGATTTGCTCTGTCTAATTGTTCGATAATATGGGCTGCGAAATCCTGCTCAATAATGGCCATGTCAGCGCAGGCGACAATTAATTCTCCATCAGACGAATGGGTGCTTGAGTACTGGGCCGTAGATTGGCCAGGTGCCACCTTTATGCCAGAAGAGTCGATATTCTGGCTGTCCAATAAACTAACAATCGATTTTCCCGAAAAGTCATCGCCCACCATAGAGACCAATCTGCAGCTGGAGGACTCCAGTGCTGCCATAGAGGCATAATGGCACGCCAAACTGATGTTGTAGCCCACACCACCTACCGAAGACTCGACAGAGCCAGGGTTAGAGTCCCCCATTTTTGTTTTTGCACCCACCGTGGAAATGGTATCCAACGCGATGGAGCCAACTACCACGGTGTGCGCAGCATCAGCAGCCCTACTAGTCGCCGCCTGACCAGGAACACTTGCATCAAGTTGGCCTAAGGCCGGGGGCAGCACATGTGTGCTCATTACTGGAGTTCCTTGGACCTATTTGTTAGTATACTCCAAATAACTGTGCTAGTACTATTTACTTACGTCGCATTCAAGAAGCCCCTTGGCAATTTTCGCAGCCGCTTTGGCGTTGTTCAACACGAATTTAATGTTACACTCCACAGACTTGCCATGGGTGTCTTTGGCGATTTTGCTCAACAAGAAGGGGGTGACCTCCTTACCACTCACTCCCACTAGTTTGGCCTCCTTGAGAGCACCATCGATGATTCCGTTGATGAACGATGACGACAAGGCAATGTCTTCTGGAGGAGGGACGCAGATCACGCTTCCCGAGGTGAGTCCCATCACATTATTGTGGTTGTGCACAATTCCAGCAACCTGGTCGAACGAGTCGAATGAGTACGCAGACTTGACTCCCGATTCCCTACAGTAGAAGCCAGGCACTTCCACGTTAGGTCTGCCATTGTCGTTGTAAGTGCCCACAAAAACTCCCTGAGTCTCCAAAAATTCCATGGTGAGGCCAATGTCCAAGATAGCCTTGGGTCCAGAGCACACCACCGTCACAGGCGTTCTTCCTAGTTCTGTCAAGTCGGCAGAAACGTCAAACGTCAAGTGTGCTTCCTTGTGGACCCCACCCAAACCACCGGTGGAAAACACCTGGATCCCAGCCATATGCGACAATATCATCGTCAGAGCAATTGTGGTGCCTCCGTTAAGCTTGTTGGCCATGGTGTAGCCAATGTCACGCCGTGACACCTTGTTGATGTGGCCCTGGGTCGACACTTCTGCCAACATCGCCAATTGTTCAGGCTGAAGTCCCACGTAGGGCACTCCGTCAATAAAAGCACAGGTCGCTGGAATGGCTCCGTTGTCTCTGATGACCTTTTCCACGTCCTGGGCCATTGAGAGGTTGTTGGGATACGGTAAGCCATGGGTGATGATAGTTGATTCTAACGACACAACAGGTTGTTTTTTGTCATTGAGCGCCTGTTGGACCTCAGGCGAGATGCGCAACGGGAAACGGGCTCTGCGGAGCGAAGAAGAGAGATACCGTCTGAGAAGCATTGGAGGAAAGTCGTGGGTTATAGTGATGGAGAATTTCCAGAAATGTCTGGGGAAACGGCACGTGACCGGGAATTGTTGGGGTCTCCATCAACCACAGAAACGGCAGTTTTGGAGGGTAAAGGAGGAACTGGGAGCCCTACTTGAGTTTACACCACTCCAGGGGGATCTGGAAAGCAGCAATCTCCGGTTTTGCTGTGTTAGAGAAGGTTCCATTTCCTGCTGGCTCAGGTGACTTTGTGCACGTGAGCTGATCTACATCGCAGGCTGCCACCTCCAAGCCGATTCTGCAATGACAGCTCTTTGGATCCTTTCAGATGGTGTTGATGTGCCTGATGTCCACATCCTCGGCAGTGCAGAGCTTCCTACTTCGTCCCACAATGCCATCTTGCAGCTCATCTCCAAAAATGAGCTTGATTTAACCACAATTCTACAAGGAGTCCAGAATGAAAAGTTGCTCCAGCATGACAGAAATCGGGGCTATCTAGTACTAGAGGTGTTCATAAGGCATCATGATATATCTGCTATTGAATTGAAGGCACTCGGTGGCTTTTTCAGCCAAGTTTTGCAGGTTCCAACAAGCAACGACTGGAATGGAACCTCTCCAGAACCAGCCAGATCCAACTACTACATCCTAAGAGCATTTTGGGCGATGCTAAATAGAGAAATTCCAGATCAAGAAACGTTTCTTGACATGATAGAGCTCTGCTCGTACCATATAAATCCAAACGTGCCGTGGTCGTCCCCAATAAACTCGCAGTTGATGGTGAGAGTGGTACAAGATAAAAGCACATTGCAAGGCATTTTGACGCATTTCGAAGACTACGTTGTCCGAATCACTCCCAATCTACTCAAATTTCCTGCCATAAAGTCTGGAAACACCTCCATCTCCAAGTCTTCCACTGTGAATCGTCTCCATGGGGGCCTCAAGCCCCGGTTGGGGTACGGAGGCGCAAAGAAAGAGATTTTGGAGGAAGATATTCGTCGCAACTGGAAGAACTCTACTAAAGTCAAGTGCTTATCAATGGTATGGTTCATGGTCTGTGTTTTTGACGAGCAGTTGCTTGAGAGATACTGGAATATCGTCACTTCATTTGTCTTAAACTTGGGAGATGACCACGAACCGTTGATAAAATATCAGAGCATGAAGCTAGAGAGTTATTTCTTAGACAAAGTCGCAGACTCTAAGCATATTTTGGTTAAATCTGGGCTATTGGAGGTGTTTATCGAGTCCAACAAAAAAGCATTAACGCACACTCCACCAATTACTCCACCGAACACCTCCATGCTCGTGTTGAGAGAGGCATACTCATGCTTGGACTGTCTACTTGCCATCAAAGGGGTATCATCCCCCGTGATTCTAGACTACACAGAACTAGTTTCGATATATATCCTTCCCTCAATTTCCAATCTTTTGAGCAGGTCGGAAAAGGAGTCCTTTCTCCCAGTGATTATCATCTTGTTGACGGAGTTGCAACACTTAATCAACAATCGTTTGACGTTCAAAGTGATGCTTTCGGTGTCTAGAATTAATTTCACCTTGAATCAAACTATCACCAATCCATTCATACTAGACCACGAACATGGCCTCCTGGCAGTAAGAAAATGCCTCCAATGCCAGGAAGCTATTTTGGACCAAATAGCGAAGACTGAAGAACAAGGCAAGGCGTTGTTGTTGGCCTATAAATACGACTTTATTGGTTCTTGGGCAGTTTTGGTCAAAAGATTGCGGAAAATGGAAATCCCACAGGAAAAATTGGTGCTTGCCAATTTGGAAAAGCTCCAGGCCTTGGGAAGCGAATGGGACGAGCTACAGGATGTGATCAGCGACATAACATCGTACGGAATCTAATCACACACCGATCAGTACTAGAAGGAGCATCAAGTACGTTAAATGAACAGTCTAACAGTTCCCAACTGAAGCCCGTTTCCCCAGTAAAGGTATAAAGTTAGTCGAAAGAAAAGAAATAGATGCTGTTCCCCAGTCCATAGTGACATAGGTTACTAACTCTACACAGTTTGTATCGACAGAAGCCATCGAGTAATATATTTACAGGTACACAGCTAGACACTTCTAGCCGTGGCAGATGCCTGGCTATAGGACTTAAACACCGGGGTTTTCTATTAGGGTTTCCGTGGTGGCATCTCACTTGATTGCGGGTGTTCCAGACGCACAATCTGGTTACTTTTGGGCCCCTTGCAATGCCTGGACCACCTTGATGTTGGTGTCCAAGAATCTGTTCAAACAATTGGTCAAGCACAGTTCCTCGCTGGAGTCCAAGGTGCCAGTGGTGATGGGCTTGTTGGTGTTGCACTTTTTGAAGCACATGTCGGTGAAGTTGTGGATGGACATTTGCACCTTAGACTTGGAGTTTTCCGACTCTATAAATTGGAGGATATCTTTTCTGGAAGACTCATCGAGGCTTTGCAACGCTGCTTGCGAGACTGTAGACATTCTGTGTAGGGAGGGTGGTGCAACAGTGCCGTGGTTCAAATTTTTCAGATTCCATATTCGCAGTGGATCCAGCGAGACATCGCGACACCGAGCCCCAGACTTCCGCGACATTTTGACACCCATGTTGTTGTATCACCACTCATATCCATCGATAAAACGAGCCCAATGGCCAGGATCGACACCGTCAAAGGCTGGATTGGCGCCGATGCAAGTTCACAGCGTACCGATCGCCTGCTGAGCCGCTCTGGCGACGCAGTGTACCTCGAGCGACTAAGGAAAGAAGTTGAGCATACCAAACAATACATAAAACAGGCAGACATCGCCATCAGCTCGTTGAAACAGGCAGACCGCCAGGACTCCGCTTCTGAGAAGAGACGCGTGGTGGCTCTCTATGATAGTTATGCCCGAGTGCCATTTGTGCCCGACAAGGATGAGGTTATTGGGTCTGCCACAGCATCTACAGCACTCCGGAACTCGGTGGAAGACTACAGTGAGGCCATCGCCACATTAAGCGAATCCAAGGTTGATCCCGAGGAGTTGACCCTCTTGATGGACGATTATCGGGACATTGTACATCACACCAGCCGGACAAACGAGAAAGGTCTGAGCAAGCTCAAGGAAATGGACAGCAAGCTCGCCGAGTTGGAGCAGGAAGTGTCGTTGGTGAATAGAGCACGTACGCAGCTCAAGTCCAGGCTCAAGGATGCTGACCAAATGTCGTCGTTGCTCTCGTTGCACTTGAAAAGAGTGCTAACGAAATATCTAGCAGTTCAAAACTGGGAAGAAAAAGTGGTGATGGACTCGCCAGCCTTGAAATCAACAATCAGACTGATCATGCTCATGATTGACGACTTATTGACTGCACCCCAAGACTCGTGGGTCGAGATAGTGCCCACTAGCATTACAGCACAGCTCGTCAAGATCTTGGTATTCAAAAGCATTGTAATTTCACGAGAAGACTCCACCCCCAGCATCTACTACTTGAGAATACGCAATTTTGGGATCCAGGTATAGTAAGCAGTTACTCCTTAAGGCGCAATTAGGGATTAAGGTATTAAGCAATCAAATACTGTTCAAGACGCAATTCGTTACTACGATCGTATGCAATTGATTAATGTTGCAATTAGGGATCAAGGTAGTAAGCACAATTACTACTTGAAATCTATTCAAGCTGCGGCTCCATTCTTGAAATACGCAATTCAATATGCTAACGGCACGGAAATCAATTCTGGAACAATACCAGCGTTGCTACACAAACAATTCCAAGATACGCAATTTAATTTAGAAATGGCATTCTATTCTTAGTCATATAAAATCCTGCAATTGTGGTTCATATACACTCCTAAATTGCGGTTCCAAGCTTGAGTCTAACAGCCTTGATTTGCGAGTAAGCTGCCAAGGCCTCTTCACCCATCTCCTTACCAATACCGGACTGGTTGTAACCACCGAATGGAACCATTGGGTGGAAATCGTTATAGGTGTTGACCCACACGGTACCGGACTTGAGTCTTCTGGACACATCCATGATACGATCGATGTTGGTGGACTGGATACCTGCAGCCAAGCCGTACTCACTGTCGTTGGCCTTCTTGATGACTTCATCAACGGTCTTAAATTTGGACACTGTAATCACAGGACCAAAAATTTCCTCCTTGACAATCCTCATTTCTTCGGTGACGTCTCCGAAAATGGTTGGCTCCACAAAGAAACCCTTCTGGGGCAATCTGACACCACCACTCAAGAGAGTGGCACCCTCATCGGTACCAATCTTGACGTACTGCAAGATCTTTTCCAATTGTTGGTTACTGTTCTGGGCACCCTGAATGGTGTCTTCAAGAAATGGGTCCCCGACCTTGATAGTGTTTTTCGCAGCCTCCACAAACTTGTCAAGGAACTGATCGTAGATTCCTTCCTGGAGGTAGAGACGGGAGCCGGCACAACAGACCTCGCCCGAGTTGAAGAAAATACCAGCGATCACTGATTCCAATGCCTGGTCCAAGTTGGCGTCGTCAAAGATGATGTGAGGCGATTTACCACCCAACTCCAAGGTCACTTTCTTGACGTTGCTCTCGGCACACTTTTTGTAGATTATCTTCCCTGTGGCAGTTGAGCCGGTGAAGGCAATCTTCTTGACGTCAGGGTGTTCTGTTAACGCATTTCCAGTATACTTACCAAAACCACTAAGAACGTTGAGGACACCTGGAGGAAGCACATTGTGGTCCTGGATCAACTTGCTCACGTACAAGGCTGAGAGAGGCGTGGTCTCCGAGGACTTCAACACCACTGTGTTTCCCGTGGCCAAGGCAGGTCCGATTTTCCACACAAACATCAAGAGAGGGAAGTTCCAGGGAATAATTTGTCCCACCACCCCCAAAGGCTCTCTTCTGGTGTAGTTGAAATGGGAGTCACCCGTTTCCACCACCAGGCCGAAAAGCTTGTCAGCAGCTCCAGCGTGGGCCCTGATACACCTGACAGCCAAGTCGACGTCGCCTCTGGCATTGCTGATGGACTTTCCGTTGTCGATGGTCTCGATCGAACTGATGATTTCCCCATGTTCCTCGATGAGGTCTGCGATCTTGAACAAGGCCTTGGCTCTTTGCGAGGGGTCAGCCTTGGTCCAGGGCGAGTCGTCGAACGCCTTGGTGGCTGCTTCCACCGCAAGGTCCACGTCGTCCTTGCGAGACTCGTACACCGAGGTGATCACCTCCTCGGTGGAAGGCGAAATAACCTCGAAGGTGTTCTTTTCGAGCGAGGGTACAAACTGGTTATTGATGTACAACCCAGTGGGCTGCTCATAGCTCACGCCATTGGGAAGCTTGACCTGGGTGGACAACGGAAGGTCCGAGTACATGCGGACTCCACGGTGGGCTAGGCCCCTGGAGGTTCTGAGAATGTTTCTGGCGGATGCTAACATGACGTATTTTGTTGGCTTTCTGTCAAAAATGGTACGCAGCTTCTATTATTTATAATTTCACGATTGCTGGCATTTTTGCACCTTGGTTGCTGCCGCTGGTTTATCCCTGCTGTTATCTACAGTCTCTGGACGCAACCCGGAACCTCAGGGTCCATGTGTAGGAAAACGCAACCATGTGTCGGAGCGGAAAATACGTCAAAAAGGCCTGCACATCGGAGCTGATCATGTGCCAATAAATGCACGACGGTTTCAAACAAGAGAGGTACTATTGATCCAGCAGGGGATGGATCTGGAGTGTCCTCGTCCGGCACGGTAGTCAGGGGTCGCTGTTGAGATGCCACGATTACGAGCTTTCCAAAATTTGCGACTGTGGCCCAACTCCATAGTGGGTTTTGGAACCAGAACCACCCCCAAATCGCTTGGCATTGCTACCAGGACCCTTATCGGGAGCCAGCAGCGAGCCCAAGCCAGGGTGGGGGCGGTTCTGGTCCCACCAATTAATATTTCCAATCAATCCATGTCGCAGTGTGTCGCACTCTAGGACAAATTCGCAATCAATATGGTCTAATTCTCGAGCCACATTAGGCTAGACCTGGTTCAATTTGGGTGCTACCCTGCTAGAGTGAGATGATATAACGTGCCATGCAGCTATATAGGCCAGGTGTTTCCGGGGTGCCAAGACACCCACCAGAGGCGCACACACACATTAGTCCAGGCGGCTGCAAATTCAAGACATGGCATATTTAACAGACGAAACTGCCATCAAGGCCAAGCATCCAGAAAGCACATACGGAACGTTCGTACAAGCCACACCCACCATGTCTTCTATCGAAAACGACAAGAAGCTGCACATCGTCGTCTCCGACAGTCACATTGACTTGGAGTCCAGCAATGACCTCAGCGAGAACCACATCTTCAAGGACCCAGAGGTCGCTGAATACTATCGTCAATTGTACGACAAGACTCAGTACGAGTGCCGTGACTGGTTCGACCCGGACTTCACCTACACCAAGCAGGAGGAACGCAAGGTTGTCCGCAAGAACGACTGGTACGTCACGTTCTGGGCCCTCATCATGTTCATTGCCTTGGACTTCGACAGAGGCAACTTGCAGCAGGCATTGGCTGACAATTTCTTGAAGGACTTGCACCTCACCACCAACCAATTGAACATTGGAAACACCATCAACTTGGTGTGTTTCTTATTCGCCGAGCTCCCTTCGCAGTTGATCTCCAAGAAGATCGGTGCTGACGTGTGGATCCCCATGCAAATGGTGCTCTGGAGCGTGGTCACCATGTCTCAGGGAGCGCTCAAGGATGTCCATGGCTTCTACGCTACCAGAGCATTTTTGGGTGCTTTGCAGGGCGGATTTATTTGTGACGTTTGCTTGTGGATGAGTTACTTCTACACCACCTCGGAAATGCCAGTCAGATTGGCATACTTCTACATTGCCAATCCCTTGTCGACGGTGTTGTCCAGTCTTTTGGCATTTGCATTGTTGCGGATCCGGACCCCAGCTGTCACTGAGGGCTGGAAGTGGTTGTTCATCATTGAAGGAGCGTTCACATTGTTGATTGGTGTGGCTGCGTTCTTCAAGATGCCTGCCTCGGCTGTGCAGACCAGGACCTGGTTCAGAAAGAAGGGCTGGTACACTGACAGAGAAGAAAAGATTGTGGTCAACAGGATTTTGAGAGACGACCCTACCAAGGGAGACATGCACAACAGAGAGCCTGTGGGTCCCAAGGAGTTGCTCAAAACGTTATTGGACTATGACTTGTTACCCATCTACATTATCAGAATTTTAAGTGATCTCTCAGCTAATCCAGTGGGTAAGTACATGCAAATTCTCTTGAGAACCATGGGGTTCACCACCTTCGAAACCAACGCCTTGACTATTCCCAACAACATCATTGCCATCTTCACCATGTTGGCCATGAGTTACATCTCGGTTTTCTTCAAGTCCAATGCCTTGGTCATGGCGAGCGTCCCGCTCTGGATCGTGGCATGCTTGATACCGCTAAGATACTGGCCTGGAGCCCAGGTCGAGAAATGGGGCACGTATGCCGCGTTGACAGTGCTATTGTCCCATCCTCCAACATGGGCAATTTCCATCAGTTGGTGTTCAGCCAACTCCAATTCGGTGAGAACTCGTGCTGTTTCCGCTGCTGTGGTCAATATCTTCTCTCAAGCCGCTGGTATCATTGGTTCCAATATCTACAGACAAGACGATGCTCCGTTGTACCACCGTGGTAATACGCAATTAATTGGCATTGCGTTCGGGGCGATCGGAACTTGTTTGCTTGCACGTTTCTACTATATCTTCAGAAACAAGCAGAAGGAAAAAGCATGGAACAAATTATCGGAAGAGGAACAGCGGGCTTATTCTCTTACGACCACTGATGAGGGCAACAAGAGGTTGGATTTCAAATTCGCCTACTAAGCGGACATATTGTTAACCATGATGGACTGCACCTGAAGCACCTGATAATTTAATGTCAAGTTCTTAGTTTCCAATCCATTAATTCTGAGATGTGAAATTATCTGTTTAATTCTTGCTACGAGATACGGATCGCCTAGTTGATGCTCTATTTGCTCGATTTTAGAAGTTTTTAGACGTGAATATATTCTTTATGAAGATCTAGAATCAAGAAGCTTGATTATGTTCAACAATTGTTGAATCCACTTCAAGTTTTAATTATTAGATTTGAATATAAGCCATGAAAAAGTTCACTCAGAAGGATTGGATGTATGTTCCCAGATCAAGACTTACTTCAGGGTTAGTAAACTGTCTATGATGAAAAATCTCAGAAGCTTGGATTATGTTCTATAAAACAATGTTCTATTAACACTGCTGAATTTATTTGAACCTGCTTCTGAATTAATAATTATGAAGAGCTGGATTGTGTCCAATGAACACCGTTGATTTATTAGATTTATATGAAGGTCTAACCATGGAGAATGTTCTCGGGTGTCTTTAATGTGTATGCTCTGTGAAGATTCGCTGCGAACCTCCAGCTATGATTTAAGTACAAGATAACGTCTATTTCTAGAACAATGCAAACCCTCTTTTAGCCCAGATGAGCTTCCATACGGCAACCACTAGCACCAAGCTGCACGCCATACTGACTCCCGTGACATTGAAGTATTCGCTCAAACAGCTTGCACCCCCATTCACGCAATTGGAGTCGATTTGTTTGCCGTAAAACAACGAGTATCCCACGGAACCAATGGCTGGAGCGACCATGAAAGAGCCCCAGGTGGAGCCCATCATGTCGATGCCCCAAATGGAAGCAACGATGGTAGGAAGAACAGTGAAAAGGCCTCCGTACGAGAATCCATTCAAGATGGATATAATGTAGTACCACTGCTCGTTGTCCTCGCTAATGTACATGTTGGCAACTTGGCCCACTGCTCCGACCACAAGCACTAGCACGATGAGCCACACACGGCAGATGGGGTAGGCCCTCTTGTCGGAGGAGATGTAGTCGGAAAGACCACCCAAAACCAAGCGACTGATGGTGGACGAGGTGGCGATGATGCTGACCTGGTTGGAGAGATCGGTATGGTAGGTGGAGTTCTTCAAAATGGACCCCAAGTTGACCTGGTAACTCTCCAAGGGTCCGAGGTTCAATGCAGTGGCTACCAACAAGATCCAGGCCGATTTGTCGTGCAAGAACTGGATGTAGCGCTGGTGGTGGTGCTGAGGCTCCACGAGCGATCTTTGGGGAAGCAACGAGTTGGAGTCGTCCTCATCGTCTGCCGCCAGGCTGACTAAGGGCGTGGTCTCGTCAGGCAGGCTGGGTGCCGCAAATAATACGTCCTGCTCCACGATGACGATGGAGTTCGATACGAAGTTGAGGATGCCCATGATGATGTAGAGAACGCCAAAGAAGTTGAACGCCTTGTGGAGGTCCAAGTAGCTGGAGCCGTCGTGCTTGAAGTAGGCCATTTTCATGAGCTGGGACCCAAATAATGACGACAATCCGTAGCAGGTGATGGGCAACGAAATGGCCAAGCCTTTGTGGTCAGGGTAGATTTTGGCACAGGTGATGACGCTGGCGAAGTAGAGCGACGACGTGGCCAATCCAATGAAGAAGAACGCTGTGGCAAAGCCATAGACGTAGCTGGACGGCACCTGGTCGTAGGACGAGCCAGGAAGCTGCTGGAGGCGTGCAACAAGCACGCTGTTGAAGAAGTAGCTGGGACAGAAAAACCAGATCAGCAACAACAGGAGCACGGCAGGTCCGTAGCAGTCTCCCAAGTACCCCAATCCAGGCAAGCACAAGTACATTCCAATGGACGACATGGCGGCTATGAAGTTGATCTGGAAGTAGGTGAGGCCCACGATCTCGTGCAACGCGGTGGAAAAGAGCGAAAAGAGCATGATGGAGCCCGCTGAGAGGCACGAGAGAAGCGAGATGGCAAAGGCGATCCGCTTGAGGTTGGCTAGCGAAAGGTGGAGGCTGGAGTAGCGTCTAATGTGGTGCGAGACCCTGTGGAGGAAGTTTGGGCGTGGAGGGCCTGCTGAGCTAGCAGGAGGCTTTGACGACATGGCAGGCGTGGATGGAGTGGCCTGGAGACGGCAGAGGCGGGTTTGGAGGGGTGGTGTGGAGAAGAAGGTGGTGATAAAGATGGAGAGGTTGGAATCAGTCACGGGCCAGGGCTCGCTGGACGATAACGAGCGGAACCGGGGGTCGTGTGGGGGGATATTCACTGGGCAGGCGAGAGGCTATACTATGAGATCATCTCTAGATGAGGGCAGAGTAGTCGGTCTCATTCTTTTAATAGATTTCACGGCCCTGGAATGGTGGAGAATGTCAGTCTTGTCAGTTTAAATTGTTATAATACGTCAAAAGGCTTGCAATTTAATGGCAGTATTGTCTACTAAAATTGTCCAGTGATAACTTTTTCGGTATAATAATCAGAGCCAGGATACCGTGCATCTGTGAGTCGGATACCAGTATTTTTAATTTTAGTTTTTAGTGTTATTTAAAGTCTAAATCTGGGTCCTCTGACATGGATGTTATTGCATCATTTTGGATTTGAAAATTACTATATGTTAATAGACGTAGCAATGCCTGCACCGTCCAGAATGTGAGTCAAAGAACTACTCAGTATCATTTTGCAATTCATTATAGAAGAATGTACTTGGTGCTGTGTTAGTAACGAGTGAATGTCTGCTGTGAACTGTCCCTAATTCCGAGAAAAAGCACTACTAAAAATTCTATACTGATTGACGCAACAGAAACTGTTTGTGAGGAGACTCCACACACAGTTATACGATTCGCACTTGAAGCCACTGTGCAACCATATTGTACTTGTAATATATGGAGTCCCTGAGTTACCGTAAGGAAAAGAGGGAAAGCACCCAACTTCTTGAAGGACTGTAAAAACATATCAAGACAGATGTTCAGAATAATACGAACTGATAGGATAATTCTTGAGTTTCGCAACCACTCGAAATTCCATCCGATTCCGTTAATACTATGCATGCTACAATACTCAACCACTCAAGCAATTCGAACTACTCGAACTATTGCTTCGATGCACATCAACTCCAATTCAACTAATCTACAACTTTTGCACATCTACTGATTTTATTTTCACAACTATTTTCTATTGTTTCCTGCACCGAAATGCACCGAACCCGCACCGGACCATCGGAAGATGCCACGTGACTGCGGACCCTGGCCCCGGCGGCCCCGCCGGCCCCCCGCGCCTACATGTAATCGTGCTCCGGCTGGCCGGTGGTATCTATTCGATATACTTTTCATCCCCTGAATCCACTACTACTGCTATAATTTCATTCCTGGTCTTCGCCTACTCAATGTAGCTAGCAAACTTCTCGATCTCGCCCTTGGAACCAAGCCAGATCCCCGACTTGTCGTGGATGCCCTTGGGCAATATGTCCAAGATCCGCTCGCCCTTGTCGTTGACGGCCTTTCCTCCCGCCTGTTCCATCAACATGGCCATGGGGAAACACTCGTACAAGATTCTCAACTTACCGTTCTTGCTCTTTGTGTCGGCAGGGTACGAGAAAATGCCTCCGTACAACAACGTTCTGTGGATGTCTGCCACCATGGATCCGATGTATCTGGCGCTGTAAGGCTTGCCGTTCAAGTCGTCTTGTGGCTTCTTCAAGTCCTCCACGTACCTCTTGACGTATTCCGGCCAGTAGTACGAGTTACCCTCGTTGACCGAGTAGATGGCTCTTCTGTCGGGAATGGTCAAGTTGGGCTGGGTCAAGATGAACTCACCCAACTGGGTGTCCAAGGTGAACCCGTTGACTCCGTATCCGGTGGTCAACATCAAGTGTGCCGATGCGCCGTACATGGTGTAGCCAGCAGCCACCATTTCGGTACCCTTTCTCAACACGTCGTTGATGGAACCCTTGGAGTCTTCTTTCAAGCGGTAGATGCCGAAAATGGTCCCCACGGACACACCGGCGTCGATGTTGGAGGATCCGTCGATGGGGTCAGTACACACAGCGTAACGACCTCCGCCTTCAAACACGATCAAGTCTTCCTGTTCCTCGGAAACCAACACCTTGACGTTGTTGGAGGACTTCATGGCGTTGATGAAGATCTCGTCTCCAATCACATCCAACTTCTTCTGCACATCACCAGTGGAGTTGGCGCTTCCGGAGATCCCAATCAAGTTGACCAATTCGGCACGGCGAATGTTGTGGGCAATGAATTTGAACGCAAACTGCAACGAGTTCAACAAGAGCGACAATTCGCCGGTGGCTGTGGGGGCAAACTTCTGCTGTTCTTCAAGAATGAAGCGTGTGAGGGTGACGATGTCGGTCTCGACGTTCATGGCTTCGGAAACGGAGTTGGCCATGATGAATGTGTGATTGTTGGCGGCTAACTGGGGGAGATAGTGGATATTTATAGGGAGGATGCGTACCCCATACTTTGCGCACCAGGCAGGAAAAAATGACCCGGGGAGTTCAGGAGGGAGCGCCGGGACATTGCTCCGTAGCGAGCATGAGATAACGGCGGGCCCCTGGCGCGGTGGTACGAGTCCGGCTGGGCGAAGGGGTGGTGGAGGGAGTGGGGTGAGGTGGCATGGCCGGTACACTTGGAGCAGACTACCAGTGGGAGTGGGAGTGGATACCAGTGGGAGTGGGAGTGGATACCAGTGGGAGTGGCACTGCCGGTGCTATCACTAGTGCACTGCCCCTAGCAGACTACCAGTAGCACTGGCGGGATTGTCACGGCTGGGTTGCACTGGCATGCCAGTTGCTGTCACTGTTTCCGCCAGTCGGCCCTCGCTGTCGGCTAGCGCGCCCCAGCTTTGGTTTCCCGCTACCTCCCGGCAGTGCGCGGTTGCGATTGCTGTAGTGGAGCGTTGAGGCTAGAGTGGAAGATTCACGTCCGGTGCTGCTGTTACTTCGCTTGCTGTCCCATGAGCCCGCATGGGGCTGAACCCATCAGCAATAGGCCAGTGGCATCGCCACCTGTGGTGCTTGATGGATTTTCCCTGCGGATGGCTTCCTCGGCTAGCGAGAAACACACCGCGACTGGCGCGACGTTTCCGGTTTCTCGCACAGGACGGCTTCACAATAGTTCCCCCAAGACTGGGCCGGAGATAAGCAGCTGTAGAAAAGTGGTGCATACGATCTGTGGTGTACAGCTGTTTATAATTGGGATTGGCTTGTAATTGCATCACAAAATATTGGAGGTGTCTAGGGATTAATCTCTAGAGGACAAGATAGTATCTACTAATAATGGATGATGATAATAATTGAGGAGGATCAACTAATAATAATTGAATCAACTACTAAATTCTCCACCACATAATTCACAACTGCTGATAAATTTCCACGATTATTTGATATCCAGGTAGTGAGGTTCAGTTACTTCTGATAAGTGATTATCAGCTACCTATTTGGTATCTGCTGCTACTATTTTTCCACCTCCAATAATTGCTTTTAGCCACCAATTGATTTTTCTTCTACTATATTTTTCTACAATAACTCGTTCCTTCATCTTGTACTTCTTGTGCGATGGCCAGTTACCTATTGTATATCTCCGTACCTTTCCACTAGATACGCCTAAAGTAGCCACACAGACATCCGATTCGCTAAGCGGCATCCAGGAGCCAATAGCAAGCGAGGCATGGAGGGAGTGGTCCGAGAGGTGGTAGTAAGGATGTTGGTTGGTTGCGTGGAGTTATGATGGCAGTTCCGGTGCAAATTCTCGCAACAGTTCCATTGAACATTCTCGTAAAGACATTCCAACTTCACCACGCGTAGTTACATTGCCACTATGGATACAAGGAGCAGAATTCGTGGATTCTATCGGTCAATTGGATCAAAATTGGCAATAGGTGGCATAATAAAGCGTCCAAAATTGCCATGACATAGCTACCATCCCAGAATCTCGCAAGGGTCCAGCTGTGGCCATTCGTGAAAGATCCAGACTGTATTAAAGTCAACCAGCCAGAAAAAACTGACATACCCGAAGCAATTCAAGACTCGCAAGCCACGAAAGATCCATACTATCTCTCCAGTTCCAGTCAACAAACACAGAGGTTTATTCAAGGCCAAACAGTATTAAATCCTAGACAAGGAGGTCCAGCGACGTCTAGCTCTAGACTAGAACTCCAATTTTCCTGCTCATCGCTCAAAAATCAATGACCATAGTCAACTCCAAGCACTGGACTGTTGAACCTCTTCAGCAGTTTTGACTCTTTCATTACCTCCATTGCCCAATCTCGTCCATACATCCCCCAACTCACACAGTGATATTGGCACTGCTACACCTCTCCTACTGTACCTTCGCCAACGACTTGTTCAACTCTGCCATCAAGTCCATGGCTGCCTCCTTGCGTGCAGGCTTGGTGGTCTTCCACTGCGACGACGCCTCCAACGACCGATAAGTCTTGATTGTCTCGCCTGCTTTGTCCTGCTTGGCTTCCTGGACGTGTGCATTGAAGGTGTCGGAAAGGTAGGCCAGGACTTCGCCAACGTTGTACTTATTCTCAGGCGCGGGTGGAGGCAGCGTCTTGGCGCTAGAGGCGAGCTTACTGGCCCAAGGAGTCGACATGGTGGTCTGGTGGTGTGTGATGGTTTCTAACGGGATAACGGTGTCTGACAGTTTTGTCTGACGTCTGCGGTGTCTAACGGTGACGGTTGTGTCTGCTGGTGTCCGGTGTCTGACACCCCGAGATAAGAGTGGACACGGGCCAACCTGCAGTCGCCCCAGACGCGACCCCCAACCTGCCTTCCCTGGTCCCCCCAACCTGCACCTGGCCCGACCTGCACCTGCCTAACCCGCAGTTTCTGAAAAGTTTTCGAACACGTCAATAGCTAACTCTACACATTATCCAACAGGACACCGCTGCAATTCTGATCTTCGTGCTTCTCCGGTACTACTTTCACTAGACAGAGCGTCTGCTACATCGTCGTTCCCCCATTCACTTCCCCATTCACTTCCCCATTCACTTCCCCATTCACTTCCCAACCACATCCCCAACCACCCACCATGAGTTTCCGTGTGCTTGACTTGGTCAAGCCATTTGCACCCTTCGTCCCCGAAGTCATTGCCCCCGAACGTAAGGTCTCGTTCCAGCAGAGAGTCATGTGGACTGGTGTCACCTTGTTGATTTTCTTGGTGATGTCTGAAATCCCTTTGTACGGTATTGCATCTTCTGATGGCAGTGATCCGTTGTTCTGGCTCAGAATGATGTTGGCCTCTAACAGAGGTACGTTGATGGAGTTGGGTATCTCTCCTATTGTGTCTGCAGGTATGGTGTTCCAGTTGTTGCAGGGTACCAAGTTGATCCACGTGGATATGCAGAACAAGACAGACAGAGACCAGTTCCAAACAGCCCAGAAGTTATTTGCCATCTTGTTGGCAGTTGGCCAGGCCACCGTGTACGTGTTGACCGGTATGTATGGACCTCCTTCGTCCTTGGGCGTTGGTGTGTGCTTGTTGTTGGTCTTGCAGTTGGTTTTCGCTGGCATTGTCGTGATTCTTCTCGATGAGTTGTTGCAGAAGGGTTACGGTTTGGGAAGCGGTATTTCGTTGTTCACTGCCACCAACGTGTGTGAACAAGTGTTCTGGAAGGCGTTTGCACCTACCACCGCCAACTACGGCAAAGGAACCGAATTTGAGGGTGCTGTCGTGGCCTTATTCCACTTGTTGGGCTCGCGTAAGGACAAGAAGAGAGCTTTGATCGAGGCCTTCTACAGAGGAAACTTGCCCAACATGTTGCAGTTGTTCGCCACCGTGTTCGTGTTCTTCTTGGTGGTCTACTTGCAAGGCTTCAGAGTGGAATTGCCTCTCAAGTCCACCAGACAAAGAGGTCCTTATGCCTTGTACCCCATCAGATTGTTCTACACCTCCAACATCCCCATCATGTTGCAGAGCGCATTGACTTCCAACGTTTTCATCATCTCGCAAATGTTGTTCATGAGATGGCCAAACAACGTCTTCGTCAAGCTCTTGGGTGGCTGGGACGCCAGACCGGGCCACGCTCAATTGTTTGCCGTCAGCGGATTGTCCTACTACATCCAGCCTCCATTGTCGTTCACCGAGGCGTTGTTGGACCCAATCAAGACTGTGATTTACATCGTGTTTGTCTTGGGTTCTTGTGCTCTTTTCTCCACCACCTGGATCGAAATCAGTGGCTCTTCTCCCAGAGACGTTGCTAAGCAATTCAAGGAACAAGGCTTGGTCATCGCTGGCCACAGAGACACCTCTGCCTACAGAGAGTTGAAGAAAATCATCCCTACTGCTGCTGCTTTCGGTGGTGCCACCATCGGTGCTCTCTCTGTCTTCTGTGACTTGGTGGGAACTTTAGGTTCCGGAACCTCCATCTTGTTAGCTGTGACCACCATCTACGGCTACTTCGAGTTGGCAGCCAAGGAAGGTGGCTTCGGCAAGTCTGTTGTTGCTGGCTTCTCCGATGGCATTTAGATCAGGATCTGTAAGACTAATAAAATATTGTAAGACCAGTGTAAGCATTTGGAATGGATTGACTGAGTAAACTACTAGAAAATGAATAATAAAACAATAGTATAATAGACCGGCTCCGAAAAATCATACTAGAAAGTGGATAGTTGCCGTGGCGGTATTTTGAGTGGTTATCAAGGAGTAAGTCAGTGCATAAAATGTTGTTATCCTGACCGCAACATCAGAGCATGAATACACAATCAAAAATGCTAATTGCCCACTCATCAAACTATGAAGAATTTGCCATATTCATACGCCACCTTCACATCTTTTTTAAGTATACTTACCGATTTTGTGAGAAAATGAACTGTAACTATCCAATGTCTATAGATGTGTCTTGAAAATATGGCCATTACAATGGAAACAGACGTACTCACACATAGCAAAAGTAACCAAAAATGCCAGCAAACAGACGAGATGCTTGTTTAATTAGAATAACAAGCTAATCTTCCACCAAGCCTATTTTATTAAATACGTTAGGCATTTTACTAACTTCAAGTTCGTATTTATTGTGTAAGGATAATTTAGATAAGTAAATCTCAATTTCGTGAATCGCTTTACTATTTTATAACATTCACATGATAATAATATGAGTATCAACTGTTAATAAACTGTGCCACCTTGAAAGATAGTGCTAAGAATGGGCAAAATGGCAAGAACTATTTTCAGGAAGCAATCGGAAATACCACTTCCTGTATTTCCGAGAATTTAGTGATAATTCCACAAAAAAGCTGCAATAGATGAATAAACTCCATAAAAATCCGATACTCCTAGGCAAAACAACCAAAATTATAATTATAAGTAATGAAATCTACCTGTGAATATCGTCTCGTTCTAAGATCAGCTTAATCCCTTTCTAGTCGCTATCATCACCTTTCAAATCCCCCAAAAGGTTCGCACCCACTAAAAGTCTCAAATCTGTTTCTGCCACTAAATCGTAACCATCATGCCTTTAAATCCTCAGAACACCACTGAAAATTGTAGAAATTCCGTTCAAGCCCACAAACACACACATCCAACGACATCTGCCGTCTAATAAGTCCTTCCACCCAGCTTCCCTGCCATCTGACCCGAAATGTCTCCTCTTCTCTGCCAAACCACGCACCTGCACACAGGCTCATCTCAAAAAATTCATATCTCCTTATCCCAACCAGCTATAACTAACATCATGACTCCCCACAAATTTACCACCGAGCCCATAGTGGAGACCAGCGAGACAGAGTCGTTCTCTTCCGAGCAGAGCAAGCGAAAGGCCGAAGGCTCAGGCCAAACATCGCCAGAAATGGACCCTCAGGACGACATTTCGTTGGATGCCCTCTTCGGAGAGCTCAGCAAAGAAACCAAAAAGAACCTTGGCCAGGTGCTAGAGGAGGACGAGAGTGAAGACGAAGAAGAGAGTAGCGAGTTTTCCAAGATAAAAAAGTCCATCGAAGCGTTGCCCAAGATCGAATCGAACTTGGAGAAGAACATACAAGATCAGGTGCAAAACCAGAAAGCCAAGAAGAAGGACGTGGTCAGAATCAACGATCCTATCGTGGCCAAGGTCAAAGTCAACAAGGACGAGCCTACGGATGCTGGAGCCAAGTGGTACAACATGAAGCAGCCTGAGATGACCCCCGAGTTGAAGAGAGACTTGTTGATCATCAAACACAGAAGCGCATTGGACCCAAAGAGACACTACAAAAAGGACAAGTGGGAGGTGCCCAAGTACTTCCAGGTGGGAACCATCATCGAAGGCAACACCGAGTTCTATTCGGGTAGAATGAACAGAAGAGACAGAGGAAACACCTTGGTGGAAGAGGTGTTGAAGGACGACGAGACCAACAAGTACTTTAAAAGAAAGTACTCTGAGATCCAGGACAGCAAGAGAAGCGGCAAGAAGGGTTACTACAAGAAGGTGCTCGAAAAGAGGCGGAAGTTTTAGGACAGCATCCATAATGCATGATACAATTTTAATTGCATTCATTTCTGGAATAAAAAGTGTTATTAAATGAATTTTATTCCCTTATAAATTCACCGGAGTTTTGGTAAAGCGACCTCCATAATGCATATAGTAATGAGCACATTATTCTATCGATATCTAGAAGTTGGAAGAGATCTCAACTTCAATGTAGGAAGAACGTAGTTTGCAATCTGATTGCCAGGGCGGAAATAATATGGAATAAAATTCAAAAAGTAGTGGTTCTGAAAGTGCTAAAGCTATTCCGTTCGTCTTAGGTAAGATGTGCAAAGAAGTGCAATGATAAAAGAACAGCTTAGCAGCATGGAAGAAGGTGGTTGCTTTTCAGAGTTCGTAGCATATGTTACATTGACTTACAATTGGTTTCGGGTAGCTCCAGTGGAAAATCAACTATAATATTAACTTTAATATTCTATGAATTTTTGAGTCACATATTGAAATGTATTATAAGTATATACTAATATATTTATCCTTCTCTGGGAAAAATGATCCAGATAATATCAAAGATTAGATCCAGTGAAGTGTTTAGATTTGAACAATATACTTTACCCTTTTCTCAAACGAAATGTGGAAACTTTGGTCAAAATATTCTTCATAACGAACAATGTCCATAAACGTTTGGACAGGAAAATTCAGTAACGTCTCATCAGAATAGAGCAGATTACAGTCAATAGACACCCAGAAGTATTTTCGTTTGATACTGGAAAATATCGCTTCGTTATGCAGTCACAATTCATCTTAATGTGACTTGAGAACACGCATTAGCACATTTTACTCCTATAGTTCAACGTTTAAATAATTATTAATTTATACTTATATTTAATAGATTTTGATACATACACCCTAGAAACCGGATAGGTGACGAGTCTGTGACTCAGAAGTGAAAAAATATACTCATAAATACCATGAAAAGAAGTGAAGAAGGAATGCATAAGTGAGGTATCGGCAGGCGGCCAGCACGCTGGACGGAGGAGCTCACTCCTCCAAGCCTGCTCTCTTGAACACATCCAGCCTTACTTGCTCCCACAATCTGGTTTTGTCGCTTTTTGGTAGCTTGATCTTTTTGGTGCTGATCGAGGCAGGATCGGCTGCGGATTCCTTCAAAAGCTGTTCCTTGATTTCCTTCTTGAGGGCGTCTGACTTCTGCTTGTACTCGTGGGCCGTGGTGGCTGCGGCAGCCAAGTTAATCAAGTAGTTTCGGATGGCGATTTCCTTGAACTTGAACTTCAAAAACGTTTGGTTGTCGATGGAGGTGATGGCGTTGTTCTTCTTGGTGGTGTCGTTGATCTGGAGGAGTCTCGATTGCTTGACCGAGATCTCAGCTACCGACTTCTTGAACGTGGCATCGAGGTTGTGCTCCTGGTAGAGGTTGGACGAGAAAAGCGTGTAGATGAGCTCCTTGTCGGTGATGTGAGGCTGGATCAACACGATGTGACACAACTGGGCAAGATCACCCACGAGCTGGGGCAACGCACTCTGCGAGTATTGGTAGTTGGGAGCAGACGTGATCATGGGCAACTGCACCAAGATGAGCTTGCATCTGGTGACGTTCAAGTTCCAGTCGATAAGCGACTCTGGAACGTTCTGGTACTGCAAGTCGGAGCCTAAGCAGATCTTGTAGAGCTCCTCGTCATCCAAGTCGTCGTAGTAGGCACCCAATTGCTGGTACTGCTGGTGTTGTTGCTGCTGTTTCTTCTGGAGAGCCTTGTCGAGGAAATAATTCTCGTGCAATACGATGTCGTTGACGAGCTGCTCCACCGTGGTCGATACAGGCACCGCATCTTCGGGAATGGTGGCTGTGGAGCTCGAGTAGACGGAGGGAGCAGACCGCACGGACCGTTTTCCCGAAAACGATGAGAAAATCGACGACGTCAGGCTTCTGTAGCCCAGAGGCGACTTGTTGAACTGCGAGGGTGCGGATCGCACCGACGTGGCTGACGAGCTGACCAGTCCTAGCGGAGGGAGCTGCTGGTAGATGGCATTTCTGGCGGAGTCTTTGAAATGGGAGGGCGCCTGGGGGCCGTTTGAGCGGGAAAAAGGGGTTCCAAACATGGCGAAGAGGGCGAGGAGGCAGCGAAGACTTGGTGGGACGAGTTTGGTGGGCTTTGGGAGCCTTTGGGGGACTGTTTTGGACGGACTCTGGATGTCTTCAGTGGGACAACTTTGGGGGACAAAAACACACTCAAATCACACGGGGAAAGCTCGGAACGTCGGGAGCTAGCAGAGGGACTCTGGGGAACCGTGGCCTGGGAACTGGACGGCGGCGTGGGGCTGGATCCGTGAGTAGGCCAGGAAGAATGGGTGGTGGAGGCACCAAATGCCCACAGGAGGAAATCCAATAGGAGAGGGTGAGGCCTCACGTGATCGGAAGTGGGTGCGACAAATTATCAACCGGAAGATGAGCCAGTGGATCATTTCCGGAAGATCCCCCTTGGGGTGGGTGGGGGCAGTACGGCTCACTGCTGCGGCACGGGTGCTGTTTCTGGCGTCCAGGCGCCAGCGGGAGAACTGCCAGTGCCGTGCCGGAGCCGGCACGACTCGGGAGATCCTCCGAAGCGGGGGTTACCGCTTGAGGACGGTTTTTCCTGGCCTCGTATGTGACTTTGTGGCACTGGGATGTTTTCCCGGCGACGTTGGGCGAGGCGGGGGAATATGACCGGGGAATTGGGGCGCGGGGGCCCGCGGGGTTGGAGGCGGAACCGTTGCCGGATTGGGCTCGGGAAAACTGGGATTGCGCCGTCGGAAAAATAGTTTTGCGGGTGTGGGGGTGTCACGTGGAAACAACTGGTATCGCCGATCCAACATCACGTGATCTGTCACGTGTGATATTTATTTCGTATCACGTTTTTACACCGGGTTCGAAACGTGACCAGTCACGTTCCGGAGCCCAACTTCCCACGTGACTCGTTACATGCCCTCTTCGAAAATTTCACCAATAACATCCCTGGCCACCAATGTCCTTGGAAGAAATCATCTCAGAGGACTTCGGCTTCAAAGTCTCGCCTGACTCGGCTGACGATGGCCGCCCCATCTTTGCATCCGGAGTCAATCTCGACGAATACAGCATCGACGACCTCCATCTCCTCGATATCGCCAACTCCTCTGGTTATGTCGTCATCTCCAATGGATCCTCCATCAAATTGGACAAGGTCGCCAAATTGGACTCCGAATTCACTCCAGAAACTCTCCACGAATTGCTGGTTCTGCCTGACTCCCATATCACCCAAGTGTACTTTAATAGTTTGGGAAACGAAGTGTACATCATCAACAACTCCAAGCTTCAATGGATGAAGCTCGAAGGCAGCCTCAGCACGCATCCCTCGACCACAGCATTGGAGATCAAAGCCATTGCACCTTCTCAGTCGAACAGCATAGCCTTGTTGACCACCAGTGATGAGTTGTATGTCCTCCAGGGATCGCAATTGACCCAAATATCCTCGGAAGTAGCACGCTTTGCGTGGTCTCACTCGGGAAAAATCCACTTCACGAAGCGTGGATCATTGCATATCCAGTCAGAGCACGGTGAAACCGTTCCTTTCGACGCGTCTGTCGAGGAAAGCGAGGATTTGAACAATTATAACTCGGTATTCATCAAAGAATTGGCTCCCGATGCCTGGCTTTCCGTTTACGAGTCAAATGACTCGGAATTGGACGACCATATCATCAAATCCTTCGTGATACACAAAAAAAATGGCCAGTATATCACCAGCCAAACCGATATTGCCGATCCTTTCGGAGGGGTTGCTCGTGCCATCTCCTATTACACTCCACGTTTGGACAACTGGATCGAGGACCAATCAGTACATTTTATAACTTCCTCCTTGGTGTCTGATTGGGGAGCATTTAGCATCAAGGGTGGCGAAATTGCGACCATATCTCCCGCTGAGGATACTTCCAGAGCCACTTTTCCGCTTGATGAAGAAACCTCTGATGATTTGACCTCCGTCGGTGCTGCCATTGACCTTACCAGGAGCGACACCATTGTGGATAATCCCTGTCCAGGAGTGGAAGAGTACAAAGGATTGCCCAAATTATACACCTTGTTGAACAACGGTAAGCTTATAAGTTGGTGGATAATAGACAAACAGGCGCTTCAGAACCAATCAGCAGACTTGGCTAGAGCGTTGAAATCATCTTCAGGAACTAATAGCCTCACCAACCTTCCAGGTTCGAGTTTTAATGCAGATAATTCGGCTCCGGACTCGAAAGACAATTTCAAAAAAGTAGGAGCCTTTGGGTCATTTGGTACAACCCCTTCTGAAAACCCATTCGGCTCGTCGACATCAGACAATCCATTTGGGTCGTCGACCTCTAATGTATTCAAACAGATCCCAAGTTCAGAAAAGAACGAACCAGCATCGAACAAAGAAATTCCTGCCCTGGCCCTAGCTTCCAGTGGACCCCAATTGTCGAACAATTTAACTTCTGGCCAGGGCTTTGGCCAGTCGTCATTTGGCCAGCCCAGCTTTGGACAAACCATGTTTGGGCAAAGCAACCTGAACAAGCCAAAAAATTCAGGTCCAATCATTACGTCCAATTTCGGCCAGTATGGTAACTCGTCAGACGTATCACAAGTGAAGAACCAAGGAAGTTCGCCCTTTGCTTCTGTTCAAAACACAGCCTCCCCATTTGGCTCTGTACAAAAGACCGATTCGCCGTTTGGTTCTGTGCAAAATACGGCTTCTCCAGTTGGTTCTGTTAAANACAAAGCTTCACCATTCGGTTCTGTTCAAGACAAAGCTTCACCATTTGGTTCCGCGCAAAAGACAGACTCGCCATTTGGTTCTGATAAAAACAAAGCTTCACCATTCGGTTCTGTTCAAGACAAAGCTTCACCATTTGGTTCCGCGCAAAAGACAGACTCGCCATTTGGTTCTCAAAATACGGCTTCTCCACTTGGTTCTGGCCAGAACACAGCCTCTCCATTTGCAAGCTTACTGAATCCAAGACCTAGTCTGAATGAATCAAAGCCATCACCACAAGCTGTGATACTGCCAAAGCCTGAAATAGAACTGGAAAAACCACCAGCTTTGTCTATGAGCAATTTGGGAATCTCAGTTCCTGCAAAAAAGCCTGAATCGGCTGCATCGAAAACTTCGAGTTCACCTTTTGGAGCCTTGCTGGACAACACAAAATCACCATTTGGCCAGTTGAAGCTTGAGCCTGGGGCCCCATTGGAAAAATTGAATGATAAGCCAGCATCTCCTTCCTTCGGCTTGAACATCAAACCAGCTGCCATAGTGAATCAGGCAAAGAACACATCGACACCATTGTTTGAAAAAAAACAGTCCTATTCGAATTTGCTGGCTGAAAAAGCTAAAGCACCTCTTTTGCAACAAACAGGGAAACCTAGTTTCAGTCTTGCGACTTCAAGTTCAAACACAGTGAACACTGTAACTGAGGAAGAGTCCGGCAATAAAGAGCAGGACGATGCTGAGTCCATCGTCAGCAATTTAGACGATTCAGAGGGTTCCGAGGAAGAATACTCAGAGGATACTAGTAAGTCTTATGTGGAGGTTGAGGGAGAAGACGAAAGTGGTCTGGAGGAAAGCTTTGTGGATTTGAAAGAATTGCCCCAGAAGAAAGCCAGCCAGAAGCGTCTTAGTGACGAAGAGATCGTGGAGAGACAAATCAAGGCCCTTGAATCCCATGGAATATTCAAGCAGAAGGACCTCAAGGTGTTTTCAGGGCTCACTGAGCAGGTAAAGACTGGAAACGCTATCAGGGATTCTATATTGAACATCATAAATGAGACAGATGGCCAGTTTGCAGTCGTCAAGAATAATTTGTCGGTGTTGAAGCACCAAATCGAGTTTCAGGCAGCGGAAGATGGCGTGCATTTGGATTCTCCAGAAACATTGAAGCATGCCCAGCATTGGAGGCTTGCACAGACACCAGATTTGGCGGAAATGACTAGAAAAATTGCTGTAGAGGCTGCCGAATACTTTCAACTGGTTGCCAACAATGATAAGGAAATTGCTGCGATTGTGGAAAGAATCAAAAAGGCCCAGTCGGACAGAATTGCCATCGACAAGTTGTTTGGACAGGTCCAAGCCCTCGCAAGCTTTGCCAGCAACAAGAACGTCCTTGAACGGTCGTTAGATCTTCCCAGCGAGAACTTGCAGGCCAGCTTGCGCAAGAAGTTGCAACGAGTCAGGGCTCTCGAGAGCGAGCTTCTCACCAAAATGGCTCCGTTGAAGACCAAATCGATGTTGCGGGAGGATGTGGTCAAGAACTTGGAGAAGGCAGTTTATGAGGTGAATCAACAAACCAAAGACCGGGTGGGTGAGGTCGAGCAGTTGCTTGTTCGCGTGGAAGGTTTGGACTTGGATTCCAGCACCAAGACAGTGGCCATTAGAGAGGCACTGACACGGAATACGACCGTGGCCTTGAGAAAATGGCACAAGGGCCGTAGCATGAGTGCTCGAGCAGGTGTTTTCGTTGCACAGGAGCTCCCATAACCCATCCAAAGTACGTTCCGACAAGACTGTGTTTAACCATTGACTTCAATGCAGGGAAAATCATCCCAAATTTTGCTATGAGTATGATTCAACAACTATTAATCCAATCTATTTTCCACGACTGTTCAACGACCAGGCTAAAATTATCGTCCAGAAAGGATCTATAATTAAATCGACGAAGATCCCATTTTGTCCTCTACGAGCGTCCATTGCAGGCCATTGAGTCTTCCTTCTAGACATTTGGTTGCGGCTGACTAGAACTGAATGGAGAGAATTAAGTCGTTGGGATAAATCCACTTCTACTCTGGAACACCCATACCTTCTGTTCCAGCGTTCAGTCGCTACTCACTCGCGACAAGGGAATACTACTCCATAAGGTACTTCTAGTAAATATATAAATATACCCGTTCTTCATGTACTTCTTCATAATTCCCCTCCATCGGAATACAAATCATAAATGTCAGTGCTTGGTATAGTATCACGTTCACGAGGATGTGACATCGATTCTTTGACGAGAAGGGTCGTTTTTGGAGTATTTCCAGGTGGGAGAGGGGCACCAAGATTTCCACAAATAGGCTTCGGATGATATTGCAAATAATATTACCAAGATGGCAAGTATCCCTTTTCTAATCCATCTTCTCAAAAACCCATACTTCACACGTACTACTTCATAGTCCCATTCTTCATAAACACCCATACTTCACACGTAATACATACATATAACCATCCTTCTAGCAATACACATACTTCACATGTAACACGCATATTTCACCATAAACCGTCACCACCATCACCACCACCTCTCGCCATACCACGCTGCTCTCCAGAAGCTTCCCTCCCTAGCTTCCCCCAGGCCTCCCTAGGCCTCCCCAGGCTCACACCAGATCGCCTCGCTCCATTGGCTGCCAACGCTATTTACGCGCTAGACGAGCAAAACGTAAACATCCACAACCTACCATGGCAGACTATATCGACACCAAAGTGGTGGTGCCAGGGACCAGAGGCCACGGGATCCTCCGGTACTACGGTGCCATCAGGGGCAAGAACGGAGTGTTTGCTGGAATAGAATTGATTGGGCCTACGGCTGCCACCAGAGGAAAGAACTCGGGAGACGTGGAGGGCATCCAGTACTTCAGAGTAGAAATCCCACTGACGGGACTCTTTCTCCCCATCGACAGGCTTGCTGCCGTCAACCCACACCTCGTGGGGCTTGCGCTGGCACCTCCATCCAGCAGGAACAGCATTTCCAGCATGCCCAGCATGGCCAGCTCCACGGCAAATCACAGTGTAGCCGCCAGCAACTACACCACCTCCACCAACGGCAGTTTTGGCACGTCGGGATCTGCCACCAGCAAGCGATCGTCCATCGGATCCAGGCTCTCTGCCAGCATGAAGGGCGTGTTGAGCCCCTCGGGGTTCGTCAACCAGTCCATGCCATTGCCCAAGCAAAGAGACAGGCGGAACGTGTCGGGAACCCGAGATCACAGTCAGAGAGATAGCCCCTTGGAGCTCATTGAGCTCAAAAACATCCATTCCAAGCTAGTCCTCGAAATGCAGGAGAAAACCGCTATCTTGAACGAGCTCAGGGCCACTGTGGACGAGATCCAGCCCTTGCTTCAGGACTATGAGGTCCAGCTAAGCGAAAAGGATAAGAAAATGACAAAGCAAAAGGCTGACTTCGAGAGAGCCAGAGAAGAATGGAGAGAAAGCATCGACTTGATGTCCATCGCCCACCAAGAAAACGAGGCCTACTACGAAAAACAGGTAGACTTAATTAATGAGAAATTGTTAGCTTTGGCTAAGGAATCCGAGGAAGCGGCGCAGTTGAAGCTTGCAGGTGATGAGGAAATAGCAAAGTTGATGCTTCAAATCGACGACTTGAAAATGGAAATCATCATGGCCGAAAAGAAGACCCTGGTTCAACTCGAAGGCAAGGATATAGAAATACGAATCTTGAGAGAAAAATTGGCATCCCAAGAGACAAATGTACCCATCGAGAACACCCAAGAAAAAGAACTATATGAAAATAAAGCCAAACAATTGGAAGGTGAGATGGACAGCTTGAAACTTGAAAACAAGAAGCATCAAGATCAAATCAAGCAGTTAGAAGCTCAACTTGCTCAAAAAGACAATAAATTGAAAACAATTGAGGCACAATTGGCCACACTCGAATCCAAATCAAATGCCAAGGACACCGAGTTGGCAGATATCGAAGCTAAGCTTGCTTACAAGGAGGCAGAATTAGACTCCATTATAGAAAAGAACTTGGTAGAACGGGTGCAAACCGTGAGCATCGAAGGGGAGGATTCGTTGCAAAAGAAAGTACAGCAGCTCGAGGAGCAAATCAAGCAGCAACGCGACTTGGAAGGCACTGTGGACGAGTTGAAACATGAGTTGAGTATAAGACCAACCTTCAACGAACTTGTGGATCTCCAGACATCGTTGGACGAGCTTGAAACTCTCCACAAGAAGGAATTGGATTCAACCGAGCAGGAGTTGAGACGGGTGATTGGCGAGAACAAAGACCTCCAAAAGAAACTTGAGCAGGTGCTCACGGAACAAGTGGAGAATGCCAAGAAGGAGATAAGCGATAGAGAGTTGGAAAAGAGCTTGGGAGACGAGGAGGAGTCTCTGGCCCTTCCAATCTACAGCCCAGGTAAGGTTGACCCCAGTGCCGGCAAAAACGACTGGTGTGGTCTCTGTGAAAGAGACGGCCATAGCAGTATCAACTGCCCTTATGAAAACGACATCTTCTAGGATGGTTGCTGCACGCGATTTTGCAACCCAACATTGGCACGTGAGCTGACCTGCCTGTGATATTTCTCGAAGTGCATCTGATAATGCCTGTAATTGAACTACTTAATATATACCCACCAGAGTACTCCGGACCCACCGGCTCTGCAATTAAGCCTACTATGCCTCACGAAATAATCCTCGAAAACGGTCCACTAGCGTTCACCACTCTCAGTAACCACTCGGCTGCTGACGTATTCACCACCACCAGCCGGAAATGGAACCGAGTGGTGCTTCTACTTCACGGATTTCCCGACGACCACACCACCTTCCAGCCCATTTGGCAGAAGCTCCTTGATGCATTCGATGGCTCCAAAGTGTTGCTTTTGGCTCCAAAAATGAGAGGCTACGAGCGGTCCAGCCAGCCCTCTCCACCTGCTTACTCGCTCAAAGACATTGCGGGGGACGTTAGGTCATGGATCATTAGTCTCAATGCGTCCAGCGTCCCCGTACACATCATTGGCCACGATTGGGGAGCCGTGGTGTCCTATGAGACTGCCACGTTATATCCCGATCTCGTGTCATCCATGGCATGTCTTGCCATTCCATTCGTCAGAGGCATCAAGCCCTGGACACTTGTGGGTGCTGCACCCAGCCAGCTTTGGTTGTCGTCTTACATGGTCAGAATGCAATTACCCTTGTTCTATTTGTCCAGGCTCCAGGAGACAGGAGATGACAGCTATTTGGACTACTTGTGGAAAACTTGGTCCCCCACCTGGAAATACTCTAAGAACGACATTGCCCGCCTAAAGGCTGCTTTTGCAGACGAAAAAGTCGTACATTCTACCACCGCCTACTACCGTGGAATCGCGGATCCCAGAAACGTAAAGCAGTTGCGCTTTGACATCAACTTTCAAAAGGTGCCCACCCTTGTATTGGGGGGACAGGTGGACGGATGTATGTCCCGGGGCTTATTTGATGTTTCCAGACAACACTTTGCACACATTCCGAACCTTCGCATAGAAGTGGTGCCTGGAGTGGGGCATTTCATGCACAGAGAAGACCCCGAAGCAATTAGTGGTTTGTTGATCGAGTGGTTCCAGAAGCACCAAACTCCAAACTGAGATACTAATAGGAAGCTACCAGGATACGAAGGCCATGCCAGTATCTCCGTCTTAACAGCGCACGGAGTACTGGGCCCGTGGACTTTGAATGCCGACGATCATTCGATCGTCGATGTAATTAGGCAAACGGTTATGAATTATGCTACATATATGAAAAGCAACTGACTATACTCACGCTGACGATCCACCTACATGTAAAGCGTGTTGATCATCAAGATTTTTTAGTAGGGCCGTAGCCAATTTCATAGTCTGCCGACAGGTACATCTCGGGAATTAGCACTATTTCGTATTTTTTGGCCAAAAAATCCAAAAGCCGAGATGAATTCGATTTTATTAGATGCCTATATTTTTCCACCGTGCTTACTTAATATTATTCTGCGTCAATAGACAAGCATTATTTTTAGTACCACATTTACATAATACATGAAATCCATCCGAATTATCTGCAAAAATCTGTGCGTTTACTGTTGATTCTATTAAAAACTATTTTAACTAGCTAGTTACGGGTCGGGTGCCGTACTTTTGCTGCCGATTCCGAAACCTGTCGTGTTCGCTTTTTGCTCTATTCCTCATCGTCTTCCTCATCGCCCTCAAACTTCAAAACTTCACCTTCCTCTTCCTCTTCCTCGTCTTCATCGTTCTCACCATTGACGTAGATCAAGTCCTTCTCCTGGTCCTCGCGATCCAATTGAATCTGGGTCTCGTTTTCGATCTCGCTATCTTCGTCCATGTCTTGGACCCCATCAGCTATGTTCTTTCTCAATTGAGCTTGAGACTTAAGCAATTGTAATCTTCCTTGCAATGCCAACAAATGTGGCATCAACTTCATGCCATTAGTCAATCCTGTGTGAAGAGACTTCAAGTTTTCGTGCTGTTCGGGCTCTCTGCCAATAGCACCACCGTGGATTAAAAGAATCCACTTCAACCATACAGACAACGATGACTTCCTAGATGGACAGAGACCAATTTCCTTGCTGATCACTGCAAACAAATAGTTAAGCAACACGTTGGAGTTGTGTTCGCTAGACAACGATTTTATCGTTTCCTTGATATCTCCTTCGTTGTTGTTAGTCGAACACAACTGAATGATCTTCTGTTCGTCCTTGGCACCAATTAATTCCACCAATGCATCGTAGAGCTCGCCTGACTCCAAATTGTTGATCTGTACCTCTTCTGGAATGCTTAAAATACCTTCTTCCTTGGCATCTCTCACAGAGGGAACCAGATAGTCAACAGGGACCTGGATCTCTCCAATGGACTTGAATTTCCAATCAATGATGGTGAACTTGGGCTCGTTTGCGTTAAACCATATACCCACGAGCTCGGAGCTGACGGTGTAGACGACATTTGTGAATAAAATACTGTTTTCGTGGAATGTGGTGATAATGAGACTGGATGGGGTTTCGTCGGTTTGAGTGGAGTCGGCATCAATGTTGAATACCTGAATACCCTCAGTAGTCAATGCCATAACAACTTCCTGTTGGCCCTCGGAAATGACTTGTAAGTTGAGGATGGTAGATGAGGTGGAACAGCTGAATGAACTGACCTCTTCGGTATTTTTGAGGTCGTAGGAAATAATTTGGGTGCCCTTGGATACATAGATCTTTTCACTGTTCAAAGTGGACTGTCTTATGAATTTGACTGGCGAGTCGTTGTGCTTTGGGAGGGTCAAGATTTTGTTCTTCTTGGTTTTAGAAATGTCGACTAAGTGGAGTTCTGAAGTCCCGAATAGCACAGGGACTGTGTTCTTGTTTGCACCAGTTCCGTTGAATTTAATTGCCTGTGCAGAGGAGATGGTTTGCTTGCCATCGGAAAATGTGGAGACCTTGTTGATACGGTTCTGCTCGGTAGAAATGGAATAAACCACCCCTTCGGACGAGTACGCCCAGATGGAGCCCTGGTGGCTTATCAAGCCTGCCAACTTGGTGGTGTTGGAAATTCTGTGGGTGGGCTTGTCGGTGTGTGGAGTGAATATTAAGATGTCACCTTGCACCAATAACACTGCCAAGGTGGTGGTGGGTGCGATGGTGGATGCTACTTCTTCGCCTGACTGTTTCCTCTTGGATCTCTTTTTAGGGGTTTCTTCTGGCGATGCTTCGATATGGACCCATACCGAGTCAATGATGCTTTCTTCGGCCTGGAGCTCGATTCTGGTGATGGAGGAGTCTCCCGTGAGACCGGACTTGCCGTTCACGGCATAGATCTGAACCTCGTTTCTTCCATTCTTGGAGATGATGTTGGAGATGTACGAACCACTGGGGTCTATGGTGGTTTTGGGTGATCCAGACATCTTGGTGGTGTAGTGAAGAGATGAGGTTTGATTTTTGAAAATTTCGCACCATCCGATGGGCACGACCAAAGCGTGGAGGTGAGCCAAAATGGCGATGGATCGAAGATTTGGGAGCCGCGATGAGGCTGCAGTGGTGATGCCGATGAGAGGATGGTTGGAGATGGGCAGTGAAGGTCTAGAGCGGGCGTAAAGAGAAGTCTGCAAACCATCCAATTTTTCACCAAAAAATTAATTTCGAATCATCGCGGACCGAACCGATTCCGGTCCAGTTACAGTTGTAGCTACAGTTGCAAGCTCTGGAGGAGTTGTACTCGTAAGTAGCCATTAGCCGAAATGGCAATAGCAGAGGTAGTTCTAGAATGATCTTGCCAAGTCATTTCGCGTAGTTTAACTCAGTAAATTTGCGAGGGGTAAAGCTTAAATTGCGAAAGTGATGGCTATTGGTCAAATGTTTCAAGTCAACATTTATTAATTACATGCCATGCAAGCATTCCAAACCATCGGACGTCAAAATAGGATTTTAGGGTATTTTATAGCAGTTTTGCAGTTGTTAAAATAGTTAAAATCGAGAAGGTCAGTTACTACAAATAAATGTCATTCCCATTTTAAGCAATCAAGTCGGTTCGATTTGCCTTCCTCTGGACGGAACCCCATTTGGCGCTAACGAAGTTGGAAACCACATACATCCGCTCAAATAGTCAAAATTTTAACGATTTTAGTGTGGAAGAGCCCACATTGGAAGTAAAATAATGCTATTTACATTGTAACAGCAACTAGCTTCAGCCCTGCAATCTGACTAACATTTAAAATAATTTAACTTTCCAAGAATTATGGATGATTAATAGAACTATGTGGCTCATTTCCTTTCTTGAAGCTCAATCATTTGTTGTACTTGTAATTTACAAAGGTCCTTCAAATCCACAATATCGGCTCTCAATTCCTCTACTTGTTCTGATTTTTCTCCAATCAATTCTAGCATTGTTTGCTCATTTACGTCCTTCTTGGTCAACTCTTCTTGTAATTCTTCGATCCGGGCTTTCAAATCGTCAACATCACTGGAAAGCTTAAGCTTACTCAATAATTCTCTCTCAGTAGACTCTTTGTCAAGAACTAATTGAGCATTCTCGTCCTTCAAGGTATTCAATTCAATTTCGAGTCTTCTAATATTGGAACTCATCTTGTTAATTAATTGAATTTTGCTGTTATTCATACCTGTGGGTATAGTACCGACTACGCTTCCGTGATTGAAAGAACTGCTGTGGTTTCTGAAGCTGTAGGCATCATTATTATCGTAGCTTTCGTCTCCATCATTGAATGATGTCAGCGAATCGTTGTGGTTCATGAATAAGTTGGATGAGTTTACGTTAGGAGTCAATGATGATTCACCAAGTCTGATCTCGTTCCAGTTATTTCCATGGTACGACAATGGAGTTTCAGGAATACTGGTAGAGGACAATTCTCTTAATGGGAATTTCGGTGGGTCAATATTTATGTGCAACCCGGACTCCCCGATTCTTTTTAATGATATAGGATCTTCGGGATTGTTATTCGAACCCGGCTCGTCTTGAGATTTCAATTTATCAAGACTTTGTTGTAGGCCGGTAATCTTAGCATTGAGATTACTCCTTTCTGTAGCATATATCTGCTTCAATTTTTCAGACTTATCTTGTAACTCTGCTAGATCTGAAACCTTGAGGTTAATGGATAGTTTCAATTCTTCATTTTCGTCCCTTAAGGCTTCAAACTTTTGGCTCAACGACTCCAAATCTTCAGCTTTGGATGCCAAACTTTCGCTCAATTCCTTCATATCTTGGTTGACCTTAGTTTTTGATTTTTTCATGAGGTCTATTGATGCAGTTAAATTGTCTATTTTATTCAAAAGATTGGATTCGATTAGGTTCCAGTTCTCTTGAGATGACAAATATTGTTGTTGGAGGGTTTGATGATTATTCGACAATTTTCTAAATTCTTGATAATCAATAGTTTGATTTCCAGACCCAGGATCCTCAGGCTGACTAGATCTTCTTATGGTTGAATCATTGGAGTTATTAGAGTACTCGATCTCTAATCTCAATGCTTCAATCTTGCTTTCTAATCTGGTCACTTCATCCAAATTCTCCTGCTTCAATGAAGTAATCTCTTGCTTGAGTTCGCTATTGAGTTGATTCTTTGAGTCTATCTCGAGATTTAATTGTCTTTTACTCATCTCTGACTGTATTTGATGCTCATTTAAGTCTTTAGAAAGTTTTTTCTTTGCAGAAACTTCTTCGTTAAAAAGTTTGAGCTGCTCCTTGTACTTGTTCTCCCATTTTGCATTCAACTCTGACTCAAGCTCATTTCTAGTGTCCGTCAACTGTTGCTTGGTTTCTGAGAAGCTCTCTAGCAATTGAGTCAAAGAAGTCAAATTGTTTGCTTTCAATGTAGCCTCTAATTCACTCAATTGTAAAGATAACTCTTCGTTCTTGTCAGAGTAATCTTTTAAGCTAGACTCCAAGTTACTATTCAAGGTTTTCAACTTTTTGATACTATCGTTTAATTTTAATTCCTTGACCGATAAGTTTTTTCCTTCATCCATGAGCTGCTCAATTGTTTTATCTTTAGACTTTATCTTCTTCGTAAGCTCCTCCTTCTCCTTTATCCATCCACTCGATTGAGGTTGAGTGGGGGTCGAAGGTGGTTTTGAACGAAGTAGGCTGATTTGCTCGTGTAAATTATTATTCTCGGACTGCAACTGCTGAAATTGAAGTTTTAAGCTTTCCAACTCCTGTTCTGGAGTGATTGCTTCAGCTGTGGAATGGGCAATTGTTTCCTGGTCCTGACTTATGACTGGTGAAAGAACCAATGGTGTATGTTCAGGAGTAGGAGATGAAGGTAAAGAAGGCTCCTGTGGTGGTGGTGTTAATGAGGACGTGGGTTTCTGTTTCTTGGCCTTTCCCTTAGCTGCCATTGCCAATCTTTCTTGCAATGTCAATCTTTTTTTGGGCTTTTCCTTCAACAGTGCCGACGATTCAGGCTCCTTTTCGTGCTCGCCATTTGGTTGCGGGGGCTCTGGGGTTTCTTTTGCCTCTTCAGATCCGTCTTCTGGATGACTTTTCTCACTGCCGTTGGCATCAGAAGTCTTCGCTTCTGTCGACGGTTCGACCTCTGTAGATAGAGTTTCACCACCATCGTTTGATGCTAAGTCTTTTTCTTGCTTGTCATCTCCTTCAGGCTCAGTAATGTGCTGGATCGTCGTTGGTTCCGGCGAGCCTTCGTTTGACTCCACGCCTGATTTAGCGTCTGATGCAATTACGGTTGGCACGCTTTCTTCATGCTGTTCATCCTTCTTCTTATCATTATTCTTACTCTTATTGCTTTTCTTCTTAGCCATTGTTTCTCGAGACTCCGCTCAAAGGTGTCACTATGATAGGGATTGGTACCTGATTCGTTGTGTATTGGCGAGGTTCTGCGCCTCACCTATGCAGGACTTCAGTGGTTGCCGAGCATAACTGGGGGAAGTAAGAAAGAGCGTTAAAGAGAAGATGCAAATGGGATGTACGAAGCCATGGTGGCATTGCAGTTTCACTTGTGGGATGAAATATCGATTTGGATTCTAACTTGGAGCAGAGGCTCAATTGCTGGAGTGAAAAATGTGTTCAATTTCAACGGATGCAAAAAGATAAATATTAAGCGCTCAATAGTGATAAGGTTGTCATCGAAGCATTGGAGCGAATGGCTTACATTGAAATTTGGGGTGTTATTTGAGCCGTTAACTTCCATCCATGAGAAAAATGTCACTATCGAGAAGAGAGAAACCATAAATTGAAAATCTCAATTGGTTTTCGCATATTATTGTCCAACCCACTGAGATTTTACTTATTCAACAATTTTGGGTTGGGTCTTACTTGAATAAGCTGTCTCGCAACTATATGACGCAACTATACAATTTTAATGCCATGAGTTCTAAGTCTGCTGTGTTATAAGTCTATTTGTGTAATATAACCTTTACCTTGAGTTTTTTATTGTTTTGTTGATTTCGTGTCTGAAAATTTCTGCAGAACTGCCAAAAGATTCGTTCTCGTCTACAACGAAACATTATGCCAGCTTGTTGAGCTGGCCACACATTCGAGAAATCCTTACTTCATGGTCTATCTTTTCCAATCTTTCAATAGAACAACCTTTCAGTAACATTCAAATTTCTGAGTTATTTTTTGCCTTGTTTTTGCAATTTTTTTTAATTTTACGGTGTGTTGGTGTTTTCATCTACATGACCTTGACAAGGCTTTGCTTAAATTCCCATAACGAGAATCAAATTTATCAAATCTATAGAAAGTCTAATTTCACCTGAAAGGAAGATCTTGGACATATAATACAAGGATAAAATACAGAAAATTCATGAGACGTAACAGCGTAGAAACCACTGATGGATCCACCAAGCTACTTCCCAGCCAGATTGCTACCCTCAGAATCCTCTTTTTGTCTGTCTTGAGGAGCAGCAGGAGGAAGCTGGCTTGTAGAGAGCGGAGGAGGTTGGCTAGCGGAAGAACCTGGTGCTAATGGATATGGCACTGGGTTGTGGGGATAAAGTGGATACACAGGCTGTTGTGCTGGCCACCCCACACCAGCTCCTTGTTGGCCATGAGATGGCGGTACCGGATGTTGCTGGTACCCTGGTGGATAATAATAGTAACCCATTCCAGAAACTTGTGGTGGAGGTGGAGGATGATGAGGCAAGCCAGGCCCTGAATGCACATGGGGTGCGATGAGATGCAGTTGTGGTGGTATGTGACCTGGTTGGCCTGCAACTGTAGGTGGTTGCGAAACACCTTGAGGTCTATAGCTATACCAGTAATTTCCAGGATACTCTGAACTAATCATAGGTGGAGCCTGAGGAGAGTATGGGGTGTGTTCCCCATATAAGGAGCCTTGAGCTATTGCGTTCTCCTGCTCTCCGTTAGGAAACTGGTTATGTTGGAAATCAGCTTTTGATTTTCGATGTCCATGCTTCTTGGTGACGATGTGAGTGTTGAGATGGTTTAACGAACCGTAGCTCTTTGAGCATCCCGGGTAAGAACAGCTATATCTTCTGATGATCTGGTTGTATCTTCTTCTGAATCGTCTACCTCTTTTACTCTCATGCAAAAGGTCAATATCTTGACCTTGATGGGTTTGATGCTGCAATTGTTGGAAATCGAGATGATGCAATTGTGCCCCTGTTCCAAGCATTGGTTGACCAGCAGCCATTCCTGGTTGTGCTTGAACTGGTGCACTGTAGAGATGCGCTCCAGCGACGTTTGAATATCCAAATGGAGCATTGCTTGGGAAAGGGGCATTTTGGGTGGTTAATTCACCTGCTTTACGAGGTCCCACCTGGAGTGCTTGTGGATGATTGGCCTCTGGGGCAGGTAAAGGATATGCTTTGCTCTGAGGATCCTCCGCGCCCTGATTACTTCCCACTGAAGAACGTTGATCCGTGGGGTTAGATTGTGAACTTAGTCTGGATTTACTTGTACCAGGAGCCTTGGAATTGAGCAATTTTGGTGATATGGGGCTAATAATAGTCGATGTAGTATCCGAACCTTTGTGCAGTGAGCCTCCATTGCTAGACGTCCAGTTGGAAATGGGGCTTTGGAGACTGTTAGCTCCTTCGGATTGTTGGGTACTTGCGCCTCCCTTGACATTAAGAATCAGGTTGATCGACAAGTTCTTGTAATCCTTTGGAGAATTAGGCCGTGATTCGTTACGCTCACCATTCGTTTCCTTGTCGGAGTTCGGTGGCGATGGAGATCGGTCCTCTGATTTGGGTGAGTTGTTCGTTATTATCTCTGTGGAGTCAGCCTTGATTTTCTTCGTTGTTTCATCGACGTGATCAGGTTCCTCGAGTGAGTGTTTTCGAACTTGGCTATTCGGAGATTCGTCCTCTTGCTTGGGTTCCTCAAACATTTCAGATGGATGTATAGTTGAACAAGAGCTCTAGGATGTACAAAAATGTGGGAAACCAAATGATAGGATGCTGGTATGATTTGAATCGGACGTGTCCTCAGATTCAGGGAAATTGTGAGGTGGTGGTGAAAGAACAAGGTTATGAACTGATTTTATGGGGTAATCCAAATCACTTGAAATTTTGAAGCCGAATTGGAGATTATGGAAATAAATACTGTAAACAACGGACCCTAATGCGAGAAATATGGATGTCCTATTCAGATATTAGGATTGAAATGAATGTCGATATGTATAGTTACTCAATTGAATGGGATAGTTCATATATGAAATCACAATCCACTTTGCGTTATCTGGACAAATTGATTACTTATTTTTGAGCAACATGCACGAGAACAATCTTGGTCAATTGCTTGATCCAGCGGAAGGCTAGTTATAAATCAAGTCCTCTTTACACTCGTTAGAAGAGGACTTATAATTATATTTTTTTCCACTGTGAATCTCACTAAATATAGTTGATCTTTTTTCTTCAATTCAAACCCTAATCAGTCAGGGTATCGAAGGACGAAGCTGTAGAATGGATTGATAGTCCAAAGGTTGAAGACTTTAGATTTTGAAGAATCGAATAGGTTATATAATTTTTTCTCAGCTGGCTGCTCTAATACGAATATAATCAAAATAGTTGTAGATAGGCCTATTTTATTGAGAGAATATGTTTCTTTTTTTATTACACAAAGCATTCCAATTCATAGATAAAATACTCCAGGTTGAAAAATATTACTTAAATAACCTTAATGCAAGGTAAAGTTGAAACATTGTTAAAAAGAATTGTTTGCATGGTACATAAAAAATAATTACAGTGGACGCTGCGACTCGAATCAGGTAGCTACAAACAAGATGTTAGTGAAGTTTTTCTGTGAACAAACGATTATTGATTGAAAAATACAATGCCTGCACCACCTATTAGAACGAACATTTCATGTTTAATAAAAGAGACACCATGTAATGATGATCAATCTGCGTGTGAACTCATGATGCTTCGCTGCTATCATCGTTTTTCTATGGGTGCCCAAAATTAAGATTGGCGCCTAACATGTAAAACCAGGGAATTTGCAAATTTTGGGTTCCGCTAACTACTACTTTTGAGGTTTCGCGTGTCAAACCAGCAAGATGAAATTCCGTCTAATTACTTGGGGTTAACGCAGTTTGGCATTAATTCGGCTTGTTGCCGCGTGCTGAAGACTGACTAGGATTTAAGCACCATGCAGGGTGCGGAAAGATGCTGTATGGTGTTTGAGCGTCTTATTCGCAAACATAGCTAAAAAATAATTCTAGCACCTGACGCCTTTAAAGGAAGCTTGATTCCAAAAGAAAAAAAAAAATCAGTTCCACTTGCTAAACTTACTACCACTGGACTAAAACAGCGGATACTTCGAAGGCTGTGTACTTTCATTAGGCTTTGACATCGAGGAATTTCTGTCCAGGCATAGCTCTCAAGGTAGGCTTTAGTTTCGCCCTTCATTGTTCGTCTCTTACCTTCTGGAATGCGGTTGGTCGCACAACCTGCACTCATTTTTGCCTATGATATGATCCGATTGGTACATTAAGTGTTGTCCAGAAACACCTAGATGCAATGCACCATGAGCAGGATACATACCGCTTACTTTTGGACAACTAAATACTCTAACTATACTATAACTAGCACTAGTTGTCAGATGTCGTAGCCCCAGCATCTTGTCAGCCGCTCTCCTACAATCTGCTATTCCGTAGATAATTCAAGCCAACGAAGTCGTAATCGAGCGTGACTCAAGCTGCAATCTTTAGGTTTAGCCGATTCCTGTAATATTTATGTACCGCTTAAGTGAATTTCGAGAAAAAAAAATTGGTCAATAATAGAAAAGGAGATACCTCGAGGTCCTGTAAGAGTGCGATAATAAAGCAAAATTGGTTAAGAGGACTCAAACAGAGTGTTCTTGATAATTATTTAATCCTAAGTCATAATTATGAACGGAATGAAATGACTAAAATTTTGTAAGCTTAGGGGGCTTACTTTTAAGCGTACACGGATAGCAACCTTGGCGGGCGATACTCAAAGTATGAAGTGTTGAACAGATACACCAGAAGGAGTTCTAGCATGCTAGTACATATGTGTCACCTCCTACTCACTAGTGCTGCAGAGACTTGCGGAACTACGAGAAGAAGACTTAAGCGTGCATACTGTAGACCATGTATCCTTACTATCTTTCTGAATTAAGGTGAGAGAAGTCACACAGAATACCGAAGTAAAGTTTATGTTAATATTGGACAAATAAGCTGAACTGCCAATCTTAAACTTTAGATGAAGTATAGTGCTCGCTATACTTGCAACGAACAATAGTCATGATCAAGATCCCCTCCTTTAACCCCGAGTCCCGCAGATGTAATTATCCCGAAAATTGCATTGGTTGCGAACCCAAGCCACTATTTGCATTGGGACTGTAATAGTTTCGCTGCCGAAGCACTACATGTCGATATTTATGCACGGTGCATTAATAATAATTTGATCGTCCTAAGCGTTTCTTCGGTCAACACACAAAGGCACGAAAACTAGTATACTAAACTCCCCTGATATTTATGTACTTCACAATAAGCATAGCGCTAGTTGTTATCACGTGTTTCCACTGTCACTGATGTCTTGGCCACTATCTTGCGGGTTTAGAGCACATTAGACATGTGAATTGTTCTTTAGATTTATGTCAAATACTAACTCAAGTGGATCTTTCCCTGCTTGTCCTGAAATTGTGGCAATGATTCGAAATGTATGACTACAAGCACATGATGAGTACCAAAGAAGGAAAAGTAGCTCTCTAATGACGATAGCCCTTTATGACCAATCTCATTGTAGCACAAAGAAGATCCAATTTTACCCAATGGATATCCAGCCCCGCTTGATTTGAGGTGCTTGGAAGCATCTATGGATCTGTCAATATGGCGATTTTGAAATATGCAACGTGATATGGGAAAGTTTAGATAAGCACATAGTGCCTTACCAAAGTAGGGTGGTGATACCTCCAAATAGAGCTTAATTTCCGATTTTGAAGTGGCATTTGTCACTGCCAGAAGCTTAAAGTTTCAACGTTTACGAGCCATTTCAAGGCATTATTGAGGCATTGTTTTGCCGAAAGTTTTAAAATAGAGTTTCAGCTTATGTCAGGAGTCGTGGTTACAGGAAAATTGTGCGCATTAGGTTGTAGGATTGTGCCATCATTTTGGTAGAATTACTCAGTGAATTGAATACATTTCTGGCTCAATAATTAAGGTGTGTGCCTTCCAATACCTCCAAAAGTGTCTAAAGAAGTTACAATACCACTGAAAATTTACCACACAGTAGTATCAACCCTTCAGAAAATAGACTTAGTAGCGAACAGAACGATGTATGTTTGATTGCCGAATATAAGGCACTCAATCTATATGCGCTCCATCAAAATAAGCGAGCGCACATCATGTCCACTTGCTTTTTTGCACGTGAGTTTCCATACATATGGGGCGAAGAGGGGGCGAAGTCACTGTGCCAACAACACCAAAACCAACGGTGATGGTACGTGGCTACGTCAGCTTTATAGGTGAACGAAGTTATGTTTGTAATGGAGGTTGGTTCGCTGGGCCAACTGACTAATAATCCAACTCATCCACCTGACGAAAATGTGTCTCGTAAATCGTTGACCTCCACATTAATTATAAAAAACTAAACTATTTAGCCAATTACAATTACATATTTAAGAGATTACCCCTATATATTTTGTTAGGGAGAACAGGGTCCTTATTGTCCATTCTTACATAGTAGTTCCTACCTAGCAGCAGAGCGGGCAAACTTGTTTTGCCATTAGGGGTGATATTCAGACCTCAATTTTGATGAGAGAAGTTAATTGATCAAGCAGCCCCGACTACCTTCAGTTTAGGTTGGACAATATTCACGGATGAACGCAAGGCTTGGAAGAGGAGAATCGATATATGCAGGAATACTTAATTTCTGAGGTCTATTTTTCAATGGGGTAGAGATAAAAAGCTTAAATTCTCGTTTAGCCTTGCCTGACGTACAAGAGTTAAGGAACATTCCACTGAAGTTCGCGACTATTGTATTCTTTGTGCAACTCAAGTGGTAATTGAAAGTATACTGTGTGCAACAAAATTGGACGATATGTCATATAATTATTGGCCCTAACTCGAAGCGACTCTTCGGGGAACTAAACTTCCAATTCTGCGTATATTACAACAGCAAAAGCACAAAATGTGTTGTCAGCGGTGTAAAAATTTCTTTAAATTGAGTTTTGGCTCGCTTGCTTTTAACTCGGAAGCGCGGATCACGGATAACTTTTTGCCATGTATCCGCGACCTATATTTTGAACAATCTTACAACGGCTTTTTTTTTCAATGCGGCCGGTTCCTATTAGGTATTTAACGTTTGCTGCATACAAAAAAGATTTTTTAGGTGAGCCCAGATATTTTCTTAAATTCTTTTCTTTCACTGAAATATTCAATGTTTGTAACCAACAAAATATTGACCATTTGCTGACAGGCAATGATTGTGGGTTATGAAAATAGTTGTGGAGTCCCAAAACCTGCAGGAACAATAGCCACGGAACTTGTTCCAGTTATAAATGAGTACCGGCTTCTCTTCTGTGGAGGGCATTGTGGAGGGCATTGTGGAGAACGTCACATTAGGTTACTGGTGTTGACTGAAGAAGATTAATTTCTTGAAATCTACACTTAAGCTCTCGCACATTAGTCTATTGTCAAGATACTACATCAGATATTTTGCTCGTTGGGAATGCGTCCCCGAGTCTGCACTTTTCGGATGGTAGTTGCACCGAATAACTTCAGTCAAAGCCTTACTCTCGTGGTACATTACTGCAGTTGCTGCATAAACAATACCTAGTTGGTTTCCTGGGCATCTCGGGTAAGTTAATGCAATACGCACCTTGATGCTAGGGCAATTAAGTCTCGGGGAAATCTAGTAAACTGGCCACAGGTGCATTCATATTAGTCAATCTCCTAAAAAATAGAGTGTTGTGGGGCGGTAGGAATGTAATTAATGGGAGCAGTACATACGCGGCTAATAAAATATGTAGTCCCAAAATTGGGAAGGTCCTCAAATTCAAGAGAGTTGAATTATGCTAGTTTTTCGAAAACAAAACCAATGTAAAACCCAACTGCCTCCTTTTCGTGTCCTTCGGCCCCATATTTGCCATCTGATCTCTTCATTCCTTCGATCAAGTTCTCATTCAATCGCGAGAAATACTTGGGAATCTCCTGATTGAAGATATCTATGAAATTCTTCCTATACTTCAACGTTAATCCATAGTCTTCACACAATGCTCTAAGAGTCTCAAAGGGAACAACGTATTCAGGTACATCATCAATGGCATCTTTCAAACTATAGTTGTACTTGTTGCCAAATGGTGGCCTGAAGACTCCATCAGCTGGTGGCTCTTTATCGAAGGTGACTGAGTAAAGATCATTGCCAAATCTCTTCTTGCCATCCTTGTCTGGCATGTAGTCCTTCCGTACGATTTTATCTCTTATAAAATCCGAAGATGGAATGGTTCCAATAAAGGTTCCTCCCTGTCTTAATGACTTGGACACGTTGTTTAACAAGCTGTGCACTTTATCTTCGGTTTCAAATGCATAATGCAATGCAAATTGAATGGATACACAGTCCACAGGGAACAATTTATCAATGATGCCCGGGAAATTAGGTTCTAAAATCTCTGGTATAGGGTAAGTAAAACAATCACCTGTAGCAAAACATGCTTCGAACTTATACCTCTTCAATTGCTTTCTGCTGGTTTGATTTCGAGGAATGAACCTAGCCTTGTTTTGGGAATACCTAGTGAATGCTTCTTTGACAGATGCATCGGATATATCTATGCCAATGTACTGATCAAGGTTGATAAATTCAACTTTGTTCAAATCACCCCCCTTACCACAGCAAAGATCCAAGATCGTGGAGGGCTTGCCTTCATATTCAGTCTGTTTCTTCACAAAATTCCCCAACAATATATATTTGATACAGTTGTTGAAGTTTCTGAGCTTATAGATTGGCGATTGTGTTCTAGGACCCTGGAGCTTCGACTGATACGTACGTTGATTGTAGTGGGATCTGACGATACTGTTGATGTCCTTTGAGGAACGATCTTTGATCTGACTTTGGAATGTGTGATATTGACGCTGGAAAGCTTGGTTTGGGACAGTCCCTTGGTAAGATGCTGGATTCGCGGCATTGGAGTAAGGCTGGGCCCAATCTTCCTCAGGTGCTGCTGCTTGTAACTCTCTAGGGTTTGGTTCTTCTTCGTCTTCTCTGGGTCTCTTTATTCTGGACGACTGCGAACGTGCACTGGAACCGTACCTGGAGTACTTTTCTTCGTTGGAGTCCTGTATTGGTGCCCGGGAGGCGTCGCTGCTTCTGGTACCGTACTTGTCGTATTTGTCTGCTGTTTTCTCGCTCTTCAACCAAGCAGGCTGTTCCGCATTGGATCCACTGTACACTGAGCTGGAGGGTGGCCTCGCAGTGCTCACCTCTCTTCTCGAAAATGCATTGGGAAGGTCTGCTGAGGGTGAAGCCGAGCCTTGTGGTCTTCTGGAGCCTGCTCTCGACGTTGTGGTGCTTCTGGACTCGTATCTCGCTGAAGTCTCCCTGGAAGCAGAAAAGGTTGAATCAGACCCCGATTTGACTGGTTGCGGACGTGGATGATCGTCAATTTGTACGTAGTTCACGGCTGGGGGAGTGCCGTCGTCACTGGAGACATCTCCATTGGCAGGGTCGGACATTTGTTGCTCTAATTAACTATAAAGAGTGTGTTCTCCGCAGCTCCAAATGTTGAACGATAGATGCTAGTACTCGCGGGTCACGTGGCAAGTGATGATGGCCATCAAAAGTGATAACTACCGGATTGGGATAGAGTGAGGCCAAGTATTGCGTGCGAACGGGAAGCACCACCGAGTCGCTGGTGCCGTAGACGAGGACCATTTTTGTCGAGAGGTCTGGGGGAATCTCGAAGAACTGCTCGTAACCTCGGAGAAGGGTTACTCTCGGGGCGTAGTTGGAAAAGTCGTGCTCGTAGCGTTGCACCTCAGCACGATCGCAATTGAGAGGCTGGGTGAAGGCAAAGCCCGAAAACACGAGCGCAAACTGCAAGGGCGGGTGCTGAGGGAGGCGCTTGTGGATGGTGTTGGCCACCATAGCCGCCAAGCACGCTCCCTGGGAGAAACCCACCACTCCGACGTAGGGCCCGGTTCTTTTTACGTAATCCATCACGTAATCGACCGCTGCCTCCAACCCGCGGTTTACCCCAGAATTGTGTCTCCACCACGCCCGGTCGGAGTCCCGACGGATGGCCCTCTCCCACACGGTCTCGCCGCTTTTGGTGGTCACCTTCGAGAACGGGGTGGTGAATCCCGGCTCCTGCGAGAGCTTAATAGGAGGGTCTAAGTACTCCAACTGGAAATTCTTCTCTGCTAGTAGTTGACGCAAAGAAGCACTCTTTTCTGCAAACACCTCAGCTCCTTGAAGGTAGCCTCCGAAGCAAAGCACTTTTTTCATGTTTGCTTGAGTCTAGGTGGCTACTATGGGGTGATGATGGGCGTAGCCAGGCTGCAGTGAGGTCAGAAGGTCGGTGACGATCGTCGGCTCAATCGGATTTTTGGGGGCTAGCGAGGATATCGGTGATTCACCAAACTCGTTGGAGACAAATTGGGGGTGGATGTGGCAGTCCAAGTGTGCCGCTGTCTCGAGCAAGTGGTGGGTGCGATGGAAGCTATAGTCTTGTTATGCTGTTGCCGGCGTGAAAGGAGGAGGGCAGTGTAGTTTTTTCTCATTTGGCAGGTGGTTCGACTTTTGTGTCACTACAGCACAAGAAATCCGGGGTCAAGTCGATTCTCATCTCACACCGTTAGCTTGACAATGAGTTTCGAGGATGTTTTCGCCTCAATCGGTGTCGAGATCGAGAGAGAGTGAGTAGAAACCACTAGGTTCACCAGCTGCTACTAACTTTAGATCCCAAACCAAGACTTTGATCCATGAATTGGAGCACGAGTTTTCGACAAATCTTTCATCGCCCAAAACATTTCTCGCCCAGGCCTCGTACGTAGCTCCAGGTGACTTGACTGGGTTATTTGGTGACCTCGTAGAGGCTACGAGGTCTTTCACCGAGGATTTGAGAGCCGGAAGCCTGGAAAAAGCCAGCTGTGGATCGGCCACTCTCCAGACCATTGCAACCGTATTCAAACAAGCACAAGCAAAGCTTGCCGAAATCGACGGGAAAAAGATACAGAGAGAGTCCATATCCCATAAGTTCAAAGAGGAAGTATTCTACCTCTTGCTTGTCGAGAGATACTTTCACGTAATCACCTTGCTCATTGCCTCACAAACCGAGGTAGAGGGGACAATCAGGTGTCCTATGGTATCCTCGGCACCCAAGTCCTCTGACCACGATGTGGGGATCATAATGACTCCTGAAGAGATCCAGAAAGTGTTGGAGTTAGACACTTTTGACTACTCTGACTATTTAATCGCGTTATTGCGCTTGACCGAAACGATGGTCGAATTTACCACCAACAGCATCATCCGTATCTCTATCTCGGAGGGTCTGAAGACCCCTGCAGGTAAAATACCATACTCTGTCAGCTTGCTCAATCTGAAATTGCTCACAAAGCTCCAGAATGGGTTCCAAATGTTGGACTTGAAAAATGATAATGTCAGGAGAAAGTACGATGGATTGAAGTACAATGTTAAGAAGGTGAATGGGGTGGTCTATGACTTGAGTTTGAGGAAGTTAATAGTCAAGGACATCGACGTGGTTTAGCTTTCATGAAATGAGAGTTTAGTAGCAAATTATAGAATATCGTCATATATTTCTCTTCAAGTACAAGAGTTGGAATCGTGATAAAACGGCTCATGTAGGTCGGTCATCTAGAAGCAGGACCAACTTTTGGTGATAGTATTTACGAAGCTTACAGTATAGCCTTCATTTGAATCTATTTCTCAAACTAGTATTACAAATATTAAACTGTTACAACAATCATACATGATCATAAATTTTAGAATCAAAGTGCATTTGATTACATTAATTGTTTTTTGCACTATCAGATCTTAATCTCTTCTTTGGCAAATCTTCATCAACAGGATTACGTTTTTTACCCCTCGTGATTGGACCAGTAATTTCCTTTGCAGTTGTGTCAGTGGGTTGAGCTTCGATCTCTTGAACATTTACATCATCTGTTGCCTTGGTTGAAGAGTTCAATTCCACTTCCTTTGTCAGTTCAGGCGCTTCCAGATTAACTTCGGCAATAACTGAATCGCTTGGAGCTCCATTTTGCAAGTCATCTCCACCCTTCACAGCAACAGGCTCAAGAATTGGCTTTTCAATTGGGGCAATCACAGAGACTGCTTTAGGTGAACCAGTTGCTTCCTCAAGAGAATTAGGCGTTTTACCAGGCTCAACATTCAGGTCATTAACTCCTGTGGGGGGTTGTTCTGATGGTTGAATATTTGTCTGTTCTGCTTCACCAACGCTTTGAGACGATTGCACATGTTCGTGTTGTTCACTTTCTTCTTTTGGAAGTATTTTACTTTCTTTTTCTGGAACAGTTCTTGTTTCTTCTTCCGGAATAGTTCTTGCTTCTTTAGCTGGTGCAGCAGGAACTTCAGCTGGAAGAATTTTGGCCAGTTGGATAAGCTCTGGGTTGGGAGAGGCCTCAGGATTCGAAGTTTGTTCCGAACTGTTTGTCTCTTGTGGTTTCTCTTCCTCTTCCAATTTCCGGGATTCAAGTATTGGTTCAGAAATTACTTGTGCCAATTCATTTGGAGCATTTGTTTGGACTTCGATTGAAGGTTCTGAAACTGTTTGTGGCTCAGGATTTGAAGTACTCTTTTTAACCTTGATTTGAAGTTGTGAAACTCCTTGTTCCTCTGTTTGGCTCTTGAGTTCTGAAACAATTGAGTTTTTGGTGTCCTGACCGTTAGAAACCACAGCCGCAACCACAGTATCGCCATTTGCATTCTTCTCCTGATTAGAATTCAACGCAGGTGCAACGAGACTTTGTTGCAATGGAGTTGAACTGAATTGTTCATTCAGTGCTGGTGTCACAGGAACAGGATGACTAGAGCTCAAAATGGGGAGTTTAAAAAGACCAGGTGGTGGTCTTAAAACTGTACCAGTTCTTGCAGTAGGGGCACCATTGATATTGGCGGTCCCATACGCTTTAGTATTTGCTTCTAACCAGGCAGAAAACTGCTCTTTCGAGATTATTCCATTTGGAAGACTAGTGATCGAAGGAGAAAGACCTTGACTGACAACCGGATCTGGCACAGTTGTTGCCAAAATTTGAGCTTTCCTGGCGATTTCAGCTTTTACTTCCTCCTCTCTAAGTCTCTCAGCCTCTTTCTTGGCAGCTTCTTCTGCTTCCCTTATTTTCGCTTGGGCTTCCTCTTCACGCAACCTCTTCTGTTCCGCTTCATTTTGCTCCTTGGCCTGCTCAACGTATTCATTGAACAATTTGGGGTTGCTTACTAAAATTGCTTCGATCTCTCTTCTGAAATTCTTCAACAAATCGTTGGCGAAAGGGAACACATCCCTCTTTGCTATCTTCTTGATCTTTCCTCCAGGGCTGTCAGAGCTTCCAGCAGGGGCTCCTGTCAAAGGATGTTCAAAATCCTTGTCAAAGTAAAGATAAATCTTCAAGAATATTCCAACGATGGTATCATCAATCAAAGAAGTTGGGCCAAACCCATTGTTGAACTTCTTCATATCATGGATAGCATGAAGGAGGCACAAATGGGCTTCCAAGTCCTTTGGAATCCCATTTTTCTGCAACACTTCTAGTATGGCTTTTGAATTCAAGATAAATGTCTGATACGACAAAGACTGCATGAATGTTTCAAAGAAACTAAAATTTCCCCCAAGGTTCAAGGAGGATCTGATGATCTTGCAAATAGACGAGCACAAGATCTCCCATGCGGAATAGAGGTCGATCATTGTCGAGTTCGATCTTCTCAACTTGGGCAACATTTGGATGAGACTAATTAAGTCACGCTTCTGAGTGAGTAGAAGGATATAAAACTTCGAATACTGATATGTATAGTAGAAGTGCTTCCCAGGACGTTCATTTTCAGGTTTCCAAATCAGTACTAGTGTTTTACTGGTAGCCTTCAATGAGATAAATGACGACATCTCTTCCAAGGCTTCGTCCACTTTTCCAAACTCTTCAAACAAAATCTTCGACAACCTGTAGCTTGGCTTATGGTGCCAATTTTTCTTGTCATAAGCATCAACCTTTTTAAGAGATGATATAATCACTTCGGAAAAGTTTGCTTTGTCAATGTCGTCATCATACTTCAAACTGATCACAGGATCCTCCATGAGAAATTTTATTGCCTCGTTATATCCCAATAGAAAAGCCTTGTGGTACTTGTAGACCATGGAGACCATCAAATAGTGTGGTTCTATGATATGATCCACAGTGGATTGACTCTTCGCCAATCGGCATGACTCTTTCAAGGTTTCAAGGACAAACGTAGCGAGTCTTCCTAGCTTGCGCTGTACTTTGGCCAAGTAGTAGTAATTAAGCCAGTCATCAGGCTTCGATTTGATGGACAAATGAAGCGATTGCTGGATAATTTTGAGGCAGAGTTTCTTTGAAACTGAACTTTCCAGAACGCTGACAAATGCTGCACCTCCAGAAGGCTTTTTAATAAACCTAGGCTGACCCTGAACTTTGAATGCATGCATGTTCATGGGCTCCATACAGGCACTGTATAATTCCTTTGAAAATGAGCTCATGAGATCTCCGACAATTTGCTTTACTTGGCTGTTGTTGTGTCCAATAGTTCCATTAATGGCCATCAAATAGCACAACAATGACTTTCTCTGAAGGTTTGCTGTTCCCACTTTTCTGTCGCCGACTGTCAACTTGTCACTTGTCCAAATGAGATCATCTTCAACCAAGTACCCATAGGCCTGGCCCAATAAGTACCAACTTTCGATACGATTACTGAAATGGATCAAATCGTTCTTCAACAACATGATGATTTGTTCCAATTCAACAGCTCTACTCTGCATGTTCTTTTTACGAACTTTGTAGGAGGAGAAAATTAGTAACCCCTGAAGGTAATAAAGACCCGACTTGACAATCTTATTGGTGGGAGTGACAGGAACATCCTCGAGATCAAGCTTCAATAGACCGTGGAATGCATCTTTCAAGAGCCTAGGAGTGATCCTGGTGAGTTCAAAGAAGTACTCAAAAGTAGAATCATTTCTATTCAAAGTTGTTTCTCCCTGCTCTAGGTTAGGATCTCCCACAACCTCGTAGAAGTCGTCGATAATTGCCTTCGTATCATGCTTGGGAATACGAACAAGAGGATTTTTGATGAAGCAGAGAGGCAACACGAATTTCGAAAGTTCTATTGTAGTATCATAGTTCAATTGCTCCTTTGTCGGCGTATGGTGCTCGGTTGGGGTGAATTTCTCCACTGATATTTTGTAGTGATACCGACAGGAAATAATTTGAGACAACTGTTGGGACGACAAGGTCGATGGACCGAACCAACGGAGAGAGTCTTGCGCCAATTTGAGAAATCTTCCTGATGAACACGAACAGAGCTTTTTTGCACCCAAATGATTATGGACTTGCGTCAAGAATGAAATGAAGCTCTCCCCTTCGTTGTCCTTTGAAGGCTGTGAAGATTCCGCCTCATCTCCGATAGAGTTTATGTGATGCTCTGTCTCCTTTTTGACGCGGACAATGTCCTTCTTTCCAGCGTTGTAATATACTAATAGAACACACATCGTGCCCACAAACATGTTCCGCAATGCATCCCATGCTGACTTGGATCTTGCTTTGATTGAGACCTTGGTACTTGACATCGACGCAGCTTCTTCATGGATATCGAATACATAAAATAACTCCACAAATTGGAGTAATCTCACGAGTGCTTCGATAACTTGTTTTCCTTGTCCGTTGGGCAATTGCCAATTTAGGCTGTGTAAGCTTTCCAAGTATGTGTTGAGAATATCACCATAAAAGCCAAGAATACTCAAGAGAGTGGTCATCCTCGTGTGCAAGGGAAGGTTTCCATAGTCAGGAGATGTTAAATAAACGTGAATGAATTCGATAACCTTTTCAAAACCATACTGGAAGCTGTCAATTTTGTTAGAAGCAACATAGTACACGAATAGGACGTTCCACAAATTGAGCTTCATATCAACTGGCGAGTTTTTGAGAAATAATTTGATGGACTGGATGGCTTCTTGATTAATAGGGGTAGCACTGCTTTCATTAGTTAGACCTCCAAGATCTTCAGGCTCGATCAATATTCCCTCCAAAAGTTCTATTGCCTCATTGCTGTTCTCAGTTGACTCTGTGTATATGATCTTGGAGAACATGGACATCACTGAAGTGGTTGTGAGTTGCGATTTTATTACTTCCAAGTTTACCCCAGTGATATTGTCATAGTTGGGAGATAATATGTGCAACTCATTAGTACTCTTAGAAGCGTAATCGAGCAACTCATTGAGTTTTGTCATAATGTGGTCAGATTGAGCCCAGTCGGGATTCTGGGCCTTTTCGTTTTGGATTTGACACCATCTAAAACGGCACGAAAGCACGAAATAGACTTCCTGGATACTTATTTCGCCGTCTGTGGCCATTTCAACGTCACTTTCTTCCTGAATCAATTTGTTTACTACGAACATTGAGTCCTCGTATTGTTCAATCCACTTATTCAACTTGTCTTTGATCTTCATCAATTCAAGACTAAGATTGTTCATTGCACTCTTGCTTGGCGGTTTGTTCAGTCCCTTCTTATTGCTCTGCAATAAAATGTTTGAAATCTGGGTCTTGATTGAGATGTAGTTATCAACTAGAATTTCCTGAATGCTGATACAAAGTGCAACATTGTCGAGGGCCTCATGTAAAGATACCTGATCTTCTAGTTTGAGGCAATGCAATAAAGAGTAATCGAATTGAATGATCCATTCTCTGATTTGAGAATATAATTTGGGATTCCAGAGTGTGTCGGTAATTAAACAAGTTGGGTATTGATAGCAACTGGAGGTAGTGGATTTCCTCACGCCTAGCAAACGACGAATAATTCTGTTCTTCACGTCCTTGTAGTGAAGGTTCTGACTATTAAGTTCAAGCAAATAATCCCGAATTATCTCTTTATTCTCGACATCTTCAATTTTAAGGACGCTGTCCGCATACTTGGAGCTTCCTTTGGTCCCAAAACTATTGAGAACCTCTATTAATTTTAATCTCTCATCATCACTGGACTTTCCCGGAGACGACGAGTTGTCTTCAGCAACAACCAATACTTTGGTGTACTTGGTGTCCCACTCATTGACTATTTCCACGAAATCCTGGATGTAAGTGTGTAATCCATTCCCTACTCCAAAGTACGCTTCAATCATGTTCTTCACTTGAAGCAGCTCATTTTCACTGTTCAAGTTGTACAAGTACTCGTTCAAGGCCACGAAAAATTGACCCGTATAGTAGAAGTACTCGGGCTTCAAGTCAATGTCTGGGGTGTCAGTTTCTGCTCTCAACAACCTTTTGGAGGATCTGGATGTTCGGTTCTTGACACTAACATCTTCAATCGTGTCCTGAGAAGGCTCAGTCACCTCTTTCTGCTGTATTATCGTGTCTGTTTCACTTGTAGCTGTGTTCTCGGGTATTTCTTGCTCTAACAGAGGCTCTTCTTTGACACCATTTTCTGTTTCAATACCTTCCATTGGGGTTGGTGTGGTTTTTGGTTCCGTTTCATTCTTGTCACCGTTAGCGGAGAGCTCAGAAGGCTGGTCCTCTTCTTCTCTCTTGTTTTCGACAATACCTTGGTCGTCTTTGTCATTATTGTCCTTCGTATTCAATGCCTCGACTTCGGTCTCTTCAACTACCACAATATCATCGGCATCTAGTTTTTCTTTCACTTCTTGGATAACGAAATCTACCTTTTCTATGGGATCTTCAGTGAGTAAATAAGGCTCTACCGCTTTGATTTTACCTCGCTGTATGTCTTCTAGTTTTTCGTCATCTTGTATGTTCCTCACCACATGGTTTACTCTGCTCATGACATTTGTCCAGTTGAGACTGCTCTCTTCGAAGGTTAGATCGATGTCGACTCTTCGTTTAGTATTAGATATTTCAATTTGTTTGGCAAACTCGCCTCGTATCGTTTCCAAAAAGTGATACCGACTTTCGATCGCATCTAGATCTTGTTTCTGCTCTTCGATTGATTTACTGGATGATTCCTTGACACTCAATATGGTTTTTATGAGGTCATGCTGCTTTTTGATGGTTTTGCTGACTGGCAATAGTCCGTAGAAGTCATCACTCTCGACTCGTCCACTCAATGAATATTCCAAGGTAAACCTGGCGAGCTTGTAGACCTTCAAATACATAAAGATCTCGTACAACTGTTTCAAGAGCTTTTCGTCACCCTCTTGGTAGTACAATGCAATACAGAAATCGTCCACAAGAGTGTAAAACATGTCTCTGAACTTATTGGGGATGACTTCAGGTTTTTCGGGAGCCTTCTTGGTGTCATGCTTGACCAAACTTCCTATCAATTCCTGGTTCAGGTCTGCTCTCTTGAGGATATCCAAGTATAAGAATCCTCTATTTCTGAAAACCAAGAACCGCAAGGTCTTTATGTTGGGCGAGAGAAAACTCAATTCATCTGTGATGGTGTTCTGGGAACCTTTCTGGAGGCCACGGACGTAATCCTCTTCTTCGTGGTAGTGATTGGAGAGGACATCTAGCTTGAATAGCTCATCATACAACTTGTAGGACTCTAAATACAGCTGGCTCTTTTGGAGGGCAAGAGCTTTCTGGAAAATCGTGAATGCCTGCTCGATCTGGAGTTCTCTCGAGTGTTCCTCCTCTAGATCTTTCTTGGATAGTGATGGGTCCTCTGTTAGGTTTAACGGAACAAAGGAGGACTAGATGTTAGAACTGTAAAGAAGCTTGACACGCGCCGAGAAGCAAAACGCGTGCTGCACCCTCAAAACGACACATACCATTGCAATTGCTGGAGCAGATGCTGTGAAAGGTGGAGCTACATAGAAAAATTCGTGGTGTAGTTCGTCATGTGGTTCGATCACGTGCACGATCACGTGAGGCACGTTTACTGATTTCGTAGTGTATATGTTGCATTAGGCATTAATCTATTTAGTCGTAGCACATTATAAGTTGGAATCCGTTAAGCGACAGAAACCACGTCCGTCTCTCTTGAGTCCTCTTCAATATCGTCAATCTTGTCAATCTTGTCGTCCAGCTCCGTTTCGAGTTTTTGGGCTTCTTTTTCCTCTTTGAGAATGCGTTTCCCTCCCAGCAAGTACCAGCCAAGGTGCGACGCAAAGATCCCCACCTCGAGTCCCAACACAATAGCATACAAAACCATACTCATGATGTCCATGGTGCCGAACACCACACTCAACATGGAGAGCAAAGCACCAGCAGAGTCCATGGCCAAAAAGATGAAGTTAATTCCCACCACACGACCCTTACGTTTCGCAAGCTCAAAGTATGGAGGAATTAAACCAATCGCAAGTAAGATTGAGGCCACAATTCCCACAATAAGCATGGGCCAATGGGTGCCATGTCTGTGGACTGGACGCAACCAAAGAATGAGACCCACCTCAAGAGCCACAGCTATGATCCCAAATGCAATGAGAAAGAGCACCATTCTTCTTCTAGGCACATTGTATGGAGGATAGTAGATGCTCTGGCCCCAGGTGATCAAGCAGAAAAGGGTGAATAATTGGGGTTGGATCTTGAGCGGAATAGATCCATCAGTCCCAAAGAAGTAGATCGAGAAGGGAACTCCCGAAGCAGCCCACAAAAACATCATAATAGGTGGTAGGCCCTCACAGTTCTTGACTTTGTAGTTCCTGATGATTTGTGGCACTAATTGCACACACCAGAAAATCGTACCAGCAGTGCCAAGCACGTTCTCGGCAACAGCGTTATGCATGATAAAGTTTGGTTTCTTGGTATTCGATAAGGATTTGACATGCTGGGGCAAGTGTGATTTATATATCACTCTGGGAAAACGGAACTGGGTTTCTTTTTGCGCAAAAGAATCCTAGTATGGCTACTTTTGCGCTTAAGTTGTATCCTGCGCGGTAAATGATGCCTTTTGCAGAGGGCCGGAGTGGCGCCCCTATTGTAGATTAATAATTGCGCAATCGATTTGCGTTTTTGATTTACGCGCGTCTATCGGTTGTCTGCGCAAATTTTTCAGTCGAGACTACCCCTACTAAAAACCTTAGTATGACTATACTTTCCTAATTTGGACTCTATTCCGAGTCACTGTATTGGAACCCAAACGCATCTTCTTGTTCCATAATCTCTTTTTCTTCCAGTGAATCCATAAGCCTCTCTTTCAGCTCTACGTGATCATCCTCGGAAGGAGTTTCCTCTACCGATAAAGACTTTTGCTCCACTGGATCAATTTTGTCACGTTCACCTCCTTCGGGATTGTATACTAAGTGACCTTGTGCATCGTACGAAAATAATTCATCGGGTAAGTCTAGCTCATCATCTTTTAAATCCACGTGCGTCTCGGAATCAACGTCCTTCTTCTGGACACTTGATTTTGAATCATGATCACCACTACCACTAAAGGTATTGACGTTGAAAATTTCTTTTGGTGGCTCATCGGATGACTTACTGTGGTGGTTTCTCGGATCCTGGTTGGCATTCTTTTCATTTTGGTCTTCATTTTCTTGGTCTGAAGGCCATTTTGAGTTACCGCTAGACTCGTCCCAATTGCTAGAATTGACTTCAAAGCCCTCCAGGGGATTCTGTTGATGTATATAAGGATGTGACGTAGAATTCAATTCCGAGAAATTACTGGGAGGGCAAGATGCCACACTTGCGTTTTCTGAAACTTGTGCGGTATGGCTGATAATTTTGGCACCATCAATATTGTGCGGTGGTTGTTGATCTGATCCCGAGGTAGAAACAGCACCATCACTTCTAGTAAACTCCTCTGTAAAAAAACCGCCTCCGGGAGAACTGTGATTGGAATTTTGCTCCGGAATCTGGCCCGAAAGTGCATTATCAACTTCCTCACTCAGTTCTTCTCTGATGAATCCCCCACTGCCTGTGAATTCCTCTGGGGTATCTCTTGCGACTTCGTGGTAGGAGTATTCATTGGGATTAGTCTCTAATAATCCCTCATGATCTTGGCCATCATTTTCTATATCATCTTCGAACATAACTCGTCCAGCATCAGCATTATCGACACTGTCATCACGTACGAATCCACCACTAGTATGCATATCATCGGTATCCTCAGAACTGGATAATTCGTTTTGAGGTCGTTGGCCATACCCAGAGGCAGCCTCCTCCACTAGAAAGCCTCCTTCATTTTCCAGTATGTCCGCACCAGATGTATCATCATACACGCTATACTTGTCCGATTCCAGATTTTCAGCTATGCTCTCTTCATCTTCATCCTCATTCTTTTCTATCTTTCCATGCTGTCTATTCAACCGTTCTGAAATACGTAGTTTGGTCAAAAAGAATTTCCAGTACTTTAGAGAGTTCATTTTTACCTTATCTCTAAGGTTCTGTTCCTCTTCTTCCACCAAGGAATCCAATACCGCCAACATGGCTTCTTCATATTGGTCATGAATGACAATACCTCCTTCTCTCGCTGTTGGAGTACGGCCAGCAGATGGCTTTGATTTTCCGTTCTTTCCAAAATCAAATGCGATAATTGCTTTGGCATAATCAATCTCTAAGATTGACCTGGCTGCGTATTCCGCCATTTTCATAGTGTACTTTCCAGTTGTATCGATTAAACACCCGCCCTCGGGCATCATGGTGGATGTATAAAGGTCTATGTTTCCATAAGCATTTTTGGGAATCACCCCATCAACAATTGGTTGAGGTATGAAAAGTCTTGTTTGAAATTCTGCGTACAAATTAGTGTGCTCTTCTTCATCTTCGGTATCACTTCCATCATTCTTTTTCTGTAGCGCCGACTTTTTCTTCAACTTTAATGGTTGTACTCCAACTTTTAGAACTCGTCCCCTCATATACCACGCTTTGGCTGATCTCAACATATGAACATGTGCTCTCTTGTATACTGGAATTACTCCAAAGGAGCCCTTTTTCGAGCGCGATGAAGTCTTTGCCCTAAAGGTCCCACATTTGCTGGTAGAGTCCATCGGATAAATAACTTCGTTTTGCTTCAACTGCGATTCCAATGCATATATGGGATGATTATTAAAGTCACTTATATTGTTAGGCATTCCTTCTCCCAAGTCTCGATCGTAAAACTCCTTCAGCTCCATGATATCCAAATTCGTAGGTTTTGATTGGATTGAAGTATTCATGCTGGAGAGAACTCGCTCGTACCAGTAGGTCTCTTCTTCTGATTTGTATGTAATTCTTTTCTTGGCCGTCTTTGCGTTGAAATAGTGGGTATATCTCCGAGTCACATCTTTTACCACCCCGAAACTATTGTAGGCGATAGAATAGTAAAGTTGGTTGCGAGGTTCCGATTGAGGAGGCTCAAATTTGGACTTGTTTCTCATGGGTGCAATTTCTAGAATTTGAAGCACTGCAGGATCAATACTGACCCATTTCTTTGAATATTGATCCCAAACTTCTGCCCAGAATACGGGGAACGGGGCATCTTCGAGGAGGGGTTCGACAGGTTGCTCAGTGACAGTGGCAGACTTAGATCTTATTGAAGATAGGAGCTTAGACTTGTTATTTGTTCCGAAATTGTTACTGACCAGTTCCGTTTCAGGTTTCTTTTCAGGGACGAGAGCTTCGATCTTGGGAAGAGTTGCAATTATGGTGAAGTCTGGTGGCTGCAAGGAAAACACCAAACGGGCGTTCAAACCAATGGCTCGAAGCAAGCACACGAAGCCTTGGGCAGCCAAGTCGCGGGAGCCTCTGAAGTGGGAGATGAGGTACTTGAAGCGATCGAAGTCCACGTTCTTGAAGCGCCTAGGTTGTTTGAGCGACAACTCGTTCCAGTTCTTGCGCTTGATACCCTCACCACTGACTCGGAATTTGGCCGAGTATGCCCTGAGCACCTTCTGGAGCCCATCGAGGAACCTACGGGACTTGACGGAGTTGAGAAGGTCATTATTTTCAGGCTGGCGAAGCAATGCTAGCGCCTGGGGGGACACCACCCCTCGCAACGCCTGGCCCAACTGGTAATCGTTGCACCAGCGGTTCCGGATGGCTCCGTGGATCATCATCAGCACAAGGCAGAGGCGATGGAGCTGTTTGCGGTACAAGCGCTCCTCCTTAGACACGGGAGTGAACTTCTTGGTTCTGGAAGTAGGCTTGTCGCGGTTGATGGTGATGGTAAACGTTTCTGACTGCTCTTCTGGAGCGCTGAGAGCCATTCCTGGGTTGAGATCAACGTCCTCGAACTCGTCTCCCGAGTCAGAGTCTGGTTCGTGATGGTGTGGTGATGTGTGGTCAAGGTCGATGTCCTCGAAGTCGTCTGAATCGCTGGAAAGCACAACCACTGGCGAATCTTCCAGGCTGGCGATGCTGTCCTTCAAGCTGAAATGGCTGGCATTGCTGACATTACTCTCCTTCAAGCTGACATTACTGCCGTTGCCATCCTCCTCTCTTTTATTGGCAGCATTTGCCTTCGCAGCTGGTTCCACTTCCTCCACCACACCGTCGCCTCCACGCTGTCTGGAGCCAACACGCCGCCTCTTCCGGCTGCCTCCATCGCCACCCGCCAACTCCTCCTTTAGTAGCTGTTGGTAATGGGTCTCTGACGAGTTCATAAGGCTGACATGTCTTAGCCGCTGTGAGCATTCGCAGGATCAAAAGAATCGATCCGAAGAGCTGCCAGAACCAAACAGCGCCAGCACCAAAAGGCACCAAAAGGCACCCGAAGGTATCAAAGAGGCATCACAAAGGCACCCTTACTGTGGAAACATCCTCACTGCACCACCACCAGGCCATGTACGATGTTGCGCTCACGACTACTGACGGCTGTGGCCCATCTACGACTCCATCACACGCTCCAGCGAGTGTTTGGTGAAGCACTCGACCACAAGGCCCTCGACAAGGCCCACAGGGCACTACTCGCCAACACCAGCCACCACTGGCACAAGTACAGCAAGCCAGAAGTGCAATTGGAGCCGTCAGTCCGCAACTGGTTGGTGATGGTCCAGAACCATCGCCACCACAAGCGCTTGCCTGCGGTTCCCAGGCCCAGCATGCCCACTCCTTTCAAGCCAGACCGTTTGCTCGAGCCTGTGGTGTTCCATCAGTTGCTGGCCTTGACCTACATGGCAAACTGGCCTTCGTACCCCGAAGAGTACGTGCAAGCTCGATGCCACGAACTGGCCAGCTACTTGGCTTCCATGGCTAAACGGCTCGGAAAACCGCCTCCAGACGTCGATGTGACCCCATTCTTCTTGGAAACATTGACCGAGGCGGCAGGAATACCACAATCAGCAATCAATAGCACTGAAAACGACCCCAAGTACATCTCCATAAGTACCCACACGAACTCCGTGCTCCACCAGTCGCTCCAGACGTTCAAAGCGATCTCCAAGTCGCGATTCAACAGCAGATACTCCGTGGACACCGACCTTGTGGCCTGGATTCTCTCGCTCGCTTCTCCTACAGTCACCACCAGCTGTGAAAAATTACGGAACCTAACCAACATCCCCCCATTTGTGCTCAGTGACATTCTCCTACGGACCCCAATGTCTCTAAACGAACTTGAGTTGCAGCACGATATCTGGAACCAGTTCAAAAAGCCCATCATCACAGCATACGTAGACAAACCCACGTTCTTAAAGTCCATCATCAACAATATGATCTTCTACACCATCACACAGAGCCCGAGCACCTTGCCCCATTTCATTCGAGACACATTTGAGTTTTTAAACAGCAAGGAATCCGGGTGCAGCATCAGCTTGCTTGGAGTGGACTACTTGAACGAGCTCGTTTGGGATGTGGCATCGACAGCATTAATTAAGGTGAACGTGCCGTCCTCCACCATGAAGTACATCATTAGGTCCCAGGAAGTGTTGGTGGCCTGTATGAACAGAGGAGACAAAGCCAAGGCGAAAACTTACCAGCAATTAACCTTGAAGTCCCACATGGGAATTGCATTGGCCATCAATACCATGTCTAACGTCAAGGCTGCCCAATTAATGACGGTGGCGGAGAAGCGTTTTTTCACTGGAGAAAAGTCGGTTCCCAACAAAGATATGTTGGCCTACAACATCACCAAGGTGTATCTCTCCAAAGAGCCAGAGGAGTTGGTGGAAAACTTCAACAGCTATGCGGTAGACTACTCCCATTCCACGGCCCTTTGGTTGAGTTTCATCAAGCGGCTCCAGCAAATGGGGTTGTTGACCGAGAACAGATCCATCAAGATCTTGAATGAGCTCACCAAAATCAAGCACAAGGTCATTGTCAGCAAGGACATAGTTTCTCTCTTAATCAAACCCATCAGAGGTCTAAACGGCTTGCATGCATTCATCAGTGCATTAAGAGACATCGACAAGGACATCTTGAAGGCTCACGCCAGTACTATTTTGCCCAAGTACATGACAATGTTGTACCGGAATTATGGGGCACGTAATATAACACAGAACTACTACCCCTGGGACCCCCAACCTTCTAAGCAGGCACTTGGAAAGTTCAAAGGGTTCGATTCTGTGGAAGATTATGCCAGGTACCTCTACAACCATTGTATCAGGAACAAATCGCCACGAGTAATAGGAGCAATGCTTCAGGGTGAGGCGATGTCCAAACCAGAGTCGGTTTATGATCTCTACCAGAAAGAGTTGATAAACAAAGGATTGGTCCCGGACAAGACTTGTTTGACAGCATTGATCCGAGCGTCCATGAAACCGTCTAAGACCGACTCGTGCATCTTGTGGGGCAACTTTTATGCCCCTCAGGTGGCTATCCATGAGTTTGCCATCCATGTGAAGCAAGACAGTAACGACTCCACCTCAAGCATAGTTCCCGACGACACTTTATGGCAACAGTACATTCGGATGCTCAGCAAGTATTCCTATTCGTTTGAGCTTTCTGAGATCATCCAATGGTGGGAGAAGCTTGGTTTCCGCCCCAAGCACACCACATTAATGCTATTGTTAGGGGCATTGCCTCTGGATCACAGCAACAGGCATATTCGCCACGTCCACAAGGTGAGGAGCGACAACGAGCGCATGGGCATCGAGGCCAAGGACAAGGAGTGGAACTGGCCAACGGTGGAGGAACTAGAGAAGTACAAGGCTAGTCAGTGACCGTCAAAATGGGACTCGTGTGGTTCTAGATGGTGAAGTTGGTTATTAATCTCTTTGATTTGCCTGTCGATACAAGTCTGGATGAATTCAGAAAATTTAGATGGAGGTCCAAAAATGAAGAGCCACGGCTACTCTACAAAAGAGCACCTCACAAGTCACATTTTGCTCTGAGAGGCATTGGAGGCACCAACATCTATACTTTCACGCAACTTGCTGGACTCCATGACAGCTTCTGATTCACCCACTCCACTACTCTTTTGCACCCGCGGTTTGCACCCATACACTCCTCCACCAGTTTGGTACACCAACCGAGGCTAACAAGCCACCAATTTGTCGTAACATCAGCTGGACCGCTCCACACACCCACTGCCTGTTCCCTACCCATACGCCACGCACCCCCTCCACCTCTTCCCTCTGCATTTGTACATACTCATACACACTGATAGACTCATAGATCCAGCCAATCACGACCCGCGATTCTTTTTCCATGCACCCGACCGAACCATTCCCGAGCCACTATAAATACCCCAGCTTTGTCCCCACGCCCACATCGCATCATATCGGTACAATGTTGAGATTAGCCTCCAAGTACACTCCAGTCAAGACTCAATTGAGATCATTATCCTCGACCTCTGCCTTGTTGAAGGCCACCAGAATCGAAAGCGATGCTTTTGGTGAGATCGAAGTGGATGCCTCCAAGTACTACGGTGCCCAAACCGCCAGATCCAAGCACAACTTCAAGATCGGAGGTCCTGCTGCTCGCATGCCACTCCCAGTGGTCAGAGCTTTCGGTGTGTTGAAGAAGTCTGCTGCCATCGTCAACGAAGAACTCGGAGCTTTGGACCCCAAGCTCTCTGCTGCCATCCAACAGGCTGCTACTGAAGTCGCTGAGGGTAAGTTGGACGACCACTTCCCCTTGGTGGTATTCCAAACCGGTTCTGGTACCCAGTCCAACATGAACGCCAACGAAGTCATCTCCAACAGAGCCATCGAGATCTTGGGAGGTGAATTGGGCTCCAAGAAGCCTGTCCACCCCAACGACCACTGTAACATGTCGCAGTCGTCCAACGATACCTTCCCCACCGTGATGCACATTGCTGCTGTCACCGAAATCTCTCACTCCTTGATCCCAGAATTGACCAAGTTGCGTGATTCCTTGCAAGCCAAGTCTGAAGAGTTCAAGGATATCATCAAGATCGGAAGAACCCACTTGCAAGACGCCACTCCTTTGACCTTGGGCCAGGAGTTCTCTGGTTACGTCCAGCAATTGACCAACGGCATCGAAAGAGTCGAAAAGACCTTGCCAAACTTGCAGTTCTTGGCCCAAGGTGGTACTGCTGTGGGTACTGGTTTGAACACCAGAAAGGGCTACGACGTCAAGATCGCTGAAACCGTTTCCAAGTTGACTGGCTTGCCATTCAAGACTGCTCCAAACAAGTTCGAAGCTTTGGCTGCCCATGACGCTATCGTGGAAGCCTCCGGTGCCTTGAACGTCGTGGCTGTTTCCTTGTACAAGATTGCCAACGATATCAGATACTTGGGCTCCGGTCCAAGATGTGGTTACGGCGAATTGTCCTTGCCTGAAAACGAGCCAGGCTCGTCTATCATGCCTGGTAAGGTCAACCCAACCCAAAACGAAGCCTTGACCATGGTCGCTACCCAAGTGTTCGGTAACCACTCTGCCATCACCTTTGCTGGTGCCTCTGGTCAATTCGAATTGAACGTGTTCAAGCCAGTGATGATCTCCAACTTGTTGAGCTCCATCAGACTCATTGCTGACGGTTCTGCTTCCTTCAGAGAACACTGTGTGGACGGTATCCAAGCCAACGTCGACAAGATCGAAAAGACCTTGCACGAGTCCTTGATGTTGGTGACTGCCTTGAACCCAAAGATTGGTTACGATGCTGCCTCCAAGACCGCTAAGAACGCTCACAAGAAGGGTTTGACCTTGAAGGAATCCGCCTTGGAATTGGGAGTCTTGTCGGAAGAAGAGTTTGACCAATGGGTCAGACCAGAAAAGATGATTGGTCCAAAGGATTAGGCCTCTCTTATTTATTACGATCAATAGACGACTATGGAGAAACGTGTAGGAAAGAAAAGCGATGCTGCTATGGAGCGAACTGTCATTAGACTATTGTCGGTGAAATTACTACCCGAATGATTAGGAATAAAGCATCATTCTTGATTCAAGAAAATACATACTCAAACATGTCAGAAACGGTATACAAGCCAGTAGTAATTTTGGATACATTTCTTAATACATGGTAGATTTATTCCCCAGCCTATGGGCAAATTTGAAGAGAATTCCACTGATTGCTGGAGGTACCATGGAGAGCTTCAATTTCTCCGGTCAGAAATCCCGCAGAACACTAACTAGTTCCAAAGCAGAAGCTGGTTAGCGTCTCCAAGCTGCTTCTGGTACTGATAAATTACTTTTGACGTGTTCCCAAATCTCTCCCTAAGTGTCTGCGGGGCCCTCACTAATCCCTGCGGGCCCTGGCACCACCACATATAAATCGCGCACCCAACTTAGCGACACCGTTGTCGATACGGTGGCTCCAACGATCCATTAAGCCACTGAACGCTTTCCAAACTCCTCCATCAGACACCACAGACTCCTCTACTTAGACATCTACTGCTTTAGTCGCCCCTTTGTCCACCTTTTTTCCCTCAGGACGACCCCTACCACCACCCACTGGTGCCACCGTTGTCGCTGGCCTCGCGGTGGCTCGCGGTGCGCTCGCTACGGCCACCGCTAGAAACTGAGTACCAAAAATGACCTTTACCCTCCACAACACTTCTATGTCCTTGTCAAGCATATTACAGCATGTTAAGAAAAAGGGACAGGTCACTCCCAAGCCGCAACCCCAACCTGCATCCACTACTCTGAAAGTTGCCTCTTCCAGTTCAGGAGTGGTTCCAGCGCAGCGCCCAGTGGATCCAGTAGTGGCAAGATTGAAGGAGAAAAGACGGTTGGAACGAGAGCAAAAGGAGCAAGAAGCCCGTGAGAAGAAGGGATTGCCTCCCAAGAAGACCAAACCAAAACCTGCACCAGCTACAGCCAAGGCTAGGCCTGCACCATCCAAAACTCCATCCAAAGCAGCCAATCCAGGACCTTCACAGCAATCACGGCAATCGAAGCCTCCAGTGCCCCAAAAGAAGATGAGCTTCAACGACCTCATGAAGCGAGCATCCAAGATCGACCAATCCAAGCTTTCGATATCGTTCCAGTCGAAAAACAAGTCCCCAGAAGCCCCACTGGCTAAGTCCAGTAGGCCCTCGTCTCGAGCTAGCTCGGTTCCAGCAGAGTCCAGGAAGACCAAGCAGCCAGCCTCGTCCAGGCCAAGGCCTCCTCCTCCACCAGCAAGGCCCACACAGAGATCTAGGTCAGTCCCTTCCGAACCAAGACACCCCAAAGAGTCCAGGGCCCCTCTTCCCATCCGAGGCCCCTCTGCCATGCTTGAGAGCAAGCTAAAGACGAAGAAGCCAGTCAGAGGCACTGGCAGCTCTAATGGAGGCAGCTTTGGCCACAGAAACCACGAGGACGAAGAAGAGTACGACAGCGAAGACTCCATGGACTCCTTCATCGAGTCTGACGATGAAGAGGAATTCAGAAGACAAAAATCAGCCGCTGAATACGACAGAGACGAGATCTGGGCCATTTTCAACAAAGGAAAGAAGCGGTCGTACTACAACGACGACTACGACTCCGACGACATGGAGGCCACTGGTGCAGAGATCTTTGAGGAAGAAAGAAGGTCCAAGAGAAACGCCGAGCTCGAAGATAGACGTGAGGCCGAGGAGGAGCGGAGGTTGGCAGAGCTCAAGAGGAAAAAGCTTAACAGATAATAATTACAACTCATTCAGTGTACCACTCTCGTACACCTGCTCTCTAGAGCATTAATCACACGACAGCATCTAGTCATTAATAAATTGCATAATCCAGAGGAATGTAGACCGCCTAATTCAGAGACTATCAGGCCTGATCCAGGAAGACATTTACAATTCAATTGTTTACCTGATATCATTGTATTCTGCCTTGGAGCACACGATAAACCTAGAGAACTTAAATCATTGTCTGCTATGATATATACGCAAGTGAGTTTCGGTTCGATAAAAAGCTACGGGCTGCAGACTGGAGATTGATTATTATGTAAAAAGTTTTACCAGGGCAATTTCCCACAGGACTAATTATGACAAACTTAATATCGCCATAAATAATTACGGTCACCTTCACGTAATTTTTCTGCTTGTTGCTTAATAAAATAGCTACTTTCTGTGATATCTTTACTGCATTGTTGTCGTCCATGGTGGAAAATCATTAGATTAAAATTGTTTATGCGTATGGAATCCAAGGAATTTAGCAGAATAAGGATCTGGTGTAAATTCTGATGCCTTCTGGAATGAACTATCACAGAGACTACCCGAGTCCTCGATAATTCTAAATTCCTTACTACCATTACTCCTCAAATCATCATCATCAGAATTCTATATCCACCTGCACATAACTCGCGAATTTGCATCTAACACTCCATCTCTCCTCTGGAACCAAACCACACTATGATGGCTCTCCAAAGCACCCGACCGGATCTTCCGATAGAACAGGCATCTGTGCTACCTGAGTCCAAACTCTCCATAAAAAATCGCCTCCAATCCATCATTTATGACACCCGTTTTGTGGAGAACTTTCATCAGTCCCACTATCCATCATTCCCATTGATCCCCAATGAAAGGTGTGGGCCGTGGTACGTGCCTACTAACAAGTATTCCGAGACCTCGTACTTTAAGTCTACCGATGGCCATGTCAACGAGTGGCAGTTTTCCATGCGTAGATTGAATCTCCATATCCTCCCCATCATCGGAAGCCATCAAGGCATCGTCAGTGTGGATTCCACCCGAAGAGGCAAGTTGATTCCAGACTCACTTCTGAAAACTATCCCAATATGGTGTGCTGTGCTCAATTGCATAATGTACGAGGATGAACAGGAGAGATCAGACCACTGGTTCCGATCTCCAGTATTCATCACCAAAGAAGAGCACGACAAAATCGTGGAGCGCATCCCAGCAATGGTCCAAGAAGTCAAGAAGATGGGCATCATCACAAAGGATCGAATCATTGCTGGTTTGGGAGGTGAACGCCGCCCAATAGTGGCGGAGTGGCACTACCCTGTGCCAGAACATCCAGTCGAAGCATCTCCTGAGGAGCAGAATCTCCCAATATCGGCAAGGCCGCTTCCTATCGTGAACTCAGACTCTATTTCCACGACCATAGAAGTTCAGGGGTTCAGTAAGCCCGAAAAATGCTATACAATCGTGTGCTTGACTGCTTCATTGAAGGTCAAGCATGGAGAAGCCAGAATGCTTTTGCCCCAGCTGCTGTGGAATTATATCCAAGGCTCAGGAGATGACCATGAGCTTTGGGCGACAAAGGACGTCTGTGATGGACAATTGAACCCTCAATTCTTCTGGGAGAATGTGGTTTTTGCTGGCGAAAAGCTCAACAAAGAGATAATAGACTCTGCGACTGGCTACATCCACGATGATCTTTCAGAAACCAGCTTTCTTGAAAAATTGCATTCAATCAGCGCTAAGAGACCCCAGCTTTCCAGCGTGGAAGATCAGTTGACAACCACTGCTGTCAAAAACTCAAATAACGACACTGGAATTATATTCGGATCGATCAAGGCTGACGTCAGTTATCATAGCTTGGAGCAGGCGTTTCCCAAGATGCAGACACTTATAATATTCAGTGAAAAATTCCAAATGGTGGATACTCCCGAAAAACCTGTTTTCCAATACAAGCATATAGATATAGATTGCTCGAAAAAGGGAGCCAAAAAACTTAGGTACGAGTTCCCCAAAATAGTTCCTTCAAAAAACCCGTTTAATGCGGAGAATCTGCTCTTGGTGCTATGTGACACTGGTACTGATATCAGTGTCGGGCTCGTGGTGCTATTGTTGTGTTCGTTCTATGATACTGAGTGGTATCCAACCCCAGCCGGGTCACATAAAATTGACAAAGAATTGGTTCGGAAGCATTTGGGTATGGTTTCAAATCTACAAAAGGTCAATCCAAGTCGGAACACTTTGCAAAGTGTACATGAGTATTTAATGAGTTAAAATGACTGATTTCATAATGTAAAGCGTAGTATCACTAAACTTTCCTTAATATTATGAAGAGGCAAGTACTTAAATAATTTAACAAAAAAAAAACAAGCGTGCTCCACGGCAGGTTCGAACTGTCGACCTTCAGATGACACAACTAATGCTATGAGACTGACGCTCTGCCAACTGAGCTAGTGAAGCCACTTTCTGCAAAATGAAAAGTCACGCTTAAATATCATCGCTATTCTAGAGCATAAAATCATATGTCTTTTTTGCATTTGAGAGACCTCTGAATATACAGAAAGGTTTATTCTTGAATGTGCTTGCCAGAAAAAGTCATTAAAGATTTTTTTACGCAAATTTTGATTTGATTTTTCATTTTTTGGAGAAGGTGCAGGAAGAAGACCGCTCAAATCTAAAGACGACGACAACCTAGAATGTCTTTAAAATCTGTATATTTGGTTCTTAATTAATGTGGCCCTCGTAGAAAGGAGCTTTTTTACTATGCAACTGATGGTTTAGTCTAATCTTTTGTCGTGATATTTTGGCAGTACAAATAAGTGGAAAATTACTAAAGTTTCCAAAATTTTGAACTTTTCGAAATTAATTCATAAAAAACAGAGAGCCTCATTAACCTTGTTTAGCCATAATATCATGCGTTTACTCTGAAAGCGTTGTACTGAGATTATGGATTGAAGACAAGCTATTTGAGCTGGTCCACAGCCAGAAAACGGCTGACATAAAGTGCCTTATTTTGCTCGTCCATACTAACTAACATTTACATCGGAGGGGTTACTTCAAGGCTTTGCATTATAATTTGGTAGGAATCAACGTTTCACTGTGCCTGCCTTATTTAGACGTTGTGATTTCTCGACAAAAGTTAAAATAGCACAAAACGAGCACAGCATTAGCATAAACAATTACCACCCTCCGAACATCACAAACATAAAATATGACGACAGTATGCTGCTTGGCAGGCTGCCTCTACTCAATGGAATTAGCAATACTTTCTGCTATTGGAATCTCAGCAATTTCAAAGACGAGAGTATAATGCTACCTAGGCTTTGGCTGCAAATTTCGAGTTTCGCACGACTAGAATTATATATCAGCTCTGCTATGCTTGTTGGAAGTCATAAAGTAGGTATTATCCATGCAATGACAGGTGGACAAGTAAGAGAACTTCCAGCAAGTGGTAAAATATGAATTTCATATTTGATTTTCCCCAAGAGGAGTTTGCTCCTCCTACTGGACCTATTGGATCGGGTATCAATAGCTCGTCCCATACCCTAGACTCGACTTTATCCCTTAATTCCACAGCAAGTGCCAGACACACAGATACTGATGATTCAATCTTACTTTGGGGCGACTTGGATATCCTGGAACTTATTTCAAAGAATGCTACCCAGTTTGAACCTATTTCTCATATTCAACCTTCAGCGCCAAACGAGGACTACCAACTGTCAAGTGGCTTTGATTTGAGGCATTACATCGATAGCTTGGAAATTCCTTTTAATGAAGAGATTTTAAGCATGCAGATCGATAGCCAAGTCCTAGACGAGACCCTTGCACAGAATCCTGAGCCCACTACCGACCAAGAGCCACTTAATCCAAGCACCATAGTCAAGGGAAAATTGTTCAATTATTCACTAGAAGGTACTAACCCAAGTGATGAGTGTTTTCAGCTAGATCTGGGAACATTGAATGCCCAGGCAATTAGTATCAGTGTACAAAATTCCGTATCTCAGGAATTTCAGCTACAAGATCAGTATTTGAGATCAATCAAACGCGGTGATATGGAGTTTTTGGGGGATAAGGTCAGGAAGAGGCGAAACCCCGAGAGTGACGAGCTCGTTTGGAAGCCCGTATCAATCTACCAAGCTGCGTATACTAATATTAAGATTTTTCCTTTGGAGAAGACAGATTACCATCTCTACATACCCCAAGTTTCGTGCTTTGGGAAAATCAACATGAGGGTCAAACGGGCCTGGGTTCGAAAACCTAACAACAGAGAAAAGTTTCCCATATACAAGTATCGAGGTTGCTAATTGTGTCAGCTGTGTAACATCCACTCGATTAGGCTATATAGGTCGCAGCCAGTGCACGTTGTGGGCCAGCCAAACCCCATGGACGTGGCCAATCAGTCCCCGGGAGTAAATTATTGGTAATCTGCGATAAGAATTGGTATTATCGGCCACAACTCGTTGGCATGTTAGATAATCTAATAAAAGCACATTCGGACATTTTGCATCAATTCCCGAAAACCAAAGACCGCCAAAATTGTTACCAAACCCCACGGCTGAAGCACATGATTGTTACCCCGGTACCTGCGCTTGCATAATCATGTGATAAGGATGCTTCCTGGACCCTCTAGCACCACTTCCGGGTCTCGATTACGCCATCGCCATGCTGACGCTGTTATTGCAGTGATTCCGGATGCTGATACACCCCAAGGCGGCTAGAAGCAGACCCCGTGGTTGCCAAAGCCCGCGACGCTACCAAAACCAAACCCCTCCACCTTAAACCAATCACCAAACCCTTTAATATATTATCAAATGTCACGTGTGATGATCTGATAGTGAAACTGATTACAGCGAAAACACTTTGTGGCACAAGAATTGCGTCTACATGCAGGAACCGCATTGTCACCTACCTGCTAGTGAAATCATGGGGAAGATATATATGCCAGTAGCACCCAGGACTTTGACTAACCAAGATGAGTGTTGGCCAAGTTGAAGCTAGTAAGTACAGATGGAACGGAAATAGCACCCGTTTAGCGGTTGCAGTGCATAACGGTGACCAACGATGGAAGACCAGATGAAGCCCTCCAGCTTGACAGACTACTCCAGTGGTGGTATAGCACCAGAACACTTCTCCAGTGGTATGACTATCACTGGAGCTGGTCGACCAATATGGTGTCGCTGATGCGACAGCTGCAACTTCACCCTCAACAATACTAACATACAGTTGCCCAGACTATCAACAGCATAGCTGGTGCTACGTTCATCACCCAACCAGCTAAGGCGGTCGAGTCGCCATTCAGGCCACTCGTTCCTGATGCCCAGGTTCTTCTCGAATCCAACGATCCGTACCTCGAAATCGACGCCCACATCAGCCAGTCTGAAGATGCTGTCGTCACTGTCTTGACCACAGGCCCCACTATTTTGAAAAACTTGCCGTTCTTTTTAAGTAACAACTTCAAGACCAAACCCGTGGTGTCCCATGTTGACTTGACCAACTTCGATTTCTCAATCATCACCAGTTTGAGGGACTTGAACTACCCGATCGTGATCTCCCAGTCTCCAAAAGAAGCTGCTATCTACTCCAGATTGGCCTACAATTTGGCAGTGAATTCCCAGAAGTCTGCTTTCCACTTTTATGCTCCTTCCCAGTACCAGCTCAAAGATGCTTTCAAGCCCAAGGGCGACGTTTTGATCAAGGACGTGGAGTCCTTGCAAACTAGCGATATTTTGGCTTATTTCGATGTCAAGCCATTCGAACTTGTGAACAAGGTTTCGAAACCAAAGGACTCCGTTTTATACCTTGGTCAACTCAATGATGAAATTATTGAAGGATTCACCAAGGAAAATGTTTTACTCATAACTGCCAATGTTTACCAGCCCTTCTACTTGCAAAGTCTTTTGTCGATAATCCCATCAAGTGTTGAAACAATCACTTTGTTGCTCCAATCAGCAAATATCTCTACCACCCAATCTTCATTCTCGCCATTATTGTTGGATTTCTTCCAAGAATACCCAAAGTACCAGACTTTAAAAAACTTTTCCAAGATTGTCGGTTCCTCTATTGGTTTCATTCAGTCTGGAAAGTACGCTACTGCTATTGAGAATTTGCTCAAGAATGTCAGATCATCCAACCCAGTTCAGAACTTGTCTTTTGGCAAGGTGAATACGGAAATATCCACCAAGTCTTCCAAGAAATTGCTTGAGGACCACGAAAAGGCCCAAGCTGGTGCTTGGAAGTTAGAGCAAGCTTACTTAAAGGTTCTTGAACAGATTGACCCTACCAACTTAAGAATCTTGAACGAATTCAATGGTTCCAACGTGGGCCAATCGAACCCAGAATACGGCTTTGGTTCTTTCTTGTACGACCAGGAGCAGCGTGAAAACTTCGTGGAGTCGGTTCACAAAGCAGTTCAAGAAAACCGTTTCCATTCTATTGATAACAGCAACCTTATTGGATATTTATCGCAGTGGTTGGTCCAAACCAGATCTGGCCTTCCTGTTGACGACAAGACTATTACTGAAGTCATCGAATTATTGAAGACTGATGAAGTTAGTGAAGTTTCTAAGGAACTTTTGGCCAAGCAGGAATACTTCAGATCCCATAAAAACTGGTTGGTTGGCTCAGATGCTTGGTCGTACGATTTAGGTTCTTCTGGTATTCACAATGTCATTACTTCCGGCAAAAACATCAACATGTTAGTGATCGACTCGGAGCCTTATAACGAGAAGAAGGCCGATGGTAACCGTAAGAAGGACATTGGTCTCTATGCCATGAACTATGGTAACTGTTACGTTGCATCTATTGCTATTTACTCGTCATACACCCAAGTATTGCAAGCATTCATTGAGGCTGAAAAGTTCAATGGTCCCTCTATTGTTTTGGCATACTTGCCATACTCCAGTGAATTCGACAGTACTCTCCCAATCTTACAAGAGACCAAAAGGGCTGTGGATTCTGGCTACTGGCCTTTATACAGATACGATCCAACTATCGAGGACGAAAAGGAATCGTTCAAATTGGATTCCTCCAACTTGAGAAAGCAATTGAAGGACTTCTTGGACCGTGAGAACAAGTTGTCGTTGTTGGCATCGAAGGACCCATTGTTGTCCAGAAACTTGACCCAAACTGCCAACACCGAAATTAAGTCTCAACAAAAGAAGGTTGCAGAAGACTCGTTTGCCGAATTATTGAAGGGATTGTCTGGACCTCCTTTGACTGTCGCCTTTGCATCTGACGGTGGTAATGCCGAAGCCGTGGCCAAGAAGATCAACCGACAGGCTTTGGGTAGAGGTTTGAAGTCGGTTGTGTTAGAAATGGACGACTTGTCCATTGAAGATTTACCCACTGAAACCAACATCGTGTTTGTTACCTCTACCTCTGGTCAAGGTGAGTTCCCAACCAACGGTAAGCAATTCTGGGATGCATTGAAAAATGCTACTGACATCGATTTGTCGACCATCAAGTTCTCGGTTTTTGCCTTGGGTGATTCCGAGTACTGGCCAAGAAAGGAAGACAAGCACTACTACAACAAGCCAGGAAAGGATCTCCACGCAAAACTCCTTTTCTATGGAGGTGTTGAGTTGAGCGAAATTGGATTAGGTGATGATCAAGATGCCGATGGTTTCAACACTGGATTCAACGAATGGTTGCCCAAGATCTGGAAGGCTTTGGGTGTTGACAAGCTTGAGGGTGTTGAGGAACCTAAGCCTATTACCAACGAAGACATGAAGGTTGGTTCTGATTTCCTTAGAGGAACCATTGCTGAAGGATTGCAGGACTCTTCTACCGGAGCAATCAGTTCGATTGACCAACAATTGACCAAGTTCCACGGTATTTACATGCAAGACGACCGTGATATCCGTGATGACAGAAAGGCTGAAGGCTTGGAGCCAGCATACGCCTTCATGGTGAGATTGAGATTACCAGGAGGAAAGGCCACTCCTGCCCAGTACTTGAAATTGGACCAGTTGGCCGACTTCAGAGGTAACGGCACCTTGAAGATCACCACCAGAGCCACTTTCCAGTTGCACGGTGTGGTCAAGCACGACTTGAAGCCAGCTATTAGAGGAATGAACTCGGTATTGTTGGACACCTTGGCTGCTTGTGGAGATGTTAACAGAAACGTGATGGTGTCAGCTTTGCCACACAATGCAAAGATCCACGGCCAGGTTTCAGCCATTGGTGCTAAGATTTCCGAACACTTGTTGCCACAGACCACTGCCTATCACGAAATCTGGTTGCAAGGCGACGATGACGGTGACGAGCCTGGTGACTCCAAGGCATGGGAAGCACGTAAGGACGGACCCAAGAGAACCAAGACGTTGGTTGCTGGAAATGCATTGGCCGACGTCGAGCCTTTCTACGGCAAGACCTACTTGCCTAGAAAATTCAAGATCGTCATCAACGTTCCACCATACAACGACGTCGATGTGTACGCCCACGATATCGGATTGATCACCATTATCGAGAACAACGAGGTGGTTGGGTTCAACGTGTTGGTAGGTGGTGGTATGGGTACCACCCACAACAACAAGAAGACGTATCCTAGAACAGGTTCCATGTTTGGTTTCATTCCAAAGGATAAGATCCACATTGCCTGTGAAAAGATCATGTTTGTGCAAAGAGACTACGGTGACAGAACCAACAGAAAGCACGCCAGATTGAAGTACACCATCGACGACATGGGTGTCGAGTTGTACAAGGAAAAGGTGGAGACCTTGTTGGACTTCAAGTTTGAGGAGCCACGCGAATTCAAGATCGACTCTAACATCGACTTCTTCGGGTGGTGTAAGGACGAGTTGGGCTTGAACCACTTCACCGCGTTCATTGAAAACGGAAGAATCGAAGACACCCCAGAATTGCCCCAAAAGTCCGGTTTGAAGAAGATTGCCGAGTATTTGACTGAGGGTAAGTCCGGAGAGTTTAGATTGACTGGTAACCAGCATCTTTTGATTTCCAACATCGAGGATAAGGACTTGGACCACGTCAAGTCGTTGTTGGCCCAGTACAAGTTGGACAACACCGACTTCTCTGGGTTGAGATTGTCTTCTGCAGCCTGTGTGGCATTCCCTACTTGTGGGTTGGCCATGGCTGAATCCGAACGTTACTTGCCAGCATTGATCACCAAGTTGGAAGAAGCGTTGGAAGAGAACGGCTTGAGACACGACTCCGTGGTCATGAGAATGACTGGATGTCCTAACGGTTGTGCCAGACCTTGGGTTGCTGAGGTTGCTTTGGTTGGTAAGGCCTATGGTGCCTACAACTTAATGTTGGGAGGTGGCCACCACGGTGAAAGATTGAACAAGATTTACCGTTACTCCATCAAGGAGGATGAGATCTTGGAGATCTTGAAGGGGCTTTTCAAGAGGTGGAGTTTGGAAAGAAACGAAGGTGAGCCATTCGGAGACTTCGTCATCAGAACTGGTATCATCAAGCCAACCTTGGAAGGTAAGTACTTCCACGATGATATTGCTGAGGATGCTTGAGGCATCCTTTAGGTTAGCTGAGCTAACACCGTCACATATACTTCAGTACTTAATAAATTGAATTAGAGCTCGGTGTAGTGTAAGGGTTAGATCCTAAGTATTATTCATTCTTCCTTAAAATATTAGCAAATTGTGCTGCGGTTATAGGTGAAGTAGATTAAAAGAACAGCGCCATGGAGTTAGGACTGATTTGTGCCAAAGGAGGTCTGTCCATTTCGGAATTCTGGTCTTAGTTAATGTAATGCTTTGCCGTATGGTTGTATTTTATCCAGTTCCAGGAGGACGAACACCATTGCACAGACACAACGAAGAGCAATTCGAGCGTTTGGTGCCAGCGGCTTCAGTAATTTTGGGTCAGCAACAAAGAGTATTCCTGGATCTATTTGTAATAAATATAAATTTAAAAACCACATGTTTACCAACATGATCAGTTTGTTGGTTAAGGCCAGTGTCGAGGGTGGAATCTTCACCTGGTTCTTCACCGTTTGTCCTCACTCTAAGGAGGATTCTTGGACGAAGTCATTTTACGTTCCCCATTGGGTACTTTTGACGATTACACTGGCATTTTGCTGAAACTAGCTTAACTTCATTGGGTTCTCTATATTATTCCTGGCAATTCCTGTAGCTAACAAGCTTCTATAACAATCTCTGGAGTCCCTAAACAATTGGCGAGTGGTTACAATAATTGAAGTGGAGTGTACCTACTGCTTAAGAGCTCTTATGTCTCGGAGTCCTTTGCGTAATCCATGCTCTGTCAATAGTGCAAGGTAAATGACAGTTCAGACCAGCTTACACCGCCGTTGTGCTCAAATGAAGCCCATTATGATGAACTGAAAAATATTCTGATGCAAGCCATTCAGCACCGCAGCTTGGCTCGACTCTTGAAGTTCTAGTTCATTCGCATCCGCGGTTTCTCCACTCGTCCGCTCTTGTCCCTGTCGGAGCCCATCGACCCCAACGAGCCCAAGAGCGACCGCTCGAGCTCCTCATGTGTGCCCTGAAGCGTACCCTCCTTCATGGCTCGCACGTCTTGCAAGAGACTCTTTATGGACGGCTTCTTGTTACGCTCGATCCTAAGCACGTCTCGTATCTTCACGTTCCACAACGTTACACTGACCCCATTAAGCCTACGGAGCACCTTCTGCTCGGCACCCCGCGAGATCTTGTCGGACTCGTGGCGGATCTGCTGCAAATTCTGGCGGCACTCCTCCTGAAACTGCTCGATAATTTTGGCCTTCTCTGCCGCCGTGTATGTCATTGTTGGGCCTAGCACTCGCAAATGTGCAAACACAGTTTTGTTTATATGTGAGCGGCTGATCTGGGACCCGCTCATAGTCCTGCACACTGCCACTAGAACAAATGTTGCCTACAAGGGTGGCAACGAACACACCACCACGGCCAGAACCACCCATTCTTCCACTAGAACCAATCAATTAGAGTAGTATACCCGGCCGCAACCAGCACTAGCCGAAACCACATATTCAAGCACACAAAACAGCAGCCATGGTCCTCGAAGCTACGATGATAGCCATCGACAACTCGGAATACATGAGAAATGGAGACTATTTGACCACCAGATACGACGCCCAGTTGACGGCCACCGAGCTCATTTTCCAGAACAAGGTCAACTCCAACCCCGAAAACACGGTGGGATTATTGGCATACGGCGGCAACGGCCCCCAGGTATTATCCACATTGACCACCGACTTTGGAAAGATATTGTCTGGGGCCCACGCCACCAAGTTGACGGGAGAAAACCACTTCTCCAGCGGCATCCAGGTGGCCGCTTTGGCATTGAAGCATCGTCAGAACAAAATCCAGCAGCAGAGAATCATAGTCTTTGTGGGCAGTCCCGTGAGAGAGTCCGAGAAAGAGCTCGAAAAGTTGGCCAAGAAGATGAAGAAGAACAACGTGGCTGTGGACGTCATAAATTTCGGGGAGGAGGGTGTCAACACTGCCAAGCTCGAAAAGTTCCACGCCGCCATAAATAACCACGACAACTCCCACCTCGTCACCATTCCTCCTGGCCCTAGAATGTTGTACGAAGTGGTTGCATCCTCACCCATTTTGGTCGAAAACGGCTTCGACATGGGCAGCGGCGATTTCGATGGTTTTGGTGGATCCGGATTTGGCGGAGGCGATCTTATTGATCCTAACATGGACCCCGACTTGGCGTTGGCTTTGAGACTTTCATTGGAAGAAGAAAAGTCCAGACAAGAAAGAGAGGCCGAGGAAAAGGCCAAGAAGAACAGCGATTTGGAGAAGATCGACGAGGGTAAGGAGGGTTCTGACAAGAAGGACGAAGATGACAAAGATGTTAACATGGAGGAAGCCAAGTAAAGGAACCTTATCGAAATGCCCCATCAAGGGCAGAAAGAATTGCGCCTACATCAATCTCCGGGAACGCAGTTTTTTTATCTAGAACTCACACACAGACGTCACCGTCACTGACAGTGGGCTCAGTACCACCTGTCTCAATAAAGGTATCACCAAGTTGTATTAAACTGTCAATTGCCAGTGATGAATGTAAAAATTGTATTTGTAGACTGCTCGCTCCAGTGATGATAGGAAACACAAGGATAGAAAGTCGACTACTGTACCATCAAAGTAATCTGGGGAAACACTCTAGGTGGGTGATGCCAATGTAAGAGTGAATATACTACACCAAGACTTTGAGTCATATGAGATGAATATCATCATTATTTACGGATAGCCCCAGGTGGTATAAACTTACATGGTTCGGGATAACCTATAGGAAAGATTATTAAGGGCCCTTTTCCCTCTTATAATCTGTGGTATTACACCAAATTCGCTGGTTGAAGAGCATACTCTAGCATCTTCAAAAAGCTACAGGGAGAGTGAACAAGGAATTCAAAATTTCCAAATCTCGCTCCGTAGAAGAAACTAAATAGGTTTTAGTTCGATCGAGTTTTGGGGAGACGAAAAAGTCGTGGTTGATTATCGGATGGCTATTGTACACTTTCAAACAATACCTCATTTTGCTCGACACCTCCACCGATTGAAGACTCGAGCAACCCTTTCGCCAAGGAAATCTCCTGTATTAGTACCAGTTGTAGGTGTCCTTAATGGCTGCGAAAAGTGAGCACATGGGTCCCATACTTGGTTCTCTGCTGGTCATGGAATCCTTGGTGACATTTGGAAGAAGAAGCAGATGCCCAAATACCATTCGAATTCCACTCATCCACTAGTAAAAGCGGATGTAATATTTGGCAAATAGAGGCTGTAACTTACCATCCAATTTAGTCTGCATTTTCCAACGATCGTAAGGTCTTATCGTATTATCCAGAATATGCAATTATTCTTCAAGGTCACATTATTATTTGTTATAAGAGACCCATACCAATGGTTACAAAATTGGTTCTAAAAATCCCACCAAATTGTTCCTATAATGTATAATAGCCCTTGTTTGCCTTACCGTCACTATTCAAACTTGGTTAGAGCAGCGATGTATAGTAGAATATTTAAGATAATGGTAGCAAAGGATGTCAGAAAGGATGTGCCTCTTAGATGAATTTCTTATGACCGATTGTAGTTCTGATGGCACATTTTCAAGCCCAAGTTTCCCTGATCTTGAGGTAACTCAAAAAGTGTCCAGACTCAATCTAGATTAATTTCTTTAATCGACAAAACATCCGTTCATGAGTAGTTCTAGTCAAACTCTCTCATCAACTCCATTTCGTGGTCTTGGTCCTCGTTAGCAACCTCGAAGTCCTCAGGCTCTGGCACAGTGTCTGGATGCTGTATGGGCTCGGGTAATAATTCATCATCTGAAAATGGGTCATCTGATAGATCATCGGTGACTTGCGTGGATTGTGTAGCCTGCTCAGGTCCTGACAGTTGTAAACTCTGTGGTGGTTGTGATCCGAATTCTAGTGTAGTTTGACTGGGCTGGGTTTGCTGTAGAAGCTGTTCTTGGGTAGAAACTACTGGGAAGCTTGGGGTCAGGTACAAATCGTCTTCATCGTCATCCACGAACAAACCATTACTTCTGGCAGGTCTTGGTCTGTGTATGGAGTTGACATCCTCCTCATCTTCATGTAAGCCAGACAGGCCGACCTGGCTATCTTCTGCAGCTGCTTCTGGCTCCTCGAGAGCCACGCCGTCGATTTCCGGGTTTTCAGCTCCGCCTTCATCAACAATCCCCTTTTCTACCCTCAACTTGTTAAGTTCCATTTCTATCAATTGTCTCCTGTAGACCTTCAATTGGGGAGATCTTGCGCCCAAGCTTCGGATCAAGTGGATACAGTCCTTGAACTTAGCTTTTGGAAAGAGTCCATGGCACCATAGCTGATAGAACTGCAACACTGTGGTCAAGTTATTGTATTCGTGGTCGTACTTGGCAGTTTTGGAGACCTTGCCCTGGTTCTTTTCGAACGTCTTGTCATTCTTCTTGATGCTTCTGAGTACACCTCCATGGTTCTTGGTGATGTAGTTCAAACCCGTCTGGTTGTTAAATATTCTCTGATTGTCGATCTTAGCGATCTTGGCCCTCTTAGTCAACTTGATCAGCTTGTCGAGACCAAGAACGTCCTCGCTGGGTGCTGCGACATTTTCATCGTCGAGCTGTTCCGTAGCCCTATCTAGAACGTCCTCCAAGTCCATTATTGGTGTGATTTGATAGTGATGGATTGGAGATGTATAGACGCGTCTGGCCAGATCCGAGGGCGATGGCGATCTCCGGGGGTACTTCTCCACACAGATAGAGTAAAAAATCAGACCGAAGAGCCAGACAAGAAGGGAGAGGACTGCAACTGGCAGCTCGAGCCGCTTAGTGAAGGCCGACACAGCAAGGGTGCTGGCTTTGGGGTACACCGTGTGGATTGGGATACATAATGATAGGCACATCACGTGACCTCACACTACACCCATCCACTTGGCTATTCTAGCAAGAAAGCGGAACTAGCTTACCACGCCTGATCTGTTCTACGTGGATCTCTCCTTCCTCGAGTGCTCCAGCTGTCTTTTTGGTGCTTGGGCCCTCCATCAATAGGACTGTCTCAACCATACTCATCTGCGCCCATTACATAATCTCATCTCCAAGCACTAGCCATGTATTATAGTGAATATCTTCCCCGAATCAACTCCATATCGGTCCTCGTGGACTTCGACGATCAGACAGTAGCAGATATCACCAAGATCGAAGCTTCTGCCCTGCAGTTAGGCATCACCACCAAAAAGAACCATTATTCCATCACTCTTCCTACTCCAATAACCAATGCATTAAAACTTACCAACTTGAAGAGTACCACCCAGAAATGCTTATCAGTGACGATGGCAGTTCCTTCGAGTGTCCCCAAGCCCGTGGGCGAGGCTCAGTCCTTCATGGCCCAGAACTCCACCAAGTGGTCCTGTAAAGATCTACAACAGAAGACACCAGTGGATGGCAACAACCAGAGGATATTCACGTTTTCATGTGGAAACTGTGATGTACCGCTAGTGCAGTCTAGCGACTTCAAGTTTATGGACATGCCCTCTGAGTTCTGGTACGAAATGATGGACTTCTGGCATTGTCACAAACCCCACAATAATCACAGTACCACCAAAGACTATTCCGGAGTGTTGAAGCCGCCCAACGACTCCACCGTTATGATAGGAAGCCATTACTTGCTCCTCAATAAAAACGATCGTTTGGCCAACGATGGGAAGCTGGTCAAGTGCTCCCAGTGTGGAACCACTCTTGGTGATGTCCACGAAACCTCACTAAGAATCAACAAATGGGAGTTGCAATTGCACTACAAGGATCATTCCGAAACATTTTCTCCTCACCTTTTCATCTACAACTCCATTCTCGACAAGATCAACTCGTTGGCCACCAGGAAGTTCAAGTTCTACCACTCGAATCGGTGGTGGTATTTATGGATAATGAATGTTGGGCTCGACATTGCAGTGGAGGGTGCAATTCTTAATAAGGCAATGAAGATCCTCTATTTTACAGATCCTAACGACGACTCCAACTTCGTAGAGGAATATGAGCTGTTGAGCATCACTTCTCCCGAGATAATCCTCCAGTTCACCGAACAACTCGAAAAGATCAATTCTTTGCTTCCACAGTGCATAAAAACCGTTGAAATGGATAGAAAATGGAATGTGGGATATCTTGCTGAAAGCGGGCAAGTATAAAACATCCTTACATGCATGGAAACAGTATCCGAAGTCCATAATCGAGACCAATTTCTGATCTCGACAAGCACACAACCAACAAGCTTGGCATTATCAGATTCTAATAGAATGCTTCAGGTATAGCTGAACTACACATCGCAATTTCTTGGTTGAGCACATTACTAAACTTGAACTTGAGCTACCAATACTGCTTGACTGGCTGATCTATTCTACTGATGGCTAGCGGGTCAAAAGCTACGTTAATCATTACTTTTCTATATTACTCTAGTTTACACGATAAACACACCCATTCTTGCTTATGACCTTTCGATGATCTCCTTGACAATTGGAACAACCTGTTTTCTCGACGCCGACAATTTGGCTTGGTTGTACAACTTGAAGGTCCCGTTGCTATGGGAGAGGCCAGCAAGCACATCCTCAATCTTGTTTAACTTGTATATATCACCGTTCAATTCCAAAGGTCCTTTGGCATGTTCGTCCAAGCTGGCAAACTTGTTGTTATCCAAATCTTCGAAGTAGTAACAGAATTCTCTAGTGTACTGGTCATTCTCTTTCTGGGTGTAGGAGGAAGTAATCACCAATAAATCGAGGCCTTGAGTCTTTAAGCTCTGTGCCAAAGTCTGTTTGAGCTCTTCAGAGGAAAACTGAGTCAATACCCACTTCAAGGACTTCCCAATAGAACTGAAACCCACACGCTCGCCGGTGGAGAACTTGAACTGTTTGTAGTCCTTGAGCAAAACGTCTTGGAACGAGAAGCCACTCAAGTCCTTCTTGTTGGTCTTCAATTGCTTGTAGAATCCTGTAAGCATATCCTCGTCCTCTGAAACTTTGGCGAGAGTCACGGCTCCATTGTCCTGCAAGATTTCCTTGTAGGTCTTGATGGCCTGGATGTCACCCTCTTCGACCTTCTGGGTCATGTTAGAGGTGTCGATCAACAAGGGCCCGAGCAAGAGCTCCACGACCTCTGGGTCCTTTCTGAAGATAGCTGTGTCGTTTGCAAGCTCGTTGAACCAATAATTGAACACCAACGAGGAGCACGAACCATTGGAATGCACGATTCGAGGAGAGGCGTCCACGAAAACGCCTTCGTCGGCATGGTGGTCGATGATGGCAGTCACCTTGAGCAAGCCTTGTTGTAAGCGTTCGCTGAGGAGAGCACCCTGGATGTTGCAGTGATCCACCAAGATGATATCAGTGGACTGCCCCTTGGTGATGGAGGCAAAGTCTTCGGTGAAGTACAACAAGTCATCAGAAATTGAGTGAGATCCGAGAAGTCCCACGATGTCTCTTCTCAAACGGAGCTCGTTTCTAGGGATGTTGATCAAGGGGATGATAAACGTGGATGGGTTCTTGATGTTGGCAAGATACGAGTACGAGATTGCACTGATCACAGAGTCCAAATCGGCCGATTGGTTTCCTGTGACGAAGGAAACGGGCTTGAGGGCGCCAGCCTCGAGTTTTTGCTTGAGTGATGCAAGGTATGACCGGATAGACATGGTGGGGATGTTCAGCCGTGTTTGATAATAGAGATTAAATTCGCAGAAAACATATCTGAAAAATGATAGACAGAAGTCAAGAATTGAGTGTCTAGTTTAAAGCTAAGTTGCACGTGGCTTACAATGTAGTAGTCATTGTGTGTGGATTTCAATTCGACTTCTGTTATTTACAAGAATACATTACATACACTGTTAAATTCGACATCTGTGAAATATACGAATAAGTACACATTTATGATCTCAATAAACTGGGAAATACGAATAAACTATACACGGTCCGGCAATATCCGATACATTGCGAAATAAATGAATACGCCGTTCATTTATGATCTCGGATATCGAAATACAAGAATATAATCAGTTTGGTTTATTGTGAAACACAAGTATGAACAGTGAGATATAATGTGATATACAAGAACTACTAAGCATAGACGGCCCAGGGATACTTTCTAATGGGTCTAGCATGCTTACTTGGCGTAGTGCAACTTGATGTCCAACCATTGTCTCTTGTTGACCTCTTCTGGCGACAACGAAATGTCTCCATAAGTAACTGGTCTGAAGTAGAAGAAGAACCACACCACTGCCACGGAACAGACGGTAACCAAGGTCATCAAACGTCTCTTGTTGACCCCCTTGGCAAGTCCGTCGTTGGAGTTGTCGGAGGTGATGAACTCGACCAACCCACCACTGAACAAGGCCGCAATCAAGTGGGCAGGCAAGTAGTGGTGCAAGAACTTTTGACGGTTCATCAAGAAGAAAGGCAAGTAGTGAGCACACCACCCAATGAAGAGGAAGCCCAAGGTGTTGTACAACTTGGATCTGGCCTTGTCGTTGACGAGGTAGAGGTTTCTTCTGCGGGTTACTTGGTCTGCCAATAATAATCCGAGGTAGATGGCAAGGAAACAAACCTCCAACCAGAAGCCTACCACGTTTCCGACAAAGAAAATCTGCTTCTTCTCGTCGTTGTCATTCCAGAAGGAAACACCAGACAATGCTAAAGGCCACGAGTCTGGCTGTGAAGCGAATGGATGTTCAGAAGTCAACACGTTGTTGTGATGGAACATCAAAAACTGCAACTCCCACCACTTTTTCAAGAATGGGATGGTTGTGACTTTCTTGGGCACATACTCGGTTCTGGGGTCCTCTTCAGCCAAGTTGACGATCTCGTCGATGTACCAGGCATTGTCTCTGTCTTGGACCTTCTTGTTACCACTAACTTCTTGGTGTCCGAAACCCCATTCAGGCAAGAGTTCGTCGACGTGGGTCCACATGGCGACCACAGTATCCACATGGATGAACTTCAACGAGGTTCCCTTGGTCTGGACCAATTTTCTGGCGTCCTTGGATCCGGATGTAGAGTAGTAACGAAGTCTGAACAATGTCTCGTTGTAGTGGTCGACTTCGTCGTTGTCGTAGGCAATGGTGAACTCTTCGTTGGTGGGTCTCAATGGCGAGGCAACGTCATGGGTCAACAAGTATCCACCAGTTCCAACGTGTCTAAGTCTAATCACATCGTTTGTGTACACATCCGACTTGACTCCGTTGTCGTTGGCAGGAACAATTTCCCAGTGGTTGTTGACGTCAGAAGGCTCGTTTCCATCGGGATCAAAGACACAGGTGACTTGCTGAGTGTTTGAGGAAATTCTACCGTCCTCGTAACGCAAAGGATAGTCGAACTTGTGCGAGTGCAAGAAGGCATCGGTGTCCTTGTGCTTGATGGTGATAATATCGTAGTAGTGGACGTCCTTGGACAACCTGGCTATGGGCGATTCCAGCAAGGTTTCCTGGAACTCCGAGCTCATGAACGAGTCACCAGGACCAGACTTGGTGAGAATGGCAAAGTGGACGTAGAACCAGAACAAGTAAATGACGAATGGGATGATGATCAATGCCCACAATCTGGCAAAGAAGTGCTTGGAAAGCTCTGCCAACGTGAGTCCTTTCTTATGGTCCATCAAGTACCACAACTCGTGGAGCACAGCAATTCCAATAGTCACGTAGGTGAACACACCCACGTACTTGGTGGAAATCACACAAGACAACGACACACCTGTGGCCAAGAGCCATCTCCACCAGAGCCCGCTGAAAGGAGCCTTGCGGTGGGTAGAGAACTTGGCGTACGAGAAAATGGTCAATGCAACACTCAACAGTAAGGTGGAATCCAACAAGATCAATCTGGAGTCAATGACGTGAGCGTTGTCAAAGCACACTAACAAACTGGAAAAGAAACAGGCAGCCACCGAGAAGTTCAACGTCTTCATGGTGAGGTACATCAATGGCACCACTGCGGTGCCCTGGATGGCCAGCAACGCTCTGTAGGCCACGTATGGCACGTTCTGGGCGAGGTAGCTGTCGCCAATGTTGTCGAACTTGAAGGAGCCGTCGTAGCGGACCAACCATCCCACGAATGCAATCAAGAGCTTAGCAAATGGAGGGTGCAAGTCGAAGAAATAGGTTCTTTCCAAGTAGTACGAGGCAAACTTACCGAAATGGACTTCGTCAAAGACGACCTTCTCGGGGTATCCGATCTTGATGAATCTGGTGTAGGTAGCAAACACCGTGATCACAAACAACCCATAGTAGTACTTGTAGTTGGGATCCTTTGGCGTGGAGATGTGAGTGGCTAATTTGTCTAATTCATCTTCGGTAGTGACGGGAGACGAGGAATTGGCAAGCTTCTTGCCACCTCTCTTTCTTAGGGTTTGTGACATGGTCGAGTTCCGGCCTTGACTGGAGAACTTCTACTAAGGGTCGATTTTTCACCAGATGTACACGTCAGTGCTTGTCACGTGCAAGACGCGTAGGCTCCACTGGAGGGATACTACAATAGGCTGTAGTGCTACGGGTGTCGTATGGACACTATTGGAGTCAGTCATCGATGTGGAAGTGTCTCGTATTGTTGGGTTTTTGTTGGGGGTTTGCAGGAGATGTTTAGTGACACTCAATTTGTTTGAAGTAAGGACTTCCATGGCTGGAGCCTTCATAATGATATATGCACTACATGGGCTGCACTGCCTGTTTTAGTGGTTGTGGGCCTGTTTGCTATTAGTCTCCGGTATAGAACTATAATGAAGTATAGCATAAATATCACTCCCGAGTCAAACTTCGTGTCTTGAATTGAGAGCCCAGGTTTATCTGAAATTAATTCTTCAATGCTCTCATAGTTCGACACCAGCCAATGGTTACTGCACTGAATGGTATGTGCCGCCTCCTTCGTAATCTGACTATTGATTCGCATCCCGGAAATATTGTAATCACTTCGTATTACATGAGCTTTTTGGAACGTTTCTGGTATCCACCACGTCCCCTTATGATCGGCACCGGCTGTACGTTCGAGGTAACCGTGGTGCTTTTTCCGGCAGCAGGAGGCGCAAAGCTGGGTGGAAACTGGAGTTGATGGGTAGGTGCATGGGGAATGCCATCTAAGGATGAGTTGGACCTGGTCTTGTTGTCAAACCCGACTTCTGAATCTGATGTGGACATGCGCGAGCTTCTCATCGGGATCTTTCCGCCACTTGAGCTCCGGTAGTGGTCGGGGGTGCTTGGAATGGATATTGGCTTCGATGATAATACCTGTATTAATCTTGCATTTTTCTCATCCAATAATGTCTCGTACTTCAAGAGTGTGGTGGAGAGTTCCTGTATCTTCTTTTCGTATTGCGAAGTGAATGAGTTGATGTTCTCATTCAACTCGAGCTTGGATGCCGCGAGTTTCTTCTCGTAGTTCTTGGTCATCGCCAAGTAGTCCTCTCTGGATTGCTCCAATTCTAAAGTCATCTTGTGGTTAGTTTCTCTTAAAATGCCTATTTCTGTGTTGAGCTTATACATCTTTTCGTCTTCTGCTGCCAGCTCAGTATTGGGGAGAGGGTCTTCAATTTGTTCTCTTTCTAGCTCTTGTGGAGAGTTACGAGTGTCGGACTGTTTCTGGGACTCCATCTCACTGATTTTGATTCTCATTTGTCCCAACTCGTAGTCTTTCTGGGAAATTTCATCTAACACTTTAACTAGCTGTTCATCGGATTCTTGCTTATCATTATGAAGATTGTTTAATTGCTGCTTCAGAAGTTCATTCTCCTCTCTTAGCTTCTCGAGCTTGCCGATGAGTTCCTGTTTCATATTTGTATTCTCATTCTTGAGCTCAACAGTCAACTCTTTTAAATAGTCCAAAGTCAGATACATGTCATCTTCAATAGACTTGTCAGCTGATGTGGTATGCTCCCCCGTGGCATTCTTGGTCGTATTACTCATTTGAAGCTTCAACTTAATGTACCGAAATTTATTCATGTGTTTCATGAAACTGGCGAACTCGTACTCATTCTTTACAAGTAAAAGTTCTCTCTGGTAAAACTCTAGAGCTGTCCCTGTCCCTTTGTCCCCAAATGAGGACCCATTGAGTCCAGCAATTGTTTCTGAATTGGAGAGTGTTGATCCACCTGAACTAACCATAGATCCTTTATGGGCAGGAGCCGTTTCCAACGATGTAGTAGGTGATGAGATGTGTTTGGAATAGAATAAGTCATTCTTGAATCTATCACCCAAAAAAGAAGTAGACTTTTTACCTCCGAAATCTGGTTCATCTAGTTTTTGAGTGGGTACCACTATTGATGTGCCTTTGCTTTTAGGGCCAAAAAGTGTTTCATGCGTGCTCATGAGGTCGCCCAACGGATCAGACTTCAATTGATTGCGCTCAATAGTGGGCCCTTCGTGGTGGTGATAATCTGCAGAGAATTTTCTTTGGGGAAAATCACTTTCTGAGTAGTAAACCTTGTCACTGTCAGAGAGAAAGCTCTCATTTCTATCTTTGGAATCTTGTACTCCTTCATTGAACATCGTATCCTTGAATTTAATTTCTGAGCCTTCTTCATGCACTGGTGCATCTATCACCATATTAGTAGGAATAATAGACATTTTTCTACTGAGATTTTGAAACGACTGCTGCATTAGGACCTTACTCGATAACGAGTCCTTAACGTTGAAATAGACTGGACTTCCTATCGACAGCTTTCTAGAGATATGGTTGAATTCTTGTTGTGAATTATTTGAGGTCCTCCCCACAGTCTCAAAGGAGCCTCCAAAATTGTTAAGAGGCCTGGTTTGATTCATAGACTTGGAAGATAGAGAATGAAGTATAGTATCACTTATATCAACCATAAGATCCGGATGAAGATTGAAACAAGCTATAGATATCTCTTCAGGCAGCAAAGTTCCTGATTTTGAATCGCTATGAGCATCTCTAATCCATTTGAAAGGGTCTTGAGCTTCGTTTTCTTTTTCTGTCTCGAACTCCACGAACTTCGGATGCACCCTGAATTCCATCAAAAGTTTCTTTAACTTGCTTCTGACCGTGTTCTCGAATAGTTTAGAGGTCAATCCCATGACTTCTAGATATGTAGAGTCAATCACATTGTATTTGAGTTCCTGGCAAAACTTTAGTGGGGCCCTCGCGAGTTTTTTCAAATTAAATGGGAACAATCCGTACAAGAGAGTGCCAAAAGGGGAGTAATCGATTGTCTTTCTGAACTGCAACAACCCTGTAAAATGGAAATCAATCGAATTTGAATCCTCGTTCAATATTCCCCATTTGTCATTAATTTTTAATATGTATTCCTTGATCATTTCCAACTGTTTGGCATTTTTAGGATCCAGATCATCCCATGCCAACATGCGGATCATTACGACGCAGAGATCGGGCCACAATTGGGTATACTCAGTTAATTGTGGCATGATCATTGTCAAAATGGACAAGGTGACTCTAAGGATTTTATGGTTGAAGTCGTACAACAAGCATTTTATCAATGAACCGAGCAAGGGAGTGGAGCTGACGTCGCCAAGGCCACCCTTGAGCGAGGCCACAAAGGAGGAGATAAGCACAGAGGTCTCAAAACGTTCTTTGGGGACGACGAAATGCTTATTGAGGAGGTTCAAGTAGTTGAGGGGCTTTTTCTGTCCGTACTCCTCGATAAGAACCATGCTGTTGTGCTTGATATATCGTATACGCTCCTGGTGCACCTGGGTCATCTTCTCGTGCTCCTGGACCTCCAATCGCAACCAGTCGACCCTGGCCTGTTCGTTGATGCCGAGGTACACCTCGAGGAGGATCTCTCCCACACTCTGTTCGATGTTAGCGATGTAGTCCCTGCGTTCTGGGTCTGCTGTTTCTGCAGTGTCGGTCAACACCGATCGTATGAAGTCCCTGGCTTTTGCCACGAACCCAAGGTCGTAGCCAGCGCTGTCGATGGCAGGCTTGAGGTAGGTCTTCAACCAGAGGTGGACCTCTTTCCTGGTCAAAACGCACAGAAGCTGGCGCAAGATCACAAGGAACACTGACTCCTTGGAGAGCCGGGGGTCTGGCTTGATGTAGGTGTTGTAGATGCGGAAGAGCTCGTCGTTGATACTGGTGCTCTGTTTGAGGATGTGGAGAGTGTTGTGCTTGGAGTGAAAGCACCGGATCACTTCGCTGGTGGCTGCCAGGAGCTGGCTGGGAGGCTCGTCATCGTTCCACTCGATGAACACGGAGTCCAATGCCTTGATCAACGACCTGGAAGATCCAGACATCCGTGGTATGAGTAGAGACTGTCTAGGCGCCTAGTGATAAATCGCGAAAATCGATATTGGTGCCGTTTGGCAGCACTTTCTTTTCAGCACCAAAGACTGCCGGCACCACTACCTCCAAGTCTTCACAGCACCTCTGCTAGTCGTGGCACACCACTACGAAGAATCTCTCTGCAGTCTCCACGTCCTCCCTTCATCACAATCGCTTTGCCGCTAAATTCTTCCGCTACTGCCGCCATGGTCTCACCTCTTGCAGTCATCGACAGGGTCGACAACTTCACCTACGGCTCCACGGACAACTGCTACTTGTTGGTAGCTCACACAGATAACGTGGCGCTCGGATACATTCATCCAACGCTCGTAGACCACCTTCGGGCCCATCCGGGGTTCACCTCCTCTGGTAGGTCCATCAGCATCAACGCCTCCTACGACACCCTCGAGAAGCGGAACCAGTTATTCGAACAGTTTGCCCTCGAGTTGAAGTCCAAACCAGAGCTCCACCAGCTGGTGGCCAAGGGGTGGCGCAACGAGCTCTACACCGTCTACAACCCCACCCATACCCCCTACTTCCAGGTGGAGAGGGCAGTGTCGGTGCTCTTGGGGGTGGTGACCTACGGAGTTCACATCAACGGGTATATCCCCGAAAATAAGTCCAGCAATGGCAAGTTGAAGTTCTGGATCCCCAGACGCTCGGCCACTAAACCCACCTTCCCTTCCATGCTCGACAATACGGTGGCAGGCGGGTTGGGATACCCCCACGGCATCTGGGAAACTGTGGTCAAGGAGTGTGATGAAGAGGCCGGTTTGCCACAAAAGTTTGTCGAGGAAAACGCAAAAAGCACCGGTGTGCTCACCTACATCTACCAGACACCCGACGGAGGCATCCAGCCCGAGGTGGAGTATATCTACGACATTGTGTTCCCCAACGAGACCGAGGTGATTCCGGTTCCCCAGGACGGAGAGGCCCAGGATTTCACCTTGATGGACATCGACGAGGTCGAACAGAGGTTGCAGGCTGACGAGTTCAAGCCCAACTGTGGGATGGTGATTATAGATTTTTTGATCAGACATGGATACATCACTCCTGAGAACGAGCAGTTCTACAGCGAGATTTTGGCCAGAACTCACAGAAGACTTCCTTTTCCTACAAAGTAGCCCTGTGGCGAGCTACTGGAATGCGGAATAAGGTTGTACAACAGGATGAATGGCTGAGTACTGATTGATCCTCGAGCCAGTTGTAATTCTTCAAATTGCAGTCAGGTAAAGAAAAGACATCAAAGTATAGACATAGTCTTTGAGAATAAGAGAGACCCACGGAAACAATTCCAATACGTAGAAGATAATTCATACCCAGAAGACATTCACCATGATTATGTTTGATTATGGATAAAAGTCTGCTACTGATCAACAGGTATAGTTGAGGCAATAACTATGTTGACCAGAAGGAGAGTAAGAAGTGTATATTGGGATCAAATGATACTCCGATGGTTTCAACTCATTAACTAAGATCTGGAACATCTCGAAGGTTGTACCTCGTTAGGTACATGATCTGGAATATCTCAGCAACTTGCAAACAATATAATTGACCAATAATCTTCCTACCTGTAGCAGACACGAAGCTACACATCTCTCCTGAACTCTCTCGCCGCTCCTCTACAGATAAGCTATACTTCTCATCCCATCCACTTCTTATCCCCACACGCACTAATATATATCTAATCGCAACCACTCCACCAACCACCGCCGTCATGTCTTCTCCCATCACCCAGACCACGCCAGACCCGCCAGATTTACCCTCCATAGACTCTTTACTCTACACAATCACCCTCCAATGTACCAACTACAAACAATCGCTCCATATGGACGAGCAGGAGCCTCTCACCGCTGAGTTCACCTACAAGGTCAACAACCTCCAGGAGTTCTTCTACGACAGAATCGCCCTTCTATCCAAGAATCCAGTGCTGCAGCACCACTTGCTCTGGTTGGTGTCGCTCAAGCTCCTCTGCTCTTATGTCATCAAGTACAAGAAGTACGTCTACTCCCAGCCCCCCATGGAGAACAAGCACGATGACTCGTTCAAGCAGTACAATTCCATGTGTGGCAAGCTCATTAAGCTCTGCGGTGACTACTCGGACCTCTGTGCCCATTTCCTCAATAGTCCCGACTTGAAATTGGACTACTTTGTCAAGGGCAACGACCAGCTCCAAGACCACTTTTGCACGTTCATCAGCGACTCGCTCGAGCTCTTGGTCACCGATCACTCCAGCGACATCTTGGACCACTCAGTCATCCACCTCGAGCCTATCCAGAAGTGTCTACTGGCGTACTTCCAGAAGATCAACACTCTCGAAAACAAGCATCACTTGATGGGAAAAGCTTTCCCCATGCTTGCCCAGTTCCTCAGAATCATCTACATGGTGGGCGAATCCCAGCTCCTCAAGCCCCTCTTGGAAGATCGCATCATCACCCCTCTTTTGGGCGAGGATATAGTACGGAATTGTCCTGTTAACTTCATTGATTTGATCAATTTCTACAGGTATTCTGCATTTAACTTGCTCGTATTATCGGTGCTGAACGAGAACAAAATCAATAAGAACTACAACTTGGAAGCCAACGTGTACTTCAAGGTATTGCTTGCGTTCCCCAACCTTAGCACGATAGTCTATGATCCATTCATACAACAGACACCAAAGGAGGAAAAACCATTCCCAGACTATTTTGCCACTGATCAGGATGAGGATCTCTTGGTTGGGCTTTTGGAAAGACAAGAAATATCCCTCAATTTCATCTTGAATAGCTTGTTGAACCTCAACGACATTCGCAATTACATTGATCCCAATCCGGTGTTTAAGAAGGAACTCAGCTTCTTGATTAGTTCGCTATCGGTTAGCTTATCCAAGGAGATTCACAGGTCTGCTTCAAGATCCGGGAGCTTGCATTCAAGTACGTTTTCCTTCTCAGCATTGAAAGAGGTGGAACTACAGAGAAGAAAGGACGAAATGCAGAATAAGGTAATCAATCGCCTCAGATTGAAGTCGCTAAGTGCGGTGCTTTTGCATGGTTCATACAAAGAAAAGCTCAACTTAATTGTCAATGTGATGAAGGCTTTTGAGAAGCACACATTGAATGTGGTCCTGGACCTCGACCTTCCATTAACTTACGAGCAAGATAATACTTTGTACCTGATAGGTGCCCATAGTATGGGGAAAATCCTCTACTTGTCCACAATCAAACATGTTTCAAAACTCTTGAAACTTCTCTCAATCAAGCACTTGGTTCTTAACAACGGCATAAATCACTTCCCCCTTGCTACATTGAACAAGATATGTTCACCACATCAATTCAACGAAGTTTTGAGTGTAAAAACCTTATTGGAGTATGATCTGCATGTGCTGAACGGGGAAAAGATAATGGTGTTTAAAAAAGGTGAGGAACAGAGGGGCACAATCCAGGACAGGGTACAGGCACAGCTCGAAATCGCTAGTCTATCGGAGCATATGAAGACTGTTCTAGGTGGTTATTGATGTATTTGAGATGGGAAATAGAAAGCATAGTTGTATAATTTGATTTTTCAGATTCTTCGGAATAAATCTGGGTAGTCAAGAGAGAAGTATTCGAAATGCATACTGGTCATTAACGCTAATAATCTACCTGTAGGCTGGAGATTTCCCCACATCAGTTATTGTATACAGAACAAAATACGTCAGAATGTCAGATACACTTGGCTGTATTGGTTGGCAAACAGAAGCGATAATTTGACAGATATAAGAAGCGCCCGATAAAAAATAATGGGCCTTTGCGGGCTTCTAGCCTTACTATCGGCTTTCACAGTAATACAAGACGGTGCTCTCGAGTGTTAACAGAAATAACCAAGAAAGGAGAGGGCTGCTAGGCAATGATTCCAGAGTGATGGACCTGAGTCAACCAAGAGAGGATGAAAATCTTCCACTTTCAAGGAATATTCGAATTAGAAGCAAGACATAGTTGAAATAGTCCATGAAAAAGGGAAAAATTGATGGAACTTGGATTTTCACGAGTTCACTACGAATGCCACCCTACATGCCTACTGTCATCCACGGAGGTTGCAACTTTTGGAATTTTTATAGAAAATAGCACAAAACCTCGAAAGTGATGAACTATCAATATGGGTCTTTGCATTGTAAATGTCGACCAACGAACATACAATAATTGCCGAATGTTCATCAATCCTCTGGAATAGTTACACCTACCGTTCCTAGTAGCTGGACAAGGGAAACAATATGAGAAAAGTGTGTGATCTGACCTGAATAGATTCGCTGCGCCTTAATGGGACTTTAATTACGTGGGCCTTGATCCCAGCATAATGTGGAACTTGAATGCTCTGCACTATTAATTCCAGCATTTCTGCATACTTTAATGTCTCAAAAGCCCTGCACTATTGATTCCAGTATCTCAATTATTGATACATTAATGTCACATAGTGGTGTATTCTCTCGTAATTATATGCATCTCGATTCTTGCGTACTTATTGTCACCTCTTTGTGTACTTCTCTACAGTTCCAGCATCATAATTACTACGTACTTTAAAGTCACTGTATCTGTGTGTTTCTCTCGTAATTACATGTATTCAAGCTCTTGAAACCTCTCCAAACTACCAATTCACCTCCCATGTACAAACACTCGACACCACCCACCACTAACCAGCCATCGGCCCATTCCCCTAAATTTCACTCATCCTGACTCACGCATGGCGCTACCACCTCGCACGCGCACCGCCGGCATTTATGATTCATCCTTCTACCATTTTTCACACCACCACCATGTTCTCCAAGTCCTTACGCCCGTTAAAGGGCAGTCTCTCTGGTGCCACCCGCGCCTGGAGCCGCTCGTTGGCGTCTGCAGCAGCCAACGAGCTGACGGCGGTCCAAGACGCCAAAAAACGCTATCCTGAGCTCCTCGACTCCGACTTTACCCCAGAAGGTCTTCCCGACTACGTCAAGCTCATCTTGACCTCGCGTGTCTACGACGTCGTCGACAGAGCTGGCACTCCGCTTGGCCACGCCATCAACTTGTCCCACAAGTGCAACGCCAACATCTATTTGAAGCGGGAAGACTTGCTTCCCGTCTTCTCGTTCAAGCTTCGTGGTGCCTACAACATGATTGCAAATTTACATGCAAACAGCAAAACCCCGTTGTCGGGAGTCATTGCATGCTCCGCAGGCAACCACGCCCAGGGAGTGGCGTTCTCTGCTAGCAAGTTGAACATTCCCTCCACCATCGTCATGCCCACACCCACTCCCTCCATCAAGTACACCAACGTGTCCCGCTTGGGGTCCCAGGTGGTGTTGTACGGAGACGACTTCGACTCTGCCAAGCTGGAATGTGATCGTTTGGCTGCCTTGAACAACCTCACCAACATCCCTCCTTTCAACCATCCGTATGTCATTGCTGGCCAAGGCACCATCGCCTTGGAACTCACCAGACAGCTCCGTTTGGACAAGTTGAACGCCATCTTCGTGCCTGTGGGTGGAGGTGGCCTCATTGCCGGCATTGCCGTGTACTTGAAGAAGATCGCACCCCACGTCAAGATCATTGGTGTGGAAACCTACGACGCCGATGCATTGTACCAGTCGCTCAAAAGCAAGCACCAGGAGACCCTCGGCAGCGTGGGTGTGTTCGCTGACGGCACTGCTGTCAAGGTGTTGGGAGACGAGACCTGGAGACTCTGCAAGGACTTGGTCCACGATGTTGTCAGAGTGTCTACTGACGAGTTGTGTGCAGCCATCAAGGACATCTTCGAAGACACCCGTCTGATCACGGAGCCCTCTGGTGCACTCTCAGTGGCTGGATTGAAGAAGTACATCCAGCAAAACCCCGACATCGACCACAGAGACAAGACCTACGTTCCTATCTTGTCAGGCGCCAACATGAACTTCGACAGACTCAGGTTTGTCAGCGAAAGAGCCGTTTTGGGTGAAGGAAGAGAAGTATCGTTGGCCGTTACCATCCCAGAAAGACCAGGTGAATTTACCAAATTGCAAAGTATCATCCACCCAAGAGCTGTCACCGAATTCTCCTACAGATATGGCGACGCTGATAGAGCTAATATCTTCTTGAGTTTCAACGTCATCGACAAGGAAAAGGAGTTGGCTGCTATCATCGAGACAATGGAAAACTCCGAGCACAACTACGAGGTCGTGGACATCTCTGAGAACGAGTTGGCCAAAACCCACGGACGTTACTTGGTTGGTGGAAAATCACCAAAGATGGATTGCCACAAGGTGGCCAACGAGAGATTGTTACAGTTCGAGTTCCCAGAAAGACCTAACGCCTTGTATAAATTCTTGCAGTCTCTCAAGAGCAACTGGGACATCACCTTGTTCCACTACAGAAACCACGGAAATGATATCGGAAAGGTATTGTGTGGTTTCCTTTTGCCAGAAGGTACTCTGGACAAGGAATTCGAAGAATTCTTGGACAGCTTGGGTTACAGATACGTCGTGGAGACCGATAACGTCGTGTACCGTAAGTTTTTGAAGAACTAGACTGACTTATCTGTTCACCACCCATACTACACCATGGGCTCCGTTCAAGACTTCAACCATCACCCATTAGCATATCAAATGCAATAAAAAGACTGTACCCCATTGGTCAATCACCATAATTCCATTTGTAATACTACGACAGCTATATATTTCTAGCCTTGCGTAGACCTAATAGTCTATACACTGGGAGCTGTAGGCAATTCCTTTAAATTGCGTGTGTTTCTATAATTACACAAATATGTACAAGTTTTGAAGCTATCTATGACTAATTTCTCCGCAAGAATGCTTGGTATGCATCGTGATTAATGTGGACCCTTCCCGTGGCCTTCATCTGTTTCTTTCCTTCCTTCTGTCTTTCTAACAACTTCTTTCTTCTGGAAATATCTGCGGCATGCAACTTTTGAGTGACATCCTTTCTTTTTGCCTTGATAGTTTCTCTAGCCACTACCTTGTTGTTGATTTTCGCTTGAATGGCCACCTCAAACAACTGAAATCTCAAGTACTCTTTGAACCTGGTCACGTATTCCTTTCCCTTACTTTGTGCTTGTGATCTGTGTAGCACGGTGGTCAAGGCATCCTGGGGTTCTCCATTGACACACAACTCCATCTTCACGATATCAGACTTCTTGTAGCCAGCATCTTCGTAGTCCAACGAAGCGTACCCTTTAGTGCAGCCCTTCAATTTGCCAAAGAAATCCTCGACCAATTCTGCCAACGGGATTTGATATTTCAACAAAACCTGTCCAGTAGTCAAGTACTCGAGTTCTGTCTGTACGCCTCTGTTGTTTTCACACAATGTCATCACTGTTCCCACATATTCGCCAGGAACTGTCATGATGGCATCAACAAATGGCTCCATGTACATCTCCACATTGTGGCCCTTGTCTGCGGCAGGAAATCCGTCTGGGTTGGTAACGATCTTCTCGCTGCCATCTCGGTAGACAATTTTGTAAGGCACGGTGGGAGCAGTCAAGATGATTTTGGCCCCATACTCGTTCTCAAGTCTTTCCTTGAACACAGAAGCATGAAGAGACCCGAGAAATCCGAGTCTCCACCCCAACCCCAAAGCATTGGAGGTTTCTTTGGCCAAAGTGACCGATCTATCATTGAGGACCAAGTTTTGCATATGGTCGTCCATTACATTGAACTCGGTACCGTCCGCAGGGAATGCCCCCAAGAAAACCATTGGCTTGGGCTCCTCGAAACCAGGCAAGGCCTCCAAGCCCTCGTGCTTCCCGTACTGGAAGAAAGTGTCACCAACTAAGGCTTCTCTGGGGTTTTTCATTCCTGGAATGATGTAGGCTACTTGGCCTGCACCAATTCTGTCCATGGCCAACTTGTCTGGATACATGATTCCCACCTCTTTCACGTCGTAGACTTTCTGTGAGTGTGCTGAGAGGAGCTTCATGCCCTTTTTAATCTGGCCATCCACCACATTGACCAACATTACCACGCCCACGTATGGATCGTGCCACGAGTCCACCAATAATGCCTTCAAGGGCTTTTTCTCGCTTCCAGAAGGAGCTGGGATCTTTTCGATGATCAGAGGAATGATGGCCTCCACGTTCAACCCCGTCTTAGCACTCACGGCTATACAGTCTTCTCGTGGAAGCTCGAAGGTGTTTTCCACCTGGTCCATTGCCATGGGGATATCTGCCTGATCCAAGTCAATTTTATTGATGATGGGGATCAACTTGAGGCCCATACTGTAGGCCAAGTAGAAGTTAGCCACTGTCTGGGCCTGGACACCCTGTGAAGCGTCCACGAGAAGCAAGGCACCCCCACAAGAAGCGTAAGATCTTGACACCTCCAACCTGAAATCGACATGTCCCGGGGTGTCGACAAGATGCAACAAGTAGTCCTGGGAGGTGGTGGGGTCGTTGTAGATCATCGACACGGTCTGAGCCTTCACGGTGATGCCTCGTTCTCTTTCCACATCCAACTTGTCCAACACCTGTTTGTTGGACCCTGGCTGTATGACTCCCGTGAGCTCAAGAAGACGATCTGACAACGTGGACTTGCCGTGGTCCACATGTGCCACGATACTGAAGTTTCTGTAGTTTTCCAATGGGATTTTGGCGATCCGGTCCTGGATGGCTTTTCGATAGTTTTCTTTGTTCAAGATGATCTTCTTCTCTTCGATAGTTAGCACTTTGGCAGAGGCCTGGCGGAGCTGGCCCATGGCTCTGTATGGAGCCACGCCCAACGTCCGACTCAACGGTCTGGCGAATAGCATATATGGTGAGTGAGATGGATTGGAACGAATTCGCAGCGAATAATATGAGCATAAGCATCTCCACGATTGGGCTACAATCTGTGGTAGGGAGAAATAATTAATTACGATTTCACCGGGATTCTATGTGGATCTGTCGACTTATATTGGTGCTGGTGACTTCTAGCAGTGGCCAATTCCAGCTAGTGACATAGGTAAGACCACCGTTAGATCGTTGGTGGTTTTTGCAGTAACTCGCTCTATGGGATTGATCCAAGCAGAAGTTTATCACTACTTTGATAATCACCAATCTGCAGAAATACCAGGATTAATGCTCAAGCACTCTGGTACTTCCTCTAAACCAAATCCAGGACTGGCTGGTGCCAGTAAAACCTCTGCTGGCGAGCCTAGTGAAGATTAAGACCGAGAATATAAGGTATTCTGCTAGAGTGATCGACTTTGACTATTTTTTATTCGATAACAAATAGTTGCAAGGAAATAAGGGATATCAGTGGAATTGTTAGCAATTGACTAGCTATTTCAAGCTTGGCTTCGACAGAAAGTCCCTGCTTCGTACAGTTCGATATTGAAGTGACTTTTTCCGAGCAAAGATCAATTCGTCAGAAGTCACCAATCGTAGTTGAAGTACCCATTTCCACTCCTTCGGAAGAAGTCTAAGGGTTCCCCAAAGCATCTGAGTTAGCTTCTCCATCGTATTAGTGTAGTTCTAATTGCGTAACCTCAAATTACTATGGCTACCTCATTCAGAGGGAATAAGCCATGACACTAGTCTGAAATACAATTTAAATTCCACCAATGTGTATACTTGATATAATTCCCAAGCTCCAGCGCTCTGGCGTCTAGATGACTCAAGTGAGGGCTGCAGCTAGGACTAAAAGATTCCAAGTATTTCTTCTAGAACCATTCTGGCTGGATCACTCATAATCCTGTTCTATACTCGAGGCAGCAATGGGAACCATTTATCATTTTAACCAAGAATTGTGGTAAGATATCGAAGAAAGTATGTTTAACGCCAACAACGTCTTGCCAGAGTTTCTGCTGGAAGTAGCAGCGCCATTGCATCCAAAGAGTACTTCAACATTACAATACCAAGACCAAAACTACAGTAAACGTCCATAAGTTTATGTTACAGCTGATACTTACTACTGAGACTTGCCCAGTCGTCACTCACTCATTATGCGTGGGTCTTTCCAAACTCTTCGACGAATTTAACCAAGAGCTCCACACTTTCAAGAGTGACAGCATTGTACATGGAAGCTCTGATACCTCCCACAGATCTGTGACCCTTCAATCCGTTCAATCCCTTCGCAGACGCCTCCTTGACAAACTGGTCGTCCAACTCAGCACTGGGAAGTCTGAAAACAACATTCATCTTAGAACGCACTCTTGGGTTCTTCACTGGCAAGATATAGAATTCGGGGAATTTGGCCAACGCAGCGTATAATATGCTGGCCTTCTTTTCATCGGTGGCCTGGATCTTGGCAAGGCCGCCCTCTTCCAACAATTTACCAGTCACCAACTTTAAGATGTGAGCAGTAAAGATTGGAATAGTGTTGTAGGCAGAGTTGTTCTTGACCACAATAGGATACTGGTAAGCAATTGGAACCAAAGGAACGCCGAGGGCCTTCAAGTCGGCATCGCTGGCCTGCTCTAACAACGACTTCTTGATGATATAGATGGTCAACCCAGCCAAACCGATGTTCTTTTGGGCACCTGCCATGATAAGACCGTACTTGCTGACATCAACCTTTCTGGACAAAATGTTTGAGGACAAGTCAGCTACCAACTCTACGCCTTCTGGCAAGTATTCTGGGCCTGGAATATCGTTGAACTCGTTACCGTCGACGGTTTCGTTGTCACACACAAATAAATAAGAAGTGTTTTCAGCAATTGGCTTCCACTCCGAGTAAGGAGGGATGTCACTGAACTTGATGTCCTTGGTGTTGACCACAACATCGACATCAAAACCCAATCTTTCGGCTTCTTCAGCAGCCTTCTTGGACCACGAGCCAGTGACTGCGTACGCAGCTCTGCCGACCTTTCCAGTCTTTTTGGCGTAGTTAGCAATCAAGTTGTAAGGAATGGATGAGAATCCGGTGGTACCACCTCCTTGCATGAAGAAAGTCTCGTGGGTGTCTGGAATGTCCAATAACTTGGCCAAATTGGCTTTGGTGTCGTCTATGATTTGCATTGCTGGTTTGGAACGGTGGGAGATCTCACCAACTCCGAGGCCCTCGTTCAGGTACGAGACCAAGTCGTAGGCGGCCTCTTGCAACACGGAGGTTGGCAAAATGGCTGGTCCTGCTCCAAAGTAGTGGGGTTCTTCACGATCCAAGGTTCTAACGTTCGACATGGTGTATCAATGGATGGTCAATTGCTGGAGAATGGATTGAAATGAGTCAACGGTAGATGCGAACGCGACATCAGATGCGACACTTGTCCGATGTCGCGTTGACCCATTGGTGACATGAACTTCCGTTGAGATAGATTGTGACAGATTGTGACATGACGTCTTGCAAGTGCCAGGGAAGAGATGAACTGCTTGAACTTTGATTAAGATCATAGTAACATGTTCGCTAAAGTAGTAGTAATTAGTTAATTTTGAAAAATTCCACTGGATAAACGTTCCAGGAGAGCTAGAAATGTGCAAAAAGAAGTGAACAAACGAAGTACGGCTTCCTTTTAATCACTTGCCACAAATATCCACTCAATTCACTGGCAAAAAACCGGCCTAAAAGCGCCATGGCCAATGTGAAATTTTGCAGCTGCAACCAGGCTGAATTATCCTGCCATGTCAATTCCAGGAGTGAACACTAAAAGGGATCACGCCGGATCCCAGCAATGTAGTATATGATCTCCACGTCTTCAGAGTCTTCGAGCATGCAGTGAAGTACCACCTCTCGCGGAGTGATCAAAAATACCACCGTCTTACAGGTGGCCACGATCTTAGACGCCATTTGCCAGTCCTTAAGACGCACGGAAATCTCCTTGTCTTCCGACGGGTCCTCCTCGTCGGGGCCCTGGTCCTGGTTTTTCAATACAGCCAATCGTATGGAGTCACTGTCGAAATTTGCATCAGCATTGGGTTTCTGGACCTCGAGCTGTTGGTTCCAACTGATAGTGACCTTGTACTTGCCATCTTCCTCCAACACAAACCCAAGGAAGCCCCCGCTTCGCCTGGTAGCCTTGATGGTCACTAAGTCGTTGTTGGCGGTCTTTTTGAATTTTTCGAGTCGTTTGTAGGTGGCTACGAATTCGGGAGGGAGCCTCATGATGAGATCGACCTCGCTCAACTCGGGTTCCCGCAACATGGCCGAGTCGTGGGAGCTTTTGAGGATCTTAACAGGGATGCGGAACGTGTGGTTGATGGTGTTGGTGTTGGCATTAAAATTGGAGTAGAAAAGCGCCAACGATGCGGTTCTTCCGTTGTGGGTGTTGACTCCCTGGCCTCCAGCTGAGTCCTTGCGCTGAAGCCGGATGTTTAGGCCGTCGCTGTTGGCCCTATCGAAGTTACGCAAGGTCTGGAGAAGCAATTCCACGTTAATTTCGAGCAGAATGGTGTTGTCTCGCAAGCTCTGGATCTCGATCTGGTCAAACATGGTGGTCATGTTGAGCTTGCACCACACCTGGGGCTCCAGGGTGACCGACTGACCGTTGACCAGGATGACCTGGAGCTGGGATGGTGTGAACTGGAGAATGACAAAGCGACGGATTTGCGAGATTAGGGAGAGGGTGGTCTTGAGGGCCTCGGTGCTCTGGGTGCGGAGCTTGAGCTTCATGGTCGTAGCTTAACGATTGTGGGACTGTGATGTGTGGTGCACCGTGAGATGAGGATCAATGCTAACAATTAGCCAATGGGATGCTTTCTGGCACTGTGGATGTGGATCTCAACTCTGCTGGCACTAGATGGTGGATTCTATCTTCTGCCACTTGATGGTGGATTCTATCTTCTACCTCTAATGCTGGATGCGATCTCCTGGACTCTACTGCTGGTTCCTTCACGCCACTGTGATCGCCTTATCACAATTCACTACCCTCTGGACTTATCCCAATCCTCTCTTCGCGTGCACTCTCCAGCGCTCGCTCCATAACTCAGCGCGAAATCTCATCTTCAACACCATTCTGGCCCTCCTACCACCATGACTGTCGAAGACGCCGCTGACGACAGCGAGTCCTTCAAGTTCTTCGGACTTGGCGGCTGCAACGAAGTGGGCAGATCGTGCCACATCATCGAGTACAAAAACAAGGTCATCATGTTAGACGCTGGAGTCCATCCAGCATTGTCGGGCCATGCGTCGTTCCCGTTCTACGACGAGTACGACCTCTCCAAGGTGGATTTGTTGTTGATCAGTCACTTCCACTTGGACCACGCAGCTTCGCTTCCCTACGTGATGCAGCACACCAACTTCCGTGGTAAGGTATTCATGACTCACGCCACCAAGGCCATCTACCGGTGGTTGTTGCAGGATTTCGTCCGTGTCACCTCCATTGGCGCAGCCAGAACCGAGGAGGGCGGTCCCGAGGTGGCCAGCAACTTGTACACAGACGACGACATCATGAGCTCGTTCGACCGTATCGAGACCATCGACTACCACTCCACAATGGAGATCGACGGCATTCGGTTCACAGCGTACCACGCAGGCCATGTGTTGGGGGCTTGCATGTACTTCATCGAAATCGGAGGCCTCAAGATTTTGTTCACGGGAGACTTTTCCCGTGAAGAAAACAGACACTTGCATGCTGCTGAGATTCCTCCCACCAGACCCGACATCTTGATCTCCGAGTCCACCTTCGGCACCGGAACCTTGGAACCCCGTGCCACTTTGGAAAACAGGTTGACCAAGTCTATCCACGCGACCATCACCAAGGGAGGCAGGGTGTTGATGCCAGTGTTTGCGCTTGGAAACGCCCAGGAGTTGTTGTTGATCTTGGAGGAGTACTGGGCCAACAACGAAGATTTGCAGAACGTCAACGTCTACTACGCCTCCAACCTCGCAAAGAAGTGTATGGCAGTGTACCAGACCTATACCAACATCATGAACAACAACATCCGTCTCACAGCTTCCAATGCGGGCCAGAAATCCAGTCCTTTCGACTTCAAGTACATCAAGTCCATCAAGGACTTGTCAAAATTCCAGGATTTCGGTCCTTCGGTGATGGTGGCCACCCCTGGTATGTTGCAGGCAGGTGTCTCTAGACTGTTGTTGGAAAGATGGGCCCCAGACCCCAAGAACTCAGTCATTATGACCGGGTACTCGGTCGAAGGTACTATGGCCAAAGAGCTCTTGAAGGAACCTCACACCATACAATCTGCCAGTAATTCAGAATTGTCAATTCCCCGGAGAATTGGTATCGAGGAAATCTCCTTTGCTGCACATGTTGACTTCCAGCAAAATTCCGAGTTTATCGAGAAAGTTGCCCCTTCCAAGGTCATCTTGGTCCATGGAGACTCTGTCCCTATGGGTAGATTGAAGTCGGCCTTGTTGAGTAAATATTCGTCAAGGAAGGGTACTGAGCAAGAAGTCAAAGTCTACAACCCTAAGAATTGTGAAGAGTTGAAGATTGGCATCAAGGGTCTTAAAGTCGCTAAGGTTTTGGGCTCATTGGCAGAGGACCAACTCCTTCAATTAAAAAAGGAAATATATGCAAAAATAGAGGAAGACAATTTAAAGATAGAAGAAGATGAGGCAAAGATCACAGAAGTTAAGGAAGATGTAATGGAAGATGCTAATCAAGAGGATACAAATAAAGAGAAGTCTGCCGATGACCCTAATGATGAAGAGAAGAAGGACTCCACGACCGTATTCAAAACGGGCCAAGTCATATCGGGTGTTCTCGTCTCCAAAGATTTCGACTTGAACCTCCTCCAGTTGCAAGATTTGCATGAATACACCCAACTCTCTACTTCTATTGTCCAATCCAAGATCAACTTGAAGATTAATGCTGACATTGGCTTAATGAAATGGCATCTTGAACAAATGTTCAGCTACATCAACATAGTCAACGATGACGATGAGGTATGGGAGTGTGTCATTATGGATATGGTTGATGTTCTCGTGGATAGAACTAAAAAGGAAGCATTGTTCATCACAGTAGAATGGATTAACGATAACTTGATGGCAGATTCTTTGGCAGACAGTGTAATTGCCATTCTCTATTCGATTGACTCGTCACCTGCTTCAGTCAAACTCTCCTCCACAGAATGCAGCCATACTCACACACAAGAAATCAAGAAGGAAGAAACACCTCCCTCATTGAAGACCGCACATGCAAACTCGGAAATCGCTAGTCGTATCCACAGAATCGCTTCTTTATTGGAGGCCCAATTTGGTGACTCTTTCCAAGCATTGGAGAACGATAAGGCCCTGATCAAGATCGGCAAGAACGAGGCCAAGATTGACTACCGTAGCTTGACTGTCGAATGTGGTTCGAAGGTCTTGCGGGACCGTGTCGAAAATATCATCAAGAGAGGGTGTGGTCTTGCTGCACCATTGAGCCAGGCTCAGAAGGCATGATGTATTTATAGTAATGTATAATATATGAACGTTGGGTAAATAAGTGCTGCCGGAGTATTGGTAATCTGGATCGTCTCCAAATGAGCATGCTTGTGTACTTCCATGTCTGATGCAAGGGTGTGTCTTTTATATATTAAACTTTTGCTAAAATCCTACCCAACGTTGTCCTTCAAGGTTTTGAGGGTTTCAAGGCCACTCTGGAAACGATAGGGGACTGAAGAATAGTTGTGTCTGAAATTAAAAATCCAAATATGATATGAAGTAAGATTTTATGAAATATATGAAAGAGAAAAATAAGAAAATGAACATTTAGGTAATTAACTCCTTTAACTGTTGTAGAGGTCAGTAGGCTTAATAATAATACTTAGAATATTGTTGTGTAAACGTAAGAAAATGTTTGATTGTGCCCTTGATTATTTCAGTATACAGCAAACGTTCTGGTACTTCGCACGTTGTATCTTGGCACTAGCATTGCAATTTCCCAACAGTCCTTTTGCACTTGTTGCTTCTGTAGTGCGCTACCATCTCTTCATACTGGGACGTGCGTGAACCGAACATCTCACAATCTTCATACTCAACCAGACACCATACAAAGGCCCGTACTCACTCTTCACTACACACAACCAGCACAATGAGGTATGTATCAGCGCAGCCTGTTGCATCTTGCACATTACTAACCCCCAGTGATTTAATAGACCGTCCCCGTTCAGAATTGACAGAATTAGAACTCCAAAAACTCGAGGAGTTTGAGTTTGCTCATGGCCCCATGTCCTTGATCCAGAATGCCGTCAACAACAACACTCCGATCGTCATTTCATGCAGAAACAACCATAAGTTGATTGCCAAAGTCAGAGCTTTCGACAGACATTGCAACTTGATATTAGAGAACGTCAAAGAGTTATGGTCCGAACCAGTCAAGAACAGTAAAGGAAAGAAGATCAAGACAGTTTCCAAGGAAAGATTTGTCTCGAAGATGTTTTTGAGAGGAGATAGTGTGGTGATCATCTTGAAGGCCTGAGCTAGAGCACTCGAGTCAAATAATGGCCGCCTCACAGCAGTGAATGGTAAGTACTGATTGGATGAAACAACCACACTATGCCACTCAGAACCAGGACCAAGCTACAATTACCGGCCCCTATCAATATCCTGCTTTAGATGGAATTCTCCGTCTTTTACCAAAACTACTGGTTTAAACCGGTCACTGTATAATACATGTACATTAGAATTAATACTAGAACGAACTAAACCTATACTCCACATCTCAAGACGTTTTGTCTTTGATGTCTAAACCTAATCACTTCATGTCTCTCCATGATATATAATGCCTTGTCCAAAGCTTGATGAGAAGTCTTACCGGAATCAACAAATTCCCTTTTGAGTGTATTGTAAGCAGTTGACCAACCGATCGGTAATCTTCTTCTGAGCTCAATCTCAACCTGTTTGATTTCATTTGCCAAGTTTGGATCTGATGATACACCTCCACTCGAAACACCTTGATCAACGGCATCCATGGTGGATGCTGTAAATAATCTGATGGCTTCTTCGACATGTTCTTCAGTTGCAATTGGTGATAATCTCAATTTAGCCAAACTCTCAGTTATTCTGATAATAGCCTCCAATTGTCTGACCGTGATTGGGATAGAGGATCTCTCGTTCATGTTAGCTTCGTTCAACTGTAAAGTTCTTCTGATAGAAACAAAGTGAGATGCTAATCTTTCTGAGGCTTCTGGGCTCAATCTTGGAGCACACTTCAACTTCACATACTGAATGTATCTTTTCATGGTCTGAATAGGAATTTCTCCTTCTTGCACTTGTTCATTCTTGTTTCCAATATGAACATTCATAACGTGCTTAGCAATAGATATATCTCTGTCTGCATTATGGTCGTCTTTAACGATGAAAATCATATCAAATCTGGACAAAATTGTGGTTTGGAAATCAATATTCTCACCAGGACTCTTCAAGTCGTCATATCTACCATAAATGGGATTAGCAGCGGCCAAAACAGAGGTTCTGGAGTTCAATACGGTTGTAATACCGGCCTTTGCAATGGAAATAGTTTGTTGTTCCATGGCTTCGTGAATGGCGACTCTATCTTCATCTCTCATCTTATCAAATTCATCAATACACACAACACCCCCATCTGCTAACACCATGGCACCACCTTCCAAGTAGAAATCACGAGTCTGGGTGTCTCTTTGCACGGATGCAGTTAAACCAGCTGCAGACGAACCTTTACCAGATGTATAGACGGAGATTGGCGAAATCTTTTCCACAAATTTAAGAAGCTGGGACTTGGCTGTACCTGGGTCACCCAATAGCAAAACATTGATATCTCCTCTTAATCTCATCCCATCCGGTAAAATCTTCTTCGATCCACCCATCAATAAACAAGTGATGGCTTTTTTGATATCCTGGTTTCCATAAATACCAGGGGCAATAGAGTTAGAAAAGATATCGTACAAGTTTGGCATTCTTGACAATTTCAAGAACTCTTCCTCCTCTTCTTCGGTGAAGGTGATTCCATCACCGTGCACCCCATTGTCAATTTCGGTCTGAATTCCTAGAATTTTGAGATAAGGGTTTCTGATAGCCACAGTATTCATATTTCCTCCAGCACCCTTTTGCTTGGCCTGGTAAATAGAATAGATACCGATGATAGTGACCCTGGTACCTGGAACAACTTGGTTGGTCATATATCTGTCGGCTTGTAACAAGATGTGTCTTGGCATTTCACCAACAGGCACCATATCAGGAGACTCTTGCAACTTTAATACTTGCTGGTCAATGAAAGTTGATTTGTCGTGGACGATCACGTAAGGATCAGGAGGGCATTTTTCTTGGGTGGTTTGTTCATCCATGTTGTGCTGAGCTTGACATCTGTTGGGCAAATTAATTTGGCCAAAGCCGGTTTTAAGCTTAATCTTCATTGTGTGTTTACAAGAACGACAAATCAATTGGACTTGAGTGGCCCTGGAAGATAAGACGGATGTGGAAATGATGATACCACTTACTCTGACGATCTTGGAAATGTATTCGGAATCGAGGTTTCTGATGGAAACCCTGGATGCATTCGAATACAAGATCAACTGACATGTGGGGAAGTCCAAAGGAACTTCATCGTTGGACAAGTACGCAATTCTCTTACCGACATCAGTGATGGCGGTCTCAAACAAGGGGATCATTTCGGTGGGATCATCAGTCAACTTCTTGTTCAACTCTTCATTGAAGCCGATAAGATGCTCCGAGTTGACCTTGAGGTAGTAGTTTTTGATCAAGAGGTTCTCTCTTAACTGGTCTCTGTAGATAAACTGGGTATCCAATCTGAACTCAAGGATGAATGATCTGAAGGCCTTGATGATTTCATTAAAGGAATTGTCTTCTGGTTCCTCTCCAGGCAAAACCTGGGCCCCGTATACTTCTCCTCTTTCGTAAGACATGTTTATAGATAAGCACAGATAAGATGGGAATGAATTGGTGTTTATAATGTCAGTGAGACGTGTTGAAAAATTCATTAATTATCCTAATTCGGACAAATTGAGTACGCGGGAGCTGGGCCAACCTGCACTGAGATGGACTATGATTTCGTGGGCCAACCTGCACTTGCACTCCAGTGTAACCTGCAACTGGCCCCACTTACCCATCCCAAGGCATATCCAACATTCTTGAATATCGGGACCAAGGGCGCTGACAACTGTTCAAGGTGGCTGTCACGATGTTCTCTCCAGTGCGCTCGTTTGTGCGGCTCTTGTCGGCTTCTCCAATTCCAGGTGCAATTCCCAAGAGAACCAAATTGCCTCCGAGGCCCAAGTGGCTCATCATCGAAGATGAGCTTGATGAAAAGTTTCTCAAGGGAGGACGGGGTCCAGGCGGCCAGAAAATCAACAAAACCAACAGCAAAGTCCAGCTTACCCACAAGCCGACTGGAATTGTTGTGACTTGTCAGTATTCCAGGTCGCAAGAACTGAACCGGAAGAAGGCCAGGGAAATCTTGGCCTTGAAGTTGGAGGACATTCAGAGTCCTGAGACAAGCAGAAACGCAGTCATTGGTGAACGGAAGAGTAAGCTCAAGCAGAGTAAGGCCAAAAAGTCCAACCGGAAATACAAGGCCTTGGATGAAGTCCGTGCCGAAACGAGAGCCAAAGAATCGGAGGCTGAAGCTGCTGAAGTGGATCCTGAAGACGAGTTCAACCGTATGCTTGCTGAGGCAGCACTTCGTGCAAAGAATACTCCGGAGTCGTAGCGTTGAGCAAAACTTGAGAAGACACAAACCGCTATTTTCACCGTCAACACACTTTAGCAGCTGCCAATTGCTCTCTTCAACACTCTTAACCGTATCATCCGAGCTCTGCTATGAACTTTGCCGTTGCTTCCATTTCGTATAGCATCCTCGTGGTCTGACTTGCTCTATATTATACAGCGACTAGTTGCGACTTGCAGCCATTTTCTTTTATCTTCTTATAATGCTGCTCACCAAAGGAGATATCACTGCCATAGTATTGGGATCGGCTCTCTTTATTGTCGTTGTTGCTGTGACGATAGTCGTTGGGGTGGTACTCCACAGTTGTTATGCTGTGGTCGAGCCAGATCTAGAACCAGTTGATACTCGAGTACGCGTCCGCTATCCAATCATGTGGAGGCGTTTACAGTGGCTACGCTCAAGATTCAATACAAAGGAGGCCATTCAGAGCATACTGCCAATATCAGAAGGGTCGTTACAAGGTGGGTGTGATATTCTCGATAGACACTCCGTGAGAGTTGCTGAAGCTAAGCTGGAAGTTAATGCAAGTAAACATGATCTTTGGAATCAAACAGTCTCCAGGTGCAACTTAGTGGACACAGACAACCAGAATAGAACAATTATAGCAAATCCCACCCAGAGCGAACAACAATACATTGCTTCTCAGTTCGACAGCTTTTCAAGAACAATGATGCTTCAAAAACTATTGCAATACTCCCTGGACTGTAATGAACACGCAATCAGGGCGGTCGATGATCCGTTTCTGGGTAAACTAATTTCAATTGGCGGAATCGTGGTGGTGGTGGATCAGTTTCGCGGGTCAGAAGACTACGAGTTTAAATCCTTACAAAGGGGCGACTTGCTCAGAGTGGTGAAGTTTTATATTAAGGAGGATGGGGAAACCGGTGTTCCCCAGACACACACACAATCTATGGAACAGTTGGAGCCAGCCAAGTTCGAAAATATCCTGACTCTTCTTGAAGAATCGTGTCTGGTAAACGGAGCAAAGCTCCCACTTGCTTGCAATGATGAGTCCATGACCACTGGAAACAACACTTTCATCCTGAATCAAATAGATCTTCAATTGAAGAAGAGCGACCCGCGGTATCGAAAGCTCTTCTGTACGGGAATTATTCTCAACACATATTTGACTTGCGAAGGTAATTCCATCTCGTTGAGAATCAAAGAAAATGATGCCATACCGAGTGATGAAACGCAGCTTGTGAAGGATTTTCCGCTTCACGTAGTTACTTTGGAAACTACTTTCCTAAAACAGTTTGTGGTTCCAGATGCTAAATAACCCAGCTAAGTTCTATTGTCAAACAGGGTCTAGTATTCATGTTTTGCTCTGTTGGTAGTTCTTCCAATTCTCTGCAATCGCTAATGCATCTTTCCAGTTCTTTTTCACGCTCTCTAATTCTTTTTCCAACTGTTTCAACCTCGAACCATCGGGATCCGATTTGTTCGAAGAAGCATCTATAAGTTGGATTAAACCACTAATGTTGTGATAAAACTTGTAAAGGTTATTCAATAATGGTTTAGCAGCAAATTCAAACGATTCCATTTCGTCAAGATATTTCTTGATAGTCTCGGGATTTGTTTTTGATATCTCATTCAAATCAATAACCCCTGAAGGGTTAGGAAAACTCAAACCTCCATTTTTCAACTTTTGATCAGAAAACTGGTTGTTGAATCCAGAGTAATACTGATTTATCACATCAATAAATTTAGAATACTTGAAATTTTCGACCACCAAGCTTTCTATTATTGGGGTCAAGTCTGCTATCATATCCTCATATTCTTTGTTCACTAAACTCTTCAAGTTTGCCACGTTTGTTCCATTGGCTTCCTGGACTCCAGTGGTATTGTCTATTATTGGGTTGTTGTTGTATATTACATTTGACTTGAGGAAAGATTCTTCTACGGCAGGACTTCCTCCTTTCGATGACAATGGAATGCCGTAGACAGTAGTAGATGATAAGTTGCGCTTGTCCACCAATTTGTTTTTCAACTCGTCTATTTCAAGCGTCTTCTTCTTGAGCTCAATTTGATATTTCGATCTCATATCGTTGATCCAGCTCTTTAACTTGTTCAAATCTTGTGCTTGTAGCTTGTTGTGTTTCGTCAAAGAAGCGATTCTTTGGTTCAACTTACTCTGGTCAACTTGTACTGTCCTGTTCAACTGAGACTGATATGACTCCACTTGGTTTTCAAGACTTTCGATACGTTTGTTGAGCTTCTCGATAGTGGCATCCTTCTGGCTTATTGTTTGGTTCGACAACTTGAAGTGGTTTCTGCTACGATCAACAGCTCCCACCAATGAATGTATTATGTTGATAATGTTCTTGTCGTTGTTGTATATGGTTTCCGTTACTTTCAACTCATCTAGCTTGGGAATAGCTTCTTTGTTGTGGATTTGATCTTGCACGAGATCGTCCCAGTTGATGCAATTGAACTTGATTTCGTCGTCAATATAAGCTCGCAGAATAAGCATGGAATTTATGATGTCTGCGGCATTTCTGATAGTCTCTAAGTCCAAGTCTGACATGGTGGGTATCTGAGTTAGAGATGGTTGCACATTTGTGAAATCTAAACAAACAGAGTATGGTTACGTAAGCGATTACTCAGCGGCACTGCATCGCCTACTACAAGCTGGATTAACGTTGGTGTCTTATAATTTCAAGGTGTATTTATCGTACTGTATAGTTAAATAACAATGATGGAGCCACTTGCAGTGTCGTTGTTTCAACGGACAAGCTTGGTCCTGGCATGAGATTTTGAGTTTTGGGGATGAAAATCAAATGAATGACGCTTCAATGGTTTAGTGGTGTTCTTCAGCTTCTTCTTCGAAAACAAACCAGTCTTCTTCGGCAGCAAGGGAAGCACCAGAGGAGCCAGAAGTAGCTTCAACTTCGGAGGATTCGTATTCACCTAAAGCTTCAGTGGAGACTTCGTTTTCTGGCAAGGATGGCTTGGCTGGCAATTGGAAGGTCTTGACAGCAGCATCGATTTCCTGTTGTGAGATAGCTTGTGGCTTGAATTGCTTGATGTTTTGAACATACAAGTCGGAGACCAAGTTGTTGGCTCTTGGAGTCACGGAGAGTAATCTCTTGGCGGAAATAGCACGCTAGAAGTTAGTACTGTGCAAGCAAGACAGATGGCTGGAGTGTGACCTGTGATGGTTTGGAAACTGCGAGATTGATGATTACTTCGAAGTATTATTAGCTTCACCTCGACGTCTGACGCATTAGATGACCCTGGGACCAAGTTCACCAGGTTTAGAGGCCCTTGTATGCTCTCGAAGGTTACTGTGAGTGTCACCATTGTTCTTTCAGGCTCGTTGTCTTTTGGAGATCCCAACATGCCCCACATGTTTACTAGAAGTACCCTCTCAATTCACACAGCTCGAGTCTGCAGAAAAGCTCTTCGGGATCAAGATGTCCATCTGTGTGTGTTCAATCGCTGATGCTGCTCGTACCGTCCTGGGGACAACTTTGCCCACTTGTCTCAGTGCTGTTTTCATCCCTCACACCAGCAGTTCCCGACACTTTTCGGCATCCCGTTCATCTGGCCGCAATTCGGCGTTTCCTCCTCTATACATACAACAACGGATTGTCTAAACATGGCTGGCGAAATCGAAATGGTTGTGGATAGCTGACAGTGAATTTTTCTCGTACGAATCCACCGATTCTCGGAAAGGTAGTGTCTTTGGTGGTGAGGACTGGTGTGAGAGGGCGAGGTCCTATTGGCTGGTGCAAGTGTCACAAAGAGGGAGAAGCGCGTCACGTGGTCAGACATCTGCCAGTAGTGATTATCACTGGAAGCGGCTTATAACTTGTGTGGTTTATCTCTACGTGTACTGCTTCTTTTCCGGCTAGTGTTCCTATACCACCACCAGGACCCCCACACCACCATGCCCAAATACTACTGTGACTATTGCAAGTCATATTTGACCCACGACACCATGAGTGTGCGGAGGTCCCACTTGATGGGAAGGACCCACATCCGGTTGTACTGTGACTACTACGAGGCCAAAGCCAAGGAGACTGGGATCTGGAACCCTGACGACATGGACTACGAGGTCAGGTTGGACTATTTGAGCCGTGGTGCTCCCGGCAGCGAGCCTGTGCCCAAACATGAGAGTGCTGGCGTCATCTGGGAGGGCAATGACGAGAGCGTGTTTGCGGAGGAGGGACTGAAGGTCATGCAGTTGCCCCCACCACCCAATTTGAGTGGGTTTCCCAACCCGCCTCCCTCGGTGCTCCGGACCGTGGAGGAAAGCCAGCGTGCAGTGTTCGCCCACCAGAAGAAAGAAGATGAGTGAAGGAGATTCACGCTGCAAGGGCTGAACCGCATATCCATCGCTAGGCATTTTTGCTGGAATTTTCACTGCTATGTCCTCCAAACTTTGACACTTCTACTGCATGCACACTTTGCATTGTTCTGCCTAAAGTTTTAAACTTTGACACGTCTCTACTGCCTAAAGATGTGCACACTCTACTGCTAGGTCCAAAAGACAATTCTACAATCGCCATTTGCTCGGGATCTAGTAAATCCATAGCCCTTGCGTGTTGGTTGATTAATCAACGATTGCCAGATCATAACCCATCGACGGGCTTCCACCCAATCATTAGTGGCTCGACGAAGTGACAATTGTCTGGCCAAGTGCCTCAGAACCTTCCACTATTCCGCCATAAGTTCATCTTTTGTGTCACGAATCGACAATATTTGAACAGTAATATGCCTCTTACCAAGTTCTTTTCATTTATCTGGTAGCTCTTAAGCAGCATTTGAACAGGAACCATCTTTCTGGTTTCTGTCAATTTGCCTGCAGCTCCTGGCAGGAAGCAGGACTCTAATGCAATAAAGTCTGTTATGTTGAGGACTTACTAACTTTGCAATTGGGAGGCTTATTGCAGCCTATTTCGTGAAAACTCATTGCACACCAAATCAGGCTATCGTCGTTAACAGAGAGCTGCACTCTCGAATTTGTCCGTTACAATACGATGCTCTGGCTCACTGAATATTCTGGAACGATCACAAGGAATTTGTTCATCGGACGAGGCCCGGCTAACTGAAAATAATATGTACATTATAGTTCTTCATAGATTCCCAATTAGGGAAAACTTCATGGGCATACCATTAGTATTAATGTAGATCATCATAGAATGTCCATTCTTGGTGTCATTATTAATATTGAAGTAGATTTCAATCTCTTGAATTTCTTCTTGGTGCCATGTCATCAGTATTAATGTAGATCATATAAAATCTCCACTGCCGTTACTTCTTGGTGCCATTATTAATATTCACCAGTTAACGTTCATCATTCTCCTCCACTTCTGGAACTCCTGCTGACAAGTTGAACACCCTTCACGCACCTACAACCCACACCAGCTCCAGAAAATAATCACCACCCCATCGTGTGACATTGCCCTTTTGGGTGTCGTCTCGTAATCTGAGCCCTACATGGCAACCTTATTGTCTGATCATCGCATCGCGCGCCTCGCGTTGGAAGCATGCACCAAGCAACCCAAACTTTCAAGCAATTAAACGGAAGTGAAAAATGGTGGTGGATTGGAAATAATTGTCACTAAACAGCGTTGATGGCTGCCACAAGCATGGTGGTGCCGTTCGTCAGCATCCACAGAGCCGTTGGCCCTGTGGAGATGAATACTTAAAACAAGGTGTCAACCGGCGCTACCAAGCAAATACGGGACCATCGATCGGGCGCTACCATGTCAGCTAGGCGATGGGCTCCATCGATGAGGTGGAGAACCAGCGCTACCTGGTAAGGGCCAGATCGATGACATTGCTGTGAGGCAGGAATTCCAGACTGGCCACACCAGCCGATGGGCACATCCATCAGCTGTATTTCAGTGGGAGATTGCACTCAATTGAGTGCCCCCAGGGTGCTACTACCGCCACGTTGTAGATAACATGTATTACACTATATAATGCATTGCATTGAACTTACAAATCAGCATCGTCCTCATCAGGCAATGGCATGGCAGTGGCTTGGTCCATTTCTTGTTGGTATTTTTGCATCAAGTCAGCATCAACCTGGACTTCAGGAGGAGCCAAGGCTGGGGAGGCAACGAACTCCAATTGGGGGTTACCGACCAACTTTCTGGCCAACCAGAGGAAAGGCTTTTCGAAGTTGTAGTTGGACTTGGCGGAGATGTCGTAGTATTGCAAGTTCTTCTTTCTGTGGAATGTGATGGTCTTGGCCTTGACCTTACGCTCTTTGACGTCGACCTTGTTACCGGTAAGCACGATAGGGATGTTTTCACACACTCTGACCAAGTCTCTGTGCCAGTTTGGCACGTTCTTGTAGGTGATTCTGGAGGTGACATCGAACATGATGATACCACACTGACCGTTGATGTAGTAACCGTCTCTCAAACCACCGAACTTTTCTTGACCGGCGGTGTCCCAGACGTCGAACTTCAACTCACCGAAGTTTGTGTGGAATCCCAATGGGTGGACTTCGACACCCAAGGTGGCGATGTACTTCTTTTCGAATTCACCGGTAAGATGTCTCTTGACGAAGGTGGTCTTACCGGTACCACCATCACCGACAAGGACTAATTTAAAGGTAGGAACTTCAGCAGCCATCGTGATTGATTGATTGATTAAAGAAGAGATGAACAGTTGTTTTGCTGGCGGGAGAAAAATTTTAGAAAAAACACTGGTGCGAAAGTGACACAAAGGGAGCCTGAGGGTGGAGGGAGATCGAAGCAAACGGAAAACGGGGACAAGGGGCGGTAGGCGAGGGGCGGTGGTGCCCCCAGGCACCCACGGCCGTCGTCTGGGGACCGGCGTCGCCTCCCCACCAATGGCCGCTGGGTTTACACCCCCCATCAGCGCCAGACGAACTCCATCCGCACCGCACCTTCCACCCGTCCCTAGTGACGAGCCGGCACCACGCCGCGGTTCGACTCCCGCCACCGCACCACCACCACCCACCACCGCACCTGGCACCGGCCAGTGCACAATATCTGCGTCCGCGGGCATGGAGCAAGGGGCACCGGTGGCGTGGAAGCACGCCCACAAAGGGCTGGAGGCCGCTGGTTAGGCAGTGGCGGTGCCGAGCCGCCTGGCTGTGCATGGGGGGTGACGCGACACCGGGGTCCAGCTCCAGCCAGGGCCCTGGACGCCAGCACCACTTCCTCTTCCGCTAATTGTTGTTCTCTCCCATCGTCTCCCGCCCTAGATCTGACTATAAATAATTTGTTGCGCATTTCCTTGCAGACTTCGCCGCATTGAGACTCTGGCCTGCAGCTCCTATTCCAGCGTGTGCCAGGGCCCGCGAGGAGTAGTCTGGCTGGGTGCACAGTCACAGCATGGTACGCCAGTCACAGCGTGGTACGCCCGTCACAGCGTGGTACGCTAGCAACACCTGGCACCCACCAGGCCCTGCCCCCTCTCCAGCCTAGACTCCCCGTGCTTCCCCCTTGGTGTATGTAGTCCCCCGCGTGTGATCCGACCCACGCGCTGATTCACCAATTCCCACTGTCAGACGTCCCTGTTTCATTTTCGCTTCGCTCTATTTATTTCCACATTTGTTTTTGTCTATTTCTAGAACTGGTCAATCGTTTATATTCTCCATCCTGGCCTCTTCTGTCCAAAAAGGCTTCTTCGTCCACTCGCTCCCACAACAAAAGCCGCTTCCCCGTGGCCTCTCGCATCCTCCCCTACTTTGCCGCCGCATTGTGGTTCGTCCATGTTTCCCCAACTGAACATCATCTATACCCCCGTGGACGTCTCAGCGCCCCACTACCAGAGACGCCCACCTCCCATCGCCAACATGCCTCCGGGAAAGTACTCCAGTGCCGCTCTCCAGCCGCCCCCCACTCCGTTGGACTTGAACTACCTGCATTCCATGATCCCGTCCAACCTCTTGGTCAACTCGCCCTACTTCCAGCAGACGCCGTCGTCCGGCGTGTTTCCGGGCCGGGCGCCGTCCGTGGACAGCGACAGCGAAGAAAGCGTGGCTAGCACTGCCAGCAACAGCTTTTCACACCCCCACCACGTCCACCACCACCCCCACCACCATCCAGGCTACACGGGCTACGGCTTTGGCCTCCAGCCGCCCATGTCGCCCATGCCATCGTCGCCGTACCTTACCCATCTCAACAACACCTCGTCCTCCAACACCTCCAGCGTGTCCAACCACAACCTCGACCAGTTGAACTTGTCGCGAACCGTCATTCTCAAGCACTTGGCCGACGACTTGTCGCTCAACGAACTCCTCAACAACGTGGACCTCGGGCCCATCGAGTACTGCAAGATGTTCTCCAAGCCCACCCCCAAGCACATATTGGATCAGGATCCGAACGCTACCCCCAACATGAAGCTCTGCTACATCTCGTTCATCAACTCGAAAATCTCGATTCTGTTCCACCTCAAGTACTTCAAGAACTCGGCAAACTTGAACAGTCTCAAGGCTGCGTTGAAAAACTCCACCCATCTCAAGATCCTGTTGAACGACACCTCCGCCAACCCAGCCGCAGACCCTTCCTACACCAACAACTCGAAGCACCAGGACTTCATCAAGTTGAAGACCCTCAACTACATTCTTGACTTCAATGCCACCAGGTGCCTCATGATCAAGTTCACCATCAAGGACATCCCTGTCTCGGAACTGGACGTCGACAGTGCCTCGGCCATCAAATCGTTCGTCCTCACCCAGTGCCAAAAGTTTGGTGACGTCGAGGACTTCAAGATAACATTGGAGTCCAAAAAACCCGATCCAGAAACCACTGCGTCCGAATCGGACAAGAGGGTTACTGGTAAAGTCCTAGTCCATTTCACATCCATCGATGCTGCAATCAAAACTTACGAAAGCTATTTGAGAAGAATCCAACACGACAAGCAGAGGACATTGGATGCTCAAGATCCAAATGGTGCAAAGAAGAAGACTAAGGCTAAGAAAGATGAAAAGAACGTTAACGTGTTGTATGATATCAACTTCTTCAACGTGGCCTTCCACAAAGATAGGTGTGACAAGACCATACTAAACAAGCAAACTAAACCTCATAAGAAAACGCAAAAATTTTCTGATATCCCTGAAGAAAACGATCCAACTTTCTTCCAAAACTCAGAGGTTCCTGGTACACAGTCGGAACTTGAAATTGAGATTGACTCAGAGGATCCTCTCGCAATCTCTGTGGATGCTGACGATATATCAAAAGTATCTTCAAGCTCGATTTTGGGTGCAGATTCTCCATCTTTGAGCTCTTCCACTCCATCTCCCGTATCCGAGCACTCCAATGCCCATCATAATCAATTTGCTGGCCAAAGAAGGGATTCACATCCAAACTTCATCCCACCTTCTCCAATGTTAATGCAAAATGGGTACGGCAACACTAGGCATAGAATGCATCTGTTCCATGATGTCCAACAAGTACACGGCCATCCATATATGTTGCCTGGTCCTAACATGGTTCACGGACACCCAATGAATAGTGCCACGCCAAACTATCCATTAAATCCCGATCCTTACAACGTGGATAACAGGACTATTTATCTTGGTAACCTTCATCAAAATACCAGTATTGAGGAGATTGCTAACAATGTGAGAGCCGGTGGCTTGGTGGAAAATATCAACTATCATCCAGAAAAAAAGGTTTGTTTTATAACCTTTGTTGATCCTCAAATTGCCCTCAAATTCTATTTGAACCATCAGGTTTTGCATCAGTTAATCATTCACGGGCATGATATTACTGTTAGTTGGGCTAAAAACCATAGCGGACCAATTAACAGGGATATTGCATTGGCAGTTACCGCGGGCGCATCGAGAAACGTGTACATTGGAATCAAACTCGTCAAGGATGAAAATGGAAACCCAATCAATAGCAATGGTGGTAACAAGAGCTCTTTAAGATTGCCCAACGAGTCTACTTTAAGAAAAGATTTCTCACTTTTTGGAGAGATGGAACAGATCAACTTTTACCACAACAAGGATTGTGGATTTTTGAATTTCTTGAACATCATGGACGCTATCAAGTTGGTAGAGACTTTTGAGCTCGATGCTACTGGTGCTAAAACAAGATTATCGAAGATTTTCAGCACTTCCCCACGTAAAGAATTCATAGAAGGAGATTTGAATGCGTTTGTGGACCAGTTTTACAAAAAGTACCAACCTTTCAAGATTAGTTTTGCAAAAGACAGATGTGGAAACCCGCCTAAGTTTAGTTTCAAAAAGAAAGCGTCAAATTTCCAAGGATCGACTTATCAGCAATATCAACACTTACTTCATGGAAGTGTTAACAAACGTGGGAAAAACAAGCTGAGAAACAGTAGACTGGAAGAATATGATGAGGCAACTAGAATGCAAGAGCATGATAGCTTCATGGAAGATACCATAAACCAAGAGGCTGCGATGGTCTTTGGAATCATTAGCAATTCTGAGGTGAAACCAGGCTCTGAAACTGAAAGTAAGGAATCAGAAGTAGTTGTTGAAGATGCAACTGAAACAAAAGAAACTGAGGATGCAAAACTGAAAACAGCTGATGCAGCAATCACTAATAACAAAATCGAAGTCGCGGGCCAAGTAGTTGATGCTGATGCTGACGATGAAGATGACCTTGATGACGATGAAGATGATGACGATGAAGTCTCTATAATCATTGGATCAGATGACACCTTGAGTAATGCTCCAAAAGAAAACCTTTCCAAAGACAAGAAGTCAGGGCGTAACAAGAAGTCTCACAGTCGTCTAAATGGATACGACAAAGTCTATCACAGCAACTTCAATTCGTCAGAGTCTTCAATAAGAAGATCATCAAGAAATTCGTCTAATATCTCGTTGAACTCCAGCTATTCCAAATACTCACAGCCCCCACCCCCAACCCAACAACCCTACAAATTTGCATCTTCTCCATACGTCCAGCAACAGCAAGTTTACTATATGCCTAGCCCTGGAGGACACCCCAACGCAAGGCCGTATGGTGGTTATGGATATTCCGTGCCTAATAATGGCTACTTTCCTCAGCAGTATTATGTTCCCCATCCACATTCCCATCCTCATCACCAGCCACGTCAGCACTACGGACATCCTCAGAGCAAAACCCAGTTTTCTACTTCGGGATCTCAAGTGATGGCACAATATTTGGCAAAGTCTCAACATGACAATATGATCTATGCAGCTTCCGTGATGTCCAACGATATTGGTGCCGATGATGATATTGATTTGTCTGAGTTTCATTCCATTCCCAATGAGCAACCTCAGAAACCAAGAACGCGTAAGGTAAGAAAATGAGTTAAACATTGGTTCGATTATAGAAATTTTATACAGATTCTGTCTCTCTAATCATGTATTTGAATATTAATCTCCTACGGCGACTAATGAACAATAAAATATATTGTACAGAGCTTGGTTTCATCCAGCACTACTCTTCCACGCATGCGACAATCTAGCTCAACATAGTCCTAATTGAAGCTGAACGCTTGATGATGGCAATAGAAATAATGTTATTGTAGCGTTTGTTATGGTTCGGGAGTCATATTCAGCAAGCTACAAGTATATTAAAGTGAAATAGGAGAGTTGACTGTCTTGTATGTACAGAACTATTTGAATTAAACTACAGAATATCCATGCTAATCGAGGCATATGTTCCAGCAATGGCACCTGTCATAGACAAAACAATTCCAACCTTCAATAAAAGCTTATGGGACCAACTCAACTCGTCATTGAAGAACTTCAAGTAAAACATTAAGGGTAAAGTAATACAGATAGTGAAGCAAATTGCACTACCTAAGAACGATACTAATTTACCGAAAGAACTGAATAGGAGAGACACGGCCAACAATACACAACAGAAAACAAACCTAAGGATAACTTTCTTAATGTTGTGGGGTTGTACACCGGGTTTCTTGGTTGTGGGTTGCACGTTCAACACACTCTCATACACTGTGATTAACGGTCTGGTTGTTAACGGCAATTTTGACACTGGAAGAATTCCCATAAATAAACAGAATAAATTCTTTATCAGATTTGGGTATTTGTCATTGCTCAATACGTTCTTGATGATAGAATCTTGAGAACCCAACCCATACATCAAGTAACCAATCACGCCAAGCAAGTAACACAAGATGAAGGTTGTAGAAAACGTCACTCTCACACACTTATCGAACTTTGCCGGTTTCTTCATATCTTTGTACAATTCTGGGAACATTGGGTGACCTCCCCAAGGAGCCATAAATATCCCTAAAGTCAACAATAAACTCATGAAGTTCACAGGGTAGAAACTAGTAGGTTCGGGGTTTAGTAAGGATCCAGGCTTAACGTCAATAAACACCCCACACATGGCAAACACAACAATTACACTCAATGTACATATAATCCCACTCAAACTGATAATAGAAAGGAAGGAGAGTGGTAAGAAGGACAAAAAGAATGCAGAAGTCACTATCATCATTTTCCATTCTGACTTGGCGATACCAGGCACTAAAATATTGAACGAATCACTGAAAAGTAAGATCAAGGACAAACTGGCACCACTCAAGTCAAGTGAGAAGATGATAGTGATCAAAATCAGGAACCATTTACCTCCATAAAGATATGATATGTCACTGTAAGATCTCAAATGCGGGTTTCTCTTTATGATCTTCCCTAAGATGGATGCAGTATGACTAGTGATTACGGCACTGGCCAAGTAGATGCAACTTCCCAAAATCCATCCAGATAAGCGGAGACCAAATGGAAGGGAAAGCATAGCCATCCCCATGATGGAGTTGATGGCATTGAAGATGGTCTGGGCAGAAGTGGAACTACCGTACACGGTGGCCAGTTTCCTGTGGTCGGAAGATGAAGATAATAACGATGACTGCTCAGTTGCATTGGAGGCACTCCCAAACGGACTGGTCCGCAGTGAAGATTGTCCCTTTATTTGGTCATCGATTGGAAAATGGAACTCGTTGATACTGCGGTAACTTCCCGAGTCTGACCGTCTTCCGTTGAGAGATTCAAATTGCTCGTCGATACCGTCTGCCACTGCTCCAATGAGAGGTGAGGTGTTGGGGGAGACGTCATCTTCGATGGCATTGGCGAACAAATCTGAGCCTAGATGCTTCTGAGCCCTTGTGTATGAGGATGCAAAATTGTTGATGGAGTTCGCGCCACCATAGTCCAATATCGATTTTCTCCTTGTTCTAGAAGGAGACCCTTCTATATCCGAATGGTATGACATAATGGATAAGTATAGTGGTCATCGTAGTTCAAACATCGTGTTGATTGTAGGTACGCGCACTACTTTTTCGCAGTAGCCGTAACAAGCATATCTCCATGGTCCGCCTTGTTCAATCGTGAACTTACCAAATAGTGCATGACGTGGGTTCTTGCCCAATCAGAGCTTGGCATTTGCGTTACTGCTACTTGATTTGGCCTTTGTGGGTATAATACCAATCCGTATACTTGTTCCCACAACCTATCGTATCTTACAAACTTGAAAATCTCCATACTTCCTCCACCGCAAGAACCACGCGAGAGAACCTCGCGAGTATATTCGGCTAATAATTTTTCTTTGTATTCTCTTTCCTCTGCAATTTTCCATATTTTTTGAACTAATAAGAAAAATCTGCTTAAGAATGGCATTGAACCAAGTACTTAGGAAATGGTTAAAAGTATCTTATCGAAGTACACTTAGAACGATCTTCCGAAAGGACAGATGAATACTGTATAGGAGTTTGTCCATTCAATGCTCTAGAATGGTTGTATCGTTTTTTTAGTACTTGCGACCCACATAAAATATACTATCGACTAGTTGAGTCGGACATATGTCATAACTAGAAATTGTGGACAGTTAGAACCTCTTTTCTACTCTCAAGTCCATCTCCTGTTACGGGTGGAAATCGTGTGGTTGTTATGTCTGTTCGTGCAAGTATATGCATGGCGACGCTGATTCTCCTCAAAATTGCTAAACTTTATTTCTGTTATTCCTTACACATAAACTTAGTGAAACCAGGAATGGTCTTCAATAGTAACTGAAAATCTCCCTTCTACTTGACAATCGATTGTTAGTATCACTCTCTACCTATAAGAAACCTTATTTCCTGCACCTAGGAATTGCTGCGAAATTGGAAAGTATAGATTTCAATCTAGAAAAGTCTGCTACTTTCGTGCTGAAGTGTACAAATTTGGATTATTATTAAATAATTAGTTCCTCTAAGTGATAAGAATAGTGCTTCAAACAAAAATGACCAGAAAGCAACACAATCTTGAATAGCAGTATCCTTTCTGTGAGTTAAACGATTTGGTTTACTGCAGTTAGAGACACGTCCAAGAGTTTCCCCATTGATCCAAAATAAATTCCTAGGAGATGCCTTTCCTAGAAAATAACACTGGCATAGAAAGAATTACAAACTCAGGGACTAAATCTGGATTTTTCCAAGACCCAATTCTTTTTAATTTTTATGTCAACCGGAGTTGCGCAGTACAGGTGTTCTAGGACTGTTCGTATATCGCTAAACATCTCATATAAGAACATAGGAATAATATTTGTGTCTTCAGAATATTTCAAAGTATGCCTACCCCAAGTCAACAAAACTACCTCACGAAAGAGCTAGTCGCAAATTCCATGGATGTATTGGATCCGTCGAATCAGAGTAACCCTGATATTTGTAATCATGGGGAATTTGGCCATATTGCAGCATCCAGTTCATCTTTTCAGGCCCGTCAAAAACTATACTCAATGAATGATCATTTGCAAATCTATCAAAGCACTCCAGTCGTGTTCCCTTCTAATGCTTCACCAACAGTAAGATCTTCCCAAACCTTGAATTCCTTGAATGTAAAAACTTCTCAAAATCAACAATTATCGGCAAAAACTACGAACTATCTAACTGAAGCACCTACCCCAAATAACATGAACAATACAGGATTGCAGGCAAAAGTATTGCAAAATCAATATGTTGATTTTCAAGGATATGACCCCCACATTTTTGCTGAAATTGCCAATTCAAATGAAACGGGGAATCAAGTTCAATCAAAAATATCAGCACCTCGGAAAATGTCATCCACATCAGAAAACAGAAATTCATCTACAAAATCAAAGTCTGGGAACTATCCTGAACCAATCAAGCCAAAAATTGCAACAACGTTTTGGGAAGACGAGAAAACAATGTGTTACCAAGTCAGAGCTAGAGGAATAATGGTTTCACGGAGAGATGATAATGGATATGTTAATGGAACTAAATTGTTAAACGTGATAGGAATGACTAGAGGGAAAAGGGATGGGATGCTAAAAGGAGAAAAGGTTAGAAAAGTGGTTAAATTTGGCTCAATGAACTTAAAAGGAGTGTGGATACCTCTCGACAGAGCATATGAAATTGCTAGAAATGAAGGAATCGATTCAGAATTGTATCCCTTATTTGTCAAAGACTTGAAAGAGTATTATGATTCAGTAGGTCATAAACTCAAGGACCTGGGTCATAATGGAGAGTTATCTTCAAAATTATTATGACCTAGCTGTGTTGTTAGATTTTATTGCTAATTTACATGAAACATCATTTATTTCAAGATACAATGCTAGCAAAATCAGAGATAATATCCAACATATGTATAGAATAATTCTCAATCAGAAGGTACAAGAGTTCCGCGAAGCATTTGCTGTTCTTCGATTGATTCAAAAAGCCCCTTGAAAGTTCCTTTTCCAAAACCATTATGATGTCTCCTCTGAATAATTTCTATAAAGAGGGTGGGACGATCATGAAGAGGTTTAGTAAAGATTTGTAATATGTAGTTACATCTCTTGGTCTTCTTGTTCCTAGTATTCGTATCATAATCCACTAATATATTGAGCCTTTCAAGAACATCTAAATCTTCAAAAAGTATGATATCGTCTTTTCTTAAGCGCAGTCTAAGGGATTCGTAAAAGGAACTAGAAGTACTATTAAATTCAATTCCACGAGTGAGTAAGCCAGAAACTGTACCTACGATATCATTGGTTTTTAATGCAAAATGCTGAATACCAGGCCCACCATTGAAATCATGAAACTCTTCAATTTGCCCTCTCATCTTCCCTTCGGCTGGTTCATTAATTGGCATCTTAATTTTTCCATTTGCAGAGGCCATGACTATAGATCTCAATGCAGAATTGCCTGTACTTACATCTTGTTCATCCACGGACCAATACTTTCTAAAGCCAAACATTCTAGCATAAAAACAAGCTTGCTCCATCATTTGATTCCATGAATAGTTTTCAACGCAGTGATCAATATTTTGAAGTTTGATAGGCGGCAACATTTTTAAGTAAATTGCAAACAATGGATCCGAAGTTCCACCTTTTGAATATCCAGGAAGATAGGGTCCCTTGTAATCTATATTTTGAATCAATGTGTGAAGAATATCTGTATTTGGAACACTGATGGTAGCTATCTTGACTGCTCCCATTTCATCTGCAAGTAGTCGGGGGGCTCTGGTGATTCCAGCACCCGATTTGATTGCTTTTTGAAATGAGTATTCTACATCTTCAACCAAGAAAGCAATATCCATCACTCCTTCTCCATGAGTTTTCAAAAACTTCTGAATTAAGGTGCATTCCATGATGTCGTTGTAGACTGTTTCGGAATTGTTTATGGTTTCCAATATTAGTTTGTTATATTCATTAATTGAATTCTTGAACGCCCTTGAGCTCAAGACCTTCATGGAAATCTTTCTACCAAAATGCAGAGAGTTATTCACTGAGCTTTTAGAGAGACCATTGATCTTGGAATTAACGAAGTCAAAAACCAAATCATCAGTAGTGACTTTATACTCGTTTGCGTATTGATTATTATTGATTTGATTTAATCTCTCCAAGTCCTTTTCAAAATAAGGAAATTTGAGGATATTTTCGTCCTCCACAGTTTCGATTGTGTTCACAAGCTCCAATACGACTCCACCATTTCTGATTACGTGGGATCCAACTAGCCTCGAATCATTTTCCAACCCTTTATACGCAATTTCTTTAAATCCAAAAACCACCTGGAAGTATTTGGACATCTGTTTAGCATTTGAGGTGCATAGTTTCAAAGAATGGAATCTAATAAACCCATCAGGGGAGTACTTGTAACTCGAGTGTCCATCATTGAGTAGTTCACTGACAGAACTATCAAACAACGGGTCAGAGGAAGCAGGAAAAAAGGGTAATTCAGAATGAAAAATCGGATCTGCTGATTCAGATATTTCTAGCAATTCTCCTGGCTCAACAGGCGTCCTATGATAGCCCAAATCCATAGCAAATAGAGGAAACACGAGAAAATGTTAAGTGTATTTGTGATTGCAAAAAAATTGCAAAATGTCGCGAGACCAAATTTGCCTCATAGTTTACATTGAAATAGTGAAATGGTATATATTAATGATTTTGTGGATTAGAATGCATACTAATGAACAATATCGTAGGATGCAATATGACCCTGGTATTTCCTTGTCGAGAGTCAACGTCTATATGAATGTTCGGGTAACTTCAAGTCTATTTTTCATTTGGGGTACTACTGGAAGCAGAACCTTGGGTGCCAGCTAAATGATCAAAGCCACTGATTCCATCTTGTTGGTCATAGTTTGAAGCCGAGCTGTCGATCAATTGTTCACTGTCGTTGGTGGATTTCTCGTCCAAATTCTTCTTAATAGTAGCGACCTTAATAAGGTTGGTGGAGCCAAAAACGAGAACTGGGTGGAATGGAATGAAAATGAGACCACTGATGGCAATCATGAATGCATCCAAGACCATCAAGTAGACTTCGTGGGTGACCAAGTAGCCGGTGAAGCCTTGTGCCAACTCCACAACTCTGTAAACACATCTGATGTAAATGAGGACCACGGCGATTGTGAGTGCCAATGGGAAGTATGGTAATAACTTACGTTCACGGATACTCTTGAAGTTTTGGTTGTAGTAGGAATCCTGGTACATCTGTCTGTAATCTCTCGAGCTCTTAGTGTTGAACAAAAATCTGAAGAAGTTGGCAAAAGAACGCTTGGTGTATGGAGATTCGGTAGTAGCCTTGATGTCCTTGGAATCCTTGAAGAACAATCTGTTCAAGAATTCAAACCAGAAAACAACGAAGATGGTCATGGCAACGACTTGGATACAGATACCCACGATCATGACGTCGGTACCAGGCTTGGTGTCCTTGTGGTCCTTAGAAGCAGCCGAGGCCATACCTCCACCGATGGCCTGAACCATGAGGGAGAGCACGTCACTGGCAATAAAAAAGTACGAGTACCACATGGGCTTGAGCACCGAGTACTTACGGCCGTGGATCACCACCAACTGGGCAAAGAGGAAGTAGATTCCCGCCATGATGAACGCGGGCGCGATGGTGAGCGGCACGTACTGGAGAAGGTAGTACTGTAAGTTGGTGTTGTCAGTGAGGGACAACACTCTTCCAAGGAACCCGGCAAATTCCAAAGCGTAGCCACAGAAGAAGGTGATGTTGAACCAGTGGTATCTGGACTTGACCAACATGCCTGTAATGTAGGCGAAGATGATGGCGTAGACAACGAGGTAGATGATGTTTGCTGGGTGGTTCAACGGCATGTTGTACAAGTTCTCCTCGCGAGCCAAGTCCTTCAAGTTGACTGTCTGCTCGAAGATGGCTCTGGTAGCTTGGGCCTGGATGCTGTCAGCGGTGGCAGTGGCCAACACCTGCTCGGCGCTGATGATGGACAACGACGCCTGGGCACCTCTGATGATTCTGGACAACGAGATCAAGTCGATTGGGTCGGTGTCGGTTTGGGCTCTAGCCGCTGCCGACGACAACGAGCTGAACAACGCCGAGGTGTGGGTGGGGTTGACGCTGCTCAACACCGTCTTGGTGGGCCAGGCGGATGTGGTCCATGGAGTGAGAGAAGGAACGCTCATGCTCGGGGTGTAACGGTAGTGGTAGGGAGAGTTTGGTGGGGGCGGCAAGCACGAACTTTTTATAATGTTGCATCTGGTGCAGGGGCTTGGTTTACGGCGATGGGGGTATGCGGGAAAAGCCAGCGCGCTTGGCTGCTAAGTCCGTTGAGATTTTTAGGGGAGCCAAGCCGGAAATGGCGCCTCAGCCTGCACGGGAGGGGCGGACGGGGAAGATCCGCCACATTGGTGTGGTGGATAGGTGGCGGAGGGGGATTGGAGGTGGTGGTAGTGGATGGGGTATATCCGTTTGGTGCGCAGCAAAGGTTTCGATCCGCGTAGCTCCGCTTATCCCCAGGAGGGGTCCGGCGATCCTTACAAATCAACTCCCCGGCGGTGACAGCCGTGCAGCTGCGGGTTGACGCAAGCCAGGGATCGTATTGGTGAGGCTTAGAAGGAAGGGAAGGTTTGAGGGTAGATTTGAGGGTAGATTTGGGGTAGATGTGAGGAGTGGTGCAACTGATATGGGCATTGAGTGGTATTGGTGATTAGGAGTGGTAGTAGGTTCGGGCAGTGCGTTCTTCATGAACCGTTTGAGATGCGCAACACTTCAGTAACGATCTGAGTCGTACACTTCAGTGACGATCTAAGTACTGGCATTCTTCAATGACGATTTGAGTTACGGGGCTTCCTTGACGATTTCAGTCATACTCTTCAGTGACGTTCAGCGTACTTCTCAAAAACGATTTCAGGCGTACTCTTCAGTACGTGTCATATCGACTACCGTGATTTACTATGGATGGGCATACGGCTATGGCATAACGGGCATATCGACTATGGCATAACAGTCTAATGTATTAGACAACATAGGTACACATGTGGCTACCGCTCCTTGGAGGCAGGGGTGTCGGTGGAGGCCACCGAGGCAGTCGAACCGACGTTCTCAGTAGCACCCACCAACTGCTCGTCGTCCTCGGTCTTCTCGTCCAAGTTCTGCTTGATTGTAGCCACCTTGATCTTGTTCTCGACGCAAAACACAATCACAGGGTGGAACGGAATGAATATGAGACCCGTCACCGTGATGAACAACGCGTCCAACACCATCAAGTACACCTCGTGTGTCACCAAGTACCCGTCAAACCCCTGGGCCAACTCCACCACACGATACACACACCTGATGTACACGATCACAACCGAAACTGTGAGGGCCAAGGGAAAATATGGCACCAAGCGACGCTGGCGGACATCCGCAAACTTGGCGTTATAGTACTGGTCCAAGTGCGTCTGCTTATAGGCGTGGGCTCCTTTGGTGTTGAACAAAAATCTAAAGAAGTTGGCCAACGTCCGCTTAGCATACTTGGACTGATAGGTGGTGCGCACTTCTTTGGCGTGCTTGAAGAAGAGCCTGTTCAAGAACTCGAACCAGAACACAAGGAAGATGGTCATGGCAACCACCTGGATACAGATCCCCACGATCATGACGTCAGTGCCAGGCTTGGTATCTCTGTGGTCGTTGGAAGCAGCTGAGGCCATACCCCCGCCAATGGCCTGAACCAAGAGCGAGAGCACGTCACTGGCAATGAAAAAGTACGAGTACCACATGGGCTTGAGCACCGAGTACTTGCGGCCGTGGATCACCACCAACTGGGCAAAAAGGAAGTAGATCCCAGCCATAATGAATGCAGGAGCGATGGTGAGTGTCACATACTGGAGGAGAAAATAGTCCCCGTTGGTGTTGTCGGAGAACGACAAGATTCTGCCAAGGAACCCAGCAAACTCCAAAGCGTAGCCACACCAGAAAGTGATGTTGAACCAGTGGTATCGAGACTTGACCAACATGGCCGTGATATAAAGAAAAATTAATGTGTACAAGACAAAGTAGATGATGTTGGCTGGATAACTCAAAGGAAAGTCATACACGTTCTGTTCATCGGCCAAGTTCTTCAAGTTGACTGTCAGCTCAAATATGGCCCTGGAAGCCTCAGCCTGGACCTCAGGAGGCCGTGGCAGTTGCCAAAACCTCCTGGGCACTGAGAATGGTCATGGACGCTTCAGCACCACGGACCACCTCCGATAAAGAGTACAAGTCGGCCATGTCGGTGACGGTTTTGGCCTTTGCCATCACCGAGGAGTAGGTTTGCATCAAGCCTGCGGTGTGGGTGGGGTTTATGGATTTCAAGACCGTTTTGGTAGGCCACGAGCTGGTGGTCCAGGACGATATGGTGGGAACGCTCATGATGGGCTGGTAATGGTACGATGGCAGGAAGGTGAAGAAAGACGAACCAAACGTCTGGCTGGTGCCCTTAATTAATAAGATTTTGCATTTCACAAGGCTTTGTGGCACCTAGCTGATGGGCCGGCATTGTGCAAGGAACTAAAATTAAATTAACCGAAGACCATTCTCATGATTGCACTGCCCGGAGTATCAACACACAGCCGTGGCTGAGCTCGCATGTTCACCCCATGCCCATTACGAGTCCAGTGTTGTCGAGCCTGGCGATCCTGACCCTCGTTACTGGCGGTTTAATCACCGCTAAGCCTTCGGTTGCTGAAAGCCACCAAAGGATATTGTGTAACTCCGATGCACCAGATTGCGTACTGCCGGTTGTGAGCATTGACTCCCACTACAACGGCCACGGTTCGTGTCCTCCAACACCAGGTGTTTCCATCCAGGGGCCCCTGGGATTGCGGCCAGGTCAGGCCAGTGCTATTTATGGATGGGGGGTGAATCGATCCAGGGTTTGCATTGTGTTCCTTGGCAAGCCAGAAAACGGTCGCACTGCACCGCAGCGTACATGAAAGAACACCGAGATGCTGCGAGGTACACAAATGCCACCAGTGGCACCGAATGCCAGAGCAGCCTCGCTTGCCACGGCTAGAGCATGCTATAGCCGACGATTAGCCTCCAATGGCTGGTGTTGTTATCGCTTGCGCTCGTGCGGCGGTGTTTTGCCACCGCCAGGCCAGATGGTGGGGAAGCCCCTCCCAGGGCGACCAGTTGCGCAACTGTACCAGACCCCCGATGGTGGCGCAGGTTACGCTCGTATCTTGTATACGCTGAGGTCCTTGGGCTCGAATGGGTGGCAACTCCCACGCCTCGAATCTGCTCGTGGAGCATGTGCAAACTGGCAAACTACGCAAGGCATTTGTTCCATCTATTGTACACTATATATCCACGTGACGTGATCAGGTGGTTGCAATGTTGGTGATCGGCTCGGTTTCTTGTTCGTACTCGATCTCCACTCTTGGTCTTCTTCTCTTCTTGGATGCTGGGGTGTCGTCGGCCTTGCGCTTGGCGCCTTGCTGGTCGTCGTCGTCGTCGTCCGAAGACTCGGACTCGTCGGCAGAGGAGTCGTCCAACCATCTCTCCAAGTCTTCCACATCCACCAACTCGTCGTCGCCATCGTCCTCGACGTACTCGACCTCGCCAACATCGCTCTCGTCGCCACTCTCCAACTCGACATCCTCGTCGTCGTCGAACTCCTCTTCATCCTCCTCTCCCTCGACCTTGCCCAACACCCTCTTCCACACACTCTCGTCCACGTTCAAGGGCTGGTCGCCGTATGCTCCGCTCTTCAATCTCTCCAACAACTCCTTCTCGATGGCCTTCTCGATCTTGGCAGCCGCCAATGCCTTGCGCTCTCTGTTCTCCTCTCTTCTCTTGACCTTGGGAGCAACTCCCACATAGTGCCTCTCTTCCTCCTGCAACGCCATTCTTCTTTCATTGATGGCAACCTGGACCAATCTGGTCAATCTCTGCTTGCACTTGTGGATCAAAAACTTCTGCCAGTACTGCAATCTGCCGTCGATCTGTGATAATGCCTTTTGGTAGTTCTTGGATAACTTGATTCTCTCCCACATCTTGGAGGGCATGTGGGCTCTCTCAGCAGTCTTCATGTACAAGTAGAGCCGTCCACCGACATTCTTGACGGTGGCATACCGCGCGTTGGCTAACGGACAAGATTGCCTGGAGCACAAACCACTGACGTTGTATTCATTTCGACAGAAGTTCTGGTCTTTATCAGTCTTTATCTTGAATGCACAGAACTGGTGATTTATAACTTGCCAGATCACTTCGTCAGACATGGTGATGTATTATGCTATTTGGTGGTGTGTCGATGATGGGGCCTGCTTTCTGGCTGGGTATGGAATGTATTGGCCGGGCTAGAAGACGAAGGCTGTAGTATCTTTTACTATGGAGATGAGTAGACTCTGAAAAAATTTGTTGCGATGCGTACTGCACACGCGCGAGATGGCACTTACGTAAGCGCTCCGCGGCGGCTTATGTAATGTGACCTTTTCCAGGGGCACGATTGGGTGTGTATTGGGATGCTATTTGGTCCTTAGTCTGAATGGCTTGCTGGGGACGTTGGGCTTGACGCGGGCAGCCCTTGCCCCGACCACATGCGGGAACTTGGACGCGTCGATCTTGTTGGCCAACCTCGAGAACGACATCAAGGTGATAACCACCTGGTATGGGTCTTTGGCCTCGTACAAGTCCACTGTCTGGAAGATCTCGTCGTGCGGCAAACCCACTAGCTCGCAGGTGCTCAAGAAGAACGAGATGTTCTCCATCTGGACAAATGGCATCTTCGAGCTCCGAAACTTGGTGCTGGGGTTGTTGGGCACCTTCGAGGCTGGCAACAACGATCCAAGCTTGCATAGGATCTCTCCGTCCTTGAGCAGCTCTGCTAGGTCAATTGCAAGAAAATCAGGGCCATACTTCTCGAAGAGCCGGGGGTGTTCCTTTGATAGTATTGCGTAGAGGTACTCTTTGATTTCCGTCTGGTTCTGGGCGTATTTCACCAGCCGTGAGCTGTTCACGTCCTGGTCCAAGTTGGTGGACGCGTTCTGGTCGTACTTCGTGGTTTGAGGCTGCATTGGTCTCCCATCAGGTGGCGACCTGGCCGATGTATACTCTTGTCCTGCACACGACTTTTCCACTACACCATTCCTCGAAATACTTTTACTTTTACTTTTAATGTACAAAACCTATATTTAACTAGGCACAGTCTAGTTGTGCAATCTCTTTTCGTAGTTGTGCAATCCACTGACACCACCCTCGAATTGGGCAGAGGCAGTTCTGAACTCGAATCTGACATCTCCGCTGTCAACCTTTTCTCTCAATTCAGCGGAGGATTGGATACCAATGTCTTGGAACGAGTGTTGCAAACCGTTGAACAAGTATGGAACAAACTTGGTGATGGAACCCTTGTCAACAACGGAACCAGAAACACCTTGGGCAACCAAGACCTTGTCAGCCTCCGAGAAGTATCTGGAAGTAGAAGCGTTGGCGTTGGTCTTGGTTTGTTGCATGGCATCAATAGAACCCATACCTCTGTAGGACTTCAATCTCTTACCGTCAGAGAAGAAGTACTCACCTGGGGTTTCAGAGGTACCGGCCAACAAACCACCCATCATGACGGCAGAGGCACCCAAGGCCAAGGCCTTGGTGATGTGTCCAATGTTACTGATACCACCATCGGCGATACATGGAACACCGAATTGGTTGGCAAATTCAGCAACATTGTAGACAGCAGTACCTTGTGGTCTACCACAAGCCATGACTTCTTGGGTGATACAGATAGAACCAGAACCCATACCGATTCTCAAGGCATCGGCACCGGCTTCAATCAACAAAGCAGCTTGTTCTCTGGTGACAACATTACCGGCAATGACTTGCAAGTCTGGGAATTTTTCCTTGATCCACTTGATCATGTTGATTTGGAAAATGGAAGAACCGTTTGAAGAGTCGATGACAACAACGTCCAAACCGACTTCAACCAACTTGACCAATCTTTCCTTGTCAGCATCGATAGTACCGATGGCAGCACCACACAACAATTGCTTGGAGTGGTAAGACTTAGAGGCGTCTGGGTAACTTTGGTTCTTTTGCAAGTCAGTCAACGAGATCAAAGAAACCAAGTTGTAGTCAGCATCGACGATTGGTAACTTACCCTTCTTGGAAGATCTCAACAAAGCATTACCTTCAGACAAATCAATGCCTTCCTTACCGACAATCAAGTCGGTGGTCATGACTTCAGAGACCTTGGAGCTGTTGTCGTCGTGGAATTGGACATCACGGGAGGTGATGATACCAACCAATTTACCTCCAACTTTACCGTTTTCTAAAAAGTTAGTATAATTCACAATTAGTAAGCTTATTGACTCAGTAAAATAGGGTGTCCACAACATCGTTTGATGAGATCGGTAGAACGAAAGTTATTAATTGAAAGTTGATCATCCGTGAAAATAAGCTTGCAAATCCGGTTGTAACATACCAGTAACTGGGAAAGAGGTGAAACCTAAGTTTTCCTTCAAGGCCTTGACTTCGCCAACGGTGCACGATGGGGAAACGACCACTGGGTCGCTGATGAAACCGTTTTCGTACTTCTTGACCTTTCTGACCATCTCAGCCTGTTCGTCAGCGGTACAGTTGTGGTGGATGATACCAATACCACCCAACAAAGCCATGTGGATGGCCATGTTCTCTTCGGTGACGGTGTCCATAGGAGAAGAGACGAATGGGGCCTTCAAGGTGATCTTCTTGGTCAATTTGCAGTCGAGCTTGACGGCAGAGGCTGGGAAGTTGATCAAACCTGGCAACACAAGGAAGTCGTTGTAGGTCAACCCACCGAAGTTGGTGGAGTCGATCAACTGCTGGATGGACAACCCATCCTTCTTGGAGTAGGTGTCTAAGTGCTTAGTAGCTTGAGTGATATCCAAAACCATTATAAGAGAAGTAACAACTTGGGGACGTGGGCAAACGTTGCCAAAAAAAAAAAGAGAAACCGTAATGGCAGAGATCTGCACAGGCTTATATAGTAAAAATTTTTGTTCGCGATGACACACAAAATACTTGTGGAGGAGATGTATGATGACTATGGTAGTGTAAGAATTACAAATGAGCTCTGGGGCCGCAACTAGTTGGGTGGCATGGTAGTAGGGATGTCCGCGGGGTCCCGGAGAGGTTGTCTTATCAGGGAGATCGAGGTACACGGCGAAGGAGATGGTCTGCAAGAGGGCGATCGGAGGCTCCGGTCGCTGGCGGAGCTGTAGGTGCTCGGAGTAGGTTGACTCTGGGTGCGACATGGGGTTATTAGGGTTATCTAAGCGACATGGAGCTCGGGGATCTGGACGCTTTAGACGGCTCCAGGACCCTCTGAATTTGCCCACAAATGCTGCTGGACTAAAGGGTCCTCTAAGAACTTCGCAGCCACTGGGGTATAGCTGGGATTGTGTGGTTCAGTGGCTACAATATTCAAGGTGACTCCTTCCATCGCACTATTATTGCGCACCAGCACAGTAAGATGGGGCTCCTACTGAAGCAGGGTTTTGTAAGCGAGATGCGACATTCTGTAGGTGGTGGCGGTGCCACCTGATGGATATTGTAGTATGAGGTGCTCATAATTGCCCTAAAACTAATTTTTGCACTCCGAAGCTCTGGAAGTTTCGATGGTGCAATCTGGTGCTTTTGCCTGCGTACTAGGTTCCTTTGAGAGCCCTGCAGTAGTCCAGTTGCTCCTTTCATGTTTCTTTTGTAGTCAACATCGGATTATAGTTACCAATAATAGACAATATTTGCATTTTTTAGGTATTTGGGTGAATAAAACCATTTTCCGAATGAATCATTTTTTAAAGGCATTGTTGTTATAGCTGATTCTCGGTGAATAGTGTTGGTTGCAGCCAGGGCAGAGCTTGAACAATACTCATCTACTACCCCTTTACTTCGCTGTAGATGGGCTTGCATCGTTTTAACTCAGGAACCCTGTGTCTCAATCCAGGTTGTATCGATTTGAACTCTTATTTCCGTCAAGTTATGTCATTACTTGAATCATTACTAGTCCTTGACTCCAACCTGCGCGTTGTTGTCTGATGTAGCCCACCAGTCCCAGAATCACCGCCAAAAGCTGACAAATAGGAGGCTATTGACTTAGGTGAAAAATGGGACTGGCGTAGAGAACATTAACCTCAAATGACAATACTTCTTTCAGCCAGTGAAGAAATTTGTCCCATTATCCAAAAATAATCGAATTACTACTGATTTCAATACACTTTTAGAAACTACTAAAAGACTTGAAATGCGATAGCTACATAAAGATTTTTAAGGTTGAAATGATAGAAGCTTCATTAGACTCCGGTCATCCTCTCTAAGCTTTTGAATGATAGAAATGAGCTGGTTTAAGTTTCTTGCTTCAGATGTTAGTATTTCCTTGATAAATTGTGTGGATCAGAGTAGCGGTTCTATAGGATTTCGGTTCATCATGCATTCATTGAATGCATTCCGATAGTAGAATCATCATTTCACACTAGTATTGGATTACATACTGTTTCTTTGCCCATCCAAAAATAGTGGGCATAAATCTCTTAAATAGTGCTGAAAAATCTGAAATCCGGGTAACACCAAAAGTGAATCTGGAAACATTTCGTCGATTTATCTTCAGTTTAACAACGTGATAAGTATTGGCAAGCATACATAACTATATAAATGAGTGAAAAAAATGGTACCGGGTAAGTTAGTAATAAAATCAACTTTGCAGTCAAAATTATAATTCTAAGTATCAGAGTACTGAATGAATACAGCATTCGATTTGATAACGAATTGATGTATATATGAAAATGAATACGCATGTTGTATGCTATGTGTGTGCATAGACAATGGAAGCTTGTAACCATAATCGATAAACTTAATGATAAATATTGCAATGCCTGATATGATCAACATTGGCCTTTAAGCAACTAGTATGCCTGACTAATTACACTTGCAGTCTATCAACGACTTACTAACCCTCTACTTTCTGCTGGATTAGACCTTGCTTGATCAAGATCTTGTCTTTGCTTTTCCTTAATAGACCTGACATATTCTTCAATTCTTCTCCAACCTTCCTTTCTTGCGACTTCTCTTTGCTTTTGTTCCTCTAATGATTGATGATATAACATGGTGCAATGATCATACAAAATTGGATTGTGATCCATGAATACCTTCAAAGCTCCATAGGCCAATGAATGGATACTTCTATTCCAATTGGAGGTTGCGGAGTTGTGTTGGAGCATATTGGTACCGTCATCATAAGCATTATATTCATCGCCCATGTTATGGCCTCCAGAATTTTGAAGAGAAGAAAAGGAATCATAGTATTCTTCATCATTCATATCATTACCGTTAAGGTCTCCTTGGGCAAAAGAGTTTGAGCCATGCTTTGTTTGATGACTTTCGTGAACATGGAGCAAATTGTGATGAGGATGATTTGGATCATTGGAGCTTGGTATTATACCTTGGTTCAAATCCTGCAAAACCAATCCCTTGTCAATAAGATTTCCATTTGCATCCTTAGTGGCTTGTGGATTATCGGATAATTTTTGCTGCATGATCCCATTCTCTATTCCAGGTTGGGTAGAGTTTGTCAACTCGTACAATGAAGCAAAAATTATTGGTAACACAACCTCAGCATTCTCCGTTATCAAAGTCAAGAAGTATTCGTTAGACCAATAGCACAACACCTTTTCACTAACCTGGAAGTGTGGCGACGAGATACATTTGGACAATTGAGCGAATAAAGGAATTTGGATCTTTAAAAATTCATTTGGTTCCATTACTTCAAAAATGTCTTCAATCTCGTTTAGGAACATTACTTCCTTTGGACTATTGATCTTTGGCCAGAATCTCAATAATCCCATTATAACGTCTTCAGTCAAAGAAGGATCTTTCTCCAAAAACTGGACAATACAATAGGCTAACTGTGGGTGATAGAGTGAAACACTCTTGACCTTGTGTAATGGTATCAAGATTCTCACCAAGAATATCTTATGTTCTTCCTTCAATGGTAGAGCAAAACCGTTGATGATCGAACCCAATATTTCCAATAATTCTCCAATACCGTTGAATCTTTCTGTTTCATAAACAAACTGTAAGAAAACATTGTTGATAGATTTTCTAATGAAACTTCTTAAACTCAAGAACTTACCATAAATTCTATGCAAGGTGGTTTTCAAGCAGTCTCTTTCCCTTGGATCCTCACTATCAAATAGTTCCAAAATTCTCAAGATGAAATCATGGTCAATGTAAAGCTTTGCCAATTGATGCTGAAAATCTGGCAGCTCGATAAATCTCAAGAAAAACTCATAGATGGCTTGCATGTGGGGCCATGCCAATTCACTGACTGGCTCATCCTCATCTGGATCGAAAAGCTCACCAACTGGGTTGACAGGAGGGGGAATTGGACGGAACAAATTCTTCTTGAACATTGAAACAACGTGTTTATACATTTCGTCAGTGTAGCTGAATCTATTGTTGGAAATAAACTGGATCAATTCTTGCAAGGTGATTCTCTTAATTTCTTTACCTCTCAAATCAAATGTGGGGTCACTAAAATCAAACATCACATTGCATTGGTCAATCTTTTGAATGAACAATGGAATCTGTTCTTCTGGTAAAACTTCATCGAAGTTTGGTAATTTCACCATCTCTTGGTACCTATCGGAATTGGAAGGTTCGAACCGAGAAGATGAGTGCCTCTTTGGCGTGACAATCAAATCAATGTCGATATTTTCCTTGGAAGGAGATGCAATGTTTGTATTTAACAGGAATGGATGAATTGCGGGCTGTTGACTGTGGGTGACCTTACCTTCAAAGGGAGAAGGAGAAGACGAGGTAATGTGGTTTGGGGAAGGTATTGGAGAGCTTGGATTCGATGATGGAGACACCGAAGCTGAATTGTTGAGAATGTTATTGGTACCAGTACCGAAATTGCTATTTCCAGAATTCACATTGCTAGATGCATCGAAGTCAATGTTATTGATGGTAATTTTGGGGGAATCCTGAGGTTTGGGCAGGTGGGGGGATTGGGAAACTTGAGAGCTGGTGGTGGCCGAGCCTGTTCCCCCGGAGTTGGCCGACTTGACAGAATTCCCGCTGTTGTTCCTGGAGGGGCTGGGGGAGTTGGATTTCAAGGATGACGACGAAGACGACGCAGACAAGATCTTGCCTCCTGAAGGCGACTGGCTGGGAGGAGGGGTGGTCTTCTTGTCGGACTTTTCCTTCTCCTTTTCTGCCTTCTTGTCGGTCTTCTTGCTGGAGCTCTGGCTCTTGTTTCTGGTGAGCCTATTCTTGAATCCTTTCATCATCTTGGGCAGGTGGCGCGAGGGTCAATGTTCAATTGGAGGGCGTACAAGTACAACTAGAGGAGCTATTCGTCTCCAAGATGGATTTGTTTTGAATCTGGCTGCTTGCAAGGCAGAAGTTCTGCAGTTGTTCGTGTTGGGTTTGGAGGTTTTGAGGTGAATGACCACGTAGCAAGGCTGGCGTGAGCGGATCTATCGGAGCTCTGCAGAGGACGCTGGTGTAGAGGCTGGTACGCTGGTGTGGGCTCCGCAAGACGTGTGTCGGATGGGATTGTCGGTTCACTGGCGTGACTCTGGTGGATAACTGGCGGCGTACACTCTGTTACGGAAGTTGGGGACGGAGTGCAAGAGACCAAAGGACGAGTCTAGCTTCAGGGTGCGGTACGCTGGATGGATTCAACGGGGACGTTGCTAGGCAATTGATAGCAATGGTGGTAGGTAGAGAGATAGGTCGATTCCAGTAGTGTTGATTTTTTTTCTGGCAGTGTTTTTGGTTCGTCCACTCGTGAGGCTGTCAAGGTGGGGGCCCTGGCGGGAGGGGCGAGCGAGAGGGAAGGTGTAGGGAGGCAGTATGAGGGAGGAAGGGAGGCTACGGGGGCTAGCGAGGACAGAGGGGGGAAGGCCGTAGTGGTGCTACAGAGAGGACAGTTCGTGGGGTGGCCATAGGTAGGGGCCTGGGAGTGCTCGTCAGGTTCCGGCAGTGTCAGTGTTGGGCGTGGTTGGACACGAGCGCTAGCGCCACGAGACCCAAACGCCAGCGAGGCAGTCGCAACGGCACCAGCGAGCAGTCCCACATTAGCGGGAGGCCGCAGGCGCAACGGCGGAGAGCCTCCAGTGCCGTTGGGTCGGTACCGCGCGCGGTCACGCAGGGAAACAATAGCGATACATGTGGGGGGCGGAATGTATTGGAATATTGGAATGTACAGGGAGGGGTGGGGAAGAGATAGTAAAGAGAAGAAGGAACACACCGGCAAAGCCAAGGTTGAGTATTGGAGTAGTGGGCGTATTCAACGCTGACTAGCATGGCTCGCTAGGCAGGGACTCGTTAGGAGGGGCCCTCGCCAGGGGAAATGGCTCACTAAAAATCCACTTTTTACGAAACAATCGGCTTATACGGGACAGATTGCCAACCAGGAGTGGCGAGCACCCACCGAATCGCTCGATCATCACCTGACAACTGGCTCGTCAGATTGTTTAGTTCCCTCGTTAGATCGCTAGATCATCACCTGCTCGTCGCCTATCTTTGCTCCTAGCGGCCCTCCGCGCTCGCCACCATCTTTTTTGTTCAACACGTAGCTCATGTAACAATTCCAGCCTATGCTGAACACATTCACCCCAAGCAACCGGAACTGCACAGGCATCAAGTAGAAGTTGAACGCCTGGAAGACTGGCCACACCATCCAGTTGGTGGTCAACGTGCTCCACCAGCTGGTGGAGAGCTTACGTGAGATCTCGTCCACCACAGGCGTCTTTCCTTCGAAGACTGTCATCATGCTGAAATAGAGCGGAATCCCCACAAACGGCGCAAACCCCAACTGGTCGGCGGCTACTCGCACGGCAGTGGTGCCCACCGTGCTGGTGCGGGTTGTGCCGCCAAGCTGGATACGGTTCAAGAGCTTGTACCACTTGTCGCCAAGGGGTGCGAACACCACCGAGCCGTAGGCCACCGCACGGAGAGTGCGAGGGTAGTCGTAGCCGTGGTGGCGCTCGGGATTGAAGAGGGACTGGGCGAGAACGTCGCCAGCCCCAAACAAGAACCCCGTGGTGAGGATGTTGGTGGCCAATGGCCGTTTCAAGATGAGCTGGTTGTATGTGCGGAAAAAAGACGACATGGATGGTGGTGGAGGATTGCGGTTGAGAGGACTTATATGGAGTAAACGGCAGCAGCAACTGTTGCGATATGGGTCCAATTGCACAGCAGCCCAGGCTTCAATGGTAGAGCCAGCACGGTGAGTAGTTGGGATGAATAAGTGAGTGGGTGGTGACTGTGCATCAACTCAAAAGTGTCTGGTGGCTCGCGTGATGAGTGCGCGTGCCGAATACGATAATGTGCATGGTGCAATGCAGACAGTTGCACGTCAACTGGTTTGGGCAGCTTGACGGCCGTTGATATGTCGAACCGTTGGAACCTTGAACCAGCCAAGTACTCATCACAGTAGATGGACGGTCGCTATTCAGCACCAATTCATCAAGATCGCCATTTCCATAGCATCAGAGATATTTGGAAGCAGGGCGTACTATGGCCCAGACCTGGTAAAGCTCCGGCTCCTGATCCTCGAACCACAGGAATAAAATCGTTGAAGTAGCACCTCATGCCTACGCTTCATACACCATGGTGAGCTCCTGGTCGTCGTCCTGGATGTCCAAGATTTCCTCAAGACGATGGCCACTGCCCTTACCATGGCCTGAGGTGTTGTGGATGAAACTCAAGAATCCAGTCCAGTTGATGGACCACACGTTCACAGCCACGATCCGGTAATGGGCAGGCAAGAAGTAGAGGTTGAACATCTGGAATCCAGGCCACATCAACCATGACGCCTTGTATACCGTCCACCAGTTCTGCCTCAATCTTTCAGCCGTCAACTGCAATGGGTTCTCGTGGCCTGCTAGCACGGTCATCACCGTGTTGTACATGGGGATGTACAAAAGACCAGCAGCGCACTGCTCGATAAACACCCGGAAGAGCACGTCGTAGAACAAGAGCCGTTTCTTGAGCTTTGGTGCCTGTTCCATCGCCAGTCTCCGGGCTTTGCTGAGGAAAGGATTGAATATCCGGGGCAAGATCTTGCGCTGCATCACCACCGACACAGGCCCAAACACGCAGAACCCGTAGATCACTGCTCGCTGTGTCCTGGCCAGGTTGAACGGCAACGGTTCCTCCACCCCGTCCTCGTCCACTGTCTTGACTGGAAAAAAGTGCTGGGCCATCAGATCGCCAATGCCGAAGAAAAGTCCGGTGGAACACATGTTGGTGATGAAGGGTCTCCGTAAGAGGAGGTCGTTGTACGCGCGGAAGATTCTCATCGTGTGCTCTTTGACCTGGCCGGGTGGGTTGTTGGAAATATAACTGTATAAAAATTTAATTGATTTGCAATCTCAGCCGTACACGTGACTTACCCGACTCGGGCCGTTGTCGCACAGGAGTCGCGCGATAGTCACCAAGGTCGTGCGCGGGTCTAGTCACCTGAGTCGTGCGACTTCGTCCCAATCCAGTCCCCGAGCCACTTGGCCTAATCCAGCATCAGACACCGATGGAATGCGACAGACGCTTCTTTGGGTTATTACTAATTCATCGAAGGTTTTCATGCTGCAGAATATGTCAGCCTCCCAGTAGGTCCACTCCCACCCTCACAAGATGCCAGCCTTTCCATGGGCTTTTCAAGTCCTTCGAAACACGCTCATGGTCCGAGAACCACCACGCACACGCTGCCGTTGTTCCCAGCGAGGTAGCTCTCACGCTCGCAGCGTGAGCCTTCGCAACCTCATCTCCGGTAACCAGAAATGCACGTTTCGGATTTAAATCGAAGGGTCCATCGCGGGCCAAGCACACATTTGCCTCAAACTTCACGTGTGCATAATTCTTCATTATATAAACCTGGGAGGAGTCCACAGTATTTCCCTACTCAACAATCATGTCTACTACTGTCTTCATTTCAGGTGCTACTGGGTACATTGCCCAACATACTATCAAGCAATTTCTTGACCACGGCTACTCGGTCATTGGCAGTGTGAGATCACATGCCAAGGGTGAGAAGTTGTTGAAGTCCTTCGACAACTCCCGCTTGAGCTACGTGGTTGTGGCCGATATCCAACAGGAAGGTGCCTTCGACCAAGCCTTGAAGGACCACCCTGAAATCACCGGTTTCCTCCACACTGCATCGCCATTCCACTTCTCTACCGACGACCCAGAAAAGGATCTCTTGATCCCTGCCGTCAAGGGTACCACCAACGTGTTGAGGGCCATTGCTGACCACGGAGCCAACATCAAGAAGGTGCTTGTGACCTCCTCGTACGCTGCTATGATGACTTTTGGTGACGAAATGAACCCATCGTACGTCCGTGATGAACTGTCATGGAACGACCTCAAGTGGGACGACGCCAAGCAGAACGCCATTGCTGGCTATGTTGGCTCCAAGGCATTTGCTGAGAAGGCTGCTTGGGAATTCCTCGAAATGGAGAAGCCAGGCTTCCAATTGGCTACCCTCAACCCAGCATACGTCTTTGGCCCACAACTCTTCGACGAAGAAGTCAAGGGTACCCTCAACACTTCGGCCGAGATGATCAACCAGATCTTGAAGTTGACTTCCGCTGACGTTGTGCCCAAGGAGTCTGGTGCATTCTTGGATGTCAGAGATGTCGCCAAGGCACATCGTGTTGCTTTCGAAAAGGACGAGGCCAACCAACACAGATTGTTGTTGCAAAATGGAAGATTCACTTCTCACGTTATTCGTGACATCATTGCCAAAAGGTTCCCACAATTGGAAGGCCGTCTTCCTCAAGGAGCTGCCGAGTCACTGGCTAAGATTCTTAGCAGATACTGCAAGTTGGACGATTCCAAGACCCGTAAGGTCTTAGACTTCGACTACTTTACTTTGGAACAAAGTATTTACGATACTGTCAAGCAAATCGCCGTTGCCAACAACTGGTGATTTCTAGGATGATTATATAGATTGGGAACGAATAAATTTGTACATAGTCACATGTAGAACGGTTCCTGAAGTCAAGAGGGGCATTGCTCGTGACTGCTGCAGCACCAACAGATGTTGTGCCTTTTTTGGCGGGTTGCGCCGGTTAGACGATGGCGGGGCCATGGCGGGGATTTCTCTCGCCCTGGGAAGCTGCACTAATCGATGAATTAGATTACACAACTTGTACTACAGGGAATTAGAAGAAGAAACCATGAGCAAGTAACTAAGCCTGGAGTGACTATTCGACGTCGACATTAGTATGATTATTCCTGCTCGTTACACTCTACAACAGTGCTTATTCCATTTAAAATTGAAACTTTTTCACATAGCCCAGTAGTAGCTTGTTTCTATGTGTTCAATAACAGTACATGTTCCGTAGAACGACTCTATGATTATATCTTCACAGTAATGAGGTCCTCTGGTAGATCTACGAGGTGTCGTGACTTCGCCGCTTATAGTCTAAGTCGAAATCTTCATCTTAATGAGTAAGTGCGTCACTGTAAACCTTCTAGCTAATTAAACTTCCCACCTTCGCATCACGTCACCTCTAGCATTGGACCACACGCATGCGGCTACGAGTGGATATCCTACAAGGCTACCACGTCACGCCGGCATCGCCGTGCATCGAGTTGATCCGACCCAGGTCACGAAATGACCGATGACGTATGGCCTGACGTAACCTGACGGATCCAGTAATGTTCCAGAAGCATCGTAATTTCACGACGATCGTCACCCAATGACATGCCACCACGCCCCCACGCGCACCAACCCCACACCACGTGAGGCTCCACCCCACTCGACAGCGTGGTTCCGACGGCTCCACACTGCCACTCGTGTAGCCGTCGATCTCCTATTGGTCACAAGACACTGCGCCCCATCCTCGCCACACCCGACCCTCTCGTGTTGTCGGGATACCGCGTCAACCACCCCCGAGGTCCCGCCCTGGAATCTGGCACAAAGCCACACAAGAAGTGGCTGGCTACATGTTTACAATTTCACCTTCCTAAACGAGCGAAACGGCAGTCACGCCCGGGATCCGTGGTGATGGCAGGATGGCAGGATGGCAGAGGACAGAACTCGTCCTGGAGACAACATCTCTAGTGCAATAGTGCGGAGGCGTCCTCCACCACCACCTCCACAACCAAAAGCGCGTCCTCCCCTTCTAGCCGCACGTCCCCCGCCCATTAGGGGACATTTCCCCCTCGATTGGTAGGTGAACAAAGATAACGCGGGGCGTGCGCCGCCCGTTCGCACCAGCAACCATGGTAATATTACCCAACTCGTCCACCCCTTTATATATAGCTGTGCCCTCACCCTTTTCCAGAATTCGACGTTTTATTCACTCACCACACATCCACCAAAATGCACAGAACTTACTCTTTAAGATCTCAAAGGGCCCCCACCGCCGCCCAATTGCAGAGCCCTCCTCCTCCTCCATCCTCCACCAAGTCCAGATTCTTCGGCAAGGGCTCGATCTCCCACTCGTTCCGTAAGAACGCTGCCGGTGCTTTGGGCCCCGAATTGTCGAGAAAGTTGGCACAATTGATCAAGATGGAAAAGAACTTGATGCGTTCCATCGAAATCACCGCCAGCGAGCGTAAGGAGGTCGCCAAGCAGTTGTCGCTCTGGGGTGAGGCCAACGACGACGACATCTCCGACATCACCGACAAGTTGGGTGTCTTGATCTACGAAATCGGTGAGTTGGAAGACCAATTCATCGACAGATACGACCAGTACAGAATCACCGTCAAGTCCATCCGTGACATCGAGGGTTCTGTCCAGCCATCGCGTGACAGAAAGCAAAAGATCACCGATCAAATTGCCTACTTGAAGTACAAGGACCCACAATCGCCAAAGATCAACGTCTTGGAACAAGAGTTGGTCCGTGCCGAAGCCGAGTCTTTGGTTGCTGAGGCCCAGTTGTCCAACATCACCAGAGAAAAGTTGAAGACCGCGTTCAACTACCAATTCGACTCGATCAGAGAGCACTCGGAAAAGATCGCCTTGATTGCTGGTTACGGTAAGGCTTTGTTGGAATTGTTGGACGAGTCCCCAGTCACTCCTGGTGAAACCAGACCTGCCTACGACGGCTACGAGGCCTCCAAGCAAATCATCATTGACGCCGAAAACGCCTTGGCTGCCTGGACCTTCGACTCTGCTGTGGTCAGACCAACCCTCTCGTTGGCTGCCCACGACGATGAGTACGACATCGACGAGTTGGCTGACGAAGCCGAGAACTTGCAGGTCACTGAACAAGACTGGGAAAACGACAACAAGGTTGCTGCTTAAGCGGCTTCATAATTGACTATAAAAGTTGTTTGTGTCCGATCTCTTTAATTCTTGTAATGTTTCTTACTATTGAATTTGATTGTTTTAGTTGATGTAACGTAGCGCGCTGGAAAAGCGTGCCATTAGAATACGGCTCAGTAGAGTGGCATGATTCTACTAAAGAATGGCACTCTAAGAGGCCACAGTACCCGCCGTGTAGACTGACATGGTCCTACTATCTAGAATGGCACCGTTCGGCCAATAATAGCACCTTGATGGCCACTATCGTGAAGTGGCCAGTACCCGTCTAGTGGAAATGGGACGTGGTTGTAGCGCGATGCCATTAGACGGGCGCGGTGTCGGCTCGCTGTGCGCTGTTGCCGATACGGAGGCTTGCGAGGCACCAGGTTGCGCCAGGCATTAGCCCACAGCGAGCTTACAAGTTGTGAGTACAACCAAAGAGGGTCTTCCAGCGACATCTAGCCGTGGACATCCGTAGACATGCATCCATAGCCTGAGTATCCATGCATAGAGTTGTTAGTTACCTGAAGTTGTGACCATAGCTGGTAAATGATGGGTGTGAAGAATCAGACCGTGACTGTGTCAGTTGGCCTTCCGTGACTAAATCGGTACCTTAGCGAGCACATAAAGTCATAGATCATGGCTTGAGCACCATAAAGTTATAGATCATGGCTTAAGAGGCGTAAAGTCATAGTGGCCATTGTGAACACACCAAGATCATAGATCATGGCTGGAGTGACCAATGAGTTGTAGAGTCCCAGAATCTTCATCAGGTAGTTTTGACCATTCACCGCCATAGCTGAGCATCCAGGAGACCCATTGGATTACTGAGTATCCACTGGACTACTGAGTATCCATGGACTACTGAACATCCATGGACTACTGAACATCCATTAGACTACTGAGTATCCATGGACTACTGAACATCCATTGGACTACCGAGCACCCATTAGACTACACCTCAGTACCCGTTGGAGTAACCTCAGTATCGATTAGACTAACCTCAGTGCTTGGAGACATACTTATGAGTACACAGCTAAATCATTACCGAGACCCGCGACTATGTCCAGAGTCGTTACCCGTGTGTATAATCCCAGTGGTGACGTGACTACCCGTATACTTCCGTGAATACCGTGTAAGACATCCTAAAGTCATATTGCGTTTCCACACCCAATCATATTCCGCCTCCACATCCAATCATATCCCGTCTCCGTACCAGTCTTGGACCCAGTCTTCCTATCGTCTGCCGTAGCACTTCCAGTCTATCCACTCTCCCCCACTGCCTCCGCCGCACCTCGCATCCTGCCCTGCCCGTGCATGGTCCCTGGCTCGTATTCCGGTGGTCCCACCAGTGGTTGCTACACAAAACACGCTGGCTGAACTTCGCTTTGTGGCGGTGTTGTCGCGGCGATTGTTCAGAGGGCGTTTGTTGTGGTTGCCTGGAATTCCCCGGCGCACGCCACCACCGCATCCTCGCTTACGTAACCGCCCCTCTGTGTTTACAACCGTTTCTTCAAAACTAGCCTCCATCAACAACTCCCGCCCACTCCTCCAGCCCTGCCTGCGCTGCCTTTGTCTGTCTGTGTCCGTCCACTTCCCTACGCGCTCCTGGCTGGCCCTCGCTGCATCGACTCCCGTTCCGTCTGCCGTCCCTCCATCCTTCTGGGCCTGGTACTGTTCCTGCCAGTTCCCATTCTATCAGTCTCCATCCTGCCATGTCCAACGAGTTCCTCCACTTGTCGCCCTCCCGCAACCTCATAGATCCGTTGATCTACAACGGCTTCGAAGACGACAAGAAGACCTCTGGCTCCTCCAAATCCAAGACCTCGTCGTCCACAACTTCCTCCACTTCAGCGCCTGCCAACGACAAAGACCAGCCTTCGGTGCCGCCATCCGCGTCCAAGTTCTACGGTGCAAACTCCACCAACCTCACGGGCTGGACGCCCCTCATCTCCAAAACATACTTCAATGAACAACTCATGTCATTCAATTCCACCCCCAACAAGCATTTCTTCTCGTCCTCAGCCAACCCCAACATGAGCAGCCACGAGTACGTGGACTACTCGCAGGGCTTGAACTTGACGCCATTTCTCACCCACAATATCAACATCTTGAACGGCCATCCGTCGGCATCTTCCAATTCCATCAGCCATCAATTGAGCAACATCACCCCGTTCCACGACAAAACCTTGCATTTGGCCGATTTCCTCATGGACTCGCCCATCCGCAAAACCCCCATCAAGGACTTGGACACCATAACCCCGTCGAAATTCAGGTTGGGCAGCGAAAAGAAACTCCTCAAACAATCTTTTCTACAAGACCCCAAGTCGGCCCTGAAACGCTCCATCACCCAGATCGACACGCCCCCCAGGCAGCCACACAAATTGTCGATATCCACTAAGGCTGACCGTAGCAATGAAGATGAAGACGAAGAAACCGATGATTCCCGGAAACACACAGCCAGTAGTGATGACGAGGATGTGAATGACAAAGAAAACAGGGTGCCGAAGTCGAAATACTACTTGCAAACACCCTCAAAGAGTGCGCTTTCTGACATATCGAACTTGAGGAAAACGCCCATCAAGTCAACGCCATTGAAGATGGAGAAAGCCACCATGGTCAACCTCAGCAGCTTCCAGACTCCTGCCAAGCAAGTTCCACTTTCCTCGCCTTCTACGGAAATCATGTCTAGTGCAGTAAGATCAGATTCGCCTACTCGTACCTCTCGGCGTATCACAGAAGAAACCGATGACGAACTGGAGGAAGAAGACAAGAAACACAATTTAAATCATCCCCCTAGCCCTACCCCAAACAAGGACCCTAAAACTCACAGCAAAGGAGAACCTGTTATGGGGGTCTTTTCTGAGAAAAAATCGAAATTGCCTGTGAAAGCAAAAATGGGAGGCCCAAACAATGCCAAACAGATGGGAAGTGTATTTAGAAGCTCAAACATGGTTCCAAATACCAAGGGTAAGAAAGAGTCGGAGACTGCCATCAAACCCAAGAATAATAAAGCACGCATGCAAGCAGGTATGAACAAATTTCAAATCGTCTTTACTGATGTCCATGCATTAATGAACAACAAAAATAAGAAAAAGGATAGTGAAAGTGCCAGTGGGACCACTAGTACCAGCAACTCCAATCCTAAACTACAGCGGTTCTCTAGTTCAACTGAAGTACCTGATGTTAAGAATGCTAAGTCAAAGAATAAATTGGTTCGATCATCCACTGCACCTGTGCCCAATCAATCAATGGGCTCTGGAGTAACTATGTCTTATCCTCAGGTGGTACTGACACCTTCGTCTCAACCAGGTTCTTCCCATGATCACAGCACTACCATTAACACAACCAAAGAATTGAGCATAATATCTGGTAACAACAACTCAATGAACACCAGTCACTTGAACATGAGCACTGGTCAAGATCATTCGTCCTTTGAGTTAGGAGGTTTGTCCTCCACTCCTAATGGCAAGTACTTTTTAGATAAAATACTTGAGAAACCTTCACCGCAATCTCAAAACCTACTCAATCAGGCAAACAACTATTTCCTTAACCAATCATACGGATCCATGCTTCCCCCTCACAAGCAGCAGTCTCAGCAAGTACGTAGTCTGCAGAACTCATCAAACCAACATCCCATGATGATGATGATGAGTACACCACAACATCAAAATGTGATTAACTACAGTCCTAATGTTTACACCAGTGAGGTTTCTCCATCTAACGGAGAAGCGAATGAGTCCAATAATCAACTTAATCAACACCCTTTCGGATATTCCAAGGATGTCAACAACAGTTCCCAAAACTATTGCATGGTTAACATGCATGGTCAATCAGTGATGATGCCTATCATGATGAACTCCAAATCTGATCCTCAATTCTCAGGGGCAGGGTCGTCTGGTAATGAGGAAATAATGAAACCGGACGATCTGATTTGAGCAATGATAAGCATATTTCTTCTCAATTACGTCAATTTGAGGGAATCTGTCAGTGTAATTTAACGAATTCTATTCCAACGCTCGATTATTTCGATTAGCCTGATGGTCATTAGGTATTCAGTTCTTTCATGAAAGTCATATGAACACTAATATATATATTTTACCACACCTAAAATTGTAGTCGGATTTCATTATCCCAGTAAGCGTTGTACTACAACTATTGTAAGATGCGAAGCTGCTGAAATGCAATTTAAACTGTGAGCAAATTTGCTAAAATTTGTTTTTTGTACATGTGAAGACAGTCTTTGAAAACCCATGAAGTGATTGTAAATATTTTGACGTGTATGATAATGTGCTGGAAAACCATTTCTACAAGGCGAGCTAAATTATTGGTGATGATTTCCTGGACTATGTGCAAGTTAGAATTAAATAGAGGAACAGTATTTCTATACATTTGGTGGCAACAACAAGGCTCCGATAACGTTTGGTCTTTCGGTTGCCAACAAGTCAAAGATCTGGGCAGCATTGTTGGAGTCGCCTACCTCGAGCTGAATGCCCAAGCTTGAGAAAAGCTTCTTGTTGGATTCACTCAACATCCGCGATTTCTTTCCAAGCCCAATAACCACGATTTCGGGTTTCGGATGCACCTTTCTGAAGATTTCCAAGATCTCCTTCTCATTGAACTCCACAATAAACCCATTTATGATGTTGTAGCCGTTATTGCTGAAATTAACTTCGAATGTTTCACTCTGGAGCATAGCTGCTCCAATTACATTTCCGTCCTTATCTGGGGAGGTAATCAAAAGGTGGTTTGCCAAGTAGAACCCATCCGACCTTACTGTCTCAATATAGTTGAGTGGCTTGTCTGAGTACATCAAGATGTCATTCTTCTTGAAAAGATCTGCTGGGTTGGACGTGGTTTCTCCTTTATTTCCGGGAGCACTAAGTCCCTGATTGCTTCCATTACCGTGTATGGTCTTAGTACCACCAAACAAGTCCCTGTGAACGGCAGAGGTAGACAAGCATTTGGTCCCGATACATGTCTGGCTTCTGAATGCTCGGAATGCCCTGGAAGGCACGCGTATGGCCCGTATGTTAGTAAGCATTGCTGATGAGCTTTCTCCAACCAGAAAATTCGTGAAAACATATCGCATCACGTGCTGTGGTTGCAACTTGGGTGCAAGCAGCGTACTACATTCAGCCTTGTGGTTGAGGACAGGCGTGCTCCTCGGTCATTCCAGATTGATATTTCCGTCGTCTACTATTCATACATACCCATACCTCGTTTTAGCTCGCAAGCTTAAGTTTCTCTCTCTTTAGTTTATCAGCCACAGCTAGCTTGCATTTCTCATAGATATCGACCCGGATCTCTGTATGCCCCAAATTGTCGTTATGCGTGGACGAAGTCTCGGATGTGTGTGAGGACTCTGACTTGTAGTCGCTGAACGGTTCCTGTAAAACGGGAGGCGAGGCTACCGGATTGTAGAGCTCGTCCAATCTCATCTTGGAGATTGAAGGCTTGGCCTTGAGCTGCTTGGTGGGTGAAGATGGTCTGGATGTTCTGAGACCCTGTGAAGATTTCATAGGTGATAGCTTCAGAGGTGACGGAGCTAAAAACGTCTTTGTGGGCGACGCCTGAGGCAAAGTGGGCTTGGAGCTAAGTGACAACTCGCTCAAATTCAACTGTTTGATGGAGGGCTTGGCCTTGAGTTTCGGCGAATCGCCCACTTTGATTCTGGTTGGCGAGGAGGATCTGGAAGGTATTTGCGGTTCGACCAGTTTCATGTAACCCTCGTATATTCTGCTCAACTGCACGTTAAATGCCATTTTTTCCAAGTATTCCCGGATGATGCTAGCTTTTTCGTCCTCGGTTATCTCCATGGCCTTTTTCAAGTTGCCGTTGTTCGGAATTACCTTGTCTACGCTCTCTAATGCGTACTGGTATCTGGTGGTAAAATTGAAGGCTTTGTGATGCTCGAGGTATATATCTGACTCGGCCAATAAGGTAGCCACCTGTCCAGCGGTAGCCTGCTCTCGTGGGAAATACACAAACTTAAATCCTTTGACTTTTCTGTCTTTGTAATCGGTAAATGGAGGATACACCTCGTCTTCATTCATGGAAACCCCCTTTACGGGAGACGAGGGTCTAGACAAGTTTTTGCTAGGGACTTCTGACACCACACAGTACGACCTGAACTTGTTTTTGACAAAGTCTACCATCACACGATACTCGTCGTGGGTCAAGATGTGCACAAATTCTGTGGCACCATACGTCTGGTCCAATTTTTCGTAGAACTGAACTAGCTCGGGGCTGGCGCTTGATCCCTGGTCGATGTACTTGAGGTTATGGCTCTCGTCCAAGAAAGTAGATAGTTTGTTTATTCTTAGCCGCTTGAAAAGATAGAGAAGTGATTTGATCTGGAGGTCTATCGAGTCGTGATTTTTGCCCTGCTCAAAGGAGGGCTTCTTAACAGCCTGGTTGCCTGGTCCGAGGAGGCTGAGGAGGTTCATGGCACCGTTTGGATAGAGAGCAGGATCTTATCTAGAAACATAAACATTGGGGAGCCACTAAACCGGAATATTGTTCACGTGACTGTAATCACGCGCCTCACTCTCTGATAAATCCTGGCCCCACCATACGACTTTGCCACAGCATGTCTACTCAATCCGGTATCACTCTCCTGAAGGAGCTCCTTGATGAATTCAAGCACTTCTCAGGAAGCTCCCTCGTCATCAAAGTCTCTCCAGATAACACAGAATTGGTGCCCGATTCGTCCTACTCCTCCAGTGGCAGCCATCAATTGGAACAAGTGTTTGATGATTTGCACAAATACATCTCCAAGGAGTTTCCCCAGCCATCTTACATCGTCATCCCCACCAGCCAGGCCAAAGATGACTTTATATTCGTGAGTTTTATCCCCGATGAAGCCCCCATCAGACAAAAGATGCTCTATGCCTCCACCAAGAACACGTTGATCAACTCTTTAGGCTCCAACAACTTCTCCAAGAGCAACACGTTTTCGTGGACCGAGTTGCTGGAGTTGACAATCGACCACTACGAGTTTGTGCGGGCCTCAAAGTCGAGTTCCGGTCCGTTGACCAACGACGAACAAACCTTGAACGAAATCAACTTGCAAGACTTGTCGTTGGCTCTGCGTGCGCCAGGTGGTGGCTTCAAGCAAAAGTTGGCCTCAATGCACTCGTCCGAAGAAAAGGAATTGTTCAGGCTCAGTGATGAGTTGCAACAACAATTCGAAAAGTTGCCCCAAAACTCGACCAACAGGACCTTGTTGACGTTGAACGTAGAGACAGGCTCCGAGGAGTTCCAGCTCACCTCCTCTACCGAGGGAGTTGCTGTGGATGCATTGGTGGCCACTCTTGAAAAGGTTAGCCCTACTGGACATCCTCTGTATAGTATCTACAACTACCAGGACGGCAAATTTGCATTCATCTACTCGTGTCCTTCTGGTTCCAAGGTCAAAGATAGAATGTTCTATGCGTCTTCCAAGTTGGGGTTGATCAACTCGTTGAAGAGCGGTTTGAAGAATGCTAATTTGACAATTGACAAGTCCTTAGAAGTTGGAGATCTCGAGGAGTTGGAAATAAGTGAATTGAAACAAACCCAAGAGGCTGCTGGTGAAAAGTCTGGCTTGAGATTTTCTAAGCCCAAGGGTCCTCGTCGTAGATAAACAGTACTGCCAAAATTATAAATCATTACTTACTTTAAAACTACAGTCCATTAAAAGTGAACGTACAGTGTATTGTCATCATTATTGTCTATTCCAGTATAGTGCGTGTCATACTGGGAAAGTTTCGATTTCGTATCTGCTCAGCAGGCTGTAAATCGTCGTTGTACTCTATTTACTGTTCTTGACTATTTCTAGCTCACCCTTAACATAACGATCCACTAACTCCTTCAACTTGGTAACATCGTCCTCCTTGAAATATTTGTCTAACAGGGTGGAGTCCGACGTTGCTGAATTATTGACCTCAGATAGTATGTGTCCGTAAATTTTTCTAGAAATAGTCTTGTTGATTTTGATATAGTCCTCCTCGGAAGTTATGATGAGCTCACTGGGGAGCTGTTCGGTATGGTTAGGCTTGTATAACAACCTCAAGTTGGACCTAATATATTTCTGGATTTCTATTTTTTGATCCAAGGTCAACTCCAACGATTTGTGTTTCTTCTGAAGGCGAGAGTCACTGTCGTATTGAGTATCGCTGTCGTTGAATGTTGGATCCATAGGACTATTACTCGAAGGCGATATCGAGGCTGGGGAATCAGAAGCTGACAAAACTCCGGAAGCAGCATGGGTGCTGAGGGGTGCGATAGGTGGACTAAAGTTGCTCCCGCCTGCTGCAATGGGCTTCTTGGTGTTCAACATTGGGGTTCTTGCCAAAGGTGAGGTTTTGATTTGACTGATTAAATTGTTAATACGACTGGAATTATCCTTAATCATATCCTTTGAAGACCCTACCACTGCCTCATTTACTGGAGTTATCTTTTTTCTTCTTCTTCTCTTGTTGGAACTCGAGCTGGTGCCAGTGCTGGCACTTTCAGAACCTTCTGTCTTAACTTCTTCAGATATGTATTCTGGGTCTTGGTTCCTTGCCACGTCGAAAATCTGCCACGATTGTAGTTCTTCTTTGGAGAGGTTTTGCTGTGCTCTCTGTTCCTTTCTGAGCAATACGCCCCCATTAATCACGGGAGGCGCATGGAAGTCGTTGAACCGGGAGTATAGCATTTCGTTATTTTGCATGAGATCGTCACTGTCGTTATCGTAGAGGAACGAGTCGTCCAACTCGTTGTTCTCGTTGTGTATGATGAGGCCAGGTCTGGCGCTTCTGGCGGGAGTTCTTGCGGAGGATCCTGTTCCGCGTATTATTCTGGTTCTAGCAAGGGCTCTGGGGACACTTCTTGCAGGCGTAGGACATGTTCTAGTGGTCCTGGAGGTGCCTCGTGACCGCTGATACGGTATGATGAGCTCCTGGTCGATGTCGCAGATGGGACAGCACCACGAGCACATATCTGTATCTGGACTCATTCCAACGCAGTCCAAATGGAATGACGAGCAGCAGAAGTTGCAATTGAGCATGCTGCGCATCGACGACACGTAGTCGGAGCTAGAACAGATGGAGCACACACCACCATGTCGTATCTCATCCTCCACGGGAGCAGGGGCAGCTGCTGGAATCACGTACTCGCTGGGGATATGGTTGATGGCATCATTGGTGAGCAACTTGTCCTGAACAGAGATGGTGTGGACGAGCATCGTGGGCTTATTCTTGGGGTAGATTTCCACGGTGTAGAACCGCTGGCGGCATGTAGGACACGAGTTGGAGTTGCAAGACCACTGGGTGATGCACCGGTCGTGGTACGGCTTGTTGTGGCCGCAGCACGAGGGTACGATTCCCACCAACTGGGTGTCGAGAAGTGGCTCGAGACAGATGGTGCACTCGTTGTCCCTGTCGTCTTCGTCTGGAATGGGTGCTGAAGGCTGCTCCTTTTTGAGGATTTCGGGCCTTTGGGGCGAGTTTGGGGCCGTTTTCGGGCCGGATGGCAAAGATCCCGTGGCTGAGGGCATTGTGTGGCCGTTCATGGTGAGCGCCTGTCTCTGATGTGTTGCTGTCTTATCGGTGGGGTGTTTTAGGGTGTTTGCCGCTGTGCCATATCGTGGGATCTGCGACACGGCCTCGCGACATCACTCCGCGACATCTGTGCAGCATCGTGATGATCAGCTCAGCTTGTAGTGAGTACTCAGCTTCATACAGAGTATACCGGATACCCTAGACAACGCATACACCGAGCAGGCCGGACACGCTCTTTATATACAACTGCATACACAGAGTTGGATCTTAATTTCAATCTGTAATATTTAAAGCTCTTTCAGGTTCACTTAAGCTTACATTTTGGACCCATTTTCCAGCACATTCCCTCCAGTTCAATTCAAGAATCCCTGATAAATCCGAGTAATTACTAGCATAATCGCCCATGTCCCGCCACCAGTACGATTTGATCCAGTGCATGAAGCAAACCGGTCCCGTCGCTGGCCTAGTCTGCCAGCAATGTGACGGCAGGTGTCCTGTTTGCGACTCGTACGTCAAGCCCACCACCAAAGTCACCATTTGCAGCGACTGTTCATTTGGCCACTTGAGTCACAAGTGCATCATGTGCAGCAATTTCTTGGGCGACAACAACGAAAACGGAACCCCAGCTTTCTACTGCTTGGAGTGTGTGCGGCAGGACTTGGACCGGGAAGGATGTCCTCGGGTGATCAACGTGGGAAGCTTGAAGGCAGACATGATTGTGCGGAGGAAGAAGGCGTAGGCAGAGAAGGGGCATTGTGTTAGATTAAAATGTGGAGTTTCTAGAAGTGGTCATATTCATTTCTATCAGCCAGAGTCCATATTGTGTGAGAGTATTATTGTGGAGAGTTTCAGGCGTGATACATATTCCTCGAGACAGAATCGATGAGAGTGTGCCTATCTAAGTCTAGACATGAGAAGTACCATTTCAATCAGGTTGACGGTCTTCAAAATGATCAAATGGAAAGAGATAGACCATTACGCCTCTTAATTTAATTCCAGTAACCACGTTTATGGCCATATACCTCAGTTTAACCTGAAAGTGGTACCAAAGGCTGATTGCCTGAACTGGAGCCAATAGGACTACAATTCCGAGAAAATATCAATGTTGGTCAAATGATAATTTTTATTCAGTGAAGTGCAACAAGGTTGGCAAGTCAGTTTGGTCCTTCAGAAGCTGAGGCTATACAGTCAATTACCTTCCACATAGTTGATGATATCGGATTTGGTCTCGTTTCATCGGTTCTGATTTGCTTAATGAGAGAAATCAATTGAGATGATAATTTTCTTGATTTCAGGCATCTCCAAATATTGTGATTGAAGCATATATTGTGCCGCATTAAACTACATTGTTTATCATGGATTGGATGCCCAATGGCAATTTAACTGGTTATACCTTTTCAAAGTCAGTGCTTTTGGCCCACAGTCGCCCTCTCCAAATTAATTATGGACTCATCACGCTTGTCCAATCTTCGAGAGCGACAGAGACATCATTGATCGTGCGTCTCTCGTTAGACTTGTTTTGCTAATCGATGAGTTGTTCATGCTACCGAAATTAAATCGACTGGCTCAGCTGATTACCAAGATTCCTCTAGGTTCACGTGGTAACAATGGTCATGTCCTACCATGGTCTTCTTGCTGTGGTCATCCGATCGCTGGAACATTCTTCGTGAAGGACTCCCCATCCGTATTGAATAGATTGTATATCTGTAACATCCGTTCAGTACTAGTTCCAATCTCTGAAATAATTCCAGCTCTGTCAATGTAAATACATAATACAGACATTTGTAATCATACACCATTCAGTGCTTCTTACATGTCCTGCTGGCCTACAAGTCACTAGTCATTAAGCATTATTTCGTGGCCCCTATGGAACATATAATCATCAAGATCATGGTCCTTCACGACATCTCCATGTCGAGACGGGCAGCCTCGATCCCCAACTCCACCACCGACTTGATGCCGTCCTTCCACCTTTCAGCGAGGTAGTCGTCAGCCGGCTTGAAGTCGCCAAGCTGGCGCTTCTTGCGCCTGAGATTGGTGTCGTCGACCTGGGCTCGCTTGTGACGAGCTGCGCTGGAGTACTCGTCGCGCAAACGCTCGTGTTGGGCGAGATGATGCTGATGGAGTGATGCTATGTCGTGGTAGTTAGCTGTGAGCAAGTCGAGGTTGCGTTCCTGGAGGCTGGAGTACGACAATGTGGTGTATATGCGGTCGTAGTGGGTGGAAGTGCCGTCGCCGAAGTCAGCGTAGCGTCCGAGTTCGATACCAGCTTCCATGAGACGGGTGTCGTCCTCTTCGGTGTCCTCCTCCTCATAGCGCTCGATCTCGTGCATCAAGAGGGGGCTGGGCACCCTCTGGGTCGAAAGCGGGAGGATCTGGTCCACCAACGGGTGGAGCGCCTCGCCGTTACCGTTTTGGTGGTGTGTTTGCCGCACTTCCTGCCGTATCAACTCTTCCACATGGGATCGTTCTTGCGGACTCACTTCGTTGTCGACGTCTGGCGGTTAGTAGAGTTTTTTGGTATTTGTTCGAGATACGTACATGTCAAGCTGTCCACCTCGTGGCTGATGGCGACCATGGTTCGTATAGCGAGTGTGGAGGGAGGCGCTGGGAGAAGTGCCGTAAATATACTGGCAACAGTAATGAGCCACTCGATGGATGGCAATGCTCGGTGCGGTCAACGCATCGGTCGCAGAAAAATACTGGCAAGGATAGGGGAAGGTACATGAGGCTAGCGAGAGGTGGGGGTGGAGTGCGGTGCGAGAGGTAGCGAGCGGGATCGGTGGGGCGGTGCGAGCGTAGGGAGCGCAGGGGAGGCCCCGCCTGGCGCGGCACGGGAGGGGAGAGGGTGCGATGGGCTAGAAAATAGCTTTAATCTGAAATTGAAACGAATTTAATATCAGCCGATCGGTGTTGGAGATGTAGTGATCGTCAGAGGATACCGATGTAGCGATTCTCAGAGCAAAGTATGGTCGCCAGAAAACCAATAGAGTGGCAATACCAATATGATTGTTGGTGGTTGCGGCTGTCTAAGAAAATACGGAACCTCGAGCAAGACCCACAATCCACGGTGGGGAAAATGGTAGCAACGGCTGGGCAGGCGTGGCTAGGCCTGCAGAAGTCGGCCATGCCGGATACGGCAACCACGGACACGATAACGATGCCAATCGCCGCTTGGAATGATCGGGCATCTAATGTCACGTGATTGTAGTCACGTGTATGATCCAGAAGTACCCATGGATTATGCAACTTACATACACTTTACAGGACACTACTGAAGCTGTGGGCCTATGGTAGTCTTTAAAGTATATTTATGCTCTTTCCTCGACGCTTGGGCCATTTTTTTTTCCATTTGGGCTGGTCCCCTTGATCAACCGTATGAACCAGTTTCTTCCCAATAGAATTGCGTCCTGGTGTACCGAGAGTGACTTCCTGACGTCCCGAAGAATGAGTTATGGATTATCCGGATATCAGGAGCTTCATGGCTGATGCTATTATCTTGAAAGGTATTGCGCAAAATTTATATCTCAGGAATATGGTCTCAACATGAATAGATGCAAGCATTAATCTCCTCCATCCAGTCATTACTGGATTTGGATAAAATTCTGGACTATTGCTGCAGTTGTTCTACAGAGGACTACCGTGTCTATCGTAAGCAGCCACATGGTTAAGAAGAATTCTAATACTACAAGAATAGTAGTTCGGGGCCAGAAATATTCACTCAAATGTTGATTAGTCCCGAACTCAGTTATTCATTCTCTCGATGTGCGAGGCAATCTCAATTTATCCTCTGTAGTCCCTAAATAATTGGCGAGTCCATCTCATTATTTTCACTATTAATCTTGGTCAGAACTCTACTCACCAAAAGCACCAGTAATACGTGTTGCCGTCCCTAGTGCCAACTTGAAGCGATGTACATCAGAATTGATTGAAGAAACAAAACGTTCATAGAATTAATACGCTGAACATTATCGACCAGATGCAGCAAACTTCTTCAATAACTACATCTTCAACAAAAATGGAGTATTCCACTCCCTCTACATCCTACTCATTCTACCGTTCAAACAATATTATTATTAACTATTGACTAGTTTACTTGTTGATGACATCGGCATCGTATCTTTGCTTGAACCATTGGATGGTGTCTTCAGCGTTGGTCTTGTGGTTGTTACCGACGGTACCTCTGCATCTCTTTCTTCTGGCAACTCTGGCACCGGCTCTACCCATGACAACGTAGAAGTCCATACCGTAAATACCGATACCTGGGTCGTACTTGATACCCAAGTCAATGTGTTCGTCAATACCGAAACCGAAGTTACCGGTGGCAGAGAAGTTCTTTGGCTTCAATTGGTATTCCTTGACCTTCAAACCTCTTTCCAAGATTTCTTCGGCCTTTGGACCTCTGATGGTGACGTGGACAGCGATCTTTTCGTTTCTTCTGATACCGAAGGTTCTGACGGTGTATCTAGCCTTGGATTGAACTGGGGTTTGACCAGACAATTGTTCCAAAACCTTGGAGGCTCTGGTCAATCTGTCACCGGATTCACCGACACAGATGTTCAAGACCAACTTCTCGATGTGAAGTTCACGCATAACATTTTGAGTTTTAGCAGACTAGCTGTTAGTATAGATTCACTCGCTGGATGAACGGGGTTGGATAGACGTAGCGAAGATGGAAGAAAATCTGCCTTCTGACGAATCGCCAGCCCATTTCTGCTCTTTCTAACTCGACATTTTCCTCATCTGTCATTTCATCTATCCTTCCTGGCAGTAGTCGAGACCATTCCGGAGGAGCTCAAGATCTGGAGTTCTTGCGTTCTCAGTAGACTCCTAGTAGTGATGCCTGTTCATTTATTGACCATTTAACATACCATTTTGGCTATGATTCTTTACTATCAAAAAAACGTTTGTTCACCTAAAATTTTTCAGTAGGGCCTGGAGGTGCCAGAATCCTGGAAGGGTAACATCCGCACCGCAGTAGCTAGCGATGCGACTCCTGCATATACGCGAGATGGGTGGAAAAAACAGGAGGAAGCTAAGTGGTGCGCGTCACGTGAAAAGGCTCCGGTTAGGGTTGGTGCCCTAGTGCTATCTCCTCAATTCCCCGTTTGCAGCTGAAGGAAGGTTTGCATTATTATATAAGTGTATTTATCATTATCCATCAACATTGTTGAAGGACTGTTCCTTTTCTTTGATGTCGTAGAAAATATCGCCCACGTTGTAGTTACCATGGTAGGTCCATCCAGACTCGGCAACGTGGTACAAGTTTATGGAACCACCAGAGTAGGCGTCTCTGTGGGTGGCGGCCAAGATACTCCTCTTACCCAAATACAAGGCCTCTTCGATAGTCAAGTCCCATTTGTACGCGGAGTCCAACACACCGTACGCGAAGGTCTGACCGGAACCGACACAGAACATTTCACCCTTCAATCTGGTACCATCGGAGTCGACGTAATAGAGGGCAGGACCCTCCTTCTTGGTGTATCCACAAATCATAGTACCCATGGACAATCCCATGCCCTTGTATTGGTACACCAAGTTACCCAAGATCTTGGAGGCAGCAGCCACCGAGATTCTTTCCTTTTCTCTGAGCTCGTGCAATCTACACTGGGTACCCAACCAGGTCTCCCAGTACTGACAGTCGGCAGCACCACCAGCCATGGTACCCAACAAGAATGGATTGATTCTAATGACCTTGTTCACGGTTTGCGACGCAATCCAGTTACCCTGGGTAGCACGGGAATCCACGGCAACAACAATACCTCCTTGGAAACGGAATGCTAATGTGGTGGTACCGTGGGCAATCTTGATCTTACAGTCGGGGTTGGACGCATCGTCTGTGTGGGCCCTCAAGAAGTCAGTTGGCTGTGATATAGGAGGCAATTGGATGGAGGGTGCCAATTCCAATTGGTGGTTGCCAGAAGTCTCGCTTCTTGCCGAGTCTATCTCGTTCATCACCGAGTTGTTATTGGCGTGTGTGTATCTTTGGGAAATGCTATTCATGTTGTCTATGATGTATGGGGATTTGATTGCTTTGAAGGACAAGCCGACGTGTTCTAGCTTCTTTTGTAGGAGTTTTATTCACTTGGGGGCACTGGAGGCTGGCGATCACGTATCAATCCTGACAGATTCGTTGGTTATAGATCAATTGATTGCCAGATAGTGGCGGTTGTTCAGATAGGTGAGTGAATCGCCACCGGGTGCGTTTACGTAATCGGGTGTAAGAAGTTACGTAAGCGCGCCTTGTTTGGGTGCAAATGGCCAAACCAGTGGTAAGAGTATGATAGCAGCGAAAGCATCGCCAATGCTCTGGCTACGTGGTTAAACCACCTATCTGATTCACGGATTCTAATTGTACATAGATTCTATAACTATTAAGTGAGAGAAATGATCTTCAAGAACTAAAGTAATATACAGTGGGTTCCACGACGTCGAGTCCTATTCGGTCTTCATGATCTTTCGGGGGCTCTCGTTCTCGTGTGCTTGCTCTGGCTCCCTTTTGGCCGACTCGCTGGAGCCTGGAGTCGAATAATAGCTTGGAGCTGGGCGTTGTGCGGGTTTATTGGACAAGAACGTTGGAGGACGAGATAATCCCCCTGGTTTGGCAAAGCTCTGCGGTTTGGAAAGCGATGGACCGCTGGACTTGTAGCTGGGAGGTCTTGAGAGGCCTGCCCCGAACAGAGGAGGTTTGGCTAGTGCTGGTGCCGCGGCTCTTGGGGATACGTACGATGCTGGTGTCGATCCTGTCGAGCCTGGAAGATTCGAGACTGAGGCTTTTGCATCACTTGCAGGACTGGGGGAAACTGTTTTTGTAGGACTGGGGGAAACTGTTTCAGGTGGAGTGGTAGATGTATGCGCTACACTGGGGCCTTCAGTCGCACTTGACGCAACCCGTTCTGTCGTTTGTGGAGGCTTTGCTGGCTCTGTAGAAGGTGAAGCTTGCACGGTCGTTGGAGCAGAAGTTTTGGTGGAAGTCTCCAAGGTGGATTTTTCTTGACTGGGTTTTTGCTCCAGTGTCACAGATTCAGCTTGTTTGGGGGCCACTACTGCTGCTGGTGGCTTCGTAGGAGAGGGTGCTTGCGAGGTCGAGGGTCCTGGAGTCCCAGCCCTGCTGGAAGGTATAGACGAGGTGCCCTGTTTCTCTCGGATGGACTTGGTCAAAGCTATGTCCAAGATTTTACTCACTTGTTGCGGAGCTCTCTCCACCAAGAAGCTCAAGGCGTTGTCCCCACACCCTGCCTTTGCACCAATCACATTTACCTGGGCAATGGTAGTAGCCAAAGCCTTGGTGATGATTTCAGTTGTAGTTGCGGTGTTATAAGACAATTTTCTGGCCTTGTACAACGTGAAAAGCTCCTTTTGCAAGTAGGTCAAGGACTTCTTGGTGTCTTGGTTCATTGGCCCTGACGTCGCCGGTGGAGTAGGCGAGTTTGTGGTCGTGGAGGGTGGAGGTGGCGATTGTGAAGTGGGGTTTGATCTATTCGCTGCCAATTGTGCCTTGATAGTATTGCTCATGGGACTGGTGCCTTCTCTCTTGATGGCTGCTCCAGCAACTGGTACAGGGGACTGCGGCTTGAAGTACATTGGAGCCTTGGATGTGACTCCGTCTCTTCTTATTTCACTTGCCAATTCAGCAATGGTCTTGGGCTTTTGGCCATTGACACCACCAGGAACCCCTGTGATTATTCCGGGGCTGACTGGCAGTTTGTGTAAATGGGAGATGAACTGAGACTGGGGAGACCCACTCACAGGCAAGCCGTACGGCGACGAGAAGTTCCTTCCCACAATATTGTGAGTAATGGCCTGTTGAGCCTCGAAACGCTGCTTCTGTTTCAATTCCTCCGCTCTCAAATCGGCTGCCTTTATTCTTGCTGCAATCATCTCTTGTTGCTTCTTTCTGACCTTCTCCCTTTCGTTTATAAACAAGTCATCGATGATGTATACCCATTCGTTATTTCTCTTGAACTTTCTCTTGAATATTTTATTCAACTTCACGTTATGTGAAACAGAAAATTGCCATCCGTCAGGGCAGTACTTATAGTACGGGTAGGCGTCTTTGATGGATTCATAGAGCTCGTTCAAAGTGAGACCATTTTCTCGGTTGACCTTCAAAGCATTTGTGATCAATACTGGTAAAGATATCGATGGTTTGGATCTGTACTGCTCGGGAATTTCGTCCAAGGTGTACACCTTTTTGGGCAATTTCTTAAAGCTTTGGTTTCCTCTCTTGGGAACTTTAGGAAATTTGGAAGGCTCTTCGACTGTTTTGGGAACGCCAAAAGTGGTCAAAGTTGCCTTTCCACTCACGGTGATGGCTCTTAACGGAGGTCTTGGTCTTACAGCTGATGGTTCGGAAATTATTGGTATGACAGCGACCTCGAGCTTGGGAGGTGGGGCTCGTGGTGGTGCCACCGGCTTCTGTAATCCATTGTATATCATTCCTGGTGGCAATTTCATTGGCAATCCAACTGGAGATTGAGTGCCACCTAACTGGACCAAATGGTTGGGCAATCCAGTCATTGTGTTTGCCCCTAGCCTGCTGTCAATAACCTGTGACTTTGGGAGACCGTTCAATGGTCTATTGTATAACCTATTTGCTGGAGGTTGAATAGAGGCGGCTTTGCCCATTCGTGGAGGAACCACCTTACCCATGAGCGGACCTGATTTGATGTGGCCAGACATACTATTGGATGAGTTTGGTCCTAACAATGCTGTGTCAATAGGAATATCGTCTTCTTTAGCTTTGTTCATCTGCTTCTTCTGTATCTGTTGTCTCTTGCGATTTCTTTCTATCTCCAACCTTCTTCTTCTTTCCTCCTTTTCCTTGATTAAATCCTGATTGTGTGCATCAATTAGAGGTCCTAGATTTGCAATTTCTTGGTCCAAGATTGACAAGTCCATGTCAAGATCGTTCGTGTTGTCTTCGTCGTCCAACACGACCCCCTGTTCTAAGTTGTGTTGTTTGACCAATTGATCGATTTCATCCTCCTCTTCTTCTATTGCTGACTCACTGTACTGACTGAGCCTGAGAAGATTTCCATCCAATCCGATCTCTTCTCTACTATTTTCATGATCAGCCAACATAGCTTGAATCTGAGAATCAAATAATTCGGAGTCTTCTTCGTCAATGGCATCAATGGAACTCACTCCCAATTCCTTTAAAATATCGTTAATTTCATCATTGGCTGCACTGGCTAAGGACTTCCTTCTTGCATTCGACAACCTTCTGATCTTGAGGATGGAGTCTCTTCTCTCTTCTTTACTAAAAGATTTCCGTGGGGTATCCGGCTTCTCGATCTTTGGCGGATCCATCTTACTCTTATGGTCTTCCTTAGGCTCTTGGACGTCCTTTGGATCGGTTGGTATACTGTCTTTTCTCCGTATTGGTTCCTTCTTTGGCTTCGAAACCGGCTTTTTGTTGTTTGTATTGTAAAGATTAGATCTCAAGTTGATGGCATCGCTGGGGTTGAATTGTTTGGACGGCACCACCAGGGAGTCTTCTTCGTTTGGCTCAATAGAAGGTAATACGAACTGGAAGGGCAAATCGCCGATTTGGATTTTGGTGCCATCGCTCAAGGGGACCGTGATTCCTTTTTCCACAAACGAGTCGTCCACAAAGGCACCGTTTCTACCCAAAATAGAGATTTCGAATCTTTGGGTGCCGAAGTTGTAGAAGATTTTGGCGTGTCTTCTCGAGATGGCCTTCTTGGAAGAAAGATGCACATCCACGGCATGGTGGCTGCTCTGGATCAACTCGTCGGCCGACTTTCTTCCCAACACCACCTGCAAGGTCTGGACGAAAAACGTGAAGTTTTCGAAGTCCAATCTGGCGTAGGCTGAGATTTTGGAGGCCTCATCGGACTCGTTGGATGGTTTGGACGGGTTTCCCAACGCCAGTTCCGACGTCACCGACACCAAGGTTGAGTTTTGCCGTATTTCCTTCTGGGTCTGGCTAATTTTGCCTCTGCTGTTTGTGGAAGACACTGCTGGCGATTGTGATCTACTCACGGTCTTGCTAGTGGGAACATCTTCGTCCTTGACCCTGTCCAAGGGTCCGATATCCAAGTCCTGGAGCTCGTCCATGAGCAGCTGGTCTGCCAGGGTGCCGTGGTGCTCGTTCTCGCTCTTCTGGAGCACCTCTTGTATAATTGCATCTCCCATGAGGCCGATGTCTGGTTCCACATGGTTGTGTGTCTCGGTATGAGCATGAGCCCCAGTGTCTAGAGGAAGTTCCGGTGGTTCGTGAGAGCTCATCCTCCGCTGTGAATAGTAGCTTATTATCTGGAGTTAACGATGGTAGTTGCTGATGGCTTCATAAGCCCGATATGGATGAGGCAGACTGATTATCAAATGTTTTTTTGTCAGTGAGAAGAGGTCTGGTACTTCACGTGGCTGGGGAATAGGACGGGAGAACCAGGCTAGAAAGCGGGAGCGAGCGGGATGGTGCGGGTGTAGAAAGGGTGGCTACGCTGGCGATGTGAAGATCTACTGGTACGGGACGTGGGGAGATGAGCTGGCTTGCTGGTGGATGGGTGCGAAGGGCTGAGATTAGGGGGAGTGGCAGAAAATGGTTAGCAAGTGGAGCAGAAATTAATAGAGGAATTATTTGGGGGTAAATGGGACCATCGGTGATGTCCGCGAATAGAAATTGCCATTGGTATTATCTGTTAAAATAGTAGAGTCTGTAAGGCCGTACGTAGCTGGGGTGGTACCTTTGTTGACCTGCTAAACTAGTGCACTAGGGCGTATAAGTGAAATTGCACCAGGAAATACTTGTAAAGTTGACGATATATTGTGGAAACCACTGCATGGCTGTGTAGAACTGGCGGAACTTGGGTTATTTGAGCCAATGTGTGTGTTTCTTGTGAGAGGATGGATTTTCCTTGATTATTACAAGAAATCCAGAATAATAGCAGTAATGCTTCATAAAATTACTACAAATCATTTTCCATAATTAATAAACATAACCAGCCAGAAACACCCATTCTGTTCATTTGGATGATATGCCAGCCCGATTCTCTTTTCCAGCACTTCACCAGAATACTGGATCACATTCTCCTCGCTGATGACTGCAATTTAGGTGCAATTTAAAATTTCAATACTACACCAAATTGCTTCCAAGAAGCCGGGGGCCCAGACCAGCCACTTACACTGTACTTCCAGGCACCACTTGGCCAATTAGGGCACTCTTACACTCCAGTGGGTCTCCACCCCAGCCCGTGGCTATCCGATCTCATCTCCCGCATACAGGAATATATACTCATCGCAATTTTCAAGATGAGTGTCACTACAAGATGGTAAGTGCCCCAGCCCCACACCACCATGCCATACTAACCAGCAGTCGGGAGGAATCAAGAAGAAGTCCACGTTGAGAAACAAGTCGGCCAAGAGGTCCAACTTGTCCAACAAGATCTCGGAGTTCAGACAAGAAACCGGAGGAGAGGAGTTCCACGAGAACCCATTGTTGAAGTTGTCGAAGATCACCAAGAAGGAGAAGCAGCAGAACAAGTCAGCCAGCTTTGCGCTGAGCGTGCTCAACAAGACGACCTTCAATACCTCCAACAACATAAGCAAGTCGTCGCTCAGGAGGCGCAAGAGGAAGGAGAAGGAGCAGTTAAAGCCGAACATGCAAGAGTTACTCACCAGTTTGCCGGGTGCAAAGGATGGAGACGATCTCTTCTCCAGCAACACCACCACCATCAAGAGCGCCAAGAGCTCCGAGGGCTTTGTCAAGTCCTCGAAGTTGAACAAGAACTTGCCCAATGCCACCAAGAAGTCGGGGCACCAGCAGATCTTGCGGGAAGAGCACAAGAATTTCAGCAATGTGTTGAAGAACCCCGCGTTCAGACAGTCGCCATTCGATGCTTTGAAGAGTGCCATCCAGCAGAACATGCAGAAGTAGGGTATAAGAATGGGGAACATGTCATTCTGGATCATAGAGTACAAATTGTATAATAACATATAACGACCTTAATAATATAGCATCGTAATTGAGTTGCCATTGTTATTGGCATGGCATATTTGCATACGACAAAGACTGCGATATACCAGCTTCAATAATATCCATAATTGAGTTACCAGTATTGATAAGTTTCCATACTACAAACTGTGCATCTGGTTGAGCATACGACCTTCAACTGTAATTTACTTGCTAGTATTGATAGCATATTTCCATAGAACAGATTGATACGATCGATAAAATCCCAGTATCGAGTTAACAGTATAATAGCAAGTTTCCACACCACAAATTCCTACTACGACCATGCGTAATTAGGTTGCCAGTAATAATAGGTAATTTGATACTAGTCTACACATGGCATATTTGCATACGTAGATATGAATAGGTAATTTGATACTAGTAGAGGCCGGCCTGGGTCAGATCCAGGTATGGCTTTCGTACGGGGTTAGAGAACCACAAGAATTACGAGCACTAGCGTTCCATAAGGATCATGATCTCTGCAGTACCACCAGTAACATGATCTCTCCAGTACCACCAGTAACACGATCTCTAGCCGTACGGTTAATGTTACTGGCACCAATGTCACTAGCACCAATGTCTCTAGCACTATGTCTCTAGCACCAATGTC